CAAGTGTTTGCTGCATCCTTACCTCAAGTGTTTGTTGCATCCTTACCTCAAGTGTTTGTTGCATCCTTACCTCAAGTGTTTGTTGCATCCTTACCTCAAGTGTTTGTTGCATCCTTACCTCAAGTGTTTGCTGCATCCTTACCTCAAGTGTTTGTTGCATCCTTACCTCAAGTGTTTGTTGCATCCTTACCTCAAGTGTTTGTTGCATCCTTACCTCAAGTGTTTGCTGCATCCTTACCTCAAGTGTTTGTTGCATCCTTACCTCAAGTGTTTGTTGCATCCTTACCTCAAGTGTTTGTTGCATCCTTACCTCAAGTGTTTGTTGCATCCTTACCTCAAGTGTTTGTTGCATCCTTACCTCAAGTGTTTGTTGCATCCTTACCTCAAGTGTTTGTTGCATCCTTACCTCAAGTGTTTGTTGCATCCTTACCTCAAGTGTTTGTTGCATCCTTACCTCAAGTGTTTGTTGCATCCTTACCTCAAGTGTTTGTTGCATCCTTACCTCAAGTGTTTGTTGCATCCTTACCTCAAGTGTTTGTTGCATCCTTACCTCAAGTGTTTGTTGCATCCTTACCTCAAGTGTTTGTTGCATCCTTACCTCAAGTGTTTGTTGCATCCTTACCTCAAGTGTTTGTTGCATCCTTACCTCAAGTGTTTGTTGCATCCTTACCTCAAGTGTTTGTTGCATCCTTACCTCAAGTGTTTGTTGCATCCTTACCTCAAGTGTTTGTTGCATCCTTACCTCAAGTGTTTGTTGCATCCTTACCTCAAGTGTTTGTTGCATCTAGGCTAGTACGAAAAGTTTTTTCTCACTCCCAACAATCAGACTTCACATTATACACACTTGCGTGTAACAAAAACAGGTATATAAAAGTGTACAGCATATTCTGTAATAAAAGTACATCCTACTAAGACTTATATCTCAGATAAAACTTGCTATCTATCTAATTTTAGTTGTAAATTTTTCCAGTTTTTGTAAATTGATATACAGAATTACTTGCCGCGCCAGACTAAATAGCATTCGTTCCGCTTCTCGTGGTACGAGGGAAGGTTAGAGGTATAAGGATGTTTTTGGGAACAGGAAATTAAAAAAAGATTGTGGCTATAAAATAAATGGTTGGATTTGTAATTGAATGACCTATCTAGAGATCTACTTATTCAGATTTTGAAAAATGTAAAAGTTGAAATTTTTTGAAAAATGGCTAAAAATCGTAAAAATTCGGTTACGATAAACAAAGTATTGATCAATTGTATCGCCGAAACGTTTTTAACGGATTCAACTAAATTGGCCTTGATTTACCCGTGAAACGTTGTTTTTAGGATAATTTTGGAGTGGTTTTGACGGATTTGAACGCTAGATCAAAATAACACCCTCTATGATCAAGAAAATACCCGGATCCACAAATCCAACCACTTGTTTAAAATTTCCAATTGAAATATGGAGTATTATGGACGGCTCCCAACACATATAAGAGGACTTATTTTGAGGGACTTATTTTGAGGGCACATATGTGATATTCCAAGAGTAATGGATGAAAAATAGGACTATACCGAGAAAAAAGGCGACAAAAAAAATTTTAAAACGGCATTAGGTTTTTGTTATTTAGAATTCAACACCATTCACTCATTTTCAAACAAAAACATATAGTTCTTGGACTCATGTAAACGAGAAACTTCAAATCAATTCGAATCTGGTGGTAAGAAATGGCCATCTTTTGATTTTTTTTAACAAGGTCCCACTTTTTTTACTATTTTGACCAATCAGAGAGTTGAAAATATTGGTTTCTCGAATATTAGTGTAGGAGAAATTTAGTAATAACTCTTTCAATATTCAAACTCTGATTTAATTGAAGTCTACATCTAATTGGAATGTACTGATGTTACTATCCTACAAGAACATGTAATTAAAGAATATTTTTATACTGCACGAGCTTATCGGGCGAATAGAATTTTTTTCTGCGCGAGAGTTAGCACGACTTGTCGGGATCCGGCTCTTATAGTTTGCTTTTCTTCTATTAGCATACATATTATTCAAATCTAACCCTTCAATCATTAAATTCAAGACACTATATACGAACCAACCTTAAAAAAGCTAAGTAAATGTAACTTTTAAATGATTTCTAAATCTATCGAACTGTTTATTCATTACCTCACTTCCAATTTGTTCACTTTCTCAAACAATTAGTTACGATTGAAGTGCCAATAGTATGGATTTAAATGTATTACAGTTTAAAAGTGTATAGGCTTGACACAGGCCACAATTCTTGAGATTTAATCAGTAGGATGCAATTTTATTAGTAGCCATTTAAGTCCCTGCTAACACATTAAAACGCGACTTTTGAAGAAATTAAGGGGGTAAAATACCTCCTAATATCAATTATTGCACTCCCTCTCTATAATACTGGCTAAAATTGCATCCAACCGTACGTTGAAGTGTTCTACAATTTTATTTACCATTTGAATAATTGTTAATTAGTCAGCAGCTTGTGTACTTAATAAGATCAGAACTTATTTCAAAATTCTGTCAAAAATATGAAAAATTGCGAATTCTCAATTGATGAGAAAAAGCTGAATGTTCCATAAAACTCATGATCTACTATGCTAGCAAATCATTGGTATAACAAGTTATTGATCTGTATACATTGTTTATTTGTTAATCAGAGTTGCATATAATGAAAAAATTGAAGAGAAGGGTTTAAAATTTACAGATTACAATCTATGCAATTTCTTTGCATCAGTTGTCAGAGATATCTATTGAATAATCGTTAACTTATATAGAAGCATTCATTTGCAATTTTCGTGACTCATTAAACTCTATTTAATCTATATGGCTTTCAATCATACTGTTCTAGTTCGTGTTGTAGTAATCGCCTCTTATTGATTTAAAATCTCCTCTATTGTTGATAATAAAATCCATTTACCATTATAATATTTGACTTTAAATTGTTTTGATTTAGTTGGAATTTCAAGAAATTTATTTATCTTGCCAATAACTTGATTAACTATGGAGGGATTTAAATCTGGTATTTGAAAAAAGTTAAATAATCTCCCTGGATCAGTTAAATCTAAAATTAAAGCATTATCATTTGAATCTTTAATAGTAATTTCAAGTGCTTGTAATACTAAGAATGATTGATCATCATTTAAACTTAATGGAATACGAGGAAACCATGTCCAATGAAAAGCTTCTATTATTAGAAGTTTATTAACTAATTGTGATTTTGGGATTTTTAATAATTCTGGTATGGTTATAGTTTGAATATTTAATAATAAAGTTGATTGTGGTAAATCAATTAAAGCTTCTGAATCTTGTATTGATGCTTCTGAATCTTGTATTGATGTTTCTGAACTCTCTTGATGTACTTCGTTACCCAATTTTAATTTCTTTGCCGGTGGTTCCATTACGTGTAATTTGTGTGATTCTGTTGGACATGTTACAAATTTTAAATCTTCTGCAATACTATCATATCCTGAAATTTTTGCAATACTTTCTTGTTCTGAATCTTCATCAATGGGTTTATGCATTGGTTCGGTAACAAGCTTTAAATCTTCCACAATACTATCATCTGATCCTTCTGCAATACTTTCTTGTTCTAGATTTTCATCAATTGGTTTATGCATTGGTCCTGTAGCAAGCTTTAAATCTTCTACAATACTATAATCTGATCCTTCTGCAATACTTTCTTGTTCTTGATTTTCATCAATTGGTTTATGCACTGGTTCTGTAACAAATTTTAAATCTTCTGCAATACTATCTTCATCAGAATCGTCATTTTTAGATTCTTCTGATGATTCTGTGTCAACTGTTGGAGGAGGTATTAAATTATATGATATATCAGTAGCTGAATTGTTTATATTAGAATTTTCATTACCACCAATTATCCTATCAATTTCAAACCTTTTAAAGTCATAATGTTCAACAATTTCTTCATAAAATTCTCTGGATGAATTTTCCTTTAATCTTTTTAAAAATAGTATAAAATAACCTTTTATATCCTCAATACTTTCTTCAACAGTATCTTTTGTAATAATTTCCAAAGTATTTAAAAAAGAATCTAAGCTTAAACCACGCCTTGCTCTAAGATCCATACTTACTCTTGCTATTATGAATCCTCCAAAAGTAGGTGGTGTTGCTACAAATTGTTTATTAACATATTCAATTTGTTCTAAACTTAAAGAAGTTGTAATTAATCTTGAAATGGGTATTTGATGACTTGAATCATTAGATAGATAATATGAATCATTTAAAACTGAAGGAGGAACATCTTTTAATGTTAGTGAAGTTGTAGTACGAACTTCTGATAAATCTGACATTACCATTGTACCTGAATTTGAATATTCATATAGATTTAGGATAATAATTGGTATATCAAAAGTAAGTTTCTGTTTATTCTCTCTAAGAAATGATATTTTTTTAATTGATGGTGTTGTACATAATGGTTCTGATATTCTTTTATAAGTTGAATGATTCATTAGTGATAAAAAATAAAAATCGAAAAAAAAATAAAAAAAAAATAAAAAAAAAAAAAAGATTTGTACCTAAACGCGTCTGCTAAAGTTGGTAATTTTAAAAAGAGTAAGACGCGTCTATTGAAGTTGACAATTCAAGGTTTTCATTCATTCTTAGCTGATGTTCTTATCAAAGTTTAACAAGAGAAGTAATGATCAAATAAGTTCATATGTTTTAAATTGATGAGATTTACTGTGGGTGAAGAATAATGATATTGATTGCTGGTTCTGTTGCATTTGATAAATGGTCAAATACCAAAGAAACTGTTAAACAGGGTCTTATTATAAACGTGCTCATTCATTTATTTGGAATATCTTGATTCTAAAGATAAATTTCATTTATGTAGTTATAAAAAACTATATTGGATTAAAGTTATTGTTATAACGTACATGGCGAACATTTTATAGCACTAAAGAAATGCCGCCGAAGAGAGCTCATGATCATAATTTCAACAAAATGTTGGCATCAAAGAAACGTTATGATATTTAAAACGGACAAGTTCAACCGTTATCGAAGTACTAATTGATATTACAACTTGTTCATCAAATTAACATGAAATTGTTATTACTCCTTTTTTTCGGTTAATTAAATGCTGCTACAATTCCTTCATTTGATTTAAACAAGAGAGATATTGCAAACACTGACTTATCTTCCTTTCAACAGGATATTATTCAATTTACGCAAAAGTAGGCTCAAATCAAGATTTCGCACCACTTAATTTTGATACTGGAATTTACCTCATGTATATGATAAAGATAATATTTGTAAACAATGGCATCAATATGCTACTTATGATTCCAAAAAGTCAACTTCAATTGTTAGAATAGGTAAAAATGTTACAAGTAGATCAGTCACTCTAGAAGAATGATGGTATATAAATTATAAATTGTAACGCAATCTTCCTTAATGCAAATTAATGACATTTCTGGTTAAACCTTTCTATTTGAGCCTTATTTAGCTAACCGTAAATGTTCTTGAGGTACTTTGCATATGTCGTCGTACTTTGCCACTACATTCGACACAGCTTAAGACAATAGATCAGTTTTATAACAACCAATCACAGCTTTTAGTCTATCTTTAGACTTCCCCTTTCGATTGAAGAGTAAATACTATTAGTAAAAACCAGATCTGGATCTACATTAATCCGGTAAGACAAATTGAACCAACTCTTCCCTTGGTTTTCATTAAATTCAACTCAATTATAATTCAACGGTTTTCATTAACCCCTTTTTGTCATTACGATATGTCCGTATCTCAACGGTGAATACTAAATTGATCAACGGATATTTCGATAAATCTAAATGGTCTAAAATTTTGGATTGGTTGTTTCTAATCTCTCTATTGTTCAAATTTCATCAAGAAATCAAAAAGTGTGCATCTGCTCATAACCATAAATTAGCAAGTCAAATTATCGGCTTTGAAGAGAATGAACTGGTTGGATCAACTTCCAAGAGATAAAACTATATAAGAAAAGCAAAGGATGATAGTTTCGATCATCAATCAACAATGAGATTTATTACTGCTGCTATTTCAACTTTATTCTTTACTTTGGTTTCGGCTGATGCTTCACCAATTACAACTGCTCCAGATACTACTGCTACTGATGCTGCAAATTGGTCTACTTATCCATCAGTAGCTAAAACTGCCTCAATTAATGGTTTTGCTGATAAAATTTATGATCAATTACCTGACTGTGCAAAGCCATGTATGTTTGCAGATACTTCAAAAACTCCTTGTCCTTACTGGGATACTGGTTGTCTTTGTGTTATTCCAAATTTCGTTGCAGCTGTTGCTGATTGTGTTGCTCAAAGATGTAAAGGGAAAGATGTTGAAAAAATGAGATCTTTAGCTACTTCTGAATGTTCAGAAGCTGGTGTTTGGACTCCTTATTGGATTGTTCCTGCTACTGCTGATTCATCATTACAAGCAGCTGCTACTCAAACAGCTTGAGGAAATATACCTAAATTCAATAAATATTCAATAAGTTGTCGAACAAATAAAAGTTGACTCTGCTATTAAGAAAGATAAATGTATATATATATTGTAAGGACATACAATGCTTCTATATTAATATATATTTTCAATAAGTTTTAACTAAAAATAATTGATAGAATGAGTAAGTTGGTCTATTATCTGATGTCGATCCATCTCCTTTGACATTTACTTGAGATCCCCTTCCCCTACAAAAATGGCGAGGCCAAATTCTTGTCTGGTTCTCGCAACATCCTAAATTGTGAAAACTATACGATTTTGAGTAACCCTTTCCATTTGTGGTCTAGCATCCTCCTTGTGAATATCTCTGCCATATTTATCGACCCATTTGGTATTTATCCGCAAAAAATATAAAATATTGGTGTTGACAATCTTTTTGAAATCCCAGAATCATCATCGCTATCATCGTAAGTGTCGGATTTTGCAGTTTCGAATGAATCATAATCTACAGCAAAGTGATTCGGACCTGATTCTGATCGAGTTTCACCTTCGACTCCTGGTATCTCATCATATTCAACTCAAGTACCTATTAATATATGATATCAGGATTTATACATTTTTCAAATGCAATGTCTAAATCATTATCATACTCTCCATTTACAGTGACTCTGAAAGCTTCCCAATCACCAAGACTTGTAGCAACTAATGTGTAAGTTGTATGCATCTTTTCATTACATTCCAAAACTTTGGCTCTAACCCATTCAAATCCATCCTGATCAGTAAAGTCAAACTCGTAATCGGAATCTGCCGTTGTTGAAGGTTGGGCATTTAACACAGGTGAAACAGTACCATTACCAATTGAACTATTAGACGACTAACCGACCAAACCGTCTCGTACCTGAGATAAAGCATTGACTTTGATTAAATTGAGTTCTACCAAAATGTAATAGAAAATTGTGGATGACTATAAATTCATGTTAGATTTAAAGAAGAATTGATGAAAGGAACATAATGAACATAATTCTGAAGCCATTTTATAGTCTAGATGGATCGGCTGTCCGAATTAAGCTTAATTTCATATTCTACGATATTATCCTTTTACACATCAGCCATTGTACGCATTTGTATAATGGAGTTAAATAAATTTGCGTTTTATGCTTATGGTTTATTGTACAAAGTTGGCTTAATGAAATTAATAGCTTTTGTCAAAAAGGCTTGATCTCAATGACTTTGTATCAGCCTTGAATTTTAGTGCCACCCTCAGATCAACTTTCATTAAGATCTCCAAGATCAAATATTTAGGTCCTCTCCTAATATTTTGACTTCATTTCACAACTAAGAACAACTATACGTAATAGATTCATCATCTATTTGCATGTTTAATTAAATGAGACGACATGGAAAGTGGTGCAGTTTCAAGTCTAGTCTTCTATGAAAGTTGCATACAAATCAGCTATTATTTTCATGCATTATGAAGTATATCTTGAACAAATCCTTCACCCATTATCATCTCAATGTTAGCCAATAACATTAATGAACAACAATTAAAGTCTCTTTTTGTGATTACCAACCATTGATCATATTTGATCATATTTGGTAATATTCTAGCTTATGTTTATATTCACAATCTTTATATTAGTCAATACTTACCATACATTATGTAAGTAGCTGTATATGCATCTCAAATCGGACAATTGGACAAAGGTCAAAATTACTGATCCTTTCAAGCTAGTTTGTACTAATTAGGAAAGTGGTTTTAAAATCGAGTAAAAAAATTTTGAAACAAAAAAAATCCAAAAAAGGCCGAGGCTTTTTTGCGCTTCGCAATCTATTCCTAATTAGGTAATACCAAAATATTTTGATTCTAAATATTATTAAGTTATACTATGAAGACTATTTTAGCATTCTAATTTATTCTTCATACGAGATAACGTATATTAGGCAGTAAAGAATAACTATACAACCTTTAAAATTACTATCGCTTCCATTTTTTGACACTTTGATACTGATACAAATTCTATCACCTTAGCCGTAGATCCGCAAAACGATGCTAGATTTGAAAAAGAAAAATTATTTAAGAACTATCACCAAAATCCGTACTTGAAATATCAACAACTTTCCACAACAAATTATTACTGTTCACTCAAATGAAGAATCTAATAACAATCCAAAATAGTCTATTCAAAAATGATACATTTAAAAAATCACGATATTTATATAAGAAACCAATTTCATTAAACATTCATTCAAACTTATTAATTACTGGTGAGTATAAATCATTTTTGTGTAAAGTTATAGCTGGTCATTATATTGCACAACCACCACTATCAAGGATTCACAATATTGATAATGTTGAATTTTTGGATTTCAATAAGAATAATATTGAGAAAGCATTTCTCAGCGCAAGGTTTGAGAGTTTTTCACAGAAAAGTGATTATGAGACTGATGTCAATACAGTGTCAAGATTTATAACAGGTTCGGATAAAGATTTTACGGAACATTTAATTTCACTTTTCAATTTAACTCATTTAAAAAACAAGTGGATTAATAGTTTATCAAACGGTCAAATGAGAAGAGCTAAAATTGCACAAAAATTAGCTTTAAAACCTAATGTATTAATAATTGATGATGTATTTTTAGGATTAGATCCAAAAAATACTGAAATAGTTAGTACTTCATTAAAACAAGTTTCAGAATTACATACAAAGATAATTTTAGGATTAAGAAAAGAAGACAACCTTCCAAATTGGATTCAGGATATTGTTTATATAGATGAAAATCAATTAATAGAAACAAGAGATAGAATTGTTACAAAACCTAAATCAAATGAAATAAAATTGGAAAAGATTGATAATCAAGTTGATTCACCTCATGTAGAATTTATAAATGCAACTGTTAAATATAAAGATTTGGTTATATTTCAAAATTTTAATTGGAAAATTGCAAAAGGTTCAAATTGGAGAATATTAGGTGATAATGGTACTGGTAAAACTACCTTATTATCAATGTTAACAGGAGATCATCCTCAAAGTTGGAAATCAAACATTATAATCAATGGTATATTACGTAAAACAGGTAATGGAATAAGTATATTTGATATAAATAATAAAATTGGAATGTCATCACCAGAATTACATTCATTAGTTCCACGAAACAAAACAATGAAAGAAATTGTATATAATGGATTAGTAAAGAATATTGGGAATTCAAATTTTATATATAAAGGAATTGAAGGGGGTGATTTAAGTTATTTTGATGAAATAAATCAATTTGGAGATGTTAAATTTGAAGATTTATCATTTTCATTACAAAAATTGACATTATTTCTAAGAGCTATTGTTAAATCTCCTGAAATTTTAATCCTTGATGAAGCTTTTTCATGTATGGATGAATCATTATTAAAAAAATGTCATTTATTCATTGATGAACATTTAAAAGATGTAACTATATTATCAATTGGACATTTAAATTGGGAATTACCTAAATATGACTATGTAATGAAGTTCGTTGGTGATGAAAAAAGAAATTATGAAACGTATAAAGTTGTATAGGGTTTTAATATCCGATTAGTCACTTGAGTCATCTCTCGTAAAATTAGTTCACCTATCTCGGCATTGAAATTCCATGAGATAATCCTTGGAAAACTGCTGCTAATGCTCTTTCCATGGTTATAGCTCAATTTCATCATATACCCTACACTTCTAAGCCAACTCTAATACAACCTAAATCACACTCAAGTCCTTCTATCACTCTCTCATCACTTTCTATGATCTAATCATACTGGATCTAGAAACGGTAATATATCTCGGTGTTATGGAAAACCTGTTGATTAAGAAATTTTAAAATTCCGACAACATGCAATGTTGCTGATATTTCATATGATAAAGAATTCATCATGGTTGAATAACCATTTTCCAGGCTTAACAAGACCGCTCTACAACTGATCCATAACCGTTAGACGTATATCGATGACTAGTCATAATATAACAAATTGACTACAATACAAAGTTAATCTTAATTCAACGCCTTACGTTTTCAGTAATTTTTATCGGTGTTTCTCGAGAAGTCGTAAATTGTGCTACCATCCATTAATCCGTTCCCCTCGGTATCCGAAATACACTACCTTAATCTGGGGTAACATAATTTTCACAGTTTCATCAGTCGACAATATAAATATTGATAGATTTCCAATTTTTCAAATTTTTTTATTATACTTAAACATGCCTTATACTCCAATTAATATTCAACAAGAAGAAGAAACTTTTCAAAAAGAAGTTGCAGAAATTAAAAAATGGTGGTCAGAACCAAGATGGTCAAAAACTAAAAGAATTTATACACCAGAAGATATTGCTAAAAAAAGAGGTACTTTAAAAATTTCATATCCATCATCTCAACAAGCAGACAAATTATTTAAATTATTAACTGAACATGATAAAAATAAAACTGCTTCATTTACATTTGGTGCTTTAGATCCAATTCATGTTGCTCAAATGGCTAAATATTTAGATTCAATTTATGTTTCAGGATGGCAATGTTCCTCAACTGCTAGTACATCAAACGAACCTTCACCTGATTTGGCCGATTATCCAATGGATACCGTTCCAAATAAGGTTGAACATTTATGGTTTGCTCAACTTTTTCATGATAGAAAACAAAGAGAAGAAAGATTAACATTATCAAAAGAAGAACGTGAAAAAACTCCTTATATTGATTTCCTTAGACCAATTATTGCTGATGCTGATACAGGTCATGGTGGTATTACTGCAATTATTAAATTAACTAAATTATTTATAGAACGTGGAGCAGCTGGAATTCATATTGAAGACCAAGCTCCAGGAACAAAAAAATGTGGTCATATGGCTGGTAAAGTTTTAGTTCCTGTTCAAGAACATATTAATAGATTAGTTGCAATTAGAGCATCTGCAGATATTTTTGGTAGTAATTTATTAGCTGTTGCAAGAACTGATTCAGAAGCTGCTACTTTAATTACTTCAACTATTGATCATAGAGATCATTATTTTATTGTTGGTGCTACTAATCCAGAAGTTGGTGATTTATCTGCTTTAATGGCTGAAGCTGAAGCTAAAGGTATTTATGGAGATGAGTTAGCCAAAATTGAAATTGACTGGACTAAAAAAGCAGGTTTAAAATTATTCCATGAAGCTGTTATCGATGAAATAAAGAATGGTTCTTATTCAAATAAAAATGAATTGATTAAAAAATTTACAGACAAAGTTAATCCATTATCAGAAACTTCCAATAAAGAAGCAAGAAAATTGGCAAAAGAATTAACTGGTAAAGATATTTATTTTAATTGGGATGTTGCAAGAGCAAGAGAAGGTTATTATAGATATCAAGGTGGTACTCAATGTGCTGTTATGAGAGGTAGAGCTTTCGCACCATATGCAGATTTAATTTGGATGGAATCTGCGTTACCAGATTATAATCAAGCAAAAGAATTTGCTGAAGGTGTTAAATCAAAATGGCCAAATCAATGGTTAGCTTATAATTTATCACCATCTTTTAATTGGAATAAAGCAATGCCAGCTGATGAACAAGAAACTTATATTAAAAGATTAGGTCAATTAGGTTATGTATGGCAATTCATTACTTTGGCTGGTTTACATACTACTGCTTTAGCTGTTGATGATTTTTCAAATAAATATTCTCAAATTGGTATGAGAGCTTATGGTCAAAATGTTCAACAACCAGAAATTGAAAAAGGTGTTGAAGTTGTTAAACATCAAAAATGGTCAGGTGCTACTTATATTGATGGATTATTAAAAATGGTTTCTGGTGGGGTTACTTCAACTGCTGCTATGGGTGCTGGTGTTACAGAAGATCAATTTAAAGATAAACACTGATCTATAAATTGTATATTAATATAAAGTATTTATTGTTTACATTCCAGTTCTCATCAACTTCTCAAATAAATCTTGCATCATAAGTTTTGTTTGTGGATCCATTGATTCAGGATCAAATGCTAAATCATCAAGCATTTCTTCATCAAATTCAGGTTCTTTATTCCATAAATCTTTCAGGAATTGTAATATATTCTGATTTTGTAAATTTATCATTTTTTCAATGTACATTTTTCAACTTTTCAAGGAATATTTAATTTCCAATTTTTATTATCAAAGTTAATTTTATCTATTAATTTTTGACACATCAGTATATGACATTTTTTCTAATGTTGATTTACAATAATCATTGACTTCCATTCATTAAAACATGGAATGTATTTTGTTAAATCTCTTTTTATTATTCCATTTCAACTCGTCACCATATTCATTCAAGGTAACGTTTTGTTCAGTTAGAATCGTTTTTAACTTTATATTTTGAAACTAAATCAACTAACATGTCCAGATGTTTGATTCTTAATGAATCTATAAAATCATAACTACCTAAACTTGATTTGTTGAAAATTTGTACTCAGGCGTGTAATTTTTTTTACCCTTTGTAACTTCCTAGTTCTTCATACCAATTGAAGCTTTGTTTCTAAAATTTCTGCATATTTTTGGCAAAAGTTAGTGAAAACTTCCATTTGCGGTTTTATACTTCATAATAACGATTACCATCTAGGTTATTAACATAAATGAAGAACACTACACACTAAATGCTAAGAAATACGATATCAAACCACCAAAGTCGTTCGAATGGAAATTCAAATTTAAGAACTCATTTGAATTTTCGGATTTAAGGAAGTTGATTGTATGCAAGTTGCGGTGATTCTTTCAATTGTCTGAACGTCTTTATTTGTAATGCTTGTTATATCGGTGACAAAAGTAGACAATAAGGAGCATTATTTGATAGACAAAGCGTTTTTAGTGTATACTTAATTAATTTTGTATGGTGTTTCAGAATATTACACAAAAACCATTTTTTTTTTCTTTCTCATCAACAAAAAAAGAAATTGGTTTTCCATTAAAGTAGCATATGGGATTTGTTAATCCTGGTAAACCATTATCAACAAAACCGAGTAAGAAACAAATTAGAGTAAAAAGAGTTAGAAATGCATCAGTTAATAATCATGCTGCTAAAAAACCGAAAGTTTTACATTTCACATTTAATTCATTATCAAGTGATATAATTAGAAAGATATTTATATTTGCAGGGCCAAATAACTCATTACCTTTAGTTAATAAAAGAACATATCATGCTTTAAAGTTTAATAAAGATTCATCAAATACATTGTGGGAAAATTATTCATTAGTTTTAGAAATGATTAAAGGTTATTTTTTAATTGATTTAAGCACAAGATTAAATTTTGATATTTTAAATGAAAAAGTCAAATTTTATGAGACAAAGATAAATAAATTAAGAGAACCGCGTGTTTTTCAAAATCAACATTACAAGAGGATATTAAAGAATTTGAAAATTACCAAAGAGTGGATTGAAATTTATCAAAAGGTGGAGTTTAAATATTGCTTACTTGATACTTTACTTAACTACAAATTTATCTCAGTTAGATTACTAGAATCACTCAATTCATCTACATTTGGAGGAAAAGGTACTACATTATTATCATTTAAAACTATGGAAGAAGTACAATTAAATACAGTTCAACGATTAAGATTTTTCAGATGGAAATTTAAAGAATTAGGTACTCATTATTCTCACCTCCTCAAAGATTTAAGTGATGTACCCGAAGAAACAGTTGATTTTGAAAGATACAACAATTATAAAGAGTACTTTAAATCTAGTTGTAAAGATTTAGAAGAAGCATCAAATCCTCAACTTCCATATTATGACGATGAAGCATTACCAAGTGAAGGTTTCTCCGCATTTAGCAATTTATTAAATTTCCAGAATGGTTATGTCCATGGAACTGGTTTCTTTGGAGAACAAGAAAATACTGTTGGTAGATTTAGAATACCTGAACGAATATTTAATTTATCAAGGTTAAACTTATTACAATATTTAATTGAAAATTATACATATGGAACTATAGATGGTAATCTGGTATTACTTAAAGTTTTAACTCCTGATATCCCCAAAATTTATGGAAGTTTAATTTGTAAGGTCAATGATTATAAATATAAATTTACAGAATCAATAATAGAGGCTTTTAAATTCTACAATTTTAAAAAAAATAAAAATTTAACCCATTTAATTAAACAACTACTTGCATATTTTTTCACATTTAATGATGATAATGAATATGATAAACGACAATTATGGAAAACAGCAATGGAATTAAAGAACTTTAAACTTACCAATTTATTATCAAAATATGATCAAAATCCAGATTATGATTTAATAGTTTAATAATATTGTTGTGGATATGTTATTTCATGAAACCATGGATGTTGTAATGCTTGTCTAGCTGTTATTCTAGCCTCTGGTCTAATTTGTAACAAACTTTGCAACAAATTGAGACCCATAGCATCCAAATTTGGAACTATGAGCCTCAAATCTTGAGGGACAAAGATTTGCCAGTTATTTTTATAATTTGTATATTGGCTTATTCCAGGCCAAGTACGTTCATTTGGAGTTCCCATTAATCTAAAAATTTTAATCAATTGATCTTCATTTGCCGTACCTGGAAATAATGGTTTACCTGTACACATTTCTGCAAATATACAACCAGCAGACCATATATCAATTGAAGTAGTATAAGCTCTTGAACCTAATAAGACATCAGGAGCTCTATACCATAAAGTAACAACTTCATTTGAAAAAGTATTAAAAGGAATACCAAAAGCTCTTGCCAAACCAAAATCACCCAATTTCAACTCTCCCTTATTATTAATTAATAAATTTTGAGGTTTTAAATCTCTATGTAATACTCTATTATCATGACAAAACATTATACCTTTTAATAATTGAAACATAAACAGTTTAACAATTTTTAAATCTAAAGCACCTTGTTGACCATGAATTTCCATATATTTTTTTAAATCTTTATCCATAAATTCAAAAACTAGAGTTAATTTATTTTCAGTATGAATAACATCATATAATGTAACTATATTTTCATGATCTAATTCTTTCATTAACGAAATTTCACGAATTGCAGTTGATGGAGTACCTTCTTCTGAATCTAAATTAATTTCTTTTAATGCAACTAATGCACCAGTTTGTCTATTCCTACCTTTATAAACAGTAGCATATGTTCCTTCACCTAATTTTTCTAATTGTTGAAACTGAGAGGATGATCCAGTCATAGAATTTGTTGATAATTTTTCCGTGTATTAAAAAAAAATATTGCACGCTTTGGTGATAACGAAAAATTTAAAGAGACGTGTAGAGCTTATTGCACGCTTAAACGTTGTGGCAAAAGGCCTCCTTAGTGAGTATTAGTAGTTTGTTGCATCCTTATTAATGGTTTCTTGGATTACTACTCCTTAATTTAAGACTATTTTCAACCCATTTCTCTGCACCACCTTCTAATGCTATAATATCTAGTTTTCTAGTAGTCAGTATATCCTCCAGTTCTTTTAAAATATTCTTATTACTCATTATAGCAGCATTTCTTGTACTTGGTATTCTTAACATTTCCTTTTCAACTAACCAACCAGTCATTTGTGCAATTTTTTCAACATGATCAACTAATGAACCATAAGTAGATACATTTTTTCGATTAATTGGTGGATATCTTACCTTATCACCATTTAACGCGTGTGAACAACATGGTATGACTAAAAATGGATGTCCAAATAATGGTATCCAACATGTTAACTCATCTGAATGATTTCCAATGATAAACGTATTCTTTTGGAAACTTGTACATACATCGGGAGAATTTAATAATTCATTTGATGTTAATATATTATCACCATTTTTAAATTCTCGAGTAATATTGACTCCTAATGCTGGATGTGGTTGTAATATTACCTCTGGTACTATAATTTGTTCTAATAAATTATCTCTAACTTCTTTTGGATATATTGACCATGATTTTCTTTCTCTTGCATCTATACCTTTACCTTTATAACCTTCCATAATTAAAATATATACTAATAATCCATTACCACAACCTAAATCTCTAAATTCAAATTCTTCTTTTTTGAAACCTTTGATAATCCAATATTCAATAAGAAAAGCAGCAATTGCTAAATCTTCAAATACATGTTTTGTAGCAGGTGTCTTTTCAACCCAATTATTAACTAAATCTACTGAATATTTTTGTTTTAAACTTATATATCTATTTTGAAATTCAATTTTAGGAACCACTAAATCATGAATTACTCTTTTTTCATAACCATCTTTTACTCCCTTTGAATGTTTAATAGATGTTTGTAATAAACGTAATGCAATTCTAATTGGTCTTTCAGAGCTGGCCATATTAACTAATTCCTCTCGTATATAAGGTAGATAATGTATCAGGATCTTTGACTTATGATATAATATACCAATTGATTTAACAGGTGGTAAATAATATGGAGTTTCATCTTGGTGGTTAATATGTGGTGAATAAATCACTAATAAACTATTATCACCAGATAGTATTATACAAGTTTGATTTATTATAAAATCTTTAAATGGATTTCTCGGTATTATTCGCCTTACGATTTCTATTTTCAATTTAAGATCCATATCAATATTTGGTTTTCTTATTTCTAAATCTGATATATCTCGATATAATAAACCATCTTCTTTTGGGAAATCATTTATTAATTTACTTTTAAACATTGTATCACCTTTATTCTCATCATATTGATTTTCAATTAAAATATCTGCTCGTATAATAACCGTTGAATTTATATTTGGTTGTTTCACAATATTTGACATTGCAATTTCAAAATGTTGTTTATTAAAATCCACATCATATTCAAATATAAATACCCAATCTTTACCAAGTATTGAAGGTATATGAGTTTTTAAATCTGGATCTGGTATCTTTAATTTTTTATAAGCCATATATTATTATATAGAGAAGTTTTTTTTTTGCATCGCGCTTCGTAAATTTTAAAGGAAGGAAAATGGAAAAAAATAGGCATGGTTTTCTTAAGAATATGATTGATTTATGGTGAAATTGACTTCATCTCCTTTCATGAAATGGATTGCCTGTCAGTTTGTGGAACTTTTTGAAGCAATCTAGTTTTAAATTAGTTTTAAAGTACTCTTAAAAACAATTTAGTATCATTGAAAGAGAGGTATTATTATACCTTCATTTAACATATCTTGTTATATTTTCATAAATCTATAAAAAAAGCATCAGTTATATCATTAAATTTATGTTTTTTATAACAATAATGACATTTGAATACATCCATTCCTTTTTTACTTAATTGCCATATACTATCTTTTAAAGCTAAATGTTGACAATAATTTAATACAACAACTTGGGTTTTTGATGGATTTTCAATTAAATGTTTTCTCTTCTTATTTGAATCTGAGTTTATTGTTTCAATTACTGTTTCTGTAATAGGTACTAATTGTTCTCTTGAAACAGGACATATGAATATAGGATGATATTTAAATAGAAACCTATTTGAATCGGGTAATTGAAAAGGTAATTCAAAATGATAAGTAGCAACATTATTAACAAGATCTTCTTTCTTTTCATTCCTTTTAAGCTTTGATTGTATTTGATTATATTTATAAAAACTAGGTAAGTATATATGACCAGCAAGTATACTTTGAAACAATGATGAATCATTTGATAATTTTAAATCTTTGCAATACTCCGATATAAATTCATTTGATAAATTAATAAATAAATTATGTGACTTATGTATATCTTCAAAATTATTAAGTAAATCACTTACAAACTTAATCTCTCCTCCATGACTATTTATCTTTTGATCATTCTTTAAATCAAATCCTTGCTTCATCTTTTCAATAAATGATTTTACACTTGCAATTACATATTTTCTTGAAAAATCATCATATTCAACATTTTTATTGGTTTGGAATAGTAGTAATGTCATTAATGGACTTATTTCAGTTAAATAATCTTTAAAAAATTTTGAAAAATTATCTTTTGCATAAAGATAAGCATTTAGGGTATCATTTAATGAAAAGGAGGAATCATTACCATTCAATAATATTATAAATTGAAGCATATGGAATTTAAATTCAATATTTGACAATGTTTCATCATCTGAAAAAAATGAATTAAATTGTTGTTGAATTGATTCATTATATTTTTTATTAAACCAGGTTAAAGCTAATGATAAATCATGATTAACTGTTATATCATCTACTATTTTATTTAAATTTTCAAATTGTTTCAGTAGGTCTTGATTTATTTCGACTGATGAATTTGATAATTCTTCTAATATATAAGGAACAATATCACATTGACCAATTTTTAATAAATGTAAAATAATAGATTTAATCAATTCTTCTCTATTTTCCATTTTAATTCTCTTTAATTCAGTTGAATCATTATTAAAAGTATTTGTCGGAAAACTATCCATAATTAGAGGATAAGTATAAGCATCATCTAAATCGACATTGAACTTTGTATTATTTAATATATTCTTTTGAAATTTATTAACCGATGTGTTATAAGACTTTAAATTGTTTATTGATGATTTATACCAATGATCTGATAATTTTGATAATGAAGTATCCTGTTGTAAATCTTGCTGTAAATTTGATTCGATTAATTTTAATTCACTTAAAAAGTTATCTGTAATATCTAATAGATCTTTAAAACAATTATCACCAGCAGCATCAAGTGAGGTAACCTCTGTAGTTAATGTATTTAATAATATGGTTTCAGTAGCCATGGGTTGTAAAAGTGGTTGTAAAAAAAAAAACAATTTATGCGATAAGATAAAAAATTATCACCAAATTTAACCAAATGGTTTCAAGAGACAACTTGACAACAGAACAAGCTACAGCGATAAAAGAGTGGAAACAGATCACTCATTATCATCAATATCTATTATAATACAGTATATCTCTCATATATCTAAATAATCAGCTTTGACTAACAATTCCAATGCTAAATGAGTTGGTATATTAAATTCAGGTACATCACCACTTTCAGCTTGATCTTTATACTTATAATGATAATATAAATATTCAACAATACATTCTAATATATCACCATCCATATCTAGATTAATTCTACCAGTTTTACCTTCTTCAAAACCTTGTGAATTCTTTAAAACTGTTGAAATCGAAGCAACTTCTTTATCAACAACATATTTAAAGTTATCTGATGATACTAAAGTAACGTATTCATTAGACATTCTTATCGTTTGGTATTCGTTTAATTGTTGCGCTTGAAAAAAAAATAAATTATCGCCAACTTTTATAATTTATGCCTCCAAATCCAAGTTTCAATTGGTCGAAATTACAAAATGTTTATTATAATATAAGGATATTAAATGATGAATTAAAATGGAATATTGATAATATATACAATAACTATCAAATTGCGTTATCTCCAAATTCAACATTAATTGCATTAGCTTCAAAACTGAATAATGGCCACCCCAATTTAATTGAAATTTATTCAACTAGTGGTATTAAAATATCATCAATTATTTATAACTCTTCAAATACAGATTATATAAATACATTTTTATTTAAAGAGGAGGATTTGGTTGTTATTTTAAATAATGGGAAATATCGATATTATGATGATTTAATGGGGAATTTTAATGAGTTTAATTTCTTAGATGGTTTAAATTTTATGACAAATATTAAAACGGAAGCTAAAGAAGATGTCAATAGTAGATTAATTACTAATTTAGAAAACAATGAAACTGAAGAAATTATAAATATAATTGAAGTTAAAATATTTCAACAATTTATGTTCATACGACTTGAAAATAAGTTAATTATAACTGATTTAGACAATTATGTTAATTACGAAATACCATTAGGTGGTTATTCACTGGTTGATATAACTACATTCACTATTTCAGAATCTCAAATCAATTTCACTTATAAAAATACAATCATCACCATAAAAATTGACTTGTTATTAAATTCATATGAATTCATAGATCAAGAATTAACAGATGGTCCATTTAATAAAATTTCAATATCACCTAATGGTAAATTAATATCACTACAACAACAAAAGAAGATATTTGTAATTAGTTCAAAATATGATCAAGTTTTATTAGAATATGACTGTTCAAATGAGTCGAGTTTACCTTATCAAATTGAATGGTGTGGTAACGATGCAATAATATTAAGTTTTAAAGATGAGATAAAATTAATAGGTCCGTCACAGCAATCAATTTCTTTCTTTTATGATATTGAAGATGAAGAAGAATTTGATTTGAATAATTTGTTAACAACAAACCTAGATTACACAATACCAATACTTCAAACATGTTCAGATGGGTTAAGAATTATCACCAGTAATAAAATACAGATCCTATCTCGAGTTTCTGACAAGTTTGTAGATATGTATCAAATTGGATCAACTGAACCAAGTAGTTTATTAGTAGATTGTATTGATAAATTTCAAACAAATGCAAGTAAATCAAATGCAAATATATCATTATTACAAAATGAAAATCTACTACTCAAGGCAATTGATGATTGTTTAGATGTTGCATTGGAAGAATTTAATGTAATCTGGCAAAAAAGATCATTGAAAGCTGTTTCATTTGGGAAGATTTATTATAATGATGTTTTTGATTCTGATAAGTATCTTAATGTGCTTAATTCAGTCAAGGTGTTGAATCAATTACGATCTCCAGAAATTGGTCTATTCCTTACTTATAATGAAATTTTAGAAATTGGATGGGAAAATGTAATTAAAATGTTATTAAGAAGGAATCAACATGCATTAGCTATTAAAATCATTGAAATTTTAAAATTGTCCAATGTTAAGCCATTAGTGTATATTCATTGGTGTTGTTATAAAATTAGAAAAGAAATGAATATGTCAGATGAGGAATTATACAAAATCATTTACGAGAGATTGACATCCATGACTAAAGGTAAGAATTTAATTTCAGTTGAGGCTATTTGTGATATTGCAGATGAAGAAGGAAGGACAAATTTATGCAAATTATTAATCAATCTTGAACCAAACATAATTGAAAAAATTTTAAAGTATATTGAGTTTGATAATTTGGAATTAGCATTAATTAAGTCATTCCAATTTGGTGATTTTGATCTTATGATAAGTATACTATATTACCTACAGAATAAATTATCAATTTCACAATTTTTCAAAATTTTAAATCAGAATGAGATAATTGAATCAAGTGAAATTAATGAAATATTACCTATCTCAGGAGAGTTATTAGGTTCAAATTGGTCAAAGACATTGGGAAAGTCATCAGAGTATCTTGAGAAATTCCTTAAACATGAAGATAAATCAGACGAATTGATATATTTAAGATTGAATAATTTTTGGACATCAGAGAATAGTGATTACTACAACAGATACAAAGAATTACTTACCAAATATGCAAATAAATCAAAGATTAAGCGAATACAAAGGTCATTTAGTAGAGAGTTACAAGTACTTGATTTACAAAAAAAAATGAATGAAATTTATCAAACTGAATCATTTTATAATGAAACTTCACTAGTTAACATCCTTATAAAACTTATAAAAATGAACCAAATCAAAACATGTCAGAAAGTAATCAAAGAATTCAACATTTCCCAAGAAAAACTATGGTTTCTTATTCTTAATACTTATTCAACATTAGAGGAATTTGATAGATTATATGAATTTGCATTTGGTTCAATGGATTCAATTACTGGTAAATCTCCAATTGGATTTGAGCCATTTGTTGATTCTGGTTTTAAAAATGGTGCTCCTAAGTCACATATATCTACTTATATTAACAATAGTACAAAATATAAATATGGAGAGAAAGTTAATTTGTTTATCAAGAATGATGATTTTGAAGGTGCTGCTAATGAAGCTTTTAAAAATAAAGATATTGAAATTTTAAAACATTTGGAGAAATTGAATCCAGTTGATAGATTAGTAAAGCTGTATATTCAAAAATTAGGTTATTAAGTATAAACTGACAATACATTCAATAATTCTAACTCAAATTCTTGCTGCATCCTAACCTTTTTGTATCATTAATTGCATCCTTATTTGTTAATAAATCTACCATTTCGTACAATTCCCAGTGTAGAATTTTCTTCACCCGTTAACCAATCAGGAATCTCCTCTGGATTTAATATCATTAATGATTCATCTTCTGTTAATACTGATAATTCATGTAATCCAGCAAATACATCAGTACCAGATAATTTAAATTTAATCAGTGTTACATGATCACTCATTATATTAACTTTATCTTGTAAATCAAATTCAGAATATTGAACAGGAGCAATTGATTTAAAATCATCAAGATAACTCTCATCCTCCTCTTCTTCAGCTTTGATCAGTTTTCTTTTCTTCTTTTCTGGTTCTACTATATCTTCATATAACTTTTCAGATTGAAATTTACCATTTAACGTACCTTTAAACCTCAAATTTGCAATTTTCTTCAACCTTTTAAGTTTCAATTCTTTTATTTTCTTCTTTGACATATATTTCGTATTGATCTTTTCTTCAGTTGTCTTTTTCATTAATATGTGTTTCTCAACAGCTGCTAATGGTAACATATCAACAGTTCCATCAGCATAAGGAGTCCAAATACCCAAACTATTCGAAAATCTTGAATTACCACCTTTTAATAAAAAAATAGATTCTAGTGATGCAATTGGAGTTTGTCCTTCAGGAGTTTCCATCCTTAATAAGTTATTTAAATTCTGAGGTAAGCTTCTTTCAATTGATTCCCTAACTATATCATGAACTAAATCATTACCTAAACTATGAATTATATTTGGTGAATTTAACGGTATTGCAAAAATATATGGTTTTGTTGATACAGTATTAACTTTTAAAGTTTTTCTAATCAATGCTAAATTTAAATCAAAAATTTGAATACGTATTAATATAATTGGTAAATTTGGATGTTTACAAATATAAATATAATTAAAATAAACTTTTGATAATTTTGAAATTAAATTATCTAGAAATTCTTTTGGATTTAATGAAATTGAAACTAAATTCTTATCTACATCTTTTATAACTGAATATATCCAACTGAATAAGTGAGGACGATCAATTATTGATTGACAATCTATCTGAGCCAATTGTAATAAATTTAAACCATTAAACCACCATTCTGTCAATATTTTCGTAATTAAATTTCGTTTTGAATATGCTGGATCTGATTCACATGATTCAATATCTTTTAATATCTTTTTATTTATTGTTTGTTGAGTATATAATGAATCTTTGGGGGTGGGAGGTTGAGTATTTTTCAATTTAAGCCATAATTTACATTTATTAAATAATGACTCTTTTGAAACTGACATTAACAAACGTGACAAAGCATCTGTATGTTTATAAGGTATATAAGTATTAGGTAGGACATTTTTATGTATTAATTCTTTCATATAATCAATTTGTATATTTGTTTATCTTTTCGTGTTTCAGAATTTGATCCAGTTTTGTTTTTTCTGTTGATAATGAAAAAAAAATGCGATGGCATAAATTAAATTTATATTCTTTTAATTGTTGCAAAATAGGATGAGTGATGAAATAAAGGAGGTTATACAAGAGAAGAAGGAGGTTATAGATGATGGATTAGATAGAAAAACATTATTTATTAGATCAATCCCTTTTGAAGCTTCTTCTGAAGAGTTAAGTGAATTTTTTTCACAATTCGTTCCTGTCAAACATGCAGTTATTGTAACTGATGATGAAAAGAAATCTAGAGGGTTTGGATTTGTTTCATTTACTGAAGATGATGATACATTAACTGCTTTAGTTGAATCCAGAAAAAATAAATTTAAAAATAGATTATTAAGAGTAGATATTGCAAAAAGAAGAGATCGTAAGGAAAAGTCAGGGGATTCGGCAAATGTTAAGAAGGAAATAGCACCTATAGAGAAAAGAAGGGCACGATTAATTATCAGAAATTTACCATGGTCATGTAAAAAACCAGATGAATTAAAGAAAATTTTTAATAAATTTGGTGGTGTTTTTGATGCTTATATTCCAAAAAAGAAAGGTGGTCAAATGTGTGGTTTTGCTTTTGTTATAATGAAAAAGAAATCAGCTGCTGAAAGAGCAATTAAAGAATGTCAAGGTTTAAAAATCGATGGTAGAGAAGTTGCTGTTGATTTTGCTGTTGAAAAATCAAAATGGGAACAATTAAAAGTAGAAGAAAGTGAGGAAGAAAGTGAGGATGTAAGTGAAGAAGAGGAAGAAGAGGATAATGATAATGAAGAAGAACAAAAAAATAACGATACTGAAGAAATAGAGGAGGAAGATGAAGAAAATGAATCAGATTCAGATTTTGACAATTTAAATCAAATAAATTCAGATGACGAACCAGAATCAGATGATGTTATTGATATAGAAATAGAAAAACAAGATGAACAAGATTCTAAGCCAGTTAAGAAAAGTAATAGACAAGATCCATATTCAATATTTGTCAGAAATATACCCTATGATGCAGATGAGGAAACACTAAAAGAGCACTTTGAAGCATTTGGTCCAGTTAAATATGCATTACCAGTTACTGATAAAGAAACTGGATTATCGAAAGGATCAGCATTTGTATCATTTGAAACTGAAAAAGCATATCTTGAATGTCTTGAAAATGCACCAAGTACAGGAGATTCAACAACAATGTTAATTTCCGATGATGTCAATCCAGAATATGTATATCAAGGTAGAATCTTATCAATAACTTCAGTAGTCGATAGACAATCAGCAAAGAACTTGCAAGAAAGAAATTCATTGAAACGTAAAGAAATTTTAGGTAAATTACCAGGTGAAAAGGATAAAAGAAATCTATTTTTATTAAATGAAGGTAGAATAACTGAAAATTCAAAATTGGCACAATATATATCAAAAACTGATTTAGAATTACGTGAAAAATCATATAAATTACGTGTTCAACAATTGAATAAAAATCCAACATTACATTTATCATTAACTAGATTAGCTATTAGAAATTTACCAAGAGCAATGAATGCAAAAGCATTAAAAGCATTAGGTAGAAAAGCAGTTGTTCAATTTGCAACTGAAGTTAAAGAAGGTAAAAGACAACAATTATCAAAAGAAGAAGTTAATAGATCAAATAAATTTAAGCATTCAAATGAAGAAGAAAAAGAAGAAAAAGAAGAAAAAGAAGAAAATGCTAAGAAAAGTTCAAAAAACAAAGGTGTTGTTAAACAAGCTAAAGTTATAATGGAAGTTAAAGGTACTAGAGAACAAGGAAGATCAAGAGGTTACGGTTTTATAGAATTTAGAGATCATAAAGCTGCATTAATGGCTTTAAGATGGTTAAATGCGCATGAGGTAAGTAATGAAGAGATAACTGAAGGTTTAAATGATGATGAAAAGAATGCTGCAAAATTGGAACATGCAAGTAAAAGAAGATTAATTGCTGAATTTGCAATTGAAAATGCACAAGTTGTTAAAAGAAGGAAGGAGAAGGAAATGATACATAGACAGAAATCTTCAGATCTTAAAAGAAAGAGGGAAAATGGTGAAGAAGTAGAAGAAGAAGAACCATCAAAAAAGAAAATAAAAGGCAAAAAGGGTAAAAAAGGTAACATGAATAAGGGAAATAAAAAACAAGAACAGAAGGAAGCAAAGAAACAAGAACAGAAGGAAGTAAAGAAAAGTGATACACCAGATGATATCAAAAAAATAATAGCTCAAAAAAGAAGGAAAAGAAAAGGTAAGAAATAATTTCTATTATACATTGTCATCAAGCATAAAATAATAAACAATTAAATATTAAAAAATTGTCATTTCTATAAATTTAATAATCTTCGTTAAAGACCAATGTAAAGTAAATCATAAAAGATAATCACTTCTTTTGTGGTATAATAATATTGAAATGTAAGCCCAAAAAGTTAATACGGCCTCGCATTGAAAGTTAACGCGAAAATATTGTGCTGCCCCAAAACATCGCAACGAAAGTTCGTACAAAAAAAAATCTGACACTCCAGATGAAATAAAAAAAATAATAGGTCAAAGGTAAAGAAAAGGTAAGAAATAGTATATAAAATCTATTTTACATTGTCATCAAGCATAAACCTAAAAATAAGCAATTAAATATTAAAAAATCGTCATTAATTCTATAAATTTCATAATCTTCGTTAAACCAGGTTGAATCATAAAAAATAATCACTTCTTTGTGATTTTGTTGCATTATTTTTTAAATTTAAATCACCGTCTTGTACAGCACTAAAAATTTTAAAATTTGGTTCTAAATCTTCATCAATTTGCATTACACTTGCAACATTACCACATCTATAACAATAATTCGGAGCAGACCAAACTGTAACAACATCTTTTTCTTTAAAATGATATCTAAAACCTTCCATTACTAATTGATGAGCTCTTGCAATTAATTGTAAATCATTTATATGATTAAATTCTCTTGAAACTTTTGAACCAAATAACCAACCAGCACCTCTTGGTGAGACTGCCCAAGTATCAACATTATCGGGGTCACTCCAAACTAAATCACAAAATCCACCTTCATGAGGAACTTCTTGAGCTCTTGACAAAACTCTAATTTGATCCAACATTCTAATTTCTGGCGACAAACCACCATGAACACATAAAATTTTACCATCAATTATAGCTGCTAATGTTAAAAAATCAAAAACTTGACAGCAATATTTCCAGACTGTTGTCGAACCATACTTTGTTAAACATTCTTCATAAAATCCATAAACTTGAGTAATTTGTCTTGATTCATGATTACCTCTAACTAAAGTAATTCTATTTGGATATTTAACTTTTAAAACCATCAATAAAGTAAAAGTTTCTAATGAAAAATAACCACGATCAACATAATCACCTAAAAATATAAAATTTGTTTGATTATCATCACAAGGTATACCACCAGAAATTCTAAATAATTCTAATAAATCATGAAATTGACCATGAATATCACCACAAACTGTAACAGGACTTTGAACAGGTTGAATATTAGATTCTTCCATTAATAATTCTTTTACTAATTCACATAATTGTTTCATATCTGATTCAGCTAATGGAACACATTTCTTTATTTGTTCTAGCCATTGATCTGGACCCCGTTCTGACATCTTGATGATAAATTATGAATAAAAGGCAATGTTGCAAGGCAAGGTAACAGCAGCAAAATTTCTAAAAAAATCTAATAAAATTGTAGCAATTTTAAAAATACAATGAATATATAATAATGTCTAACTCTTTTTAATAGAGTATAATATACTGAAGTATAGATGCTTGTTAGTATAAGTAATTGTCTAATCAATCAGTGTGATTTTCTCATAAATAATTTTGTTGAAATCTTAAAAAAAGAAAAATATAAATTTGGCGATGATACACTACTATTCTAAAATTTTTCATAACTATTAACCAATTGATTACCATGTTACCTTCAAAGATAAGATTGATAAATAGGAGTAGTTTACGTTCATTTGGTACAAAATCATATATAAAACAACAATCACAAGAATCACAACAACCAATAGATTTAAAAATTGAGGAAGAATCATCAACAAATAAGTTTAAAAGTAAAACTTCATGGCAAGAAACATTTGCATCTGAAACATTGGAAACTACAGAAGATGATTTAAATGATTCATTTTCTAAAATTACAGAAGAATTAAAACCAGAAAATCCACCTGTTCATATTTCATCACAATTTACTAAAAGATTTTATATGGGTAATACTTATAATCCATTTGATTTTTCATTAACTAAAATTAAAATGGATAAAATGTTATATCAAAAAGATGTAGTTAATAAGAAAGTTGATATTTTTGAAGAAACAGGTATTAACCCAAAAGATTTATATTTCATGCCTGAAATTTTATCAAAATTTTTAACATCAACAGGTCAAATTTTGCCAAGAGAAGAAACTGGTTTAAATGAAAAAAATCATAGATTATTAGGTACTGCTATTCAATCTGCAAGAAGTTTAGGTATTTTATCAACTGTACATAGATATTCAACTCATTTACCAACTCGAAATATATAAATAGGGTAATTGAAAATTTGATAATTTGATAATTTGATACTTTGATACTTTGTAAAACGAGTCTATAAACTTAGCTGAGAGTCTATGAGTATGTCTAAATGATTGAGAGACTAGCTCAATGCTTTGTATCTCTCGAATTTAGACGATTGAGTTTGAATTGATGAGTTTGTTCTTAAGGGGTAATTTTAGTTTTTATCTTAAGCGGTAGATCTAAGATCATATCTATGCCCCGGGCACCTCAGATGTGCGCGAAGCATAAATCATTTATAGTGTTTCAGGAGTTAATTAGGTTTATAATGCTCCTCTATCTTGATTTAGGCTAATACAACTATAGCCCCCTAAGCGAAATGGACAGAAATAAAACCCGGTAACGATCATTACACGTATAAAATTGGTTGGTACATCAATTACCGTCTAACATACTTTCGGTGAGAGTCTTAACTGACTCAACTTCATGGTACTATCTTTCACAATCAGCTCTTCAATCATACTTTAAACTACTTCAGCGTGTAATTCATGAAGTTGACCAATAAAATCAATTTATAGAAAATGTACACGACTCGTAATTTCCCACACCAAAAAAATCTCAATTGAAATTTAAACATTCGATTTTATTTGCTTCACTTTTAATTAACGAATCAAAATATATCAATCTATTCAGTTCATTATGTTATCACAAATTACTAAAAGATCATTCATTAGATCATTTTCAACATCAAGATTAGTTTTAACAGAAGGTGCAATTCCAAAATCAAAAGGTTCTTTTCAAGATAAAGAAAGAGCTCAAGAAAATGTTTATATTAAACAACAAGAAGCTGCTCAATTAAAGAAATTGAAAGAAAAATTACAACAACAACAAGAAACAATTGATAAATTAGAAACTGAATTAAAAAATCATAAAAAGCAAGAATAATTGACTCAATTGCTCAAGAATCATGAGAAATAATTGGTTGTTAATAGGTCTTTAAAATATATGGTTAAAGTCTTTACCTGAAATTTCTCACGGATATGGTAATTTAAGGTACTCCGATAAAACTCTCCAATTATGCAATTTGGATCAAACGTATATTTATAAAATTGCCATCAAAAGCAAGAACCAAAGCTCAAATACTATGCCTTATAACACTCACGTGGAAATAAGCTTCTCATATTGTAAATCGTTATGAACAGGATTATAACAGCACCACTAAGTCTAAATCTTTGCTAAATTTTCTTGTCATGTTCCTATTGATTGATTGCCTGGTGACATTGCATTCCAAACTCATCTGTTGATCTATCTCTATGTCTGTTGATCCCAATTTGCCAAGGTGAATTTCTAGTGCTGCAATTTTGTGTTATTCTATGGTTAGCAACTCGGATAAACTCATACTAGGATTAATTGCCTAAAATAGAAGTCTAAGTAAATTATATACAGTACAAAAGTTTATAGTATACAACTAACCATCTAAGTATAGAACATTCTTTCTTTTACATTGACAACTTCCGTTACTGATGCTTAATAGTATTTTTAATAAATCAAGAAATACATCACCATCTCAAGCTCAAACAATTAAATCAAAATCATCAAGCCCCAACTCAATAAATAATAGTCTGGCTGCAATTTCACAAGCCATACCTAACTTAGATCAGATTCAATTATTGTCACAACAAATTCAACAACAGAGCTTAAACATGGAAGCTCCGGATAAAAGTCAGGTCTATAAATCATCAAGAATAAATCATCCATCTAATTCTACATCAAATTCTAAAAATTCATCACCAAAAACAAATCAAGAAGAAACCATGGCATCACATACTTCAACTAGAGTTAAAAAGGGTAAGAATATGCCAAAACCACGAGTTGCTTCAACTACAATGACTAGAAGAAGAAATAGTCTTATTTCCGTAAATTCTCGAGATTCAAGAGAGCTGCAAAAGCGAAGAATTAATAAAAATAGAACACAAAGAAGAAAAGCACATATTAATTGTCCCTATCCTATCGATGATATGTTTAATATAAATTCAAGCTTTGAAATTGATGATGAGGCAGATACTAGTGGATTTCCAGATGGGTTTGAACAAGTTACTCCTGAAAATGTTTCAAGAGAAATGGGTCCAGGTGATTTAGCACATAAGAGACAAGTTTCTGAACCTGATTTAAGTCGAAACCAACGCATTATGGAACGTCAGAGGTTGAGAAATTTAAGTAATTCAATTGTGACAACAACAAGCTCAAATCAAAGTAGAATTCAACCGTATAAAAAAGGTAAAAGGATAGTTAAACCTAAATCTAGAATTGAATTAACTCAGCAAGATCAATTTCAAGATGCTCAAGAAGAAATATCTCAACCTCCTTCACAACCAGAGATAAATCAAGAATCTCAATCTCAATTACAACAAGAAGTTACTCCAGAATCTCATATACCACTTCATTTGCAACCAAATCTACAAATATTAGATCAAGAAACTAGTAGTGAGTTAAGACAATCACCTAGTCAATTGCCTGATATAATTCACGAAGAAGAAGTTACAACTAGAACTCAAGCTGTTGCTTGTATATTGGAGAGGACTGGAAGTACAGCTAGAAATAGTAGACGAAGTAGAAGGGCTCGAGAATTGAGGCAAAGTGAAGATATGAATTTAAGAAGAGGTTATGATTATCAACGAATAATGTTGGAACGAAGTTTACAAAATAGAGAAAATATAGAAGAAGTTCCAAGAGATTCTAATATTACTGAATCAAGACAAAGATCTTTAAATAGTTTAACTGGTACTCCAAATACATCACCACCTCAAAGAATACCCAATAAACAAAACTCAAGAATATCACCTCCAATTTCACAACCTACAACTACAAATGAATCTCCTATTCAATCAAGTTCTATACAAAGACAATCACCTATTCATGCAACTACTAATATACCGCAAAGCCAATCACCAATACAATCTACTACACCATCTCCACCTACTTCAAATACTAATATACCAAGACAATTGAATCCAACAACTCCAGAAAACACCGTTAACAGATCAGATGAACTTAGATCAGCGATTATCTCCAGGTTAAATCAACGTATAGATCCAACATTAATAGATTCAGAAATACCACCTCCATTAGACGAATATAAAACACCAGATCATTCATCACCACCATATAGAGAACATTTGCATAAGAAAACAGATTTGATTTCATTTGATCCAAGATATTCAATTCCAATCCTTCGATTAAACAAAAAATTAATAAAAAATTCAAATAGTTTGAACAAGGTCATAAAGAAGTTGATTAAATTGAACTGTATACCAACTGAGATTAACATTTGGGATTTAGAAAAGATAGACGATCATGAGTTTCATGTTATTCTTCCTGAATTATTGGCAACTTACGAAATACAACAAAGACAAGCTAGAGAAGAAAGAGAAGCAAATGAATTACAACGAGCTATTGCTTTATCTATAGCTGAACAAACTCAGAGAGATCAGAGAATGGAATTGTTTAGAGGTTTTAGATATAATCAACCTAGAAATGTTGAAAATGAAGAGAATTATCAAGATAGTTCTGGGGATGAATTTATTGATGTTGATGATGTTGTTAATTGGAGTTCTCAACCTAGTTCTGTTATGTTAACTATTTAAAATATACATGATACCAATTAAGTATACTATAACTCTTTTACTATTGTTTTGAGCCGTTTAAAAAAGGCTGCAAACTTGAATTAAGATATTTCAGCTTACGAGAAATCTAGACTACCGTAATAAGGACAAGTTTTACCGTTAATTTGTTAATTGTTCTAAACTCTTGAGCTCGATTAATGCATAGTTATACTTTCTGACAACTTTTATATCAATATTTATCAGCATTGTTTTAATCCTCCACGTGTTGACGATATAAAATCACCAATTAAAGCACTTAGAGATACGTTTTTTGGCTTCCGTAAGTAGAAGCTACTAGAGTTTTATTAGTTTCAGTAAGGATAGCTTTCAAAACGTTTTATAATAGCTTCATTGTCAACTTCTTTATAATTTTGACAATAAGGGGTATTTTATTTTTTTTCAATTTTTCACAACCCTTAATTCATCATGTTAAGAATATTCCATACAAATAATAAACTTAAAGTAGATAACAATAGATTATTATATATTAAAGTACAATCGGAAGATGATATAAAACCATATCTTGCTAAAAAACCAGTAGACAAGCTCGGAAATACAAATTATCCAAAATATGTTGACAATTATGTATTCTACAATGATGCAGAAATCAAAATGAAATCGATAGACGAAGATTTCTCACATTATAAAGTAGTAAATGAAGACGACGTGATTTCAGCCATCTATCATCATTATTATATCGACGATTACAAGCCAATTCTAATATTTTACGAGACTGAATCTGATTTATCTTACGGAAAAGCTCATATCAACTTACCAAGTTCACAAACGTTCGAGTTTTTACATTTGAAATCATATCCTAGAATTACAAATGATTGTCTTCCATCTAGAAATTATCATGAATTAAAAACTCGTAAATTCAAGTCGCTTTATTATGTGATTCAGAATTGTAAAATTAGTATTACTGGAGAGTTGCCTGGCATGTCGTACCATTTCAAAACCATGTCCAACATCGAACCTATTCCAAATAGAGAATTAGATAGATATAAGTTATTTTATAGTACTGGATTAGAAACTAGAGGAATAACCGGTGGTATATATTTTCATTTTTTCGATTCTAATGATTACTTAAAAAATATATATGAATGAATGAGTTCTTATTTTGATAAATATGTTCCCTATTTACCTGATAAACATACTAGTATAAACCTATTTATGACATTTACCCCATTGTTTTCTTATGGATCAACATGTTATTCAATTTATAAAAAACAAACAAGTTTAGGATTTTCAATTGATATATGTGCTACTATGTTTATGGCCAGTATATTAAGAATATTATATTATGTGACTAGTCCTTATGAATTGACATTATTAAGACAAAGTTGTGTTATGATTGGAATACAGAGTCTATTGTTAAAAATATCCTTAAGGTATAGGCCCATTAATTATGATCCTGAATTATTAATAAATTTACCAAATTTTGAAAATGAATTGAATGGGAGGTTACATAGACGATTGAGTAGTTCTCATGCAATTGTAGAACATGAAAGATATAAGAATGTGCTAGATGTATTACAAGACTATGCTATACTAGCTTTAAACTATGTTGTCACGGCTTTGAGTTTATTTGTTAAATTATTTGATGTTTATTTTAAGAGACCTTGTTTGTTTTGGCAATGGAAAGAGGAGAAGAAATATTGGAAGTATTTAGTCTATTTTACTGGGGTATTTAGTGTTTTGACTTTGTTGTTGAAAGATTCGGTGTTTTATCTGAATTTTATAGGTATTTTGGGTTTATTTATTGAGAGTTTATTACCATTACCACAAATATTACTTTTGACTAGGTTACAAAGTGTCAAGAATTTTAAAATTATTTTGTTGTTGTCTTGGTTAGGTGGTGATTTAACCAAAATTTCATATTTATTATTTGGGACAAACAATATATCTATCATCTTTATATTGGCTGGATTATTTCAAATGAGTCTTGATTTAATTATTGCTTATCAGTATATTATACTTAAATGGTATGGACCATGGAAAGAGCCATTTCTTGATTCTGGTGATGATTTAATTAACAATTTAATATTAAATAATAATTCAACATCTGAAATTGAGTTGGATTTATTAGAAAAACAACCCTCACCATTGACTAAATCAACATCATCATTAATAATAGAGTAGATAATTAGAGTATTTAGCATTGTACATATACGCATTTAATAATCACATTATTCATTTATTTATAAGTTTATATCTCCTATTTACATCGTAAACTAGTAAAATTTACACTGGTACTAATTCGACTTTCTCCTTTGCATCATTAACCAATTCCAATGCTTCTTCACCAACTATATTATGTTTAATTTTAATATGTCGACTTAATGCATCACTTCTACTAAATGTCTTTTCTTTACCATTTCCAGTACCTCCTTTATATCTACCTTCACAAATCACACACCTATATATCTTCTTTAATGTTGCATGTATAGTATTTTGATGTCTTATCAAATCATAAGGTCTTGAAAATTTTTTATTACAAGGTTTACCAGTAGTTGGATTCTTCAAATTACATTGATGATCAGGATTAGTTAATGAAATTTCAGCACCTGAGATACCTGTCACTGGGGTTCTTCTTGATCTAGGTTTAGGAATTGAAATAGTCACGCGCGGAGCCACTTCCAAATCAGGTAAATCTTCATTTATGTTTAGTGTTGATATCATTTCTGAATGTTCTTCTTGTACTCCCAAATCCATTTCCAAATCAGGTAAATCTTCTTCATTTATGTTTGACGGTGATATTATTTCGTGTTCTTGTTCTTGAATTTCCATTGGTGAAACTTCTTTAAAATCAATAGGTGGTTGTTGTTCAATTGTAGTATAATCATTAAAATTAATAGTATCTTGATTAAAATTATTAAAATTATTAAAATTATTATTATTCATTATAAATTGATCAAATTCATCATCTACATGAAAATATTTCCCTTCATCTTCATCTTCTTCATCATCTGATAAATCTTCTTCAATTGGTTCATCATCATCTAAATATAAATAATCTTGTTCAAATCCTGGAATAACTTCATTATCATTATTATTATTATTATTATTATTAAAAAATTGAATTTGTGATTCATCAGTACTTGAAGGTGGAATATATAAAGAACTTGATCCATTATAATAATCAAATTCATTTTGAGATATTATATTACCTGGTGATATATTTGTATTTAATAAATAATCATCAGAATCATCCATGATATTTTTCTTTTTTGAATTTGAATTTGGTTCATCAATTAATGTAATTCTTCTTCTTCTTGACCTACTTGGAAACCCCTGAGGTAATGGAGGTGGTGGAGAAATTGACATTTGTCTAATAGATTGTTGTTGTTGTTGTTGTTGTTGATTCATAAATGAGTTTGTATAGTCAGCGAATGGATATATATTGGTGGTTTCTTGATTATCTAACAGTAAATTGGGTATTGAATCAAAATGTATTTGTTCATAGTGATTTTTAGGTGATTGTGATTGTGATTGTGATTGTGATTGTGATTGTGATTGTGATTGTGATTGTGACTGTGATTGTGATTGTTGTTGCAGTTGTGATTGTTGTTGTAATTGTTGAGATTTTTGACTTGTAGTTAATTGATCTATAAATGATTCAGGTATATTTAATATCCTACTGAGATTATTGGAATATGATAAAGTTGGAGAAGAGTTTGAACTTTGGATAATATAATTATTATAATTATTATTATTATTATTATTAGTATTATTATTATTATTGTTATTATTATTGTTAATGTTATTGTTAATGTTATTGTTATTGTTATTAATACTATTACCACTACTATTATTGATTGTTGGTTGGTTGTTGTTTGTTGGTATGTGATAAATTTCTTCATTCATTATCTCATTAAATGATTTTTTATTAAATACTTGCTGTTGTTGTAGATGATTTAATATTAATGAACTCATAATTAACTGATGCTTGTAAAATAAAGAATGTGTTGTAAAAAATCAAAAAAAATGTTGGCTGCACTGATCGTAATATATTTATATATAAAATCTGATTGTTGTTTCATATTATTAATTTTATGTTATGTAATACTTTACATAAATACGTATTTCTTTTTTTATCACAACTACTTACATTTGCACACGACCATTTCTATTTATCATTTACTAGAATCAAATAGAAGCATTTATTACATACATTGAACAACAGACAGACAACGGAATAGTATCAAGTATAGTATAAATTGATAATAAGTGTAGATTGATGCCACGGTTAACTATTCAATATTTCTTTTTTCTATGATGTGTTGTTCAATTATCATTAAAGTTTAAAGTTTATCAAAATGGAATACGGAATTATATTTCTAGATTCGTAACCACTACCAAGCGTATTATCTATTTATTTATTTGTTTATTTATTTATTTATGTATTCATTTGTTTATTTTGTTTCAAAATGTTAGTCATTGAATAACATATCCACAGTTGAGCATTTCTTGGATGACACTAATCGCATTGTTAAGTATGCATTAAGAATTATATCATTGTAGAAAAATTCTCTTTCCTCTTTGTTACTTGTTTATTTTTGTTTAATGATGCGTTCTCGTTGTTTGTTTCTTTATACGTTTACGATTTGGAGTTAAAATATTCTTGATCCGAAAAAAAAAAATAAAAAATAAAAAACTATCCGTTACCCTATATGGCTATATCGCATCGGATTTAAGACCAATTAGGTAATGTAATTGATTTATCATTAATGGAAAAGAAAAATTTCTACTCTTGTATATATTTGAATGGATAGGGGAAGAAGCAATTAATTGATAAACCAGATAAACCAGAGGTTTATCAATCAGTGATTGATTGATTGATTGATGATTGATTGATTGATTGATTATCTCAAGATTCCGTTTACTTATTAGTATACCAATAAAAATCATATTCGGAGACGAAAATCGCATAAGCGCGTATCTCTTTTGGAAATTTTTTTTTTGCAACTATGAGTATTGAATCTGTTTAAATTCTTAAATTTTAACAATAAGCTTTAAATTTTAACAATAAGCTTTATGTCTAAAATTCCGTTTATTAACGAGATGTGTTATATTACTTCGGGGTATAATTTGATACATTCTACTTTTTATTTAGACGTAAAATCTCTACAATTGACATTGATTTGATGCAAGTAATGAACTTAACCGGATTTGTAGCTCTCACTCTCGTTGTTAAACCTTTGATATTTATGTGTTAAGGTCTTTAAAATTATTCAAATTTCGATTTTGCAAAATTCTCGAATTAAATCTGGCGTCTTAAAAACAATAAGCAAAGAATAAAATAACTGAGGTAGAATTAATCTACTCACATTTATTAGAAGTTGATAAATCAAGCCTAAGTGACAATTAATTACCTTGCAATTTATCGTTGTTTTTTTTTTTTTGTCATTCTTCTAAATGAAGAATTATATCATCAAAATTACGTTATATATAAGGATGCTACCATAAGGTTATTCCAAATTGGCTCGGATTTAAAATTAGCTTACTTCGACACTTACAACTTGATAATTGATGGAATTATTCACAATTTAAAACTCATGATTAACTAAGTCAATACTACATATAACCAAATTTGTTTCAGAAGTATGCAAAAAAACTATGCAATTTTCAATGCGATAAATGGGCCGCGCAAACTAATTTCTAAATATCTAAACATTTGAGTTATTAATTTTAAATCAACATCACCTTGGCCGTATGAGTACCCTCAATAAATGGCCATATAGTACCCGATTGAATTAATCACAGTTTAGTAGTCTCATATATATATATATTCTTTATCAATTTCATTCATTTTGCAGCTATTTTTTGTCGATGCTACCAAATCATTTTTTTTGTTCACACGACCTCTCACTATCAAAAAATTTTTTCAAAATAGTCATAAACTTAACCAGATCAACTTAATATCATTTAATGTCACAAAGAATTGGGACTCAAGTGTCAGCCCTCTCAAGAGTATGGCATCATGTAGACATAGCATCAGATAAACGAACATTAGGTAGAATAGCATCATCAATAGCATTAACATTACAAGGAAAACATAAACCAATATATTCACCAAACAGAGATCATGGAGACTATGTGGTAGTCACAAATTGTGCTCATTTAAAAGTATCAGGTAAGAAAATGACAGATAAAACATATTGGTCCCATTCTACAAAACCAGGATCATTAAAATTAATTCCAATGGAGAAAATGATTGAAAATAAAGGATATGGTGAAATTTTGAAAAAAGCTGTTAAAGGTATGATACCTAAAAACTCACATAGATTGATTAGATTAGAAAGGTTGAAAGTATTTGATGGTGATGAACATCCTTATAAAGATAATTTAATCGCATTTGCTGACGAAATACCTGAAATGAAGGAAAAACTTAATAGATTGGAAATCGAAGAAGCTAAAAGAGCTAAATCAAGAGAACAGTATTTATCTCATCAAGAATAGATTAATCAACTCGTGTAAATAAATTTTTTAATGTACAAACTAATGAAATACTACTAAAAATTTGAAATTTTTATTCCATGGCATCTTTAGCTAATTTATGATGTGCCGGTTGAAAAGTATTTGATATAAAGTATACGACTGAGAGAATGTTTTGTTCACAAGTTAATGTCTCTTTGGATTGAGATGTACTTTAAGCTAATAGCTTCGCGGAGTTATACATGAATAGTCTCGGCAAGCAACATAGTGCATGTATGTTGCGGTTAATTGTATGTCCTGTCATTCTTCTTACGTTTATCTTTAAATCAAGATCAATTTTACTAAGATTCTGAAAAAAACAAGTCCTACATCGAGACCAAATAATATATAAGAACAATATATGGCCTTTATTAAAACTATCTTTGAAACTGAAAGCAATTGTTTAATCTTAATTAGATGTATTGTGGTGCAGCTAAAACTTTTGAGTTTCCATATCAAATACTTAAGCGGCTGCAAAAATATTAAGGGGCTGCAAAAAAATGGGTAATTTAAGAGCTACAATAACTTTCTAATCCTATAAATACATTATTTTTTTTGTCTATAAAACTATACACGTATACTTACACCAGAACGTTCTGTATATAATCTTGGAGCAATATTCATTGCCATTAATTCTTGGAATAATAATTTTGCAGCATAAGGTATATGAATTTGGTAAATGTTTGTTTTATTTTTACATGAACGACATTCGAATTGATTCTTTTTAAGATTTGCAATAACAGACATTAAACCACACATACCACAGATATGTACTTTGAAAGCATCTGATGCTTCCATCAATCTTTCCTTCAAGAAACCAGCAGCACCATGAGCAATCATACAATCTCTTTCCATTTCACCAAATCTCAACCCACCATCTCTTGATCTACCTTCAACTGGTTGTCTAGTCAATACTTGAACAGGACCTCTTGCCCTTGCATGAATTTTATCATCAACCATATGTCTTAATCTTTGATAATACGTTGGACCAAAGAAAATTTGTGCCATTAATTTTTTACCTGTATGACCATTATACATAACTTCAAAACCTCTTGATTGATAACCATGTTCTCTTAATAATTTAGAAATTTGTTCAGCTGTAACATCAGTAAACGGAGATGCATCACCTTCTAAACCTGATAAACTTGAAACTTTACTCAATAAACATTCAATTAAATGTGCAACTGTCATACGAGATGGAATAGCATGAGGATTTATAATTAAATCAGGTACTATACCTTCAGATGTGAATGGCATATCTTCATGTCTATAAGTAACCCCAATTGTACCTTTTTGACCATGTCTTGAAGCAAATTTATCACCAATTTGTGGTACTTTTGTTGTTCTCATTCTAACTTTAACAAATTTAGCACCATCACCATTTGTAGTTAATAAAACTTGATCTACAATACCTGATTCAGTTGATCTTAAAGGAGTTGAAGCATCTCTTTTTGTATGATATTGAGTTCTTTGACCTAATTCTTCAGTATCTGGAGGTATTGGAGTTGTTTTACCTATTATAATATCTTCACCAGAAACTCTTACTCCAGGAGCTATTAAACCATCATCATCTAATTTTTCATATGTACCGTGCTTCAACCTTAATGTGTCTGATCTTGATGGTTTTTCAAATGTTTCTAATGCTTTCATACCTTGTCTTTTTTCTAAATCCATATAAGATCTAAAAAATAATGATCTAAATAAACCACGATCTATTGATGATTGATTCATAATCATTGAATCTTCTTGATTATAACCTGAATAACATGCAATTGCAACAATAGCGTTTTGACCAGCAGGTAATTCTCTAAATTTAAGATATTCCATAGCTCTTGTTGTACCTAACGGTTTTTGTGGATAGTATAAAATATTTGCCATTGTATCCATTCTAACTGAATAATTTGTAAGGAAAACACCCATAGCTTGTTTACCCATCGCTGATTGATATGTATTACGTGGAGATTGATTATGATCTGGGAATGGAATAATAGATGCAGCAACACCTAAAATCATTGATGGATGAATTTCACAATGTGTAAATGTATGAGTTTTTGAAGATGTAGTTGGTTTAATTCTTTTAGCTGGATCTAATTCTTGTTCTTGTAATTGTAAATCTTGTTGTTGAGTTTCCGACATATTAGTTTTTATTAAATCATCAGGTGTCATTGCAATCATTAAAGTTTCTTCTTCTTCTGCATCAACATATTCTATTATACCATCTTTAACTAATTGTGTCCAACCATAATGTAATCTTTCTTCATCATCAAGACCATCATTGGTTGAATTTATTAAATCTTGTACTTTGTCTTTTGTCAATACTAATTCACCATGATTTGGAGAAGTTGGATCATTATTAACAATAAATAATGGACGATAAACTCTACCAGCATCAGTAAAAATCCTCAATTCTTTATCTCTTATATCTCTAATTAATGAAACTTCTGGTGAAAATTCTGAAGTTCTTCTCAATTCTCTCATATAACCATCCAATTGTTGAGCTTCTCTTGAAATACCAACCCAAACACCATTAATAAATATTTTAGTTATTTCATTTTCCGGATTATTTATATCATCTCTTAAATCCTTTGGACTTACATTTTCCAATGTCTCCAAACCATAATCTTGTAAAAATGATACAATCGGTTCTGATTGTGTACCAACAGATATACATGACATTAATGACAAATTTTTAACTAAACCACACGCTTGACCTTCAGGAGTTTCGGCTGGACATACTAACCCCCAATGAGTATTATGTAATTGTCTTGGTTTTGCAATTTTACCATCTCTACCAATTGGTGTATTTGTTCTTCTTAAATGTGATAATGCTGATGAATAAGTATATCTATTTAAAACTTGTGAAACCCCAGCTCTTGAGCTCATTGCTTTCTTTTGTTCACCCCAATTACCAGTAGCTAATGAATATCTTAACCCATCAGTTATAGTTTGAGATTTGACTGCTAATGTTAAATTGAATTCTTTGTCATTTTCAACACATCTTTGCATATAATTATAAATGTCTTTAGTTAATTTTTTAAATAATATTCTGAATAAATTGGCTAATAAAGGACCAGCTAAATCTAATCTTTTTTTACCAAAATGATCTCTATCATCAGGTTCTTTTCTTTCCAATGCACAAAGTAATAATCTATTAACCATGTACCCAAGGAAAAATGCTTTTTTAGTCTCAAACCCCTCTTCTTGTGTTATATTTGGTAATAGTTCTTTTTGTAAAATGTCTTTTGCATAATGTATACGTTTTTCTCTTCTTATCCCCAAAACACCTCTTCTACCAATGAAATCTAATGCAACTTCTCTATCTTGTATCACAAATCCTTCTTCAACACATGGTTTTAACATTTCCATCATTTGCCAATCTCTATCATCATAACATATATGTTCCAATATATCACCATCTGGAACAACACCTAAAGCTCTAAATACTATAACAATAGGTATATCTTCTTTTATATAAGGTAATGTTGCTTTTATAGTTCTTCCACTTACACCTTTTTCATCTCTACCGTATAATTTAATTTGCATAGATGATATAAGTCTTGAACCTTTTTCAATAGCAGATCTTATTTCTGCAACATGAGATATTGGTGAAGGAGCAGCTTTTTTGAACACTTGAACTATATTTGCAGCTGATCTTTCTTGTGCAATTAAAACTTTTTCACTCCCATTTATAACGAAATAACCACCCATATCAAATGGACATTCTTTTAATTCGTACATACTTTGTTCAGTTAATTCTTTCAACATACAAAATTTTGATCTTAACATCATTGGAACTTTCCCAAGGAATACTTTTGTTTCTTTTTCTTGTACACCATCTAAAGTAATTTCTTCCCAATCTAATTCATTATTATCATTTTTATTATTATCATTTGATTGAAATACTTTTTTAGTCATATCAACATATAAAGGTGATGAATAAGTTAAATTTCTTAATCTTGCTTCTTGTGGATACATTGGATGAGTTGTACCATCTCCTTCAGTTTGAGAAGGTTTTGAAATATAAATTTTACCAAAAGTAATTTCATATCTTTTATTCATATTATCATTATCACTTGTATGTTGAGCAGGTTGATCTAAAATTAAATGAGAATCTTCCCAAACTAATTCTTGTATAGTTGATTCTATAAATTCATCAAATGAAGATAATTGTTGAGAAACCAAACCTTTCTCTGAAAAGAAAGAATTTATCACAGCCCAACAATCTTCTGGTTGTATTTGATTTGATATATATGAGTATGGATCATCATCTTCCATATAATGATCTTGTGACATAATTGGTAATCGAAAGGCAACAAGATGGTGAAATATATTTTTGTTTTGGTATTTTTTTTTTTTCATCAACATATTTTTTATTTTACACACGACTGAAAAATTTTGAAACAACCAGTCAATATGAAACCATCTTTAAATCTAATACGATTATTACATTATAAACAAAAGGTTAATAAATATCCAGTGGTAAATTTATCAGATGTTGAATTAACAAAACCAAGATTTGGTTTTAGAAGAATTAGACAACCTATAATTGCACAATCAAAAATCACAAATACTTTATTTCCAAATTTTGAATTAGCTAAAAAATATATAGAACAAGGTAAAAGAATACCAAATAGATTTATGAATCAAACAACTCCCGAAATAGCAAAAGAAAATTTTGAAAAATTTCAAGAATCAATAGCATTGGGAGAACCACATTTTAAATTGGGAAATAATAAAGTTTATTTTCCACAAGGTAGAATATGTTTATTAAGAAATAATGCAAAACATACACCATATCAAGCTAAATTTTTGGTACCTAAAGCTATGAATAAAATGGATTTAAGAGATTATTTATGGAATATTTATGGTTTAAGAGCTTTAAATATAACAGTTCAATTACAACCAGGTACTTGGAAAAGAGGTCCTTGGGATTTAGGTAGATATAGATCACCACAATTGAAGAAAATGACGGTTGATATGGCAGATCCATTTATTTGGCCAGAAGTACCAAAATCATTAGTTGATTCATTAGAAGATCAAATGAAAAATGGAGAAAAATTTGTTGAATTGAATACTGCAAAAGGTTCAGATAAAGATAAACCATTAGAAAATAATGATGGAATGTATAAACAAGATAAATTACCAAATACATATATTCCAAAAAATAAAAAGAAAATGGGTAAAAAAATGGTTAAAATTTTCAATAATGAAATGAATAAAAAATCACAAATGGAACAATTAAATAAATATTTAAACTTGTAAATAAAAAATAATAGACACATATAATACGTATAATACGGATTAAAAAAAGTAATAACTCTTTTTTCTTTGTACTGGAACATTTTCTGATTCTTCATTGGTAATTGTATCAACAACATCAAAATCATTTTCTTTAACTTCTTTAGGTTCAGCAGGCGTTTCACTAGTTCCAGTAAATTTATTCTTCATATTCATAACCATTACAAAAGATGAATCTAATAAAGATTCAGTTGAATCGTTATTTTCACCATCTTTATTTATAAAATTTGCCAATTTTAAAATTTGAATTAAATCAAATGGATTTATAGTAAATTTTTTAATTGTTTCAAGATTCTTTTCTATCCATGGTTTAATATATGTAAAAAATATTAAACCCGAACCTTGTTCTGTGAAATTTTTCCATTCTAATGTATTATCAAATGATTTATTTTCATCAAATTCTTCTCCTTTTTTACCTATTGAAATCATAGGTATAATTAACCAAATACTACCAATTAATTTTAAAATTGAATAACCTGGAAGATAATTTAAAAACAATATTGACTCAATTGAATTTATAACTGCAATTACAATCCAGTAAATTAACCATTTTTGAATTGAAATTAAATGTATTTGTAAAAGTTTTTCATCTGAAGCATCTAAATTATTATCTTGTTGATATATTAAATTTAATGGTATTGTAACACCACCAACTTTAAAATTTTGTGAAGATATTTTATTTGTTACTCTTGTATAATCTTCAAATGCTTTACAAGAAGCAATAACAGGATAAACTGTGAAAACTAAAGTGCTGTTTTTTTTTGTTAGTATTAATCTTGTCTCTCTCTCTCTCTTCCTTTAACCTAACTTACCTTAAGATTGAAAAGAATCCCATGATAGTAAATAGTAGTTGGCTAACAAAAGGTTGTAAATATGATAAGGGGATTTTTATTTTATTTCGTGATACAAAAAAAAAAATATTTAGCGGTAGTGCGCCTGGGGAGAATTTTAGATAAGATAAAGAATCTTATACTAAGCATATAGTAAATGTATAGTAGTAAGTGTATAGTAGTAGTAAATGTATAGTAGTAGTAAATGTATAGTAGTAAACGTATAGTAGTAAATGTATAGTAGTAGATGTATAGTAGTAAATGTATAATAGTACATGTAGAATAGTAAATGTATAGTAGTAAATGTTGAATAGTAAATGTATAGTAGTAAATGTGTATATATATTACAGTAAATGTATATCATACATATATATATATATATATGATATATATATATATATGACATAGCGTCTAATTAAATTACAGTTATCTATTAATTCTTTTCATCAACTTCTGTTATATTATCCAATTCATACCCTTTCTTAATTAATTGTTCTAAATTCCAATCCCATGTTTCTTTACAATATTTTTCATTTCTTGCAATTTTCAGTGGTGTATCTATTACACCACCAGTTACAAAATAATCACCATTATTCTTTGTTGTTGATAAATTTGGATCCATTGCAGCTCTTAATGTAGCTAATGCACCTTCTTCATTTGATACACCCATTACTTTATCACTTATACTGAAAACCAATTTACTTCCATATTTAACAACAGGAATAGTTTTCCAATATTTATACAAATCAGTACCTAATATAATACCTGGATGTATTGCAATTGTTAATATACTTGGATATTTTTTTGACATTTCTTTTGAAAATTGAATTTGTGTTGTTTTTGCAATACCATATCTAACCCAAGTATACCAAGAATTGGGCCAATTTTTTAAAGTGTTTTGTTCGGGTGTATAATGTTTAAATTCAAAATTATGACCAATTGAAGATAAATTAATAACTCTTGGACCGAAATCACTTGCTTTTAATTGTGGAATTAATTGTAAAGTTAATAAGAAATGTGATACAAAATTAACTTGATATTGTACTTCATAACCATCTCTTGTAATTTCATACGGAATACCCATTATACCAGCATTATTAATTAATATATCCAATTTTTTTTCACGTGATTTGAATTTTTCAACTGCTTTTGGAACAGTAGATAAATCTAATAAATCAATATAAATATAATTCAATTCACCCAATGGATGTTGTTGTTCTTTTTCAGTATCTCTTCTTTTCTTAGCTTCAATTTTAATATCTTCAATTGCTTTTAAGACTTTTGATTCTGTTCTACCTGCAATATAAATAATATAACCATGTAAATATAAATGTAAAACAGTATACCAACCAATACCAGAATTACCACCAGTTATTAAAACAACTTTATGATCATCAATTGGATTATAATATGGAGCATCATTTGGATTAAAGAATTTTGATTTATCGATAAACATTTGTTAAAGTTTTTTAGACTAGTGAAAAAAATAAAATAACAAATAAAATAAAAACAACCCCTGGGTCGAAAAGAAGAAGAAGAAAAAAAATAAAAAAACGAACTAAAATGGTTCCATTTATAATGAAACAAGACAATAGGATAATAGGACAAAGGAAGCTATTATTAGTATCCATAATCAAAATATGCATATTAACCTTTTCAACTTCGCCAAAATTATAAATCGTATGATTGAATGAAGCTCTATATTGACATGTGATAAAGGAGAAAAAAAAGCTTTATCTTTGTAAATATGCGTATGGTTAAATTATAAGAATAAGAATAATAATAATGATGATAATAATAATGGTAATAATAATGATAATAATAATGGTAATAATAATGATACTATGATACTAATAATAATAATAATAATGCTAATAATAATAATAATAATAATAATAATAATAATAATAATAATAATAATAATAATAATAATAATAATGATAATAATAATGATTATTTATTTAGTAATATTAGGTAAAAATGAATAGTTAATAGTCAATCCAATTGTTGCAAAAAAGTTTAATAAACGTACATTGGTAGCACCAAATGGAATGCGAATTAATACTCACAGAATCTAGAAGCTTTATATATAATAAATTAGAAATACATAGTCGTCCATTATTTTCAATTTATTGCTTATCATAGTTAATAGTTTAAATTGATATATTCAGTTACGTTACAACAACCACTTTTCATTGTTGCGCACCCCCGCTTTTCATTAATTTATACAACATATTTAATCAAGGCAATCTTTTCAAATATAAGCCCATTTTAATCAATATGATTGTGGATCAATAAATGATGTGTCGGGATTAAATCTTCTTTCGGCGGTAACATATCAAACTCATAAACGTGGAATTAACTTTGAATTTTCTTTTCTGATCTTGAATCAAAGACAAAAAATATCGTAGAGCAAACATTTCCAATTTAAGGTTTAGTTAGTTTAGATTTCAGTTAAATGATTTGTAACCCCTACTCTCCTCTTCTCAAATATATATTAGAAGGCTCATCTCCATCCATGTTGTAATACTTAAATACTTAAATATCTTCAGTCTAAATTTAATAAAAGGAAGTTATTCTCCACTTATAATAATATTTTTCCCATTCTTATCTCTTATCAATCATAAGTTTGAAATCTAAAATATTTAGGGGTAATTATAATATTTCAACTAATCTTACATGAATAGCAGTTCTATACAGAACAACTCCGAAATGTGGGTTAGTAATTGATTTTAATATTGTGTTCCAGCTTCTGCTTATATACTAATAAATAATTTTTTTCTTTTGATTAATAATACACTACCATATATAAATATGGTATAAATTGAATGATGATTTCATGGAATTTTCCAACTATAAATTGGAATTTATCCCCCCCCCTTAAATTTATTAATCTTTATTAATCTTTATTAATCTAAACTTTTCTTTCCAATTATTAATCAAACTATTCGATCAATGTCAATTAAAACTTTAGGTATTCATTCAAATTTCTTTAAAAATGTATTTACAAGATCATCAAATATAGCCACAGCTACATCACAAACTATATTAGATTTTAAACATGATCCAGAACAATCATTATCTCAAATTATGACAAGATCAGATAAAGAATTGGGTGGTTATTCAACAGTTAATTTTAAATATGATTCTCCCGAACAATGTGGTCATTTTTATGGTTCTTTAAATTTAGATTTACCAAAAGATAATCCAAGTGTAACAAGATCAGGTTATGCAATGTTTAGAACAAAAGATCAATTACAAAATTGGTTAAGTGGTGATTCATATTGGGATTGGTCAAATTTTCAAAGTTTAGTATTGAGAGTCAAAGGAGATCGAAGAAAATATTTAATTAATATTCAATCAAATACTCCATTAGTAACTGATTTATTTCAACATAGATTATTTTTAAATCATCCTGGTCAATGGGAAACTATAGTTGTTCCATTAAATGATTTTGTGATGACAAATTGGGGAATTATACAAGATGGAAGTGAATTAAATAAACTGGAAGTTAAAACTATAGGAATTGGTTTATTAGATAAACAATATGGTCCTTTTAGTTTAAAAATTGATTGGATTAAAGTGATGACTGGAAGTGAAATTGCAAAAGAAATGAATCAACAAAATTTAAGAAATCATTCAAGAAATAAAGTTAATAAATCTTCTGGTGGTGCAATGTTTGGCCAAACAAAACATGAAAAAGAGTTATTTTAAGAAAATAGTGGAATTTGAAGATTTATTTTTACAAAATTTAATTACCATTGCAGTTGTTTGTAGGGTGTTGGTGCATCATTGCAGTTGTTTGTAGGAGGGTGTTGGTGCATTTATGAGAGTGTAAGCACTACAGCTGAAGATATTGCTCCTAGATGGAAGTTATAAACTAATATTAGTATCGAACTAGTCGTATCAGTTTCATTTTTTTGGTTTTTCAGTGTTTAAGGTTTTTTAATAATCGTTTTATTATTTATTTTGGGTCGGTTTATTCATTGTATAGTTAATTACAAGAATATATAAAAATTAGAAAAATCGAAAACAATTATTGACATCGTATTATCTACTAATTATAAGGGCTACTTAAAAATTGATCATGTGATCAGTTAGGTCGTGTGTTAACCATTTTCGCTTTTCAATCTTCGTATAAATTTGAAAATTTTTCAAAATTATTTTTCACTTTCTTTTCATCAACTTTATTAAATTATCACAAATATGGCAAGAGGCCCGTATGTTTACTCACTTTGACGTGAAAGAGATGAAGTACACCAATGATTAATAGTCATTGGGCTGGGAAAAATCTAAAATAAGCCCATGGAAAAACATTAATTTGTTTAATTCCATGGCATACCAGTTGATTTTTATCAACTTGGATGGGAGCCTTGTCGTGATTCAAATATAAGAAACCAAACAACCGAAGACGTGGCATGTCCTTTTGAACCTCTATCTATCTGTCTGTCTGTCTGTTTGTTTCTATTTTGAATGCGACGTAGATTTCATCTCTTTCATTTTCATTTTGAATTATTAACTAACTTGTTTTCAGAAAACATCATTTAAAAAGATTAGCAGCTCCATCTCATTGGATGCTTGATAAATTATCAGGTACTTATGCACCAAGACCAAGTGCTGGTCCACATAAATTAAGAGAATCATTACCATTAATTGTATTTTTAAGAAATAGATTAAAATATGCTTTAAATGGTAGAGAAGTTAAAGCTATTTTAATGCAACAACATGTTAAAGTAGATGGTAAAATTAGAACTGATACTACCTATCCAACTGGTTTCATGGATGTAATTACTTTAGATGCTACAAATGAAAATTTTAGATTAATTTATGATGTTAAAGGTAGATTTGCTGTTCATAGAATTTCATCAGAAGAAGCTTCATATAAATTAGCAAAAATTAAAAAAGTTGCACTAGGTAAAAAAGGTATTCCATATGTTGTTACTCATGATGGTAGAACTATAAGATATCCAGATCCATTAATTAGAGCTAACGATACTATTAAAATTGATTTAGTAACTGGTAAAATTGATGATTTTATTAAATTTGATACTGGGAAATTAGTTATGGTTACTGGTGGTAGAAATATGGGTAGAGTTGGTGTTATTACACATAGAGAAAAACATGAAGGTGGTTTTGATTTAGTTCATATTAAAGATAAATTAGATAATACTTTTGTTACTAGATTATCAAATGTTTTCATTATTGGTGAAGAACAATCAAAACCTTGGGTTTCATTATCTAAAGGCAAAGGTATTAAATTATCAATTACTGAAGAAAGAGATAGAAAAAGAAGACAAGATGGTTTAATTGCTTAAAATATATATATGTAATGAATAATGAATTTAGTATTTGACAAATATCTCTATCTCTTTAGTTATTTAATTTTTATATATGGTTCCTGGATCCTGCATATTGCGATCTTAATTCTGAAACATTTGTCCAAATTAGGAAACTTTTTGAGCTAAATTTTAGAATTGCAAATAATATTAATACACGCTGAATTCCACTTTCAATGTCCAAAAAAATTATGACATGGAAAACTTAATCAAGGGATTGTATAAATTACCAAAGGGATTGTATAAATTACCAAAGGGATTGGATAAACTACCAAAGGGATTGTATAAATTACCAAAGGAATTGTTTGATAAAGTAAGTTATGACCTTGATTATGTACATAAAATTTGCTTTTTATATGATAGAAAATTGAGAAGTTAGATCGGATATGATTTACTAAAAGAGGCGACAACTGAAGATAATTTGAGGAAAGAAAAGATGAAAGAAGCTATGATTTGATTGTTTATTATACTCGAGTTAGTATTGATCCTTACATTGAAGACGGTTTTCATTCACATCATGACTGTGTTAATTTCACATCTGTGAAGGAATTGGCAGAAACTATGAATAGATACAACTTTTGTCCCACAACTTTAGATAGTCAAGAGCTTGAAGAATAAGATGTGCCTTACATACCAATATGGAATAAGATCAAAAATATTAGAATCACTTGGAGATCAAATTCATCAAAGAATTTGAAATATCTATCATTACCAACTACCAAAGTATCATTGAGTCTCAAGAATCTTAGGGTAAGTAATCTACAGCTTTAAACAAATATAGTCAAGCTTTCATTCGATATATTTAAAATTGATCGAGAAATTAAAGGTACAAATTGAACATTACATGTAATTTCAAGATATGATACAGACAGCTTACATTTGATACTTTCATATTTTAAAAAGTTAACCTTTTTTACAGCACCAGAAACAGGTTTTGATGCTTTTGATAGATCCTTATCACGTTATAATTTTCCAATTACAATGACTGATCTATATCTTGCGTATGCAAATTTTGGATCATTTAAACCATTGACTAAATTTACCAACTTGGATGTGCTTAGACTTACAAATACTCCATTTCCAAAAGATTTATTTAATGATGGAATTGATTATTTTCCTCAAATGTTATGTTTTGGTTATCATGTTTCAGTGGTTGAGTGAAGGAGAAGATTATCCGGATTATCATGCTACTTTGGATTCTAAATACAAGATACCAAACAGTTTAAAGCATTTAGACTTAAGTTGTGAAATAATTAGTGTTGCTAAGTCGTTTAAATATCCTCCAAAATTAGTTTCTGTTAGTATCATTGGTGAAATTATTGCCATATCCAAAAAGTATAAGGAGATGTTATAATTGCGGCAGTTGGTGAGAACAAGATGCATAAGAAATGAATATAAATTATATACCCTAGGATCTGCCAATTCGTAAAAAACTGCTTAATAATTCATAACACATGTTTCAACAAGCTTATCGAGCTCTTTCAGGCGTCTCAGCTACTCAATTTCATAGTTATATTGGTCATATCTACACTCTCTGCATCATTCTTCTCAAATACTGCATTATCAACGTGTTTTGTTTTATCTAAGATCTCCGAACAAAAAAAAAAAAAGCCTATATACAACCAAATTATAATTAACAAGATACAACCAAAATGACATCAAGGTATAGAGTTGAATATGCATTGAAAAGTCATCGAAGAGATGAATTCATAGAGTGGATTAAAGGTTTATTAGCTTGTCCTTTTGTATTACATGCTGATGTTGAACATTTTGATTCTCAGTTCCCACAATTATATAATGAAAATCCTGATGATTCAGATATATATTTTAAAAATCATGAAAATGTAGTTGCTCAAGATTGTCAAAAAAGATACCTTGAAATTTTTAAAGATGTTGAAAATTTAATTGAACATACAATTTTAATAGATGAAATTAATGATAAAGATGTTTTTCAAAATTCAACAAGTAGATTAAGAAAATTAGTTCCTTCATTAGGTAGATTTTTCACACCATTACCATTATCAGAAGCATTTTTAATTGAAGATGAAAGAAGAGCAATAAGTAAACGAAGAATGGTTAGTCCTAGTTTTAATGATGTTAGAATGATTTTAAATACTGCTCAAATATTAGCCTTGACTAAAATTTATAAAGATAGAACAAAGACAAATTTAAAATTAATAACTTTTGATGGTGATGTTACTTTATATGAAGATGGAAAATCTTTGGAAAAACAAAGTGAAGTTGTTAAAAGATTGATACAATTATTGAAAATGGGTTTATTTGTTGGTGTGGTAACTGCTGCTGGATATCCAAAACAATCAGGTGCTGAAAAGTATTATGAAAGATTAAAGGGTTTAATAGATTATCTCAATTCAACTCATTGTGAATTAACTAAATCTCAAAAAGAAAATTTATTAGTAATGGGAGCTGAATCAAATTATCTTTTCCGTTATAATTCAGAAATGAAAGGTTTAAAATATTTAGAAAATAGTGAATGGTTATTACCACAAGTTAAAACCTGGGACATTAGAAAAATTGAATTCATAATGTCAAGTATATATAAACATTTGATTCATTTGAGAAATAAATTTAATCTTGAAGATTCAACGTCAATTATAAAAAAGGAAAGATCAGTAGGTATAATTCCAAATCCAGGTTGTCAAATATTACGTGAAACATTGGAAGAAATGGTGTTGAGTTGTTCAAATAAATTAAGTCTTATTTTGAAAGTAGATTCAAAAAATCTTGATTCTGTTAAAGTTTGTGCTTTCAATGGTGGTTCTGATGTTTGGGTAGATATTGGTGATAAAGCATTAGGTGTTGAATCTTTACAAAAATTTTTATGTCAAAATGAACTGGAAGAATTAGAATATTGTCCAATTAAAAAATCTGAGAGTTTACATATTGGTGATCAATTTGCAAGTTTAGGAGCTAATGACTTCAAAGCTAGATTAAGTGCTTGTACTGTTTGGATTGCAAATCCAATTGAAACAGTAGCTATATTAGATGATTTGATTAATTTTATGACATAAATGAATAATTATAGAATATTTATAGATTAATAAATGTAAATTGAAAAGCTACAACGTTGAGAGGCAATGAGTTTTAGGTACTCTATAGATTATGTTGTTTAATACGTTGAACCTGTTATGAAGATCCTAGTTCTGTTACTGGTGCTATTCCAAATTAAATTGACACGTCTCCGGACTTAGCAAGGGCAGTAAAACCAGCTCTCGCCTTGAAAAAGATATTTGGCGCCAATCTCGCTCCGCTTTAGGTGAGAATAATAACTTGATGCTACAACATGACTTATATGCAGTCTTACTGTAGTTAACCATGAAATTTGAATCGTAAATAACCTTCTCAATATTACGGATGTTGTTGTCTAACTTTTTTGATCGAATGTTCCATCATTTCAAATTAAGCTGGTGCCTGTGCCGTCAAAGCAAACGCAATTTTGATTACTTTATTCTTCATTCAAAATAAGGCAAAAAACATCAAATTGCAAAATAATTAACACTTAGACTTCATTTTGCAACTTAATATAGCTTATTCCGCTAATTCCATGCTTGAAATAATAAATATGATGTTTTCAAGACATCATAATCACTTTGAATTTTTTTCAAAAATTTCGAACCCTTAAACTACTTTTCCAATTTTGAATTCCTTGACAAAAAAATATCAAGGTCTATTTGCTTGCAGGAACTAAAAATTCTATTACTTTTATAATACTAACGACACGAACTGATCGTGGAACTAGATTTTACGTAAAGTCAATTTAGTCCATAGTTAAGAGAAAATTTTGAAATATGGTTGAATTTAATTCTAAATTTTTAACAAAAAAGGTATACTTGTAAAAAGATTTGGCTATAATAATATTTTATTTGGTTTACCTTCTAATTCACCATCACAAGATGATAAATTTGTATGGAATTCATTTCCATATATTAGAAATCGTTTACAATTACGACAATTTGAAGATGCACAACTTGAGATAAATAATCTAGTTTATGTATTAGAACAAGCTGCTATAAATTTATTGCTTTAAATACATGATTTAACTAAATCTTCTATATAATCATCTTTAACATTTAATTCTTTAATTGAATTGTATAGATTTAATAAATAATCTATATTTGGACCACTGGGGCCCTCATTAGTTTTGATAATTTTTGAAGTTGCTTCAAGGGATTCAGGTCCAATAAATGCAGCATTTTCAGTAGTACCTATATAAATAGTACTTTGAATAAGTTCCAGTGAATTATCAACATGAAATTCAACATTGTGGATGGTATATCCATTTTGTTCTCTGACATCCAAATATTCCTTTACGAATTGTTCATTTTCTGGTTCAATATAATAAGCAACTCCATACACTTTTAAATCTTTATCTTTTAATTGATCTATATTCTCATGTAATTCATATTTGAAATAATCTTTAAATTTATTTCGATGTTGTTTTAAGTCCGATAATGAAATTAATGTAACAACTCTTCCTGGGGATTCTGGAGTACCACGATGATCAATACTAGATTGCCAAAACCTTCTTATATAGCCAGTTAAATAACCAGTCACTTTATATGAGACACATGGTGGAGGTTTGAAAATTAATGAACCATATCCAATTACCCAAATTCCAGAATTAGAGGTCATATAGAATAAATATTTTTTGCCTAAATTTTGATGCAATTATGGCATTAAATGTGGCGACGATAAAAGATGAGCTGGCACGAAATTAGAGCGAAAGGCACCACATCGTATATATCGTATATTTAAATATAACTAAATTTAAAGGCCATTTTAACAGTTTCAATCAATTTCTCTCTAACATTAACAGTTGAGGTATATGCAGTCTTGTATATATTCAATTTAAGTTGAAACTTATCTATAAATAATTAGACCAAAATTCAAGCTTTGTTCTCACATCTGATTTAGAAAATTCTACCCGAAGAACTAGCCGGGTTAAAATACTCATTTTGGTATTTTCATGAGAGTACAAAATCAACGGAACGGATTTCAAATATCAAATTGTACAACTTCCCTCACATAGTTTGGTTTTGAGTTTTGTTCACGTTACTAGTGTTATCAAGAAATTGGCCAATTTAAAGAGACTGATGATACATCGTTTTTTTTATTGAAACCAGTGTCAAACTTCATAGACGGAAAACTTAAAGATTGGGTCGAAATTCTATCAAAATTTGGAAAAAATTAAAACGCACTAATTAGTCAAAATCTACTTGCATAGGCTAACTATAATTAATTTTCAAGCCAATACCAGTTTTTGACTGTCAATGTAGCTCAAATTTGTTGATTTAAATTGGTGTTTTAAACTGGTTGCAAAAAAAAAAAACACACAAACTTACAAAAAGTTAATTAATAGCGACAACTGCAGGACTCGAACCTGCGCGGGCAGAGCCCAAAAGATTTCAAGTCTTTCTCCTTAACCACTCGGACAAATTGCCGTTTTTAAAACTTTTAGAGCTAGTTTAATATAATACAATAGCAAATTAATGACAGCAGAACATTGACATTTACATTTTGAAGTACTTGATTTTGAAGAATAGAGCATTATAATTGTCTTAAATGGTCTCGTCTTAGCATGATTCAGCTTAGTAACTCAGTTGTAGTTAGCTGTATTCGGTGCAGGTGGAAACATTTTTCAAAATTCATACCAAAATCAATAATTATATTTCAAATTGTGTATTAATCAACTTTATAAACGTAAATATAATCTTCTGTAATTATATAAGGATCTCTAAATGATAATTGTTTAAATAGCTTAGCTGTATATAATTTTTCGAATTCTAATTTCTTTGAACTTATCAAATAATCAAAATCTTTATAATCTATTTCACTTTCTGTTTTATTATAATTTATTAATTCATTTGATTGTCCAAATCTTGTTATACCAGTCATACAAGAAGCAACATCCAAATGAACATTAGCTGATTCATTAACATATGAATTTAAAAATTGTAATGCTTCACCACCTGGATAATTAAAACTAGAAACATAACCCATAAATAATGATAAGACACTAGTGCCACCTATAATACCTAACACAATTAATAACAATAATTTATTCAGTAAACTTTCGTTCCATTTTTTTGCAATGTTTAATAATCCAGTAGCTGCAGTCAATGTGAATATTGGAACCACATATATGATAAACCTCCATTCTTTATGTGGTTGAAATGACATTACCAAAATATAAATAATTGAACTTATAAATAATAATCTTAATCTATTTGAACAATTAACTAATCCAGGTGGACATAATGCTAATATAATAGGTGGTCTAAATAATTGAATCAAATACTTGTTAAAATATCTAAGATAAGGTTCTGTTCCCCATTCTACTGATTTACCTTCCACTATATTAAATATAAATGAATGTAATTCCGGTATCAATAATTTTTGCCAATAAAATGAATCAACGACAACTGAAAATAAACCACCGATTATTGTACCTGCAATTAAATAAATTATTATAACTGGTGGCTCAGTATATAACATTAATAAAACAGCATAAATAGTAGCAAATACACCAACTTCTAATCTAAAAATTATCCCCGTGAATGCTAACCAAGTCAAACCAGATAAATCACCTTTTAATAATTTTGCAATGGAATGGTTAACTAATGGTAATGCAATAAAATTGGGTAATGTTCTTGTACTATAATACAATATATGAAATTGTGAACATAATAAAATTAAATACCAAATTTTCGACTTCTTATTAATTGACGCAAGTTTGACCAATTGTGAAAAGTTTAAAAGTCCAAGTATACCTCTAACTAACAATTGTAAATCAATACCATCATATATATAAGTAAATGGTTTAGCAAGTAATGAAATAAATAAACTACCTATAAATGTTCTTGGTACAACCCCGGGAAATTCATTATGATCAAATTTTTCAAAATCAAACCCATATTTTAAAACATCATGAGTTGCTTGAATATTAAATGATTCTTCAACTTTTGTATATGGTGAAATCACCAAATGATAACTTATAATTGATAATAAAACACAATATAGTATAGTATCTAAATATTTCATCAACAATATAAACAAAAATAACATCGCTACCATTTAGAGAAATTTGATTCGATTTGCAGCCAAACGTATATATACAGTTCTATACTTGATCAAAATTAAACTGATCATTTAGATTTAATTGTTGTTCAATCATTTCAGTCCAAGGAGCAACAAAATCCAATCCAATATTTCTATTATTCATAAACCATTCCATAACTTCACTATCACCAATCATATCTAATGGAGTTGTATTATTGACTTCAACAGGTTTAAAATTATATTCCATTGGTGGTTCTGTAGGTAGTTCGAATTCTTCTTCTTGATCTCTATTATTCTTTTTAGCCTTCATTTCGGAATATAAATACATTAAAACATTTGAATATCTTGTACATAAATGTAATTCATCAGGTGAACAGTCTCTTAAAGTTAATGCAGCTCTTTGAATTGATTGTGATATATCATCTATAGATATCATAGATAATGATAATATTGTAGGATCATAACCATCTGTTTCATCTAAATTATTAGTTGTATTTTTCTTATGTGCTGTAATTGTAAGATAACATTTAACAATAAAAGCAACGGCTCTAACCATTCTAGTTAACCATCTAACAGGCATGAATCTTAACAATTTTGATTTATGTATTCTATGAGCTGAGAATAACATTTCATTAGCTGACATAAATGCTTGTTCAATATATTTTGCCGATTTTGACAATTCATCTAATTTCAATGTTACTGATTTTTGTAACTTCTTATCTACAATCTTCTTTGGACTTGGATTCAAAGCTAATGAATAAATATAAAGTTTGACATAATTATACTCAAATATAAATGATTCTTTTTCTATAATTTCAGTAACTTCAGATTTCGAATTTGCTCTCTGCCAGTTATTTTTAGGTTTTGACGGTTGTAGGAACTGTTTATATTTCCTACCCCAATTATTAATCAATGGTGATATTATATTCAATACCGATAAATTTTGTCGTTGAGATAATTGACCCAATTGTGCTTTATATCCATATAATGATTCATGACCTAATGACATAATCTGCAATAATTCAATTTGTGCCTTTTGAGCTTTTGTAAATTTCAAAGTATATTCATTTGCCAATTTTTTTAAATCTTCTTCTGTCATTCTCATAATTTTAAAATCATCGTCATCTTCTTCTTCAACTTCTTCCATATATTCTTCAGTAATTTCATCTTCATCTAAATCAACTTCTGATAATGAATGAGCCAACATTGATCTTCTTGAAATATCCATAACTGAATTGATTTCTGCAATATGTGTAGCTATAAATACTTTTGAACTAATTTCCATAAATCCCATATCTTGAGCTAATCTAACTGCAGAACCAATTAACATCCATGCCATTCTATGTGATCTTCTCATTGCACCTAAACCAGTGAAATTAGTACCATCTGATGGATAATCAATTGCAGGCATTGAATTTGATTCTTCATTTTGTTCTTCTGCTTTATTTGCATAATCTGACCATCTCCAATGTATAGCTCTTGGATTCCATTCAGTAAATAATAAAAATGCAAATATTGTACCTATCGATCTTGTACTTGCTTCAGCCCAAACCGTTTGTGAAATTAATCTTTGAACATATAACCATAATCTATCATGAACTTCAATATTTCTAGGTACATTTCCATTCATATTTGTACTTGTATTATCATCAAATGGATGATATCGTGATGATATAGTTAATATAGCACACAAAAGTATAGGATAACCAGCTAGAACTTTTGACGAATGTAAAAATTGTGGAATATGTGGAAAAAATGGATGCATTGTAGTAAAAAACAAATCAATCAATCTTTCAGATTCTTCTTCAGTTAATATACCATTTGGTTTTGGACCAATATATTCAATATTTGATAATTTATTCAGTGCTTTTGGTCTTACTGCAAATCCATTTTCAGCAGCAGGTACACTCATTCTTTTCCCAGTTGGTTTAATATATTCAGGTATGTAACTTTCATGTTGAATCTTTGGAGTGTCAATTTTTTCATGTATTTGCAGTTCAATTTGATTATATTTTGCTTGTGCATCAATATTATCTCTTTCATCAGCTTTTGCAATTGTACCAGCAGCACTAGCTAAAAATACTAAAGCACCTTCCATAGTATTAAATTGATTGGGACTTGAATTTTGAGTTGTCGGTATTGGTGGTGATAATTTATTTTCTTCATTTAATAAGCTGTTGACCCCTGGTAATTTTTGATAATTTTGTTGTGGTAATTTTGGTAGATTTGGTTTTTCAAAATTTGAATAAGGAGAGTGAGATTGTGATTCAGGTGAATTACTTTGCAGTATTGAATTCAAATCTAATTTTCGTTTCTTTCTTTTACCATTTATAACATTTGCAGCACCACCACGCTTACTTTCAACAAATACACAATCTTTTCTTTCTCTTAAACATCTTGCACATTTACCATCGTGTGGATTATCAACTGGACCTAAATCACATTTAACTTTTCGAACTCTACAGTTCAAACAAGCCCTGTAATTCCGTTTATACTTTTGAGATTTTTCCATACGTTTAATGATAAATAAATGAAAAAATTCTCCTTCAATAACCGTTGCACGTGAAATGTGTCACGTGAATAGAACCATACGCTTATATAAATTTATATATAATTCAATCACCAAACTATTTAAAATCTAACTAACTTATAGCAATATAAGGCATCCTTACAATGTTTTACAACCTTACCTAACGCTTTGCAATTTGTAGCTTTTTAACTTGTTCTTCTAAAACCTTCAATTTTGATTGCATTTCTTCTAAATCTTGATTTAATCTATTTCTTTCATTAATAATATTTGTTTCCCATTGTCTAAATCTTTGTTCTTCAGCTTTAACTTGTTCAGTGAAAAATTTCTTTAAAGCATCTTCTTCTTCTTTAAACTTAGGATTATGAAATCTTCTTGGTTTTTTATTTGAGGATTTTTTAATAATTTCACCTCTTTCATTTGTAACTTCTTCATTATTTTCTTGTTGTTCTTCATTTTCATCACCACCTAATTTAATTGATCTAAAAGTTTCAAAATGTAATTCATTTGTTGATAAAATTAAATCCAACATATTAGTTCTTAATAATAAACTTCTTAATTTTTTAAAATCACAATGTTGATCATTTTCAACTTCAACTATACCCCAAGGGTACTTTCTACCTCTAACAAATTGACCAGGACCAATTTCAACTTCTTCTTCAGATCCAATAATTGCAAATGGCATTGATTCAATCAATTGTTTTGCATGTTCAGCACTCGCTTGATCATCTAATTCCAATGGTGGAGTATATATACTAATATCTTGAGCCTCAATAATTTCTCTTATTCTTGTTTTAAAAATATCCAATTCTCGTGGTGATAAAGTATCCGCTTTTGCTATAATTGGAATTAAATTTACTCTTGTACTTAATCTTTTCATTATTTCAATATCTAAAGGTTTTAAAGAATGACCAGTTGGTCTAATAAAATATAAACAAGCATGAACTCTTAAATCTTTTTTATTTAATCTTGTTGGTTGTTGTTCTTGTTTCATAAAACTTTCATGTTGATCATCAATAAAATCAATAATTGGAACCCATGAATCATGATTATTTACATTATTTCCAAAACCAGGGGTATCAATTATATTTAAACGAATCTTAAAATTTTTTTCTTCAAGTAAAGCTCTAACAATATCAATTTCAACAGTTTGATGAGGTGAAGTAAATTTATTATGTCTTGATGTAGGATCTTGATGTGGTTTTAAAGAAGTTTGAAATAAAGTATTAATAAATGTTGTTTTACCTAAACCACTTTCACCTGCAACCATAATTGTAAAAGTAGCTCCTTCTTTGGAGACAATTTTATACCTGAAACAGTTAGTAAAACCCAATAATATAATTATATATCACATACCTTTGATTTGGTAAGTTTGCAATTCCAACAGGTTCTGGCATTTGGTTGTAATTTGATAAGATCAATTTTGTTGTTATATTTTTATTTGGAATAAATATTTTCGTGTTTTAATAGTCGTGTATATATCAACAATATTAAACTATTATGTTATGAATAATCAACAGTAATTAGACGATAATATAACAAAGTATTACAAAGTATTACAAAGTATTACAAAGTATTGGAGTAGTATATCAAAACAAAATAATAATATATATTAAATTCACACAAGAAATATAACCTAAATACTTTAATATTTAAAATAATCTTTAAATTTTATCTATTCTTGTTCTTGTTTAGCTTCTGATGATGATGGTTGTTGTTGACTTTGTTCTTGTTGTTGATTTTGTGATTGTTGATTTGATTGTTGTTGTTGTTGTTCTTCATTACCAGCTGGTGCTTCTGATAAATCAGTCCATAAAGTTAAATTATCTCTTAATAATTGCATAATTAATGTTGAGTCTTTATAAGAATCTTCTGATAAAGTTTCTAAATCAGCAACAGCATCATCAAAAGCTTGTTTTGCTAAATGACAAGCTCTATCAGGTGAATTTAAAATTTCATAATAAAAAACAGAAAAATTTAATGCTAAACCTAATCTAATTGGATGAGTTGGAGGTAATTCTGTAACAGCAACATCACTTGCGGCTTTATAGGCTTCTAATGATAAATCAGCAGCTTCTTTTCTCTTTTCAGCAGTTGCAAATTCAGCTAAATATCTATGATAATCACCTTTCATTTTATAATAAAATACTTTTGATTCACCGGTTTGAGCTGATGAAATTAAATGATCAGTTAAAACACTAAGAATATCTTCACAAATTTTTGATAATTCAGCTTCAATTTTTGAACGATAATCTCTAATTAATGAAACTTGATTTTCATTACCTTTAGCTTCTTCTTTTTGTTCAATTGATGAAACAATTCTCCATGAAGCTCTTCTTGCACCAATTACATTTTTATAAGCAACTGATAATAAATTTCTTTCTTCAACTGATAATTCTTGACCAGAAGAAGCAACAGCTTTCATATTTTCAACCATTTCTTCATATCTTTCAGCTTGTTCAGCTAATTTAGCAAGATAAACGGAATCTTCTCTTGAGGCAGGCATATTTTTTGATTATATTATTTTTTTGGATAGATCTGACTTTTATAACTAAATGGACATGTTAGTAATCAATTTTGTAATATTTCAAATCAACATAGGATAATATTCTTAATTAATTGGGTGTCGTTAAATTGTTGTGTGTAAAAAATAAATTACAAATATTTCAATTGGAGCAATTAATTAAAAATCTTGTTATTTATAGATCTGGTAATAATTTGCATCAACATACAATTTTAACTAATTGATAATGAATTTAATAAAAATATTCTAATTGGATATATAAATCTTGTTCCTGATAAAATCTAAACTATAAATTGATTAACTTTGTTGTAAAGATTGTTGTTTATTTCAATATAATAATTTTTATGTCAGTCGACGACAATCCAAAGAAAAACTTTTTTTTTTTTTTTCTCGTTAATTATTCAGTACCATTCGGTAGTGCGCCTGGGCACAACAAACAAAATATAATTTGGTAGCATTATTTTGATAAACAACAACATAATATTGGCAACAATATTTGATGATGTCGATGTCGATGTCGATTTCGATGTCGATTTCGATTTATTGATGATCCATTATTGAATAGATTTAATTGTAGTTGAACTATTATCATATCACCCAATTGATCTGAAATTATCCTAATTGATTTGAATATAAAAATTAATTAGTACGTACCTTTAATTTTTTCTAAGTTTTTTTTTAATTTTAATTAAACAAAAAAATATATATAATTGATTTGAATTAATTTAATATAAAAAGATTGTAGTAGATGTGTAAATTTATAAAGCTCTCTTTTTAGTATATAAAAGTTGTAGTTGTATTTGTTTATTGATTGTTGATTTGTTGTTGTGATTTATAAATTTTAACTTTTTTATTCTGGTGATAATTTCGATTATTTAAAGGAGAGGTGTACCAAATACCAAAAATATAGCGTAGTAAGCCAACTGATAATTACACCCTACAACTGTTTAAACACGTAGAATCATAGAAAAATCAATACTCTATGTGATCAATAACCGTTATCTCGAATAAATCTACATATAATCTGCGATATGCTGCTTAATCTAATGTAAACTTAGACAAATCTAGATATAAAAGTCGTGTACTATTAACCAACTTTGCCATCCGATGTTTGACAAATGAAGTAATAATAGTGTGTAATTACCATTTGGTTTTATCGTCTAATTATTTGTATGTATTAAGAAATCCGCTTTATCAGCTTTATCAGCTTTATCAGCTACTCTATTAAAGAAACCAGCTTTATCAGCTACTCTATTAAAGAAATCAGCTTTATCAGCTTTATCAGCTTTATCAGCTACTCTATTAAATCGGAAATTGCTAGTCTATTTGCATTGATTCAACAGATGCATTTTGTTGTTTCAATTTATATGGATTTATAGTTTTTAAATTAATACCAAATCTTTTATCTTTAGTTAATTGTATTAAATAGTTTATAGTGTCTTGTAAATCTTGATTTAATTTATAATTTGAATGTATCCAATTTATATTCGCAGTTTGTTCACCACCATTTAATCTTAAAACTTCATTATTGTTGTTATTATTTATTATTATAGTAGTTGATTCTCTAACATTACTTATATTAAAACCAGTTTTTAATAATGATTTTAATTTTATACTTGATATACCTATATTAGGTAATGGAATTTCCATCCCTGGTAATACTGGTTTACTTAAATCAATTCCATGTTTTCCAGTTGGGTTTGAAGTTAATAAAATTTCTTTTAATGGTACAAATTTTGTAATTTGAATTGGTTTTGATTTTATTAAATGACGATTTATTAATTCTGATGCCCCTAATCTATTTGATTTCATTGATTGTTTAAGTTTAGCTATCTGTTCATTAATCTCTTGTTGTGATTTTTCATTATCAATTAATTCATTTCCAATATAATCTAATTTAAATGGGTATACTGAAAATTTCTTATCAACTTCACCCAACATTTTTCTTGCAGTTTTCAATTTTAATTGATGAGTTATTGCAAAATCACGTATGAAAATTGAACTCTTACTATTAAAATCTTGTTTATTATTTTTACCTGAAAATTGATCAATTTCATCTGTTGTAATTATACCAATTTCATTTAAATTTGATAATCCTGACATTTTTAAATCGATTTGATATACTTCACCAGGTTCGATGAAAAATTCATCATTAGGAACAGCTGATGAATTATTTGTACTTTGTGGTTTTTCAGAAACAATTAAATCTTGTGTTGTATTTCCTTGTTTTAATAATCTAATTTCTTGATGTGATTCATCCCATACAACACCTTTAAAATCACGTTCTGCAACTATACCTTCAGCTTGACCAGCTAAAAATCTTCTAATTCTTCTAATTTTTGACCCAGGTAATACAATACAATTGAATTGATCAGCTATTGAATCCACTAAATTTCTAATTAAACTACCGGTGATTTTACTTGATTGTAAATTTTGTGGTAATTTTTCAGGATTTAATGAACATCCTAATAATGCAATTACTGATTCAATTGCAATATGACAAGCACATATAGCATCAGCATTATTACCTAATAATGGACCAGTAGGTTTATTATTTTCAGTCGGATAAATTACAATAGTATGTGAAACTTGGGAAGTATAACCATCAATTTGAACACCTAAACTTAATGTTACAACATCACCTTCTTTAAAATAAAATTCTCTTTCATCATCAATTTCAGGTGCAAATCCATTAATTAATTCATTTACATTTATAGTTGTTGGATGAGATATACCTTTTTCAATAACTTTATTAACATATTGTTTATTCAATAGTTTAAATAAGAATGAGTCACTTAATAAACATAAATCTTGTACTGAAATTTTGGCCGTGGTTTTTAAATGATATGAATTATTAATTAATGATATAAGATATTGTAAACCAGTTTGAGTAATTTGACCAGCAACTCTATATTTTTCTAAATTATCTTCATTTAATATATTCTTTTGTTTTAATAAAATATCTGCATCATCTTGATGAATAGCTAATGACATTCTGAAACAAAAGTGACCTTGATAGTTTATAATTATTTTTATATCTCATCGCAGTAAACTGAAAAAATATATTTTTAGGGGGTGATTCAAAAAAGCCACTTAAAGAAATTGGTAGCGATTTTTCACTCCATATTTAAAGCAATTTAAATCAATTCAAAACTATTCACAATTATATATCTTCAATCTTTTTATCATGTCCTGGGAACAAGTAACATTCACTTTGAGTCCAAGAAATAAAGGCTGTTATTTGATTCATGATGAAGTTTTAAAAAATGTACCTCAAATTAAAGATTATCAAATTGGTATATTACATTTATTTATTAAACATACTTCAGCTGGTTTAACTTTGAATGAAAATTATGATCCTGACGTTAGAACAGATATGGATAAGGCACTTGATAGAATAGTACCTGAAGGAGATCATTATTTACATGCAGATGAAGGCCCAGATGATATGCCATCCCATGTTAAAAGTTCAATTGTTGGTGCTTCAGTTTCAATTCCAATTACAAATGGGAAATTAAATACTGGAACTTGGCAAAATCCATATTTATGTGAATTTAGAAGATATAAACATTCAAGAACTATAATTGCTACAATAAACGGACAAAAAAAGTAATTAATTAGGTGATTATATATTCTCATATACTTTTTTTGAATAATTACGTAGTATGTTTTCTTGTTGATGATTTAAATTTCTTCTTTTCATTTTTAATCTTTCCAATAATTTAATTACTTCATCATAATATAAATTCCACCATCCAGTATGACGTAAACACTTCTTTCGATCTTTTATACACACTGAATGAAAGCAGTCCTCTTCGTAATCAGGTATCTCTTGTATTAAGTCATCTGATTCATATATCTTCTTTATTATATTTTCTCCATCATTTAGTTTATGACAGAAACATAAATCAACTTTCTTCTTTTGTCCCTTTTTAGGTTGTTCTGGATAAACTAATAGTGTCAACTTCTCATTTAGTAATTTAATAGTTTCTTTCATGTCAAGTAGGTTTTGCAATTTCTCTTCTTGTTGTTTTATCTCCTTTTCTACTTCTTGATCTTGTAATTGAGTTTTCTCAAGTTCTGATTTAACATCATCAGGAAATGAATCAGCTTCTTTTGTGTCTTTGTATTTTATCACCTCAGGTAACTCAGGAAATGAGGCACCTAGTTGTTTTAGTTTCTCAACATCATCTCCAATATAATCCAAAACACCTTTAATCATAGTTGAACTTAATCCATGATCACCAGATCTAAATAATTGCGATTTCATGAATATTTTCCCATGTTCTTCAATGCAGTATTTCAGACCATTACTTATTGGATTGTAACAATCATGTAATCGACATTTCCGTTTATATAATGTTTTTCCAACTTCTTTCCATTCACAAAATTTACAATAAAATTTTTGAATTAAGTTTTGATAATTTAGATCAATATTCATACATTTAAAATGAAACCATTCTTCACATCCATCACATGCGATCATCATTTCTCCATTATCTATTTTACGACATATGCAAAATAATTCATCACTATTTAAATTATATTTTGGAGCACTTTGAAATTTTCGAAATTCTTCTTCAATATCAAACATGGAAAAAAGCAACTAATAAAACACTTGAAATCTAACAATTTTGAGAACCTTCTTCTTGAAACCAGCACTCTTATAACGTTTATTTTACCAGTTATTAAACCTTTTGGTTGTAAAATATCGCCTACCGATTGTTTCAATATTTATTTTTCAGTCGAGACGCGAAACATCAAAAATAATTTATACCAACTATTTATATGAATCAAGATGCAACTTGTCCAATATGTTCAAAAACAATACGACAGTCCTCACTAGAAAGACACGTTAACTACTGTTTAGATAACCAACAAGAACCAGAAACTACTGCAACACAAGAACCAGCACAAACACAACTGAAAAAAAGAAATGCATTTTCAGCCATGGGTTTAAAATTAGATTCTAATAAAAGTAATAAAAAACAACCAAAATTAGAGTCAAAGAAATCAACATTAACTGATAAATTCTTAGAATCAAAACGACTAAGAAGCTCTCAAAATTTAGAAGATCAATTTAAACCAGTTGATATATCTGAAGAGAAAGATAAAGAGAAACAAAAGGACAAAGTGCCCAACATTAAAGAATTAAAGAGATACGCTACTACTCCATTAGCTCATAGACTACGACCTAAATCATTAGATGATTTTATAGGGCAAGAGAAACTCATAAATATCATTAAAAATATAATTCAAGCTGATTTAATTCCTTCTTTTTTATTATGGGGTAAACCAGGATGTGGAAAAACAACCTTAGCTAGAATAATTGCAAAATCTACAAATTATAGGTTTGTTGAATTATCAGGAGTTGATTCAAATGCAAAATCATTAAAGGAAACATTTATACATGCCGAAAATCATAAAAAATTAACCAACCAAAAGACAATTTTATTCCTTGATGAAATACATAGATATAATAAGGCAGTTCAGGATTTATTACTCCCCGTGATTGAAAAAGGTATAGTTACTGTGATTGGAGCAACGACTGAAAATCCATCATTTAATTTAAATAATGCATTACTATCGAGATTACATACATTTATAATGGACTCACTTTCAACTGACTCAATAATCAAAATCATCTCAAGAGCATTATATGACATAAACAACATTAGAAAGACACTTTATAATCTACATTATATTTCACTTGATAAAGAATCATATACATATATTGCAGAATTAAGTATGGGAGATTCTCGAAGTGCTCTAAACGTACTAGAATCAATTAATGCATATCTATCCTCAGATAAATATAGTAGTATTGAAAAACAAGGAGTAATCAAAGTCACTAAATCATTACTTCAACCACTTTTGAAATCACTTCATTTTCATCAATTTTATGATCGAAATGGAGATTCTCATTATGATATAATTTCAGCATTTCATAAATCAATAAGAGGAAATGATGCAAATGCAGCAATGTTTTACCTTGTGAAAATGTTAGATGGTGGAGAAGATCCGCTTTTCATAATGAGAAGAATGATAGTTATAGCTAGTGAAGATATTGGATTAAGAGATTCAAGTGTTTTGCCATTCATGGTTTCCGCAAAGGCTGCAATTGAATTTGTCGGGTTTCCGGAGGGTGAAATCATATTAGCTCATTGTGCGAATAAATTAGCTAATTCTTCAAAACTGACTAAATCATATAGAGCTTTGAGGAATGCACAGAAATTGATTAGGGAACAACCTGAGTTGTTGAAATTGCCCGTTCCGATACATTTAAGAAATGCACCTACTAAATTAATGAAGGAGATGGGGTATGGTGAAGAATATAAATATAATCCAAATTATGAAAATGGAATGGTGAAACAAAAATACTTTCCTGATGAAATGGAAAATGTTAAATTTTTAGAAGATACTCATTTGGGGACGAGACGAGATGATGGGGTGGATGATGAAGATTATGAAATTGAGAAAGCAGCACAAGAAGATTATAATAACTTCAAAAAGAAGTTCAAAATGGAATTGAGAAATGATTTGCTGAATAAAGATGTTGACGAGAAACAGGAATATTCCGATGATCCAGATTGTATTAATAATTTTGGGAAATCTTATGACGAATTTTTGGATCCAGATTCTCAACCTGATTATTATGAGGAAGTGTAAAGGTAAGGATGCAGTCAGGATGAAATAAGCTGGTAAATTTGCAATAAATCAATTGAATTAAAGATTAAACCAATTGAGTACTCAATTTTGTAATTAAACTCTTATAACATATATCTTCGATAGATTTACGGCACGACAATTTTATAATTGTAAATAGCTTTCAACGCGATTTCACGGTGCGATAAAAAAAAATTTTTTTTGGCGCTAAATTTTAGGCGACCCGTACTAAATTTATTGGTCTACATCTCAAGAACAACCCATTTTCTTGCAATAAGAACTATTTTAATCAAAATTGGAGCTGTGAAACACATACTCTACATACTTCAGTTTCTAAATTTCATACATTTTTTTTTTCATTTGAATTTTTGGCACTTTTTCACCATACAAAATTTTTGCAAAGAGTTTAGAATTTACTTACTTCTTCGAGTCATATCTTTCAATTAAACTACTGATCACATATAGTATACATCAAACAAGAGTCCTAAATGAATTCTCAGTTTATGAGAACCAAAATTGAAAAATACTAAGATTTTTTCTTAAGTATGGCAAAATTTGAGTAAAATGACCTCACGAAGTAACCTCCACAATCGAAATCAAGATAAGAGTATAACAAAATTATCAAAATTTGTAGTTCGCTCGCGCTTATAACCCTTCGATATTTTTGTGCTAAAGTATTCAAAACCGGGAAAGTAGGTTTTCAAAAGTGGTTCGAAATTTTTGCAAAATTTTCGAACTTAATATAGCCCCTTGAGAAATATAGCGCCTTGAGAACAAAATTTATATGGTTCTTGAAGTTAAATGAACCGAATTAGATACTGTAGAAATTGCAGAAATCGAGGTTCAAGTAATGTTTATCTTGGTAAATACCATTTTTTTCCATTTTTTTGAAGACTTATAAGGTAATCGAAATAGCCTTTAGCCTTTTATATACGATACTAACAATTATATACTCTAATCTAGCTGAAGCCTTAACGAAGAAAGTTTGACAACTACAACTCGATTATTGACGGAGTTTTATGCAAATTAAATTTTAAAAGATACTATAAGACTGCATATAAGATATATATGTATAAAGCCGTTTCTGTAGTGCATATAAATTTTATGATATAATTTTCAAATTTAACCCTTGAAGCAATTAAACCAATTTACATAACTATCATGTGTGGAAGATTTGCAATGGGAATTGTATGTATTTACCAACTCAATTGGATTAGTACTAACTCATCCAGGATGTTTCATCAATTCCACAAGAATTTAATCAAACTGTATTACACAACGATCAAGAACCAAATGAACAGAATCGTGGGGTTTACGACTATGAAGTAGATAAAGAAAACGTTCAACTCGATACAAATAATGTAATTGATTGGGAACCATCATTCAATATAGCACCTACGAATACAGCACTTATAATCTACATGGTCCAACCACCAAAAGGAGTAGCTTATAAATACATTGTCGAAAGTTCAAAATTCGGCTTAGTTCCAACTTGGGCAAAACCAACAGATTCAACACCCAAAGGAGCAAATTCAGACAGTCCAGGTCAACCGTATTCTAAAGAATTGGGAAAACATCAAAGTAAATGGTTTAATTGTCGTCGTGAATCATTATCTCAACATCAATCAGTATGGAATGCAAGTAAAAAACATAGATGTGTTATTCCAATTATGGGATATTTTGAGTGGTTAAAAGCTAAAAATGATAAGATTCCATATTATCTTCATTCGGAAAAGTCAGATTTGGTTTACCTTGCTGGTTTTTATTCCCATAATACAAATTATGATGATTTCAAGAATATAAATGGGGAATATTTAAGTACATTTACAATTATAACTGCTCCAGCTATCAAAAATGATTCAAAAGATTTGAGCTGGTTACATTCTAGAAAACCAATGATGCTTGAACCGGGATCAAGTGAGTGGTTTGATTGGTTGAATCCAAATAATGAATGGGATGACGCACTAATTGAGACGGTTTTGAATTCTACTGCTAATATTGCTTATCAATATATTGAAGGGTACATTGTGTCTAAAGATGTTGGAAACCCCGGTTATAAAACTGAAGATATTATAAAGAAAGTAAATGGTAAACCACAACAGGAGATTACTTCATTTTTTGGTAGAAAGGGAAAGAAAGAACAAGTTGAAATGAAACCTGAGGAAAAACCAACCAAGGCTGAGAAGAATCCAGTTAAAGCTGAGAAGAAGAAAGAAGATGAAGAAAAACCAAAGAGAGAAACAAGAGGTAGACCTTCGAAGAAAGAAACTGAAGAAATGAGAGGAGATGAAGAAGAAGAGGAAGAAGAACCTAAGAAAGAAACTAGAGGTAGACCAAAGAAAGAAGAAACTGAAGAAGATCAACCAAAGACAAGAGGTAGACCATCAAAGAAAGAAACTGAAGAAAAGAGACAAATAAAAGAAGAACAAGAAGAAGAACAACCAAAGAAAGAAACAAGAGGTAGGCCTCCTAAGTCAGAAACTGAAAAGAAAAAGGGTGCTGATGAAGAACAAGAAGAACAAGATTATCAAGAAGAAGATTTGGGTCCAGAAGAAGAAGAAGATATTAACGAAGAAGAGGAACCTGAAGTAAAAATAGAGGAAATGGAGCAAGAAGCAGCAGAGCCAACAGAAGAAGAATATAAAGAGAAACATCCTGGAACCGCAAAAGAAGAATTAAAAGCACCTGGAATCAAAGAAGAGGAAGAACCAGAAGAGGACTTAGAAGAACAGGAATATCAAGAAGAAGATTTAAGTGATCATGAAGCTGAAGAAGAAGCGGAAGAAGAAGCGGAAGAAGAAGCGGAAGAGGAATTCGAAGAGGATGAACCAAAACCAAAAAAAACAGACAGAAAACCAACCAAAAAACATGCTAATGATAATAATGATAATGATGATTCAATAGCAAAAAGAATCAGAAGAGAAAGGAAATAATCAGTGTATAGTTTCAATATTAATTTATGAATTTGCAATTGGTAGCTTTTTAGTAGTGCGAATCTGAAACAAATTAAATTATCAAAATTTTTCAACCAATAGACCAACTATGAAAAGCGTAATACCCTTAGCTCGTAGTTTCTCAACTACCATTTGTAGGTTGAAACCATTATATCTTAATCCACATGCATGGAAGGATTTACCAGCAGATCAAATTTTTGAATTACATGAAACAAGAAAGAAATATTTAGGTGATGCATATAATCCAACAAATGAAGAACGAACAGCTATATTATCTACTGTTTCATCATTAGTTAAAAATCAACCTACTTTAGATTATGCATATGAGATTGAAAATTTTAAAGAAAGATTAATGAATAATACACCAATGAAAGATCGAGGAAAACCACAAAAATTAAATAATCAATTTGTTATAGATAATGGAGCAATACCCCATAATCAACGTAGAATTGAGAATTTAAATAGAGTAGCTGCTTTTGAAATCCCATTATTAGCTAAATATAGACAACCATATCAACCAAAACCAAAATATCAAACCCCATTGAAATTAATTTATCAATCTGATTTTTCAAATGAGACTAATTCACAATATAATAGACTTGTGAAACTAGAAGTTAAATTAAGGGATCTTGAATTGGATTTAAAGCAAGAATATAAATTTAAAGTCTTAGCTGGTAAACATTTCAATCATGATTTAAATACATTTAAATTGAAAAGTGATAGACATGCAGAAGTTGCACAAAATGTAAACTACCTAGTTTCTACATTTAATAAATTATTAACTGAAGCTAAGGATTTAACTGATGATATGAGTGATGTACCATTAGATAAACGTCATATGAAGACTATAATTGGTAAAAAACAACCACAATTTCCTAAAGAATGGGAAAAACAAGAAGATGCTCCAGTTAAAAGACATAGAATAATTGAACATTTAATTAAAGAACGAACAAGAACAGTTGATGAATCATTTATTAATAGTTTATCACCATAAAACACTTGGTAGCAGTTGTATATAGTATAATAAATATTTCTTACATAATTCGAAAAAATTCTGAAACAACAATATTGAAAAACAGTATAAAGTGATTTGCATCTTTATTATCCGTACTTATGACTGAACATTTAGCATCTACAACATTAGATGATATAATCAACGAATTGAAATTATCTTATGATTCATCAAATGGCTTATTAGAAGGCGATCATATTCATAAAATACCAAATTTAAATACATTAACAAACCTCAACAAACTATTTAAAAATTTATATAAACAATTAAATGAAATAGAGAAAATAGATGATGATCTATTAAATTCAATATCGAAGAAACATAAACTAGAAGAAGAAGAATTAGTAGACAAACCACCCCCAATTAAAAAAATCAAAACTGAAGAAACTGAATCTAAAGAGCAAGTTAACTCAAAGGATGATCCTATTCCACCAGAACAATTAGGCTCATTTACACATGAAAATGATACAAGATTGAAAAACCCCAAATCGGAATATGTTGAACCACAAGCATTGTCAAAAGAAGCCATAGCAGAACTAGGTTTATATTCAGAAGAGAATAATAATCTTGAAACGCAAGGCAAGGACTATTTGAAAAAGAAATATGGTGTTGCATCTTATCCCGAACATGATTTATTAGATTTATTGCCTGGTACAATCCCAAATATAGATTTTTCAAAGAATAAACCACCTACTAATCAAGTACAATTCACGACTTTCCAATCATATATTGAGTCATATTTCAGGCCATTTTCAAATGAAGATTTGAAATTTTTAAATGAGAGAAATGTTATACCACCTGGATTCGAAAAACAACTGTATGATCCGGATTTAAATCCATTTATAATACCTAAGTTAGGTAAATTTTATGCTGATGTATGGGCAGAAGAAGATTCTACATTATTATCAAAATTAAATTCACCTGCTTTTCAACAACCACAATTTGATTCGTATAAAGCCAAGGGGAAGTTAGATGAAATCAATGATTCAAATCTATATTCTGAAGATATTTCATGTGGTCCATTAAGTAGTAGGTTATTATCAGCATTATTTAGTACTCATGAGGTCGAAGAAGAAGAAATGAAAGATGAAGTAGCTGCTCAGATAAATTCAGAGGAGTATAAATTAAATACCGAAGTTAATGATTTTCAATCATTGGAAGAACGATTGAAAAGGGAACTTAAATACATTGGAATATTTATGAATTTACCGTCGACAGATAAAAAACGACCCAAGAAGTCTTCTTCAATCATTGATAATGAAGAATGGATCAAAAATAAAGAAGATGATGAAGTATGTGCAGAAATACGTACGCTTCAAAAAGAATTAAAAGAAGTAGTGAGTCGAAATCGAGCAAATAAGCAAAAATTAATACCATTAGTTGAAGATCAATTAGCCTATCAAGAATATTGTGCAATACTCGAAGATTTAGATAAACAAGTTGATCAAGCTTATATGAAACGACTCAAGGGCAAAGGTAAAAAAAAGAAAACTATTGAAAATACATTACCTACTCAAAATCAACAAGCTATAAATAGTGGAATGAGAGCATTATTGGAGAAGAGGAAACGTTGGATTGAAAATGTTGGGAATTTGTTTCCACCTCCTGAACAAATGAAAAGAGTGCCTCATGATTCTAAGTTGATAACTGAAGGTACTGTAGAAGAAGAAGAAACTCCAAATAGTAATAACCTATTTTGATGAATAATGAATGAGAGCAGTTGTTGTAGATTGTACTCAGCATTCCTTGCTGTATTTTTGCATCTTTACATTATTGCATCCTTATAATAAATAATTTTCGTCTATTAATTTCTATATTCTCTATTTACAAGAAGTTTGTCCCATTTGCTGTTGTAGTAGCATCATTACATTGTATTTTACATCCTTACGTTGTGTTTTGCATCCTTACCTTTACTCAAAATTCATCCCATTTGTGATTTCTCTATGTGATGGTAATGTCTTTACATTCCCAACAGCAGCTAAAGCAATTGGTTTATTTTTTAATCTATAATTTGCCCAATTTATAACATCAATTCTCGTTATTGATTCAACTCTTGCAAATACATCTTCTGGACTTAATCTATACCCAGTATTTACCACCTGTCTTCCTATATCTTCAGCAATTGCAGTAGAATCATCAAGAGCCAACAACAAAGATGCTTTTAATTGTGCTTTTGCTCTTTCTACTTCTTCAGCAGTTATATTTCCGTTACTTAATCTTCCCCATTCTTTTTGAATTCCATCAATCATCATTTTTAAATTTGAATTTGATTCAGCAGTGAAATATACACCTAATAATCCGGTATCTGCATATGATGTAGTATAAGCCATATAAGAATTTGCAATTGGAGTTTTATTAACTCCACCAGTTGCAGCTATCACTGCTAATGGACTTGGCGAATTTGAACCAACACCAATTGATCTATCCCAAGTTCCAATTATACCATTTGCAACTGATGCAACAAAAAAGTCTGGTGCTGACCAACTTACACCTTCAACAGCAAGAGCAACATGAGTAACAGGTAATGAATCATCTTGAATTCTAATTTCATCACCATGGAAAATAGGTAAATCATCACCAGATTGTTTGAATGGTTTATCAGATTTAATTATATTTCCAAAATATGTAGAACCCATTTTAACCAATTCATCATGATTTACATCTCCAACTCCGACCAATGCCATTCTATCACCTTTATAATTTGTAGTTATATAATTTACAAGATCGTTTCTATTTATAGTCTTTATTAATTCTCTTGGACCTAGGATAGTTCTTCCAAGATCTTGATTTTTATAAGCTACGGCATGTAAATGATCAAATACAACTTCATCATACATTTTATCAACTTCATCTGATTCTTGTAATATAACGTGTCTTTCATTTTCAATTGCCCTTTTATCTAATTTAGATTTAGTTAATAAATCACTCAAAATATCTACATTTTGACCTAAATCTTTTGATAAACATTTTGTATAATAAACAGTATTTTCTCTTGAAGTATATGCATTAATTTGACTACCAATATTTTCAATTTCAAGTTCTAAATTATGTTGAGTCCTCTTTGAAGTTCCTTTAAATGCTAAATGTTCTAGAAAATGAGCAGTACCACTTGATTTTGGATTATCAGCTCTTGAACCAGCATTTATCCAAACACCAACAGTTGCAGTTCTAGTAGCCGGCATCAGTTCAGAAGCAACAGTCAAACCGTTTGGTAATATTGTAGTTCGATAAGTAGGAGCAGGAGCAGTAACAAAGCGTCTTAACCCTTGTATCTTCTTTATACCTCTTAACATTGTCTGGTGGTCTCTTGTTCTTATTAATCAAATTTGGTTAATGATAAAAAAAAAAAAAAATTATCACCAACCCAAAAAACTAACAATATGACTTCACCAGCTGTTGTTATTGATAATGGTTCATATACTACTAAAGCTGGTTTTGCTACTGATGATTTACCAAATTTAGTATTCAGTTCAAATTATATGATTGATAAGAATGGTAAAGTGATTATAGGTGATGATGAAATGTTAAATAATCCAAACTTAGAAGTCATGACGTTACTAGATAATGGTTTAGTTTATAATTTTGATAGAATAGTAGATAATTGGTCATATGTATATGATAATATTGATAATAATAATGGCATAGATTCAAAAGAATATCCATTGGTGATAACTGAACAAACATGGAATACAAATAAAAATAAAACAAAATTATGTCAAATTGCCTTTGAAAATTTTGAAGTTCCAATTTTTAGTCTTATAAAAAATCCATTATCTCAATTGTATGGATGTGGGAAATCAACGGGGTTAGTAATTGATATAGGAGCTAGTGTAACTTCAGTGACTCCTATTCTAGATGGTATAATTCAAAATAAAAGCTCTTATCATTCAAAATATGCTGGTGATTTTCTCAATTTACATATTTTAAACTATCTCCAATCCAAAACTGATAATCTCGGAGTTTCAGGTTCTGACTCATTTAAACAATGGAATTTATCTCATGGTTTATTATCAGATTATAAAAATTTATCATTAAGTTATCAAGTTAAAAATTATCAATTATTAAATCATAGTCATATAAATGTGTCCGATCAACGAAATCATCTCGAACATTTATTTGATCCAATTAGTTTTAAAATTCCAAATATAAGTATCCCCGAACCAACATTAGATAAACCAGAAAGTCATGGACTTACAAACTTAATCTATTTCTCATTAACTAATTTACAACAATCATTATATGCAACTAATTCAGATTCGAATGGAGCACCATCTCAAAATCGATTCGCTAGATTTATTGAATTATTTAAAACTTTATTAAATAATGTTTTAATTACTGGTGGAACTTCAAGTGCTCAAGGTTTACCTGATCATATTATAAATGATTTAAGAGCATTGACACAAAAATTCTTTCCTGATTATCCTTTTAGTTATGCTGTTCATCAAATTAGACCTACAAATTCAGATAATTCAGATATCTGGGATAGACAATTTGGTTCATGGTTAGGTGCATGTAATTTAGCAAATATGTTAAATGATGAACTGGGAAATAAAATTGCTTTGGATAATTGGTTTATTTCAAAAGCTGATTATGAAGAATTGGGTGAAGATTTGGTATTAGAAAAGTTTAAGTAAGAGTAAGGATGCAAGAAAACTATTGAGATGAAGTCAGGATGCAAAAAACAAAACAATTAAGGCATATTTAATATATGCTTTAAACTAAGTCTCAATATTAGACAAAGTTAAATAAATAACTGTAATATATATTGTAATAATATTCTACTATCTCATTTTATCCAGTTGGAGTAGTGTATAAATTAGTTTACCTCAAAAGCATCCTTACTAGTTAAGTTGTTAATGCATTCTTACATTAATCTTTCCATGTAACATACTTATGATCATATTTTGCAGTTTCACCATGTAAATCCAACAATTGTTTAACTTTCAACTCAATTCCTGATTTTCCTTTAAAATGTTTAAATACTTCATTAGGAGTAGGTAAATAAGTTCTATTTGAACCATCAGTACCTGCTATAAAATCACTAACTTCTTTATTTCTAGGTAATCCATAATTATAAGGATATTGACTATAATCTACACCAAACCATTTTTGAATAAGAACATCAGGTAAATACTTCTTAGTAGTTTCAGATTTGGTAACTATTTTATTTATAAATTCGGAGGTAACTATGCTTGGATCATTCCATTTTGGAAAGAATGGGTCTTTGATCTTATCTACTAATTTATGGACTACTCCCTTTGCAAAATCATTAGATTCAGCAGGGATAGTCATTATATTAGTAGCTGCAACCATTTCTAATTCAAATTGTTCCTTGATTGTATTTTTTAATCCACGATTCATGAGTTCGTGTCCGATAGCAATAGATGTTCTTGGTTTTGTTAATAGGGTCTTTAAGGTCTTTTTTGAAAATTCAGAGCCTTCCGTCTTAAAGTATTCTAAAACTTCATCAATTGTAGATTTTGAAAATGCATCTTTAATAATTTTAATCTCATCTGTAGATAAGAAATATTGATAATCTTTAGGCAACTCATCTTGAAATTCATTCAATATTTGATTTACTTGATCAAAATAACCACTTTCAGCAGGTTGTAAATCTGCCAATCTATTAGTCAATTGTCCAATTTTTTCAGATTTTATATAATGAGTTGCAAATCCACTAAAATAAGCATCTTCACCTTTTAAAACAGAACTTGTCAATGCAATATAATATCCCAATTTATCATCTAATCTAGGCAAAAAAAATGTAGTACCAACATCTGGAAAAAAACCAATATCCATTTCAGGCATAGCTAATTTTGTCCTTTCAGTCGCGATTCTAAATGGTGCATGCACTGATAATCCAACTCCCCCACCAAAAGTAATATTATCCATTATTGAAATATAAGGTTTTGGAAATGTTGAAATTATATAATCGAGATTATATTCCTTATCAAAGAAATCTGCACCATAATTGGGGTTTTTTTTGACTATCTGATTAGCAACTTCCGCTACATCACCACCGGCACATAAAGCCTTAGGAGAGTTGGAATTTAATATGATAACACATTGATTTGGTTCTTTTGCATATTTTAATAAATTTGGTGTTATGAGTGAAACCATTTCTGTATTTAAAGAATTTAATTTACGGACTCGATTTAATGTGATGAAACGTGCATTTCGTTTTGCTGACGTTAAAACTACTGCTTCTTCTGATGACATTGTACTGCTAAATCTTCTAATAAATGTTGACAATTTTTTGTTCAACATATATTGTTCTTTATATAGGAATTTTTTTATTGTGGGGCCTAAATTTCCACGGCATAATTTTACCAGTCAAATTCTTGTGAATTATTACACAACCTGACACCAATAAGCGCAAATAGACGAATTAGAACATACTATAATATTACACTACTACTGGAAAAACTGGTACCACGGATAACGCATTTGAGGTGATTGAAGCGATTGAATGGAATAGGCTCTTTTCCAAAATTGTAGTAGCTTATCTGCCATCAAGAAAAATGAGATCTTAGACGTAGATACTGGTTGATGCCGAGTTTAAATGATCAATGAGATCTAAGTGCAATTGATAGTGTAGTATTTTGACAAAACAGACCTTGTTGTAGAAATTGGCTAGTCTAGTTGTAAGAATTGTAAGAATAGTAAAATTAGATATGTATTTCATCGAATAGTAAACGAAAAGAACAACAGAAAAACCAAACAATAGTCAATAGATATTATATCAATTCATTGAATTTCATTAGAATTACATTAGAATTTCACATTAGAATGCATTATCAAAATTAATCATTGTAATTATATGGTAATGTATTTCTGTTTATTATCCCAACTTGAATAAACACTAGATGGTTCATAAGATCTAACAGTTTCATTATCAGGTAAATTTTCAATCATTTCAAATTTAGAAGATTGTAATAATATAGGACCACCAATATCTTCAATTTTAATTTTAGTTGTAATTTTTGAATCTTGATTTATTAATTGAGTAAATTTTTCAAATTTCAATTTAAACTTTTCGAAAGATTCAATTGTTTTAGCTTTTATAGTTTTTGAATCTAGTTTGTTGAAACTATGATGTTTTCTGTAGTGTTTTGTATGACAATATTTCATATTTGTTTATGTTTGTATTATTTTGCACCTATTTTTATTTTTTTGCAGCAATTTTTTCGTTATTCTAATTGGTTACCCCTTAAATATGATTGCATATCAAAATAGTAGTTTGCTGATATTGATATAGCATAAACCAAAACAAGATTAGACTGTTCATTTTGATATGCGTTTCGATACTAACAATTTGTTGTATCGATAACAGAAATAAAATCGACGAAATTTTAAAATTACCCCTTAAAATATTTTGTAAAGATTAGAATTACTTACATTACTAGTGCTTTTTTGTCCAACTTTATTACGTTATATTAGATTATATTGATTTATCAATAAACATTCTTCCCTATCTGAATCATTTGTTTTCTTTGGTAATTGATATTGATAAAATTTTCCGGAATTATAAGAAGCAATAAATATTATATCACGATTAAAACCAATTTCAATCCTTGGTTTTTCTTTTTCATATTCTGGTAATTTAATATAAGCAAAAGATCTTCGAGGAGGTTCCCAAATTAAATTATTTAAATATTCTTTATATGGTAATTTCTTATAACTTGTATTTATCAATTTTTTTGTCTTTTTCAACCATGAAATACTTGCTTTAGATTCAATAGGTTTAGAAAGTATCAATTTTTTCATTTCATTTGAATCATCACTTTCATTTTCATTTGTTGTTATTTCATCAGTTAGGTTAAATAAATGAACAGTGTTTGATTCTGAAGCACAACCTAAAATATGATTATCAAGATGAAAACTGAGGGTTGTAATTTTAGCAGGATTATGACCTCTTCTTAAATTTGATACTTTATCTATTTGATCATCATTCAAATGAAATACTCTAATTATAGTACCTTTTATAGATGCCGTTGCAATTTGATTTTTTGAAATTGATAATTTTTCAATTTTGGAATTATGCGCTTTAAATCGGAGCACCACCTCAAGTTTGATAATATCATAAATTATAACATATCCATTCTCATCATCATCTAATAAATTTGAAGGTACAACAAGCCAACTCTCAGATAAATCTCCAATAAATTTTGACTTCAATTCTAGAATTTTTATAAGTTGTATACTTATTAAATCATAAATATGAATACTAGACTCCAAAACCACCAATAACCTCTTTCTGTTTAGTTTTATATCTATTATCTTTGAATCGAATTCTAAATCACATATTTTCAAATTTTGTTTGAGGTTCTGTATAATTAATTTATTTGATTCTTGTACTAATATAGTTAAAGATGTTGAAAATAACATTTTTAAAATTAAAGCCAGTGAGTCTATGTTCAATAATTGACCAAATGGTTCACAATTGTATATTCTATAATAAGAATCACTAGATAAACATAATGAAGTATAATCAGGGCTGAAATTCAAATTGTTAATCATTAAACAATATTGGTGATAGAAAAGTTAAAGAAATGCGAAATATAGGAAATTTGATCTATTTATATATTACCACTCTATTCTTCAACTTCTTCTAATGTTACTTTTCTTTTATTAACAGTTGAGCCATTGGATTGTATACTAGTAGATTTACCACTTTCATTCGTAGTTTCATTGGTTGTAACTTGTTTCTTTCCCTTCTTTTTCTTTGGCTTTTCCCATCCATATAATGGTTTAAAACTTTCAATAACTCCACAATCAGCAAATAAATTTGGAAATAACCAAAATGGATAGGGAAATGCAACTAATGAAATGATATATATAATTAATCTTATTATAGCAGTTAAAAAGAATAAACCAATTAATCCTAAAGCACCCATTGATAAATACCAAACACCAGTTTTCATAAATGTGGGCCATAATGGAAACAAAATGATTGTAAAAACTCCAGCAATTGCCAAAAATGAATATAATAAAATAAAAGGATTTGGTTTTGAATATAACCAACCATAATAATAATTAGGTTCAAGAACAGCCTTGTCACTTTTTTTTAATGTTGGTTTTTCTTTATTTGGTTTCCAACCTTCTTGTTTAATTTCATTATAAAGTAATTTATTAATTGGTAAAATTAACTGATTTTGAATTAACATTACAAATATTTTTTGTACTTCAATTTGATCTTTAATTGGAGGTAAGCCATTTTTTGGATTTACTTGTTTAGTTTTATAATCTTGACTTAATAATGCTCTTTCAAATCTTTTATATCTAAAGAAATCTAAATCAGTTTCACCATTCAATAAACCCGTTCTTTGTTTTAAAATTGGATTTTGATATAAATATCTCGCAACATTAATAGCTAATGGAGATGTTTGAGCATTAGTTTTAACTTGAACTTGTTGTGACTGACCTGTAGGTTGTAAATTTGACATGTTATTAGTTATAGATCAGTTCGTAGTAAAGAGTGAATGAAAACCGTGTTAAAATTTTTTTGTTCGTTTATTTTTTTCGCATCCAAATTTTATAAATCTATAAACTACGAATAACTATTTAGTATTTGATACAAGTTGTACTATTAATAAGGATGCTGTGTTGTTGGATCATGACCGTAATGTGTCTGACATGCATGATGTTTGTCTTTGAGATTTGTTTGTTTAATCTCCTCATAATTCTGTGTTTTCCAAAAAGAAATAATTACCAGATGCTTTTTGTTCTTTATCCATTTGTGAATCCAATTTATTAATTCTTGGTCTATAAGAATTTGGATCTCTTCTAAATGTAACATTTAAATTTTTCAAAAATCTATTACATCCAGTTAATAAAGATTCTGGAGATTTTGCAATTGCATTTTTTGATGGTTCACCTTCAAATACAATAACTCTATCAGCTAAATAAGTAGCCATAATAAAATCGTGTTCAACTATAAATGCAGTTTTCTTTGCATGTAAGATAAATCTTCTTATAACTTTTGAACATATAATACGTTGTTCTGAATCTAAATAAGCTGATGGTTCATCAATTAAATATAAATCTGCAGGAATACCCAATGCTAAAACAATTGCAACCCTTTGTAATTCACCACCTGATAATGTTTGAACTTCTTGATCAATTATATCTTCTATTTTTAATGGTTTAACAACATCTGTTTGAAATTGGGGATGTAAAAATGATGCTCTAATTTTTTTAAAAAATAATTGACGAACAGTACCTGTAAATTTTGGAGCAATTTTTTGTGGTTTCATTGAAACATTTAATTTTGGTATATCTTTATTACCATCTGCTGGTATTGCACCTGCTAATAATTTACAAAATGTTGTTTTACCAGTACCATTTTCACCCATCATAACTAAAATTTCTGAATTTGTAAAATCACCAGCTTCAACTCTTAATTTAAAATCACCTTGAGTTTTTTCCATTGATGGATAATTTAATGCATTTGATTTATCTAATATGAAATCATCTGCTGCATCAGCCAATCTAAATTGTAATGATTCTGTTCTAAATCTCATATTTTCTGTAGGTATATGACCATCTAAAAATATATTAATACCTTCTCTAACTGAACTTGGTAATGTAACAACACCATAAACTGATGGGACACCATATAATATACAAACAAAATCTGATAAATAATCAAGGACTGATAAATCATGTTCAACACATATAATATAAGTGGTTGCATTTAATAAAGATCTAATAATTTCAGCAGCTCTTAATCTTTGTTTAACATCTAAATATGAAGAAGGTTCATCAAACATATAAACATTTGCAGCTTGAACACAAGTCATCCCCAATGCAAATCTTTGTAATTCCCCACCGGATAATTGTTCAACTTCTCTATTTAGAACATGTTTTAATTCTAATACATGTAAAGCATAATCAAAATGTTCTTTTCTTTCATTTTTACTATTTAAAATTTCACCAACTTTTTTAACTTTTGATTTTGCCAATGCTCTTGGAATATTATCAACATATTGAGGTTTTATAATTGCTTTTATATCATCTTCTAAAACTTTTGTAAAAAAATTTTGTAATTCAGATCCTCTAAAATGTCTTAAAATCTCTTCCCAATCTGGTGGGTCATCATATCTACCTAAATTTGGTTTTTGTTTACCTGCTAAAATTTTTAAAGCTGTTGATTTACCAATACCATTAGTACCAACTAAACCTAAAACTTGACCCGGTCTTGGTGTTGGTAATCTATGTAATTTAAATGAATTTGCTGAATATCTATGTGTTGTTTCAGCATCTAAATTAGTTGGTAAATTAATAATTGTAATTGCATCAAATGGACATTTTTTAACACATATACCACAACCTATACAAAGTGTTTCTGAAATAAATGCTATTTTTGATGCTGGTGTAACTTCAATACATAATTTACCAGTTTTGACAACGGGACAACTTTTTCTACATTCTTGTTTACATTTTTTTGGCTTACATCTATCTGTACTAACAATGGCAATTCTTTCATTATGAGATTTAGTTTCTCCCTTTTTATTAGCCTTTGCTTTTGAACTCATGACTGGCCTTTCTGATGAATGTTTAATATAGAACTGCTAAATTAAAAATTATAAATAAAAAAATAAAAAAAAAATTTTTCAATGAGATTATATGCAGGCCGAACAGATTATATTACTAGTAAGTTGGAATATTTACCCCTGAGTTGATGAACATTGGTTAGTACAGCTGATATTCGAGCTAAATGATATTGATGAGATTACTGATCAATTGGTACCTTGTTTAGTGAGTGTTGTAGAGTAAATGCTTACTAAATACTCGTTTCTTATTGGTTAATTTATTTCACGCGAGAGTTTCGTCGTCTAAAAATAAAATTTAACGCCAGAGAACTGGTATCACGAGAAGAAACACGGCAACCTTGCTAAATTTACTTGACACCGCTCTATCTAGAAGTGAAGAACTATTGAAAAATACACAACTAGTTATTCTTTTTGTAGCTGTCTCTTTACGCATAGAAATGCATCGAGACACAGGATAGCTACCATGTGTGTTTCACAAATTATTGCAAAATTACAAAATATAGTAAGATTTGACTAAGATCTACAGTATAATTAATGATACTAGCAGTGTAAGTACCGGTTAATACAACTATGGTTTTGCTTGAGTATGGTTTTGCTTGTAGTTTTTCTTCGTTAGCTCTTTGTCGCAAAAATAAAGCTTGAAGTTAAATACTGTTTATTAATTAGAATACTTTCATCTGAAATATAACCAAAGGCATTTATTTGAAGTCTCTGGTATGAATTGTTAATTCTATCACTGCAAATACAATCGTACTTCTGATTTTGGAAAAAATGTATGAAATCAAAGACTTGAAGTAAGTAGAGTATCTAATCTAACACTCCAGATTTGATTAAATTGGTTTTTGGTTTGTGAAAATACGTAGTTTATGACATATAAATAAAAAGAATTGGCACGAGTCACCTTAGATTCAGTACGAAGAAACTATTTTGTCGCATTGAAAACTAATATTCTTCTACACATTCTGAATTCAATAAATTTATATGCAGTCCTCTCGTATATTACCTTGAAATTTAAACTGTGAAAAAATCTGTCAAAAATGAAGTTCACATTCTTAAACTTACCTTAAAAGGTCAATTTGTCTAGAGTAAATTCATGTTAATTGGCACTGGATAAACATATTTTAGTTGGCTTTCTTTTGCATTAAAAAAATGCAAAAAAACGATATTTTGCAAGATAAATTATACTTAGACTTCATTCAGTAACTTCAAGTATAGCCGAATCAATTGATTAAATAGCAAAGACTGTATTTATTATGTTTTGAAGTTGCCGGAATTCGTTTGAAAATTTTGCAAAAATTTCAATTCGTTTGCAAAAAATCACTTTTCCAATTTTAAGTACCTTAACACAAAAAATATTCAAAATTCAAAACTTGAGATAAGTATATAATTAATAGCTTCTGATTCCATAAAATTGATTTTTACCTCGAGAGAATGCGTTGTTCATGATATATAAGGCCAAACATTTAGGACGAGTTTGCCTCAAAGCTAGCGCGAAAAATATTGTTTATCGCGTAGAATAAAATATACACACGATTTGGCATCGATGTAGCGTGCAATGGCTCCAACTCTCGTCTAAACTTCGGATAATTTCGGGGCGAATTTTCGTTCCACTTCGTCTGACAAAACTAGCTTGGTAGCACCGCAAGTAAAATAAAACACGTTATTAACACCTGGTGCACGACCAATATAATTCAACAACAAAAAATTTTTTGAATGTCGAATGAAAAAAAACAAATATAAATATCCCTTTCTTTTTCATATCATATAAATTTGTGGTTTAGTATGGTACAATAATTGTCCCTAAGTAAGTGTCAAATGCTGGATTTGTCATTGGTGGTAAGTAAGATTGGAAAGTGTTCAACATCACTTGTTTAATTACATCAATTTTATTATGTTTCAGTTGCTTCGTATTTTTTAGATATTTGATTGTTTATGTTGCTTGAATTTGGCTGCAAAATTTATCAAAGTTTAAGATTTTCAATAATTCATCATTCCAAGAGTATGATAACTTCATGATTGATTTACTAATGTTATAGAATGATTCCAAATTGGTTAGTTGTTTTTATTGGTTACATGTTTCAGATTTGACCGTCCGACTGAAATGATTGAACTTGAATTGTACAAGTATTTGACAATTTAATGTCTTCATTCCAACTCGAATATAATCTAACATGATACATGTGTCAAGAAACAGTTGTTAACTAATTCAATTGGGGGTTTAAGATGATGGTTTGGTGCTGCTTAGTGGTAAAAAAATCATAATGTGGTCTAATGAGTTGAATTTGACTCAACTAAACCATGAGATTCATCATATACAATAACAACACGACTAATAAAGCCATGAACACGTTTTCAAAACCAAAGATGCTTTCAATCTGGATATACCAATGGCTGCAAAATCGAAATTTAGAACTATCAACCATTAAATATACATGTCAATTCTTCTAAACCTTAACTCAATCTCGATTACTTAATAAAAACTCTCATTCGATTTGTTTTTTGTTGACTAAAAATTTTCCTTTCACTAATATCAAATTAATTTTTAATTTATCATGAAACTTGAAGAAGCTGAATTGAACCCCGAATTATATGGTCTTCGAAGATCAGGAAGAGAAAGAAAAATTACATCAATAATAGAATCAGATGATTCAGAGGATGAAATAGTGACTAAAAAGCGAAAGAAGAAGAAGATAAATAATGATGAATATGACGATGATGGTATCGAACTAGATGATGATGAAGAAGCTGGAGAATTTTCCGATGATGATTTCATAACTACAAACAAACCAAAAAAGAAGAGTAAGAAGAATAATCACGTAATGGACAATTCCAATATTAGATTTTCATTAAGAAATTCAAGAAATGTGAATTATGTTATTGACAATGAAGATGATGAAGATTTATTAGAAAGTGGAAATGAAATGGATTATCAATATTATGACTATGACGAACCAGGGAATGAAAAGGGTATAGATTTAGTTTTAGATTATCAAGTTATTGATGAAGAAATTAAAGATTCAGATTTTAAAACCAATTATAAATATAAAATTAAATGGACTGATTCAAGTCATTTACATAATACTTGGAATACATATCAAGAATTATCTGAATATAAAGGTTTTAAAAAAGTCCAAAATTATATAAAATATTTAATTCAAGATCGTGAATATCGTTCTGATCCTTTTACAACTAGAGAAGAAATAGAAACTTTAGATATAGAAAGAGAAAGAAAAAGAGATGAACAAGCTGTATATACGCAAGCTGAAAGAATTGTTGATTCAAAAAGAATTCAAGAAGATGATGGAACTAATAAAATGTTATATTTTGTTAAATGGAAAAGATTATATTATGATGAATGTTCATGGGAAGATGGTGAAACAATTGCTAAAATTGCACCTAATGAAGTTTCAAAATATCAACAAAGACAAAATTCAAAAATATTACCACAATATACATCAAATTATAAACCATCTCAAAGACCTAAATTTGAAAGATTAATTAAACAACCACCTTTTATTAAAAACGGAGAATTGAGAGATTTTCAATTAACTGGGTTAAATTGGATGGCTTATTTATGGAGTAAAAATGATAATGGTATATTAGCAGATGAAATGGGTTTGGGTAAAACTGTTCAAACTGTTGCATTTTTATCATGGTTAATTTATGCAAGAAGACAAAATGGTCCACATTTAGTTGTTGTTCCATTAAGTACAGTACCTGCATGGCAAGAAACTTTTGAAAAATGGGCACCAGATGTAAATTGTATTTATTATCTTGGTAATACAGAAGCAAGAAAGACTATTAGAGATTTTGAATTTCCGAGATTCAACATTTTATTAACAACTTATGAGTATATACTTAAAGATAGATCAGAATTAGGTTCATTTAAATGGCAGTTCCTTGCAGTTGATGAAGCTCATAGATTGAAAAATGCAGATTCATCATTATATGAATCATTAAAATCTTTTAAAGTTGCCAATAGATTATTAATTACCGGTACTCCATTACAAAATAATGTTAAAGAATTAGCTGCTTTATGTAATTTCCTTATGCCTGGTAGATTTAATATTGAACAAGAGATTGATTTTGAAGCTCCTGATGAACATTATATAAAAGAATTACAAGAAGCTATTAAACCATTTATATTAAGAAGATTGAAAAAAGATGTTGAGAAATCATTACCTTCAAAAACTGAACGTATATTACGTGTTGAATTATCTGATTTACAAACTGAATATTATAAAAATATTATAACTAAAAATTATGCAGCTTTAAATTCAAGTGGTTCACAAATTTCATTATTAAATGTAATGAGTGAATTAAAAAAGGCTTCAAATCATCCTTATTTATTTGACGGAGCTGAAGATCGAGTATTAAAGGGACTTAAAACTCGTGAAAATATGTTAAGAGGAATGATTATGTCTTCTGGTAAAATGGTTTTACTAGAACAATTATTAACAAGATTGAAAAAAGAAGGTCATAGAGTATTAATATTTTCGCAAATGGTTAGAATGTTGGATATATTAGGTGATTATCTTACAGAAAAAGGTTATAAATTTCAAAGATTAGATGGGGGTATACCTTCAGCTCAAAGAAGAATTTCAATTGATCATTTTAATGCTCCAGATTCTTCAGATTTTGTATTTTTATTATCAACAAGAGCTGGTGGATTAGGTATTAATTTAATGACTGCTGACACAGTTATTATATTTGATTCTGATTGGAATCCTCAAGCTGATTTACAAGCAATGGCAAGAGCTCATAGAATTGGACAAAAAAATCATGTTATGGTTTATCGTTTTGTTTCAAAAGATACAGTTGAAGAACAAATTTTAGAAAGAGCTAGAAAAAAGATGATTTTAGAATATGCAATTATATCATTAGGTATTACTGATGTTTCTAAATCTAAAAAAGCAGAACCAGAAACTAGTGAATTGAGTCAGATTTTAAAATTTGGTGCTGGTACAATGTTTAAAGAAAATGATAATCAAAAGAAATTGGAAAATTTGAATTTAGATGATGTTTTGAATCATGCGGAAGATCATGTTACAACACCAGAATTGGGAGAATCAAATTTGGGATCAGAAGAATTCCTTAAACAATTTGAAGTTACTGATTATAAAGCTGATGTTGAATGGGATGATATTATACCACAGGAGGAATTGGCAAGATTAAAAGAAGAAGAGAAATTAAAAGCTGATGAAGAATTTTTACGTGAGCAAATTGCAATGAGTTCAAGAAGAGCAAGAGAACCACCAAAAGAATATAATGAATTAAGTGAAAAAGAAATTAGATCAATTTATAAATCAATATTAAAATGGGGTGATTTACAAGGTAAATTTGAAAAATTAGTTGAAGAAGGAAGTATACCGAATGAATTGATATTAATAAAACATTGTTATGCTGAAATGAATCAACAAGCTGAAAAATTATATAAACAAAATCCAAATGCATCAAAAGCTTTATTATTTAACTATAATGGAATTAAAGGTTTTAATGCAACTACATTAATTGAAAGACCACAACAAATGAAAGTATTAAATGAATCAGTCAAGGATAATAAAATAAAATTAAATAAAGAGCCAAAACCAACAAAAGGTTGGGCATGCGAATGGACAGAAACTGATGATGAAAATTTATTAATTGGTGTTAATAAATTTGGATTTGGTTCATGGGTTGCAATGAGAGATGATCCAATATTAGGATTTCAAAATAAATTCTTTTTAGAAATTGATGCAAAGAAATTACCTGGAGCTGTACATTTAACAAGAAGAGTTGAATATTTATTTACATTATTATTAGATCAACCAACAACAAGAAAACCACCTACATCAAGATCAAATTCAAAACAATCAACACCAAGAGCATCAACACCAAAAGCACCAATTAAAAAAGAAGTGAATAGAAAACCAAAAGAAAGTTCTCCAGAACCAAATTATAAACAAATCATGCATCCAATCAATTCGTCATTAGTCAGACTAAAAGAAGGCAATAAAGGATTATCAAAACATGAATGGGCAACAATATTAAAAACTGAATTATTAAATGTTGGTGACTTTATAGAAAAACAAGTTTCCAAATCAAGATCTAAAGAGAAAACTAGAAGAGAATTATGGCAATATGCTGGTTTATATTGGCCATCAAAAGTACCAAGTAATAAAATTAGTGATATGTATAACAAAATAAAATCAAGAAGTAAATAGAGATTTAATCAAACATAATTCAACATTAAAATTTCAAAACACCTGTTCAATTGTTTTTAAAATCTTCATAAGCTTTTAAAGCATCATCAAAATGAGATTGGAATAAATCTTCATCTTGTAATAATTGTAATAATTCTTCAGTTTCTAAACCTAACATCATACCAGTAATTTTACCAGCAGCTTCAGGATCTTGAACTTTAGCAATAACTCTTGGATATAATTGTTCACCAAGCATTCTTTTTTCATCAACTGGAGGTTGAGGAGCTCTCATTTGAGGTTGTTGAAATTGAGGTGGCATATACATTGGAACTGGTTGATTTGGAAATTGACCTCTCATTCTCATCATTTGTGGTGGATACGGACCATTAGCACCATAAAACATTGGTGGTATAAATTGACCAGGTAAACCAGCATGAGCAGAAGCTAATCTAGCAGTATTTCTTGCTTGAATTTGTTGTTCTAATTGAGATCTTCTAACATCTTTTCTTTGAGCTAAAGCAACATAAATTGGTTTGTTCTTAATTAATTTTTGATTCATTTGAGAAATTGCTTTAGTAGCTTCTTCTGGTGTAGTAAAACAAACAAAACCAAAACCTCTTGATTTACCATTTTCATAAACCATAACTTTAGCAGAAGTAATTTGACCAAATTCTTGAAATAATTCTTCCAATTCTTTTGAATCAACTGACTCATCTAAGTTTTTAATGTATAAATTAATACCTTGATATTTTTGAGCTTTTTCAATTCTTGCTTTTTCAAAAGATTCTCTCAATTCTGATGAACGTTCAGATTTTTTTTGAGCTCTACCAACATATAATTTTAAACCTTCAACTTCTTTATCATTCAATTCATCAATTGATTTTTGAGCTGCATCATGATTTTCAAAATTGATAAAAGCAAAACCTTTTGATGTACCTTCAGAATCTTTTTCTAAATGGAATGAAGTAATTTCACCAAATGGTTCAAATAATTTTTTAATTTCATCTTCTGATAATGATTGAGCTAAATTTTTAATATAAACATTGGTGAAATTTGCTTTAATTTCATTTTTTTTTGATTCTCTAACTTCTTTTGATTCATGTTTTGCAACATAAACTTCACGGTCATTTAATAACATACCGTTAACTGATTCAATAGCAGCATTAGCAGATTCAGCATCTTCATAATGAACAAAACCAAAACATCTTGAATTACCATTTTCATCAGTTGAAACTTTACAAGATAAAATTTTACCAAAAGCTGAAAAGGTATCGTGTAAAGCTTTATTATCAATAGCTGGATGTAAATTTTTAATAAAGATATTACCATCACCAGATCTTCTGGTTGAAGGATCTCTTTGAGACCACATAATTCTACATGGTTTACCATCAATAATTGAATAGTTTAAATCTTCAATTGCTTTTTCACCATCTTGAACAGCACTATAATTAACATAGGCGTAACCTAAAGATTTCTTGGTAACAGCATCTCTACAAACTCTAATTGACGAAACTTGACCAATTGGTGAGAAAACTTCAAATAACGTAGCTTCATTAACTGAAGGAGCTAATTCACCAACATATAAACTAGCTGTAGCTTCTTGGATTTTTCCTTCAACAGGTTCATTAACTTTATCATTTGAATCATTTTCTAATGATAATTTATTAATGTTTTCGTTTAAAGCTTCCATGTTGAAATATGAATGATTTTTGATATTTTTTTTTAGTTTTTTTTTAAAAGTTTATTATATTTTTTTTGGTTTTTTTAAAGATATAAATGTAAAATGAAGTTTAAATAGGATGATATATTTAATACTTCAAATTAAAAGTTTGTTCCTTTGATAATATGTATATATATACTAAGGAGATGACTTTGAAAATAACTTTGGTAAGAAAGAAAAAAAAATTTCGAAAAATATTTTTACACGAAAAAAAAAAAAACCAGACGATGAAAAAAATAATAGATGCTAAAGAAGTTTCCATTATAATATATGACAAGTAATATGGACTTATTGACGTACAATAGTCAGGCAGACCTCTTTATAACAGTTGTTGTAAGCAGTTATCCAATTTCTCGACTGTAAATTGACCTTATATTTGTCGAAATCGCTTATTGAAAAATTTTCGAATGTTGTAATCTGAAATAATATGCAGGAAATATAATGTCGTGTAATAAGTCCAAACTATGCGTTTTCACAATTAACCATGAATTGTATTGATAATGATCCTTACTAATTAGTATCAATAGTATCAAATGACTGGGGATAACTCATCTGGATATCTATTCTTGTTCCATATCAATGAAATAATTATGTGTTTCAGAATTCAATTTTGTGTAATTCTCGTCTGATTCTTTTTTTATATTTTTTTTTTTTTTTTTTTTTTTTTTCTTCAATTTTGCAACCCTGGTTGCAAAATATTCTGAGAGAATGATAACAAAAACTCTTTCAATTTCATGACAACACACACACAAAACCCTTACTTTCTAAACCAGGTCAACTTAATAACAAAGTATGGATTGGATCATGTATTAGCTCGCTTCCTTTATAAATTCAGTTAATGGTGCAATTTTCTCAAATCTTAATTCATCTCTATCTTTATCCATATTCTTAGTAGATCTATTAATCCCACTAGTTTTAAGCCAGTTGATATATAAATTCTTCCAAATCAGTTTCGTATCATATTCATTAATAAACTCATCTTTCCTTTGCTTATATACATAATTTAAATATTCCCTAGTTGTTAAATTGTGAATATTGAGAAATAAATGAAAAGTTAACAAACATAAAGGATAAGCACAACCTAAAACACCATAAATAATCAATAATAAACTAACTGGTGATTTCCTAGGAGAACTAGAAGCCAATTTGACAGATGATACAATAATGACATAAACACAATTAATAACACATAGCAACAAAAACCAAAGGAAATATTTATAATTCCTTTCTCCAATACAATTATTTAAGAAATTACAATGGTGATCATGTGTCAATACACAAGTATCACATATTGAACAATGAGATGTCCGAACAGTTCGGTAAATATTACAAGTAGTACAATATCTTACTTTCACACCTGGTGGTAATGAAATCACGTTGAAATATTCATCTGGTGGATCTCTTATCTCATTATCTATTGGTTCTTTAGGAATGTGAAGATTTCGACTTAATACACCGGGGTCATAAAATGAGACTTTAACAAAAGTGGACAAATTGATTAAATATAAATATGCAAATATTATAGGTATTGATGGCGATTTTCTCCATGACCAACTAGCTTCAAATATAAAGTATAGTAATCCTGGTATAATAATTAATACTGCAGTTATTAAATTTATTGGTTTCAGTTTAACTGTTTTTAATCTACCACCAAAGAAATATAAATTATTATCATTTTGATATTTAATTAATGATGGATCTGTAATTAACCAATTAGTTATAAATCGTTGTAATAATGTTAAATCATCAATACTTGTTGATTCAATAGACTTTGAATCCATTACAGAAAGAAAAAAAAAATATTGACTATTATCACCGATGTTTAAATCTATACGGCCAGTTGTTTTTAAACGAGGTTTAAAAGTAACACGACCAAAATTATCAAATCTAAATCAATGGAAGACTATAGTTCAAATATTAACTGGTGCTTATATTGGTGGTATAATTGTTATTTCTGGTTCATTATATTTTATATACTCAGATGCTAATAAAAGACAACCAATTCCATTAGAATTAAATATTAATGATCAAGTAAATTCAGTGATGGCAATAAATAAAGATGAAGTTTTAGGTAGTCCACGATTTGCAAGTAAACATTACAGAGCATTATTGGTTAACTTATATAAAGAAATATATCCAGATTATAAAGAAACGAATGGTTACGATATACCTATATTAGACTACCAAGCATTATTGAAAAAGAACACAAAGTTTGTTAATTTTTATATTGATATGGTTTTAAGATATGCTAAGACATTGTTGGCTAAAGGAGAATCACAAATTTCAGTTTCAATTTTAAGGAGAATCATAAATGATGATTTCATATTTGAAAATCTTGCAGATCCAGAGAAATTAAGTAATGGAAGTAGATTATTAAGTAAAATAACACTGGATACAAATGAGAAGGAACAATTGTTAAATAGGTCAATTGCCATGTTATCATCAGCTTTCAATTTTCAAGTTAAGGATAATATAATACAAAATATGAAATTGTCAGATGAGCTATTATTTTGTCTTAATGACTTAGCTTTTGTATATGCCAAAAGTGGTAAGTTAAACGAATCATTGACTATCTATTTATCAAATTTGAAAATATTGGAAGAGATCAAAACAAGTTTAGAGAATGGAAAATCCCAAATCAATTATCCTTTATTCAATTGTAATTCAGAGAATATAACACTACAAATATGCTCATTAAAAGCTCATATAAGTGAAATATTGTTTGCAAAGAATTATAAAGATAAAGCTATTCAAATGTCACAAGAAGTAATTGATGAAATATTTTATGATTATAATTCGAATCCCAATGTTAGTCCAATACTTATAAATGTCCTACATAACTTAAAAGCAATGTATAAGAAAATTGGAGATGAGAAGGAGATGAGCAAGTGTCAGAATATGATTGATGGTTTACCTTTATTTGATGCTGATTTACGTAAGTCATTTTATGATGAGATGATTTCTAAATGGAGTAAAATCATCTATGAATTGGGTCCAATTGGAATTATTACAAAACCTTTGAGTGAAAGGTATGGTCCAAAACAACGAATTAAAGAATTAGAAGAAATTGAGAATGAATGAATTAGTTAAATTGTAAATAGATAATGCAAATAATGAGAACAAGATAACAACTAGTCATATAATGACATCTAGTATAACTAGATTCTCTCTTTTTAATAGTTTCAATTATATTCTTATCGTATATTATATTTAATCAAAAATTTTCGATTTTACGAGACAAAATAATTTCTCGCCCTAGAGTTAAGACAACACGTACAAATTGCACTAGCTTATATATCATGAACAACGCTTTCTCCTCAAATAAAAACCAAAGAAATGAAATCAGGGGTGCTGAACCATATATCCTTCGTATTCAGGTCTTGAATTTTTCTTTCAAGTATGGAGAAAAGTGAATAAATTGACCTTACAAAAAATTCAACTCCACACTGAATTTTCAGACCTAAACATGATAGAACTAGGCAAATTTGTAGGTTTGGCAAGTTAATTAACGTCAGGTTTTTTGTTGAGGTGTCCAAAATTGAAAAACTAATTTTTCATAAGTGAATCGAAAATTTTGCAAAAAATTCAAACCAATTTTGGCATCTTGGAATTATCATACTTGTAATTTTCGGAGCTTAATCGATTAATCCAGCTAGTTTAGAAGTTGATAGATGAAATTTAAGAGTTATTTATCTTGCAAAAAAGACATTTTTCTTCATTTTTTAAAAGATAAGTAAAGTGATCAGAATTATAATTCCATAAAATATAATAGCATTCAATCTGCTCGAATTTGACTGAAACTTTAACGAAAAAAGTAGCTACAGCTTGATTATTGAGGGAGCTATTTGCAAACAAGGATTTATGATTAATTACTGTGAGACTGCATAAAAGTAAATGTGTACAGATTTCAGCACGTATTAATTAATGCGAAAATTTGTCGCGGAAATTAATTTCCAGTGCTAACATTAAGGCGACATCGTACTACAATCGTTTGATTGTCAAATTGCGTAACTAGTTTGATATTACTTTTCATATACAAAATGTCCAAGATAAATACAATTCATTTTGATCACATCTACAAGATCAAAAATGCTCGTCTACTCGATCACGTTTGAAATTTTCGACGAAATCAGAATTCATCTTCTCCAAAGTAACTTCGTCACCTTGTGGCGAAAATGTCACTTTATTAGTGTTAGTAGATCCAAAACTAAACTATAATGGTTGTTAATAACCACTATAAAATATAACTCGTCGAAATCAGTTCCTAAATCTTACGCAAGTTTCATTGACCAGAATTCAACTTCCCCAAATAAGTGAAAATATCATTATCAAGTTGGTAGCGATAATTTTCGAAATTTTTCAATTTCATCAATTATGTCTTTAATATTCAAACGAAGTATCAAATTATTCACAAGTAATATAAATAGACTGCTATCTCGAGAAACAAATCTTCTAAATGATTGTAAACATATACTACATTCATATATAAAACCATATAACTCCCAACATAAACAACAAATAATATATATAAATAGAGATGCCTTACCAGAAACATATTATCAATATAAATTTCAATCAAAATTCAATTACATCCAAGAAATAACGGGAACCAACATATCTTTTGGGAAATCATTTGACGATTTCATATCACTACGTATTTTAGGCAGTCCAAGAAGAACAGATCATTCAATCAGAATCATAAATAGTATCATAAGCAGACAGAGAAAGATTGAACAATATATTAATGGACAACTGCCGGTGAATAGTTTTAACTTGTTATTTTTGGGAGTACCGTTTAAAAATAAAGGACATGAAGATATTTATACACAAATTCACTATATTCATGAATCTGTAATTGATAAATTTATAGGCAAGGGCGGATTCAATTTAAACTTCATAAGGGAGAAATATGGAGTTGAGAAGACATGGGTGATTCCACCAGTTACACTTAAGACACCATTTCTGAAAGCAGATAAAAATAATGAATATTTTCAAATGACTATCATTGGAAATGCAAATAGTATTTATCAGACTGATAATTTTTGTATTGCTAAGTTACAGAGATATCTTGCATGGAAGAAGCGTAAAGAAGCTAAATTTGAAAAACAATTGAATTTTTATGAACAACGGGAGAAGGAATATGAATTGAAGGGTATTAGGTTGGATGATTTAAAAGTTGGTAAAAATAATGATTATGAATTGAAAGAATTGGAAAAGTTTGTAAAGACATTATGATTATAATAGACAAGTATACTGCTATAGAACTTTTAGGATCTTTGTTATTATCTCTATTTTTATCTTTTGCACCTTTCGGCTCCGAAAATTCGAACCCTTTTGTAGTCATACTGATCCAAGAAGAAGATTTATTTCAATCAAGGCTATTCAATCAAGGCTATTCAATCAAGAAGCTCACTCGATACCTCGCTAATAGGTCAAAGAATTGGTAGTGATTATTAAATCTAGATTATAACGATTATAACAAGCTAATCTAATGCAGTTATTCAACAAGAACCTTTTTTTGCCTTTCTTTCGGATTGTATCATTTAGCATTAGCTCATACTATACGTCTCGATTTTAGTCTAAGTCCTATCTCCATTCTATCACCCAATATTAATGGCTGCAAATTAATCAATCCATATATATCCAGATGCTACCAATTACAATTGCAACCAATCAAATCAAATTTGAAAATAATCAAAAATAATCAAAGAAAAAAAAAATCCAATAATCACCAACCCCATACTTTTAATATGTTTTCATTATCACGTCAAATTGGTATTAAATCAATAACTAGACCAACAACCAGTATATTGTCAAGATCAATCAAAACAATTCCGCAACCCCCAGGTTATGTGGTTGGAACAGTAAATGATGCTTATATTCCACCAAAACCACATAAATTAGAAGGTTCATATCATTGGACAGCAGAAAGATTGGTTAGTATTGGATTGGTTCCATTAACTTTAGCCCCTTTATTCACTGGAGTATCAACTTTACTTGACTCCACTTTATCTGCATTATTATTATATCATTGTTATGCTGGTTTCCAATCTTGTATCATAGATTATATTCCAAAAAGAGTTTATGGAAATTATTTTAATTATGCTATGTATTTATTAACTTTTGGTACTGGTATTGCTGGTTATGGTATTTATAAAATTGAAGAGAAAGAAGGAGGGGTTACTAAATTGGTTGGTAAATTGTGGAAAGCGTAAGGATGCTGTAAGGATGCAAAATTACGAGTGCAAAGCTCAAGATGCAAAACTACGAACATAGATAAAGTAATTTATTAATATATATTTATTCGGAACAACAGCCAGCGTTGTAAGGATGCATGTAAGGATGCAAGGATGCAAACAGTAAGGATGCCAATCAAACATGTGATTCAAATCAATCTCCAAACTCAATATCTAAAATCAAGCCCAATTCAGCTCTCAAAAATCAAACTCAACTACCAACTCCAATTTTCAAAGTTACAACTTTCTTATAGTGTTTTGGTTTATTGCATCCTTACGTATTATCAGGAGTTTTCCTCTTTCTCGTATTATCTTTATCTTTTTCATTATCTTTATCCTTTGTTTCATATTCATCAAATTGCAACTTGAGAGGGATTAATCTATCATTAACCCAATTTTTCAAATTCAAAACAGCATAATTGACTGATCTAGTTTTTATATCATCTTCATTCAAAACTTTTAAGTTGTAGATTCTTGAATTGTAAACATCTCTGCTTGAAGACTCGTTGATTATCCAACAATTATTAACTTGATCGATTTTGACATTGACCACTCCATTAAAAATCAAATCTATGACAAATTTGTCCAACTCTTCAGGTAATCCATAACTTTTAAATTCTGGAGATGATAAGTTTAATTGTGAGTTTTCATGATCGTTACAAATTGAAATAATAGTCAACTTAATTAGTTTTTCAATTAGTTCGGTGTCTAATTCAATATAATCTTGTTGATATTTCAAATAGTGTTGATAATTTCCAACTGTGAATAATTCAACAGTGTTAATTAATTTTTCATCTATATCACCCAATTTTAATAGTTCAATTAAATATGAATACTTGTTCTTTTCTTTTAATAAATTGACAACTTCTTGATTCATAATTAATTGGTATTTTTTTCCCGTAATTTTTTTTCGGAAATCGCTGAAAATCTGCCTTGAGGTCGTTTGAAACTAGATCAGAAACTTCGCGTTGGCTCGCGCGAAGCTAGGACGAAAAAAAGCCGTGTATATTTTAATTTACTAGTTTTTGTAAATAAAAACCTATCAACATTGCAGAAACAGCTATAATTACAGTTGAAACCATTTGTTTATCAGTAGATTCTTTGGTTGTGGTTGTATTATCTATCTTTTTAGGAAACGGTTCCACTTCTTTTTGAGGAAGTATAATTGATGATGACACTGGAGTTTGTGGTTGTTCGACTTGTGGTTGTTGTTCTGGTAATTCTTCATTTGATTCACTTTCATCATCTGATGAAGGTGGAGTTAATTCAATAGTTGTATCTTTTGGAATTATATTATTTTCTAAATTTTTCAAATTATCTCTTACTGATGGAGTACGTGATAGATCCATTATAAATCCATTTATTGCATCGGATATATCTTCTTCTTGATCAACCGTACCTTGTTGTTCTTGTATTGCACTTTTAAAAGCTAATTCATCTGCTAATTCACTCATTTTGGCTAATTCTGAAACTAATTTCTCTTTTTCAGCTTCTAAATTCTTGATTATGTTGATATTGTTTTTGTTCTTTTCCTCTATGTTTAAATTTTTTAGTTTTAGTTCGTTTATGTAACTGTTTAAGCTTGATTTTTCGGATTCTGATGATTTTAATTTATCATTTATGAGATTAAATTTGTTTACATTTTCTTCTTTGAGTGTTTTTAATTGTGATTTCAATTTCTCTCTATCTGATTTTTCAGTTTCTAGTTTAGCTTTTATTGTTTTTAATTCTTTATCAAATTGATTATCTAAATATTCCTTATTTAATGAGTCCAAGTTGGTGCTGTAGTTTTTAAAAAAGGTATTAAGGTTGTTGATTGTACTTGATTGTTGTTTAACCTTAGTTAAGTTTAAAATGAGCAAGTTGAGTACATTTTCCAAAGTTGAAGTATTCACAATGTTTGAATTATTATAAATTCCCATATTATTACCATATAATCCTAATAAAACATCATCCATTTCATCATTAACATCTCCAAAAACAGCATTTTCAAAAGATAAATCAACTAATGTATCCTCTTCACTATTATTCACTTGTGATATAAGTTTTTCAATATATCCAATATGACCATTACACTCCTCATTAAATTTTTCATTAGTATTTACGAGATTTATGTTGTCTATCTTTAGACTAATTTGTTTATGTGTACTTTCAGCTTGAACATTAAATCCTAAACATATTATATCATTCAATTTAACTTCCACTGGATCATTACCTAATCTAACATCGTTTAAATAAGTACCATTTGAACTACCTAAATCTTGTAAATATAATTTACCTTCTGATATATATATCTGTGCATGATTTCTACTTAATACTCTACTATCAAAATATCCATTATTTGTTTCTGGTTTATGTTTTGTACCTGTTGGTCGTCCAAGTTTAGTAGTTTCTGGAAAATTAGCAACTAATAAATTTTTGGTTTTGAATGTGTCATTTAAAGGTAATAAAGTGACATAAAATGAAACTTGTGCTCTTCTATTACTTAAACCACTAGTTGTTGGTTGTTTATTATTGTTTTTTGGTTTTGTAGGTAGATTTATAACTTGCAGTTGAGAATTTGATCTTTTTCTACCATTAGTACCAACGTTTATTTTCTTTATATTTTTATAATTCTTATCAATTGACGGAAAGGGTGTAGTATTCTTAACTATATCAGTCATTATAACATTTAACCAAATTTGTACCTTATATATATATTTTTTTTTTTTTTTTTTTTTATTCTCAATTGTTTTGATTTATCAAAGATGAAAGATAATCAATTTGATTTCTTGAATGCTTGTAATTCATCATTGAAAGATACCATACAACTACTAAGAAGTTCAAATGAGTTGTTGAATGAGAGTACAAAATACTGTAATAGAGTTAAATTGATACTTTCACGGAACAAAATATTTAGTCTTGTTCCTGAATTAGATTTAATTGATGCAAAAGAACAATTTCAACACCAGATAAATCCATTGATACTCAAAAGTTTAAATGATTTAAAAAATGATATTACTAGGTTGACTAATAAGAGACTTAAATTAAAGGAGGAATTATCTGTTAAGAAACGAGATAATTTGAAATTACAAGATAAGGATAAAATAACAAAATTGAAATTAATAAAAGACAAAAGGAAAAGATTGGAGAGGATATATCATAACATAATGAATCAGTGAGGAGAAAGGATGCAGTAAGGATGCAGTAAGGATGCAGCAAGGATGCAAATGAGACAAAGGTTGAAGGTAAGGATGCTAATTTGATGAATATTGAGATTAAAACAAGGTAGAGACTCGGGTTTTTTTTTTGAGTTGATGTTGGATTGATACTCCGTCTGTAATACTACTCTAATACTACTGTAATATACACTATAGATGCTATAAAAGTCTATCTACTCTTGTTATACGCTTAATAGTAATAAACTTTTGAGCTACAATACACGCCCTACAATAATAAAAAAGATCACCCTTTCAATAAAAATACAACGATATTCAACAACTAGTTTTATTTTGTTATGAGATATACATTTATTTTATTTATTATTGGTTTAGTATTAACTAAAAATATATTTGATTTGGAGAAATTAAAATTAGGTGTAGAAGATTCAAAAAAATTACAAGAACAAGCAGAAGAATCAAATCAGAAGAGAAAGAATACATTCAATTTAGAGAGCTTGAAAATTGGTAAATCAGATAAATTCAAACGTAAAAATACTTTTAAACCAGTGGATTTTACAATCGATAAAAGAAAAAACACATTCAATCCATCAGACTTCAAAATAGATAAAAGAAAAAACACATTCAATCCATCAGATTTTAAAATAGATAAAAGAAGTCAAGATATTTTATCAATGAATAACATTCTTACTACTGTTCTTCCACAATTGAAATCAATATCAATTTTTACTTCTTACTTAAGAGATGATGTTAATTTAAACAACAAATTCGAAACCGAAGATTCAATCTTGATAATTGCTCCAACTGATGAAGCAATCTCAAATCTCTGTCTTAAACCATGGGAATTTCCAAAAGAAATAAAGGGTGACGATAAAGAAGAAAATGAATTAGTTAACTTCAATATTGAGCATTTTATTGCTGGTCATATGAGTACTACATTTTCTAATATTGATGATGTTACATTAGATAATGGAAAGCAAATTAATGTTGTTTTTGATGGGACCAATTATGGTATTCAGGTTGAGAATGATGTTGTTATTGATGTGATTTATGCTGAAAAGGTCAAGAATGGTATTATTTTAATTATTAATGATACTTTAGTTAAACCAAATTAGACATTAGATTTTTGGAGAAATGTTTTAATTCTTTTGTTTGTTTTTATATTTTTGTTTAGTTGGGAGAATATATGTTTGTAAAATTACAACTAAAAATCGAGGGAGTAAAAGTACTGTTGTCTATTAACGTTGGTTAATTTATGGAGCTTTAATTAATGTTCAATTCCTGAGGATTTGGGCTTAAGACGTTACTGGATATTACTCCGGATCCTTTACCGCTATCTAAAGTACTCTATAGATTAGTGCTGAAATTCAAAAATATCGTCAATATATTACTTCAAGTGTTTACAACTTGGCATTACCTCTAGTGTTTACAACTTGGCAGCTTACAGTACTTTGCATCCGTACAATAAAGTAGTCATTACCTTATACCCATCTGATATTCAGTGATTGCAGATCTTAAACTAATTGGGAGCTTACTGTTGTTGAACTTAGGGATAATTTCAATTTCCATTGTTTGTTAGGCGGTAATTATGGGTTTTAGGGGGTGTATTTTTTCTTAGCCGCACGCGCAAATTGAGCCCCTTTTTTCATTTTAGGGTTGGCGTTTTTTTATATATATATTTTTTTTTTTTTTTTTTCTTTTTTAATCTCAGCTGACTTGACATTTTTTTAGTTTAAAGCAATTTTAATGACAACAACAAATTATCGATAGAGACTAATATTGTTTAGATGGTTATATTATTATGAAACATATATCATTATTTGATGTTAAATTAAAATCCCAACATAAAAATACTTTATTAATTAAAGGTAATGAGTTTGAAATTGAAAATATTCCGTTTGAAGGTTCTGTTAAATTATCATTAAATGAAGATATTGATATTAAAAAAATTACATTATCATTAATTGGGGAATTTAGTTATGAATATTCTCATAAAATTACGCATGAACAATTTCTAGATAGATTATGTGTTTTAAAAATTGATTGGAATAATTTATTATGTTCAGATCAAGGTAATATAACATTAGGAAATTATGGAGATCCAATTATACCAATGTATAAATTAAAAAAGAAAAATGTTTCTGGAACTTCAACTCCAACTGAGAGACCACATAATTATAGAACAAAATCAACTCCATTATTTAAAGATAAGGAAACTTGTAAGATTTTAATTCCAAAATCTGGTATTGATGGAACTCCATTTAAAAATTTAGATCAATCTACAAATCATTCTTTTTTATTACCTAAGGGGAATTATAGTTTACCTTTTAAAGTTTATTTACCTTCTAATATTGGTGAAACTATTGAAGGTTTACCAATTGGTACATTATTATATAAATTACAATGTAATATAGAAAGAGGTAGATTTGAGAAGAAAATATCAGTTAATAAACATATTAGAGTAGTGAGAACATTACATCCACAAAATTTAAATTTAACAGATTCTATAGATGTTGATAATACTTGGGTTGGTAAATTACAATATAAAGTAAGCATGTTAAAAAAAGGAGTTGCCATAGGTTCAAATATTCCAATTAATATTATAATTATTCCAATAGCAAAAGGTTTAAGTTTAAAAGCAATGAATGCATGTATTGTTGAACATTATCATATTGATGTAAATGGTGAAAGATCTCCTGAATATGAAAGATTAATTGGAAAACAAGAACTATCAATTCCTGATGAAGATTTACCTTATGACAGATGGGATATTAAAACACAATATAAAGTACCTGATCAATTGAAAAAAATTACTCAAACTTGTGATGTTAGAAGTATGATTGTAGTTAAACATAGATTAAGAGTTGCAATTCAATTAAGAAATAAAGAAGGTCATGTAAGTGAATTAAGAGCAAATTTACCAATTTATGTATATATAAGCGCAAATTCAGGTCATGTTATAGGCAGACATTATGAAGTTGATAATCATCATGGTACATTTATTTTAGATATGACAAAGGAAGATTTAGTATTTAAACGTCATGATGAAGAAGAAGAAGAAGAAGAATCAGATTTAGATCGTGAAGATTCTGCTCCTCCATTATATTCTAAACATATATTTGATAGAATTTATGATATGAATTTACCACAAACACCATTAGAACAATTTAGATCACAAGTTGGATCACCAGTATATTCAAATAATTCCTCATCATTAAATGTAGCTGGATATTTTGAGTTACCTATAGATAAAGCATTAGAAGAAAATATGAAAAAACATAAAGCAAGATCATCAAATGTAGATTATTTACATATTCCATCATATAATGAAGCTTTAGATGCAGATGAAGATGAAGAAAGTTTTACACAAGATGATTTTGCACCATGTTATTCAGGATCTGATTCAAGTAGTTTATCTTCTACAAATCCAATTAAAATTAATAAACCTAAAAATAATAATACTGGTCATTTTAAATTTCATTTAAAAAGTTCTTCATTACCACATTCAAGATCAAATTCAGCAATGAATATAGATAGATTGCCCGATTCAGTATCACCAAAACCAAAGAAATTCTTTAGTAAGAAGTAAAACTGCAAGGATACAGTTACTATAGTTGTAAGGGTGCAAGCTAGACCAAACCACAGTAGTTAGAATGTAGATCTTAGATTTTTATTTTTTTTTTTTTTTTTTTTTTTCTTTTTACGATTGTTTATTTATATATGAAAGACCCTTTTGAAATATATCAAGATAACATCAAAAAGAACATCGAACGAAGAAATGTTAAACCATTGAGTACTTTATTAGATGTTAGTAATGTTCAATCACACCCAAAACGTCATAAAATACCATTACAACCAGTTAAAAAGGTATTATCAACTTTTAAATCAACAAATATTCAATCACAACATCGAAAAAAACCAAAAGTTTTACATTTTGAAGTGCTTGAAAACAGAGGATTAGCTAAGAAGTTCAACAATATAGATCATCAATTCCTAAATTCAAATGATTTAATTGTCTCCAATTGTGAAAATAGTTTAAAATTAATAGTTGATTGGTTTAAAATAAGTAATTTTGATTATGAATCAAAGGAGAAAGAAGGAAATTTAGTTGATAAACCAATGGAGAGTGATATTTTGCGATCTATTTTGAAAAGTGATAATAAATATCAAGTTAAAGCAACTCATAAAATAATTGAGCTTGAAAAATTGGGTAATTCTTATATGTGTAAAGTAACTGATGGAATAGTTGAGAAAAAGGTTCTTATGCTTTGCTTGATTGATATTGAGTTACATGTTAATGATGAGATCAATTTAAATAATTTACATTTTATACAAAATGGTCTGGAATATTACTTAAAATGGGAACGGATTATTAAATAGTAGTCTTGATGACTGTAAATAGATGAATTAATGAATAAGGAAGTTATGATGAATACTACTTGATCCTCTTTGAATGGTGATAATTCAAAAATATCGCCAAAATTTTTAAAAATTTATGAAAATGAAAATGTCAAAAAGCAGATTTTTATTAGTTTAAAACTCTAAAATCAAAGGGACATACTTTAAATATTGGACAAATTGATATTTCTATTGCAAAAATCCACTAGACTTAAAGACTGACAGGTGAATGTTTTTGAAAAAGGCCGGCACGTGGTTCAAAAGCCAACCATGAGTAAAATTTGACGAACTTCAACCTTAACAAATAAGATTTGGCCACCTGGTCATATCATCTGGAGGGTTGACCGAGTTGGTTAAGGTGACAGACTTAAGATCTGTTGGATTGTTATCCGCGCGAGTTCGAATCTCGCATCCTTCATTAATTTTTGCATTCGTTTCAACTGCGTAAGTTAATTTGTTGCAAATTTTTTTTTCAACAGACTTTACACCTACAAATGATCATTCACTGTTAATATATTATAATAAACTGTACCTTAGTAGCTGTTACTTTTTACATATACATATATCTACATATATAAATGGTTATTAATAAATTGACGATACCTGCATATAATCAAGCATAATTTTATATAAGAAAATGACAGAACGAAAAAAAAAAAAAGTTATCGATTAATCATCCATCTTTTGATTATTCTTATTGTATCGTTAATTCGTTTACAATAATTATTAATATCATCCATCATATATGTCACCAAGTCAAGTAGCTACTTCAAATGCAGCAGAATTTCATGGTCCTAATTTAAATGTTACTTTAACATGTCCAGAATGTAAAATTTTCCCACCCGATTTAGTTGAAAGATTTAGTGAAGGTGATATTGTTTGTGGTAGTTGTGGTTTAGTTTTAAGTGATAGAGTTGTTGATACAAGATCAGAATGGAGAACTTTTAGTAATGATGATCAAAATGGTGATGATCCTTCTCGTGTTGGTGATGCTGGTAATCCTTTATTAGATACAGAAGATTTATCAACAATGATATCTTATGCACCTGATAGTACTAAAATTGGTAGAGAATTAAATAGAGCTCAATCAAAATCATTAGTTGATAGAAAAGATAATGCATTAGCTGCTGCTTATGCTAAAATTTCTCAAATGTGCGATGGTTATCAATTACCAAAAATTGTTCAAGATAGTGCAAAAGAAGTTTATAAAATGGTTTATGATGAAAAACCTTTAAGAGGTAAATCACAAGAATCTATAATGGCTGCTTCGATTTTTATTGGTTGTAGAAAAGCAAAAGTTGCAAGATCTTTTAAAGAAATTTGGGCTCTAACTAATGTTCCAAGAAAAGAAATTGGCAAAGTTTTTAAAATTATTGATAGAATTATGAGAGAAAAGAACGCATCAAATCCAAATTCTGCTTATTATTCACAAGATAATATGCAAACTACACAAACTTCAGCAGAAGATTTAATTAGAAGATTTTGTTCTCATTTGGGTTTAAATACTCACGTTACAAATGGAGCAGAATATATAGCAAGAAGATGTAAAGAAGCAGGAGTATTAGCAGGTAGATCACCAACTACAATTGCAGCAACTGTTATATATATGGCATCATTAGTTTTTGGTGTTGATTTACCACCAAGTAAAATATCTGATAAAACAGGTGTAAGTGATGGTACTATAAAAACAAGTTATAAATATATGTATGAAGAAAAAGATAAATTAATTGATCCAACATGGATTGAAAGTGGTAAAGTTGTTATCGATAAAATACCAAAAACATGAGTTTTACTGTAAGGATGCCTTTTAGCACGGCTTGTGTGTAAGGATGCAATTTGAATATAGTATGTATTGTATTGTTATATAGTGATTGTATATATAGTTTATGTATACGATAGATTTTTTTTTTTTCATCATACAATATTATGTTTCGTATAATCAAAAGATTTTCAAGTCAATTAACTAAAACTTATCAAGATGTAGTTATAATTGGAGGTGGTCCAGCTGGTTTGACTCTATTAACTGCTTTAAAAACATCTCCAATAACAAAAAATTTAAAATGTACCTTAATTGAAGGTACAAATTTAGATAAAGTAAGGCAATTTAATGACCCACCCGAATATTATACAAATAGAGTTGTTAGTGTAACTCCTAAATCAATTGAGTTTATGAAACATATTGGAAGTTGGGATTATATACATGAAGATAGAATAAAACAATATGATGGAATTATAGCTTATGATTCACAAGATTCAGAATCAAGAATTGAATTTGATGTTTCAAATATTGGTAAAGATATGTTAGCATCAATGTGTGAAGTTATAAATATTCAATATTCATTATTAACTAAAATAGAATCTTTAGAAGATGATACAATTAATATAAAAGATAATATAAAAGTAATTGATATAATAAATCCAGTTGAACCTGATATGAATCATGATTTAAATGAAATCGATAAAAATACAGCTATACCCGAATTAGATTGGCCAATTGTTAAATTGTCTAATGGAGAATCAATACAAACAAGATTACTAATAGGTGCGGATGGTTATAATTCACCAGTTAGAAAATTTGCTCATATTGAAAGTAGAGGTTGGCAATATAATAAATTCGGTGTAGTTGCTACTGTAAAACTTCAATTTGAAGATTTCCGTTCTGTTGGTTGGCAAAGATTTCTTACTACTGGACCATTGGCAATTTTACCATTAACTGAAGATAATGCAACAATTGTATGGTCATGTACTCCAGAATTATCTGATTTATTCTTAAAAATTAATGAAAAAATATTTCCACATTTAATTACAGCTGCAATGGTATTAGATGAAGTTGATTTAAATTATATATATGAAGTATTAAAAGAAAATCCAGATGATTTTTCAATACTAAAAGATATTGAATGGAGATTATCAAAATTTGATCCATTAACTTTGGAACAGAATTACCCATTACCAGTAGTTGAAGTAATTTCAAATTCAAGAGCTAGATTTCCTTTAAAGATGTCACATGCTGATACTTATATTTCATCAAGAGTTGCATTAATTGGTGATGCAGCACATACAATTCATCCATTAGCAGGACAAGGTTTAAATATGGGACAAAGCGATGTATCAGCATTAGTAGAAGCTTTAGAGAAAGGAATGCAAAGAGGTATGGATATTGGATCACCATTAGTTTTAGAAAATTATGTATCAAATGCATGGCCATCAAATCATATGTTACTAGGTGTATGTGATAAATTACATAAAATTTTTTCAACAGATTTTTATCCAATTGTATTTGCAAGAGGTATTGGAATGAAGAGTATCAATATGATTGATACAGTTAAAGATTTTATGATGAAACAGATAAGTGGTAAATAGTGGTAAATAGTTGTGAATAGCTGCAAATATATAGACACTACCAAATGATTGCAAAATAATTTTTCACCGTACTAAATTTAGCAACCAAATAACGTAAAATGATAGCACGAAGAATATATTCAACCACCACCAAATTATTAAAATCAGAGTATTCGAAATTAAGAGATAATTATAAAGCTCCAAAATATCCAATTGTTTTATGTCATGGTTTTTCAGGTTTTGACAGATTATCATTATTACCACGTTTAAAAACAAATCAAACATCAGTAGATCAAGCCTTAGAGAAAAGTTTAATTGAATTAGATTATTGGTATGGTATTAAAAATGCATTGGAGAAATTAGGTTCAACTGTATTTGTAGCTAAAGTACCTGCATTTGGTGATATAAAATCAAGAGCTATGAGTTTGGATAAATTTATTAATAAGAAATGCGACCACCTACGTAAAAATTCTAAAGAGGAGATTTATACGAATAGTGAACAATCAAAATCATTCAAACAGAAAAGCGAACCTATCAAAATCAATTTAATTGCTCATTCAATGGGTGGATTAGATTCAAGATATTTAATTTCAAAAATTCAAACAGAACAAAAAAATTATAAAGTAGCATCATTAACTACTATCTCAACACCTCATCATGGTTCAGAAGCAGCTGATTTTATAGTAGACTTAGTTAAACAATATCCACTTTTAAAATCAATATGTCCACATTCGATATTTGAAATGACTACAAAGAATATGAAAAATTTTAATAAGTCAATACTAGACGATCCCGAGGTGAAATATCTTTCCTTTGGGGCTAGGTTTAATCCTCGATGGTATAATTTATTCAGCCTAACTTGGGTAATTATGAAATATCAAATTTCAAAAGAACATCAAAAACAATTTCAAAATTTTATAGATAATGATGGTTTAGTCACTGTTGAAAGTTCAAAATGGGGTCATTATATTGGGACTTTGGATCAAGTTGATCATTTGGATGTTATAAATTGGACAAATAGAATTAGAGCATTTTTTATGAAGTTAATGTTTGCACAACAACCAGCATTTAATCCAATTGCTTTATATTTAGATATAGCTAATGAATTGGCCAAAAAGGGGTTATAAAATAAAGCATATTTGATGATGATTTTGTTTATAAGTAAAGCATAGGAGTTATAATGGGATGAATTGTGTTTTTTAAAGCTAGTAATTGATGAAATATACCTCTTTCATATAATGTTGAGCACCAATGCAGCATCTGATAGTATTCATTTTTTGTGAAGAACGTTAAATTCCTTCTTTCATTGAACTTTATGAATAAACATTGTACATTCTCAGTTGAGAAGTCATAATGCGACAAAAGAATTTTATTGAATTTCTGGCGGTAGATCTAGGGCGAACCGCACCAGAAACATTGGCTTGTAAGTCATCAACAACTAATTTTCACGAACTAGGTTCTATTTGTATCGAATCTGGATCAGGAGCATTGAATTATGTATTATACATGCTTGAAACTTCAAAATTCAAACATTTTTTTTTCATTTGAAATTTTGGATTTTTTTCACCTTACAAAAAATTTGCCATAACTCAATGTATACTTTGAACTAGGTCCATAATTTTCAATTAAAGCACATATTATATATGCTATACCTCAAGTTAATGTATTGGGTTTGTTCCTGACTGATTTGAATCGAAATTGGAAAATTTCAAAATTATTCGATAAGTATGGCAAATATCGAATAAATTGACCTCACAAAAAAGCTAGCTCCACAATTAAAAGAGTGTTGAAATTATGATGAAATTATCCGAATTCGTAGCTTGTGTTTCTGATAACCCTAGAATATTTTTATGCTAAGGTATTCAAATTAGAGAAGTAATTTTTCAGGAGTGAATCGATAATTTTGAAAAAATTTCAAACTGAATATGGCGCCTTGAAAACATCATAAGTACGGTTTTTGTAATTGAAAAAACTAAATTAGATAGTTCAGAAGTTGCAAAATGAGGTTTAAGTATCGCTTTTCTCCCAAATTAGAGCTATTTGCCATTTTTGGAATGAGAAAATAAAGTACTCAAATCTATGTTTTCTACGAAAATATTAACGTCAACTTATTTCAAATAGATCGAATATTGCTGAAAAAAGTTTTAGGATAACAGCTTCAATATTGAAAGAGTTATCCTCGATTCAAGTTTCAAGTTTGATTATGGTAAGACTGCATATAAATCAAAATCTGTTGTATTAATTAGTAGAAGATCTTTCGAAAACGATTCGAAAACGGTCATTGTAATTGTTTAGAGCATTTATGGTGATATATGAAGCTAAATATGGTGTTCACTATAATGGCAGATAAAAGTGTTTTCAATTTCTAATATATATCTAAAAACATATAAACATATAAACCTATAAACCTATAAACCTATAAACCTATAAACCTAAAACCTAAAAGCAAGCTACAGATTCATTGTTATCGTTTGTATAAAGGAGAATGAATCAACTCCCCATTTACTATTGAATCTCTGAGTTCCAGATCCTTTAACACCTCCGTGTGGTAACTATTTCACATGTTAGTATTTTGATTTTGATTTTGACGCAACCAGCGTCACGATTAATACATACCAGTGGTTCGTCGTGGATATTACTTCCATTGATATGGACACCACCCGCTTCAATCTTCTTTGCCAAAGAAAGAGCACCAAGTGGATTTTTTGACCAAATAGATGCTTTCAATCCAAATTCAGTTTCATTGAATTGTGCAACGACTTCTTCAACATTTGAGAATTTCTCAATTGTGAATAGTGGACCAAAACTCTCTTCTGAATATAATTTCATTTCTGGTGTTACATTTTCAAAAATAAATGGTTCAATAACATTTGTTTTTTCAATTTCTTTCTTATTAAAATCACCATAAACTAAATCAGCACCTTTATCTAAAGCGTCTTCAATTAGTGAAACAACTTTATTTCTACCTAATTTATCCCTTTGATTTAAGTCATCATCTTTATGGTTTTCAGCGACTTTTTTTATTTCAACTTTAAATTTATCATACACTGATTCATCAATATATGCTATGTCAACACTCATACAAATTTGTCCTTTATGAGCTACAGCACTTCCTACTATTGTTTCAGCAGCTTTTGTCAAATCGGCATCTTTTAAAACAATTGCAATATTTTTACCACCTAATTCTAATAAACATGGTACTAAGTATTTACCTGCAGTAGAAGCAATTGCTTTACCAACATTTGTTGAGCCAGTAAAGTTTAATTTCTTAATTGCTCCAGTTTTCATTATTTCATCAGTAAATTTAGCACTATCTTCTGGTTTAATATTAACCATTTGTAATGCATTTTTTGGAATACCACCATCTAAAAATGCTTTAATTAATAAATATAAAACATATGGTGCTCTTTCTGAAGATTTTGCAATTACTGAACAACCAGCAGCTAATGGAGCTAAAACAGATCTACCACCTAATAAAACAGGAGCATTCCAAGGTGACATTGCTAATACTGGACCAATTGGTTGTCTTACAGCTAACGCCAATTCTGCAGATTCACTTTTACAAACTTCACCATCTGGATTAGATAATTGTGACATATATTCTTGAATTTGATTAGTGATATTATCAATATTATATTCTGCAAACCATTTTGGACCTCCAATTTCAACATGAGCATCAATAAATAAATGTCTTCTTTCTTTTAATATTTCTTGAATTCTGCTGAATATTTCCCATTTTTTTTTATATGAAATTGAACCCCATTCCTTGAACCCTTGTTTTGAAATTTCAGTAATTTCTCTAAGATTTCCCTCATTAACTTCAAATGCTGAAAAATGATGAATTATATTATCATGATCTTTATAATCGTAAACGGGAAATTTTTCATTCTTATGATTTTCTTCACCTCCAATTATATTTGGTACAACTAACATTTTGATTAATTTTTGGTAGTTTAATTTTTTCGTACTATCATCGCTCTTTATATACTTCAAATTGCTACCAAAATTAAGCGTTAGATTATGAACAAAAACTTGATATCTAGTAATGACCAGAGATTAATGTTGCTTTGAGTGATAATTACTAATGGTCATGGCTGAATATACAATAGAGAGAGCTAGTTGGTGAACCAGTGGAACATTACTTGAAAATTCAAAATTTCAGATTCAGTACTAGTTCAATCAAAAAAAAAAACTGCACCGATAAAGTATTATTACTAAGAAGTTTGTAAGATGGGGTTATGAGATTTCTTGTACTGATGATCGTCGGTAGTAATACAATTGCAACGGTAATAAAGAATCTACAAAGATGATCTTTTTTCCTTGTCGGATCTAATCGGATCTAATTGAATCTCGTAATTAAAACCGTTGTAAATCGTGTATTTATACAAATTTATAAAAGCCCCTTTAAGGCTTCTTTACATTCATTACAATAGCTAATGACATTATTTGTACCATTAATGTAATCGTCATGAATTCTTAATTGTGGTAATATACTTTGTCTTAAATGATCACATCTTTGAGTCTCACTTAATAACCAATTTACCCATTCAGCTTCAGTAATATCTTTTTCCATATTCTTGAGTATATTTAGCTGTACCAATAATGAATGTCTTTTATTACCAATTTCTTGGAATGAGTCTTTCAATGATTGAGCTATATGTCTTGTATCACTATTAAAATAATCAGCCCATATAGTATCTTGTTTAAAATTGAAAATAAATGATTTTTCTTTAAATAATTCAAATGGTTTACCAACATTATTCAAAGTTATATTTCTATCAACTAAATCTTGTACATCTTGTAAATAAATTGATCTTTGTAACATGAGTGGCTCTTTAGTCACATAATCATAAGCTAATTTATTAGCCCTTTTTACGGTCCAGTAAGTTTTGGTTGATCTACCAATGAGGAACAAATTCAGAAGTGATAATATAACAACCATAAGCACCAATACTTGATTCATTTTAATACCTTTGCAAAATATTAAAAAAAATTTGATTAAGGTTATTAGAACAAATGATGAAAATTTCCAAACTAATCTCAAGGTTTTCTTTATTAATAATTCGGTAGCATAAAATAAATTAACCTTAATAATATTTGTAGATTCAACTTTTTCAGGTTCATTTGTATGACTTAATTTACCATATAAATAGATTGATTTTACAATAGGTCCATGATTGCCAATTTCTTGAACAGCAGTTTTTAATTTTCTATTAATTTTACCAACTTGATTATTATCAATTCTACTACATACTGAAGTAATGATTGGATTCCATATTGATTTATAATCAAATTGAATTCCCAGGTAAAAATAAATTTTGGACTTTTTTCCAGAATATCCAATAATGACAATTTTATAAACAATAGTGAATGGTGGACCAATGAAAAATTGAAATTTGGATTTTAAATGTGTAAATGTATAATACGTATTATCTTGCATATTGTCAATAACTTGTTTGATTAGAATATTTGAATTTTTCCTAGTGGGTATATTTATTTCTCTTTCTAAATTTCCATTTACTGTTCTCCAAGGTTTTCTTATAAAACTCACATCTGCAAATATTGTTTGATCTTTAAAGATGATTGAATGGTCACCTAATAATGCATGGAATATAGCTTTTGGAGGTATTGGATAAACTTTTTCTCCAATATAGTTGTATTGATCACTGAAATTTACTTTGTAATCTTTAGTTTCATTATTAAGTATTGGTTCAAGTGATGTATGACTAAAGTATGATTCTGTTATCAATTTTTTATTTGAAAGTTGTTTATGCATTTCTTTAATTTTCTTGACTAATTTTTGATCTTCCTTTTCTGCATGTACTTCAGCTTCAATAGCGGAAAATTCAGCTACAATCCCTTTTAATTCCAACGGGTTATCCCTTGAGAAATTATTGATTAAAAATAATAATTTTCGACTAACTAAAAGACCATCATCTTGAAACAATTTAAGTTTAATAACCCCATCAACATTGTAAACTTTTAAAAGATCAAAATTCTTTTGTGAAGTATGTTCAACTGATAATAATTGACCAATAGTACCTTTATACAATGCTACAAATCCCAATGCTTGCATGTAAAAATATAAATGATGAGATGTCATAAAACATCTTCCACTTAATTCTTGTTTTGAATTAGGTGACCAAATACAACCATAAGACATGACTAAATATTCTCCTTTAGGAATTGATGTTTCAAAAAGTGACCTCATTTGAATATCAAGATTAACTAAATCATTAGGATAAAATGATGGATATTGAATACCATTTCCTAAATGTTCTTCTTGAAATTTGACCATTGTAAGATCTGGCTGTACTGGATGTTCATCTTCTGTATTTAATAAATAATATAATCCCCAATTAACTGATCCCCATATATTAGCAGTTAAAGCAGTGGGTATAGGTGTTGGAGATACTAATGAATAAGCTATGATTGAACTTTTGGTAGTATCTGTTGTAAGTGGTGGATGAATTCTTGGTATTTGGAAATAAATATATTTTTCAAAAAAACTTCCATATTTTTCAATATGATTTGATAATGAACTTGATAGTATAGTAGTATTATATTTGGTGGTTATTCTTGTATTTGATAATTGTTTATCAGTTACTGTGTTGACTGAAGATGCACATTCAAGAATTATAGGTGGATAAACATTTGAACTTAGATTTATATCCTCTTTACTACCTCTTTGCTTTTCATTTTCAAATACTTTGAGCCAAGATTTTAACTCTATCAAGGATTCAGCTTGACAAGTTAAAGTAAGTTCACTTGTTCTTATTTCAAAACAAAATCTTCTATCTTCATTTGGCGAATACCTAACATTACATAATAATACTCCAATTTTATCACTTTCTTGTACAAATGTTTGTGAAGGACTTAAAACTAGCATACCAAATACACCATTCTTTATAAAACACCATCGTTTGACCCAGACTGGTTTTGATGATTTTTCAATATATGTTTTCATAAATAAATAGCTATGTTTTTCAACACTATTTTCTTCAATATCATATAGCACTTTATTATTCAATAATGTCAGTTTATAATCATTTGCATTCATTGATGGTTGAAATTGTAATAAACATCCATCTTCCACTTGTTTTCTAGCTGATATCATATTTCCACTTAATTTCATAGTAGCTTGAGAATATGAATCATGCCAGCATTGTATTCTTTCCACTTTTTCAAATTGATCGCGTAACATTTCATCAGTCATGAATTCAGATAATTTGTCTTTCCATAAGTTTGATATAATATCAAGTAATAATTTATCTAATTCTATACTTATAATTTGAAGTTCAACAATTACATCTAATGATGAATGTATATAATCTTTTCTGACATGGAATAACTGTTTTGCATCCTCCATAACCATTAATGGATCTTTAGATTTTGACGTGGATACAAATATAGCCAAATATTTATCATATTTCTTTTGATTAACTTCAAACGATCTTCTTAATTCTTTATATTTATGTAATGTCTTTTTAAATGTATTTATCTTGTTAATTAATCCAGTATTAACACTCAATGCAGCAAAACTTTTACTCCACATATTTTTTAAACCTCTCAATGTAATTTGTAATGATTGAACAGTATATTCTTGATCTATTAAACCATCTTGTATAAATGTAGGTACTAAATGTTCTAGAAATGAATTACAAAATGATTGTAACTCTCTGACATGTCTTGGAATTTTCTTTATTGATAAATTTAATGCTACTAACCATTGTTCAATGTTTTGTAATTGTAAATCATAATGATTAACTGATGCTCTAAAACTAGGACTATCTAATGCAGCTTCTTTGAAATTAACTGATATCAACTTAAAGTTTCTAAGTAGTTGTTGATTATGATGACTTTCTTTTGGATGATGATTTTCTAAATAACTATTACGTTTGATTGAATGTTGTGAAGTATCAGTTGTAGTTCCATCAACAGGATGAGTACCATTTGGAACCTGAGATTCATGATCTACTCGTTTAGTAGATGATTGCAGCATTGATTGACTCATAAAGCAATTATTTCTTGACAAATCTCAATAAGACTGTTGGCTTTTGAAATTAATTTTGTGAAACAAAATGGAATTAATGGAAAAGAAAAAAAAAAAGAAAGTTTGCTGCAGGATAATAAGCGCAATAATAGCGCAATTTTAAACACTTGAGTATGGCAGAATCACAGTAAAAAACTTTAAGCTAACCCTGGGTTCACGGATCCAAAGTCTTTAAAGACGAGATTATGATCTCGAAAGAAAACCCGACAGTTGCCAGGTAGTGATTCTCTGTATCTCAACAAGCAGAAAATAAGGTAAAAACAATTGATAAATCATTCACTTTGTAACATTGGCCGGAGGTTAAATTTATCTGAAGTCAAGCTTCTATATATTGGATCCAGATACTGAGAAATTGATCTAGCTGCTTCAACGACTTACCTTTAAAATCAGTTAACTTGTAAGATTTACACATCAATGAAATGATAGAATTCCTCAACTTTTGATAAAACTCGTTTGAGATATCTATCAGATCCCAGATTAATATAGTTTAACTGACTTATTCATTGATCAAAACCGCCACTAATAGTCATACTAAAACCAGTCAAAATCGTGACAAATATAACCGAGAAAATGGCTTTATAATTATATATTTGACCTGGTTTGTAATATAGATATACAGCAGTTGAAACAATAAAATAAGCAGTCGCTGCATTCGGATTAAAGTTACATTCATCAACTCTAGGATCATGAAACGTAGACCATAGAAAATCCTTTACAGCAGGTTAAATAAACCACCAAAATCAACCCAGAAGCAAAGAACAAGCCACGATAGTTGAGTAAAAAGTTTAGCGATGGCACGTCAAGAAAGCGATTTATAATTTATGTAAATTGTATTCATGAAAGAAACTCGTGTATAATAATTTCTATCGTTTAATCAAATTTTAATACGTCAAATGTGTCAAGCATTATGCAGGACCAGCTTAGATCTCGGATTAATATAAACTTAAATATACATTTACTAAAAATACAAATACTATAGAATTGAAAAGTTATAACCTTTGACTTTTTATTTTTATTTTTTTGGTTTATACATGACAGTAGTTACTGTTGGGAACCTTTGTCCTATTTTCCCATCATGTAAATTTTCCTTTTGAATTTTTTTAACATCATTCGATGGATCATATTCTAATATTGGACCAAACGAAATTTTCGGTTTTATATTTTCTTTATTTGATATTGAATTTGATATTGAATTTGATCTTGATGGTTGAATATGTTGTTGATTAATCTGTTGTTGTTGTTGTTGTTGCATTTGTTGTGGAATATGCTGTTGAATGAATTGAACTTGATTCATTTGTTGTTGATACATTTGAGGAAATAATTGTTGTTGTCGAATATATTCGTCTTTCATTGGTTCATTCGGTATGTATTGTTGTTGAGGAAGAAATTGAGGAGATATTTGTTGATAAGCTTGTTGTTGAATTTGACGAATTTGTTGCCGTTGTTGCTGTTGAATTTGTTGCATTTGAGTTTGTTGATTGTTAAATTGTGGTGGGAATGGATAACCTTGATGATTTTCATATACATTTGACATTTGTTGTGGTATACTATTAGTTGATTGAGAATGCATTAATGGAGGCTGTTGATTTTGATTTTGTTGTTGTTGGAATTGTATATATTGTTGAGTTTGATTTCTTTGATTTTGTTCTTCCAATTGTTGATTTAATAATCTTGAATTGAAAATTGGGGCAGTCATTGGTCCTTGAGTATATTCCATATTTGCTTTATTTACATCTATTTTAAAATTTCTTAATTTATTTGGAGTATTTTTATATGGTGATGATTTATAAGGTGATGATTCAGCAAGAATAGTTTCATTTTCATCTGCTTCACTTTGACATTCTTCATTTTTTTGTTTATTGTAATATATGACTGTTGAGCTATTTGTTGAACCAGCAACATTAAGATCATGAATTATATAAGCATGAATAATTGATTGATCATTATACTCCATATTATTGTTTTTATTGTTATATATAATTTGTATTATTTTCAAATTTTCATCTTTTGATATTATGGATCCATTAACCAAATAATTGAAATAACCATATAGAAATTTCTTCAAAAATGGAACATTCAAAATGAATGACTTATTTGATTTATAACCATTTAAAGGCTCAGTAGTCTCAAATAAAATTTGATCATTTTTAGCTTTGAAAACTTTTAGATGTTGATAACAATTTAACATTGATTCTGACGCGTTTCCTGATACGTCTAATTTCATAATTGATTCAGTTTGACCAGTTGAAGTATCTAATACTGGTGAATATGTAAATTTAGGTGATATTGCGGACGTTGGAGTCGATGTAGCAAATTGATTAATTAATAAATTCAAATCATGATGAATAGACCATATCGGTACATCTTTGCCTAAGTTTACAGGTGGTTTTTCATCAGTAGTTCTTGAACTTGTAAACTTTGTAAAACAATGTACTACTTCATTTGATTTATTTTTAAAATTTATCTCAAAATTAGTTAAACTTAATTTATAATTTAAAGTATTTTCATCAAATACATCACCTAATGGAGGTGAAGATAATAATAAATCCAATTCTTGATCGATTATAGCATTATTTTGAGTTGAGTCACAATGAGAATTTATTAAATCTTCTAAAGGGGTTAATATAATATCATCTTCATTATTATTATTAGTATTTGGAGGTGTTGATTTATCTTTAATCAATTTACCAGCTTTAACTAATCTAAAAATTCTTGAACTTATTTGAGTTGTTGTTCTTAATTGACCAGTTTTATTATATAACATTCTTGATAAGATTTTATTTTGACTTGTCTTTTTCAATATTGTCAGTTGGTTAAATATCTGATCTTCTTTAAATTTTCTATATTTATAAAAAGATCTAATTAAACAATCATCTAATTCAGGATACCAGACTTTATCATCGATTAAATTTGAACTAGAAGATTGTTGAGATAAACTTGATTTACGATAAGTAATTGGAGATTCCATAGTTGAATCTATTTTTGAAGCAATTGAGTTATTTGGTGAGTCGTTTAATGATGATGACATTCTTCTCTTTTTAGCAACATGATCTAATGTAGTCTTTGGAGACGAAGTTGATTTTTCTTTAATTAAACTTGGTGAAAGATTTTTATTCTTGAATAATTTATTTGGAGTTAAAAAATCTTCAGAATCTTTTGATTTATTTACAATTGATGAAATACTAGTTTCTTCATTTTCATTTAAACTTGACCATAAATCATCATTTTGTTCTGAAGTTATAGTATTATTAACTTCTTTATTATCTTTTAGATCTTCTAATTCATTTAATGAATCTAGAAAATGATTCTTTTTTGGAGTTTTAGCAGTATCTATTGGTTTGCCATTTAATGGATTTGGCGAATTGAAATTAAAACTAGGCAGAAAACTTAAACCAAATGAAAATGAAGGAGTTAATAAATTAGTTGACGCAGGTATTCTATTTATACTAAGATTTGAATTATTTTGATTATGTTCATTTGAAGTTGTTGTTAATTTATCACGTCTTGGAGTCTCAGGAGGTAATAGATTAGTTGAAGATGACATGATCAATGAAAGAATGAATGAGTTTGAAAGTAATTGATAATCAAAAAGATGTCAAATTATGAAACACGGTATAAAATTGAAACAACAAAAACACGAAAAAAAAATAAAAAAAAAAAAATTAGAACCGAAAATTTAGCGCGAGATTTTTGCAGCAAAATTGCTACCAATTGTGCAACCCTTTAAAATGAAGTATATATATTGATTGTACCTATTTAACACACTTTTCAATCTCTTCAACTAATGCATGACATAAACCAGGATTCTCCTTTTCACATTTATATATATCTTGAATTAATTTCTCAACACTATTTCTTGTTTCTTCATCTTTACCTCTTAAATAAACACGTTCTAAACAATAAAATAATATTGAGCTTTTATTATTTATATCTGATTTAGTTGTAGATTCCATATTCTTTTCAGTTAATATAGTAGTTGCCATTGTTTTTGTAAGTTCCCAATTAATTACATTTTCTTGATCATTATCATCAATTACAGTTGAATTTAATTTAAAACGTGGTTTATATCTTACATTATTTGTTTCATTGTATAATATCTTCATTTGTATTAATTGCACTAATTGTTCTTTTGCTTTAGCTGGAGGTATTTGCTTGGTTATATAATGATGATGTAATAATGATTTAGTAGATGGCCTTTTATCTGGATCTTTAAGTAAACAATATCTAATAAAATCTTTTAAATTAGGACTATAACTTAATCCAAATAATATTGGAGGTTTCTTTTTTGGAATTTCGAATAATATTTTTAATGGATCAAATTGAGCTAATGGTGGTGAACCGGTTACTAATTCAATTGTTGTAATTCCAGTTGACCATATATCTGCTTTATAATCATATCCATCATCTTCATCCAATGTATTATTACTTGCTTTTTTACCTTTTATTATAACTTCAGGTGCCATCCAAAATGGAGTACCAACAAATGTATTTTTCTTTAATTTTGTAAATGTCATTTCACCAGAAACTCCAAAATCTCCTAATTTAACATCACCATTTTCTGTTAATAATACATTTGCAGCTTTGATATCTCTATGCACTTTTCTTTCTCCATGTAAATATTGTAATCCTAATAATACATTTTTAATTATATAACTAACAATATCCTCATTTAATTTTTTATGATATTTAATTAATTCAGAACATGATCCACCTCCACAATATTCCATTACTATAAACATATTTAAATGTTGTGTAAAACTTTCAAAATATTGAATAACATTTGCATGACTTAATCTTGATAAAAAATGAATTTCACGTAGGATTTGTTTAACATCATCTGGAGAATCATCTAAATTAATAACTTTAATTGCAACAAATTTACCAGCAGTTAAATCTTTTGCTCGATATACATCTCCAAAATTACCCTTTCCAATACATTTCCATAATCCATACTTATAAGTTGGTGATGGTGTTGGACTAGTATTCATTGGAGAAGAAGAAGAGTTTGATTCATTTAATGGATCAATATCATTTTCTTTATCATTATTATGATGATATTGTTTGTATAACTTCTTTTTGGCCATAAAAATAAAAGTATTTGTGTAAAATTTTTTTTTGCAACCAAAATTGCGAAATGTAAACATATGCAAAAAAATCAAGTACCATTTAATTTTTGATATCTATAAGTCCAATAATTAATCGCTTCATTTGATAAATCTAATTCCTTGTTTGTTTTTTTTGGATCTTTAATTTCACAATCATTTAAAATTAATAATTCACTTATTAAAAATAATTTTTGACCTGTTTTTTCTAATTCAACATATTTTCTTAAACTGTATTCGAATAAATCAACAATTTGATTATTGATATTTGAGCTCGTAATTTGGATTGATAGATTTACATCAGCACCTGCTAAAATGTATGTTAAAACATTTGGAAGGTTTATACTTTGAATTGATTTGATTAATAAATTATTTACGTCTGGAATTGGTTCTATGAATTTTTTATGAATATATTTATCTTTGATAAACTGTAGCCTTGATTCATTAGGTTCATTTGATTTTATTTTGACAGTTAACTTCTCCTCGAGTACTGAATTCACAAGCTTATTATTAATTAATTTCAATAATAGTTCTACTTCATTTTCAAAATGATCCAATTTCAAAGATCTAACTCTTGACCCAATAGTTCTATGACATGATGAACAATTCACACAGAAGCAAGCTAAATTACTTAATGATATCCATTCAACCAGTTCTGTAGCACCACAATCAACACAAATATTATTATTAGTATCAGGTAAATCTTTAACCAATGATAAATAATCTTTCTCTTCAATTGGTGTAGGTAATTTTGATTTTATAGAAATTGGTGAAACAGATCTATCTTGTTTTAAAATATTTGGTTTTTCAAAATTTGTTATCAATTTCCCTGGTTTTTTATGTTGTTTTTCAATTCTTTCTGTATTCACCAATTGTCCTGCATTATATAAAGCTTTTAACCATTTATTTCTATCATCATTATTTATTGCTTGAAATACATGTTTTGAATTTGTTGAAGTTGTAATTTCAAAACAATATTGTCTTTTATCGTATGATATTGGTTTTATATTTGATAATGAAACTTCAATTGGTTTATTAATTGGTGTTTTACCTTTTCTCCAGTCTGAAAATTCAATTAATTGACCATTTTTAACAACAACCCATTCTTTATGCCATCCTTGTTTCTTTTGTCCTCCCAATGTAAATAAAATTCCTGAAATTTCAGAATCATCAATATTTAAAAATTGTGGAATTTCATTTGAAAATAATAAATCAGAATTATCATTAGTTATAATAAATTCATTAATTGATAAAATTGAAGAATTTAATTTATTATATGAGATTAATTTTGTTAATTCTTCATTTGTGGCGCATGCTTCAATCATTTGTCTAAATTTATATTTCTCCGAATTGAATCGAAGTAAGACATTTAGGTATATTTGATAATTATTTTCAATTAATTGATTCATCTTCTTATTTTTATATAATGATGTATTTAATAATCCATGTTTATAATCTAATTTAACAAATTTGAATAAATTTTCAGTTAATTCATTAATATATTGATTATTTGTAAATTTAGTTAATTGATTTAAATAATCAAACTTTGATAATTCAAAAATTTTCCTTTTATTTAGTAATTTCAGTTCTGGTCTTTCTTTTTCATTTGATAAATATTTATTTAACCATGAATAATATTCTTTTGAATCATTTTCAAATTGCTTTTTTGACTCCTCGGAGTCTAATGATGATATTTGATTTAAAATTTTAGTTAGGAATTTACTATCACAAACTTCAGTAAAGAAGAAATTTAAATTCTTTTCAAAATTTTCAAATAATTTTAAAAATGATTGATGAAATGATTGTTTAAACTTCATTTCATTTAACAAATAGTTAGATTCACAATCCATTAATGAGTTTACACCTTCTAGGATCATAAATTTTGTATGAGAGATCCTTCTTATACTTGATTCAATTATTTTGAAATCATCACTTAGTTGTAGATATATCCTTTTAACCTTAGGTGCTATATTTTCTAGATCATTAAAAGTCTTTCTTAATTCAGGACCATCTTCAATATTGAAATAGAACTCTTTTTTGAAATCACCAAGTGTAAATAATTTCTCATGCTTTTCGGGTATTTCCTCAGTTTTATTCAATTTATCAACAAACAAACTGAAATTTAGCAAATAATGGTAGTTGTCTTTTTCCGAATCATACTCCCACAACGATACATTCAAATTATTATTATTAATATTCGAAGAATTATAATAGTCATTAATTATAACTTTTTGAAATGTTTCATTTTCTTTATCTATTGGTAAATTTACATATTCAATCTTTGAAACTTCCAATTCTTTAATATTCTGAGATATATTATCTTTAACAAAACTTAAATCTTTTGTAGTTTTAACTATAATTAATGATTTTGAATTAAAATTAATTAGCCCTGGCTTTAATGAAATATGAAATTTTAATTTATAAAATAATGGATTTATTTTAATGAGTAATGGAAATTGAGTCAGTTGTTCTTGATTTATATTCTGTATATATTGAACAGGAACTGATTTAGTAGCTTGTTGTTGTTGTTGTTGAGTATTAATTTGTTCAATTGATTCTATTGATTTAAATTGATTATTTAATGTAATGATAAACCTATTTGTATCATTTTCATCAGTTAATGTTAATTTATTTAATGATAGCACTAATTGATCTTTATTTTGATAATAAGGAAACGACAATTTAGATATTGCATCCATTGAATGGGTATATAATCTGGCAACAATTCTTTGTTGTAAAGAAATGATTTAATTTTTTTTATTGTTTACGAACTTAAAAAAATGATTATCGCGTATTTATTAACTATAAGACTAACTATAAAGATTATATAATTATATAGCATTGGACCACTGATGGTCATTTGAGAGGTTGGCTGTCATAAGTAATCAGTTGACCCATTTCAAATGACCAATTACGTACTACCTTCTCGCTAAATTTTCACAATTCAAAATGGTAAGAACTCAACTATTTATACATCTATACATCATAAACTGTTTTGAATTTAATCAATAACAATCCATGATGGAAGTATCTTTCACCTGAGGATATATAAACTGCCTTGATTTGACTCAAAACCATGTTTTTAAACCCAGTTGAATATTCATAACTGCTCAGATTTTAAATCTATAACCTTATGAATAGCATTACTTTTTGAAAGTTACCCTCACTCCAACAGGAGGAGATGGATTAATTGACTTCTACTCTATAACTTCACAAAACGTACAAATCATCCATCTTACATTTTATTTTAAAAAGAGCCATTATCGAAGAATCTGCATATAATATTTTTTTTATTTTGCAATTATAGGTACTATTTCGCTCTACTTCCAAGTGTTGTACAACCCGGATCTGGTGCTCCTGACACGACAATCAAGTTTCTCAATTTTTGATTTATTTATTAGTTTGCATCCCAGTGACATATGTAGCGAAGTCAATATAAAAAAATTATAATGACGGACGCCATTAGCGTATGAGTGAGCTGTCGTGCCAAAATTTAGCCATTGGCTTCACTTCGCCTCAAAGATTGGCCCATTCTCGCCTCGGTGCTACCAACTGTTCACTCGAACAAATCAAATTTTCATGAAATTAAAGCACTAGAAATTACATTTATAAGTAAACTGAGTAGAGACACTTGAAATTTGGGTTTTTTTTTATTTTAATGAACAACCACTTATTATATTTAGACTAAGTAACGTAGAGTTCATATTCAATAGGATTTAATGACGAGTATAGCACACCTTATGGATCTTATTTCCATTGCTGCAAAATATAGAACCCAAAATTTAAATTTAGAACCCCAAAAAAGAAGCTACCAAATGTTCTTTTATAACCGAATTTGAAATTAAATAATAAAAAAAAAAAAAATAATCTAACAAACAATCTTTGACCAGTCCGAAAATTAAACAAGTTACTAATTATGACTATACCATTGGTACCTGCTATAATACATGATCCATTTTTAAAATATAGACCATTTCCAGCAAATCCAACAACTTTATTTCAAGCACATTGGCATGAAATTATAGCTTCATTTATATTTTATATTATAATTCAACAAATTTCAGCACCTATATGTTCAAAATTATTTGGAAAGAACTATGATAATCTTAAAAAATCAACCAAGATTAATTTTGATGTTCATTTTACTTCTATGATTCAATGTATAATAAGTATTTTGTTATTTATACCACATTTAAATAATCCGCATTTTCAAAATAGATCATTAGATCCAGTGGGTTCATTATTTGGTGTTACTCCATTTGGATCATTATGTTGTTCTTTAACAATTGGTTATTTTCTATGGGATATTTTAGTTTGCATTCAACATTTCAAATTATTTGGTATTGGATTTTTATTTCATGGAATTGCAGCAATGTTTGCATTTGGTAATGGTATATTTGTACCATATTGTCAACCATGGGCAGGAGCATTTTTAACATTTGAATTAAGCACCCCATTTGTTAATTTAAATTGGTTTGCATCTCATTTACCAACAGGTACATTTAGTGATAAATTTATAATTATAAATGGATTATTATTAATGATTACATTTTTTTCAGTTAGAATAGTATGGGGATTCTATGCTGTATATCAATTATATAAAGATATACAATTTACTTTAAATATGATTAATAATTTTATACCTTATAGTATATTAATATTAAATTTAGGATTAGATTGTTTAAATGTATTTTGGTTTTATAAAATGGTGATGATTGCAAAAAAGAAAGCAACTGGATCATCATCAACTAGAAAAGCAGCAAAAGAAGCTGATAAAATTGAGTAAATTACAATAAATAGTAGACAATCATAAATTTTTAAATATACATTTCATACATAACTCACGCAATTGGTAGCGTTGTAATATTGTCGTGTAATATGGCGATGTAGCGCCATTTACTAGAAAATAGAATTGGCACCTGGTGCACTACCAAATTAATATTAAGAAATCAAAAATTAACAGTCAATTATTTTTTTTACCTTTATCAAACAACAAGTGGCAACAACTATACAACCAATCCGACCAAATACCTATTATTAGATAACATCACAATATTCTATTAGTAACTAGTCATAGAGAGAGTTTATTATTATTATTAATTTCATTTCAATTTAATTTAATTTTATTACACTTTAATTTTATACATATTTTATATTATACAGATCAAATGAATAACGAATACGATTATTTATTTAAATTATTATTAATTGGAGATTCAGGTGTTGGTAAATCATGTTTATTATTAAGATTTGCTGATGATACTTATACTCCAGATTATATTTCCACTATTGGTGTTGATTTTAAAATTAGAACTATTGAATTAGATGGTAAAACAATTAAATTACAAATTTGGGATACTGCAGGACAAGAAAGATTTAGAACAATAACTTCATCATATTATAGAGGTGCTCATGGTATTATTATTGTTTATGATGTTACTGATCAAGAAAGTTTTAATAATGTTAAACAATGGTTACAAGAAATTGATAGATATGCTACAGGAGGTGTAATGAAGTTATTAGTTGGTAATAAAGCTGATTTATCAGATAAAAAAATTGTTGAATATACTTCGGCAAAAGAATTTGCTGATGCTTTAGATATTCCCTTTTTAGAAACTTCTGCTTTAAGTTCAACAAATGTTGAACAAGCTTTTTATACAATGGCAAGACAAATCAAAGCTCAAATGACAAATAATACAAACAATAATAATAATTTAAATAATAAAGGTAAATCAAATGTGAATTTAAGAGGTGAATCATTAACATCAAATCAATCAAATTCATGTTGTTAGTAAGGATGCAAGTAAAAAGTAAGTAAGAATGCCAAAGAGAGTTTACTATAAATTTTGAGTTGTTGTTGTGTTATTATCTAATTATATAAATATAATATTGAACATATAATGAACCATTTTCATCTCTAACAAATCTACCTCTACCAATAAAATTCTCTTTCTCAATCCATTTATATTCACTTTCTAAATTTTCATCAAATTTAAAAGTTGGATTACAAGTAACATAAGATTTTGAAATATCTGAATCTCTTTTCTTTTCGGAGATTATATCTACACTTTCTTCATTTAATTGAACTTTACCACCATAATGAATAAATACTGAATTTCCCTTTGGTGTTTTACCATATAATTTACAATCTAAACTTGCAGTTTCAATTGAATTTTTAATTAATAAATCATCAGTTCCAAATATTTCGTTTAATTCAAATTGTAAACCTAATTCATTTTTGACTGTCTTAATTTCACCAGTTTCGATTATGGCCAAATTTAAAGTATTATTTGATTCATTACTTGAATAAATATTTAATGGATCATGTTTTAATTTTAAATTAATTGTAAAAACTGGTATTAATTTAGTCGATGGAATCTCTGGTAATTTAGCTAAAATTGACATTTCAATTGGTAAATACTTCTAGTTAAAAGTGGAAATTATTTAATATTTATAGTCAATTGAAAATTCGTGGGGTGAGGACAAAAGTTGCATCCAATTTTATTTTAAAATTGGTACGAATTTTGTTGAGTGTATTGGGCCCAAAGTAAAGGCATTAGTCAGCCTTGTTTCGGTATATCTTCTATTAAGATGATCGGATAAATTATTTCGTATATTTTCTTGATTAAATAATTATTGTTGCAAATTGTTCTATTAATGATTTCGAATCTTTTCGGTTAATCTTTTTGAGGCGAATTTCCTTGCACAATACAATTGGAACTGTAATCAGAATCATAATTATGCCTTGAATATATATATATTTAGACTCGATTTGCTTTCAGTGGGCTTATTTTCAGTAAATTGTTGAGTTAATGAGATGGGCCAAATACTTCGCCCAATACTTCGCGCGAAGTGTGATTACTGTCCAAGAATTGTGGCGAATGTCTTCTTCACCGGTCGACAAATTTAACTTTTAATTCCAGATGAGAAAATTCTCAAGCGATATAAGGCTCTGAATATTATCAAATATGTCGGTCTTGCATTATTTATCACACCAATTACTCTTCCCTTATCTGGCTAGTTAGACTATCATCAATTATTAAGTACGTAGTAGTAGTGCCTTGGTACCAACTTTTTTTCTGAGGGCAATTTTTTCAACTGTGTCAATTTTACAACCAAATATTAACAACCAACAAACTTTAAAATATTATCATTATGAGTCAAGATGTTGAGATGAATGATGTTGAAAAATCAACAAATAATAATACAGACCAAAGTTATGATTTAATTAAAGACATTGAATCATCGTTTTCATTATTAAATAAAGCTTCAACTACTTTTGATAATAGATATATTTCAAAATTATTTAGAGAATTAGGTCCATTAAGAAAACAATTGGTGAAACATGAACAAGTATTACCTACAGTTATCTCTGAACAATATCCAAATTCACATCAATCAAAGCAAATTTTATTAAATTTATTACCAACCCCAATCTCAACCACTACTAAAGAAATTGATTCAAAATTAATACCAGAAATTGAATTATATCTTGTATTGTTAACTCAAGTTTATTTATTAGATACTAATCAATTATCCAATGCAAATGATTTAATTCCACATATTATAAATTTAATGAAATCATTTAATAAAAGATCTTTAGATTTTTTACAATCAAAACTTTGGTTTTTCATTTCAAGAACAAAAGAATTAATTAGTGATTTATCTTCAATTAGACCTGAATTATTGTATAGTTTAAGAACTGCAACTTTAAGACATGATAATGAAACTCAAGCATCTATTATAACATTATTATTAAGAAATTATTTAATACTTCATGATATTCAACAATCAATTAATTTAATTGAAAAAATTGAATTTCCAGAACATGCAGTTTCAAATTCATTAATTTGTAGATTTTATTATTATTTAGCTAAAATTAATTCAATTCAATTAGATTATTCAATGGCTCATGAATATGTTATAGCAGCAATAAGAAAAGTTCCTCAAACTAAATTAGCTAATGGATTCATTCAAGCAGCTACTAAATTACAAATTGTAATTGATTTATTAATGGGTGATTTACCGGAATTAAAAGTATTCGGTGGTGGTAATTTACAACCTTATTATAATGTAACAAAGGCAGTCAAATATGGAGATTTGAAATTATTTGAATCAGTTTTAAAATCTTATGAATCAGATTTCAAAAAAGATGATTTATATACTTTAATTATCCGGTTACGTCAAAATGTTATAAAAACAGGAATAAGATTAATTTCATTAAGTTATTCAAAAATATCCCTTAAAGATATTTGTATTAAATTACATTTAGATTCTGAAGAAAGCACAGAATATATTGTTTCTAAATGTATTAGAGATGGTGTTATTGAAGCATCAATTAATCATGAATTTGGTTATATGCATTCAAATGAAATTTTAGATATTTATTCGACTAAATTACCACAATCAGAATTTGATCAAAGAATTAAATTTTGTTTAAGTTTACATAATGAAAGCGTTAAATCAATGAGATATCCAAATGATCAAGAAAAGTCAAAATTTAATAATAAAGAAATTGAACCAAATGATGAAATGGAATTATTGAAAGCTATTGAAGATGGAGATTTAGATGATTTTATGGATTAAAATAAAATAGTTAAATATATATATTTGAAACTTTACATGATTGATATGTAGTTGTAATGTAGTAAAATGTTGATTAAATATAATGTAGATATTAATAGTTCGTATAATATCAAAAATATACGCATACTTAAATAAACTAATGAGTTGGAAATTACTAAACTTGTGAGGATATAATTTAGCAATATGATAATATAGATAAATAACAGTTCCAAAATGATGATTTCTAGTTAATATTAATATTATGATATCCAAAAGTGATTTAAAACGTTAGGGGGTAAAAGAAATGTAAAATTTTGCAGCAATTTCTTGTTATCAAAATACAGTCACTGTGCTATTCTAAAGTTGTGCGGTAAGAAAATACAATATTTGGCTAACTTATAACAGCATAACAAGCCTGTACGATTTCTTGAGAGGTAAGGTATATTGAAATCTTTTTAATCATATCAATTACCCCCTAAGAATGCTGCCATTTCTCGCCAGTCGTGGCCATGGCATAAATTCAAAACAACTTCAAAAATTTACAACTTTTAATTAACCATTCAATTTTCATGATTAATTTAGATGAGAATCATATAGATCCATTTATACAAGATGAAGATAAATTAAAACTAGAGGAATTAATACCTAGAATATTAATGACTAGGAAATCATTCCTTAATGTAACTGAAGAATCATTATCTGAAGAATTAAAAAATCCAAACTTACAACCAGAAAACATACAAGAAACAACACAAGAAGAAGAACAAGATGTTGATTTATTTAACAAACAGAAATTTGAATTAACGAAGTCAATTAACTCCGCATTGAATGAAACTACATTATCACTTGATTTTATATCATTATTAATTGCGTCAGTTAAGCCCAATGTTGGAAAATCAACAATGTCACCACATTTACAAAAATTAGTCAAACCAACAAGTTTAAATCTGGACAAATTAACCAAGGATGAGACAACCACATCAAAATCTTCAACTAGAATTGGTCAAGGTTGGAAAATTGATTCATTGAATAAAATAATTACCATGTTTAAAGATTCAAGTATAAGTCTAAGTGAACAAACCAATAAGGAACATAATTATTGGAATTCTATAAATTTTGTAGTTTCCAACAATGAAGCATTATTTAAAATTAACGAACCTGAAAAATCAATTGGAATAAAATATGGATATGGAGATTCTGGATCAAGTTATTATGATGATGGGTTAGGAATATTACGTAAGGGCGAGGATGGGAATATTGAATTCAAGCCGATTAATAAACAATATAAAGTTATTGAAAAAGTTTATAAATTTATAAGGATCAAGATTTTGAGTTTAATTGATGGTGAGTATCTCATTACGGGTCAATCAACATTCAAAAACACGTTTGACAATGGAATCATTTCAGATATTGAAAAAGCGAGGTTCTTTTTGTTTGAAGAGGATTTGTTTTATCAATTGACGAGGGAGTCAAAGATACTTATTAATTATAACGTATCTATTATTTCAAATAAGATTATAATTGAGATTAATAATGAAATAATCGAGATTGAAAATTTAAATTATAATGAATTAAATGAAGAGGAATTAAATAATTATTACCAAAACATAAATAAATATTCATCAATCAATAATAACAAATGTCAGTTGATCTTGAACTATTTGAAATTGATGTTGTGTTGTTATTATAAATATAACTTAAAACTCAAGCAGAAAGTTCCTACAAATTTCATAAAATGGAAAAGAAACAATTCTCATCCATTAATACTTAGACCATTGTTGGGTAATATGAGACATGAATTATATTTAAAAAAAATGAAACTGATAATTGAAAACTTAATTGAGAAACATAAATTAGAAAACTCCCTCCAAGTCAATTTTCAAAAATTTACAAATTTAAAAGGAGTTGTAAAGAATCCATTTCAAAAACTGATAGAAAAACCAGTGTCCCAATTTATATTAAATTTGACTTCGACAAAAGGTGAGGTGTTCAATATGATGCTTGAAATTACAACAAATGAATTATTCGTCAACTTGATTATTAATTTAAAGATATTGAAATATGAGACTGAAACAGATTTACAAGAGAATCTTAATGGGGTTAACGTTTTACAAATTCGATTTTATGATTTTAATGAACTTGAAGAATGTTTAGATTGGACTATACTTAAATATACTTAGTTTCTTCTAGTTACTTTAATTATTTCTTCTTTATTCTATGTAAATGGACTTGAGTGTTGATTGCATCCTTGCATCCTCACTCCTTACAGTCTTCTATCCTCAGCAATTCTAACCTGTTCATCATTAACCCTAATAATCTCATCCTTGTTCTCTTCGATATACTTCTTCATTTTATAGTACTTCTCATCTTTTAAATTATTATAAATCAAGAAATTAAACCAAATTTCAATGAATGAAAAAGTAAGAACCATAGAATTACTAATCGCAGACTCGGGTTTGAAATATATAAAAATGCAAATTAAAAAATAGACTGAAGTACGTAGCGGTACAAGATTTTCAAAATATGCGATATTTTCAGAAAGTAATGGAATGAGGTCCTGTAATGCAAATAACGAGATAATTAATGATGTGAAGCCAGTTAGTGATGATGTTGAAGATAACTTTAATAATGGGACTTTCATTGCTGATCCTAATAACACAACAACACCCATTGTTGATAATCCTTCTGGATCTTTAATTAGATAGTATGATATTGTGATTAGGCAGATTGTACGTATGTATAATAATGAAGTTGATGATAAAAATTGCATAATGGATCGTAGGGTACTGAAAAATTATTTGTTTTTTCTTTTGGTATAAATTGGGACCAATACGCGCGTAAAATATTTCAACTTAATCATCACCATTTATTCATCGAAGTCACAATAAAATCAATTGTACCAGAGTTAAAAAGCTTTAGTTGGATTATAATAGTGTTTACAAACATTATTCGACTTTGAAGATTCACTTGAAAGCGATTTAAAGACCAAGCGCCGGTTAATTGCAGATTATTATTCCAAATGTTTGCAATTTCAGCATTAACTTTAACTTTTGGTGGAATTATATTCTTCTTACTGTTTTTTGTCATTTGTTAGTAATTACCAAGTAGATAGACTTATGTTATGTAAGTTTGGTACTAATTATTTAGGTATTTTAATAATTCCATTTTTTTTCATTATGGAAATTGTTGGAGGTTCATTATTTTTACTTTCATATACTTTAAATGATATTAGAGATTCAAATATGTTACAAACTGTTGTTTATCAATGAAAAGATGTGAGGATGCTAATACTAAATTAATAATATATTATTGAAATTTGATAAATTTATCATCATCAACAATTAACAATTATGCTGGTCAAATAGAAGCAAGTGTTGTATCTGAACTAGTATTGATCCATTTTAAGAGAGTCAGAAGTGGTAAGTAGAAGATGTGGAAGCTTAATACGGTTGTTGTATATAGTATTCAGTTATAATTCAATTTAAATACCCATTTTTGAATTAAGTCTCTGTTATTTAGCCTCATGTTTAACTTCACTACTCAATGTTAGCTCCTGAACTCTTAAATAATCTAGTAGTATAATATCTGCTGAATAAACCAATTGGTATATTTATTTTGCAGCCAAAGCCATAACTAGTGCGTGCGCAATTTTCAATTTTCAGTAAATTCGACCACGTCAAAAAATCTGAATTTTTCAATCATTTATACCATACCAATTCAATTATGAAATTATCATCAATACTATTCTTATTTAGTTGGTTATCATTATCAATTGCATTCACATTAACAGGAACAATTAAGTTAAATAAACAAAAAATAACATATGGAGAAATAGAAACTAAAGAAATTAAACAAATTTATTTAAATTCACCAAAAGATACAATTGAGATCAATTTATCATCAAAAGAAATTAATGAGAAACCAGAACAGATAATGTTCAGTTTATCAGACTCAAAACAACAAAACCTTGTTACTCATTACGTTCCAAGTGTCTCTAATTCAAAGATAAAATTATCTATCAAAAGTGCTCAATTACCCGAGGTTTTAAAAATCAAAGACTCGCTATTATTAAATTTAATTATAGCTGATAAAGAGGTTAAATTTACTAAATTTTTATTGGAAATTATACCAACATCTGAATTTAAAGAAACTAGTAACTATAAGAGTAAATCTAAAATTGGTATCCAACCTGAAATTCATCATATTTTTAAAGCTGATGAGCTGACTGTTAATCCTATAATTCCGTTAGTGTTCATTTCCGTTGCTGTTGTTTTATTTCTCGGTTTGGTTTCTTCTTGGGTTGGTTTCATTGGTGTTAATAATTTGTTTAAAACTTTTAAAACTATTTCAACTGGTCAATTATTACAGAATGTTGCTTTTTTAATCTCACTAATTGGTTTTGAATTAAATTTTATTAAATATTATTTTGGTCAATCTATTTTTACTACTTTATTTTATGGATTTATTTTATTAATACCTAGTATTTATTTTGGCACTAGTGTATTAAGATTCTTATCAAAAAATCGTAAAATTGGTAAATAGTGAATATATATAGATGATTGTTTAATTGCATCCTTTCTTGTTGTCTCTGCATCTTTACGTTCTTACCTTTGTTTTTGCATCCTTACGTAACTTGGTAGCGATTTTTCCATTTTTTCACCTTTGGTTAAATTCTTCATGATTCTACCTGAAAGTTTCAAATTCATAACTTCAACATTATCATGGACATTACGTGCTGGTTGTTTAGCTCATTTAATACATGAAAATGTTTATGAATTTACTGAAACTAGAGGTGAATCAATGTTACCTACTTTACAAAATCAATATGATTATGTTCATGCTTTAAAAAAATACAAATTTGGTAGAAATTTAACAATAGGTGATTGTATAGTTGCAATGAAACCAAGTGATCCAAATCATAGAATATGTAAACGAATAACAGGAATGCCTGGGGATATAATATTAGTTGATCCTTCAAGTTCATCAAATTTAACAAATACTGAAAAACAAAGTATTATAAATGATGGTTATAATAAATTTATAAAAATACCCGAGGGTCATGTATGGTGTACTGGTGATAATTTATGTCATTCATTAGATTCAAGAAGTTATGGAGTTTTACCTATGGGGTTAATAACGGGGAAAATTATAGCTGCAAATTCAATGAATATTGGTATAAAAGGATTATGTGATTTTAGATGGATAAATAATACATTTGTAGATGAATAGAGAAGAATGAAATATTGTAAGGAACTAAAGAAACTTTTATATGAATGAATATACAAGAAGTAAAATTAATATACAAAACCTAATATTTTACCTGAGACATGTTTTCTTCTTGCTTCATCATGATCCATTATACCTGCAGAAGTAGTTAATATAACATAACCAAATTGTCTAGCAGGTAATAAATTATCAGTCCATCTTTCTATTTCATTAATTTTAACATTAAATCTTGGTGAAATAACACCACATTTATTTAATCTACCATTTAATTGAACAACTATTTTACCTGATCTATGATCATCAATATATTCAAATTCACCTATGTAACCTAAAAAAGTTAGTAATCATCTCAGTAAATTCAATTTTTATTGGTAATGTTTAGGAAAAGTAAACGATAGATATAATTGACATATTTCAATCGTGTAAGAAGCATTTCCAAATCGATTTTCCGAATACTTAAAAGACAGAAAGGGACTAAACACCGATCAATCCATCCAGTTATCAATTCGGTGTGTAAGGATGCCAACAAACACTTAACAGCATAATAAAAGCAAACCAATAAATTTCAATAGCTATTTACATACCATGTTTTTGCATAACTGTTAAAAATTTAATTATAACTTTTGATGATGGTCTAATTAAAACTTGACGTTTACCAGTTTTTTCAGCATTATTAATTGAATTTAAAGCATCAGCTAAGACGGAAGTTCTAGTCATTCTGAAAAGGGTTAGTACTCTCAAGTCTTTTTTAAATAATAGCCACATGAGTGTCCAATATAAATATCGGATTCATGAGCGAGTTTTTGAAGTAATGGGTATCAATAATCTCTTGGTTAACTTTTAAGTTGAATTAAAGTATGAAACCATGGTGAAACACTAGATATATACTAACTAGAATAACATCTCTCATTGAAATGTAGATTCCCGTTATTATTATCAAAGATTAAATTGATTCCAAATACCTTGCAATTTAAAAGACTCTAGAAAAATGATAGTTAAGTACATTCATGATGGCAATACAAAATAGTAGTAAAACATACTTATTACTTTGTTATTAGTAGTTGGTTGCAAAAGAAAGTGATGGATATTAATTAAAATAAAATTTTTTCGATGAAAATTTGTTTCAGAATTTTTCAGATGGTCGTGTAATATGAAACAATCACGTGATGGATATTACATAATCATTTTATACATTTGAAACAATTTTATTCTTTTACAACCAAAGGTCAATTTTACAATGAATAAAGAAGAATGTCTCTAAAAGAACAGGAGAAAGTGCTATCAAAAGAATTATTTGATCAGTTGAAGCCTTGTTGTATTGAATTATCACAAGAATCATTGATACCAAACATAAATGAAAATAAAATTATATCTTTATTGACTTCAATTGAATCAATATTGAATAATCATTATAATGTAAATCATGAGAATTATTATAGATTATTACCCAACATTGCAGATTATATATTCTTTCCAATCTCAAGTTTATTAAAATTGCCAAATTTGTCAAGTGGTATAATACAACATATATTGAATATCATTTCATTTTTATTGGATGATTGTTGGAGTTATACTCAAAATTACACATTAATAGATCAATTATTTCCATTAATATTATACTTATCATCTGAAGATCTAACCAAAACTCCTATTTCAATAACGGAAAAATCAATTCAATTTAAATGTGCAGCTATTAACGCATTATTCAGTATTTCAAAATCAGTTGATGCTTCATATTATGACAGCAAAAGACTAGTGTATTTAAGTAATTCGGTTACTATATTACTAGCAGTAATTAACAGTACAAAACCAGAAGTACAAGAAAATATCGACTTAATTATCAAATCATTTGATTTATTACTTCAATTAATGAAATTTTTATCGTCTAGTCAACAATCTATGATTTTACCAGGTATTGTATCATCTATAACAAATTTTGTATCAACATACTCGAATCTCAATTATCAAATTATAATCAAAATATTACGAGTGCTATCGATGGTTATATCATCATCATTCAATGATAAAGATTTAAATGCAAAATTAAATTTAAATCCAATTGAGAATCTATCTGATTTACATGCAATCTGGGATGATGATGAAAGAACATTAGATGAATCAATTAATGATATTACGATAACTGAAGTAGATAATAGATCAATGTCATGGTTAAAAGCAACTTCAAAACAATTAAAAACAACATTAATTATACTTTTCAAATCAATAATACTTAGAAATAAAACTAGATTACAGACAAACAATCAATTGAACTCAGAAGTGTTAAATTTTGTTATTTCAATTTTAAAGAATTGTTTTATTTCATTATTTACTGAATTTGCTTCATTATCATTAGACATACTATCATTACTAATATTTACAACTTATGAAGATAAAATACGAGAGAAGACAATCGGAATAAGTAACTCAATTATAGAGATTTTGGATAGTGAAGAGAAACAAAAAGCATTATTCGCATTGGTTAAATCTAAATTATCTGAACTTATTGAATCAAAAATATCTACAATTATATTCTCAACTGATGAAGATAAAATAATAATGAATTTCATTGCAATACAATTCAATTTCATGATACTATACGATTTATCAAAAGTTCTAAATCCAAATTATACTGAATTAAATTATTTAAAACGTAAATGTTTAAATCTATTACAGGAATATATGGTAGATAATTATAAATTCGAACATCAAAAGAAACCAAAACTGAAACTGAAAATAAATACAAACAATGAAATTAACAAATTAGATTCAATTGAGTTACCAAGTTATATAAATGTGAAAAATATAGCTACTCAAAAAAAAACTGAGATTCCATATGTCAATAATATTAAAATCTTAGCACGTAAATGGACAAATAATGATTTAACAACAACAACAAATGAAGATATAAAAATAACTTCAAAGTTTCTCGATACTACGGTCTCCAACTTCATTCAATTTCTTGCATCTTTAAATAAAGAAGACTTGGCTACTGATGTTGAACAAATTTTGGAATCTTCAGATGATTTATTGAATAAAGCTGTTTCATTATGGATTGCAAGTAATTTAATCAAAGATAATTTAGATCAAGTTAATGAGTTCAATCCTAATGATTTTTTAAATGGTATGAACATAGATCAAGACCAAGAAAATGAAGTTGCAAGTCTAATTTTAATGACTTCAGAAGAAATAATATCAAATATAGACATGGATAATCCAAATGAAATAGCATTCACTTCAGCATTAAAAGCAATAAGTACAATAGTGGGAACAATGACACTAGACAGTTTCAGAACTAATTTATTAATGGACCATTTAATATATTTATTTCAAGCATTGACATTGACTAATCATCCTACAATACAACACCAAGCGCAGCTCACAATCAAAAAAATATTAGATACGTATTACAACGGATCCATGGTCAGTTTGGTACTTGATAATGCCGATTATTTAATTGATTCAATATCGTTACTTATGTCAGTAGCAAGTCAATTAACTCCAATGTTGCCTGGAATATTATTAATTATTACTAAAGTTGCCGGTATTCAATTACTCGAAAGTAACCAATTAAATGATATAATTACAGACATGTTTGTAATTATTGATTCGTATCATGGATATACTAAGATTGTCGAAAGTTTCTTTATTGTATTTGAAGCATTAATTGAACAAATAGTAAATTACTACAATATCAAAACTCAAATTGAAGATGATCCAAGTAGGAATAAATCAATGTATAAACCATGGGGAATGACAAACGAAGCTCAACTAAAAAAATTCCTAAAAAACCATTTACTGGAACCTGCTGAAGAAGAGGAGAAGTTCTTTGAACGACCAGCAGATAAACCATTCTCCGAAATAAAGGATTCAGACGATGAAGATAGTGATGATGAACAACTAGAGAAAGAAGAACCATGGACATCACCAATCCCTAAAAATATCTATATGATGCTTCAGAAAATATTCAAATACGGATTTGTACTAATTTCACAGCCTTCACATTCATTACAGGGACAAATTTTAAAATGTTTGAATCTAATCTATCCATTACTAAGTACGAATTATAATCAAATCCTACCTATCATAACATCAAATTGGCCCCATTTAGTTGCATTAATAACTAATTCAAATTCATTATCCACCACAATCACAAATAATTATTATTCACTGGAGGATATAAATTTAATTATTCAATCGTTGAAATTCGTCAGTAAGATATTGAAAGAAGATAGAGATAGGGAGGAATTCTTCTTTTCTAGAAAATTTCAAGAGACTTGGGATTTTATATCGAATTATTCAAGTTTAAAACTGGGAAAATCAGATGGAGGTCAATTAGTTTCCAAAAATGCTGTATTGACATTTAGAAATTATCCGAAATTGAAACATTCATTGATTGAATTTTTAATATTGGGTGTTCAGAATTATGAACGACAAATTAGTGATTCGAGAAGATATGATATTGTTAAGTTGTGTTATTGGTTGAATATTCCTGATGATATTGAATTATCGAGAGATACTTTATGTATTATAGAGGTATTGAAGTCTAATTAATATAAGGATGCTTTTGAGTAAAGAACAACGCTAGGATGCCATTAAATATACAACTCCATGTTAGGATGCTTTTAAGTAAGGAACTATTTAAGTATGCAGCGAACAACAATGTTAGAATTTCGTTGAATCTACAATTATATTCACTCATCCTACTAAATCATTTATACCTGCTTTCTTTATTGGTTTTTCAGCAATGAAAGGTAATGTTTGTTGACCCGTTTCTAATTCTTTTTGAACAGGTACGTTATTACTTTCTTTGGGTGCTTTTGTTTTTGATTGTTTTGGATCTTGTTCTTTTAGTAAATTCACCTTCTTTTCATTTATTAAATCTCCAATTGGTTGAGTTTTCGGTATTGTATCAGTTAAAAATTGTAATGAATCATGATTTTGAATACAATTTGCAAAATCTTTATATTGAATTTTTTTACGTTTTTCCATTTTTGCTAATAAATTAGCTTGTTCGGTTAAATATTGAACGAATAATTCAGTAGCCAATCCTGTTGTATATACTGCACTTTGTGAAGCACCTTGATATTCAGGATCCATTTTAAATATTTTCTTTATTTTAGATAATGGTAATGATAAATCAGAACCAGATGTAGCAGCAGTTTCAGCATCGACCATTTCAACATCTTCATGAACAACAGTTTTTCCATTTTCTGGTTGTGGAGAAGTAGTATTTGATATTTGTAATGGTGTTGTATGAGTAGTTGATTCCTGTGACATATTATTTATTGTTTACAAGATAAATTTATTCTTCAGTATCAAAAATCAAATTATCACGAAATTCACGACAATGAAAAATGACATTAAACGAATTATACATTACAATCTATTTACAAGCTCCACCTAATTCTTCTCTATTTCTTCTTCTATTTCCATATTTTCTTTATTTTCTTTTGCTATTATATTCGGATGTACAATTCTTTCAATATATCCATCTTGTTCAAGATCAGTTACACTATAATTAGCACCATATTCAACGAAATTTATAGCATTATGTAAGGCTAATTCTGGACTTTTCCATTGATCATGATATCCAATAACTTGTTGAATAAATTCTGGTGATTTTGGTGATACTAAAGCTTTTAACGATGATGTATTTAAATCTTTTGGAACTACATAAGTTCTTACTTTTTCCCAATTTATATGATATCTACCTCTTGAATCTAAATTACCAATACCTGTAGATCTAGTACCTTTATAAAAATGTTTATTACCTTGTTTTGTAGTTATTGGATGTCTTTTTGAACCGGATTTAATTTGTCCATAAAATAATGTCCCATCTTTATATGTCTTCCAAGGTCTTCTTAAAGCATTACTAGTTGTTGCTTGGAAGTTTAATACTGAACTAGCTCTCATTTGATAAAGTTGACCTTACGGTTGAAAATTTTAAAGATCAAATTTTTTTACCAAAAAAAAAAAAAATGGTAGCGTTAATAAATAAAGTATGTATATTCATAATTTAGAGTTTCTTAATTCATTTGATAAGATATTTACAACTTGTTTACCTAATCCAAAACTAGACTGGTAACCACCACCACCTGCTCCATAATTATGAATTAACCATGGTTTTTTCTTATCTTTTTCAACTCGAACTTCATCTTCTCTGAATGGTCTAAAACCAACTTGTACCCTTTCAATGACTAATTCAGATGGATTTTTCTTAAATTTTGGGTCTATCAATTCAGGTGCATATTTAATAGCTCTTCTAATTATCCTTTTTGTAAATTCTTTATCTTCTTTTGTATTTGTATCATTTGGTAAGAAACAACCTCCAATTATTGTACCACCTTCTCTTCTAGGCATCATATAAAGCATTTCATTAGGAGATCCAGGGAATCCTTCAACATTTAACTGAACTTTTGCATTATTTTTAACTAATATAACTTGTCCTCTAACTGGAAATGTCAATTTTTTATCTTCAACACCAGCTATCTTTGTTGCATTTAATCCAGTTGCATTTATAACATAATCTGCTTTCTTGCCTGAAGAATGTAAAGATCTAGCCTTTTCAATATTTTTAACTGGTTGTATTTTAAATATTTTATTACCAACTTCTTTATTTTGTTGAACTAAGTAATTTAAATAAGTAGGTACTGAAATAACAACACCTTTATATTTAGTACCAAATGAAATATCATTAAATGGTATTTCTGACTTATCCAATATTTTAAAATCTTCAACAAAGTCCCTAAACCATGGTATCATTTTTTTAAAATTTCCCTTTTTTGAAGTTACTTCATAATCCGTAAAATATGAAACATTATCAATTGACCAAATTCCAGATCTTATTGGATCATTTTTAGCTAATTGTAAGAACTTCTTATATGCTACTTTATCTATTTCTTGTAAAACTTTATCCTGTTCACTTGCAAATGAATGATGATTAGCACCGGCATAAGGTGAAGTATATGTTGGATCTAAATCTCCTGGTAAAAATTGTCCAACTATAGTTATATCTAATTTTGGATTCCATATTTTCAATTCTAGTGCTGTTGTTAAACCAATAACTCCGGCTCCTAATACAACTATATTAGTCATTGTTCAAATAATCTGATCTGATTTTTTATAAATTTTCAATTATCCACTGATAAAAAAAATTAATGTGGATAAGATCCAAACATACATAGCGAAACACTATTAACTAATATACAGCTTCTTTAATAGTTCGAAATTAAGAATAGACGTTGGAAGACTTTTCATTCTAGTTTAAACGTAATAATTGAGCCCATGGCAATTAGATTATGAAAAGAAGATCCGAGGTGGAGATAAAAATGAGCAGAATACTGATAAGTTTATAGGGACACAGCTGTCGATCAAATAAAAGAAGCTTCCGCTATCTGGTTAGAGTGTTGCAAGTTTGCTTGGTTAAATTTCAAATGTAGATTATATACTAAAATGAAGAATATTTATAAGGGGGTAAGATTTAGGAGGTAATTTAAATTAACCAATGAAAACTGATTTTGGTGTGCTACCAAATGTTAAATTTTTAAATTTTATGAATACCTTTATAAATAGCACATCTTAGATCGAATTAACATAGCAAAGTTGCTTACCTTTGACTGTTTGTTATACTTATAGCTGTCTTACCTGCACTGTTTGGGTTCTAAGCTTTGTTTGTTTTGAAAATGTACTATAATTGAAATTACAGTCTAAAGTTACTAATAAAGAATGTAGCAAAAATGCAGCTTATTGTAAGTCCACTCTAAATGCAGTATCATGCACAGACTAGCTTGTATTTGGTCTATACCGGTCTAATTTATTGTCGTTAGTTTTACAATTTTCATCCTTTGGAAAGCTAATTATGAATTACGGTTTTACTGGTATTATAATCATGTACTCAGTTCAGTATAATGTCAACTTCAGGGGATCAAATCATGTGGGATCAAATCATGTCTAAAAAAAAGTTGGTCGTTGACTACATGATGCGTTTAAAATATGACTAGAAAAACGATTTGGATCAAAGCTGGTTTTTGACATTAAAATTTAAATTAACACCAGCCATGCGCAATTGAAAATATCTGAGTCACTGTACAAAATAATGCTTTTTACAAAAGTAATAGACATAAGCTTATTATTGTAGGAATTAGCCAGCTTAATAAACCTCAAGTAAATAATAAATCAGAGATATTGCAAAATAATTATTAAATAACGTAGACCCACTTAAGAAGAGTTACTCGGAGGCAACAATCTTTGAAGACTATAATTATTATATTTCTTTATTTGTTTTGGTTTCTGGAAAGCTTGAATTATAATATTCGTGGTAATCAAAACATTGATACCTAATTGGGAAGTGCTGGTTATAATTTTTAATTTTGTGTAATTTAAAATTAGACTTTTAAATCGTACAATAAAATATTAATAGTTATAATGATCCAAGATCTATGATGCTGGCTCTTACTAGTCGAAACACTATTATTAATTATTGTTTGACTACTCGAGCAACTTGATAATTTCTCGACGACTTAGTAGTGATTTAAACGAATTAATAACTGATCGATGGCCAAGTAATCAAATACCTCCCGCTATATAGTACTCAACACGAAACCAGATAATGTTTTAGTTTAGTCGAGGTTTTGGCTTAGTCGTTTACATTTTTATGATTGGTTCTTTTATGAACCTTCTTGCTTTTCTAATGTTTCCAAGACAGTAGAAAGAAATTATAACTATTGTTTCACTCCCAATTATCAATCACTTGAGAAACACTGCTACTCTGTAATTGTGATGCATACTTTATGCTTCTATTTGACGTCTTCTATTCGAATCTGTGCAATAATGCATTGGAACGCGTAAAATAACACAAAATCTAAATCTCGTAAATTTTCTTTTTCCTTTGTTTTTTTTTTTTTTTTTTTTTTTTTTACTTGCATATTTTGACAGATTTAGAGATTTATAATGATAATTTAGAAAACATTATGACTTCGGCTGAAATGTTTTATTATATAAATAAAGGTTGGGTGTATCAAAAACGCTAGAATTTGTTTTTCATTCATTTTCTTGTATCCCATTTACTTTGTCACTCGTTTAAATTCCAACCCACTCCCATTCCTTCATTAATTTATAAAATAATAATTGATTATGTATTTCAAATCTTTATTATTAACTGCAATAGCAGCTTCTAAAATAGTGGCAGATGAAATTGTTACTGTCACCAATACAAAATATGTAACTAATGCATGTTTAGAAAATGCTGCAAATAGTTTACTTCCCGATAATCCAACAAATTTACAACAAGGTATTCCAATATTTATAGTTCAAGAGCCAGTAGTACTTACAAAAACAAGAACTCATACTGAAGCTGTCTTTGTTGGGATTAATGGAAAACCATTTACAAAATCACAAGAATCGCAACCAACATCTTCATCATCAGAAGATTGTACAACTTATACAACTACAATATATGCAACCCATTCTTATGAAACTACTTTATGTCAAAATAACAATTGTCAAACTTCAACATATACCACTGTTATTCCACAGACTTATACTACATCATCAATAAATCAACAAATTGCAGGTCAAGCTTCAACCACCGCTGAAAGTTCAAATTTTAACTCAAATGGATCTAATAGCGCAATTGAATCATTTTCAGGATTAGTTGCAGCTAATGCAAGTGTTAGAACAGCAGAAACTACTACCAGAACAATTTTCACTGCTTCAACTACTCCATCTGTTACTTCAACTCCATCACAAACAAATGAATTACTTCCAACAACTAGATCAAATCCAGTTGCTCCACAATCTGTTGTAAATGAAAGTAAATCTATCACAATTGACGTTTCATCTATTACTGAAGCTGTTACTGTGTCGTCTGTTGCATTAAATTATACTATTGCTGCTAATATTGCTGCTAATAGTGCAAACTCAAGTATTGAAAGTTCAGCTTTATCATCAGCTCCATCTTCAAGCTTCAGTCTGATTTCAAGTATTGAAAGTTCAAGTTTATCATCAGCTCCATCTTCAAGCTTCAGTCTGATTTCTTTAACTACGCTCAGTTCAATTTATGTCAATACCTACTATTCAAATTCTTCAATTGGTTATTCGTCAAGTACAAGTTTTTCCGTTGAATCAGTACCAATTTCGCAATCTTCAAGCTTTGCATCAGATCTGTCTTCAAGTGTATTATCATCTTCATCAATACCAAGCTCAAGTTCAAGTTCAAGTTCAAGTTCAAGTTCAAGTTTAAGTTCAAGTTCAAGTTCAAGCGTTATAGTTGTACCAACTGTTGCAGCTGCTTATGTTGGTAACATTTTCAGTGCTATTGACACAAATGCTCCACCAGCAATTTTCCCAAGAGAACAATTACCATTGGGTATTCCATCAGGTGTTAACAATAACGGTGAACCAATCGGTACTAATAAATTTTATTCCAATTTATATTTAAGTGATCAAAATATGATGGTTTATACTTGGCCATATGGTACATTCTGGACTAAAAATAATTTTGCTGGTTATTCAGTTCAGCATGTTGTTGAAAGTCAAAGAGTTTTTGGATCAGATCATACAAATAATCCAGGAGTTCCATCATATTATTTCAATCCTACAAATTTAGAGGAAATTGTTTTAAGTGCTTCAAGTTTCACCAAAGATAACATCCAATTAGGTTTAACAAATATTGAATCAATGAGTGCTTTAGTTACTTTAAGTACTGGATCAGATGCTGATTTAAATAATTTACAAATTCCTTTAGTTCAAGGTATGGGTATGATTACAGGTATTTATAATGGTGATTTAATTCCAGTAATAAATTCAGTTTATGGATTTTCAACATTAACAGTAGAACAGTCAGATGCTTTGAATTCAAATATTCAAAAATATAAAGCAAAATTATCAAATGCTGCTGAATGGTTAATTTATATTACTTTACCAAATTCAAATATTGATTTTGAATTAACTGCAGATACTTATCAATCATTAAAAGGTTCAAAATCAGTTGATGGTTTAATTGTTCAAGTTGCAATTGCACCAGACGAAGAAAGTCTTGAAAAATATTATGATGCTGCTGCTGGTATGTACGTTACTGATGCTACTGTTGAAGGTAATGCTGCTGGCTCATCTGCTTCATATAGTTTCAATTATGCTACTAAAGGTCAATCATCAAGTGGATCACCAATTGTTTTTGCATTACCACATCATTTGAAATCATTAAACTCTGGTTCATCCTCAACTGGTATACAAGTATTATCACAAACTAAAGGTCTCATGACTGGATTTTTAACAAATACATTAAGTTTTAGCGATACAATTGAAGATATTTCATTTTTACCATCAGATGCAACATATTCAACAGAACAATTAACTTTGTTAGCTCAAGTTGCAAATGAAGAATTAGCTGTTAATATTCCAAATACAGTTAAAAATATGAATTCAAATTATTTTTCAGGTAAAGTTATTGATAAATATGCTCAAATTTTATTAGTATTAAGTGAAATTATTAAAGATGATGAAGTTACTAAAGATACTTTAGAATCGATGAAAGAAGCATTCGAAACATTTACCAAGAATGAACAATATTATCCATTAATGTATGATACTAAATTTGGTGGTGTTACTTCAACTTCAGCTCAAAATGGTGATACTGGTGCTGATTATGGTAGTGCTTATTATAATGATCATCATTTCCATTATGGTTATTTTGTACATGCAGCTGCTGTTGTTGGTTATGTTGATAAGAAATTCAATGGTACTTGGGCCGAAGATAATAAAGACTGGGTTAATTCATTAATTAGAGATGTAGCAAATCCTTCAAAATCTGATACTTATTTCCCAGTTTCAAGAATGTTTGATTGGTATCAAGGTCACTCATGGGCTGCTGGATTATTTGCAAGTAATGATGGTAAAAATCAAGAATCAAGTTCTGAAGATATTCAATTTGCTTATGGTATGAAATTATTTGGTCAAGTTATAAATGATGGTGCAATGGAAACAAGAGGTGGTTTAATGTTATCAATTATGAGAAAATCATTTGAGGATTACTTTTACTTTAAATCTGATAATACTGTTCAACCAGAATCAATATTACCAAATAAAGTTAGTGGTATATTTTTTGAAAATAAAGTTGCTTATACAACTTACTTTGGATCACCAGATAATTTTCCACAATATACCCACTTAATTCATGCTATACCGGTCACACCAGCGTCTGCTTACGTTAGAACTGCTGCATACACTCAAGAAGAATGGGATGATCAAATTTCAACATTCATTGATAGCGTCACCGATGGTTGGCTTGGAATTGGACAGTTAGACAGAGCAATTCACGATCCTAAATCATCGTTTGACTTCTTCAGTTCAGATTCATGGTCTAACAATTACTTGGACAACGGTCAAAGTAGAACTTGGTCATTAGCTTTATCAGGTGGTTTATTAAATTAATTTCATTTCTCACGTTTAAATTTTATAGAATAAATATCTATGTTTTCGTATAATGACTACTCATCTATACTGCTTTTCATGGTTTCAAATAGACTTGATATCTCTGGTGTAGATCAAATAAATTTAGTTGAATCTTGTTTGGGTGCAAAAATTTGGTTACCATATTTTAATTCTCGTTGATAAAAAATCACCAACCCAAAAATGTTTTCATTTGCAAAGAAATTAGTTGATAGATTTGAAGGTCATGCTACTGCTGATTCAACTATAAATGATTCATATTTTAAAGGAGCTACTCAATTAAATAATAAAGGTTATGGTCTAAGAGTTTTAAATGTGGTGCCACATTCAATTGCAAATAAACAAGGATTTGAATCATGGTTTGATTATATAATTAGAATAAACAACCATGAATTACCAATGTTATACCCTTCAATATCAACAATTGCATACTCTATAAATGATGATGGTACTATAAATTATAATGGTAAGGTTTCAAGTGAACAAGCATCATCAATAAATCATGAATTATTATTAAAAGAAATTCAAACATTGGCTAAAAATAAACAAGATTTAGTATTTGATGTTTGGAATGCAAAAGGTGGAATAATTAGACAAATTGTTATACCATTGGAAGAATTTAAAACTGAAAATGAAGAAGATTTAGACGAAAGTATATTGAATTTATTCAAGAATAACTTTGAAAGAATTGGTTTAACTTTGGAAAGTCAACATTTAAATACTGCTACTTATGTATGGAGAATTTTAAATACTCATCAAGGCTCACCTGCATTTATGTCACAATTGGTACCTTATTCAGATTATATTATTGGTTGTGATTCAGCATATCCTACAGATCCAGATGGTAAAGGCTTATTAGTTAAAGGAGGTGAATCATTATTATCAAAGACAATTTTGAACTATTACAATTATCATAATTCACAAAGTAATGAAGATAATATACCAATAACTTTATATGTTTACAACCATGATTATGATATTTTAAGACCAGTTACTGTTAACTTATCAAAAAACTGGGGTAGTGGATTAAATAAAGGTATATTGGGATGTGATGTTGGATATGGTTTATTACATAGAATACCTGAAGTTATAGGTAAATTTGATAATAATGCATTAGTTGAAGATATATTGTTTGAAAATAATCAAAATATCAATTTCGATAACCAACAACAGCAACAACAATATTCGACTATTCCAGAACAACAACAGCAGCCACCATCATCAAATGAAATAATTAATCAAGCACCACCTGCTTTTGGATCAATGCCTCCACCACCACCAAGATCAACAAGAAAGAAGAAACATGTACCAGCATCAAATGATGGTCTAAGTGATTATATGAATGAAGAATTGGAAAAATCAAAAAAATTGGATGTACCTTCAAATACTTCTTCTGGTGATGTACCTCCACCTCCACCAGCAGCAACAAAATAAATAGATTATGAATGAGACAATGCCTAACATAATTGATAAATTGTAGAATTCTATTGAGACAATAATTAACTTAGATGCTATTCTATCGCCATTTCTATCTCATCCCTAAATTCCCACTAACTTAATGTTTTGAAATGAGAAATGTTAACTCAAGTAATTGTTATACCAGCTAGAAAAGTATCATGTTCGCTATTTGAGAAGATAGTTTAAATGAATTTAACATCTTGAGTTTGTATGGAGATTAGAATAAATTTAAAAAAAATATGCCCCATAACCGAATCGAACGATTGATCTTTCCATTACGAGTGGAATGCCTTACCACTTGGCCAAGAGGGCAAAATTATTTATGAAAATGCGCTCCAAAATTGGTAGCAAATTTTTTGGAAACCCGTGCAACACTTTTTCAAACCCCCCCCCCTAAAACCTCTTAATAATTTTTAAGAAATCAGCATTCACAGAGCTCACAAGGTAGTAGCTAGTGTGTTCCAAAATAATTAAGCTATATTGCAGTTGTTTCAACTGTATATAGTCTTCTCTGAAGGACTTTAAACATAATTGAAGTTTTGTACATTTTGGAAAAATTTTTAAATTTAGGGAGATTATACGTGCTGAAGCTCTTTAACTTCAATAAATGTCCTAAATAAAGAGATTCATCTAATAGAAGAAGTTGACTAAAAAAACAGCAAGTACTACTTGAGTAAATGTGACAATCAAATATAACTGGTGAATCACTAGAAATTATTAGGTCGAGTATTATGAAATGTAAAATTCATTGAATCTCAGGCGTAATCGATTGAAAACGTGTTAACCATTAAAAAGACTTAATTATAAAGGGTTTGCAATTGACTACGTTGTTGATGCATAAAATTGCGTTGACTACCTTGATATATTAAGTATCACTAACTCTAAGCGATCGACTGACAAACCAAGTTCTATAACCTGTTTTACAGAACGTCAGAATTATATTACCAAGTTGTTTTGAAGATATCTTATTGCAATTACAGAAGTTACACCATATCTAATTTGGTTGCAAAATGTTAATCGTGGCATCAACAAATAATTCCGTGCCGCGCGGACTTGATATTATTTTCTAAGCGAGCGAAACCAAAACGATAATAATTTAAAAAATTTTAAGCTTCTATGCATATGAGTAATTTAGAGACCAGATTTAAAAAATAAATAATAATAAAAAATTCTTTAGTTTAAATAAATCTTATCTTATCGAGAAAACTACAGTACAAGAATAGGCTTTTTGATCATGACTAAACCCAAACTAACTTTCAAGGAACAAATGAAGGGGTTCCCTTATTGGCAAATGGTCATAGTCTGTATTATTCGAATAGCTGAACCAATATGTTTTACAAGTTTATTTCCCTATGTATTTTTCATGATTAGAGATTTCAAAATAGCTAAAAATCCAGCTGATATTGCAACTTATTCAGGTTACTTAAGTGCATCATTTGCTTTAATGCAATGTATATTTTGTGTTCAATGGGGTAAAGCTACTGATAAATATGGTAGAAAAATTATCTTAATGATTGGTTTAACTGGTACTGGTATAAGTATGTTAATATTTGGGTTTTCACCAAATTTCTACGTTGCAATGTTTGCAAGATGTTTAATGGGTAGTTTAAATGGTAATATTGCAGTTTTAAGAACTTGTATTGGAGAAATTGCAACTGAGAAAAGACATCAAGCTATTGCTTTTAGTACATTACCTTTATTATGGAACGTTGGGTCGGTTATTGGCGCAAGCTTGGGTGGCTCCAAATATTTAACAAGACCAAAAGATAGAAGTGATTATGATTCAAATGATTTAAATGATTTTTATAATTCATTTATGGATAAATTTCCATATGCATTGTCTAATATTGTTGTTGCAACTATATTATTTGCAAGTTTGTTAATGGGATGGTTATTTCTTGAAGAAACTCATGAAAAATATAAAAGTAAGAAAGATCATGGTATTGTAATAGGAGATTTTATACTAAGAAGGTTAGGTTTTAATCCACCAGTTAGACCATGGGATAAAGCATATAAAGCAAAACCAAAACAAACAGATACTGATGAATCAACTCCCTTACTTGAAGAACCTTTATTACCTTCAAACGCATTAGATGATGATAATGTAATAGATGAAGAAGCATCTATTCATTCTTATGATGGTCCAATTACAAGAAGATATTCTAATGCATTAATTGAAAGATATAATTCATCAACTTCATTAAATTCATTAACAAAAGTAAATTCTCAACAATCCATCAAACAATCATTCAATAAAGAAATTTTCACTCATGCAGTTATACAAACACTTACAATAAATTTCTTATTATCATTTCATAATGTTATTTATTCAGAATTTTTACCTGTTTTATTAGCAGGTTCATATGATCCAAAAAAATTAATATTTCCAAGTCATATAGCTGGTGGATTTGGTTATAATAGTGATTTTATTGGTAAATTATTATCTACTACTGGGTTAATCGGAGCTTGTGGTATAATGTTTATTTTCCCAATATTAGATAGACATTTTAAAAGTTTAGGAATTCTTCAAACAAGTAGTGTTATATTTCCATTGACTTATACAATACTACCATATATTATATTCACAAAGAAGTATGACACAATATTCCCAGCTTGGTCAACTAAAGTATTACTTTACTCTTTAGCTTGTTTAAATACTGCATTTATGGCTACTGGATTCCCAACAATTTTAATTTTAATTCATAGAGCTGCAAATTCAAAGCATTCTGCTTTTATAAATGCTACCGCATTAAGTTTAAATTCATTAGCAAGGTTTATTGCTCCTGTTTTATGGGGTTATGTAATTGCATTATGTGATAGTTTTGAAGTTGGTCAAATTTCATGGATGCTATTAGGTGGGTTATCTTTAATTGGTTGTATCTTTGCTTTTAGTATGAAAGATTATGATGATGATGATGCTGATGAAGAAAGTAAATAGATTAGATAGAGATTTTAATAGACTATGCAAACGAAAACTGCTGTAAGATTGTACATGTCCAAAATTAATTGAGACCAGTAACAGCTCTCGCATAGGGTTAAATTCACTCCGACCGTACGATCGCTTCAATTTGGACGATGCTCATACGAACCAGAAAATATTTGAACATAGACTTATATGCAGTGGTATAGTAGTCAATCTCAAAAATTAATTGGCTAATAACTCTTTCAATATTCAAGCTTTGATCCTCAACCTTTTTTTTATTCGAATCTTCAGACAAACTGTAACACATTGATGTTAATATTATTCAAGGAAACACATAATTCAACAAATCATTCAAAAAATGCAAAATAACGTTAAATTGCGAGATAAACAACTCTTAAACCTTGTTTAGCAACTTCTAATATAGTTGATTTGGTTAATTCAATCCCAAAAATTGTTATATACCATTTTCAAGACTCCATATCGGTTTGAAAATTTTGCATTAATTTCGAACAACTTGTGAAAAATTACTTTCCCGATTTTGAACACCTTAACACAAAAAACTAGAGATTTACTAGCAAACTCGATTTACAAATCTGAATACTTTTATTATAATTCCATCACAATTTTGATTGTCGAGTTAGATTTTTCGAAAGGTCAATTTACTCGAGTTTCACCATACTTAAGAGAATACTTCAAAATTTTTCAATTTTAGTTCAGATCACTTGGAATCAATTTCAGTACTTTAGTTTGAAGTCTAATATATAACATTTGTTGTTTAATTGAAACTTGTGGCATTAAATTAAGACATACGTTGATTCCTATTTTTTGGAAAAATTTTGTATGATGAAAAAATGCCAAAATGACAACTCAAAAAAAAATTGTTTAAAATCAAAGGTTTAAAGTGATGAGATTATATAACCTAAGGCACTTATCTAAATGGTATTTATTTTGAAAGAGTTCGCTGTCCAGGAGATATAAACCTGTATATTTGGTACGAGTCGTCCTAAATTTATCGCATCGCTTCAGATCGCGTTCTATGATACTTACAAAAATAATTCCGGCTCGGATATTGACACGAAGTCGTGATAAGTATTAGGCGAAGTTTTAAAATTTCATTCCAGTTCTCGTGCAACGTCGACTTTATTTTTGAGCTTTGAAGTTTGAGAGTAAATTTATTTATAGCAATGCAAACTGGGCATATTCTTACTACAGATCTTCGTTTCAAAGCTGACATACTTCATGAAGCTCTCTTTAGCTTCAGTGTGCAAAATTTCGAACTCGATCTAAATGTTTTTTTTTGCAGCCAAATTTTTTTTTTAAAGAAAAAAAATTAATTTTCAGATAGACCCTTTGGTTCAATTCAGCATGTCAATTGTCACAACTTTAGGAATGTTTATAATTGATGAAAATCAATATTTAGATGATAATTCAAAATCACCAGATCTAAATATAACAGGAGGAGCTGGTACTTATTGCGTAATAGGAAGTAGAATAATATCACCATGTTCTATATCACATTTAATATCAGGCATAGTTGACAAAGGTTCAGATTTTCCAAGTACCATAGTAGAAGAATTGAATTCATGGCAAACAGGAATAATTTATAGAGTTGATGATTCAAGATTGACGACTCGTGGATGTAACATCTATAAAGATGGAATTAGATCGTTCACGTACGTAAGCCCTAAATTACGACTCGAAGTGGATGATATTTTAAAATATGACAATTTGAAAACGAGCAAAACCTATCATTTGATATGTAGTATTGAGCGATGTGAATCAATAATTAATAAGATATTATTATTTAATCCTGGTGCTATATTTATATATGAACCATTACCTGATGATTGTAAATTTGAAAATTTAGAGAAATTGAAAAAACTACTACCGTTGATTGAAATATTTAGTCCAAATTTAGATGAAGCTATAGAATTAACAAATAAGAATGAGTTAGGCGAGATTAGTGAAGAATTTAGAAAGTATTTGAAAATTAAAGGTTCTGGAGTTATTATACGATGTGGTAAAGATGGATGTTATATAAAAACTAAAACTGGTGATAAATTTAGTCTACCTGCTTATCATCAAGATCAAAAGCATGTAATTGATGTTACTGGTGGTGGTAATTCATTTTGTGGTGGATTTATAATGGGATATTATTTAAGTAATAGAAATTGGTTAGTAGGTGGAATTTGTGGTAATATTGCTAGTGGTTGTATTATTGAAAAGTTAGGTATGCCAAAAGTAGAAGAAAACAAGTTCAATGGATTATCATTCAAACAGAGATTGAATAAATATCTTGATGATAATAAAGAGATTGACGAAAAAATTGAAATAAAGAAAGATTTTAGTTGGATTGAAGAAGAATAACGAAGAAATATACATTCAATAGATTAACACGACAATAGATTAACACGATTCATCAATGAGATCAATTTAAGTATTTAGACTCAGATTTCATCCTATAGTATTGTTAAACTCGAACTAATACCTGAAATTTGCAACAATACAAGTTTAAATTCAGGAACAATCATTGGATTTTTTAGTACGTTGTAAAAATTTAAAGGTTCTGAACGATGAACCCTCTTCATAAGACATAAACAAACATTAAAGTAGGGAACTCGGTGAAAGTACAATATCAATTCCGGTCAATTTATTATAAAAAGCCATTAGTTCCATACTTGGTTAAATTAATTTCACGGTTAAGTCCTCTACATTTTACTCAACATTTAGTATCCGTAGCATCCTAATGATTAAACTTTATCTTATCAAGTAGGTCGAAAGGCTGCCAAACTTTACTCGATAATATTCAAAAAGCATAGCCTAAATTTAAAAAAATTATACGACGAAAAAATAAACTGAGAAAAAAAAATAAGAAAAAAAAATAGTATCAAATTTTAAGGGGTAATGGAAATATAATAATACTGAATGAAGGGTTTCTTACAGTACATTACCTCGATGAGAGCTGAATGAAGCTGAAATTTGTCAGTTCACTCTTGTATAGTGTTCGATTGGAGATCATAGACAATAGATTAAATATTATATTTATTTCATTTTAAAAGATGGCTGGCTGATTTAAAACAATTTTAATTACTAAACTCTATTAGGCAGTTTTTAAAAATTGCTATGAAATAGATAATAAATAATAACTAATTGATCAAACCCCTCAATATGATTTCAAATGTCTCTGTTTCAAACTTCTACTGCTCTTGATTTCAATTGGGCATATTAAATTCTCGACAATTTTATCAGAATGCAACAGCCTTGTCAGTAAGAATAATACAAGAAAAGAAAACAAGATTTCTAGGCTACCAATAAGAAAATGTGTCAAGAGATTAATATTCTATACATAAATTCGAGCTTAACAGTTGTTGTTAATTAATGTTGATAGTTTTTCTCGAGAATTTTTAAAGTTTATATATGTTTCTATTTTTAGATATATAACCGAGACTGTGAAAATTTAGAAAGTTTGATTTGACCGGAATTCAGCTTTATAATAATCTAACAACTCGAGGTGAAGAAGAAAAAGAGAAATAACTAAATATGAAGACTGATCTAAACCATTCTTATTTGTAAACAGATCTATGTAATAGAGTAATAAACTTGAACACTGCCTTATTATATGATACCTTATAATAAAAAAAATGCAACGTAAATCATCACGTGATATTTGTTTACATTTAATCTTAAATTTCGTATTTATAAATGCGTAGTTTGAATAAATTGACAACAGTTGAAGTAATTAAGCTGCGAGAAAATAAAACAAAAGTCATACAGAAACGCAAAGTATACATAAGAATTTAATGTCAAATTAAATTGTGGGTGAATTTAGATAGTTTGAAAGCTTGTGTTTATATATAGTTATATATAGTTGACTTTGTGGTGAGTCTAGTTTTGTGCTCTCTTACTTTATTTAGTATATTAATAAATAAACAAACAAATGGCTATAAATTTGACAAATATTTATCCGATTATTGCAAAAACTGTTATAAAGGCATATTATAGCATAATACACTTTAAATCATGCTCTATCACTTCTAGATCAACGCAATCATCCGAATACATTGATTTTGTTAGACGACGTGGTCCAATAATTTTATTTTAATTATTTTTTTCGGTTTTTTTTTTTAAAGAAAAAGTTACCCATTAAAAAAAAACAACATAGTACAAAAAAATTACAAGCCTTATCGTCAGTTATCGTTCTATCTATTTCTATAGCTCTTGAAGCATATTAAAATTACTTTATAGTTACAAAAGTCACTGTTGTATAATAAATTATTAGTTGCAAAACCCGAATTTAATTAATTCCGGTTTCAGAATATTTTTTTTTTTTCTATTTTTTTTTATTTTTTTTTTTCAACGAAAAATCATAAAATTTTTATAACTCCTTTTATTTTCTTTCCCTTTATTTTTTTTTAAACTTCTTCTTTTTCTTTCTTTCTTTCTTTCTTCATCTTATTACTTTTTAAGTTCATCATTCGTTACATCCTCATATTAAACCAATAATGAGTTTTAAAAAATTTTTAGCATCAGCTTCAATCGTTGGTTTAGCAGTTGCAGCTAATAGTATGTATAATTGAAAATATATCAGAAGAATTTTCGCGGTTCATAGTGTTTTCATAGTTAAGATATTGGAAAATACCAAGTTTGTTTGAAATCTGGGCACAAACCAAGTTTTAATACAGTTGGAGATTCTAGATCTAACCAAATCTACTCGAGATCTAAAGATTTAAAATACTTCATAATTTGTTCAAACTCGAGTATTTCACCACAATTTCATGAGATCGTTATATTTACCAGTTAAGAATTATATCAGTATTGTTTTTAGCCCTACAATTATGATTATTGTTCACAATTCACGAAATTAAGTTATATTTTTTCCACAACAAGTATGAAACTTTCAGGTGATTTGATTTATCAACAATGAGAGTTTAGTCATATTTTGAAACATTAGAGTATCAATAGTCATTATTTCAACATCCAAGTGTCATCAATACCTTATTAAGATAAGCGTTATAATAATTATTTAATAGAATTAATTAAACCCTATTGGATCAAAACCAAGAGATCAAAGCCATGGCCAGAAAAATATTTTTTTTTTTTTTTTTTTTTTTTTTTCAAATTAAGGCGTATGGCTAAAATTAGACTGTGATTCATAACAATTTACCAATGATACTATTACAACAACAATTATAATGATACTGTTACATTGATACTTGTGAAAATTCTTTGGTGGCTTTTTCATTTCAGTACTAACTTTAATTTTTAGACTCAACTTTAACTACAGCTACACCATCAGTTGATAGTGCATGTAGTTTCTCAGATTTCACCGCTACTGCAAGTTCACAAGTTCAATCAGTTGCTGCTTGTTCTACTGCTGTTGGTTCAATTTATATTTATGGTGATTCATTCGGTACAGTTGAATTAACTGGTGTTGAACAAATTTATGGTGATTTACATATTAATAATGTTACACAAGCTTCAGCAATTAATGCTCCAACTTTACAATTAGTTTCAGGTGAATTAGAAGTAAATGGTAATACAATTTTATCAAACTTAAACTTAGCTCAATTAACTACTGTTGGTTCATTAAATTTAATTGCTTTACCAGCTTTAGAACAAACTGGTTTAACTGCTGGTATTACTTCAGCTGATGAAATTATTATTTCAGATACTGGTTTAAATTCATTAGCTGGTATTAATGTTTATAAATTAAAAGTTTTCAATGTTAATAATAATGATGATATTGAAACTATTGATTCAGGTTTACAAGAAGTTACTGATACAATTGATATTTCACATAATGCAGAAAAAGTTGATGTTACTTTAGACCAATTAACTTCAGCTAATAACATTTATTTACAATCTATTAATTCATTTTCAGCACCAAATTTAACTGTTGCTAATGGTTCAATTTCCTTATCTTCATCATCAAATGAAAAATTCGAATTAGCTGAATTAACTTCAATTGGTAAATCATTAACTATTGATAATAATGATGAATTAGAAGAATTAGATTTCCCTAAATTAACTTCAATTGGTGGTGCTTTAGAAATTTCAGAAAATGAAAATTTAAAATCATTTGATGGATTTTCAGAATTACAAACTATTGGTGGTTCAGTTAATATGAACGGTACTTTTGATAATGGTACTTTTGATTCATTATCAAGAGTTTCTGGTGGTTTTACTTTAAAAACTGATGGTGAATTATCATGTGAAGCTTTTAATAAATTAAATTCAAATGGTGATGTTAGAGGTGATAAATTCCAATGTGAAGATAAAGTTACTACTTCATCATCATCATCAAGAAAATCAAATTCAGGTTCAAGTACTGATAATTCAGCAGATGAAACTGGTTCAACAACAGGTGGTTCAGGTTCATCATCATCAGGTGGTTCATCATCATCAACTAGATCATCAGAAGGTACTTCAAATGTTGGTAAATTAGCTTCAGTTATTGCTGCTTTTGCTGCTGTTGGTGTTGCTTTATTCTAGTCTAACCTAGAGAGATATTATATTTGTTTTACTTTTTTAATAATGATATTTTTAATAATTTTAATATAATTTGATGTACTTAGAAGAAAACAAATTCTTTAAATTTTTAATTGCATCTAGTTATAATTTCGTCGTTTATATTTTATAATTCAAAATTTATATTAATTGAAATTTCTATAATTATGTAAAAGTCGCGGCTTTTTCTGCAGCCAATCAACTTTTGAGATTTTACTATTATGTTTAACTTTACCTTACACAAAGAATTTGAGTTACAAAGATTGTATCATCGGTGGTCTATTAGTCTATCAGTCCATAAAGTACCCAAATATTTACATGCTATCATTAATTTTCTAAGTCAATTTTTTGTATGTTTTCAATATTCAATGCTTTTGCAACTTCTTTTGTAAATAAATCTCCTACTTCTTCAACACTTGGATTTTTACCATTGATTTCATAAATTGAAGTTGCTGATTTATCTTTGAGACCACACATTTCAAATTGATTCAGATATTTTAAATTTGGGTTTATATTCAATGCAATACCAAATTCAGTTATCCCATGTCGTACTCTAATTCCCACACTAGCTATTTTAGTATCATTATCTATCCAGACTCCAGGATTTTCATCATCTGTAGTTGCTTTTATATCATATTTTTTCAAAACTTCAATTATAGAATTTAATAAAACATTTGAAACAAAACATTTAGCAGTCAAATTTTTAAATGATTTTATATCAATAAGTAGGTAACTTGTTAACTGACCTTGTCCATGCCATGTAACTTGACCACCACGATTTAATTGAAAATATTCACCACCAAATTTTTTATATTTTGAAATTTCAGTATCATTTAACTCAATTTTAGATTTTAATCCACCAGCATAAACATTATCAAATTCAAATGTTAGAATTTTGGGACTTGGTTTTAAAAGTTCTAGACTATTTAGCTCAGTTTCATTAATATACTGCCCTGGGTACTTCTTGCTTAAACTTTTAAACTTCAGTTGTAATGATTTATAGGCTAGATTTTCAATCATATATTGTTGTTGTACATTTAAACCATTTTGAAAACTCAGTATACCTTTATAATTGAAGTGTTGTAATGTTTTATTATAATTCTGTTTAATCGTTTGATAAGAAACCATTTATAATTTTTTGTTGATAATAATTTATTTTTCAGTAGTTATATGAAGCGTATACTTTTAAAGAAACAACCAAGTACAAAAACTACAATTACTAATGTTACTTCTCAATATCATATAACTCATCAGAGTATAAAGAAACAACAGAAGACTCCAGATGAAACAATAGATATTGATTTTAAAGATGAAGAAATTGAATTTTTATATGAAATTTATGCCAGTCAAAATAAATTACTATTGATTAACAACAATAAGAGTAAGATCTTTGAAGTTTTACCAAAGTTAACTAATGATTATGATACTTCATGTCTGATACATTTGTTTATTTCAACTATATTTATTAAATTTGTAAATTCATGGTATTTTAAATTGAATACATCAAATTCAGAATTTATAAAGGAAAGTTATGAATTGGTAATTGTGTTGCTAAAGGATATAATTACAAGGATAGAGAATTTAGATATGCTTGACTTATTGGATCAATTGATATATATACTAAATGATCATATTCAAAATTTCAAAAATGATAATTTCATGAATAAATATAATGAATTACATAAATTACATGGCTTGACTCGAGATGAAATATTGGACGAGTATTTAAAGGATCAACACTTGCTAGTTAATGATGAGAAGATGTATCTACGAGTGCTAATACGAAAGGTATTACATGAGTCAATTCCAAATTTATCAGAATCAAATATAGGTGAAAAGCTAGTTACTCTAATTTTAAGTGATTTGGTACTAAAGAACACAATAAATCTATTATCTACACCTCAATTTATTAACGAAATGTTATTTAATTTACTTTCGAAGGAGAAATCAAATGAAGAACCATCATGCAGTTTATTTGACATGTCATTCTTAAACAATTTTGGATCTAATTCAAGTCTTGATGTTTTAAATTGTTCAATATTTAGTTTAATCAATACTGTATTTTCATTCAATCAAAGAAAGCCAATATTTTACAATTTCATAATATCAATAAAAGCTATATTTGCAATTTTACCATTCACTTTTGGGAACAACATTATCACAAGTTATATATCAAATAAAATATCTGCTATTAATCTTACTAACAAAGTTGGAGAGCTCATAAATGATCTAAGAATTAGGTTATTTTACAAAGAGTCAAGTAATGAATTAAAGGAAGAAATTTCAATGGATGATGTTCTTGAAAAGATCGTTTTTGGAAGATTTCAACCATTATTCTATTCCAATGAGAATGAACTACAATTTAAAGACGACTTCAAGACAATACTTTTCATATTTCAAGATCAAAGACTTAATAGATTACTAATTATTCGATTTATAGATTGTGTAATTTCAAATTTATATACAAATTTATAATTTCATACCTTCCTTTTCCCTTCTTTTCATTTCGAAATATTCCTTTCTCATGTTTCTTAAATCTGGTGGCTGCTCAATATGCATTTCTTTTCTAAATTCATCAACATCTTTTTCTAGTATCTTTTCCCAATATACATTTATCAACGGTTTTGAATTTAATCCACTTTGTAATGCCCAAGGATAATATATTTCTCTTAATCTGCGTCTTTGTGATTTTTTCAATCTTAATGGAGCAAATAAAGCACCTAATCCACTCATTGGAATACCAATATTCATAAATTCAAATACTTTAACAGCAATTTCACCTTCTATTATAATTGGTAATCCAGTTATAGCGTGATAAAAATCATGACATTCTCTATATCTTTGAAAAATATATGCCAATTCTTCATTATCTATATATTTAACAGCAACTCTAGTATCGGGACTAACACCTTCTCGATCAAGCCAATTTATATAACTTTTACCAATTGTATTATCTGGAAGTGATCGTAAATAGTCTAAATTTAAAGATGTAGATGTTATTCTTGGTTTTTCACGTAATATTTGACGTCCAATTGCATTTGATAACATTGTAGATTGTAAATTTTTAAGTATTGGTTTAATAGCAGTTGATTCACCTAATGCAACAATAAATTCATTTCTTTCAGGATGGAAAAATGAACCAATTGATGAGCCTAAAAACATTAAAAGTTTTTCATGATTATATAATGGTACATGTCCTGGGTAATCTGGTGTTCTTCTTTTAAATGGTTGATTGTTCTTTTCTAATTCTCTAGTCATTTTTTTATTTGGATCAAGATAGTGTAACCCAGACTCTATTTTGTTTGCAAGTACATTTGATTCACTGAATAGAATTCTGGTTACACTACTTGTGAGGATTAGTGGTAGAATAAAATTACGCTTAAATTGTAATTGTACTGACATTATATATTGTAATTAAATATGGCTTGATTTTTCGCGTAGGTGAGAACAAATTAAATTTATCAAATGGCTGATACCAATTTTTAGTGCATTAATCTGGCGCTACATAAAATTTTCTCGCGCTGGCTTTATGCCAACTCGAGCTAAATATAATAGCTCATAAGTCTCGAACAACGAAATCTTTCGAAATGATTACCATTTATATGAAATTAGGAGCCTAGAATTGAATTGTACGCTATGTATAGTTTGAATCTAGTATATTGAATATTTTTTTTTTGAATTGGATTTTTGAGCTTTTTTCACCATACAAAAATTAAAAGGGAAAATGCAAAGTCTACTTTATTTAAGGCCATAACTTCCGATTTAGCAACGGATTATATATGTTACACCTCAGACGAAGGTAATAGACTTAATTTTGTTTGATTTTACCTAAATTTGAAAAAGTTCAAGAATTTCTCTTCAGTATGGGAAAAATCGAATAAATTGACTTAACGAAAAATCTAACTCCACTTTCAATACTCAAATTTAAATATGATGAAACTATCAAAATTTGTAGCTCTGGTAGGTTAATTAATTGTAGAATTTTTAGTGTCCTGATATTCAAAATTGAAATATTAGTTTCTCAAAAGTGGTTCGAAATTTTTGAAAAAAATATTCAAAATTATTCTAGAGTCTTAAAAGAATTACACAAAGTATTGTTGGCATTATATTAACCGAATCAGTTATACTAATAGTTGCTAAATGAAGTTCAAGCGTTGGTTATCTCGCAAAATAGCGCTTTTTTCGAATTTTCAAATGACGAATTAAGTCATCAAAATTATATTTATCCAGCGCATTCTAACATTCTTTACTTTAAATAATTTGACAAATTGAAGTTAGTTTGATAGAGTGCTTTCAAAAATTGAAGGAGTTATTCACAGTTTAAATTTCAAGATTAACTGTAGTAGAACTGCATATAAACACATTTGTTTCAGAATTTTGCAAGACAGTATATACTTTTTGATGCGATGATCTTGTGCGACAAAAAATTTTTTCGCGTTAAATTTAAGACGAATTTTGTATAGACTTTGACGCTGCACACAACGATATAAAATTGATAAAGTGGCCAATGAATAGAATAAACAAGAGATAGAACAATAGTTTCAATTTGTAATAAACTGTATATATTAAAATGTAATACTGAATAATTATCAAACATCAAACTTCTTTGATGATTTACTTAAACCCACCAGTGTTAACTGGTGAGTCAAAGTAAATAATAAAATTATTCCTTCATACTCTGGGTTAAAGATTTCAATAGTGAATAGTAAGGTATAATGTCAATATATGACATCTATACCCTTTTAAATGTTGCATTCGCTATGACAACATTTCTACCACCACAATTTTGAAAATCTTTATCTGTATCACTATATACCTATTTACAATTTAATGACGAACTAACTAATGCACAAAATGGAGACACGTTATACTTAAACTTTATTCAATTAATATGTCTCATGAACGATTACAACAACTATTAAGATTTATTTTATCTTGCCTCAATGTTTAGTTCATGGGCGATAAGAAAATAGATTTATGATTCCTCCAGAGCATTCAACAAAATTCCTCAAGATGCTATTTTAGGATTCCTGGATAGAACATAGGGCCAGAGATCCTAGTTTTTTCAATCTCTGCTTAAGCTATCAGTTGAATGATAAAGTCAAAGACGATAAGAAAACGGAGCTTTTCGGATATGGCCCTAATAAAGGACGAGAGGTCCTAGTTCCCTTCAACTTTTTCCATGAACCATGAACAAAAATGTTACATATGTGAAAATGAAATCCCAATCAACATAAAAACAAACTTTTTAAATGTGATAGGTGATTTTAAATCAAATTTAACAAATTGCATGAATTCTACTACATAACTTGAAAACCTCATGAAACAAATAGGTTAACTTTTAGTGAAGAAATATATGGTGAACTTCCTCCTGTTTTCCTAACTGAAGGATTCGACAAAGTGAATATTAGTACCATGGGTTAAAATTTCGAGTATTTATAGTTTTTCAGTTGTGGGTTTGTTTAGTTGTACATATTTGGTTCTGTATACAATATGCAGATACGATATATATATTTAAGCGCCAATTGCAAATTTGAGTTCAAACGTGAATAAAAATTCAATCAAGGTTTGTAAATTACACAATTCGAGAATCACAAAACACGCTGATATTAACTGAACATAATCCTTATATAGTATAATTAGCTTAGAATACAATTGATACTTGACTGGTGTTGATTTACGTAGAAATCATGAAACTTAGAAGAAGGTCGCAAGATGGCCAGGCGCAAATTGGTAGCAAACCGTGATCTTTTTTTCCAAATTCAGCCGCAAGCTAATTTTTCAAAATTTATATATATTAACAGCAATTGTTCATTATTCAGAAGAGGAACCACTTTCAAAGCATATAATACTATTAATATTGCATTATGATGTCACAATTATTATACAAATATTTTTTACAAAAAGTATGTACAAGATTTCAAGATTAAACAATTTACTAACTTTTATTACTCCAGACTAATCTTGATCATGTAATTACCATGGGTTCATCTGCCGATGATCCATACTTTGAAGAAATTCCAGAAAATGAATTACTTTTCTACCAAAGAAAAGGAGCCAAACGTAGAAGAAAATTACCATCATATATTCCAAAACATGATTTAAAAATTTTAAATTCAGTTAAAAACAAAGCATATGCGTTAGATTTACAATTATCATTATGTGGTTTAAGAATAGGTTGGTCAGCTATAATTGGATTAATACCTATTATTGGAGATTTTTTTGCGTTTTATTTAGCTTATTTATTAGTTCGAAAGGCTAAAAAAATTGAAGGTGGTATTCCAAAATCACTTGAGACTGAAATGATGGCTAATGTGATGTTTGATTTTGGAATTGGTTTGATTCCTTTTTTTGGAGATTTTATAAATGTATTGTACAAATGTAATTCAAGAAATTTTATATTATTGGAAAAATATTTGGTTAATAAATTTCAAAATAAATTGGAATCGGTAAATGGTGGTAATATAAATGATAGAAAGGCGAATAATGATAAAGTGAAGCCACCAGCACCACCACCACGAAATAACCAGCCAGTTTATAATAATGTATGAATTAATGAACATTTGAAGTATTTAAGACCTGCTTTATTCCTTTTTGTTTGACTCTGTTTAATCCATTAGAAGGTTTTTTAGTTTGTAAACCAGTTCTTCAATCTGTAGAACTTCCAATTGACCCTTAATCAGTTATTTAATCAAGGAAAATTGGCCACAGCCAATGCATTGAGTGTTATCCACATGCTTTTCTGAATCTAATGACATCCTTACGTTTATAATCTTTCAAATTCTTTTTCTAAATTATCAATTCTCAATTTAAAATCATTTATGAATAATTCCAATTGATCTAATTTTAAAAATTCAGATTCTAATTGATTACAAATTTTCAACATATCATCTATCTCTTTATAATTATTAGATAATTTCAATTGATTTTCGAAATAGTCAGTAAATATAATTTGTTGTTTTTGCTTAATTGATTCATAAGTTTGATCAGTTAATTGTTGAATATGATCTTTAATTTTATACATTAAATAATCATAACTTAGGGATAATTGTCTTAATTCTAATGGATCTGCATCCTCCAATGACTCAGTACTATTATTACCATCACCAACACCAACATCATCTATACTATTATCTCTTTCATCTTCATTCATAGTGTAACATAATTTTTCAATTTATCAATAGTACACGTCCAATATTTTTTTTCAACTATCAAAACTCCTTTTTTCAACAACCAACAACCGATAACTGTTTAACTGTTTATTGCATCCTTACCATGGCTACTTCTTACTCAATTGAAAAAGTCAATCCTAAATTATTAAGAAGAGTTTATAGAGCTTGTCGACCATCAAATGAAGAACCAAATTTATCATTAAATTTAGAAATTTGTGATTATGTAAATGCAAAAGGTGGTTCAACAGCAAGAGATGCTGCTATTGCAGTTGTAAAATTAATTTCACAAAGAGATCCACAAACTTCTGAATTAGCATTAAGTTTATTAGATAATTTAGTTAAAAATTGTGGTTACCCATTCCATTTGCAAATTTCAAGAAAAGAATTTTTAAATGAATTAGTTAAAAGATTTCCAGAAAGACCACCAATGAGAATTTCAAGAAATCAAAGACAAATTTTATTATATTTAGAAGAATGGTATCAAACAATATGTAAAAATTCAAAATATAAAGATGATTTTAAATATATTAAAGATATGCATAGATTATTATCAAATAAAGGTTATATTTTTCCAGAAGTTAAAATTGAAGATATTTCGGTATTAAATCCTAGTGAAAATTTAAAAACAATGGAAGAATTGAAAAAAGAAGAAGAAATTGTAAATGCTTCAAAATTACAAGAATTAATTAGATCTGGAAAACCACAAGATTTACAAGAAGCAAATAAAATTATGAAAATTATGGCTGGTTTTAGAGATGATAACCTCAAGGAAAATCAAAAAAAATTAAAAGAAGATATTTTAAAATTGGAAAGAAAAATTGAAATTTTAAATGAAATGTTGGATCAAATTGATAACGGTAAGAAAACAATTGGTGATGATGATGAAGTAGTTAATCAAATTGTTGGACAAATTAAAAGTTCTTTACCAATAATTGAAAAAATTATAAATGAAGAAGATAAAGAAGATGTTGAAAGTATTGATAAAATTTTAAAACTTAATGATGATTCAATTAATGTAATACAAAAATATGAAAAATTAAAAGATGGGGAAATTAAAACTACCAAAACAACAAATAAACCAGAAACATTGAATCTAATCGATTTTGATGATGATGTTGAAACATCTGAAGATAAACAAGAACAAAATTTTGTTGATTTATTATCTGATTTAACTTTTAATGATAATAATAATAATAACAGTACCAATAAAGGCGCAATTAATTTATCAAATCTTTATGGATCAGCAGGTTCAATTAATTTAAATAATTCAAATTTATTAGCAGATTTTAATTCACCAAGTCCTCCACCTCAATTACAATCAAACTTAAATACAACATTATCACCAGGTAATTTTCAATTCCCGATTTCTACACCAACTTCAATTCAATCAACATTTACTAAAACTATATCAATTCATAAATCTGATTTAAATTTAAATTTGGGTGTTGAATCTTATAGTTCAACTAATTTACAAGGTCAATTAATATTAACAGCAAATCAAAATGTTTCTGTTTCAGATGTTAAATTATATTTGGCAGTTCCTAAAAATGTTACATTAAATTTACAACCTCAATCAAGTGATGTATTAAATAATTCAAATTTAAAAATAACTCAAATTTTAAAAATTGAAAATCAACAGCAAAAACCTTTGAAAATTAAATTTAAAATTGAATATAAATTAAATAATGAATTGAAAGAAATTAATGGTGTTCATGTTTTAAATTTATAGATGTTAATATAAGTTGAATAATTATACATATTGTATTAAAATGAGTGAAATTTTTGTATTAATACAAGCGCAATGTAGATCTAGAAATGCGCAAATTAATAGTTATGAGATCGGTTGCAAATCTAAATACGAGATCTTTTACAAAACAATATTTAATTACGAGCGCGCTTAAAAGAAAAGCCGAAATTTCTTCAAATTTCAAGGTTTTAATCCGAAATATGCAGTTAATAGAATCATTGAAAGAAAAAAGTTTAGCTTAAACTCTCAAATATGTATGCATTTCTTTAATAATTCTATATTGTCTATTTAATTAATTCTTGAAATTTTTGGAAAAATTGTTCTACTACTTCAACGCACCAAAAATCTCCATTACTTTTAACATATCCTAAATGTCCACCTAAATCAGTTTCAACTAATAATAAATATGGATTTGTATTTATATCAATTATAGGTAAATTGACACCAACAGCAGGATCATCAGTTGAATTAATCATCATAAATGGTGTTTTAATATTCAAAATTTGTCTTAATGGTGATAATTCTCTATAATATTCAAATGCATTAGCATATGGTGTTGTTTTACAAGTTATTAATTGATCAAATTCATAAGTATTTTTAATTGTTTTCAATTTTGCTAATTTTTCATCATTTATTAAATCACTATGTTCCATTATTTCTTTTTTATTATTAAATACAATTTTTGATAAAAATTGAGTTAATGCAGGACTTAATAAATATTTCCCAGTTAATGAAGATTGAATATGATATGCAGAATCGACAAAATCAAAAGGACATCCAACTGCACATGCTGCTTTAACCAAACCAGAATCACCTTCTTCACCAAGGAAATTAGTAACCAACGCACCTCCAAATGAAAAACCACATAAATAAATTGGTCTATTGGGCCATGTTTTTTTAAATTTTTGTAAAACTTCTCTAATATCATTTGTTGAACCTGCATTGAATAATGTACCTGATGTTAATTTAGTTCTACAACATCCTCTATTATTAATAACTACTCTATCCCAAGAATCACAATTTCTTTCAATATTCTCTGCAAGATTACGAATTAATGATTCATGAGAACCACCAGCTAATCCATGACAAATTACAACTATTGGTGTTTCAGTTTCTTTTGAATACAATTGGCTTAATTCTTCTTTGCTTAAAAATCTAGTTCTTGGATGTAATCTTGGTGAATCTTGAGGTAATGTTTCTTGATATAATTGTTTAAAATTTTCATGTTTCGGAATAACCCAATCTAATGAACAAGTACCACCGTCTTTATATTTAAAAGTTTCTCTACCGTAATAAACCTGGAATTTTTTAGAAGAATCCATTGAGGTATAATATAATGTCTGTAAGGAACCATTGAAAAGCAATGGATTCAACCATAATTTCTTAGTTGGATCAATTAATGTTAATTTTTTAGTAAAATCTGTAAATTTTATATCACCGTCATTTGATTTTAAGTTTATACTATCTTCTTTTTGATGTAACTTTATATTGGATCTAAAACCCCAATTTAAAATACCCATTGTCTTATAATAGAATAATTGCGGATCATATTTTATATCTTAGATCTGAAAAATTATAAGACGATCTGAAAAAAAAACAAAAAAAAAAAAGGTTCCTCGGCTAAATGAAGTACTTACTTGTATAGTGTCGGGTAAAACCGTTTTAACTTATAATCCATTTTATATTGAATAGAATAGCGTAATTGGAATTAAAAGTGTTTGTTCTGAGTATTTATTGAGAAAGATTTCGACTTGATCAGCATTATTTTACTATAAATCAAACTATCAAATATAAACCTCTTCAATCTATAAGTATTCAGTCATTTCTTCAGCAGCTTCAGCAGCCAATTCTTTAGCCTTGTTCTTATTCTCATCATCAGAACACAGATCAATATACCATAAATATTGTTCATCTCGCTCTAAACAATCTAAATGCATTTGATTTTTATCATATAACTTCACAACACAAGACATAAGATCCTTATCCACAATTCTAAATCCAACTCTATCATCCCATTGGTCTCTACTTTTAAAAATCTCATCTCGATCTTTACATATTTCTTTCACACGATGAACTACAATCTGAATAAATGGTGTATTTAGAATTATCACGACCTTCTTCAAAATAAGAATCAAGTGATCCAAAACTCGAATTAATGACAATAATTTAGTGCGGGATTGTGAGAATGGGATATTGTATAAATTTTCTAAACCTTGAACATATTTAATATCATCTAAATTGTTTACATGCAACTGATATATCTAAATCTTCATCTACTGGGAAAACTATACCTATTCCACCTGCTCTTTTTGACTTATCTGGGTTATCTATAAAATGATTACTGACGTAGATTGTTTTCTTTTCGAATTCACCTTCATCTTCTGCTTCTTCTTGTTTTTCTTCTTTCAATAGTTTCTGGTGAGTTGTCGAACTTGTCGATTATTTCTTCAATTTCTTTGAAATTCATCCTTGGATTTAATAAATGTTGGACTAGTGTCTCTAATTATATTAAAGTATTTATGTTATGTGGCCCGATGAATATTCGCTAAAGGAATTTCAGGAAGCTAATTATAATACTTAATGACGGTCTTGGCAACTCTGACAGGGAAACTTGATTTCGTTCCGTTAATCTAACTTGGCTTTCTTTAATGTTCTTGTACCATCCAAGTGTATACCATTAATTCGAGGTTTTTTTCATTCTAAAACCATAACTCAGCTTTACTAACCTTCTAATGTATTGTCGGTTTAAATATGAAATAGACTTTACGGCCCTGAAACTCACGCAATAATTTGAGGCCCTTAGTTTGTCCTCAAGTTGCACTGAAAGTAATTTCGACTAATTAACTTCGAATTAGTCTTTGTACACTTATGGAATGGTAATTTTTACTTCATCTATAGTCTATATTTTAGTTAGAATAAAACGTTTATTGGCTATAACCCAGTTTTGATTAATTACTACTATACAGCTTTTATTTGGTTGTGGCAATTTAGCTTTGATGGAATACTCGGATCTTTAATTCCATGCTGCTTGTACCTCTTAATATATCAAAAATAGGTTATTGCAAAATTCATACAACTTTTTATAATTTGTTTCAAAATTTGTTTGCGCACGACTATTTTTAATTTCCAAAATTCATCTCACTTTAAGTTGGCAAACCCAATACAGATATGTCAAAAGATTCAACAACAACCGATAATGGAACAACCAAAAGTACTACAATTCATATACCTTCAATAACACAAATCTCACGACCTTTTTTTTCAAATAAAGAAATATCATTTTTACATAGTCAAACAATTTCAGATTCATTAAAATTACATTATAAATCAACAAAAGATCAAGTTTTCCAATTATTATTTCAAATATGTAAACTGATGAAATTTCCATTAAGAATGTTATCAACTGCTATGAATTATTATCAAAGGTATTATTTATTTAATAAATTTGAATTAAATTCAAATGATATTTTAGATGATCCATATTTAATAAGTTTATCATGTTTATTCCTTGCAAGTAAAGTAGAAGATTGTATAAAGAAATTAAAAGATTTTCAACAAACATATAATAAAATCAAAAATATAGATGAGAGTATATCAATTGATAATCTTTCATTTTTAGAATATCAAAGAAAAGCTTTATTACAAATTGAATGTAAATTATTACAAATTATTAAATTTGATTTCAATTTAGGTAATAATCATCCTTCAATAAAGATGAATATAGATTATTTATTGATTCAATTTTGTAAACAATTGAAAATAAATTATAAAATAAGTATACTAAGTTGGTTTATACAATTTGATATTATACAAACTCCATTATGTTTAGTGATACCTCCACATTGTATCGCAGTTGGTATAATAATAGTTGCATTAAATTTAAAGCCAAAAGAATTACATATTGAAGATAATACAGATGATGATTATGATGAAATTTTAAATTCAATAGATTGTGAACGTTTAAATTGTCCTGAAGTTTTAGTTAATGAGTCAATTATATATATTTTAGATTATTATATCCATCAATATAATAATTCAATATTGAAAAACTATTTACCTGAAAAAGATCCAATTACAAATAAAGATCAAGTATTTAATTTCATGAATTTAAAAACAAAGTTTAATGATGTATTATTAATGGAGGAAATAAGTTGTAGTAAAGAATTAAATACAAAGGATGATTATTTAAAGAATTGGGATTACTCAATTGCATTAAAAGGAGCTACAAGATTTATGTTATCAAATAAAAGAAAAAGATTTCATTCAGAATTAGAAAATTAAGTATATTTATAACTTACAGAAGTATTTACATGATGAAATTTTGTACTAAATGATGTAAAATTTACATTATCAATATTATCACCTTGTAAAATTTTACCATCACCTTCAGTATCAATCCATTCAATAGGTATACTTGTATTTGGATCAGTATATACTAAAACATTAAATGTATAATCATCATCTTTTAAAACAGGCAAATACGAAACAGATGAAGTTATTTGACGTATAATTGTTTGAATTTCCTTTTGAGTTTCAATTTGATCTTTTTCAATTTCTTCATTTTCAGATTTTACATCAAATTCCCATCTTTCAATATTATCCAAATTACTTTTTGATATAATTACAATTACAAATTTTTCAATTCTTTTCAGATAAATCCATTTTCTAATCTGAATCATTATATTTTCAATATATTTACAAATATCATCATCATTACATTTAATCATTGGCAAATCAAATTTTTTAACAGTTATAAAATCTTCTTGAGGATAAATACCACGTTGATATAGAATGTTATTTAAAGCATATTCAAAGTAATCTGAAACTAATTTAGATGAACCTTTCAATGCAACTTTTGACATACAAACTATTTGGCTATTTGTTTATCTATTTATATAATTTTGATTTTTAACGCGTGGTAAAAAAAAAAAAAAATAAATCTTGATCTAACAATAATCAATATGGTATGTTTTGACGAATCGAGATTATGGCCAGATTGGTACTAATTTTATAATTAGCAACACGGTATTAAAAGACAACATTTATCAGAAGAAGCTAAGAAACTGAAACTAGAAAAAGATCAAATTAAGATTAAGAATTATAAATCATTAGTTGATCAATTATTTCAATTTAGAGATGATAATTTATATAATGAAGATATATTCAAATTAACTACTAAATGTTTATTAATTAATCCAGAATTTTATACAATGTGGAATTATAGAAGAGAAATTTTACTCAATCTAAATAACACCGAAATTTTTATAAATTATTTAAAAGAAGATTTAATATTTTTATTAGGTTTATTAAAGAAGTTCCCCAAATGTTATTGGATTTGGAATCATAGAAAATGGTGTTTAATGGAATTAGTTGATTTAAATAAAGCGGATTGGGATTTTGAATTCAATACAATTTCAAAATTATTGGAGTTAGATGAAAGAAATTTTCATTGTTGGCAATATAGACGTTATATAATTGCAAATATGAAAAAAGATCTTGATTCTACTGTAATAGAAGAAATTGATAGAAGAGAATTTGATTATACAACAACTAAAATCCAAAATAATTTTAGTAATTTTAGTGCCTGGCATCAAAGAGCCTGCAGTATAAAATTAGTAAAACATGAGAATAGCTATGATTGTTTAAAAGATGAGTTAGATTTAATTAAGACGGGGATATTTATGAGTCCAGAAGATACATCAATATGGTTATATGTTAAATATTTATTGACTGATACATTTTTTATAGATAGTATAAAATCCAAAAATGATTATATGGATATTTTACAAGATCAATTAAAGGTTGTTGAAGAAGTTAATGAGTTGGAGAATGAAGATACAGGTAAGGATAATGTTGAATGTTTAAAAATGATTATATTTTTGAAAGATTTGATAATGAAACAAGAAGGAAATGATAAATTTGACAAAGACATTCAAAATATAATACACAAACTTGTAGATTTGGATCCATTGAGAAAAGGAAGATACAAGGATATGTTGCAGAACCAAGTATTAACGGAATAAAAGTATATTTAATATCTATAATATACAATTTCAAATCAAATTTTATCTCTTTGCAACTCAATTTCAAAACAACCAAATAATCAGATATTTATATCAAATTACTTGCCAATCTTGAAAAATAAAGAATGGCGTACTCTGGTTCCAATAGTTTCTATTTTTGCAAAATCGAAACCAAAAACCAACCTTCGACTATTTTGAAAAGAGCAAAACTGATACTCTGCGGTAGGGGTTATCAAATTGCTTTTGGAGCCCTATTTACTTCTATATACTTGTGCTAGTATACACCTGACGGTATAAACACTTTCGATACATGTCAATCAAACTCTCTGATTGAGTTAATGATATGATCTCAGGAAGACCCAAAATAAAAGGTCGGAATATTAACAAATCAAATATCAAACAAGCTTTTTAAACAAACTTAAAAGTAAACTCATATATCCAAATTTGCTTTACAAACATTTCATATTCCATTAGTTGCAGTTTGTGCATTAATTAAAAGAATTGACAATAGATGTATCATCATCAGATTTCAAAATTAAAAATCCTGATTAATGTTGAGTACACCAATTTTAACACCTGGTGTAAAATTGGTTACTAAAGATAAGGAGATTCTTTGGCATAATTGATTAAATCATGAACAACCATAATCGCCAAATTTGGCCATATTATCTTATTATCTTAAAAATCTTCATTATCATGACCATACAATCAAACTTAACAATGTATATTCATGTTCCACAATTGTTGAACGGCGAAAACATATATACTTTTTTATGATTTAAACGACCGTTAAAGTAGTGTTAATTGTGACCAAAAATAAATAAGGCGTATATATACGAAATTAGACCGAATTATAACTAAATCTGTGGACCAATTGAATAGCATTTTAAGTGATATTGTGAAAGTATACTATAAGCAGCTCATGGTACGCTATAAAGAGTTATTGAGCTCAATTCATTAACCAGTTCAATATTTACCAGTTTTATAAATATTCTCTTTTTTTTTTTCATACATTTATTTAGGTGGGTACAAATCAATTGAAGAAACGAATCAAGATATTACTTGTTTTTACCTTAAGCTGTACTCAAGTAGCTACAAATTTCATCAATAGACATTTGGCTCAAACCTATGTTGAAAAAGTACTGTGTACCATTAATTTTCTCTCTGTAATTATAGAGATGTTTTTCTTGAATAAAAGTTCTGATTTACTTCCATCCTTCTCAACTCCATTAGTAAACTTGTCTTCGGTAAGTACTAGTACAAGTGAATGTGATATAGAGAAAATTTGCTTTTACTCATGTGAATCACATTGAGAGATTAAATGACTATCAGATTCTCTTTCCAAACTGCATTATCTTGAAAGGTTATCGTAGAATACCGGGAACAGTTGAAGAATAAAGTCTACGGAGTTAAAACTACATTGTTGTAGTCGATAAATCGCCACACTATCAAGGCTAGACTACCTATTGGCCGTTCCAGATCTGCAAAAACGAGTGAAAAGATATCAGTTTTTATGTTGCAAAATTATATAATCTGCACAATGGCCTAGATTACTGATACGAATTAAGTAAGATTGGCATCTATCAATACACTAAATTATAGCCTAAGTTGAAATTGGAAAAAGCTAAAGTTGAGTGTAACACCATTTATTCGATCCGAGTTTTTTCAGTACTCTAATAAAGTACCAGAAATAGAAGTAGCTTTAAGAATCTCGTCTGTTTTAAAAAGTGTTCAAAGTAACAGTCCATCTTTATACAATAGCTGAGTTCAATAAATATTACTTCAGAAAAATGAGTTAGCTCAAACCAATACTTCAACGTTTTTACTAATCTAAAATTTTTCCGCGATCGACAATTAACTTTTAAACCATTGTAAAACATACAAAGGCTTATCTTAATGATTGAGGGATTTTCAATGTAATCAACTTATCAAGTTGACAAAGAGAATCCAACGTGAAATAGAAGAAGGCTTTCAGCAATGATACATTGTACTTTATACTCTGAGCAGCACACTCCTTTCGTCCTAAAATTTCGACATATCCTGAGATACTTGTTGTAATTATAATAGAGTTTAATTCACAATTCCTGATTGTAAATCAATTCCAAAAAAGCCACTACGTTCTGCTTAGGTGTTTAAGAATGTGTACATAACAATTAGGAAAACAATAAAAAGTATTTATTTTTAAGCGTCTATGAAAAAAAAAATCTATAATTCTATCAAAGAATTTTAATTATAACGGTTGCAATTATAACGGTTGCAATTAGACTAATTATGCAGTAAATTGATAAAACTTTTGAAAGTATTGTTCTGCAACTTCAACACACCAAAAATCACCATTCATTTTAACATTACCTGTATGACCACCTAAATCAGTTTCAACTAATAATAAGTAAGGATTTGTTTCAACATCTCTAATTGGTAATCTAACACTAACAGCTGGATCATCAGTTGAATTTAACATTAAGAATGGTGTTTTAATGTTTAAAATTCTTCTAACTGGCGACCATTCTCTATAATAATCAAAAGCATTTGGATATGAATGAATTTTACACGTAAATAAATCATCAAATTCATAAGTATTTTGAATGACTTTTAATTTCCTTAACAATTCTTCATCAACAATATCACAATGTTGTACTAATTCTTTTTTGTTATTGAAAATAATCTTAGTCATAAAGTAAGCCATTGCTGGACTTAAAATATATTTACCAGTTAATGAAGATTGAATATGATAAAGACTGTCAATATAATCAAAAGGCATTGAAACACCACAAGCAGCAGTAACTAAACCAGAATCACCTTCTTCACCAAGAAAATTAGCAACCAATGAAGCACCATAAGAAAATCCATTTAAATAAATTGGTCTATGTGGCCAATTTTTTTTAAAAGTTTTTAAAACATCTCTAATATCACCAGTTGAAGCTGCAGTAAATGGAGAACTAGTTGTTAAAATTGTTCTACAACATCCTCTACTATTGATAACAACTACATCCCAACCATTACAATGTTTATGTAAGTTTTCCGCAAAATTACGAGTAATTGTTTCATGTGAGCCACCAGCTAAACCATGAATAATTACAACAATTGGAGTTTCAACCGTTTTTGAATATAAGCTAGTACGTTCTTCGGCACTTAAAAATCTTGTTCTTGGAGGTAATTTTGGTGAACCTTTTAAAAAAGTTTGTAAATAAAGTTCTTGAAAATTATCATGTTTTGGAATAACCCAATCTAATGAACAAATACCACCATCAGCGTAAGTAAAGATTTCTCTACCATAATAAACATGAAATCTTTTTGAATGATCCCATGATGTATAATATAAAGTTTGTAATGAACCATTGAAAAGTAATGGATTTAACCAAACTTTTTTATTTGGATCAATTAATGATAATTCTTTAGCAAATTCAGTAAACTTAATTTCACCTTTTGCAGATTTTAAAGTGATTGTATCTTCTTTTTGATGAACTTTTACGCTACATCTAAATCCCCAATTTAAAATACCCATTTTTAAATAACCTTTCAGAAGAGAACAGCTTGATGATTTCCAACTTTACTGAAGCAAGAAGCAAACAAATTGAAAGTAGAATAATCGCCATTTATAATGCAGAAAGCATAACTATCGCTAATCTATAATATGCACGGGTGTTTAAAAAACGGCATTATCAACGTTTCAGATGTCAAATTTTAGTAAGATAAGAGATAGGAGCACGGGCACTAATTAAAACGGCACCTCGGATTTAGTATAAAGGATTTACCATATTTTATTGTTTTATACATTTATTGTCTTTTATAAAAATTTAATTCTAAATATCTAAAGATTTCTTTTTCTTCAACATTGATGCATCTTTAATATGTTGTTTTGATATATTTGAACTTTCACTATTTTCTAAATGTCCTCTATCATCTAATTCCACAGTACCTGGACTTTCAAATAATGAAACTTGAGCAGCTAATAATCCTAAAGTTTCTAAAACTTGTTTTGGTTCATTTAAATGAGCTGTGGCTATGGTTTTTTTGGATGCCGGTCCGACTGCGACCGGATAAATTCCGTAACTACCAAATTCATTTTTTGATATATTGTTTAATTTCCATTGATTTTCAATTTTTAATAATGATTTAAACATATCTTCATCTGTTTGATCATCACCTAAACATAAAACAAAATCAGGTAATTCTTCAGGTTTGACATCACCATCATATGATGACAATTGTTGTGGAAGACCATGAGGATGTAAAACTAATCTTTTAACAATTTCACCTTTATTTACAAATTTTGGTCTAACTTCGATATTAGCTTTACCAGACATAACTTCAATATCGTAACCTTTTAAGTCATTTAATTCAGCTAAACATTCATCTGCTTGATATTTACCTAATTCTGGATCAGTCCTTCTATAATGCCAAGTAATTGCTACTTTCTTTTCTTCAATTACACTATTTGGAGTTTTTAAACAATACTTTTTAAATATATCTTTAACAACTTTTTGCCAGGACATATCAAAGGATTCAGCAAGATTAAACCACTCTTGTGAGTCAGTACTTTTAAGGAAACATCCATGTTCAGCTGAAAGACCAACAGCCTTTTTACCAAACCATTTTTGAAGAAATTCTTGATCTCTTCCAGAAATTATCCAAACTTGATTACGTTCATCACTCAAAAGTATATCTAAGATCTTGTTTAATCTATCTGAAGGTATTGCAGCAGCTGGATCCTGAACAATTGGTGTTAATGTACCATCATAATCAAATAAAAATAGCCTTCTTTTTGAAGATTTAAATTGTTGAAGTAATTTAGGTCTATCTAATGATGGTGTAGAATGGTTGGAATGAGTAGCTTTTGCATGATTGATGATATCTCTTATAAATGTTGAAGTCCAATTCTGAATAGTATTTGATGTAACCTTATCATATAATTTTTGTTCTAAAAGTTTTTTATTATTATCAGATAATAATAAAGCTTCATTCATTGTTTTTGCAACACCAACAGCATCCCATGGATTAACTAATATAGCGTTGTTCAATACTGACGCAGTGCCAGTAAATTCGGATAAGATCAAAGGTGAATTATTATTTCTTTGACATATCACGAATTCTAAGGCAGTTGTACTCATTCCATCTCTAACTGAAGTTATTAAACAAAGGTCTGCTGCCCTAAGAAGAGCAAAGTATTCTCTTTTTTCTAACATTATTTGGTAATGCAACACTGGTGTATAATTTAATGATCCATACTTTATATTTATTGAATTAATTAATTCACCAACTTGTTTTTCGACACTAGCTTGAGAAAATCCTGGTGAGCTGACTTGAACTAAAACAACTTTTTCTCTCCATTGTGGAAACATATCTAAAAAACATTGAAAAGCTTGTAATTTTTGAACAACACCTCTAACTTTATCTAATCTATCTCTACCAACAATTAATTTTTTACCTTTATAAAGATCTTTGAGTGCTTCAACTTTTTCACTTACATCTTCTTGTTCAATTTTTAAAGTATCAATACCTATCGGTAAAGCTTCAACTGAAATAGTAGTACCATAAGCAAAAACTTTATTCTTTGTTACTTCACAACCTAAAACTCTAGAACAACAAGACATGAAGTGCCTTACAAAATTATTATTTTGGAAACCAATCTTATCAGCACCCAACATTCCGTCTAAAATTTGTGACCTTTTACTTATTGTTCTGAAATATTCAGATGATGGAAACGGTGAGTGTAAAAATAAGCCCACAAAAGAGTCTGGAAACTCCATTCTAAGTAATGATGGAAGTAAAAGGAGGTAATAATCATGAATCCAAATTATGTCACCTGGTTTATAAATTTTCTTGATTGCATTAGCATAACTTGCATTAAACTTAACATAATCGTGCCATGCTTCACTATCATCGACCATATTTTGAATATAATGGAATACAGGCCATAAAACTTGTTCTGGATATTTTCTCCATCTTGATTGATCTTTACGTAACAACCAAACAGGATGAATATTATTTGAATTATTAGCAATTTTCAATTTCTCTTCAATTTCTGATTTATCATCTTCATCTAAATATAAAGGATCATCTTTAATATTTTCAGTAGTAATTTGGCTTGTATTTTGAATTTTATTGACAAGTTCTCCTGTCCATGCAATTAGATGACTTTCCCATGGTGATTCATTATCTAAAAACGTTTGCGAAGAAAATAAAGCACTATTTCCTCTAACCATTTCAACGTCCCAACTATATGATTGTGTTTTTTTGTCATAATTTCTAACAATTTTAGTTGGTAAAGAGGTCATTACATTTAAGATTCTACCTGATAATTTAACTTTTGGATCATTTTCATAGTCCTTCGGTGAAACACAATTCGAGCGATCATCGGTTGAGCTATTCTCCGATTGTTCTTTCAGTGACATCTTGAAGCAACAAATAATTTTATTAAATAAGTGTTGTTGTTGTAAATTAAAAATGCAAGTGCTCTAACAAATTTGAAATATTAAAACCGATAATCTTGTTGAAAATTATAGTTAGATTGCGGTGGATCCTAAAATTGGTAGCATATTGATACATTTATCACATCAGACCATGCAAGAATGAAAGTATAGATTAAAAGGTATATATTAGGACAAATACTAAGCTTATATTTGAATTAATATCGTAGTAATGGTTATTCAAGAAACGTCTTCTGATTAAGTGTACAAGAGCGATGAGAACAGTTGAATACCAATTATACGACTTATAATCAATTTAAATAGACATGATTAACCATTATTATAATGATGGTCACGATTAGTATCGATATATTAACCAATTTATTGATTTTGCAACCATTTTATTGATTTTGCAACCATTTTTGCAGTAACTAAGTTGAAAAATTTAGATTGAAGAATTTGTTTGAAAAAAAAAAAAAAAAAAAAAAAATTATAAAAAAAAAAAAAGAATAAAATATAAAGCCTGAGGCTATCAATCCATTATACCATTTGATAATACAAGATTAAGGGCAAACATTCTATAAATAGTAATTTATTACTACGACCTATTCATCTTCATCAACAGCAACCCCAAGAACAACAACAACAACAACAGCAACAGCAACAGCATGACTTTTCACCGAAGAATATGAATCGAAGCCCTTCAATGAACTCAATGACACACATAAGGTCGAGGCGACCGAAACCTCAAATGAGATCAGATTCACCCCAATTACAGCATCGTGATTATCATCAACAAATGAGTGGAAGCGCATCTCAAAGATCAGATCTACTGATTAATTCAGAGTACCCTCATGATTTACAACCAAATCAAAATATAGATCAAGTAATATCCAATAAGAACTTGAATAGACTACAAACATATACAGTTAGAGAAAATTATGACAAAAAATCAAGGTCCTCTTTATTCAAAATGCTAAATTGGATATACTCCATTTCACTTTTGATAATTATACTTATCATGCTTGCATTTATTAGCGTTACTCCAATTGATGTCATAATTCAAACTATGAATGCTACAAATGCAGTTGCCATAAAAACATTTATAGTTATAGCTGTCTGTGTTGTATTTATACTTTTTTCAATTATCATATATTTCACCAGAATTTATCAATATAAAATTTCAATGAATGATATACCAAATAAATCAATTTATATTCCATATAAAAATGATTATCCAAAAGTTGTCTTTGAATATATTGAGAAGAGTTTAAATAAATGTCTTGAGACTGCAAAATTGGCTGGTCCATTACATCAAAAGAATGAAATTATAAATCACCCTGGATTATCGCCTCCTGAGTATATTAAAAATGCAAATAATAATATTACACCATTACTTCCACCTTCTATTCATTATGAAGATGTTATAGGCAGTTTGGGGGATAAATTTTATACTGGGAAAATTTTAACAGAAGATGATATTCCAATTAATTTATCAATAAAAGAAATTATTATTTATCTATATAAACAAGTAAATCATGATGAAAAAGAGGTGAGTAAAAATGCTCCTAATATTTTCAAATTAATAACGTTGTATGAAAAATTAAGATTTGGTTCACAATTAATAACAGATGTAGATCTTTTTCAATTTATGTTGGAGTTTGATAAATTTGCAACAATGTGTCAAAATGATTATGTTAATCAAATGCCACAACAACAAAAAGTAAATAAAAGGTCAACCATTTATGAAAATAATACTGATAATAATTATTATAGTAGTAATATATTTTATGATGATACAAGTTCATCAATAGGAATAAGCTCAACATCATCATCATCAACTATAAATACATTAGATTCAAATTTGAACCAGTCAGAAACTTCATTTCATCATAAAGCTGTTGAGAATAAATATTTTCAAAATATTGATAATAATTATAATAGCCTTTTAGATGATGATAAATCAGTAAAGAGACTTAATTTACAGAAACAATCAAGTTTCAACTCGTCAAGATCAGTTGTAAGAAATAAATTAGCATTGAATAGTAAGAACTCATTAAACAGAAATATTTCAGGATATATTACTGATTCAGAACAAGAGGAAATTGATGAGAATGAGTTAGGTATACCGAATATGGACGATGAAGATGATGATTCCACTGATGAAAATTTCTATAAGCTTAAAAGAATGTATGAAGTTCAAGACATTTCACCAAATGATAGTTTAGAAAGTGTTGAAATAACTAAAAAACCGAATAGTGATTAATCCCTTTTGGTTTATTTATTCCATAGATGTATTATAAGAGTGTTAGTAAAGACGAATTTAATATTTATTAATTATTGTTTAATTTAGTTAACTAAACTCTGACTCTCAAATTTCTAAAAAATTTATTTCAGCCAAGTCTAACCAATCACAGAGCTTTCTCACTACCCCCCGTATTGCAAAATTACACAATCAAGCTTTTTCAGCATAGTGGAATAGCAAATCTTTTAACTTATAATGGTGTCATAAACTGGAGGCTATGATGCGCTAGTATTTCGACACCTTTTGTATCAAAATTTGTAGGTTAATGTAAATAGCCACCTAAGGTATGATATCGCGACTATATGACTTTTAAAGCAATCTTCAAAGTATGGTGATTCAAAGCATAGCTGTAGTGGCTAACTTGTAGGGCATTGAATTTTTGACCTTTTATTAATGTCCAGCTAGTATGAAAATTCTCTTATGAAATTGTCAACTATTTTAGCAAACATCACTTGGATAATTTGAGGTTGACTAATGTATTGAAGTATATATATCTAGCTTAATGACATTGTAGAGGCTCTATATGTTGTAAAAAGATTCAGCTTGACTAGACATACATTAATTCCTATATCTATTTACCGTTTATTCTATAAATCATTAACACCCTTCTCAGCACAAAATGCTAAACCTCCAGACAAATCAGTTATCAAATCTTGAGTCTAATTTGGGTTGTACTTTCCTATACTTTCATGTATAACATCAGTCAAGAAATCACTTTTTTTTCTAAGAACTTCAGCTAATTAAATTATCATCACTTGCAGGTGACCTTTCAAATTAAAAGATAATGATGAAACAACAACAGCAGCCTTAGAAACTTTGTGGTTCTCTACTTCTGGTTCTGGTAATGCTTTTTCTCTTTTGATTTTTCCGGCTCCTCTTCTTGTGCATCTAATTTTGTCTTGGTTTAGTTATACCATCATAAACAAAATAATAAACAATAGTACCATCATCATTCATTATACCAATTGTAATCCTACTTGGTCTAAAGTTATTATTTAGACTTTGAACTTGTTTAAACCAAGAATTTATAATCTTAATTGATAATTCTTTACCAAACCCAAGTTTATCAATACACATAATCCATTCAATTTGGTTTGAATCATCGGTGGAGACTAACTTAGTGCTGGGTATACCTGATATTATTAAATCATTATGTATTTTAACATTATTCCATAGATTATAATGAATTAGATTTGTTTTAAATTGTTCAATTAATGTAGAAGACATTATTACAAACTTATTTTTTTTTTTTTTTGTTGATTTCGCGCACCGAAATTTGCATCGCGACTGAAAGATTTCTCGGCCTAGATTTGGGGCGACTCGCATAAAGCTTGCTAGCTGGTATTTCATGAACAACACAATTTCACAAACTAGTTTAATCAGATCAGTAGCTCTGAAGTACATGACTTATTTATTTCAACTCATGAGTTTAAAATATTTTTTTTTTTCACTCGTCATTTTGTCATTTTTTCACCATACAAAAATTTGATCCAAAATGTGATCTCGTTGTACTATTTTAATCGCCCTAGAGGAAGCGCGAAGAAAAGTTTACGGTGGCCTCAAATTTGGGCGAGAATTTCAATCAAAAAAATTAAATCTGAATCAAAATGGATTATATGCAGTCTCATGATAGTAAATCGTAAAACTTAATTTGTGAATATATCACTCAATATTTGAACTTTTATCTTAAATTTATTTTCATCAAAATGTCTGAGTTCCCTGAGTACAATAGTAGTATTCATTGTCAAAAAAACTCAATTTTGATAACTATTCATCATTTAAAAAATGAGAAAAGAGGCCAAATTTCCTGTCATAAAATTTTCAAACCGATTTTGGCCTCTTAAAAGCTTAAAAGATGAAGTTTTGGGGGTTAAATAAACCAAATCAAGTGTTTTAGAAGTTCCAAGAATATGTTTAAGTGTTGATTATCTAGCAATTTAGCGTTTTCTATGCATTTTTAGAATGTATAGTTATTTAATTTTTTTATGTTTTTCAAGAAGATAATTACATCAGTTTATTTTGAGGCTACTGAACCTTTCAATGAAATAAGTTTGAGATTTAGAGCTTGAATATTGAGAGAGCTATCAATGATTGAAGTTTCGAAGTTGATAACAATGAGACTGCATATAAATGATTTTTTTTTAATTCTCAATTTTTTAAATTTATTTTGCAACCAAATTGTTATTGAAAGGTATAATTTGGTAAATAGATCATTCAAGTGGACTAAAGTAAATAATCATGTCTCTCTTATTAGTTTGAAAATCAAACAAATCTTGATTAGGATCTCAAAGGCTGTCGCATATGCAACTTTGAAAAATTCTTTCTTTTGTTGAGGTACCCCAAATTAAGTATAATTTATAAATTATAGATTTTTCCATGGAGTCAATTTATAAATTATAGATTTTTCCATGGAGTATATCATTTGTATGGAAAATCTCCAGTTCCAACAACATCCAGATAACATGAGGCGTTAAAATAAATCGCCATTTATCAATCAAAATCAAGAATTTATACAAATATACATGAATACATTAATTGAGTGCATTATACAGCAACAGCCCCAACTCTTCTCCTATCTATATCGAAGTACAACATATCAAAGTTACATAACCAAAGAAATGCAACATACTCTATGTAAACTTTTGATTTAATTTTGATTTAAGGCACAAACCATTTTCTTGAATTTATTGCACGACTAATTACTATCTTTTAGTCCAATTGAATTGTCTAAATTGATACCATTTAATCAACACAAAATATACCCAAAGTATATGCGGTTAAATTGTAAATCAAAATTTTTTCATGGGCTGATTTTAAACACAATGTAGAGTTACATTACATTATTTCCAACGCTTTTTCAAAATCAACGCTTTTCAAAATCAACGGTTTAATTAGAATCAAGCTTCTTAACAACTAATATTTCTTGTTTTTCAATACACTCAGAAACAGTTTATATATGTAAAAGATCATACCATTAATTATCAACATTCTCAAATTTTTCTATTATACGACTAAAATAGCTAATCTCTTTTCGTGTTAAGTTACTAAAATTTGAAGAATTTGGGCGGCACTATTTTTTTCATTTAATTAAAGCTTGAAACATTATGAGCATTGTATGTAAATTGGTTTATTGTGTACAAGATTTTATTGATTTTTTTATGTTGATTCTTGCCAAAGGGGTTATTTGAAGGAAAGAAACGGGTTTTGACGACCTGCATAATAATATGGCTAATCATAATTGAAGAGAAACCGTTACTCAATTGCTGAAACGAAGACTTATGATCATCGTATAGTAGTAAAGATATAAAAAGAATAACCTACACGTCTAGAACTAGTTTTTTACAGGGTTTAACAACTCCTTTCTCCTTTTGATAGTTTAGTTAAAAACGCAAAATTTAGTTATGAAACCGGCGTAAATATTAAAATTATGTTTTTATTATAATTAGCTAAAAAACAATAGATAACTAAATGTAATTAATCTAATACTTATATAGTATAAACCAATTTAACCAATTCTGTGTTTGTTATATATAAAAATTGTTTCAATTCCTATCATCAGTTTTTTTCTCTGTTCATATAAATTTGTTTCAGATCTCATGTTTTTTTTTTTTTTAAAATTTTCAGATCTGACAACCAAATTGATTTGAAAATCCCCCTTTAAATTCATTATATTTAAACTTTGATTCATTCCTTTTAAATTAAAATTTCACAGTCTCTTAATTATCAGAAATGTCATCCACTGAAGCCAGATATCCAACTTATACAAAGTTTCAAAATAATAACAATAATAGTAATAACACTACTTCTTCAAATAAATCATTCATAAACAATTCAAGATTTTCAGCCATTAATTCTAAATTATCAAGTTATGTTAATTCATCATCATCATTGGTTTCACCACCATCTTCAAATAATAATTCTTCAAATATAACTGATACTGAATCAATTACTTCATATGAAACAAATAATTCAACAATTGCGACTACTATAAATAATAATAATAATTCACCTACAGAAAAAAGTAATAATAAAATTAAACGTACTTTTTCATTTGATGAATTTTCTTTAGATAAGAGTCATGATAATTACGATTATAATTCTTCATATCAATTGAAGAAAACAGATACAAGATTTTCAATAGATTCTTATGTAGTTGATAAAACAAATCAATTTAAAATTGAATTGAATTTAAAACAATCAGAAATTGATTTAATTAGATATACATGGAATAAAATGTTACTTGAAGAAAATCAATCAAATAATAATTTACCAGGGTCATATAATATTAAAAAAAAACCAATAAATTCAACAACTTCATCAATTGCAACTAGTTTATTTTGTAGACAATTTTATGCAAATTTATTATCAAAAGATTCAAATTTAGAAAAATTATTTCCATCAATTAAACATCAAGCTGTTAGTTTTGCTGGTGTATTAAATTTAACAATTAGTCAATTGGAAAATTTATCTGTTCTTGATGAATATTTTGAAAAATTGGGTAAAAGACATTCAAGAATTTTAAATATTGAACCTGTAAATTTTGAATTAATGGGTGAAGCTTTAATTCAAACATTTCATGAAAGGTTTGGAAGTATTAGATTTAATCAACAATTGGAATTATTATGGATTAAATTATATTTATATATGTCAAATACAATTTTACAATTTGGTATTGATCCAAGTTTAAAATTACAAAGAATTGAATCAAATAATTCCAGTTTTCAAATTGATAAAAATTCAAGTATATTTACTTTTGATAATATTAATAATAATCAACCACAAATGATAAATCATACTATTTCAAATACTTCAGTACCTTCAGAAGATCAACAATCAATCAAAACATCAAATCATGAATCAACAACAACTATTAAAAAATCTTTATTATCAAATATGTTATCTTCTCATTCATCAATTTCAAGTAAGAGAATAAGTTCTGATAATTCAATGAAAAATAACACTAGTGTATCGAATGAAAAGACTAGTAAAATACCTAATAAGAAGTTTAGCAAAATAAAGAAAGGCAAAGACAATTGTGTAATTATGTAAATTTATAAACACAATACTAAACTAGAGATATTCAAATTCAGTTTAATAATGCTTATTCAACAATAAGTAAGATTTTTGATATAATCAGGGAGGCATCCAAGATTTCAATTTTTATTGCATATTGAAAATACTCAGATGTGAAGACCGCCTGTTTCATAACATATTTAAAAGAAGCTGGGACTTCAGGTTAAGATTATATAGATAAATATCGCCTTATTGCATATACATCGGGTATAATATCTGCCATCGTATCAGAATTCTCTAAATTTATAATTATACTTATGCCCTATCAAAAAAAATATACGATGAAAAAAATAAAAAAAAAAAAATTGATCTTGAGAAATTGCGCGTAAATTACTTATTTTTTTCAATACGCGTCCAATTTTTGATTTATTAATTATATTAGCTTAAAGATTAGCTTAATCATTTTCAGTGGCATTGAACCAGTATGTTATATCAGCTCAAGTATCGACCAGTAATATTTAAAGACTAGCATTTGTTGTTATCTACATATCAATTATTTGCCACTATTTCCTAATTAGGTTTAATTAAATTTTTTATACGTATTTTTTTTTCTCGTAACAATTTTACACGCCCCCCTATTTTTTTTTATTTTTATTATTTTTAACCATTCGTTAAAATTCTCTAATATTATTTTCTTGCAACCAACAAATCGTCCATCCATTCATAGTACTATATTCCTAATATTGTCTATTTATCAATCATTCAAACCTTTATTCTATCAAATATTTATTCATTTTAGTGTATCACAGTTTAGTCACCAACTTTTTATGATTTAAATCTTTATCTTTACAACTAATTTTTAATGTCAACATTTAATGATTCTTCAAATTTTGATGATTTTTTCAATAATTCCAGTTTCTATTCATCATCAAATCCAAGTGATTTAAATTCAAATCATATACGTAATTTTAGAAGTTCAATACAATTAAAAAATTCAATTTCATCAAAATCAATTAAAAACCAACTTAATGAAAATCCATCTACAACTAATACTAATTTGCGTACAACTTCAATTATTAAAACTTCACCATCTTTGAAAGCTTTAGAAAATATACTTACTGAAAAAACTAAAAGTAACAGTCATTCACCAATTAAAAATTCAACTATATTAGAAGAAGAAGAAGGTATTATAGAAAATAATAATAATGGAATTTCATTATCACCACCTTTTAATTATGATGTTTCATCAAAAACAAGTAGTACTACTCATAAATATTCAAAATCTTCAATTTCAACAATTAGTGAAAGTGGTTACAGTACTGATGATACTCCAATATTAGGTCAACCACCAACTTTTCAAAATTTTACACCTCATTCATTTGAATCTCCAACTTTAAAAGTTATATCAACCGGATTAAATAAACCAATGAATAAAGATGGCGAAAATTCTACTTTAATAGATGACACAACTAATAATACTACAAATGATACTATAAAAAATTCATATCCATTAAATTCAACACCAATTCATAATACTAATAGAGAAGTCGGTTACGGTTATAATGAAAGTACAGACACAAAAAGTTTAATTGATAATAATGAAAAAAAATTTAATTTTAACGTGTCAGTACCAACCAATACTGAAACCAAGCCGATTTTGCCAAATAATAATACAACATCAACTACAAATACCAAATTAATGACTAATCGAAATGAAATAAAACCAAAGAAAAGTATGTTGGATGTTGGAAATAATGAATTATATAAATCAACTGCAAATCAAGTGTCTAAAAGTTCAAAAAGTAAGGAGCCACATAAATTATCATATTCACCTCAAAGATTACCTCAAAGATCACCCCATGTACGTTCACAATCTACATTTTCATTAAGTTATGAAAAACAAGTGAATAATCAACCAATGTTAAATCATAAAAGAAGTAATACATTGCAAGATATTTCAAAAATTTCACAATCTCAAGAACAACCAAAGGAAAAGAAGTCAAAATTTAGTTTTAAATCATTATTTAAATCAAAATCGAAGAACCATTCATTAAATGAAACAAGTGAACAACCATCAGAGCAACCGAAGTTAAGATCAAAATCCTACTCAACCTCAAATATACCAATTTACAACAATATTAATAATAATAAGAATAATATAACTTCATTTAAAAAGGTATTTAAATTAAATAAAACTTCGGAAAATTTAGATAAAGTTCCACCTCAGGTACCACCAAAACCTAAAGAACATCCAGTTGGTTCTGGTTTAAGTCCAACTCCACCATCAAGTAGTAAATTTCCAAATCAAAATAAATTTGATAAAAATAATATTGAAACAAGTTCAAATTTAATACGAGGAGTTAGTGAATCAGATATAAATATAAATAAAAATCAACCTCAACAAGCTAATATTGAATTTAGTTCAGAATCAAATAGTGACCAATTTGAAAGTGCAGATGAAGACGAAGAAGAAGAAGAAGAAGAAGATAATGATAATTATTCATTTGATCCACCTATCAATTTGTCAAATAAACATCCAAAAAATGAAGAAATTTCAATTAATTTATTAGATAATAATTCATTTGGATCCCCATTTAAAATTGATTTAAAAAATAATAACCAATATGATTCTACACCAAGAACGTTAAATAATCACTCTCCTCCAAAATTCAATTTACCTGATAATAATAATAATGCAACAAAGAATATTAATTTAATAGGTGAAACATTATTTCCAAAATCTTTAAATGCTCAAGAAGTTGAAAGTATTGTATCATTAGAAAGATCAAGATCAATGAGATCAATTAAATCAAATAAAAGATCTTCATTTGTAAATTATGATGGAAGTGATGATAATATTGTACAATATAATGGTACTTTACCAGAACCTGTAACAACAATTAAAAAATCAAATAGTATATTAAAAAATAATATTCCAAAATTTAATGGAATTGATGATACTTTACAACAACAATTGTTTGAATTTACAGATTTTATTGATGTTGAAAATTTAAGTTTTTCTACATCTCCAGCATCTCAAGTACTGCATGATCAAAGAATTACACCAATACCACCACAGATTTTATTTCATGATGAATCAAATGAAGTTCAACAACCTAATAAAGTTGCAAATTCTCCATCACCATCACAAATATCAATGGGAAGTAAAAAATCATCAATTAAAACAAGTATTGAAGAATCAAAAGAAGATCAAGAAGTAAAACCTGAAGTAGTTGCACAATCACCAATTGCAAATGTATATAATGAAGAAAACTTTTCCAACACTACAAATACCAAGAAAAATAGACCAATTTCAATGTCATTTAAAGGTTTAAATGCTCCTTCATTTTCAGGAAAAATTACTCAACAAAATTTAAGGAGTAGTGATTCACATCAATCATTTACTATTTCATTTAATGATTCGTCATCATCAATAGGTGGAGGATTTGGTACAACAACAGAAGAAGAGGAAGAAGAAGAAGAGGAAAAAGAAGAAGAAAAAGAAGAAGAAAAAGAAGAAGAAAAAGAAGAAGAAGAAGAAGAAGAAAAAGAAGAAGAAGAAGAAGAGGAAGAGCAAGACGACGATGATTATTCAGATTCAGATTTTGAACAAGGTTTATTAAATGAATATGATAAAGAAAATGATGTACCTAATGTAAATAAAAGTTTTAAAGAATTATCACCACCAATTTCATTATCATCACCACCACCGTCAGCAAATGTAAAACATCAATTTTCAAAACCTCCAATACCTCCATTTCAAAATAATAAGAAATTTAATCATAATAAGATTCCTTCAATTTCTGATCAATCATCAATTGGGTCAAATTCAAATGTTTCAAATTCATCACCAAAATCATTTACATCAATGTTTTCAAATAAATGGTATAGTAAGAAACCAACTAACGGTAAAGATAATATAAATTCAAATTCACATAGAGCTCCACCTCCACCACCTTCAAAATCAAATGGTGTACGATTTTCACTGAGAATTATTTTATATGATACTTATAATGAAGAAGAATACGATAGACATCCAGAAACTGCTACTTGTAATCAATTAACTCCAAGTTTAGCTCAACAAATTAAAGAAGAAATGAATGAATTTAAAAGTAATATGAATATTCATGTTGAAAGTAGATGTTATACACAGTTTTTTTAGAGACGTTTAAAGGATATTTAATATATAACGAATTAATTTTTGAACTATTTAATTTACTTTCCAGCTTGTTGTTTGGAATGAGTTTCATGAGCACTTTTGAAAATTCTATCTAATACTTCATAATCTTTTTCATTTATTATAGCAACTGTTTTATCAGGATTTTCCATTACAACAACTACATATTGATTATTTCTATGATCTAAACAAGTTGTACTTGCCCATGAAGCATCATCATACTCTGATAACGTTATAATTGGTGGTTCACCATTCACATATTCTGGATAACTCATTAAACAATCTAGTTGTGAAAAATACGAAAAAAAAAAATATAATTTTGCATCTATCAAAATGTCATCATCAACAATAGTTGTACCAGGTCAATATATAACTCCAACTTATAAACTACAAGATAATAAACAGATAAATTATCAACCTGGTAGGGGTACAACAATAGCACAGATTGAAACAGGGGATAATTTAAAAATACCCATAATTTCATCAACTATATTAGGTTCAATTCATTATTTTAAAATTGATGATGAAAATATAAAAGTTAATGTAATACCGAAAGGTGAAAAGATAATAGAAGAAAATGATATATCAAATGGTATAAACTTACCAAAAGAGAATGATGTTGTCCTTGTTAAAATTAATAGAATTACAAAATTACAAATTTATTGTGAAATTTTATCAATTGAAAATAAAGGTAACATTCTAAAAGATTCAGGAATTGGTTCAAATGGAAGTTTATCACATGAATCTATACCTGCTGGAGGTGGATCACAACATAATTTTAATATACAAACAATTGCATCATCACAATCTACTCAATTAAATAGTACAATTTTTGACCTTGGTGAAAATTTTAAAGGTATTATAAGATTACAAGATATTAAATCGACAAATAGAGATAAAATTAAAATTGAAGAAAATTTTAAACCTGGTGATATTGTAAGAGCAATTATAATAAGTTTAGGTGATGGTACAAATTATTATTTAAGTACAAGTAGAAATGATTTAGGTGTTGTATTTGCAAAATCAGAAAATGGAAGTGGTAATTTAATGTATCCAATTGATTGGCAAAACATGATTGATATAGAAACTGGATTAATTGAAAAGAGAAAGAATGCAAATCCATTTATATAATAGATATATCTATAAAACAGGATATGTTAATTCTTCATCATCACCTCTTAAATCAACTTCACTTAAACCAACTATAGATCCAAATTTTTCAAACCTTTGATAATATTTCAACTTCTTTTCTTGTGATATTTCAATCATTTTATTCCAATATTTTTCATGATCATATTGAAAATTTACATTACCATTAAAATCTTGATCTAATTGTTGTTTAGGTACATAATTTTCAAATGGGTGATCGAAAACTAATTTCTCCCTAGTTAAAGGATCAATAAATGGGTGAATAATTTTAAGAAATGTCCAACCTAACCATGGTATATTTGTCAATAATGCTTTTCCTAATCTTTCAGGATAATGAGTTTGTAATATATGTAAAACTTGTCTACCTGTACCAACTGGAGGTATTTTACCACCTTGTGTTCCAATAGGATGTGCTTTAAAATCAATTAATAGTGCTAATGAATCTTGTCCTGATGGCATATAATCAATTACTTTTTCCAACATATAAACTAAGTGTTGTACTTGTCTTTGTGATGTTTTTGTATTTTGTCTACCTGGTTTTAAATATAAACAAGGTCTTGAATCATTATCATAACCTAATATTACTTCTTTACCAGTTTCATTTTCTGGTGCAACTAAATTACCATTAACTATATTATCTTCATCTTTTATATGATTTATACCAAATTCTCTTCTCCAAGCTAATGTTAATTCAATTCTATCAATACATTCTTTAACATTCCATTTTGTCGCTCTAAGATATCTGAAAAAACATTCTCTTGTTAACCAAGATTTTTCTTCAATTGTTATTAAATCATTTTTATTATGATTTTTATGATCTTCTTCACTATTTGCAATTTTTAAATCATTATTTTGAAAATGTTTTAATATTGTTAAATATTTTTCATCTTGTTCTGATGTTAATTTGGGTTCGGGATTAATATGAGATTCCTCACTTGGTTGATCAAAAGGTATATTTCTGATTTCAAGTTGTTTTTGTGGCTGTGGTTTCTCATTAAGTGAAGAATTAGATGATGAAGTTGGAGATATAGTTGAAGCAGCTTTATTCTTTAATTTGGTAAACATTGATTTTTATTCTATGAAATTTCTCTAATCTATGATGTAATTGTCTAAATGCAAAATAATAAACCAAATCTAATAGTAAATCAATGAATATACCACGATTACAGGTAGAGACGTGTTTATAAATAGTCTATTGGTTATGAAAATTTTTATCTATGAAACTAATAAAAGTGACTCGTATAAAAAGGAAAAAAAATTGGTATGAAAATTGGAATTAGTAATTAAATTACACGGCGGCATACGGATTTAAAATAATAATGCCTCGTTACTCAATTTTTACACCCGACAAATTTTGGCATATTTTTATACCATGTTTACACGCAAAGCTTAATTTGATTAACGCGTTTTGTATTTAATATAGACGATGATTGTCGTTATAAAATTTGATTGAGTTATACTGTTAGATTTCAATTACAAATGTGGTTTATTATCAAATCTACCGGTACTCATACATAATCTCACATTATACAACTTTCTACTATAATATTCATATTCATAAGTGTCACATGACCACTAATTAATATTGATTGGATAATTTAACCATGATTACCCGATTTCCGAAAATATTTCCAAAAGAGTAGAAACACATTATTACTGATTATTTTTGTAGCATAGAGGGTGTTGCTTGATACCAATTTCGTTACAGCATGGCAAAGCTCGTTTTTCATACTCTTAAAGTACGTTAAAAAGGACTGCACAATTAAATTTAAAAGTAAATCGATATCATGACGTCCTTCCTTTTTTTTGAATCAATACTATACCCATATACGCAATTTACCTTTAACATACCAGTGAGCTTTAACTTCCTTCATTTTAGCAATAGTACGAGTTTGAGCAGCTACGTATATTGCGTTTCAAAAACGATTAACTACCTCCATGATTACATATTCGAAGCTAATTCTGAAACAAAATTTTAACTTATATGCAGTCTCTCCTAAATTGACCTTGAAACTTAATCTGTAAATAACTCCCTCAATATCTAAACTCTCACCCTCAAACTTAGTTTATCAAAACGTGCAAAACAATTAAAGTTGATTGATGTTAGATTCATTCAACAAAACACGATTTTGATCACCTAATCCTTCTTATGAAAAATGGCAAACGACGCTAAATTGCAAAATATTCAACACTTAGACCTAATTTGGCAACTTCCGAGATAGCTAATTTAGTTTATTTGATCTTAAGGACATTGCCTTGTATTGCTTCTAATTTTGCAAAATTGATTTGAATTTTTTTCAAAATTTTCGACCCATCAGATTATGGTTCTTTCCTGGATCAAATTTTTAGTGCGAGAATGGCGCAAAAATATTTCATCGGGTACTAAATTCCCACCCATTTTGAAGCGAGTTGGCCCCAAAGAGTTTTTCGAGTACTAGAAGAATGATTAATGTTCTAGAGATGTGGCTATAGCAATATTTGTTACTTTCTCTGGAGAATCATTTGATACTAGTCTGAGGTTTGTAAAATCATTTCTCGCAGAAAATGACTGCCAATATAAACTTGTCGCATTAAGTTGGCGCCATTGGTGAGAATGCGAGCCATATTTCTTGTTGCTTTTGGTCTCAAATTCGGGCGAGAACTCTAGCGCATGGCAAGAAGTCATCAACTTAGCACCATAATAGCTCAATACTGATTAAATTTTAAAATAATATCACTATTTAAGCTTTTGTAATACAATCTAAGTCATCTGAATAAGGGCAGTATATGTTGATGTTGTTTTTTTCATTGCATTATCTTTTGATCTTGAACTAAAAAAATTGATCTAAAAAAATTGATCTCATTTTTAATCTTTCTTTTTTAACAGCCAAATAATGAATATTCAACAAATTAATGAACTACGATCAAAACATGATAAAAATGATTATAATCAATTTAAATATAAACATAAACATTCAAATGGTTTACCTACTTTATATCATTTAACTATCAATCTTATCAAAAGAAATTTATCTCAAATTAATGATATTGGTTTAATACCTTACCATTTATTAGAACCAATTCTTGTTAAAATGTCATCAAAACAATTAAGTTCATTAGAAGAGAAATCAAATCAATTAATGCCATATAGTGATAAAATTTGGAAGTCATTAATATTAAAAGATTTTCCTAATCGACCTATTGAAATTAAACAATTAAATAAGAAAAAAACCATGCCTTATAAATCATTATATTATAAATATGTTAAAGAACGAGAAGAATATAGAAAAGATTCAACAAAGAGATTGAAAAAATTAAATGATTCATTAATGCAAGAAAAAGCAAGAAATAAAGTAATTGCAGTTGATGATGTATTAAAAGACCCTACGATAAAGAAAAGATTTGATTATGGATCAAATAGAAATTATAGACATGCAACTTTACCAAATAAAAATACAATATTGGGGAAAGCAAGAAGAGAAACTCAACTGAGATCTCTAATATTTGGAAGACAAAAATCTTATGACCCTTGTGCTGCATTTAAAAAGATTTCACAACCTACTCAAATACAACCACCAAGAAATCATATACATACAAAATTTACGTATCAAAAACCACAACCAATACCAAAAGCAAGTGAAGTTAAACCATCAATTAAAAAACCGACAAATGAAGTTAAAAAGATATCTACTATACGACCCCAAACAGCTTCACCACCTCCATCAATATTCATACAGAGAAAACGAACACTACCGAATAAATCACCAGAACCTAAAAAGAAAAAAGAGAAAATTGATGAAAGTCCAAGTGAGATAAAACCATTAAAATCTTCTATATTTAGTTAATATTATTCAATTTTCCTTTTCTTTTTAATTAATTGCCCAATTGCAGAATCTTGTACTCTTTTCCTATTTGTTAATTTAGTTACATCTCTTTCATTTACATTATATTGAATATCATCAACTATATTTTCATCACCTTGTAGAACAGTTTGTCTATAACTTTTAGTTCTTAACTTACCATTTATTAAAGCTCTCTCAGGATTTAACGTTATAAAGCTTTTACCTTTTTCATGTTTTATACCTAAAGTTTTCAATAATATTAAAATATCATTTAGATTTCTAATTTGTAAAGGATTTTGTGCCCCACTCGAGATTATTAAACCTCTTGATCTAGAAGATCTAATCAATTGTAAAACATTATTAAACCAATTTTTTTTTATTAAATTTGAATTACTACCTACGTCATTACTTATATAATTTGAAATTGTTTGAGAATATTGAATTTCAAATTTAATACCTTTATTTAGTCCATTACTTACAACTTTATGTTTTAAATAAAAATTCAATCTTGAACTTAAATCTATACTTATTATATCTATATTATTTTCAAGATTGACTATAGCATTTTGAAACACTTTTTCATTTAAAGGTTGAATTGCAATTAAATCAAAACATTGTTGTAGTTTAGATAGATTACTTAATTTTGATAAGTCATTTATGATTAATGTGATTCTTGTGAACAATTTTAATTTAGGAAATTGTGGTATCAATGATTCTTTTATTTTACCTACTGGTATTGGATTTAAATCTTTATTCATTGGTAATTTTATTGAATCAAAAATTTGAAAATTTATAGCTTGATTATAAATACCATTTTGATAATTTGTAATTACAATATTTTTTAAATTAGTCAATTGTGTATTAGTAATAGTAGTGTCATAATTATTAACTGGATATGATATATTTAAATCATAAGTTGTCATATTGATGATGATCTTCGCATACTATTTTTATTTTTTTTTCTGTTGATAGTTGAAAACTTTACGAAACTTGAAACCAAAAATTTGACATTGAATTTATTTCGCCACCGCCATCGGTTGTGAGTATATAAATACTGGGAGGTTTATTTGCTAATAATTTGCTTTTCTATTCATTCGTTATGTCAAGCTTATTCATAGATTCTTCAAAACAACCAAAAGGTATCGTTGATATCGGTGCAAATTGTTATTATTGTAATCAATTAGATTTATTACCATTTGATTGTGAATATTGTAATCATAAATTTTGTTCAAATCACAGAACTTTAGAATCTCATAAATGTATTAATAAAGATAAATCTGAAAAATCTGATAAATCTGCTCCAACTAGTTCTGGTTTTACTATTAGTTCTGCTTCATTATTTCCCGATAGAAATAAAGATAAATTAAAATTAAATCAAAGTTTAAATAATCCTAAACCTACAACTATAAAAGAAACACAATTTAGAGTTGGTGATGTTATAAAGTCAAATGCGTTTACTAAATTTCGAAAATTTTTAAAAATTCAAGATAAATCAAAATCAAAATTATTTAAAAAATCAACAAAGTTTACAGATGTTGCAATTTTAAAGAAACAAGCTAAAGGTGATGTTAAAATCAATATAAATGATAGAATTTATATATGGTGTGTTTATATCCAGGATCCAGATGTAAAATTAGATGTTGGAAAAGTTAAAAAACCATTGTTTATAAATAAAAATTGGTCAATTGGGAAATCATTAGATTCAATTTGTGATACATTATTAATACGGAATCAAAATAATATAACAAATAATGCCGAAGAAAAATTAAACATATTTAAGTTAAATGATAAAGAAGAACCAGAATTGATGAAAAGTTCATTGAAAAGTTCGACATTTAAAACTGGTGACCTAATATACTTAGTTAAAGGTGTAATCTAATATACATTTTTAATCTCGTTATAATCTAACCAATTCATTAAACAATTTTGATCATTTAAATGTTCCCATCTTGAAAATTTACCAACCTGACAAATACTATTGAATTCACTGTTTGCACAATTATAATAAGGATCATGTAAATAACCTATATCTCTAAACCAATGAACTTTAGATTTATCTGCAAATAAACTAACTCCAATTGAATGAATTGGTGCGTCACCCCATCGTTCATAATAAAATTTCCCTGTTGAATCTAAATAATTTACCCATGAATCGTAAGGTTTACTTCTATAAAAATCCATATCACCAATTTCAAAATTTGACCAAAAATGACAAGTTGAATAACCTGCAACTTTGTTCTTATTTGGATTTTGTAAATCTTCTAATAAAAATTGAAATCCTCCATTTGGATTAATTAATTTGTAATTATCATCTTGATTTAGAAAATGTAATGTTTCAGGCCATAATGTTTTAATACTTTCTTCAATATCATAAAGACTAATTGTAAATCCATAAATTTTCCCCGTTGATTCCATATATTTAAAAACGTCATATTGAATATCAGTATAAAAGTGTACATTTGGTTCTATCCTCCAATAATATTTATATTTAGCTAACTCAGGCACTTTATAAAAATTCATTGAATAAAATCTACACATATTATGGTAGGATCCTTTTTTAGCATATGCAACATCATGCTGATACATGATTTCCATTGCCTTTGACTCTTTTTCTTCATCTATATTGGTTGGTTTATCCCATAATTCTTTTGGTATAGTTACAAATTCAACTGGTGCATTCCCAGTATATTTTTTAATTCTTTGTTTAAATCGATCATTAAAAGGTTGATCATTTAAGAATGTATATGGATATTGAAATTTGGAATTAAATGATTTTTCAAACTTTCTTATACTTTGACCAATTTTTGTAATTTCTTCATTTGTAACTAAAATTAAAATTGTTGCATTCGCATGGTTATATTTTGACACATCTTCTGGTGCATTAATTAAACTTGCATCTTGAGGTTTACCAATTTCTAATTTCATTAGTTGTTGATATCTTGAATTATCACCATCTATAATTTCTTCTCTAGACCCTTTTTTATCAATATTATTTAAAAATTTAAATTGAACATTCTGAGGTTTTAAAATATATCCATTTTTATTTAATTCTTCATTTGTACTTTTCAATTCTTCATCATTAAAAGTTGATGACTTACCAAATGATTTTAAATATGAAAAATCATATTTATTAGTTAATGATTCAATTGACCAATCGTCACTAATTAATTTTGAATGATCTATAATTTTATGACGTGATAATAAATCAGAAGTTATGAAAATTGTAAATATAGCAAGTAAAATATATAATACCTTTCTTTTTCTTAATGAAAGTAACATAATATTGAAATCATTGATATTCTATTATTTTAGTCTTTGATTGTTCCTGGATTATTATTTTGGTAGTGAAAATGCGAAGTAGTGCAAGATTTAAACTTTTGTGTTCAAAAGAACGACGCCTTGTTTTCTAGAACCAATAACAAACAAAAGGAGTATATAAACAATTGACCTGCAATTCTCTAAGCTATTAAGAAAACGACTGTAAGCTTTTATGAGCCGTGGGCTATGATAACTCTACCCATGCCCATGGCATAAATTATACCATCGATAGCATTGATATTGGTAAAGTACATTAAAATAAAAAACGCTATTACAGGTAACATACCCGTTTCATAATACAAATCGCTGCACATCAAAATTACTAAGAATAAAAAAGTGGAACAAAATGTTAGTGCTCTGATCACAGAAAAAACATAACTGAAAAGATAATGTGTTGAACTGTCTATTAACAATAAACTGGTTCTCCAACGTCTGATTTTATAAATACCTACGACTATTTCTGTTTTATTGCATTTTTGTAAAATTTTGAAAATTGTGGATGTTTATTATTGAATAAAATCTTCACCTTGATTTCCCGAAATAACCATAGTTTTTATCAAAATTTAATTAACAATTCTCAAAGATTCAAATAAGGTCAGTTTACATTGAATATGATAAAAATAATTCGTAAATTTGAATTCTCTAGTCTTTTGTTCATGAAAATTTCGACCAATACAATGCGAGAAAAACTGGCGGAAGTACGTAATTTTTTACGGCACCCAAACACCAATAATTCAAATTTTGGGTCCAATTTTAACCTGCATAATAAATTGCAATTTAGCACAATATCAAATAAATCACTAGATCTATCAGCTGGTATTTATGGTATAAAATGGTTACTCAGAGATTTTCCAGCTATTCAAAAAAAACTAAATCCAATAGATAACAATAATAACTTTTATTCTGCAAATCTAATATACGCTGTTATCTTATTTCAAATACAATTATAAAACAGCAATTTCAAATGCCTTTAATTCAAATATCAATTTTAGCATCTTTACCAACTTTTAATCCTTCAATATGTCTTTCTATGGAACAAGTTTAAAAACAGATTTAACACCAAGACCCTTATTCAAAACAATTGAACCATAAGCTTCTATATATAAAACCAAGCTCTAGTCACTTAAAAGTTTTTAGTATTTACGAAATGAGAAAAACGCAAAATAAGATCTTGATAGCGCGATTTGAAAACTTTTTAGATACGAGATATGACACAAAATTGATTATAAGTAAGACGCTACCAACCGCGATTTTTTAACTTTAAAGTACATTAAATAGAGACGCATACAAGCTATGACAATATATATTCAGTTGAATGATACATGTGTGCATGTTTAAATGGTTTTTGAGAAGTTTTGAATTACAGTAACGTGTTATATTATTGTATGTAAAAACATATAAGGTAATAGAATTCGATGATATTTTTAAAGGGTTTGAAAGCTGTACATGGAGCCCTATCGTGCTATAAATAGGCCAGGAAGAGCGAGCTCAAAGCAAAGAATCGAAACCACAAAATAAGTATAAACAATCGAAGAACAATACCACTTCTGGTTTGACTCAATGTTTTCTCAGCAATTGGTAATAGATCAGTAGATTTTTTTTTTAGTGAACACACATTCCATCAAACAAAGTATAATGAAAACTGGATAGAATTGAAATACTCTTCAATATCAAAGATCTTTCTAACCTAATTGGACAGTGCCATCGACAATCAGTGAACGTTTTCTTTATCGGTACATTGACGGTTTGCTCTCTGATTTGATACTATAACTGCTATCATTGAGTCGCTTTTAAAATTCGTAATTTTCAAAGAGTATAAAAATAGTCAGCATTTCTTTGACGATCAGTGCTTGTTAAGACTGGCAAAATTCTCCAATAGAAACCTGATTTACATCCCTCGAGAGTGAGACTTATATGTACAAAATTTCTTCTCCTGATTGTAATGGTTTGATTTTGTTTTAGCAAGTTCGTTCCTACACTTCTTCTCCTTGAAATAAAACTAAATGCATAATATCCTGAAAACTCACGATACTTGGAATCAAGTATTCAAATAGCTGTTATCACTCAACTGTATCCATAATTCAATCTAAATGTAGTAATGTCGATCTTTTGCAGCCATTAGGTTTGACACAAAAAAAAAAAAAAAAAAAAAATTATCAAATGTTTAAACTGCTAGTACGATGTTATTCAACGGCATTACCAAATAAACAGACTGTACTACCTAGATTTACATTCCCAGTTGCAAATACTTCAATATCGTTAATTAACAAAAACTTGTCAAAGTACCTAAATAATAAACATGAAAAGATTACATTGAATGGTCATATAAATCGAAAACCAAGAATAAGGTCAACTTTAGGTTTTGTACATTTAAGAGATGAAAATGGTGATGAAATACAATTATTTGCAACTCCAAACACAACAAGTGATGCAATATTTAAATTATTGAAAGAAGTTTCAGTTGAAGATTCAATTAGTGTTTCTGGTTATATACAATCTAAAGAATCAAAAGCAAATAAACAAGAAGTAGAATTAGTTATAGAAGATTTTCACATTTTAAATCCATCAAATTTAGAAGCTGCTAGATTAGAGAAATTAAAACAATCGTCTCCTAAAGATATACCTCCACAATTTAGGTATTTACAATTACGTACACCATTTTTCCAAAATGCATTAAGAACAAGAAGTAAAATTTCAAAATTAATAAGAGATATTTTAATTGAAAATCATAATTTTGTTGAAATTGAAACTCCTTTATTATTTAAATCTACTCCTGAAGGTGCAAGAGAATTTTTAGTACCTACTAGATCATCAAAATTTTATGCATTACCACAATCACCACAACAATATAAACAAATTTTAATGAGTTCCGGTTTTACAAAATATTTTCAACTTGCTAAATGTTTTAGAGATGAAGATTTAAGATCTGATAGACAACCCGAATTTACTCAAATTGATTTGGAAATGAGTTTTATAAATAATTCTGATCAAATTGGTTTAGTGGTGGAAGATTTAATACATAATATATGGAATAAAATTGGAAATAAATCAACTTATAAAGTTAATTCCATTGGAAATTTGGAGAGAATTACAAATTTTGATGGTTTACAATTTGAAAAATTAGATTATATTGATGCATTAACAAAATATGGTATTGATAAACCAGATTTAAGATATAATTTAGAGTTTGAAAATTTACAAGATTATTTTGTTAATGAAAATAATGAATTTCCAATTGTTGAAGCATGTATATTGAGAAATGCTGGCCATATACCAAAAAGTTTCACTGATGGTCTCAATTTCAAGAGAAAACCTTTTGTTTGGATGATAAAAAATGAAGAGGATAAGCTTATTCAAAATAAGGTCAAAGGAATTTATGTTAAAAATGCAAATTATAATCTCGATTTAAATATTGGTGACGTTATTGCAATTTCTACGAGATCCGAATTTCCATATGAAAATCCTACACCATTGGGTAAATTTAGACAATTAACTATACAAGAATTTCCTGATAAATATAAAAGACCAATTGAAGAAAATGGAAAATTAATCACCAATTACAATCATGATGTTATTGTTGGTTCATGGGTTGTAAATTTTCCTTTATTCAATCCAGTTGAATTAGAATCAGATATATATCCAAAATATGATTATACAAAATTTCAATCCACTCATCATCCATTTACAATGTGTAAAATTGAAGATTATGATCTTTTAGAAACTGATCCACTAAAAGTCAGAGGTGAACATTATGATTTAGTCATAAATGGTGTTGAAATTGGTGGTGGTTCAAGAAGAATTCATGATTCAGAATTGCAAAACTATATTTTCAGAAACATTTTAAAAATTAATAATATTGATGAATTATTTGGTCATTTATTGAAAGCTTTAAGTATGGGTTGTCCACCACATGCTGGTTTAGCAATTGGTTTCGATAGATTATGTGCTATGATTATAGGTTCTTCGAGTATCAAAGATGTTATTGCATTTCCTAAAAATCAATCTGGTGTTGATCCAGTAGTTGATTCTCCAACTCAAGTAAATAGAGAGGTACTTTCAGAGTATCATATAACTGTAAATAAATAATTATCTATTTCTACCCCTAACTTTCTTCTTAGTTCCTGTTATTTCATCTAATTTACGTTTATTATAACCTGCTTGAGCTTTTTCAGCTTCTTCATCTTTTCTTTGTTTTTCTTCAGCCAATTTTTCCATCTTCAATTGTATTGGAGTTTTGACTTGTTCAATACTAGATTCTTGTTCTTTTATTAATACTTTCCAATCATATTTCTTTCTTGAAAATAATTCCATTGACCAATTTTTCCAAACTAATTTACCATAATTACTTTCTTTAACTTTTTTAGAATCGTTCATTAATTCAGTGGCTATTTTATCTTTATACATTGGTAAATGTATTGTGAAATCCCATAATCTATCAACTATATGTGATCCATATGAATTACAAGCTAATGAAACAATGTGTCCTTGGAATATATTTAAATAACGTTTACGTAAAATTTGAACTTGTTTAGATTCATTTGATTCAACAAGTAATGATTTTTCAACAACATGTGAAAAAACACCATGGAAACACATTTGAATAAATCTTTCAATCGGCAATGAAATAAAATTTATCCATGAACAAATTATAAATTTATAATCATATTCCATTAATTTTTCCAAAAATAATGCTCTTTTTCTTTCTTCTGCTGTTGGCCAATCATCTCTTGTATTACCTAAGGTAGAACCTTGTAGTTGTAAAACATTTTCTAATAAATCAGTACCTTCATAATCATCAGAATAGTTAGGAACAAATTTCAAAAATAATTGATCTATAATTTCATCACGCCTATAATTCTTTTGAGATATTGATGCATCTATTAGTTTATTTGCTAAATCTAAATTTTGCTCTGTTATTAATTCAGTCAATTTTGGAATTATTTGATCAAGTATAAATTTAACTTCAACTGGTTTTAATTTGAATAATAATGCTTGTATTATATAAACACCCGTTGTTGCTCTTTTGGATAATTTTAAGACACGATCTTTAATGTATAATTTGTATAACCTTTCAATATATTTTGGTCTAGCGCCATCATTTTTAATTATAGCTTCAAAAAAATGTGAGCCAACAGGATCTGATAAAAGATATTCAATATATGATTCTTCAGATTCAACAACTTCATCAGAGTTATCAAATACTAAATGCCAGAATGATCTTTCTCTATCAACCAACCCTTCAACTTGAATTAATAATTGTATAACCGGAGATGCAATCTTATGTATACTGAAAGATCTAATTCTAGTTTGATCCAACCCTTTAATTATAATTTCGCAAATTGATTTTAATTCATCTTTAAAAGATGGTGGTGTTTGAAATGATCTATTAAAATCTTCATTATCTTTAATTTCAATCATTTTTCTTGCAATTTTTGATTTTTTAGATCTTAAAACTGAATTTGACATTATGGAAGATGGTAATTCTTTTCCAGATAGAATCATGATTAATAATCTTAATACATGTGATGCATATTGATGATCTATCATGGTTATTAAATGTGGTTTTAATTCATTTACCATTGATTTGAATAAATTTTCCATTTCATTATTTCCTTCGATTAATTCTTTGTCAATTAATCCAGCTACTCTAACTAATAAAGTTTCTAATACATGTGAACTATACTTATGAAATGCTAATGATTCAAAATGATTTGAAAATTGTGTAAATATACTTTTTAATTGTTGTGAATCTGCAAGTAAAATTAATCTCTCCATTAATTTAGAACATATTTGATTTGTGACCAATTTTAATTCCTTACCGTTTGCTTCTTCTAATACTGATGCAACAAATCCTAATCGATCTTCATCTGATTCAAATGAATTTATATTAAGAGTAGATTCAGCTTGTTTAAAATAATCAATTTCATTCGAATCAACTAACCCAAAGAAAGTGTTCGGTATGTTTACATTTGATGTTTCTTCTTCATCTACTACTTGTGCTTCTTTTTTCTTTTCCAATCTTCTACCTCTTGATTTCTTTTCACCCATGGTGATGACTTGTGACGACTATCAAAATATATTTTTTTATATACAGGTTTAATGAAGCAAAAAGATTAAATAAAGAATACTTGCAAAATTGTTACTGAAAGATAGTCTGAACTGAAATAAGGTAATATCAAGTATATTTTAGCAGGGTATTAATCATATCTTAGAATTTTCGACATTACCAAAGTGGTACAATCATGATTTTTGATCTAAATTGGAAATAATGATAGGAATCTCAGTACATACGAACTTTAGATAAGACGTCGGCTCAGCGAGCTTTGTTTTTTAATATGGTAATAACTTTTTTAACAAACTAACTTGTTTTGGTAGTTATAAATCACTTAAAAGTAAATTAAAATCAAAATTACCCGATTTGTTTCAGAATTTTGTTTTTTGCACGACTTTTGGTGATAATTGAAAATTTACGAAATGTTAAATAGACGAACAGAATTCAACTCAATTTAAAACTAAACTAAAACAATTCAATTAACTAGATAACTATGTAAATAGCTATATAATTATAAACTAATCTCTAAACAAGTCAAATACAAAAACGATTAGTAAGCAAAAGCAAAAAATTTGATTTCATCCAAAAAGCTTCCAGGTAAGCAAAGTCACCTACAAGAATCCAGAGATCATCAGCGTTATTCCCAATTATTTATGGGGTTCAAACCAACGGTATCTAGTCCATCCACGCTTGCTCTTGACTTTAGAATCACCCAAAGCAGTAGTATTGACTAAAATTAAATATGGAACACCGTTATATTCAGCATAAGTAGGAGCACTTTCATCTGAGACTGGAATAATTGCTTTAATTGCTTCTTCTGGGAATGGAAAATCGGATTCAACAGGGGCAGTATCTTCAACTGGAGCAGCAGCAACAATAACAGCAGCAATAATTGATAAAATAGTAGTGGAAAACTTCATATTGATTAATGATATTTAATTGGATTGATTGATGAGAAATAAAAATGAAATATTTGGGAGATTTGAATCAAGATTTATAGTTTTCAGATTTCGTGATCTACGCTATTTGTTATTTCAATTTTAACGAAAGTATCATCCGTGTTTCATTAATTTTACCAACAAAACCACTAACACAAATACAAATACGCTGGGAATTTATTCCTTTGCAAGCTTAAATAGGAAATAAAGAGATCGTATCGTACCTTAACCTAAAGTAATTAAATCTTCAAGGTTGCAAAATAATTATCTAAAATTTCGTCTATATTAATTTACGATGCACAATTACCTAAATTATAATAGAGTTAATTATTAACATGATTCCTTTGCAACACTAATTAGGAAACAAAATAACCCACAATGATAATGGTTAATTAAATTAACCAGAAACATACGCCACGTTAGCTGATCTGCTTCGGAGTTTGAACAAATGACACAAAGTTCAGACAACAATATTGGTTTCAGCAGTAAATAAGTGAAACTATAAGTATATCTGTAGTACATAAGTCGAAATAGAATCCTAGTAAGTAATGTAATTAGATACAATAGTGTTTGTAATGATGATGTTGATGTAATTGAACAAAGCTTCAAAAGTTTCAGATTTGAAAAATCAATCAAAATTATGGCTTTCTAACGCTGTACGTTTGCTTTTCGATTTGGAACTAAAATTTCCATTTTGGTCTTGCAAAGGAATTTTTATTAACTTGTGCGGAATTATGAGACGTTTGTCTATTACGACAAATGATTAATTACATGCATACGCCACATGCTCAATTGAGAACGACAATTTAAAACCCCCAATTTGGTGGTAGTGCGAGGCAATAAAAATCTCGTATTTTTAGATGATTTTATTGACTAAATTTTAATATTTCCAGAGGGGATGGCTGCAAAATTAAATTTTAACGCTAGCAAACCATTGCTGCAAATTTTTTCCTGAAACTGAAGAAAATTTAAAAAAACTCAACAACAGAACTAGCTCTTGACTTCAAACACTAGCTTGCCATTCTGAAAAATTCCAATTAATTAGAATCTGAAGTCCATAATATGTGGGTAGTGTGCATCAGTAAAAATCTCGTATTTTTAAATGATTTTATTGGCTAAATTTCAATTCCGCCAAGCTTAGAGAACCCTGAATTTAATTATGATTTTATTCACCAATCATTGATGCCAGTTCCAAATAGTACTTTAATCAAAACAGAAACTGAATTAGAGAGATTACGTTTAGAAGAATCATGGGAACGTAGAAGACTTGAAAATGAAGAAAGAAGAAGAATAGCTGAAAGTCAAAGAGTTGGAAGTTTATTTGCACATCCGTTTTGGACTGCATTTTCAGATATTGGACCAATTGCTAAATGTTTGGATGAATGGTTAATCATTGAAATATCATGGACAATTAGAAGTAAACCAAATTGGGAATCAAAGTACAAAACTCCTGAAATTAGACTAAAATGGGAAAATGAAATTAAAGAGCAATGTAAAGATAAAACCAAATTTATTGATGAAGTAATTGAATATGTGTTTAAAGAAATAGAATGGTATGATGAAACTCAAAATAATTTACAAACTTTTAAAATTGGCTGTGAAGATAAAATTGTTTATTCAGATCAAGTAATCGATAAATCATGTAAAGATAAATTTCGAAAAAAAGTTGATGAATTGGTTGGTTCATTAATTGATTTAGATTATCATCCAGGCTCTAATAATCAAGTTATTGACATTGTTCATCCATCATTATTTCCTTTACAATATGGTGTTACTCCGATTATTATTGATAATCTTGAAATTGTGGAATATCATCCAAGAGTTCAAAATGCAAAACCTGCAGTTGCTGATTTTGGTGTTTCAAAGAATTATCAATGGCTACCGGCTTTACTTACTTATGATGATGGGTTCAAATTCAAATCATATATTAATAACTTACATCCTTTCAAGCATAAACAATTATATACTTCAATTGAATCAATTTTCAACAGAATTATTCCAGGGTTAAATTATACTTTATCAAGATATGCATCAGAAGATTTTATTCGTATTCCAATTCCAACATATTTAGATGCTTATAATGAAGATTATGAAAAAGATCGTGATGCATTAGAAGAATTGTTAGATAAAGAAGCTGAAAAAACTGACGAGGGGTTTGATTATGATAAATTTGATGAATTTGAACAACAAAAAATTAAATATTTAAAAGAATTTAAACCATCTTGGTCGGTTCCAAATATAAATAAATCAATTGATTTAAAAACATTTAAAAATTTAAAAGTTATTGTCAAGTTAGCTAATATTGAATTAACTCCTGATAGTCCAAAATATAACGGTGGTTCATGGCATGTTGAAGGTACCATAAATGAAGATATAATAGCAACCGTTTTATATTATTATGATTGTGAAAATATTTCAGAATCAAGACTTTCATTTAGAACTGGTTTTGAAGATCCACAATATGAGCAAGGTGATTCTACATACGCTGAAGCTATATTTGGTATTAAAGATGAAGATTTAATGGTTCGTAATATTGGAAGTATGCAAGCTCAAGAAGATAGAGTTTTAGTTTTCCCAAATATGTTTCAACATCACGTTGATCCATTTGAATTAAAAGATAAATCTAAACCAGGTCATAGAAAAATTTTATGCTTTTTCATTTGTGATCCATTTAATAAGTATATTGTAAGTTCAGATAACGTTCCACCTCAACAAAAAGAATGGTGGGATGATGAATCGTTAGGTTATTTATATCCTGGAAACATTAAACAAGAAATATTAAATTTAAAGGATAACCGATGGCCAATAACATTAAATGATGCTAAAATTGTTCGTGAAAAGTTAATGGAAGAAAGATCATCAGAGAAAATTCAAGGTGATGAAGATGATATGCCAGCTTTTAATAGATTATTTTCATTGTGTGAACATTAATAATTTATATAATTAGAATACAAATTATACTACAAAAGTTTCCGATATTTGATTAGTAGGCCTTCTTAAATGTTTTGTCAACATATTCGAGAGATTTCATTAGATTTGAAATAACAACTTTGGTGAATAATTTCTGAATTGCAAATGGTTTCAAAATTGGATCATATAAAAGGTGGTAGTGGATGATTTATCTAAGTTTGATGTGATGATTTCAATTAATTTAGATGGTATAATCTTTCTATTATCTAATAATCTTGAAATATCTGTTGTCATATTAATGTTTTGCTAATAGTTTTTTTTCTCTTTTTTCAACAAAACTGGAGTATTTGGTTATCTTCTATAATTTTTCATATACAGTTGAGTAGTATATAATTTATCGTTGAATCTATTTTTAGATTGTAATTTATTTAAAATTTAAATTATATTCTGAAACAAATTATTATTCTGATTATGTAATACTCATAAATTAAAAGTCCAGAACACAATTGTAACGGTTTCATAATATTCCTTTTAATAACCACAATGGCAATAGAGTTTGAGTTATGATTATTTAGACATCAACTATTTCATCTTTTAGCAAGTGGATTTGTTGCATTTAAAAGAATGTTTAAATAGTATTATTACTCGAGTAATCCCACCAATACCCAGCTTATATCTAATATTGACTGTAAAACGTATGTTTCAGCCATGACAGAAGCTAAGGTACATTTTTTCTTAGTAATTTGTAAGCATTTTCTCAATTTTTGGTTATAAAATCTCGAAATTTTACATTCCCCTTCATAACTTCTCTAATAGTAAAAATCCAGAACTCTCATGCAACGTTTAATACTTCATAGACCACATTGAATAAGTCGCAATTCGTGTAATCTTTGAAAGGGCCAGCTTACTGGTGGTATCCATAATGAATATTTGGGTTTCGACTATAAATACTTAACAAAATTAAGACATGAGAACTTAGTTTTAAAAACTATCTCTAGTAATGATACCATTAAAAAATAGGTTTTACGCATCAAGTAAGCTGAACACTGGATGGAAATCTAAAAAAGAATATGATTTCTTAGCTGAATAATCTCAAATAAGCAAAGACGAATCAACAATGAACAAGAACAGATTATAACAAACAAAACCTTTAAATTTGTATACTGAATTAAACAAAATTATCAATTATTTTTTTATTCTTTTCATATAATTTATATTTAAAAAAAAATCTAAGCAGTAAATGATAATGAGAAACCTAATTTATGAACTGGTTCAGCTAATTTTAAAGCATCGAATGAAGCACCCAAACCTAATTTAACACCTGGTCTTAATTCTTGAGTATAAGATAAAGCAGTTAAACCGGAATCAGCAATTTTAGCTTTAATAAAAGCAGTTCTATCTAAAGCATATTTAGTTGCAAATTCAACATTAACATTTGAAGATTTAACTGAATCCCAAGTAGTTTTAGCACCAACTTCAACTAATGGAGAAACTTTATGATAATAACCAGCTGAAAAAACTGATAAATTTGAAGTAGCAGTAGCAGCTAAAGCATAATTTAAATTAGCATAACCAACACCAACTGAATATTTATTAACTTTAGCTGATGAAATATCATAACCTAATTCAGCACCAGCAGTGAAACCATCATGAGCAACAACTAAATCAGCAGTTGCAATTGGACCTTTCAATAAATCAAAAAATAATCTTGCATTTACAGCAGATTGTTGATAAAAGAAATTTAATTTAACGTTTCTTGCACCATTTGGTATAATTGAAGTATCTAATTCACCTTTTAAACCAGGAGTTAATAATTCAGATAATTCAATTTTAGTTGATAAAGCATTTGAATTGTTCCAACCTTGAGTTAAAGTTAAACCAGTAGCTTTATCAACATGTTTAGCATCAACTGAAGCAGCAATTGTATCATCTTTAGTAGTTTTACCTTTAACAGTAAAAGTAACTCCATTTGGAGCAATAGTTTTAACATCGACAGCAGCAGTTGATAAATGATAAAAATCTTTGTTTAATAAATCATTTGAAGCTTTTGCTAAATCTGAATAAGCTGATGGAGCCATTGTAATAATATCAATTGGGTAATAAATAAAGAGAAGTTAATGAAGAAAAGGAGAAAAGCAAAAAAAAAAAAAGAAAATCCTTTACACAGTTTTTTGTTTTCGTTGATTTTCGTTTGTTTTGATTTGGTATTAAAAAAATAATAATCACGACCCAGCAACGTTTTTGGTTGGGTAACTGCTACCAAGTGGCCCGAGAATATTATAGAGAACAAATGTATTGACCACGCTATCAATTTTACAAATGTCATTCAATATTTTAAGTATAAGCATGAATTATTAAAATAATATTTCAAATTTGTGTAAATTATGATAAAATACAAATGTCATCACTCTTTCTTCGCAGACTTCTGAATCGTGGGGTTTGAGGGGATCGATTGTTTCTAAATAGTACTAAAAATCAATTTTAATGACACTTGTTAATTCAGTTCTTAAACCAATTCGTGTTTTTGCCACCAATTGAGTATAAATCAACTTTGATTTTTAAACTTACAATTCTAAGTTGATTGAAAACGTGGTACGATATATTTTTATCACAGAGCACATTTCAAATTAAAATACACGATCATCCTGCACAATGGTATATGCAAATTACTATTCGTGGAACAAAACATTTGTAGTTCCACATAGCTTATAATTGACACCTGATACATTTTTTAGCCGAAAGCTATTAAAGTTCCGCCTCAAATTCATACGACATTTAGCGCTTCGCACCAAACTAATTGGCATTAGTTCCGTTATTTTCACTACTCTTATTTTCAAATACCCCTTAATGAATTTTATATTCCTTGACGCAAATTCGACATTAATCAAACAACTAAAAGATCATTATCATGACTTAACTAATGTGTTCAAACTATACAATTTATCTCTCATCCAAAATCATCATTACAATTTCCATAATTCAACAATTGAACAATTTATAAATAATGAGAGACTTAATAATCGTACATCAATTGTAACACCTACTAATTCTTTAAGTTATATGAGTGCAGGTTTTGATAAATATTTGCTTGAAGGAATACTATTGAATACTGGTTATTTATTCAATAAATTAGAGTCACTAATTCAAAACCATCAATTAGCTAAACATCAAGGATTTTTGGTTCCTAATAACATATACAGATTAGATCTACTAGATTTAATAAGCGATGAATCTAATTTTAAAAAGTCAACAGCTTATAAAAATCTTGGTTTAGTTGAAGTAATTCAAATACCAACAATGGTAATTCCCGAACCAATTGAATCTAAACAAAATATTTTCAACTTATTATGGAATTTACTAGAAACTTCTTCAAATGTTGAAAATATAATTATACCTGGTTTTGGAACTGGATATGGAGGCATTGACGAGTTTGAAGTTAGTAAAATTATGATATTTACCATGTTTTTATACAATTTACAAGTTGAAAATCATTTACTTAAATCACTATTAACTTTGTTCTTTTTCAATAAAGACTACAGAAAGTTTGCAATCAAGAGACACTTGCAGCAGATGGAACAACTATTAACGGATTATGGTAAATTATATAAATTCACACCAAATAAATTAATGAATTTCAATGAATTATTCAAATGTATCAAGTTATAAATATTATATAATAACTTACTTAATTCGTATTTTTAAAATCTTATAAAATCTCGTTCCTATTTATTTATTTTTGTTGTTCTACTATTCGGAAAAATTGATAAGAAATATTCCATGACTGTAACATTATCTTATACTTTAGGTTTCATTAGATGTAAAACTAATAATAAAATATTATTACTTAATAGAAACAAATCTCCATGGATGGGTAGATGGAATGGTGTGGGTGGTAAATTAAACCCTCAAGAAAGTGCTTTACAATGCATAATACGAGAAACAGAAGAAGAAACAGGATTAAATTTATCAAATTTTATAAATAGAGGTATATTAATATGGAAAGTGAAAAATGATGGAAATAAAAATGTTGAAACAGGTGGTTTATATTTATTTACAGTTGATATTTCAGAAGAACAATTTGAAAATTATAGAACCCCCATGGTATATAACAATGAAGGGATATTAGATTGGAAAGATTGGAATTGGATCACTAATGATGATAATCTAGGAGTGGTTGATAATATAAAAATTATATTTAATCATTTATTTACAAGTAGTGAAACTGATTTATATAAAGTGAAATATGAAAATAATAAATTGATGAGTTGCATGTATTACCCTGGTGAAAATCCATTACAAAAAGAAGAAAAGGAAAAAGAAGAAAAGGAACATGTTCAAAAATCAAAGAATATAATTCATTAACGGTTCTTCATTATTTATTTTGTAATATATTAGAACGATGATATAATTTTTTCTCGCGCAATTTTAAAGCCGATTCCCTATTTTTCTTGGTGTGGGCTTTATTTGGCTGCAACATGGCTCAATTGCGAAATGATAAATAGACGAACAGAATTCAACTCAATTTAAAACTAAACTAAAACAATTCAATTAACTAGATAACTATATAAATAGCTATATAATTATAAACTAATCTCTAAACAAACTAAATGCAAAAACGATTAGTAACCAAAAGCAAAGAATTAGATCTCAAATAAAAAGCTTTTTCAGATTTAAAGAATAAATGTTAAATAGTATGCAAGAATGGGAATTATTTATGACTCTGAATTAGATATGCTTTCAAGTTATAAATCGGATGCTGAGTTAAATTATGATTCGGAAGTTGAATCAGATCCTGAGTTAAATGATGATTCGGAAGTTGAATCGATGCTAACGAAAGTAGTTAAGAGTATAATATTTAAAGAAAAGTATAGTATATTCATAATCATTAATACATAAATTTGCTAATTAAGACACCATCTCAAATTCTCTTTCTAGTTGTAAAAACTCATTTACCTAGCTCAGTTGTTGTAATTTTTGATTTGATAACCATATTTGATAATGATTCAATTTCATTAGTTGAATTCTCACGACATTGTAAGGATGCCAGTTAACTGAGTAAGGATACAACAAACACTGCAAGTCGCCGTAAGGATTCAGCAACACTGATCACCCTTATATAGTTTGAAGTGTAAGCATGTATGCAATCAGACCAGATATAGTAGAAATGATAAATATTTGCAACTCTATAATTGTATATTCTCTATGTAGTCCATAATCTTGCTGTACCATCAGCACCACAACTAAATAACCAAGGTTCTCTTGGATGCCAAATTAAATCCAATATACCAATTTGATTTATAATTTTATGACCAGTTAATTTCTTTAATGGTACCAATAATGGATTTGTCATTAAGTCATCATAAACAGTACCATGGAAAACATGTATATTACCATCATCTGAAGCACTTGCAAATAATGGATAATTACCTTTATGAAATTTAATTGATCTTACTGCTTTTTCATGATATCTTAAAGTTTTATAAGGAGTTTGAGATAAATCTAAATCATGCCATAAAACTCTTTTATCATAAGAAGAAGCTAATAAATTATCACCTCTTGGATGTAAATCAATATTTGATAATAATCTAACACCTGGTAAAAGTTTTTTAATTAATGTTTGTTGTGATAAATCATAAATTTTTATAGTTCTTTGAGATGCAACAAATAATTGTGGTTTAAAAGGATGAAATTTTGCATCCATTATTATACCTTTTGATTTTTTAAATGGTGATTGTGATAAATGTTTAGATAATTGATGAATTAAAACTGAAGTATTTTTTGAATCTGGTGATACTGTTACAAAATAATCACCTTTTCTATGCCATGATATTTTTTTAATATTCTTTTTACATTGTATAATTGCAGACATACCCTGTTGTTGTTGTTGAGTATTTGGACTTATCCAAGATGCAACCTCTTTTTTATTAGAAAAGGTCTCTCCCTCTTCATCGTCTTCATTTCCAATCTTCATTTCTTGTTTTTTATTTCCAAATGTATCATAACCCCAACCTGATTCAATTCTTAATTTACCTTGATTTTCAATTTCAAATCCAAAAATTGGTGGTACTATTAAATAAATATTTTCACCACATGTAACTGCAATTATGCCAGTTGAAGAATCTGGATTCCATTCTAAACTTTCAATTTTATCATCATTATTAATTTCTTTATTAATTAATTGTATTTTACAAACTTGTCTTCCTGTTAAAACTTCCCATATTCTTAAACTACCATCATCTGAACCAGTAGCTAACCATAAACCTTGTGGATCTATACTTATAGTTCTAATTTTTTCTTCATGACCTTTATATATAGTTGAACAATAAATTGGGAAAGGTTTTAAATCTTTTGGTGAAGGTAATTCAGGAATTAATGAATCTGGATCAATATTCAATTTATTATGACGTATTCTTGGAGCTAAATATAAATCCAACAGTCTTTCAAATCTTTCACGAATATTTTCTTGATAACCAGGTACTTGCCTGAGAGATTTATATTTTTGTGGAATAAAATTTCTTTCTCTATCTATTGGAGCAGTTTCTTCATATGTTTTCTTTTCTTCTTTAGTTAATAAATATTCTTCTGGTGGATTATAACTTTCTTCATTTGTTGGTGGAGGTAATTTTGGGGCTCTTAAATTCATTATATGATCAGTTACTTCAACTTCATCTTGCCATAAATCAAAAGCTTCTTCTTCTTCTTCTTTGGTTTCCTCTTCTGGTTTCTTTAATGTAATTCTACCTTCTCTTATTGCTCTAACTATTTTCATAACTCTTTTAGCTTCATGTTTTGAAGGAACAAATCTTCTTTTTGGTTCAGGAACTGCAGTTAATGGCATTACTTCTTCATCTTTAGTAAACCAATCAATTAAAGGTTCATAAGGATTAATATTTTCATCTGTATTTTCTTGCTGTTGAATTTTTTGAATTAATTCCAATTCTTCTTTGGATAAATTTAATGAAGTACCAGTATTTTGATCTAATAAACCAGTCCAACCTTCAGGTAATTCAATAGTTTCTAATAATTGATCTAATGCTGAACCTTTTGCTGGTCTCATTATTCTTTTCCCATTTATATCATAACCTATATGTGGCATTTCATCATAAGCTGAAATTGGTATATTTCCTATAGTATTAAAATTCTCAGCATCTGAATCATCTGAATCATAAATTGGTTCGATTTCAGGTTTAATTATTCTTGGTTTACCATCTGAATAAGTTGTTTCTATTTCTTTTTCATTTGGATCTTTAACTGATAATGAATTAATTTTGATACCACTTAATGAATCTCTATCATCTTGAGGTTCATCTGAAAATTCTTCACTTGAATAATCTGAGGGGTCTTCTTCTTCACCTAATAATTTATTTAATTCTTCTTCTGAATCAAAATCTTGTGGTGGCCCAGGTTCTTCATCTAAAATTTCTCCCTCTTCAACTTCACTTTCTGATTCACCAGCATCTAATAACCCATCAACCTTAAAGTCTTCTTCATCTACTTCTTCTTGCTCTTTTATTGGCTTTCTTTTCCTATTTTCAACTTTTTTATCCATCTTAAACTATTGTTGCAAAATCTCAAATTTTTTTTTTCTCATCTCATATATGAATTCAATACGTCGTATAAATGATATAAATCAAAAAGAATTAAAATCGAAGACAGATTATAAAGCATCATGGCATTATGAATATAGAGATACAAATTATATATATATTGGGAATTTACCTTTTAATTTAAAAGAATTGGATATTTTAAAAATATTTTCACAGTATGGTATACCTACGCATATTAATCTAATTAAAGATAAAGTATCAGGTAAAAGTAAAGGATTTGCTTTCTTAAAGTATGAAAATTTCAAAAGTTGTATATTGGCAATTGATAATTTGAATGGGTTTAAAATTGGTGATAGATTTTTAAAAGTTGATCATAATTATTATACATTATATGGAAATGATGTGGAAGATAATTATAAGATCAATTATGAGAAGATATTAAGGGAGCTGGGTGAGTATATAGATCAAAGTAAACTAATAAAGGAAAAAGAGAAGGAAGAGAAAAAGAAATTGATTAAAGATAGAATAGAAACTAGAAATAATGATAATAAAGGTGAAAATGATGACTTTGAAGATCCTATGGCCAATTACGTTAATTCAGAGAAAACAAAAGAGGTAGAAACTAAAGGTTTGATTGAGTCGTCTTCTAATGCTGGTAATGACGAAGATGACGAATTTAAGGACCCTATGGCTAATTTTATAAAATTAGAAAAAGAACCAAGAGAAAAGAAGGTAAAGAGAAGTGATAAAGTTAAAAAAGGTCTCTTCAAAGACACAACAAATCTTAAAGACAGCTTGGAACAAGCTAAAGAGGAGTCTAACTTACCAGTTGATTCAGTTGATCAGAATAAACGAAAATTAGAAGAAAATAAAGAGGAGCAAGTTGTCACTGGTGACGATAATACCTTTAAAGATCCATTAGAAGAATATATCAAACGAAAGCAAAGTGCTAAAAAGGACAAGAAGCGTCATAAATCGAAATAGGTTTATGCAAAAGTGTATTAGGTAATGAATAATGACTTTATTTAACATCGTAATTGAAATAATAATCCACAAACTTCTCTTTATCATCTATATTTAACTTAACCGAATTTAATGAGTTTAATTCATATGAGTGTTTGATTTTACCAAAATCTAATTTTTCATAATTGTAGATTTTCAATTTAATTTGCTTCTTTGATATATTTGTAATCAATTCAAATAAATATTTGATTTTGCTTATATATGGAATTGGCATTGTGAAATAATTTGGAGAAACCTTGTAAATCAATGACTTTATATTGAATTGATCTAATTCATATTTTGGGTTCAAATTTATAAATGGTAAGATACTCTTGTTATTAGAAGATGTACCTTCAACTAATAGAAATACAATTGAGTTCTTATACTTGCTTAACTCAGTGACCAATTCTCCTTTTATTGAACTATCAAATGTGAAGTTCCATAATTGACATGGAGTATATTTATACAAATCACCAGATTTATCAGGTACTAATATAACAATATCTCTACCTGAAAACAATTTAAAAATGAAACCATCTAATGGAGTAGCATAGTTTGTAATTATCAAATTACCAACCTTTGGTTTGTAACTTTCCAATTTTGCAACTTGAGATCTTTTAACACCATCAACCGAAAAATCAAAATTAAAACCAAATAAAACTTGTATAATAAATTTTAATAATACATTTAATCCAGTAATTGAATATGTCAATGTGAAAAATATTAAAAAGGGTAATTTAATTAAAAAAATAGGTAATAATGATATAATCAGTATTGTAGTTTGTACAGATGTATTCTTTTTACCAAATGTTGGTATTTCAGTGGGTATAAATGGCGATATACCAGTACCTTTATCTCTCCAAGTTGAAAACTTTTCCATCAAATAAAGCAGCCAAATGAATTTTTGTTAGTGTTTCAGAATTGAAAAAAAAAAAAAAAAAAAAAATAAAAATAAACATAGAAATAAAAAAAATCGGAGTGGCTAAAAAAAACAAAATAAACAATTTTAGTTGTGACCTTATATTAAAAATAATATACAAAAATTAAATAAAAAACTAAAACATCATAAATAACTTATATGAATAAAGAAGTAAAAGCTTAATTGATTGGAATTGTGTAAATTGTATGTGATTGTTAAGTTGTTTATAATTCTTGTGAAGCACCAGCTTTTGGTTTTTTGGCTGGTAATAATGATTGATGAATATTTGGTAAGACACCACCTTGAGCAATTGTAACATGACCTAATAATTTATTCAATTCTTCATCATTTCTAATAGCTAATTGTAAATGTCTTGGGATAATTCTTGATTTTTTATTATCTCTTGCTGCATTACCAGCCAATTCTAAAATTTCAGCAGCTAAATATTCTAAAACTGAAGTTAAATAAACTGGAGCACCTGAACCAATTCTTTGAGCATAATTACCTTTTCTTAATAATCTATGAACTCTACCAACTGGGAATGTTAAACCTGCTTTAGCTGATCTTGTAGTTGATGCTTTTTCTGATGAACCTGCTTTACCTTTACCACCTGACATTGTTTAAAATATAAATTAAATTTGATATGATGAAAAGAAGAAGAAAAGAAAAGAAAAGAATTATAAAAAAAATTATATATAAATTGTGGAAATTAGAAGTTATTTAAATCAATGATTTTGTTTGGTGATAATCATCATCATCACTATATTAAATTATTATTTGTATATGTAATAAACAGTACAAAGAGAAGAGCGAGCGAGCGAGCGTGCGAGCGAGAGAGAGAGAGAGAGAGAAAAAGAAGAATAACAAGAGAGAGAGAAATTGAATTGTACGTGTATTGCACAAACTTACTCCTTGATTTTATTTATGCTTATCTCTTGCTTGGAAAAGAAGTAGTTCACGTGAGAAGATCAAGCGTACACAAGCGTAAATTTCAGCACAAGGTAGCGATAAACTTTTATTTCGCGTCGAGTAAATACTACGAGATTGTGTAAGACACGAATTGTTATGATGGCAAAAACACAAAATATCAATATGCTGCTCATATAATATCGACAATTAAGTGATAAAACAGTGTATAAACTAGTAACAGCACAATAGTATATGTCTAAATTCCTTGAAACGTGATTTAAAAGAGTGTAATCTAAAACTAAGGAAACAACAAGATACTCTCGTGTTGAAATTTACACCCATCAAGTAATAATACGATAACTCGACACAAAATTAAGGCGAAGAGAACAACAAGAGAGGAACGAGGAAATCAAAACAACTATTCGATGGTTTTGTACTGCGCACGACTCACTCTCTCTTTCTCTCTTTCTTTCTCTCTCTCTCTCTTTTTTTAAATTTATTGTAATCACGGAGACCTAAAAAAATAAAAAAAAAAAAAAAATCAACACTTATCCAATTTTATTATAAATAACAAACAACATCCATTTTTATAATTTTTTTTTAACACTTTTTTCTTTTTATTAATAATATCAATTTAAAGTTTTATTATCAATTACAGAATGGCACCAAAAGCTGAAAAGAAACCTGCATCAAAAGCTCCTGCTGAAAAAAAACCAGCTGCTAAAAAAACTGCTTCTTCAACTGAAGGTACTAAAAAGAGAACTAAAACAAGAAAAGAAACTTATTCATCATATATTTATAAAGTTTTAAAACAAACTCATCCAGATACTGGTATTTCACAAAAAGCTATGTCAATTATGAATTCTTTTGTTAACGATATTTTTGAAAGAATTGCTTCTGAAGCTTCAAAATTGGCTGCTTATAATAAAAAATCAACTATATCTGCAAGAGAAATTCAAACTGCTGTTAGATTAATTTTACCTGGTGAATTGGCTAAACATGCAGTTTCTGAAGGTACAAGAGCTGTTACTAAATATTCATCAGCTTCAAATTAAGTTTAGTTATAATTGGTTTAGTTGCTAATGTTTTTTACTTCTTTAGTTCATTATAAATATATTTGTTAATTGTTATAATGATGTTTTAGTTTTTTATTTAATTTTTATGTATATTATAATATAGGTTATAACTGAATATTCAACTCTATTTCATACTATTAAATATTAAACTTCGATTAGTAAGCATATGTCGATTATAATCAGTTGTTTTTATAATTATTAAAAGTATTATATATTTCTATTTCTCTATATTTAATATTATCAAATTGATCAAACTTACAAAATTAAATAAATGATATAACCAAAACGTATGTCGATTACCATAAATCAATGAATAAAAAATAAGGTACCCTAACCCCAAGATTATCAATATGTTATATTTTGATTGTTTGAGTTTTTCTAGTTGATTATTTTTCTGTACAAGTAATAGTATCGGTAAGATTGATAATAAATTATGATGAGAACTAAATGGAGTTTTCCAATTAATTGATAAATTATGAATGAACACAATTAAGATAGGTATGTTGATGGGCAAGATCCAAAGCATTAAAATCAACCAAGATACTTGATAATTAAACAATTGATTATTATTATATGATTTCAATACATTTATAATTTGAATTAAGCAACAAATGACGTAAACAACTTGATATGGGATGTAGATAGGTATCAAAACTATTAAAAATATAGTTAAATATAATTTATACTTGGAATTTCGATTATTTGTACTTGATCTAACTCTTTTAATAATGAAATTTAGTAAATAACAACATGAAATAATTAAGTGGTATGTTAATATAAGGATAAAATTTGATATAAAGTATAATATAAGTCCAATTATCGAGAAATTCTCTTGTAAACCTAAATAAAATGAATTTAATTTGAAATTTGAACTTAAACTAAGATTAATCTCATTATAATCTTGGAATACAACTAAATCAATTAAGTTAAACACATGCGGATATGATTTGACAATTGGATTTAATATAATTAGTATAATACCAATGATAAGTCCGTATTTTGAATTAATATAACCTAATCTGTTTATTAAATTTGGAAATTTATCAAATTTCAAGTATTGAAAAATTGTAACTAGACTTGTAATTGATAGTATCATCGACACTAAAGATAATCTATACCTCAAAATTAAAAGTTTTAAACTTGATATTAAATCTATACTTATCGATATAGTTGTTTCTGATTTTGAATTTAACCAAATTTGTAGATTCATTCCATGATTACTGTCTGATTTAAATGGGACATATGGTGATACACTATGTTGAGTTAATTTATAATTTTTATTTGGTTGTAAGTTTATATGCCATTTAGTTTCAAAAGGTTCTTCTACCCATTGTCTAACAAATGTATAATAAAATTTATCACCTTGTTCATAATTAAATTTGGCATTATATACTAGCAAACTATTCCAAGCATGTGGTATGTTGATATTGAACGATAATGGATGGTCTTCAGGTATGGTTATTGATTTTCCAAATATTAGATTTCCATCAATGATATAATTTGTTTCTGTATTGAATTGGTATTCTGCAGCATCTCCTTTTATTAAGTAATCATACTCATTAGTGATACTTGAAGGTATATTCAAAACATGCATTGGTTGTTCATTTCCACCTAATGAAGAATCTGAAATTATTAAATCACCAGTAGATTTAGGAACTAATTGAGATTTCATAGTGATACATTTTTCAGATTTACACAATTTAACTTCAATTTTATCTAATGAAATTAATGATAAATGTTTATCTTTCTCCAATTGTATACTATTCTCGTTTGATTCAAATTCAGTTTCACCAATTGCTAAACTTTCAAATCCTGTCATGAATTTATTTCTAAATATTTCCATTCTTTTCTCTAATGAATATGTTTTATGTACATCTTGTTTATTTATAATTTCTAATAATGACTCTGCTATTTTTGTTCTTAATTGTGCACACCATACAATTGCCAAATGATCAATTGGTGTCCATACTTGAGGTATACCAGTTGCAAAAATAGTAAATCCATTAGAAGAAGGTACTAAAAATCCCAACGTTGTATAATCTGCTGGTAATGTAGTATCTGTTTCACCACCAGTAATTGAAATTAATGAAACATTTTTAATTCTTGAATTAGCCAATTTTGAATATTCATTTTTTAAAGGATCATTATAACCAAAATACCAAAATTGATCAATTGCATTATAAATTCTAAGGATATCACCATCAAAAGTCAATGGAGCAGCAGAATGTGGAGAACTTAATGTAATTATTGTATTTATTGAATCTTGTAAATAATTCGGCAATGTAATCATTAATCTTGCCACTATTCCGCCCATTGAATGTCCAATTATAATAACTGACCGTGGTGGATCATTATGATCTTTATATAATTCTAAAATATATTTTATAGCTTCATTTAAAAATTCAGCTTGATCTAATATTGTCCTTCCATGAAAAGCTGTAAAATCTTCATTAAAATCAGCAGTGAAAAAGTCCAACTCTTGTATATTTGGATTTATTTCTGTATATTTTTCCAATTGTTCAAAATATAAATTTGAAGATTCTGATGCAATTGATCTTGCTTGTCTAAAACTACCAGCATTACCAGGAATAAATAAAACAGGAATACCACTTAATAATTGATCTGTTGATTGTTCTTCTGGTATTTTATTTTTACCTTGTTCTCGATATAAATATAATGAATATTTTGATGCTAATTTCGTATATGATTCATCAAATGATTTTATTCTTGCATATGATGGACCCATCCAAACTGGCCTACAACTAGGTATATCTGAACCATAAGATTTTAAATTATAACTATAAATTATTAAACTTATTAATAAACCACCTATGAATAATAAATAATATAAGACATATTTAGATCGTAGACGTTGGTCCATTGATCGTATAAAAAAAAAAAAAAAATTAAACGAACGGCGGTCAAAATAGTATTGAATTAATTAGAATAATACATTATCTATATATTATATTTCCAGTGAAGTGTAATTAGGATTTCTTTATCTTCTTCATTATTGTTTTAGTTATGTCAACTTTTGGTAATTTCGATTCAATAATTAATAATTGTTTATCAATTTTATCAATTTCATCAATTCCTTCTTTTATATCATTTTGTAATTGTCGTAATATTAATTTATATGGTTTATCCATTGATTTCATAAGTGATGATTTTAACTCTTTACGATAATTTTTCAGTTCCTCTTCTTTTTGTTTTGCTTTTGCATTTTTCTCATCTTGTTTCTTCTGAATAGAATCTAATTTATCAATTACAATTTTCTTAATTGCTTCATTTTCTAATTTAGCTTTTACTTTGGCTTCTGCTTTTCCTTTCTTCTTTTTTGCAATTTCTTCTTTTGCTTTTTTTGCATCATTTTTCTTCTTTTCAATTGCTCTTTTTGCCAATATTTCATCTTTTAATTTCATTGCAATACCATTAATTCTATTTTGATTCTCTTTCTTGTTTATTTCATCTTTTATCCTATCATCAATTATTTCAGCTTTTAGTTCTTTCGTTAATTTCTTTTTATTTAAAATTGAATTTTTCTTATTAATTAATAAATCAATTTTTGCAATTTGCAAAAGTGTCTTTTTTTTTGGTGTTTCTTTTACTTCACCCCAATCAATCTTCACTGGACTTACAACTTACTGAGTTTTAATATCTTCTTTTGAATAATCATGAACTAATTTAAATTCATCAATTTTACCAAATATAAATTTAACTTGTTGCCAAACATCTTTTAAAACAGGTTGGCCAATTGAATTAATTAAATTATCACCTTGTTGACTAATAATTTTAAAATAATTTCTTGAAAATGGTGATACTTCATGTCTTTTTTTAAGAAATATTAAATATACTAAGAATGGACTTAATGATCTTTTTCTAAATGTTATAACTCTAATTAATAACCAAACAACAGTAATAATTTCAATACCACTTGCAATTTGAATTGATTTTGCATTATTATTATTAATAAAAGTTGTAACATGTTTTGAAATTGGAGATTTATCAAGATTAAAAATTGGTAAAATATATCCATTTGTATATGCTAACACATGAAAACTTGAAAAAACAGCAAATGGAACTAATGTTAACCAAACATAAGGTCTTAAAAATAATAAAAAACCAGCTAATAATAAATAATGAAAATTATCATCTTTAATTAAAATTGGTAATTTAAAACCATTTTTTTGAATTAATTGAAAATTTAAAATACCAAATGAAATAAAAACACCAAATAAAGTAATTAAATAATCAACTTTAAATAATTTTGGTAAAAATTTAATATAAGTTAATGAATATAATGAAAAACCTAATAATGTTAAAATATTTCCAATAAACCAACCAAATTGCAAAGTTTGAACAGTAGCAATTAATTTTGATTGATCAATTTTAATACCAGATGAAGCTGGAGTTGAAGTAGAAGCAGCACTAGCAGCACCAGGTTTATCAGTAGTTTTAGCAGCAGCCATTTGTAATATGTTATACTTTCCTTACTCGTTAATTGATCAAAGAATGTGACAATTAATTTATATGATTTTTTTTTTCTTCTATTATAAATAAATTATATTGCTGTTAATAATTAACTGCTGACCCTTTCATTATAATTAGCAAACCATCTCTTTGGATCATTCAATTCAATTCCATAATGGACTGATTTGCTAAGCCCATTTATACTATTAGACTCGGTCAATTGGACTCAACTGTGGTTTTGACTGGCCCTGTTCTATCAAATTACGATCACATGACTCTAAATTTAACTAATTTCGCATGGGGTGGAAAGAATTATAATACGAGATTTATTCATTCAACACAAGGCTAGAGAGAGTTTAAACATTTGTCACATTTATTAGAGAAATAATATATAATCAACCTATCTCAAGAATCCCTTTCTTGATTTTTGTTGTGGTTGTGATTGTGGTTCTTGTGGTAATAATTTTTGTTTTTCCAATTGTTGTTTCTTTTCTTCTAACAATTTGATTTGTTTTGTTAATTTATCCTTCATTTCTTTATGTCTTGCAAATAAATCAGCTTCACTTCTTTGTAATTTTTTTTCCTTTTCTGAAACTTTTTGTTGAAATACTGCCTTCATTTCTGCTTCCATTTTACTTAATTTTGCTTCATGTAATTGTTTTTCTTCTTCTTGTTTTGCTAATGGATCAAATTCTTTAAATACACTATTATCTTGTTCAATACCCATTTTTTTTAATTTTTCACTTCGATAATTTTCGTATAAAACTTTTGATGTATAATCTTTTAATTCTTCAAGGAAATTTCTAATTAATAGTTGTCTTAATTTAACAAAATCATTATGTTGTTCATTATCAACTTCAATTATACCCCATGGATATTTTCTACCTCTTACAACTGAACCATCCTGTAATGTAATTTCTTTTGTTGATCCAACAACTGCAAATGGGAATTTTGAAATAATTTCTTTTGTATTTAATAAAGTTTCTTCATCTTCTGTTTCATTAATTTCATAATTTAATGGTTTAAATATTTTAATACCTTGATATTCAATATCTAATAAAATTCTTTTTTTGAAATCTTGAATTTCTTCAAAAGTTAAAGTATCAGATTTAGCAATAATTGGAATTAAATTTACTTTTTCATGAACTTGTTTCATAATTGCAATATCTAAACTTCTTAATGAATGACCAGTTGGTTCAATAAAATATAAAAATGCATGAATTCTATTATCAATCACATTTGTTCTATTAATTCTTGATTCTGCTTCTAAATATGAATCAAATCTTTGATTAATTTCATCAACAATTGGTTTCCAAGAATCTGAATTATTAATACTTTCACCAAATCCAGGAGCTGTAATAATTGAAACTTTTAATTTAACACCATCTTCTTCAATATCAGCAGATGTAGATTTGATTTTAACTTGAACATCACCTTCATCAGCAGTTTGATGATCATGATTACCATTTTGATATTCAGTTTCATCATCTTCATCATTATCGAATTCATCAATTTGATGTTTTGGTATAATTTCACGATTAAATAAAGTATTTATTAATGTTGATTTACCTAATCTACTTTCTCCAATTGCCATAATATTTAAATTAAAACCTCTTCTAACTGATTTTCTGTGCCATTGTTTTGGTAAATTGGCAAAACCGACATATCCATTTAAAACTTTTTTAATGACTTTAACGTCAGATGAGTCAACTAAAAGAGTTAGTATAAGATTATTTATGTGCAATTTTTGGTTACATACTAGTATTCATCTTTCAAATGTTAAATTGTAATGACTGAACTTGTTTGTGGTAGATCAATAATATTAAATTTTTCGTGTTTTTTTTGTTTTGTTGATTTTCGATAGTAGGTCGGTTGATTAACTATTGCGGTTAGGGCCTGTGCATATGGTAGCATTAAATTGCAGTTTACGGCCAAATTTTTACAGTTTAGACAAAATCGGTAATAACTTTGGAAGTATTAATTGAGGGTAGTTTCAAATTATCAGGATATATAGAATTGGAAATACTTAACATTTGTATTAAGTTTTGAGCTGTCTAAAAACAATTGCAGGAAACTTATGCATAGTTTTATTATTATACATGGTAGCATTTTCTCTTATTGTGAGTATAACTAACAATTATTCCAATTTTTTACCAAAATTGCAAAAAACTATAGAATATCAAAATAAGTAGCTACCAAGTAGAGTATTATATGTTTAAATTCATTAATTCATATATATTAGCATCTATAACTAGTAATTACTACTCCTTTAACTTCTCTAACAAGAATTGTAATGCTAATTTAGCAAATTCCATCATATTATAACTTCTATCATGATTATCAGTCTTAAAATGAGCTGATGAATCACCATTAGGACCAGATAAACCAATATAAACATTCCCAACATCTTCCAAGTTATTCTTTTCCTCATTTTCTTCTCTTAAATGTAAATTTGACAGTGGACCAGCAAATCCAGTTTCTGATAATACATAATTTGAACCAAATTCATATTTTGTAGTTCTAGCTAATTTTAAAGCAACTTGTTCACTTGGACCAACATATTTTGAAATTTCAAAATCTGACCATCCAGAATTTTTTAATCTTTGACGTAATGAATAAGTTAATTTACCACCAATATAAAAATCAGAAGCTCCAGGAACAGACACAATATAAGCAGATATTAAACCACCACAAGCAGCTTCAGAAATAGCCAAAGTTTGATTTCGAGATCTTAATATTTCTGCAATTTCATCAACAATTGATATTATATCATTTGGAGGAAATGTCATAATTTTCGATTTTGAGTGTGTGTACCAATTGATAAAAATTGAAAAATAAAAATTGAAAGTAATACTGATAAATAGTGGCGACTATAGTTATCATGGCTGCTTCTTCTAATTCTAAATCACTCAAGTTTTATGCTGGTAAAGTTCAATATGAAGAGGAAACAAATAGATGTACACCATTACCATATAAAGGAGTAATATCAATTAAACAATCGACTGAAGAACCAGATTTTTTTGATTTTACATGGTCAATTAAAAATGATTCAACAATACAAACACCAAGTAATATAGAAAAAGATGAATTATTATTAATACCAGGAGATGTATCAATTAAACATATAAAATCATGTAATACAGGTAGAGTATTTGCATTAACATTTTTAAGTTCTGGTGCAAAATATTTATATTGGTTACAAGATATTGGAGATATAGATCAATTAAATAAATTGACAGAGAAGGATAGTAAAATTATACAAGATATAAAAGAATTAATCAAATTAAAAGATGAAGATGATGAAAATAATTAGAGAGATTTCTATTTCTATTTATATATATATATATATATATTGATTATGTAATACATACTTAACAGCAATTTTATTATTCGACTATAAATTATAAATAGCCTCGAGCTTTTCCGTACCTTAAATTTTTTAATCTCCACACTAGATATATAATGAATCAAGATAGAATAGAAATTTATACGCAACCAGAAGAGAATACTACATCTAAAGATCAAGATTTAAATAAATCAATTAAAAATAAATTGGAAAATTTAATTGAAAATCATCCCAGAATACCTGAACTGGATGAAAAAGATATAAATGAATCAAAGAAAGAAACTACATCAAATAAATCAAAAGAATTATTTAAAAAGGCAAAAGAATTTATCGAACACGCTAGTGGTACAAGTTCAGAAGAAGAACAAGAAGAACAAGAAGAAAATAAACCAATTTTAGATCATGATGGTTTAGAAATTCCTCAAGGTAAAATACCCGTTGATTCACAATTTTCAACTCCGGAATTAATTAAATTAGTTGAAGTTGCTAAAGATCAAGGTATAATAAAAGAAGAAATTGATGTTAAAGTTTTGGAACATGGTGAATTAGGTGATAGAATAAGAGTAGCTGATCCAAGAGAAAAGCCAAATGAAACAAAAGAAGATAAAGATGAGCAGTAGTTAATTTATTTATTTATTTATCAAAAGACGATTAAGATACGCAGTAGTTAATTTATTTATTTATTTATTTGTTTATTTATTTATTTGTTTATTTATTTATTTGTTTATTTATTTATTTGTTTATTTATTTACCTTAATATGATGTCTTTTATGATGTGTTTGTAATGATTCTTCTACTTTTGGTTCAATAAATCTTGCTAAACTATGTACAAATCTTAATGGATCATCAACAGATATATAATGACCAGTATCAAACTCTTGAAATTTAACATTTGTAAAGTACTCATCAAACTTTTTAAAGTACTCAGGTAATACAAATTTACTTTGATTTCCATACATTACTAAAACTGGATTATTAAATTTATCAACATGTAAATTAGGCCATGATGAAATTGAATCTATAATATTATGTTTATAAAAATTCATAACTGGTATTTTAAAAGCTTCTGTACTTTGTTTATTCTTCGGTATTCTTTCAATATCTTTTTTAGTTCTTATTAAATTTGATTTCAATAAGGAACGAACATGACTTGACTCTTCATAATCTTTTAATTTATCATCTACTTTATCAATATCAACTATTCTCATATCTCCATTTTTAAACTCTTTTGAATCATGTTCAATTTCGCACATTGCTAATAAATCATTATAATAAGAATCATCTAATCTTTGTGAATGAGGAGTATTATCAATAACCACCAATTTCTCTATTAATTTAGAATATAATAAACTAACCAACATAGCGACTTTAGCTCCCATTGAATGACCAATCAATATACATTTATTCCATTTTTGATCATTTATAAATTTTGAAATATCATGAGCCATAGTTATATAATTATGAGGTAAAACATGAGGAGAATCACCATGATTTCTTAAATCAACTGTATAAACTGGATTATGTATAATTCTAGTTAATTCTCTACCATTACTATTAAATGATAATTTTGAACCAAATAAACCATGAAGAAATAAAACTGGCGTTTTATTTAAATTAATTCTTGCATTTTTAGGTTGTAGGAAATTATAAGCTAATTCAATATTCTCAGAAAATGGTAAATCTTGTATTGAATCAATATTAAAACTTGGTCTCTTATTAAAACATCGTTTAAAGAAAATCACCAGTCGCATTAAAAAATCAATGTCAACTTTTTATAAATTTTTTACTTATTATTTATTTATTTATTTATTTAATAAAGTATACAAAAAACATAAATATTACGAATTAAATACCACATTTCCCAATTATAACATGAACTTCACATTAATAATTCTTTGTTTAACCACCGAAACCATATAAGGTTCTACCTTGTCTTTTCAATGCATAAACAACATCCAATGAAGTAACAGTTTTTCTTTTAGCGTGTTCAGTATAAGTAACAGCATCTCTAATAACATTTTCTAAAAATTGTTTTAAAACAACTCTAACTTCTTCATAAATTAATGCTGAAATACGTTTAACACCACCTCTTCTTGCTAATCTTCTAATAGCTGGTTTTGTAATACCTTGAATATTATCTCTTAAAACTTTTCTATGACGTTTTGCACCACCTTTTCCTAAACCTTTACCACCTTTTCCTCTACCTGACATTGTTAATTAATTAATAAAAATATAAGATTGTATGAATAATAAAGAAAAAAAAAAAAAAATATAGATTGAGGAAATTAATCAAGATATATATAATAAAAATAAAACTAGTAATAAAATGTTAGTTTGTTATTTTGTGTTGAATGCGATAAAATATTAGGTAAAATTGGTGATTGTGTTTTTTAATGTAGGGAGAGAGAAGGAGGGTAGTGTATTTTACAATTATGCAGTAAATTTCAGACTGGACGTGTAATTTTCAGAATTAGTAAATACTGCTAAAGATTCAAAAACTGTTTCTTTTCTTATCAACAAAAGACACAGTTTTATATATATATTAGACTATATCAATATTATATCAATATTATATCAATATAGTATATATATATTTTTCATATTAACAATTTATTATTAGTTTCTACTTGATTACATTGTTATAGAGTTGATTACACTGTTATAGAGTGATTACGAATGGCTGCAAATCAATTTTTATAAAAAAGTTGTAAAATTGAAGCTTTTTCTCTATACTCAAGAGTTATTAAAGAGATTCTCTTAATAAAAAATCGTTTCCTTTCTTTGTCATAAAAGACACATCTATTTCTTTTGCAACCATGAAAAGACACAAAATTATTTTCTCATAGTCTCATATCGTGTAAGAACCAATTTTTTATACCACAACTTCGCTTTCACGCATCATTTGTTTGCTTTTCTTTCGTTCTCGCTCTCGTTCCCGTTCTCTCTCTCTCTCTCTCTCTCTCGCGCGCGCGCACTCTTCTTCTTCTTCTTCTTCTTCTTCTTCTTCTTCTTCTTCTTCTCTTTCTCCTGTCACGAGACAAGCCAAACAAAATAATCAAAACAAATAAAAAAAATGGCCGCGAAATTCATTTCATACAATTTTAATTTTATTTTATATAACATAGTAAAATCCCACTTCTAGTTTAAAACTTTTCTTCTTTTTATTTTATTATCATTTTATTTTATCAATTTCATAATGGCTAGAACTAAACAAACAGCAAGAAAATCAACTGGTGGTAAAGCTCCTAGAAAACAATTAGCTTCAAAAGCTGCAAGAAAATCCGCCCCATCAACTGGTGGTGTTAAAAAACCTCATAGATATAAGCCAGGTACTGTTGCTTTAAGAGAAATTAGAAGATTCCAAAAATCTACAGAATTATTAATTAGAAAATTACCATTTCAAAGATTAGTTAGAGAAATAGCACAAGATTTTAAAACTGATTTAAGATTTCAATCTTCAGCTATCGGTGCTTTACAAGAAGCCGTAGAAGCTTATTTAGTTGGTTTATTTGAAGATACTAACTTGTGTGCTATTCATGCTAAAAGAGTTACAATCCAAAAGAAAGATATCCAATTAGCGAGAAGATTAAGAGGTGAAAGAGCTTAAATTTAATGGTATTTGGTGTATTATTTTTAATTCTTTGTTATTTTTTTTGTTTATTGTTTATTTTTAATGTATAATATTATTTAAATCTGATTATTTCACAGTACATTATGTAGGGCTATTTTAATATTATTGAAAAGAGTTCCGGAGCTTCAACATAAAAATCTTTAAGAGTTGTAATTGTTATTCAATTAGGGTCGGTACAATTTTATATGCAAAATGTTGTATTTACAATCGCTATACTTTAGATAACCTAAATGGTAATTAACAAAAAGATTATATTTTTAGTTTTTTGATGATATGGTGGCATTAATGCGATTTTGAAAAGAAATATGCATGGTTTTCAGCCAAAAAAACACGGTAGCGCGAGCATAGTAGATTGAATTTTGAATTTTGAATTTTGAAGCTCAAATAATGAAAAACAAACAAATTTTCAGTAGCACGTGTTCTTACAAAACTTGCTAGTTTTAGAATGAATATTTCTTTGATATAGGTCGTATATTCAAACGTTGTTGAAAGTTTGTTTTTCGATGAAACAGTCTCACCGAAGGACCAGCTAAGACAAATTTTTTAATTAGGAAAGATGGTTGCAAAATGGACTGAGACAAACGAATTAATGAAGAAAACTGGCTTCAAAATGGTAGTATAATCTTATCAGTCAGACAACAAAAGAAGGGTATCATCCGAACAAATTCTCTATTTCTTACTGAATGTTCATGCAAGGACAAATTAGATTGAGTAACCCAGGTTTTGATCTAAATTTGGTAATGATAAGTTCCAAATACACTACAAACCCGATAACAATAGTTGTACGAACAAGTTATAGCCTTTCTTGCAAAAATTTTAAATCGATGTTAATAAAATCCTCAAAATAATAGTTCAACACCACCTTAAACATAATATGTATCATCTATCAACAAACTATAAAGCGATTGTTCGCTTATTGTATCTTCTCTTTTGTCTCAGTTTTACGATTGGAATTACAAATTATAATGTTATGCATAATTGATAGAGATGTTACTAAGATCCTCAATGCTATTCTAAATGCCAAAATACAGAATTCTATGAACTCTATTGATTCAAGACTTGCAATATCCCTTTGTAATTCTGCTTTCTGTGTTTTGACTAACATAACAATGCAACGTAAAAAATCCAACATTCGCACGACGCATGGTACTAGCTCTGTGTAAGAAATTTACGGTCGAATTTTCGCTTTAACGCGGGTTTAATGCTACTAATTCAATTCAAAAATTTAAAAATTCTTGATTTATATGCAGTACAAAAATAGTGAATGTCAGAATTTAAATTGTTAATAACTCCCTTAATTAGCAAGCCAACTCTATCAAACTTTATTGATTAAAAAGGCCAATAAATTCTAAGATGATTGATTGTAGTCACCATCAATAAAACATAATTTAACGTATTTCCCCATTTTTAAAAAGAATAATTACGCGACTAAAATCGTGTTTCGATAAAAAAAACTGACATCAATCAGCTTCAAATTGATCGAGCTTATTAATAAATTTAGTTTGAGAATGATAGCTTGAGTACTGTCGGAGTTATTAACAATTTAAATTTTGAGCTTAACTACTGCATATAATCTGAATTTGTTTCAGATTTATGTATCGAAGTATGTAATTGATTGGTATAATAAACCGATCTAAAAAAACTATATATACTACTTATCTTTCTAGAAAGCTCAAAAATATGTAAAATTGTTTATTAAAATGGATATACACTTGGTTCTTCTAATGGATCTAATCCTTTTAATTCCTGTTCTTTTGCCTTTTGTTCTAAATAAGGTAATAAAACTTGTTTAAATTTATGATAACCTTTATATTCTTCAACATCATCACTCCAACTTTCAATACCATTTAATAATCTTCTTGGTATATAAGGTTCTTCACATAACTTTGTCACTGGTAAAAAATAAGTTCGAATTGTAAATACAACAGCTCCACTAATAGGTAATCTTCTTAAACTTTGTCTTTCACTTCTGAAATATAATTGATTTATATCTTTTGCTTCGGGAGCAGTATACCAACCAATATTTTTTTCATGCTCTGATCCAATTGATTTTGACCAATGTAAATGTTCGTCAGTTTGAATAAAATAATTATTACGTATTACAGGTGAATTTACAGTTAATCTTTTAAAAAATTTATTCATTCCTGATTTTAATTTTGTTTCATATTGTGGTACATCACCAGATTTATGAATTTCATCTAATTTCATTTTAAATTTATCTTTTAATCTCCAAAATCCAGCTAAACAAATACAACCACTTTCTAATGAATACGCTCCATCATCATCATTTTCAACCATGATTGCAATATCGTCTTGAATTAATTTAGCTGAAGTTGTAATTGGATTTAAATTGTCATCATTCAAGTTATAAGATTCATTGATTGGAATAATTGTTATTATATTATTTTCAAATTTGAATAAATTGGGATATCTAGCTGGTAAATAACTGCATAGTTCATGTAATAATTCACAACTTGCATTTTTCGCTTTATCAGATGTTGCATATAAATCATCACCTTGTTCTTCCAACCTTTTCATTTTTAAATCATGATAATATTTCCATTCATTATCTAATTCAATCCATGAATTCCAATCCATTGGTCTAATTCCCATTGTAACATGATATTTATGTTTAAATGCTCTATAAGGTAATGGTTTTGTTTTGTTAAAATCCCAATTTGGAAATTCTTTTGGTGTTGGCGTTTTGAATGTATGATCTGGTTTCCAATATCCAAATGGTCTATCTGCAACTTTATAATTTGGTTCAACTTTCTTCTTTTTATTAACAAATAGCACCAAACCAAGAATTGAAATTAAAATAATTATTGCATCATTGTAGCCTAATGATTTGATGTTACCAGTTTCTGTAGTTGTAGAGTTCATTAATATTCAAAAGTGCATCTTGATCCAAATATATATTGAACCTCTTCTATAGATAACGTTATATTTATCCCATTTAGGTAAATGAATGCATAATTGGTAGCACCTTTTCTATGCAGGAGGCAAAAATGCTGCAAATAAACTAGATTGTATGAAATTCCAAAATATCATGTAATAAATCACATATCTTGACCATGATTTATTTAAATTTGATGCTAATGTCCAGTACAATAATGGTGAAAAACTTGTAATTCTATTTAAAATTTGAGTGTTCCAGAAAAATATTCCACCAATAAGAACTGTACTATTTACAAGGATGATTCCTAGTATCTTTCGACTTTTTGGCAACTCTTTAATCATGTAATTGATTGAATATATGCTAAATAATATGACTGGCGCTGCAAATAAAAAATTTGGTATATTGTTTGGAGTCCAATATTTTAAAAAACCATTATTCCAATAATATCTTTGTGAATAGATAAATAAACTTGGTATTAAATGACCACACCATTCTCTATTAGGACAAAATAACCAATAATGATAAATATTTGTTGCAACGAAAACAAAAAATAAAATTGAACCAGTGAAAATTGAATATAAACATGATAATAAAACGCCATCTTTAAAAAAGTCATACAAATCCACCAAATATAGCATTCCCAAAAATAAACTATTTGCTCTTATAGTATAAGCTACTCCACAAAACATTCCACTAATTATATACAAAGATAAATGTTTTATCGATTTTTTGCTTTTGGAGTTAATATCATTAAAATTAACTGATTTGAAATAAAAATAAAATGTCAATAAACTCAATAAATTGTTTAAATTTTCTGAATAGTTTGTAGTTAAAAAAATACCAGCTGGTGACAATATCATTAATAAGCTACTATAATAACTTAAGCTTGGATTAAATTCATTAGTCACAAGGTACAACACTAGTACTGATATAAAATGAAACAAATTAGAAAATAGTATACTAGCCAATTGAGATCCATAATAGTCCAATTGAAACCACCTTATTAATTGAATCCACCCAGGGCAGAAAACAAATTGATGTTCAAAACTATGTTCATTTACAAATAAATCATTAAAATAAACTGAATCCCAAGTAACCAACTTATTCAATATCACATTACCATTATTCACTATCAATTCAGATGATGTGTCAAATTTTCCTGGTGTAAAATATACAATTGTTAATTGTATAAATTTTACTAATAAAAAAATACATAGTAATTTAAACATGGTGAAATTTTTTTCTCTTTAGTTTATTTCTATATAAATAAATACATACTATACTATTTCTTACCAAATTGTTGTGCAAATGATTTAGTCACACCATCAACTGATTGTGGGTTTGCCAATGTTGTAAGATCCCCTAATTGATCCGCTTCATTTGATGAAACTTTTCTTAAAATTCTTCTCATTATTTTACCAGATCTAGTTTTTGGTAAATCATGAACAATTATAATTGATTTTGGTGCAGCAAAGGGTCCTATTATTTTTCTAACTTGTAATACTAATTCTCTTCTTAATTCATCAGATGGGTCTACTGCTCCTTTTAATGAAGCAAATGCAATAACAGCTTGACCAGTTATATCATCATTTACACCAACAACTGCAGCTTCAGCAACAGCTGAATGTTCAATTAACGCAGTTTCAATTTCAGCTGTTGATAATCTATGACCTGAAACATTAACAACATCATCAACTCTTCCCCTTATCCAATAATAACCATCATGATCTCTTGCAGCACCATCACCAGTGAAATAATAACCCGGATATGGATTCATATAAGTTTCCATATATCTAGCATGATTTTTATAAACAGTTCTTGCCATTGATGGCCAATGATCTTTAATAACTAAAACTCCTTCAACATCATTACCTTGTAATTCAACACCTGAAATTGGATCAATTAATGCAGTTTGAATACCAAAAAATGGTAATGAAGCTGAACCAGGTTTATTTGGAACTATACCTGCCAATGGTGCTATTAAATGTGAACCAGATTCTGTTTGCCAATATGTATCTGAAATATGACAATGACCTTTACCAACAAATTCATTATACCATTCCCAAATATCAGGAGAAATTGGCTCACCAACTGAACCTAAAGTTCTTAGTGATGATAAATCATATTTACCAAGTTCTTCTTCACCAGCTTTTCTTAATAATCTTAATGCAGTTGGAGCAACATAAAAATGAGTTGCTTTATGTTTTTCAACAATTTGCCAAAATCTACCATAATTTGGATATGCAGGAGTACCTTCAAATACTATAGTTGGAACACCTAATAATAATGGACCATATAATGCATAAGTATGACCAGTAATCCAACCAACATCACCTGCAGTAAATAATATATCTTCAGGATGGATATCAAATATATATTTTGTTGATAATGCAGCACCTAATAAATAACCAGCAGTTGAATGTACAACACCTTTTGGTGTACCAGTTGAACCTGATGTATATAATAAAAATAATGGATCTTCTGAATTTACAGGAACTGGTGGTAAATAACCTGGAAATTTAACACATTCTTCGTCCCAATAAAAATCTCTATCTTTATGTAATGAAACTTCAGGATTATTTGTTCTTTTATAAACCAAAACTTTTTCAACACTTGGACATTGAAGTAAAGCTTCATCACATAATTTTTTAATATTCACAGTTCTACCACCTCTTTTACCTTCATCACAAGTTATTAAAGCTTTACATTTTGCATCATTAACTCTATCTTTAATTGAACCAGATGAAAAACCTGCAAAAATGACAGAATGAGCAGCACCTAATCTTGCAACTGCCAACATTGCAATTATAGCTTGTGCATTCATTGGTAAATATATAGCAACAGTATCACCTTTTTTAATACCCCAAGATTGTAAAACTCCTGCAACTTTTGAAACTTCTCTTAATAAATCTCCATAAGTTAATTTATAAGAATCTTTTTCATCATCAGCTTCATAAATTATTGCAGTTTTATTTGGATTTGCAAATGCATGTCTATCAATACAATTGAAAGAAGCATTCAATTCACCATTTAAAAACCAAGCTGCATCACCATCTTTTAAAGTACCTGATTTAACATTTACAAATGGTTTATCCCATGATAATAATTCTTTAGCTACATCACCAAAAAATGATTCTGGATCTTCAATTGATTTTTGATATAATTCTTTATAATGATCTAAATCATTAACATGACCTTGATTTGGTTGTCTATCAAAAAATTCTTTCGGAGTTTCTCTTATTTGAACTCCGTTAGCCTCACGCGCAACTTTATGATTATCAATTGTCATTGTTCTTCAATAATGAATAGCTAAATTTACAAAACAATAAAAAGAAAGAATGAAAAATATCAAAATAGATAACAGAAATATAAAAAAAGACGACTGCTGTTTAATAAACTTAACTACTGTTACATAGAAATCTTACATAATAAAATTTTTTTATTTTTTTTTTTAGTTTATATCTGAAAAATTTTTTGTTGAAAAATAATTTATTTTTTTTTATTATTTTTTGTGGAGTGAATAATACGAAGAAAACCAAATTTACCGTGCCGAAATCAATATTCCACACGTCCGTTCGCTCGTTTAAACGTATGAATATGGTACGATATGATGAAATAATTAATGACTCAAAGTTTGAAAGTTAGCCATTTTAATATTAACTAACTTTAAAGCACGTAAATTGATTGAATTATATTCTCGACGAATTGAGCTATTTATATATGGTTTCTTATTTATTCGATTTTATTGGTTACAAACCGTTATGCAACTATTTTTTATAGTGTTGGATTTATTTGTTTTGTTGGGAGCAAAACGATCGCCAAAAATTTCGCAACGTCTAATTCCGGACTAAATTTTTGACCAGATCTAAGATCTCTTTTCTCGAGTCAGAAAAAACGGCTAATTGGAGTCAATTAATATCCACGCTTAAAATATCCAAGTTTATTGAAATTTTACACGAAAAATTTTATTACATTATATTATTAAATTCTATTTAAAACCTCTATAAATTTATAAATGAATATTAATACACCTAATCAACTTCTTCGACAGTTGGACCATCAGCAGATGGTTCTGGAGCACCACCAGCAGCGCCTGGGAAACCACCTGGAGCGGCACCACCAGCACCACCTGGAGCAGCACCACCATATGCTTTAGCCATGATTGGATTCGCTTTTGATTCTAATTCTTTTTGTTTATCAGCAAATTCTTCTTGAGTAGCAGTTTGATTTGAATCTAACCATGAAATAGTTTCATCAGCAGCTTTAGTAACTTCTTCGATTTCAGAAGCTTCTAATTTTGATTTTAATTGTTCTTCACCTAATGAATTTTTCAATGAATAAGAATATGATTCTAATTGATTTTTAGCTTGAACTCTATTAGCTTCTTTTTCATCTTCATCTTTAAATTTTTCAGCTTCTGAAACCATTCTTTCAATATCTTCTTTTGATAATCTACCTTTATCATTAGTGATTGTAATTTTTTGAGTTTTACCAGTACCTTTTTCTAATGCTGAAACATTTAAAATACCATTAGCATCAATGTCAAAAGTAACTTCAATTTGTGGAACACCTCTTGGAGCTGGAGGAATACCTGATAATTCGAATTTACCTAATAAATTATTATCTTTAGTTTGAGTTCTTTCACCTTCAAATACTTGAATTAAAACACCTGGTTGATTATCAGCATAAGTTGAAAAAGTTTCTGATTTTTTGGTTGGGATGGTTGAATTTCTTGGAATTAATTTAGTCATAATACCACCAGCAGTTTCAATACCTAATGATAATGGAGCAACATCTAATAATAATAAATCTTGAGTTTTTGATGAAGTATCACCTGATAAAATAGCAGCTTGAACAGCAGCACCATAAGCAACAGCTTCATCTGGGTTAATTGATCTATTTGGTTCTTTACCATTAAAGAAATCTGAAACTAATTTTTGAACTTTTGGAATTCTTGTTGAACCACCAACTAAAACAATTTCATGAACTTGTGATTTATCAATTTTTGAATCTTTAAGAACTTTTTCAACTGGTTCTAAAGTTGATCTGAATAAATCAGCACATAATTCTTCAAATCTAGCTCTAGTAATTGAAGTATAGAAATCAATACCTTCATATAATGAATCAATTTCAATTGAAGTTTGAGCTGATGATGACAAAGTTCTTTTAGCTCTTTCACAACCAGTTCTTAATCTTCTTAAAGCTCTTTGATTAGTTGAAATATCTTTTTTATTTTTTCTTTTAAATTCTTGAATGAAAAAGTTGACTAATCTATTATCAAAATCTTCACCACCTAAATGAGTATCACCCGCGGTAGCTTTAACTTCAAAAATACCATCTTCAATTGATAATAATGAAACATCAAAAGTACCACCACCTAAATCGAAAATTAAAACATTTTTTTCAGCTTCAGATTTTTTATCTAAACCATAAGCAATTGCAGCAGCAGTTGGTTCATTAATAATTCTCATAACATTTAAACCAGCAATTAAACCAGCATCTTTAGTAGCTTGTCTTTGTGAATCATTGAAATAAGCTGGAACGGTAACAACAGCATCATTAACTTGAGTACCTAAATAACCTTCAGCAGTTTCTTTCATTTTACTTAAAACCATTGATGAAATTTCTTCTGGGGTAAAAACTTTAGTTTCACCTTTATATTCAACTTGAATATTTGGTTTACCACCTTTATCAACAACTTTAAATGGGAAATGTTTAATATCATTTTGAACATCAGCATCATTAAATTTTCTACCAATTAATCTTTTAGCATCGAAAACAGTATTTGATGGATTCATAGCAGCTTGATTTTTAGCAGCATCACCAATTAATCTTTCAGTATCAGTAAAAGCAACGAATGAAGGAGTAGTTCTATTACCTTGATCATTTGCAATGATTTCAACTCTATCATTAGCAAAATGGGCAACACAAGAATAAGTTGTACCTAAATCAATACCAACAGCCTTTGACATTATAATTTTTTATTAATTAATATAAACTAATTGACAAAAAAAGAAGAAGAAAAGAAGAAAGTTAAGAATTCCAAATTTATTTATTTATGGAATCCAATTGTTGAAAATTGTGAAAAATTTGAAAAATTGTTGCAAAAATATATAAAAAAAAAAAAAAAAAAAAATTCTAGCAAATTCTATAGAATCAAATCAATTATGATGCAATTATATACTATTGGGCAATGCGGCTTTTTATAATGCTACCATATGCATTGAAGAGATGCAAAATTACTTAAACCAAATCAATGTAGATAGTTTTTTTGATCAAAGAATATATATATATAAGGGCATCTATTAATAATCTATCAAATCTCTATAGTCTTCAATTGTTAAAACTTCACCACTTTTACCAATCAAACTATCTATAAATTCATCATCAACATCTTTTAATAAAATATGAATATGACTAATACTTTTAACACTTTGTAATGTTAGCCAATTTTTAAACCAAACAATTTGATCCCATTTAATACCCTTATTTACAAATGTTTTCTCTAAATACTTATGTATAATCTTTTTACTTAATTCTGATATATCACCAACTTCACTTTTTGAATCATTTGGTATTTTTAATTTTGACCACACGCATAAATGTTTAATATTTGAATCAAAATAATATGGAAACTTATTAGGTAGTATTTCTAAATCATTTGGATTGAAAAATATTAAATCTTGTTTATTATTTAAATCATATTCTAGTTTATCATTTGGGAACTCTTGATCTCTTAAATCATCTTCTTTCCAATGTAATTCATGATTTAGTAAATAATCATTTATATTTATATTTCTATCTTTCAAATATTGTTTAAAATTATGATATTTGATAGTTTGTTGTTCAGATCTTGCAAATAATTCTAATTGATTTGAATTTATAATAAATTGAATATCTTGCCAATTAAAAGGGTCTCCATGTTTTATTTTTGATGGTTGAGGCATTAATTTTGATTGATGTGTTTCAATATTAAATGATTTATAATATTTATCGAAAGTTGGTGAAGTTGGTGGAGTATTTAATTGTTTTGGTATTGAAGTAATAGTCATTTTTTCTTTAGTTTGAAACTCGTTTCTATTTATACTTTCTGATCTAATCGAAGTCTAATTCCTTTTTTTTTTTTCCTTTTTCAGATCTTAATTCCGCAGATGAGCTTATGAGATCTTGATTTTGCAGCAATTGATAAATCAGAAACTAGAAAGACTGAAAGTGTTGAGATAGGTCAAATATGGAATAGATGGGAAATTGTATCTATTATATATATATTTACTTCTTCATCTTAGCTCCCTACTGAAAACACAAAATTGAAATTTATTAGTAGTTAACAAATTGTCACGATGTTGCATTACTAAAAATGATGTTACATTCTTACATAGTAAAACAAGTTTCACCTATCAAAATATGATTAACTCCATATGACCCATTAAACTTTTTTAGATCTGTTATACCTACCCATCGTGTGTCTCAAAGAACAAACTCAGACATGTTGTTATCTAATTTTTTTGTCATGGCATGGTTGATAAAGAAATCTCTCAATTTTAAAATAATTAGATTTTTGATATACAAACATCATTCGACTTTCTTAAATTATAGTTGTGGTCAAATTGTTAATTATAGTTAGTTTAATAACTAATGTAGTCTAAATTTTATCGATCTAGAAATATCGTTATGCTGTTGTCGTATTATGGCCTTCCATGGATTTTATTTTTCGCTTGATTAGTTCGCATTAAAGAATCCCACAATTTTATTCTTCCATTGCTATATTTATAAATCAAATGTATAATAATTAATTCCAATTCCTTTATTATGATTCATAAATTAATTATACTTCGTCATGGTGAATCACAATGGAATCATGAAAATAAATTCTGTGGTTGGATAGATATTCCATTAACTAAAAAAGGAATTCATGAAGCAACATATGCTGGAGAATTAATATCAAAAGCTAATTTATCACCAGATATTTTATATACTTCAAAATTAATGAGGTCAATTGAAACTGGACAAATTATCTTAGACGTTTTACATAAATCATGGTTAGATCATATTAAAACATGGAGACTAAATGAAAGACATTATGGATTATATCAAGGTAGAGATAAACATGAAGTATATTTAGAATTAGGACAAGATAAAGAAAAATTTCAATATATTAGAAGAAATTATAATGGCGTACCTCCTTTAATAGATAGTCTGAAAGATAGTTCCATAGATGAAAGATATAACAATATTTTAAATAAAAATATTTTACCAAATGGAGAATCATTAAAAATGGTAATGGATAGATTAATACCATTTTTTAAATATGAAATATTAGATAAACAAATGATACAATTAAATAAAACTGTATTAATTGTAACTCATGGATCAATAGTTCGAAGTTTAATTAAATATTTAAATAATATAAGTGATGAAGATATATCAAAAATTAATGTTCCCACTGGGATACCATTAGTATTTGAATTAAATGATAAAGGAGAATTAGTTAAACCAAGTTATTATTTAGATAAAGAAAAAGCAGAATTGGGAATTGAAAAAGTTAAAAATGAAGGTTTAAAAAAGAAGGAAAGTGAAAAATTATAGACGGTTTATATACTATTTATACTCTGATATTGGTAGTGTATATAATTACATTTTTTTTGTTGATAATTTATTTATTTATTTTTTTTTTTTCAGTTGAATAATTCATTCATTCGTACGATTGATTGAAATTTGATTATTGGGAAAGATGTTTTTTTTAAAAGACTTATCCCTTAATCTAACACTTCATCCATCTTTTTTTGGACCTCAGATGGATCAATATCTAAGGGATAAACTTTTAAGTGATGTTGAAGGAACTTGTACGGGTCAATTTGGTTATATAATTTGTGTACTAGATAGTCATCAAATTGATGTTGGTAAAGGTAGAATAATACCTGGTTCAGGTATGGCTGAATTCGAAGTTAAATATAGAGCGGTTGTTTGGAAACCTTTCAAGGGTGAAGTTGTAGATGCTGTAGTTACAACAGTTAATAAAATGGGGTTTTTCGCTGATGTTGGTCCATTATCAGTATTTGTAAGTACTCATTTAATTCCATCAGATATGAAATTTAATCCTTCTGCAAATCCTCCTGCTTATGTTAGTCCCGATGAAAATATAGAAAAAGGTTCAAGAGTAAGATTAAAAATAGTAGGTACAAGAACTGATGTTAATGAAATTTATGCAATTGGAAGTATAAAAGAAGATTATTTGGGTCCAAGTCCAATGTAATGAAATTTATGCAAAAAAAAAAAAGATTATTTGGGTCCAAGTCCAATGTAATGAAATTTATGCAAAAAGAAGGTTATTTGGGTCCAAGTCCAAAGTAATGAAGTTTTATTTAGGTCCAAGTCCAAGTCCAATGTAAATATAACATTATTAAAAATTATTTTGACATTAATTTATAATATTTAAAAAAAGGAAAGCTCATTTATTAGCAATACATCGTTTATATAGTAAATATTCTAGTTTTTAATCATCATCATCACCATCATCTAATGTAATTGGATCCTTCAGGGTTCCAATTCCAGAACTATTATATTTTGAAACTTCGTGTACCCAATCTTCATGTAAACTCATACTATCTACTTTTCTACCAATTGGTGATAAATCATCAGGTCTATTAAAAAATGTATCTTGTAATTCAATTCCTAATAATCCAGTAATTTTCTGTCTTTTCAGACGATCAGGACTGGATATTGAATTAGCATTTGATGCAACGTGTTTTGATGGATTTGTTGGACTAATTGGAGTTTGTAATGGATTTGAAGATGATTTAGTTAAAGTTTGAAGTTGTGGTTGATTATTTTTATGAATAACAAGTTGATTTTCAAATAATTTTGTATTTGCAACATCAGATAATTTTCTTGAAACAATAGCTTCTTCAATTTGTTTATCATTTGATTCTAATGAATTTGTCCATGTACCTCCAAATACATTTGCTATTGAATTACCGGCAGCTTGTTTCTTTGATTTAGTTTGACTCTGCAGTACATCTGTTGATTCTTTATTTCTTGGTTCATTATAATTACTCCTATTTAGATTTGCAACATTTTCATTTGAATTCCTTGATAATTCATTGGGAGAATTCGAACTTTGATTTGCATTTGTAATCATATTTTGATCATCAACATTTGTATTTTCATTGGAACCATTTCCATTATCGAACCTAGATACAACAGGAGATCTTTGTCTCAAACTAATTATTGTTCTTTTCTCATTTTCAAATATTGAAATTCTTAATTTCATCTTATCTAAATTATCTGCTTCTTCTAATTGAACTCTATTTAAGCAACCTTTAAAAAATAAAACCTCCTCTTTTAACTTTACATATTCTTGATCTTTTGAATCAAAATTAGGTAAACTCATCATTTGTTCTATATCTGCAAACATTTCTTGCAATTTTTTTCGAATTATAAATTGAGTATTTTTTGCCTTACAATATTTTACATGTAAGAAGTCTACTTCTTCTGACATTAATAATTCAGCTTCCACTAGTCTTGATCTAATTTCGACAGGATATGAACTATAACTATTGCGTCTTTTCCAAAATGGATTGGAATCTCTTTGTGATTGTGGTTGTGGTGAATTTGATATTTGTAATTCATTTGATCTAGTAAGTAATAAATTAAAAGCTTCTGAATTTGGTGAAGAAGATTGTGAATTTGGATTCAGAGTTGGTTTTGGAGCTATTACAACTTGTCTATTTTGAGAAACAACTGTTGATTGTTGTGACTGAGAAGAGTTTAAATGGTTTTGCTTTGCTTGTTGAAATTGTTGTTGTATTTGTTGCTGATTTGGTTGTGATGTTGGTAGATGTTGAATTGAGCCAGAAGTTGATCGTTGAGTTGGCTGTATCGATGGCGGAGTAGGTACTTGAGATTGTTGATTGAATTGATTATTTACCTGCTGAACCTCTTGCTTATGTTGTTGTTGTATTTGCTTCTGCAATTGCTGTTGACGAATTTGCTCTTTATACATTTCTTGTTGTTTCATTTGATATATCTCCATTTGAGCATAATCCACTTGATTTGATGTTGGTGAATCTTGTTGTGGCAATTGTATTTGATGGTGTTTTTGCTGAGGAGACATTTGGTTTTGAGATGATTGTCTTTGCATTATCGTATGACCTACAGGAGAATAAACCATATTCAGAGATTGATTTTGATTTATTTGAGAAGTTGATTGCTGCATTAAATTTTGAGCTTGATTTGGAACGCCTTGTTGTTGAATAGGTACATTTTGAACATTTTGATTCTGATTATGATTTGGAATTGATGCTCTGTTTACATTTGATGATGATGATTGTTGTTGATTTAAAGTTTGTGGACGTTGATGTAAAAAATTCAAACCTGGTTCATCAAATTGTGGTGAATTATGTTGTGAATTAATTAGAGGTGATTGATTTTGAATTTGTTGTGACACAGTTGATCTTTGATCATTATTAGATTGCTGTTGATTTTGAATATCATTTGAATGAGATGAAACTTGTTGAATATTATTTGATTGTGATGATGATGATGATTCTTGAGTTTGTTGCAATGGTTGTTTATTAATAGGTCGTTGAACTGGTCTTTTTCTCGGATGAACAAATAATGAACTATATCGTTGTAATAAATCTCTTTGTCTCAGTTGTTCTGTTGGTTTTTTATTAGTATTTTGTTGAGTAGTTGGTGATATACTATTAATTGGAGGTGGACTATTAACAGTTTGTTGTACATATTCTGTTCTTGTGTCTGAATTTACATTTTGATCAGTTACTGAAACAGGTTCATTCAAAGGTCTTTGTCTTTGTTGAAAATATGCTTGATTAAATTGTGGTTGGGTTTGTTGAGGTCTAGATTGTTGAGAATATTGTTGGATTGTTGGAGTTATTGGATTTGAATTATTCTTCTGCACTTGAGGAGCAGTCGATCTCGATATTGGCTGTTGTACGAAGGTAGTATTTCCATTTGGTAAATGTATTGTAGTAATATTATTTTGACTTTGAGGTGGTGATCTATTTGATAAATTTGGAGATGGTGTTGTTGATGTAATTGTGTTTTGATTTTGATTGTTTGGTATTGATATTGAACTCATTAATTGTGATTGTAAAGTTGAACTTTGAGAATTGGATCTATTTTCAATCAGTTGTCTTCTTAGATCTTGATAATTCAATCTCGACTCAGGTATTACATGTGAGGTTTTATTTGTTGTATCTGAATTTGATCTTGACCTTTGAATATCAATTAAGGAGTTTATATTATTTGATGAAGTTGATCTTGACCTTTGCAGGTCATTTGAGGAGATTCTTGACCCTTGAAGTTCACTCGGAGAGTTTATGTTGGTAACAGAATTTGGTCTTGATGGTTGAGACCTTCTTCGAGATTCATTAGAATTTAAAATATTTTGATCTCCATTACTTACTTTTCTTGATATTGGTTCTTGTGGAGAAACTGTTGGTGGTCTTGGTGAAACAACATCCATTAAATCTTCTGCTTCTTCATCTTCTTCATCTGATAAAGTAACAATTTCAATACTTTGTTCTTTTGAAAATGGGTTTTCATCTGTTTTAGATTGATTTGGTTGATCATCATCATTATCATTTTGTAACACTTGCCAAGTCCCATCAGGATTAATTCTAATTTCTTCATCTTCTTCAGTTGTTCTATTTAAAATATCCATTACATATTCACTTATAGCCAAATGATCCATTCTAATAGTCATATTACAAACTGGACAAGACATACTTGGTAATTGTTTTTGAGCTAATAAGAAAAAATAAGCATCAAAACATTGATAATGACGACAATAAATACTTTGAACTGGAGTATTCATTCTAACTCTTGTAATTGGATCATTTAAAGTCACAGTTTCAGCAGTCATGGTTAATTCATTTTCATTATCTGCTTGTTTTATAATTTTTAAAGTTTCTGACATTTTAATACTTCGTTTTTTAATATCTAATAAAATATTCTCTATTGGAACTAATTCAATAATATAAATATATGCCATAAAATCTTTTGTAGTTTGTTGATATCTTAATGTAATTGAATTTAAACTCGGTGGTCTATTCAAAAAATTTGTTATATCTATAGGTTGACTTGTTCCTGCTTTCCCTTTCAAACCTGTAAAATTCTTCAGTGGAATTCTTGACTTATTGATTTCAAAATCTATAACTTCTGGATATTCAACCAATACATCAGATGAAGATTTAGGTGTATATTTCAGTCCCATCATGAAATATAATCTGTATTTTTTTGAATCCAATTTAAAATAATTATATTCTTCAGCAGTTAAAATAAAATTATATATATAAGTTGCCTTACCTCTTGTAGCAGGTGCATTTTGAGGACTACAATGTAAATTCCTAGTTAAATTATAAAATGGTGATAATACAAAAAATAAACTATGATTATGATAAGGTTTTGATTCAGTTGATGATGATGATTCTTTTGGTTTCAAAAAATCAAGAAAATCAATTTTACCCAATTTAATTCCATCATAAACCTGATTATAAGGTGGTAATTGTCGATTACTTTTCTTCATTAATACAAGCATTCGAATACTTGATAATCTAATATGATCATTATGAGTTCTACCTAAATCAAAATAAGTTATAATTTTCTCTTGTAATGTTTTTTTAACACCAACTAAACTTAAACCAATTGATCTACAAATATCTTTTAAATCAGAAACTTTAAATTGCATAATTTCACCTATTGTAAGTTTGATCTCTTCCTCAGAGAGTCTAGGCACTCGATGATCTCCACCCGTATTACTACTCATTTGGATATCATTACTTAACTATTATTGCCTGGGATGTGAATATTAAATATTTAACCGTTCGTTATACCTTTTTTTTTTTTTATGTACACTCTTTCTTTTTTTCCCAAAACTGCTACCAAATGAGAATTGCAAAAGAGGCAAGTACTAATAAATGTATATATTCAAAATGTTGCAACACCTAATAAACTAGCAGCATTTTTAGCATCAACAGATGTCAGTTGTAATGCATTAATCTTATGTTCTTTCTTCTCCTCTTCTTTAGCTTTTTCTTCCTTTTCTAAAGATCTAAATGTTCTTGATGTCCATGAATCACCTTTTGATGATTGAGATTGAATTACATTATGTTTTAAATTTGTTAAATTATCTCTATTTAATCTTGATAATCCTCCTTTTGAATCAACACTTCTAACATCTAATCTTATACTTTCAAAATGTTTTAAAATTTTTCGATGATGTTCAACTTTATGTAGTACATAATTCTTTATTAATTTTTTAAATTTGTCTTCAGTAAAATCAATGACTTCTTTTCTTTCAAATAACATTTCTCCAGATATTCTTTGAATTTGTAATGTTAAAGATTCTTGAACTTTTTGTACATATTCTAATGATCTTAATGCTTCATCAACTTTTATTGGATCTAATGAAGATTTATTTTTAATTTTATTTGCTTGAATTTGTTTTGATTTTGTTTGTGATTCAGCTTGTACTAATTCTCTCATAATTAAATATCTATTAGTTAATGCTTCTTTAACTTCATAAAAATCATTTGATAAATTTTGAAAACTATCTCCTAATATAGCATTTTCGTTTATTGAATCAATTAATAATAAATCTGATTGAAGTGATACAATTTTACTTAATTTTTCCCACATATTTTTCATTCCAGGATGAGTAGTTTCAAAATCTGCTAAAACATTTAATTTATTAGACATATCATAAGTATGAATAGATAATTGTTTTTCAATTTTTGAACTTTTATCATATAATTTATGTAGTTTTTGACAATTAAGATAAGAATCCTTAATTATTGGTCTAAAACTTGCCAATTCTTGATATGGATCATATGGTATTGCAAATTGTTTTAAAGTTTTTCTCATTAATCCACTTGCAACAGATTGTTTTTTATTTGAATTTATAACTGAATAACCAAAATCATTTTCAATAAAATAAACAAATTCTTCATCTCTTATTAATATTGGATTTGATGTAATTCTATTAAACCATTCTTGAAATAAATTTTTCAATTGTTTTTTTTCATCTTCACCATTTGCTGGATATGATGTAGTTGATGATGGTATTACAGGTACAAAACATTCTAAATTTGATATTGTCAAATATTTATTAAATTTAACAACTTCATTATAAGTTCGACGTACATCTTTATATTTATTTTGTCTATATCTTGGTAAATTTTTAACTTCAAAATCTAATTTTAAAATTGGATTTCCAGGTTTATTCTTTTCAATTTCAACTAATTTTACAGTTAACAGATATTTATTTGTGAATCTTTCAGGTAATAATTTTTTCAAATCAATTTGATTTAGTAGTTGATCTGAATCATCTTGATTATTGATTTCTTCTCGTTGTTGATGCTCTATAATTGATGGCTGTAGGACCGGTTGATCTGTAGGTTGATTTATATTATTAGTAGGTTCTGCAAATGGGTTATTATTTTCATAATCATCATCAGGATAGTCCATGGTTGTAAATGTTATAGTTTTAAAGAAAATAAATCTGGTTGATTACGAACACGACAATAGAAAAAAAATAATATGGGGGTGGGTGATAGCGCTAATATATATAATAACTATACGCTATTCATCTCTTTATGCGTTTTCTTTATTATTATTAGTATCATCATCATCTATATAATCATCATCTAAGTCTATTAATTTAACATCATCATTCTCTTTATTATTATCACTATTATTAACTTCCGTTTCTTCAATTTCTATATCATTTTCTTTTGCTTTTTCAACTTGTTCTTTAACTAATTCATTATCTTTTATAAAAAATTGTTTTAAATTTTCAGGTGTTTCAATTTCATCAACTTCATCAACTTCTTCATCTTCTTCATCTTTTTCATCTTCTTCAGCATAAATTAGAAGAAAAGATTTTGAACCATTTTTTGATAAATCAGTAATAACTTGTTGTACTTGATCAAATGACATTGTTTCTGATCTATATCTTAAAACTCTATTTCTATCATCATCAGGAGTAAAATAAACCCAATTTTCAACATTATTATTGTATAATTTTGATTTATAAAAATAATCAGAATCAGATACAATTATTCCAATTAATTTATATGGTTTTGGAATTGGTAAATTAGCATCTTTCATTGATTTTAATACATTTTCATGATTTCTAATTTCATATCTAACATAATCTGAATTCAATTGTAGCAATTTATTATTTAAATATTCTGATTCATTATTTATATTTTTTGTTAATTTAGTTAAATCTGCCAATGCTTCATTTTCATTAATTGATTTAATATAATTTATTGAATTTTGTAATACTGTTTTAATTCGTTTACCTTCAAAAGAATTTAAACTCATTAATTTATTAGTAATTTGATTTCTTTCAATTTTAACTTTTTCTTTCTTTTCATTCATCGATTTTATAATTGATGATATATCATTTGAATAAATTCCAGGATAAAACATTTCTTCAATTTGAATTGGTTGTGGAATTTCATAACTTAATTCATCTCCATTTACTTGAATAATTATAATTTTTGATAAATTGGTTAAAGTTACTAATTCTGGACCATCCCAGAATAATTTATCAAAACTTTCTTGAATTGAACTACCTTTATTATCGCTATCAAGTATAAAATTATGTAAAGATGCAGTTTGGCCTGAAATACTTTCAACTTTTGAATAAAATAATTTATCAATATCTTGATTTAGAATATTTTCAACTAAAGTTTTTAAATTTGGAATGAATTTTTTTAATATTTCTTCCCAATCATCATTTTCTTGGTTTATTAACTCATTTGGTAAATTCTTACAAAACGTTTCACCACTGATAAACAATCTATTACTTAAATTTGTAGTTAAAAATATTATAAATTTTTGAATTTCAATTATTAACTTATATTCTTTTTCATTAAGACCTTCTGGTATTTCAATTTCATTTGAAGCTTCATGAGTAAACCAATTTTCACTAAATCCATAATCTTCAAAATTTTTACTTAATAATACATCTTTAAGTTGACTAATTTGTGAAAAAATTGCAACCAATGCAATTATAACACTCTGTGATGAAATTTTAAATTTTGGTAAAATAACAGGTATGTAATCAGTTTCATTCTTTTCATAACCTATTGGATAATCAAATACACTTTCTACATCTTGTTGTTCAATATGTTCAAATTGATCCCAATCTACATTATTATTATTTTGGTTGTTATCTGACAGTGATTGTAAAATATCACTATTTACGCTAGGTAGTAAATCCTCTGAAGTTAAAGGACCAAAATCAGGTATATCTTTTGGATTTTTAATTTGTACGCTATCTTGATATTTAATAATTTGATTATTATTTTCATTAGTCGGTGTATGTTGCTGATTTGGTGGTAGTGGTGGTTGTTCAATTGGTTCATCAAATAAATAAGCAATAGCATCTTCTAAATTACCATTAGCTAATTGTAACGCTAGTTTTGATTGTTCTTGACTAAATCCCATCTCAGCCAATTGACTAATTTTATCATTATCCATTATTCAATTAATTGATTAATTTGATATAATTTTGTTATTTTTTCGTCTAATTTTTTTGCCCTGGCCATAAAAATATACGATAAGAATCGAACAGATCTAGTATTATACAACAATCTAATGGGTTAATAGAGACGACGATGTTGACTGACTGATTGGAGTACAGTCTAACCACGGTAGGTTGTTAGTCAAGACAAATAGCGATCTAAATCAATGGCAACTCTACGATTTCGTTTTCAGATCTCGCATATAGTCTTTACAGATATATACCAAATAAGTTTCAACAGTTGACCTTCCGCTCTTCTGCTCTTTCAGTGTTAAGTCATTAATTTAGGTAATCTCTATCAATTTATTCCAATTGGCAGTTAATAATTGTCAATTTCCCAATTTGGTAGTTTTGACTCAATAATCATCAAAAATTTTTTCTCATCTCTTTTTATAGTTCATGCAAATATTGACTAAGTTCAAATTATTACAATCATTTAATATATTCAAGAACTTAAATTCAATAACAAGCAGATCAATAATTAGTCATAGATTTATGTCAGTAGATACAATTTCATTACAATTAAAAAAAATAGGTTTAAATCAACCTGATACAATTGAAGGTTCAAATCCACAATATAATGTTATAGATGTTTTTAGAAATTATATAACAGAAGAATTACATAAGATTACTCAAGTTGAAAAACCGATTATATTTGATTCTTTAGATACTCCAAAAGTTTTAGATCAAGGTGATTTATTATTACCAATTCCAAAATTAAGATTAAAAGGTATAAATCCACAACAAAAATCAAAAGAATGGAGTGAATTATTTAATAAAGGTAAATTTATTGATGAAATTAAATCACAAGGTGTTTTTATGCAATTTTTCTTTGCAAAAGATTTATTATTTAAATTAACTATACAAGATATTTTAAATAGAAAAAGTGATTTTGGTTATTTACCAATTGGTGAAGGTAAAAAAGCAATTGTTGAATTTTCTTCACCAAATATTGCAAAACCTTTTCATGCAGGTCATTTAAGAAGTACTATAATTGGTGGGTTTATTTCAAATTTATATGAAAAATGTGGTTGGGAAGTTAAAAGATTTAATTATTTAGGTGATTGGGGTAAACAATTTGGTTTATTAGCAATTGGTTTTAAAAGATATGGAAATGAAGAAAAATTAAAAATTGATCCAATTAATCATTTATTTGAAGTTTATGTTAAAATTAATAAAGATGTTTTAGATGAAACAAATGCAGCATCAGGAAATCAAGAAATTGCTGAAGGTGTAGATGTTTCAGAACAAGATGATAAGAAAATTATTTCAAACACAAATGAAGAAGCAAGACAATTTTTTAAAAAAATGGAAGATGGTGATAAAGAATCTTTAAAAATTTGGGAAAAATTTAGAGAATTATCAATTGAAAAATATATTGATACTTATGCAAGATTAAATATTACTTATGATGTTTATTCTGGTGAATCACAAGTTCCATTAGAAAAAATGAAACAAGCAACTAAATTATTAGAAGATAAAGGTTTAATTCATATTGATAGAGGTGCTAAATTATTTGATTTAACTAAATTTAATAAAAAATTAGGTAAAGCATTAATTGAAAAATCTGATGGTACATCATTATATCTAACAAGAGATATAAGTGAAGCAGCAAAAAGATATGATAATTATAATTTTGATAAAATGATTTATGTTGCTGCATCACAACAAGATTTACATTTTGCACAATTTTTTGAAATTTTAAAACAAATGGATTATCAATGGGCAAAAGATTTAATTCATATTAATTTTGGTATGGTTCAAGGTATGTCAACAAGAAAAGGTACTGTTGTATTTTTAGATAATATTCTTGCTGAAACAAGAGATAAAATGCATGAAGTTATGCAAAAAAATGAAGAAAAATATAAACAAATTGAAAATCCTGAAAAAATTGCTGATTTAATTGGTATATCTGCTGTTATGATTCAAGATATGCAAAGTAAAAGAATATTAAATTATGAATTTAATTGGAATAGAATGTTATCATTTGAAGGTGATACTGGTCCTTATTTACAATATGCACATTCAAGATTATGTTCAATGGAAAGAAAATCTGGAATTAATTTAAAACAATTGGAAAATGCAAATTTGGAATTATTAACTGAACAATGTGCAATTAATTTAGTTAGAACATTAGCTCAATATCCAGATACAATCAAAAAAGCATATAAAACTGAAGAACCATCAACTATTGTAACATATTTATTTAATTTGTCACATATTGTATCATCATGTTACGATATATTATGGGTATCAGGTCAAGAAAAAGATTTAGCAATTGCAAGATTAGCATTATATTCAGCAACAAGACAAGTTATATATAATGGTATGACGTTATTAGGTTTAACGCCAGTTGAAAGAATGTGAATGTGAATGTGATTATAGATTTAGACTAAACTATAATAGCTATAATGTATATATATATTTTGCAGCCAAATTAATATTAGTTCGGCTGTTATGCGTCATTACATAATTACATCATTACATCTTACTAAATTTTTGCGTGTAATAACCAAATATAATATATTATTTTATTACCAAATAAAATTGCGGCAATTGTGCGAATAAAACTCCTGAATAGTATAAATACACAGTTATTCCTATCAATTGAGTTATTCAACAGGTTTAGTCATGTTTAAATCAGTTTCTCGTCAATTATTTAAATCATCTCCAATTTTGAAACAAGGTACTCAAAGTGTTTCATTTGTTAGAACTAAATATGCTTTACCAACTTTAGATTATGAATTAGATGCTTTAGAACCTTATATTTCAGGTCAAATTAATGATTTACATTATAATAAACATCATAAAACTTATGTTGATAATTTAAATAAATCAATTGAATCAGCGGTTGAAGCCAAATCAAAAGATGAAGTTAAAAAATTGGTTGCTTTACAAAAAGCAATTAATTTTAATGGTGGTGGTTATATTAATCATTGTTTATGGTGGAAAAATTTAGCTCCTCAAAAACAAGGTGGTGGTGAATTACCATCAAAAGATTCCCCCTTAGATAAACAAATTACAAAACAATTTGGTTCGATTGAAAAATTAATTGAGATTACAAATGGTAAATTAGCTGGTATTCAAGGTTCTGGTTGGGCTTTTGTTGTTAAAAATAAAGAAAATGGTGGTGAAATAAATGTTATTACTACTGCAAATCAAGATACTATTACTGATCCAAATTTAGTTCCTTTAATTGCAATTGATGCTTGGGAGCATGCTTATTATTTACAATATCATAATGTTAAAGCTGATTATTTTAAAGCTGTTTGGAATGTTATAAACTGGAAAGAAGCTGAACGTAGATTTGAATTTTAAACAATGGTTCTAATGTTGATATATTGGCATATTTGAGCTATTATATACCGATCTTCAAACAATTGAATAGTTAATATATATTTATTATTTATTATTTATTATTTATTATTTATTATTTATTATTTATTATTTATATATAAGGGGGGGGGGGTGGGATTTTTCTACTAAAAAGTCTGACCAATGAGAGAACAATTATAACAGCTATGTGTAGATTTGAATAAAAAAGTCTAAGTAGAAGAATCTTATAATTAGCGATTGGCTAGTAAACACACTCTATTTCGTGATTTCAAGGGTTACTAATTGCCACATGTGACTTTGATTTCAAATTTCAATGTTTTCAATAAATTACCCCTTAATGCTACCATGTATAGAATCTGAAATTAATCTCACCTATATGCAGTATCATCATAGTTAATCTCAAAATTTAAATTGCCAATAACTCTTACAATACTCAAGCTATCATTCTCAAACTTGATTAATTAAGAAGCTCAATAAATTTGGAGCTGATTGATGCCAGTCTCCTTTAGTAAAACATGAGTTTGATCAAGTAGTTCTACTTTTAAAAAATGGGAAAAAAAGTTAAATTGCAAGATAATCAACACTTAAATCTCATTTAACAACTTCTAAAGTAGCTTGTTTAGATTGTTTGACCTCAAACATAATGCCTGTAACTCTTTCAGGCCCACATAGTTGAATTTTCAAAAACTTCAAAGCATGTCAAAAAAATTACTTTTTCAATTTTAAATACCTTGACATTAAAGAAAGTAAGTTAAACCAGGAATAGGAACTATAAAATTAGAGAATCTCATTATACTCTCATAACAATTTTAATTGTAGAGTTAGACTTTTCGTAGGGTCAAAATTGGTAATTATCGCTATGTATGATTATTTCGTTCTTTAAATAGAGCATGGGTTACTGGTTATACAAATTGATTGGTTTCCGTTCAGTCTTAGGTATTCTTTGATTAATCTTTGCTACTTGATGAAACTGTATTTAATTAAGTTACGTTAATGCTTTGTTATTGTACATCAATATGATTCAAATAAATTTATCCTCGTGAAATAGGTAAGCTCAGAATTTTCCTAGTACCTAAATTAGAATCTGTAAATTCAAAATGTTCATTTCAGCTTCTTGACATTCACCATTTGTACTTAACCCTCGATAAAGGATTGCTACAAAAGACATTCGATGGGTATCGTCTAGTTTATAGATATGGGCCAAAAATATATAAGGCTCGCCCTTCTAAGGAGCTACAAAAATTATAATTTCATGCGAGAATAGGGCTGTGCTATGCGAGTTTAAACTTTATTAGTTCAATCACTAATCATGAGCTAAAACTCACGATCGTAATTGTATACAAATCCATGATTATTTCTTAACTATCGTATGTTCAATTTACTTAATTTTCTTCGTAATCAAGCCACTAATGTGATTTACAGCCAATATTTAGACTCAAATGTGGGGAACGATAATGTCTTAAATAGCACTTAACAACAAGACAGGTTTAAAGTATTATAGTCAAACTAAAACGTTTTAGCATATAATTAGAACAAGTTAAGTGGTCGAGCTAATTTGTTTACTTTAGAATAATTACAAAACAAATCGGAAATTCAATTCAATAAATTCGTAAAATCATTATTGTACATGGGTAACAAAATCGAAGCTTCTTTATTCTCTTCTCTACGTCAACATATTCCGCAAACATTAAATCATCACCAGTCAAACAGATATATAATAATTCAGTTAGTCCCAGGTACTAAAACATTATTTAATTAAGCCATATAAGAAAATAGCAATTAACATGGGCTAAACTCTAATTTGAGTGGAGAACAACAACATTACTTTTGAGTAGTTGACTCTGCAGTACAACAATTGTTTATTCGTCTACATAAATTATGCTTTCAATATTCAAATCACAAGCTTATCTTCAAATCAACCATCGCGTATCAACGAATCGATCTTCTTGATGAGTGGGAGACCGAATACATGGTGTAAGCTTACCTATTAATCATCTCGAAAGCAGTAACTACTTGTACGTATCTATAATTTGAAAAGATTTACAATGAACAACGAATTATAATAAAAAATTTGTTCTGCAAAATTTGTTAACTATAGTATGAAGAATATGCATTTACGAAGTTAATATTTCTTATATTTTTGTATTACTTTTATATTATCCGCAAAAAAAATGGAAAACAAAATTGAGTCGATCCAAGAAAAGGAGGTTGAATGGAGATAAAATTGTTTTGGAGGATCAAATCTCAAAATGATATGTATAGGGTAAAGGATTGATTGAAAAATTGTTGCGTTATATATTATTTGTAAAAATCAATTATTACTTGAGGGATTGTAGAACCCACTTTACTGCAGAGTTACCGAGCTGCTAAATAGAAACTATAAAGTAAATGATGTTTAGTTTTTGCAGAACAGAACAACTTTTATGTATTATGATTAAACTTAAATGTTTAAATTAAATGTTTAAATTAAATGTTAAATTAAATGTTTAAAATTGTAAATGTGCATCAGCTTGTGGTATTTCAGTATAATAACTTTGTAAAGCTCTTTTCAAAGCAGGTACTAATTTATCCCACCTCAATATTCTAACTTCTTTATCAAATCCTCTCGGCTTTCTAATTTCGTAACCCATAATTCTTTTAGCTAATTCCATTCTAAAATCATGATTTGAAGAACCATTAATGGTGGTATTTACCGATGAAGATGATGATAATAATGAATTTGATGATGAATTTGTACTATTAGTTGTTGATGTATCACTCATTCTTGAGCTTATTGGTTTTTTACTCCAAAATGGTACTAAATTAGATCTAACTCTACCTCGTTCTCTTCGTTTTTGGATTGCATCTTTAGTTTGATTTCCAATTAATAATTCCACAATTTCAACAACTTCAACTGATGTAATATAATATTGGTAAGATTGACCATCTACATCATTTTTAATAAAATGTTTACTTTTTGGTGATTTACTATTTAGACCAGATTCATCTTCTGATGATTGTGAATCCATATCATCTCCTTCATCTGTTCTAACATCACATTCCAAACATGAAACTTCTATTACATCTATATTAGGTGATGTTGGTGGTAAAGTAATTGGATTTTCATTTGCACTTCCTACTATTGAAAAAACAGAAACCAATTTTGGACCTTGTTGAATACGTTCAATACGAACAATTCTTCGTCTATCAATTTTTTCCAGTTGATTCCATTTAGGTAAACAGATATCTTTAACACTAGCACCATGAACATTTAATTCAACAGGTAAATAGACTGAGTCAGAATCTATAGATTCTTTTGGAGGTCTTGTAGTACAACCGCCTGCTGACACACCTCTTACAACACAATAACGTTTTTTCAAATGTTGTAAAGTAAATTTTGAAAGATCATCAACATCTGAATCAGAATCAGATTCATGTTCCACTTCTTTTTTTGGTTGTTTCTTTGAATTTGATTTAGTTACTTCTTCTTTCTTTATTGTTGAAAAAGTAGGTAATGGTTGGCTAGTTAAATCAGGTGACGATTGTGTTTGATTTGGTAAAATTGAATTTTGATGAAGTATAGGAGGTTGATCATATTGAATAGGTTGAGTATTTTGTTGTTGTGGAATTGATTCTTGATGTGGAATTGATTCTTGAATTGGAATTGATTCTTGAAATTGTGGTGATGTATAAGTGTTAATGTTGGTGTTGGGGTTGGTGTTGGGGTTGGTGTTGGGGTTGGTGTTGGTGTTGGTGTTATTTTCTTGGAAAGTTAATGATGTCGGAGTCGAATTAAAAAATGAATTGAATGAATTTGAAGTAGAATATAAATTTGGATCATTAAATGAAGATTGGGTTGGTGTATTGTCAAATTCAAAAATTTGATTTGACGGTTGGTGTTGATTTGGTGCAAATGAATATAAGGAGGATGAAGTTGATGAATTATTCGGTATTACAAATTGTTGATTATTTGGAGCGTTATATGAATTATAATAAGGTTGACTAATATTATGACCAGCATTATTATTTGTATAATAATTCAGCAGCAGATAATAATTGTTGTTATTAGCAGGGAGTGACGTAGAACCTAAATTAACATTTACCGATTGATTGTAATTGAATGATTGTAGAGGAGGATTAAAGTCATCTTGAGTACCACTCAAAGGTTCATTATATAAGTTATTATTATGATTTAACTCATTTTCATCCATTGAGTAATTAATAGCATTTAACATTAATTGACTATTGTTTAAATTTGCACCGGGTGTATTTGCGTAATAATCGGTTAAATCAGTCAAAGTTTGGTTTGAAAAATTATTATCTGCGTTATCATTGTAATTATTAATACTATTATTATTATTAGTATTATTATTATTATTATTACCACCATTACTGTTGTCTGATGGATCTAACATAATATCAAAACGATCGAATAATTGAAATTGTTGTTGAAGTTGCACTTGATGTTCTTGGTGGTTTTGTTGATTATTATTACAGACACTCGAAGAATTTGATATAAACATATGAATTATAATGATTCTTCTTGTTAAAACTAAATTTGATAAAACTTTAAATGGAACTTTATAATATTAATGGATGCAAAATATATTTTTGTTTTATCTTAACGAGTAGAAAAAAAAAAAACAAACGAAAAAAACTGAAACCAACTTTGGAGGGATAAATCAATAAAAATATATATCAATCAATTTTTGGTTTGATGATTGGTAAATTGAGATGAGATAGATGTTGATAAATATATAAAAAGAAATGGATGATCAAAAGCGACTATGCTTTTTTTTTTTTTTTATTTAATTTTAATTCCAATTTTATTATCTACAAGAAAATAAAAAAAAAAAAAAAAAAAAAAAAAAATAGAACATTGAACACAGTTACACAAAACTATAATTTATTAGTACAATTATAATCTTCTATACATCTTACACAAAATATGGATTATACAGAATTAATAATTTACTACCAACCATAGAAATTAAAACTAAACTAAAGAGAGTGGGTTACAATATTCTAAATTAACAATAGTTTAGCTTTTGTTTAGCTTTTGTTTAGGTTTTGTTTAGGTTTTGTTTAGCTTTGTTTAGCTTTGTTTAGCTTTTGTTTAGCTTTTGTTTAGCTTTTTTAGTATTACTAAGAGAAAGAATAGACCCAAAAAAGGGTGTTACTTTGTATTAACCGTATATGGTTATAAAAACTATGTTCTGTATTTTTATTCTGTTATTTAATTCAATTGTTCAATTATATTCTAATATTAATTCTCCTTGCGATTGAATCTTCTCTGCTCGTAGATTTACTACGAGAAAAAAATAATAGAACAATTTTTTTTTGTGCTATTATTTTTTGTTTTTCGTTGCAGCTGGCATGTAGAAAGTTATATACAGGAGGTATATATTAAGGGTTACTAATTATAGTTAATAATCACAAAACAATAACATTTTTCTAGCTAAAATGGGTGTAATATATTAACCTATGATTCATTGAAGTCAATAATGCATTCTTGTGTAACTTGTTTTTCTGATTTAGATCATTCTTTTTCAATTACAATTCACTTTTTATATTAATACACATCTTTATATTGAGCCTATTTACTAATATGGTAATGTATGCGACTTTCCATTAAAGTTCTTTTTTTTATTAAACCCTACTTATTATATTTCAATATTTTTCTCTTTCTTATTGTCTACAATTGATCAAAGAAGATTAACAATTACGGTATTCAATTTACAAATTAAAGTTTAGAGGTGACTTAAAAAACATTTTACCAAATAAAAAGTACTGGTAAATCCTCTATAAGAAACTCCTCCTCCTCCTCCTCCTCCTCTTCCTCCTCCTCCTACTCTTCCATTCGTCTAAAAAACCTTCTATGAGATCGTAAAACTTTAATAATAAACGGTTTTCAAATAATATTATTTTTTATATATTATTATATGTAAAAGGTAAAAAAGTATCAATAGCTTTAACACTCATAACTATAAAAATTTTTTTTATTCATTCTTATTTTTTAGTTGTCTGAGCATTAAAAATTAAACTTTTCACCGAAAATACCCTAAAAACCTTCACTCACATTAAAAAGGTTAAAAGTTAATAAAAATTAGAAAAACAAGCTTTTTAGTAGTAGATCATCCATGATAAATTATTATATTCCCTTCTCTCACAAGATATGTATAATAATATGACTGAGTATAATTATTGTTACATTTTACTATACTAAATCGTTGCAATTTTTTGCGTTTATCATCGGATCTAAACGTGTATGATAATTTAATAATTCAATTATAATTATAGAGGAGTTAAGAAATTGTTTGAAAGCTTCTTTGAAAGATTTTCGATTCTTATTGGCTTGTTCAAATCAGGTACAATTAAACTTTTCTTCCATTGACATTCATCAACAAAGTTAATATACCTTGATTTTTTTGACTTATACCGTTGATCATTTATTATTTTAAATCCTTCTCTCGAACTGTAACATAACTAATTAGACTGTAGTCAAGGTTAAAACTATTTAAAACTATTTAAATATATAAGCTCACGATACATAACGTAATTTTTAACAAATTTGCTGTTTATTTTCTTCTTTTTATTTTCTTCTTTGTTGATCAAATTTTTTATTGTTCTATGATGACTCGGCTTGTATTCGGTCTGAAAAATATTTGATGGACCATGGGATACTAATCAAAATTAGGATGACTAATCATTATCAATTTATAATATTCTTAATTTATTTGGCTTTGATTGATCGATCAAGTTTACATTAGAGAAAACACGGCACTAAGTTTGATAACTAGAGATATGAAATATAATGGCCGTTTAACATATTCATCAACTTGCTATCAATCTCATGCAAGCAACTGTGTGCTCCTTAGATCTACTATCGTCTTTTTGTATTGTCGAGCTTTCAAGGTGAGTTTGTGCTCCTCATACATATAAACACAATTTATTTTGCTTTAGTTAATTTTTAGTCGGAAGAAAGTTTATCCTTAGTTTTTTAGTTTTTTTTTCATGTGAAAACTTTCTATTTACAATATGTACATAATAAGAGGTAAATGATTATGAGCCCCATATTAAATGTATTGAGATATCGGTTAAAGTCGCGTTTAACTATAAGTTTAGTTTACAGAGTCTAAAAAACTTAAATCGACCAAAAAACGTGGTGTATGACAAGATTTATTCAGAAGTGGTTAGACTAGTGTTGTAATTGGTTTGGTAAGATGGATTTACGTGTTTTTGTGTAATATGATAGAATTGGAAAAATATTTTATGCAAGAGAAGCTATTTGTTTTTTGTTCTTCAAGCAAGTGAAGCTTTTTTAGCCACTCCAAAAATTACATCATACACGAAAATGGGCAACGAGGAAAATTGAAAAAAAAAGAAATTCATTGATAGAAGACGCCCACTCAATAGGACGTTATGAAGAAAATTTTCTAAGATAAGATTTGATAAATGTGGAGTCAATGTTATCAATTGAGAATGCCGTATAGTTGAAGAAACTCTTGACTTTATCTTTTCTTCATCCGTTTGCTTTGGTTTAATTCTGAGCCAAGTTCGTATTTAATAGTTTTAGAATGTTTATGTATTACATTAGGTTGGTTTCAAAATTTATTTTAAACTTTTCTATTTCTGAAGTGGCTATAGTTCAAATTTACGTGAATTTAAAGTTTAAAATATGCACCGAACGATTTAAAATTGATGATATATGCACCATTAGCTAAATAGCATAGCCAATTAAAAATTTATAAATTATACTTAGAGAATATTTTTAAATTTCTTATTGGCTTAAAAATTGATTTAATTCGAGATACGTAGATCCTAACCCTTTGTCTATTGTTTGTATTATAATTTGAGCTAAATTATTGGTTTTGATATGTAGCCGAATATCTAAAGTGCAATTCTTTCTTTTGATGCCATTAATTTCCATATTTGAGTAAATTATCAATCAGTTACTTAAAAATTGTAATGAATGTGATCCTGGTGATCATTATTATTCTAATAATAGTGGCAATGAGAGTAGATTGTATCGTCGGTATTGATATTTGGCCTGAATATTGGTTTTTCGGTTTTTTTGTCAAGATTTTTTGATTTCTTTGAATTAGACTATGTTGATACCGAAACTTTTTGCAACAATTTTAAAAATGATGAGCATATCAGTCAGAGTTTAGGATGAAAGGAATACAGATTGAAGTTGGAGCATATCAGTCAGAGTTTAGGATGAAAGGAATACAGATTGAAGTTGGAGCATATCACTCAGAGTTTAGGATGAAAGGAATACAGATTGAAGTTGGACCCAACTTTAAGCTTCTTCACTATGCATATAGATTGAAAGATTAGTTTTTTGAAATGTAAGGTTTCACCATATCTTCGAGAGGTTCATAACTTAGCATTAACGATCTTGTTCCAAGCCTCTTAAAGTCAGTTCAAGACTGGTCGACAAACCAAGTAATCTTCAAAATTATTGCTTCTAATTTATCTATAGGCAGAAAAATTTGTAGAAACCCAGGATATTGATAAAATGATTAAAAAATGACAACAACTCACACTTACACGCAAACAACTTACTCACTCGGCATAGTTGAAATTAACTTGATATTAATTGAGTCCATATTACAGCCCTTGTGGGTTTTTAGCTCAATGTTAACAATCTTGCTAATTTTATTTCCGTTTAAATTCAACTCATTTCCTAAAGAAACTGAATATGATATTCGGTAGGCTCCTAAGTAGACTGTGTAATATCAGCATCTGTTACTTATCCTAGTGATGCTGTTACTGATCCTAGTTGATAATAATTTGTTCAGATTTTTTTTTGCAGCATTCCAATTTGGCTGCAAATTATCAATTTCTTTAAATTTACGTAAAATATCGGTAGGAAAATATCGTAAACAATAGGAATGGTTTTGTGTTCGATGTTCAATAATTTAAAATTGCTCACACTACAATAAACTGATAATAGAATGAGTAGATATTCAAAACAACTGGCCATATCAGACGAAAGTGTGATAATAAATATGTATATTTATATATTTTTCCGTTAACTTGAGATTATAAACACTATGGTAATAAGAATAACTATTATCTTTATTCAAGACCTTGTTGTTTTTTGTAAAAAGTAGTTGTTTTTGGATCATATTTTGGATAATATTTGTTGAATAAAAATCCATCAACTAAAACTAAACCAGTAATAATACTTGCATGTAAACCTAATACAACATTATTTTCTGATCTAATTCTATGTCTTTCTAAATAACCTTGATAAGCAGCAGCTGCACCACCAGCAATTACAACTAATTGAGTTAAAACAACAGGATTTTGTAATTCAAGATATAATCTATTTGATAAATCTTTAGTATTTTTAGATAATTGAGTTGAGAATTTTGAAAATTGTTGACTTGCACATTGAGCTTTTTCATTTAAAAATCCATATAATTTTGAAAATAAATCTTTACCTTCGTTTTCTAAATGATTAAATTCTTTTTTAGCTTCTTCATATAATTCATTACCTTTTTCTGATGCATCATTTAAGAATTCTTTACCTTGTTTTTGTAATCTTTCTGATTCTTGTTTTGATTTACCTGCTAATTCTTCTGATTTTTCTTCAGCTTTCTTAGCAACATTATCAGCATCTCTTTTTAAGTCCTTTTTAATTTGTTCATTTGATGGAGCTTTACCTTGAGTCATGATTGAATTGAATAGTTGAAATTAATAAATATAACTTTCTAGAAATTGAAGTGTAATTAGGAAGAAAAAAAATTGTTGTAAATTCGAAATTGGTTTTATATAAAAACTTGTTTAAGGGGATGGTGCTTTTTTTTTTTTCTTCACTATAAAATTTGCCTTCTTATTAAAAACCAACCAGATTATAATAAAAGAAAGATATATATACATATATATATTAAAAGACTGCGAGCTCTTATACTATTGACAAAGTTCAATGATGAATCGGATGACATAAGCAACACTAGTTAAAAGGTTTGTTAGCTATTAAACTCATTTAGCTATTAAACTCATTATCTATGTTAGTTAAAATGAGTGATAGCAATCTAATTTAAACAGTGAGGTTTTTGAAATTTCCTAATTTAGATTAATTAACATAGAATTAAGAAGATTAACTCTGTACTATATTAATATGTTCTCTCCATTAATATTGGAATGTATTGCTGTAAAAATAAATTTCACTTATATCAAATTGCTGCTGTTTATTTTATCATTTTTTGCAGCCATTTTTAAAATCAAGAAGTCTTTTTATTCGAGGAAGTTTAAATAAATAAAATAATATGGGGTTTTCTCTTAAACTTTTTTGTGTTTGGAAAACTTACGACTTATTATGTAATCGGTAAATGACTTTGAATCACCTCATGAATCCAATTAAAATGGTGAGAAACTTTTCATCGTTTTACTTTATCACTTTATTACAAGTAATCTGGTTATTCGAGATGGAATTCGACTTTTAAATTTTGTTTTCAGTCTATTAGCAACCTCTCAATCGGAAATATAGCTTTGTACTACTATTAGCAACTTATTATTGTGTGAATTGTGTGAGATCAGTCGCGAGAAGCGGCGTTCAAAAGTTGCTACCAAATGCATCACGATATAGTCACAGCAAAATTAGGGCTACAACTTCAAAATCACAATCACACTACCTTCTTTATTTACGGTTGATGTTTGGATGTTATCGTCTTACTATCAAATTTTCTGAAACGTCTTTTGATAATTTTTCAAATTTTACTTGATTAATTAATTAATTAATTAACTGTCGATCGAAAACCAACTCCCCGGCTTTCCACGTTACATTCCGACAATTATAAGTTATTAAAAGTATTATTAAACATGTCAGCAGAAGCTCCAAAAAGACAATTTGGTGGTAGAAGAAGAGGTGGTCCAAGAAGAGGTAGAAGAGATGGTGAAGAAAAAGGTTGGACTCCAGTTACTAAATTAGGTAGATTAGTTAAAGCTGGTAAAATCACCTCAATCGAAGAAATCTATTTACATTCATTACCAGTTAAAGAATATCAAATTATTGATTTATTATTACCTGAATTAAAGGATGAAGTTATGAAAATCAGATCTGTTCAAAAACAAACCAGAGCTGGTCAAAGAACTAGAATGAAGGCTGTTGTTGTTATTGGTGATTCAAACGGTCACGTTGGTTTAGGTATTAAAACCGCTAAAGAAGTTGCTTCAGCCATTAAAGCTGCTATCATCATTGCTAAATTATCAATTATTCCAATCAGAAGAGGTTATTGGGGTTCTAATTTAGGTCAACCACATTCATTACCATGTAAAGTTACTGGTAAATGTGGTTCAGTTTCAGTTAGATTAATCCCAGCTCCAAGAGGTAAAGGTATTGTTGCTTCACCAGCTGTTAAAAAATTAATGCAATTAGCAGGTGTTGAAGATGTTTATACTTCATCATCAGGTTCTACCAGAACTACCGAAAACACTTTAAAAGCTGCTTTCGTTGCTATTGGTAACACTTATGGTTTCTTAACTCCAAACTTATGGAAGGAATCACCATTAGCTCCATCACCATTAGAAGTTTACGCTGAAGAAGCTGCTGCTGGTAAAAAAAGATATTAAGTTATCTAGAATAGTAAATCTATAAAAATCCATCAAAAAATAAACTTTAACCATTCTAACCTTTATCTTTCGTATGGACTTTTCTTATTAGATGTGATCGATGAAAGTTTTACACAAAGGAAAAAAGAGCTAGAGACTACAGTCAATTGTTTTGTAATACGAGTCATTTTAGACCCAACTTTTTTCATTATACATATAAAAAATTCCTATTTAAAATCTATCATTGTTGAACAGCTTGTTCCATAACTTGATCTTCAGGTACAGCAAAGCTTCTTTCAGTTGTTGAATTAGCATTACCTTCGTCTTTTGACCATGTATTTGATGTAACTTGTCTACCTTCTGGATGTTGATATAAACAATTTTTATTTTTACAATTAATACCAAACCTACATTGTTCTAGTATTGGATGAGCAAATGTACAATCAATTCTTCTACATTCAGCTCCAGCACGGCATGGAACAGTCAGTAAAGCATGTCTTCTTGGACATTTATAATTTGTACATTGAGAACCAAATTTACATTGTTCTAAAGCTATTTCAGTCGCTGATTGTAAAGGTTCTTTTGTTGCTGTTGGGGGTGGAGGATGAGATTTAGTACAGTTTGGATCTTGACAATTTTTACCTTGTGAACACCATTCCAATGTTTCAATTTTAGCATTTTCATTAACTGGACTTGGATGAGCAAATGGACAACTTTCTTTAGCACATTTTAAACCAAATTTACATGAACCTTGTGAAACTAATAATTTATTTAATTTCTTTTCTTCAAATTGTTTTTGAGATTGTTCTAATTTTTCCATCAATTCTTGATCTTGATCTGGATGTAAGAAATTACAAGTACCTGATGGATTTGGACAATTTGGCCATGAAAAGCATGTTTTTGTAGGATGAGCAAGTTCACATTGTTTATTATCACATTTAGGAAAATTTGGACATCTACCTTTTGGAATTTGTAATTTATTTGTAAAATTTATATTACCTTGTTGTGATTCTAAAGCTTTTGTTAATCTTTGAGTATGTCTGTCATTATTACGAGAATGTCTATTATCATGACCATGACCATTTCTATCATGTCTTGAAGTTTTTGAAATACCATTATGTGATCTAGTTGAATTATTAACAGTTCCAAATCTCTTCTCTCTTAAAGCTCGTCTCTCCTCATCTGTTAATTCTCGTTTTGGACCAGAAGGCAAAGTAACTGAAACTGCATGATGTTGTTGATTAGGTTGTAACCATGGATTTTCATTCAGACTTGCAGAAACTTTAGGTTCTTCTGAATCTTGAATTATCACCCCTGTTTGATTTTGTTTATTTTCCAATTTTTGAATTTCTACAAATACTTCTTGAACAAATAATGTATCAATAGGTATATCAGCAATATCTTTGACTTCATTTACAATTTCATCATGATTCTTTTGATTTGCAATTAAATAAATTAAATAATCAGATATATCACTGGCATCATCTAGACTTCTTGAAAATCGCCTTTGTATTTCATTTATCAATAAGTTTTTTAATTCTATACCTATTTCTGAGTCTGGAGTAAACGACATTATTGATTTATTATTTAAACTTGTTGTTGATTTGTTAGATGGTAAAATAAAAATTATCAATTTTTTTTTTTTTTTTTTCTATTTTCGTTTTGGAAAGAATGACGGCAAAAAATTCATAAAAGTATGCAACAAGATATGTTAGCTAATTATATTTACTTAAAGTTTGCTTAGATAGTTGAATTTTAGAGGGAGAAACTGCTGGCTAGTTATGAAGATGACATCACAAGTTTGTTGTAAAAAATTTACTCGATAAAGATGAGATGCAACTGATTACATGAAACCTCGAGATTATTGACCAGATCATGCTATCCTTGATATTATCAAAAGTGAACTTTTGTTACTTTGATTTTGTGCTTACCATCGAAGCTATGAGACCAACTTCTTGATAATGAAGGAAGTAGCATAGTCTTGTAAATTCTATGATTAATTTTTGTATATTCATTACCCATAACAGTACTATTCCCTATACCAATTGGAATTTATCTTCACTAATTTCACCTAATAAATCTTTGATTTGTAACATTATATTATTTAACTGCTCCGATATAGTCAGTGCAACCAATATATAAGAATACAATAGAACAAAATCATTATTCTTCAAAATCAAATCAAAATCTTGTTGTCTTCTTCTGATCTCACTCAATTTATACAATAGTCTGTCCTTTGCATGTTCAATACTTGCTGGTTTACTAGGTATTGGAAAACCTAATTTTATTGCACTTGCCAACATATAAAACACCAAAAATATTCTTTGTTCAACTTCATTTCTTTCATTCTCAATATATTTTAAGACGTATTCCTCATTGTTATTCAAAGTTGGATCAACTTTAATTAAAAGATCAAGATTTTGAAATGAATCAATTATATTTGAGGAATACTTAATCAAATTTGAATAGATTTTTGTTGGAAATTGTCCTTTTAATCTTAATTCAACTGGTGCTTGTTTTAACAACGTCTCACATTCAGATAATAATTTATTCGTTCCTTGTTCTGCTTTAAATCCAATTAAGACTTTTTCTTCATCTGAATATTCTAATGGATCTGAATTCCAAATTACACCCAATCTCAACCAAAGTATAGATAACCCATTCTTGAGACGTACTCTAGCACTATTTGGTAAGAAGCATGTTGCCATCGTTAATGCCCAAATTATCCCAATTGTCACTGATATAAATCTATGAAATGCAATTTCTTCAATTATTGGATTCTCACCACCTTCATGCTCATCTTCTGAGTCTTTTTGAAGCATAGAATATGAATATAATGCAGTCAAATTATATGTGAGTAAAATAAATCTTCCAAATGGATTATTCCGTTTCCAAAATAGAATAATATAAAATGAAGGTATTGAAATTAAAAACCCTGTTATAGCCAATGCATAAACATTTGCATCTGTTAATTTCCAAATCAAAAATGCAGTGAACGAACCTAGAAACGTACCTATTATTCTCCATTTAACAGTCATGGTAGTCCCACCTAATGATTTATTCATCATTATACAATAAATAATTAACGACCATTCACCTCTCCAATTAATAAATATTCCCTTCGTGAATGGGACAAATGCAAATATTGAAATGAGACCAGCTCCTAAACCAACTCGTATACCAAATTGAACATCTGTTCTTTTGAAATTTTTGGAAAATTTCCAAATTGAAAAAGTCAATTTATCCCAGAATGATTTTCTTATTTGTTGTTGCTCTGGTGGTGCTTGTTTTTTCAAGCCAAATTGATCTCTTAAATCGTCTAATGCAGCATGTAAACTTGTTATATTATTTGAATTTTCACTATCCGAATTATACTTGTATTTCCAAAACTTCAACCATGGATAGGAACGGGGTTCGTTAATTACTTTGTTATATTGATCTGAAAGTTCTACAAATTTTAACAATTCAATGGAAAATTGAGATAATAATGATGTAAAGTTACCACAACAAGCAGCAACTTCTTCCTGATCAGCTTGAAAATAAAATTCATTACTTTGCTTGAATATACTTTGTGAGTATAATTTCTCAAATGATATCTCTTGCTTTTCTTCAAATAATTTGTTTGCATCAGTTAATGATTGTTGTAAAATTGATGATAATTGTGAATTTTTCTCAAACGGAATTTCATTAAGGACACCTTTAATTGTGAAGATGAGTGATTTTATAGATGGAGATAGATAGTACACAAATAGGTCGAATAATTGTGATGGATGATGTATTTCTGAAGTTTTTGTAGCAGTCTCACTTGGCCAGTTTGTCAAATTTTCAACAGATGGAGATATTATAATTTCATCACTCGACGTAAAACTTTTCAAACTTGGGGTGATTACACTTGGTTTATCTTCATTCAATAGATTCCATTGCATTTTAGTAGCTGATGTTAATGCTTGTAAATGTCTAGCTAAATTAATAGTTTGTTCAACTAACTGTTGATAAAATTTACATTCTGATTCTTTACCAAGTAATCGAAGCTCAAATTTGGCTTCCTCTAGATTTTGTAATAAAGCATTGATATTACTCTTTAATTTTTCAACCATTTCAATATCTTTATTTGCAAATTGTTCACCAGTAACAAATCTTCTAGATACAATTGATAGCACCGATGAGAAAATATTGTATGAGTCATTTAGAGTTTGTTGTAATTGAATAACAGCACTTACTGGCCATATTAAATAACAAACAAGACTTGAAATCAAACAACCAGTAACAACAACATAAAATGTCCCCTCTATTCTCTTTAATGGCACAATACCCAGATGCATACTCCCTTCTTTTACAATACATGCCACTATAGAAATACAAGCTAATGAACAAGCAGTATTAAAAGTTTGTTTATTGATCTTTTGTTTCCAGAATGATATAATTCCAAGGCTGATTGAACTTAAAACTAAATCTATAATATGACTCAATTCATCATCACCATTTTTATAAAATAAAGATGAAATATATCGACAAAAGAATGATATTGTAAAACTGTAAATAATTGAAATGACAACAAAAATTAAAGTTTGATTCATGGACCCTTTAGTTCTTGTTGGATGAAAGTATACGGCAACCGTAGCGACAACATGTTTTGAGTCTGTAGAACCTAATAAGTCATCGAATGGACGATAATAAACACCCAAAGAAGCAATGAAATATGCAATTGAACATTTGAAAACCGAACGGAAAATTTGATTAAAATAAATTGACTTTAAATATTGATATAATTTAACCCAAGATGACTGATTGCCTGAGTTTATTAGTGGTGTAGTTTCAGTATATTCTGGTATAGTAAATGTTACATTTCTATGTATTCTTTCACCTGTATTTGCAATAATCACTGAATTTCTTCGATTCAATAAATTAGTTGGATCATTATTATACTCAACTAAAAACCTTCTATCCTCGAGAATTGTCGAATCAAAATTAGTGTAACTGTCTATTGAATCATTTGTAATGTCACATAAGTCGGCAGATCCATAATCAGTCCTTGACATATAAGCCTTGGGTTGATAGTTATATATAGAATATAATTTTTTTGCTGCAAAAATATACCAGAGTAGTTTAAAGTTCCATAAATCATTTTATTACATTATATACTCATTAAATAAATACAATCAACATTTCTAACCCATTACTTCGTCTCAATTAATAAAACATCATCTCTCTAATCTTCATATCCGATAATTTCTCTAAACAATTCTTCACATGGAACAGTTGCATTTAATCTAGCACATAATAAAAATACACCACTTAATTTTCTATGTAATGAATAAGTTTCTTCTGGTGGTGGAGTCAATCTTTCATTTAACATTAATCCAATATTACCTCTAACTCTATCTGTTATAGTTTGTTTTTTGAAACTAAATGGTTGTCCATTGTTATTAATTGGAGAAAATGCTTCACCTAAACACATTACTGAATCAACATGAGCTTTAATCATTTGTGGAGATTCTAAACCAGTTAAATAACCCAATTGATAACTAATTTCTTCAACTTTTTCACGATCTTTTTTAACTGCAGCTCTTAAAATACGACCATAGTTAACAATAAAATTATCACTAAAATCTCTTGCTGCACCAAAATCTAACAATTCAATTTTTCTAGTTTCTTCATTATAAAGAAAATTTGCCCAATTTGGATCAGTTTGCATAAATTTAAATTTCTTAATTTCTAATAAACATAATCTCATAATATTTGTTGCAATCCAATCTTTTGTTGATTGTGACCAAGTACCTTTAACAATTTCAGTACCTCTCATTCTTTCCATTGTTAAAACATGTTCACCACATAAATTATGGAAAACTCTTGGAACAGTAAATGCATCATCATCTTTCAAAAAATCTCTCATTCTAACTAAATTTTCAGCTTCTCTTAAATAATCACATTCCCATTTTAATTCAATTCTTGCATTTGCTATAGTTTTATCCAAAAATAAACCTGGTGGTAATAATGAACTAGCAGTTAATAACATTAATAAATTATTTAAATCAGAATCAATTGAATTTACAACACCAGGATATTGAACTTTTACAACAACTGGAGTTAAATCATGAGCAACAGCGGTATGAACTTGACCAATTGATGCAGCAGCAATTGGAACATCATCAAACGAAGTGAATAGCCTTTCTCTCCAATTAATACCTAAATCTTTAACCATAACTCTTTCTAATTGACCTGGTGGCATATAATGAGCCGAATTTTGAACTCTTAATAAAATTTGTTGAATTTCTTTTGGTAATATTGAAGAATCTTGTAACGATAACATTTGACCAATTTTTAAAGCAGCACCTCTCATTTTACTAAATTTTTTAGCCATTCGTTCAATATTTTGTGGTGATAAAAATAATGACTTCATTGTAATTGGAGTTGAATTACCACTTGCATAATGTTTTAAACCTTCGGTAGCAGCATTTATACTCATACCAGCAGCTAAACTACCATAATGAAAGATTCTAGCTAATCTTGAACTTGGAATTTCACTTGATGACATTTCAAAATTTTTCATTTTTGGTTTTTCTTCACAAACTGTGGGAGTAGAAGATGTAGATGTGACTTGATTAGTCGCTTCTTCAATCATTTCTTCTGGAAAATATGATTTTGTTGAGTAAGCACGCTTTTGTTGTGAATTAAACGCATTTGATGTTGAGTTTGGTTGTGATGATGATGGCTGATTATTATATTGTTTAACATTTTCAGACATTATATGTAAATCTCTATACATTTCATTGATTGATTCATTTTCTAATTGATCTCGTATAGGTTTAGTTATAAAACTTTTATTATAAAAATTTGATAAATCAGTGATCAAAATATTTGATGATCCTCGTATAACTTTACAAAAAGAATTTGATACTAAAGCAACATCATATAAACTTTTGCTTAGTGACATACTCATACTCTATAAATCTATAATGATAAACAAATACTAAAAAGAATGAATAGTTAGTTAGTTATTAATTGGTTGTAAAAAAAGTGTGAAATTTTTAAAAAAATAAGGAAATGCGTATAACTAAATTTATATAAATATAGCCAGGCGAAATTTTATTATAGAACGTGTGTGTGTCATAATATAATACTACAATAATTAAACAATCAGCGCAATAAACTATACATAGAAAACAAAGAGATGACAAAGAGATGACAAAGAGTTGACAAAGAGATGGATTAATGGAGAAACAGTTAAATAATAATTCATACATATAGACTAGCAATGAACACTGGCTTTGGACTAAGAACACTTATATCTCCAATCCGATTTAACTTTTTCTCGCCCTTACTTCTTGGCTCATATTTTAATTAGAAAGAGATGGAACTCCACTTTATTAGATTTTCTTATATAATAAGCTTCTAGAAAACTTCATCATGTTTGTTTATTTGTTTTGGTTACAAGTTTAATTTCGCGTATTAACCGTTAAAATATTTTTGAAATGTTGTTTTCTCAACTTCCAAATTTGATCCATCTTTCCTTTCTTTGTCTAATTGGTTATGGTTACTTTCAGAATTTGATTGGGTAGAACTTTCGGAAAAAATATTTTAGCTCAAGGCGGGGCAAATTTTAGGTATAAATTTCTATTTTTAGTTTTCATTTTTCCAATTTTGTGTAATTCGCAACTTAGTATAATACGATTTTGCAACCTATTAATAATGTATGATAAAACTACTAATTTAATTTGCTAGCCACAATTTCCTAAAGGTTGGTGCCGCTAGTACCTTTTTATACCTCGACCCTTGGTATGATTTCGATCCAATCATTTTTTCTTTCACCTTTTCTTTAACCATGTGATGCACCTTTGTTTTGAATTCTTTGCATTTTATAGTCTTGCTTCATACGTTTGACTTTAACTAATATATTCTCAGCTTGCTATTTATATATTTCATCTATTTCTGTGCTAGTTTTAGATTTAATCAGATTAATTTTTACTCATTTTGCATGATATGCAAAAAGCAATGCTTGTCATTTATAACATTGGTCCCCTATAAAAGATTTGTGTAACCTACAAACGATCATGAACTTCCAAAACAATCTAGGTACCTCGATACGTCATCTTCAGGTAGGTACACGTTAATCTCTTAAATCAACAAATTCAAAGTTTAGTACACCAGTATAGATACAATTTACTCTAAACTCGAGGCATTATAAGTTTTAAAGTTTGAATTTAGTTCAATCTTCACACATCGAGGTTACAAACTGCAGGCTTTCATTATTTTGAAACCAATCAGTTTTTGCTACAGTTTCAAATATTTCAATAATAAAACACCCAAAATCGATTTTCGACTAGGCGCTGAGTGTGATAGACCAACTTGAATTTCGACAACAATGGGTGAGCTGAAATGAATAGCCTACAAAAACTAGGTAAAATCTTCCATCTTGTTGTTACAGTACGCTTTTCCTCAACTATAGTGACTTTTGAGAGAGCCTGATCTTCCACAAATACTAGTATCAAGACTTTCATCACTCTGCAAGTATACGATATTGATTATCATCACCAAATACTATAACAAAGCCTTGTCCAACAAACGCATTTGGTAGCAAATTATTATAACTAAATTTAGCAACAAAAAATAATATAAACAAAAGAAAAAAAAAAGGTACAAAAATCTAAATTACAACCGTAAATAAACAAATTTTTCATTGCGTATATATATGAGCATTTGACCGGTTTTCCCTGCTTTCAAAGGTTAACTTGGTTGTATTTAATTAATTTGTTTCAGATCTCGAGATCTCAATTTTTTCCTCGTTCAGATTTCGGATCTCGTTCAATATTTTATTTTTAAATTTATACATTCGTTTTATTTGCATTAATGTCAAAAAGGTATTCATTCATTGGTAAATCACCTAAATCTAGTCAAGATCCAACATTTGATACACCAATTAATCCATATGAGGTTGTAAATCAAAAGAATCAACTGTATTATCAAAATTCAAATCAACAACAACCAAAGGTCATAATAAATGAAGATCCAATCCTTCCCAATTACACCAAAATTCAAATGTCAACAAAGAAAAGAGCAAATTATAATATGAAAATTGTTGTTGTTGGTGATGGTGCAGTTGGAAAATCATGTTTATTGGTTAGTTATGCTGAATCTAAATTTCCAGAAATTTATGTTCCCACGGTATTTGAAAATTATGTCACCATTGTACAATCACCATACGGTAAAACTATAGAATTAGCATTATGGGATACTGCTGGTCAAGAAGAATATGATAGATTAAGACCATTAAGTTATCCAGATACAGATTTAATTTTACTTTGTTTTTCATTAAATAATTTAACAAGTTTACAAAATGTTAAAGATTTATGGTATCCTGAATTGAACCATTTTTGTCCTGATATACCTATAATTTTAGTTGGAACAAAACAAGATTTATATTATGGAGAAATTGATAATGACTTACCAATACAAGTAGCAAAAGAAATTGGTGCAATTGGGTATATTCAGTGTTCGGCAAAAACTATGTTCAATATAAGAACAGTTTTCAATTTTGCTTTGAATCATTTCCAAAAGGAAATGGAATTACAAGAACAAGTTGAAAAATCTCAACAATCAAGTAAGAAAAGACTACTGAGAGTTTTAGGTAGCTCATCAGATGGTGCAAAATACGCTATGGGACATACAAGAAATCAATCATCATTATCAAATAAAAGAAGAGGACATTTAAAAAATACAAGTTATGATTCAACCATATTATTAGATCAACCATTAACTGAAGACAATTATGTAAAGAATCCATACGGAGATTTTGGAAGTAACAATAATAGTGGCAGAAATACAAATGGTAATAGTACACCCAATCCCAATATTTATAAAGAAGAATTTGACTTTATAAGAGATAGAGAAAAGAAGAAGAAGAAGAAATGTGTAATATTATAGAATATAGAATATAGATATAATGTCACAAAATTAAATTACATTTCCAATAAATTGTCCAAACCGTGTCTCTTTTTTCCATATTTGGTCCTCGTTCGGTTTGGTACCATTTCTCGGTTAATTTTGAAAAATTTAGACGATGGAAAAAAAGAAGGGGCTGATGATTTTTTTTTTTGATTTTTTTTTATTTATTCTCCTATTTTCAGTTATCAACAAGAATATAATATTCAAAACCATTTGGATCTTTGATTTGATATATATTTATTGGTCTGGTTTTAAAATATGCATCAGAAATCATCAAGTGGGTCTGAATATGAATTAAAATTTAGAGATTCAAGCATACCAAAAGAATTATCAAATTCATCTCCACAAATTGGAAAACAATCAAATGCATCCGATGATTCAATTAATTTAAAAGATGCAGGTAATTTACCAAATGATCATTACAAACTGAAATTATCACCAATACGATATAAATTTAGAGAATTTTTGTTACCCATAATACGATATGAAACAAATATTTTATACAATTTACAAACTAAAATTAGAAATCCAATATTTGATTTTTATTTTGCATGGACTGCAAATCTAGCTAGTCATACTTTTTATGTATTAATGTTACCTCCTCCATTATGGTTTGGTGCGAGTCAATTAAGTAGAGATTTAATTTATGTTTTAGGTTTGGGAATTTATTTCACTGGGTTTTTAAAAGATTATTTTTGTTTACCTAGACCTAGAAGTCCTCCGTTACATAGAATTACAATGAGTTCATATACTACACAAGAATATGGATTTCCATCATCTCATTCAGCAAATGCAACTGCTGTTACATTAGTTTTATTATCAAGAGTTTATAAATATGGAGATAGTTTAACTACGAGTACTTATTATTCATTGATTATTGGATTAACTATTTATTATTTTTCATTAATTTTCGGTAGATTATATTGTGGAATGCATGGGTTTTTAGATATATTTATTGGTTCATCCGTAGGAGGTGCATTATTTTTATTCAGACATTATTATGGGATTGTATGGGATAACTTCATATTTAATCAAGGGTTAATACTAGGTTCATTATTGATTTTAGTGTTGTTTATTGGTTTGATTCATTTTCATTCTGAACCAGTTGATGATTGTCCATGTTTTGATGATTCTGTTGCATTCATAGGTGTTTTGATTGGATTAGATCTTTCTCATTTAGTTGCATTTCATACTAAATTTTATCTTCAATTTAATGATATTAATGATTTATATCTTATTCCATTTGAAAATAAAGGTATAGTGATGCTTACAATTCGTTTCTTAGTTGGTGTAACATTAGTGGTCATTTGGAAATCATTATCAAAACCAATAATATTTACTATACTTCCCCCAATTTATAAATTCATAGGTATTTATCTTCCAAGAAGAAATTTTATATCTACAGCTCATACAGATTCTTCAATTGGTAGAATTAGAGCTACTTCAATTTCAAATGATGTTTCTCAAATTGGTGATTTAAATAATTTCCTTAAAGGTGTTACTGATCATAATAGAATTGATAATATTGGGCCATCATCAGAAATTGATTATTACGAAATTTTGGATTATAATAATAAAAATAAAAATGGAAGTAGTTATGATTTGGATAAGTTGAATTTTAAAAGTGGTGTGTTTAAATATAGATATGATGTTGAAATTGTCGGTAGATTAATTGTTTATGCTGGAGTTTCAATTACAACAATTTGGACTTTTACATTTGTTTCAATGTATTTGATAGAGATTTAGATATTACTATTTTATGAATAGACTCGAAATATATATTTAATTACGAACAATGACTCAAATTTCATGAAAATTGATAAGAGACACTGATGCTAGTTGCTGCTAAAGTTACTCAAGATCAAATGAACATGCATTGCTTAATTTGTTTTGCATCTTTTGCAACTCATCGACTTTGGAGGGAGATTGATCTACGTTGGACCAGCTAATATTATTGCCATTGCTCTGGTACCTTTAAGTCCCAATAATAAGACTCTCGATCTTCACCAATTCCATCATTCCTTCATTATTACTTTATTTGGCAGAGTTATTACAGTACAATATGGTGTACCTGCATACAAATCTCAAAGTCAAAATTTCAAAGTCGTAACAAAAATTGGTTAGAAAAATTAATTGTCATTTAAACCAAGACTGATTCATGACAAGGTTTCAAATTTCAAATGTATGAAAATTCAAATAATAATACGCAGAACAATAATCCAAATAATGACGCATCATCATCTACAAATAGCAATACAACACTGAACTCAAATCAACAAAATCAACAACAACAGCCACTGACACACCCAAATTATTCAAATAATGATTTATATAATCTAATTAATCAGTTAAATTCAAATCAAAGTAATTTAATAATGAAAATCAATTATATGGGAGATACAGTTGAAAATTTAAAGAATTCAATTGATTCAATTTTATTTTATTTGCAAAATAATTCAAATTTTACTAACCTTAGTAATGTTAATAATAATGGTAATAATTTTCAAATGAATAATCAATTTAAAACTTTTGAGATTATAAGTAAACATTTAAATAGATTGAACAAAGAAATGGAAGAAATAAATCAAAATAATAATAACCATAATGTGCTACATTCTCAACAACAACCTCAATTGCAGTCACAAGAACATTTAAATATGAATATGAGACACTTACAACAACCACAGATACCACCTCAACAACAAATCATGGGACAACCACCACCTCCAGCACCACAAAATTTTGAAGATGAAATTGATTTAAATCGAAAATCATTAAGAAATTCTTCATCAACTCCATCCTCTTATGTTTTTGAACTAGGGCCATTTTCAACTCAACAACAACAACCAAGAAGCAACAGTCAAGGTCAATTACAAACTAATCAACAACCAACATCACAACAGCAAGTACAAAATAATGGTGTTAGTATTTCTTCAAATTCTTCAACTACCAATAATCCAGCGCAGGCGCAAAATATGAGTAAGAATAAAAGAAGAAAACAACTGCAACAACCATTGAAAAGAAATCCACCAAGACAATCAACATTGAATAATTTGAACAATATATCTAATACAAACAGTATATCTCAACAACCATCAAGTTCAATATCTTCACATAATTCATATGTCAATTCATATATGTTACCAATGCCTCCTTTGTTAAGTGAGGACAAATTAACTACCAATACAACTACCACAGCAACTAATCCATCTAATAATCAAGATACTTCATTTTTATTACCAAGAGATAATAATCCAATAATGACTTCAGCTTTAAGACAACAACCACCGAGTAGAATAATACTGCAACAATCATCTCAACAGCAATCACCTCAACAGACATCAATTCAACCACCTACACCTCAAAAATTAACAAGAACAAGGTCATCTCGACAACCACAATCAGCATCATTTTCATTTGGTGATGAAGAAATAGATCCAAGTATTGAAGAAATGGGTCATCCACAAGCAAGTAGTTCAAGTTCAAATAATGATACTGATGGAGATTCTACTATTGATAGGAAATTCAATACTAAAAAACGTAAATACAGTAATGATTTATCTAAAGGTGGAGTTACTATTAGCTTTAATGAAATTCCTCAATATAAATTAGAAAGAAGTTTAAAACAATTGAGTGAAATTTGGAAAGAATATGCGTATGGAGTTCATGATAAACCTCCATTAAAATTATTAGAATCTAAATATGGTACGAAATGGAGAAATGAAACTGAATCAAGAACATTTTTAAGAAGGAAAAAAATTTATGAAGCTATTGAAGTTGGTAAAAGTAAAGGATATAGTGAAGATGAAGTTATTCAAGAATTGGAAGATTATAGAAGTTATCATAAAAATGGAATTATAAAAAGAAAACCATTATTTTGGTTATCACAAAATATGCCAGCAAAATTTGAACCATCAAACAATTGAAGCTGAACTTTTGGAATTGCCACAATCATTAGATTTGTTGAGGATCAGAAGAAGACATTGTGTATATTTATTGTAAAAGTATATTGTGTAATATATTTAATATCTGCGATACTAAAACTACTGAATTTAATTTAAATTATGACTTATTGATACTAATTTTACTCAAATAACTTCAAAAGAAGTCTAATTAATTTCGAGCCTCTAATTAGTCCTGACATAAATAACTATACATCTAATAATGTCTAACCACATTTCAAGAGCTAAGTTTATTTGGGGGGGTGTGTTCAAATAAAGTTTGAATAACTCCAACTTGGTCAAAAAACTAAAAACAATAGAACTTTGTTAAGGAAATTGAAAGAAGGCGGTCTTTAAGTATGAATTTTGAATTCATACAAAGTTTCTCGCTCAAATGGCACCAAAAGCAACATGTTTTAAGTAAACCCTAAGTGTTTAATGGCTAAAAGAAATTTGCCAAAAACTAATGGCTTTTCTATGTTTTTTTAGTGCGCATTCTCGGTATAATCTTTTTTGAAGTCAGATCTCGTATCTAAAAATTTGCAACCGATCTCACATCTAGATCGCGCAATAGTATTTTGCGCTTGGTTGATACATTATGAATTTCGCTAACTTTGTAGGTTTTTACAATACAGCTGCAGTTGAATTAGACATACGAATAGACTATTTATTTAGTCTCAATTTTTGCAGTTAAAAGCAATTAATATGTTATGCGTTATTTCTATAAATCAATCAAAAAAGATCAATGAAAATTCAAATTCATTTCAATAGTTTGAATAAATCTTGCTTTAATTTATGGTATCTTTACGTCCAGCCAGTTTTGAAGTTTGCGGATTTTATTTTGAACAGCCTAATCATTCTGAATTTGATACGAGTGATGGTTTCAGTTCTTGCCTTGATTGAAAAAATCTCCCGCCATTTTATTGTGCCAAGTCCTACAAGTGTTTACTTGAGATTAAAAATCTAAGAACACAATTTTGACTTATATGTAGTCTCATAACTGTAAGTTGTAAAACTTAATATGTAAATAAGTCACTCATTATTTGAGCTATTATTTTAAATTCTTTTTCATAAAAATGTCTGAGAGTTTAGAGTAAGATAGAAGTATTAACTTCTAAACAAACTCAATTTTTTTCATTTGAGGTGATCAAATGTTTTTCATGAAAATAATCCAATGATTACCGCAATAATTAAGTAGTATTTACCCACTATGTCTTGAAGTAAGTGATGATTCTCTTCCTTATCACCAGCACGTTGTGATTTAGTACTCTATATGATTTTTTCTGGAGATTTTTAGTGTTCATTCTTTAGCTAGTTCTGCAGCCAATAAAATTTGCAACAGATTATATTACGTTTGTTTTCACGACACGACACTAAAATTGAAATAAGACTTTGTATCGATGAGTATAAAAAAATATACGAGATAATCATTTCACTACATGATGGCATCTATAATTGAAAAAAGACCCAATGAAGATGCTTTAGCACAACCTAAAAAGACTAAACAACCGAAACGAATAAGTAGAAAATATAAATCAAAGAAAAAAGCAATTGATCCAACTTCTCCCCAAGGTGTACTTGAATTTGAAATTGATGATTTATTAAAAGAACATAATCTAACAAGAGAAGATGTGCGCAATGACATGAAACCAATACTCAACGATCCAACATATGAATCAAAAATCCATAGAACTCAATCGGATGTTAAAATATTAAAATTTACTTCAAATGGTGATTCATTAGCCATGGTTGAAAATCCAATAGATTCTACTAAAAAGCAAATTTTACTAATCCCATTCGGTATGCCTGATGATATAGTAACTGTTAAAATTTGGAAAAGTCATCCATTATATTCTGAATGTGATTTAATATCAGTTGATCAACCAAATGAAAAACGAGATGAAAGTTTAATTAATTGTAGATATTTTGGATTATGTTCTGGTTGTCAATTTCAAAATATTTCATATATTGATCAATTAGAAATTAAAAGAGATACAATCGTAAATGCTTTTAAATTTTTTGCTCCAAATTTAACCATACCTGAAATTTCAAAAACTCAAGAATCACCATTACAATATAATTATAGAACAAAATTAACACCTCATTTTACATTAACTAGACATCAAACAGGTAAAGATTTATCTGAAAAGCCAAATGTAGGATTTGGATGTAAGGGTAAACCAAAATTTAGATATCCAGATTATGATTTTCCAAAAGACGGTATTTTAGATATTGAGGAATGTTCAATAGGTACTGAAATTATAAATAAGGGTATGGACAATGAACAAAAATTACTTGAAAAGACATATAAGAATTATGAAAGGGGTGCAACTATATTATTAAGGGAAGATACAAAAGTCAAAGATGAGAACTTTGTTTTAGGTAATGGTTCAAAAGATCCAGAAGGGAATATTTCAAATATTGAAGTTCAAATAGATGATCAAAATCTTGTTAAAACTTGTGTTACAAATACTAGACAAATAGTTCAAGAAATTATTGAAGGTTATAAATTTGAGTTTTCAGCTGGTGAATTTTTCCAAAATAATAATTCAATATTACCAATAGTGACTAGATATGTAAGAGATAACTTGTTTGCAAATGTTAATGAAGAAAATTATCTTGTTGATGCTTATTGTGGTTCTGGACTTTTTTCAATAACTTGTTCTCCAAAAGTTTTGAAAGCAATTGGGGTTGAAATTAGTGCTGATTCAGTGAAATTTGCTAAAAGAAATGCAGAATTAAATAATTTGAAGAATACTAAATTTATGACTGGTAAAGCTGAAGAAATATTTAAAAATATAGAAACTCCAAATGATAAAACTTCAATTATATTAGATCCACCAAGAAAAGGATGTGATGAATTATTTCTAAAACAATTATCAGATTATAAACCAGTAAAGATAGTTTATATATCTTGTAATGTTCATTCACAAGCAAGAGATTTAAATTGGTTTATTAATGAAAGTGAAAATGGTAAAGATTATAAAATAGAAAGCATAAAAGGGTTTGATTTTTTTCCACAAACACATCATGTTGAAAGTGTAGCAGTATTATCATTAAAATAATATACATAGAATAGAACAGGAGCTAAACTAGATTTGTTTGAAACATACTTTTATTAATTTACTCTTATTATTAATTAACTTTTCTGCAATGGTTGCAAAAATGTTTGCAAAAATGGCTGCAAAAAAGTCGTAAATGCGATATTTATTTCACGTGTATCAGGATAGGGCTAATTTATATTAGTCGTGTAATAATTTTATTTTTCCACCGTGCAATATACTGAAAATTTTAAACGAAAAAAGAGACAGAGAAATTAATATTATACACATACAAACCAATATATCAAAATGGAAAACGATAAAGGTCAATTAGTATGTTTGAAATCAATGAAATAATTAGTTTAGGGACTATATTTTATGTAACAAGAGAGTGAAGTCATGTCAAATTTGGAGATCATTTCGAAATTTCAACAATAAAGTTTGAAAATTTATTTTAAACTACGAATCTACACATTGAAGAATCGAAGATAACGACCAAATCATCTACAAGTGTGGTTCTCTAAGTCAACTTTGATTGGAAGTCGTCTTAACCAAATTATTTGTCGTTAATTCAGACTTCACGTTCCTAAGTAATTTGAAAATATGAAATATTTAGGAATGTTTCACTTGTATTACATCCAACATAGTTCCAAAGTCATTTTCACAAGTATTCAAATACTAACTATTTATTCTTAGGTTGAATTATATGTTCCAAGAAAATGTTCTGCTACCAACAGAATCATCAAAGCTAAAGATCATGCTTCAGTTCAAATTTCAATTGCTAAAGTTGATGAAGAAGGTAGAGCTATTGTTGGTGACAACATCACTTACGCTTTAAGTGGTTACGTTAGAGGTAGAGGTGAAGCTGATGATTCATTAAACAGATTAGCTCAACAAGATGGTTTATTAAAAAACGTCTGGACTTACTCACGTTAAACAATTTATTCACAATCATTCATCATCACCCTTTTCATATCATATGTATATTTAATGTCGTTTATAATATAGGAAAAATATATTAGAGAATTAATCTTTTTTAAATTCTATTCTAGGTCTTTCATTGAAGCACCGTCTCGTCTTATTAAAGTTTGATATTGATTCATTCTAAGCCGATCAATGTTTGATATTGATTCATTCTAAGCCGATCAATGTAAGCGGAGTTAATGCTTTTTTGTGTAGTCGGATAATGTTATTATTTTGTCCTATTTTTATATAATATGAAACATTTTGCATGTATTTCGAAAATTGAAAAAAAAATAGAAGATTACAGCAAAATAGAAGATTACATCAAAATAGAAATTTTAGGCCATAAAGTTCTGCAAATTGGCGCTTGAAGTACAGTTAAAGTTACCACGAAAGAAATAAGACTACTTAGCGAATAAAGTTGTAGTTAGATCTAAATTGTTTCAAATACGAGATGATACAAAACTCATGTTACTATAATTTAGTTTCACCCCGTGGTCCACAAATCTATAATGTTACAACTCTAGAAGATATTGGTTTTCCATACAAAAACTAATGGCAATAATGATCAATTACTCTGACAAGTTTGACTCTGACTTCTGAAATAATACTATGTCTTACTACCATTAATTCTGTTGTCCCTTTTGTTTGTTTGTTGTATCTTCTTTCATGCACATTGACTTAAATTAAAATTACTTTATTTTGGATTTTATCAACAAAAACAAAAATTAATTTTACATCTCCCGACTTTAGGAGTCTATATTGAATTTTACTTTGGATTCATCTTATAATTCATTATCAGTTTGGTTTTGTAAATTATTCGTAAATTTATTTGTTTATTGCTGTTAAAGTTTGTTTCCTATCCCAGTGTTCCGTTGGTTTTAAATTATTTTTAGCTTTCATTTCAAACAAAAGTTTAGAGTCATTTCAGTTCAATTTGGCATCTAGGATTTACAAGTAATGCCTTATGGAATTTTTACACTTTTATATAATGCAAATTATTTAGCTGGTGCATTAGTCTTGGGTTCGGTGGTCAAAAGATTGATATCTACATCAGAAGACAATTCCAATTACAAATTAGGTATATTAATAGATAAATCAAGGTTCACAAACCATCAACTTAATTTACTTTCCAAATATTATGAAGATTTATATGATGTAAATGTGTTAACGTCCACAATTTCAAATAAGTTAAATCATGATTTGAAACGTCCTGAATTAGATAAAACATTTACAAAGATTCAATTATGGTCATTAACAAGGTATGAAAAGATTTTATATCTTGATTCGGACACATTACCTATCGTACCTACTACAAATAATCTCAGTTCAATTTTAAATTTATTATCATTAGATTTTCCCAATTTTAAAATTTTAGCAGCTCCAGATTCCGGGTTTCCTGACATTTTCAATTCTGGAGTGTTTGTTTTAAAACCAAATTTAAATGACTATTCAAATCTATTAAATTTAGTCAATGAAAGTGCCATAAATCCAAATGTTTCATTTGATGGTGCTGATCAAGGTTTACTAAATCAATATTTTAATCTGAAACCAGATTGGGTAAAAACTGTGTTAAGTAAAGGCGAATCAATAATAGATCAAACTAGTGATTCAGATTCAAATTGGATTAAAATTCCATTTTTATATAATGTTACACCTTCAGTAGCTTATGAATATTTACCTGCATTTAAACATTTCCAACATGGACCAGAAGGACCTAAACCAGAGGAAAAAGGGGCCCAATTGGGACACCATGGTGGTGAGCAGCCAGCTTATGATCAAGAAGTCATTCAATCCACTTTTGAAACTTTAACTCGTTATAATACAACTGCTTTGAATTATTACGACACTGATCAAATTAAGTTATTACATTTCATTGGTCCATATAAACCTTGGACTTCAATTACTAAAATTTCTGGTATTCATAAAGATTGGTGGCAAGCTTGGATAAATGAATTTGGAGCAACATCGATCCTTGATGTGTTATATCCTGATGAAGAAGAAGAGAAAACAATAGAAGTGCCTGCATTGAAACCATTAGAATCTGGAAAAGAAAAACAGAAAGAAGAAGAAGCTCCAGAATCCGAAGTTGAAGTAGATGAACAAACTAAATTACTTGATCCTTCAAATTATCAAAAATTTAAAGATTCAATTAAACCTACTCTTGATACAATGTGGGATCCAACAAAAGAAGCACCACCAAAACATGAAAATAAAGAGAAAATACATACTGGTTACTATGATAATAGGGATTTTATTAATCAATGGGACCAACAAAAACAAGAAGAGGCAAAACCAGAACGTAAAGAACCTGGAAGTGTTGAAGGAGTCGTTGCTCCGGGCCATATTCCACCAGTAATACCTAAAGAGCAACCAGAATTATATGGTCATAAATATGTTGAGCCTGAAAGAGTTTTCGATACAAGTAATGATTATACTCCAACTCATATTCTACACCAGTTTAATAAGATAGACATATCTGAAGAGATCAAAGATGGTGAAGAAAACAACGATAGTGAACTACAAGCTGAAAACTTGGCTGCTAATGTATCTGATTACAATGAAAATTTGGAAACTATGGAAAAAACAGGTATGATTGAAGAAACTGCATTTGAAGAAGTCTATGATGAAAATTTGGAAGGAATAGAAGTAGAAGAGCAACAGGATCATATTGATTATGACGCATCTGAAGAGGAAGAGGAAAATGAAGATGAAGATGATGAAAGTCAAGCTCCTGCTTTATTTCCATGGGAATTTAAAAGAGACAGTCAAACACCAGAAAGGGTATTCAAATAAAGCAGTAACTAATTAGTAATTCAATTCTCATGTATAAGTTGTACAATTTAGTATATGATAAATTTAATTTTTGATATATTCAATTAAAGATGGTTGATTTTGCGTCATTATTGTAAATTTGTGATCAAATTCAAAATCTTTTCAAAACCAAACCCACCAACCAAACTGACTACTAAATCTACCCAATTGCAAGAGAACTAACAGACATCAATAGTCAGTCTATACCCAATTCTAACATCCCATAATCGACTAGTTTCTAAATCACTCACGTGATACTTGAAAAGTAGTGTATAAAAATTTTTTTCTTCTCATCAAAATTGAAGCAGCGAAATAGATTTAAGATTTTTTTTTTTTTTTTTTTTCAGATTGAAAGAATATCCCAATTATGGCATCAGAAGGTATTACTGAAATCGATTCAGGTTTAATTGAATCAAATTACGATAACGTCGTTTATAAATTCGATGATTTAAACTTAAAACCAAATATTGTTAGAGGTATTTTTGGTTATGGTTATGAAACTCCATCAGCTATTCAACAAAGAGCTATTTTACCAATTACTGAAGGTAGAGATGTTTTAGCTCAAGCTCAATCAGGTACAGGTAAAACTGCTACTTTTACTATTTCAGCGTTACAAAGAATTGATGAAAATGAAAAAGCAACTCAAGCATTAATTTTAGCACCAACAAGAGAATTAGCCTTACAAATTAAAAATGTTATTACTTCAATTGGTTTGTATTTAAAAGTTACTGTTCATGCATCTATTGGTGGTACTGCTATGAGTGATGATATTGAAGCTTTTAGATCAGGTGTTCAAATTGTTGTTGGTACTCCAGGTAGAGTTTATGATATGATTGAACGAAGATATTTTAAAACTGATAAAGTTAAAATGTTTATTTTAGATGAAGCTGATGAAATGTTATCATCAGGTTTTAAAGAACAAATTTATAATATTTTTAGATTATTACCAGAAACTACTCAGGTTGTTTTATTATCAGCTACTATGCCACAAGATGTTTTAGAAGTTACAACTAAATTTATGAATAATCCAGTTAGAATTTTAGTTAAAAAAGATGAATTAACTTTAGAAGGTATTAAACAATTTTATATTAATGTTGAATTGGAAGAATATAAATTTGATTGTTTATGTGATTTATATGATTCAATTTCAGTTACACAAGCAGTTATTTTCTGTAATACAAGACAAAAAGTTGAATTTTTAACTAATAAATTAAGAGAACAAAATTTTACAGTTTCTGCAATTCATGCTGATTTACCACAATCTGAAAGAGATACAATTATGAAAGAATTTAGATCAGGTTCATCAAGAATTTTAATTGCAACTGATTTATTAGCAAGAGGTATTGATGTTCAACAAGTTTCATTAGTTATCAATTATGATTTACCAGCAAATAAAGAAAATTATATTCATAGAATTGGTAGAGGTGGTCGTTTTGGTAGAAAAGGTGTTGCTATTAATTTTGTTACTGAAAAAGATGTTGGTATGATGAGAGAAATTGAAAAATTCTATTCAACTCAAATTGAAGAAATGCCAGCAGATATTGGTTCATTATTTGCTTAAGCTTAACCTATTTATATTATATATAAAATCCATATTTCCTTTCTTTTTGTATACTTGAAGTAAAAAAATTAAATAAACATTTGATAAAATAAAATTGATTCTTTACACTTAACAAAATTTGGATAGGAATGTATTACAAGACAACATGAATTATACTGTACCTGGTTCATATCCTATTAATAATGATATATTTAATGATAATATAATACAATCAACTGCTTCTGGTTTAATAGAACAAGAAGAAATGTCAAAATTTGAAAATCATCAATTTGTTAATATGAAGACTAAAGATCAATATGAAATAGTATCTCAAATTGATTCATTGATATACATACTTTTGTTCTATCAATTTATAAAATATTGTCATTCAGCTAGTTTAATTCCATTGATATTACAAGTTTTAGCTCAGACTTTACTAAATTCAAAAATATTAACTAATAGAGAAAGCGCAAGTATACTATCTTTCTTATTAACTGAAAGAGATTCAAGTACTAGACAAGCTATAATTAATAACTTCCTACATAGATATTGCTATTTGGTTTATATTAAGACCGTGTTTGTCATATTATATCATATATTATTTGTTTGCGTTTGGGAAGTTTCGTTGACAAATACTGATAAATTACAATTTTTACCCAATGGAAGTTGGTGGTTTGTTTCATTCATAGGTGAGCAAGTGCCTAATATAACTGGTGATATGTCATTTGGTACAAAAGTGATTAAATTGGGATTATTTCAACTTTTATTCACTGATTTATTAATTTTATTCTTACAATTAGTATCATATCAATGTATATTCAAACAATCAAACGTATTACATATAGAAAGAAGACTAAATGAAGAAGAGGTCTATATTATAAGAACAAATTTAAATGGGAATATAACAGTACCTGATTCAGAAGTGACTCCAAAAGATAAAATACCAACAGTGTTGAAAATACGATTATTTGAAACATTAACATCAGAATCATACTTATCTTGATATATAAATAGACTTATCAAACATGGATCTCTATTTAAACTCTACTTGGTCTACTTGTTACACAAAAACGCGTTAGCTTAAATTTCAATTTTCAGACATTTTACGAATTTTTCAAACTTATCAAAACTTTTCCTTTTAATGACAATTGAACCAAATACAAAGAAACAAAAATTAGACATGTCAGATAAATTACAAGTATTTTTAAGATCTTCATATGCTAAATTACCTACAAAAGGATCAAAATTTGCTGCTGGTTATGATATATATTCTTCAGAAAATGCTATAATACCTAAACAAGGTCAAGGATTAGTTAAAACTGATATATCAATTGCAATTCCATTAGGTACTTATGGTAGAATTGCTCCAAGATCAGGCTTAGCTGTTAAACATGGTATTTCAACTGGTGCTGGAGTTATTGATTATGACTATAGAGGTGAAGTTAAAATTGTATTATTTAATCATTCAGCTAATGATTTTGAAATTAAAACAGGTGATAGAATTGCACAATTAGTATTGGAAAAAATTGTTAATGCTGAAATTGAAGAAGTTACAGAAGAAGACTTGACAAAAACTGATAGAGGTGAAGGTGGATTTGGATCGACTGGTACAAATTAGAATAGAAATTAATAAATATGTGTATTTACTCTATAAACAAGGTTCAATTTTTTGTAGTTGCTTCTTCCTTTTTAGCTTCTTCTTCTTCTTTTGCCTTTTCTGATCTTATTGGTGATGCAGGATCTTCTTCAGCTTTATTATGAACTTCAGTAGTTTTATCTTCAATTTTTTCACTTTCTGGTTTATCTTTATCTTCTTCAACTTTAACACCCTCACTTGCAGTGTCTTCATATTCATCTAATTTAATATCATCTTTGACTTTATTAACAGTATCTTTTTCTCTTTCATTTTCTTCTTCAATCATTTCATCTTGTTCTTTAAGTATATTTAATTTTAATTTTGAATCATCACTTAATTCTAATTTTGCAACATTATAAACTTCATCAGGAATAGAAGATAAAACAGCTAATAATGCATCATAATAAGTTTCTAAAGTATGATCTTTATCACCATAAGTATAAGCAGATGATAAAATTAATAAAGTTGAAGGAATTTTTTGTCTTAATCTTAAATCTAACCAAGTTTCTAAATCATCTCTTAATCTAGCTGGAGAAACATCACTTGTTTTAATACCTCTTTGTGAACAAGCCATTTGTAATTCGGGTATACTTAAAGAATCAACACCTTCATAATCAATAGCTTTATCATCTTTAATTATAGTTAATAAACGATGTCTAATTTGATATCTTAAAATTGAATCAGTTCCAAATGGTCTTAAACTCATATATTTACACATTGCAACTAATTGATGTCTTGATAAATTATCTAAAACTTGATCATTTTTAAATAATCTTGCAACTTTAATTAATTGTTCACGAGTTGGATTTTTACCCATTGAAATACAATGGAAAAATTGAACAAATCCTTCTTTTTCAGAATCAGTAATCTTTTTAGATAATTTTAAACCACTTTGTTCCATTGTTTTTTTAATATATTCACTTGCGGCATTTCTTGTCTTCTTTAATTTAGCCTTTTTCTTTTGTTTATCAGTTTTTGATTCATACGTTGAAGGTAATAAATTTGGAAAAATTTTTAAAGCAACAGGTAATAATAATTCAGCAAATGGTATTATAACAAACATTGCAAATGGAACTAATCTAACTACATCAACTATAGTTCTTTGTAATTGATTACTTTCTCTTCTTGATAAACCATAACCAGCCATTAATTTAACTAATAATTTAGTACTTACTTTAACTTCATAACCTAATAATTTAGTACCATTCCAATAATGATTTGCTTCATGTTTAATTTTTTCCCATATTGATTTTTTAGGTTCTTCTTTAACTTTCTCTACAGCAGTTATAGTAGTATTTGAATTTGGATCGGTATTTGATTCGGTATTTGGACCTTTTTCTAAAGCTTCTACTGCATTAGCAGTACTTACTTCTTTTTGAAAATCTTTTTGTGATGATTTATTAGACTCAATATTGGAAGAGTTGAATCTTGAATGTATTATATTTAATTGAGGTCTTAATGGATATCTTTTGGATATCGACGTGGTTCTAGTTACATAATTTCTACTTATTATTCTTTTGAATACTAGTATTTCATAACGATTGATGTTTTTCAACAACACTAAACTCATAATGAATATTTACGAGTGGCAACAATAATTGGAAATAAAATTTATAACTTATTGCTTGTTTTATATATCTATCAATTAATCCCAGTGATAATTATCTCAATAATATCCAATAAATAAGTAATATGAAACCAAATGGTAAATGGTAAATAATTCAAAATTGGAATGAATGAATGAATGAATGAATGAATGAAATTTTAAACCCAAATTTGTTGTAATTAAATTTGACTTTTTTTTTTTTTTTTTTTTTTTCCTTCCATTGCAGCCTAAAAATAATTGGCATTGTCTGGACGCAAATTTAATACCAGATTCTTCGGTTGAGGGACTTTTTTATGCCAGCTTATGTAAGAATAATTGGCCTTAATCTGATTGCTTAATTTATTTACACGCCCAATTGGAAATAACATATAGTAAGGATGCTCTGATAGAGTAAAACGTATATGGTAAGGATGCAAGACATACAGTCCATTGACTATATATTAATCTATTATTCATCTTCTAATTTTGGTAACGAACCTTGATCTTTTGATTCTCCGTTAACTCCAACTATTATTATTTTTTCAATTATAGTATGTGAATCTTCATCTTCAGAATCAAAAAATAGTGTCAAATTTTGTACATTTTGGAATTTAACATATTTTAATTTAACTTCATACCAGGAACCATCACTACCTTCAATTTTCTCTAAATGTGGTGAATTATTATCCTCACTTGCTTCTTCAAAAGATAAAACACTTCTATTACTCCATAATTTACATAAATTAGGTAATTGTAACTCATCAACATCTTCCTGATCTATTTTTAAATTATCTTTCTTAACTTGTTTATTTAATTTAATTAATATTGAATATATTTTGGAAATGTTTAAAAATGGAATAAAGATTAATAATTGAGAATCAGAATCTGATATAATTGTACCTTTTTCATTTGAATCCAAGTTAAATAAATCTTTATAAGTTGCATCTTTGTAAATATTTAAACCATTTAATAATTCAAATGACGAATACTCGATATTGGAGTTTAATATATCGAAACCTTTAGATATATATGATTTGATATCTTTCAAATAAGCATTAGAACTATAATTTGCAACTTGTGAACTTCCTTTTCTTGAAATACCTTCATTTTGAGCTTGCGTATTGTACTCTTCAATTTTATGATGTAATTGATCGACATTTGCACCTTTTAACCTATCAGTTTCAGTACCATTCTTAATAAATATAAATGTAAGTACAGCTGTTACGGTAAATTTAGTAGCTAAATCTCTTTGAGAATCTAAATCGACTCTTACAATTTCAACATTTTTAAAATTATCATATAATTTATCAACTATTGGTTTTATAGCTTGACACGGACCACACCAAGAAGCAGTGAAATTAGCAACTAAATATTTATTATTCTTAATATAGTTATTAAAATCAGTAGTTGATTTAACAAATTGAATTGACATTGGAATACCCTTTGGTGATAATTTTTGTATTGATCGTTAATATTTTTTTATTTCCAGTGCGCTTAAAAATAAATTTTCACCCTACGATAAATTTATCCAGTTTGGTTTCATGTCACAACGAAAAGTTAGTGATACTAGTCCCAAGCCTACGCCATTATCATCGCTACGACTATCTAGAATAGATAATGAATTAAATGACAATTTAAAACTGGAACACAATTTAAATTATGACTCAATTCCAAGTTCAAATTCTTCAATTAAAGATAATAATCAAAATCAATTCAATTTAGATATTGATGATATATATACAACAGCAGATTTTAAAAATAAAGATAAATCAAAATCCAAATTAGTTGTTTCAAAAGAAGATCTTAAAAAAGCATCCGAATTAACTTCATTATTTTTAGATACAAGAAAGATCTTACGAGCAGATTGTAACATTGTAGATTCAAATAATGATGATTCTTTAAAAATTAGTTCCAATTCAAGTATATCCCGAAATACAATAATTCGAGCCGAGAAAGTTAAAACTATGATAGGTGTTAAATATTTTTATATTCAACGAATGTATGAATGGAATGAATCACATAAAGAATCAAATGAACATCCGGGAGTAGAAGGAGTTTATAATCCATTACAAATATTGAGAAATAGAAAAATTCGTTCAAAATATAAAGAATATCCAAAACCACTCCATCTCAAGACTTTACCATTAGCTTGTAATGTATTTAGTAAATATAATCAACCGGAATATAATCACCACAGGAAAAAACCATGGAGAATGGTTTATGCAATTGAATTGAATGAAATTATAGGTGATACTCGATGGAGAACAAATCATTGGCATGAATTAAAAGATCCAAAGGGTAATTTATGGTTTCCCATTAAAAAAGAAAAGAAACGAGATCTTTTAAAACAAAGACTACATGATAAACTATTTGATGAGAATACTACTGATGATGAGAAGGTGAAAAAACATCGAAGAGGGAGAAGTTCAGTGACAACTACATCAGGATCAGATTCAGAAGGTGGAATTTATTTATTTAATCGTATTCTGAGATCGAAATCACCAAGAAAGAAACACAAAATGAAAGATAAGATGAAGAATATATATAAAGGCGACTCATCAAGCTCATCAGATATAAATGTTGAAACAAATTCTGAAAATCCATTAAATTCACAATTTTTTAAAAGAGTAAATGTTAATCTTAATCATTCAGATTCATCAGATGAAATTCAACAACAACAACAAAATCAACAACAACAACAACCAAATCAACAACTACAACAACAACCATCACAAGTACCCCCAATAATAACCATAAATCCAACGAGTCCTCCCGAAATTGGCTCAATATCAAATGTGGAATTCCAACGCTCAACAAGAAAACCAAGTCAAGAAATGATCGAAAACATAGAGAATGAAAAACCACCGTTAAATTGTGTTGAGGTGATAGATCAAAGGGAGAAAGATTTCGTCAAGATTCAATCAAATTTGAATTATTTTCAACAATGTTGTGAATTAAAAAGACAATATTTAATTAACATATACCCGGTAAATCTTGAACTCATATCGGGTAAAGTTGAATATATAACCAAGGATCAAATTTTCCACATTTTCAACCTTATTTCAGTTATAAATGATGAATTATTTCCCAATTATGAAGAATTATATTTAGGGTTCATTGAGGAACTGAAATCTATAATTCATATGATTAATGATAATTATAACATAAAGATAGATACGTTATTAAGTAGTTCTGATCGATGTTTAAGTGAAATTAATGCCACTTTATCGCTTGATTTGAGGAAGATAAATGAAGAGTTAGATAATTTGGAAAATTCAATGATTAAAAATAAGACAATACGAGGTGAATTGAAATTATTACATCATCATCATAGTGGTGATTCAAGTGGGAATTACAAGTTTTTATATTTGTGTCTTGAAAATTTTATAATTGTATTGTTGAGAGTTATTTGGGTTATTGTTAACGTTTTAAATGTATTTATTTGGATAATTAGATTGGTGTGGAAAATGATTAGGTTATTTATTTAGGGTTGATATATGGTTTATAATAATACTACTACTATCTTCTATTTCGACTTTGTTATTTTATTTAATTGAGATAATATAAGTTGATCATCTTGATCTAACATTAGACCTATGACATTCTCTTCATCAACGATACTCATAATTTCTTCTACTGCAGTGTCTGAACTTAGTCTAATCACTACCTTATTCGTCATTTCTTTATTATATTTCTCAATGGGTAAAATTATAAACGTATCATCATTACCACGACTTTGAACAATACTCAATTGTCCCAAGTTGTCTATATTCAAATATCTATGTGGTTTAGAAATTGACATTATTGAATCGTGACAAGTACTTAAATTATCATTTGGAATCAATCCAATTGGGAACGGTAAACCACTACATATTTCTCTATGGGTCTGAGATTCAATGAAACTACTCTCGAGCACTCCTAAACTGAAAACATCAGAATAATAATTGATATTGATATTGTTTCTAACTAAACCAATTACAGGATACGTCTCAGCTTCAGCAATCAACAATTGTCTATTTCTTAAAATATTGTTAGATTTCAACTCTACCAATATGCAAACGTTTAAATTTTCATAACTAGAAGAAGGAGCTGTATTCATTAAAATTAATAATTTATCGTGTTTAAGTATATTTTTTCTATTCTTCCTTATTTGAGTTCTGAGCGCACTTGAAATTGGTAATTTTGTCTTTATTGAACTTGGTGATTCTATTTCCATATATTCATCGTCATATTCTAAATTTATCGATGTTGTTGAGTTTGTAGGGATTAATGATTCTGTATCTGTAGTATTCACACTATTGACATTTTCAATAATGTCATTTTTAATAGTATGCAATTTGGCTGATATTCTTTGACTAAACATAATATAATAAAACCGTTATTGACTTTAAATTGTATTGAGATGTTTAAAATCTTTTATAGTTAAATTTAAATTTCTGACTCATTTCATGCTAGTCTAAATTTTAAAAATGTTTTCTTGGTTATAATATTTTTAACGGGTTATGATATTGAACTAAATGAGTATTTATTAAAATGCTACCAATCTTGTTATGTGGTGATTTAATGCTGCTACAAGTTAGTTGGTATTAAACCTATTTGTAGAACTCGCGAGTTCGACTCTCGAGTTCGATCATACTGGTTTGGTGTCAAAATATATTGTGACTATAAAAAGGGGGTGTAACTTGGGGTGTATTATTTTAATCTCAAATTTACGAGAATTAAAGCTAGCATTCACAATAAAACCTAGGATATTGGTTAGATATGGCTGTTGAGAGTATATATCTGATAGGTTTGGGGTAGATTATACTGACTTTTGCTAGTGCTTTTGTTCAGTTTCATTCGTAATTACAATTTCAAATTGCAATATTTATTTCAGAATGTTTAAAAAAAAATAAAAAAAAAAAAATATTTTATCCGATTGAAAAAAAAAAAAAAAAATAAAAAAAAAAGATTTCAATGTAATATTGGTTTAAACAATCTTTCATTATGCAACCAAGATCAATTACATTATTACAAAAAATAGATCAAATAGTAGAACAAATCCTAATTAAATTTAATGATATTTTACAAACTTTCATAAATGAAGAAAAACCAAAAGAACTCCTATCTATAGAATCAATAAGTATTGAAAATAACGCAATTCAAATAATACGATTATGTCAAGATTTATTAAATATAAGTAGACAATTGAAAGAAATTTGGGTATTAAATAGTATCAAAATTAATGATGATGAAAAATTAAAGATGACTGATGATGAAGTTAAAGATATTTTTAAAAAATTTAATTTATTAACTGATAAAATTGCACAGTTTGAAGATGGTAATAAATTGAGTCAGGATGAGTGAGGGTGCTGTAATATCAGGATGTTGGAATAAGTAAGGATGCTGTAATGTCAAGATGCCAAAATGAGTGCTAAAAAAGCATCAGTGATGTTGTTTTAAAGGTGACTGGTTCACTAAATTATAGGAGGTGAAATGAATTACGTTCAGTTGTTTATCAGCATTGTAAAAGGAGGTAAAAGAATTAGCTTCAAATGTCATTGTTCGTTCATTCATAATACATACTATATAATACAATTAATACAACGTCATAAAATACATAATTATCTCTTAAGATCTGCTTACATCCTTACTTTATATTGTTGGACTTGTTGATCTACTAGGTATTCTACTTCCAACCCTACTAGTTTTCCTACTTGTAAATTGACTATTTGAATTAGAATCATTTTCTTTCTTTTCTTCAAATAAATTTACAAATTTTTGAACTTTACCAACTTTTATAAATTTAAATTTTTTATCATCTTTAATATATGAAGGAACATCAGAAGATGAATTAAAAGCATATTCTAATCCAAATTTTTCATCGGAATTAACCATTGAAATTGAATGATTTGAAGTCATTCTACTAATTGATTTTCTAACTTTTGTGGGAGATTGAAATGAATTCAGTCTAGTTAATTTTGTAAAATCATAATCATCTTCATCAAATTTCAACGGTGATGAAGAAGGTAGTTTATTTCTCTTCTTTTCCGGACTTATTAAACCCTCATTCTCCATTTCACATTCAACTTCAATTAAATCATCTAAACATGAGTGAAAATTTGTAATTGCTGATGTTTTCGGTGTTATTATTTCTTCATTATGTCGTAAATTTTCAATATCAAGAAACTTATCACTTAGAAATTTCTCTTCATCACTGATATCACTATATCGTCTCTTGAATTCATCACTTAATGTATCGTTTGATTTTAAAGGTTCGACAAATGGCATCATTATATCTTCTTCTTCACTGCATTCAAGGGTGGAATCACTAATATCTGAAAAACTCTTCTTTTGATCCTCTGAATCTTCCAACTCTTTCAACACTATATTCCTAATATATGACTCAATAATGAGTATAAACTCATGGAATAAATTGTAATTCTCATCTTGTTTGAATCTGATAATGACTTTTTCGGAAATTGATAAATCAAATTGTAATTTAATAGTGACTATAAAATTATCATCTAGTGTATTTAAATTTATACTATTACTTTTTTCATTCCTTATTATACTTGATAAATAACTTTTATTTGATTGGTGAACAGATATTAGATTTCTCTTAAGTAATGTTGATAATTTTATACTTGATCTCGATAATAATGTATTTAATTCAATTTGAACAGTTATATAAATATTATTAAGTAATTTCTTCTTATTTTGAAATATTGATATGATTTTATATGGTATATTTGAAGAATGAATTAAATTTGGTTTTATAACTTCATAATAATCATCTTGATTATTTTGTTTCAAGTGTCTCTTTTTAAGTTTAATTATTGAATTCATGACAAATAAACCAACAAAATGAAACTCTTAACAGTTAAATATAAATCTATCAATAGTCTGGTGATGATAACAAATTCTCCTTATTAATGTTGTTGTTTATAAACTATCTAAATTTGTTTAAAATAAAAACACAAACTGAAAAACAGCCAAAATGCACGACCACTATAAATTTATATTTTTTTCAATTATCAACAAAAATTAACCAACCTTTAATCCAAATGTCAAATTCTTATTATTTCACAATTATAGGTACTAAAGATAATCCATTATATGAATTAGAATTCTCATCTTTTAAGAATATACCTACAACATTACCTTCCAATTATATACCTGGCAAATCTCAATTTTCACAACTGACTAAAGAATTATTACCATTTATTGCAAATTCATCATTGGATATAATTGAAGATTTACAATTTCTGACAAATCTTTTAAATCTAGGTAAAATTGATCAATTTTATGGATTGAATATAAATGGATATATAACTCAAGGTTCAATTAAATTTATAATATGTTATGATTCTACAAAAGATGAAAGTAATTCAATTAAACAATTTTTTCAAGAAATTAATGAATTATATAGTAAGGTTTTGTTGAATCCATTTTATAATGTTAATGATGCTATTATATCTCCTGATTTTGATTTGAAAGTGAAACAACTAGCGAGGAAGTACTTGTAAGGATGCTAGTAAGGATGCAAGTGAGGGTGAGGATGCTAGTCAGAATGCAACAAACACTTGAGGTAGTAATTAACGAACTACTTATAGACTATTTAGATTTAATGAATGTAACGAATTATAGAATATATACCATATATACAAGATTTTATTTTGATTTTTCAGCTTCTTCTTTTTCTTTTAATTTCTTTTCATGTTCAATTTCTTCTGGTGTTTTCTTTAATACTTTTTCAGTTTCAATTTTATAATCACCATTTTCAGTTTCTACAATAATTCCTTGTTGTTTTAAAGCATTAAACATATCTTGAGGGATCCAACCACCAGTAGCATTAAAAGGACTACTTACAACTTTTAATTGATGATCAGAAACTTTAGATTGATAATCATCAAGATAAATCTCATCATATTCAATTGGAAACTTTGAATCTTTACTATTTACAAGCTCATTAGCTACATAGGTTTCCCACAAGGCTTGTAATTGAACAATTGAACCTTCAACGTATAAATAATCATTATTTGCTTTCAAATCAATAGCTTGAAGATAAGGACTTTTTAAAACTTTGATATGTGGAGATGCAACTGCTATTAAATCATGATTGTTTTTATTTAATTCCATTTCCCATAATCTTTCATTTCTTGTTTTATAATACATGAATTCATATTGTTGTTTTTCCAATTCATCCAATTTTTCAAAATTAGGTATATCTTCTTTAAGATTGTAGATTTTTGCTCCATTGTAAGCTATGAAATTAGGATAAGCTTGTAATATAAAAGGTTTAATTACTGAATTTTCAAAATCAATAAAGTATGAACCATTTTCATTTTGGATAACATTTAATGGATCCAAATCAGGTACAAATAATCTAGGATTGAATAATTCTTCTATATTTTTAACTGATTTACTTACTGGATTGATTAAACTTGGTGTTATTTTTTTCAAATTTTCAAATGTTTCAATTTGAGATTTTAGGATCGGAATTTGATCTTTTGATTCACCTGCATCTGCTTCAATTAAATTTAATTTATATTTAGCATTTTCTAATTCTAATTCGGATACTGAAGTCATTAAATCAATCGGATTTGAAGCATTCCAAGGACCTCTAAATTGATTAACAATTTTTGAATTTAATTTATTTTTATTTTTAAAGATATATTTCTCGACACTTGGACCTATTCTCCATCTATTTATTAAATTCTCATCGGTTTCACCATCATATGGTACATCATTTTGTAGTTCACCATTTACGTCAGATTTAAAATATATTGAACCAAATTTAGTAAATACAATTTTTGAAATTGAGTCATGAAATTTCGCAATGGGTTCAATCACCTCCAAAAGTTTATCCTTCTCTGAGTCAGGTAATAATGGATGCCATTTCTTCATCAATAATTCACCAGATATAAATTCTTGCAAAATAAATGGAGATTCTAATTTATTATTTGAATTTGTTCCATATGCTAATACTTTAGGTACATTTAATCCAAGTTTCAAATTTAAAAAATCCATTGTTGCAACTTCACTCTTTAAAATTTCACCAATTGCATAATTTGAATTTAATTTATATGGAATTCTTAAAATTAATTCCTTATTTGTGTTCAACGTGACTTTGTAAATTCTATTATGTTTACCTTCATGGATAGACGCAATTGATTTAACAATTAATTTAGAATCACCGGTATTTCCTAATAATTCGAGATTGTGTTGAAGGATTCTAACTCCATCTTTTTCAATTGGTGGTAAAATTGATTCCAATTTTGATTGATTTAAAGTTTCTAAAGATAATGCTAATCCCTCAATTGAAAATTTAGTCTCTCTTTGTCTTTTCTTCAATTTATCATCTTTTAACCACGATCCCCAAGAATATTGAAAGAAATTGTTTCTTTTTGGATCATTTGTATCTGATAATTTTGTATATACTTCACTTGGATCTGATGATAATGTGGAATAAAATTTATTAGATCTAACAATTGATGCTTTGGTTATTGGCTTAGCTAATTTTAGTCTCCTACTACTTCTAGCTATCCTTGTTAACATTGTTGCAACTTTTTTGACCTTTGGACTTCTCTTAAAAAAAAAAAAAAATTATGATGTTTTCAATTTTTTATTACTGGAGAAATTAATTATGTAATATGATGAAATGGCTGCGAAAATAATAACATAGAATGTTCGAAAGAAGATTAGAAAGATTAACAGCTGTCAAATGGAATTCAAGCAGAGCTCAAACAGTTTGACGTAAAAATTTAGGTGAAACAAAACGATTGATTGATATTGTCTACGTATTTCAAATAAGTTCGAAGAGTTGCTAATTGCAAGATCAGCAGAGACGACAGACATAGTAGATTCTCATTGAATAAATAACCTGTGTATATTTTTACCTTTTAAATATTTTTCATTAACAATCAACATCATTTTTTATCCTTTTTTGAATATTCTTGTGAATTATCACCATCACTACTATTTTCATCCATATCCATATCCTCATTATCATCTCTAAACCCTTTTTCATTTCTCAATTGTTGTTGTTTTATCATATTTTGATATTGTTGATTATGAAACATATTCAGAATAATATTACTTGAATAAGCAGTAGGACCAATTCTATGAAATTTTTTACCTTCAATACCATCTTTAGTAGCAGTAGTAGATAAACATGATGTAGTCAGATTTCTTGAAATTGGTCTTGAAAAAGGATCCAATAAATCTGAATTATATTCTTCATCACCATCATCTTCTATATTTTGATTTTGATAATTTGAATCAGTGGAGACAAGTGATAAATTTGTATCATTCTTAGCTGGAGATGTTGAATGTGAATTTATATCTAAAGCCCTGAGATTTTTTGAAGTGATACTATAATTTGAATTTGAATGTATTGACTCATTAGTCAATGTAGGTGTGATATTGAAATTATTATCTGTGGTCGTTATTGATGATGATGTGCTTAATAAATGTTTACTATTATTGTTGTTACTATTGTTGTTACTATTGTTGTTATTATTGTTGTTATTATTGTTGTTATTATTGTTGTTATTATTGTTGTTATCTATATTATAGAATTCAGTTGCATCTGCTGGATAGGAGTTTAAATTTATCTTCCCACTATAAATTGATTTGACACTAGCTGCTGGATGTGACATTGTAAGTTAATGATAAAAAGAAAAAAGTACAAATCAAAATTATAAGATGTTTTAAAAATATTTTTAATGTGTGATTGTTTGATTTATTTTATTTGATTTTTATTTGATTTTTATTTTCTATTTTCTATTTTGGTTGCAACTGATTTTTTTATTTTTTTTTTTTTTTTTTTTTTTTTTATTTTTTTATATCTTTGTTGTTGCTTTATAATGTATAGTTTAATTTTATTATCACCTCCCACATATTAGATAGACTATAAACGTTTGTTACTTGTTGGACCATGAGAAAGGCAAGCAATTCTTATACTACTATCTGTTCCTTACTTTCTTATCTCCATAGATCGGTATAAACCCATTAATGGTTTTGATCCAAGTCATTTATTTTTTTCTTTTTTTTTTTTTTTTTTTTTTTGATTGGTCAGAAAAAGAATCGCGCTATTTACCCCTTAAACCGATAGAATAAAATGAATTATATATTGACATTTCTTCGTATATTATTTCCATTCTTACTTTAAAAACTATACATACATTCATTATTTCCATTCTTATTTTAAAAACTATACATAAATTCACTATCAATACATAAATCAGCTGAATGAACATTTAAAATCTCATGATATGATGAACTTGCTCCTAATAACTCTTTTGATAAATTATCCATATCTTGTGTATGACCATCAGTTAATGTTATTTCCAATAATTTATTTTCAATTTTTTTAAAAACTTCTGAACATTTCTTTGCAACTATCCAGTCACTTCCAAAAGCTTGAAAAATTTCAATACAATAACATATTTCAGTTTTTGATTCAATTAAATCAATTGCCCATTTACATAAACAATATAAAATGGTAGTACAAACCATTAAAAATCTATATAATGTTGTCCAATTTAATGGTAATAATTTAGTTATGAATAATTTATAAGTACTTGATAATGTTTCTAAACATGCTTTTCCTAATAAATTTAAAATGTCTTGTGATGGATGTGGATTTAAAAATGATGGACGATACAATAAAATTAATAAATGATTATATCTTGCACTATACCATGGTACTTGAGCATGGAAAGTTAATGGATGTTGAGTTCTATTTTGAACTGAATTATTATCTAGTGATTTTGCTTGAAGGTACCATTTTTCAATTTCATCTCTAATTTCAGATAACACTTTATTACAATTTTCTTTATCATTATTTACATTGACTGAATGTACTCTTCTTAATATTTGACCTTCTATTCTCCTCAAATTTATAATTAATTGACTCACAATTATATCATCAAAATCATCGTCCAAATTTTGTGGGAATGGTACATTTATATCATCATCGTTTATAGCTACTGGTCTACCTAATGAAACAGAGCTCAATCTATCAATATTGTAAACTGCCCAAAATAATCTGGACCTCATTTCAACTTCTCGAATTGTATAATTTTTAGAATCACCATCGGATATTTTTTGATTTAGACCTAAATGAATAGCCATTCTAGTTAATTTACCTGAAATTTCCCAAGTTATAAACTCAGCAGGATTAAATAATGAATATAATGCTAATAAAATCAAATTCTTTAAATTCTTTTTATCATTACTTGATAAATTATTATGTACAAAATTTAAAGCCATAGATACAAAATATTCAGATATCTTTTTATCTCTTCCTATTATACCTGTCCTTTCTAACCCAGTTGATCCAATTGCAAGTATCATATATAATTCATATTGATCTGGATAAGCATCTAATGAAGCAATATCATCATCAAAAATTTTATTAAAATTTTGTAAAAATTCATTCTTATTAACAACAGGACATACTCTATGATTATGCATGAAATAAGCATTTATAATTCTTGATAATAATTCTCTATCTACTATTGGTGGTATAATACTTACATTTGAATTTGTCTTTATCCCCACAGCAGTAATTAAGATCTTTGATATTTGTTTTGGATATGAATTAAAATTTGGTGCTCTTGCATCTATTGAATTTAAATATGATGGTGGGGGTGGTGATGATAATGTATTATTTTCTATAACTGGAGACACTACATTATCCATCGGCGATGTTCTTTTTAAAAATGGTAAATCTGGGGTAGGTGCTTCATTATTATCAGTTGTTGATTCCATTTCTATATTTGGTGATACTGATTGAATTTCAACAAATAATAAATCTTTTTTCTGTTTTGGTTCTTTTGATTGTCTTTGCTTTCTTGGAACATACGTACATTGCTCACCAGCTCTATCACAATTTGAACATTCTGGTTGTTGTTTACCACATTTTTTTTTCAATTTTCTACAACGTAAACAACTAGTTAATTTTGAAGTATCTTTTTTATTCTCATCTATTGTAGTTGGTGGTTTTGATTTTATTAGTTGTGGTTTTTTAACTCTAAATTTAGTTACAACTGGATCTTGTTGTTGTTGCATCTTTATTAATAAATCAAAATAATAATAACTAGATTTGGTGGAACGAGTTTTTGACTATTTAGGAAATTTTAAAAGCCGCGGAAACTTTTTCAAAATTTGGCAATCAAATTGGAATATTTTATAACAAGCTCATTACGGAAATGCCGATAAGGTAACTACTCCAATGAGGTCTAAGGTACATGCATTATAATGTAAAGCTCTTGTCAATTGTTTACATTTCGAAAAATCGTATATAATATCCTCATATTTCGCATCAATTTTAAAGTACGATTTTTTCAACAATAGAATGATGACAATTGATAAAGAAGGACCAAAATATGATAGAATAGCAATTATAGGCGGTGGACCAGCTGGTTTAGCAGCTGCAAAAGCATTAGCTTACGAACCTATAAATTTCAAGACTATAGATTTATATGAACGAAGAGATAAATTAGGTGGATTATGGTATCATCATGGTGATAAAACAAAATTACATCCTTCTGTACCTTCAGTTAATCAGTATTCAAGAGAAATGACCTCTGAAGGTGCTTTAAAAGAGGATATTTACACATCTGCAATTTATAAATACATGGAAACTAATATAGTTTATCCAATAATGGAATATAATCAGGTATATTTCCCCAGAAATTCTAGAATTTACCCATTGAGACAATCTGTGTTAGATTACATTGAAGAATATATAAAATCTATGCCTGAATCAGTCAATTTCAATCTCAATTCAAACATTATATCAGTTGAGAAGGTGAATGATGTATGGCAGGTCAAAGTTGAGGATGAAGAGGTTAAAGAATATGATGCTGTAGTTATTGCAAATGGTCATTTTAATACACCGTACATTCCAGATGTACCGGGATTAAAAGAATGGAATGAACATCTCTCTAATACAATTTCACATTCTAAATATTATCAATCTCCAAATGATTACAAGAATAAAACTGTGTTAGTGATTGGAAATGCAGCTAGTGGAGTCGACTTATCAACACAAATAAGCACAGTAGCAAAGAAAGTTTATGTTTCTGTTAGGGATAAATCGAAATTGACTTTGAAAAATTCATTAATTGATTATATTGGAATGGTAGAGGAGTACAACCACACTGACAAATCAGTAATCACAAGAGATGGAGAAACAGTCAATGGCATAGACTCCGTTATATTCTGTACTGGTTATTTTTATAGTTTTCCATTTTTGAAGCTTGATAATATATTAACTGATGGAAGACAAGTTCAAAATATTTATAAACAAATTTTTAATATTCAAGATCCATCAATTTCATTCGTTGCATTACTTAAAAATTTTTTGCCTATGCCAGTTTCAGAATATCAATCATCATTAATTGCAAGAGTATATTCTGGTAGATATAAATTACCAAATGAAGAAGAAATGAAAGAAGATTATGAAATAGAAATGATTAAAAAAGGTAAAGGTTCACCATTTCATGATTTTTCATTCCCTAAAGATATTGATTATTGTGAACATTTAAAATCATTAATTGAGACTCAAAATTGTTTACAAAGTGGTTTAATTGGACCATTATGGACAAAAGAGAAGATATATTATAGACTGCAAACTAAAATACAAAAAGAAGAAAGACTAAGAGATTTGATTGAACATGTTAAACAGTTACGAAAAGAAGGTAAAGATTTTTCATTACTAAATTAATTATTTGTATGGTTAAATCTTAAGGAGTATTTTCAATTGGTAGCGTTTCAGAAATTTACACAAAATTTAATTTTTTTTTGCAGCAAATTCCCATACAAATTTTATTTTACCATGCCAACCAATTCTAAATCACAACTGCAAGTAACTGTAAACGAATCAAATCATTTAATATATCAATTAATAGCTACTAGTATTTATTGTATTACTTATCTTCGAGATATTTTTGAAGATGATAATTATTTAGATTTGAAATTTTACTCAAGTGCAACACCGTCTGATGATTTTATCAAAATTAAAAAATTAATTAAAGGTCATTCTTCTAAAGCTGAAGCTTTGATTCATTGTGTTGAACATGGAATTAAAGAAGCAATTGAATTTGGTTATCTTAAAGCTATTCAATTTATAATTTATACTAATGTTGAATTAGAAGCACATGAATCTTATTTATTTCATATTGATTATCAAAATGAATGTGTTTCAGTATCTTTAAATAATGAATTTGAAGAATATACTACTGATTCATTATTATCCGAAATGCAACAATTGATTAAAAGATTATTATTAGTTACTCAAACTTTCAAAACTATTAAAGATGATAAGAATATTATGGTTAGATTATTATTCACTGATGATTGTCCATCCAATTATCAACCTCCATTCTTTCAAGAAACTAAAGAATCTACAACTATTAAAGTTTTGAAAAAGGAATCTCATTTTGAAGTTGGTAGTATTAATATACCTGAAACTTACGTCGATGCCTATGTGTTTGTATCTACTACAAAACCCGAATTTATTGAAATAGATCCATTTAAACATTTATATCCACCAATTGGAGAAATTCCAGCCTCATCATTGAAAACAAGGATTGTAAAAGAAGAAGCTAAGGAAGTATTTGAAACTCAAGTTGGAACTCAAGTTGTTGAGGAAACATTTGAAACTCAAGTTCGAACTCAATTTGGTATTGCTAAATGTCGTACTTGTGATCAAGAATTTGATTTATTATTATTTGGATATGAATTAGGTACTACTCATTCAATTCAATGTTATGATTGTATATATAATAATTATCCATTAGATTTACAAATTTTAATTAAAACTAGAAAACTATATACACATTTAGAAAACAATGAAGCATTTCCAACATTTGAAGAATTAAAAGAAATAATAAATTTAGAATCTAGTATCATTGTTCAAATTTTGAATTTTTTATTCAAATTTAATTTTATCATTTTGGTCAATGATTTTAATTTTAGTACAATGAATGAAAAATGTATTTCTGATAGTTTTGTACCTCCAATTGATGGAATATTATCAAATGATGGATCTAAACTAGATATTGGAAAGCAATATTTTATCGGATTTGTACCAAACCTAATTTTGAAATTTCCTTTTATGTCATTTGATAAAGATGTTTATTCAATTTTGTTTCCAAATTATAAAAGAACAAGAAAAGATTTGATTAGTCATAATTTGAATAAATTTAGAATGATATTTTATGATAATTTAAAAAGTTCATATATAAGTGATTCATTAAATTCAAATGATTTACCAAAATTGAAATATGTGACTACTTTAAGATATAATAGTTCTCAATTTTCAGCATTAAGTCAAGCTCTGAAATCTTCAATTAGTTCAAAACGAACAATGATTGAAAAAATCAAGAAAGAAAATGATTTTGATTTCGATTTTGATCCAAATGAAACTATTAAAGAAATTACAAATGATGCGAATGCAAGTGGCGAAATGTCATTATCTGATTCAATTGATTATTTAGCATCACAACAACCTCCAGAACCAATTAAAAGAAAATTGGAAAATGATAGTGATGCAAATAATGGAAAAAAACAAATGAAAGTTAGTGTAAATAAATTTAGATTCGATTAGAGTTAGAATTAGAGAGTAGAAAGCTATATATATTGCATTTATTTATAGTTTAATGTCGAGGTTCTCTATTTATTAGTATGTTTTCAATTGGTAGCGAAGCAATTGTAATTCTACAACATTTGCTTATATACAGTTCTTTAATACTTAATTTCAAGATTTTAACTGCAGATAACTCCCTCAATACTAAAGCTGTAGTTGCCAGACTCTATTTGTTAAGATCTCAGTAGGCTCTGGTTAAAATGAGTCTATATAAAATGGCCATTTTCAACTTTGATCTTTTTATTACTCACTGAAAAAAATCGAAAGAAACGTCTTTCAAGATAAATAGTGCTTAGACCTCATTTTGCTACTTCTAATATATCTGATTGGCCTATTTAGCCTCAAATATGACCTGAATCAATTTTTCAAGACGGTAAAATCACTTTGAATTTTTTTCAAAATTTTCGAACCGTTTTGAAAAATTAGTATTCAAATTTTGGATACCTTAGCACAAAACTCTCGAGGTTTATTAGCGTTCCAGAACTACGAATTTGGATACTTTTATCATACTTTCACCACGATTTTGATTGTGGAGTTAGATTTTTTGTGAGGTCAATTTATTCGATTTTTCCCATAGTTCAAGAAAATTTTGAAATTTCTCAATTTTAGTTACATCTCTCAAAATTAAGTTTAGCAATTTGGTTTGAGGTATATTATCCGTTGTTTAGTGGAAAGTTATGGCCGTAAATAAAACTTTGCATTTTCATTTTAAGCAATTTTTAGTATGATGAAAAATGGCCAAAATGATAACTCAAAAAAAATCTTTGAAATCGATGTCTTTAGTTATGTATAATATACAACTCAAAGGTCTTGATTTCATACAACTGGCTCTCGGCTCCAGAGTATTTTTTGTTCATGAGAAATTAAGTAATGAGTTTGGTACGAGTCGCCCTGGAGCCAACGCGAAGTGAAGCTTCTTTTTCCACCATCTCTTCGCATTAAAAGAAATATTTCTTTTATTACCATCTGTAAAACCTACAATTTCTTCATTAATAATCTTTACCATGTGTAACTAGCACGAACTAAAGTCAAACAAGCTCTGCATCACAACTCAGTTGATGATTACCTTATTGCGCTACAATATGACACTAATTTAAACGGTTTATTGTGCTAAAACATTGAGTGAAGTTTTCAACACTATTTACAATAAAGAAAGGATTTCTATTTTGTTCATCGTTTCTTGTAGAATTGGTATTTATCTACTGATAGTAGCGCAAATCGTTTTAAGTCAAGGGTAAGGCTATAACCAGATCTATGTAAAAAAATGAAACCCTATGTAATCTTCCGAAAATAGAACAATATACGAATATTATTTTTATAAAGAAAGCTTATCTCTATAAATACTCTGAAACAATACTTAGAAGAAAAGCTTAATCTTACAAGATATCTAATCAGATCCATCTCTTCAATTGGTTTGAATTCTATTGTCATATTTTTGATGTCTTTAATTTGACGTATAAAAAAAGAATTCGTCACCCTCCAAAAAAGCCGTCTGTCGTTTATAATTAAAAATTTTGATCTGTTGTTTTAGTCTATGGGAAAATTGAAACCGACAACGGCACCACAACGAAGAAAACATACAAATTCAAGATTAGGTTGTTTAAATTGTAAAAAGAAAAAGATAAGATGTGATGAAATTTTACCAAGTTGTAAAAATTGTTTGAAAGGCAAAAATCAAACATGTTCGTATTTACTGTTATCGGTTCAAGAGATTGAGAAAATAAAATTAACACATTCATTAAGAAACAGTCAGAATAAATTATTAAATCAAGATTTTCGACTACCTTCAAATATAGCCAGTTTATCAAATACAAAAGGAGATTTAAATGGGGATATTTTAGATATGAAATTTGAATTGAAAAATTTACCCATTCCATTACCGAAATTAAAATATTCCACAATAGAGTTTAGTAATAGTTCTATTAATGATTTTAAAAATGATTACATTGTTAAAAATGATAAGTTACCTAATGGAATAGATTACAAAGTAAAATTTGCAATTTTAAAATCTTCAAGTTTTCAAAAAGTTAACATGGAAAGAGTCTCATCTAAATCAATAGCTGATTTAAGTTATCAGGTTGTAATTGGGAAAAGTAATTTATTAGATCATATAAGTGATTTATTATTAACTCAACCTCCTTTAAAATCAAGTCAGAAAAATGTTCTTATTGAAAGTTATATTTTACTTGGGGAGTCAATTATGAGAAATGTATTACAAAGAAAACAAAAAATACTTGAAACTAAAGAAATTGTAGCTGATAAAATTGAATTATATGTAAATGCATTGAATAAAAGGTGTTTGGAAAGATACAATTATTGTAAACATGATTTGGCCATACGATCGAGAAACATAGATAATGAATCGCATTTACCTACATCACAATTTAGTAGACAAATTGAATTTATTGCATTTAGTTCCTATTTATTAAATTTTGCAGTTTTAATGATGGGTTTCGGAGCTACTAATTATTTCAATTCTTCAAAAGGTATATTTTTAGCTTATCATTCTTATTACAAGTATATGTTAGAACATAATACTCCACCAGTGACTACAGTCATTTTTTTGCAAAATAATCTTCATTTTAATATCATGAGTATTAATATTCCAAGTTATGAACCTGATTTTTTATTTGAGATTGAATCAAATTTAAGAAATTTACAATTTATATATTTCAGTTCCTCATTTTTTTTCATTAATAATCCAACTTTACATGAATCTTCATTAACATTGGAATTTTATTATAAATCATTAATGTCATTTATAAATGAAAATTTATTACCGATTGTTTATTCATTAAGGAATAAAAATTTTATTACAACATATCCACCTAATGCAATTTATGAAATTTTTAAACGATGGCATCTGATTTGTCCTTCAGAAGCAATGAATTATGTTTCAGCTATAAATTATGAATATTATGATCAATCGATTTATTTAAATGCATTAAGTACAACTTTATTCATGTACTATTATGCTGTTGCTGCTTCTTTAGATGCTGTATTTCCGAGTTGTAAATATTTATACAGTATGACTTTCATGTTACCAACAAATACATTTTTCAAAAATAGAAGTATCATGACGGTGCCTAGAGATAATCCATATTTAAAAACTATGTTTGAATTCAAAATTGATGAACTATTACAAAGACACATATGTTATGCAAGTCGTTTATTTGCATTTTTTAGAAGAAGATTTGTATTTTATTATAATAATATGACATGGAAAAATCCATTTGATGATGAAAATTTAAAAAATAATAGATTTAAAACTAGAGTATACGATTTAAGTATTGAAATTCCGATTAAATCATTCAATACAACATTAATTAGACCTGAACATTATCCAAGTAGGAATTATAATAGTTTAGGGAATCCATATTTGAATTTCACTAGAGAAGATGATACAATGTCAAAGCATTTATATGCTAGAAATATAGAAACTTTAGACCTATTTAATGAGTCACAGTTGATACAGTATGATTATGAGACATTATTATTATTGAGAGATTATAGACCTTTGGATGATAGTTTTGCAATTAATAGATCAACGTTGAATCCAAAAGATATAGGAGATTACTATAAAGATAAAGTATTAATATTAAATAGTTTATCACAAGCATTATAAATATCTTGACAGGTGCAAGATTATAAAATATACATTAATTTATTTAATTCTCTACATTTTTAAAACACACATTTAAAACCTGCTTCAACTCGTCTTGTTTTACAAATTGAGCCTTCTTCAAATATTCTACAGCAGCCAAAGTATATTTCAAATCTTTAACATTTGTAGAATCAATATCCATATCATCATCTTCATCTTCTTTATTCTCACTTTCTTTTACTTCTTTCTTTACACCTTCACCACATTTCAACCATATTTTCCCATTTATACCAATGGCAATCTCAAATTGACACTTATTAGCTAACAATTTTAAAAATATGGAATTGGCATCATATAATAATTCTCTTGCAAAATTTAAATTAACGTTGAAAACGTATCCTGAATCATCTAATACTCCACACCCTTCATCAATACATTCTATTTCATTTTCAATTTCTATTGAATCAACTGTGACTTTTCCATATACGACTTGACCATTTTTCAAATTTGGTCTATTTTTTTTTGTAGCATTTGCAAAACTCATAAAGTTTAATAACACCGGTGTTGAAAAATCTTGTAACTGTACTTTGTAAAATTCACCAATTGAACCTACTACTATACCTATTACAAGGTCATTTTTATGTGGAATATACCTTTTTGAATTTGATTCAATGTAAATTAATTGTTTATTTGATTGTGTGGAGTGATTTAATATACCAGGTTGAGTTGGAATGAATTTTGGTTCTCTTGTAGGGAATTTATATATACCTGGTCCTATTGTAGTTTTATATTGTGATATATCTTCAATTTCTAAATTATCGCCTGGCAATATTAATGATGATGACATGCTGAAATTTATTCCTGTACCTAATTCTTTCCCTACTAATTAACAAACTGTGCTAAAATGACTCTTAATAACAAAATTGATCTCCTTCTTTAACCTCTGTTGTGGAATTCAGTTAAACCCTAATCTCGTAGTATTTGGTTAATCTTTAGATCGATGGTAACTTTTTATCGCATCAATTTCTTGCATCGCGAAAAATAATTTTTTGGTACCAAAATTATTATGACTACGGCTGCTAAAAATGTTAATATAATTGATAATAATAAGAAAAATCAAATAGAAAAAACTAAAAGAAGGAAAAATTATGATGATCAACAAGTACAAGGTACAAACAATTCTTCAATTGTTTCAAAAAGAAGTGTTGAAAAACATTATACAAATCTATTACAACCTCAACATGGAGAATTTTTCAAATATTTTGTAAAACAAAAGAAGTTTAGACGTTCACCAGCTATAAATAGAGGATATTGGATTAGAATGGAGACTATAAGGACAATGATAATGAGAATAATATCATTTAATTCTGGTGCAAAAATCAATATTATAAATCTAGGGTGTGGTTTTGATTCATTACCTTTTCAAATGTTACATTCTAACAAAGTTTCAAATTTGAATTTTATAGATATAGATTATCCGGACCTCATAGTGAACAAATACAATCTTATTATGGAATCAGAGGAGATTAAAGATCTAATCGGGGAATTTACAAGTGAATCAAGTAATTATAAACTAAAAAGTAATCAATATCAATTGGTAGGATGTGATTTAAAAGATATAAACGGGTATAAAGAAATCATTGAGTCATTAGTGGATCAGCCAGATATTAATATATTTGTAGCTGAAGTTTCTTTAGCTTATATGAATCCTAAATTTGCAAATTCTGTAATTGAAGTTTCTTCATCCATTCCAAATAGTCATTTTTTAATTCTTGAACAAATTATACCTGATGGTAAGAACAACTCATTTGCTCAAAAGATGTTATACCATTTTGATCATTTACGATCTCCAATTCAATGTGTTCAACAATATCATAATAAAAATTTACAAATTGAAAGGTTCAAACAATATTATCCATACGTTGAAATAAGAAACTTATTTGAAAATTGGCAATGTTTAATTGATGATGAAATGAAAGTGAAAATAAACAAGGTTGAGGAATTTGATGAATGGGAAGAATTCATATTATTTTGTCAACATTATATAGTTGTGCATTCAACAAACTTGAGTAATCAAATGGTATATACGAATGAAAATGATGAGATAGAAGAGAAGTTTGAGTGGGATGATAAAGTGAGGTTTAATCATGTAAATGAATTCAATAAAGAAATGTTGGAGATCAAATTTCCTGCTGTCTCATCTATAAATGATCAAATAGTAATCAATGGTGGATTGAAACAAATGAGGACTAATGAGACGTTGTCTGTTTCTATTGAAAGTAAAGATATTGATGTTTTACAATTTCAAGGTCCAGATATTCCAATTGGAAGGATGTGTCATAGCTTAACAAACATAAATGATGATCAATTGATTTTGATTGGAGGTAGATTAAAACCAAATGAGTATTTAAAAGATGTATACTCATTAAGAGATAATGTATGGACCAGATTGAAAGTTTTACCATTTGAAAGATCAAGACACTCAGTTATAACTATAGATAATGACAAGTTATTAATATTTGGTGGATTGAAGAAGGAGAATAATGAAAGTCCATTTATAATATATAATATAGCTACAGAAACAACTACAAATTTGAAAGTACAAGGTGACAATCCAGGAAATTTATTAAGTTCAACATTAGTTTATGAAAATGGTACTGGTTATATATTTGGAGGTATCCAGGATCACAATATACCCATTATAAATTCAAGTCTATACAAATTTAAAATCAAAAATGACAAAATTTACATTGAAAAAGTTTTTGAACATTATTTATTATCAAGAATTGGAAGTCAAGGGAGAATAATACATGGTGGATCTAAGGTTTTAATTGTTGGTGGTACTTCATCAACACAGATATTTACAAAGTATACAAGTATTATGACTTTAGGTTTAAATACATTCGAATTCAAAAGTGTTGAAATTGATGAATCAATTAGAGAAGAACACTCACCTATATTTATTGGATTTTCATTAGTTGATTTGAATAATAAACTATACGTCATTGGTGGTGGTGCTGTTTGTTATTCTTTTGGAAGTTGTTATAATAGTGTTTATGAAATAGATAGTAATTAGCATAGGATAGAATTAGATAGTTTAAGGCATATTTTTGAGTCAACAAGTTAATCTGGAGTATATATATTAATTTGTGAAGCAAAAAGATTCTGTGATTTCTATATTTGCTTATCATATTCATTTAACTTTTTCCTGCAAATAAAGCACAAATCTTTGATGTTCATCGTAAAAAATACGAACGTGCATATAAATCAAACGCGCGATTTAAATTTTTTTTTTTTTGTTTTTTGTTTTTTTTTTATTTTTTATATTTGAATTATTATAATCAGTATTTCTTCAATCGAAGCATGTGGCACAATTAGGTTGGCTTAGTGACTTACAGACTACTATCTTATTATGAGTGATATTAGGAGTGACCAAAACAACTTAAGCGTGTTTCGCAAAGAGTGAATATGTAAATGATAATAAATTTAATATAGTTTGATCCGAAACAGCCATTAAAAAACGACTGAATGAAGCAAGAAACGGGAGAAAAATTGATAACAAAAGTGTCTGAAAATAAACAAAAAGAATAGAATCTGAGACCGACCGTTAGTGAATATTTTTATTAGGCCATACATAATATTACATTTAATACAACTCAAACTTCATCCGTGTCAAAAATATCAATATGACTTTCCAAAGTAACACTAAATCAATCAAATTTTTAGATCTGGATTAATTGATGCGCGTAGTTTATATTTTTTTATGGGGAAGAAGAGATAAAATGGTTTTGAAATTAAGGAGTAAATACAGTAATAAACTTTGTAACTGTTGACTAAAGAATTATAATTTAGACCAATAAGTACATCGTCAAAGTTATTCATCGTGGTTATCGGTATGTATGTATATAATCTATATACACTCCCAATCAGCTCTTTGTCTCGGAATCTGTGATCTTTTTTTCCACTTCGATTTGATAATTTTGCAGCAAGCTGTTATTTTTTACTTGCTGAGATGAATTGATGAGACCTGGATAGACTGGGACTAATAAAAACTGGCTATGAGCAAATATTAAACAGTATTAATAGATACTAAATTTGCTATATTGCATAACTGAAGGAGTTTGAAATAGTTTAAAAAAGCTTAACAAGTGAAAATATTATAATTGATTAGATCATACCACTATAAATTTTTAAAAAAACTGTGGAATCTAACTCGAGATTAAGCAAGTAAATGTTATAAGTATTGTGCAATAACTACTTATATTAAGGATTATATTAACATATGTATTGATAAGTTTAATTGTGTTCATAACTGTATAACACTACATTTGTTCTCTTCATCTTTTAAATTAAACTTCGGTTTTTAATTTTTTTTTTTTTATTTTTTTTTCATATATTCAATTTTGTGTCATAAAGAAATAACTCCCTATACTAAATGATGAACAGTGTATAACTTATCAGTTTATCCATACTTATCAATACAATCAATCACCTTATCGAGTGAAAAATAATTATTGTTTTTCTTTTACTTTATTGTTCATCCAATTTAACGGCTTATAGATTTATAGATTCGACTACTGTTAAACAAGTTAGAATCTTATCTTATCAACTTATACTATAAAACAATCGATCCTTTCACAAAATAAAAAAAATCAAATAAAAAAATAGCCGATAAAAATTTAAACTTTTTTTACCCAACCATTTTTTTATAATCGTATACAACAAGTTTTTATTTGAAAGCATATATATATCAACAAATTTGTTGTTAATTAATCAAAACCATCGTATTCAAGTAGTTTATTGACTTGTCAACCAAATATCCCTTTCCAAATACTCATCTTTACATCATTAACTTTGACGAGAGGCATATTACATTATAACTCCGCAATATTTTGAAAATTAATATTTTGCATTTATATATAAATATCAATAACAAGTTTCAGAATAATTTTCATTTTTTCATCTTCGCCAATATCATAATTTTCATTTTTCATATAACTTCCAGACCTTGTTAATTAGTGGTCAAATTAATAATATTTTAGTCATATCAAAATTATCATTACAATTGCCTGGGCCCGCCATAATTAATTTACATCATCATAGGTCGATTATAAACCATCCATCATTGTTATTAGCACTATACCCGCAACATTTTTTATATCTTAATACTTTGCATCACAAAATAAGGTAGATTTTGTGATATTTTTCAAACATTTCAATAATTTATATCATTTATATATGTCAATGGTCAGCAGTTTCAAACCACCAATCTTACTGAATAATAACAATTCTTTGTTCAAATCATCATCCACAAATACCACAAATACCACAAATTCATCAACTCCGTCACCCGGAGTACACCATGAAAGGCGTCGATCTTATTCAGAATCATCAAATAATGACTTAAATGGAAATAGTGATACTACAAAAGATGAAGTTCCATTATCAATGAGCTTTCTACACAAACCAAAGAGATCTGACGAATTTTTCAAGCAATCAAATGATCCTACAAAGTTAAATTCATTATTAAATAAAAAAATTGAATCGCCAAGAGATGATGATGAAATACCACCAGATTATTTTAATCATAAACATTATGGAGGAAACATACTTGAAGAAAATCATGATACTACACAACTGAGTGATTTACTAAGTTCTTCGTCTTCATCTTCACCATCATCAATCTCAACTCCCAAATTAAACAATCCAATTTTTCAAAATGATATTGATTCAGACTATAAATTAGTACGTAAAAAGTCTGGTGAATTAGTTAAACCATCATTAAAATCTCCATCATTTGATCAATTTAAGAAAAGATCAATGTCATTACCTACAACTCCAACTTTTAAACAAGTGCATTTTGGTGATTCGAATGATATTCGATATTTTAAACAAAAAGATCGTCCAACTGCAGTATCAGCTACAAATTCACCTACATTTGGTAATTTAGTATCCGATGACGATGATGATTATGATGATAATGAAAGATATAGTGATTCAGAAATTGAATCGTCGACTAGTACTAAAGATTTTCATAATTTTAGTTTATTAGATACTCATTATCCAAATAAAATTCTGTTTAAACCAAATTGGCAATTGAAATTATTAAATTTCCCACCATTATCTTATGCAAAAAAGGTTGATTTACATGTACCTGTCTTTCTTGAAAAATTATTTATATCTCAAGATAAGAAATTTTTATTTGGTTATATTGCAGTTAAAAATTTAGCATATTCAAAACATTTAACAGTTAGGTATACATTAGATTCATGGCAAACAATAATTGAAATTCCAACAATTTATACAACAAATTTTGATGTTGAAATTTTGAAAAATAATGATTATGATCGATTTTATTTTAAAATTCCATTGAATAATTTATTTAATAGTTTTAAATTTAATTCTTCAACTGATTCATTAAGTGATGATTCAAAAAAAGATTTAAGTAATTCATCAAAAAATTATCAATTATGTATTAAATACTGCGTTGATAATCAAGAATATTGGGATAATAATAATTTTCAAAATTATAAAATCAAATTGACTAAAACTATGAATTCAAACTTACCTGAACAGCAACAACTGAATTCTAAAATTCAACAACATTCATCAAGACCAAAATATTCAAGTAAGTATGTTAAAAATCATAAACAAGAAGATAATGAAGATTATGAAAAGAATAATTATTACATAACTAGTCCATTATTAGGATCAATTCAAAAAAATCAAGATGATGATTTATTAAGAAATACAGAAGACAAATCAATTAAATCAAAAGAACAACCAAAATATAAGAAAACTTTCAGAGATCAATTAAAGAATTCAAATTTTAATGATGAATTAATACCTAAAATTGATCCATCAATTAAAAATAATAATAAAAAGAATAATTTTTTAAGTTCAAAATCATATAAAGAATTATTGGAAAATTATTGTTTCTTTAATGATACAAAAATTAATGAGGATAATGATAAAAAGGATTCTTATTCAGTTTCATCCTTTTTAGGAACATAAGTCGGGGTAATTTATAGATTAAATAAATTCATTCTTTTAATATATGAAGTTTATTGATTATCATTATTCATTAAACCTACTCAAAACAATACATTTTTACATCACCCAGTTCTAAACCAGCTACAAATCTTGAATCACTTAATTCAACACATGAAACACTCAGGTAATTACCAAAAGTATGTAAACACTTACCATTTTGTAAATCCCAAACTTTAATTAAATTATCATGGGCTCCACTTATAATTCTAAAAGTATCTGCAGCAATTGACCAAACACCTTCAATATGACCAAATTGTGTACGTATACATTTACCAGTTGATACATCCCATAATTTAATAGTATTATCCAATGATGAAGTTAATAAATGTGTTGGATATCCATTTGTTGTAACTGTTGGCAATACCAATTTTTCAGTCATATCTTCTTCATCTGAATTATCTTCAATTAATTCTTCTTTATAAGTAAAAGGTATAACACTTTGAACTTGTCCAATATGACCATTAGTTTCAATTCCACCAAATATTTTTAAACATTGATTATTTGATAAATCCCACATTCGAATTGTTGTATCATCAGAAGCTGAAAATATTAGATTATTAAAAATCTTTACACAATTGACCCAATCTGTATGTCCTCTTAATGTATAACAAGTTCTTGAATCAACATGCCAGACTCTAACTGTGTGATCAGCGGATCCACTAACAATCAGTTTATTTGAAAAATCAACCAGTACAACAGCATCATCATGACCTCTATAAGTAGCAATACAATGACCAGTATGATAATTCCAAACTTTAATAGTCGAATCTAAACCACCAGTAATTAACTTTTGTTGATCAAATACTAAAGATCTAACACCTTTCGTATGTCCAGTTAATGTTCTTATACATTCACCAGTATCAATTTTCCAAATTTTTATAGTTGTATCATATGAACCAGTCATTAAGTATTTTCTATTAAATTTTAAACATGTAACTCCATCACTATGACCAATAAATGTTTTAATTTCATAAGATCCATTTCTCCATCGTTTTTCTATTTGATATCTTTCTGAATAGACTGATTTCCATGGTCTCTTCTTGATTTCTTTTTTTGGTACTTCTGTTTTTATCTTCTTTGGAGGTGGTTGTGAATCTGTATCTTTTTCATCTTCAGTAATCATCTCTCTAGCACGTTTCATATGCATTAATGGTAATCCCCAACCACAATTTGGGCATTTTCTATCAATATGTTGTTCACACATATGATGCCAAACTCTATCATCATCAGCTAAACTTTTCCATTTTCTTGAAACTTGTGCAGCATTACATAAACTTTTACAATCTAAATAACATAATATTTTTAATGATAATTCTTGTGGTAAAGTAGTTATAAAATCTATTTTAATTAATTGACTTACTTCTTGTGATATATATGATAATTGTGGGAAACAACATTGTGTTAATATACCTTGTAATATTAATTGTCGATGATGTACTGGTGCAGCACTGAAAATTGACCATACGTGAGAAATAGCTTCTTGATCTCTATTTGGTAATTGTTCTAATTTTTGTTGAATTATTTTCATTTTATATTCATCAGTACTTTTATTACATGTAATTTCTGGATTATGTCGATAACAGTATTTATGAAAATTATCTCTGGGAATTAAATTTTGATCACTTATATGTTTGACTAAAAATGGAGTTACAACAGAAACATCTTCATTTGAAACTGGTTCTAATTCATTTATTTCAGTATTTTGTATAAATTCTTCATCTTTGGGTATGGATTCTTCTTTTATTGATGGATGTGGAGAATTTTTCGTTGTAGTTGCATTTATTAGATCGTTAAAATTATTTGTTGCATTGATTGAATTTTCATCTGATTCACAATTATTTTGTAAATTCATAAGCGCTAGGTATAATTAGTTGATTATGAATGATAATAGTTTATGTGATATGAATATTTCAAGATATATATATATAGAATTTACGCCGTGGTTTCTTAGTATATTGTCTAGAAGGAAAAAAAAACTGTGGTTTTGACACATACTTATATTTTTTTTTTTTGGTTTCATGCACTAAAAATTTTTAGATTTTGTGTAATCTTGTGTAATCTTGATCTTGAATAAATAAGCGTGATCTTTGAAAAGTATTATGCTCATAACTAAGATAAGTTATTCATTTGTAATATTACTAAGTTTTTTGAAGTAACTTCTACTTGTTATTAAACTCGTGGTTTCAGTTTTGATGGAGATGAGTTTAACAAATTTACCTATTTCGTCTGAACAATTAAAAGTAGAATCTCTTATTTTTATTCTATAGTTTCACAGTTTTATTGAGCCGTTTATAGAATACATTTATTGTAGCCACAAAATCCGAATGAATGATTAAGATTTAAACAAAGAAAACCCTTGAGGTAAAGGACAATGTTAGACGATGATTTATATGAATGCACTGAATTGTATTTATTTAAAATTAATTTTTAGATGATAAAACGATAAAATTTGCCTATTTATATAAATCAGAAAAACGCCACAGTTTTGAATAACTTCAATTTCGTATCTGTAGACCGTTTTGTAATCTTTCGTAATAAATTATTCATGCGCAATTCAAATCTTCTATTATTTATATGAATTTGTCAAAATAAATTTGACCGTCTAATTTTCGTACCAATTTTCGTACCCGGAGCGAAAATTATAACATCGTTTAAAATTGATGTGAATACCCGAAGCGAAAATTATAACATCGATTAAAACTGATGTGAATAACTGAATAGAGGAAGTAAAAGCGATATTTATTTGTACTTTCTATATCTTATTAACGAAAAAGGTTTTTCAGCCACCGTTACCCATAGTAATATATGTAATTAGTATAATAGGGAACACTTTTATGTACATAACTATTTTTAAAGGAGAATTTTGACATAACAATACTTAGTGTTGACGAAGAAACCTTCAGTTGCTTATTTATATCATTATGAAAATTGAAAATGATCAACATTTGCTCCTTCTTGTTATCGTGATTTTATTCTTTTAACTTTATTAATCGTTTAACTTGAGTTTTTGCGAAATAGATGCAAAATTTTCGAAAGGTCAAAACTCATCCAAAAGTTAAGGTATCGCAATGAAACACACTCAAAAGAAATATTTGAAACTTCTACAACATTCTACAACTAATTTGAGCGTGTTAATAGGTCTATGTGAGAGGGAATGGTGTTGCAAAAAAGCTTCAGAACTTTTTTACTTGATAGACTTAATTTTTTAACTCCACATCCAAAGCAATATAGCTTGGCGGAATAAACTCGGGTTTTAACGCCCGGTTCCTGGTCCCTTGGCCCAGTTGGTTAAGGCGTGGTGCTAATAACGCCAAGATCAGCAGTTCGATCCTGCTAGGGACCAATTTTTTTTTTTACATTTAAGCCTTATACGATGGTATGAGAAGTTCTTTTTGGAACAACGAGGACAAAAAATCTTTTTTTTTGCGTTTTCAGTATGAATACATATTTGGTTTGTATTTTCATGTGGTCAAAGTTTCAAGATTGTAGCTTGTCATTTAGTGTTCGAAAATGCTGCTCAAAGCTGCTCAACCTTACCGAATTTTCTGAAACACGAAAGCGCAAATGTTTTTTTTCTCAAGATCTGACGAGCGCAAAATTTGAAATTACCCAATAGAAATTCATAATTAGTGTGCTTTGTATGCTTTCAGCTGTTTGCAGTATCGAGCAATACATGGATGTTTGATTATATATACAGATCCATACTACATTTAATTAACTTGTTCTCCGTCGAAATTACATTAATTTTGACCCTCAGAGTTCAAGAGATGCATATGATAAAATTGTTTCAAGTATAAAAAAGATCATAAACAAGTTTGCAATCAAGTTTATATGATTTTTCATCAACTGTAGCATTTCTGTTAGTGGTTCAGCATCTTGGTTTTGGGACAGCATCCATCAAAATAAAGTAAAATTTTTTGAAGATATTCATCCAGACGATTGTTTTGAAGTAGTTACGCTTTATTTAACTTGATCTGAATCGATGTGATGTTATACTGTTGATGCATCCTGAATCACGTCTATATAATTCTCGAGACCATGTTCGAACAAGTAAAGAGTTGAAACTAGTTCGACATTTCGTAGTATTAAATAGAATGAAGTATGGGACTCAACATTTTGGAGAGAAGTAATTGGAAGCTAGGGGTAGATGTGAGTTTTGTATTGCAAAATCTTCTCCTTTGACCAAAACTTGTATATGTGTATAGTTCAAAAAGACTTTATTAATCAAATTGAAAGTTGATGATGAAACAAATACCTAACCAAAGATGTTTTGAAGAATTATCAAAGAATTTAGTTGATGATTTTGACAACAAGCCATGTCATTTCTTTACTTTTTATTAACGTTTAGCTTATTCTGATTGTAGAATAAATTGATTATTGATAAAACAATATTTCGCGTTGTAAATTTATTTTCCTAAAATAACCCTACCCCATATTTTCGAATGTCAATAATATCTCCAAATCATATACAAATAGACAATGATGATGTATGTACAACCTGGTCGTTATAAAGATTTACTAACTTTTAGATGAATTGGACACAAGAAAAGCAACAACTATTGGAAAATTACATCACAAATTACTATCGATCATTATTAGATATTTCGAATTTTTATTCAAATATAAATTGGCAATATTTAACAAATCTAATAGGTGTAGATGATATAGAATTTACAAAATTGAAAATAGATGAGATATATGATGATAAAATAAATCTTAAAACTCAAAATATTGATGAAATTCTACAACATTGGAAATTAAAATCCAATTCCATATCAATAGAAATTGATAACCTAATCAATTCCATTAAATTAGAACCATTCCTAGAAGAAGAACCTAAAAGGGAAGAACCTAGAAAAGAAATGCCTAGATTAACCAAAACTCAACGAAGATTATCACTTGAATTAATGCATTCAAGACCATCGATAAATGAATTAGCAAAACCAGCAACTGCCACAATATCCAACGTAAATGTACTAGCCGGTGATAAAAAGAAACCCAAAACTATATCACGTCCAATGATTAAACAAAGACGAAGTTCATTGGTTGGTGAAAAATTACCGTTATATATCAAAAGACAATTATCAAATAGACCACAACAAACAGTTACTCCGAAGCCTTCCAAAATACAAATAAATGAACAGAAAGACTCAAGATTACAAAATCTAGTTGCCAATTCGCAATCTTTATATGCATATAAAGAACCAGATTCTACAAATACTTCTGAAACAGATCAACGATTACGAAATGATTCAGATGATGATGATAAAGAATATATACTGCCAGATTCACTAGCTAAATATTATGGAGAACAAATTGAAGAAGAAGAAGAAGAAGAGGGGGAAGAAGAAAATGATTTTGTCAATGTAAATGGTACTATTGAACTACAACCTGATGACGATGATGATTATTTGTTCAAGATTTAAATGATTTTAATAATGTAACTGAATATTCATACATGAACAATGAAATAGCACTAGTTGGTGCTGTTTTTAAAATACTTACCCCAAAACCTTTATACAAACCAAATATCCCTTCCTTTTTAATAATATTCATAAATATATGAAATGCACTAGCATATTTCTTACCATGTACAACTGAATACATTTGACATCGTTTTCTTAAAGTATCTAATGGAAATGTAATTCCTTTTGCTGTAGCTCCTGCTATAAATCCACAAATTCCTTCTATAAATGGTATTTTATCATATTTCCTACTGAAATCTCTTGCTAATTCATATGAACCAAACATCAAACCAGTAGTTGAAGCTATTGATAACATAGCCGGTCGTATACCTGCAAACATTCCAAAAAATCCTTCTGTTTTAATAATTTTTGACATTGTAGATGTCATTGATATTAAATTTCTTTTTGAATTTGCAACTAATCTTGTTCTTAATAAATCAAATGGATAAGTTACCCATATACTTGCAACACCAGCACCAATACCAACAATTAATGAATGTGTAGCTGGTGATAATTTGAGATTATAAACTTTTTCAAAATTATTTAATGATTTACTTAGTATTGAATATGAAGTAAATTGAACACCACCATATAATATATATAATATTTCAGCAGGTACATTACCTTTCCATAATGCAATTAAACCTTCTTCTCTTAATAAATTTTTAACAATTGTTGGTAAAGTTTTTCTATTTTTAAAACTATGTTGTTGTAATTGTAGTCGTATTTTAATAGTGTCTAATGGTGCAGTGAAAGCTCTTGAAACAGCACCAGATATAGCACCAGCTATTAAAGCTTCATATGCACTAACATCTGAACCTTTTCGTAAATGATCTTCTCTAGCCATAGCGAAAAAAAGAATAATATTCCATACGCGTATCGAATGAATAATCATAAATTAATACCAAAACATGAATTTGTTAATATATTAAATAATTTAAATGCTATTGATAATTCATTATCATTATATTTTACAAATCATTCCTCTCCACCTGAAGTTGAAAAATTATTACAACAAGCAAGTGAATTTGCAAGGAAAAGAATTTATCCATCTGATTTAACTACAATACTTGGAATAGCTGAAATGTATGAAATTAGTTCAATTGATGGTTTGAAAAGGATAAATTTTGCTAAAGTACCTTTAAGAAAAGAATATTTTAAAACCAAATTAAATGAATGGATTGATGAAAATCAAAATAATCCCCTACGCAAAACTCCAATTAAATTGAAAATCACCAAGAAAACTACAACACCATCACCAGTTAAACGTAAATTACTAGACCTCAAAAATGATACTTCAAAGTTTAAGTTTAAAGAAAAAAGTGAAACTTCAAGATTATCATTACTTGAAAGAATTAAATTAAAAGAACAATTAAAGAAAGAAGAAGAGCCAAAGGATGATTATGAAGCTTTATTACTTGATAAAATACCAATGATTTATGATACAATCTACCATTTACAAGATCAAAACAAACCAATTTCTATAAACAAACTAATACAAATTATCCAAGATTCATCAAATTTACCAATCCATGAATCTGAAATTAACGACGTAATGAAACTATTACAATCTAAATGCTCAAAATTTAAAATTGTTGAAACAAATTCACTTCGAGTACTCAAAGTAACAAACTTAAATAGAGATCAAGATTTAAAATTACTCAAAAGCTAAATACATATATAAATACAGTCTATTAATCTCTTAATGCAATATCAGCAGGTTGTGAATTCATGAAAAAATGTTTTAAAACATTTTCAATCAACCATGTAACAACTAAATCTACAATTATAGATCCAGTTAATTTTATTTTAAAATCTGAAGTCATTGGAACAAATTGCATTGCTTCATTAATTTCAGGTATAAATTCAGTTGAACCAGCAAATGTTAAAGCTGCAACACCTAATAACCCATAATACATACCTTTATTATCTTTAATGGATTCTCTAAAAGGTAAACCAATATAATTAACAGTAAATGTTGAAACTTGTTGAGCTAAATTTAATAAAAACATACCGGTATTCAATAACGAAGGAGCAAATTCTTTTTCTAAATTAACTTGAGGTTCTTTTGGTTCTAAAATATAAACTTCTCTTGTAATATAAATTAATGTAATTATATGAATTGCAAATTGACCTAAAATTGAACCCATAATATAAATATTAAATATTCCATCTTGTGGTCTTTCTTTCGATAATTTCTCCAATGGTCTACCTCTTGAAATCGACAAGAAACATACTGATAATAAAATACCTGAAATTGTAGCTTGTCCATCGCCAAATTTCATACCAGCTAAATATAAAACTGAAAGTGAATATGATGAAATTAAACAATTCAATGCTAAAATTTTATACATTTGAATTGTAGAAACTAATGCACAACGACCTTGACGAATAATATGAGTAACAGTATTAACATTGGCTAATTTAGATGTAAATGGAGCTGCAACTGATGCATCACCTAATTTTAAAACTGGTGCTTCATCTTCACCTTCAGCATCATTTAATGCACCAAGAATAGTATCAGCAAAATTTTGATTTTGTTGAGTAGCACCTTTAACTGGTTTAATTTCTTGTTTCATAGCAGCATCAACAGCTTTTCTCATATCATCTGTAATTGTAACACCTTTCTTTTCCATAGCTTCTAAATATTTTGGATTTTGGGGACCTGGAGGATATAAATGTGCAATAATAGGTGGAACTGGTGGTGGTGGTTTATTCCAATTTGCAAGAATTTGAACTTGTTTTTCATAAACTTTCACTGTAGCCTCAATTTTTCTATTTTCAGCAATCTTTTTCATACCTTCTTCAGTACCATTTAATAATGCAACACCAATATTTGCTTGTTTTAAAGCACCAACATCATTTGTACCATCACCACACATTAATGTATTATAACCAGCATCTTTTAATGAAGTAATAATAAATTCCTTTTGTGTTGGCGAAACTCTAGCATAAACCCATGTATGTTTTAATAAATCTAAAATTTGATCATGATTACTTAAATAATTTAATGCATGACCAGTTAAACAAATATCATATTTTTTAAACAATTCTAAATCAATTTTATCTTCTGAATGATATGGAATAACAACAGTTTCATTAACGTTTCTCCAAACTAAATTATCCTTTTCACCAATTTCATGATGTTCTTCTGGAGTGTCTAAAATTAATACATCTTTGGTTGTAATTGCAACTTCTTTAGCAACATGACATGCAGTTAATGGATTATCACCAGTAATCATAACAGAACGATGTGAAGATTCATTTAACATTTTAATAGTTTCAATAGCATCATCTTTTAATGGACAATGGAAAACAATAAAACCTGCAAAATGTAAGTTTGATTCGACATCTTCACGTTTAACTTTATTAACATTAACATTATCTAAGTATTTATAAGCAAGTGCTAAAACACGAGAACCTGATCTTGTAAATGATTTAAAAATTTCTTCATAATTTTCTGGAGCATCAACAACCATTTTACGAATAGTTTCTGGAGCACCTTTTGCAGCGACAAAATGTTTATTCAATGTATTAATTGATGAAATAGTCGATGATCTTTTTAAAGCTGATGAAAATTGAAATCTGCGTAAAATTTTGATCTTTTCAGTTTTACCATTTATAGTTCTTGAAACAGAATCATTAGCACCAACGTCCCAATGAGCAGCTTTTAGAGTTGCTTGTTCCATTGGATCACCAACAACCTCACCGTCATCTAATTTAACTAAAGCATGAGCAGAACCTAAAACTAAAGAAGTTGTTTGTGGAGCTTCTTCACATTTATGTAAATGATGGATATCATCATTATTGAATCCAGCTAAACCTTCAAAAACTAAATCTTCAGCAGTTAAAGTACCAGTTTTATCAAAACAACAAACATCAATTCTACCAGCTAATGGAATTCTAAATGGTTCAGTACAATAAACATAAAATTTTTGCAATTTTGATAAAGATGAATTAACAGCCATAGTTAATTCCATTGGTAATTCTGGTGGAACAACTGATGTAATAACAATAATACAATCCAAAATTAATTTAGATTGAACTCTACCCATTCTTGTACCTTCAACCCAAACATACCATGAAGCAGCAATTGCAAAGATCAATAAAAATAAAATAAACATAAATGCATCTTTATTACCAACAGAAACCTTTTCACTTGAAAAAATCATCATACGAACTAATGAACCTTGAGATGTTTCAAATCCAGTCTTTGTAACAATTGCAAATGCTCCATTATCTGGAGCAATTGGAATAATTGGATTTTCTGGTTTAGTGACTTGTAATGCCATTGTTCCACCATGTAAAATTGAATTTTTATCAAAACCTTCAGGATCTAATCTATCTTCTCCTGGTCTTAATTTAATAGATTCTTTTAGTAATGGAGTTGATTCACCTGATAGCATTGCTTCATTAACAATTGCTGAACCATCAGTTAATAATAAATCACAAGGTAATGCACTATCATCATTAGTTCTTGTAATTGAAACTAAATCTCCTGGTAATAATTCTGTAGTTGAAATTTTATTCCATTTACCAAATCTATGAACATAAACATCATAAGGTTTTATACCCATACTTTGAAATTCAGACATTGTAGTTCTTCTTTGGAAAACAGTTGTCATTTCAAATGAAACCAACATAAATAATGAAAATAATGAATAATACCATTGTTCATCCATACACCATAATGCAACACAGAAAATTTGAAAAACAAAAAATGGTGCAACAGCATGTTCTTTAAATAATTCTAAAAATGTTGGAACTGGTATATCAAATTTATTTGAACCATAATTTCTTTGCATTTTCTCCAAATCTCCCAATAAACCTTTATCTTGTTGATAAACTGATAATTTTGGTAATTGATCAAATACAAATTCTGGTGGTGAAAATTTTTGAATCTCTTCATGATATAAATGTCTTCTTTCTTGGTACAAGAAACTAACTTGTTTTTCACCATCATGAAAAGTTTCACGATTAATTTCACAAATTTCACCCATACCAGAATTTGCCGCAGGGGTGATTTTAATATAACTAGCTCCAATAATACTACCAACTTTTGAATAATTGAATTTAGCATTAATATCAATATTCCAATGAGGCGTTAACCAAAATAATAAATTTAAAGATACAATTGTAATTGTATAAACAAAAGTCCATTCTTTACCAACAAAATATTTATCATAATGTTGAAAATATAATTGTAAAAAAATTGGATATATTATAGTAAACGGCCAAACATAAGGTCTTAGAATAAATGATTTTGGAACCAATAATTCAGCATCCGATATAGCTGGATTGGCTACTATATTTGACATTATTTAGTTGAAAAAAAATTCAAATTTTATTTTGCCATTTTCTTTTTTTCTGTCGAATAATTTTCAGATAACACGTAAAATGAAACAAAAATTGAAGAAGAGATAGATCAAGAGAAGATGTGAGAAGATCAAGGTTGTAGCTGTATGAAATGAATTGAGACGATTGTTAGTGATATCGTTTATTGTTAGTGATATCGTTTATGTGTGAGTAACAGTGAGTCAGCAATGTTGTTGATTCAAAGATATTAAATTCACGGTATTAAAGATCATCTACGGTTGAGATAAAGTTAAAGTACTCTATCAGATCTTACTTCGACAATAAGACAATAAGACACAATAAGACTTCAACAAGGTTTTACAAATTACCTGATCTGGATTTATGTATATTAAATTTTTTGCATCCATATTTACGAATTTAGTAGGCGCGCTTAAAGATCATAAAACTGTGGCATCAGATCCATTTATAATATAAAAATTAGCTAATTTCCATAAATTTATACAACAATGTCATTTCAAGAGATTCCAATACTTGATTTAAAATTAGCTTTAGATCCTGAAACCAAACCTAAATTTCTTGAAGATTTAAGAAATGCAACTATTAATGTTGGGTTTTTATTATTGAAAAATTATGAATCATTAGGTCCTACACAAGAAGAACTAGAACAAGTTAAACAAATCGCTTTAGAATTCTTTGCTTTACCTGATGAAATTAAATTACAATGTGAAATGATAAATAGTCCACATTTCTTAGGATATACAAGGTTGGCAAATGAAATAACTGCTTCACATACTGATTGGAGAGAGCAAATTGATTTGGCAACTGAATTACCAGCTCCAACTTCAGATGAACCGATTTATAGAAATATTGAAGGTCCAAATCTTTGGCCTGATTCAAAAGCTATTCCAAATTTTAGACCAATAATAGAAAATTATATTAAAAAAATGACAACTTTAAGTGAAAGTTTTAAATATTTAGTTTTAGAATCAATTGGTTTAAATAGATCTGCATTAGATGGTTATTTTAAGGCAAATCAACAATGTAAAATGAAATTAATTGCATATCCAGATGTTTCAGAATTAGAAGGAGTCAATTCAGTTGCATTAAATGATACACCACAAACGAATCAAGGTTGTGGTCCACATAGAGACTCAGATTTAATCACATATATATATCAAGCAACTCCTCATGAAAATTCATTACAAGTTCAAAATTTTCAAGGTAAATGGATTAATGTACCTAATATTCCAGGTCATTTAGTTGTTAATAATGGTCAAACAATGGAAGCTATAACTCAAGGAGTTTGCAAAGCAACAATTCATAGAGTCTTGATTTCAAAACCTGGTACAGGTACAAGAATTTCAGTTCCATTTTTTTCTACAATTGATTTAGATAGTTCGAAATCTGCAATTAAAGATATACCAAAAGAGATAATTAAAGTAAAAGATGAAAGAGATGCAAAGATTAAAGATTGGGCCGTTGATATTGGATTTCAATTTATACCGGATGTTAATAAAGAGCCGGTTGGTTATTCTGTATTTAGAAATAGAATTAAATCTCATCAAGATGTTGCTAAAAGATGGTATCCTGATATATTAAGAGAGGTATTGAAAGAATATAAATATTAAGTTTTGAAGTTATGTAAGGTAAATTAATTTATGAGGTATTGTAATTCATTTTTCTATTATTTACTAGTTGTAAGCCGAACAATGAAATACTACCTTAAATTAGCCAAGAATATTCAATTTACGAGATCAATTTTTTGAACCATTACTTTTTATATTAAAATAAATATATTAAAATAAATAAATTAAAATTAAAATCACAGTATTAAAAACTGGGAAAGAAACCGGGAACCATAACATTAAAAATGATTATAAAAAAATTAAATCAATTGAACAAAAAATTGAAAATTGGTCAAATACAAACTAGCTGTATCGTCTATTGTTGTTTATTTTTTCTTGATTTATCTTGTAAATCAGGTAATGGAATGGCTTTAACAGTAATATAACTATTTTGTGGATTTGCAATACCAGCATAAGCATTGTACCAAGCAGTAAAAGCAGTAATTAAACCAAAAACACCACCAGCCTTTTTAACACCAGTTTTATTACTAAATTCAGCACAAGCCAATAGTAAAAATGTTATTGATAAAAAGAAAAATACCAAGAAAAATGCAACAGTTGATTTAACAGTTAATAACATCATGAAAAATGTAAAAATAAACCAACCAATTAAATATAACCCCAAAGCATGTCTCAATTGTGTAGTATCTTCACCATAAGCACTTAATATACCAAATGAATTAACTTGAATTGCAGCCCATGAACCCCAAAATCCACCATAAGAAGATAAAGCAACACCACCAAAAGTATTACCAACTGCAATTTCAAACATACCAGCAACCAATTGAGCAGCACCACCATAAAAGAATGCTAAACCAACTACAATATTTGGAATTGTAACACCTCTGGCTTCACAATTACATAATGATAAAACAAAAGTAGTTAAAGCAAAAGCTGATAAACCTAATGGAGCAGGATTTGCAAAATCATATTTTGGAGGAGGTGCTAAACCTGGATTTAAAGTACCACCAAAAGCTTGAACTAATTCTGATCTTAAATACTTTTCATTACCAAATTGAATATAATCACCATCAGTATGAATTTTTGTAACTGGATGATGAGGATCGTGAGGATTTGAATTTTGATCATTATCAATCACTAAATGATGATCTTGTGGTTGTTGGTTTTCTAAATCTGCAGCTGTTGACATATTAATTGATTAGCAAGTTGTTGATAAGCTACAAAAAAATTATAGGTTTAATTGAAAGATAAATATCTTTATATATATATGTTGATAATAGAATTTTTTTTAAGAAATCTTCATGGTTATTTTTAATTTTGTGATATTATATTCCTCTTTTTCTGTCTGGAATTAAAGTTTGTAGTCCGAAATGAACTGAAAAGATGCCTTGCGGAAAAAAAAAAATAATTCATAGAAAAAATAATTTATTATATAGAAACTTCAAACAATGAATGGAATAGAACATATGTTGATCACTGTGACTCCATGTTGTCTTTCATATGACCGAAGTACGCTCGTTGGTATATCAATTGACAAGCTCAGCTATCTCGCTGACAGTTTTCATTCAATCCAATAAAATATTTTCTGTGGGGGTATCGGCTTGCACCACTCTTGAAATTCTGGTTTTTTAATCGAGCATACCGAATAACCACAAACCAATAAACAAACAATAAATCGTTCAATCTAAAATTTATTAATTAAGAAAATTAGTTCACGTCACTCTGTTTGATATTAGAGATATTAAACATATGGGGATTATAATAATTTTTTTCTGAATTTGTAAACCCCCTAAACAATCAAAATTTGCAGCCATTTTATTACACTCAAAGAAACGAGGTAGTGATTGAACTGATATGACCAACTAATCATCATCAGGGAAATTAATACTGAGAGTTGTTCTTTTGTCAATAGCTCGTTTATTGTTTTTCTTTATTGTGTTCCTTATTATAATTTTCAGCCCCCCACAGCCAGTTCCTTTATTATATACATAAATCTGGTGGTGCATAAAATATCTCAGTTTAAGAGAGAATTTTAGACGAGGTTTTACACAACATACTTACTTTTATTTTGACAATCTGATCATAAGTTCGAGTAATCATTTGAATAGTCGATGTATCAATTTATAATCATGAGTTAGACAAACTGAAGTAATTGGTATATACTAGTTGATTGATCTTCTATTATTTGAATCTGACGTATTATATTAGTCCTTAATAAATACATCATCAGTCGAGAAAATTTATTTTTTGTCGGCATAAGGTTCTAATTCTATTTTATTGTTTGACGCGATGATGGTTCTGTTTACCCCACAAAAGAATTGTGTCAGACATCGAAAGTTAAAATGTTTAATTCTTAGCTAAAAGTTTATAACCGGTCGAAGACACCTGATTTAATTGAACCGTAACAATTCTCAAAACCACCATCAATTCTTTGCAACTAGAGATGTCAATTTGATGTTTATGTGATAATTTACAAAACTACTGACAACCCACACTGCTCATGAGATCTAATAAGCCAACTTAGAGTTTATTCTAATAGTGTAAGACTCGCAATCATTTAGCTTGGCTCAATCATTTTACTCACTCCTTACCCCATAATTCAATTATAATAATTCTTATTTCGGACATCTTCTCAGTTCTTCAGGTTCTAAATCCGTAATTCTCCAGATTTCGTCGTTATCTCGCCTATACCTATCTTTGACTCGTATAATTTTATGTAGATTCACTTAAGTTTTGCAAAACTTTACTAATTGTAGATTCAAAAAAATCAATTGAAGATGTTCAATATGGTAAATGGATGCTAATTCTCGACTAGCCAGTGAATGTACTAAACACACCGGGACTCAGATCTCTGAAACTCTTGCAGCAGATTGTTAATCATTCTTGACTATTTGCTAATTTGCAGCCAATCAATGCTTATGTACTTCAGAATTGCAAGCAAATGTTTTTGAAATATCGACTTAATCTATACGACTTAAAATCCATACTGTTCTTTTCTAAGTTTTTTATAAGTTCTTCTAGCAGCTGCATAAACCAATTGATCAGCCAAGTTAGTCAATTTATTATCACCATGACCTCTAACTGTAATAGCACAAAAGCGTCCCAATTACAAATCATCATAAAAATCTCCAATAACAACGTACAGTCCCATGCCTTATAAGAAGATCTGGAAGCGAAACAGGCTCATCAGCATCAACTAGGAATTCTCATGAAATATTCTAAAGTTTAATTTTTACTTTGAACTCGTGATAGTTTATTAACTCTTAATTGCATAAACATTTACAATAACCCCTTTTTGTATAAATTCACATTGTATATCTTTGCTTATATATTGGTATTTCAATTTCAACTTCAACTTTAGTAATAAATCGATTACATTTGGTAGCTCGTGTTTTTTTTGTTGATTTGACCGTTCCATAAAATAATCAAATCAGCAACCGATAAGATCCAATGTCTTCTCAATCAGGTATAACTATCTCACAAGAATTATTAAACGTATATAAAAAATTAAGAGAGAATGACTCATTAGTTATTAAAGTAAATGATCTGTTGATTGAATTAATACCCGATGAAAACTACAAAAGTAATTCAAATGATATATTTGGCAATTTGAAAAGTTATATCAAAAACGAATATCCACAACCTGGTTATATCATAGTTGTAATGGACTCAATTCAATATTTTATTAGTTTTATACCTGATAATGCGCCAATTAAACAAAAGATGCTATATGCATCGACGAAAAATACTATATTGAACAATTTAGGATCAAATAATTTCACTAAGAAGTTAAATTTTACTGAATTAGATGAGCTTAATCTAGGTTCACTTGAAGATGATGGTGTTTCTGCTCCTTTAAATGATGATGAGAAAATACTTAAAGATATGAATAATATGGAACTTGAAAATGTACATGGTTATAAAAAGGAATTAGCTTCGATGTCGAGCTCAGATATATTATACAAATTCGATCTTTCATTGATTGAACAATTTGAAAATTTGGATAACAAGTTGGTTATATTTAATATTGATTTGAAAAATGAGGTAATTAAATTGATTGAAAATTATAACAATATAAAAGTAAATGATTTGATAAGTAAGTTGGAGTCGGTTTCAGTTGGTGGTCCAAAATATGTTTTATACAACTATGGATCAGGTTTGGCTTTTATTTATACTTGTCCTTCTGGAAGTCCAGTTAAAGAAAGAATGATATATGCAAGTTTCAAAAACACGTTAATTACCGAATTGAAATCAAAATATGATGTTAAAATAGACAAGGATTTAGAAGTAGGAGATTTGGAAGAATTGGAAATATCTGAATTGCAAGGAAGTGAAGTAACTGAATCTCCACCATCATCTGCATCTTCATCCAATTTAAAATTTAGTAAACCAAAAGGACCTCGTAGAAGATAATAGATATATTTATAGAACTTCTATTCACCTCAAATGTATGTTAACTAACGTATAAATCAATTAAACTATCCATTTTTTCATTATTATTAAAATATTCATCAATGTTGTTTGCATTACTTAGCACAGTAATCACCTTGTTCAATATCCTATTTATAAATCTCTCTTCATTATTTATCAAATCTGAATTATCACTATATTTACTCATCAACTTATGTCTAATCAAATTTTGGATAGTATTTTTTTGATCCACTGATAGCACATACTCATTGTTCCCATCATCACTTGAACTATATGTTATTGACTCCATTGGACTATTAGAATTAGGTGATTGTGGATTTGAATTTGAATTTGAGGTGGAATATGAATTCGATTGTTTTTGCATATTACTAGGATTCATTAACTCGTTAATCCTACTTGGACCTTGACTTTTAGGTATGATTAATGGTTGGGTATTCTTTAATGGTGTAATTTTCTTTCTTTTCCTCCTTACATGTTGTTCCTTCGGTGCTTCTTCTTGTCTCACTATTTCTGCACTTTGATTCGTTCGTATTTTTTCAAAAATATCCCATGAGGTTATTTCATCTGGTGTTAAGTTCGCCAATTCTTTCGTCTCCCTCCTTGATATTACTCCACCATTAATCACAGTACTAGTACTAGTTATCATTTCTTCTTCTGGATATAGAAAATCATCATCAATTTCATTATTTAAATTATGCACCACAAGCGAATTCTTAGCCTTTTTCTTATTCAACCCAGATAGCACAGTAGTTCTTCTTGGATATGAAATCATTGACTCTTGATTATTAAAATCACACATTGGACAATACCAATTATATTCTTCATCTTCATTAATTGGAAAGCCTCCAAGACAATTTATATGAAAATTACACCCACAATGTTGACATAATATATTTGATTGATTATTATACCTTATAGTTAATGCGCAAATACAGCAGATATTACTTGACGAGCTAGTATTAATACTTGGCCCTTCGAAATTTGAAAATTGGATATTTTGGGTCGTCCTTTCCTGCAATTTCTTTGGTTTCAATTTATCTGGAATATTGATTATTTCGACCACATTTTCAAGATTATAGTTCTTGTATATCTCTAATCTTTGAAAGTTTGATCTACACGTTGGACAACAATTTGAAAACTTGTTTGACCATGTAAATATACAATTTTTATGATAAATTTGTGATTTACAGCATGGAATAATACCTACTTCATCAACCAACGCAATCTCATCAAGACATATTGAACACTCTATACTGTCCATTTTAAGTAATGCAATTATACGCTTTTGATGATTTGATAAAAAATGGCAAATTACACAAAAAAAAATATACAGAATTTCGATGTCAAAACATCAATATGATTTAATACAATGTATGAAACAACCAGGTAGAACTAATGGTTTAGTATGTTTAAACTGTGATGGTAGATGTCCTATATGTGATTCTATGGTTAAACCAACTGAAGAAGCTAAAATTTGTCATTCTTGTTCTCAAGGTTCATTATTTAATAAATGTATATTATGTGGTAATTATTTAGGAGCTAATAATGAAAATAGTATACCAGCAAATTATTGTTTTGAATGTGTATTATTCGAAAAACATAGAGAAGGATGCCCCAGGGTGATAAATGTTGGAAGTAATAAAGCTGATTTAATTTTTAAAAATAAGAAATAACGTATATAATGAATGTATATATATATATATATATCTTACTTATTTTTTGCAATTTCAATAGATGCCATAATTGCTGAATTTATACCATTTTTCCATTTTCCATCATAATAATCCTGATAAGTTTTAAAATCATTCAATTGACGTTTCTTTCTTTGTAATTCTATATCATCAATCATTGTCCTTTTCTTATTTATATTTATTTGAATATCTTTCTTTACATTATCCAAGTTTACTAAATTATCAATTTGCAAATTATTTAAATCTGATTTATTTGATAATAATAATTCTAAATGTTTTTGTTGTAATGTTGAATAACCAAGTGTTGTATAAAGATTTTTATAATTAATAGACTCCTCTGCATCATCGTTATTTTCAAAATTTGTATACCTTTCTAAATCTATACTATTCATTGGTTTTGGTGGTACAATCTCATCTTCTTCCATGTTATCATCACTTTCATTCTCATTTTCATTCTCTTCTTTTTCCTCTTCTTCCTCTTCTTCTTCTTGGTAATGTTGTAGACTTACATTTAAGGAACTTGAAGGTTGCGGATGTTGTTGACGATCATTTGGAAATAATTGTTGAATATGAGGATGAAGTGGTAAATTTGTTAAATTTTCAAGATTATTGGGTATTATAATATCATTTTCTATATTTGAATCAGTTTCTATAGTGTTATTCTGTCTATGATTTGTAAAATTTGTCATATTTGTATTAAATTGATTTGCTAATTCTAATCTAATTAATTGTTCAACATTTGCTCTTTCTTCAGGCAGTATATTATTATCAATGTAAGGTAAATGTTCAACTGGTTCATAATTAATAGTGACCATGGTTAGTAACTTCAAAATGATGATGGCAATAAGAATGCAAATGAATAATGGTTGTAATTATTAATTGTTGTTTTTCTTGATTGTATTGTGCTTAGTGATCACTTAACTATTGAAGTTTGGATGTTTACTATAAACTAGTTAGTGTACAGTTACGAATAAAAATTTTCTTATCAATATTAGCACAAGCTTGATGAATTATGCGCCAATCCGTCGATAATTCTATTAATTGTTCTCGATCCGTCCCGCGATCACCGATTTAGTGTTGGGCTTTTATTCCATGGGCTTAAAATTTATTCCTTCATGGCTCAAAATGCCAGTTAAAAAATAATTCACGGGCACAGTATACAATTTTTAGTTTAAAGCTTTAGTTTACGTAAAGTTTAATATTTCTCCATTAATTATTGCAATCTAAATTAAAGCTTTTATAATATTCGTGAAATGTGTAGAATTTTTACCCTACATGTATTTGATATCCAGCCAATGAAATGCATTTGATTATATTTGATCATTAATATACTGATTATGCGATTATGAGGGTTTATATAAATTTCAGCCTTATTGAAATATGGCTTATGGCATTTGATAAAAATTGATTTCGGTGAAACGGCAATAAATCCAAATTAGGTTTAAGAAATTGATTAAATGGCAAACTAACCTAAAATAGCTATTGTTTCGTCGAATCTAGACGATTACCCTTTTAGAATAGTGCAAATTGACTCAGTAAAGTAAATTGCCTTACATAATTTCCTTACATAATTTCCTTACATAATTTCCGCTTAAAATTCCGCCTTGAAAATTCCGTTTAATTTCGATTCGTATATATTTCATAACCATATACAATTTTCTATATACACGCAATTTCAATTAGAATAATAATAGAATTGAAATGAATAGTGAACCACTAACTAAAGCTCTTCGTTCCTAAACCCTCCAGTTCAAATTCTATTACATCCGTTTGGTGATATTGTAAATTATTATGGATCATTTGGTGTAATTTACATTTAAATATTTCATTAAAATTTCCATTACAACTTCCATTGCCACCAATTATATTTTTTTATTGAAAAACCAAATATCATAGAAAATAAAAAAATTAAACAAAAAAAATGATGAATAAATAATTGATAAATAAATAATTGATAATTATATTAGCATATTTCCTTAATTATTTATGGAAAAGACGTTGAATATTTAAATAAGAAACTGACAAATTTCTTAATTGTGGTTCGTCATTTAATTTGTATATGTATATATGTGTACATTCAATATTTCGTTTCACACAAAAATGTAACTCTATTCTTGCATTACATTTACATACCGACCGGTCTTGATCCAGCTCAAAGAATTAAGCTCAGTAATAATGAATATTGTGGTCTTTGAAAGAGCAAAGTCTGTATGTCAGAGAATCAATGCTTTTGGTTCCTTCTTTAATATTGATCTCTGAATCTGGTTGCAAAATTAAAATCTAGATCTCCTGCATATAGCATGGTTATTTTATGATTTTCAAAATTACCTAATTGGGGCATCTGAAACATTTGTTAGCGAGACTAACATTTCAACTCAATACAGCATGAATAACCTAGAATAATTGATTTAGCTTTACAAAATGAGCCAAATATCATAATGATTTATCATTTTTCATTGTTAATGGATCTATTTAGATTTCTCCAACAATTTATCTAAAAATGTATTTGCTCAAATTGCAGCTCATTTGAATTATTACTATCAAACATGTATTCTTTATGATCAGAAGGAATTGAGTATCAAGAACTTATTCATGACAATTTATGGCACCTGTCTTGTCTTTGAAACACATAAGTTAGTACATTTCTCAAGAGTGTTATGATATTGTGAATGCATTGATATCAACAATTTTATCTGGTGATGACGAGGATAATTAGGAAGATGAGGAAAAGGATGGAAGTGAGAATAATGAAAGACATGAAGTGGAAGAAGAAAAGGAAGAACAAGAGGCAGAAGAGGAATTAGATGAAAGTTCTCATTTTCTCAGAGAATCTCATCCAATTATTTATCTTTTTTCTAGAAAGAAGATATGTAAGGATCCCATGTCTCAGATGGTTGCTAAAATTATAATTTACCAACAAGCACAGAATATTTTTGATCAAGGCTTTGCTAATGAAGATGAAAGGATGAGGTTCTTTCAAGGTTTACATCATGTAGGGTGAGATGAAGATGAGGTTGATGAATTATCTGGCATTTTAAATTATAGCTTATAATATAAAGTGTATGTATTGTTTTTGTCAACATTAATTAAATCCATTAACCAGTATATATCTTCATGTTCACTTTCAACGTTCTCTTGAATCATAAACTTACTAAAGCTTTGCATGGATAAACGGGATAATAAACCATCTCAACTAATCAATTAAAGAGACTGACCAGACTCAAGAAGCTTAAATTGATTCATTCAAGACATTAAGGCTTTTATATATTTTAATTTCAAATGTACACTCTATTCTAAAACAAATTGAAGGCAACCAGCATATATTTATCAATTTATTCAATTCAGTATTCCTTTGCAATTCTTTTTTGGATTCTAAATTCACTTTCATCATCAACATCATGAACATCAATCTGGTGAGTTTTTAAATTACCAATCAAAGCGTAATTTTGACCACAAAAACCACAAATAAAAACTTTCATATACAATTTGAAAATTGAACAGGAAGGGATTACGCTCAATTTATAGTTTTGAGTCATTCAATAATTTTAGAGGCACACGAGTAATTACATTCCTTATGCAAGATAATGAGTTGTAATGATAACGCATTTTGTGTAATTAGAACAAAGAAACCAGATTAAACTCGATTAAAGCAGTAAGTTGTGAAATTATTTGGAGCTTACTCTGAAAGAATAGGCAATACTGTATGTATCCTTATCATAACTTTAAATATTGTAATAACCTAATAATTTCTCATTTTACGGTTATTAATTATCAAATCAGCCTGTATAATATGCATTTAATTCTGAAACATCTAGATTTACTAACATCCCTTTTTGAGATCAACGTAGTCAACACTGTATGAAAAGATAGTAAATTAGAAATATTCAGCACATTAAATTGATTTGTATTTATTACACTTAAATTACTTATTTATCTAAAACATCAGCATCATATCTTGTTTTGAACCATTGAATGGTATCTTCTTTATTAGTTTTATGTGAGTTACCAATGGTTGATCTAGCTCTTTTTCTTCTTGTGATTCTGGCACCTGCTCTACCCATAACAACGTAGAAATCCATACCGTAAATACCAATACCTGGGTCATATTTGATACCTAAATCAATATGTTCATCAATACCGAAACCAAAGTTACCAGTAGCTGAAAAGTTTTTGTTTCTTAATTGATATTCTTTAACTTTTAAACCTCTTTCTAAAATTTCTTCAGCTTTTGGACCTCTAATAGTAACATGGACTGAAATTTTTTCATTTCTTCTGATACCAAAAGTTCTAACAGTATATCTAGCTTTTGAGTGGACTGGGGTTTGACCTGATAATTGTTCTAAAACTTTTGAAGCTCTGGTTAATCTATCACCGGATTCACCAACACAAATGTTTAAAACTAATTTTTCAATACGTAATTCACGCATAGGATTTTGTGATTTGTCAGCCTATAATAGTTAGTACTAATTCATAAAAACCTTGAGACAAAGTTTCATTGATTTTGATTTTGATTTTGATTTTGATTTTGATTTTGACTCAAAATTTAACCTGCTGAGCTGGCTCTTTGAATTCTTTACTAAAAATAAGTCTCATCTATCATTACATCCATAATCCATCTCAATTTACTAATTTTCACATACCATCTTGCTATTATTTATTGATATTAAGATAAAGGATCTAACTTTTCAAACTTTTTTCAGCTTGTTTCAAATTGGTTGTTACTTTTTTTCAAAGCGCAATTTTGTGTGCAGATTTTGACAAGTCACGTGTAAGCCACGAAATTTAAATCGAACTTTAGGGCTACAATAATGCTACACAAAATTAGAATCTTATATCGTTATCAAACTTCTTTATTCATTTATCTATATCAAGCTTCAACATTAACAAAGGATTGTTCCTTTTCTTTAACTTCCCAGAATAAATCTCCAACATTATAATTTCCATGATAAGTCCAACCTTGTTCATTCACATGATATAAATTGATTGAACCACCAGAATAAGCATCTCTATGAGTTGCAGCCAATATACTTCTTTTACCCAAATATAAAGCTTCTTCAACTGACAAGTCCCAATGATATTCACTATCTAAAACACCATAAGCAAAAGTTTGACCAGAACCAACACAAAATAAATCACCTTTTAATCTTGTACCATCGGAATCAACATAATAAATTGTTGGACCTTCTTTTTTAGTATGACCACAAATCATAGTACCCATACTTAAACCCATACCTTTATATTGATAAACTAGATTACTTAAAATTTTAGAAGCTGCAGCAACTGAAATTCTTTCCTTTTCTCTTAATTCATGTAATCTACATTGAGTACCTAACCAAGTTTCCCAAAATTGACAATCAGCAGCACCACCAGCCATTGTACCTAATAACATTGGATTTATTCTTATAACTTTGTTAACTGTTTGTGATGCAATCCAATTTCCAGCGGTAGCTCTTGAATCAACGGCAACAATAATACCTTCTTTGAATCTAAATGCTAATGTAGTTGTACCATGAGCTATTTTAATTTTACAATCTGGATTTTTAGAATCATCAGTATGTGCTCTTAAAAAATCTGTTGGTTGTGAAATAGGTGGAATTGATATTGATGGTGATAATTCTAATTGATGTGATGATGAACGTAAATTTTGTATTTGTTGTATTTCTGATAATGCATTATTATGATTTGAATTTGAAAATTGTTTACCAATACTATTCATGATGAATTGATATATATGTTATGTTTTAAATGGTTAAAGTATTGAGTATTTGCCACTGTTAATATTATTTCGTTGTTTCAAAAGTTAGAGTGTGTACGAACTAAAAAATTAATCATAATCATACATTAACTATAAATAAAGTATACAATTTCTAATTTTCAATTTTTGGCTTTTTAATTTGATCATTAAGTTCATTATTATTATTATTATTCTCTAATTCTCTTTTTGTATATGTTGGTGATGATGTAGAACTAAATGTTGGTTTATTCGATAAAAATGTCGGTGTTGATCTCGAAACACCACTAGCACCTGGTGGCTTACCAAATGATGGTGGTTTACCAAATGAAGGTTTATTAAGACCTGGTGGTTTACCAAATGAAGGAGGTTTTGCCAATGGTCGTGAAATTGGTGGAGTTTCTCGCTTCACTATTGATTTAGGTTGAACAATAGGTCGAACAACTGGTTGAACCACTGGTTCTGGTTGGGGAGTAACTTGAAATGGCTTTTGAATTGGTTGTTGAATTGGTGGACGAGTTGATTCAATAGGTGGTGATGATTGTGTTGGTGATGGTTTTGGTTCTTCAATTTTTATAGGAACTTTGGCCACTACTGGTGTACTTGCTCTCGTTGGAGATTTTGATACTCCTTCATGTTCTTTAATCGATTTTGTTAATGCAATGTCTAAAATTTTACTCACTTGCTTGGGAGCTCTTTCAACTAAAAAACCCAATGCATTATCAACGCATCCAGCTTTTGCACCAATACTATTGACTTGTGCAATTGTAGTAGCCAATGCTTTTGTAATTAAAGTAGTAGCAGTTGGCTTGTCATAAGTTAATTTTCTACCTTTATATAATACAAATAATTCTTTTCGTAAATATTCTAATGACTTATGAGTCTTTGGATCATCCACTGACGGAGTTGATGATGGTCTGGATTGTGGAGATGTTGAAGGTGGAACTTGTCTTGATGTTTGACTATTTGAATAAAGATTTTGTGCATAATTATTATAAGAAGGATAATTTCTATTAAGCAAGCTTTGTGATTGTTGAGCTTCCAATCTTTGTCTTTGTCTAATTTCTTCTTGCCTTATCATTTCAGCTTTGTGTCTTGCATCGGCGATTTCTCTTTGTTTCATTCTCATATTTTCTCGTTCATTTATATATAATTCATCCATTGTATATAACCATTCCATAGTACCTTGTCTTTTTGCGACTCTTTTGTAAATTTTAGTGTACTTTATGCAATGACTAATTGATGATTGCCAACCATCAGGACAATATTTATAATATGGATATACTTCCTTTATAGCTTCGATTGTTTCATTAATTGTTAATCCATTTCTTGCAGCTTCAGTTTTTAATACATTTGTAATCATCGATTTATATGAAATATTTGGTTTTGATCTATATGTTTCAGGTATTTCATCTAATGAATATAATTTTCTACTCGGTCTTCTTTGATAAATTCTTTTTATTTTTGGTTTAGGAAATTTTGATGGTTCTTCAATTGTTTTAGGATATTCAAATGTTAATAAATATGAGTAATCACTAACTGTTATTGCGCGTAATGGAGGTCTAGATCGTATTGCAGCAGGTTCGGAAGTTATAGGTAGCACAGGTACTTCCAATTTTGGTGGTGGTGCTAATGGTTTCTGTTGTGAATGACATGTGGGTGTTTGTGGTGGTAGACTATTAATTAATTTACTTCCTCCATTTATTCTTGAGTATATTGATGATGAAGCTGGTGGTTGAATTGAAGCTGGTTTACCCATCAATGGTATTGTTCTATTTGTTGTTGGTTTTATTAATGAAATTTTTCTCTGTATTTGCTGTAATTGTTTCTTCTTCTTTTCTTCTTCCAATTCTCTCTTCTTCTCCTCTTTCTCTTTAATTAATTGTCGATTTAAGTTTTGATTTACATTTACAGGTGTTAAATTTGCGATTTCTTGATTTAATTGATTTAAATTCGAATCAATCTCTTCAATTTCATTTTCCACTTGTTCGGATTCAACATTTTTAAGTAATTTATCAATCTCTTCATGATTATTTTCATCATCTTCATCATCTATTGCTGATTCATTATATGATAATTTCATTAGATTATTATTCTCATCTTCATCCAACAAATTTTGAATTTGTACATCTAATAAATCTGAATCTTCATTTATTGCATCAATGGAAGTGACACCTAAGTCTTTTAATAATTCATTAATTTCATCATTCGTAGCTTGAGCTTGAGATTGAGAATGAGATTTTCTTCTTACATTTGATAATCTTCTAATTTTCAATAATGAATCTCTTCTGCTCATTGATTTTTTACGATGTAATTTATTCTCCTCCTTCTTTGGTTCCACAATTGATGTAGTTTTCTTCTTTGGTGAGTTTTTGGGAGTTGGAGTTTTTGAATATAAGTTGGTTCTCAAATTAATTGCATCACTAGGGTTAAAATGTGTTGATTTATTTTGTTTATCATTAATTTCATCATTATTATCAGTTGTAGGTAATATAAATTTAAATGAAATATCACCAATTTGTAATTTTGTACCATCATTTAATGGTATAGTTAAACCTTTTTCAACAAAACAATCATCAACAAATGCCCCATTTCTACCTAAAATTGAAATTTCAAATCGTTGAGTCCCAAAATTATAAAAGATTTTAGCATGTCTCCTACTTATTGCTTTTTTTGAAGATAAATGAACATCTACATTTGTTTGTTGCTGCAATAATTCATCATTTGATTTTCTACCTAATACAACTTGTAAAGTTTGAACGAAAAAAGTAAAACTTTCAAAATCTAATCTTGCATAAGCTGAAATTCTCGAAGTATTTGATTCATCATCTATATTTTTTGGAATTAACGTTGATTTTCGCCTTATTTCCTGTTGTGATTTATTGGAAACATCAGCAGGTTGTAAATTTGGAGATTGAGAATTACTTATAGTTTTTGATTCAGAATTAAATGATTCAAATGGTTCTAGTGATTTTGATCTTAATTCGGGAGGTAGATCGGATTGTTGTTGTTGATTTTCTTCTAATTTAGTTATATTATCAAATGATTTTGTCCGTGGCGATTGAGCTTGATTAAGATCCTTGATGAAATTTTGCTGTTGAATTTGATGATTCTCGGGTTCTTTTTTAGTAGTTATTAAATCATCATTTAAACTACTCATTATATATCTTTAGTTTCCATCAAGTAAACTTGTATATGCTTTGTTTCTGTTATCTATAATATGACTTCGATGAGATAAACGTTGTAGTTTTTTTGTTGTTATTTTTTCTATCAAAGAAACTACCAATTGACATTTAATTGATTTATTAATTATAAAAATGATTACAATTATATTTACATTCATTTATTTCATATATAGATGTGTTTCACGTGTAAATGATATTAATCAGTTATTAGACACGTCAAAATTAGATACAACCAAGAATTTTCCAAATTTAATTGAACCAATTTCGAAGAATAAAATTTATGGCGTCTCATTAGGCGGTTGGCTAGTTAGCGAACCCTGGATCACACCTGAGCTATATGAAAACATAACTGACGAGTTTGGAAATATACCGCTTGATGAATATAGTCTTTGTTTGAAATTAGGAAAAGATAAATCAGAAACATATTTAAATAACCATTATTCAACCTTTATTAAAGAATCAGATTTTGAAACAATTTCAAAAATGAACCTAAATTTAATTAGAATACCTATTGGATATTGGGCTTTTGGGTTATTAAAAGATGATCCATATATTAAAGGAATACAAGAAAAGTATTTAGATTTAGCCATTGAATGGAGTAAGAAATATAATTTAAAAATTCAAATTGGTTTGCATGCAATGCCAGAATCACAAAATGGATTTGATAATTCAGGTAAAACTACAGATAATCCAAAATGGTTATCAAACCGAAAGAATGTGAGATTATCATACAAAATAATTGATTATGTTTTATTAAAGTATGGAAATAATTCAAACGTACATTCAATTCAAGTTGTAAATGAACCATTGGGGATAAAAATAAATCAAAAAAGACTAATTAAATTTTATTCTGATATGATTGAGAAGTTTGTAAACCTAAAATTATCTGCTAAGTTGGTATTTCATGATGCGTTTTATAATATGGAATCATTTGAAAATTTTTATCCAAATACTTATATTTTAGATCATCATTTATACGAAATATTCACCGATTGGCAAATTAATTCTAATTTACAAGAACATTTAAATCATGTGGATGTAAATGGTGAAAGTTTGAGTAAAACTGGTCAATATTCAATTGTTGGGGAATTTTCAGGTGCTTTAACTGATTGTACAAAATATATAAATGGAGTTGGTAAAGGATCAAGGTGGGATGGAACATTTTATAATCAAGTACATCCAGAAAGAACATGCAAAGATAATGATGAATTAATGAAAAATGATATAAAACTTTTTTTAAGAAAACAATTCTACACATATGAAGAAAAAGGTAATGGTTGGATTTTCTGGACCTATAAGACAAATAATAAAAATAATTCATTAGGCTGGGATTTTAAAAGACTATATGAAAATGATATGTTACCTGATCCATTGATGAGATATAATAATAAGATTAAAAGAGATGATGAACATGATGAAGTAGAACATAGAAAAACATTAAAAAAAGTAGAAGATGTCTTTGATATTGATTATGATTTGGGTATAAGAAAGACCATTAAATTGTCTAAATCAGGAGGGAATGCAATTAAGTCCACAGCGTTAATTGTACTTGTAGATTGTTATATTTGTATATTTTTGGTAATAATTTTTGCAATTTTCTTCATAAATTATCTAACATTTTAATTCTTAATAATGTATATTAAATTTCACAAAACATCAACTCTGATTGTAATTACTTTGCTTTAATCATTTTGGCTTTTACGTGAAATAAAAATTGGCTGCAAAAATTGGCTGCAAAAATTGGCTGCAAAAATTGTTGCAGAATTTTCATTACATAATTAAAAAAAAAAAAAAAAAAAAGGATCTAGCATCTCATCAGTAATAATATGCCAGGTATAAAGAAGAAGTCTTCATTAAGAGATAAGTCAAATAGTAGAAAGGCACATTTATCATCTAAAATATCAGAATTTAGAAATGATACTACACCTAATGATGACACTTATCATGAAAATCCAATGTTAAAATTAGCCAAAACAACCAAGAAAGAGAAACAGCAAAATAAATCAGATAAATTTATAAATCATTTAATGAATAAAAGTACTTTTAACACTTCTGGAACTATAAGTAAATCAGCATTAAGAAGAAAGAAGAGAAAAGAAAAAGAACAATTGAAACCTAAAATGAATGAATTATTAATGAATTTACCTACAGATGGTAATGAAATAAATGAACAAGATAAAGTTACCAAAATAGTGAGACCTAATTCTACAGAATATATAAAGTCATCTAAATTGAATTTAAATAGACCAAATCCTACAAAATCTACAGGTTTGAAACAAATTATGAAAGAAGAACATAAAAATTTTAATAATGTATTGACAAATCCAGACTTCAGAGCATCACCATTCGATGCATTGAAAAATGCAATTAAACAAAACATGAAATAATGATATTGTATTGGTAATTGAATCTTTGAAAAGAACTGAAATCAAGCGTATGTCAGAAAATGTTTGTTTAAATTTTACTGTGGGTATTTACAAGATACGTTAGTGATCAAGACTTACTGCAGTTTGATTTTCCGAACAATAAGTTTCCTATCTACCGTGGGTACTTGAAACTTGACTCGTTGACGAGCGTATGCAGAGACTATTAATATATTAAATGAAGATGAGAGAGTCTATCAAGATAATGCACAACCAATTAAATATAATTTAAAGAGAAATTCACTTTGTTAATTAATGGATGTTTATTATAGAACAAGGGATGCAACAAACACTTGAGGAATGTGAAAAATAATCAAAATTTGTAATCAAACACAAAAGTTAAATAATTGTATAATGATAATGTATGTAGTACTAAAAAGACACCTTATTGTTCAAACATGCTGCTAGATTAAATTTTAAATCATCAGCTCGTTTAATTGATCGACGATGTGTTCTAGAACATGAAAAAAATTCTGAAGTTGAAGAATAGACAATTTTAAATCTAGGTCCAAATCTGAAACACTAATTAGAATCTTTATAGTCGAACTTAGACACGGGAATCATTTGAAGTGCAGTCTAAATGGATCGTTAGCCCTGGGTCTAAAATTCAAAAAATCTATCTCCTATGGGGGTAGTTTATAATTGTTTAAGCGTTAATAATAATAAGACGCGAAAAAATAAGAAAGTGTGAAATGTAAACAAATAAACTAACAAAATGTAAACATTAACACGAATTTGATTAAGTAATTTGACACACAAAGTTGGTAGCATATTCCGTCAGAACTGTATATTACTCATATGGGTAGTACTACGCTTTGTAAATACAATCACACTCTTACAATGAGCATCATATAGAAAAGTATACATATCTTTGGCGGTGATTTTTGTAAATTGGTTGATAGTTAGTATATTCATAACTCGTTTCATTGGCTTCAAGCCTGCATATAGTATCATAAACAGTCAGAAAAAAAAATAACAAATCAAAAAAATCAAAAACAACAAATTGGAAATTTAACCATCTAAACATAATTTTTATATTAGAAAGCCTAAATTTAGCAACATTTATCCAATTATATTAATTTAATCTATCATCATCATCATCATCATCGTCATCATCATCAATTGTTGCAAACATCATCATTATAATTGAATAATTTTATAACAACCATATCGCACGGCAATTTGTTGCACATTCTTTAGTTCTTCATTAATATTTGATTTTTATTCGTTGTTTTCATTTAGTTGCATTAAGATTTAATATTCTATATTCAATATTCTATCAATTGTTGTTAAATTATAGTTTGCTTTTACAATTAATAGTATAATATGGATGAAGAAGATCCAAATATCACAGGTGGTATTAGTATAATTAGTAATAATAATAATGACTATAATCAGACCATTGAACAATCATCAATACACTCACAATTACCTCAGGATATAATATCGTCATCTCCATCATCTTCAACCTCAAAATATCAATCATTCAAGAGTATAATACAAGAAAACGAAAATGATGAAGTAATAAATCCACATCAAAAAAATGATGTTATATATGACACGGAGTCACATCCAGAACCAGATGGTGAATTGATAGGAGAAATAATCATAGATAATGACAAATTCAGTGTTTCAACTGATTTGAATACTGATAATTTATCAAAATCAACGTCTAACTATTACTTATATCAACAACAACAGCTTAATATTCACCCAAATTTTCAATACAATAAACACAACGAATCTATATTTGATGATGAGAAATTATTTCCTTGTTTACCAATTGCAAATTCTGCGTCAAATGAAAATTTAGTTAAATATGATACAAATAATCCAGAATTAATCAATCATGCAACTATAAAAGCATTAATTGTTCAATTAACATCGCCTGAAATCATTGACTATAATCTAATTTGTGACTTTTTCTTAACATTTAGAATGTTTTCAAATTCATTTGAAACTTTAAACTTATTATTAACCAGATTAATTTGGTCATTGCAATATATCAACTCCAAAAATAATGAAAGTAATATTAAAATAGGTAAATTAGTGTTATTGAGAACATTTGTCGTGCTTAGACATTGGATTATTAACTATTTCATTGATGATTTTAATAATAATAATCAATTATGTGATTTATTTTCATCAACATTAAACAATATAACATTAGAATCAAATTTGATAAAACAAGATGATGCTAACTCATTTTTCATAACTAAAATTTTCACTGATTTGAAAATACATTGGTTAAATTTAATAAATAATTTTTGGAATTTGGGACTTGACTTAGATTCAATAATGGCAAATAAATCAATATCTTTTAATTATCAATTACCATTGACTAATGAAATAAATCATCATTTGAATAATAAGAAACTATCTAAATCTAATACTGACATGTCAATTCATACAAATCCATCATATAGAAGATCAGCCATGCTTTCATTATACGATCAAAAGATACATCATAAAATGTTGATATTTAATGAAGAACAACAATCACAGCAAAGCTCCCCAATTCAAGATGAGAATCCACAATATTCAATAAATAACTTGTTACTACAACATCATTCGTCAAGATTATCTATAAATAACAAAATTCAAGAAATACAACTGCAAAAGATTAGTTTACTTAATAAATCACCGGCATTTTCAATTTCAAACACAAATACAATATCCAAAGCATCACCAATACTGGTAAATCAAATTAATAATAATACTAATGCTACAAGTATATCAACTACTCCAACTCGAAAAATGAATAATCGCCGAGGAATCTTAACCCAAACTACAAGACATAATCATATGAATATTAAGGATTCTGCTTTAGAGTTGAAAAAAACAAAAACAACAACAATTCAGGAAGATGGAGAAGATGTTGAAAATGCAAATATCACAATACAAGCAACTAGACCAGAAAGAAAAGATACTGATTCATCTCCACAAGTTGGAATTGGGTTTTCAACAAATGGTAATATTAAATTACCTACTTCAAAAGTTTCAACTATAGTACCACCTACACCAGTCAAGAAAATGGATTTCATAATAGATCAATCACAATTTATTGCATCTCCAAGGAAAAGTCAAAGTCAAAGTACATTACAACCACCATCAAATATATCGCTTAATGAAAATGAATTTGGTAGAAAAGGTTCAATAAAGAAATTAATGGATGGATGGAAGAATTCATTAGTTCAGCATTATTCAAAATCTACACCAGTTACGGCTCATATAATACATCCAACTAAATCTAATAAACACGATAGTAATAATAATTTAGAGAAATTAATTACCAATGCAATTAATGTAATTGATTATGATATTGGTGATAGAGTTGATGTATTAAGTGCTAGAATAATTGATGAATTAGAATATTTAATAACTTATTATGTTAATTCAAGTAGTATAATTGTATCAGAGAATGATGAAAATAAGAATTTTGTAGATGTACCTGAAGAAATCAATGATCATAATAGTGAAGTAAATTTACAGCCAATCGAAATTTCATCACCAATGGAAAATAAAAAGAACAATAATAGTGATATAGATATCAATGATTTATCAGAATTGAATATAATCAAAATTGATAATTTGATTAATGATAATGAAGATAATAATGTTCAAACGGTCAAAGTACAAAGAGATAATAACGCTGTATCGACTGAACATATACTTGATGAAATTTCCAATGATTCAAATAATACATCATTTCAAAAACCAACAAGTATAAATTGGAATGATGAAGAAAATGTTGATCTTGAAAAATCAGCTGAAAAGAATGAAATAGAAGATGAAGATGAAGAATTTAATTTTACCAATAGTAAAAAATTTGATGAACCTCCAAATTTTAATTTTCAACAATCAAATCATTCGTTTGAAACTTCTACAATTTCAACTCCAAGTAATTTAACTCAATATGATGCCGAAATTGCAGATTTGGGAATTGCAATGAGTCCACAACTGATTAAACCAAAACGTATTAGTTTTTGTGAAAATATATCGAACAATAATAATAATAATCCAACAACCATTTATAACAAAAGATTATCAATTTTATCAAAAACATCAAATAATTCAGTCTTGAAAAGAGATTCAATAAAGTCGTATATTAGTTATGATTCAGCATTTTCAGTATCTAATGATTCCAACTCAATTAAGAATTGCAATAGTTTAGAATATTCAAATGGATTAAAGAAGAAAACTGGATTTAATAATTTGAGAATTGGTGGCAATGAAGAAATGAAAATTCAAAGAATAAGTACAAGATTTAGTACTTTATGTGCATTAACAGAATTGCCATTTAATGAAATGTTAAATAATGGTATTGAAAAACATTCATCGATTGATTTCTCAAATAGTTCTGTATTTTCAGTGGCTATTAGATCCAAAAAAAATTCATCATCAATGATTGATAATAAAGAATCATTACATTCAACTACGAAGACGATTTCATCTACCAATTATTCTGTTGTACTTCCTGGGATTAGTAATTTTGCATTGAAACAATTGGCAGCAATACCTGATGAAACCTTTCAATCTTCGGAGGATCCAATTGAAAATGCATTATACAAATTAGAAGGAAAATCACAACCATCAAAACTGACATTGAAATCAAAAGAAACACATAATCATAATGACTATATTGACGATACACAAGAAATATTAAATCAAATTCAAAATGCAAATACTGAAGATTGCATAACTTATGATTTCACAATGAATGATATAAAATCAGAAGAAAGTCCGTTAACACCAATTAAAACACAAAGAACTGATAATACAAATATAGACACTACAAATTCAAATCCATTGACATCAACTCCAAATCATAATAATACTACTACGTTCCATCATTCGCCAAAGATTATACTTGATGGGTACTCTCCATCTTCAGATTTATTATCAATTGAAAATATTATGAGTTCAAAATCACACATTTCATTCATTTTATCATATACTTCACAATCCTTAGCTGAACAATTCACCATGATTGAGAAAGATATGTTACAAGAAATAGATTGGAAAGATTTAATCGAATTGAAATGGAATAAAGATATAACACCAATAAATTCTTGGTTGGAAACCATAATTAATGATAATTATTATATCAAAAACAAGGGGGTTAATTTGGTAATATCCCGTTTTAATTTAATGGTCAACTGGATAATTTCTGAAATTTTATTAACTTCAAATGAGAATGAAAGAATCAATATAATTTCAAGATTTATTCATATTGCTCAAAATTGTTTAATGTTGCAAAATTTTTCCACCCTTATGCAAATTATTCTTGCATTAACATCTCAAAAAGTTCAAAAGAATTTGAAAAATACATGGAGGAATTTAACTCCGGGTGATATTTTAATGTTGAAAAATTTAGAAGAATTAGCATCACCATTGAAAAATTTCTTAAATATTAGACTTGCAATTAATCAAATCAAGCCTTCAAAAGGTTGTATTCCATTTGTTGGTTTATATTTATCTGATTTGACTTTTAATTCTGAAAGATCATCGATTATAAAAAAGACTGAAATTGGAAATGGGAATGATAGTGAGAATAATTTGGTTAATTTTTCAAAGTTTAGAACTTCGGTGCATATTGTAAAGTCCTTGAGTCAATGTATTGAATGGTCAAATAATTATACGTTAAAAATTGAGAAGGAATTGTTATCAAAATGTTTATATTTGAAAAGCTTGGATGAAGTTGAAATGAATTATTGTGTAGAAGTTATAAACGACAAATAATTAATGTACAACTTTACAATAGACGAATTAATAATTAAAAGTGGACTATAGTTATAAAAGTAATGAGAGACAAGTAATGCATAACTTAATGATTGACGATCTAATAAGTCAAAGAATTAAAAACAGTTTAAACACTTTCTAATTACATATAATATTATTATCTAATCTACAAACTATGTATCTTATATTCTTGATTTACAACAAGATTTTTCTTCTTCAGACTGAACTAAAACTGACTTATTAAAAGCATTTGTTGCTTGTGGTAAATCCAATGCTGGATTTTTATCCCAGAAATTAGCAGGAACTAATTGAATATTATGAATTTCAACAGGCATAACTGGGAAATCTTCAACTCTTGGAATATGAGTAAAACCCATGGTTGCCCAAACAACAATATCATCATTTCTAACATTATCAACACCATTGGCCCAAACAGCTAAACCTGTATCTTTTTGAGATTGTTGAGTAAATTCACCAGCTGCATATAATTCCCCATCTCTATATTTAGTAACCCAAATTTGTTCAGTTGCAAACTTAGCTCTTCTAGCATTAAATGAATCTCTATCAGCTAATAACATTTGTCTTGCTGGCATTTGAACCTTATAACCAACTGGAGTTTTTGCAATTGGATTTATAACATTTTCGTTAAGAATTTTATAAGTTCTATTTTTAAATGGAGCTTGTTCAATATGACCTGCTTTTTCAACAAAATGTCTATCAGTAACAAAACCAATACCATATGGATTATCAACTGGATGTTTTGGTAATTTAACTGCGTCATCATAAACAACTGAATTTTTATGACCATCAACAGCTGGATCAATTCTAAATGATAAAATATGTTGATGATAAGCTGCCATACAATTTGGTGCAACAATTGTACCCCATGGAACTTTAACATCTTGATCAATTGGCATAGTTGATAAAATACCAGTAGCTCTTGCTTCAATATCAATTAAACCATCATTTGCAAATTTCAAATTTATAATATATTCATAATTGGCAACAGTAGCTATTGTTTGAACAATGAAAATTCTTCTTCTTGCAACAACAGCATTATCATTTCTATAATTAACATGTTTATATAATAAACCATCATCTTGTTCATGCATACAAACAGTATTTGGAATAATATATGGTTCACCATTTCCATGAATACCCATACCATCAAAATATTTAATATGACCTAAACAATCACAACCTAATGCTAATTTATTACCGCCCATACCAAAACCAACATCACCTAAATCAAAAGCTTGTTTTCTATGATATGGAGCTCTTGGATCACCATAAGGAACAGTCATTTCACTCAATGAAATTCTATAGAAAACTTGTCTACCTTTAAACCAACCATCATAACAAGCAAAACCTTCTCTTGCAGTTGGACTAACTCTAAATTCCCATCCTTGCCATGAAATTTTATTACCTCTAACGGTAAATGACGGACCATCTGGCTGTTGAATAAGTAATGGTTTAATACCTGGTCTTTCACTTTCACCATTTAAATCTGGATGATATTCAGCACATGGAACTTGTTGCCATGGTTGAGTTGGAACAGTAGTATGATCAAAACCACCTGGTAAATAATCCATTCTAACAAATTTTTTGGTAAATTGTTCAAAAACTGGAGAGAATTTTAATGGTAATGAATAATGATTTGATTCTGAATGACCATTACCAGCTAAAACATACATATAAAATTGGATCAAATTTCTTTTTTCATTTGGATCATCAGTTGCATAAATCCATGGATCATTTCTAACTTGATATCCTTTTGGTAATTTTAATTTTTCAATTTCTTGTAAAACAATTGGATGTTTCATAATATATTCTTCCATTTCAATAACATCATCTGGTAAAAATGGACCAACAACACCTTTTGGTTGTTGAACTTTGGTAATGACATGACCAGCAGTAACATTAACCAAAGCTTTGTTAAATTCAGTTGTATTGGTATAATAATAACAATATAAAACTCTTGAAATTCTTGGTAATGGTAAACCTTCCCTTTCAGCAATGATATATTTTTTCATATCTTCTTTTGGAGGATCAAATCTATCAATTTGACAAAAATGAACATTAGCAGATGCTGGATAAGAATCTTTGACTAATTTAGCAGCTAATCTTACTTCATAATCTTTGACGGCATCAAATGGATGTATTGACATTGTGAACTACACTCAATGAATGAATATAATAATAATAAAACTTGACCAAGGGGGAAGGATATCAATCCATATTTATAATAAAAATTTGAACAGTTGTTGTCAAAAATCAAAATCTTATCGGCTACAATAATTTTCAGTCTAAATCGTTGATTAACACAAAAGTTAATTAATTATTCTGTAACCGCCAATTTTCGTTTCAATCTTCCAAATATGGAACTGTCCCGATTAGGAAAGTTGAATCGATGAAACATAAAAAAAATAAAATAAAAATTATCAAGATTTTCATAAAATTAAGTGCTATGATTGAAAAGATGGGGATTTTGACATACTGATAAGATGTAATTTTATGGGAATTGTGGGTATTATTAACTTTTTAGTGAATTATAAGCGTAAAATTTGTGTGACTGGCTGTTCTACTGGCTTTACTATTATTTTTCTATCATCTTTTCATTAATTTAGTCGATGTTTGAAAAGCGCATTTTCTCAGCCTGTGCTATCAATTGCCTAAAAAGGAAAAGGCGCATGCAATTCAATAAATTAACCACTTGAATCATTAAAAGTGATTAGTTAATCAGTGCGTTATCAAACAGAGTTTTAGCTAGTAGATTATGGTTAGAATAGTGATACAAAAGGTATGTCAGCTTATTATCAGTCTAACTGTAGAATGTCCAAGCTAGATCGAAATAACTTCAATGATCTTGTTTGTATTAACCCTTTTTGAAAACGACTAAATCATAATTTACCCACTCAATTAATTTACATTTAGTTGCCACGGCGTTATAAACAAACATCGTAAAAGGCATTCTTCATTATTTGACTGAACTACGAAGATCCACACGTACTTTAAAAATTAAGGTTTCGGAGTTTTTTTTGATATCAGAATTCTATTAGATGTCTAGAATTTGTTAGCTAAAGTAAACAATGTTTATTTAAATGATTATCAAATTAAACGTTGAGATTAATCTGCTAATTTTTGGTCTAAGTAGTGTATAGCTAGATCATTCATTAAAGGAAACTATACTTGGACAGTGAATGAAGAGTGGAGAGAATTGGTAGTATATAACTTTGACTTTCTCCTTAATACAATATTTGTTGGGAATAATTAAAGTCGAGGGTAAACTAATAATACATCACGTGTGAGATCACGTGTATGATTATATTTGTATATCAACTTCCCCCGGTTCTTTTTTAATTTTGTTGGTTTTTTTTCAATCAAAAGAAATTACATATAAAACATAAGTTGATAAATAAAAATATATCAAACCACCAAATTACATTTTGATAAACATTCATAAATAAATTTCAATTTACACTTAGATCATAATACCATACAATATTCATTATTTACCATGTCATTATCTTCAAAAACCAAACAAGCAAATTTAAACCCAAAATTATATTTAACAGCAGTTATAGCTACTTCAGTTATAGCAATATCTTACAAAATCTATGAAACTTATTTTAAAGAAAAGACTATAGACAATAAAGACAATAATACAACTACTACTTTTTCAATTTCAAGAAAATATCTTAATAAAAATATAGCAATAACTTTATCATCATCTTTTTTATCTTCGAAATTACCATTAAATGATATTTTGACAAGTTCAGAAAATGTTATATTTATAATACCTCCAAATTTAAATGAAGACGATTTAACATTAACGATCCCACCAAATTTCAAATTATTAAAACTGTCAAATTTTCAAGGTTATCTACAAATATTGAAAAATTTGAAACCTGATTTATTATTACTTTGTAGTGATGATTTAGGTATAAATTATAGTAATTTAACAAATGATTTAAATAATTTCATAAATAAGATTGTTAATCTAGAGCAAAATGATTTTGAGGAAAGTTTCCAAAAATTGTTAATGGTTTAAAGTTAATATACAAGTTCAATATATATTTATACAAGGTCATAAACTATTTTCATACCATATTACTGATTGATCCAACGAAGTACAATTACTCAAGGCTATTGATGAATGTTTTCATATACTCTAGGGCGCGGTGTTGGCCCTATGATCGAACAATGCATGGGTTTAATTTTTTTCCATTGCCATAATTCGTGGCCGAGACTCATACAGAAGTGGCGTGAGATGGTCTTAGCCATATGTAGTTATAAACTTTATTTTGCAACCACATGAAACTAGTTACACAACCTCTTATATAATTTTTCCAAAATTTGGACTGGTCGATATTCAACAATTTTTATCAACTGTCGACTCAATCATCGCAAGACTATTCAACTTAAGCAATTCAACATTTGACAGTTAACATTCTTTTTCAATTGAGATAACGTAATTCCTATCAATCAACCTATCGACCTCTTCATTTCTAATGGTTAGTCTTGAAATCTGAAATTAATTTACGCGTCAAACTTTGAAATTACGTAATTAGTACAAAAATTGATAAACTTGAAATTGCAAATTTAGTACAATGTGAATGTGAAAGAAAAAGGTAAATTTAAGCCAATTAATTAAACAATATGTATTGTATTTTACTACGTGTAACGTGTCCTATTACTATTAGACCAATTCTATTAATTGATTAAAAGCTTAATTTCATTAAAATTCCTACAAAGTGAATTAAAGTTTTGCAATTTCAAATTAACCAAATAATTTTAACCCATGATACATATTACAACAATCAAAACAAAGAATTCCAATAAGTATAAATAAAACTCGATTATCCTCTAATCTCTTTCAACTCTAAGTCAATTTCTAAGTAATAATAATGGATAATCTAATTTCAAAAGGTCAGGAATTTTTGAAAAGTGGTAAAGTTACCAGTGATGATGCTAAAACTGCTTACAATGATTTAACTGCAAAAGATGGTGGTTCATTCCAAGACAAAGCTAAAAAAGCATATAATGATTATACTGAAGCTCATAAAGGTGACTCATCAAAATCATCATCATCAGATTTAAAAACTGATTCACATGAATCAAAAACCTCAGAATCAAAATAAATTGATCGAGTCAATTGTGCTTTTTGATGTTATGTACTATTATAAACAATATATTGTGATTATATTTATAAATTGATTAATTGAAAGCCTTATTAAAAAGTTCTACAGATATCGAGCTACTTTGTAATGCAAAATGTGAAGCGACAAAACAATTTCTCGCGCAAAATCTTAGGGCCAATCGTGTTATCGTTTTGCCCATACTGGCTTATATGTCATGATCAATGAATTCTCTCAAGATAAGTTCCATTTCATTGAAATTGGATGCATCATTTTGTATACTCTACATATTTCAAGTTTCAGAATTCAAACATTTTTTTTTTTGTTTAGCATTTTTTTGCACTTCTTGAATTAGGAATAAAGTTATCAGGATTAAGTTTTATTTGACATCTACAGCTTGTTTATTAAGGGAGTTATTTAGAATTCAATTTTCAAGTTAAGCTACGACAGTACTGCATATAAACTAAAATTTGTTGTGATTTTATTCCGTATATGATTCTCGCCCAAAATTAATTCCATGAACAACAATTTCTCGCGCTAATTCTAGGGCCACTCATATCAAGCATATTGGTTTATATGTCAAGAACGACAGATTCTATCGAGGTAAGTGCTACTTTTATAGAATCAAGAGCCTCAAGTATATTCTACATGCTTTAAATTTATGATTTCAAGTATGTTTTTTTTTAAGTTGTCATTTTGACTTTTTTTCACCATACAAAAATTTTGTCAAAAATTAAAAAGCAAAGTATATTTAATTTACGGTCATAACTTGCAATTAAACAATGAATTATATATGCTTCACTTCAAACTAAGGTGCTGGACGAAATTTCTTCTGATCTTAATTAAAATTTAGAAATCAAAATTCCCCCTTAAGTATGAAGAACGGTGAATAAATTGACCTTACAAAAAATTTAACACCATATTCAATAACCAAATTAAAACATAATAAAACAATTCAATATTGTAGTTCCAGTAGGCTAAAAAGTCTACGATTTTTTCATGTTAAGGTATTCTAAATTAGAAAAGTAAATTTCCAAAGTGGTTCGAAAATTTTGAAAAAAATTCAAACTGATTTTATCGTCATGAAATTATGACCCAAATAATAGTTGAAGTTGAATAAACCAGATCAAACATATTCGAAGTTGTAAAATGAAGTCTTAGCATTGTTTATCTTAAAATTTGACGTTTTTTCCCATTTTTGGAATGCTGAATAAAGGCATCAAAAATTACGTTTTTTTGAATATTACAATTACAATTTACTCCGAATATTTTGACATGTTAATGAAATAAGATTGAAAATTAAAACTTGTATAATGAGTGACTTATTTACGAATTAAGTTTTATTATTTACTATGGTGCGACTGCATATAAGCCAAGTTGTTTGAAGATATATATATAACGCCATGAACTTTGTGCGACAAAATAGTTCCCGTGTAAGTTTTAAGGCGACCCATATATTTTCTTTAGTTTGTCTATTGCGAACAACGCATTTTCTAATGATGGATACTATTATAACGAAATTAGAAGCAGTGAACTACACGCTTTATAATCATATCATAATTTCTTATATCTATTTAGACTCTATTTACATTTATAATTTTAATTTTTCTAATATTGCGATAGTTTGTTTGAAACCATCGATATCAGCATTAGCTTTTGCTAATCTTCTTTCAGCTGATTCTTTGGCTTCTGGTTTGGTCTTTTCAGTAAATTTACTTATAGCTTCTTCAGTCTTATTTTTGAATTCCATTGAAGTTGCTAATTTTTTACTAACTTTATTAATTTCAGTGTCAAGATCAACTTGACCTTTAACTAAAACATGAGCATTACATGCTGGATTTATAGCTGTTAAAGCACAACCATTTGGAATTTCAGAAGAATCTTTAACAACAGTAATTTTTTCAACACCTTTAATTAATGATACAATTGAATCTTGTTGATCATGAGCAGTATTATGTATAGTTTCATCATTTGATTCGACAAATACTTGACCATTTTTTAAAATATTGTATTGAGCTAATAATGATCTAGCACCTTTAGTAATATCTAAAACTAAGTCATACGCCTTCTCAGCATCTTTGTTATTAAATTCTTGATTAAATTCAGGATATTTTGCCTTCATTATAGTAACTGTTTCATCACCTTCTCTTCTTGGTAATCTTTGCCACATTTCTTCAGATATGAATGGCATAAATGGATGAATTAATCTTAATGCATTATCAATACAAGTGTATAATGTATCTTGTGCTGATTGTTTTTGTTCAAGTGTACCATCTTGAATCAATGATTTGGAATTTTCAATATATACATCACAGATTTCATACCAAAAGTTATAAATAGCATTTGTTGCTTCAGCAAAATTTCTAGATTCTAAATTTTCATTTGTTAATTTAACAGCATTTGATAATTTATGTATTATCCATTTTTCAACTAATGATTCTTTACCACTTAAATCTTCTGTTGCTGGTGGTTTATATTCCTCACCTAATCTACCTAATACGAATTTTGTAGCTTGGAAAATTTTATTACAAAATTTTCTATAACCTTCAACTCTTAAGATATCTAAATTAATATCTCTACCACCTGTTGAATAAGCACATAATGCAAACCTTAAAGCATCAGTACCACACTCCGGAATACCATTAGGATATGATAATTTTTGACCTTCGGTAGCTTTTTTCAATTCTTTTGGATCTAAATTACCAGTTAATAATTTATCATGTAATTTTTGTAATGGAATACCAGTAATAACATCCAATGGATCAATAACATTACCTAAGGATTTAGACATTTTTCTTCCTTGAGCATCTCTAACTAATGAATGACAAAATACTTCTTTAAAAGGAACTTTACCAGTTAATTTCAATGACATTAAAATCATTCTAGTGACCCAGAAAAACAAAATATCCCAACCAGTTTCCAACAAAGACATTGGGTTAAATAATTCCATATCTCTTGTTTGTTCTGGCCAACCTAATGTAGAAATTGGCCATAAACCAGATGAAAACCAAGTATCTAAAACATCTTCATCTTGTTCGAGTGTAAAATTTTTATTTGGGAATTTTTTATGAGCTTTTTCCAATGCTTCTTCTTCAGATCTACCAGCAACCCAATATTCATTATCTAATTTATCATGTTGCTCATTTTCGATATTTATAAAATAAACTGGACATCTATGACCCCACCATAATTGTCTTGAGATACACCAATCTTGAATATTTTCTAACCAATGGAAATATTCTGATTCTGAAATTTTTGGAGATATGGTAATATCACCATTTTTAACTGCCTTAATTGCATCTTGAGCCATTTCTTTTTGATCAACATACCATTGTGGTTTTAATAATGGTTCAATTATATCTCCTGATCTTGAACATGTAGGTATTGTCATTTCATTATCTTTTTGTTCAACAAATAAACCTTTTTCTTTTAATGCTTCAATAACTTTATATCTTGCGTCAAATCTAGGAGTATTAACCCATTCAGGACCACAATTTTCATTAAGAAGACCATCATCAGTATAAATATTAATAAATTCTAAATTATTTCTTTTACCTGTATTATAATCATTTTGATCATGAGCAGGGGTGATTTTAACAGCACCAGTACCAAATTCCATATCAACAGCCTCTTCATCAGTAACAATTGGTAATTTTCTATCTAAAAATGGATGTAAAACATTTTTACCATGTAAATGAGTATATCTTGGATCTTTTGGATGAACAGCAACACCAGTATCACCAAATATAGTTTCAGGTCTTGTTGTTGCGACGGTAATTTTTTCATCAGAATCTTCAACTTGATAACTAAAGGAAGTTAAAACACCAAATTCAATTTTTGATTTATAATTTGGAACTGACAATAAAGTTCGTCCATTAATATTTTTATTATCAACTTCTAAATTCGAAATAGCAGTATTTAATTTAACAGACCAATTGACTAATCTTGAAGCTCTGTATATAGTACCATCTTCATGCATTTTTACAAAAGCTTCGGTAACAGCTTTTGATAAGTCTGGATTTAAAGTAAATTTTTCTCTGGTCCAATCATATGAAGCACCCATTTTTTTAAATTGATTCTTTATTCTTTGATGATAATCATTTTTCCAATCCCAAACTTTCTCAATAAATTTTTCTCTACCAAAATCATGTCTTGTTTTTTGTTCTTTTGCCCAAATTTGTTTTTCGACAACTGATTGCGTTGCAATACCAGCATGATCAAAACCTGGTATAAATAATGTAGTTTTACCTTGCATTCTATTCCATCTAATTAAAGTATCTTGAATTGAAACAGTTAATGCATGTCCTATATGTAAGGCCCCGGTGACATTTGGAGGTGGACATGGAATTGAGAAACAACCTTCTTTTTTGATTTTACCATCCTCAGTTAATTCAGGTTCAAAGAAACCTTGTTGTTCCCACCATTGATACCATGAACTTTCAACATTCTTAGGTACATATGCTTTAAAACTAGGATCTTCAAGACTAACTAATACTTTTTTTTCACCTGCTTTAGTTTGATCAATAAATTCAGGAACTGGTTCAGCTGCTTTCTTTTCCTTTTTAGGTTTTGTTGTTGTAGTAGTATTGGCATTTACAGCTTGTTTAGCTTTTTTAGCATTAAATTTAGCCAATTTTTCAGCTTTTTTCTTTTCTTTTTCCAATTCTTTTGCAGATTTTTGTTTTGGAGCACCATCTTGTGGTGGAATTTGATTTTCAGTCATATTTCTAATGAATACTTTTGGTAGATTACTATTTATAATATATTTTTTAATGAGTAATCTACTTGAAAGCATAAACTGATGAATCAATAAAAATTTTTTGCGCGTAAAAAAAAAAAAAAAAAAGTTAGACAAATCTTGAAATTTTTAGTCACAAGAGATTCGACACTTCGTATATTTCATTCAGCAAAGTTTAACCTTTTATATTGCATTCATTAAAGTTTGACCTTTTTATTTGGTACTTCATCAGATTCATTTAACTTTCTCTTGGTTATTCCACCTAACCATTTACTTGTAGGTTTTGTTTCTTTTGGTTTTTCTTCATTAGTTCCACTGAAAATTAATTCATCTAAATCAGTATCAAATATACTCTTTTCCTTTTGTTGTTGTTGTTGTTGTTGTAATCTGTTAATCATTGATTTTGACATTCTTGCACTTGTATTTGAACTAATTTGAATTTGACCTAATTTACCATTATTTCCATATTTACTCATACCTAATCCAATTTCTTTACCAAATGAATCCATTATTGTATCTTCTTCTTTACCAAATTCCATTTTATTTTGTGCTTTTCTTAAATCTGACATTTGAAACCTTTCCTTCATTTTTCTAAATCTTCGACCACCTCTTTTTTTAGATTTTTGTTCAACTGGAGCTGGTAATGCTTTATCGGGTGTTTGTTCTGGTGGTGCCAATAATTTATCAATTTTGACTTGAATCTCAGATAGTAATTTTTGACCCAATTCTCCATCTGGCGAAGATTTGGATAAATCAATTCTTGCAGCTAGTATTATTTTACCACTTATAATTCTCATCGCTGATCGCATGATCTCTGGTGGTAAATATTTAATTAAATCACAATGATATAAATAACCAGTTTGTCGAATATTTTTAGTTTTTGTGGTTGATGACAAATCTCGTACACCAAGTGCTGGTATATTACATGAAGGAGTTGAAGCTAATTGTTTTAAAGATCCAGTGGCTATAAGAATTTGTGATGTCGTTATTGGACCTACGATTGTTGAAACATTAGGAGCAATTTTTGATAACTTATCAGCCAAAAAATTTGACAATTGTTGTAATAGTTTATTCAACTCAAGGACTAATGTACCACAAGATAGTATTTTATTAAACTCTTGTTGTGGGATATTATTGGATTGCTGTAGTACAGCCATTATGATAATTAATACTTTATCACCACTTAAAAATAACTTTAATTCAGTTTCATAATTTTTAATATTCTTTAAATCTTGTTTTATTAGCATGATTACCTTCACATAGTCTATTGGATTTAAAATCAATGATTCTAATTCTGGAAATAGTAATTTATATTGCATTTTTATAAGCGTAACAAACACGGTAATTTCATTATTTATAATTGTAGTTAATTCGTTAATTAGCAATATAAATTTATATTCTTCAGATTGATCCAAATCATTTTCCAACGAAGATAATAAATTTAAATAATCAATCTCTTCATCATTTGAAAATTGTATAATCTTTTCTCTTAATTCATTTATTAATGGATATACTTTTGATAATTTTGTAAAATCTTCAACTTGTTCGATATCTGGATAATTTAAAATTGTTTGAAAAGAATCAGATAATAAATTTGATTGAATTAAATCATTTAATTTACTTTGGAATGAGTCTTGTTGTATTATTTCATCATCACTTTCTAAATCTTGTAATAAATCATTCTCATAATTTGCCATATCCAATTTTGAAATTTTTCGATGAGAAAAATATAAATTTATCAAAATTATGGCATTTCAAGTTAAAACATCAATATTATCAAATTCTGATGGATCTGCTGAATTAATTATAGGTGGCACAAAAGTATTGGTATCTATATCTGGTCCAATTGAACCTAAAATACGTCAAGAGTTACCAAATCAAGCAAGTTTAGATATAATAATAAGACCTTATAAAGGATTATCAACAACTAGAGAAAAATTATTAGAAGATAAGTTAAGACAATTACTACAAAGTATAATAATTCGATATAAATATCCTAGACAATTAATTCAAATAGTTGTACAGTTTTTAATTATTGATGAAATTGAAGAATTCACATGTAATGAATTAAATGCTGCTATAAATTGTTGTTATTTTGCTTTAATTGATGCTGATTTGGCATTATACTCATCATTTGTTTCAGTTGTTGCATGTATAAATCTGGGAAATTTACTTTTAAATCCACCAGGGGATATTTTAATAAATAGTGATTCACATCATGTAATATGTTATAACATTGAAAATCAAAAGGCAAACAAACTATTATTCCTAGAGAGTGATGGTGAATTTACTGAAGAAACCTTATTTACAATACTAGCTAAAACTGTGAGTGAGGCGGAAACTTTACATCAAGAACAACGAAAAATTATACAAGCAAAAATAGAAAATGATTATATATGGAAATAAATTGTACATTAATATAAAGTCGCTAATGGATCTAATCTCAGTCTTTGAGAATTTCCAATATTCAATAAATTAATTTCATTACCAAACTTATTATTTGGATTTGATTTATGTTTAAATGTAAAACCAATAAAGTTGTTTTGTTTAATTTTACGTACTCCTGATTTTTCCAATAATTGTTCATTTTCTTCTTGTCTTGCAAATACATCTTTATATTTCATCATCATTTCTTCATCTTCAAAGTCATCAAAATATCCAGCATCTTCTTCATTATCTAATTGTGGTGTGAATGGAGGCGTACGTTCTCTTAATTTATCCCAATCTTTTATATCACCAAAATAAGCCAATTGTTGAACTTGTTTAAAATTACGAAGTCTTTGATTTGGTGATGCAATTAATTTTATAATCAAATTCCATGTACGATCACTAAATACATATCTACCATCTTTTGTTTGTGGTCTTCTTAGTGCAGTTTTCCAATGTTTTAGATTATAATAAGTTTCCTCTTGTTTTGAACCAGAAAATGGAGGATAACCACATAATGCTTCAAATAACATACAACCTAATGACCAATAATCAATTGTAAAATCATAATTCTTACCTTCTAAAACTTCTAATGCCATATAATCGGGAGACCCAACAATCGAATTTGCTAAATTATGATGTCCTTGACTTTGTTTAAATATTTTTTGTCTTTCAGTCATTAATCTTGATGGAACTTGATAATTATCCAAATCTTCCAAATCTCTCAACTTTATTCTCATTGATTCGATTCTATCATTTGAAACAGTTCCAGCAGCTAAACCAAAATCAGTCAATTTGATGTGACCTTTGGAATCAATTAAAAAATTTTCTGGTTTCAAATCACGATGAGTGAAGCCTAATTCATGTAAGGAATTTACAGCAGCAAACATTTCCAGTATATAAAATCTTGCATGTGGAGGTATCAAATATCCAGTATTATTTAATAATGTTCTAAAATCACCACCTGGTACAAATTCCATTGCTAAAAATACTTTTTCAGGATCTTGAAAAGCATATAATAATTTCACTAACCATTCACTACGAGTATTTGTAAGGATATCTCTTTCAGTTAAAACATGTCTTGTCTCATCTAATTTAACTAATAATTTTTTATTTAAAATTTTTAATGCACAAATTTCTCTAGTATCTTTCTTTCTTGCGAGGAAAACTTGTCCATATCCACCTTGACCAACTTGAGTTATCATTTGAAAATCTTTATGTTTTGGTTTCAATCTTCTTTTTCGTAATAAAGCTCTTTCTCTACCTATATAGTTTTTCCATTCCAATTGTTGTCTTTGCAAATCATTGGCAAAATTTGGATCAGTTAATAGTTTTTGTTCGACAAAATTAGTACGTTCTCTTCTATTTATCACATAATCAAACATATCACAGTAATAATCAAGAAAGTATAATTGTGCAACTGATGCTAATCTTTTAGTTTTTGGATTATTAGCCTTTTTATAAAACTCATCCGGAGATAATTTATATTTAGTTGGTGGTTGTAATTGATTTATATTATCATGTAAGTTACGATTTGCATTAGTTACTGGTGTTGGTGTTAATGGCTGTTGAAATCTTGAATTTTTATATGGAGTACTTGTTGGTGATTGATGTAAGATTGATTTAGTTGGTGAGTTTAACGGTGTTAAATTTTCTTTATTAAAATTATTATTAGATCTATAACTGGTATCAACATCCATCATATTACTTCCTATTGATACATTTTCCATTGATTGTGAAATATCTGATATGTCTTGAATTTGTAGTTCCTGTTGGTGATGATGATGGTGTTTCGGTGACTTAAAGAAATTAGCCATTTTAGATGTCATACTGAAGCTAATGAATACTGGAATACCTTAATAAAAGCAATGTTTTTTAAAAAGAAGTTGGTTGTAAAAGAATATAAAATTAAATTTGTGTAGTATGTAAAAGAATATCTTTTTTTTAATATCGCGCTACCAATTTATTTACAATTTGTATTAATTAGGATAATCAATTAAACAATCATGGAATTCTGCAAAATGTGAAATAACTATATTATCGAAGATCTAGACAACAGTAGATTTACAGTCAGTTCATACACTAAGAAACAAAAAGCCTCATTGCGTACTCAGTAAGCTTGGTGTATTGGCCAATCATATTGTGTTGTTCATGACGTATAACTGAGAATGTTTAGCTCGAGTCGCCCTACAATTAGAACGAGAAATTGTTTGTTTTGGCCCAAAGCTAGGGCGAGATTTCTTCATTAAAAAAATAAATCCGAAACAAATATGCTTATATGCAATCCTATAGAAGTTAATCGTAAAACTTAAATTGGGAATAAATCCGTCGATATTGAAGAATGTAACTTTCGAACTTTTTTCATTGATACTTCACCAATCTTAGATTAGAATGACAACCGTTTCATTTCAAGAAACATAATTCTGAACCTTTTATCTTATAATTAAGAAATGACAAAAACCGCTATACTTCAAGATAGCTAAAAATTAAACCTAATCTAGCTACTTCCAAGATATCTAATTCGGCTCATTTCATCTCAAATATTCTTTGTATTTTGTTTTCAAAAATTAAACCTAATCTAGCTACTTCCAAGATATCTAATTCGGCTCATTTCATCTCAAATATTCTTTGTATGTTGTTTTCAAGATGCCAAAACCAGTTTGAAGATTTTTCAAAAATTTCGATTCACCTTTGAAAAATTAGTATGTCAATTTATTATACTTTACCACAAAAAAGCTCAAGGTTTGTCAGCGTACATGAGCTACGAAATTGAATTTCTTTTTCGTCAGAATTTTGTTTTGTGGAGTTGAAATTTTTGTGAGATCAGTGTATTCGATTTACACCATACTTACGACAAAATTTCGGAATTTCTTAATTTTTTGTCTAGGAAGCTGAAATTAAGTTCTGCACCTAATTTTGATGTATAATATATATAATATGTTGTTTACCTCAAGTTACGGCGGCGGTAAATAGACTATGCTCAACATTTTCATTTTTAGCAATTTTTTTGTATGGTGGAAAAGGGCCAAAATGATAACTCGAAAAAAAAATATTTGAAATCAAAGGTTTACGCTATGTAGAATATATAATTCAAGGCTCTTGATTTTATAAACTTGGCACTGAGCTTCACAGAATTTGTTGAATATGAGATATAAACCATTAAGCTTTTTGCGAGTCGCCATAGAAGTAGCGCGAAAAATTAAAGTCTTTGGCTCCAAATTTACGCTTGTTTTGGCGATAATTTATTATTTTTTATAAATTGATATTAATTATTGTTCAAGACAAGTCAGCTAATTTGCCTTATAGGATTCTAATTATGCAGATAAAGAATTGTTTACCTGACTCAAATACTCAATCTGTGCATAATCGATTTGAATGCTCTTTAAATGGTAATTCACAAATTTGTAGAATCTAACTGGTAGCTCTTCAGCTCAAATTTATTTTTAACAATCAACTAACAATCATGATTAAACGAAATCTACATAAATCGACAAGACACAACTTATTTGGTGGAAAATCATTAAAACCAAGTCAACAACAATTGTTCACTCCACCATCGACAACATCACAAAAATCAAAACCGCCAGCAAATCCATCCGACATACTCAAGAAAAATGACATCTTAATGTATTCAAGCAAACCTTTGAACTATATAGAATCAATTAAAAAAGATGGATTCCACCTAGCTAATAATCTACTAATTACTGCTCCATACGGGTTAGTTCTAATCAATTCAGAATCATTTCAAGTCAATCTCGAAAATGGCTATAAAAATTTCAAAAATTATCTAATTGAATTTGAACCATCTGTTTTAGAAATATTTAAAAAGGTGCATCCTAAACCTGAGATTCTTGTTATTGGACTAGGTAAATTCTCCAGAATGTTGAGTGAGAATAATCGATTGTTTTTTAGTGAATTGGGCATCCAAGTTGAAGTCTCTGATTCTAATAATGCTGGTCAAATCTTTGATTTATTGGCTACTGAAAGACCTGGTGTTATTGGTGCTTTATTGTTGCCTCCAAACGTATAAGAATGTTTAGAGTATGAGGTTGAGAGTACATAGAGACAAGCCAATGGTTGATGTAAATAAAAATAAATATATTAAAGATTAGATGCGGTATGTTTGAGTCTCGAAGTTAGCGAGATATAGCTTCTTATTGAGTTTTATATGAGTTTGACGCATAGTAGTTGAGCTCACTTGAAGTACTTATCGAATTTCAAAATAACAGCACGAAACAGATTGAGCTTTTAAGAAATAGTCATTATATACAATAAATGAGTTTATGAAACGATTTTAGACTCTAGTAGTATATATTGTCAATGCAAAAGTGAATAAGTAGCCAATAAGATTTAAAATGAAAACCGTTGTATTGTATATTAAAAATCTATCCTATTGAATCGTCAAAATTCTTCAGATACAGTCCTAAATTAAAAATTGAATTAAAACCGGGAGTACCAAATCCATAACTAACATCAGGAGATACATGTAATCCACTACCATCAATCACATTACTCATGTTATTATTATAAATTATATTTTGATGTTGTGGAGTAGACATAGTCATAGACATAAAAGGGTAAATTGGTTGTTGTTGAGGCATATACACCTGTGGTTGACCTTGTTGTTGTGGAACGTGATTTACTTTTTGAGGCGGTGCCATTGATGTTGATGTCACATTTGAATAAAATGAATTATCATTTGGAGAAATCTTATCTAATAAAAATTTATTATGATTATTTGGAGTTGATGAAACTTCAAATGATGACTGGGTCGTATGTATATGACTTACATTGTTTGATATAATTGAACTATGACTATGATCTTTCGTCGTATTCATACTCGAATCAAGATTTGAGTGTTGTTGTGTTAATGTTGGGACTGGTGGATGTGATGATTGTGATGGTTGTTGTTGTGGTTGTTTTTGTTTGGTTTTCTTTGGTTTTTGTGGATTCATTAGATTATGGACATCAGTTAAAACAATTTGAAATTTACTCATCCCTTGTTGCATTTTGACTTTATTGTCAGCTCTATTTTTACCTACATTTACTGGAGGAGGAGCATTAAATGAAATATTATTTGAAGCATTGTGATTACTATGATTATCATTATTATTGTGTGATACTTTCTTCTTAGGTTTTGGTTTTGGTTTTGATGTGGTTGTAGTTGTAGTTGAGCTTTCTTTCTTCTCGGTGAATACTCCCATCATTGGTATATTTGCTGCATTTGAAACCGAATTGACTTTCTTTGCTGGTGTCGGACTAGGTGGAACTTGTTTTGAATTATTATTACCAAGTATGTTTTTAGTTTTTATTGCACTATCGTTTTTCACTGGTGATGATATTATTATAGTTGATGGTGATGATGGGGCATGTAATTTCTGCTTTGCTGGAGTTTGAAATTGATTGGAATTATTTGTTACATCTCTAAGCACTGTTGATTTTGATTTACATGGAGTTTCACTAGCATTTTCTTTCACTTTCTCTAGTTCTTCTTGTTTCTCATCCTCCTCTTCTTCCTTCTCTTCTTTTACTTTTACTTCTTCCGTATGAGTTTTGTTGGATTTCGCACCTCTACGAGGTGGTGTATCGACCAATGTAATTGATCTTTTTGTCTTTATTGAACTGTTATTAGATTTACTTTTAGCAACTGAACTTAAATTAAATTTTGATGGTGTAATAGTCTGTAAATTTGTATTATTTCCATTTTTGATTGGACTTTCAATATAGAAATCACATATATTATTGAATTGTTGATGGAAAATTTTCTCGTATGGAGTATTGATGAAAGGTGTTAAGCCAAAACATCCACCATTCAAATCAACAATTGATTCTTGAGGTATTTGTTGTTGTTGCTTGTTTAAAACATTTGGCGTTGAATTAAAAGATAAAATTTGTTCTGAGTTATAACATTTACTGATAAGTGGAGTCCAACCACTAAAATTAGTGGTTTGATTTATAAACTTGGATGCTGATGGTGGTGGATTTTGTTTTATTGAACTTGTACTTATTGTCCTATTAATTTGTAAAGTTGATGTTGCTGCTGTTTTCTTCGATGCTGGTGTTTGAGTTTGTATATTTGCTATATTTGATTGATCTTCTTTCTGTGGTGATGAATGTAGATATTCATCTGACATATTAATGTATTAGATGCTGAATAAAAAGTCCAAGGTTAATTGTTCGTTGACGAATTGAAGTTGTTGAAACGACAGAAAATAGTCTATTAAGATGTATTTAATGTATCACTTGATCTAATGGTGGTGCAGTTTATTAATAAGATGATAAGGTTTGATGAAATAAGGAATAAAAGTAAGAACTTTTTGATGATTGTTGTTTTGAGTTTTGAGTTTTGAGTTTTGAGTTTTGAGTTTTCTTAATATTTTTTTATTTTTTAATGTGTGATTATTTTTACTAACAAATTATTTACTACTACTCGCTTTAAAATTACAACAATACTAAGAAAGATATCGTTCTGAAATTTCTGATTATTATGGAGTAGCAACTATTACATTGTATTAGATCTGCAACGCCTTTATGTAAATGCACCCCCAAAAGAAAAAACGGTAGATAATCATGGAAGTATTTAAAGTTAAGTTTGATCCATCGTTTCAACTTTAAAGTAAGTGTCCATTAAAACAAGCTAAAATAGAACTAGCCTATTCTTAAAAATCGTATGTTTGTTTCACTCATATATTTTGTACCTTTTTATCAAGATCATGATCATCGATTGCAAAATATAATAAAAAAAGCTATAGGGTAAAAAAAATGTAAATATTGATACTGCATATAATCTGAAACACCAAATTTTTTTGAAATTTTGCAGCAAATGTAAACAAGAAAAAGCGTGTTTTAGTAACATTGCACGAATCCTTACTACCATGTGTGTCAATGATGGAATGATTTTTAACTTCCAGTATTGCGTTATGGTTAGAATAATACGACTAATATTAGAAATCAGGCGGATGCTGTTAAAAAGATGAACTCCGAAATTTCCATGAGAGAGATTCAGTTAAAGAAAATGTTACTTCAGCTGTCAATTTATGATATGTTAACAATGCAAGAATGTTTCTAGAATATATGTCAATACATAATGATGTAAATTATTATAGTGTAACAAATTAATGTCATAAAAATTTGGTAGTGTATTTTTGATTATTTAAGATAAGCAATTAATATGATAAAACTTATTACAATTCAATTCAACTTTGTGTCATTGAATCAATATTATAATTTCCTTATATTGATTGCTATAATATTTTATATAGAATTGCCTTGCTATGTTAATCTATGATCATCTCAAAATATCTCGAGATGTTTAGCCGTATGAATTAGACGATGATTTTTTTTCTTCGAGAAATTAATGAGTAGAATTAATGAGTAGAATTAAAATTATACATATATTCTTATTAAAATTAATAAATTAAAATTTAAACAAACAACTTATAAACTTTTACATTCTTTTCAAATATAACTACTAAACATATTTAAGCAACTTGAGCTTCATGCTTATCAAAATCTTGTTCAGCAATTCTTAAATTTTCAGTTTCATTTGCCAATTCGTCATCTTCATAAGCTTCTTCTTCATCTTCTTCATGATGTAATGATAATGTTGGTCTAACGACAGCAGAATCAAAAGTCCATGAAGCTAATGCATTTTCAGCATCAATAATAATTTGTTTTGAAGCTTCATAACCATCATATGCTGGTCTAGTTTCACCTGGAGTAACTGGAGATTCATCCAATAATTCCAATAATGCTTTACCATAACCAGCAATTAAAGCAATTTTTTCAGCATGTTCTCTAATTGAATCAAATTGATAATTAAATGAAGTTTTTAATTTTTCTCTTGTAATATTTGACAACTGAGCTTCAGCAACTAAAGACTCAGCTTCAGCTCTAACTAATTCTTGTTCTAAAACATTAATTTTTGGAGATTGAGGATCTTTATATTTTAAATAAGCAATTTGATCAGTAATTTTTTGTTTTCTTTCTCTTGAAGGTTGTACAGAACCTTCAATATCTCTAATTGATTTTAATGTAATTCTATATTGGTCATATCTATCAATAAATTGATCTTCCAATTCTCCAATTTCAAATATTAATACTCCCAATTTATCAGTAATATCACTAATATCATCTTCATTTGATTCTCCCCATAAGGATAATTGTTTTGCAACATCTTTTCTTTCTTTTGAAGTAATTTCAATTGATCTCATTAAATTTTTTTCCATTTTAATTAAAATAGCCAATTTTCTTGCTAATTCTGGACCTAAAGCACCTGCAGCACTTTTTCTAAATGAATGAGAAATTGATCCTTTACCAAAAAATTTAGATTTAGTAGATGAAGGAGGTGGAGGTGGTGCTTGCAATTGAGAAGCGGTTGGAGCTCTAGATGATCTTAATGAATATGTTCTATGCATGATGAATTGATATTATATGAAATTATATAAAACTTAATAATAACAATGAAAATGAATTGAATGAATAAATTGGTTGTAAAAAAATAGAATTTAAAAGAAGGAAAAATTAAATTTATATGTAATAAATTTTTAAAATTGAAATTCATACTAAAACTTTAATCTTGGTGATTTTTCGGTGTGGGCTTTTTTTTATTTTATTTTTTTTTTTTTTTTTTTTTTTTTTTACCACAACCAAATTGAACAAGGGGAGGACAAATATAAAATAATGCTGGCTATTTTATTGATAATACAAATTTTAGATTAGGGTTACGATATGATCTACAATTAAATATCACGGGTTTAATCTATTTTATTAATTAATTATATTACTCGAGTATTAAACTAAAACCAACCATTAATTATGAGTGATGTGTTGGTTAATTTTTAAGGCAACATAATATTTAAAGTTTGATAATAATATTTATTGTTTTTTTGATTTTTACGTGACAATTTTATCATTTCAAACACTTGCTTTGAAACATTAAACTTTGAAATTTTTCTTTGCGCTTCGATTGATTTGATTGATATTTTATTTGATTTTGAGGTTCATTTGATTATTCATTAATGTATATTAACCTCATTCTATTATTGTAAATTAATTGCTTAATTGACAGAATTGTCTGTTATAATCAAATTTCACCTTATAAATCTAAATTAGTATACATTTCATCCAAATTAGGAAATTTAGCAATTAAACTTTTTTAATCTATTATTTAATTAAATCAATAATACTCAATAATACGCAAATTCAACCAAATACATTATATAATTTATTATGTAATAAAATTTGATTTTAAAAACGACGTTTTTGAATCAAAGTTTCAGATCGTAATCTTCGATGAAAAGGCTTTAACATGATAATACTAGCAAATAAACTTGATAAATTATTTATTTGTTCTATTTATTTGTTCTATTTATTTTATTTGTTAATTTTAATACTAGCTAAAAAGTCTCATACTAAAGAAATTCATGGTATCATAATGATTTCTATTCTCGTAATCGGAGTTGATCAATGCTGTAAATTACAAATATTGACTGTTGTTCTAAGTCTTGATAATGAGCTCGATATTGCTTCTACAATATGTTCTATCCCCGCAAAATCATTTTACGACAAGAAAATGAATCAGAAAATTTACTTATCGAAAAAAAGTAATTTTGCAGCCAAATTTTCAAAAAAAAATAAAACTTTAACAAGTATTTTGACCTACGTAGTTAACAAGATCACGATAAGTTGATGCATTTTAGCGGTATTTAAAGTCCATCCATAATTCTATATTCAAGTTTAACTTTATTTACTTTCTTATTTCGCTTTCAAAATTTGATCAACAGTATCAATGATAGATTTTTCTAAATCAATATATTTGAAACCCAAAATATCTTTTGTTTTTTGAAAATTAGTGTTGTAACCCTTTTCATTAATTAATTTTTCACTTCTGCTCAAAGCACCTTTTGGAATTTTCAAATGTTGAAAATTTTTATTAATTATACTTGCCAATAAATCATTACTCCATTGACCATTAGCAACAACTAATCTTTGACCATTAGTCTTATCATTCTTAATGGAATCAACATGAGCTCTAGCAACATCTCTAACATCAATAAAGTTACCATTCATTGGTGGAATTTCATCACCTTCATTTAATTTTAAAACCTTATTAACAATCTCAGCACTAAAATTCAATTCAGATTTATTTTTAACTTTCCCAGCTTGTGGTCCAAAAACATAAACTGGATGAATAGTAGTTATTTCAAATCCTTGATCTTTAAATTTCCAAACTTCTTTTTCGGCAAATGTTTTTGATCCATTATAAGCAGATCCAGGATCTTCAAAACTTTCTTCATATGTAATTGGATTAACCGAATCTTCAGTAAATGTTAAATTTGAATCATAATGTTTTCCAAATGAACCGACTGATGAAAATGAAGAAGTGACAATGACTTTTTTGATATTTTTACCATATTTTTTAATTGCAGTAAAAGCATTCTTAGTTCCTTCAATTGCTGGATCTAATATATCTTCTTTATAATTTTTAGAAGTGAAAATGACTGGTGAAGCAGTGTGTAAGAATACTGAAATTTCAGGATGAGATTGTAAAGCCTTATCAAAAGCGCCTTTTGTAGCAATGTCTTCCACAATTTCGTATGTGAATAACTTTGAATTTAAACCAAGCGATTTCAAATCAGTTCTTAATTGATCTCCTTTTTCTGATGATCTTACTGAACCTATGACATTATAGTTATTTTCAATTAATAATTTTACTATTTGCTGAGCAATGAAACCTGTAGCACCAGAAACAAAAACTGTAGTATTTGAGGACATAATTTAAAGAACTGACTGAATTGTAGCTGTTGTAAAAATCAAAAAGTTGTATTTAGAAACAAATAAATTGCCATTGCGAAAAAGCAAATATAATACTGGTTACCACAATTTATAATTGTTCGGTAATCAGCTAAAGCACGACTTGACAAAGCCACTCCTGTCAAAAGTGTATTTTTACACTAAAGTATGCTGTCCATTTTATACTTATGCTTATGCTTTGAATGTAGTTAGGAAAATAATAAATTCTCGAGAATCCAAAAAAATGGTTATAAGAGGATTTGCAACATGACAAGTATTGTTTGTTAACAAAGCCGCTTATTGTAGTTCAGATCTCAGGTTATGAAATGAGTTTATTAGTAAGATTTTACCAAATCTTACTGTATATATTATTTACTAGTTAATTTATTTTTTGGCTGAGATCTCATATCTCCGTGATTATATCTTCGTTTTCATATCTCCGAGATTTCGGTGATAACAACCTGTCAATTTCTACTAATCATCTCCTAGTATTTGAGCAACAGTATCATATATAGATCTCAAATCAATATAATCATCAATACCCAATAGTTTTCTAGTCTCCGAATTATCAAATTTAGAATCTCCTATATTTATAATTGCTGTATCTGGATTTCCATCAGGTAAAACATGAGCCAATTCATCAAAATCTTCAATTATAATATTTAAAATACCTTGATTGTTGATAAAAGAAAGTAGGTGATTGTGGCAGATTTATTTATGTTTATAATAGTTTGTTTAAATTGCTGCAAATTTTTTATTTTTTACTCCTAATTTCTTTCCATTGTTTTTCAGACTACACTCAGAGCAATGATAGATCGTATTTGAAGTCAATTATAAGGTAAAGTTGAAGTTGAAATCGAGGCCCTCTTTTCGTTAATTGAGTTAAGTCTAGTTTTTTATCAATTCTTGGATTTTTTAGTAAACTTATATGCATATCAACGCTACCCCTTAGAATGTTGAAACGGCTTATACACTATAATCTTTGCAGGGTTACTACTAGCTCTTAAAACATATGAGTTAAACTTTGTTGAGCTTTTTTAAAGTACAATTTGAGTAACTTAGTCATTAACACTTTGTCTACAATTGGTAAAGTTGGCAAGGCTTTATAAGGTCGTGAAAAGGCAATATATCCTTCTTGAAGCGCTGATCTACTTTATTGTCACATAATATATTTACTATCTCTTATAGTTATTCTATTTTAAAATTTGAGCAACTGAGTCATCAACACTTTGTTTCAAATCAAAATATTTAAAATCCAAGATTTTTTTAGTATGATCAGAATTAACTGTTGGTTCTTTACGTATATAATCTTTAAGTTTTGTTTCATCAACTTTTGGTAATTTCTCTTCTAATTGAGGGAAATCAGCTTTTATAATTTTAACAATTTTTTGATTTGAAAATGGTTCAGCAGCTAATATTAATCTTTGACCGGCTGCTTCTTCTTTCTCAAAAGCTACTAAATGAGCTTTTGCAACATCTCTAACATCAATAAACCAAGCAGTTGCATCTGGAATTTCATCATTTGAATTTAATTTAATTAAACCATTGAGAATTTCTGAGCTTGTATTTAATTTAGATTTATCTTTAACTTGATATAATTGAGCTAAAATTATTTAGTTAGTAATAATTTCATACGCACTTGCTTAACGACTAGATTATCTAATCAACCAAGCAATTAAATAATTGATAACATACGACCAAATACATATGCTGGCAAAACAGTAGATAATTTGAAACCAACATTATTCTTTTCAACAAATTCCCATGCTGCTTTTTCAGCAAATTTTTTAGAACCAAGGTAACCACTTAATGGATTTTCTAATGAGTCTTCCCAGGTTTGTGGATTCCAATCTTTTTCAGTTAATGTAGCTTCTGGATCAGCGTATTTACCCCATCTACCAACAGCAGCAAAAGATGAAGTAACGACAACTCTTTTAATATTTTTACCGTATGTTTTAATTGCATTCAAAGCATTATTAGTACCTTCAACGGCTGGATCTAATAATTCACTTTTGACATCTTTGACATCAAAATGGAATGGTGAAGCAGTATGTAAGAATACTGAAATTTCTGGATGTGATTGTAATGCCTTGTCAAAAGCTCCTTTTGTAACAATATCTTCGACAATTTCATATGAAAATGAATCTGATTTTAAACCAAGTGATTTCAAATCTGATTTTAATTGGTCTCCTTTTTGAGATGATCTAACTGAACCAATGACACTATATCCTTGTTCAATTAATAATTTTACTATATGCTGAGCAATGAAACCTGTAGCACCAGAAACAAAAACTGTAGTATTTGAGGACATAATTGACGGTAAAACTTGATAATTTGAGAATTGAATTGTAGAATCTATTCCCCTTTTATATTGGCTGATTTTGGTTGCTTCTAAATTTAAGCTTTTTTGAAGGGTTAGAATCTATTCCCCTTTTATATTGGCTGATTTTGGTTGCTTCTAACTTTTAGCTTTTTTGAAGGGTTAGAATGCACAAAGGGTTATGCCTGGAAAACTGTGTAAAATCTTTGGAATCGGCCGAGATTTATTCGGTGTTAGCTCGATTTGTGTAATCTCCAGCAATCTCGGTGATTTTAGTTATAATTACGTGAATGATTTGATTTGTAAAATGATGATATCATAAGATGGTCGATACCATGGCATTGAAGTACTTAAACTTAGAGTTCCAATGAAGGAATTAATTTCGCTGGAGTATGAGATGGAATTTATGACAAAGGAATCGATGAATGAAGCCAAAAGTTGTATCACCTGAATCTCCTCATTTTGAAAGTTATAACGCTCAAATGAAGGTTACATATTAAGAGTGTCTCACCTAAAACAGTAATTTTATAAATAAATGCTCTGCAATTGAAGATTATACTCTGTAATTTAAGGTTATTGAAAGAAACAGGAAAAGAAAAGGCTTCAAATTTACAAACTCTAAAATACAATCATTAAGGTTACAAATTAAAGTCCATAGTAAAACGAGACCCGCTAAGTTCCTCTTGTCCTATTTCCAAATATAGATCTTGATCTTATCATGACTCAATAATCATTTTCTTCCCAATTTTCTTGACATTCAGTCGTAACATATAATAATTATTTTATTCGCTTAAATTTTAATGCGAAAACGGTATTGTAGTGTATATAAAATTAGCGAGAAAAAGAAAAAAATTTCTGATCTAAAACCAAATTATTTTTACAACCAAATATTAATACTACCAAGTTTAAATCAATTTCATACATTCCCTATGCCAACTATATTTCATAGATACAATGAATTATTAAAAAGACATCCATTTAAGACCAATATGGTCAGTACGGGTTTATTTTTTGGATTTGGTGATGCCATAGCTCAATCTTGTTTCCCACATAAATTTACGAAGGAAGAAAAAGATGAAAAGACTGGATTTACAAAGCAAGTTGAAGTAGTTGCTGATTATTCAATAGATAGAACATTAAGAGCTTTAGTTTATGGTTCATTCTTTTTTGCACCTTTAAGTGTTATATGGCATGGTAAAACATTACCAAAGATTAAAAATCCATTTATAAATTTCAATAGAAGGAATCAAATGAGAAATGATCCGTTGCAATATCCTAGATTACATTTATATGATACTTTATTTAGATTAAGTATTGATCAATTATTTATACCTGGTTTAATTTGGATTCCATTATATAATACAGTGATGGTTATATTAGCACAACATCATGATCCATTTACAGTTATTAAAAACAAATTGGAAACTAATTGGTGGACTGTTTTAAAAGCAAGCTGGACAGTTTGGGTTCCATTTCAATTATTAAATTTATATTTTGTACCTGTTTATTTAAGAATTGTATGTTCTAATATTTATGCAGTTGGTTGGAATTCATTTTTAAGTTTTATTCATAATACTAAAGGTCATGGTAAAGGTAGTGGTAAGAAAATTGAAGAATTGGTAGATATTGAAGATGATTCAAATTTGACTACAATGGTTTATGATTAGGATGCGAAGAAAAAAAAAAAAAAATAAATCAACCACCCATTTTTTTCAAATCAAACATGTTTAATTCGATATTTAGAAGATATCATCAAATATTATTAAAAAAACCGTTATTGACAAATATGATAAGTACAGGGGTTTTATTAGGTGGTGGTGATTTCCTTGCACAAATTTTACTCCCTCAAACTCCAGATCAACCATTTGATTATTTAAGAAATTTAAGGGCAATAATATATGGGTCAATTATATTTGCACCTATTGGTGATAAATGGTATAGAATATTAAATAATAAAGTAGTATGGACTAATGGTGCTTCAAAATTAGAAAATAGAACATTATCAACAATTTTAAGAGTTGGTGTTGATCAATTAATTTTTGCTCCTTTTATTGGTATACCTTTATATTATGCATCAATGATAATTTTAGAAAATAAACAACCATACCTTGAAAATATAATTGAAAAATTTGAATCAAGTTGGTGGATTACCTTAAAAGGTAATTGGTTGGTATGGCCTATTTTCCAATGGTTTAATTTTTATTTAATTCCAGTACATTTTAGATTATTAGCTGTTAATATAATAAGTATTGGTTGGAATACTTTTTTGAGTTATGTAATGCATAATAAGGAATAATGGAAAGGAAGTTAAAAGTATAATACTATAAATATCAATTATTGGTTTTCATAAAATTAATTATAAGTCATAGAAGATGTTAATTTGCATTCGTTTACATTTATTTATTAGCATATTTTAGCACGTCGTGTCTACTAATTTTTAATTGGTACGTAATCAAGTCAATTTTCAATTTGCATTAAAAAAGAACTTAATAGCGGCCTAATTTCAAATTGAGGATCACATTAAGCTTCAAAATAGAAAACTTAGACTACATAAAGTGTAATATATACTTCTGATAGTATTGCAGTTGGCTGATAACCAAATATGGGGTAATTATTTGTTGACAAATTTGAGAAACAAGAATATACCTGGTTTTTAAGCTAAACTTACAGTTATCTATTACCAGATTAACTCACAACTGAAGAGGTTAAAACAAACAATCGTAATTAAGCTCAATAAAATGATTTCTGTATTAGTTCGGCTTTCCAAACTCTAAATTAGTTTTAGTTGTCAATAGATTTTAGTTTTTCTTCGACTTACGATTTAAAATGCTACCATGTGAACTACAACAAAAGAACTCTGTAACTTAAAATTACGTCATAACAGCCTTTTAGCTTAACTTTTTCGATAACTGACTAGCCTTGAGTACGTAATCAGTACAAATAGGAACATTGAACAACAAAGAATGAGATAGGTGGAAAAAGTGCTTGTAATTTCTCAATAATAGTTACTTGGAAAGCAGGGCTTTAGCAGTTTATAATACAGTTGTTGCATTGACAACATATGCATGAAACCAACCTAGGCTTTTCTTCTATACTTCCGTGCATACAAAGATTCAAATAATGTATATGGTTTACATATAAAATGTATGAAATAAGAGTGGTAGTGTTTAGGACTAATCTAACAAAGTACGCAATTTATTGTCATTTTTATATGCTAAAAGTTTACTTATTTGAATCAGTTTTTAACATTTATATAAGCCGTCAGTCCATTCAACTTACAGAAGTCTTTTTTAATTGTAGCAGATCAAATTAATCGCTGGTTAAACATCAAATCATTGTTAATTTCAAGTAATAATTTGGATAATTTTTTTTTTTTTTTTACCTCACGAACACTAACAAAAACACCAATTTTATCAACAATTTAATTTTGTTTTCATTTAGTTATATAACTATATTTCCAAGATGATGAAAGGTTTCAAAAATAGATTGACTCGAAATAAGAGTCAATCGTCAAATAATAAAAAGGATAAAAAGGATAAAGATAAAGAAAAGAATGAATCAAAATCAAGTTTAAGATCAACTTCTCCAACTACTTCAACAAGTCAAAATAGTCAAAATTCACAATCTTCACTGCAATCTTCAAAAAACTTAATGACTGGTACTTCAAGTCTGTTAAAATCAAATTCTCTAAGTCCTTCAAGAAGTAGTGGTGATAATTCAAGTGGTAATAATATTTTTGGTTCACCTCAACAATCAAGTAATAATAATAATAATACTTCATCCCCAACATCTACTGCATCGTCAACAAATTTACAACAAGTGGCTCCAAATACAACAGCAAATATTGTAACTAATACTCAAAATCCAAATTTAACTCCCGCTACAATGCCATCTATAGTTACACCACCAACAACTGCTTCATCAAATAATAGTCAACCAATTACCCCCACCCCAACATCTCCAATTGCTTCCTCACATCAATCAACTTCATTTGATGGTAAAGCAACTCATTCACAACATGCGTCACATCAAGGTCATTTTGGTCAATTATCTCCAAATATTGTTTCACCTGGTAAAGAAAATTTCGATATTGATTTAATTGTTACACCAAAAAGACATTCTTCATCAAGATTTGAACCAACATCAAATGAAAAATATCAAGAAATTGTTAAATTACCAAATTTTGATGAAGTTTTACCAGAGGACCAAATTCAGTTATTTATTCAAAAAATTGATCAATGTAATATAATGTTTGATTTTGGAGATGCAACATTTGATATCAGAGGGAAGGAAATCAAAAGAATTACATTACAAGAATTAATTGCATTTATATCAAACAATAGATTTACTTATACGGATGAAATGTATAAACATGTTGTTACTATGTTTAAGAAAAATTTATTCAGACCAATACCCCCACCTGTAAATCCAGTTGGTGAAATTTATGATCCTGATGAAGATGAACCAGTTAGTGAATTGGCTTGGCCTCATATGCAAGCCATATATGAATTCTTCCTTAGATTTATTGAATCACCAGATTTTCAACATCAAATTGCAAAACAATATATTGATCATGATTTTATATTAAGAATTTTAGAATTATTTGATAGTGAAGATCCAAGAGAACGTGATTGCCTTAAAACTACATTGCATAGAATCTACGGTAAATTTTTAAGTTTGAGAAGTTTTATTAGAAAATCTATAAATAATGTCTTCTTACAATTTGTTTATGAAACTGAAAGGTTTAATGGTATTGGTGAGTTATTGGAAATATTGGGATCTATTATCAATGGGTTTGCATTACCATTAAAAGAAGAACACAAGATATTTTTGGTAAGAATTTTAATACCTTTACATAAAGTTAAATGTTTATCATTATACCACCCACAATTAGCTTATTGTATTGTCCAATTTTTAGAAAAAGATCCGTCATTGACTGAAGATGTTATAATGGGATTATTAAGATACTGGCCAAAAATTAATAGTCCAAAAGAAGTTATGTTTTTAAATGAAATTGAAGATATATTTGAAGTTATGGAACCAACAGAATTTATTAAAATTCAAATCCCTTTATTTGCTCAATTATCAAAATGTATAAGTTCTCCACATTTTCAAGTTTCCGAGAAAGTTTTGTGTTATTGGTCAAATGAATATTTTTTAACATTAATTACAGAAAATGCTGAAGTTGTATTACCAATAATTTTTGCATCATTATATGAATTAACAAATATAACTCAACCAGGAATTGAAAATGGTATAATGCAACAAAAATTAGCAAAACATCCAAATGCAACAGTTGACGCAAATGGTAATTTAATTGATAGTAAATTAGTATTACAGGATTTACAACAAAGTATAGTGCCAAGTTCAAATGATCCATCACATCCACATTATAATATATTTGAAGTACATTCGTCAATAAATAATTCACAACAAAATCAAACCCAACAGAATAATGACGGTGACACAAATATGAATCAAGATATAAATGGACAACACGATTTAACAGATGATGAATATTACGATTCATTTAATACAATGCAAAGTGGTTTAAATAATCATCATAATAATCCATTAGGTGAAGAATTTGGTGGCGGAGGAAGTGCATTTGATGATAATAATCCGTTATTACAGCATAATTCAGCCACTTCAAATTGGAATAGATCTATCCATTCCCTCGCTTGGGGTGCTTTAAAGGTCTTCATGGATCATAATCCAGTGTTATACGATCATTGTACTTTATTGTACCACCAATCTTTATCTGAACAAAAGGAAAGAGAGTCAGCAAGGAAAGAAGGTTGGAAGAGAATCGAAGCTTATGTGAAACTTATTAAAGAAAATCAAACACATAGTCAATTGACTATATAAAGTTAATTTAAATAACTATTATATATATAAAATACGTTAAACTCCATTTGTAGAACAAGATTGGTGACTTCTGTTCATAACAAGCCTTTTCATAATTATGTAATCAGATCTGGTTATTTCGAAATATTTTTTTGGTCAAAAATTTTTCACTTTTTATCAATTCCTTTTTTTTGCAACAACAACAAGTATGTTTAAAATAATGAAGATTTATATGATGATTTCTTTGTCGATTTACTATTGATTTTATGTTAGATGAAAAATTAATAAGAACCGCTACACTGATTAATGTTAAATATTTGAATATCTTACTAACAACAATTAGATATAATTCTCACGGCCAAATCTCCAATGGAAACTCCGATAATCTTGTAGCTTAAGTTAATTCTCGATAAATTTAACTTTTAAGTGCCGAATGATCTCCTCTGCGTTAATATATCCCTTTGACTCTGTTATATATTAGTTATATTATTATTAACTGATTACAAATTTTCTTTTCTAATTTTGTGTAATATTCTAAAAGCTCATCTGTCTGTCTAAAAAAAATTATAAAACCAAATAAATTTTTGATAAAATTTTTTTTATTTTCTTCTTTTCTTTTTTGGCAAAGGATAGCCCTTTATTTTATCAATATATTCTATAATATCATGGTTTACGAAACTTCAAAAGCAACTTCATATTTAAAAGATTATTCCAAAAAAGATGGTTTATCAATTAAAGAATTAATTGATTCAACAAATTTTGGTGGTTTAACTTATAATGATTTTTTAATTTTGCCAGGGTTAATTAATTTTCCATCAAATACAGTTAGTTTAGAAAGTAAATTAACTAAAAAAATTACTTTAAAATCACCATTTGTTTCTTCACCTATGGATACTGTTACTGAAGAAAAAATGGCAATTTATATGGCATTATTGGGTGGTATTGGTATAATACATCACAATTGTACAGCTGATGAACAAGCAGAAATGGTTAAAAAAGTTAAAAAATATGAAAATGGTTTTATTAATGACCCAGTTGTTATTTCTGAAGATGTTACCGTTGGTGAAGTTAAAAAAATGGGAGAATTTTTAGGTTTTACTTCATTCCCAGTCACAGGTGTGTTTTTTTAAACTTGTTATCACTGATGATCAAAACATATCAATTTTATAACTTTCGTTCTACCGAATATTACATCAAACGATGTTGGGGAGAATCTTTTTTACTGATATGGTAACAAAAATGAATAATAATACTAACTATTTTTAGAAAATGGTAAAGTTGGAGGTAAATTGAAAGGTATTGTTACATCAAGAGATGTTCAATTCTATGATGATAACTCAGCGAAAGTTACTGAAGTGATGACTACTGAATTAGTTACAGGTAAACAAGGTATTACATTAACTGAAGGTAATAATATATTAAGATCATCAAAAAAAGGTAAATTACCAATTATCGATTCAAACGGTAATTTAATTTCATTAATTTCAAGAACTGATTTACAAAAAAATCAAGATTATCCAAATGCATCAAAATCTTTTGATTCAAAGCAATTATTATGTGGTGCTGCAATTGGTACTATTGACGCTGATAGAGAAAGATTAGATAAATTAGTTGAAGCTGGTTTAGATGTTGTAGTTTTAGATTCGTCAAATGGTTCATCAGTTTTCCAATTAAATATGATTAAATGGATTAAAGAAAAATACCCAGATTTACAAGTTATTGCAGGTAATGTTGTAACAAGAGAACAAGCTGCTTTATTAATTGAAGCTGGTGCAGATGCTTTAAGAATTGGTATGGGTTCAGGTTCAATTTGTATTACTCAAGAAGTTATGGCTTGTGGTAGACCACAAGGTACTGCTGTTTATGGTGTAACTGAATTTGCAAATAAATTTGGAGTTCCATGTATTGCTGATGGTGGTATTGGTAATATTGGTCATATTTCAAAAGCTTTAGCTTTAGGTGCTTCTTGTGTTATGATGGGTGGTTTATTAGCTGGTACTTCTGAAACTCCAGGTGATTATTTTTATAGAGATGGTAAAAGATTAAAATCTTATAGAGGTATGGGTTCAATTGATGCTATGCAACAAACTGCTACAAATGCAAATGCTTCAACTTCAAGATATTTTTCAGAAGCTGATAAAGTTTTAGTTGCACAGGGTGTTTCAGGTTCAGTTGTTGATAAAGGTTCAATTACCAAATTTATTCCATATTTATATAATGGTTTACAACATTCTTTACAAGATATTGGTATCAAATCAATTGATGAATTAAGATCAAACGTTGATAATGGTGATGTTAGATTCGAATTTAGAACTGCTTCTGCTCAATTTGAAGGTGGTGTTCATGGTTTATATTCTTATGAAAAAACTTTACATAATTAAGTAGCTGATCAATTTTGTAAATTTGTATATTAAATAAAAAGTAGATTTTTTTGGTGTTCGGAAAAAGAATATTGTGTCTGTAGAGTTCTATGCTGAATGATCATGTAGTTGAGATGGGTTGCAATAGAAAAAAAGCGTTTGTTAGTATTAGTGCGATTAATTCTTCCAGCTTATGAATATACAGCTTTATTAAGTCATTCGATATGTATTAACTCAATATTTAATATTTCCATAGGCAATGTTAAAGACGATCTGCAGCATTTTGGAGACACCATGATTCAGATAAGCCACCAAGTTAATCAAAGTTAAATATACGTTAAATCCACAATACTTTCTAAACACTGTTTAATATTCTATTTATCATTTTGAAAGAACGAAACAGAACGATTAACTAACCCCTTGATTAGAATAGTTATATCATTATATACAAGTCTAAGATGGTACTAATATTTCTCTGCAATTTGGAATCTTTTTTTTATCAAAAATATTTTTAAATATTATCGGAACTCTCGTATCTGAACACTTTTGTGTAACTTAAGGGTCTAAAAAAGATCTAAAAATAGATCTAAAAAAAAAAATATAGTTCACAATAAGAGTTTTCCCCATTTGAAAAAAATAAAAAGGTCATCATCCATCTACAGCAGAATTATCTTTAAGTACTTTTTTGATAAATCTAGAATGTAATACTAGCCTGTTACAAGTTAAAAGTGCTTGTAACTATATCAGAAATTATCGAAATTTAACTATTATCAAATTTGATAAATGTACTATCCACCATTGTGCTTTTCAAGTTGAAATTACAAATATTTTGATCAATAGATTGATTGTAGAAAAACATTCAGTTTCGATAATATCAGTACAGAAGAAATTGCAAGCCCAAAGTCAGTTGAAATATTAACTTTGGACCTTATCTTTTCTTCACAAGGTTGGATAAGATCGAGAATACCTTAAAATTTAGTCTAAACGTTGGAAATTTCTTTCTTTGCTATTTAGTGACATTGAATTTTTAATAGACTGAAAATTTTAGCTATATCAGTTGGAAAAGTGATTTCAAATCAAGAACTAATAATATTAAAAAATCTAAATCAATATTATTAAAACAAAAACTATTGCTACTTTTTTTTTAAAGATGTTAGAGTTACAATGGGTCAGAATTGAATTAATCTTACATTATCCACCATTTTTGGAACATGAAAACTATAACTTTTGTTATATTGAAAATTCAAAGGAGTCAATTAAAAAAGTGTATTACGTCCCAAAATAAATGCAAACAGTCAATCAGCAGAAGAATATTTTAAAGCTTTACGCAGTTCACTATCATTATCAACTAAAATATACTAATTTTCTGATATCCGGTGGCTTATCTCGTGCTGTAAAAAAAAAGAAAAAGATATCACATAACCAAAATACAACCATTTATGAATAAAACTTTAGATCAAGACCTCAAAGAATCAAGAGATACAAGATATAATAACATTCAGCAAGAAATTAAACAGTATTTGCAAGATATACTAGCTCGTCATCACCCAAGTTTATTCAATCAATATCCAATAAATATCGACCTTTGCGAGTTATTAAAAGATGGTCTTATATTATGCAAGTTAGGTCAGTTAGTCGGGTCACCTTCTAATCCAACATCAAAGTTTAAAAATTCCAAAATGTCATTTGTTCAAATGGAAAATATCAGCTTTTTTTTAAAGTTATGTGAAGCCATACAACTTCCACACGATGAAATCTTCCAAACTGTTGATTTATACGAAAGTAAAGATCCTTATCAAGTTTGTATTACAATAATGTCATTTTCAAGAATAATGAATGAAAGACAACCTGGTGTATTTAATAAAGTCATAGGTCCAAAAAAGACAAAGATAAAGCCAAATATACCTAGTAAACCATACAATTTGCGGTCAAACAACAATGGGTAAAATTACAGCTCGATATAAACAATATGGATATACAATATGGATATTCAGTTTATTATATATCTCAGCTTAAATTGGTCAATTAATAGTCAATTTTGATCTGATCCAATAAATATTTCACTGTTATCGATTACATAATATTTCTTTATTCTCATCTCTTCTTAATAAATTTATTTTATTTTTTATTTTTTTTTATTTTGCATCTTCAATTTTATATATAATTACATTCATTTATTAGCATTTCATATATTTATTAAATGTCTGACGAAGTTATTTGGCAAGTTATAAATCATCAGTTTTGTGCTTTCAAATTAAAAACAGATAAAGGTCAAAATTTTTGTCGAAACGAATATAATGTATCAGGTTTATGTTCAAGACAATCTTGTCCCTTGGCTAATTCAAGATACGCAACTGTTAAAAATATAGGAGGGAAATTATATCTATATATGAAAACAGCAGAACGTTCACATATGCCTTCCAAATGGTGGGAAAGAATTAAATTATCAAAAAATTATTCAAAAGCTTTATCACAAATTGATTCACATTTACAATATTGGCAAAAGTTTTTAATACATAAATGTAAACAAAGATTAACTAGATTAACACAAGTTGCAATCACAGAAAGAAGATTAGCTTTGAAAGATGATGAAAGAGAATTGGTGACTTCGGCAACTCCAAAAGTTAAAAGAAGAGAGGAAAATAGAGAAAGAAAAGCTTTAGTGGCTGCAAAAATTGAAAAAGCTATTGAAAAAGAACTATTAGAAAGATTAAAAAGTGGTGCTTATGGTGATAAACCATTGAATGTGGATGAAAATATTTGGAAAAAAGTATTGGGTAAAGTTGATGAAAAAGAATTTGAAGAAGAATTTGAAGATGAAGATGATGTTGAATTGGTTAGTGGAGATGAAGAGGACGATAGTGATGTAGGTGAAATTGAATACGTTGAAGATTCAGGTGATGATGAGTTGGTTGATATGGAAGATCTCGAAAATTGGTTGGGAGATTCAAGTGATGAAAATAATAATAATGATACAAGTGACGAAGAAAGTGATGATGAAGAAGAAGAACAAGGTAAGAAAAGAAAATCAGATACTAAACAAGATAAATCCAAGAAAAAGAGAAGACCTAGAGTCGAAATTGAATATGAAGAAGAACCTATACAAACTAATATTACCATATAAGATACTGGAAATACAATCAAGGAATGTAGCTCATAGTTTCAGCGGGATAATAGGAAACTAGAATATTAGCTGAAACTAAAATTAAAAGCGTTGGGTTTCACAAAGAAACAAGCAAGACGCATGATACGGCAAGGAACTTCATAGGCTTTAATAATATACACTTTTATTTTTAAGCTTCTAAATCCTACTCACTGGATTAATTTATTTACTATTATGAAAAGTAGTTGGTCAATCCATTTTTTAAGTTTTCATGAGATTAAATTTCGACTCTTCGACGCTGTCATTAGTCGTACTTGGTAATTTCAATCAAATTTTAATCTAATATATACTCTCAGCATCATTCCATTAGCACCTGTTCCTTGGTAGGTGCTAATTCAATTTCAATATTCAACCTTTTAAAAACTTAATAACATCAGGAATATCTTTAGCATCTTTAGTTTCTTCTCATATGAAGCATAGATCAATAGTACCAGGTAAAGTCGTATTTGTAAGGTTTTTAAGGTGACTGTTTTGAATGTAAATTAATTTTTATATTTTCAGATGTTAAGGCATATCTAAATTCAACCGTCGGATCTTTAGCAGGAATGAATTTCATTGATCAAAACCAAGTACAAATCCACAAAAATTTATGGTTTTGGATATGGAATTAGCTGTAACTACTAAATGACCTAATGTTTTAATCTTCTACATTGTTGGAAATATTCATTCGGAGTTGATGCGATTTTGTCTCCGATTGACAGTTTTTGCGCGCGCCTATTCAGGGCGAAGTGTGAGACCAATTTTTGGACTTCTAAACCATGTAAAACAAAAAGAGATCAAATCCAAATTTTGAAGACGAAATTCAAAAGTCCAAGTCCATGAAAGCTTCCAAAATTATGATAAGTTGGATGAGATTCAACAGGATTTGAATTCAGAGATCACTGCATATAAATCAATAAAATTAGAATGTTTAATTATCTTCTACCCCCTAACAACTACCCGTCTATTTTATATCTTGAATTTAAGTCCCTTTTATCTATTATATCCAGCTAAACACAGATACAAAACTAGTTGTATGTTCAATAATTTCATGTTTAGGCCAGTAATAGAACAACTTTTGTTTCTGGTTTGCTTTTTGGATTTGATTTCAGACCGCAAGTAAAAGAATTCAAAAATAAATACAAACGACAAAATGACCATCAAGAAAGACCTTGAATGATTTCTCGCGAATCGTTAAACTATTATAAACTGATTTAGGGTTCAAGTGAGATTATTTTATAAGCGATTGAGCCATTTTGAGAGAATGAAATTATTAAATGCATTGATAGGAGTGAATCAGTATATTCTACGACTGCAATTTCACTTATTGTGATAAGCCTTTTCATTTTTATTATGATGTTTGAAATGTCAAAATTAATAATAACAAGAACAATAGAAAGATTTACAATTGAAATATGGCATCGTTGTGAAAAATCGATACCTGATATCCGATAAATGTGTTCTGCTGATTTGAATGGCTGTCTCCTTGAACTGCTAAAACAAGTTGATCTCAGATTGATTACTAAACCCAAAATTTTTACATATTGATAAGTTGGTTAGAAGTGTTGATATAGTAAATTACGGTCGTAGACCATTTGCAATATACTAAAACTCGGATGAATCAAAATGCCAAATTTAGATTATCCGAAATCTAAGCCAAGAATTTAGAATAAGACAATAAGACGGTTATAACGCCATGTAGTCATTATTTAACCCATTAAGCATAATTTATGGAGCTACACGGATATAAATCAACATTATTTGCGGCAATTTTATTTCAAACAATCGAAAGATGGAGAGTATACAAACCAGCTCCGTTAAATATGTCAATTTGCAGTAATATAAACTACAACCTATACAAAAGATAAGAATAGTAAAGTCAAAGTTTGATAAAAACCGTTGATTAACTACACACAATAATATTTCAAATGTTAAAAAACGCAAATTATTATCAGTTTCATATTAATGTGGTAAAAATTAAGGTTTTTTAAACACAAAAATTGTGAACTCATGGCTTAAAATAAACAGATAACCACATTTATGAAAGGCTAACAAGGAAATTGATAAGATTAATGAGTGCAACAACAAAGATTTACTATAACTCTTCGCTTTATCACGGTTATAAACCAAGAAGGTAATAAAAAACTACATACTATATTGGTGATTGGGGATAATTCATTCGTTTTATAAGCTCAAAGACGGAGTTAAAATAGCACCAGTCGTTTCAAATTCGTTTGATCTTGATTCGCAAATCCGATAAAAAAAAAAAAAATAGATGGAAAAAATCGATTACATAGCCAATAAATTTAAATAAACATCTTACATATTAAACATCTTACATATTAAACATACATATTAAATTATTATGAACACTTTTGAATATATTATGACACTAATTGAAAGTTTTTTGTGATGTTTATATATTAGGCATGTTTTGCCTAAATTTTTTTTAGTTTTTGATTTATTTGATTTTTCATAAGCAAAGAAGAATACCCTGCCATCTTATAGAATAGATCAAATGGATGTCTCACAATTGACTGCTTGGACTCCAACCACCACAGCAACTTCAACTACATTATCCTCAATTGCTACAACTCATGCTTCACAATTAGAATCAATTATAACCGGTGCTTTTCATACAGTTTCAAAATTAGGTACAACTGCAAAAAGACCAGATTATATCGACATTTCAAGACTGATAAGAGGTGCTCAAGCTTCATTGACTATTATATCAGCAGAACAAGTATTGGCAACTGCTACAGCAGATTCTGTAAAAGCTCAAGCAACACAAATAATATGGGATGCAACTGAAAATCTTAATTCTTTATTCTGGGAAGAAAACATTTATTCAATTCATAGATTAAGTAGAGTTGCAAATATTTTGTTTATGGTTTTGTTTGTTATTTTAATGTTATATTTTGGTTTAATGAGTATAAAATCAAGATATTGGTGGTTTAACGTTGCATTAACTTGTGGTGCAATTTTAGAATTTTTAGGTTATTTGGGTAGAGTTTTAAGTTTTGGTGATATGACAAATTTTAATTACTATGTTTTACAATTGGTTTGTTTGACTATTGCCCCTGCGTTTCTAATGGGTGGGATCTATTTCTTATTTGGTCAAACTATAGTTATACATGGTAGACAATTTTCATATTTGAAACCAATGTGGTATTCATACATTTTCATAGCTTGTGATGTTGTCAGTTTAGTTATTCAAGCTGCAGGTGGTGGTATTTCCTCAGTTGCATCGCAAAATTTTGAATCTACAACTGCTGGTACTGGTATAATGATTGCTGGTATTGCATTCCAAGTTTTAAGTATGTCTATATTTTTGATATTATGGAGTATTGCTTGGTGGAAAATATATTTTAGTGGTAATGAAAATTTACCAATCAATGAAAAATCACAACAAGATTATTATAAACCATCAACTTTAAATTTTATTAGATTGATACTTAATGGTAAACGAGCACATGCTTATAAAGGTAATGTATTGGAACCAAAATATAATCCTAAATTTGAATCCATTAGAAAAAGAAAATTATTCAATTATTTTGCATTAGCAACTACTGCTGCTGTTATTGTCATCTATATTAGATGTGTTTATAGAGTTGTTGAGTTAGCTCAAGGTTTTTCTGGTTATTTAATTACTCATGAAGTTTTTGTTATGACATTAGATGCTTCCATGTGTGCAATTTGTTGTTTAGTATTTGTCCCATTCCATCCTCAATTTGTGTTTGGTAGTAACAATATAATTAAACTTAAAAATATCAAAGATAATGACGATGAGCGATTAATCTACGAAAGTAATCAAAACAATAACAACAACTTCAATATAAATAATGGTACTTATAATAATAATGGAGAATTCAATAATCATAACAATAATTTTGACAACAGTTTCAGAGACACAACTTTGGAAAAAAATGTTGATAATGAAAATGAAATTGACGATGTTGCATCATCAAACGAAAGCCCATTCATATCTAAGACTGAGCAACCGGTAGGTCAACCAATATATAATCAAGTATCAAATAAAGAAGTAAAGAATGGAGAAAATAATAAAAAGTTTAAATTCTTCAAATAATCAAAATAGAATTATAAATATATAATAGAATTTAGAATCGGCGAATTGTCATTGAGATTTAGTAGAATGCTTTGCTTTCCCTCAAATTGAAATTTTTGCAGCAAGTGACGCTACCATGTTCAGAACTTTCAAACAACAACAATATATCCCTAAATCATAGAATAAGCTTCACTATTAAAAGTTTTAAAGTATTCATCATGTCTAATCTAATTGTTTTTGTGATTACACTAAAAATCCTGCTTGTCATTTGTACTAATCAAGCGAAACTAAAAAGTATGGTTTTTTGATATTCAAAAGCTTCAAGTATATGTGTCAGCTTTAGAATCAGACTTTTCTACCAGATGCAAGCCATTTGTTATACGCAATACTATAACAACAAATATAAAAGAGCGCTAGTCATGTTTAGCTCAAAAATAAAAATTTGAATCAAATTTTTTGTTTTTTTAGTTGCAAATTAATAACAATTTTGTTTAATTTTTTTGTAATACACAATACATTACCATTTGCTAAATAATCTAGGTACTTGCTATTATATTACCTATTCATGACAGCTATTGCATTATCAACAAAGTTCCACTCAAGCTCGAGTAGTCCTTTATCTTCAAACTCAACAATAAATACACTAGATGACGATAGTTTACTTAAAGAATTACCATATCATCCAACTACAGCTGATAATGATCCATTATTTTCATTTGATACAGACGAACTATTATCCAACATTCATCCAAGTACAAATCTTCCACTAGATGGATTTTTGAACTTTCATTCGTTAAAAATAGCCACTTCAAATGCTAAAACATTATCCAAATTTTTTGTCTTAGGTTTTGGGTTTGAAGAAATTGCTTATAAGGGATTAGAGACTGGTTCAAAATTGCTTGCATCTCATGTACTAAGAAATGGATCCATTATTATCGAAGTTACAAACTCGTTAGAATCTATATTGAATGATTCTCAATTAGAAAACTTTGACCAAGAAGAAAATAAAAGCGATATAATAGATTTAATTTCAATGGAGAATTATTTGGATAAACATTGTGATGGTGGTGTAATGGACGTAAGTTTTTTGGTAGTCGACGTGCATTCAATTTTTACTAATGCGGTTGAAAATGGAGCTATACCAGTAAAATCACCAAGATTAATTCATGATTCAAATGGTGCAATAAAAATTGCAACTATTGGTGTTCCCAATATAGACATTCAGCACACGTTAATGGAAAATATAAATTACAACGGTCCCTATTTACCTAATTACAGATCAATTGGCACTATGCCTCAAATTAATCTTCCACCTACTTGTGTAACTGTTTTAGATCATTGTGTTGAAAATTATACATTCAATGAAATGGAAGAACAGGCAAGACTTTATGCTTCTATTTTCAAATTTCACAAATTTTGGTCGATCGATGAATCTGATATTAATACAGGTCACACAAGTTTGAACTCAGTTGTAATGAGCTCATCTAATGAAAGAATTAAAATACCAATCAATGAGCCAGTCAAAACCAAATATAAGTCTCAAATAGAGGAGTTTAATGATTTTAATGGAGGCAATGGTATCCAGCATATTGCGTTACGAACAAATGATATTATTAACACAGTGATGAACCTAAAGACCCGTGGGATTGAGTTCAACAAAGTCACAAATAAGTATTATGAAAATCTAGAAGCTAGAATGAAAGAGGATGATATCATTATTGAAGAAGATTTTGAGATATTAAAAAAATTGAATATTTTGATTGACTATGATATAGGAAGTAAAAGTAAGAAAAGTAAGAGGGTCAATTACTTGCTACAGATATTTACTAAACCTTTACATGACAAACCTACATTATTTATTGAAATAATTCAACGTCATCATCATGATGGATTTGGTAAAGGAACTTTCAAAGGCTTATTTGAATCCATCGAATTGCAGCAAAAATTGAGAGGTACTTTTGTTAAAACTAAGTAATATACACTATATACACTATATACACTAGAGTACTTGCTTAAAGTTATGATATGTTTACCACTGAAGATTTGATTATTCTTATGGATTTTCCTTTTTTTTTTCTTTTCCTTTCCTTCTTTATTGTTTTAATCTGAAACAATTTGGTTTATATGCAGGTAGTATATTGTAAAATTATTAAAGAATTCTCCTTCTATATTCAAGCTGTATTAGTCAATCTTCTTTCATTAAGATTTCGTCGGATTTGAAGTAAACTTGTGCTAAAACCTTTAAGTAAGAGTTAATTATAACCTACTTAAGGCCCATTTGAAAAATAGCAAAAAACGTAAAATTCCAAGATAAATAATACTTAAACCTAGTGTAGCAACTTCTAATATGTTTGTTCTGACTCATTTAACCCCAAATAATATTTTTATGTTGTTTTTAAGACGCCAAAATAAGTTTGGATTTTTTTCAAAATTTGGAACCACTTTTGAAAAATTGAGATTTCAATTACAATGCCTTAGCACAAAAATTTCAGGGTTTATCAATGTACAGGAATTAAAAATTGGATAGTTTTATCATACATTCATAACAAATTTGTTTTCGGAATTAGATTTTTGGTAAGGTCGATTTATTCGATTTTGACCATAGTTTAGAGAAAATTTTTCAATTTTTCAATTTTAAGTTTAAGCCCTCAGAATCAAATTCAGCACTTTGGTTTGAGCAGAGATATATATAATTAATAATTTAGTTGAAAATTATGGGGATAAGTGTAAAGATATGATGAACTACATTTATTGGAAAATTTTTGTATGGTAAAAAAAAGCCAAAATGACAACTCAAAAAAAAAAATTTGACATGGGAAACTTAAAGTAGATAAAATATTTAATTCAGGGGTACTCATTATGTCAAAATAGTTTTTATTTCGAGCAAATGGGGTGTTCATGATATATGAATGAAAACGTTTAGTACGAGTGGCCCTGAAGTTGGCGTGATAAAAATATCATGTTGGCACTAATCTTAGGCGAGAATTATGCACTTTTTTTGCAGCCAAAATTTGATGCTAAAGGCGATTTCTAAACGTTTTCTTTTATAGAAATTCTTTCAAAACTAATATTAATGCATATACTAGAAATAAATAATTAAGCCAAATAACACCTATATACTTTTTAAAAAGTTTTTGGTACATTCAATGGAGTATTCTGTGATGATTGGTTATAAATATCTTCATCTTTAGTTTGCGGTGTAAACAGTTGTGCTTGTTGCAAACCTTGTTGTTGTTGATATTTACTTTGTGTAATCATTGGTGAATTATTTGTTTCTGTAGTTGAATTTGAATTTGTATTTCCACTACCACCACTATTTTCACCACCTACATTTCCAATTAAATCTTCAGATAACAAATCATCTTTTTCATTTACTGACTGATCTTCATTACCATTCAAATCATCTTCGCTTTTTAATTTATGACCCTTCGTTAGAAAATGCTCCTTTATATCCTTCACAAATAGAGGATATAACAATCCATCAACTCCTTCATTTCTTGCTATTTCAAATGCGCGATCAAATGGTATCCAAATTCCTTTCAAATTCATTGAACCAACTTTAACTACATTCTTAACCTTCTCAGTTTTTAATATCCCATCTCTTTTACCTCTAGTCATTCCAATCACATTTAATAATTTTGTCCCATTTATATAATTTGTATCTTCTCTTCTTGAAACTAAAATATTTCTTGCTCGAACTTGATAACAATTCGTATTCTCATCATCCCATCTAGTAGTAGCAACTTTTGGACGTACTACGGATTCCGGATATTCAGCTTGTGGTATTGAGCTTGAAATTGATGCTGCACGTAATTGACGATTACCATTTGTTGAGCTTGACATGTTAGAACTTGTAGAAGTTAAATTATAATTTCTCGATTGAGACTGTATTGATGAGGTAGTAGTGTTTCTCATAGGGATCTTTTGTTGTCTTTGAGTAGAATACATAGTATTGATTTGAGACGGCATATTTGGAGAATATGAAAATTGATATTGTGATAAAGGTGGTACAGAAGATTGTGAATACAACATTGTGGCTGGTTGATTATTGTACACTGATTGTTGTGGTTGTTGTTGCAGCTCTAGTGTGTCAATTGGCTGTTGCTTATATGATTGTTGGATTTGTTGCTGTTTCAAACTGCTTTGTTGAAATAAATCCATTGGCTGTTGTTGTTGATATGCATGTTGAATTTGTTTGTTACGTGAAGCTGAAGTCTGTTGTGTATCTGGTGTTGATATAGAACTCATTTGAAAATTAGGACTTATTATATTACTACTCTGATAATCTGTATTTAAATTTGTATTCATACTTGTATTTTCATTATAGTAATCTTGTTGATTAGGTACGATTGAATAACTTGGCTGTTGAACTTGGTAATAATTCAAATTATCCAACATATATTTTTTGGGGATATCGGATGATGAAGAACTTGTCAGCGGTTGTTGTTGTTGTTGTACCTGCGCTGTTTGTTGTTGATAATTTTGATATTGAATTGAAGTTGGAATATCTGTTGAAGATAGAGTTGTAGATTGCTGTGTACTATGTTGTTGATGACTAGTCTGCTGTTGTTGATGCTGTTGTTGGTTGGTTTGACTCTGATTATTGTTGCTGCTAGGTGGTAATTGATTTTGATGATTGTTATTCTCACTATTTCCAATCTGTTCAGAACTAGATACCAAGTCTTGGGTATAAAAATTTGAATTGCTGGGAGTTGTCATTATACCATTCATTTATATCAAATTATTAAAAAAAAAAAATTTAAAAATTATGCAATAAATATAAGTAATGTTTTGATAATTTAATTGATAAAATTGGAATCAAGGAATTAATAAGATTTTAATGTATTGTTAATCTTTGAATTTAAATTTTCAAGATTCTGATTTCAATTGAATAAATAAAAAGGAAAATAAAAAAAGATAGAATGAAATTTATATTTTATTTTTTCGCTGTTTATAATTTGTATTATTTTTTTCGGGTTGGTATAGTTTTTATTATAACTCTTAGGGGGTAATATAATATAATATTTGAGGAATGTGTTATAAAATCAACAACAATAAAAACCGATTAGTAATACAAACTATGAAAGAATAACTTATATCAAAAAGTAGTTGCTAAACCATTCTATTTACAATCAATGGCAAAAATTGATGTCAAACTTAAATTCATATACGAAAGAAAAGAAAAGTCAGCAAGAATTTGAGGTTAAAATAGAATTGAAAAACTGAGTATTATTATAAATCCCATAGCCTGAAATAATAAAAACAATAGTTTTGTTATTGAATCTGAATATAACATAAACATCAATCAGAGATTGAAAGTTTAATAATAATATTTTTTTTCAAGAATTAATTAGGAAATTATAATACTTTACAACAAAATCATAAAATAATTCAAAAAGACTCTTAGTATTATATAGGTGAATGGCAAATAAAAATAATTTATCATTCAATTATTGGTAAAGGCAATCAACACGGATTTGTAGAAATGTGATATTATAATTTAAGACAAATAAACGTGATTGTTTATACGAATTGAAAAATTTTCAATCTTGATAATATTTTTGCTTTTTGCTTATTTAGGGACCACCAAAGCAAATTCTTAGGACCATGTAGTCTTGGCTTTGAGAGATGATTATGGATTAATTACGATTACAGAGCTCCTAGTTTGTGGGTTTATTGTTTTATTGGCCACAAAGTTAAAAATTAATCTTCTTAGTATAGAGCTTGACATGCGCGATTGAATATAAAAGCTTGTATTTAGGGCCCACACCTTTTATTCACAAGAGGTTAACTAATTTAATACCAATTTCAAGTGCTTAGGACTAGAGTCTTTGTTAAATTCGCTAATGCACAGTGTATAATCTTGCCTAAAACAATTTTTAAACGATGTGCATATTCAAGATCCTTTTTAAACTTTAGTAAAATTTATATGTTCAGGACAAAAATTTCATAATTTTGATAAAATATTTCAAATTGCCTCAATTATTCATTTCTTTTCAGTTTGAATGATTAGTTATAATAATCAATGAGTAATACTTTAAATCACATAATTTAACAGATACTCACCAATCATATAATTTTTTTTTTTCAAACTTATATTTCCGCTTTCTACGTAAATTTATTCTTAATAAAGGGTTAAAAACCCTTAGCTGTAGAATAAAAGTGTCTAGAACTGTAAAAGCTAAAGTGTTCCAATAGAGAATTGCAAATCATCTCATTTATCTATGTCAATAACTTGGCCATAAAAAAACTCTCATTGTAATTATTATATTTCAAGATTTGCATCACAAGCAAGATTCTTATTGACAAGATTCCATACACTCGAATACTTGGATTTACCTGATCTAAGTTCAAATGATCATCACCTTACATTTGAAATTACTATTATAATTCAAAGCTCAAGATATGTATCTCGCATTGTAAAAACCGTAAGAAATCTCTAGGTAGATGTCTGTAGATCAACATGTTTCTATTTTTTTAGAATCTAACATGAACGGTAGCTAATATTATGTGAGTTAACCTCCAGTGATTATAATAGGGTCTTGAATAATGATTGATATAAAAAATCTGCAAAATTCAATTTTACATTGTACAGGATCACAATATTTTCTACTTTCCAACCACACGAGCTCATTAAGCCCTAATTACCATTAAACTGGCTATTCTCATCGACTATGAAGAAACATGAATTGAATTTAAAATCGTCCGATTTATCATATCAGCGGGGTTCGCCCAATTAGGAAATTGTTTACTTGGGAATCTCATCATAGGTAATACTCCAAATAGTTCAAGAACTCAGACAAAAAATTAAATGACAGACTACTGCCTTATGTTGTCAACACTATCATATCTTTAATTTATCAATGATAGACTGTTTAATTACTTTAGCTAATCAGTTTTGTGTGATGTGTGCTTATCAAGCTAGGTCAATCTTTAAATCTTTTTTTTTTTTTTTGAAATCGTGAAATCTTTTAATTAGCATCTTAGATTTATGCTGTGGTATAGAAATAGATATAGAGTTATATATAAATGTCTTCATCAATAATTACATCTACAAATTCACTGAAAAATGCTGAACCTATTCAAGTTCCAAACACAACACGACGTCGATCTTTTTTAGAGTATGGTGGCTCCAATTCTTTATCTAATTTTGCAAGTTCTTATACCAGAGCTCTGAAATATGCAGGGCTGGTCTTAATGGAAGATGAAGATAATGGAGAAAATAGTGGGATTATAAATTACGATAATTTATCTCCTTGTATGTCACCAGATGAAGAATTGATAATAGATAATAGTATGAATAGAAGCAGTGCTGATGAAACAACTACATTAATTTCACATCATCGTAAATCCTCAAGCTTTTTGATAACTGGTAATTCGACAGTGCCACAAACAATTTTCAATACGATTAATACTTTGATGGGTATTGGAATGTTATCTTTACCTTTTGCATTTAAATTATCAGGATGGTTATTTGGTAGTATTATATTGTTGGTTTCTTCATTATCAACAAACATAACAGCAAAATATTTGGGTAGAATATTATTTAAAAATCAAAATCTTTTAACCTATAGTGATATTTCATATTGTTATGGTGGTAAATATTTTCAATTATTAGTTACTTTATTTTTCATTAGTGATTTATTTGGTGCTTCGTTATCATTAATTATATTATTTTCCGACTCATTTAGTATTTTATACCACAACAAGACCCATCTAAAATTCATCATCACTACAGTACTATGTTGCTGTAGTTTTTTCCCAATGAGCACCTTGTCCCTTTTAAGTATTTGGGGAATTTTATCCACAATAGGAATTGTCATTTTAATTTTTATTTGTGGCATAAATGGAGTTAAATCACCTGGATCATTACTTAATCCAGCAAGTACAAATCTATATCCTTCGAGTTTCAAAAATTTATTATTTTCAATGGGATTGTACTTAGTAATTTATGGAGGTGCTCCAGTTTTTCCAGAATTGTATAGAGATATGAGACATCCCAAAAAATTTTCAAATTGTGCAAACATATCATTTTCGATTGTTACTTTATTGAATTTTTTAATTGGTGCTTCTGGATATTTAATGTTTGGTAACGATATTGATGATTCAATAATAATGAATTTAATGAATAATAAAAGTTATCCAACGTGGGTAAGTAATACATTGTTTATTTTGATGGGAGTGATTTCAATTTCGAAATTACCCTTGGTTGTTAGACCTATAATTACAACATATGAATCAATAATGAAAATAAAAAGGAATAATGTATTGAAGGTGATTACAAGAGTATTGTTTTGTATTCTATTGTTGATTATTTCGTTACTTTTTAATTCATTTGGTAAATTAATGTCATTTATGGGAAGTGCTATTTGTTATACTGTTTGTTTAACATTACCTTTATTGTTTTATTTGAAATTGAATAGGAATGAAATTAAAAAATGGAAGGGATTATTGATTAAAGTTGGTATTGTTATATCTATAGTTGGTACAATATTGGGTACTTATGCATCAATTACATTAAAAATAACAAAGTAAACATTCAATTCATACTAGATTTATAAACTTAGAATGTACATGTAATATTGTATTATACTCGAGAGCTTCATCGTACTGATTATAAGTCAATAACTAAGTGAATATGAGCAAAATGACAAAGCTAACCAGTTTTCTAAGTTATGTGATTTCCAGGTCTTTTAATAGAACCAAATATTCCGTGAAAGACAACTCTCTAACTATCACATGTGAATTTATTTAACATTCTTGTTCAAATGATACCAAGGACTGTATGTTTCGAATAAAATTTGAATTTACAATTCAAGATTCAAGATTCTTGCATATAAGTCAAATTTGTTTCAGATCAATTATTTTCTGAGTATGTCTTTCTCGCCTGAGCTTTTGGCCAAAAACAATACATCCTCGCGCGACATTTTGGGGCGACTCGTACTAAACGTTTTCATATATATATCATGAACAACACGTTCTCTCTAGATAAATACTAATTCAGTCAAATAAGGATTCTTGAATTATATATCCTATATACTTCAATTTTTCAAATTCAAATATATTTTTTATGAGTTGTCATTTTGACCTTTTTTCACCATACAAAATTTTTTCAAAAAATGTAATTCATTGTATCCTTATAATTCACGCCAGAACTCTTGAATAAACAACTTTAGATATATATTACAGCTCAATCTAAGGCATTGAACTTGATTCTGAGGGATCAAAATCAAAATTGAAAAATGTCATAATTTTCTCTTTAGTATTGGCAAAATCGAGTAAATCGACCTTAAAAAAACTGTACCACCACAACCAAACTTATAACGAAACTATGATAGCACTATCCAATTTTGTAGTTCCTGCACCCTAAAAAAACCTTAGTTTTATTTGTGTTAAGGCAGTCTAAATTGAAATCTTAATTTTTCAAAAGTGGTTTGAAAATTTTGAAAAAATTTCAAATCGATTTTAAAGTCTAAAAAACAATATTATAAGAATATTTGGGGTGAAATGATCCAGATCAATCACATTAGAAGCTGCGACACTAGTTCTAACTGATATTTATCTTGGAATTTAACGATTTTTGCCATTTTTTAAATGTCAAATAAAATAGTCAAAATTGTCTTTTTTGAAATGAAACTCCCATCATTATAATCCAGACCTGCTGAAGTATAAATGAAAAAAAATTTGACAATTACAGCTTCAAAACTGATGGAGTTATTCACAATTCAAATTTCAGAAACTACTACCGCGATCCTGCATATAAAAATTGTTTCAGAATTCTGAACACAATATCAACAATAATATATATATACAAAAGAGTAACATTTAACATTTTTGATTTCCATCATTTATTAAAACTTCTATATATTTTTGATCAACAAAACCGTTTTCATTTCTTTTTCCCATTATTTGAATTTCTCTTATACCCATTACCATTTCCATTATTAAAATAATCACCATTAAAACACCCATTATTATTTTGATTCAAATATTGATTCATTACATCATATCCACTCATTGAATATTTCGATTGCATTTGTTGAGGAGGGAATTGTTGTTGTGGTTGGATTGGTGTAATTACCGGTATGAATTTAATTTGACTTCCATAATAATTTTGATAATATAATGGAGGTTGATTAAATGATGAAGTTGAACTATTTCTTGAATTTGACTTATGGTAGATTTTCTTATATTTCTGAGGTTTTTTCAATTTTGGTGGTTGTTGTTTTATAATTTCTGAATCTGAATAGATTATAATTGAAACTTCTTCATCTGAATCCGATTCTGGTTCTTGTTGTTCTTTTTCTTCATCTACTTGAGGTAATGCAGTTTCTATTTCTTCTTCATTTGATATTATTCCAAAGATGGCCTTTGCTTCTTCATTAATCGGAGATCCAACTTCTTTTGGTTCTGATAAACGTGGTTGTGCTTCTTGTTTTTTCTTTCTTCTGTTTTTCACATTGTTATGTAATTCATTTTGATAAGTTTTATAAGTAGATACACCGTTATTTTCACATCTTTTTTGAAATGAAAATTTTGGATTATTTCCACAACGATCTTTACCATATGATATTTTAAATTTTGAATATTTATTATAAAATTGTAAAACTTCATCATCATCATCGGATTTTAAAATTTTTTTCAATTTCATTATAGCTTCACTTTCACCCATTTGAAAAATATCAACTAATTTAATAGCATCAATAATATTGAGGAAGTTTAAGAAAACACAATCATTATTATGATAAAAATTAATTTGTTCCATTTCTCCAAATTTTGAAAAGTCAGATCTTAATTCTAATTCATTAGGTAATTTTGGTTTTAAACTTCCTTCTTCTCTAATTAATTTAATTCCAATATAAACATTTCTACAAGCTCCAGCAGTTACAGCCAAGGCAACATCTCTTGATAAGGGACCACTATTTTGTTTTGCCCATCCAACTATGATATCATATCCATGAATAACTAATTGATGTAATACTTGATGATTCATATGAAATTTATATGCTATATTTGCATCTATAAATGTAATAAAACAAGTTTTTTTATCAGGATGATATTTAATCAGTTCAACTAAACCTCCAGTTCTTATATTATTTGCAATTTCTTCAATTGTTGTATTTGGATGTAAATTACCAAGATAAATTGAACGATTTCCATAATTTGGATCAATTGAAGGAGGTGGTACAAAATTTGAAACTGATGATGAATGAGGTAATATTAATGAGGAGTTAGATAAATTATAATCATATGGAATAGTATTATTATTGTTGAATCTTGAATTTGATGATAGAATTGAATAACCTTCATTACTTATAGTTGAATTAAAATCTTGATATAAATATGATGATGGGTCAATAAAAGATGATGTTGGACTTAATGGATCTTCAACTAAATCATTTGAACTTGAATTATTTTTCTCATTTTCATTTGTAATTACACCTTCTTCTGAAGTATCTATGATTGATTCAATTTCAGAATTTTCAACTAAAATATCTGAAGAATTATTATTTTGTTTTTCTTCATTATTTTCATGGTCATCTAATTCAGTTTTATCACATCTATCTTTTTGAAATGATATTGATTCAACTTGATCTTTTGATTTTTTAGTATAATATTCAAAAGTTTTAACTGCTGAATTTATGGAAGTGAAATGTAATCTAAAAATATTGATTTCTCCATCTTGTTCATCTATAAATTCTTCAATATCACCAAATTTCAAACATTGATCATGAATTACATCTTTAGTTTCATTAGTTTTAATTATAATTGATCTAGTTGCATTTAAATCCAATATATAATTTAAAGTTTTCAATTTAATTAAATCTTGTTTTGAGTCGAATGATTTATTACCATTCCCATTTTGATTATTTAATTGAATTTTTAAAAACGGACTATTTAAATCTTTCTTAAATTGATTAAAATTTTTAACATTTTTATAAATTTGCAAATAAAAATTAACTGAAATTTTCGAATTTATAAAAGTAATTAAACAAACTTTTAAATTTGATGAAATTTTGTTATTATTATTGTTATTATTATTATTATTATCATTATTATTATTATTATTATCATTATCATCATCATCATCATCATCATCATCATCAACAACAACTTTTTCCACTAAATTTTTAGGCGTCGGTTTTAAAATCAATTTACAATATTCAATTGGACCAAAATTTATAAAATTTAGTAAATGATTTAATTCAATTTCTTCATTTATATTTTTAATTATAATAGTTCTTGAAATATTTAGTTGATCAAAATTTGAATTTAAAAGTGAATTATTTAAACTTGATGAAGAAAAATTTAAATTTTTAATTTGAGTTAATTGTGGTGAATTGTTATTATATGGATTTTTAAAATTATTATTAATATTGCTGTTGTTGTTGTTGTTGTTGTTGTTGTTGTTGTTGTTTCGATTTTTAAATTTACCAGAATTTGAAAATTTTGGAGAAGAATGAATAGAAGAATGAATTGGATAATTATATTCTTGTGGTACTGGTGGTGGTTGATTTGAAAAAAATCTAGCAGCAGATGGTGGTGGTGTAAAATAAGGAGAATTAATCAATAAATTTGAAGGTATCATTGAATGACTATAATTTAAATCAATTGGAGTATATGGTTGTTGATTATTACCATGTTGTTGATTATGATGTTGATTATGATATTGATTATGATTATGATGTTGAAGATGATGAAGATGATGATAATGATGATGATTTTGTTGTTGTAAATGTAATGGAGGAGAAATATGATCAAAAGATCTCTGTGTATTACTAAAATACACTGGTTGATACATTTAATTATGAAACTTTTGAAACTTTTGAAACTTTTGAAACTTTTGATGATATATAATGGTGTTGTAAAAAAAAAATGAAAAATCAAACTAATTTTAAACGATTGACCAAAATTGAGAGAGGTAACTTTTTGATTGATAATAAATACCTTTTAATCTTCTACCAGCGAAAGATGAATTGATAAATAATATTAATAATAATAGTGGACCAGCTATTTAAGTCTGAAATGATTTTAGAAAAAAAGAATAATTGTTATTGATAAATAAATTAATAAAATTTTCCAAGTGATTGTTTGTTACTAAAAATATTCACTACTAATAGTAAATAAAAATTGTATGTGTGTAATAATTAATTTCGACACACGCTTTTTTTTTATTCTTTTTTTTTTTTTTTTTTTATTTTTTTTTTTTTTTTTAATTTTAATTTTCGAAAAAGAGTTAAAAAATTATTTTACTTATAACAGTAAGTGGAGTTTTTATGGTAGTAGTTATTATGTAATTATTGGTTAAAGTGTTATGTAAGTATTGGTAGTTATTATGTAATTATTGGTTAGAGTATTATGTAAGTAATGGTAATTATTGGTAATTATTGGCTAAACTATTATGTAATATTGGTTAGAGCATTATGTAATTATTGGTTAAAGTATTATGTAATTAGTAGTTTAATCTTGCATGGTTTAATTTAATCTCCTATAATTTTATTGATTTTGGATGTAGAATCACCACCAGAGAAGAAGTATTAATAATAGATATCGAGATTTAAATCGAGATTTAAATTACTTTTCTAAAATGATAGTTGTAGAATATGTCAAATGTATATACTGCTAATTGTTCTAATTGTTTTAGTTGTTCTAAGTGTTCTAATTGTTCTAATTGTTCTAATTGTTTTAATTGTTCTAATTGTTTTAATTGTTCTACACTTGATTTTTGTGTGTTTGTGCATTATTTTGTTTATTCTCCTTTTGATTTTGGAAAATAACTTTAATTGACTCTTTAATAGGTGAAAAGTAATATCTGAATAAACTCCGTGAAACGTTGACAAAATGATTATTCACGTGTTATATGATTATTTCTCACCTTACTTAAAATCTTAGCCGATTTAAAGAGCTTGAAAGGTTGATTTCAATCATGGAAAGTCTGTCTTTCAACATTAGCGTGTATTATTTAAATTATTTAAATATATACAGAAAGAAAGAAAAAAAAAAAAATTAAACGGTTGGCGCTCTTAACTCCTTAAGTTAGTTTTAAAGTTGATAATTCATGTTTGTTTGTTTGTTTGTTTGTTGATCTTTCATTCAAATCTTGTTGTTTCAAATCCGTTTTGATCGTTTGTTTCATTTGACTGTTAAATAAACCATTTTAAGTTTTTATCATTCAACCACACCAACCACGTGTTAGTATTTCCAAATGGGCGCATTTTTTAATTCCAGTACAAAAAATTTATTATATTAGTGATTTATTATTTATCATAAGTTAGATCTATATAAAGCGTTTAAGTACTTGAAATAACGTCTAATATCGATCTAATTGTGTACCTTAAATAATTTATAATTGAACTTTGATTTATTTAAAATTTAACTTCACTTATATCAAGCAACTTTCAAATTTATGATCTTATATTCACTAAACGAAAGGCTTAAGATAAATAAAATCTAATATGCTCAAAGTTTAAGACTTTTTATTATCCTCAAACTTTAAGACAAATAAAATCTGGTATGCTCAAACTTTAAGACAAATAATATCTAATATGTTCAAACTTTAAGACAAATAAAATCTAGTATGTTCAAACTTTAAGATAAATAGAATCTAATATGCCCAAACTTGAAGACAAATAAAATCTAATATGTTCAAACTTTGCTCAAACTTTGCTCAAACTTTAAGATTAAACATTATATGAGAGAGATGAGAATTCTGGCTTTTTAATAGCGTTGACAAGGCACTATTCTATTCCTTTGCTTTATCTTGGGCTCACTCGTGTTCAATTCAGTTTTAATTTCAAACAATCTAATTTGCTGCAATTTCATCCTATTCTTTTTCTTTTGCATCCATTTAATATTCCTTTAAATATGGAAGTAGTGTATACTTGGCAAATCAATCAATTGGTAGTTCCCAAACTATAAACAAAAAATTTGAAGTTTTTGCTTTCCATTTCAATTTTGGTTAAACAAATTAAAGAAAAAAAAAAAAAATTCTCATCGATTTTCATTCATTTCAAATTACAAAACAGATTAATCCATCAAATAACATACTATTATAGATTAGTTTTGTCATATTAAAAAGTCAATTACTAAATTCAATTAATTATTAATCAAATAATTTTATTATATTTTATTTTTCGATCAATTTATACAACAACATATATATATATATAAAAATTAAATAAACATGGCTCAAGAAGTTCCTACTTTTAAATTAGTTTTAGTTGGTGATGGTGGTACAGGTAAAACTACATTTGTTAAAAGACATTTAACTGGTGAATTTGAAAAAAAATATATTGCTACATTAGGTGTTGAAGTTCATCCATTAGGTTTTCATACGAATTTTGGTGAATTAAAATTTGATGTTTGGGATACTGCTGGTCAAGAAAAATTTGGTGGTTTAAGAGATGGTTATTATATTAATGGTCAATGTGGTATTATTATGTTTGATGTTACTTCAAGAATTACTTATAAAAATGTTCCAAATTGGCATAGAGATTTAGTTAGAGTTTGTGAAAATATTCCAATTGTTTTATGTGGTAATAAAGTTGATGTTAAAGAAAGAAAAGTTAAAGCAAAAACTATTACTTTTCATAGAAAGAAAAATTTACAATATTATGATATTTCTGCAAAATCAAATTATAATTTCGAAAAACCATTTTTATGGTTAGCTAGAAAATTAGTTGGTAATCCACAATTGGAATTTGTTGCTTCTCCTGCTTTAGCTCCTCCTGAAGTTCAAGTTGATGCTGATTTAATGCAAAAATATCAACAAGAAATGGAACAAGCAACTGCTTTACCATTACCTGATGAAGATGATGCTGATTTATAAGCAAATTTTATTACACTCAAAAGAACCTATTACTACTTATTAACATTTTAGCATAATTGTTTTTTTTTGTTATAATAATTATATAGTTGAAATTAATGTATATTATTTTTATTAAAGCTTATGATCTGTAAAATTACAAAAGCCAAAATTACAAAAGCCATTAGGTAGAGAGTTGCATTCTTATCATAAGTCGAAGCGAAGCAACGCTTACAGCTTAAAAAGAATCTATTAGTTTTACTAATCTAAGCATAATTCGATTTTTCGCTGCAATAATAAATTGATGCAAATTATATATATTATACTAAAAACCTACAATCTCCAAAAAAAACAAACAAACCATACACTATAAACAGCATCCTGGCTGTCACTAGCATCCTTACTCACTTAGTACTCTTATAAATCGCCTTTTGATACTCTTTCGTATTATGAAATATAGATTTAGGAGGCAATGGCAACCCAGTTAAATGGTTAGGAGGAGGTAGCATAAAATCATCGTCATTATCCTTATTCAAATCTTTTAAAGTTATATTTGGTTTATCATCAGTTGAATTATCCCAAATACCCAACTCTTTAGCTTTTAATTCATAATAATTACAATAATTTTTAATGTGGTTCTTACCTATAAGGTGACTTTTTCTGACACTCATTGTATCATGAGTCAAATAAGACTTACAATAATCACAATAATACTTTGGCATGTCTTCTTATTCAAGTTGTATGTAATGGATTAATTGACCAATTATTTGATAGAAATATATTTTGCCCATTGTACACTACATAGTTAATGATATGTATGCGAATTTCGCATTGGTAAAAAATTAAATCTTTGTGAAAATTGTTCAACAAGATAATCTAAATATCAATTAAAAATACAATGTTTAGACAAGTAGCTGTATGTAAAGACTAGAAAATGAAAGATTGTGTCAATGGAAATAGATGTGAGATTGAATTGAGTTTAAGAATGGGCTCAAATGAGCCAGTATTTATCATTTATCATCAATGGAAATCCAATGGTAAAAATAGAAATCATTTAACAATGATAGGTGAAGCACCCAAGAGGTTAAGACAAATACTGTCCGATATGTCACAAGTAATGAGAACCAAATTTCGACCCATAACGACTGTTTCAAGGTAAATTATGTTCAAATCAACTAGAAGTGATCAAATACTTAAATATCTAGAGACAGACAGTGTAGTTCCATTTCCATGACATAGTAATGATCGGAAGTATCATACTAACATATTTCTAGCGTTTACAATCAAAAAGATTATTTTCAATCACACCACAAAGATCCAATTTAGTTGGTGATTTATACATTCAACATATTAAATCATTTAAACCAAAATCATTAACTCAAGAAGAAATTGATGCTACAGTTAAAAAATTCCAATTACCTTCAAAACCAACCTTACCACAAGTTGATTTATCAAGTGAAGAAGTAAAAGCTTATGAACAAAGTGAAGTTGAAACAGAAACAAATGATAAATCAGTCGCTACTGAAGAAAATAAAGATAATCAAGATTGGTTTGTCTTTGATGAAGTTGAAGAAGAAGCTCATTAAACACTAGTCTCCTCCCTCTTCATTTAATAATCAATATATATATCTAGATATTTTCATTATTTTCATTATTTTTTTTTTTTTTTTTTTTTTTTTTTTTGTTTACATTTTTCAAATTGATTCCCATGGCAGCTTTATCAACTACAGATTTAAATAATGTTAAATTAGCATCACTGTCATTGAATTCAGAATTATTGAGTAGAACATATATAGATACAAACTTAATATTCCAAACTGATTTATTTGAAACACCAAATTTAGATCATTATAATAATGATAAAAATATAATAAATTGCATCCATAATTTAATTTCAAAAATTGATTCATATAGAAATCAACAGATAAGTCTTAATGAAAGACTTAAATTACAAGATTCAAAAATAAATCAACTACAATCATCAATTAAGTCACTAGAGTCAGAAAATAATAAGCTTAATCATCTTAAATCAAATGATAAAATAGATGCAAATAATTACTACAAAGACCTACAACTTGAAAAGAAACAGAACAGAAATCTACTACTAGAAATCAATCATCTCAAGAGTATTTCAGTAGATTATAAAAAGAAATATCAAGTCGAACTAAAGAAGAAAAATCTCGAGATTGAAACCCTTAAAAACAAGTTGTTGGATAAGAAACAGAATAGTATACAAGAATTTCAAATCCCCATCGTAAATAACTTACCTACCGATAACGAAACTCCAACAATCTCAGTTAATGAAAGCATACTACAACAGGAAAATGAAATTGCAAATATAAATTATTATAATATAATAGAAAGTATAACAAAAGAAAACTACCAGTTTGTAAACTTCTTAAATGATCTCAAGAAATTTTACAACCTTGTGAACTCAAGTTTGATGGAATTAAAGTATAAGAATAGTGTGAATGTAGTCATTCCTAATCCTAGTGAGATCATTGATCTTGATTATGTTGATCCAGACGTACTAAAGAGATATATGAATGAAATTGAGAATAATCAGGTTGTTACTAGGCCGATATTGAATGAAAGTTATAAATTGTATCATAATTTGACTGGGTTGATTAATAATTTGATTCCGAATCATGATCAACAAGAGATCATAAACCAATTGAAGAATGAGAATGAAAAATTAATGGATGTTATTAAAGAGGCGAATAAGAATACTGAAATTTGGAAGAATTTAGCTAAGGGGACGGAAAAGGTATGAATTGTAGAATACAAAAACTAAAATGTCTAAACAATGAGATAGAGAAAAGATAAGTTGATTTATTAATTAGCTAGTTAATCATATACATTCTAGAAGTTGAAATATTCAGTCAGGCGAAGGAGGAGTTAAATTTGATTAGTTATCCCTGTTTAGAAATTTGTAATATACATAAATATACATTAATTTATTTAGTAGTAGAGGCCCTAAGCAAAAGGATTTACATTTATCGAAGGTTCTTGAGCTTATTAAAATGACACTTATCTCGAGAAAATATATTGTTCATGACTAATGAGCCAAACAGTTTGGTTCGAGTCGCCCAAAAGATTACCATGGAAAATATTTTATAGCGCGAAACTATCGCATCGAAAAATACATACTTTGAAAATGTTTTGCAACAATTAGACTTATATGCAGTCTCGTTGTAGTAAATTTCCAAATTTAATTTGCGAATAACTCATTCAATAACGGTGTCATATTTCTCAAACTTAGATCATTCAGTCCTCAATTAAATTTAGAATCAAATAGTAATAATATCTCTTGTAGAAACATAATTTTGATGACTTTTTTCAACTTTTAAAAATTGGAAAAATACGCTATTTTGTTATATAAGCAACACTTAGACATTTTTTATCAATTTTTAAAGCAGCTGGGTCAGTTCAACGAATCTTTAAAAATGTATTGATAGTGGTTTCAGGACGTCATATTCATTTTGAATTTTTTCAAAAATTTCAAACCACTTCTGAAAATTTGGTTTTCTATTTTGAATACCTTAATACAGAAAAAACAAAGATATATCGGAAAGCAAAACTACAAATACTGACACTTTTACCATACTCTCGTCACGAATTTGATTGTGGAATTAGATTTTTTGTAAGGTTAATTTATTCGAATTTCCCCATAGTTAAGAGAAAATTTTGGAATTTTTCAATTTTAATTTTAATTTCTCAGAATCAAGTTCAACACTTTAGATTGAGCAGTAACGTATATAACACGTTGTTTACTTGAAAGTTCTGGGGGTAATTACAAAGATACAATGAACTACATTTTTCTGAAAATTTTTGTATGATGAAAAAAAGCCAAATTGACAACTTGAAAAAAATATCTTTAAAATCTAGTATTTGAAATATGTAGAGTATATACTTAACGACCTCTGATTTCACATAACTTGTATCTACCTCAAGAGACGGCGCTGTTACTGACCTATAAGCCAATATATTTAGTACATGTCACCTTAGCTTTAGGGCGAGAATTTAATTTTGTCTGGCGAATCCATCGCATTGAATTAATACATACTCTCCAAAAATAATTCTGAAACAAATCAACTTATATGCAGTCTTATAGTAGTAATCGAAGTTATTTCATTTATTAGCTAATTAGGTATGTACATTTTAAAAATTGGGAAATCTTAGCCATGAAGAAATACTTAGATTGATATTTATTCATTTTGGTAATTTTTCAAAATTGTTGTTTCTAAAGAAACAACATCCAAAGGAAAACATTTCATCAATTCAACATCTTCATTTTCATCCTTATGTCTTAATATCAAACCATTTGAATCTTCCATATAATTACTTAATATAATACCTTTACACCAAATAGAACAATGTAAAACATTCTCTTTATCAATAGTACTCATAGAATAATCGGAATCACTTCCAGTTTTTGCAATGTTCATATCCGATTTACTCAAGTTCATTTGTTTTAATTCATCTGCTTCTTCTTTATTTTCATTAATAAAAAATTTAACAATTCGTAAATAATCACCAGTTTGTAAATCCAAATAAGGTTTAACAACAACGACAATCTCACCAATTGAAATATAATTAGATGAATATGGATCAGATACCCTTTTAATATTCTCTTGAGCAGATAAGGCTTGTAATATTACCGTATGTGAAAATGAACTACTTTGTTTACTTAATTGATCACTTATCTTTTCGAAATTTTCCAAAAGACTGTTAAAATCAGATATTAGATCAGCTTCACTGATTACATTTTTCTTAACTGGTGTTGATGAATCTAATGGGTAACTATTCAAAGCTATCGTGGTATCATTATTAGATTGAGACTCTAAATCTGATTCAATAAAATGTTTAATTTTAAATTCTAAATGATTTCTTTTTGATGGAATGAATAAATATTCATAATATGGGCTTACTAAATAGCCAATAAAGAATATGATTAATAAAACAACAACGAATGTTGCAATTACAATACCAAATATAGCACCAGTTGAAATCATAATTAGAATTGGTTGCAAAAAAATAAAATTTGAAATATTTACACGAAATTTAAACATCAACTTTTGCTGATTTAATAAATTCATCAAATTCTTGATCTGGGTCCATTATGACTTCTTCTGGTGTAGATGGTGTGTCTTTCTCTTCTTCGAGTTTCTTATACTTTCGATTTGCCTTTTTCGCTTTACTTTGTTTTAATTTCAATTGTCTGTCATGTATTATATTGTTCCTACTGTTTTCTGCATTATATAAATCATCCAATTTCAAAGCTAGTAATTCCCTTGCTTTATCTCTATTTTGTTGTTGTGATCTTGTTGCTTGACATGTAACAACTATACCAGTTGGTATATGAGTTAATTGTACTTTTGAATTACATTTATTAATCTTTTGACCACCTGGTCCTGAACCACCTTTCAAAAATTTCTCCTTTATTTCATCTTCTTTAATCAACCATTTTGGCCTTGGTGGTAATTTATTCTTCTTTGGTATCGAATATAGACAGCTAGTTATACTAATATGACGTTTAAACATTGAATAGTCATTGAATAAAATACACGACTAAAACGCGATGATGTTGAATATTTCCTATTTCGGATTATTAATTACAATTTAATTATAATTACGCGGCACACGTCTGTTTCAATTTTTTTTTTTTTATCAATACTTTATCACTTCCAAATAAGTTGCAACAACAATTGAACAATTAAATTATGTCTTTTGATAGAAACGAAATATTTTCTGCTTCTGTACTTCCCGGTGAACAACCAGAAGATAATTCATTCAATGAAATTACAAAAGCTTTTAGATCTTTTGTATTAGATTTTAGATTAGATTCACAATTTATATATCGAGATCAATTAAGAGAAAATTTATTAATTAAAAATTACTACCTTAAAGTTGACACGGAACATTTAATTGGATATAATGAAGAGCTTGCCAAGAAGTTAACTGATGATCCAGCAGATATGATTCCATTATTTGAAAATGCAATTACTGATATTGCTAAAAGAATTGCTTATATTTCACAATCTGAAGCACCTCAAGATTTCCCAATATGTCAATTAATCCTATATTCAAATTCAAATAAAATAAGTATTAGAAATTTAGATTCTGAACATATTTCAAAAATTATTAGAGTATCAGGTATAATTATATCTGCTTCTGTTTTATCTTCAAGGGCAACTCAAGTACAATTAATTTGTAGAAATTGTAAACATATGATGAAAATTAAAGTTAAATCTGGTTTTGGTCCTATTCAATTACCTCAAAAATGTCAAGCACAACATAATTTAGATTCAACACAAGATAAATGTCCAAATGATTCTTATGTCATTGTTCATGATAAATCTACATTTGTTGATCAACAAGTTTTAAAATTACAAGAAAATCCAGATATGGTACCTGTCGGAGAAATGCCAAGGCATATTTTATTACAAGCTGATAGATATCTAACAAATCAAATAGTACCAGGAACTAGAGTTACTATAGTTGGTATATATTCAATTTTCCAATCAAAACAGAGATCAGGTGGTAGTGCAGAAACTGTAGCTATTAGAAATCCATATTTAAAAATATTAGGAATACAATCAGAAACAAATTTGAGAGGTCAAGGTGTTTCATTTACTGAGGAAGAAGAAGAAGAATTTTTAAAATTATCAAGAACTCCTAATTTATATGAAGTATTTGCAAATTCAATAGCACCTGCAATTTATGGAAATGATGATATTAAAAAAGCAATTACTTGTTTATTATTTGGTGGGTCTAAAAAGATTTTACCTGATGGTATGAGATTAAGAGGTGATCTAAATGTATTACTTTTGGGTGATCCAGGTACTGCAAAATCACAATTATTAAAATTTGTTGAAAAAGTAGCTCCAATTTCTGTTTATACTTCAGGTAAAGGTTCTTCAGCTGCTGGTTTAACTGCATCAGTTCAAAGAGATCCACAAAGTAGAGATTTTTATTTAGAAGGTGGTGCTATGGTATTAGCAGATGGTGGAGTTGTATGTATTGATGAATTTGATAAAATGAGAGATGAAGATAGAGTTGCAATTCATGAAGCAATGGAACAACAAACAATCTCAATTGCAAAAGCAGGTATAACAACAGTTTTAAATTCAAGAACTTCTGTTTTGGCAGCTGCAAATCCTGTATTTGGAAGATATGATGAATTTAAATCACCAGGTGAGAATATAGATTTTCAAACTACAATTTTATCTAGATTTGATATGATTTTTATTGTCAAGGATGAACATAATGAAAAAAGAGATATTTCAATAGCACAACATGTGATGAATATTCATTCTGGAAATAGATCAGATTTACAACAACAACAAGAAGGTGAAATTCCAATTGATTTAATGAAGAGATACATTCAATATGTTAAATTTAAATGTGCTCCAAGATTAACTGCAGAAGCTTCAGAAAGATTAAGTAGTCATTTTGTATCCATACGAAGAAGATTACAATTAAATGAAGCTGAAATGAATGAAAGAAGTTCAATTCCAATCACTGTTAGACAATTAGAAGCAATTATACGTATTACTGAATCATTGGCAAAAATTGAATTATCTCCAATTGCAACTGAAGAACATGTTGAAGAAGCAATTAGATTATTTACTGCTTCAACTATGGATGCTGTTGATCAAGGTTTAGGATCAACTGGTGATGTTCAATTAAATGCAGAAATTAAAAAAGTGGAACATGATATTAGAAGAAGATTACCTATTGGTTGGTCAACTGCTTATCAAACATTAAGAAAAGAATTTGTTGATTCTGGTAAAACAAGTTCAAATGCTTTGGAAAAGGCATTATATATAATGGAAAGACATGAAGTTATTAAATTTAGACATCAAGGTCAAAATGTATTACGTATTGGAGTATGAATATTAAATATATATTACATCTATGATTTGAAATTACATTATATTTTCGTCATTACCTACCTCAGGCTTCTTCTGTTATAAATGTTGAATCCTTACTAGTATTCTTGCATCCTGAAAGTCATTGAATCCTTATTCTTTACACATCTATCTTAAGCACAATTATAACAGAATCACCTCTAAGAAACAACTTAGATATAAATCTTTCCTTTTTATTGATTTTTATTATTTTACCAGCATTATTTTTAACTTTATCATCCCATATTTCACGAACATTCTCTAATACCAAATTACAATGTCTATCAAATTCTTTAACTTTTCCTATGAGTTTATGATTATTCCTACATGAAATCATAACTGGAGTATTAAATTTTTTTGCATTATTTAATAATGACATTGGACCATGTAAAAATTCAAATTCTTCTAATCTTGAACGTTCAATTTCTGTTAATTCACCACGAGGACGATCTATTAAGTCACTGCAAATGTTAGTACTGAGTCTATTTCCATTTGTTCGTTTAACATACGCCATATTGATAAGATGTTTTCGGTTGTAGATTAAACGAAAAAAAAAAAAAATGCTACAGAATTTGTACCAGAATACAAGAAGGACAGAGAGTGAAGAGTATCGTCAAGATACGGATGTTTAGTCCATGAAAATGATTCGTATAAATCTATCTTCTATTTACTTTTCAAACTTAATGGAGCACCAATCGATAAACCTCTATTCATTATATTCTCGATTCTAACTTTTAATACCTTTGACTTACATTCAACTTCCAATGTTCTATAATTTACAATAGCTTGCATTTTACCAATATTTATTTCTACTTTATCATTTTCCAATTCTTTTAAAGTATCACCAAATTGAGCTTTCAATAATAAATTAATATCTTTTATTCTTTGTTGTATGTTTGCACTATGTTTACCATTTTCCTCCTTTATATGATTATGTGTATGATGATTAGATGATAACTTGACAGATGCAGGTGATGAATCAATGGAATATAAAATTGCAATTACTGAATCAGCAATTGAATCCATCATTAAATTATCATTTATCCATTCAACAGTAATATATAATCCTGGTTTTTTGGATCTATCAATGAAAATATCTATACTATCCATTATTACACCTTCCCATTCTTCTTCATCATCATTCATTATATTTATATATCCAAACATTTGTTGTAGATGCCATACCATTAATGAAATATCAGCATTTATTTTAAGATTAATTTTAGATTTTACTATTGATGTAGATAATTGTGTAAATTCATGTAAATCTTGTAATTGAACAAGATTAAGATCGAAATCTTTTGATACCAAAACACCAGAAACAACTTGTCCAGTTTTAAGTGTACTTAAATCTTCTTGTTTAACTTCTTTTTTATCCTCTTCTTTTACTTCCGTTATTTTATCATCTATTCTATTCTGTATTTCTTTTTTCAATATTTGTAATTGTTCTTCAGCTAATGATCCTAATACTTTAGCAATCGTTAGCCCTTTAAATCCTATTATTAATTCTTCACAATTTCTTGGATTATATACTTTAACTTCTTGATCTGTTCCTTTCCTCTTTGCATATTTACTCAATAATGCAGATTTTAATCTACCCATAGGTACACTATCACCATGAACTAATATAATTTTTGATGGATTAACTTTATCTACAAATTCTGAATTTTGTTGAAAATCAACATGAGCAGCAAATGAAATTTCTTCAATTCCTATCCTTCTTGGAATTGTTAAATCTGGATTGGTTGCAGATTGTATAACCTGAGGTTCTTTTAATAAATCTTTTGCCATTGTACCTTCAACTGAATAACCAGTTAATATAACTAAATTTTTACTATCTGGAGCCCATTTTTCTAGTAATTGTCTTGATATACCTGCTTGTAACATACCTGGAGAAGCAATAACTACTGATGGACCTAAATCTTGAAATTTAGTCAAATCTTTTATTGATTTTATAAATTTAAAATCAAATGGATTTTTCTTACCATCTGAATTTGAAGATAATCTAATTTTATCATTCATTACACCAGTATAAGTTTCATAAACAGCCATACATTTTTTAGCTAGATTAGAAGCATAATAAACATTTGTATTTTGCAAATCTTCATTATTTTGCCAATATTCATCTAGGATTAATAATAATTCTTGAGTATTACCAAGGGCAAAGACTGGCATTAATACTCTACCACCTTTAGTTATTGTAGCATGTATATGACTAATTAATTTTTTTTCTAACTCCGCTCTTGATTCTAATGTCCCCGTACCAAATGTAGATTCAGTAATTAAAATATCTGGTTTTATAGGTGGTATTTCAGCAGCATGCAAATGACGATTTTCTTCTCTTGAATAATCCCCAGTAAATAAAATCTTTAACCCACCAATTTCAATAAAATACATACATGCACCTAATACATGTCCAGCATGATAAGCAGTAAATCTTATACCATCAATTTCAGTAGTTGAATGATAATCTATAGTTTCTATCTTATCAAAAGATTTCATTATATCTTCATCAGTAATTAAATTACTTGATTCACTTAATCCCATACCCTCAGTTCTAGCAGCACCAATTGAAGTAACTCTTACAAAATCTTGCATTAACCATCTATAAATAGCTTTAGTCGCATGGGTCATAAATACTTTTCCTTTAAAATTTGATTGTTGCATTATATAAGGTAATGAAGCAGAATGATCAATATGAAAATGACTAACTAATAAAATATCAACTTTTGATAAATCATATTCATCAAAATAAGGAAATGAAGCATGACCACTAAAAGCAGGATGTGAACCACAATCTAACATTATAACTTTATTTTTATATTCAATTATATGACATGATCTACCGACTTCGTTACAACCACCAAGACCGAAAAACTTGAATTGTTCTTCATTTAAATCAGAATCAACAGTCATTGAATCAATACCACACTGTTTAAATTTTTCAGTATCAAATATTTTTTTGTTTCAGATTTTTAATGCGACAAATAAATTTGGCAGCACAAGATATAATACTATGGAATGAAGTTGAAATTAACCATTAAAGATACAGAGAAGTTAAAAGATTCGTTACAATTAATATCATCAGCTAGAAAATTTGTTGTATTGAAATTTACCCCAAAAGAGTTATGTATAATATCTATTAATGATCAAGTTATTAATCAAGAACCTCAAATTTGGATTAAATTCCCAGCTGATTCATTATTTGAAAGTATTGAAGTACAAAGTCTTAGAGAAAATACAATACTGATGGAATTGAATATTGATTTATTACTACAAACTTTGAAAAATTTTAAAAAAGCAAATAGTGAAGGTTTAAATATTAGATTACAAAGGACAGACACGTCTGGTCAACAAGGTGTAAATTCAAAAAATGGTAGAACAGCATCATTAGCTTTATTTTATTCAAATATGAATATTAATTCAAATACTTTAAATCATACATTTAGAATACCTGTTAAAATATTACGTGAAAATCAAAATTTATTACAAGAACCATATCATTCACAAAATAGTTTAATCATGAGACTACCGAGAGAATTCGTAACTATGTTTAAAAGATTAGAGAAATTCAAGAAGGCTTCTGGAAATGATATTGTCACTATACGGGCAAGTAGAACAGGTAACGGGTTTTTAGGTTTTATATTACAGGAAGAAAATAAATTTAGAGTTACTATAAGTTGGAACAATAGATTAGAAGTACATAAATCAACTAACAATGAACCTGAACTGGTTAGAGAAACTTTAAAAAATATAAATTCAAGTCAAATGGAATCAAGTGAAGAAGAATCAGTTGATGAAGTTCAATTAACTTTAAAATTAAATCATTGGCAACAAGCTTCAAAGATTGTTGGCGGTTGTGAAATTGTTATATTATATATAAACGATAATGAATGTAGTTTTCATTGTTTATTTGATGATACTGGTGAGGTTGAAATATTATATTTTGTAAATGGAATAAGAGTAATAACTTAATTTAACACAATTGGTAGCAACCAGGGGTTAATTTTTCAAATTTTAGAGTCAGAAAAATTTCATTTTCAATTGCAATATCATGAGTCAATCATTAAATAGGGAAGAACCAAATTATTTTGGTGCTGGACCTGCTTTATTACCTACTAGTGTTCTTCAACAAGCAGCACTAGATTTAATTACTTACGAAGGTGATAGTATTGGAATTGGGGAAATTTCTCATAGATCAAAACCTGCAATAAAAGTTATAGATGATACTAAAGCCAATTTAACTAAATTATTAAATATACCAGACACTCATGAAGTATTCTTTATGCAAGGTGGTGGTACAACTGGATTTTCTTCAATCGCTTATAATTTAGTTGCAAATTATGCTAAAAGAACAGGTAAAAAAGGCAAAGTTGCTTATGCAATTACAGGTTCATGGTCAAAAAAAGCACATGAAGAAGCTGAAAGATTAGGTTTTGATGCTGATATAGTTGTAAATACTAAAAGTGAAAAATTTGGTACTGTTCCAGAATATTCAGAATGGAAATCAATCGATAAAGATACTGCTTATTTATATGTTTGTGATAATGAAACTGTACATGGTGTTGAATTTAAAGATACACCACCTGATTCATATTTAAATGGTGTTGAATTAGTAGCTGATATGTCATCAAATATTTTATCAAAGAAAATTGATGTTAGTAAATATGGTTTAATTATGGCTGGTGCTCAAAAAAATATTGGTTTAGCTGGTTTAACTATATATATAATTAAAAAATCATTAATTGAACAACCTACAGATGATGAATGGAAAAAATTAAATATTGCATTATCTCCAATTGCATTTAGTTATCCAATAGTGATTAAAAATAATTCAGCTTATAATACAATTCCAATATTTACATGTCATATATTAAAATTGGTAACTGATTTATTATTAAAAGAAGGTGGTATTGAACAAATTCAACAAACAAATGAAGAAAAAGCTAAGTTATTATATGGTGCATTGTTGAAATATCCAGATTTTTATGAATTACCAGTCACTAATTCAAAAGTTAGATCAAATATGAATGTTGTATTTAGGTTACCAACTGAGGATCTTGAAGCTAAATTTGTTAAAGAAGGAAGTGAGAGAAATTTACAAGGTTTAAAAGGTCATAGATCAGTTGGTGGTATAAGAGCATCAATTTATAATGCAGTTACTTCGAAGAGTGTTAAATTATTAGTTGAATTTGTTAATGAATTTGCTGAAGCTAATAAATAGTTAATCATAGTTAATGTATAATGATTTCGAATCACCATGCGACATCAAAAATTTTCAGTCTATGTTTTTACTGCAAAATCGAATATATACGAATAAACTACTACGTAATAAACTACTACGTAATAAACTACTACTGAGAATAACATATAAATATGCTTCATCATCATCATTAACCATTGAAGAGAAGAAACAAAAATTAAATGTTGAAAATATTAGAAAAGATTTATTTGATCGAATATCAAAAATACCAATTGAAAATTATCGAAATTTTAGTATTGTTGCTCATGTAGATCATGGAAAATCAACATTGTCAGATAGATTATTAGAATTAACTGGTGTTATACAACCGGGTTCAAAAAATCAAGTACTTGATAAATTAGAAGTTGAAAGAGAAAGAGGAATAACAGTCAAAGCTCAAACAGTATCTATGATTTATAATGATCTTAAATCAAACAGAGATTATCTTTTACATTTAGTTGATACTCCTGGTCATGTTGATTTTAGAGCTGAAGTTTCAAGATCTTATGCTTCTTGTGGTGGGGCATTATTATTAATTGATGCTAGTCAAGGTGTTCAATCTCAAACAGTTGCAAATTTTTATTTAGCTTATAGTATGAATTTAAAATTGATACCAATTATAAATAAAATAGATTTGGATTCTGCTGATATACCTAGGAGTTTAGATCAAGTTGAATCAATTTTTGAATTGGATAAAAATGATGCTATAGCCGTAAGTGCTAAAACTGGATTAAATGTAGAAAATATAATACCGTCAATTATAGAGAAAATTCCAGCACCTACCGGAGATGAAAATAAACCTTTAAAAGCATTATTAGTAGATTCATGGCATGATCCATATGTTGGAGTAGTAATGTTAGTTCATATTGTCGATGGTAAGTTGAAAAAGGGGACTAAAATAGTCTCTGCACATTCTAGAAAAGTTTATGATGTAAAAGAAGTAGGTATAAATTATCCAGATAGAACTCCAATGGATTTTATAAAAGCTGGTCAAGTTGCTTACATTATAGCAGGTATTAAAAATCCAAGAGAAGCTTTAGTGGGTGATACATTTTTCCAAAATGGTAAATCAGATGGATTGGAACCATTACCTGGATTTGAAGAACCAAAACCAATGGTTTTTGTCGGTGCTTTCCCTGCTGATGGTAAAGAATTTAATGTTATGGATGATCAAATGCAAAATTTAGTACTAAATGATAGATCAGTAAGTTTGGAGAAAGAAACATCAAATGCATTAGGTTTAGGTTGGAGATTAGGTTTTCTTGGATCACTTCATGCATCAGTATTTCAAGAAAGATTGGAAAATGAATATGGTGCCAAGATTATTTTGACAGCACCTACTGTTCCTTATAAAATACGATATCGTAATGGTCAAGAAGTAATAATTACAAATCCTGAAGATTTTCCAGATAATCAAAGACAATTTGATGTTGATTGTTTTATGGAACCATACGTAGAAGCTATAATTACCGTTCCTGATGAATATGTAGGGACTGTAATGACATTATGTTTAAATAATAGAGGTGAACAAAAAGAGGTGGAGTATTTAAATACTGGGCAAGTTTTATTAAAATATGATATACCATTAGGTGAATTAGTTGAAGACTTTTTTGGTAAATTAAAAGGATGTACTAAAGGATATGCATCTTTAGATTATGAAGATTCGGGATATAAGAGATCAGATATTGTAAAAATGCAATTACTTGTTAATGGTGAGGTTCAAGACGCATTAACTACTATATTACATAAAAGTGATTCACAAGCAAAAGGTAAAGAATATGTAAAGAAGTTTAAGAAGTACCTTAAACATCAATTATTCGAAGTTGCTATTCAATGTAAAATAAATAATAAAGTAATAGCAAGAGAAACAATCAAAGCTAAAAGAAAAGATGTTACTCAAAAATTACATGCTGCTGATATAACAAGATATAAAAAATTATTAGAAAAACAAAAAGAAGGTAAAGCAAAAATGAAAGCAACAGGTAAAGTAACAATTGGTAATGATGCCTATCAAGCATTTTTACGTCGTGACTGATGATAATTGTATTATTATGTACATAGATCTAGTTAATCAAAAACTTTTTATAAAAGACATTTTCGGTTTCATCAACAAAAGTATAACCAATAGTTTTTAAAAATTCTTGAAATTCCTCTTCTGAACCTTCTGGTAATGTAAATCCACATAATACTTTACCTACATCTTGTCCGTGATTTCTATAATTAAACAAACTTATATCCCAATCTGATTTTAAAGCCTGTAAAAAATTAAATAATGCATTTGGTCTTTCTGGAAATTCAAATTCATACAATTTTTCATTCTTCTTCTTTGTAATATCTGATCTACCACCAACTAAATATCTACCATGGGTTTTAGCCAATTCATTTTCTGAAATATCAACAACTTCATAACCTGAATCAGTCATTTGTTTTATAACATTTGGTTTTTCACGATTTCTATCAACAACATTAAATGAAACAAAAATATTAGCAATATCTTGTCCGTTTCCTCTATAACTAAATTCAGTAATTGCTCTTGGATTTATGATCTTTTGCAATTTAGAAAATTCACCTGGTTTTTCAGGAATTGTAACGGCTAATGAAACTTCTTTACCTTCACCTAATACAGCTCTTTCCGATACAAATCTTAATCTATCAAAATTCATATTTGCACCAGATAAGATTGAAACATAATTTTTATCTTTATGATCAATTTCTGAATGATTCTCTATATATTTTTTAACACCAGCAACTGATAATGCTCCTGATGGTTCTGTAATTGATCTGGTATCTTCAAAAATATCCTTGATTGCAGCACATAATTCATCAGTTGAAACTAAGACAACTTCATCCACTAAATCTTTACATAATCTCCAAGTTTCATCACCCAAAATTTTAACAGCTGTACCATCTGCAAATATACCAACTTTTGATAATTGAACTTGATTCTTTTCCTTTAATGATTCATATAAAACATTAGAATCATAAGCCTGTACACCTATAACTTTAACATGAGGAGCAATTTGTTTCAAATATGATGCAATACCAGCAATCAAACCACCACCACCAACAGGTACAAATATAGCATTTAATTTATCCAATCTCAATTGTCTAGTAATTTCTAAAGCAATAGTACCTTGACCAGCAATAACATAAGGATGATTAAATGGTGGAATATTAATTAAATTTTGTTCGGCACTTAATCTTGCACATTCAGCTTTAGCCAGATCAAAATCATCACCATATAAAACAACTTGAGAACCCAATCTTGAAACATTTGTATATTTAATTGATGGGGTTGGTGTTGGCATAACTATAGTAGCGGGTATTTTCAATTTATTAGCTGAATATGCAACACCTTGAGCATGATTTCCAGCTGAACATGCAATAACACCACTAATTGGAGTTGGTGAATTTGAATGTAAATTTGAAATCATATTATATGCACCTCGTAATTTAAATGAAAATACAGGTAATAAATCTTCTCTTTTTAAATATATATTTGAACCACATTTATGTGATAAATTAATTGCATGATTTAATGGAGTACCAGCTTCGTCAACCACATCATAAACTCGTGATGTTAATATTAATTTGACATAATCTGGAACATACTCTTTTGTATTTGCATCTTGTATAAAATCTGATTCTAATAGTTCAGGCCATTGTTTTCTAGCTTTAATTAGAGAAGAATTATATCTTCTTATTTGATAATTTGATCGATTTTTCAATACAAACGATACATTTAAAAGTCTAGACTTGAACATTGTTTTTATAACATAAATTTTTCTTGCGCTTTCCTTGTTCCAATATTCGGAAAGTTTAACTTAATAGATTTAAATTCGATATGCAATTATTTACAATTGGATATAAATGTATCAATAAGTATAATTTGAGTCACTTTTAGGAATTCAGAAATTTTTCAGTTACAAATAAAAAACTATGCACGACTTTTAAAATTCGTGTAATCAGTTTGATTAAATTAAGGTTTTTCGACATGTTTCATCATGTATTTTGAGGTAGATTGGTCTGATTCTAATTTAAAGCTTCCTAGTGTTATAACAAGTCTAAAGAGAATCAGCTAGATGTTATAGTTGTTGATCTATCATCATCTTTAATGGAATTGGTCAATATTATCAATGATTGTTTATCGGTTTCAAAATGGCTGCGAAAAAAAATGGTTGCAAAAAATAACCAACTGATTATATATACTGAAATTATAATTATGTTTAATTACATTTGACGCAAGGTACTTTTCTTTTGATAAAAACGTGCCACCTTATTGTTGATAAAAATGTTATCGTATGAAATATACGGTTTGCATCTGCCACAAAACTGAATTTTGTATACTGTCGTCTATACAGTAAATCTGACTTTATCTAGATATCTTTCATATATATGAAATATCCCTTTTTTTAAAATATCCATATATAATCATTTACAAATTCATAACATAAATCTCTAAATACAAATTTTTCATATTTTTCATTCGCTTAATATTCAAAGTATATTTGATTTTTTTGTTATACCAAATAAATTTTTCCCGTTTATATCCATTACATCAATCAATTGATCTTTTACTTTGCTTTTTAATTTGTGGAGAGCTATCTAATTGATTTGATTTGTATTAATAAGACTAAATTTGCAAGGTCAATTTAAGTGGTTTGAAGCATCTTCAAAAATTAAAATCAAATTGTATACTAGTTGTATCTGGTCTGAAAAATTTTATCCCCTCCTTTAATATCAGGATATCGAACATCAAGTTTGATTAGTTTTTTTTGAATTGAGATGGTTTTAGGTTTTCATGATGAGTTTCAATTTGAGAGTAATATAAAATTGGAAAATCATATTAATAATGAAATTGACGATAAAAGAAATATTACCGTGTATGCTAATGATTTAGTAAATACTGATTGGGATTATTTAAGTTTATCAAATCAAGGTATACAGGTACAAGAGCAGAATCAAGAGGTAAATACTAGTCCATCAATTTCAAATCATACTTTGCAACTGTTTAGACCCTCATTTTCATCAGAATATGAAACAGATACAACTGATTTTTTAGATTTTGTGAATAATCAAATCAATAATCAGAATTATGATACACATCAGACTAATGAGAATAATCAACAAATGACATATAATGAACCTAACTACTTTTTGGATCATGTATTTGGTAGCAAGGAAAATTTACATGACAAAATTGTTGCAAAAGATTGCAAAAATGAGTTGAGCTATAACAACATTTTTAATGAACCAGAACAACACACAACATCCATTTTCAAATCACAATATACAGATAATGACTTACTAATGATTCATAATGATTTAAATGAAACTGATTTGCAAATGGATAAATTTCAATCTCATTCAATTGATCCATTAAATAATGCGAGTTTAGACGACGCTGATGATTATATAATGCGTGAACCATCAACCACATCTACATCAAATACAATGTGTACTACATGTACAACATTGGCATCAAGTAATACAATTAATACAACTACTTCATCCTCAGTTTTGCTGTTTTTTTCACCATCCCAAAGTTCAGTTTTTTTATCAGATTCAGAAAATTACATAATTACACCAATTTACGAATGGCCAAATGATGAATCAACAGTATCATCAACAAATGATGCTTTAAATTTATTACACAAGATGAAGGTTAAAATTTCAGAATTGAATCCATCAAAGATTAGTGAAGCAGTTCGTAAAACAATTCGTGAAGAATTTATAATTCAAGATTTATTTTTAAAAGGCGAAAATTTGCAACCACCAGAAATTCCAAAATCAATACGTAAAAAATCAGATCGTGATGTTGAATGGACTCCATTGAGCGTATATAAAGCATATACAAATATTAAAAGTCCAACAAATTCAAAAGAAGCTTATAATAGATTAGTTCCTTATAGTTCATGTATTGGTACATTAAATTATCGACCAAAAGATCATGCTGCTTGGAAAAGATCTCCGAATAGACGAAGGTAAAGGTTAAACGTTAAACGTTAAAGGTTAAAGGTAAAGTAAAGTAAAGTTTTATTTATAAATTTATAATGTGTTTTAATTTATTTAATATAATTTAATTTAATTTGTTCAGTTGAGTTTTGTTGTTTCATCGTCTCTTTCGCTAACCAAAGTCCAATAAATGGAATTTGAACTATTTTGAATTACGACGAAACATGTGAAACAACTAAATAGAGTTAACCGCTTAACCAATTAACCAATCATTACTACTATTAATAAACTTTGTAATATATCACGTGAAATCCAGTGATAAGTTTACAGATCAAATATCTAACTTATTATGTAATCCATAGTTAAGATTTTAATGAGAGGCTAACTTTTACAACCAATTTATTTTATTTATCAATTGAATTTAATTCTTTGTTAAAAACTTTTCATTATTGAGTTTACTTTTCGGTTTTCATCAATAAACTTTTCGCTAGGCAATGAGTTCAACTAAAGAAGAAACTATTGCAAAAGTAGTTTCAAATGTTGATGATGGTGTTATATTTATAACTCAAGCTGCAAAATCAGTTGAATCTCCGTTCACTAAATTATTTCCAAATGGTCAAAGATTAATTAATTCAAATAATCCGTATGCAACTATAGAAAATTATTTATATCAAAGAAATTTGAAAAATGAAGAAGAATCAATCGATTCAGAAGTGATAACAGTTACTACAGATGGTAAAACTTTATTGGAAAATCTACCAACTTTATCATTATCTCCATTTAAGACCAACAAAGTGGTAAACCATGTTTTAATTGAAAATTCTGACTTTGCGGTAGTCACTAGTATCAAAGGTTTGAATTTTCCAATTTTAATTTCACAAAACATAGAAGATGTATATTCATTATCAAATTTAGCTTATAATATTGCAGAAAAATTAAATACAACAGTATTCCATTTTTTCACCAATTCAACTTATGGGTCAAAAAAATCGACAAAAGTCGATTTTTCAAATGGTGTCTATTTGAAAGACTTAGAAAGTTTATCATTAGACAAAATCTATAATAACTTTAATGTTAAACATTTTGAAGTGGTAAACAAAATTACAAAACAAAAGGACGCTATATTATATTTGGGGCAATTAAATGATGATTTAATAAATGCTGCAACTAAGGCTAATGTTTTGTTAATAAATACAAAAATTTATCAACCATTCCAATTAAATAAATTATTGAGTATCATACCGTCAACTATCGAGACCTTGACAATAGTGCAACAATCTACTACATCATTCAGTAATTTTTCACCATTATTACTAGATTTCTTTACTGATTACGTTAAATTTCAAACATTGAAAAACTTTACTACTATTGTTTCTGCAACATTTGGTCAAGAAATTACTAGTTATACTGAAGTTTTAAGCAAAATTGTCGAAAATGTAAATACAGCAAAACCAACTCCAAATTTGACATTTGGTAAAGTTGGTAAAGATATTGATACTAAATCATCTAAAGAATATGTTGAAGCTGCATCAAAAGCACATAATTTGGAACAAGCTTATCTTAAAGTTATACAACAAATCAATTTGCCAAATATAGTTAATGTTTTAAATGAATTTGATGCCGAAAATATTGGTTTACAAACCAATCCCGAATTTGGTTTTGGTTCATTTTTATACGATCAAGAACAACAAGAAAATTTAATCAATTTAGTTTCCATAGCAATTAAGAAAAATGATTTTAAAACTATTGATAATTCAAAATTAATTGATTTATTATCTAGATGGTTAATTCAAGTTAAAGAAAAGGGTCAAGTTGATCATAGTTTCCCATTAGAAATAAAAGAATTGTTAAAAACTGATGAAACTTCAACTACAAGTAAAGAATTATTAGCATTATCTGATTATTTCCATACTGCTAAAAATTGGTTAATTGGTTCAGATGCATGGTCATATGATTTAGGTTCATCTGGTGTTCATTCAGTTATAACTTCAAATAAAAATATAAATATGTTAATTATTGATTCAGAACCATATGAAGAAAAATCAAAAGATAAAACAATTAATGGATTCCGTAAAAAAGATGTTGGTTTATATGCTATGAATTATGGTGGTTGTTATGTTGCATCAGTTGCTATTTATTCATCATATACCCAAGTTTTACAAGCTTTTATTGAAGCTGAAAAATTCAATGGTCCATCGATTGTTTTAGCTCATTTACCAGATAAATCAGAAAATGATGATACTTTGAAAATTTTACAAGAAACTAAAAAAGCAGTTGATAGTGGATATTGGCCATTATATAGATATGATCCAAGTATTGAAAATGATGATGATATTTTCAAATTAGATTCGTCAAATTTAAGGAAACAATTACAAGATTTCTTGGATAAAGAAAATAAATTAACAATGTTGGCTTCTAAAAATCCATTATTATCAAGAAACTTAACTTCAAATGCAAATACAGAAAATAAGATTAAACAACAAAAAATTGCTGATGAATCTTATGCTAAATTATTACAAGGATTATCTGGTCCACCATTGACTATTGCATTTGCATCTGATGGTGGTAATGCTGAAGCTTTAGCTAAAAAGATTAATAGACAAGCTATTGGTAGAGGTTTAAAATCTGTTGTTCTACAAATGGATGATATTTCAGTTGAAGATTTACCAAATGAAACTAATATTGTATTTGTTACTTCAACTTCTGGTCAAGGTGAATTTCCAACAAATGGTAAACAATTCTGGGATGCAATTAAAAATTCAAATGATTTAGATTTATCAACAATTAAATTTTCAGTATTTGGTTTAGGTGATTCTCAATATTGGCCAAGAAAAGAAGATAAACATTATTATAATAAACCAGCTAAAGATATACATGCTAAATTAAAATTATATGGTGGTGTTGAATTAGCTGAAATTGGTCTAGGTGATGATCAAGATGCTGATGGATTTTCAACTGGATTTAATGAATGGATTCCAAAAATTTGGACAGCATTAGGTGTTGATAATGTTGAAGGTGTTGAAGAGCCAAAACCAATAACTAATGAAGATATGAAAATTGGATCAGATTATTTAAGAGGTACAATTGCAGAAGGTTTACAAGATCAATCTACTGGTGCAATTTGTGCTGTTGATCAACAATTGACTAAATTTCATGGTATTTATATGCAAGATGATCGTGATATAAGAGATGAAAGAAAAGCACAAGGATTAGAACCAGCTTATGCATTTATGGTTAGAGTTAGATTACCAGGTGGTATTGCAACACCTCAGCAATATTTAAAGATGGATGAATTGGCAGATGTAAGAGGTAATGGAACTTTAAAATTAACCACAAGAGCTACTTTCCAATTACATGGAGTTGTTAAACATAATTTAAAACCAGCAATTAGAGGTATGAATTCTGCATTAATGGATACTTTAGCAGCTTGTGGTGATGTCAATAGAAACGTTATGGTTAGTGCATTACCAGAAAATGCTAAAATTCATAAACAAGTTAGTGATCTTGGTGCATTAATTTCAGAGCATTTATTACCTAGAACAACTGCTTATCATGAAATTTGGTTAGAAGGTGAAGATGAAGGTGATAAACCAGGAGATTCAAAAGCATGGGAAAATAGAAAAGAAGGTCCAACTAAAAAGAAAACTTTAGTTGCAGGTAATGTTTTAGCTGATGTTGAACCAATGTATGGTGTTACTTATTTACCAAGAAAATTTAAAATTGTTATAACTGTTCCTCCTTATAATGATGTTGATGTTTATGCACATGATATTGGTTTAATTGCAATTGTACAAGATAATGAAGTTATTGGTTTTAATGTTTTAGCTGGTGGTGGTATGGGTTCTACTCATAATAATAAAAAAACATATCCAAGAACTGGTTCAATGTTCGGTTATATTCCAAAAGATCAAATTCATATTGCATGTGAAAAGATAATGTTAGTACAAAGAGATTTTGGTGATAGAACCAATAGAAAACATGCAAGATTGAAATATACTATTGATGATTTAGGTGTTGATGTTTTCAAAGCTAAAGTTGAAGAATTATTAGGATATCAGTTTGAAGAACCAAAACCATTTAAAATTGAAAGTAATATAGATTATTTTGGATGGACTAAAGATGAATTAGGCTTCAATCATTTCACTGCTTTCATTGAAAATGGTAGAATTGAAGATACTGTTGAATTACCACAAAAAACAGGTTTAAGAGAAATTGCTAAATATTTACTTGAAAATAAAAAATCTGGTGAATTTAGACTAACTGGTAATCAACATATTTTAGTTTCAAATGTTAAAGATGAAGATTTATTTGATATTAAAGATTTATTAAAGAAATATAAATTAGATAATACTGAATTTTCAGGTTTAAGAAAATCATCAGCTGCTTGTGTTGCTTTCCCAACTTGTGGTTTAGCAATGGCTGAATCAGAAAGATATTTACCAGTTTTAATTACAAAATTAGAAGATGTTTTAGAAGATATAGGATTAAGACATGATTCAATTGTTATGAGAATGACTGGTTGTCCAAATGGTTGTTCACGTCCATGGGTTGCAGAAGTTGCATTAGTTGGTAAAGCATATGGAGCATATAATTTGATGCTTGGTGGTGGTCATCATGGTCAAAGATTAAACAAGATTTATAGATATTCTATTAAAGAAGATGAAATAATAAGTATATTATCAGACTTATTTAAAAAATGGAGTGTTGAAAGAAATCTTAAAGAACCATTTGGTGATTGGTGTATTAGAGCAGGTGTTATTGCTGAAACTACAGAAGGAAGAAAATTTCATGATGATATTCCTGTTGATGCATAGAATTTGTACAATAATGAAACTTATTTATTTATTAGACTATTTATTCATTGAATTTCTCTTTAACTCTTGAATTTCTTTTAATAGCGACCTAATTTCTAGCTTCTTTTGCCTTTCAACCATAAATATTTCTTTAAACTTTATATCATATAATGTAACTGAAACCATATTTAATCTACGCCTTACGCTTTTTTCAACATCTTTAGCATGTTTTTCCATTAGTAGGTTATTTCTAATACTCAATTTCTGTTTTTCCAGTCTTAAATGGTTTAATAATCTACTCTTTTGTTCTTTTGTTATACCCATTCTTTCTTATATCATTGTTGTTATCTGCATATAAATTTGGTTGATATATTTTTTTTTTTTGTTGAAAATAAAACCAAACCTTTAGCCAGTGGCAACAATTTATAAATAACTAAGACAGTATGGGTTTAGAAGCTACTATGATAGCCATTGATAACTCAGAATATATGAGAAATGGTGATTATTTGACTTCAAGATATGATGCACAACTAACTGCTACAGAATTTATTTTTCAAAATAAAATTAATTCAAATCCTGAAAATACAGTTGGTTTATTAGCTTATGGTGGTCAAGGTCCTCAAGTTTTAAGTACTTTAACTACAGATTTTGGTAAAATATTATCAGGTGTTCATGAAACTAAAATACAAGGAGAAAATAATTTTTCATCAGGTATTCAAGTTGCTGCATTAGCTTTAAAACATAGACAAAATAAAATTCAACAACAAAGAATAATTATATTTGTTGGATCACCAATTAAAGAACTGGAAAAAGATTTAGAAAAATTGGCTAAAAAAATGAAGAAGAATAATATTGCAATTGATATAATAAATTTTGGTGAAGAATCAATAAATACTTCAAAATTGGAAAAGTTTAATTCTATTATAAATAATCATGATAATTCACATTTAGTTACAATTCCACCTGGTCCAAGATTATTATATGAAGTTATTGCTTCAAGTCCAATGTTGATGGAAGACGGAATGAGTGGAATGGGAGGTTCAGGTGATATGGATTTCTTTGGTGGCGGTTCTAATGATATAATTGATCCAAATATGGATCCAGATTTAGCATTAGCATTAAGATTATCATTAGAAGAAGAAAAAGCAAGACAAGAAAGAGAAGCTGCTGAAAGTGCAAAAAATGATGGTTCAAATTTGGAAAAAATAGATGAATCAAAAGAAAATGATAATGATAAAGACAAGGATAAAGATGATAAAGGTGATGTCAAAATGGAGGATGCTAAATAAGTCAATTAATAGAATTGATAATACATATAATGATCTGTAAATATTCATATCAAATTGCTGCAAAATATTTTTTCTTTATTTTTAATTATACATTACAAATGCCAAATAATGAAAGACCATATCCTACTAGTCAGAATAGTATAGCTAATGAGAAATTCAAGAGATCTGTACCACTAGTTCCACCTATTTTGACAAAAAAAGTAATAACCAAGGGACAAAATCAAAATGGTAAACAAGTAAGTTTATTAGGGTCTTCAAATGATGTTTTAATTAAATCAATAGAACTGACCAAATCCCATTTCTTAGATTCATATTCAAAGGGTCAGTGGAATTTGTCAACTATTTCTTGTCCTCCGTTTATTGATAAGTCTGGATTTTTCAAACCACCAGAATTTTATAATGAATTATCAAGACTAAACGATGTTGGAAAGTATATGAAACTGCCACATTGGTCAGAAAGTGCTTTATTTAAAAGAACTATTGCCAAATTGAAAAAGAAATTTTACTGTCTTGGGGTTAGTATTTCAATAATTGATAATTCCAAAGTTTATTATAAAGTTGAAACAATGTTGAACTTGAGTGTTTTACCCAGATTTATATCAATTGATTCACATTCTTTATTATCAAAAGATTATATGTTGGTATTAGACGCTTCTAGAGATTGGAGATTTTATTCAAATCCACTTGTTGCAAATTCACCTTTGATAAAGTTTTACTGTGGTGTGCCTTTGATTGCACCTGATTCAAATCAAATTATTGGAATTTTGTCTATATTTGATAATAGTTCAAAGGAATCATTTGCAATAGCTGACATTGAAATATTAAAAGTGGTTGCAAATGACATAATGATAACTTTAGATACGCCATTTGAGGAAGTAATGACAAAATTAAACAAGAATGAAAAGAAAAATATCAAACTGAGTGCAGATACTTATTATAACAATTTAAATAATTTGAAAAATCAAATTGGAAGACCGACTGGTGCTACAAAAACTTTAGTATTTGAAAAAGATGGTTCAGGTAGTCCATATAACCAAAATGAAAAACTCAAGTATTTAAATTATAAAAATTACAAAGCTGAGGAAAAAGATGAGAGTTCATCTGGAATAATTAGTGATAAGGAATTATGGCAGTTTTTAATCTCAGTTGGTTCATTAAAAAAAGCCGCCACCGTCTTTTCAAAACTAATAACTACAAATTACCCATTTGAATTTGTTTATATTCTTGAAATTAGAACTGCAGAATTATTTCAAATACCTAGAGAATATTGCCCAACTGAAGAAAGTATAGATTATGATAAATTTGAACTTACTAATAAAATGATAAAGGTCAATAATGTTAAAGATGAATTCATGACACGGGTTATAGGTTTACAAATAAACAATCAAGCTGTACCTAAGAATGACTTTTTCAAACATAATATTCATCTCAAATGTTGTAAATCAGAATTTGGAATTGAAGTAAGAAATATCAACAACTCTTCAGTTTATAATCATGGATTATTACTTCCATTTTATAAATTCACAAATAAATTAACTCATAAAACTCAAAGTAAAGGATTTAATAGTAAGGATAAAATGACTGATTTATATTTAAAAAGTGGTGGGTTTTTAATTGGACTATTTAATGAAAAATCAGATAGAGTATATGATCAAGATTTGATTTCAAATATTTATAATCACGCTTGTATTTATAGGAAAATATACATAAATACATAAATTAACTATATTCTCTCATTAATTCCATTTCTAAATCATCTTGTTCGTTCTTTTCAAGATTATCTTTAGGGGGTGGTACGTAAGGAATAAAATCATTCTCATCAAATGGGTCATCATCATCTTCGTTGTTATTGTTGGTTTCTGTATCATCATTTTCTTGTACAAATAATCCATTACTTGATTCTCTTGATTCATTCAGTTCTTGTTTTTCATTTTGCCAATTTGCTACGGATTCAGCAGTTATAGGCTCAGCGTTCATCCAACTCCAGTCATCATCATCAACTTGTGTTGTGTATTGAGTTGTAGCATTTGTTGTAGCTTCATAGGGATCTTCGTCAAATATATCATTATTTTCATTGACATTTGCATTTTCATCAATTATACCTTTTGAAACTTTAATTTTATATAATTCTTGTTCGATTAATTGATGTCTGTATTGTCTTAATTGTGGAGATTTTGAACCTAAAATTCTTATTAAATGTATACAATCTTTAAAAGCAGCTTGAGGGAATAATCCATGACACCATAATTGATAAAATTGTAAAATGGAAACTAAGTTATTATATTCATGATCGAGTTTATGTTGTTTTGTAAATTTGTTAGGATACCTCTGTTGTTCTTTCTTGAATGATTTATCATTCTTTTGAATTGTTCTTATTAATTTTGAATGATTTTTGATGATGTACGGTAGGCCATTCTGGCTGAAAATTCTATCATTATCTAATTTAGCAACTTTCTTTCTTGGTTTTAATTTGATTTGTTTATCTAATCCTAATATATCATCTTCTTTATTTATGGGATCATCTGAATTTTGAGCATTATTTGGTGTTATAATAATATTATCTCCATTAATAGACATAATAATAGTGCTGAAGAAATATTTTGATTTTGACGCGTTGTTTATTTTTAAATTCGTACCAATAGTCTTGCAGCCAAATCTATATTAGCGCGTAATCCATGAACTAAAGCATTCATATGAATAGTATATAATATAAATGATCAATAACAGCGTGTTTAACGAGTTCTGTGTTGCAAAATTGAAAGATTATCAATTTCGGTATGTATTTGGTAGCGTTGGATGGATTCTGAAACTTTTTATCAATGTATTATTTGGAGTATTTACCAAGATTAAGTCAAATAACTGGTGTCGTAGAGGTATCAGATAACCTTAAAAAGCTGAAATTTAGAAATTTCGGTGTTGATAAAGATGGCGAATTAATTGTTGAAACTGCTGGTGAACAATTGAAGATGATACTACCTGTTCAAGTATTATGTGACTTCAAAATGCTGAAGTTCGATTTAAAAGACAATTTGCTTTCATTCACGTTCCGTATACTAGATCAAAATGCAATCCAAGAAAAAGGTTCATTTATGAGTCAAACTGTGGAATTATGGTCATGTAAAGATTTAAGTATTAAAACATCCATATCAGAATATAAGAATTTATTCACGTTTAATTGCTCAAATTGTGAAGAAGAACTAATTAATTCCAAAGATTATGTTTTTAAAGATATGCCATCCGAGTTTTGGTACGAAATGATGGACTTTTGGCATTGTCATAAACCACATAATGATGAAAAACACGATAAGAATTATAAAATTTTGGTGCCCCAAGATGAGAAAACTATAATTATTGGTTCGTACTACCTATTACAACAATCTAAAGAGAATATAATACAAAAGGATTCTAATTTGGTATGCAGAAATTGTGAATTTGAATTGGGAGAAATGTTTCAAAATGTATATAAATTGTTTAAATGGAATTTAAAACTAATTTATGGTGAACATCTGGAAAGTTTCAATACAAACTTGTTCTTTTATAACTCCATAATTGATAAAATTAATTCTCTGGCTATAAGGAGGTTTGAAATCAATAATAAATACTTGTGGGTTGTAAATACAGGAGTGAATGTTTCAATTGATGGAAAAGTCTTAAACAAAGCTTTGAAAATTTTAATAACTGACGATGTTTCTGATAAACTGGTTTATGAAACAATAGAGATACCGGAACATCAAGAAGTTTTACAAAAGTTTACTGATACATTAATTAAAAATAATAATCTATTACCTAAATCTATAAGTAAAATGTCTATGGGTGGAGTTAATTATCTAGTGACTTATATAAACTAGTTATAATTTTCAAGAATGTCTTTAATTATCGGAACAACTTGTTTTCTTGATGCTTTAATGTTAGCTTGATTATATAATTTAAATATACCTTTACTTTCACTTTGTAAATATTCTATTGTTGGCTCTATTTTCTTTGAACCATATATATCGTCATTCAATTCTAATGGAGCTTTAGATAATTTATCTAAATTGTTGAATTTAACATTATCTTTATTTTCATAATAATAACAAAATTCTCTAGTGTATACTCCATTTTCCTTTTGAGTATATGATGACGTGATAATTAACATTTCAATATTATTGATTTTCAAAGCATTTGATAATGTATTTGCTATATCTTCATTTTCATAATTTGTCATTATCCATTTTATAGATTTACCAATTGATGAAAATCCAACATTTTCACCAGTACTAAATTTAAATTGTTTATAATCTTTTCTTAATATATCATTCAATGAAAATCCAGATAAATCCTTCTTTGCAAATTTTAAACTTGAATAAAATGGAGTATAATTATCTATAGTAACTGTACTTAATTCTTGTGTTGATAAAATTTTCTTATAAATATTTAACGCTTCAATATCTGGTTCTTCTACTTTTTGAGTCATATTTGAAGTATCGATTAATAATGGACCTAACAATAACTCAATAACATCTTTATTTTCAACAAATAATTTATCATCCTTATTAAAAATTTCATTATAAAAATAATTGAAAACTAAACTTGAATTTGAACCACAAGATCTAATTATTCTTGGATGACTAGATAAGAATTGATTCTCATCTGCATGATGATCTATTATACCTACAACTTTTATTTTCTTCTCATCAAATGCATTATTAATTTCAGTGCCTTGCAAACCATTATGATCTACTAAATTAACATTAATTACATCTGAAGAACTCAACCATTTTTCAAAATCTTCAACAAAATATAATAAATCTTCACTTACTTCATGATTACCCAATAACAATACTACATCTTTTCTTAATTTGAAATCAGCTCTTGGTACATTAATCAATGGAATTATAAATTCTTGAGATTTTAAATTATTAAAATAAGCAAATGAAATAGCACTAATAATTGAATCCATATCTGCTGATTGATTACCCGTTACAATCGTATATGGCACTTTTAATGCCCTGGAGTCAATTTTGTGTTTCAAATTGACTAAATATGATCTGACCGACATCTTGATTCGTATAGTTTCGTCCACGATTTTTTTTTTAGCCGTCCGATTGGACCCCTAATTTCTTTATACAAGAGATTTTTTATTTATTAATTGTTTGAACCTATTTAGCATAGTGTAATTTTATATCTAACCATTGTCTGGCTTGAACTTCAGCTGGAGTTAATGCAACATCACCATATGTTATTGGTCTAAAATAGAAAAAGAACCAAATTATACCAGTTGATGCAAAAGCTACTAATAATGTTAATTTTAATTTACTAGCTTGTGGAGATGAAAATCTTGAATTTTTAAATAATGAAGAATTATTTGTACAAATAAATTCAACTAACCCACCTGAAAACAAAGCAGCAATTAAATGAGCTGGTAAATAATGATGTAAAAATTTTTGACGATTCATTAAATAAAATGGGAAATAATGAGCACACCAACCTATAAATAAAAATCCTAAAGTATTATATAATCTTGATCTTGATTTCTTAGTTAACAATTCATAATTTCTTCTTCTAGTAATTTGATCAGCTAATAATAAACCAACATAAATTGATAAAAAGCAAACTTCTAACCAAAATCCAATAACATTACCAACGAAAAAGATTTGTTTTTTATTATCATTATCATTATAAAATGATACTCCTGACAATGCTAATGGCCATGAATCTGGTTGACTTGCAAATGGATGATCTGCAGATAATTGATTATTATGATGAAACATTAAACCTTGTAATTCCCACCATTTTTTTAAAAATGGTAATTTTTTAACTATTTTTGGTTGATATTGAGTTCTTGGATCTGATGGTTTTAAATTGGTAATTGAATCAATTGTCCATAAATTATCTTTATCTTGAACTTTTTTATTACCACTAACTTCTAATTGATTGAAAGCCCAATCTGGTAATAACTCATCATCATGAGTCCACATTGCAACAACTGTATCAATATGAAGAATTTTAAGGTCAGTACCAAGTGTCTTTATTGGTTTTCTTTGATTTTGTTTCTTTAGTGATGAACCTGGTACATTTAATCTTAATCTAAATAATGTTTCATTATATCTTTTTTCAGCTTTTTCATCAAATACAACAGTAAATTCTTCATTTGTAGGTTTTAAAGGTGATGCGACATCATGAGTTAATAAATAACCACCAGTTCCAACATGTCTTAATCTAACAACATCATTTGTATAAACATCCTTAGCCTTATCAATATTTTGAGTTGGAATAATTTCCCATTGATTATTTGGATCTTGTTTAGCATCATCAGTTTTAACACAAGTAACTTGTTGTTGATTTGATGAAATTCTTCCATCTTCATATCTTAAAGGATATTTATGATCATGAGAATGTAAAAATGCACCAGTATCTTTATGTTTAAATGTTATATAATCATAATATTGAACTTGTTTTGCATTTTGAGCTAATGGAGATTCACTTAAAGTTTCTTGAAAATCACTTGACATGAAAGCATCACCAGGACCTGATTTTGTTAATATACTAAAATGTAAATAAAACCAATATAAATAAATTGTAGCTGGTACTATAATTAAAGCCCAAAATCTTGCAAAAAAATGTTTTGAAAATTCAGTCAATGTTAAACCTCTTCTATAATCTAATAAAATCCATAATTCATGAATGACAGCAATACCAATAGTTAAAAAGGTGAAAACACCAACATATTTAGTTGAAATAACACAAGATAATGAAACACCAGTAGCTAATAACCATGCCCACCATTTTTGAGTAAATGGATATCTTCTATAAGTTGAAAATTTGGCATAACTGTAGATTGTTAATGCAACACTTAAAATTAAAGTTGCATCTAATAATATTAATCTTGAATCAGTCACTTGAGCATTATCAAAACAAACAATAATACTTGAAAACAAACAAGCAGCAACTGAAAATCCCAAAGTTTTCATAGTTAAAAACATAACTGGAACAACTAAAACTCCTTGTAAGGCAATCCAACTTCTATAAGCAATATATGGAACATTATTATCGACATATGATTCTCCAATACTTTCAAATTTAAATTTACCATTATAACCAACTAACCAACCAACAAATGCAATTAACAATTTTGCAAATGGGGGATGTAAATCAAAAAAATATGTACCTTCTAAATAATAAGACGCAAATTTTCCGAAATGAACTTCATCAAAAACCACTTTATCAGGAGTACCCAATTTTGTGAACCTTGTGTAAATTGCTAAAATTGTGATTGTAATTAATGCAATGTAATATTTATATTCAGATTCTTTTACTTCAATTGAATGAAAATCAAATTGATCTTTTTTATCATCAATTTCAGGAATTGACGTTGCATTAGCGGAAGTTTTTTTACCGCCTCGTTTCCTTAATGCCGACATTGGATTAATAAACTATACCTGAACCTTACACTCAATGATTATAATAGCTAATTAAATAGATAATTAATTGACGTGTTGAAAAATTATTTTGTTACTCCAGAAAAAAAAAAAAAAAAAATAAACACCAGGTCGATCTACACGTGACTCAGAAATTTTGCAGCCATTAAAATCATTACATTAATATTCTATAAAGAATACTTACATCATTTTCTTCGATCTTTTTTGAATTCCACCTCTGCCTCTCATAATTGGAACATTTGAGCTTGTACTGTTGTTACCACTATTCGATGCTGAATTATTACGAGTATACTTAGGTTGATAAAATTGAATTGGTGCTGGTGAAGGCATAATATGAGGATTATACAGATTACCATTTGGTGGAGAATATGATTCTGAAATATGATCATATGAGTCTGATCTAGATGACATTCTTGAATTAGTTGAAGATGTATTATTAGTTCCAATTGGTATTGGTTTTGATGATGATAATCGTAAAATTCTAGAGTTTTTCTCTTCCAACAATGTTTCATATTTTAATATTATTGTGGATAATTCTTGTATTTTCTTTTCATATTTGGATGTGAATTGAGTGATGTTTTCGTCAATATTGTATTTGGATTGTTTAATTTCCTGTTCGTATTTTTTGATCAACTCATCTTGTTGTTTCTTCTCATTAGCTAATTGTGCTAAAGCTTCATTATATCTTTCAGTTATTAAATGTACTTGACTTCTCAACTCATAGATAGTTTTATCATCAGCTGGTTCTTTTATTACTTTAACCTCTGGTTTCTTAGGTTCTTCTTTAACTGTAGTCAAATCATTTATTTTCAATTTCAACTTTTCAATTTCATAATCTTTAAGCGAAACCTCTTCCATTAATCGTTGGATGTTCTTTGTATCTATCATTTTATTATCATTCAACTTATCTATTTCCTTTTTTACCTCTTCTTTTTCCTGTTCTAGTTGTTGAAGCTTATTAAGTAATAGATTCTTTTCTTTTTTGAATTCATTCAATTTTGTATCTAATTCCCTTCGTGTCAAATCTACTATTTTCTGCATTTCTTCAAATTCATCACTCTCCTTTATGCTTGATGTCATATTCTTTTCCCTCTTGTTTTTGAAAAAGTAATATTGATACAAATATTTCATATAATTAGAAAACTCCAATTCATTTTTAAACAATAGCAACTCACGTTGATAAAAAACAACCACATTACCTTTTGAATCATTTACATCTTTAAAAACACTTGAAGTTTCAATATTAGTTGTTGGAGATGACATTGGTCTAGATAATCTTAATTCATGTTTCAACTTTTCATTAATTAATGATGATTTTGAATCGTGTGAAGATGTAGTATCGTGATAATTTTTATTAGTAGCTCCAAATAACTTCTCATGTGTTGATAATAAATCACTTATTGGATCCATTTTTGGTTCATGATGAAATAGTTCAGGTGATGAAGGTATACTATCAAGCAGATTTACATTTTTAACTTCATTTTCAGATATAATACCTTCATTAAATTTAACATCTTTGAATTTTATTTCTGAACTAACGGGAGTTATAAAATTCTTTTCTGAGGTAGTTGGTATTGGAGCACTTTCAATTACTATATTTGTTGGTATGATTGACATTTTCCTATTTTGAATGTTATGTAATTTAGCTTGTAATCCATCTGTAACATTTATATACATTGGACCAGCCATTGAGGAATTTCTTGATAATTTTTGTGATTCAACATCTGAACCAGGTTCAATAATAAATTCTTTTTTATTTGTACTAGTTAAAATATCCGAATTTAAACTTAAACATGCAGCTGCAATATCTTCTGGAGAATTACCATCTATCCAAGAAGTAGGATCATCTAATTCATTTGGATTATTTGAATTAAAAACTTTGGGATGTATCAAAAATGTTGAGACTAAATTCTTTGTTTTGTCTATAATTCTGGATCCTAAATGTAATTTCTTCTCCAATACTTCGACAAATGTCATTGGTATTAATTTTGGTGGGTGATTTCTAAAATATTTAAAAGGATCTTTTATAAATTCTAAGACATTGTAGTAATATAATCCATATAAATATGTCATTAGATGTTGATAATCAAATAATAATGATGTTGAAGCTGAATCTTTTTCTGAAGCTGCCATTTTCCAATTAGTTTTAGCATATTCATCAAAAAATTCAATTCTATTATTGTTCTTGTTGAAATCATTCCAACATATTAAACTACTATATATTGCAAATAGATCAGGTACATATAAACTTAAATCATTAGTCACTTGAGGTATCAACATATTAATAATGGTTAATGAAGAATATACAATAGCATCATCAAATTCATATACAACACATTTTAAAAGGCTTGAAAACAAGTCAGTCTTGATTAATAAACTTGCTTTACGACTACCTACCAATGAAGATACAAGTATCAATGTCTCATGTCGTTGTTTCGGTATTAAAATATGTTCATTTAATAATTGATAATAGTTTAAAGTATCTTGTATTCCACAAGCATCAAGAAGTTTAATACAATTTGATTTAATAAATCGTATTCTTTCATGATAAACTTGACTATCTTTATTCTCAGCATCAATTTTCAATTTCTCATGTTTTAATGAATCTTGTAAATAGATATTTATAATTTGATCGATGATTGATTTTGCAATATTAGATCTAAAGCTATTCACTTTCTCATCATTTGATTTTGTATAACCACCCGTCAAATATTCAATAAATTGTCTTGATTTTTCTACAAATTTTAAATCAAACCCTGCACTATCGACAGCAGGTTTTAGATAAGTTTGTAACCATAAATTAATTTCTTCTTGATTGAAAACTAATGAAACTTGTTTTAATATATCTAAAAACTTATATTCTTGTTCAATATTCTCTGATGGTTTAATATAATTATTGTAAATTTTATACAATTCATCATTTAAATTTGTTGCTTGTTGTATAATTGATAATTCATTATGTTTGTTTAAATATTGTTGTATTATAGAATCTATATCTTCGTGAGTATTATCACTATTCCCCCATTCTGCAAATAATGTATCCAATGCTTTAATCAAGGATCTAGATGACCCCAGCATCCGTTGTAAAAAAGTATTGTGGTACATTTAAAAAGTATTTTTTTTTAGTTAATACGATGAAATGGCGCGCTACCATATGTGTTTCCTTTTTTTCAATTAAAATTCAATAACTTCTTGAATATGCTATTTTACAGCCTCTTTCATTGCACACTAGCTCAATGTTTTGTTTATTCAATTCATCCATATATCTAAAAGCGCGATTTGATTTGCATATATCGCGCAAAAAATAGATCTTCAAAAACAATTGTGCTACCATATGCTTGTACTTATTCATCATCAATTTTGATCCCAGAAAAAGTAGATATCATTGTACTTTTATATATTCCTTTAAAATCTTATCATGTGTTAGAGCTTTTACGTCATTTTTCCCGGACAAATTAAAAGAAAGAACAAATGTAATTCAGGGTCTGTATATTTACCTCGTTGGAAATGGTATTACTCTATGACATCTAGATACTATTTCCAAATAATTTGGTTCATTTTCTGGAGTAATATAACCATGTCTAATTAAAAAATCTATAATCACCAAACCACAATTTGGTTTAAATTTATGTTGTTTTAACAATTGTAATATTTCATCAATTTCAAGTAATTGAAAATCTTCAGCTTCACCATCTTGAGGTTGTATTATATTAGTTTCATCGTCAAATTTTATATCGTAAATATATTCAACTTCTGGTTGAAATCTATTATCTTCAGTTTTATAAAAATACGATACAACACCACAACTTTTAGAGTTGTTCAATACAAAGTCTTCTTTTAAACCAGCTTCTTCAAAACATTCTTTAATAACTGTTTCATGCAATCCATGAGGATAACCTAAACCACCAGCAACAGTATTATCTAACATTCCAGGATACGTTGGTTTTGTCATTGATCTTTTCGGTATCCACATTTTTAATTTATTATTTGATGTAGTTTCGGGTGGCACATATCCATTTATATGAACTCCATAAGTTATAACACCAAGTAACACCGATAAAGCTCTTTCAATTAAAACGTAAGGCTCTGTTGAAGGGTTATAAACAACATATAACTCATTTCTCCAACCTTTCTTAAGCAACTCATCAAATTCTGGTAATTCTTTCCATTTTAACCCTAGTTGATTAAATAACTCATTTCTCTTTTCAATTGTATCAAATTCTGGTTTAATTTGTATTGAATTTTCATTAATAATAAATGATGATTCAAATTTAAAAAATTGAGCAATATCAGGATTAATATAACCTAATCTAGCAATACCATCATGACTTTTCAAATCATAAAAAGATGAGTCTAATACAAAAGAATCAACTTTATTGATGATTTCTAAAAATGTCATATAAAAATCTTTTCGTATAAATATTTGGTAGGATCAACAAATCTTCGCACGATAACAAAAACTTATCAAAGTAATTACCAATGACTGATAATGATAATACAATATTGGAAACATGTATTGGTGTTATTAATTCAAAGTTACCATTTTCATTAATTAATATTAACAATCTGAATGATATATCAATTGACTTTATTAAACATCGAATTGAATCATATGAATTATTTTTAGTGGAAATTCAATCATTATTATTAGACCACTCCATTCTAGATCATCAATTATTATGGTTACAAAGTTTAATTACATTGAATAAATTATTATCAGTTATAAAACTATGTTCAAAAGATTTTTTATTAGTTGTCAATCATGGTCCTGCTATTAATGATAAATTATCACAATTTAAAAAACGTGTAGTTGGTTTAAGTATTGAATTTTTAAAACAAGATCAAAAATTACTAAAGAAATTTATTAAAGAATATCAAGAATTATTTCAGGAATTATTAAATGTTTTAAAAGCTGAAGAATTGTCAACTACAGAAGATTTTGATGCTAATATATTAAATGTTATTAAAATAATTTTAGAATCAAATTATAATGAATATTTTATAACAATTATTAACTTTAACAAAACTATCTACTATTTAAATCAATCATCATTTTTAATTTTATTACCACCAAGTTACTTATTTGCATTCATTACCAACGGCAAAATAAGACTAAGTGAATTCATTGACTTTTATAGATTTACAAGCTTCAATTTACTTTCTGTTGGTCAATTTCAAGAAGCCAAAGCATATTTCAAGATATTACTCGATAATCCAACTATAAAATTATCATTTTATAATGAAGAAAATTTATTAATTGATAATAAAAGAGAAGATAAGTTGATTAATTTAGTTCAAAGACAAGAAATTTCATTAATGTATATCCTTAATTACTTATTATCATCAACTTCATATCAAAATATTATAAATTCATCCAACTTATACCAAAAAGAATTACAATTTTTAAATAAATCATTATCAAATTTATTAACTAAAGAAATTCATCAAGCTGCTTCACAACCAGGTAGTCGTCATTCAAGTGTACTTTCATTTCAGTCATTAACTACAAATAATTTAAAATATAAAACTCATGATTATTTAAGTTCAATTATTTATGATGGAAGTTACAAAACTAAATTACATAATATTGTTGAAATTACTGACGTATTGATAAATTTTAATTTACCAATTTTTTTTGATAAATGTTTTACAATTCAAAGTTCAACCAGTTATTCAAATTGTTTAAAACAAATTGCCAAATCAATTAATCAATTATCTTTACAGAATTTAAAATTTAATCAAAATTTACAAATTAAATCAATAAATGATTTAGTAGATTCACAAATTAACATCTTCAAATTATCTAAATTATTAAATGAATAAAATTATATATTCTCATCTATATTCATAAATCTTAATATAATCATAAATTGATCTTCTTCATAAGGAAATAAATTTCTAAATTTAATTATGTGTTTCCAGCGTTTTGAATTCATTCCTTTCAATTCTCTAAATAACTTATCCCATAAATGGAATCCACCAATTTTTGATTGAATTTCCTTTTTAGTTAAATTTAATTCAAATTTTTCAATAAATAATGAAAATTTATTTCTTCTTTGTTGATCAAGTGCCCAAATTAAAATATGTCCAAAATATGATAAAACTGAATAATCTAAATTATTTTGATGAATTAATTTATTTGATTTTGTCAATTGAGTTCTAGTAGTTTCTAAATTTAACTCATCATATTGACTAAATAATTCAAGAATATTTGGATACAATTGAATTGTTTTCTTATAACCGATTGATTCATGTAAAGCGATATTAATACATAAAGTAATAAAAATTTTCTTCAATTCAAATTTATTAAAAATTTCATCAGTATATTTAGTTGTGAATTTAATACTTGATGAAGCATATTTTGAAGCTGATGACGAATTCATCAATGTTTTAATTTTAACATCTGATAAATCTCCATGTAAAATTTGTTGATGAGATAATCCAATAATGGTTTTAATTGGTTTAAGTTCTGGCAATATTGAATTTGTTGTATTTTTAGTTGATGATTTAACAGATCTTAATTTAATATTAAATGGATTTTCATCAATTTGATGATGCTTTAGTTGTTGAAAGATTGGCTTTACCTCTTCCTCTACCCCTTCCACCTCTCCCTCTTCCTCTAAAGCCTCCTCTTCCTCTTGAACTTCCTTTACTTGCTAAATTAAAGTCAGTATTGGATATTAATAGGTGGAACATACCAGTAGATTCTTTAGCATCATCTATCCTATCATTATTTTCATTAATTTTGTTATCTTCACATACCTTGTTATCTTCAATCGAAACTTCTTGCTTTTTTGCTTTTGGTTTTCTGGTTCTAGGTTTTTTTGATTTATCTTGTTTATCTTGTTTATTGGAATCTACTGCATTAGCCAAATCTTGTGTAGTAACTTGACGTTCCTCATTAGCTGTTTCTTTAGCCTCATTAGGATTTTCTGAATCTTTTGCAGCTTTAGGTTTTCTTGTACTACTCTTTTTCTTCTTTTCAGCAGGTTTGCTTTCTTCGGATTGAGCAGACAAATTATCAACAGCTTCAGCTTGTGGTTCTGATTTTTCTTCATTTGTCGATTCTGGTTTCTTTTCAGTTTTCTTCTTTCTATTTCTTGGTCTTTTACTTTTTGATTTTGTTTCAGTTGTTTCAGGGGCCCTCGTAATTTCAGAATTTTGCTCTGTTGTAGTCTCAGCTTCTTTTTCATCTTTAAAAATAATAGCTTTTTCATCAGATTTTACGTCTTCCACCTTCTTCTTTCTATTTCTTGGTCTTCTATTTGTTGGTTTTACAATTTCTTGTTTCTTTTCGGTTGTAGCATCATCTTTTAGTTCTTCAGTATCATCATTCTTAGATCTATTTCTTGGTTTTCTCTTCTTTGAACTTTCTGGTTTATCATTAACATTAGATTTACCTTCTAATGGTTTTATTTCAGTTGTTGCAAGTAATTCATTTTCTTCACCACCTTGCTCTTGATCTGGTTTCTTTTCATCTTTTCTCTTATTTCTATTTCTAGGTTTTCTTGGCTTTGGTTTATCTTGTATATTTTTTGACCCTGTGTCAACTTCTTTATCTTCCTTTAAATTCTTATTCTTTGGTTTCTTTTTTTCAACTTTAACACTTGATTCTTTCCCTTCGCCTTCTCCTTCTCCTTCATCATCAGTAGAAAAATCTAAACCTTCCATATCTTTGGTTATATCTGCCACTGTAAAACCTTTCGCTTCTATTTTTTTCGGTTTCAATTTACCAATTTCCTTATCTTTTTCTGCTGAAATAACAATTTCATCAACTGATTCAACCATAACATATTCTTGTTCTTTAATTAATGAATTTGCATCTTTTTCAGTACTAGTTAATAAATAATCTAAATCATTTTCAAATTCTTTATCAGCAGAATTGATTGACTTTGAATTAACTGGATCTTCTTGATTTTCTTGATTCAGTTTTCTATTTTTAGATTGTCTTCTTCTTTCTTTACGTTTTTCAAATGAAGATGAACTTGGATTGGACATTGTTTAATAAAATTAGACGTCTACAAGTTTTTCCTTAAATCAAAAAAAAAAAAAAAAAAATAAAAAAATTATAAGAAATTCCCGTAAATAAATAAACAATAAACAATAAACAATAAACAAACCATTTTACAAGAGTAAATCACAACAGTTTTTCTACTTTTAAAATGAATATATATAGATTGGCTTTTTAAAGATGCTATAAAAAATTTATATCAATAATTTCTTACTTAAAAATTTTTAACAAAGTCTTCTGTAGCTGATTTTAATTTAGCTAAATCATCTTTTGATAATTCACCTTTAGTTTTAATAGCATCTAAAATTTCAGAATGATCTGATTTTAAAAATGATAAGAAACCTTCTTCAAATTCACCAACTCTTTTAACATCAACTGAATCTAAGAAACCATTAACACCAGCATAAATTAATGGAACTTGTTCTTCAGCACCTAATGGATGATATTGTTTTTGTTTTAAAATTTGAGTTAATCTTTCACCTCTATTTAAAGTTTGTTTAGTTGAAGCATCTAAATCTGAACCAAATTGAGCAAAAGCAGCAACTTCTCTATATTGAGCCAAGAATAATTTTAATGAACCAGCAACTTGTTTCATAGCTTTAACTTGAGCAGCTGAACCAACTCTTGAAACTGACAAACCAACATTAATAGCTGGTCTGATACCTTTATAAAATAATTCAGCTTCCAAGAAAATTTGACCATCAGTAATTGAAATAACATTGGTTGGAATATAAGCTGAAACATCACCACCTTGAGTTTCAATAACTGGTAAAGCAGTTAATGAACCACCACCATTTTTATCAGACATTTTAGCAGCTCTTTCTAATAATCTTGAATGTAAATAGAAAACATCACCTGGATAAGCTTCTCTACCTGGAGGTCTTCTTAATAATAATGATAATTGACGATAAGCAACAGCTTGTTTTGATAAATCATCAAAAACAATTAAAGCATGTCTACCATTATCTCTGAACCATTCACCAATAGCAGTAGCAGTGAAAGGAGCAATATATTGTAATGGAGCAGCTTCAGAAGCAGTAGCTGCAACAATGACGGAATATTTCAAAGCATCATTTTGTTCCAATGTTTGAACTAATTGAGCAACAGTTGATCTTTTTTGACCAACAGCAACGTAAATACAGTATAATTTTTTCTTTTCATCATTACCATTATTCCATCTTTTTTGATTTAAAATTGCATCTAAAGCAACTGCAGTTTTACCAGTTTGTCTATCACCAATAATTAATTCTCTTTGACCTCTACCAATTGGGACCAAAGCATCAACTGATTTTAAACCAGTTTGCATTGGTTCTGAAACTGATTGTCTTGGTAAAATACCTGGTGCTTTAACTTGAGCTCTTGATGTGCCTGAGGCATTAATTGGACCTTTACCATCAATTGGATTACCTAAACCATCAACAACTCTACCTAATAATTCTGGACCAACAGGAACTGAAACAATTTGACCAGTTCTTTTGACGGTTTCACCTTCTTTAACATCTCTATCTGAACCAAATAAAACAACCCCAACTTGATCTGCTTCCAAGTTTAAAGCCATACCTTTAGTACCTGATGCGAATTCAACTAATTCTTCAGCTTGAATATTGTTAAGACCATAAATACGAGCAATACCATCACTAAAAAAAAATTCAAAGTTAGTATAAACTGGGGTCCATGATTGAAAAATTAATTGTGTGCGAAATGGAACAAATTTTTGGCCAATAAAATTTGGCAAAAATTTTCAACAACCACAACAGTTAGATCAAATCAAATCAAACGTTGATTTAAATGGAATTGATTTACATACCCAACTGATAAAACTTTACCTGTTTCATTTAAATTAGCTTCATCTGAAACACCTTTAATTCTATCTTCTAAAATTGATGAAACTTCAGTTGGAGCAGCTTTTGTTGAAGCAAATCTGTAAGCTTGTCTGATAGTTGGTTGTGCCTAGATACATGTTAGTAATTGATACTCTTAAGTATATTTCAATTCTTCAATTAGTTCTCGATGCATGGAATCAATTCTGAAATCAATTCGGAAATCGTTGAAAATTTTCACCCTCTCCAAAAAAAAAAATGTCAATTGAAATTGTAATAGAGTAACTAACTCCAATCATGTAAACTCGTAAACACATAGTATCAATTGATGCAACTGTAAGCTAAACTAATTGGAATATTAACTTGATATATTCTTCAACATACGATTCTTGAATTTCTTGCTAATGTAGAAGCAGCTCTAACGGCAGTTGATCTAAATCTAGCTGACAACATTATTAATTTAGATTTCTTTTATTTCCTATAAAAATTGAAAGAAAGATTCTGTTGTTTGTTGAAAGTAAAATTGAAAATGAAAAACAACTAAGAAACCAATTAAATAAATAAAAAAAAAAAAACTATTAAAATGGAAATGAGAGAAAACGCTGAGTTGAAAAATTTGGCTGTTCTCAATTTTAATTGGTAATAAAATTTTATACTAACAACCGAAATTTTATACTAAGGGAATTATGTAATATATTACGTTAGAATTGGCTATATTGAAATATGATTGGCTGTTGGTTTTTAATAGAGCTACCATGTGTGCTACCACTGCTACCACTGCTACATTTAAATTTGTAGTATAAAATTGTAGATTTCACATCAATTGAATAAGCTAGTAACTATTTATTCAGCTATATATATAATATCAGTTGTATCTAATAGTTTATTCAGTTATATAATATCAGTTGTATCTGGTTGTTTTGTTTAATTCTCAATCACCAATATTTTCAATTTTTCACCATGCGCAAAATATTATGTAATAAATTGAAAAATTATTATGATTGAAAAATTTTTATAAACGAATCAAGAATATTATTACATTTAATTATGTTTAATGTTGGTAAAAAATGTATAATTAATAGATCTTCAAGTAGATTAATAAGATATAATTCAAGTAAAAATAACAAAAGTGATGATAAATTGGGTGGTTTTGATTTAAACAATTTATTTAAACGTTTAGATATTGCAAGTGAATTGGAAAATGCACCAAAACAACAATCTAAAAGTTCTTCAGCAGAGACAAGAACAAATGATTTTTCTCGAAAACGTGATAATCAACCAAGGTCCAGAGATAATAGAAAAAGGCTTACAGATGAACAATATAAGGAATTTAAAGAATTGACTAAGCATAGTTTTATTCCACAAGCAGAATTTATTCCACTAATGGAGCAATTTGCAGCAGGAGGAAAAGAAGCTATTAAAGAATTACTACCAAAACAAAGTGATCAGATAAGATCCTCCAGAGTGACTAGAAAAGAAAGGCTTACAGATGAACAACTCAAGGAATTTAAAGAATTGACTAGTCATAAATTTATACCAAAACCAGAATACATTAAATTAATGGAGTTATTTGCAAAAGGTGGAAAAGAAGCTATTGAAGAATTTTTACTACCAAAAGAAAATGATGCTGTTTTTGAATCAACTAAAATGCATGAAACAAAGCCATTCAATTTGAATAATTTCAAAGATTTAGAATCAAGAAAGAAGGATTCTTTTAGGTATAATAGATCAGAAAATAATGAAAATAAATCACAAACTGCCTTCAAAAGAACTACTACATCATCAAGGAAACCATTTGTAAAGAAAAGAGATGATGCTAAACCACCAATATCACCCCCTATTGAATCGAAATCCTTGAGCTCTGCTCCATTCACTCCCAAAATTATACCTGAAGATTTTTTCCATAATAAAATACCAACTGTCCAATCAACTATAAGTCAAAGATTTTCATCAATTTCAAAACTAGCTCTATTAGAGAGTAACTTTCCATTTAGATTACCCAAAGAGGTAATTGAGAAAGCTCCAAAATCAACAAGATCAAAATTTATATTATCTAAATCAAGTTGGAATTTAACTCCAAATGCAACTAAATTAAGTGATAGATTAAAAACAATGTATTATGGTCAAATACCTCAATTAAATACTGATGGTGTTTCAACTGGTGAATTGAGTACCGTTACTTCATCATATTTAAATAATAATGGTAATTTACAATTGCAACAAAAACAATCAATGTTTGATATTATAAATGGTAAAGTTAATTTAAAAACAATATTTAAAGATGCACATTGGAAGAAAATTCAACCGAAAAAAGCTAAAGTTGTAGAAACTAAGGCAGCTCCAACTCAAGGTAAAAAGAAAGGTAAAAAATGATTTTTATAGACTGTAAATATATATTCATAATGTAAATAACATGTAAATTTGTATTACTTGATCTAAGCCTAAATTTGCATTGAAACTTATTATAAATTTAAGTGTTAGTATTGTAACTGCAATATCAAGTGGAAATTTTATGCTACTGCTTCGATGCTAACCACACGCTCAAATATGAATTACCCCCTAAGCTCAACCAGTGTAAATAATAAATAAAATCCACAAAAATAGTAGAATAGCCACCATAACATGTCAGAAAATTTATTTTTAAGTCTATTATTATATAGACCTTGTAGTAGACTGATTGAATGCCCGTAAGTTATGTCTAAAACATGACATGAGTTTGGTTCAAATACCCCTTAAAGCAAGAAGATGGCGCTACCAATTGATGACATGAAATTTTGTAAAATATAATGTTAATCAAATAGTAATTGCAGAAACTAATAGATGGTTCATTGCATATGCAAATTGCCTACATTTTTCAGCAGTTGATAGTTTTTCGAGAATTTTAATCACCTACGCAAGTTCTGCTCTCTGATCGCTCAGAAAGGCAGAAAAATTCAAGTTTTGTTAGGAAAAGTAAAAGGAGGAATTCCTCACTATCAAATTCGAATTGCTACAGAAACTTCTCCTTCGAATAATACCAAAGTTAATATAGTTTGGTTAAGAGCTGAGTATGTAATGCCTTATTGGAATTTGCCAAAAAAATAATGGCTTTTTCATTTTTTGTTGCTGCGCGTTCTTGGTATATTTTTGTTTGTGTCAGATCTCAGATCTGTAGATTTGCAATCGATCTAAGATCTAGATCGCGCTTTTACTACTTTATTTTGCGCTTATTTGACGTGTTTTGAATCTTGTTACTTTAGAAGTCTTACAATACAGATACAGCTGAATTTCAAAGTGAATCAAACCTGAGGTATCGTCTTAGTACATGCGGTTAGAGTTAAGTATATATTTTGAGGCTTCTAATCTCATTAAAGTGATGCTTATCACGAGAGGATATGTTGTTTATGACATATATAACCAAATATGTTCAGTATGAGGTAGCCCCAAAACTAGGGCGATGAATTATTTTGTCGCATCGAATCGTTCACGCACTTATTAATGCAATAAAAGCAAATATATATACAACACGCTTTCTGTGACAATAAGTACATATATTTAAAACTATATCTTGGATTTAATCGGCTATAATAGTATGGAAGAACACTTATACGCAAGTTCACCACATGTATTTCATTAAATTCAAATCATTCGATTCAATTATTTGATAAATGATACAAAACCTAAAAATATACAGACATACATTCTGAATGATACACATATATACATCCTGAAAATATGTAGATATAGAATATTACTACTGATGCCTCTCAAAGTAACAATCCATTATAATGAAATTGCTTTATTGTTGTGAAGTGCTTGAGCACAAGGATTTTTTTTTTAGAACCTATATACGGTTCAAGCAAACCTATCGATGATGAACCAATCCTGGAACGACTATCACACAGGCTTTTTTTGCAAAATCGAAAATTTAAAGCTTCAAAACCCTAAATCTAAATTGAACATAATCTATAAAGGCCCCCATCAAAACAATTCATATCTATGAAAACCCTACCACAAAAGGATGGTACACAAGGTAACTATTTCAAAACTAGTGATGATATTCCCATAGTCATTTTTTTCTCGAGGGATATTTGATCTCAATTTATAGTTTGAGTTTGATTGCACGAGTTGCATCTATAATCATTACTGTATATAACAATTAGGCGAAAAAAGTTAATTACGATCCCACGACCTCTAATCAATTGTTTCTAAATTTAGAACATTACAACATATGAATCTGATTATGTCAATTAATATCTCTACAGTGAATCAGTGCAGTTCACTTTTGCTCCAGCTAATATTTTATTACAGAAACGCAAATAAAGTTATTAAGCTCAGAATTATTCTATCAAATAATTCGAATAACAATAGTTTGATAAAGTCGTATCTTACTTCTATACAAAGCTTCTCTTTCCAAACATGTACACTCTATACTTCTTATCAGATTTAAAAGCTAATTTCTATAGATGTAGTCTTTACTCAACAGTTAAACTTACTGGTGTTTAGTTGGTTGCAAAATTTTGGAATTAATGCGAAAAGTATAAAAATTTTGAAGCAATTCAATTTAAATTTCGATAAAGACAAGCCACAATCTCAATATATATCTCGGTATATCTACTATGCCTCTCAATATAGTAAAAAATGCTATTTTTTGCAATTCGAGGTTGTTGCAATTCTACCTTCAAATGAACTTTTCATCGTAAGCACATAGTCTAAAAAATCACCATTAAAGAACAATCGGTTCAAACACTAAAATCAAAACCTCAGTTTAAAATTTAGATAAGAGATCAGATCAATTTTGAATAAAAAGAAGAATAAACTTAAATCCTTATATATTAATAAACGTAAACTTTTACTGTATTGTAAAATCTAATAATAATTATAATAATAATAAATCAAACATTAATTGAAAACCACCCATTGAATAAACTAGAACCTAAAAAGCGAAAAAAAAATTGAAATGAAAATGAAAATTAAAATGAGAACAATGTTTGTATAGATTATAATTCTTATTTCTATACTTTATTAAATAATGATCTTGTTGATATAGTACCCAACTTATCACTATTTGAATTAATTAAATATGATTCTTTATATGATAATACAAAAGGTATAGTAGTAGATAAAGCTAAATAACCTAATAATAAAGCACCAGATGGTTTTGAAGTAATTGTTGGTTTCATATGAATTGTATACATAATTATAAACTACTTTGAATAGTTGATAAGATAAAAATTAAAGAAGCAAAAAGAAGGAATAGAGATATTATTTATATTGATATAAAACTGTTATGATACTACATTATTAAAAAGAATTATATCTGCATTACTAAAATAAGCTACTAATTGTTGTTAACTGTGGTGTTATGTTGATTTCTTTATAATTTTTTACTAAGAAAATTTTATTATGCAAATCGGTCTAAATTTTTTATTTTTTTTTTTTTTTTTTTAGTTTTGTCGTTTAAAATCGAATGATTTTTTGACCATTCAAGCTTAATTGATATCTATCTATCCATATTGTATATTTAATTAAGGATATTGCAACAGAGATCGCTCAACAAAACTTTTCTTAATCAGGGTTTGCGGTCCATAATTATAATTGAAATATTTGTTGAATCGTTTAGAATATTTTAAATTTGCCTTTCGTTTAGACAACACACAACACTGGCTTTTGTTTTAATCTCTTAGTTTATATCCTCATTCATGAAACAATACATAACCAGATTGTTTCGTTTAAGTTATAACTTGATTCTTACTTAGGAAGACACAAAATCAAATTATAATTTTCTTAACTACTATATTAATTGTTTCATAAAATTGCGCATTTTCGATTCAGTACTTAACTACTTTAACTACTATTGAAATTTTTACTATGAGATTTACTTATCTATTATGTTTGATTAGGTATCAACTTTCAACATTGTCAATTGTCAATTGTCAATTATCAATTGTCATTACAACTTCGGTCAGTCAAAGAGATATGATGGTAATCTCTTCTAATCTCTATAATCTAATTGATCTAGGCTCAGCAAACCGATCTACGGAGAATTACATCACTTATTTAAGCAAAATTCAAATATTGTTTATTGTTTGTTGTTTGTTGTTTATTTTCAGATATTGCAGAAATCAAGTAATTTATACAGACACGTATTGCAATTTTATTACATAATTAACTTAAAACTCCACGTTACACGTCTAAATTTAAAAATAAAAATTCAAGAAATTCAAGACGCGTTTATAGAAATGTTATTTCTGTTTATAACCTCACCAGATTTGGTAATATTTTGATTTGGTAATATTCAAAAAGTTTAATTTTCTATACGAGCTATACGATGTATGAGAGTTAACAACAACTATTAATACCAACTTAGCGGTATTTTAATCTCTAGTCACTACTCTACACGATTGTATTGTATTAAATTGTATTAAATGGAATCTTGCAAACTGTTGTGAGTAATTCGTTGTTTTAAATGTGACTAATTTTTAATTCAACATTTTTAATTTTTTAATGAGCTTTGAAATTATTATCTTGCCCTACTCATGGTTTCACAATGAAATAACACCGACTAAATTTGATAATTTCAAATCATTAATCAATAAATCATATGATAAACCAAGGCATAAATATGGTATCATCAAATCATCTAGATTAAACAAGAATCACTCTTTACTTGATGATTTAGCAATTAAGATTTCCGATCAAATTAACATTTATTTGCTCCTTGTTAAAAAAGAAGCATTTGAATCACTTAATGTTAATAGACAATTCACGGGTGACATTGATCAATGTTATAATTGTGACATACCTCCAGTTCTACCATATTCAGATATTGCAAAATCATCAATGCATGTAGTAAACTCCAGATTTGAATTCAATGAAGATATATTACAACGATGTGTAGCTAGCGTTGGATTGAAATCAAATCATTATCATTCTGATTCACAAACTATTGCTAATTTTGAATTGACTTGTTTTACTTCATTCATGAGAAATATTGCACCAGTTTATCTTGAACATGTTTTATCCTTAATTAAACATGAATTCTTTTTTAATTTATTAAATAATACTGGAGGTTTCAATGTTGAAGAAACTGGAAATTATAAAAAAATAATTATATATGCTGATGTGATTGTTGAACATGATTTAGTTGATTATTATATTAATAAATGTAATTTTGAAAAAACAGGAAATAAAGATCTTTTAATTGAAGTTAATAAAGAAACTGGCGATGCTGGTGGATTTGGATTATTAGAAGATGGTATATTAGCATCAAGAGATTTTCATTTAGGTTTTTTGAAAAGAGAATTGAAATTGAAAAAGAAAGCAGATTATAAATTTGTTAGTGATTTAATGGGTACAAATGGGATGACAATAATGCCTGAATGGAAGTAACTGTAAATGTTGATCAAAGTATGGTCGATTTTACAAATTTCCTTTTAATTTGACAGGTTTAATTATAGACATTTATAGGCACAATATAGAAATGTTATAGACGGTAAACTAATAAATTCGCCACTCTTAAGGCTCTCGATCAAACCTGGATGAATCAAACAAATTGTTTGTTTTAATGCCAAATTATGAAAAATATCTATTTTTTACTAAATAAAACACTCCAAATTTCTAATGTATTGATCAATTTAGACATGAAGACATCGCTGGAGAACGATTCACTTGATTAGCTGAATTTCATTAGCCGTTTATAAAATTTCTAAAATCGTCCTCGATTAAACGAGAAAAAAAGTCTGTCCGAAATCTAAGCGAGATCTAAGCGAAATCCATTTAATATCAAACAAAAGGCGCATTCGCACGTCAAATTTTGCGCTTTAACTGCCATATATTAGTATGTATTATCCATAAACACCTAATTATAACCATTAACACTCAACCATTCTTTAATTGTTTTTGTATCACGTTGAGCCCATTTAGATTTAGCTTCAATTATATCCAAAGATTGAGCTAAACCTTGATCATAACCTTTTGTATTTTTAGATTTGAAAAATTCTTCAACTTGTTTCTTTTGTTCTTGTTTAGTAAAACCAGATGTAGTTAAAGTAACAACACTACCCAACATTGATAAACCAGGTGGTAACAATTTATAAACTTCATCCCAATTAGTAGTTATCCATGACCATAATTTTTCAATACCTAATTTATGAGATCTTAAACCTTGCATTGGAATATAAATATCTTGTTGTTTAACAATATCAGTTTGTAATAATAAACCAGTAACTTTATCCAAGATTTTTGAATCAGTGAAAGCACCAAATGATCTTAAAGCAGCAATTTTTTCTTCAATTGATTGTGGATTTTTATAGATATTAAATAATTGATTAAAAGTTTCTTCATTACCAAATTTAGCATTACAATTAAAAATTGTTGCTCTTAAATTTGGATGAATTGCTAATTTATCACCATTGACAAATTTTTTAAATGCATTTTTTGAAAATTCAACAGCTTTTGGATCTTCAGAAGAAACAGCACTTGAAAATAAAGAAGATTTTAATTGTTGATTTGCAAATGAATCAGACTCATTAAATGACCAACCAATTTCATTTAATTTTGAACTAATTAAATCTCTTGTAAATAATTTTAACGCATCTTTAATTTCCTCATCTTCAAAGATTAATGCAGCTTTAATTGAACCAATTCTAGTTAAAATTTCATCCCAAACAACATAATTTGATTCATTTGACCATGATTTAATTAAATCTAATAAACTCGAAGTTTGAATAAAACCTGATGATGCTAATGAACCAGCATCGGCAACTAATCCAACTCTATCTTCAACTGATAATTTACCATCAACACCTGCTTTACCTAATTTTTGCCATCTTGAAGATTCATAAGCAGTTCTATAAATACCTGATTGATCACCATTAATTTTGAAAAAATCATCATTTGTAGGTAATTTAAAAGTTTTTGATCTTTCATCTAATACTAATGATTCATCTAAACCTTGTGAAGTTTTTAAACCTAAAAATACTGGATAAATAACTTTATCTTCTTCTGGTTTAACATCACCAGTAGCTAAAAATCTATTTTGAGTAACTTTAATTGAATCATCTTGTTCTTCAACTTTAACAACTGGGAAACCAATATTTTTAGTCCAAATATCCATAACTTTAACAACATCTTTTCCTGAAACTTCACTTAATGCTTTCCATAAATTTAAAGTTTGTGTATTTCCCCATGCATGTGTTTTAAGATAATTTGAGACACCTTTGATGAAAACTTCTTCACCTAACCATTTTGAAATCATTTTTAATAAACTTGAACCTTTTGAATATGAAATTGCATCAAAAATTTGATTGATTTCATCTGCTCTTTTAACTGGAACTTCAATTGGATGTGAGCTCCTTAAGGCATCTAATGTTAATGCATGTTGTAAAGAATCTGAAACATATGATTCCCAAACTTTCCAATCTGGATAAAATTCATTACAAGCATACCTAATAAGGTTAGTAATGTACTTTGGTAAAATTATTTTTGGCTGCAAAATAAATTTTCAACTAAAACAGAAAATTTTGCAACCAATCTTAAACCCACTTTCAAAGTGAAATTCAGCTTAAAACTCACATACCATGACATCCAAGTTGCAAAACCTTCATTAAGCCACAAACCGTCCCAAAAATCCATAGTAACCAAATCACCAAACCATTGGTGAGCCAATTCGTGGATGACAACTTCAGTCACTCTTTGTTTCACATTAACATCTGAGTTTTCAGGATCCAACAACAAGTCAACAACTCTAAAGGTGACAGCGCCCATATTCTCCATTGCTCCAGCTGAGAATTCGTGAATCCGTGCTTGTTAGTACATGTTCTAAGTCCTTAGACCTTGAAAATTCAAAATTGAAAAAAAAAGTTTTCAAATTTGGCAAAAACAAGTAAAATTTTTACTTACAGCTATCAAATCCATCTTTGGTAAAGGATATTTGATGTCAAACTTTGAATCAAAGAATTTCAATGACTTAGCAGCAATATTAGCAGCGTAAGTTCCCAAATTAGCAGAGGCTTGATCAGTAGCATAAACTCTAATTGGAACATCATAGTCGTTATTTTCGATATATTTTAAGTCTCCGACAATAAAAGCAACTAAATATGTCGATAATAATGGTGTAGTATTAAAAACAACCTTTTTCTTGTCATCTCCAATTAAATTCGTTTCTTTTTCATTCATATTTGATATACAAACAAGATCCTTGTTAGCAATTAATGAAATAGTAAATTTAGCTTTAGCTGATGGCTCATCATATGAAGGAAATGCTCTTCTACAATCAGTAGGTTCCATTTGAGTAGTTGCCATATATTTTTTTTTACCATCTTCTTGATATGAAGCTCTATAAAACCCAGCCATCTTATCATTCAATTCACCAGTGAATTTCAAATATAAATAAGCTTTAGCACCTTGTTTAAGATAATCTTCAAATCTAAAAGTAACAATTTGTTTCTCTTCGTTAAATTCAAAATTTTCAATTTTGACATCGTTGATTTTAGCTTCATGAATATCAATTTCTAATGAATTTAATGTGATGTAATTTGTTTCTTCATTAACATCAAACTCAATTGTTTCTTCACCATTAAATTTAAAATTTTCAAAAATTGGTTCTAAAGTTAAATCATAATGTAAAGGTTTAACATTTGTTGGTAAAACTTCTCTATCTTGAATATTAGTGGAAGAAGATGTTGAATTTGTAAATTTACACATGGAACAATAATTTCTTTTGTAAGTGAAAAAGTTGAAACAATTAAAAGTTGACGATAATTGTATCGCATTAAATTTGAGATCACGGGGTTTCAATACGTGTAACTTAAACAAAGAAGAAGTAGTAGTAAATTTCCGTACGGAATTGTTTAATCTTAACACGGTGGATGTTTTAAAAAACATTCAACTATAAGGCAATGGGAATGAGAATCGCAGTAATTCGATTCGCCTAATTCGATTCGCAGTAATTCGATTCGCAGTGGGCTTTTTTTTTTTAAAGCCATTTGGTCAAGAGGATCAAAACATCGCCGTGATGAAGTTTTTATATTATCCAGTTCTTTCAATTATATGTACACCAGAATCTGATTCAATTATATCACTAATTTCACCGACATGTAAATTAAAAGCAGCTTGTTCGAAGCTTGGTTGCATTTGACCTTTTGAAAAATAACCTAAATCACCACCTTTCTGATGTGATGAACAATCGCTTTCTTCTTTAGCTAATTCACTAAATTCAACATTATCTTGTAATATTTTATTTAAATGTTTTTTTAAAATAATTATAGCATCGTCTCTTGACAAAGTTATATCAGGATTTTTCCAACTTTTCGGTTTTCTTGAAGTTATATTTTTAATTAATAAATGATTAACTCTTATTTTACCTTCATTTATAACTGGTTTGTATTGATTATTTTTAAAATTTTTAATATATTCAGCTAATTCATCTTGATTTGTATTATCAGGTGGAGTCCACGAACTTTCTTTTGTCTTTTGATTGAAATAATATTCTTTATTATGCGTCTTTGATACTTTAATAGTCCAATGTTTTGGTAAACCTGTTTTAGTAGAAACCATAATTAAAGATGAAAAAAAAGAGGTCGTGTATTATTTCTAAATATCTCTATTTTTCAATGCTTGTTTAACATGATTAAAAACAACATCAACTGGTTCATTACAATTGACTTTGACTACTTTACCTTGTTTATCGTAATAATCTACAACTGGCATTGATGTATCAATAAACGTTTTAAATCTTTTTTGAATTGATTCTATATTATCATCTGTTCTACCACTTGTTTTACCTCGTGCTAATAACCTTTTTAACATAACTTGTTCTGGACACTCAAAAAATAATGTAAATGCTGATTTAACTATTGTATTTTCAAATGTAATGGCTTGATCCATTTTCCTTGGGAAACCATCTACTAAAAACTTTGTTTTTCCTTGATTTGTATACTCATCTATAGCATTTTTTAATAATTGAACAGTAACTTCTTGTGGTACAATCGAACCATCTTTAATACATTTTGCAATTAAGTCACCATATTTTGAACCTTGTCTATTTTGTTCTGCTCTTAATAAATCGCCAGCTGATAAATGAACAAAACCTCGTTCTTTAACTAATTTGTCACACTGAGTACCTTTACCGGAGCCGGGTCCACCAAGAACAAAAATGACAGATATGTTTCTGTCCTTGGTGGTATCTTTAACTCCACTCAAGTAAAAACTAGCTAGGGTACTACCCAAGGCTAAGCTTCCAAGAATGATTAAAGCTCTTGCTTTGTTTCTATTTTCAGGTGATTGGTTTGGTATGGATGATTGAAAGCGTCTGAATGAACCTTGTTTAATACTATTTCTAAATTGTCTAGTTAGTATTTGTTTAAACATCTTCAAATGGTTGTTGATTAGAGATAAAAAAAAATTTGAATCTACCAAATGATCTTTGAAAAAAGTTTAATTTAAGTTTATTTTTTATTTAAATATTTCATCGTTGTACCTTAAATATTTACCATTTATATGATCAGGCCATCCATTGAGTGCTAATTGAACTAATACTCTAGCTGGTTCTTCTGGTTTGACTAATTGTCCCTTTTCATGTAATTCAATAAATCTTTGTAATCCTTCCTTTGACATTTTTACACCAACTTCATTTCTAATTTGCTCTTGCATTGATGTATCTACTACACCAGGTGCAATTGATATAGTTTTAATTTCTGGTTCATCAAATGCAATTGATTGTATCAAATGATTTAATGCGGCTTTTGAACTTCCATAAGCTGACCATCCACTATAAGATTTAGTTGAAGCACCAGAAGAAACAGCAATTATATTACCATGAGCTTTTTTGAGTTCTGGTAATGCAATTTGAATTAATTGAACAATACTGAAAAAATTTACATCATATAATCTTTTCCAATCTTTAATTGAAGTTGATTCAATTTTACCAACTGGTTCTAATATACCACAATTTAAAATTAAAGAATTTAATTGACCAAATTTATTAACAGCTAAATCAACTGCTAATTTTGCAGATTCTTCATTTGTTACATCACCGACAACAAAGCCTAAATTTTCTTCACCATGTTTTTCAGCCAATTGTTTTAATAAATCACCAGATCTAGCAACAGCAATAACTTTTGACTTATTTTCAAGTAATATTTCAACAATAGCTTTACCAATACCTTAATTCGTTAGTTTAAAGTTAGAAAAGGCGAAGTGGTCTGTACATACCTTTAGAAGCACCGGTGACTATAGTAACATGATTCGACATTTTAATCGCGAGAAGAAAAATGTATATTTAAAGTTTAAAAATGTGCAGCTGGTTGATTCAAATGTGCACCACCATCAATTGGAATAAATACACCATTCAAATAATTTGATTGTTTTGAACATAAAAATAAAACCAAATTTTGTAAATCTTCTTTTTCACCTAATCTATGTCTTGGATTAGTATCAGTCATTAAACTACCAGCAGCTTCAATTAAACCATTTGCCATTTTACTTGGGAAAAAACCTGGAGCAATTGAATTAACATTAATATTTCTACTACCAAATTGAACAGCTAAATTTCTACCTAAATGTGTAACAGCAGCTTTTGAAGCTAAATAACCATAAACTCCAACATGATCAGAAGTAGTAACTGATATAATTGAAGACATTAATAAAATTCTTGAAGGATCTTGTAAATTTGTTGCTTTTTCCAATAATGGAACAAATAATTTTATGGTATGGTATAATGCAACGACATTTAAATTTAATACTTTTCTCAAATGCTCTGGTTGATGTTGTTCTAATGGAGCTCCCCAAGTAGCACCTGCATTTGCAATTAAAATGTCCAATTTACCTTTTAAAAATTTATTTGAATCTTCAAAAAATCTTAAACAATCTTGATCATTTGAAAGATCAGCAGGAATTGAAATAACTTGACATTTTGAATTATTTGCTTCTTCTGCCTTCTTAAGTAAATATTGTCTTGCTTCTTCACCTGCTTTTGCTTTTCTTGAAGTAATTATAACAATTGATGCGCCATTTACAACTAAAGCTTCAGCACAGTATAAACCTAAACCTCTAGTACCACCTGTGATAACTGCAGATTTACCATTAACGTTAAAATCAACCATCTTAATTAAAAGGAACTAAAAGAGATTCAAACTTTAAGGATATTTCGAACTTTATATAGTAGTAGTGTAATTTACCCCAGAATTTTTTTTTCTAAGCGGGCGAAATTTTTATATCTCCACTTTTGGCAAGTGATAAATCCGGCCGAGGAATTATAAAATTTAATGGATAACACAATAGGAAGACGGGTAGATTGTTTAAGAAATGTTAGATTCATGTATCAATGATGACGATCATAAGATTAGACAAAGAGTTGAAGAGTACAAAAACACACCTATTCAATTTCCATTTATACATCATAATTTAATTTAATGGAAGATAAAATGATAGAGAAATATTCAAACGGAAATGTAAAGAAGAGATATGAATTGATACGTACTAAAATAAAGGGAACTTATTGGCCAACTGTTGATGGTATGGTTTTATATGATATCGTGAATAGAATCGAATTATGGCTTGCTAAAGGATGGGAAGATTATGTAGGATTTGGAGAGTTTTCAGAAACCGCGTTTAAAAAGGTTTGAAAGAATTGAAAATAATCAGACATGAATACTGGAGTAAAAAAGACTTAACGATGAAGTTTTGTATTATAGAGAAGATTAGAGCAGCTATGAAACGTAAAAAAGATCGGATGGATGATGAGAAAGTAAAGAAGGGTTAATAGCAAATGTCTAGAGTCATGATTTTGATGTCTATCAAGTCTTTAACCTATTGTTATTATAGCTAACATTCTATTTTAAGATAGTTATTTATATAAATAGAATATTATAGTTATATGCAAAAGCGCAATTTTAGTTAGGTTGCAAATCTCAAATCGCGCGTAGAACAAATGAAGTGATTGGCTTAAAATTCAGAATATGTGAAGAATATCAAAAATTTAAACTATAGCTTCTTTATCATCATTATATTCATATATTCATCATTATTATTTCTTACTTACTAAATTGAAAACCAATTGTAATCCACAAACAGTAGGATTAGCCATAGCAATAGAAACAACTTCATTATCACCACCATTAATCAATCTAATATCTTTACCAGTCACAACTTGAATTAATTTATTTGAACCTTTAACAAAATCTGAAATAGATAAAACTTCAACACATTCATCATTAATTATAAACAAATGATTATTTGTAAATTTAGTATATTTAACCTTGAATTCAAATATCAAAATTGAACTCCTTGATAATTTTCCATGCTTGTTTATAAAGATAGCAAATTCATTATACACTAATAAAAACTCAGTATTATTATTCAATTTAAACATACCCAATGGTTTAACATTAGAACTTGAAATCAATTTCTTAATTGTTTCAATTACTGTGTTTGCTTTCTTGGAATATGACTGATCTGGAGAATGTACAATTTCAGTAGGTAAATCAGGAACAGTTCTCGGTATCAATTTATCTAATTCCAAAACTTCAAATCCTTTATTTGTGAATACGGTGAATGAACTATTGAAAATTGAAATTCCATAACATTCAGCCTCAATATAAAATTTCTTCTCATCTTTGAATCTACTGAATATTCCATTATTATCTGTTTCTGGAATTAATACTTTGAAATGCGTCACTGTTGAGTTTGTTTTCCGTTTTGCGTAAAATAACATTGTGATATTCTTATGTTTACTCATGCTGAAAAATGATACAGATTCATTAGATAATAAAATTGATGTTATATTTGAATCTTTTTCATAATAAACATTGATAAATTGATAAATTGGATAATATTTCAATTGTTTATCATTAAGTGTAATTATAAGATTTAAGTTTGTATCTGTATAAATTTTAGTAAAGTCTGATCCATTCATAATCTTCTTCCAATGAGATTTTGATTCACACATGTACAAACCATTACTTAATCCAATTAAAGTAAATTTAGAACCTAAATAATCAAATGAATTCATGCATAATACTCTTGAAAAAACAATTCTATTTCTTGAATTAGCATAAATTGAATCTAATATACCCAATTTATTTAACTTTTCTTGTGAATCTAAACATAACTGATAAATTGGGTCAAATTGGTCTAAAATCTGTAATTTCAAAATTCTATTATTAAATTCATATCCAAAACATGTATTTGAAATCAATTGAACTTTATAAGGATTTGAAGGTTTAGTTTTCTTACTTAATGATTCTTTTGCTAGTTTGATAAAGTTTATCCAATCATATTTTTCCCTTTCTGATTTAGTTCCAAATGTAAATGAATTTTTCTTTGATCTACCAGCATATCTTACTTTAAATTGATAATCTTGATCTGGTTCTTCTATTTCTTCAGTTGATGGAGATGGTGGTGATGATTTGATATTGCCTATTTTATCTTCAATTATTACAAAATCAATTGGAATTGGATCTTCAATTATTTTATAAAAAATTCCATTTTTAGTTTTTGATTTCTCAGTAATTAATAAATAATTATCAAGAAGTATAACATGATTGATTGAATTAGTAAATTTTAAATCACTTCTTCTATTCAAATCACCACGACATATGAATTTTCTATTAGCACTGTTAAGATTTAAATTTATTTGCCTGATATTTGATTTCCAAATTATTTGGTGTTTTATAATCTCTAATGCATGTGCACTATCTGCACTTTTCTTGATTTCATTTATTCTTGAACCTAATGATTTAATCTCATCTATAGTATTAGTCAATGCAACATATTCAAACTCTTCAGGTTTATATTTTTTCCTTATTTCCAATAATTGTAATGGTATCTGTTGATATCTACTATTAAAAGTACTTATAAATAATATCCCCACATTAACTTTCAACTCTTTAACTTTTGGAATTTGAGATATATGATTATCAACATATGATTTTAATTCAGTCATCTTTAATAAATCTTCAATTAATGGCATATTCTTCATAAACCCAACTAAATATTCCCTTATTTCAATAGCCCAATTTGTATAAATATCAGCAATTTCAGAAAGATTTTTTATAAATTTACCTTCACTTATTAATATTTTTAATAACGGATGAAATAAACTATTTTGATGAATTTCAACAATTTTAGAACCTAAGGAAACAACATCATCTTCAAATATTTTAATCTTGGATATGGATAAACTTTTACCAGCTTTTATGAAATCTGGAGCTACTATTTCAACCCAACATTTTGCTCTTTCTATAAATGTTTGTTCATATCTTAATAAATCAAAGATATAACTTTGTTGTTTGATTAAACTTGGGTTTAAACTTCTTAAATTTTCAACTGTTAGATGCCAATGGTTGGCCCAATCATTTTCTAAATGTACATCTTCAATTTTCATATTTCTCATTATCCTTTCAAGATTTAATTGTTTACTAAAATGACAAATATTGGAATAACAACAAACTGAATCAACATGAGGGATGGTTGAATAACAAGGTGTCAATTCAGGTAATATACCATTAACATAAACATGATGAAATATAACTAAATCATCAATTATCCCGATTGCTCCACTATTCATTAAACTTTCAATTATTATATTTGAGTTCTTCGTAATCATATCTAATGAAATATCATTTCTATGAAATGCAATTAATCTAGTGATAGCTCTTTTCAACTCATTTTTATTTATATTTGAATCATTCAACCAAATTTTCAATTTCAAACACCAAGAAAATAAACTAGAAAGACTCCATATCTTCTCACATGCTTCAAAATGGGAAATAGTTAATGAATTTGAATCAAATGGTAATTGTGGTAAATCTAATGGTGTAGGTGGTAATTCTTTATGATTTCTAGGTAATTCAGGTAAAGTCAGATAATCAAAATATTCAGTAGCTGGAGATTCTACTCTTTTTTCAAATTCTTCAACTTCATAAAATGGATTATCTGTTACTATTTGATATGTTGATTTTTTCAGTTGTAAAGAATTCCATCTTGATGTATTTCGTTCAAAAATTTCAAAACTAATTTCATTTGATCCCATAGATGCATCTCTTAAATGATTTGGTCGTCTCGGTGATGGTGATCTTTTAGTTGGTGAACTTGACGGTGAATATGTATATAAATTAGGTAATGAGCTTCTATTAGATAATGTCGGAATTATTGGAGATGTTGAATTTATAGTTTGATTTATAATTTCTTTTGTTCTGATTTGAGAAGGTGAATAAGAATTTATGGAGTCGTGAGTTGGTGATGAATTAATTTTAAATTGAATTGAATCATTATATATCGTATCTTCAGAATTTAAAATTGTTCGATTTTGAGATGGTGAAACTTCGATACTTTTTATTTGGGAGTCATTATAATTAAAAATCATATCTATTTCATCATCACTATTTATTATATCTTCAATTGGTTTAGTAGGATAAGGTAATTCAGATTCAATTGGATACCCAGGGTGTTTTTTATTAGGCGTTGTTTCATATTCCCATATTTCTTTTGGACCTTTTGGTTTTGGAGAATCAAATGAATTAAAAGAAACATCATTGAATGATAAATCAACATCTGTACTTATTTCAGGTGGTGGTGGTGGAGGTGGGGGCGGCTTTCTTTTTAAATTTTTTGAAATTGTTGTTGATGATGAATTAATGGACATAATATCATGCAATAGAATATAATAAAATAATACAACGTAAATGAAATGAATTTCAAGCAATTAATATGAATTAGCCATAAATAATAGCAAACTGATAATAAATAAGAAATAAGTGATAAATGAATTGATAAATTCAAAGTGTGAAATTGAAATGTTTATATATAAATATAATTTATTATGAGTACTGTATATAAATTTATTAAGCATGGAACACTTCAAATTATATTACACGAATTAATAATGGAAAAATCACAGCATATAGTTCACTTGACAACTGCCGCCATTTGCTCCATAAGTTGACATTGCAACTGATTATTGGATACATACTCCATTCGGAGTTAGACTATGGTAAATACAATTCGATTGCGGGTCGATTATTAAATCAAATGATAAAATGACCAACGAGATCAATATTTCTTGGAACTCTTCTATGAACTTGACATTCGCTCATAATGCAGTCAGAAACCTTATGTAATTGTCTGTTATACGTCAGACTCTTTATTGATTCAATTGGACCAATACTAAAAACTTGGTAACTTGGTAGCATCTCGCATCAATATACGATTTTTCGCAACGCGTTTTTTTATTTATTTATTTCAACCAGGGGCATTATAATGACTTCATATTCTGGAAAAGTTTTAAGATTATTATCAGAAGGTTCAAAAGCATATTCATTGAAAGATTATGCATTAGCATCTGAGAAATATGGATTAGCTTGTGAGTTATTTTCAAATGATTATGAAGGTAAAGAAGATGCAGATTTATTATTATTATACGGTAAAGCATTATTTCAAAATGGTGTATCTAAATCAGAAGTATTTGGAGGTCAAGCACCAACAAACACAAAAGAGGAGGAGGAAGAAGAAGAAGAAGATAATGATGATTCCAAAGATCAATTTCAATTTTATGATGGTGCTGAAACATTAGAAGGTCAAGAAAATCAAGAAGTTGAACAAGAAGATGATGAACCAACACCAAAAATAGAAGAAGAACAAGAACAAGAACAAGAACAAGAACAAGAAGATCAAGAAGATGATAAATCAGATTTTGAACTTGCTTGGGAAGTTTTAGATATTGCTAGATCATTATTTGAAAAACAAGTGGATGAAAATTCAAAAGATGGAGAAAAATTATCTGTTCCATATTTATCAAAAGATACAGAATCAAATAGTTACGTTGTTAGTTTGAAAAAATTGTCTGAGGTTTATGATTTACTTGGTGAAGTGTCACTTGAAGCTGAGAATTTCAAACAAGCATCAGAAGATTTAAATAAGTGTTTAGAAATTAGACTTAACTTATACTCATCAGATGATTCATTAATTAGTGAATCGCACTATAAATTAGCATTAGCTTTAGAATTCGTAGAAGAGAAAGATAAAGCAAAAGATCATATAAATTCAGCAATTGAATCAATTAAAAAACGAAATGAAAATGAAAAAGATGCTGATAAAATTAAAGATAATCAAGAATTGATATCTGAATTAGAAGACAAAATACAAGACTTATCTAAAGAATCAATTGATGATGAATTGACAAATGATCAATTAAATGCAATTAAAGGAATTTTGGGTGAAGAAGTTTCAGGACAAAAGCAAAATCCAGCGAATGTAATTGTAAATAATTTGAATAATATAGTTAAGAAGAAGAAGAAACAAGATACGAAAGTTAATGATTTAACAGGAATGGTAAGAAAGAGAAAATTATCAAGTGATGGGAATAATAATAATAATAAGAAACAACAAAAATAGTGAAATATACGTGAATGAAGCATAATTATTTACTTTATTAAGTTTAGTGAATTAATAGAAATGAAAACAGAGTAAATACGAAACAACAACAACAACAACAACAACAATTATCATATATTCATGAGCTAATTAATCGGTTAATTGGTTTGACAACTCTACCTCTTTTGGTTTTAACTGGACCAGTAGATTTAGTTGAAACTTTTCGTTTTAAGACCTTTTTAACTACTGGTTTTGAAACTTTTTTACCAACTGATTTTGATTTCGAATTTGAACTAGCTGTTTTATTTTCAAATTTATAGTCAACTTTACTAATTTTGCCACTGTTTAATCTAGTTGACCGAGTATTTAATTTATTTTCTTCAATAATTGCATCATCAATATTTTCATCATTTGTAACCATTGTATCAACTTCATCTTTTTTAATTTTAGTTTCACCAGTATTTGTTTTCTCTTCATTCATTTCTTTTAATAATTGTTCAGCCAATAAATTAGCTTGTTCAGATTCAAATTGTTTATGTTCTTCGGGATTAATTATAACATCTGTAGTAATTACTTCTTCTTTATTATCCATTATAATTTTAAAAACTCGTTGAGGTAAAATTGTGGTAATAATTAATTTTAAAAAAAACCTGAGACAATTAATTAAATTAATGCAAAATTGATAATACATCGTAATTTAAGATATTTAAGGTTTTGTGACTTTGTTAATGCATAAAATACCAAATTTAGACGATAATTGAAAAATAAAAATAAAATAAGAAGTCACGTGACAAAGAGAAAATTTATAAAATTTAAATAACTCAAGACTGAGCAAGGTATAAAAGAAATAAGACCATGCGTGTGATGTAGACGTTCGTATTGTCTAAATAAATATGTTTTTATAAGGTCGTGTGAATTGGCGATTATTCCCAATTTTAAATGGGTTTTGGATAAAGCTCTGGTTAAAATGTGTTGATAATTGCCAAAAAAATTGTTCAACAGTGCACTACCCATAGAAACTATAAACAAATGAAAATTGAAAAATGGAAAAAACCTAAACCACAACCAGGGGTGTAATTTATGGGGTGTAATTTAAAACCAAATAAAATTTCATCAAAAAAATTCAAAACAAAAAAAAAAAAAAAAATAAAAAAAAAAACTTGAGAAAAAAAAAATAATCAAATTTATTTTTGACAACGATCAACAACAATAACCAACCAATTTTAATCAACCAAAGTTTTAAGGGTTAATCATGAGTTCTTATCCTAGGCTGAATAGATTAGATGAATTACTTGATGCTATTAAACAAGAATTTCAATATACTATTAATGAAGCTTCAAGTTTTAGAAAAGTAGAAGAAGATTTTCAATTAAAATATTCTCAACAAAATACAGAATTACAACAAATACGTCAGACTGTATATGAATTAGAAATGGCTCATAGAAAAATTAAAGAAGCTTATGAAGAAGAAATTTTAAGATTAAAAACTGAATTAGAAAATAGAGATAGACAAATGAAGAATGGTTATCAAAATCAACAACAGCAACAACCCCCACCACCACAACCACCAGCAGTTCAACCAGCTCAACCAACTCAACCACCAGCTACTACTGCTGCTCCACAAATTAACCCAGTTCAACCATCAAATAATACTCCTATTGTTCCACCAATTAATTCAGTTCAACAACAACCACCAACACAAGCCCCAAATCAACCTCAAACTTCAACTGCTTTAACTATAATTGATAAAACTCAGTATGTTGTAAATCCAACCCAAAAAGCTTTACATGTTAAAGAAATTCCCCCATTTTTATCCGATTTAGATGTTGCAAAAGCAAATCCAGATTTTAAGAAACAAAATTTAGATTATTATGTTTTATATAATCCAGCATTTGCAAGAGATTTAGATGTTGATTTAATTCATTCATTAGATCATTCTTCTGTAGTATGTTGTGTTAGATTTTCAAAAGATGGTAAATTTATTGCTACTGGTTGTAATAAAACAACTCAAGTTTTCAATGTTGAAACTGGTGAATTAGTTGCAAAACTAATTGATGAAACTTCAACTGAAAATAAAGAAGAAAATGGAAACAACTCCAATAATACTGAAGCTCCATCAAATAATGGTGATTTATATATCAGATCAGTTTGCTTTTCACCAGATGGTAAATTATTAGCAACAGGGGCTGAAGATAAGTTAATTAGAATTTGGGATTTATCAACAAAAAGAATTATTAAAATATTAAGAGGTCATGAACAAGATATTTATTCATTAGATTTTTTCCCAGATGGCGATAGAATAGTTTCTGGTTCAGGGGATAGATCTGTTAGAATTTGGGACACAAGATCATCACAATGTTCATTAACTTTATCAATTGAAGATGGAGTTACAACAGTTGCAGTATCACCAGATGGAAAATTAATTGCTGCTGGTTCATTAGATAGAACAGTTAGAGTTTGGGATTCAACTACAGGTTTCCTTGTTGAAAGATTAGATTCAGGAAATGAAAACGGTAATGGACATGAAGATTCAGTTTATTCAGTTGCTTTTAATGTAAATGGAAATCAAATTGCTAGTGGATCATTAGATAGAACTGTTAAATTATGGAATTTGGAAGGTAAATCACCAGATTCAAAAAATTCAAGTTGTGATGTAACTTATATTGGTCATAAAGATTTTGTTTTAAGTGTTTGTTGTACTCCAAATAATGAATATATTTTATCAGGTTCAAAAGATAGAGGTGTTATATTTTGGGATCAACAAAGTGGTAATCCTTTATTAATGTTACAAGGTCATAGAAATTCAGTTATTTCAGTAGCTGTTTCTTTAAATTCTCAAGGTACTGAAGGTGTATTTGCAACTGGTTCTGGTGATTGTAAAGCTAGAATTTGGAAATGGACAAGAAAGTAGAAAACCGTCAGGATGCAAGCAACGATGCCATAGTTAATACTTAAAAGTCAGGATGCCATTGGTGAAAATTTGTTATTCATGGTAAGACTCTTACTATTTATTTTGTTGCATCCTTACTGTTTATTATTGCATCTTTACAATATCGAAATAATCATTTTGAAAAATTATCAAAAAAAAAAAAAAATAAAAAAAAAAAATTTTAATAATTTGTGTAGTATAATATTTAAATGATTTATAGTTCTGTATCATCTCCCGTCAATATTGCCGTAAGTAACTCAATCAATTCCTATCAATTCGTATTAACATCATTCTAGACTTTGAAATATTGGGGTAAACGTGATTCAAAATTAAATTTACCCACAAATTCATCAATTTCAGTAACATTATCCCAAAATGATTTAAAAACAACTACAACAGCATATGCAAGTAGTGAATTCAACGAAGATAGATTATTCTTGAACGGGAAATTAGAATCTTTAGACTCTGAAAGAACTCAAGCTTGTTTATTAGATTTAAGAACTTTACGTAAACAATATAAAGATGATGGTGTTGCTGAATTGAAATTAACTATCGTTTCTGAAAATAATTTCCCTACTGCTGCTGGGTTAGCTAGCTCTGCTGCTGGATTCGCTGCTTTAATTTATTCAATTGCAAAGTTATATGACTTGCCATCTGATTTGTCTGAATTATCTAAAATTGCAAGAAAGGGATCTGGATCAGCTTGTAGATCCTTATTTGGTGGATTTGTAGCATGGGAAATGGGTGAAAAAGAAGATGGATCAGATTCTAAAGCTGTTGAAATTGCTCCTATTTCTCATTGGCCAAGCTTAAAAGCTATTATATTGATTGTTTCAGATGATAAGAAGGATACTCCAAGTACGGTGGGAATGCAAACAACTGTGAAAACTTCAGACCTTTTCCAATATAGAATTAGGGAAGTAGTTCCTAAGAGATTTGAAGAAATGAAACAAGCTATTTTAGATAAAGATTTTCCATCATTTGCTGAGTTGACTATGAAGGATTCAAATTCATTTCATTCAGTTTGTTTAGATTCTTATCCTCCTATTTTTTATTTAAATGATGTAAGTAAGCATTGCATCAAAATTGTGCAAGATATAAATAAAGAAGAAATTATAGCTGCTTATACTTTTGATGCTGGTCCAAATTGTGTTGTTTATTATGATGAAAAAGATGAAGACAAGGTTTTAGGTGAAGTGTATAAATATTATGGTAATGTAAATGGATGGGGTAATAAAAAATATGAAATTACAAATGAAAGAAGTGGGATTAATAGAGTTATTTTGACTTCTATAGGTGATGGAGTTAAAGAAATTGAAGAAATTTTATCAATACCTAATTGAATAAATAGATTAATAATAAATAGCTAATGCAAGTAAGCCTAATTTATAATAAATAATTTGATATTAGCTGTTCTGACATCCTTACTTGTATCTTATAGCGTCCATACATACAACTAAACCAGTTCTTTACATCCTTATTATTAGACATTCTTCCATCTTACGGAATCCTTACAATTAAATTTCTTGCATCCTTACTGCACCCTTACACTAGCTCCTCCAATTTCTTATAATCACCATTTTTCAAAGCCAAGTTTATAGTTGATTTATAATGATTCAACAATAATTCCAATTTATTCAACTTTTCATTCTTCTCCTTCAACTCAGTCTCTAATTTATTCACAGAATCTTGTAATTGCATTTGTGCTTGTTTTTTACGCTGTCTACATTTAAAAGCAGCTACTCTATTTCTTTCTAGTAATCTTTCTTTCTTCCAAGCTGCAGTACCAGGTATAGGACCATTTTCAGGATTATAAATAACTTCATTATTATAAATTAATTGATGATTTGGAGGAGGAACACCGGCGACATCAGAATGATGTATTTCAGGAGGAGCTTGAGGCGGTAGTGTTTGTGGTTGAGGTTGTTGTATTTGCTGCTGTTGTTGTTGTTGTTGTTGTATAATTGGGGTAGGCGGTATTTGTTGTTGATTTTGGTGGTTTTGATTTTGTTGTACGGGGGGTTGAAAATCAACCATAAATGGAGTTGTCTGTGGTCGATTATGAATATTGTGATTATTATGATTATTATGATCATTATTACTATCATTATTACTATTGAATTCAAATTCATTTAATTTATATTGTATTATATCTTGATCTAAACTTGAATCTAAATCTTCTTTTTCAAATAAAGCATCATGATTTACAATTTGACCAATTTGACCATTTGAAATTGAAATTCTTCTTCTTCGAGGAATACCATCAGTTGTATAAGGTAGCATAGTAGTAGAATCGAAAATTGGTGGATTTGTTATAGGATATGAATGAAAATCAAACGGATTATGAAATGTAAATTTCTTATTTATATCGTTTTGATTATTAACTCCTGAATTTAAATTTTGCGGTGGTTGTTTGTGTTGTTGAGGTAAAACATCTAGTATATCTGGAGGTAGTGGTTGTTGTTGTATTTGTGGTTGTCCTAGTTTATTATTAGTATCTAATGTATCAAATGAGAAGTTCATGATTAGTATTGGTTAGCTGATTAATTGGTAACAATAGATGTTGCAATTTTTTTGTCAGAGAGATTTTTTTTTTTTTTTTTTTTTTTTTTTTTGTGCAATTATTTGAATGAATGAATAAAGAAATTGATAGTGTCAAGTTAATACAACAATTGACAAAACTATGTTCAACTGGTGATAATAATGATAATACATTCAATCAAACATTAAATTGCTTTCAATCATTCAATAAACAAATCGAAACAACTTCTATTCAATTTGATTTCTTAATTGAAAATCAACGTGGGTTTAAATTTTTTGGTATTCCTATCTTCACAGAAAAATCATTACTCCCCATAATTGATCCAATAAATTATCAAAATATAAATGGTAAGCCAGTTAATATTAGTTTATCAAATATTGATAATTATCCATTACCTGATTTTCAATGGAAATGGCTGTGGAATAAATGGTATGTTTTTATGTTTAAGGACGTGGACCCCAATGGTTGGTTATATAATAGTTTAGTATTTCAAGATGATAGAAGATGGAAAGGGAAATACTACTTGGGTAATACTATAAGAAGAAGAATATGGATTAAACAAAGAGAAAGAGAGCACGTGAACGATCACGTGAGTAGTCACGTTTTATGAATGGAAATTGTCACGTGAGAAAAATTAACCAAAATATGAATTTTCAGCTAACATTAGCCATTGCAATTATTAAACAAGGGAATGATATCAATGATACAGTTAAAAGATTAAAAGATGAAGTAGATGATAATATTAAATCTATATTAACTGGTTATGGTATTGATTATTATTCTTATAAACTTTGGAATTCCAGGGTTGTTACTTCAACTGATAATTATTTGGTTGCAAAATATTTTATAATTAATGGTAATTGTGATTTTCATAAACAAATTGTTAGTTTGATGATTTCAAAATTGAAATTTAAGATCTCTGAAATGATTAAATTATTGGAAATTATTGATTCAAAAGAATATATCCACCTGTTATTTCAATATTTGATTAGAGTTAATAGTTGTAAATTTTGTTTAAATTTATTGTATTCAATGATTGATATACAACCACAAAATAAAACAATAGATGAGTTAATAAGAAATTATAATTTTAAGAGATATAATATCAATTGTGTCAAACCAGATTATATCATTATTTTATTAGTTCAAGTTTTAACTACATTAAAATATCAACCATTGTTAATCAAATGTTTATTAATTAATAAACCATCTATTTTACATATTTCCATGAATTTTTAGAAAATATATAATTTAAACCACTTAATAAAGTTGTAAAACCGACTATATAACCAAATCCATCAAACATAAAATCAGATATATAATTTTCAAATAATGGCTTATATACTAATCCACCAATATATATCATTTGTAATCCTGTATTTATCTTACCTAATAAATTTGGATGTACGCTAATTGTAGGTATTTGACCAATACTTACAAATTTATCAAATGTGATTGGTGGTGGTAAACTTTTCCATCTATAATAAAAGGACATAAAACTTAACATTACATCTCTTCCAATTATCAATGAAGCTATTAGCAAGGGTATTGATTCAATATAAGCTAATGATAAAGTACATACCGTCATTAAAAATTTATCAGCCAATGGATCTACAATACTTCCAACTATCAGTTTCATATTATATTTTCTTGCTATAAAACCATCTATAAAATCAGTAATACAAGAATATGTGAAAAAACTTAATGCTAATTTTGAATCACCAGTAGTTATAAAATAACCAATGAATGGAGTTGTTAAAATACGTGAATAAGTGAGTATATTTGGAATTGTCCATAAATTTGAGACTATTGGTTTAACAATACTCAGTTTATACCTTACAGACTGTAATATACAACTTCCACTATATACTTTGGTTGTTATTCTTGTAGTTGGCCATATTAAATTTCTAAACATTTGATGTGAAAAAAAAAAATATATATCCATCAGAATCAATAGTTAAAATGTCATTGAAATTACCACAAGCCCCAAATAGTGGATTATTCAAGAATGGTTACTCATCATATTCAAATGCTGATGGTGCAATTATTAGAAATATTGAAGCAATTAGAGAAATTTCTTCAATTTTATTAACTTCAATGGGTCCAAGTGGTAGAAATAAAATTATTGTAAATAAATTAGGTAAAAAATTTATAACTAATGATGCTGCTACTATGTTAAATGAATTAGAAATTGTTCATCCTGTTGTTAAGATTTTAATTATGGCTTCTAAACAACAAGAATTTGAAATGGGTGATTTTACAAATTTAGTTATTATATTAGCTGGTGAATTTTTAAATGTTGCTGAAAAATTAATAAATTTGGGTTTAGGAGTCACTGAAATAATTCAAGGTTTTAACTTAGCTAATAAGTTTGTAATGAAACCTTTAGAAGAACTCGTAGTTGATAAAGTAGATGATGATTTACAAAAAGTGTTGAAATCAGTTGTAGCTGCTAAACAATATGGTCAAGAGGATATAATTGCAAAATTAATTACTGAAGCAGTAGAGATGATTATGAAAAATGGATCATTTAATATTGATAATGTTAGAGTTGTTAAAATTATGGGTGCAAGTTTACATCAAAGTGAAGTTATAAAAGGTATGGTATTTCCAAGAGAACCAGAGGGATCAATTAAAAAAACTTCAAATGCAAAAGTTGTAGTTTTCACTTGTCCTATTGATATTTCAACTACTGAAACTAAAGGAACTGTATTATTACATAACGCACAAGAAATGTTGGATTTTTCAAAAGGTGAAGAACAACAATTGGATCAAATGTGTAAAGAAATTTACGAATCAGGAGTTAAGGTGGTTGTCGCAGGTTCTAACATCGGTGAATTATCATTACATTATCTAAACAAATATGAAATTTTAGTTTTAAAAGTTCCTTCAAAATTTGATCTTAGAAGAATTTGTCAAGTTTGTGGTGCTACTCCATTACCTAGACTTGGAGCACCAATGGCTGATGAAATGGGATATATTGACATTGTAGAAACTAAAGAAATTGGAGGTGATAAAGTCACAATATTCAAACAAGAAGAATCAACATCACGTACTTCCACAATTATTATCAGAGGAGCATCTCAAAACAATCTAGATGATATTGAACGTGCAATTGACGATGGAGTTAATTCAATCAAGGGTTTAATTAAAGATCCCAGATTGTTACCAGGTGCAGGAGCAATTGAAATTGAATTAATGAAAAAAATAAATCAATATGGTGATCAAACTCCAGGTCTTTTACAATTGGCAATTAAAAATTTTGCAAAAGCATTTGAAATTGTACCTAGAGTATTAGCAGAAACTTCTGGATTTGATGCTTCTGAAGTTATTTCAAAATTACATGCTGCTCATGCTGATGGAAATATCAAAGCTGGTATTGATATTGATGATGGTGATGTTAAAGATACAAATGTTTTTGATTTATTTGTTGCTAAGAAATCTGCAATCGATTTGGCTGTTGAAGCTACTAATACTATTTTGTCAATTGATCAAATTATAATGGCTAAAAGAGCTGGTGGTCCTGTTATTCCAAAACAACCAAGAGCTGGTAATTGGGATCAAGACGACTAGGTAAGGATGCATTTTAGTTGAATATGTAGATTAATGAATACCTTTTGATTTCTGTCTAGAATATTCCATCTTCGTTGTAATAACAGTACCAGTTCTTAAATTTAACGATTTTGCTTAGGGGGCTACAATAATGACATAATCAACCCATAGAAAAATTGTAATCTGATTCGACTATTTTGATAGAGCAATTTATGTATGCCCTGCGCAGATCTTGTAAGATCTGACTGCCCGGGGCGTAGATCTTAGATCTCAGATCTACCACTTAAACAAAAAACCAATACCCCTTAAGATTACATTCTTTCTTTGAACCCCAATCATCAAATTTAGAGGATTATGAAACACTCAGCTACTCTCAAAATTAATTATTCTTGCTGTTAAGCTTTCAATTAATAATACAATAGCTGCCAAAGTATGAAATTTCAAACTTAAACTATAATATATATTTCAAGTTAAATATCAGTTTGATATCTATGTGCAATTGATAAAATACTTAAGCCTTTTGTAGATTGAGTAGCAGTACTTGATATTTTAGGATTTGTCCCATTTGAACCAGTGATTTTGACTCTTTTGTTGATGTTGATTAGGTAGCAGTAATTGATATATACTCAGTTAGTGTTGACGTAAAATCAAATATAAATGTTTTTGGTTTGAATATTGTAGCTCTGATCCTTTAAACATGATATAAGATTGTAAGTGAGCTATAAGTAGTAAATTTGCAAATTTGAAATATTATACCAATTAATAGTTGTCTTTCGAGAAGGTAGAATAGTTCAGCACGATTAAGACAAAAGCTCTGAAATAATGCCATCAAATTATAACCACATTATTGTATACTTCTACCTTTCTTTATAAATTTTTCAATTTTATTTAAATCTTTCTTACCATTAGTTTCAACACCACCAGAAACATCAAATCCAATAATATTATTCAACTTAGGTAAATTTTCACTAGTCAATCCACCTGCTAAAATACTTCCAACATCCAACTTCTCATTAATATAATCCCAATCAATAGTCTTTCCTTCTCCACCCAAATCAGAATCAAGTAAAGGTAAAGATAATTGACCAACTAAGATATCTGCATGTTCTTTTAACAACTCATGCTCCTTGGGGATTATATATCTCGGTATAACTCCAAATCCATATCCCAAATATTCCAATTTATCTTCATTGCCATGTAATTGAATAAAATCTAATTCTAACTCCGTAGCTATCCTAATAACGTCATCTCTGGGTTGATTTCTAAACACTCCTACTAAATAAGGACCAGTTCGACTTATCTCAGCTGCAAGTTCTTCGAAATACTCGTTTACGTTAGTTGTATTTGGAATTTTCAATTGTTTTGTTCGTTTTGATTTTACAAGTTTTGAAATTTCTTTAGCTATTTCATGGTTGATTGTTCTTGATCTGTTTGGGACTAGTATACATCCAATTAAGTTTGCTCCGTTATCTATTGCACATTTTGCAGATTCAATATCTGATATTCCACAAATTTTAACCAACATTGATTTGTTCTCGTATATTGAAAAATTGAATTTTTTTTTTGTGACTAATTCTTTGCCCAAATTTTAAGCCAATGGAATATTTTCCTCGCGTTAAATTTAGGGCGGCTCGTACTAAACGCATTGGCTTATATCTCAAGGAAAGGACATTCTCTCGAATTAAAAACAACATTGATCAAATCGGTACCCTAGAATTATGTATTGTATATGCTTAAAATTCCATAATTAAGAATTTTTTTTTCAAAGTTGTCATTTTGGCAACTTTTCATCATACAAAATTTTTCTGAAAAATGTGATTCATTGTGTCTTAATAATTGGCGCCAGAACTTTTAATTAAACAACTAATTATATATATTAGGCACCGAATAAAAGTACAAGATGCAAATCCAACTCATCTGATTCAAAAATGAAAAAATTTGAAATTTTCACTTAAGTATGGGCAAAAATGAATAAAATGAGTCTATAAAATATCCACAAATAATATCCAAATTGAAACATGATAAAATGAAGTACTTTTGTAGCTCTGTACTTTGATGTACCGCTAGATTTTTTTTGTTAAGGTATTCAAAATTAGAAAAGTAATTTTTTGAAGGTGTTTCGAAATTTTTGAAAATAATTCAAACCTATTCTGGCGCCTTGAAAACGTTATACAACTACTTTTCGAGGCTAAATCAACCAAACCTGCTATATTAGAAGTTGTCAAATTAAGTTTAAACATTCGTTACCTTCGATTTTAACGTTTTTTGCCGTTTCTTGAATGTAGAATAAAGTGGGCAAAATTGTGTTTCCTAGAAAGATATTATAATCAGCTAGCTTCAAATTATTCGAAGTTTAAACGAATAAAGTTTGACAATTTCAGCCTGAAAATTGATGGAATTATTTACGCTTCAAATTTCAAGAATATGTATTTTTGTACTGCATATAAATTAAATTTTGTTTCAGAATTTTGAAACTCAATCTTCAAGAATAGTTTATAATAAAAAGACAAATATAACGATATCAGTTCCATCATATTCTATTGATTATTTTTGATTTACAAAATTATTACATATTTCTTTTTGTTTGTTGTTTTTCCCATAATCTTTTTGGAAAGTGTTTAATCGAGATTTTCAAAATTTTTAATTTATTTGAACTTGATGGTGGTGACAAATAGCTCTTTCTTCATTCAAAGTGAGATCTTATCATGACTCTAGCATCCTTACTTTGCATCTTTACTTAATTTTTCTTTGAGAATATCTTACCAAAATTTTTAAAATTGTCATTCAATTTATTTCCACTTGATGGGGGTGGTGATAAACTACTAACATCTTCTTTCAAATTAGCCAATAATTGATTCAATGGTCTCTTTTCATTCTCAATAGTCAACTGTAACTTAAAATTATCAATAAATTTAGATTTATTTTCAATTTTTCTTAAGTTTAATATTTTTGTGAAATTGGAAATTGATTGATCACCAATAAGCTCAAAATAAGATTCTATAATATTCTCCATTGGTTTAATTGGAACAATGAGCAATTTTAATATTTTTTCAAGGTCTTGGAAATGAATATTTACAAATTTAGTATATGATGTACTTGAATTTTTATTACCAAAGGAAGGAAATTTAAATGCTAAATCTTTGAGATTTGATATGTCGAGTAGGAGTTGCTCACATACCACCACTGATAAATTTATAGACCTTAAAAGGTTTAATATGGTAGTGAGTAGTGAGTCAATTAATTTGTCATTGAATGTTCGTATATAACTGTCTCTTATAATTAAAGGCAAAATGAGTTTTAGATTCTCTTTTGTTACTTTCTTTATATCTTGCATGTATGAACTTACATCAGTAACATCTTCCAAATTATCCCAATCAAAGTTATTAAATTCTCTCCAACAATAACTATAATCTAAATTTGTCAATTTTGTAATTGTCCTATTGATAAGTTGAAAATATATATCTTTATTAAATTGATATGGTTGATTTATAGTCTCGAATTTTTCACTTAATTCATCTATATTGCCAATTATATAATCACTAGAATTTAAAACCATAGTTAAATATTTAATTGATTCTTCGGTATTGTTACTTTCAGTTTGTAAAATAGGCAACAAAATCCTTGAATAATATTCATACAAATATTTATTAAATAGTTTAGCTAAATCTTTTAAAACTTCACCTTTCGATAATTTTAATAATTGTGAAAATAACTTGTTGAAAATTTTAAATAATTCAGTTGATGAATTAGATACATTTGGAACATTTGCATGAATATCCTTTATTAATTCTTCAGGTAATTGAGATACTGAATTAAATTGGATTAATTTTTGGTTAAGTACTGAGTCTTGTTCATTTACCCATAAGATTAAATATGGTTCAAAAACTGAAGATATATTAAAATTAGTGTTATATTTTGAGTTAATTGACTTTTCAAAATCTTGAGTAATTTGCAAATTATCTAATAATGCTCGAGGTGATATTTTTGAATTATATAATAATCTTGAAATATCTTGTTTTGTAAATTTAAAAAATTCGTTAGTGAATTCTTGTTCAACATTCCAATCTTTTGGAAAATTTTCAAATGAAATTTGATCAAATATCTTGTTGAAATAAATATATCTTCGATTAAGATTATCTAATGACCCAGCTTCATCTGAATTACCAAAAATGTTCTTGAGGTCTTTTAAATTCTGATTAAAAAACCAGGTGAGCAAATTATCTTTATATTTCCCATCTATTAGTTCCAACGTTTTTGCACCATAGAAATTCCCCTTTCCATCCTCAAAATCCATGAATATGTCATCAATTAATTTATTCTGGGTATGTATAATCAACAAATTTATTTGATTTATTTCATCAATTGATTTATACGGCCTGAAAAACTCTAACAATTCCTTAATTACACCTAGTGACAGATATATTTCTTTATAATTCCTAGATTCTAACTTCTCATTCAAGTCATTATTTACATTTATCAACATCTGTAACCTTTTTAATATAGTCATTGAATTAACCAAGTTTTTCTTAAATGTATCTAAATCCTGTATTGATTTCGTCATTAAACTAATTGATTCCTTGGTGGTTTTTGAATCTGATTTAATTTGATGAATTGTTGATAATAATTCCTTAATATCATCATTTACAGTTGTTGAACAATTATATTCCAGTTTTGATTTTTCAATATCATTTTTAAGTTCTAATTTATATTGATTTATATGAGATAATATATCAGGTATTTCATTTAGACTATTTGGTGAATCAAATATTTGATTTAAATGATTGGATGGTGAATAATTTAATGAATCCATAATATTATAGTTTTCAAATTTTGTACCTGATTTCTAGACCAATGCGTTATAACCTTAAATAGTTTAAATCTTGACCAATATTATACAAGTGACAGCTTTCACCAAGTCTACCTTAATTTGGTTATTGAATGAAATGTTTAATTTCCTAATTAAGTAATTTTTTAGTTTTTTTTTATTTTATATTTTATTTATATTATATTTTTTTTCTTAAGGAAACAATTATTGATTAACTGAATAGGTGAATGAACCATTGACAATAGCACAATACTACAAACAATAACAGACACTATATATAACTATATACAATCCCCTGAAATTAAACTATATATTTATTTGGTTTTTTCTTTTGAATTTACATGACTCGATTTAAATTTAGAAAACATAGTAATTCAACAACAACCAACGAAACTTCATCTTCAAATTCATCAATTAAATCAAAGAACAAAAGATTCTCATTATATTCAAATTCTGTAAATTCTTCACCAAAAAGAGCCAGCTCCAAAACAATGCCTTCAATTTCTGAGCCTTTAAATAATGGTTATCAAGCTCCAATTTATAAAAGTAGACCCCCTCCAAATATTAATTTAACTAATCCCTGGAATAGATTTAAATTATTTGATTCTCCTTTTCCGAGATATCGTCATGCTGCTGCTTCAATTACAAATGATAAGAATGAGATTTTTATTATGGGTGGTTTAAAAGAAGGAAGTGTTTTTGGTGATACTTGGAAAATTATACCACAAGAGGGACAAGATGGTGAAATATTAAATTACGTCGCTGAAAACATTGAGATAGTCAATAATAATAATCCACCTGCTAGAGTTGGTCATTCTTCAGTTTTATGTGGTAATGCTTTTATAATTTATGGTGGTGATACTGTTGAAACTGATGATCAAGGTTTTCCAGATAATAACTTTTATTTATTTAATACTAATAATCATAAATATACCATTCCAAGTCATATTTTAAACAAGCCTAATGGTAGATATGGTCATACAATTGGTGTAATAAGTTTAAATAATCAATCTTCAAGATTATATTTATTTGGTGGTCAATTAGAAAATGATGTTTTTAATGATTTATATTATTTTGAATTAAATTCTTTTAAATCTCAAAATGCTTCATGGAATTTAGTTGAACCAATTAATAATTTTAAACCACCACCATTAACTAATCATTCTATGAGTATATACAAGAACAAAATTTATATATTTGGTGGTGTTTACAACAATGATACAGTTTCAAATGATTTATGGTGTTTTGATTCTGAATTGGAAAAATGGCAACAAATAAATACTACTGGTGATTTACCATTACCAGTTAATGAACATTCAAGTTGTATTATAAACGATAAATTATATATTTATGGTGGTAATGATTTTGCAGGTGTAATTTATTCTTCATTATATGTATTAGATTTAACTAATTTACATTGGACTAAATTAAAAGATTCAGCTGAAGAAAACGGTCCTGGTCCAAGATGTGGTCATTCAATGACGTACCTTCCAAAATATAATAAAATTATTATAATGGGTGGAGATAAAAATGATTATATTGATTCTGATCCTCATAATTTTGATACTTTTGAAAATTTTAATGGAGATGAACTTGGTACAATGATTTATGAATTAGATTTGGGATTATTAGAAACATTTATAAAACCAAAGAAATTAGCTGCTTCTGCAAAAACTGATGATCGTCATGCAAGAAGCTCAAGCGCTGGTCCTGAAGATTATTTAACTCCACAAGGTTCACCATCACCTGAAAGATTTAAAAATGATTTTGTTGATGTTCAAGTACCATCCGCTAATGTATCAAATTATGAAACTGAAAAGGATACATTAGAAGATGATTATGTTAGATCATTAGATCCTAAAATAGAAGATGAACCTGTTTATCAATCTAAAGAACCAGTTTTTGAACCAGTTTATAATCAACCTGTGGAAGAGGAACCAGAAGTGGAAGAAAAACCAGTTTACGAACCTATTCACAATGAATCAGTTGAAACAGAAAACGCTAAAGTTAAACAAATTATAAATGAACTTAAAAATGAATTAACAAATCTTAGAGCTGCAACTAAGGAAGAATTACAACGTGCAACTGAAAAAATTGAATCACTTGAACATGAAAATCAAACACATCAAAGAAGTATTGATTATCATCAACAACAACTTAATGAAAAAGATTTATTAATTAATGAATTAAGAGGAACTTTAGATCCATCACAATATGATCCAGAATCACAAAACTCAAATTTAACAGAATTAAGTAGATATAAATTGGAAAGGCTTGAATTGAATAATAAATTATTATATTTAACACAAGAGAATAATAATCTTAATTTTAAATTGTCTGAATTTGAACCATTTATGAATAATCAAATTAATGATTTATCAAATTTCCAAAATATAATTAAATCACAAGAAGAACAAATTAGAAAAATGACAGAAGAAGTAAACCGTCATGAATCAGTTAAAAATGAATTAGTTGAATGGAAAAATAAATATTTTAATCTTGAAAATGTATATAATTCAAAATCATTAACACTTGAAGAACCAAAACATGAATTTTCAACACATTTAGCTGGTTTAGTTTCCGCATGGCATGAAAAACCAACTAGAGAATTAACACAACCTGATAATCAAGTAATTGCTAAATTACAACAACAAGTTGATGATTTATTAAGAATTGGGAAAGAAAATCAAGAAAATTCAGCTATAGAAGTTGCTAATCTTAAAAAGGAATTGCAAGATAAATTAATATTACTCAAAAATGTTGAAGAAAATTATAAAGAAAGTTTACAATCTGTTAATAATACATCAAAAGCATTGAAATTAAATCAAGATGAATTATCAAATCAACGTAATTTACTAGATAAATTAATTCAAGAAAATAATGAATTGAAAATTTATAAAAAAGCAACTACTAGATCAAGAGATGGTACTCCTATTGTCGAACATTCTGAAGCACAAGATGATTTAGATGAACAAGTTATATCTAATGCTCATTATAATATGAAAATTAAAGATTTAGAAGCTGATTTGTATATCCTTAAACAAGAAAGAAATCAATTAAAAGACACTGTAACATCATTACAAAAACAATTATATTTAGCTGAAAATAATTAATGTATACAAATTTCATGTATACAAATTTAATGTATACTAATTTAATGTATATTATCTCTAGGTATTATTAATCTATCATTTTTAACAGTTAAATAATTTGGTACACTTGGTTCATGATATAATTCTTCTAAAAATTGTCTAGGGGTTTCTGGAGTTTCTTGTGGTGGTGGTGAATCTTCATCTGGTGGAGCTGATGGTAATAAACTATTTTCATGTTGTTGCATTCGCTCTTTTTCTGATAATTCTTGTAAATTGTTTGATGCTTCTTGATAAGGTGGAGTAATGTCAGAATAATTTGTAATTGAAGACCTTCTCAGATTTATTTCTTCAGATCGATTTGTTCCAATGTAAATTTCTGTAGTTAATTGAAGAAATTTTTTGGACCGTTTAAACTTATCAGTATTGACAAACTTTTCCTTCTCCTTTCGTTCATCAAAGACAACTGGTTTTCCAGATAAGTTTATAAGTACCTCTATAAAATATTGAAAACTAACTAATGGACATCCTGAAATTGTTGGAAACGCATCTGCAGGAACTCGTATACTTGAGTTTATTTCACTCGAAAAAGTTTTTGGATCAACATATAATGGTAATATCAGTTGTTGTAAATCTTTTCTAAAGCTTTCAACTACTCCATCGGGTCCATTATCTAATCGACAAACTCTTACAAAAGTTATTATTATTCCATTTGTATCTGTTACTTTTTTTAAATGATTTATAGATAGTTTAATCGGTATTGATTCTCCACGTAGATATCCCCTTTGTGGTACTTCAAGTATAACTTTTATACTTGGTTCATCTTCTGAATTTTCGGAATTTGCTGATGAGAAAGTTCCAAATGTATTTATTGTACTTGTTGATGATTGTGTTCGTATTAGTTTATTATGTCTTGGATCTTTTAATATTAATCTTTTAGGTTTAGGTCGAGGTAGGGATGATACATCTATTGGATTTATTAAATGTATCACTTTTTCACTAGTTACCAAACTATTTTGTAATTGCTTTATATTATCTACCACCACATAACTTGATACATTACCTACAGCAGCTTTTAAAGTATAATTTATCAGTCCTTTCCCAAAGTCTATTGACGTAAACACCCTCTTGTTGGGCAATTTTACTATAAATGGAAATACATGTTCACCTTTATTTAACCCACTTGAATCTTCGTCTTCAGAACCATAAATTTTAATATTATGATCAAATAATGTATGCTTCAAAGGTCGTAATTTAGAATGACTACTAGCATTAATCTTAATAAATCCAATCAACAGCAATGTTATAATAATATTTGGTAAATTTTTCTTTGAAATTAAAACAATTAGACCAGAAACTTCATCACCAGGTAACCAAACTTTATGAGGATTATCTAGTTGAATATAAAAATCATCTAATCTTGAAGGTTCTTCCTCTTTCGCTGGTAATATCTTTGAAACAGCTCGTCTCATAATAAACACTACTAGTGATAAATAATTTTGTTGAAAATATGATATTGTACACTACTAATTATAAAAACTATACAAGGCTTAAAATTTGATATGCTTTAATCAAATGTCTTCTTTGTTCCTTTAAATTCAGTTTTTGGACGGGATTGACCTCTTGGTGCACCACCTCTTGAACCACCTCTTGAACCACCTCTTGAACCACCTCTTGAACCACCTCTACCACCTCTGTTACTATTATTATTATTATCTCTTGGGATTGAAAAATCTAATCTACATGGTCTATTATCAATATATTCCCCATTTAATCCTTCTAATGCTGCTTTAGCTTCTGCTACTTCTGCAAACTGCACATATCCAAATCCTTTTGGTTGTTCAGTATCTGGATGTGTTGGAATTCTACATGATATAACACTACCATATTCTCCAAATATTTTCATTAAATTATCCCTATCAGCATTAAAAGATAAATTACCAATAAATAATGTATCACTTGGTGGACTTTGTTGATCTCCATATTGTTTAGCTCTATCATTTGCTGGTTTTGCTGTATGTGGTTTACTAGTTGACATATCTAAATTAATTGGTCTACCATCAATTTCTTTACCTTGCATTTCTTCCAAAGCTTTTTCAGCTTGTGATTTAGATTCAAAATCAACATATCCATAACCTCTTGATTTACCAGTGGCTCTTTCCATTATTACTCTTGCACCAATAACACCACCAATATGTTCAAATTCTCTTTTTAACCATTCATCGTCGATATTCCATGATAATCTACCAACAAATAATGTAGCTGGTTCTTCTGGTTCATCAATTTTTGATTTTTTGACTGGCGTTGAATCTTCGGTGTCAATTTTTCTTTTATTTGATTTTTCGGTTTCTTCTTCTTCTTCTGAGTCTGAGGATTCTGATTCTGATTCTGATTCTGATGATGATGATGATGATGATTCTGATGATGATGATGATGATGATTTTTTAGATTTTTTTACTTCTTTAACTTCTTCTTTTTCTTCTTTTTCTTCTACTTCTTCTTCTTCTTCTGAATCTGATGAGTCTGATGATGCGCTTGATTCTGAATCTGATGATGACGATTCTGAGCTTGAACTTGATTTCTCAACTTTCTTTACATTTTTGACTTCTTCTTTTTCTTCTTCTTCATCACTTGATGAGTCGGAGTCTGATTCTGATGATGACGATGATGATTTTGAGTCTGAACTTGATTCTTCTTTATCTTTCTTTACATCTTTAACTTCTTCTTCTGATTCTGATTCTGATTCACTTGAACTAGATTCACTTGAACTTGATTCACCTGAACTTGATTCACTAGAACTTGATGACTCTACTTGTTTCTTTACTTCTTTCTTAGAAGCTTTACCAACTTTACCAACTTTACTAGATATAGCCATTGTAATAATAAAGAATAAATTTATATATTTTTTGCTCTTACGAGATGAGTTGCAAAATTATTTTTTTTAGTGAAAAATTCCAGCCACACCAATTACTCGATTAGTAAGTATTATATTTTTCACCGATAACGGTATGATTTATTATATAGGTTGATCTCATGATTAAATTTCAACAAATTTATCAATGTTTATCTTCAAAAGACTGGTATCTAGGGTACCTCCAGTCCAATTAACATATAAAAATATGTTAAAAGATCCATCAAAGAAATACCCACTTGCTAAACAAATCAAAATCAATAGAACTTGGCCCGATAAAATTATAACTAAAGCTCCAAGATGGTTATCAACAGATTTAAGAGATGGAAATCAGTCATTACCTGATCCAATGTCAGTAGAAGAAAAAAAATTATATTTTCATAAATTAATCGATATTGGTTTCAAAGAAATTGAAGTTTCATTCCCATCTGCTTCACAAACTGATTTTGATTTTACAAGATATGCTGTTGAAAATGCTCCAGAAGATGTTACTATACAAGTTTTAACTCAATCTCGAGAACAATTAGTTAGAAGAACTGTTGAGTCAGTTATAGGTGCTAAAAGTGCAATAATTCATATATATTTAGCTACTTCAGATATTTTTAGAAATGTGGTTTTCAATATGACAAAAGAGGAAGCTATTAAAAAAGCAGTTGAAACAACTAAATTAGTTAAACAATTAACTAGTCAACATCCAGAAACCGACTGGAATCTTGAATTTTCTCCCGAAGCTTTTTCAGATACACCGGTTGAATTTTCAGTTGAAATTTGTGAAGCTGTTAAAAACGCATGGGAACCAACAGAATCAAAACCAATGATTTTTAATTTACCAGCTACTGTTGAAGTTGCAAGTCCAAACATTTATGCTGATCAAATTGAATATTTTTGTCAAAATATAACTGAACGTGAAAAAATTATAGTTTCAGTTCATTGTCATAATGATAGAGGTTGTGGTGTTGCAGCTACTGAATTAGGGTTATTAGCTGGTGCTGATAGAGTTGAAGGTTGTATATTTGGAAATGGTGAAAGAACTGGTAATGTTGATTTAGTTACTGTTGCATTAAATTTATATACTCAAGGTATTTCACCAAATTTAGATTTTTCAAATTTAGAAGAAATTATTGAAATTTCAGAAAAGTGTAATAAAATTCCAATTCATCCAAGATCCCCATATTCAGGTTCATTAGTTGTTTGTGCATTTAGTGGTTCACATCAAGATGCAATTAAAAAAGGATTTGCAAAGGCGCCAAAGGAAAAATGGGAAATTCCTTATTTACCATTGGATCCAAAAGATATTGGTAGAAATTATGAAGCTGTTATTAGAGTTAATTCACAATCTGGTAAAGGTGGAGCATCATGGATTATACTTCGATCATTAGGTTTAGATTTACCAAGACAATTACAAGTTCATTTTTCATCATTAGTACAAAGAACTGCTGAATCATTAGGTAGAGAATTAAAATCAAATGAAATTATTAAATTATTTCAAGATGAATACATTATACCAACCCCATTACAATTAAAAGATTTTGAAATTAATAAAAAAAGAGAACTTAAAGCACAAATTAATGATTTTCAAATTAAAGGTCAAGGAAATGGTCCAATCTCTGCATTTATAAATGCATTATCAAATAAATTTGATATTTTATTTGAAGTTAATAATTATTTTGAACATTCATTAGAATCTGGTTCTTCTTCAAAAGCTGTTTCATTTATTCAATTAAGTTATTATAATCAAAATGGTGAAAAAATAAGTAAATGGGGTTTGGGTATTAATCATGATGTTTCTCAAGCTTCAATAGAAGCTATTTTAAGTGTGGTAAATAAATTAATAAAGAATAATGAATTGAATACATAATCGTTTAAAATTCGAAAAATACATACAGAATTTACGCAGAAAAGAGGAAACTAGCCTGATAAACCATTTAGCATGATGATACTCGACTCTTTAAGCTACTTTCGATAATTTGATACGAGTTGTTGCTACGTCCAATTTTCGGATATACATCTCCGAATCATGCGTTTATATTCTGTCACCGTTTATCTCCGATTAAATTTAATTTGTTCTGTGCCCTATTCTTACTCACGTGCCACATGTGACAAAAGAAATGAATATTGAAGAGTAAATAATCTTAGACGCTCTCGATGTGCGCACTAGGTTTACTATTGCAAACTATTCAAATTTTTAATTTGGTTATTTTTTCAAGTTTATCAAATCAAATAGTTGAGTAATAATGGCTGGTGCAATTGTTATTGATGCTAAAGGTCATTTATTAGGTAGATTAGCTTCAATCATTGCTAAACAAATCTTAAATGGTGAACATGTTGTTGTTGTTAGATGTGAAGCATTAAACATTTCAGGTGAATTCTTCAGAAACAAGTTAAAATATCATGACTACTTAAGAAAATCAACTCGTTATAATAAAACTAAAGGTCCATTTCATTTTAGAGCTCCTTCAAGAATTTTATACAAAGCAATCCGTGGTATGTTACCACATAAGACCAAGAGAGGTCAACAAGCGATGGAACGTCTCAAGGTTTTTGAAGGAGTTCCAACTCCCTATGATAAAACCAAGAGAGTAGTTGTTCCATCTGCTTTAAGAGTTTTAAGATTAAAACCAGGAAGAAAATATACTACTGTTGGAAAATTATCATCTGCTGTTGGTTGGAAATATGAAGAAGTTGTTGCTAAATTAGAAGAAAAAAGAAGAGTTCAAGGTGCTGAATATTATGCTAAAAAGAAAGCTTTAACTAAAAAAATCAATGCTGCTAATGCTGCTAATGCTGAAACTGAAGTTGGTAAACAATTAGCTTCATTTGGTTATTAATTTAAATAGTTTGATTAAATATAAAATAGTAATGTAATTATTAATAATGTAGATCGACTTTGAAATTGAAACTTTGATTTTGTAGAGGTTTTTCATTTTTTGTGCAATGTTTTGGGTGCAAATTGCTGCAATTTATTGTCATGACAACCGATAGAAAGTAGAGAAAACTGCTTTCAAGCTAGTTTAAGATGTAGATTAAGTTTTCAATTAATTTAAAATGAACAAATGATAATATATTGGCTTGAAGTTTAAGATTTTGATGAATTTTGAGCGTTTTGCTGGTTTGAGGAAAATTTTGACCTTTACATTAATTTTGATGTCATGAATCAATTGATGCTTGAATTTAGTATCAAGACTGGGTATAACAACTATAATCAGATAATTAACAATTAGGGAGCTCAATAGTCGGTTGAATATCTAATTCCAATGAAAAACTTTATAATTTTGTAAATTTACTCACTCGGTAGCGGGTCATACTATATTATTCTTGATAATTAATCAAGATTTCGATCATTAATATTTGATACGTTGTTATAAACGTATATATCGGCTTTTATACCTTGTACGTAAGTAAGTTTTGACTTTGTTCAAGTCTAAAACATGGACATTTTTTGCAATGATATTAAGTGGCTAAGTTGGTAGCGACAGTTTTATTGTATATCATACATTAAATTCGAATTCATATTACGGCATAACAGAATCAATTATATAAAAGTGTACCATATACTCTGTAATAGGACGTTTGTGCAATTAAAGTCAGATATGCAGTTCAAACTTGCCATTTAGTTTATGTTCAAAAGTATACTATTTGGCCTATAATACATTTAGTTGCGTGAACCAATGCTGCACAAAATTCGCACTAATAATGGTACCATGTCACGCCTTGAGAGGCTTGTCGTGTTCTCGTTTCACGTAGGTCGACGGCTCTATATTTCAAATTATAAATTCTGAAATAAATTTAATATTCAGTATCATTATACATAATCCCACAATTTAATTTGCCAATAACTTCATCAATAATCAAGCTATGGCTGTCGAACTTTTTTCATTAATACTTGGTTAGCCTTGAGTTAGTCTGATTTTAGTATCTTTTGATAAGATTTGATTTTGATCTTCTTCTGACTCATTTAAAAAATTGCAAAAAACGCTTAATTTCAATACAATCAAATCTTAGACCTCATTTAGCAACTTCTAAAATATCTGATTTGGTTCATTTAGTTCAAAATACGGCAATTATTATGATTTGAACATGCCAAAATCTTGAAAATTTTATAAAAATTTCGTATCACTTTCGAAAAATCAATATTCGAATTTGGGCACCTTAACACAGAAAATCTTGTAGTTTATTAGGTTGCCGGAACTACGAACTTAGATACTTTTATTATACTTTCATTACGAATTTGATTATGGAGCTAAATTTTTAGTAAAGTCAATTTATTCAATTTTTCCCATACTTTAGAAAAAAATTGGAATTTTTCAATTCTTGGTCAGATCGTTCAGAAATAAGTTTAACACCTTAGTTTGGGGTGATATGTATATCATCCGTTATTAATCAGAAATTATGACGGTAAATAAAATCATATATGGATTTTCATTTTTGGAAAAATTTTTGTATGATGAAAAATGTCAAAATGACAACTCAAGAAAAAAATGTTTGAAATTTAAAAGTCAAATATTTGGGATGAATTATTCAAGACTCCAGATCTCATTAAAATAGGTTTTACATTGTGAAAATGCGATGTTGATAAGATATAAGCCAATATGTGGTACGAGTAGCCCTAAAGCTAGCGCGAGAAATGTTTTTTCTCACGCCAGAATCATCGCATTGAAAAATACATACTTCTGAAAATAATTCTGAATGTAATTCCCTTGCCTATATGTTAGAAAATAGTTCGTCTAATTATTACTAATTTCTTTAATTTGAAATTTCTCTTGAGACTTCGGAGTTTCTTCAACTCAGAGTCGTTTTGAGTAGAATGTGGAATGGTAAATAATGATCATGACTAATTCATTGAAATCAACAAGTAATTACGAGTATAACATAAACTACTAGTCAGCTTTTCGGAATTGTTATAGCTAAAAAGTCATAAAGAGTGACCAGTAAAAGGACTGGAGATGAATAATTTATTTAGGGGTAATTCTTAGGCGGAACACTAATCTGCTCTGATTGGCCAAATGAAACACAAAGTAAAATTGTCCTCCAAATTATCAGACTCTCTTTCATAAAGTCACAATCATTAATATACGGCTATAAATACCAAATTTTGCCTAAATTTCACTTGCTTGCTCAATTAAACTTTAAGTGGTACCAAACAATATGTTGTCGCGTTGAGATGTCTGCGTCAAGAAGTTTTATTTGTATTAATCATTATTTCAACACGATAATCTTCACACTTAAGTTTTTGACTTTTTATTTGAGATTTTAATATAATTGATCTCTCCAAATCTTCTTTTTCTATTTCTAGATCTTCCTTTATTTCTACTGCAGTATCTTATTACTCTTTTGTTCTATTCCAGTTAATCGTTTTCCTTTAGCTACTAATTTCTGTTCCTCAAGCTCTTTTTTATAATATTAAATTACCATTATAACTACTTTTAGCATGATACAACAAATCAATATCCAATACATCAAAAAAAAAAAAAACAACTCAAGGAATCTCTCATACGCTCAATACACTAAAACTGATGATATTTAAACAACATTAAAATTAAATAGTTTAAAAAACCTATCCAAATTTGCAAAAGCTAAATTGTTCAATACAAATGAACCAAGTTGTATCTGTAAATTTCAAACCCCAAAAATTTACCAACTCTTTAATAAACTATTATTATTATATATTAATTATTACACTACTATTCTTTTAAAAAATTTGAAAATTTTCATCCTTTTTCTTTTCACAAATTTATCATTTGATTTAATTGTTTGATCTGATGAAGTTGAATTATTCCTTTTCAATTTCCTTACAATTGTATCAACATAAGTAATATTCCCCGTAGACTTATCTTTAAAATTTTCATATCTAATTAAATAAGATTCAACATTAAAATATCTAAAATTTGATCTTTCAAATTTTTCCCAATCATCATTAATAGTTAAAAATAATTTTGGAAATTGATTAATTTTTAAAGATTCTAAAGTTGGACTTTGATTTATCAACTGAAATGGATAATTTTTACCTAAATGAATTAATTTAAACTGATTAATTAAATATTTATGATTGAAAAGTAATTTACTATGATAAAATAAATATATTAACAAATGGTTTACAGTAATTTCCGTATTACTTTTTGTTATACTTGATATTAATGAACTTATTGATGATGTTTTAATAAAAATATCTGAATGATTATAAGTGATAATTATTTCAAAATCATCTCGTAGTCTATTCAAAATATAATTTTGTAAATATTGATTTGATATTTGCAGTTGTAGTGAAGACAATGTTAAACATGAATCACAAGGACTACCTAAACTTGACATATATATTTATTGATAAAATTTTTGTACGCGGGCCCATGGCTAATTTATACATGAAAAATCTGGAGTAAAGGTGGGGATGATAAAATTGGAATATGCACGACTTTCTCTATATGTACTCCTATTTAAATTAGACCCTTTCAATTAAATCACACTGTAATTGAATAAACAGATTCTTATTAGATTCAATTAAGATTAATAATTTATTATCACCATCGTATTGATTTAATAGCTTAACCACCAACAGATTACAATAATCATTTTTAATCAAATAACTATTAATATCTTCAATTACTACTATTTCATCATCAATTAAACTTAATTTATTTAAATCAGTTATTACTTCATAATTACAATTTTTAACTTTTCCTATTAATTTATTTGGATTAGTTTGATTTATAAATGTAAATTTCTTGTCGTTTGGTATGTATTTGTTAAATTGTAAATCATCATTTTGATGTAATAAATAAATAATCATGTTGTTTATTGTTGATTTTTCTTGTGTTAGATTTCATATGATCATCGCACGGCAAATACCGGAGAATTAAAAATACGGTATTGATTTACGGCGAGAGCGAAAAAATTGGTATGAGATAAAAGATACTATTTACGTGCTTAGAGTTGTGTATTTACATCCTTAGAGTTGTATATTTGTATCCTTACATTATTTGTATCTATTTAACTTCCTTACATTATTTGTATCTATTTAACTTCTTCAATCTTGAGATAATACTATTTACATCTTTAGAGTTGTATATTTACATCCTTAGAGTTGTATATTTGCATCCTTAGAGTTGTATATTTACATCCTTAGAGTTGTATATTTGCATCCCTACATCATTTGTATCTATTTAACTTCTTCAATCTTTGGTTCTGTCTTCGATTCTTCCAAATCTTCTTTCAATTGAGGATATTCTTGTAACTTTTTAGCTTTTACAATTTGTTTTAATCTATTATTTGAAACTAATAAACCATATCTTCTATATTGTTTAATTAATTCAGCCAATTCTGATCCTTCTTTATTTTCAGCATTTGCTGCAAATATAAATCCCAATTCTTGAAAATAATTATATGAAATTTTCAATTTAAAATCTGGTTCATTAGCTTTTTCAATTAAATTTTGTATAGTTGCATTCATATTTTCTTTAATTAATGGAGTATTATAACCTTCAGATTCACCTAATTGAGCACCTAAATATTTAACTGTATTAAATAATCCTGCTTGATGAGCTTTAATCATACCTCCATGTTCATTAATTTTAAATTCTCTATAATATTCTTTATATTCTTCAATTGTTGCTTTTCTAGTACCTGTCCAACCTAATTTAACCAATTCTTCCTTTGCAATATTTATATCTTTTGGAATTGAACCTGGTAATCTTAAAACTTTAATTGGATTAAAAACTCCTGACCATAATATAACAAATATAACTAATAATTTTAAAATATGAAAAACAAAAAATAAACTTTGTGGAACTAAACCAACTTCATTTTCAATATCTTCTAATAAATTAACTGCAATTTTTTGTTGATTAAAATAAATCGCAATTTTAGCTAAAAGTTTTGTAATTTGATTAGTTAAACAAATACCAGGAGTTGGACTTATAAAATCTGGTAAATCAGTATATAACCAAACTAATAAAAATGAAATAAAACTATAAAAATTAAAACTATTAAATTGCCAAATTGGTAAAATTAATTGACCTGGCCAAACTTCATTATTAATTAAAAAATCATTTGACTTTATAATTTCAACTTTTTTCATTGCATCTTCATCAAAAAGAAAATTACCATCTTCTGTAACATAACCTGGACTAATTGATTTTTTAAAACCTATTGGTTGCGAATTATAAAAAACATTTGGTCTTAATGAAATTGGTAATGTTTTAAAAATTGCAAATAAATCTTTAAATTTGGTGGCAGTATTTACTTGGAAACAATAATCTTTTTCTTGATCATCATTAAATCTAATATAAACATCTAAATATGCAATTTCTTTCTCTTCAGACATTGTTGGAATTAGTTGTTGAAAATTTTACGGAGTTCTTTTTTTTTCGTTAAAATTTGAGATTTATTGCGCGCCGTGCATAAAAATCTAATATGCAGGATGACCAAGATTTGAGTAAAAAGTTGCTTTAAACTAATATAGAGTCCAGTAAGTGAGTTATGATGGCTTTTAATTGATGGTGATTAGGTTGTGTAAAGTTGGTTCGAAATCTGGTTGAGTATGAAATTTTTGCTCGCAAAATTTAAAGATAAAGCTACCATGTGTGTAATCAAAACTCAATTACAATTTTACTAATCTTTAAGTGGTAAAAGTTTTATTGCAAATGAAAGGAAAGTCGACTTGTATGCTATTCATATTGAAATTTACATTGTGCTACTTCTGGTGCTTCTGTATTTAGTTGAATAGGTGAAAAATTTAAAATTGAAAAAATCATTGGTTATCGAGCAATAACTGAGATTATGACATCATATCCAATAACTATTGAGCCATAGATTTAATCATTCCCAATCATATATACTGTGTCTTGAGTTTAAACTATTGATGTTGACTTTTTAAATCAAGATCATTTAATTCAAATACGTGAATAAACGACTCCAAACTTAAAAATAACAGATATTTTAATTTATACACCTTTCTACATCTTAAATATGTAGATATATAATACTCCTATTATTATTTCTCAAAGTAACGATGCATTATAATTAAATTGTATTATTTTTGTTTAGGACTGGAAGTAGTTGAGCATTAGACATCCTCCTTAGACATCCCAAAGTTGATGAATCAACTGGTAGAATGATTACAATTTGGTTATTCATCGGGCATACCAACAAATAAATTTGGATATTTTAAAGCATACGAACTTTCGTTCCTCAATTCAAACAGTCTATACAACTAGCAGTTACTGATGGAAAACTCATCAAAGAACTTTGCTCAAAGCCAACAATCTATTATTAACATGGAAGTTTAGAAAAATAGTTGTTTGGAAAAACTGGTTCTCTATTTATAATTTCGCAAACATAAAATTTTAAATCATGATGCACCACTCAAAATTTGAAGAATTTCCCAAATGGAATAAAGTTTGATAACTACTTTATTTGTCGAAATCAACAGGAAAAACATGCTAAGCTTTATTAAAGAGTTTTATGACAGTCATAAACTTCTTGATCCAATTAATTTCCTAAGTCAATGCTCAATTAGTGATGGTTTTTGTATAAGTTAATTCATTACATCAGCGAGAATGATACCTTCTAAAAACTGAAATACATAGATGTGTAGGCAATTAGAGAATTCCTATTGTGTTGCCTTTAACGCATCACTCTTACTATTAATCGAAATGATTTTGAAAATCTTTTTTACTTACTATCTTTGTATACTAATTTAGCTTGTGATACTAGATCTTAAGACCCTGTTTTCTTCAATCGGAAGTTAACTTGTAGCTAGTTAAGTTGATTTTATTACGATTGAACTCTTGTCAAGAGGAAATTTGGAAGTCTTCACTCAGTCGAAAATCTTTGAGCTATCCTCATAATCGTATTGAGCGCACTACGCCCAAACATTTTACAAATTTGAGTAAATTATCCACTCAATAACATTACCCTAAATGGTGAGCTAGTTTCCTGGTCAGCCTATGTTGATAGTTTACTTTAGATTTTTAAGTAGCTTTTAATTTTAAGCGGCTGTGAATTGCTGCAAAAAAAAAAAATTGCAACCAAAAAAAAAAAATTTGCAGCATAAAAATTTTAACTATGGTCAAGATTGAAGACATGAAAATATCTTAATAGGACATCAACAAGAAGAGTAGGCTCAATTTAAAACCTTAGAATAAGTGCAAATTCATTAAAGTTCATAAATTGATGGCTTGAATCAAGCTAAACCTTCAACAGGTTTTAAAAAAAAACGAGATACTTTACTCTAAAACCAGCGCGACATGCTCCTTCCATTTGAATCATCTGTTGTGAAGATGAATTCATGAATTATTGTTCGTATCGACTTTCGGATAATGTATTGTACAAAACCAAGTAAATTAAGCCATGAAGTTTTTCATATTAAATTTGACACAAAATATTTTCACGATCAAAGATGACTTAATGATCACACAAATACGAAATTATAGTAGTTCTAGTTCATTTCGGAATGTAAAGGCTAATTAAACAAACATCAAGTCTCAGCAAGCTAATTAAATAAAATAAAACACTTTATTGCGAAATTGTTTGTATTCCATCACTAAGCCAATTTGAGTTCACACGAGCATAATAGGGTTGAATTGAATATTAGACGAATATATTGGATCGTTTATTTTGGTCTTACGCCATCAATCATCAAATGTTCCTTAAAGAATATAATGAAAAATTTTCATGCTCCGCGTTTTGTGTTAAAAAACGAAGAGATTCAACTGAATAAAGAACTGAATAAAGAACAATCAAAGAGTTAATTAGCAGATCAATATTTAAACTCATTTCAGATAATCTGATAAGCTAATATGGTGCAATGGACCACTTATTCTAAACATTGGGGTATATTTTATTTAATCACAAAAATGTAACATCAAAACATCAAAACATCAAAACATCCAAACATCAATAACGCGAGTAATCAATTTAATTAGATCTTTAATTAACAATATATTATTCCAAAGCCCCTGGAATAAATTGAAATGAATCGTGTATGTGTAACTAAATCAAAAACATCAATCATAGCCATCTTATATTTTATATTGTTATATTGTTATACATTTATCCCTTTCCGAAATCACTTAAAAAAGATTTAATCAATCGCGTAGAATCCAAGAATAAATAAAACATGTATGTCAGTCATAGTCAGCCGTGTGAAAACATATTAAACCAAAACTATACTCTACTCAATTCAACAGCTTCATACATTCAGTTCCAATATAATATCACCAGAAATACGACATCTAATCGATTATTATGACATAGCCCCTATTAAATAATGATACGAGAGTGTATATAATCAGTAAATGTATCACGTGTAAAACTTCTATAAATAGAAACATTATTTATTTATAATTTAACTTAATTTAGTTAAATTAGATTGTTAAACACTAAAATCATTCATCATCAATAAGAGGTTGATAACTATGGAGAACTGTTGAGAGTATATTTGCTGATCAACACATTAACCACAATCGTACCCTGTGCAAGAAAAATTGAATAATATTTTATAAGAAAATTGATCTCTTTCCATTTGACATGTTCATCTTGATCAAGAAAATAATATTTTTCTTCTTCATACTAGAATATATTTGTCCAGTAAATCCGAGAAGTAAAATTGAACCAGCATAGAAATTAAAATAACTCGAGTAATATATATGAACCACTAACACGAATGGAAAAAAATTGAGCATTGCCATGTTTAATAACTATTAATTCGTGTTGATCTATTGTTATTGTCTTACATCTAATACAATCGTCGTCTATTACAACTATTATAATTGCTTAAAGTTTAACCGATCTGAATAAATTTTTTATTTTTTAATTTTTTTTTTTTATTTTTTTTTTTTTTTTTTTGTTTATTTTGAAATTTGAAAATCAACGAAAACTAGAGATCAAATTTTCATGATTTTCATATAAATGTTCCATTTAATCCTGATTTTGATATTTTTTTTATAAATCTTTCTTTTCTTTGTTTTTTTTCTTTCTTTCTTGAATTTAATTGATTTAGTTATAATATAATATTTTACATTCGTTTGATAAGCATAATGTTATTTAAATCATTAATTCCTTCTTTAATAACATTATCTTCTTTAATATCATGTGTTAAATCAGAAGATTTACCAGAAATTGAAGTTGTTGGTAATAAATTTTTTTATTCAAATAATGGATCACAATTTTATATTAAAGGTATTGCTTATCAACAAAATAATTTAGGATCAAATGATTCATTTAATGATCCTTTAGCTAATGCAGAAGCTTGTAGAAGAGATGTTCCTTATTTGGAAGCTGTTGATACAAATGTTATTAGAGTTTATGCTTTAGATGTTGAAAAAGATCATAGTGAATGTATGAGTTTATTACAAGATGCTGGTATATATGTTATTGCTGATTTATCACAACCTGATGAATCTATAAATAGAAAATCTCCATCTTGGACTATAGATTTATTTCAAAGATATACTTCAGTTGTTGATGCTTTTCATAATTATACTAATATTCTTGGATTTTTTGCAGGTAATGAAGTTACAAATGATCAAACAAATACTGATGCTTCTGCTTTTGTTAAAGCTGCTGTTAGAGATACAAAAGCTTATATAAAAGCAAAAGGTTATAGAACTATTCCTGTTGGTTATTCTGCAAATGATGATCAAGATATTAGAGTTTCATTAGCTGATTATTTTGCTTGTGGTGATGATGAAGATGGTGCTGATTTCTTTGGTATTAATATGTATGAATGGTGTGGTTCTTCAAGTTTTACTTCATCAGGTTACTCAACGGCAACAAAAGATTATCAAAATTTAGGTATTCCAATCTTTTTTTCAGAATACGGTTGTAATGAACAAACTCCAAGAAAATTTCAAGAAGTTGGTACATTATTTGGTGATCAAATGACTGATGTTTGGTCAGGTGGTATTGTTTATATGTATTTTGAAGAAGAAAATAATTATGGTTTAGTTTCAATTGATTCAAATGGTGATGTTTCAACTTTACAAGATTATAATAATTATAAATCTGAAATACAACAAATTTCTCCAACTTTAGCTCAAGCCAGTGCTGAAAGTGCAAGTCAACCATCAAGAACTTCATGTCCAACAAGTACTGATAATTGGTCCGCATCGACCGACTTACCTCCAACTCCTGATAAAGATGTTTGTGATTGTATGGCTGCTTCATTAAAATGTGTTGTTGCTGATAAAGTTGATGCTGAAGATTATGGTGATTTGTTTTCTGAAGTTTGTGGTCATATTGATTGTTCAGGTATTTCAGCAAATGGTACAACTGGTAAATATGGTGCTTATTCTCCATGTGCTTCAAAAGATCAATTATCATTTGTTTTGAACTTGTATTATGAAGCTCAAGATGAAAATAAATCAGCTTGTGATTTTGATGGAAGTGCTAGTTTACAATCTGCTAAAACTGCTTCATCATGTTCTGCTTATCTATCATCAGCTGGTTCATCAGGTTTAGGTACTATTTCAGGTTCTGTTAGAACTGATACTTCACAAGAAACTGATACTACTGGTAAAGGTAATTTGAATTCATCAGGTTCATCAGGTTCTTCAAGTTCTTCAAGTTCTTCAAGTTCTTCAAGTTCAAGTTCTGGTTCTGATTCAAATAGAAGTTCAGCTTCATCAATTACTGGTTCAAGCTTGACTAAATTAGCTGCTATTGCTTTATCAATGGTTGCTGGTTTTGCAATGTTAATGATTTAAATAGAATAATATATATATAATAGTTTTTTTTGGGTTAAATAATTGCTACAGTGTAGTTTTGAACGAACTGCTGAAGATATCTAATATGAATATATTAATATGAATATATTAGATATTCAAAATTTACAAAAGAGAGCTACCAATTGAGCTTGGAAGATTTTACTCCTTTCAAAACTTCGAGTTGAACTATTACTGATATGTCTCAGAGTTAAATCCTTTCTAAAACGAACCGCTATCATTATTGTCCGAGCATGGATTAATCACTCTCAAACTGAAGAACTGCCACGATAATCCAGACAGAATTCATCGTTAGTCTCTTCGTTACTATAATTATTAATCTCCCCATATATTTCATTGTAAATCCACTCCGAAAAGCAAAAACCATTTTTAACAACACAATTGTATGGTACTCTCGAATTCTCATTATACCAGATTACGCTGTTATTAATATAAAGGTCCTCAATATTTGGAATTTCAAAGAACTAATAATCATTATAAAATTCGATATTTGATAGTTCTAATTTTTTAAAGACTCTTGTAAAACCTTCAATTGATTGAATACCAATATAGTTTTGGAATCAATTACCAATTTTTTCAAAGTTTCAGGAAAGACGATTTGTAATTTTGTACTAATCATCTTGTTGATTCTGGAGCTCTCATAATACATTTAAAAAATTCTAAATTTAGAAAGTTATTCATTGCAAATGCAAGGCATGGAAAAGTTGAGTGAAATAATTTTAGCCTCTTTAAATTAACTACAATTTATTCATTCATAACAAAATCTCTCTAATATACCAATAAAAATTATTTTCATACTCTATGGCTCTGACCAATGACTTATCTTTTCATCACTTCTCAAAGGTCCAAAATCAAAAAATATTAGTTATACATTTAATACTACAACATTTATTCAATCATTACATCCTTTTAATTTCCCAGTAACAATTTCTTGTAAGCTCTATTAACCCTGTCCAATGACTTTATCCTTCCCTTAGTTTTTCACGTATCTAGATCTCAAAAAATATCAGTTTTATATTTAAAAACAATTATTCATTCATTACCATTTTTCTAATCTCCCAATAATAATCATTCTTATACTCTATTGCACCTTGAAACCAATGACTTATCTTTTTATCAATTTTCAATTCTTCTTTATTAAATTTATCAACTAATCGACTACTCAATCTAAAATCATCCTTCAGTTCGTACTCCAGTATACTGTTAGTTGATGTAGTCCGTTGAGTATACTGACTCAACCCTCTCATTGATTGAGATTTCTTTGGTGGTGAACTTATTTTCAAATCGGGTATATTAAATAGCTCGTCATCTTCTTCTTCATTAATATTTATCCATTTTCTTGTATTATTATCAAAAATCATATTTTGATTCTTTGATACATGATTTAATTCATTCTTACTTATGAAATTAGGTTTATTAAATCGATATAAATCTTCCTCATTACCTTCCCATCGCAAATTTTTAGAATCGAATCTCATTTTTGAACTCGAAATTGGTGAACTTAATTTTGTTATATTTTTGATTTTTGATTTATGATTATGTTGTACTTCGTTTTCTTTATACTTTTCCAATTTCTCTTTATTATAAAATGATGGAATTCTATTTAATTTATTTATAACTTGATCATTATATTTTGGACCACTTAAATTCATTGAATGAAATTTTTTTAATGATTTATGTAGATTTAAGCTTGGTAAGGATGATTTATGTAATTTTTTATCTAGATCTTCAAACCCATCTTGAAATTCATCAAAATCATCTTTGGTGTACTCATAGTTTATAGTTTTTTCAGATTCTAACTGATCTAAGAATGAAAGATTTTGATTTGTTAATTTGTTAAAGTCTTTTAATTTTAGTGTTTGATTTGGGTCAACTAATTTCTTATTCCTCATTGTTTCATACTGTTCAAGTTCTTTTTCTGCTTGTTGTTGTTGAGCTCTTTTCCGTTCTATCAATTTCTGATTCATTTGTTGATAAATATTTTGATTTTTATTAAATTGATCCCCCCATTCAAATTCAGATTCACTAATAAAATCTGTTAAACTAGTATCATCACTATACTCACTAAGTGTTTCTTTTGTTATTCTTTTACCAGATGAAGCTTTTGACGTTGGGGAATTTATTTGTTGTTTTGCAGTAATTTGAAAAGATGGCAGATTATTATTACTCAAGTTTAATTGATTAATCTTTAAAGTTTCAACGTCATTCTGAAATTCCATACCTTCAGAATCACCAAATATTTCTTCTTTATATTGTGATAATAATTCATTCTTTGATTTCATCTTGTGTATAAGAGACTCTATATAAATTTTTTGTTGTATATTTTAATTTTCTACGATTTTTTTTAAAGCCTGTAAGTTTGAACTGAAAAATGGTGGAATCACAATCAACAGTATAAAACATGCCAATACTAGTATAAACAACATAAAGTACTTAACGACTTGTATGTTTCTCTTCTTTCTTTGTCGTGTTGTCATTATTGGTCTTGTAAATTGTCTTTTTGGTTTTAACCAAAATAACATACATGTATGTAATGTATCAATATATGGAATAAATATTAATGGAAACATTGAAAATAATAATAAATGTCCAATTATAAAATCAAATGTAAATTTATTTAATTCAAAGATTTTGACTGTAAATTCTCGAATATTTTGTGTTATAACCCAAAATCCTAAACCACTTGTATACCATTTACCAGACCACCATGCTTTATTAACATTTTCTGGTCTTTCTCTTGATATTCCAACAATTAATATAAAATTTGATATAATTCTATGTAATTGAGTTATAACTAATATTGCTGATATTAAATAAATATAATTCCAATCTTCCAAAAATAATAAAATTTCTAAATTAACAATATTTAATATTATTGATAATAAATGAGCTAATGCTGCAAAAAAAGCTGGTGTAGTTTTAATAAATAGTCCTATAATTGGAGCCATAGTTATAGATAATGCCCATACAAATAATAATATAATTGCATTTTCAATGTATGATGCAAATACAACAACAGCAATTTTTAATAATGGGTTATTAAAACTCAATTTAAATAATTCATCATTTGAATGAAGGAACAAATATGGAATAAAATATAGTATCAAACTTACAAAAGGAGATCCAACTTCACCAAATAATAAATTAAAGGTTGAAGTATTTCTACCACTATTATATTTCTTCACTTTTGATCCTGTTAATTTACTTCTTGAAATTTTTGTAGTCGCGATCCATGAAATACTTTTATATTTTGTATTTCCCTTTGATAACCATCTAATATAATCTCTATAATCAATGAAAAAATCAATAAAATTAAATTGATGGGGATTAAATAAAAATGGTGCTAAACATAATGAAATAATTGTAATTACAAACCATAATAAAGCTTTTCTCCAAATTGTTAATATTGAAAATAATATAACTAAGAAAATTTCACAACCATAAAATATTGAAACATTGGCATATCTTGAATATAAAGTCGCAAATGAAACTCTTGAAATTGCAAATCCACGTCCAGTTGCAATATATTGAGCTTCACCAAATACAAAATTATCTCTTAAACTTTTTGAATAAACTTGACATACAAAAACTTCAAAAAATGGACTTAAGGAAACAACATGTAAAAATATTCTAAATATAGCTTTTATAAAACCTTTTTCAATAAGCTCCTGAATTATTAATGGTAAAAATGAGATAAAGAAACAGACAAAAACTGATAAGACAAATCTATCAATCCAATTTAAAACTGGTTTTAAATTATGACATCCTTCTAAATTATCTTCACATGAAATTGTACCATAATTTAAAGCACCTAAATTTACTAATAATAACATAAACATTTTAACAGATAACATAATTGATAAATTATTAATATGAAATCCTGGATGTGCATAATAAAAAGATAAAAATCTGTCAATCGGAAGTAACGTTCCAAGAAAGTAATATTCCCTTGAAATCAATTGCTCACCCATTCCAGCACCTATCTTCTTTGTAAAATTTATAATAGATTGAAATCCTAAATCTCTACCCTTTCCACATTGATAATAATCACAATGTTTTATCCTACCCCCACGACAAGTTGCAGTTATACCAGCATATATATCTTCATTTAAATGTAAACCACGTTGAGCTTTTGATATACCACCTCTTGTACTCATGAATATTCCATTTAAAAAGTCAGGATGTCCATAATGTAATTTTGAACCAATTTCACCCATTGTTCTTGCAAATAAAGTACCAAATGTTTGTTCTTTACCAGCTGCAATATCACCTAAAACACCAATATTTTGTGAAAATATAAATTCTCTTGATCCAACAATTGCAATTGGTGTTTTATTTTCCAATTTATCATAACTTAATACATCTATATTAATTTCTTCAAATTCTGATAATAAAGACTTTATTTTTAAACATTCTTCAATATAATTATCTTGATTTGAATCAATCACTTGAATGTATTCACCACGATAAAATATTAATGCATTATTTTGATTATCAGATTTACCATCACCTAAAATTGGATTTCCAGATAATTTAATTCTATATCTAATCTCTCCATTAACTAATAACACCAGATAATATTCATCATCTTCTTCAATTCTTTCAAGATATGCTACTTTCATATTGGGAAAATTCTTCATTAAAATTTCAGCATTTTCCTTTTCCTCTGGGTTAAAATTTTGAAAATTTTGCATTGTAACTAATAGGTTAAACTTTCGATTAACAAATTCATTCAATTGTTCTTCAACATAAAAATCTTCTTGTACATCAAATCCAATCATTTCAGCACGATATAATAATTTTAAAGCAGTTTCATAATTCATAAATCCAGAAACGGTACGATATAAAGTTTGACATCTTAAAGCTGCCCAAATTCTTGTTCTTAAACTATTTTCTTTTGAATATTCTTTAAAACCAACACAATAATAAGGTAAATCTTCAAATTTTTCACGTAAATTACCCAGTTTTTCTTCATCGATTTCTTTATCCATATTTTGTATCATTTTTGAATCTTGTACAAAAGTAGTCCATTCATTTGGATGAAGACTTTTAAGGTATTCTAATAATGTTAATTTTGAAAAAGATTGTTCTTTAATTAAATCTTTTAAACTTAATAAAATTTTTTCAGAATAATGTGGAATTAGAACTGTAAAACTTGGAGTTGAAACAACTGAAAAAGTATCAGGTAATGGACTTGACAATGATTGTGCAAAAAATGTAATTCTTCTTTCCCATTCTTTTTCTATTTTAATATATTCATTAATTTTAAAAGTATTATCATCTTCATAAACGAAAAATGCCGGTGGTTTAATAATATCATCAATACTTTTTGAATAAATTAATTTACTAACTTGTTCAATTGACAACATATGTTCTCTATACATGGAAATTATAATGGTATTCCATATTTGAGATATAACTAAAATCAAATTTGTATTATCGCCATTATATAATTTTGTCAATATCCGATCTGGTAATCTTGAAAATATATTTCTCCAAGGTGTAAAAATTGAAATTCCTAATGAAAATGATAAACCGACAGAAAATAAACAATTACATATAACATACCATAAATAAGTATCTAAAAAGAATAGAATCAAATCAAGTAAATAAAATAACAATAATGTAATTTTTGGTTGTAATTTACAAAATAAATTTGAATCTTTACAATTTAAAACAACAGTTGATAATATTTGAATTGGATCCTTTAATGATAGAATCAAAAAGAAATATGATTCACTATATTTTGCAATAAAAACCCCCAACCATAAAAAATATGAAAATAATTTGTTTCGTAATTTTAAATTTGGAAATGATGAAACAAAAATTGATTTGAAGCTACCAGGTGGTACAATACTTAAATATAAAAATGTTAATATTGATATAGTTAATGACATTGATGACACAATTAATCCTGTTTTATGTGATTCTTCGTATGATGTAAATCTTAACACATATATAACTGGTCCAATATTTAATCCAGTTAAAAAAAATAACCCTAGGATATATTTTATATTCCCCTTAATGAAGAAAAATTCAGTACACGCTGCAAATAATGAAACAGAAGTTGCAATTGTACCTCCAATAGAAACAATAGCTAATCTTATATGTATTTGAGGTGATTTTTCAGGTGTATAATTTTTAGTATATAAAGCAGGTGAATTGAATGACATAAAATACCAAAATACAGAAATATGTATAATCCAAACTCTACTAAAATTGGTAAATACATGAATCCATGTCCTTCGTTCTCTAAATTTCTTACTTAATGACTTATTCCAATCAATAAGACTCAAGTTTTTATATCTTTTATCTTTTTGAATTCGATAAATTTTATTCCCATTGGTTAATTTAATCTTTGATAATCCTTCCCAACTCCAAAATTGTTGATTTATATCATCATAACCAATAGTTTTTGAATGATCATTCTCTTTCTTTTTCCATTTCCCATCATTTAAAGTATATTGCTGTTCTCTTATAAAATTATAAATTGGTGTAATTATATTAGTTATGAAATGTAATTTTTCAAATTTGGGTCCACTATAATCTAAAGCACATTGATATATAAAACAGAGACACTCTGGCATAAATCTGACATTATTAGACTCACCCCAAATTAATAAATATAACGCAATTTGATAAATATATTGTGATTCTTCTAGTTTATTAAATTTCGAAATCCATAAATCTTCATCAATTTCTTTATCATGGGCATTAAAATACCATTTCTTATAATTCGAATTATTACCTCCTATATAATCTAAATGTAATGATAATAATGCATTTGAGCAATTTGTTCTACTTGATCTTGAATCTAATTGAGTCATGAAATGATCATACATGTTTGACACATTATCATCTTGAAAACCAAAGTTATTACCCAATTCGAGAAAGATTTCTAAAATTTGTTCTAATGAAGTAATAGCACCATTTTCAGCACACCATGCTGGATAAATTGATTGTTTCTCCATTAAATTAACCAAACATTTTAAGATTTCCATATTTTTATTACCAATTTTTTGCAGCATATCAAAAAATAGTTGCAAAATTTGAGGAAAATTAAGAAATACTAAAAATACATCAAATAACAACTAAAGATAGATTTAAACAAGTTATATCCACTCTATAATACTACTAGAATAGGTATCTGGCAAAAGAACAGCTGGAATGGTTGCAAAAAAAAAAAATTAGACAAAAAAAGTAAAATTTAACAAAATGGTTGCAAAAATTAACTATTAAATGCTCTCACCAGGACTCGAACCTGGGATCTCCTCATTACTAGTGAGGTGCCTTACCAACTTGGCCATAAGAGCAGCTGTTGAAATTTTTTGAACCTACTGAAATTAGTCAACTAATTTTTAAGCTCTTGCCGGAAATTTATCATTACATTCACGTGTATAAATCATAAAATCCACCTTTAAATTGTAGTTGGACTTACGGTATGACCTTATAATAATCATAGTATTATTATACAACAAGAAAACGGAACTTCATCCCAGAAGCAGTTACTCAATTTTTCAATTTTAATCATATATACACCAAAATCCAGAGAGGTTGCCTAATGCTTTTCCAGTTTCAATTATGTATATGCTCATAGTTACACTAATTAGCAATAAGCGAACCATTCCATTTTGTGTTTGGATGTCTACATTTTACCCACACGCATGAAGCACCTGCCAAGTTGAAAAAAAATGATCCAATACAGATAAAAACTTTGAACAGTTGTAAGTTCTCCAAAAATATTATCTCTCCATGATTGACTAAGATTCAAAATGAGTATTGACAGAATGAAAGTGATAAGTAGATTTCAATTCATTTGTAAATTGTTGAATACAAACTAAGCAATCAAAAGTTCAAATGGTCGAATTCTTAGCCGCACCGAATCATTTTTTCCCGCGCAAAATTTCAAGCATTGGCCGCACGCTTTTCCATGAACTCACCGAATTTAAATAATTGATTTTGAAGGTGTATTTGAGATTTAAAGTGTTGGCGGTGAAAATAAGGTTATTTGGAACTATATTACTGCCAGGATTAGTTTTCAACTTGAGAAAGTTTCTGATTATACAAAACCTCGGCTATTTTCTGCTTTTAACACATTAAATTTGTTAATGACTTTCGTTAATAGTCTTACTTAGTCCACGTTTATAGTATTTGTCCGATTCAACTGCTTATTCACAATCAATACTGCTCGTTTAATTGACAGTAAGCGTATAGTATAAAATTTAGAACATTGTGCGTAGAGTAAACAATTTAAGGGTTAACAAAAGCAACTTCCAAATTTAAATGCAGATGACATAGAAGTAAACAATGGATCTTTAGACATTGGTATCCTCGATTGAATATGATTCAAGTATCAACTGGAGTTATACACTGTAGTATATATGTCTATATTTGTTATGCCAGTTATTATTTTGCGACACTCATCTGAAATTCCCTCGCAATTTTATTTACTAATTTTTTGTTTTAGCCGTTTATACTTTTTAAGTAACTGAAACTGAAATTCGTTTCTTAATAATAAATAAATAAGCTTCACTTATTCTTCTTAACTAACAGTTTCAATTGGTTTATATATTCATTTAATTGTACTTTTTAGTTATGGGCAATAATAATTATTCACCTCCTAATTATCCTCCTCCAAGTCAACCATCATATAACCAACATCAACAACAACAAGGTTACTATGATACTTATCATGTTCAACCAGATATGGAAAATCAACAAGATTTAAAATATTATGATAAACCTCAAGAATCAACCAATTTTGATGAATCTTTTAAAATTGAGAAACCAAAATTTAATGACTGGCCATTTGCTATTTTCTTTTTATTAGTCGTTGCTGGATTCGTTGTGGTTGCAGGTATTACTTTAAATGCTTTGAGACAAACTTATGGTTATCAAGGTGGTGGAATATATGGTGCTTCTAATCAATTTACATTAAATACAAATACAATAATTTTATTTGCTTTCATTATTGTTGTTTCTATAGTTGTTTCATTTTTAATGATTTTATTTGCAAGGATGGCTCCTAAATGGTTTATAATCTGTGGTATTATTGCAAATGTTGTATTAGGTATCGGTACTGCAATCTTTTATTTTGTTGAACATTACTATTCTGCAGCTATTGTATTTTTAATATTTGCATTATTGGCATGTTGGTGTTATTGGAGGTCAAGACATAGAATTCCTCTAAGTGCTACAATTCTAACTATTGTAATTGATGTTATGAAGATGTATCCATCAACTTTAATTATTTCATTTATTGGATTAATTGTAAGTGCTGCTTTTTCAGTCTTATTTTCAGTTGTTATTGTTGCTACTTATGTTAAATATGATCCAAATCAAAATAACGAAGCATGTTCAGTTGGTGGTGGTTCATGTTCAAATGCTAAAAAGATTGGTCTATTGGTATTTGTATTCTTTGCTGGTTATTATATCTCAGAAGTTTTAAAAAATATAATACATGTGGTTATCACAGGTATTTATGGAACTTGGTATTATTTAGCTGGGTCAGATCAAGGACAACCAAAACATCCAGCTCTCGGAGCATTAAAAAGGGCATTATCATATTGTTTTGGATCAATCTGCTTTGGATCTTTAATAGTTTCATTAATACAATTAATAAGACAAGGAATTGCTATGTTAAGATCTGATTTCGCAGCTGATGGTAATGCATGTGGTGTTTGTGGTATGATTGTATTAGATTGGGTCGTGGGATTTATCGACTGGTTGGTACAATATTTTAACAGATATGCTTATTGTTATGTTGCATTATATGGAAAGAATTATATTCGTTCAGCAAAGGATACTTTTGATTTATTAAGATTTAAAGGCATGGATGTTTTAGTCAATGATATGTTCATAAATACTTCATTACATTTATGGTCATTATTTTCAGCTTATTTAGTTGCTTTATTAGGTTATTTATATTTAAAATTTACAAGTCCAGAATATAACTCAGATGGACAATTTTATGCACCTGTTATTGCATTTTCATTTTTAATTTCAGGTCAAATTACAAGAATTGCATTAACTGTGATTGAATCAGGAACCGCTTCATGTATGTATAGGAAAATTTTTGATTATTTTCATTTACTAACTATTTTTTAGTCTTTGTTGCATTAGCCAAGGATCCAGAGGTGTTTATGATGACTAATAGAGGTAGATTTGATGAGATATTTAGAAATTATCCTCAAGTACTTGAAAAGATAACGAAACAGAACTAGAAAAGAGCTTAAAAACGCTGAAAATCGGCTCAAGTTCAACCAAACAAGAGCATAAGCAATAAAAAGAACCTTATTCAAACTTTATACGACACTATGTAGACACTTTATGCCGTATTTTGACATTTTAGAGATATTTATGGATTGTGATAATTTAATTTTTAATATATGGATATAATAATTTACACGACACTTGGTGTTAGTTTTCGCACCAAAATAATTAGCACTCGTTAAATCTATACGCACCAATACAATTTATCAAACCTTCCATTAACTTCATGCTTACACTTGCAATTTCTGATCTATTTATACCTGAAAGATCAATTGATTTACCTCCAAAGTTCAAAAAACTATTATCACCAACAAACAACATCCCATCAAACAACAAAATCCAAAATGTAATCTGCCTTGGGAATATTATAAATTCACAAACTACCTTATCTTGGTTATCTAACATATCACCAACTTTTAAAATAGTTAGAGGAGAATATGATGATGAGACTCTAATTAAACAACAATTAGATATTAAAGACGTGCCTATTTATGGTAAATTCCAACACGATAATTTGAAAATTGGATATACTAATGGGTTTCAAATTGTTCCTAAAGATGATCCATTGGCACTAAGTTCATTTGCAAGAGAATTAGATGTTGATATTTTAATATGGGGTGGGACTCATAAAGTAGAAGCATATACTTTAGATGGTAAATTTTTTATAAATCCAGGAAGTGCCACTGGTGCTTTTAATTTCGACTGGCCAGAGGAGGAAGATGAGGATGAGGATGCGGAGGATGCGCAAGATGAAAAAGATGAAAAGAAGGAAAAGAAGGAAGAGACAGATGATAAGGAGATCAATAAATTGTACGAAATAGAAGAATCTAATACAAACATTCCTTCATTTTGTTTATTAGATACTCAAGGATCAACCTGTACCCTTTATATATATACATATCTTCAAAACGAAGTTAAAGTAGATAAAATTACATATACAAAATCATGAGTATGGAGCTCTTTAGTTTCAAGTTTTCTTTTTGCATCCTTACCTTGTAGTTTTTACTTCCCTACAGTGTAAGTTGCATTCCTACCAGCATCCTGACTACATCCTTACGCTTGAACACTGGAATAATGCAACACAAACTCCTTCTTTATCTTTTCCCAATTATGTGGATCAAAAAATATATATACCCCCTTTTCAACATCTTGACCAATTAGTACCGGTTCAACATTTGAGTCCTTAGTTAACCAAACTTGTATATCTTTATGATATCTCCAATTTCTAGCAACTAATTCTCTTGCGGCATATTCTTGTAAAGTATCTCTTGGTTTCATATAAAATATATAAAATAAAGTTTCATCAGTAAAAGATTGTATTTTTAAGTCACAGGATTCTGGAGGTGGTATTATATTTTCTTTTCGTAATTCTTTTGGTAGTTTAAAGTATGGTTCTACTTCTGATCTGCTTGTTTCTTGCCATGGTGATGATAAATTTTTTAATATTTCTGAATCTTTAGATAAATCTAAACCGATTTTTGAAATATCCTGACCTATTGCAAAATTTGTGAAATCATTTTGTTCCATTCTTACTAAAGAAGTTAAACCTTGTAAACCATATTTTTCATCTTCTGTCGGTAGTGAAACCATTGTTGGTATAAATTGTTTTTTTTTTGGTGATAATTTTTGGTGATAGTTTCTTTAGTTTAATTTTTTACATCAAGAAAGAATCAGTACTAGTATAAAACATCGTTGCCATTATTGCATCCTTACTCATCCCTACACTATGTCAAGAAGATATCTCCCTAACATAATAATAACTGGTACTCCAGGTTGTGGTAAATCATCACATTCTCAAAATTTAGTATCCCATATTAAAGAATCAATAGGTAAAGATTTAAAACATTTTAATATTTCAGATATTGCTAAAGATCAAAAATTTATAGAAAGCTATGATGCCAAACTAGATACTTCAATAGTTGATGAAGATAAATTATTAGATTATTTAGAAGTTGCATTAGAAAAAGGGGGTATTATAATCGACTGGCATTGTTGTGAAATATTCCCCGAAAGATTAATTGATTTGGTGGTGGTTTTAAAGGTTGATAATAGTATATTATACGACAGATTAAAAAAGAGAAATTATAACGATTTAAAATTGCAAGAGAATTTAGATTGTGAAATTATGGAAATTATATTAAATGAAGCTAGAGATAGTTATATTCCTGAAATTGTAATTGAATTAAATTCAAATGATATTGATGAATTAGAAAATAATGTTGAAAGAATTGCTTTGTGGATTGAAAATTGGTTAAATGATCATAAAAATGGTGTTACAAATGAATTACAACCTGCGGAAAGTGAATCTGAGTTGGAAAGAGAAGGTGAAGAAGAAGAAGAAGAGAGGGAACAAGATGAAGAAGAAAGTAATGAAGAAATGGAACATTTAGAAGACTTGGAATAGGTTAATAAACACGTTATATAGTTTCGTTTACTATCTTCAAACAATAATTAGTTTTAAAGAATCTTCGACTGACTTCTCATCAAGGAAGCGCAAGTTTTCAAACGATAAAAATTAAGTTCGGCTCATCTTTTGGCGCATATTAAACGATTTCGTAGATTTTCTTACAATGTTCTTTATTCAAAAAATTTTTAAATATTACAGAAATGTGTATTTTATGGCATCCTTACTCTTTACTATATAAAATTTCTAACTAATCTAGCTAAATATAAAGCAGTCAATATTATAAACACCATCATTACACCATAATAGCCCTTTGTCAATATTAAATAGGTCCAGGTACCATTTATTTTACTCAAATTATATTCTTCCAATTCAATTAAACATTTTGCATTTTGTTCAAAAATGTATTTTGATTCTTGTATAATTTCCAATTTTTCATCTTCTGTTAATTCATTTCTTGTAACTAATTCATAATCTCTTTTATAAATGATTCTTAATAAATTTTCATCTTGAACATCAAATGAAAAGAAATTTGTACCTAATTTAACAATTTCTTCATGTTTTAAACCATCTTTATGAGGATAAAATCCAGTTGCCTTGGCAAACGATGATCTCATAATTCTACCTCCTGCAAATAAAGCTAAATACATAACATGTAAATAAGCAAATAATAAATATGGCTTATCTTTAGTTACTTCTAAAATATGATTTGAAAATTTAATTTGTTGTGATTGTATTGGATTCGTAAATTTTGTTTTATCATCATTATAATAAAACATCAAATCTTGTTCTGCTCTTTCTTTTCTTGCGATTTCTGGCTTCCAAACTTGTTTTAACATTATAGTATATTTATTATCTGGTTGTTCGTTAAATTGTCTTTGTAATGCAGTTTCAATACTAGCAAATACATGATAAAAACTTTGTAAACCTTGTCTAAAAATTTTATAATTTCTTAAAGCTATTGCCATTTTTAATGTGACTAATTTATCAACTTTATCATGTAATGATTGTGTTTCTTTATTAATTCTATTTGCTAATGCACCAATATCTGTTTTTGCAGGAATTATTTCATGTTGTGATAATTTTGTAGTTGCACCAGTAGTATTAATACTAGTTGGTTCTATAGTTGTAGTTGAAGCCATTATGATAATTAGGGTATAATAAATAATAAATAAATAAGTGAAAGTGGTGATTAGGAAATGTTTAGACGGGAATTTATTGATGATTTTATATGTTGTGTATTTCGGAGATATCGTTACAATATTTATTATCGTGATGGGCGTGTCTTAACCAAGACACATCCACAGTATAATGGATTTATCGCTACGTGTTTCACGCTTATCAAAAATATACCAACACTTATTGTAACCAAGCAATTGTTGAATTTATCAGTTGATTGAAAGTCAGCCGTTTTTTAGTGTTCTAAAACTCAACAATACCACCACCACTTTCAATACTTTTCTTGTCATACCTCGAGAAACCAGCGTTTTTACGTTAAAAGGTTAAACTAAATCTACTCCGAGAATCGTAGATTCAAGATTTCATGATTTAAATTTGCTTTTATAATATATGCCGTGGGTTATCTTTTATTGTTAATTGTTCAATTTTTTTTAACTATTTCATCTGTCAAACAATCATGAATGTAGAATGAATTATAGATATGTCCTTTATCGGTCGAGAATTCCAGTTTATTCTTTTGATTACCTTTTTGTGACTCCCCTTTTATTGTTGCAAAATTTTGGATATTCACGCGGTGATATTAATTTGAAAAGTTTAATTTTGAAATCCTACCCCCTTGCATATACATTAAAAAACAATAGAAGCTGAGTATAATCGGATCCGATAAATAAAATTTTGTCAATGGTTGAAAAACCTTGTTGCTAAAAAACCAGCGTCATTTGGAGTGAAGCCTTGTGGATTGGTTGATGAAGATTATGACTAATTCATAAGGATATAAGAAGTACTATAAGTAATATAAAATAGATATTAGTCAATTCTACTGATATATCAAAGTTGAACAATCAAAACGATTAACTAGTAAACAGAATGGTTAACAAAATTAAGAAGTGGTTTTTAGGCGGCTATTTGTATTGCTTTGATTGGTCAGGTCAGTTACAAAACAAAATTCACTTCCAAAATTATGTTCTCTTTCACACCAAAGCTCTAATATACAATATAAGTATTGTTTTACTCCTAATAACAATTCCCAGTAGTTTTTGGTGCACACTTTAAATCTAAAACTTTAAATGGTACCGATATTGTGCAAAATTGGCATGCAAGCCAACGTATGTAATACAAAGTCGCCTGTAGGCTGCCTCGGAAATTAATTTCTTGCTTCCAATCATCAGGCATTAAATCATACCCATAATAGAGTATAACAACAACAGATATATAAATTTGTACCATGTATACTGTCTCAACAAGTACGTTATATTAATAGGTAGGTATCGGATTGTAATGATCATCTTAATTTAAGTTGGTAAACAATTAGTTTCATTTGGTTATTAATTTGAATAGGTTTATTAAATATAAAATAGTAATGTAATTAAATATAATGTAGATTGATTGACTTTGAAATTGAAATTTGGATGTTGTAGAGATTTTTCATTTTTGTGCAATGTTTTGGGTGCAAATTGCTGCAATTTTCGCCATGACAACCGATAGAAAGTAGAGAAAATTGTTTTCGAGCTAGTCTAAGATGTAGATTACGTGTTCATTTGATTTACACTAAACATATGATAACATATTGGTTTGAAGTTAAGATTTCAAATGAATTTTGAGCGTTCGTTGCAAAAAAATTTTGACCTTTACATTAATTTTAAGGTCATGCATCAATTTATTGCTTGGAATTTAGTGTCAAACCCAAGTATAACAGCTATAACCAATTAACCAGCGATTAAAGAGCTCAGTATTTGGTGGAATATCTAATTCCAACAGTGAACTTTGTAATTTTGCAAATTTACACATTTGGTATCGCGATATACCATGTTTTTTATGATAATAAATCAAGATTTCGATGATTAACATTTGACTTATTCAACTCAAAAAGCTCTACTAGTGTATTTTGCAGACGCCATTTTATTTGCGAAAGGCAATGTTAGCTTATTTACTACCGTAAATATAAGAAAGATCGTATCGATAAAGTATGAATAATAAAAAAATAATAACGTTGGTGCTTTGAGCTAAATTGATCATGATCTATTTGACTTAGTAGGAGCTTCGGTGATCATGAAGTTATCTACTCGTGGTTTTGATCATGACGAGCTTTAATTGTCTACAGAACAATATAGAATCCTAAATTTGTTTCGCTTTACAAATTCCTTATAAATAGGTTATTCCGTAAATGTATGAAATATCTTAAGCTCACCAGCATCTAAATTCTCCGATTAAATTAGATTCCAAAATTTTCAATTTACGAGAATTTCTCCACTCCCCTTGAACTCCCAAATAGGAAGTCATACCGATCTCAAATCTCTGTAGATCTGAAATCTATAAATAATCTGAAAAATTACCATAAAAATATTCTTTTTCTTTTCTTCAAGTATAAAATGTTAGAAACGGACAAATTACTTAAAGAATTAACTATTGATGAGAAAATTAATTTATTAGCTGGTTATGACTTCTGGCACACTTATGCAATTCCAAGATTAGATATACCTTCAATATCAGTTAGTGATGGTCCAAATGGTGTTAGAGGTGTTAAATTTTTCAATGGTGAGCCATCAACTTGTTTTCCATGTGGTACTGGTTTAGCTGCTAGTTTCAATAAAGAATTAATTTTGAAATGTGGTGAATTAATGGGTAAAGAAGCCAAATTAAAGAAAGTAAATCTAATCTTAGGTCCAACTTGTAATATTCTAAGATCTCCATTGGGTGGTAGAGGGTTTGAAAGTTATTCTGAAGATCCATATTTATCGGGTATTATTACAAGTTATTTAGTTGAAGGTATCCAAAAGGAAAACATCTTAGCTTGTTTAAAACATTTTGTTTGTAATGATCAAGAGAAAGATAGAAAGATAGTTAATGTTAAATTAACAGATAGATCATTTAGAGAAGTTTATTTGAAACCATTTCAATTAGCTATTAAAAATTCAAATCCTGGTAGTTTAATGATTGCTTATAATAAAGTTCAAGGTGAATATATTAGTGAATCAAAGTCAATAATACAAGATATTGTAAGAGATGAATGGAAATATGATGGTTGTTTAATGTCAGATTGGTTTGGTACAAATTCTGCTAAAAAGGCATTAGATGCTGGTTTAAATTTGGAAATGCCAGGTCCGACAATACAGCGAACAAAAGCTCAAATTGATGATGAAAAGGTATCAGAAGATGTTATCAATGAAAATGTAAAATATGTATTGGATATGGTTAAAAAAGCTGAAAAAGTTAATTTCGATGAGGAGATCGATGAATCAGACTCATTAGCAGTTGCTCGACAAATTGGAGATGAATCAATTGTTTTATTAAAAAATGATGAAAAAACTTTACCATTGTCTAAAAATGTCAAATCAATAGCTATAATAGGACCAAACGCTAAAGCTTCCCAAGAGTCAGGTGGTGGTTCAGCTACGTTACCAACCAGATATAAAACTACTCCAATTCAAAGTATAAAAGAAAAATTATCCAAAGCTACAGAGATTTTTTACGAACAAGGTTGTCAATTAGATAAGAATGTTCCAGATATTGGTCCACTTTTAATTGATGAATTTGGTAAACCTGGTGTATCTGCGAATTTCTATCATGAACCAGAAACTACAAAGGATAGAAAACCATTTGAGACCATTAATTTGAATACTTCACAAATCTTTTTAGCTGATTTCAAATCTCCACAATTACCAGTAGACCAAGCATTGTATTATGTTGAATTTATTTCGTATTTTACTCCTGATGAAACTGCGGAATATGAATTTGGTTGTTCTACTTTAGGTACTGCTGAATTATTTGTAAATGATAGATTATTAATTGATAATAAAACAAAACAAGTTAAAGGTGATGCATTTTTCTTAGCTATGGGTACAATTGAAGAAAAAGGTTATATACATTTAAATAAAGGTGAAAAATATCAAATTAAAATATTGTTTGGAACTACACCAACTAATAAATTAGGTATAAACAGAGCAGAAAGCGGTGGTGTCTATTTTGGTTGTAGGAAAAGAGCAAAACCAGAAGAAGATTTACAAAAAGCAATTGAATTGAGTAAAAAAGTAGATTATGTTATTTTATGTGTTGGTTTATCTAAAGAATGGGAAACTGAAGGTACTGATAGAACAACTATGAATTTACCAGGTAATTCAAATAAATTAATTGAAGGAGTTTGTCAAGCTAATAAAAATGTTATATTGATTAATCAATCAGGTACTCCAATTACAATGCCATGGGTTAATTTACCTAAAGCTATAGTTCATGCATGGTATGGTGGAAATGAATTAGGTAATTCAATTGCAAACGTAATATTTGGTGATGCTAATCCAAGTGGTAAATTGTCAATGACTTGGCCAAAAAAGTTAGAAGATAATCCATCGTACTTACATTTTGGATCAAACAATGGTCAAGTATGGTATGGCGAAGATGTATTTGTGGGATACAAATATTATGAAAAAGTGAATTTGAAACCTTTATATCCCTTTGGTTTTGGTTTATCATATACAGAATTTGAAATATCAAACTTAAACATTAACAAGAAAGATGATAATTTGGTAGTTACTGTGGATGTAAAGAATATAGGTGATGTAGAGGGTTCTGAAGTTGTCCAAGTTTATATTGCTCAAAGCAATCCAAAAGAGGTCAGACCAGTTAAAGACTTGAAAGATTTTAACAAAGTAAACTTGAAACCTAATGAAACAAAATCAGTTAAATTTGAGATCTCGATCAAAGAAGCTACTTCATATTGGAATGAATCAATCAATAAATGGCAATCAGATAAAGATGAATTTAAAGTTTTTGTTGGTAACAGTTCAGACAATATATCAATCGGAGGTACTTTTAATACAGAAGCCACTTTTACTTGGCTAAGTGTATAGATTTATTCAGTTATAAAACACTTGCTTTGCCACTATTCATTTCATATGTATAGCGCAAAAAGCGCAAACGCGTTTAAAATATTTTTTTTATTTTTTTTATTTTTTTAACCTTACGTGCTTCCCCATATTTCAACCAAAATTGTAATTATCATGATCAGACAAATATGTCAATTCCCCAGTTACGGAGAAAGAATTCCAGGTCCAAAATGTAAAGCATTTGTACATATGCTTAGTATTGAAAAAAATCCTGGTTCTAATGTTCATTTTACAGCAAAAGTAACAGATTATACGAAAAACAAACAAAGTAAAACAGGAGCTCCACCATTTGAAAATACAAGTACGAGTTTATTTGTCCCACCAGGGAATATATTAGAGGCTTCAATTCATAGAGATAGATTGAACTCGATTTCAAATTTATATGGATTGGCAACAAATAAGAAAATAAATTTAGCTAAATTAGTTGATGAAAGTTCGGGTGAAGTTGATATATCAAATTTGTTAATTTTAGTTTCATTTAACTTTGCTTTACGATTTTTTGATCGTCGGATACTCCCATTTACATGGGATGAAAATGTAGTAAATTTTAATTTACCAATGGAAGAAGTCGAAAAACAGAGTATCAAAAAATTACTACTTGGAATCTTTCAAAACAGAGACTTTGTCGTAGATATTTCTAATTTAATCTACGACTACATACCAGATACCTATCAAAATGAAATAGAACAAACAATTGAAGATGGAATATTTTCCGATTCAGATTATGCTGAATTGGAGGAAATTCTACAACATAATCAAACCCATGTCAAAAGTGAAGGTGTAGAACGTCAAGTAAAATTATCAGATAGTAATCCACCACAATTTCAACCACAATCAAATGAAATAAAGTCTTCTGTAACACAAAATATAAATACAGAATATTTAACAGCAGCAGAAGCTATAATTATAACGGAAGATTCAATATCAATGGTAATACCAGAACCAAAAACCAAAGACGGAGAACCAACTACTATGTCATTTAAAGAGCTACGAAATGTTGAAAATTTAGTTGGGCAAGTATATAAAATATTTGCAGAAATCATATTTACTGAATTTTCAAATTGGGATGATCCACCAAATGCGCAAGGTTTAAAATTAGGCTTATTAGAAAGAAATGTTAATGAAGAAAATCAATTAATAGAAGTTTTAATACCAGATTGTGATTTAACTAATTTTTTTAATGTTTCAAATATAGAACAATTGAAAGAAAAAATTGACAAACTGGAATCAATATTTGCTAAAATCAAAGGTAAACGAATTGAAATGGAAATAATTAGAGAAAAAGCTTCGGATCATTGTTATTGGAAATCATTAATGAGAATGTGAATGTGTATTTATTTTTGTGATCAATTGGTAGCAGCTAAAGATATAATCTGAAAATTTTGTTAATGTTTCTAAATACTATGAAATTCTATTCAACTAAAACCAGATTCAAAAATGCACTATCATTAGAAGAGTTTATGTTTCAATCCAAAATAAGGTCAATTTATAGAAATATAATGAGGCAATTGTATAAGAAAAAACAAGTTGATCCAGATTTGGTTAGGTTTGTCCATGATGAATTTATATTGAATAAAGATGCAGAATTATCTTACAGAAAATATTTGTTATCCCAAGGATTGAGTAAAATAAATTCAATGAGTTTAAGTTTAGGAATTGTCGTTAATGTTTAATCAAGAAGGTCTACTAAAAAGGTCAATTTTCATATTAAACCTACTAAAAAAGCCCAAGGTCAACATTTAAAGAGCATTTAACTCAGATAATTATTACTCATCATGTTTAAACTAGTAAACAGTGGTATTGCGAATGGAGATTGACGAAGTGTGGTCATTGATTTATCGATTCTCAGCTCAATTTGTGATTTAGTTGCTAGCTATTTCAATTTGACTAAGATAATTATCGCTACAATAGAGAATATAATCATTGTGACTTACGCTGGTCTTCTTGATTGGTGTAATGCATTATATATTATTTATTAAGTTTGATATAGATTGGTGTATAGATGATTTAAAGTCTGTTAAGATAGGTTCAAAGTCAAACTCAATTGGAAATTCAAAATTTATCTTATCAATTGCATCAAATTGTAATTTTGTCAACTCTAGCAGCTTTATATCTGATTTCAATTGGTCCAAATTCAATTTTCTCAAAACACTTGTTATCTTTTTATTCACAAATTCAATTATTCTAATCAACTCAATCAAATTAGACAAATTGTAACTCATGTCACTTGATAATACATTTTCGGGAATCAAACCTTGTTGTTTTAATTTATCAATTTTCAAATTTTTAGTAATATAATTTAATAATGAGTCCATTTCATTTTGATTTGATTTAACCTTGACTATTTTAAGTATGTTGTAATATAATTTAAATATCAAGTTTTCAAATTTAGTAAAGCTCGCACTATGGGAAATCATCTTATTATAAAATTTAAATAATTTGTTGACTTCATTTTCTTTAGTCTCAAATATAATTGTATATATCAATAATTTCAATTTAATTACTGTGTCATGGGTATCTATCCTCGCATAATTTGCAGTTTTGAAATCCCTATTATCCGTCCATTCACCAATAATCAATTTTTTATTCTTTAATAAATAATTTGAAAAATAATTTGTATATCCAGTATCATTTAGTATAAAAGTAGTTTGTAAAATCTTATAAACTGTAAAATTTAAACTAATTGAGTTTTTCAAATTGGAACCGAACTTAATAAAACTTGGTAATTTATTATAGACTCCTTTATTGAATGCATCAATTATACTATTTATCATTTCTTGTCTTGATGTGAGATAAAATCTAAAGATGTCAATGAAATAAGATAATGAATCTTTGGAGAATGTTGAAAAAGTTAAAGTATGACTCAAGTTTTCATGTTGGACCATTTTAATCTTTAGGGATTTATAAATTGGTATTATTGAATCATTTGAATTTAATTGTGAATGTATTTGAAGAAGATATAATTTTAGCTTATAGTTGAATGGATCACTTGCAAGTAAATGTGATAGCATAATAACTTTTCTGACACTGTCCAAATCATTTATTGATTCTATTGTTAAATCATTTAATGGATTTGAGTCAAATTCTGCAACTGGTAAATGTTTAAATTTGCTGTAAATATCCCAGTTGTCCAACAGTTTGTGAAACTTTTGATTGTTGACCAAAGTGATTAAATTTGAATCTATATTTGCTTTTTTAATCTTGTCAATGATTGTTGAAGGTAATTCATAGCTTTTCAAATCTGGATAACAACATAATTTGTTATTGAATTTATCATAATATGTTTCTATACTTGAATCAGTTGACTTATCAAACAATTTGTCTAACTCAATGGCACAAAGTAATCCATTTCTGGTGCTTGGTAATTCCGGTTTAAGTTTACCATATGCTACACCTAATTCTTTACTTGATAAAAGATATAGTTTCCAAGTATCAAAATCATCAAAATTCTCTTTGAAAAGCAATTTATCACAATATTCATTCAATTTCTTCCATGATCTATTCAATTTCAATGTCTCAAGAAATATAATTTGTAATTCCAAATCTAATTCTCTATCACTTAAAATTCCCTCTATCATTTCATAATCTTCTTTCAATCTCAAGAACTGTACATACACCCATATCTCTTGATTATTTAAATCTTCCAAATTACTTATCAACTTCAAACCTAATGTTAAATATAAATTCTTTGATTTTTCATCTACATCACCATACACAATCAATAAATAATAACTCAAGATAAACCACATTTTGTAATCCCTTTTTGACTCTTTATTCAAGTACATAAATATCTTATTAAGCAATTTGTAGTCATATTTCTCAATTGAATTTTCAAACCATATTTTTGCCAATTTTTCATTATTTGCAGGGAACCTTTTAATTATATTCTCATAAGCTAAATTACTTTCATTCTCCATATCCAAGTCTTGAAAGAAATTACTTAGTATGTCAATTGTCATAGGATCACTAGGATATTGATTCAAAATAGCTACATTCTGTTTTATTGATTCTTCTTCTTTACCTGATTTGAACAAAATTTTATTTTTCAAAACATGATATAATGACTTTTGTGGAAACTTTGTTAGTTTTCTATTTAGTAATGACAATGCATAAGTCAATTGTCCACGATCAACAAGATCTATTATTTCTTGATCTGATTCAGAAATCATAAAATAAGGTCGGAGGGGGGACGTTCTGTAAAATTTGAAAAAATATTTGACATCTGCCGCATAAAGGGCTAGTCGCTACCAAATGCATTAGAACGAAATTTTATATAGCAAAAAGTCTTGCCGCAAAACCAACCATACATTCCAACATGGAAAATTATCAAACAAATTAAGCAATAAGAAAAACATGTCAATTGTTGAAACAAAAGTCGTACTACGGTTGCGATGTCCTCAAGTTATTTATTTGATTTAAAAATCTAAGATCCAAACCGTTTGTATTTCGATTAAAGAGCTCAAGGAAATCTCAAAGATGTGGGGCTCAGATTTGAGCTTGTCTTGTAATTAGCTGTATCCCAAATAATAGTAACCGGACCATCATTAATTAATGCCACATCCATCATGGCTCCAAATTCTCCATCTTTGACTTTATCTTCTCCTAATTCTTTGCTTAAATTTTCAAGTAATTGATTATATAGACTTACGGCAGATTCTATTAATAAATCATTAGTATCAGAAACTGAACCTATTTTTGCAAATTATTTTGAATCATTAGCTAGATTCCCCGAATTAATTAATTTACATTATCCAAATTGTGAATCATCATCAGCCGAACAGCAAGCAGCACCAAAACAAGTACCTATTGATTGTAAGGATATATATGGTAATGAAATAGCAGCTTTGTTTCTTTTCAACTGCAGGCAAATACGAGGATCAGTGGGGTCAACTTGCAATAGAATTCTACGTCGAAATGAATTAAAGTAAAATAATATTTGAAAAGTAAGTATAGTCGTACGATCGACACATTCGTAAAAAACAGCATTCCCAAAATGGTTAGTTTGCATTTCATGCTTCAATGCCTTCTAAACAATACAGAGTTTGGTGAGCTTGAAGACAATAATCAAGAAAAAAACGGGTAGTAACTATCTAATTTTAATCACCAAATTGAAGGGTCCAAGACAACGCCTTAATTCTTGAATACCACCAATTGAACAAATTACAACGTTCTATGATGGGCACATTTTGTTAGATATTAAATGCAACCTGATTCGATGTCTAACACGTTTTGCAACCAAATTTGATAGCCTAATACTTTGTTTATTGATACACCGGATCATTTCGTATCTTGAATAATCAAAACAAAGGGTTTGATATAGATTTACTTTCAAATTATAATCTGATCAATTACGAAGCTAGAGTCTCAGATTCTAGATCCGTATGTAAATTTATAGTACAATTATACCAAGAAATTTACAATAACCACGTGACAAGAAAATTTAAAAAAGTCTATTATCAAGAAAAATTAACCAACCTTTAATCCAAAAACAAATAAAAAGAAATAAATAAGAACTAAGAAATTTTTATATACATGAAATCATTTAATTTTTGTGTTTAGAGGGGAGTGTATCAGAATGCATGCATCTAAAGAAATAATATTCTAGCGAGAGAAGATTCGATTCTTTGACCGAGATTTAATTATCGACGATGTTACCCTTTTTAAATTATTGTTTAACCAATTATGAAACACAATTATTTTACTCATATATCTCATTTCGTAATTATCATTACCGGATTGAAAAAGGTAGTGCAGATTGAGAAATTATGAAACAATTTTACTAAATAGGAAAGCAACACAAGGCTTTTACCGAAAGTCACGTTGTCGTACTTATAAATTTCGTGTGAGATTATAATTATATCTCCCATAGCATAAATTGAAAGATGACATGAATTGCATTACTAATCGTTCTACCTCAATTATTATTAAACCCAACTAGATGGCGAAAAGGTTTCAAGTTGATTCTAATACATAAAATGTTACCCTACTGTCCCTACTATTACTAACCAGCTAACTCTTGTTATATAAATCTAAGACATGACAAGAAATAAGTAATAATCATAAGAATTGATTATAATGTAGCTTAGCCAATCCAGCACCTACTAGTTCTTAAAGGAAATTATGATTAAGCCATAATCAAAGCATATATAGTTTATCTGGATTAATTCTGTCATGGGGTGAATCTGGAGAAATTGTTCTAAACTAGGGGTGTTAATATAAACCAACAATTAAAAAAGTTTAATCAATATGAAATTGATTCTTGGCTGTCAAGAAAAAAGTATCAGTATTATATACATTACTTTGTCAATAAATAAGCCTGAGCTTATTGGATGAGGCAACCCAACGATCCAGTACCTCTTCGATAGAGATTATGATCAATCTTCGAACAAATGAAGATGTGTAACAAACTGGCTGTAGATTAAAAATTAGTTAGCCAATGTAACATATTTTTTCCGTGCGTATAATAATCATGCAGGGTTACTTATTTCTTTTTGCATCAAAATTTAAGTTGCATCACCATCCCACTTAATTTATTAATCAAATGATAAGAAAATAATACAATTACAACATTAATAATATATAAATAGTAACTTATATCTCTTTACTTTTCTTCTTTCAAATCTCAAAAATTTCTAAATTTTATTTATTCATAAATTCGTTTGACTCCCCTATTCCTATTTATTCAATTCACATATATTTACATATTAAACAATTATTTAATTCTAATTTAATTTTTTCATAAAACGAGTAAACGATTAATGTCTTTAAATAAGGAAAAGATTAATACCGATTCGTCATTATCAGATGCCACTATAATAGATAATAATAATGAATTTCAGCCGTACAGATTAAGTATTAAACAAGTCGAAACACATTTCCAATCAAGTATACAAAATGGTTTGCACGCACAAGAAGTTGAAGAATCCAGAAAGAAAAATGGATTAAACAACCTTGGTGAAGCTGACAAAATAAGTTATACTAAAATATTTGCACATCAAGTTTTCAATGCCATGATATTAGTTTTGCTAATTTCAATGATTATAGCATTAGCTATAAAAGATTGGATATCAGGAGGTGTTATTGGATTTGTCGTTGGGATTAATATAAGTATAGGTTTTGTTCAAGAAGTTAAAGCAGAGAAAACTATGGGAAGTTTAAGAAATTTAAGTTCCCCAACTGCAAGAGTTACAAGAAATGATGGTGATGATATGACTATTCCAGCTGAAGAAGTTGTACCAGGTGATATTGTTCATATAAAAGTTGGTGACACAGTTCCAGCAGATTTAAGGTTATTTGATTCAATGAATTTAGAAACTGATGAAGCATTATTAACTGGTGAAAGTTTACCGGTTGCAAAAGATCATAATGAAGTTTATTCAGATTATTCACAGCCAGTTCCAGTTGGTGATAGATTAAATTTAGTTTACTCAAGTTCAATTGTTTCAAAAGGTAGAGGTTCCGGTATTTGTTATAGTACTGGTTTAAACACCGAAATTGGTAGAATTGCACAATCTTTGAAGAAAAATGATGGAATAATTCAAAGAGTTGATAAATCAAATAATAGAACACCAAAGAAAAGAGAATATGGTCAAGCTGCTGGTCAAACTATTTTCAATGTTATTGGTAATGTTTTAGGTGTTACAGTTGGTACTCCATTACAAAGAAAATTATCTTGGTTAGCTATATTTTTATTTTGGGTCGCTGTTGTATTTGCAATTGTTGTTATGGGTGTTCAAAGAATGATTGTTCCTGCTGAAGTTGCGATTTATGCAATTTGTGTTGCTTTATCAATGATTCCATCTGCTTTAATTGTTGTTTTAACTATTACAATGGCTGTTGGTGCTACAGTTATGGTTCAAAAAAATGTTATTGTTAGAAAATTAGATTCATTAGAAGCTTTAGGTGGTATTAATGATATCTGTTCAGATAAAACTGGTACATTAACTCAAGGTAAAATGATTGCTAAAAAAGTTTGGGTACCAAATTTAGGTACTTTACAAGTTCAAAATTCAAATGAACCTTATAATCCAACAGTTGGTGATGTAAAATTTGTTCCATTTTCACCATTCTTTATTAATGAAACTGATGAAGAAATTGATTTTAATAAACCATATCCTGATCCTATTCCAAAGCCAATGCATGATTGGTTAATGACTGCAACTTTAGCTAATATTGCAACTGTTTTCCAATCAAAAGATGACGAAACTAATGAATTGGTTTGGAAAGCTCATGGTGATGCTACTGAAATTGCGATCCAAGTTTTTACAACAAGATTAAATTATGGTAGAGATTCAATTAGTTACGAACATCTTGCCGAATTCCCATTTGATTCAAGTATTAAAAGAATGTCAGCCATTTATAAGGATAATAAGGGCAAAACTCAAATTTATACAAAAGGTGCAGTTGAAAGAATTATAAGACTTTGTACTAAATGGTATGGTGAAGAAAAAGAAAATGAAAAATTGATTGATTTAACTGAAAATGATATTCATAATATCGAAGAAAATATGGCAGTATTATCGTCACAAGGTTTACGTGTTTTAGCATTTGCATCAAAAACAGCTTCAGATGAAGATTTATCTAATAGAGAAGAAGTTGAGTCAAATTTAATTTTCCAAGGTTTAATTGGTATTTATGACCCACCAAGAGAAGAAACTGCTCATTCTGTTAAATTATGTCATAAAGCTGGTATAAATGTTCATATGTTAACTGGTGATCATCCAGGTACTGCGAAAGCAATTGCTCAAGAAGTAGGTATATTACCTCATAATTTATATCACTATGCAGAAGATGTTGTCAAAGTTATGGTCATGACTGCAAATGAATTTGATGTTTTAAGCGATAAAGAAGTTGATGATTTACCTGTTTTGCCATTAGTTATTGCAAGATGTTCTCCACAAACTAAAGTTAAAATGATTGATGCATTGCATAGAAGAGGTAAATTTGCTGCAATGACTGGTGATGGTGTTAATGATTCTCCAAGTTTGAAAAAAGCTGATGTTGGTATTGCTATGGGTATGAATGGTTCAGATGTTGCAAAAGATGCTAGTGATATTGTTTTGACTGATGATAATTTTGCTTCTATTTTAAATGCAATTGAAGAAGGTAGAAGAATGTCTGCAAATATTCAAAAATTCGTTTTACAATTATTAGCTGAAAATGTTGCACAAGCTTTTTATTTAATGATTGGTTTGGTTTTCATGGATGAGTCTGGATTTTCAGTATTTCCATTATCACCAGTTGAAGTCTTATGGATCTTGGTTATTACTTCATGTTTCCCAGCTATGGGTTTAGGTCAGGAAAAAGCAAGTGAAGATATCTTAGAAAAACCACCAAATAATTCTATTTTTACTTGGGAAGTTATTATAGATATGATTGCATATGGTTTCTGGATGGCATGTACATGTTTATTATGCTTTGTTATCGTTGTTTATGGTCATGGAAATGGTTATTTTGGTGAAAATTGTAATTCTATGAATGCTGATGTTGAAGTTTGTGATTTAGTATTTAGAGCAAGAGCAGCTTCATTCGCAAGTATGGTTTGGCAATGTTTGATACTTGCTTGGGAATGTCTTCATCCTACTAATTCATTATTTTACATGAGACAAGATACCGATAATCCATGGTGGAAACAAACTGCTATTGATTTATGGGATAACCAATTTTTATTCTGGTCTGTTGTTGGTGGTACTGTTACTGTTTTCCCTTGTATTTACATTCCAGTTATCAACACAAAAGTTTTCCTTCATAAAGGAATCTCATGGGAAATTGGACTTGCTGTTGGATGTGCTTTCCTTTTCCTTTTAGGTGCTGAATGTTGGAAGTTTATTAAAAGATTAGTAATGAAAAGAAATACAGCCAGAAAGGCAAAGAATCCAGAATATGAATTGGAAAGACATGATGATCCATTTAAACGTTATGCTTCATTCTCAAGATCCGGAACTATGGACAAAACCGATTACATTGTATAATTTATTACATTTTAGTTTTATAGAGTTTAATATATTTCGTTGCATCTTAAAATATGAGTTTGAAAGTTGTAGAAACTTTAATCGGGCCGAAATTTAATTTAGCGCGACAAGAAAATTTTCTGCACTAATTTTTAGGGCGACTCGTGCCAAATTCATAGTCATTGGCTTATATCTCCTGAATACCTCAAGCTCATAAACTATAGACCAAATTAATCCAATCTGGAGCCATGAAGTGTATATTATACGTTTTCAAATATCCAAATTTCATATTTTTTTTTGAATTGTTATTTTGGCGTTTTATTCACCATACAAAAAATTTTCGAAAAATGAAAAAGTAGAGTACAATTTATATAGGTCCATAACTTTTAACTAAGTAAGGGATTATACATATTATACCTCAAAAGAAGTTATTGGACTTGATTCTGGTTGATTTGAAATTAAGAAATTCTGAGAAAATCTCTTAACTATGTGGAAAATTGAATAAACTGACCTTACGAAAACTATAACTCCACAGTCGAATTTGTGATCAAAGTTTAATAAAAGTATCCGAAATTTTAGTTCTGCACTGAGAATTTTGATTTTAAGATATTTAAAATTGAAATATTAATTTTTCAAAGGTGTTTCGAAATTTTTGCAAAATTTCAAACTTATTATGGCGTTTTGAAACAACAAACAAAAGAATAGTCGTTTCCAGCTTAACCAAATCTGCTAGTTTAGAAGTTGCTACATGAGGTTTTAGAGTTGATTATTAGGCAATTTAGCCTTTTTAGCCGTTTTTTGAATCCAGTACAAACTGATCAAAATTTAAATTTTTTTAAAGCAGTTATTGACAATTAGGCTCTGGTATTTCGAAGTCTTAATGAAGGAGGTTTAAGTATCGTAGCTTGTTTACTGATTGAGTTATTTACGATTCAACTTTCAAGAATTATCACGACAAGACTGCATATAAGCAAATCTCTCTCAGAATTTTCTTTATTAAAGGTATCCAGCCTTCGACCTACACAACGCAAGAGCTTGGTTGAAATTATTTTTTCTAAGGCGAGAACTGGTATTAATCTCTTGTCCCAATTTTGAAGCTAGTACCAAGTGCTCAAAACCCACGAGATCAGTTTGCTGAAGCTACTAGTCGATAGATCAGAATCTCTAATGTAGCCTACGACAGCCAATGCTCAACCAAACCTACTGGATCATGAGTTATTTGCAATTCTATTTTCTCCATATTTTACTAAGGAGCAAAGTGAAAACCAGTTTTTTTTACACAAAACCAAATCTCACAAACTGGCAACTTCTTCTTTTTGCATCTTTAATTTATGTTGTAAATACTCGGGTATGGCCACGCTCGAAGAACTAAAGTTTTTAGTTTGATAATTTGTTATATTATAGTTTATTTTCTGTGGAAGAATCGAGTTGATAACTATTCATGGTGAAGCAAACCAAATTATTTCGAAATTTTGAGATTCTGCAGTTGAACATGGAGGAAAGGCTCATTCGTCATAAGAGTAGATGTATTTGAAACTACTTAACTTTCGGATTGTAATGCGGCGCTGTGTTTTGCTAGAGGTGCTTTTGTTGTTGAGTTATTTAATTGCATAATAAAAACACAAAAACAAATCCTGAAGAATTTGAAGTAAAATTCAAAGAGAAGAAATCAATGGTTGATGGTTAATAACTTATACTCACTCTCAACTAGTGGAGCTCATCAATCGTCTTGTAACGTTTCTTAATGACCAGTTACTATGGATTAAAGTAAAAGTTCAATCTGGTATGTTGAGTTTGAAATATATACGTCCTCCAATAGCAGCTCAAATATAATATCACAAGCAATCTCATTTATATTATCTATCTCTATAATCGTCTATGACACCATTCTATCTAAGCAATTGATCTTTAACTTCAAATTGTCCACCTAAATGTAAAGTATTTCCAAAATCCACTATCAACCCTTCTTGAGTAGTTCTTTTATAATCAACGACAGTAATTGAAGTATTAAAAGGAACTCTCAACTTAGATTCATCTAATCCATGATTTAATTTATAACCTAAATCTTTATTTAAATAATTTGCAAGTCTAGTTATAACACCACCATGAGTACATAAAAATATATTTTTATAATCAGTATCTAATAGTTTATTCCATTCATATTCTACTCTTTTAGTGAATTCAATTTCAGTTTCTCCTAAATTTCTAAAATTTTCACCATAAGTAGCTAAGGCATCTTTCAAATACATTCCTTGAACTTTACCCATATTTCTCTCCCTTAGATTAGAAGTATATTTAACATCTTTAGGTTGTATTTCCAATACTGGTTCTAATGTCTCTTTACATCTTTTTAAATCCGAGCTTATGAAATAATCAATTGGTATTGATTCAAAATGTTTTGCTAATATTTTTGCTTGTTTCTCACCAGTTGAATTTAAAGATATATCTAAATGACCTTGTAATATTTTTAGTTTATTATGATCTGTTTGACCATGTCTTACTATAAATATTCTTATAATATTAGAATCACTATTTTCTAAAACTTCAACAATTGTCATTTATTGTTTAATGCGTAATATATACAAGTTATATAATTTTTTTCAATTCATCATATAAATCTTTCTTCATTTTATAACCATGAGAATCTAATTCTGGGAACTGACCACTTTCCACTTCTTCTTTATATTGAGATAATCCCTCTACTCCCAGTTTGAAGAAATCTTGGTATTTTTTAACAAATTTAGCTTGATGACAATCTTTCATCCCTAACAAATCACTAACCACTAATACTTGACCAGAAGTATATGGACCAGCTCCAATACCTATTGTTGGAATTGATAACTTCTCTGTTATTAACTGACTTAATTTATTTGGAATACATTCTAATACAATTGCAAAAACACCAATTTTCTCTAAATTTAAACATTCATTATAGATCTTGAGACAACTTTCCAAAGTTTTACCTTGTAATTTATATCCACCTAGTTCATTATGACGTTGTGGTGTTAATCCAACATGACCCATTACTGGAATACCCATAGATATGATTTTTTTAATAACTGGTAAATTTTCACTTTGACCACCTTCAATTTTAATAGCTTGTATGTTTCCTTGTTGAACTAATTTAATACAAGTTTCACTAGCTTGTTCTAACGATTTTTCAAATGATCCAAATGGTAAATCTGCAACTAAAAATGAATGTGAATTTCCTCGTTGTACCGATTTAACATGATATAAAAATTCATCTAATGTTAATTCATTTGTATCTTGATATCCTAAAGTTGTATTCGCTAATGAATCACCAATTAAATTTATATCTATCTTTGCATGTTCTACCATTTTTGAAGTTATAAAATCATGAGATGTTACCATTGCAATAGGTTTACCATTTTCATATAAATCGCTTATATCAGCTAATGTCTTTCTTTTAATTGGATTATAAGAAGATCTTAACATAGATCTAGTTGTGAAATGTCTTAGCAGTATCCGTACCATATAATATTATAAAAATTGACGAATTATCAATATGTTATCGCCTCGGGGTATTGAAAATTAAACGAGCGATGCGATCTGAGGTGTGAAAAATTGAACCGAATTTTGCGCTACCCGCTAAAATGACATCAGACATACATTTGGTAGCTACGCAGTTTATGTTAGGGGAAGAATTGCCATGAGTATAAATACTGAATAATATCCATTTGCATGAAGAAATTCTTTTCAACAACAATTAATAATTTCAAAATGACTGCTCCTATCAATTCTTCATTTATTATGAATCATACTTGTTTAAGAATTAAAGATCCAAAGATCTCAATTCCTTTTTATACTGGTAAATTTGGTATGAAATTAATTGCAAAGTTTCCGTTTGAATCATTTACTTTATATATGTTAAATTATGAAACTTCAGAAAATAAAAATTTAAATTGGTCAGCAAGACAAGGTGTATTAGAATTATGTCATAATCATGGTGTTGAAAATGATCCAAATTATAAATTAAATAATGGTAATGATGATTCTGCGGGTAAAGGTTTTGGTCATATTTGTGTATCAGTAGATAATATTCAAACGTTTCAAGATCAATTATTAGATAAAAAAGTAGATTTTAAAAAGAAATTAACTGATGGTAGACAAAAAAATATTGCTTTTGCTTTGGATCCAGATGGTTATTGGATTGAATTAATTGAAAATGGAAGTAATAAAAAAGATAATTCTACTGATTCCTCAACATATAAATTAAATCATACAATGATCAGAGTTAAAGATCCTCTAAAATCATTAGATTTTTATAGAAATGTGCTTGGTTTTAAATTATTATCAACTAAAAAATTCCCAGATGCTAAATTTGATTTATATTTCTTGAGTTATAATCATGATGAAAGTTTCAAACAAGATTCAATGGATGGAGCTGATCAAAGTAAATTGGAATCTATCATTGAATTAACTCATAATTATGGTACTGAAAATGATCCAGATTTCAAATATCATAATGGTAATTCTACTGAAAATGGTCAATTACAAGGTTATGGTCATACTTGTATTAGTTGTAAAGATCCAGGTACATTCTGTAAAGAGTTAGATGAGAAATATGATAATTTAAATTGGTCAGTTAAATGGAATCAAGGTAATATGAAAAATATTGCATTTATAAGAGATCCAGATGGTTATTCAATTGAAATTATTAGTCATGATTTGTTTAAAAATGAATCAAAGATCTAATGCGTAAAGATGCAGCAATACGGTAAGGATGTAATAAATAAACCAACTTGGTTATTAGTTCCATTTTGCAGTAATTCGTCAATTGCAACAGATCTAGATCAATTGGTAGCATTTGGTATAATTATTATATAGTTGCTTAGTAATACACGACTAGTATTAATTAAAAACTATAAATAGTTAAACGTTTCCCACAGTTTTTAATGTTTCTTCGTTCATCATTAAGATATTTCACAACTTCAAGAATGGTTTCATCACAAGTTAAAGATAAAGTTCAACAATTAATTAAATCAAAACCAGTTTTTATTGCTTCTAAAACTTATTGTCCTTATTGTGCTGCAACAAAGAAAACAATTGAACAAATTACAAGCGATGCTTATATTATTGAATTAGATGAAGAATCAGATGGTGCTGAAATTCAAGAAGCTTTATTAGAATTAACTGGTCAAAGAACTGTTCCAAATGTTTTCATTGCTGGTGAACATATTGGTGGTAATTCAGATGTTCAAGCATTAAAATCAGAAGATAAATTAGATGATAAAATTAAAGCAGCTTTATAAAGTAACTAATATATATATGTATCGTATAACTCATGTTTTACCAGTGTCGCTTTTCTCTTATTTCATTGTCAGTTTTTATGCCACTGTCGCATATTCTTTTTTTCAATTCTTTTTTACAACCAAATATTGTTAATGAGTTCCAATATTGGTTTAACCATTAGACAAGCTGTCCCATCTGTTGATCCAATAGTTGCTAATTATGCAGTTGGTTATATGCAACATATTTCACAATCAACTGAAGATTCAGTATTAAGTCAACAAATAAATATTAGTCAAGAATTAACATTTATTAAAGATTTATTAATTCAAGCTGGGGGAAATGTTGATAAAATTAATCAATTATATGATAAATTATTAACAGATTTGTCAAATAAACTAAATGAGAATAAGGAAAAACTTGCCTTGACTGGAGACACATCAAAAAGACTACTTGATATAAATATTTTAAATCAAAATAAAAATAAAAGAGATATTAATTCAAGTCTTGCATTATTATCTGCATCTAATGATATTGAACATACTGGAAGAAAAATGGAATCAAAAGTGGATAAAAAGAAATTAGAAAAACAAGAACGTAAAATTGCAAAAAAAGTAGCTAAACGAAATAATAAATTTGTTCAATATGAAGCTTCTAAATTAATAAATGAAACTCAAGAACAAGATTATGATTCATTCTTTTTAGAAATTAATCCATTGGAATTTGGTAGTTCTGCTGGTAAGTCTAAAGATATTAAAATTGATAATTTTGATTTATATGTTGGTGATGGTCAACGTATTTTAAGTGAGGCTAGTTTGACATTAGCTTATGGTAGAAGATATGGTTTAGTTGGACAAAATGGTATTGGTAAATCAACATTATTAAGGGCTTTATCAAGGAGAGAATTAAATATTCCAAAACATATTACTGTATTACATGTTGAACAAGAAATTAGAGGTGATGATACTCCAGCATTACAAAGTGTGCTTGATGCAGATGTATGGAGAAAGAGTTTAATACAAGAAGAATCAAAAATAAATGAAAGAGTAGTTGAGATTGAAAAATTAAGAAAAGAATTTGATGAAGAATCATTGGAAGTTAAGAAATTAGATAATGAAAGAGAAGATTTAGAAAACCACCTAACTGAAATTAGTGAGAAATTGTATGAAATGGAATCAGATAAAGCTGAATCAAAAGCTGCTGGGATTTTATATGGTTTAGGATTTACTAAAGAAACACAAAATTTACCAACTAGACAATTTTCAGGTGGTTGGAGAATGAGATTATCATTAGCTAGGGCTTTGTTTTGTCAACCTGATTTATTATTATTAGATGAACCATCAAATATGTTGGATGTTCCAAGTATTACATTCTTGGCTAAATATTTACAAAATTATAAATCAACAGTATTAGTAGTTTCACATGATAGAGCATTTTTAAATGAAGTAGCAACTGATATAATCCATCAACATTCAGAAAGATTAGATTATTACCGTGGTTCCAATTTTGATTCATTTTATTCTACTAGAGAAGAAAGAATTAAAAATCAAAAAAGAGAATATGAAAATCAAATGGCTTATCGTAAACATTTACAAGAATTTATTGATAAATATAGATATAATGCAGCAAAAGCACAAGAAGCACAATCAAGAATTAAAAAATTGGAAAAATTACCAAATATTGAACCTCCAGAAGATGATAAAATTGTTACTTTTAAATTTCCAGAACCTGATAAATTATCACCACCAATTTTACAAATGCAAGATGTTAAATTTGGTTATTCATTAGATAAAATATTATTTTCAAATGTTAATTTAGATGTTTCAATGGATTCAAGAATTGCATTTTGTGGTGGGAATGGTACTGGTAAAACAACATTACTAAAATTAATAATGGATAAAATAACACCCACCTCAGGATTTATAAATAAGAATGGTAGATTAAGAATTGGATATTTTGCACAACATCACGTTGAAGCAATGGATTTATCACAGTCTGCAGTTACATGGATGTCTCAAACATTTCCAGGGAAAACTGATGAAGAATATAGACGTCATTTAGGTTCTTTTGGAATTACTGGTTCTTTAGGTTTACAGAAAATGCAATTATTATCAGGGGGTCAAAAATCAAGAGTTGCATTTGCCGCATTATGTTTAAATCAACCACACATTCTAATATTAGATGAACCTTCAAATCATTTAGATACTCAAGGTTTAGACGCTTTAGCAGATGCTTTGAATAATTTTAAAGGTGGTATTTTGATGGTTTCTCATGATGTTTCAATGATTGATAGAGTATGTAATGAAATTTGGGTTGCTGAAGAGAATACAATTGTGAAATTTAATGGTGATATATTTGCGTATAAAAAACATATTTTAGAAAATGCTGATATTGCCGGTGTTGTGAAAAAACATTAAGTAGAGAAAATAAATACACCGATACATATTCAATTTGCATTCTTACATTTCCACATGTCATTTCTATCTACATTATCCTTGAAATCTAAAATTGGTCTAGGAGTTATACTTGGATATACATCATTTGAAGTTTATTTCCAAATTCGAACTCAATATTTAATTAAAAAACGACGAGATGAGTATAATGCAACAAGTTCAGATATTGATAAATTTAAAAGTGCTTCTGTAGCAGGAATGTTTATAAATCCATTTAGTGAATATCGGCCACAAACAGCATTTGAATTCATATTAGTTCGAGTATTTGAATTTTTTGAAAGTTTATATGGTAGTACATTTGAAATTCATAAAAAGATAGGAAAGAATAAAACTGAAATTGAAGATATGTTAAAGACATACACTCCTGATCTTGAACTATACAGATCAAACTCAAAAATACTCCAGGAATGCATTGAGTCAAATAATTTCAAAAATTTGTTATCTTCAACTTCCCACGGCATAACTTTGAATAATCAATTATTAGTATCTTGGCTTGGTCAATCATGTACTTTATTTCAAATTAGTGGAGTTAATTTTTTAACAGATCCAATTATATCTGATCATTTAATGAATAAACATATTGGTCCAAAACGATTAAATAGATCACCAATGACTTTCGAAGATATACAATATGCAACTAACAGTAATCTCAATTTCATTTTAGTATCCCATGATCACCCTGACCATTTAGAATTAGAACTAGCCTCCAAAATAAATAACAATAGTATTTGGATAGTTCCATTGGGTTTGAAATCAAAATTATCACGTCGTGGAATTTATAGAATTATAGAAATGGATTGGTGGGAGAAACTAGATATAACTCAATACATTAACTCCAATCTACCAGATAAGTTTGAAATTGAATGTTTACCATCGATGCACTGGAGTGGAAGATACGTACTTGATTCAAATAAATCATTATGGTGTTCATTCGTGATAAAAAAAAATGGAGAGTCGGTGGTTTATCATGCTGGTGATACTGGATACGCTCAAGAGTTGTTTGAATTAGTAGGTAAGAGAATCAGTCCTGTTTTTTTATCATTGTTGCCTATTGGACAATATTGCCCTCTGTTTCATCAAAAACCAAGACATATTTCACCAAGTGAGAGTTTGAAAATATGTGAACATTTGAAAAGTAAACATATGAAAGGTATTCATTGGGGGACGTTTAAATTGAGTAGTGAGCCGATTTTGGAACCTAAAATTTTGTTAACTAAATTAGCTAATGCTATTGATATGGGGAAATATTATAAGGTTCCTGATTTTGGATTGACTTATTTATATGATTTGAAGACTGAAAAAGAATTAGAATTATATTAGATAGAATTAAGCACAAGGCACTAAATAAATATTCAAATAAAGATTAGTGTTGTAGATGCTCTTGATTAAAAAGTCATCTTTGTTATTTGATGCATCGTTAAAGAAGTTTATTTGTATCTTTATCTACGCTCAAATTAGGATCTAGCAGTAGTATATATCTGAAAATTGACAATTATCTAAAAAACTCTTGATTCAAGAAATCGAGTTATGTAAGTACGGCACTATTCAGAGTTCATTTCGATAGATGGCTCGTAATGGTAGACTATTGCATCCTGACAAAAACTAGAATTAGATTTGCATCCTTACACTTTACACCTTACAGCATTAAATATTATATATTTACAAGGTTATTAATTAATCATTATTCATTTCTGTAGATGGCTCTCAATCTAGCTCTTTGTTGTATCAACATTGATTTTTCATAGTTTTGATAAGATTCAGATCTTATAACAGATCCAATACTCATAAATAAACCAAAGGTACCAACTGAACCCATTATATATTGTCCCAAAGTTCTCATTACCCCATTTGGACCAGCACCATGTTGTAAAATTGAAAACCCACCAAATAAAACACCAACACAAACACCAACTGTACTTCCCATTAAAGCACCCATTTTAAATTTATCCCAATTTGAAGGTTGATGACCAACATATTGATATTGTTGAACTGGTGGCATTGAAGATAAAAAGTTTTGATAGTTGAAAACTGAAAAGAAAAAAATTGGCCAATCGAATTTGCACTACCAATTTATCACTATGGGTTCATCAACTTCTAAACCAGAGACTAAAGTATTTACACCAGGTACACCAATTGATTTCTCAGCTTCATTTTTATCACAATTGGAATCCAGTCCAGAATCAAACTATTCCAGAGCTCAATATACTGAAAAATATATTCAAGATAGAGTTGCTTCAGAATTGAAAAAATTAGAATTAGAAACAATTAAAGAATTTAAAAAGACTACAAATGATTCATTAATAAATGAAAATAAAAATAATAAAAATTCATTATCTGTTCCTGAATTGAATGAAAAAGTGGGTCAATTAACCGAATTATTGAATAAAAATGCTAAATTGGCTAAAATTGAAATACCAAATGAGGTACAAGATGCTAGAAATCAAGTTGTTGCTTGTTTGAAAGAAAATAAAGGTAAACTGTTAAATTGTTGGGATGAAGTTGAAAATTTTAAACATTTAGTTAAAAATTTATAAAACTAATATATATTTATAGACTAGGTTAAATGAATAGTAACGGAAAATCAGATTCAGCACCGTTTGAGGTTTGAGTTTTTGTTTGTTCTCAGAGAAGAAGTATCATCTAATTCAGAGTCAGCTACTATTTTTCTTTGTTCTTTATTTATAGACATAAATCAATAAGATAGTAGAATCAGACAAAGTTTCGAGCTTATTTAAAAACCTACAACAGTAACAATGCAGAAATTGCTACAATTTCTATTTGCTCTTCATCAAAAGACTTAAACTTTTTTACTTTTAGACAGCTTCAATTAGTTATTATTTATTGACCTAAATTTTATAAATTAATTATGTAAAATCTAATTTACATCACTTGTTTTAAATCTTTGGCACCCTCGCTACTTGCAACCTTACTTTTTGGATCCTTACTGCGTACTTACAATCCTAATCCTTTATAAATCAACAACAATGCACTATCAGATTCACCACCACCAGCCAAACTTTCAATCTTCTCCTTATTTATATTTGAAACTTTATCATCATTAAAACAAAACCAATTCTCACCATCTAAATCATTAACATCTTTAACGTAAGCTTTATAATGACCACCATCAGCAGAAGCACCCTGATGAGTAATAATGGCATTTAATTGAAATACAGAAGAAGGATTTTCAGTAATTCCATCAGTATTTATAACTGAATTCAAATCATCTTTGAATTTAGATTTAATGGATGCAATTTTCAATTCTTCTTCTTCTTGGATTTCTAACGGTGTTAATCCATCATTATTTCCATTTGCTCCATTTGCTCCATTTTTGGTTTTTTTGAATTCTCTAATTAATTCTAAATTCTCTTTTTCAATTTTTCTAATCTTATCTCTATTTTGAATCTTTTCGGTTTTTATAGACTCATCTAACATTTCACTTAGGTCTAATTCAAATGGGAATTGAACTCTTCTTAAAATTTTTGATTTTTTGTTAATATCTCTTCTCCAAAAAAATCTTATAAAATGTATTGTTAAATATTTAGGTAAACGAGTTATTGTTTTACTTATTTCATATTCTGTATTTTCTTGTAATGTGTCATTAAATTTGGTTATTGATTCAGTTAAGCCCGCTAAAATCCCATCACGCAAAAAGTTAGTCTTGATATCTATATGACAATTTAATTTAAACGAGTCTTCAATTGAGTAGGAAACGTCATCTGGAAGGGCCAAACATTTCGTTTTCACATTGAATTGAATTTCAAATAATGAATCAATTTTCAAGGATGTTTTTAAACTGGAAAGGATTTGTGAAAATGCTTCTTCTGCATCTTGTTGTTTATATATTCCATTACTTTGTTCCGCAAATTGAGGATACAAGCTTCTAAATAATGATAAGAATAAACTTGGAGTAATTGATTCTTGTTTCTTTTCCATTTGAGAAAAGACATTCTTTAGTGAAAATACTAATCCATCAGAACTATTCCCACTAGATTTAAAATCTTTAATTTTACTTGCTAGATCTTCAATTTGATATAATGTCTGTAACGAACTATTTAAATAACATGTATTACCTAAATTGACTAACCCACTTGGTTCATTAGAAACTTTAAATAATTGATTTAAATTTAAATCTTCCAAGAATACTGGTTTTTCAATTGGTTTGAATAATTTGACTTCAGGTGTACCCAATACCATAACTGGAGATTTTAAATTTAATTTTGAAACAACATCTTCATCATTCAATTTACCACCTTTAATTAAAATTTTTTGACGATCTCTTGGAATATTAGTCAATTCTTCTATCTTGTTCTTTAATGTCGATCCTAGATCATTGTCTTCTAATTCAATATTATATGTTTTACCAGCATTTTTTATAGTTAAATTAAGCATTATTGGAGTGGCAAAATATAAATTAAAGAGTGGAAATTGAAATATTTATATATATTTTCAAATTGGTAAGGGCACAACTTTTATCAGTCGTCTAATATATTAAATGAATTAATTAATATACAATCACCACCTCTTTCTGGATCCAATCCATATATATAAAACATACCTTCATTAGTAATGACATAAATATGTAATAAATTAACTTCTAATAATTCTTTATTTGACGAATGTGTGGATTGATTATCATTTTCAAAATAATTTGTAGGTACTAAATCTTGTTGTAATTCATTATTACTCATTACTGCAATACTTTTAATCTCTTTATTATGTGATTTAATTTTAAATGATGCAAAATGTCTAGTTGGTTCAAGGATTGAAGAAAATTTAGATGGTAAAAAATCACCCATCTTTTGTCCAACTTTACGACCTATATTTTGAGAACTTCTTCGAATTAATCTGGCTACTGATAATCTAGTTTGATCAATTAATGGTTCATTTTTAGGTGAATTGTTGGCGAGTATATCTTCTGAATTTATACTACTATACGAATTTGAAGATTCTTGTGATAATTTTCTTTGTTTATTGGGGATTACTTCCATTGATTCAGTATCTTCATCTAGTTCACCATCATCTAGATCCATAGTTGCATCTGAATCATCTCCATCATCTTTTATAGTATCAAAATCATCTATATTTCGCTTATTTTTGGAACTGACATTATGAGTAGTGAGTATAGGTGCAGCAGTTGAAGAAGTTGTAATTTTTGGACTTGTAATTTCTTCTTCTTCTTGTATTGGTTCATATATTGGCTCTTTTCTCTTTTTCTTATGTTTTGTTTCAAGACTTTCTTCTTCACCTAATCTAAATATATGAACAGTTAAACTTGAAGAAGTAGCAAGGACATATTTATCGTCAGAACTAAATTTAAGGGAGTATATTTTTGTCGGATATGTTCCTCTTCTAAATTGATATAATTTAATACCTGTATTAACTTGAAATATTCTCACAATTGTTCCTTTATCACTTGCAGTAACTAAATATTGACCGTCATTACTGAAATTCATCAGTGCAATTGTAGATTTATGTGCTTCAATTACGGAAATAGGTTGCAATGTATTTAAATTGAATATTATAACATCTCCAATTCTATTTGGTGCATTACTTACCGAACTTATATTATTTATGTTTGAATTTAATCCACCATTTGTATTTATACCACTAGCTAATAAAGAATCATGAGTTATAGTTTTGGGAGGTGATGGGTATGCTAGATATGAATGAGTTTCATTGTATGAAATAGCTACTAGACCCAGTGAATTTGTGGATGTTTCTATAGTATGCAATAATTTCATATTATTTATGTCATAAATGTAGATTTGGTCTTCTAATATCACAATTATGTATTTCTTAGTCAATTTAACCAGTAGGATTGTATTTGGAAATATTAAATCACAAATTGTGCTCTGATTTTTTATATTGATGATTTTAAGTTTCCTTGGACTTGAACCAATTTCCTCACCTTTATTTACAATAGCTAATAAACTTGTACTATATAACATTTCAACAATACCTATGCTTTCATTCTTTATGAAATTGAAATTTTTAGTCGAGTCTATATTATATATTTTGTAACCACTATTTAAACCAAGCGAAATACATGATGAATCTTGATTAAAATTAACATAATTAATGAGATCGTTATAGTTATTGTGCTTTATTGATGATGTGTTTGTAATTGATGAAGATGCATCATTTGAATATTGTCTAGTTAAATAATTTGCTGTATTTGCTGAAGATTTAATCATTGTTGTGTTGTTAATTTTAACCGTGTAATCATAGATGGTTAAAAAAGTTTTGTTTGGGGTGTCGCTTATTTTTGACATATCAACAGAAAAGTGTCATTGAAAAATGTCATTGATATATATTTCACTATACAACCATTGAGTAAACTTAAAAACAGCATAATCATGAACGGACAGTTTCTCTTATTATACTTTATCTGTAACCTTTCTTAGTGACCTTGCTCAAACATGTTTATTTAACCATTGACCAAATTTAATAATCATATCTTCAGTAATATCATGACCGACATCTTCCACCATAATCCCACTTTCAGTATTAGTACCCTGGTATAAATCACACCATGTTTTACTCAATTGGAAAGGAACCAATTCATCCTTACCACCAAAACAAGCAAACAATTTGACTTGACCCATTGGAAAACTTTCAAAAATTTCAGTATCGACTTTACTTAACTGGTTGTGTAATGTTTCAGGATACATTTCCAATCTCTCTTCCTCAGTCAAGTCCAATTCGTCATACTCAAAATAGAAGTATTTTTTAGTATAATTATCAATCCCTTTTAATCTTGTATATAATAGACTAGTAAGGTCAGTACTTCCAATTATTGGATTAATAATCTTAACTAAATTGGGGTATCTTAATGCAAACCTGTAGACAATATGACCACCTAAAGAAACACCACTTAAAAAGTTATGATACTTGAATTTAACCTTGTGTTCATTCTTGGAAGTTTCATTCAAGTATGGTTCCAAGTTTAAGTAGGTTGGCAATTGATCCATAAGCAACGTTATATCATCGATTGTTCCATTAATTATACTCCACATATCGACACCGTGCGATTTATTACCTTCTGACCACCCTTTATTATTTTGATTATTGATGACTCTAGCTCCATGATTTCTCAAATCAAATGTAATACAAATGAGTGGAGTCTGGCTCTTGTATTGTTTTAAGATGTTGTATGCTATTGATTCTGTATATGTATAATTTCCTTCCCTTTGATGAATTAAATATAAGACATTGATTGGTATATCTTCTCTATGGTGATGTGAAAATGATTCAACATAGGATTTCAAAACTTCAGAATTATAGATATATGTATTTATACCACCTATATTATATTCAACTTTGGAGAATGAACCTGGATTGAATTCTAACAACTTCATGATGATTTTATGGGGTAACAAAAAATGAAAAATTTCACCGTACGATAAAAGGGCGAAAATTGAAAATTCATACGCTCTGATTAAATTATTTATTATTCATTACGTTTCTACATAGTTTTACAGTTCTGTACTAACTTGCATCCTCATTCCTTTATTGATGTTGGAGTTATTCCAATATTTGAATTTAAAATTGCATTTTGACTAGCTAATTTTTCATGCTCTTCCAACTCTTTTCTACTTATAGTATTACCTCTTTTCCTTTCTTCATGTTTAGCATATTCTGGTTCTTCTCTAATATTAACCAAATCTTTTAAGTTCTCATGGAACTCAATACTGGCTTTTCTACTTTCATTTATAATTGGAGGTAATTTTTCATCTTGATGTGATATCTCCAACTTTTTTGTGGGTTTCTTATCATTTTCTTCCTCTTTCTCATCTTCTTCATCATCATCATTTTCTTCTTCTTCTGGTGGTGGGCCCAATTTCTTACATACAAAATCTACAACTTCTCTCCAAGATCTCATTCCTCCCATTCCTATATTTCCATTATTATCTACTATTTTCTCTACTGGTTTTAATATTAACATGTTTGGATAAGTTTCTTGTAATAATCCCAATTGTTTTTTTGTTATTGGATGTCCGTACATTGCTGTAGTTAATGCAAGTGCTGAAATTATTGGTTTTGGTGAAATTATAGAATCATTAGATATAACATTTGAGTTTTTTTGATCATGCGTTATTGTTGGTTGAGTATGTGGGATTGGCCAAATGTGTAATAAATCAGTTAATAAATTATCAGCTAATCCATTAATTAATTTTGCCACTGTGTTTGCTGATAATGGAGCAAGTAATAATACATCAGTCCATTTTTGTAAATCATAAGCTAAGGAATATTGTTGAAGCACTTGAGGTGTAATTTTTGATTTTGGTGGGATTGTACCTGATGTAATTGCTTTAGAATAAATTTTTTGGAACGGTGAAGTTAAGAAATACTTTTCACCATCATCATGAAACCATACCTTGACTCCAAGTTGCTCCAATTTGTATAGTTTCTCAGAGAGAATGTACTCTGCACTCTCAGTAAGTATCACCTGTATTTCTAATTTCTCTTTAGTATATAGTTCAAATAATTTCTCAATAATTAGGAAAATATTCTTATTTATCGATATACATCCAGTAATACCAATTAATAAATGTAATTTATTATCATCATTTAAATATTCATGGAATGGATTAAGTTGTTCTGTGGATTGATCTAATTTAGGTATAGGTATATTTGTAGACGAAGATTGTCTTATAAATTTTTTATCATCTTGTTCAGAATATCGTAATGAATTAATTCGAGAAATTCCAGGTGGTTGTTGAGTTTGTTGTGTTTCTGGACTTGTAATCTGTGATGAAATTGAACTCACTACTGGAGTCTGTTGTTGTTCAATTAATCCATGCATATTTGGAGATATTGTATCATTAGTTACTATTTGTGGATGTTGATTAGTTTTAGCAAAATGATCAACTAATATCGATTGTTGTGGTTCTAGTGGTTGTTGTTGTTCTAGATTTGTAGTACTCAGTGCTTGTGAAGTATTTGTTAAACATGATTTTAAATTAGGGTCTTGTTTTACAACAAGGGACGGCATTTTTTTAGAATCTTTTGATAACTCTGATTTTGTAAATGAATGTTGTGGTTGTGTTAATGGTTTGGTTGGTATTGGTGAGTGTAAATGTAAAGGATCATCATCCTTATTATTATTTTGTGATGATGACATCTTTGGTTAGCTTTTTTATTGATAAGCAAATTATTTGGTTATTTTCTAGATAATCATTAAATTTTTTCTGTTTTTTATGGTTTCTTGAAATCATACGCTACCAGTTGCATTCGAATCACAAAATAATATAATATAAACGTATATTAAATATAAAACGACCTTATAAATATAACAACTAAACTGACTGTTTGAAATTACGTGTTTGCTGCATCCTCACTACAACCTTACTCACTTGTTGGCAAATTTCCAAATCAAATTCAAAATACCAGTAAATGTAGTCCACCCACTAAATAAATAACTTGGACCACCAATTGGAACATCATCATCTCTATTAAACCAAACTTGACCGTTATAATTTTGTTGTGAAGTTTTAATTAAATCATCTTTCTTACCTGAATATGGTGGATATCTTGATTTTAACATAAATTCATTATATAATTTTTGTTCAATAGTTGTTCTTTCATGAGTAAAATGTCTAAATGAATATTTACCATGATATGCACCATAACCACTTTGACCAACACCACCAAATGGAGCATTAATTAAAGCAACATGTAATAAAACATCATTAATAATAACTGCACCTGACCTAACACCTTTTAATATAATATCCAATTGTTTATTATATTTTCTATTTGTTGAACCAGAAGTAAAAATATATTCAGCTAATGGAGTATCATGTAATGAAACAACTTCTTCAACAGATTTAGATAAGTTATCATAAGTTAAAATTGGTAAAATTGGACCAAAAATTTCACCCTTCATTGATGAATCATCCCATGATACTTGATCAATAACTGTAGGTGGTATAAATCTTGAATTAAAATCTAAACCTTCACCTCCATATATGATTTTACCCTTAGTTGTGTTTATAATTTTTTCCAAATTTTTGAAAGCTCTTTCATGAATTATCTTTGTAAAATCTTTTGAATCTTTAGTTAAACCAGGATAAAATTCATCTTGTAATACTTTAGTCAATGCAATTATAAATTTATCATGTTTTGATTCAGGAACTAAAACATAATCAACAGCAACACAAGTTTGACCAGCATTTGTAAATCTACCCCATGCAATTCTTCTTGCTATAGTTTCTAAATCTTTATCTAATACATCATCAAGAATGAATGCAGGCGATTTACCACCTAATTCTAAAATTGTTGGAGTTAATGTTTCAGCTGCTTTTTTAGCAATAATTGTACCAACAAAATTATTACCAGTGTACATAATTTTATCAAATTTTTGATCCAATAATTCAGTAGTTTCAGGAATAGCACCATTAATAGCTACAAAAATATCCTTATCTAAAGCTTCAGTTAAAATTTCAGAAAATAATCGTGAAAAACGAGGTGTCGATTCAGACTGTTTTAAAACAACAGCATTACCACCAGCAATAGCACCGACAACAGCTGAAAATGATAAAAAGAATGGATAATTAAAAGGTGAAATAATTAAAACAACACCCAATGGAATTCTTTCAACATAAACAGGATTAGTTTTTAAATTTAATGGTAAATCACTAATTGGTTCTGGTTTAACCCATTCATTTAAACTTGCCATTGTATGAACTAATTCATTTAAACCACCAAGTAATTCTAAATTACGAGTTTCACTTGAATTTCTACCAAAATCTAATTCTAAAGCATCACATATAGCATCTTCATTATCTTTTATAGCAAAATATAAATTCCTCAATTGATTCAATCTAAATTGTAAATCATGACTTTTTTGATCTTTATGAAATGAAGTATGTAAATGTTGAATACTTGGTTTAATATCTTCAATTTTAGTATACCATGCGTTCGATTCAATTTCAGCAAAAGATTCACCAAGAGTTTTTGATTCTGAAATAATTGAAGGTGGTGACATAATAAATATCTAACTTAGCCTAATAGAACAATTGATAAACCACTAATCCAATAATCCAATAAAGGGGCAAAATTAGTTGTATAAATAAACGTGAAAATAACTTGTAGTGTGGAGATGGACAAAATTTATAGTGTATAAATATATTCCTCTATCCGGAGATAAATATTTAAGAAATTTCATTGCATATGATTTATATAACAAAGAGAGAGAGACCAACAATGCACTAATAAACATTAAAGTTTATAATGTATGTTGCTTATAATGTATGTTAATGCACAACAATTATCACATTAACAACTAGTAAATTGGAGAACGTATGGAGAACGTCTGTTCGAATTAGATTTTCATCGTCTATTCTTAGGGCATCATTGAAAGTAGTATAAATTTTAATGCTACAGACTAGTTGTTTCGCTAATCATGTTTGGAATAATTAAATTACTATTATTTAATAATTTGTATAATTTGTATGATTTCCAAGACTAGAGAAATGTGTTTTATACCTTTTGTCAAATTCTGAAACATAATCTAGCATCTGATAATCATTTTGAAACTATTACACTAAAAAGTTGAAAATTTAAAGTTTGAATACTTGATATCAAATATCAAATATCAACTATCAAATATCAAATATCAACTATCAAATATCAAATATTAAATCAGTACTTAGTTATCAATTCTTATCTATATAGCGAAATGAATTAGAGAAGCTCTATTCTTGAAGCAACTTGGTCCCACTAGTTTATAACAGCACTGATTGCGTACTTATTTCACATCCTACGGACCACAAGAAAAAATATTTCGCAATCGAAGATACAAGATATGATTTCAGAAGAAACAATTAAGTCTGTTAAAAAATATGCAGAGTTGTATGCTGATTAGTTGCTCGACTACCTAAACGGATATGCCACATTTGGATTATTCATAATTACAACTATAAATCTATGATCATAAATTACCTTTTTCGATTTTATATTCAAATTTTATATTCAAATTTATTCATTGCAGGTATGTCGTGGACGAGTCTTTGTGACGTATTAAAATCATTCAATGCTTACAAGGGAGGCAAATCGGATAAAAGTAAATGTTATTTTAAAATTACTGAGTTTGTCTTAACATTTCCGTTACAATTGATATATTATGGTGATCTACGTAAGATAATTACGTTGATTTGTAGTTTTCATCCAGTCAGTTATGGCTCTTTTTTGTTTGTGGTGAATTTTTACGATATTAAAATTAGTGTATATGGTCATGTGATAAAGCTGTCGAGTTTAGAGTGTCAATTTTTGTGATTTTGAAACTACAATGTATTAGGTGGAAGATCAATTAAATTTGTGGTGTGTTGACGAAGCAGTTGACGATGCAGTTGACGATGCAATTTTGCCATAACTATCAATAAAGATGCGATTGGAGCTCAAAAACTTAGTTCTATGTTCAAAATGAGTTTAAACAAAAGTTAGACCAAATCTGAGAAGCTTCAAGTTTTAAGTAGAGATCAGTGCTGTATCATAAAGTATCAGCCTCTATTTAAAAGTAATAGTATCATTGCATTATTAAATTATTTATTATTATTAACTATTAAAATTTGAATATATAAAAATCATCATTATTATTATTATTATTATTATTATTATTATTATTATTATTATTATTATTATTATTATCAAAATTATTATTATTTTTATATAAATCTATATCATCTCTCTCTCCTTTGTCCTACTATCTATTCTGAAATAAAAGTAACTTCATTAAAACCAATACCTTTTTCAATTTCACCTTTATCATTTTCAAACTCAAATTCATTACAATATTGATAAATATAAGGTTTTGCACCAGCTACTCCTGAAACAATATTTTTAACAAATTGAGGAATTTCAGCCATAACATCAACTCTTTCAATTAAATTTGTTAATTTACCTTTACATAAACCAACTTGTTTATCATCTTGTAAATATTTAAATTCAATTTCTTTTGGTACTGGCCAACCAACTTCATCAACTTCAGGTTGTAAATGTACAACTTCATTGTTTATTAATCCATATTCAATTTTATCATTTTTAACAATTATACCAATATTAACTTTTGTGGTACCATAAGATTTTGGAGTTGTAAATTCCATTTGAACAATTGAATAATTTTCTGATTGAAAATTTAAAAAATTCCATGATTTAGCAGCATGATGTGGTTTCATACCTTGTAAAGCCATTACAAACATTGTTAAACCATTTTCAATTTTAATTTCTCCAAAATTTTTAGTTATAATTTTACCATTAATTTTACATCTTGGCCAAAATAAATGTCTCATTGAACCCCATGGTTGTTTTGGATCTTCTCCATAATAAGTAAAACCATCATTACCAAAAATTATCCCATCACTAATTCTTTCCATTTCAAATTCAATAATTGATTCAGGTTGAACTTTTGAAATAAATTTATAAATTTTATTATCAGTAATTTCTAATGATAAATTATCAGCATAAAAATTAGCACCTTCAATTCTAAAATTTTCTAATTTGGTAGAAGTCCAAATATTTACTTCTTTAGGTTTTTCAGGATTATATAATCTAAATGTAAATTGAGCAGTTGTATGAACTCCCATAACATTTGAATGAATAATTTGAGCAAATCCAACATTTTTAGTAGTTAAATCAGTGAAATAAAAAGTTTGAGTTTCAACATTCGTATAATTTGGAGAAATCCATTTAAAATCTGTTTCGTTGGTTGTTCTATAAATTTGATTATTTTCAATTCTGTTAGTAATTGGTTGAATTGCATCTGCACCATATTCTGGTTCTGCTGTACCTGCAACAGCAGATAAACCTGATTGAACCCATTTAAGCATGATAATAGTAGAATAAAAATTAAATTTGTGGACTGTTAGTTATCTTCTATTGTAAGTTGTATGATGTAACAAATTCAACAGTTGAAGAGACCGAAATAAATAAGTAGTGTATGAAAATCAATTTCTTATACATGTATGTAATTTACTAACTGATAATAGTCGTGTGAAAATTAATCACTTTATATATAGTATAACAAATTATTGCTGTAACAACAATTAGAATTGATGAATAATAGGGGTAAACCAATTTACAATTGGGTTATTTGACACTCATAAAATACACCAATGACTAAGAGTAAAGCAATCTTTGTAAATACTGACCCGAGTGATAAAATAAACCATATGCGGTGAATATGTTAAGCAAATCTGTCATATGTCTCTTTATATAGTTAATTTTCGTGCGTAAAAATGTGTTGCATTTTTTTTTTTGCAGCCAAATTTTCTTAATTCTCTCGAGCTTTATTCGTACATTTATAAACTCAGTATTTTAAAATTATTGAACAGATAGTTGACATAGCAGCCCTGGCTCGAAGAAGCAAGGATAGTAGGATTTCAATACTTGAGTGTTGAGAAAGAACTCATATAAGATAAATAATTTGATAAATAAAACGACGAATTAATCACAGAAATAACATTTAAATCTGCCATGTATTAAGAACACACTCAATTATAAATCAGATAAACGAAAGCCATCAATATCAATATGAATTTTTCTAGCTTCGATTTTGTTGAATTTACTTTACTTAGTAACAACTCTACATTTAACCTTTGTATCAAATTTATGAGTTTCAACTTTATTACCATAGAACACAATTTTGTTAATACATTCCAGTTCACCAATATTTTTGAACTTTCTATTATCTTTCAAGATTAAATTCGTAAATATTTTGGAAATTTAAATTTATCAAAATTTCCATCACCAGTATGAGATGATCCAAAATAATTTAAACTGATTGGTAGATCAAAGTTGAACCCGTCTTTAAAATCAAAATCACCCCATATTAAAGATCTTAAACCTTCTGGAAGATCTAAACTTTTAAATAACTCTTGGCATATCCATATTTTTATATTTCAATTTTGATGGTAATTTCAACGAAATAGTTCTCAAAGTTCGTGATTCAGTATTACACTAATATGTACACTCTTCTAAACCTTCTAAATTTGGTAAAATGTCAATTAAATTTCCATTATGTGATCCTCAAGCACTTAAAACCCCGTTTGTCAAATAGAACGTTGTATTAAGTCAGTAAGATAAGGCTGAGAACAAATTTGAAAGGCTGTATATGGAGCTTTTCAAGAATGATTAAATACTTTGATGACTTATACAAATTTCTGAAACAAATTTGACTTTTATGCAGTATCGTAGTAGTCAATTTCAAAATTTAATTTGCCAATAACTCCCTCAAAATTTAGGCTGTAATTGCCAAACTTTTTCGTTAATAGTTCAGAAAGCTTAGAGCAAACTGATGGTAAAGTCTTTCAACAAAACTTAATTTTGATCACTTTATTCTACATTTAAAAAAATGGAAAAAACGCTTAATTGCAATATAATCAAAACTTAGACCTCATTTAACAACTTCTAAGATATCTGATTTGACTCATTCAATCTAAAAGATTCTTTCTGTGAAAGTTTCCAGCCGCCAAAAGTGGTTTGAAAATTTTGGAAAAATTTCCATTCACCATTGAAAAATTAGTTTTCGAATTTTGAGTACCTTGACATAAAAAATCTAGATGTCTATTAAAATGCAGAGATAAAAGTTTGGATTCCTTTGTCGTACTCTTATTTCAATTTCAGTTGTGGAGCTGGATTTTTCGTAAGGTTAAAATATTCGAATTTCACCATACTTAAGAGAAAATTTTGAAATTGAAAAACTTCGAAATTATGAGTTTAAATTATGTGTAACCCTTTAGTTTGAAGCCTATCATATAAAAGACGTTGTTTAATCGACAGTTTTGGCCCTAAATAAAAAGGTAATTGATTTTTATTTTTGGCAAAAATTTTGTATGATGAATAATTGCCAAAATGACAACTCAAAAAAAACATATCTGAGTCTGAAGAACTGAAGTATATAGGGTACTTAATTCAAAGGTTCTGATATCATTAAAATGGTCTTTTTTTCAAAAGAATGTGTTTTCCATGACATATAAGCCAAATATTCTAGCATAAGTCGCCCCAAAGTCAGCGAGAGGAAATTACTTCGTTGACACCAAATTTGGTCGAGAATTTACATACTATAAAAAATTAAATCTGAGAAAAATTTGACCTATATGCAGTTAAAAACACATTTTTTTTAACATAAGTACCATTTACTTGAAAACCAGAACTTTGAATTATACATTTCATATACTTCAAGCTTCAAAGAGTATTTTTTTTTTTGAGTTGTCATTTTGGGCTTTTTTCGCCATACAAAATTTTTCAAAAAATAACATTCAATGTAAGTTTTTTTAGGACCACAAACTTCAATCAAACAACGGGTTATTTATACTAGATCTCAGAATACGGTGTTGAATCAAACTCTCGGTCATCTACTCGAAAATTGAAAAATTCCAAAATTTTCTCTTAAGTTTGGGAAAAATCAAATAAATTAATCTTGAAAAGAATCTAACTCCACATTGAAATTTTTGCAAAATTTTCAAACCAAACATGGCACCCTGAGAACATCATTAATATTATCTTTGGACTTAATCAACTAAATCAGCTATATTAGAAGTTGCTAGACGAGGTCTACATGTTAATTATATCGCAAAATAGTGGTTTTTTCCATTTTTTAAATCATGAAATAGGTCATCAAAATTATGTTTATCCAATTAATAATCACAATAATACTTCAGATAATCTGACAATTATAATGAAGTTAGTTGATGAAAAAAACTTGAATATTGACAAGTTATTCACAATTTAAATTTGAAAATACAGGACTGCATATAAACACATTTGTTTCAAAATTATGCACGAAAGTATGCGTTAAACGGCGCTATAAATTACTATCTGGCACTAGCCATGAGGCGATCTCGTAATCTGATTTGGAAATTTAACCCTCTTTAAATAAATAACCAGAAATTGTGGTATCCCTAAGTAAAATAATTCAACTTACATTAAGACGGTTTCTCCACAATTGGTAAACGGCTTTAAAGCCTTTCAGGCCATTTTTCCTAATCAAATTCAACTGTTCAGATTTTAAACCACCATGGAGCCATCGAAAATAATTTTTTTGACACAGTCAAGATATAAAAACAACATCAACCTATGGGTAAGGGTAAAATAAAAAGAAAATTGTATTACAACCTATGTCTCAAAAGTAATACTTGACGAAATATTTACGATCTAAATGCCAAATTTTGGTATATTTTACTAGTAAATATTGCTACCAAGTGCTCAAGTAAATTTTGTTAGTGATAAAATCCAAAATATATAAATTTACATACAAGAAAGCAACAAGAGCCCAGCTTTTTTGATTGATCCTCTAATTAATAAGTTTATAGAGTTGTTTTAGCTAGTGCTTGAATTTTTTTGCGCAGTTTCCTTGATTTTGAAATGGTATTGATTGATATAACTTCAACGAGAATGCTGCTACAATTTTTTCGACCATGTTTCATTTCAACAACTCTACACCAAAATAACTCACAACGTGTCGCTTTTAAGTTATTGATGCGCTAATTAATGTTACTCAGTTTCACTTGAAGTTTCCAATGATATGTCTCTGATTATCAGGCGTGATTGAAAAGTTTTTTTTCGATGATTGGTCAAGGTAGCTCAAACATAGTTTCCAACTTTATCCATGTCACAATCCCCACAATTCATTAAATTATCTTCTTTCACTCATCTTTATTTCATTTTGTCAATCGCCGATGTGTACAATTCAATATATCATGTAAATCAAATTTTTAACTCACTTTCAAATAAGTGTAATTCTTTAGAAATGGCAAATGGTAATTTCGAACTAAATTTTAGTGGATCTCGAGAGCTAGTTGAAAAGTATTTTATTAATTATACTACTAAATTCGAATCAACAACAATAGAGACTTCATATTTGATCAGCATTTCAGAAAATGTCGGGAGACAGAACTTGATCCTTTGGATATGGACAAGTTTTCGAAGCTAAGGAAATGTAGGACATGGGTAGATTCCAAAAATTATTATTATTAACTTGTTAACCATAAATTAAAGCACGGAATTCCTCATTATTATTACTGGTTTGTTTCAAGTATAGCAAAAGCAGCTCATAGAACAAAAAATGGGGGTTGAATAGAAATAGTGGAACAAGCTTGTGATGGTGATAAAATTGATCATTATGCAATTTTTCAGTATCTTGACAAACATGCTAATTGTGAAGCACTGACTAAACTTCAAAATCCAGGTAAATTGAATGAAATTTTAGATTTCAAAGAGAAACATCTAACTGAACAAAATTGATCGATCTAGATTTTATTCAGGTTTTATGATTTATGATCTTTGTTGAGACGTTTTATTTTAGATCATAGCTGTATTTCAATCAAAATATAGAAAATAAAGAGCTAAGCTCAAATGAAATTCCGCTCTATTAGTAATTTCATTTGAGCTAGTATTGAAGCTTCCCCGAAGGTTTTTGTTAGTGCTAAAACCCATGTCAAATCGGTGGTATATTCAAAGGTCGTCGAAAATTTTATTTTCAATCACATACAAATATGAAAAGGGTATCATCGTAATGAGGGGCCCAAACTGACTATTATTTGTTAGGCGTTCTACGGCTCAATAGTATTCAGTTGATGGCTACGTCGATTTGAAGTTTTCGATTCACTGAACGGTCCACGTGCTCTCTTAAAAAAACGTCTAGAGAGAACTACAAAGATTTCAGGCTTATAAATCCGGTCGGTAAATATCGAACTGATACATTCTAAGAGTAGATTAGGTCAGTTGTAGCATATTACTGCTCAATTCGACAACTACTTGGTAAAAGAGGAGTTGTACAAGCTTGAAAAATTTTATTACAGTTTCAAGTAACTGAAAAGATTCTGATAACAGAAGACCCTATGTGGTGTTAAACCAACCTATTCGAAAACACCCGTTCTATTAGGATTTTAGTATAAGCAGCAAGGCACCAAAGAAAGACCTCTGTTTGTTAAACTAAAATGGAGAGTCGATTCGAATCTTCTCAATATTAAACCAAAACTGCATGATTGAAAAGTGAGGCTTTCACTGGCATTGTCCTTCTAGCTATCACTCTTGTTTTCTAAATCAAATTATAGTATAAGTATGTTAGTACCAAAAAGTTACCAATAAATTACCAACAAAGTTGCTAGTTTAGCTATCGCTCCGGCCTCTACTTTGCTCCTGGTGTTTTCACTATTGTTGAAGCAGATAATTCTGCTGTTGTTGCTAGAGCTGATATTGCTAGAGCTGATGTTGCTAAAGCTGATGTGGTAAAGCTGTTTCTGCTGGTGACAATGCTTGTGATAATATCTCTAACGGTCAAAATACTACTTTCGTTCATCTATTTATCACCCGTATCAAAAGTATGTTTTTCAAAACAAACCATTACGGGATAATACCACCTTCATTCTTAATTGCCATTTGTGATTACCCGAAATTGATTTACTGGAAGTTAGGCATTGCTTATGAATCTAAAAATAAACAATTAATCCTGAAGTATACTTCTGCTGCTGAAAATTAGATAAATTTGTATGAAGACTTTGCTACTGCTCCTGCTAAATCAAAGATTTCTGCTGTTCTGTTTGTTGTTGCTACACCTTCTAATGTTGTAGAAGCTACTTCTGCTAATTCAGAGACATTTGCTCTTGTTGTTTCTAAATCAGAAATTTATTACGTTTGAAACACTATTTATTTATTACTTTTCAGTTCTTCAGTGATTCTTTGATATTTATTTATTTGTTGTAGACTATTTATTATTCGTAGGGATTTATAGAAAACCCAAAAAATTTACATCATATACTTAGAAACGTTGATTTAATCTCTATTGATTAATGCTTTTTATACTTTTCGACCTTGAGTGAAAGTTGGGAGAAAATTTACAAAATTTGCAAGAATTAACATAAGAACACCCAGTTTTTTTTACATATCCTAAAAGTATACAACATATAGGGCTGATTCGGAACTTTTAGAATTTTTCTACGTTGATTTAGGTATTTGAATGCATCAATTTCGAATATCTGTTTGGTGAAACTAGTTGGTTTTATTTTCGCATGGTTTGCAAATTATAAAAACTAAGCTGTAAAAAAATTGTACATTGAAACAGTCGTCGTACCAAAATATGGCCATCTGTAAAGCGTAGTGGCATTAACATCAGGGCTAATATTTAGTCCAAAAATTGGACTTAGGAAATCAGTTACATATTTACAACGAAGACTTATCATAAGTTAATTTTCATTAAAATCTATTTATTGTATATCTCTTCTCTTTCTCTAATAATCTAACATGATTTTCCTTTTCTTAACTGGACTAATTCTATCGATGTTCTTTTTGTTCTTCATCTTTGACTCCTTATCGAAATCCCATAAGATCTTTTTCCAATTTGCTAATACGTTATGCATTTCAAACAATTTAACCAATTTATCCTTATCTTCTTCATGGTGTTTTTGTAATGATTGATATAATTCATTATATTCTTTATATTTAGATTTAAATTTCATTGCTATATCTTGATAATATGACATATGTTTAAGATTAATTTCATATACTTCTTCTGAAGATGAAGGTGGGGAAGTGTAATTATTTGTTTTATTCTTTGATTCTTCATCCGATGACAATGCAGAAGATGAATTAGATGATGAATTTGATAATTTACGTTTTGTTGAAGTTGTAGTTGTAGTTGTTGATTTTTCGGGTATTGGGGATTGTGGAGATGAAGTTGTTGATTCTTTCTTTTTATGAGTTTGAAAAGGTGCTGGTGATTGAGGTTGTGAAGTTATTGATTCTTTCTTTTTATGAGTTTGAAAAGGTGCTGGTGACTGAGGTTGTGAAGTTATTGATTCTTTCTTTTTATGTAGATTAATTGTAGGTGATGGTGGTTGAGAATTTATTGACTCTTTCTTTTCATGTCCTAATGTAATTGCTGGTGATTGTGGTTGTGAATTAAATGCCTCTTTCCTTTTATAATTTTGAGCTTGAGTTATTGCAGGTGATTGTGGTTGACTTGTAATTTTCTTATGAGTAGATAGGAATCCACCACCTAATTTACTTTGATTGATTTCATGATGATCTTCTTCCTTGTCTATTATTTTCTTTCTTAATGGATGATTTTGTGAATAGCCTAATCTATTTAATGCATTATTACATAAAACAACAACAAGATTTTCTTCTTTATGTTCATATGGAAATTTCATAGGTTGTAAATCTCTATAACTTTTATCTTTTAGGATATGACCATTTGATTCATAATATTTGTAGTTGTCATTTGCAGTAAATGGATCATTCTTATTATGTACTTGACAATAAGTAGTTAAATACTTCTCTAGCACATCTTCATTTAAATTTGTCAACTGTTTTATATGTTCTTTATTAATCGGTCCTAATGCAATTAAATGAAGAAATGATCGTAGATCATTTTCAAAAATTTTTGAATTTTTATAAACTTCATATGTGGATTGAGTAGGTAGTGGTTCAATTTTGTTAACTGGAGTTGAAACTTTACTTAAATTTGGAGTTGTAGTAGCACTTGAATAATTAAATTGTTTAATTCGTTTCTCATCAGTTATAATACTCAACTTATTCTGTATTCTTCCGTTATATATTGAATTTGAGTCTTTAAGAATTGAATAAATATCAACTTTCAAATCTTCAGTTAACTTTCTAAATCGATAGATCTTATCATCACTACCATCTTTAGATACTAATTTCAATGAATAATTTCCATCTTTAACAATCAATTTTACTTTTGAATATTTACCATGTTTAAGATCTTCGATTAAATTATTATTTAGTTTCAATGATAATGCAATTGGTAATGGTAATGGTAATTTACTATTAGGTATAGGCGGTTGTAAATTTGATATTATTATATTATTATTAGACATGAAAAATTATGAAAAATGATAAATGGGTGTGGTAAAAAAATTGAAATTATTAATTTGTTTTTGATCGTTTGATGGTTGGATCTGCTGCTATTTCTAATCTAATAATGAATAAGTTATAAGTTATAAGTTATAAGTTTTTTAAGTCTAAATAACTATTAAATAAAGGAATAAAATGATATATAAAATGGTTGTAAATAAATATATGAAAAAGTAATGATTATAATAATAAATATAAAATTGTGTGTGTGGGTTACTACTATATAATTTATTAAGGGAAATTAATCTATTACTGCAACTTATGTAAGTTGTTACATAATTTTCAATACTTAAGGAAAATTGCAGCATTTAATTTACAACTGATTTCAATTAATTAGAGTTATTTAGATTAGAAAATGACAATAGATTTAGATCAATTTATGTGATGGGATATTCCATGGTAACAACCTATTAAACAGTGTACAGAAATATTGAGGTCAATCAAAAGTCCGTTGATAACTACTTAACAACCAGTTACAAAGCTTAATTGTTGGTTGTCTGTTGTAAGGTAAACATAAATAATAATAATAATAAGAATTAATCTTATTTCCTATTTTATCAATTAATACACAAAATCAGATCTCACTTGAAAATTATTATATACAAGACCATATCCGAGTTAATTCTCATACTATTCTAGCATAAAAGATCAATAATGTTACAATAAACAGATCACGATTACGATCACGATTACAATCACGATCACGAGTACGATCACGATCACGATCACGATCAAAAACACGTAGAAGTGGTGGTGGTCGTGGTGGTCGTGGTCGTGGTGGTGCTAGTGCTAGGCATCATCACTTGTTGTATTATAATATTTTATGATCACCAAACGCAAGGCATAAAAAACCGAACCACAAAAAACCAGGAGAAAAGAGAAAAAAGAAAAAAAAAAAAAAAAAAAAAAAGGACTAAAAAACGTAAATATCGTGTAATGCGGCACTGCACGCTACGAATTTATTAGTCTTTTGCGGTGGTAGCATCGGTATGAATTAATTCCTTTCCATTCGATATTTATTATAAGCTTCCATGTATGGATTATTACTTATAATTTCAATTAAGGTTAAGCCTAACTAATCAAAAGCAAATAACCTCTTGTTTTTCTAACATTTTTACCTGTTTCTGTATATTATCATTTGTTTGTTATTCAATTTATAAATTTGATGATCTTCGGTATTGGTTGATTTTATTTAGTAATTTTTTATATAATTTTTCTCATACTAATTATAATTTAAAACCAAAAGAAATTCAATACTAAGAAAAATCATTAATTACTGCGAAATTTAAAATCGAGAATTTGAACCATTTTAATTTACGGTTATTCATTTATCATTAAACCAGTTGAACTTTTATTTTTTAAACACTACTATCTTATTGTGATCATCACAAATTTACCATCTATTTATCGAGATCTCAGATTTTTGGTTCAAATGCTAATAAACTATCAATTATTTTCCAACTTGTTATAAGCTATTAGTTTACCAATATTTCACTTTCTCTCCATCTTGTTATAAGCTATTAGTTTACCAATATTTCACTTTCTCTCCATGTTTAATAATTGAATAAACTTTTATAATATAACCCTCTACTACCCAATACATCCCAATCTTTTTGAGTTAACCACATTTCATTAACAACTTTTAATCTTCCATAAACTGATCCACCTTTCCATGTTAATATAGTAGGATCAAATTCTCTTGGTGGTGGTAAAATATTTATTGGGATAATTTGACCTTCATCATTTAATTGATCAATATGATTTAAATCTAAATTCAATTCGCATTGTTTATTTATATCATCGATTATTTCTTGTGGAATTTCAACTTCTTTTTCATCTAATTTAACACCTTGTTCAGCTTCCATATCTTTTATAGTTTCATCTATCAATTGTTGTTTTTTAGTAGTGTTTTTCTTTATTTCTTGATTTATATATTCAACAATTGAATTTAAAGAAGTTGATGAAAGTATTTTAGGTCTCCAAATATTTATCCTATCAGTTAACATTAAATCATATCCATTAATTTTACCTAATCCACCTCCAACAATTAAAATATTACCATAAAATTTTTTAATTTTAGTTAAATCCGAACCTAAACCTGCATTTGTTATTGATTCAACAATTGCTTTTTCTAATGGAACATCCCATAATGGATCATCATTATATTCCATATCTTTTTCATCAATTACACATAATTTCATTAATAAATCTTCTTCTTGTAAATCACAATAATTATTAAAGTTCTTTAATTGATCTTGTGATTTTGATCTTGGATTATTTGATTTTAAATTATATTGATCAATTGATTTAGGAAATAAATGATTTAATCTATTATTTGTTGATTTATTACTCAGGTATAATGATGGATTTGATGGTGGTTTTTCACCAATTTCAAAAATTTTCGGAAAGAATAATCCCATTGGTGCTAACATTACTTCATCAAATGTTTTAAATTCATATTTTTCAGTTGATTGATTTGGTGATCTTTTATAAAAATTGTATAATTGTATAGCTATATCTGCATCTTGAAAAGTTATAAATTTCTCTTTTAAATCAGTGGCAATTTCCCAATCATATGAATTTCTAAGATTAATATCTTTATAAGGAAATGCATTTTCAATTAATAATTTCATAAAAGTTTCAGTTATATTATCACCACCGTAATTTAATAAAATTCGAGAATCATTTATAATCATACCTTCATCAACACATGCAATTTTTGTAGTTTGTGAACCAACATCAACAATACAAGCAGTAGATGCTCCTGCACCAAATGTAGCAGCTACTGATTCTTGAATTATACCAATTTTACCAAATCCAATATATTTAAGTAATAATTCACACCAATTTTCAACATAACATTTATCATAAAGATCTGGAATTAATAACATACATTTGAAATTACCAACATTGGTTATATTCAACTTTTTTAATGCTTCTTTAATGATCAATGCTAAATCACCTATTATTTCTTGTCTTGATTGATAATCTCTTGAAAATTCATTGAAATTACCATTTATCATTGGATATCGTAATATCCAATCACCAGATAGTACCAATTTTAAAGCATCTTCACCAACATAATATTTTTGATCATATTCATTTATCCATTCCTTTTTTAATGGATCATTATGATCGGGTATCTTTTCAGCAATTTGTTTTTTATTAAAATATAATGCAGTTTCTCTTGAATTTGGTAATATTCTTCTCTTATAAAATCTCATTCTTGCTTTAAATTCTTTGGAGATGACTTGCTTAGTTTCATCAAATGTAGGATTTATAACAATTTCATCATCAATTATTTCTCTATGAGGTAATACCACATTATCTTCCTTTTCTCTATTTGGTTTCTCTATAGCTATCACATTGGGAATTGTTTCAGGAACTGCATCTGTAGCTTTGCCAATTCTAATAAAACTTGAACCAGGTTGTAAAATTATAACATCTTCACCAATTCTTGCCTTTTCTTGTCTTATTTCTTCAGTTTCATTTTCTTCTTCATCTTCATCATCTACTTCTTCAACATCATTACTTTTCTTTTTCATTTCTAATTCAATTTCATTTAAATTAAAATTATCAAAATTTTTAATTTCTTCAATCTTTTTCTCATCAATCATTTCACCACTTTGTTTTAATTTCTTAATTTTACTTTGTAAATCTCTTTCTTGTCTCCAATTTCTAATATATGCAACTTGTTCATCTTTTTTTAAATATTCAGTAAAATAATTTTTTTGATTAATTAATGGTATTGATTTAACATTAGTAAGACCAAATCCATTTTCTTTTTCAAATCTACCAATACCTGTTTTTTTCAAATTTTGTGCTAATGTTTGAGCTGCTTTTAATCTACCTTCTTTTCTTCTTTGTAATGTTTCAGCACTTGGTTTTTTAGCAGTTGTTGAACTTGTTTTAGATTTTTTTGTTTCTGGACCATCTATTTCTTGTTGTTGTTGATCTTGTGGTTGTGGTTGTGATGATGGAATTGGTGTATTTGCACCTGATTCAAATATTGGTGGTGATGTTGGTGGATTAATTGGATCCAGCATTTAATTTATAAATGATTTGATTAATGATTAATTGATGATTTTTATTTTTCAAATTCGTATTTTTTTTGCCCACCCGATATACAACAAAAATTTTACGAGTATAAAATAAGCAGAGATTAAACATAAGAAATAGGTCAAACTCCCATTAAGTTGAACTACCTAGGGTATTTATGTAGTGAGAAGTAATCGCAAATTTCAAAAGTAGACACTTGGTAGCTGTAGTAGTATATAAATCAATTAAATTCCACCGTTTTTTTTTGTTTCTTTTTATACTTGTTGAATGCTAATTCTATACCAAATTGGACAATTGTACAGTCAAGATGATGCTGTGGAATAATAGACTGAATAATTGAGTGCTGGGTTAACTAAGCATCACTAATATACGAAAATCACAAAATCTAATTGAGGATTTAGATTTTGCTTCGGATAAGGGGTTCATGATGAATTGGTTCAACGTTAGGGCCTAATGATGGATAAAGAATTAAGTCAATTGATATGGATGAAAAGATGTAAGTGTTTGCTCCAGGACTTTGGTAATGAATCGTTACATCTGGATTGACCATTTATTAAAGTATGGATTCTTCATAATGGATCAACAGTATATACGATCATTATAATTAGCACCTGTTAGTGTATCCCTATAATCAACTTGGTTAGAAGGTACTCATAACTAGACGATAATTTGATTTCAAATCACATATTTTGAAATATGAAATGTGGAGTCTTGGTGAATTCATATTTAATGGAAGTTTAGGTTTGATTTAATGACTTTGAATTAATTTAAGTTTATTAGAGAAAATTGTTAATACTTCTGTTGTTGAATGATTTAACTTTATGTTTTTTTAAGGTAATTCGGAATCGTTCAAATTTTTTGACAATTTTGAATCATTTTAAAAATATGAATCAAGATTTTGAATATCAATAAGAGTCAAGATGGGAAGTATATGTCAATTGAGGTCTTGAGAGTTACGTTACGGAATTTGAATTTGAAAATTGACAAAATCTCTTCTTGATTTAAGTATTTACATGAATTATTGGATTTTGGTTGAGATAATGCTGTTCTAGAGAACATCCATTTAGTTTCAGCATCAATTTTTGTACTTTGAAGTTAATTCATTCAAATTTCATCAAATTGCAAGGGTTAAACAATTGGTAGCACATTTGATGTGGTATCAACTAATGATGTAGTTTTTATTTCAGAAATGAAAACTGTTGAATCGCTCGCAGCTATCCTAAGGTTTATATCCAAATTCTATTTCAAAAGGACTCATTTTTGGTGGAACAATGAATATGGCTGTTTAATGCAAACTCTAAAGAAGGAAGAGCTTTCAACCAATCTTGACCCATTAAAGTTGTATACTCGGGAGTAATTCCTGTCGTCCATTAGTATTTTTTAAACTACGATGTGGCGCAAATGATGTAGTTATTTTGATGAACATTGCATTGACATTCTTCTTCGAAATTCAACCAAAGACAATCCCCTAAGGAGTCATCTTGGTTGAGTGTTATGGTGTGATTATATAGCTATATAGAAGTAAATAGGGACTAGAATTTGCTGATTTACAATTCAATTTGTAAAAACATGCAAATTCCCAAATCATTTATCAATTCAATTCAAACATACTAAAGCATATGTAACGACTTTGGTTATAAAGTTTTATTACTAAGCGAGGTTCTTTGAAAGGATTGATACTATATTTTTAAGATCATTTTAGAATTGTACAAGATTTTGACAATTTTAAAAGTTTTTAGAAATTATCAATTACATGCAATTCAGCAGGATGATATTCTACTAGATAGAATTGATGATTGACTGGATAAGATATTTAGATAGAACTAAATATACTAATGTTGATGTCTTTTATAAAAGTTAAGTGATTTCTAAGATCATTTTAGAAAATTTTGAATTGAGCATGAAATACATACCTATTTGACAATTAATTCGGTGTGGCTGTCTCTGAGAGTTGTGTAATGAAGTTCTGCAAGAATAACCGATATTTTAATCCATAACTATATTAATTAAATAGTAATTCGAATTTAGTTCCAGATCGAGATCTCTGGGTCCAATATGATTTTGTGGAGCATTTTGAAAAAATAAATACCGGAATACCAATTAGGAAATTTGTTGATCGTAATTCACCGTAGTAAAATCAAACGTTCGTAATTAATAAATTAAAAATCAAAAATTTAATTTATTAATAAAATTAGAGAGATTTTGAAATTTGCTCACTATTTTTATACGTTACTCCAATCTTAAATGATAGGTTGATGAATGTAGGTCATAGAAATATACCCACAGTACTTGGTAGATTCAAAATTTTTGATGTTGATGACCACAGAATGATACCAAAATTGCAAAGTATTCAAAGGTATGTAATCGATAGCGGTCTAAGATACTCATTATTTGAACATGCTTCGAAGATTATATCGAAGATTATATCGAAGATTATATCGAAGATATTGGAATTATTAATTCAATTAGGTCTCAACCAGCTGCAACTTTATTAGCTGGTAAGTGGAGTTACTTCGACATTATCATTTCAATCCTGAAAGTCCTGAACTTTAATTATCAATACCTTACTACTTGGAGTTATTTAATGACTTCAACATTAATGATCGGCGACTCAGTTGCTGGTTATATTCATCATGCTTTTGCACTTTGCAATGAAAATTCATTTCATCAAAAATTATTCGAAGGTTTTAACATGAAGCTTTTAAGGTTTTGAGCGTCAGATGTTCAAGAATTATCCTGATAAATTAAAATCTATGAATTCTGACGACTACAATGATGCAGAAAAGTTGAGATATTTTTTATTAAAAGAGGTTGGAGATGTTCCTACTCAAGGTAGTGAAGACAATTATGGGGTTGGTAATTCAAGTATTGATAATGATGTAAATAATAAGAAAAGAAGAAAAAAAGATAATTAGTTTCGGCTCAAGTATTTATTGAATTTACATAAATACGACAATCACCTTGACATGGAATAATAATATATACTACTTCAAAGTTGACCGAATAATATTAAGCATAAGCAGTTAATACCTTTAGTGCAAATATAACTGACAAAACCTGGAACTCTTAATACTGTAACGCACTATTTAATATCTATCTGAAAAGCTGTAATTCTCAAAGTAAAATTATGAGTGATTGATACGGTATTCAGAAGTCAGGTTTGACCAAGCTTAAACATCAGTGCTATAGAAGTAGTAAATTGTAAAATGAAGAGCACATTATGCTTTGAATTCTTAAAAGTTGAACTTTTGAAAGTCTGCAACATGGTAGCAATAAAAAGACATAAGAATCAAAACAGGTTAAATCAATCTAAAATTCGTAATACAAGAGAGTCTATATTATAATTGAAATGAATCTGAGTCAAAAAGAAGCGTTGGGTCCATTTAGTTCTATATCTGACATGGATATCGGTTATTGTTCAAGATCAACGTCTGAATATAGTAGTGTTAAATCTTCAGATATCGAGATCCACTGGAATCAACAATACTACACTCGATTTAGTCCACCGTCAGATTCTGAAATGTGTACTACTAATCATTCATCATCAGCATATGCAAGTTCAACTGAATTTTCATTTGAATATTAAATAGTAATGTTAGTTCATCAGATATTGAATTTAATTGGAACCAAGATGAGGTTGATAGTATTAGTCCTACATCTGATGTCGATATTAACAATTGTCATTAAACAACATCACAATCCAGTTCAACTGAATCTAGTTGGTAATCCTCAGCTTATCATCATTAGTTTACCTAGTTGTATCGTAATTACATTAATATATATAATAAAATATTATTTTGCAGCCTAATTTTGATAATAAATATTATGTAAAATAAATATTATGTAAATTTATCATCGACCGTGAAGCGAAAGAACTAAAATTTTCTATTGCATATGTGTCTAATTACACACCGAATAAAATTTATTATTTTTTGAATCGGAGATGGGACGGGATGAAAAAGAGGGGACAGAATTGAATTGAAATTTATGCCCAACCACGCGACCAAAAATTAAAAATTGGGCAGTGGAAACTAAGGCCATATTGGCTAGGGTCATTACAGATGCCTCCGATCAATTTTAAATCGTAAATAAACTCGAATTAAATTAATTGTCTCATATGTAACAATCGGTTATAATTGGTTAGTAAAAACGTTCTATAGAATAATAAAAAAGCTTCACTCAAAAATAAATTTCAATTAATTTTTTTTTATTTTTTTATTTTTTTTTTTTTTTTTTTTTTTTTTTTTATATTTAATTTGTCGAAATTGTCAATATATAAATTCTCCAATTGAATAATTAAAACTATCTATTCAATCAATTATAGACTTATATTTTTATAGAATAAATCTTTTATCATGTTACAATTTACAAGACAATTTAGTAAATCATCAATTGTAAAAAATTATGCTAGTACAATTAAAAATTTAAAAATTAATCAAGATACCAAAGTTATTTATCAAGGTTTTACTGGTAAACAAGCTACTTTCCATGCTCAACAAGCAATTGCATATGGTACAGATGTTGTTGGTGGTATTAATCCTAAAAAAGCTGGTCAAACTCATTTAGATTTACCGGTTTTTGGTTCTGTTGCTGATGCTATGAAGCAAGCAGGTGCTACAGCTTCAGGAATTTTTGTTCCACCACCAGTTTGTGCTGCTGCTATAGAAGAAGCTATTTCCGCTGAAATTCCTTTAGCTGTTGCAATTACTGAAGGTATTCCACAAAAAGATATGGTTAGAATTGCTCAAATTTTAAAAACTCAAGATAAAACAAGATTAGTTGGTCCAAATTGTCCAGGTATCATTTCTCCAGATCAATGTAAAATTGGTATTATGCCACAATCAGTTTTTAAAAGAGGTAAAATTGGTATTGTTTCAAAATCTGGTACTTTAACTTATGAAGCTGTTTCTCAAACTACTCAAGTTGGATTGGGTCAATCATTAGTTATTGGTATTGGTGGTGATCCATTCCCAGGTACAAATTTCATTGATGCTTTAACATTATTTTTAAATGATCCAGAAACTGAAGGTATTATTTTAATTGGTGAAATTGGTGGTACAGCAGAAGAAGAAGCATCTGAATTCCTTAAACAACATAATTTAAATAGACCAGAAGGTGCTAAACCAGTTGTTTCATTTATTGCAGGTGTTTCAGCTCCACCAGGTAGAAGAATGGGTCATGCAGGTGCTATAGTTGCAGGTGGTAAAGGTGATGCTAAATCTAAAATTGCTGCATTAGAATCTGCTGGTGTAGTTGTTGAAAAATCACCAGCTAGATTAGGTAATTCATTATTAGCTGAATTTAAAAATAAAAATTTATTATAGATATAAACTGGTTTATTAGTTGTGTATAGTTTAATAAAAAAAACGCACTGAAAAATTAATGAATGAAAAAAATTATCACCAACCCAAAAATGTTTAAATTGATACTGAGATCCAGAATAATAATACCTACATTGACAGTTCGCCCCTTTTCAACGTCATTTAGAAACTTTCAAGAATCAAAAGTATTATATACAAAAGAAAATGTACATGATTTAGAAACTTTTCTCACTCAAATTGGTAGAAATACAATTGAATTTAAAGATAATTTTGACAATGATTTAAATAAATTTCTTGCAACAACATCAGAACAAATGAAAGAAATGGGTATTGATACAAATCAAAGAAAATATTTATTAAGATGGAAAGATAAATTTATAAATAACACAGAACCATTAAAAGAACATAAAACAGGTAAAAAAAGAAATGGAGGTGAAAGAAAAGCAAAAACTGTTAAAGCAAGAAGATTAGCATTACAAAGAATTGAAGAAAGAGAAAGATTTGCAAAAGAAGCTGAAAATAATCAACAAGAAAGGATATTCTAGTTGGTAATTGTATATATATTCTAGTATATATATTCTAGTATTATACTACTGTAAATATAAATTTTTTTTTTTTTGTGATTCGCTTTGTTTACCTTTAAAAGTTACAACCAATGGATCTAATTGAAAGGTTGCAATCTTTTATACAATCAAACGAAATTACTGCTTTATCTGTTAATATAAATAATATAAATAAACCTCAACATGATTTAAAATATATTGAATCAAGTTGTAAAAAATCAATTGATACTTTAATTAAATCTTTTGATCATCAACAAATATCATCAATTAATTTATATTTTAAATCTTTATATATAATATATCAAAATGATTATGGTAATTTATTAAATACTATACGAAATCATCATATGTTAATTGTGAATTTGTTTGAATCAAAGCAAATTAATGGTGTGATTATACAATTGAAAATTATTCATAAACAATTTAAAAGATTATTAGAAGTTAACTCAGATAACGTGTTTTATGGTATACCTTTTGTTAAATCAAATGATGATCAATTAAATCAATTAGTTATAGCATTTCATTTTTTTATTTTACAAGCTAAATTACTTTATATATCGAAAAATTTGAAAATTATACTTTCGAATAATGATGAGTTGATAAGTTTAAAGATGGTTGAATCAATTCCAAAATACTTTTTAAGTACAAGTAGTATAATGAAATGGCAACAATTGTATAATAATGAAAAATATTTGAAAAATACTGAAAAATTGATCCAGGGGTATATAAAATTATTTAATAATATTAGGTCAAACAAGTTTGAAAGGTTGACAAATTGTTTAAGAATCAAATTGATTGCTCTTACAAGTGATACTTCAAGCATACAAGATATGGATTTAACGTCTGACATAATACATTTCATTAATGACTCAAAAATTAATTTAAATACAGTTTTAGAGGCACCACAAAGTGAAGCTAGTAGCTCATCAACATTAGTCAATGATGATAATAAACTACAAGAATTGAAAGCTTTAAAATTAAATAAAGAAAATGCAAGATTGATGACATCGTTTTTTCATACTTCAATAACTGAGATGAATTTACTGAATTTACAATTATCAATACTTGATTCATTGACAATATATCTAAAAGACAATCTTGATTTAGTGCCGTTGCAAAAATTATTTGATATTTATGCACATTTTAAACAAATTAAAAGATCAAGAAATTTAAGTAATATATTATTTAATAATCAGTTATGGGAATTATCAATTGAATATGAATCAAGAGTATTTCATATAAAACCTTCAAGACAGAGTTTAAACTGCTTGTTGGATAAGTTTAAGCATTGTGAAGTTAATCAAAACATATTAAATTTGGTCTTACATGCATGTCAGACAATGGAATTTAATGAGCAAATAAGCCAAATCGTATGCCCAAAACTAAAAGTAGGTTTAATTATAGACAACGGTTTGAAAGATGAGTTTAAGTTCAGTTTAGTCACTGAAATTTTCAAATTATCTGATGAACCACTATGTAATAGTATAATTAAAGACATTTCTTTCACTGACAAATCTTTACAGAAGCAAGTACAGTATAATTATTACAATGCCAACATTAACCATTTAAATTTAGACTTTAAACCAGACAATTTATTAATTCAAGCTGGGTTCCAATTACAAAAATTATTGATAAATTATGACAATGAATTACAAAATATATGTTTAACTAATTTTGCAACTTGGGTAACTGAAAATACTGAATTTACAGAGTTTGAGTATTTAATTTCAAGACATTTATTATTATATTTCAAATATTCAGGTGTTGATACTGGTCTGTTAATCGATTTATATTCATCAAAACCAATAACTAAAGAATTTAAAGTATTTTTACAAATGATATCTGGTGATTTAACAAGTCTAAGTCAGTTAATGAAACAAGCAAATGTAAATTTAAAAGCTGTTTTAACTTTTCAATTATTACAATTTGAAATAAATCCATCTAAAGAACTATACAACAAAATTAAGAACATACTTGAATCACGATCTGAATTTGATATGTCATCATCGAGAAACTTGCCAGTATTAGATAAATTTCAAAACTTTTTAATATTGGGAAAATTTCAATATTTGACAAGTAAATTTAATACCAATCCAATTGATAAATATTTACATTTGAAAACAAGTATACAAATACTATATTCAATTCAAAAGAAATGTGTCAATGGTTTACCTAGATTTGAAACATTAGAATTAAAATGGGAAATTACACATTTAATGTTTAATTGTTATGATTCCATAATACAAGTATCAATAGACTTAGGTATTTCAAGAGACATTACATATTATATTAAAGAATGGAAGAGCTTAAATGAAGCAAATATAATACCAATAATAAATGAAAGAAATAATCAAACAATTGAATATTATAACAAATTAATTAATGAACCTTTAATTAATCAAGTTGATGAAACCCAGGAAATAAAATTTTATCCTGGTTTATTACAAGGTTCATCAACTGGAGAATTGGAAGAAATTAACAACTTGATAGATTTAAAAGATAGATTATTAAATGAATTATATACATCACCATCTCAAAAATCAATACATGCTTTAAATCATTGTATTTTAAAACTTTCATCAATTACAATTTCAAAAGAATCAGAATTAACTTCACAATTATTGTTCCTTGAAGATTATGTTAAGTACCTACCTTTTGAAAATGAGTCTACCATATATAAAAACATGAAAGATGGTGATTATCTACCACAAGATCCAATAAGCATAGAATCAATAGAATCAAAATATCATAACTTCAATATTGATTTGAATTTATACCTTCCGGCAGATTATTCAATTGTATCAATTGATATTTGTTCAATTACTGGAGATTTGTTAATTATGAAGTTGATTAAAGGTACATCACCTTTCTTTATTAGAATCCCAATTGGAAAAGATACTTTTAAAAATCTTAAATCTGAGTTTTATGAAATTATATCTAAGTCAAGTTTCCTAACTAAGAAAATCACAACTTCACAAGTTGTAACAAAGGATGATAGGAAAGCATGGTGGAGAAAAAGATTTGAATTAGATTTTGAATTGAAGGATTTATTTAATAATGTTCAGGATTGGTTTGGTGATTTTATCAATCTATTTGAAGTTGAAGATGATGAAATATTATTTCCAAAATTTAAAAGAGAATTAAATAAGATTGGAATTTATTATCATGATATACTCATGAAATGTATACTATCAAGCAAGGAAAATGATCAATTAATAAAACTATTAAAAGTATCAGATAAACAAAAAAGATCAATCAAGATCCTAATTGATAAATATCAAAAATTGAGATATTCAAAAACAAAGAGCCACACAATACTTATTCCATCATCTAAATGTATATTCTTTTCATGGGAATCATTATCCATATTTGAAAATAAATCAATCAGTAGAATGACATCAATTCATCAGCTCCTCAATCAATTAAAAGCCACCAAACTTTCCAATTTCTCAAATGTTTATTATTTACTCAACCCATCTGGTGATTTAAAAAATTCAGAGAATAGATTCAAAGACATATTTCAACAATCAAATTGGCATGGGAAAATCAGTGAAAAACCAACTGAATATGAATTTTTGAATAATTTACAAAATTGTGATATGTTTATATATATTGGCCACGGAGGTTGTGAAAATTATTACAAACCAATGAAAATGTATAAAGCATTCAGAAACAAGAATCTACCTCCCAGTTTATTAATTGGTTGTTCGTCAGGATCTGTTACAAATTATGAGAATTTGAATTCTTATGGGAATTTCTTCAATTGGGTGAATAATAACGTTCCATCTATGTTAGTCAATTTATGGGATGTTACAGATAAAGATATAGATTTATTTACATTGTCAATGTTAGAGAAATTTGGATTAATTAATAAAAACGTAAATGAAAAGAAGAATTTAAGTCAAGCAGCTTTGGAAAGTCGGTCAAAATGTGTTATGAAGTATTTGAATGGTTCCGCTCCTGTTATTTATGGATTACCGATATCTAAATAATGTTAATAGACAATTAATATTTAATGTAAATTGATTGATCTCTGAATTTTTTATGGATTTGTCAACATTATACGAAATAAAAATGCTAATACTCAAGTAAATTAAAGTTTGATCAACTTTGGACATGTTAGAAAGCTGCTAAATGGTAATTAGAAGTCTAAATCTCGGTGATTGCAAAGTTTTAGATAATACTGATGAATTTTAAACTCACGTACTCTAACTTATTGATTTTGATAAAGCGAAACTTTCGAAGAAAATGGCAATTTGTCCGAGTGGTTAAGGAGAAAGACTTGAAATCTTTTGGGCTCTGCCCGCGCAGGTTCGAGTCCTGCAGTTGTCGATATTTTTGTTTTTGAAGACTTAATTAATTTAATTTCAGGAACTAGTTTTCAACCACTAATTTTTTGAATCAACCGAAATAGAAGTCTCAAAATAAGAGTTCCAAACAGTTAAGTGTTATATGTATATTGGGCATGTTCTTAACATATAAATTAGGACAATTTAGCTTATTGCAACATTTTAGTCGATTTTCTTTAAAAATCTCTTGTTTTGAACCTGAACCTTTACTTCTCTAACCAATCATCAATTTGAGACTGAAGTTGCTCTACTACCACCAATTCCAGTTAAGACTCTACTTATTATGTAAAAGGTTAAGCCAGATACGAAAATATTAACAAAAAGTGAACATAAAATACCGTTTGTAACTTGATAAGCATAAACTGAGTTTGGATTATTCAACATAAAGCAGTTACAATGTCAACGGATCGAAGTGCCATATTCTATTGAAATCATGTGTGTATCTCTAGTTAATATGGAGAAATATAAAGGATATAAAATTATGTGTCAGGGGAATAGTATTTTCAACATATTCAAATGACGAATTTGTCGAGAATGACTATACTGATCCTGTTGAGCGTATTGCCTCATGAGAAAATAGTTGAATGTAATGGCTCTCAACTCTTGAAAACAAGATGCGCAATTTTTTACCATGGCGTCAATATTACCTCAAGTTTATGATTTTAAGTAAAGCAAGTTGGTTTTGACTCAGCTTACTGAGTCCTTGATAAAGAATGACGCAATGAACAAGCTCTAGCTACAATCAAAATAGATAGGCATCGAATTATTGAGTACGAAACATATTTCTATTTTCAAAATTCATCTACAAATCAAACAATAAGAACTTTGATGCTTCAGAAACAGCGTTCATGACCTGAATAGCATAATGGGTATGGCCACTTTTAGTCGCTTTTGACTTATATGACATTGAAAAGTTGAAACATAATTTTTGAGCTTTTGGTATTAGCTTCTAGATTGGGACGAGAGTCCTCTCTATCATTACTCAATTCAGCATTATCTTTACTATTACATATAATACATTAGCAGATAATCAACCACAAATAGCGACTTTAGCAACAATAGATTTATAAGCATTAACACCAGCTCTCGCATTAAAGTAAAAACTTTGTGGCTGAGCTCTCGCCTCACATTCGCCGATTCTTTATACCTCAAAATAGAGAAAATTCTAAAACGAACCAAATTGTATGCAGTACTATGGTAGTTAATCATGAAACTTAACTTGTAAATAACTCCCTCAGTTTCTAAACTGTAGCTGTCAAACTTTTATCGTAAAGACATTCGTTAACTCAGATTAAATTGAAGCTAATATTTTTCGATAAAACTTAGATTGGTCACTTTATTGGTTATTAAATAAATGGAAAAAAACGGTAAATTGCAAAATAACTACTTAAATCTCATTTAACAATTTTTAATATATCTGATTCAGTTTCTTTGACCCCAAATTAACAATATATAATAATCCTGAGACCACAGAATTGGTTTGAAGATTTTCTGCAAATTTCGAACCATTTCTGAAAAATTGATTCTCATCAAGGTGCAGTTTGGTGCCAGAACTAAAAGTCTCAATAGTTTTATTAAACTCTCATCACGGTTTAGATTGTGGAATTAGATTATTCGTGAAGTCAATTTATTCGATTTTGGCCATACTTACGTGAAATTTTTGGAATTTCTCAATTATGGTTTATATCATCCTGAAACGCATCAAGTACCTTAAAATGAAGCATAATATATATAATCCATTGTTTTACTGAAAGTTGTGGACCAACATAAAATGTACTCTTCGTTTCCATTTGTTACAAATTTTTTGTATGGTGGAAAAAGCCCAAAAATCCAAGTTAAAAAGAAAAAAACTTTGAATCTTCAGGTTTCAAGTATGTATAGTATATAATTCGAGGTTTCTGATCTCATTATCACTATTTCGTGAAGCTGCGTTGCTCATGAGATATAAGCCAATAAATCTAAAGCGACTCGCCCTAACGCTAGCGCGAGAAATCAATCAGTCGCACCGAATCAGAGGCATCAAAGTCACATTAAATTTATATCATCTAAAATTAGCTTTTTATTGTTACATAATATATATTAGCGAAGTGTTATATCTCAGATTGTGGTCGCTATCTTATATTACTGAAGTTCACAATTTGAGCTTAAAGTCTAGCAACACTTAATTAAGAACAAAATAAAATCCGCAGCATCGCGCAAAATGCACGGCGCTATCAAATAAATTTAAAAGAATTAAAAGACAAGAACCTCACCTTTGATATCAATAAAATCTGAGATCTACACAATATTGTTCTTGTTTGAATCCAAGGACATCGTTTTACAAACCGAAACAAGAGATTAAGCTATCAGAGTAGCAAAAAACGACCAAAATCATACATCCAAAAAAAAATATCGACAACTGCAGGACTCGAACCTGCGCGGGCAGAGCCCAAAAGATTTCAAGTCTTTCTCCTTAACCACTCGGACAAATTGCCATTTTCTTCCGGAAAAACTTTTCCGCCAGGTCTTTCAGACATTGAATCACGAGATTTTATTTAAATCCACTTCTACCTTGTAATTTGTAGTGAAGAAGTAAAATTAAGACTATTATGATGTTATTTGAGATATACTAGACGATCAGTTGCATTTTTCTTTTGCCAGAGACGGTTTTTTTGAACTCCAGCTCGTCTGGTAAAAGAATAGCGCATATTAAATAACTGATTGATTATTATGAACAGTTTCAAAGAAGGAAACCAAATAGCAAGTATCAACTTAGAATTGGAACATTGCGCTTAACTTTGAAGTAATCTTTAGATCTAAACAATGGGTAATCAATTAAATAATCGAATTTTCGATTTACTCGAATTAACTTTAAAAGCTCTTTTATCTATTTAGTTCTACGTGAATTTACCATCAAAACTAGACGCAAATATTGAATTAGAAACCAAGAAACCTCAATTTAAGCTCATTTTAAGTTTGTTTAGGCTTAATTTTGAAATTTTCAAGAATTTCTTCTAATCTCAGAAAAATATATTTTTATCGTATTATTTATCAACTGAATTAATTTGACGAACAAAATATGTCCATTAGTCCCAGGGACAATCAGTTACCAAGGAGTATTCTAGATATTGATGATGAAGATATAACAGATAATACAGGATCTAGTTCCCCTTATAATGATGAACCAGTTCAAGATCCAACTTGGATAAAACAATTACAAAAATCAAATTTCCCAAGCACATCAAGGTTTTTCGATAAAATTTCCTTACCAGATTTAAAATCATATACACCAACTAATGATGAAAATAAAAGGATACTGTTCAATGGGAATTTATCAAGTATAAGTTATAATCCATTTTTATATCCTCAACAAGATTCTGGCAATGCACCAATTGATTTTGATAATTTGCCTAAGAAAATTAACATTGAACCTACAGCAATAAGTAATGAAATTCCATGCTATGAATTAACTCAAGAACAGCTCAAAGATCCAATTTCGTTTCTAAAAAGTGTTCAAGATCAAGGTGAAAAATTTGGTGCAATTAAAGTTAAGCTACCGGATACCGAAAAAGAATCATTTCATAAAAATATACAAGTCAATGCTAATTTATTCTGGTTTCAAACTAATAAATTGTTGAATAATCCACCCGATGATGAATTATATTTAAGATTATCATTTCATAAAAAATTGATTGAATTTCGAAAGGGTAAAGATTTCAAAAAATTCCTGACGGAGTCAGATAATAAATCAGAATATACATTAAACAACTTACCAATGATTGAAAACCGACCATTGGATTTGTATAAATTATTTCAATCAATAATGTTAAAAGGTGGTTTCATCCAAGTTATTAATAATAGATTGTGGCCTCAAGTTGGTAGAGAGTTAGGTTATAAAGGAGAAATTGCAAAACCTTTAACTGATTTATTGGATTCAACATATAAATTATTATTATATCCTTATGAGTTGTACCTTACGGAGCAAAATGAAGAAAGAATTAATAATAAAAAGAGAAATATTCAGCCAATAGCAGCAAATAAAAGAGCAAGATCCGATAATACAATTCCACCGTTGATAATTGGATCAGCTAAAGATTATAGAAGATCAGTAAATTTAAAAAGTGCAAAAGGCTTTTTATTAAATGCACCTCATTTAGTTGAAGTTAAACAACCACCAACATTTACGATACAAGAGATAGTGACAAGAAACAGACGTTCACAAGATTTAACGTACACATCAATACGACCACAAACAGAATTTGATAAATGTATGATGGAAATATCAAATTATCAAGATGAGCTGAAATCAAAATCATCTCCTAGTATTTCATCAATATATAATTTAAGACAATTTATGGAAAAAGATTTGAAATTTCAAGATTTTTTAATACAGAATAGTAAATTGAATTTTAATAGAGATACTGTGAAACTGGATGAATTTGAATCCTTGTATTGGCAATATGCAAGAGGTGAAGTCAGTCATTTTTTGAAAAATGGTCTTGAATTAGAAATGGGCAAAGATATACCTTCAAGAATAAACGGATCAGCTTTTGTTAGAATGGGTGATGATTTGATTAATTATAAAATTGCATTAAATGCTGATAAACCTAACGCAAATAGTCATCAAACAAGTGAAATGTTGAAATTAGCATTACATCCATGGAATTTAAATAATTTATCACATTTACCAAATTCTGTCCTTGGTGCATTAAATGATTCAAATGTAAATAATCAAGATTTGAATGAAACAAGAATAAATATTGGAATGACATTTTCAACTGAAAATTGGACTTGTGAAGATCATTTCACTCAATTAATGAATTATCAATTCTTTGGTGCTTGTAAAAAGTGGTATTTTATACCCGAACTGGAATTTGACAAATTTGAACATTTACTTTCAAAAATAAATAAAGATAAAAATAGGGCAAATATAAATAATCAAGGTGAAATCGATATCCATAGAGTTTTAGTTTTACTTACAAAAAAACTTGCTTCCGATGAAATTGATTATGATATTTTACACAGAACTCTAGATAATATCATCCCTACCAAGCGAGATATACGATTAGATTTGAAAGATGATAAATTGAACAAATTACTAAAAAAAGAAGAATTTCAATATAATCAAGAATTTATGATTACACCAGAATTATTACAACAACATGAGATTAAATTTACATCTACTATTCAGCAACCAGGAGAATATATCATAAAGTTTCCTAAAACATATTCATCGACAATATCATATGGATTCAACTTTAGTGAGGAGGCCAATTTTGCAACAGAACATTGGTTAGATTATGCAGTTGAAGGAGAAGAATGGTTACTTAAACAAAAAATTTTACCAAATTTACTGATTTTTAAAATGATTATCGATTTAGCAATAGCATATGATACAGGTGGACATATAATGTTCAATCATGAAATATTTGATAGAATTGCATTAGTTTATAAAGATTTATACAAATTTGAAATTGAACAAAGAAATCAAATTAGAGATTTAAAAGTTAAAGAAGTTGTTATTGATGATAACTTAAATCTGATTTCAGATGACACGTTTGAAAACGCATATCCAACAAGAATAGTTGTTTTTGATGCACATGCACAACCAATTGTTTTATCAATGACTTCATTTTTGGAAAAAGTGAAAAGTTTACAAAATTATAATATTGAAATGCAATGCGTATATTCAGATGAACAGTTGGAGAAATTTCATAAGATATTACGTGATTATAGTATAGATTATCAAGCTTGGAATGCAAAATATGAAGAAGCGGTAAACAAAGAATATGAAGTTACTTTGGAAGCTTATGGACAATTGTTAAAAGAAGGTGAGAAAATTTATACAGCTTTATCAACATCATCTATAACGAAGGACAGAAGTGATGAAAACGTTGAAATTAAAAAGTTTTATTCGCAAGTGGAAAATTTACGAGAGTTTGTCTCAAAATCAAATAAATTCATTGAAGATTGTCAAAGTATACTAGCTATTAAGCATCAAAAAAAAATAAGAAACGCAAGTGATATAAATAGGAAAGATACATGTCCATCATTTGATGATTTAATGAAATTGATCTCAAAAATTCCAAAAGTAAATTTTACAAGTCCAGAAATTAAAGAAATTTTGGAGCTTAAGAATGAAATTGTAGATTTTGACAAAGCCAGTCGAGCATTATTATCTAAAAAGAATAAATCATTCCTGGAGATTACAAATTTGATAAATTTCGGTGAAAAATTCGGAATTGAAATACCCTCATTAAACTTTTTAATCAGAGTAAAAAGAAGGTTAGAATGGATCAGATTTTATAATTTAATAGAAAAAGGAGTTGATCCATATGCTGATAGAAATGAAGTATTTACAATAACAGATTTGGCAGCGCTTTATAAATCAGGTATTGACATATTATCGAGTGACGATGTTGAGATGATGAAAAGGGTGGAAGATATATTGATTGCAAGTCAAAAGTTTGATCAACAAATTTCTGGATTTTTGAAATATCATTATGTAACAGATTTAGATTTAAAATTATTAAATGAAATTATTGAAAGATTTAATGAAGAGAAATTATTCATTTCACTTGAAAATTATACTGAATTATCTAATCTTCATGATAATTTAGCATTAATTAATAAGTTTCTGGATCTTGATCAAAGTACTTACGAAGGTATTAAGCAATTGGAAAGTTTAATGACAGGCAGCGGATTGAAATTTAACAATAGTGCTATCTCTAATGCAGTTGCAGAAACAGAAAATTGGATCAATTCAATTTGGTTACAAGAATTCCGCAGAATCATTATAATTTCAACTTTGGAAAAGAATACTGAAGTAGATAAATCAGCAGTTAATCCTGATTTACTTAGGAAATTAGAATGGTTGTATAATAAGGTAAAATACAGTTTTAATGATGATGATAAATGTACTGAAAGCACATCCTACTTGACTAGAAATAAAAAGACTGAAACTGCAAAATATTATTGTATATGTAGAGAACCTGAGTCTGGAACAATGGTTGCTTGTGATAGATGTTTAGAATGGTATCATGTGGGTTGTGTTAATGCAGTTGCAAATAGTGAAAATTATGTATGTCCAATATGTTTAGCTGATGCTAAAACTAATGATAGAGTTTCAGATAGACAAATCCCATATGCAAGTTTAAAACAAATTTATACTACAGGATTACTTTTAAAAGCAGCGCCACAAAAGGAATTGAAATTGATGAAGGATATAATAGATATTGCTGATAAATATTGTAATAGAATTCAAGGAAATATCAATAATATGTCAATAAATTCTGATTTGAGATATAATTTGGATTATTTAAAATGCATCATTAGAAAATTTTATGGTTCAGGTATATATTTTGGTGAATTATGGTTTATGATATTGAATTTGATCAGCAATATGGAAGAAGATTTAAAGGAACAACATTTAAGACCAAGAGAATTGATTTATGAAGTACAATATCAATCACAAAGCAAAAAACCATTTGTTAAGGAGGTGAAGGAATCAGACAAAGGATTTAAAATAATTCCTAAAAATGGAGCAAGAACTAATGTTAAAACTAATGGTCGTAATGGAAGTTCGGCTTCAACGAGGAATAAGAAGAAAGATAAAGGAGCGCCAAGAGTCGCCGAGAAGAAGAAATGTAACAAAACTGTCAGTAAAGACGGGACCCAAGAGAAATTGTCTGGATCTAATAATCAACAACTTCCTGAAACCACAAAAAACTTCAGTGGTACCACCATGAAAGAGACAATAAAGAGTAAAACTGAAGCAGAATTGGGCAATGAAGAAAATAAAGAACAATTTGTTGATAAAATTGATGAAATTTCGTCTGTTGAGGAAAAATCAGCTGATATTAGAGGCAACAAAGAAGTTCAAACAAGTGTTAGAGAATCAAAAAATAAGAAAGAGTCTCATTCAACTAGTGAATGCTCATCTCGACCGAGTATATCAACTGAAAAAGAATTAAAACAAGATAAGGAAGTAATTGAAAAATCTAAAAATAAAGGAGTTCATGAATCAGTCGCTGAATCAGATCACAATATTGAAGAGGATGGAAACGTCGAAGAAAAATTATCAGATTCGAATGACAAGATTGAAGAAGAGAAAGAAATTGAAGAACCAAATTCAGAATCAAGTCATACAACTGAAAAAATTAACGAAGTTGAAGAGCGAATTTGGGAGTCAAACCACACAATAATAGAAGATGAAGATGTTGAGGCAGCAGCATCTGAAACAAAGGACAAAATTGAAGAAGATCAAGATGCTGAGAGATCAGTTTCTGATTCAGATCACACTATAGATAAGGATATTGAAAAGGCAGGTCCCAATCCAGATCAAAACATCGAAAAAGAGAAAGATTTCGCAAAACCAAATTCGGAATCGGATAATATAATTATAAAAGATGAAGATGTCGAAGAAATTTCTGATTCAGATGACAAAATTGAAGATCATAATGAAAGTTCACGAGAGGTAATGGAAATTAAATCAAAAAGTATAGGACCAGATAATAGAGATCGAAAACCGATAACCGCTAATGAAACCACAATTAATGAATCGTCTATAATGAGAGAAATAGATCAAATTCTTGATTTAGATATTTCAAGAGAAATTAACGAATTAACTGATAAACCAAATGAAATAAAAGAATCAACACCAGATTTACAAAATGTATCAAAAATGTTACCATCAATGGTATCTGTAACTACTATAACTTCTAGGAATTCAAGTACTTAAAACGAAAGTATGTAAAATTTCAATGTACAAATATATATTTATATTCCATACATATTTCGCGAAATCTATTGTTTATTTTTTCGTTTACAACCAAATATATGTCCAATGCAATTAATGAATTAATAGAAACTAGTTGGAAAATAACGAAGGGTAATGCTGATTATATATTCATGTCACAAGCTAGACCTTTGATTAATGAAATTCAAAAAATTTTGAGAATTGATTCAATATTTAATGAGCAAGAAAACAAATTAATTGATCAATTTATTCATGAAAAACCAACTAGAAAATTAAATAAATATGAATTCAGACAGTTTTTAATCAATTCAGTGCATTATGCTTCATTGGAAGAACTATTTGTAAGTAGATTTAAGATGGATTGTGGAGATGTACGAAGATGTCTTGATGAATATTCAAATGAAAATATAACTCAACCAGTTTCAAAATTGAGAGCTTGGGAAGAAATTAAACAACGTGATGATTTCATAAGAGAACAAACTACAACTATTGAATCATATGAATCTAAGTATAATAGATTATTATTAGACAATAATGAACAAAAGATTAAAATTGAAAGACTACAAAATGAAATTGAGATTTTAAATAATTATATAAAGAGTATGCAAAAAGAATTGAGTAAAACTCCAGGTGAATCCAAAACATCAAGTTTATTAAATAAGCTTAAAGATAGAGATATTCATGTTAAAAATTTGGACCAAGTATGTAAGGAATATAAATCAATGTTAAAACAATATGAAAAGAAAGAACTAGAGATTAACAACGTAATGAAAGATTTAGAGAAAACAATACTAGAACAAGATAAACTAATAAATAATTTACAAGAGAAATTTGCATTACAAAACACTGAATCAAAGATTAAGAATTTTTTAATAAGTATACCAATCATTAAACAATGTTATATGCTGCTTAAATATAAACAAGATAATAAAATAACCAGAATATTCATATTAAATATAACAAGTTTAGTGCTAACGTTTTTATTATTTGCAAATATAATCAATGCATGTTTTCGGTTCGTGTTTGCAATTTTTTATTATATAACTTCATCAAAATATTTCGATAAGTTCAATTATGTGTATGATAATTACGGGCATAGATTTCAAGTGCTTGAAATATGGAGACGAATACCGTTTTTAGAACAACTAATATATAGAGTAATAAATTGGTAATCAACGTATTAAATCCCATTAAAAACCTACATAAAATCAAATAAAATTAAAAAGTTAAAAAAGTCAATTAAAATATATATAGATTTTTATAACCTCTTTAACAAATATCAAAGAAATGAATCAGTAACCTTTTTAGTTCATTTGTTTAACTAATTGGTTAATGAATTCTTCTCTGTTACCAGTGTCACCACCTTGGATGAAATGTTGGAATTTTCTAGCTCTGAAACCACCAGTTGGGTTTGATAAGTGGAATGGCCATAAGAAGTTGTTAACTTGTTTGAAGTTTGGACCAACAGTGTAAATTTCATGAATTAAATCTTCAATTGATAAAATGTTGAATTTACCGAGGTTAGCTTCAATGATGGCATTGTCTGATAAAGCAATTCTTTGTTTGTTAACTTTACCGTAACCTCTTTTGTAAACTAATTGTCTAATGGTAGACAATGATGGGTAACCGTAAGCAACGTATGGTTCAGCTAATTTAATTAATTCTGAAGTAGCTTTGGTTAATCTAACAAAAACACCAGCATTAATTTGAGTTAATCTTAATAATTGTAAAACTTTTCTTGGTTTTGGTGGAATTTTGTTGATACCTTTAATTCTAACAACGAAAACAACTTTTGGTTGAGCATCAACATAGTATGAACCAGCAGCTTTAGCATCTCTTTTAGCTTGAATAACTGATCTTTCAGCTTCAGTGTATTCTTTTTGGTAAGCGGCAGCTCTGTCAAAGATGATTTGTCTTTTTTCTTTAGAGCTCTAAATGAAGTTAGTAATCAAATTGTTAAATTTCAAGGTTTATTTGATCATATTTTCTCAGTCCCGAAAGATGGTTAACTGAAAGACAACACAGCCGAAGCTAGCCATAATCAAAAAGGTTATTTTCATCTTCAAAAATAAAATAAAACACCTTGTAATTAAATTTGATAAGTACATACTAATTTTCTAGTTTTTTTAGCAGCTTTTCTTTCAGCAGCAGTTTTTTCTTGAGCTTTTTGTTTTTTTTGTGCTGATTCTGGTAAAACAGCTTCAGTGATTTTGTTTAATAAACTATGACCATGTTAGTAATGAAGATTTTCAAAATCTTCTAGCAAAAAATGCCTCCCTCAAGTAAGAAAAATATCGAGTTAGAATATTCGATGTTTTGCAAATGTCAAAAGTTAAACAAATGAAAATAGAACTGAACAGCCAAGTTCATTCTACCTCACATCATATTAAAACCCATTTTATTACTCAGAGGAAAACAGATATATCAAGCATTGGCTAAAACGAAGTTATAATAAATGCTGCAAGATAATCTAATTTTCCCTTGGTAAATCAAATTTAATCATAGTCAAAAAGACAATAAATATCTCCAAGATTTGACAAATGACAATACCTTACATTTCTGTAAGAAATACCTAAAACAGGTATAAGTGAAATATTGCAAGTTGAAAATTATTCAATTCAAACAATATTCACCACCTTCAGAGCTTAAGCTTTGAAGGATTTAGCAGTTATAATCAACGTCTTAGCAACCATGACCGGATGCTAGACTTATATTCTTAAACATACGCAGTAGCCATCTTTGATTCTTAGTTGTTGGTAGTATATTAAAAAATTTGAAAAATAACTTTTATTAAGTAAAACGAGATGTTTCAGAAGTTTGTGTTTTTGCACGTAAAAAAATCAAAAATACCCTATTTGGACACACGTGTATTTTATTAGGGCTTTTATGGTTTAAATTGATACTAAAGTGTTAACAATATAGTCTATTATTGTAAATAATCCAAGTAGATAGTAAGATGATCATAAAATCATATAATAAATCCAATACTATCGAACAATGATGATGATTTATTAGATCAAGTAGGTTATAAAGCTGAATTAAAACGTAATTTCTCAACCTTTCTCTGTTTTGGTATTGCTTTTAGTATTATGGGTTTATTACCAAGTATAGCATCAATTTACTCAACTGGTATAATTGCTGGATGAGCTGATTTACTTCGGGCTTGGCTATTATCATCGATTTTCATCTTTACTATTGGTATAGCAATATCAGAATCAGGATCTTCAATTTGTACATCTGGTGGTTTATGGTTTATAATTATTGGACCAATTATTATGCCCCACCAAAAGTTAAAACTATATTATCGTATTTAATTGGAAATACAAATTCAATTTCTTTAATTGCTGGATTAGTTTCTGTAAATTTTGGATTTGGTAATGAAATATTATGTGCTGTTAGTATTTCTAAAGATGGAGACTTTGAAATAACTCAGGCTAAAGTTTAGGGTGTCTTTGTTGCATGTACTGTTTTACATTTATTAATTACCTCGATGTCAACAAGTAAATTTTGTGGTCATTTACAAACTACATCATGTGTCTTTAATACATTCATAAATTAAAGTTTATATAATTGCAATGCTGGTTGGTGCTAATTATAGATCTGCTTAATTTGTATTTGGTGAATTTAAAAATTATTCAGATTGGCCTATTGGTCTTACACAAGTATCACTGGCTTTTTTGCCTGCTGGTTGGACAATTGGAACTTTTGATTCATTTATTCATCAATCAGAAGAAGTTTCAAATCCATCAAGAACTAGTCCAATAGGTATTTTAGGATCAATTTCAGCTAGTGGTATAATTGGATTTATCATAATTATAGTGATGAACTTCTATACTAGAACTAATGATATTCAAGGTGATTTAATTGAATCTAAATATGGGTTAGCGTTTGGTCAATTTAGGTAAGAAATGGGCTTTACTTTTTGTGATTTTCATGGCTATTTGTCAATTTATAATGGGTGCTTCTATTTTAGTTGCTATAAGTAGACTGATATGGGCATTTTCAAGAGATAATGGATCACCATTTAGCTTTCGGATCAAAAAAGTTAATCATAAATTATCAGTTCCTGTAAATGCAGTTATTTTTGGTGCCATATCAGCAATTATCATTGGATTATTGGTTTTAATTGGGTCGGTAGCCACAAATGCTGTATTTACATTATACATTGCTTGTAATTATTTATGCTGGGCATGTCCAACAGTGTTTAGTTAACATTTGGTAGATCAAAATTTAGACCAGGGAAATTTTACTTAGGTAAAATATTATCACCATTAGTACGATGGATTTCAGTTTTATTTGGAGCTTATATTGTTATCATTAGTCAATTTCCAGCTGAGAAAGCAGTTGATAAAGATACAATGAATTATACGGTGATTGTTAGTGGATTTGCATGGGTAGCTTCATTAACTTATTGCATGGTCTATGCAAGAAAGATTTACCATATAGATGTTGAAGATGATTCAGAAATGGTTATAGAAGGAGTTGAAGAATCATATATGGATATAGATTCTAAATTATAGAAAGAAAAAGTTTTAGCACGTTTTAAATCAACATAGCTTCTCTATCAAACTCGTAATTGAACAAAGAAATACGAATAATAATAAATAATTCATTTAAAAATATTACATAAAAGAAATTCTAAAAAGTTTTGACTTAATTCAACGTGCAATTGAAAATTTCAATTCTGATGAAATGCAAAAATCTCTAAAGATGACCCACCAGATTCTAATTATTGGTAATTAAAACAAAGTAATTTAAACGAAAATAAGATTCAAATCAATAAATCTTACATTAAAGCAGCAGCAATAGCAGCGAAACCAGCAGCAACACCAGCAGCGTTTCTGACACCAGCACCTTCGTATGAGGTAATATTAACGTAAGCGGTTGAAAAAGTAGTTGATTCTTCAGCTAATGATGATGATTCTTCAGCTAATGATGATGATTCTTCAACAACCGGAGCTTGAGTTGGTTGTTTACATGCAGCATCAGTACAAGTATAAGTTTTGGTGACTGTAACATCAGTAGTAGTGTATGAAGTTGGAACAACACATTCTTCGGTAACGGTAACAGTTTGAGCTTCAGTAACAACAATTTGTGATGGAGCACAAAGTTTTGATTCATCACAAACAGTTAAAGTTAAAGTAGTTGGTTCCGGGCAGTAAGTAGTATAGCCAGTAACGGTGATTTCAGTAGTGATAGTGGTAGCATTTTGGAAAGCAGCTAAAGCACCGGTAGATAAAATTGATAAAGCAGCGACGGTTGAAAATTGCATTTTTAATTATTTAACGAAAGTATGAAAGTTAGTTTTGTTTATACAAAGGAATGTAAAAAGTTTGGATAAAGAAAAAGAAGAAAGAAAAGAAAAGAAAAGAAGAGAAAAATTTTCGATCCACCAGATTTATAAATAATTGAATATTGATGATGATTTTTGCAACGTTCAGTTGTGATCTTAAAAATTTAGCTGCAAAATAAATTAAGAAAAATAGCCAGTAAAAAAAAAAAATCAACATAAGGAAATGTACCACGGGTAAAATATTTATTATATAAAACTTCCAAATACGGTAATCATATAACTCAAACTAGATTTTTCTTGATGGTAGTGCATTACCAAAAACTCTCTTTCGTCGAAGAATTGCACATTTTAAGCTCTCGAATTTCCAAATCAGAATATTATATTTGAAAGAGATGAGATCAGATTTTGAAACACACGCTCAAAAGTCAAGAGGAATTTGACAACTGTAAAAATTGCAACGAACTTCAAAATAATGCGGTATCACATTTTGTAAATCTGAATTCTAGACGTGAAAATTTTTACCGTTTTAATTAAATTAATTTCAAAATTATTATCGTAAAAAAATTTTACAATGTAAAATCGGTTAAATTTACTATCATTGTCTGTTTTGTTTCACTTTGATTTTGCAAACGGATTCATCTAGACGTCAAACAAGCATAACCACAAAAATAAAGAGTCTCCTAATTTTTTGCACGAATATACTCTGTGTAATAAATTTTCGTGTACAGCATTTTGTTGCATTTGATCTGATCTCATTTTTCAAAATCAGCCTACAACATAGGGTTTTAGTCATAGACCAGCCAAGAAATCAAAAATATAAACAAACAGAAAGTAATAAAATTTGCAATAAATACTTTTATTTTCTAAAAACATGTAATTTAAACTTTTTTAGTACAATTTTTAATCTTTATGACCAAATGAGTAATCACCACTGATCCATCTATTGACCATATCTAAAGATTCCAGGGCTTTATCAGCTGGCACCATATGCCCAGCATCGTAGATTCTAAGGAATGTGAAATGTTTATAATTCTTAACTTCACCTGCTATTTTACCATCATCCAAAGTTTTCCAATGTTTCAAAGGTTTTTTAGCAAATATTTCTCCATCTTTGTAATCTAGTTGATTAACCCAATCAAAATTACCTAACCAATTACAAATATAATCTTTATCACCAGCATAGATTAAAACAGGAATATTATGGTCTAATAATTCAGCAACATATTGTTGAAATGGTTTTTGTTCATCACCATTTAATAGGAAATTTCTAAAAACTGTATCATCACAAGATGTGAAAATATCGATATTTTCAGCACCAACAGCTTTTTTAACATATTCTAAATTTAAATAATCATCCATATAATCCATTTCAACATAACAATTACCACCTTCATCAGCGCATTTTTTTCTGATATCATAAGGATTTAAACCAGTTTGAGCATATGGTTGAAATAGTTTATTATCACAATAAACTTGAGCTGGAACACAAGTTAATGGATTTTGAAAATCATAACATAATTTAGTTAAAATTTTACATTTAGGATAATCTTTTTCCATTTGATGACATTGTTCAGGTGTTAAAACTGGTTTATAGCCACCTTCACCACAGGCCATTGGTTTATAAGAACCAGCTTGAATTAAAGGATCAGTAATACCATTACCTATTAAAACTGAAGATAATTCGAATGATCTATCAGCATTATTAATTATCTCACTTGCAAATCTTGGAATATAATGACCAGCATATGATTCACCAGCTATATGAAATTCATTTTGAATAAATTGTGGGAATTTTTGGAAAAATAATTCTAAAAATACATATACATCTTTTGCAGCAGCTTCTGTAGAAACAACTTCTTCACTATTTGTATATGAATAACCAACACCAACAGGTTGATCCAAAAATATAACTGAGGCATTATTATTCCAACTAAATGGATTATTTACAGGTTGTAAAGTTGAATTAATTTTACTTGGTCCTAATTCAAAAAATAAACCAGTAGAACTTGAACAACCTGGACCACCATTTAACCAAAGAATGATTGGATCTTTTTTTGGATCATTTCTACTTTCAAAAAACCAATAAAAGAAATGTTTATCTAAACTTTGAACATCTAAATAACCAGTATATTGTTGCACAGTATCTAAACCTAATATTTCAGGATGGGTAGATTTAATTCTTAACGAATAATCATTAAATTTATCATTTGATAAAGTTTCAAATTGAGTTGAAGCTGCAGTGAATGCTTTATATTGGTTATTTTTCGGTAATGATTTTCTATTATTAAATTGATTAACTAATTGAATTAATTTATTTTCCGAAAACTCACTAGATAAGTCTGACCAAATTTTGGATATAAATTGTTTATTTTCAACTGTATCAAATTGAGAATAAATTTCATTTAATGGAGAATGGGATTTTTCTGAATTTAAATTTGATAGAACAATTTGATCATCATGTTGGTTAAAAGATAATGCCGAAATGCTAGATGCAATCGTAATTGCACTTAATAAACCGTTAAACTTCATAAGTACAATTAATAAAGAATGAATATGATAAAGAATGAAATATGATAAAGAATGAAATATTATAAAGAATGAAATCTAAAGTTTGGAGATTTCCAACGGCACCATTTTTTTTAAGATAACCATTTCAGGCGCGAAAAGTATTACCTAAAATAGATTTAATTCCGCTTGTCTAATTTTGCAACCATTTTTAATTAGATTCTATATTCTTATTTATTAAAAGTCCTATTCTTAAGGTCTTCAAATTGTCGAAACAGACTTGCATATGGATCAATTGTAAATATGGATAAATGAATGCACACGATCATGTATTTTTTCTATTATTTACTAGATCAAATCAGTCTTGGTATTAATGTGATTATACGACGAACCTTAGAATTCAAATCTGACTTGACCAATTTTGATCCACGTATGTATATTTCCTCATCCTCTTTAAGTTTTAAGAAAGTAGCTTTTTCGTCTTTCAATATAATTGAAATCAAACTTTTAAAATGGTAAAAGGTCGTTAATGATTCTTTGTACATGTACAGTTGCTTTACAATTGGTTGTTAATGATTCCTTGTACAGGTGTTCACAATCGGCTTGTTGTTCAACTATAATAGACATTAATTTATTACATTTTGAAAAGTCAAATTTCTCAATTCCTTTTGAATTTACTATTGTGAGTTTGGGAGTGTCATTGACTCAATAATACCCCAAGTTTTAATTACTAACTCTTTTAAACTGATGAGTTCTGGCAATGGCCAAGCTGTGGATCTACAATATTTGGTTCAAAGTTTGCAAATCCAAATGTTAAAAACTTTCAATTTTTATGTTACTGTTCATATTACCTAAAATCAACCCCAGCTATACATAAAAGTGCTGTGACGAAATTTCTATTTTTTCGAAAAAAGTATGCCTAGCAATATGACCAAATTAAATTGAGTATACCAATAGTCTTATATAAGTCAAAGGTACATATTGGAACACCATTTCAATCAAATTACCAGGTTGGTTATGAAACATGTTGGTAAAATTGTGATGTCAGAATAATTGATTTATGATTTCCTAGGTTGTCAAATTTTAATAATCGCGCGTGTTGCTGTTAATTTGCGCGTATTTTCGAACGTGGTAAATTAAGACACTGCTCAAACGTGAGAAAAGATCGACAGATCTTATTAATATCTCTTTTATTACACTTAACAAACAAACCATTTATATAATGAAATCTATTATATAAAGATCAAGTATAAGCTTTACAACCATTTGAATTTTTAGTATTAATTACAACAGCAAATTTTTCACCTTGTTCAATTTGAAAATTTCTTGGAGTGGAACTAGCTTGATTTGGATGATAATGAGTATTATCATTAGTAACACATTGCGATGAACCTGTAGCTTTCTTCGCAGCTGTACCAGTGAAAAAACGCAGGAGGTTACATCCATCAATCTCATTGTCCAGTGCAGTTATACAAAGAACACTAATGTCAGTAACTTTTTCCATGATTGAGTTAGCACTATTTGGAGGAAATTCATCTCTTTGATAAGAGCTTGAAGAACATGAATAACCTCTTAAAACTTGATCTCTATCATAACCAGAACCACGAGCCAATACAATATAACCATCTTTGTTAAAGTAATTATCATTGTTATAGTTATTGACAATGAATTTTTGAGCATTACATGCATTTCTTGAATGTGTTAATATTGATGGAAAGAAATTATATAAAATTGTTAAAAAATGCGTACCCTGGCAGTTGACCATCAATATTTACAATATAAACAGGTAATTCCTTTCCGTCATCACCATAAATTTTACCTAATGAATATTGATCTTTAACTTCGATATCTAAAGACGCTTTCTTAAATCTTGTTTGACATTTTGTAGCTCCAGAGGGGCATACAAAAGATTCAGCTCTTTTGTCAATTGATTCACTTGGAGGAGGTAAAGCAGATACTAAGGCAATCAATGACAATAATAATAAAAATTTCATCTTAGTTTATAAAACATTTGAAGATCTTGTTCATATTTATAGTTCTTAAGAACGTGCCCTAGATTGATCGGTCAGAATAATTGACAAAATTTAAACGTTTAATTTCAAAATGGGGATACTAAACTTAATTAGTTCACGTTGTAATTCAGTTGAAATTCTATACTAAATGTTAACCTTGATTGTTCTTCATTGATGCGGCACAAAATATTTTAGTTTAAACATCAACGTGTTTCAAACTAGAATTATGATTTTCCAAATAGGCCCACTAACCTGAATCAAAGAAAAGACCAAGCTCAGATTGCTTTAGAAATATTACCGCTATAAAAGGGTTACTTCATAGCTAGAAAAATCGGAATCCGATACAAAGTTTTTGATGGAAATTTCAGCTGGTATAAATAAATTTTCATCGCGTTAAAATTAGTTCGTTGATCAGGTATGATAATAGAAGCACCTGATAATTAAGCCGATCTTATACGATAACCTCGAATTGCAAAGCCAATAGTACAGATGTATTTTTTCAGGAGATAGATTTTGAGCTTAGATTTTACCTGTAACTATGAAATTCACCGTCATTTTCCAAAAAATTGAAGCTACACATTCGAAACCAATAGTCTATTTAAATGTAGCATAGTCGAAAGTTACCTAAAGTAATTAATTTACAATTGATTTAATTGAAACTACTAAAAACAGGACAATTCGAACGTTAATCCAAAGTAAACTTCACTTTTTGCCTTGACTAGATCCTATTGCCTTGGTACGACATTAACTTCATTTAAATGTGAATGTTAATAAATGACCCGATGCCCATATATATACACCTATATAATGATTAGCAATCTAGACATACTTGCTTGAAAGTGTTGAAACCACGAATCACTCTACACACTATTCGTACAACACACCACTCTATTCTCATACTAGAACAGATTAGATTCAAAAAGCCAATAACCTCAAATTAGCAACAGATTAGAAGTGAAAACACAGATTGTCAATATCTACCATCTAACAAATGAAAACTCTCATAGTTAGCATTAAATAACTATACAATAGGCATCGTTGTTTTCATTTTTTATCATCAAAAATCTGATCGTTATATACTACCATTTTATCACGTGATTTGTCGATAAATTTACACGAAATTCAATGAAAAAAAAAAACCAACTAGTATTAATAAACAAACCGACAACCCAAAATTATAATTCGTGTTTCATAATGGCTCCATCTATAGTTCCAGTGGCTAGCCATTCAAGGACTATAGTTTCATCAAATGGTAACATACAAGAATCAACAATAAATGGATATGGTTCTTCCAGTTTTATGTATAGTCACAATCAATACCAACCACTAGGTACAAATCATAGAGGTATTTCAGAATTACAAAGAATTAAAATGTCATTGAAACTGAATATAGATTCAGAAATTAAATGGGCATTAAGCACATTAGCAAGAAACTCAATAAATCCATATATAAATTTTGAAAATGATACATTTATAGCATATGAATTAATTAAATATTTAAATAAACCATGGCAGATTATAAATGAGGGAAATTTAGCAAATTTAGATCAAGATATTTTAACATTTAGTTTAGATTCATTATTGACATTAAGAAATTTGGCTCAAGATATATATAATCAACAATGGTTATCACAATTACCAAATTTCAAGAAAAATCTCATAGATATCTTAAAAATTTTATATCATTGGTTTTATAATAAGGATTTTTATAATCAAATTACATATAATGAATTAATTAAATTTGATAATCAATTTAATGAATGTTTGGTATATACAATTGATTTATTAGAACCTTTAACATGTTATTATATTGATAATGTCAAATCAGATCCTTTATTCAATTTATTATTCAAATTATTGACATTTGTCGATGACAAATATTTATATGTTGGTATATTGAAATGCATTTCTCATTTATTGATTATTTGGGATAAGGATGCAAAAGTAAAAGATGAAGACGATGATGAAGAAGAAGAAGAAAGTGAGAATGAAAATGAAGGAATGGAACAAGATGATGAAGAAATGAAAGTTGTAAATAATTGTATTGATCAAATTACAGATGTACAATTAGAGAAAATTATAAATAATTTATTAATCCAAGATAATGAAATCAACAATACAGTTTTAGAGTTCGTTAAAATGTATGTATTTTCAAAAGCCTTGAATGAAAATTATCCAAATTCAATACCTGATTCACAAAGGTACAGGTTGAAAAAATTATTACAATTAAAATCAACAAGATCAAATTATATCACCCTAATTAAACAATTACCAAAATTAATAGTTTCGAATTTACCATTAAATGAACCAAGTACAACTATAAAATCTATTCCACATTTAAATTTAACTAAAAGATCATTATATTCAGGTATACCTACATCAGCACCAGATTTAAATGATGAATTATATAAATTAATTCTTAATATGACTGAACCAGCAAGAGCTTCAGCATGGTTACATTGTTGTTATGAACCGACAAATTCAGCACATGGAGAAGTAACTCAAATTTCAATTTGGAAAGCTTATGAAAATCAATTTGAAGAAATTTGGAATGCAAATTCAAGAAGAAAGAATACTAATGGGATAAATTCAAATAATATAGAATTACAACCATTATTAGCAGCTGTTGAATTTATTAGAAATGTAACAAAGGCATTCCCACATGCAGAAGCTAAAGTTATAACATTTGAAGAAAATGGGGAACCGAAGAAAAGATTTATAATCAAAGGTATACAACCAAGACAGTTTCCTGTAAGTATTGATATTGGGAAATATGAAGCTATTCAACCATTGCATGATAATTTATTTAATGAAGGAAATGAATCATTAACTATTGGACATATAGATTATAAAAAATTTGAACATTTATTAAACAAAAATTTGGATAGTTTATTAGCTGAAAATACAAAAGTAAATAAAGAAATGATGAATCTGATAAATAAATCAAGTTTAGAAATATTGGATTATATAATTAAGGAATTGTTTGAAAATGAATTAAATGAAGGAAATGAAGAATTGATTAGTATTTTTAAATTATACAATGGTTATTGGTTATTAGAATTGATATATGCTAATCCATCATTAATTGAGAACAAGATAATTAATATAGAATGGTTAAAATATCTATTATAAGAATATATACCTTAGTATTATACTCTTCTTCCTTTTCGTTCTATTCTGGTTTAAAAAATGGCACGAAAAAAAAATCAAATCCCAGATATACATCAGTTTATTATGAGACCATCATTTATAAGATTAAATAAGAATCAACTTCCTTTACATGTACGTGCTACTGATGTAGTACATAGATTGACTGTATTAGGTCTTGTTGGAATATGTGTTATTGGTGGTGGTGGTATAGCTTTTAACATTTGGGCAAATTCGGATTGGTCACCATTTAATAAAAAGAAATTAGCATTTGATGAAAATCAATATCATGAACAAAGAAAAGGAGAGGAGAAATGATACCAAGATATTAAGAGGTTACATGTAAATAAACCAAGGTTATACTAAATTAATATATTTTTAAGATTTGATTTTTTTATGTAGATCTATTGATGAATCGTCATCTATTAACTTTCGTTTCCTTATAAACTCATCAACTTTAGGTATTTCATCTCCTTTCTTCTTCTCATCTTTCTTGCTCTTTGTCTTGGGTAATTTCGAATTTGTTAAACCTTCATCTATCAAAAATTCATACTTTTTGTCGTTTATCAATTTTGACTCTTCTTTCTCTAATGGATCTAATAATACTATATCTATTAATTCATAATCCTTATTACAATTAGGACAAGAATACTTAATTTCTGAGTCTGAGTCTTTGGAGTTTTTAATTTTCAATACTTTATAACTTAATACACAATGACAAGATCTTAAATATGCAAAAGTTTGATATTTTTGTATTTCTTTAGTCACTGGACATATCACAAATGGAACATCTTTAACAACAGACCAAGTAATATTAATTTGACATAAATCTTTAATTGATGAAATATGATTAAACTTCTCTTCTTTCTTCACCTTTTTAAGCTTCACATTCAATAAATACTCTAGTATCTTCTCCTTTATGAATAGATTACCTTTGTAATCACCTACTATTGGATCTTTCTTAAATAACGTCAATGACGATATTTGACATATTGTAAATCTATTATTTATCTCATCACCATCTCCTTTCTTTGCCTTTGTATTCTCCAAATCCTTGAAATTTGAATGTAATGCAAGTATATCTTGTCGTTTAGCTATAGTACCACCATCGGCTCCCATAATAAATTACCTTGCGTTAGGAATCAAATGGATGCAAATTGAAAAAAAAAAAAAAATTATACTATCAAAAGTTTTTTACCAATGTCAAACAAGATTGATCTTAATAGTTTACCACCACAACAGTTAATTGAATTCCGAAAGAATATTGATTCTGAAATACAACATTTCACTCAATCTTTACAAGCTTTACAAACTGCACAACTGAAATTAAAAGATTGTATAAGTACAATAGACAATGTTGAAAATTCAAAACAAGAGAATTTATTAGTTCCATTGACTTCTTCATTATATATCCCTGGTAAAATATTGAAAAGAAATGAGTATTTAGTTGATATAGGTACTGGTTATTATGTTGAGAAATCTGCAAAAGATTCTAAGGTGGTTTACGATAAGAAGATTAAAAAATTAGATGTTGATTCAAAGAAATTAAAAGATATATTGATTCAAAAGAATGAGTTGTTGAATGGTATAAATTTAATATTGAGAAGAAAAGTACTAGAAATGGAAAAAGAACAGGAGCAGCAAAGTGGTGATACTAAATAGTAACGAGAGGAAAATAATGGATTAGAAAAAGAAGAGTGTTGGAAGTATGAGCTATTGGGGAAGTTAGTGATAGAAATGGAATAGGAGCAAACTGTTGTACCTAATTAGTTTTCTTATTTAATATAAAATCAGAAGTGAACATCGAATTCAAATTTTTCAACTTTGTAGTACCCAACCCCGTAATACTATTTATCTCACTCTCATTAAGATTAGACAGTGATGAATTCTGTAAAATTATCTCCTTGAATGATTTGTAATTTGCAAGTAAATTGGAAACATCAGTTTTATTAATTGACTTAACTGAAGTTAAACTATCAACTAAATTTGAATTATAATCAGTTTTTCTGAACCCTTGTAATGATTTCAGCACTTTATTTGGAGTATTATCAAAATGTTTACCCAATGCGATATAATTCCCAGCCTCTTCAAATGACCAAGCTAACACCATCGATAAATCATGTTTTATACAAAAATCAGTCAATTTTCGAATTGTCTCATGATATGAATCAATATCAATAACACAAAGCAATATCCTCAAATTCTTATCATTCTTCTTTTTCGCATGTTCATCATCTACAATTGATCCCTTGTTTAATTTTTTAAGTCTATTCCATATATATTCTGGTCTCAATTTATGATATTTTAGAGAAAGGAACAAAATTTGAAATGTTGAATTTATATAATAATCAGACAAGATCTTAGCATCAAATTTCCAACTTATATTCTTCATCATTGAATCTTTTAATAGTGGATTCTTTTCTTGTGATCTAGCAACTAAAATTTCACTAGGACCTAATGATCGTGGTGCATTATTTGATGCTCTGAGTTGTGGTTGCGATTTGGTAGGAGGTACCGGTTTTGCAGTTGGTTTATCTAATGTATGTCGTTGCAATGGTTGTGATTTCTCTAGTATTTTAGTTCTAGGTTGTGATGTTGTTGATTCTGGTTGTGATTGTTGTGATGCTGGTGTTGGTTGTGATTGTTCTTTTTGTTTTTGGATTCTTGCATGTTTGACTATTTCTTTATCTTGTTGTTCTTCACCTCCATATTCTTCTCTCATACGTTTAACACCAGCTAATATACTTGCAAATGATGAAGAATTAACATTTGATGATTTACTGGAATCTGACATTTAATGATATGAATTTGTTTCAGTTTTTTTTTTTTTTCTTTTTTTAAAATTTACGCTTTTATCAATCAATTAAAATGGCTGCAAAAAATGATAAAACAGTCTATTTCACAGAATGTAGAAGATAAAGCACGCTCAGTTCAACTTAAATCCAAAAGCATCATCACGAAGTATATTATCGCCTTTGATTTTAGTTTAGAGATGAATTTAGACATACAAACTTTTAATTTTTTTGCAAAAATGTTCGAAAAAAAAATGTAGGCTTGACTACAAGTACGATCGTGGCAAACAATTCGAGTAATTGTATGTCTCTCCACATTTGCGAGTCTTGTTTGATATTGTGTAGACTTTTTAGTCAATTTTAACAGCTCTTTATCAGCTCCGATACCGGCGCGTTACAGGGTTTAATTAAGTATATAAAGTAGATCAAATTGCTGCAAAATAAGAGACTTCAACAAAAATCGGACATGTCAGCTTATTCAGAAACCAAATTTGAAACTCAACATTACCATGATTCAAGACCACAATATTCAGATGAATTTTATGACGAATTAATGAAATATCATAAAGGAAACAGAGACATTGCGATCGATCTAGGATGTGGAACAGGTTTTGTAACGTTTAAATTAACAAAATATTTCAATAATGTAATTGGAACTGACCCTTCAACATCAATGATTGCGCAATGCAACAAATCGAACAAAAATACAAAAGTCAAATTTTTGATTGGTACGGCAGAATCACAACCAAGTGAAATAGAACCAAACTCAATTGATTTAATTACAGCTGGTGAATCTGCTCATTGGTTTGACCACCCAAGGTTCTTTAAAGAGTGTCATCGTGTTTTGAAATCAAACAGTACTTTAGTTTATTGGTTATATAAAGATCCAATATTCATAGGTTATCCTAAGGCTAATGAAATTTATACAAATTATACTTATAATTCAAAAATAGAAGATGGTTATGAGAAATATATGGGTCCATATTATCAACAGCCAGGTCATGACTACTTAAGAACTTTGATGAGAGAGATTGAACCACCAAATAATTTATTCACGGATGTGATCCGAAATGAGTACTTGGTAGATAGAGATGGTATTGAAGGTGACAAATATACTAAGTTATTCATTAAGAAGACTATTGATATGGTTTGGTTTTTAAATTATGTCAAGAGTTGGAGTGCTTATCATTCTTGGATGGTTGAACATGGTTCTAAATATGACATAGCAGAAAAATTCGTATATGAATTAAAGACTGAAATGAAATGGGATGATGATACTAAAATTGATGTAATCTGGGATACAAAATATGTATTTGCTAGAACCAAATAAATGGTTGCAAAAAGATTAACCTTTAAGGAATAAATCGGTTATAAAAATACGAGTACGGATAAATTAGTGAACAATCTAGATCAAATATTTACCGGGAAGAAGTGGCGAATAATTAACAAATAAAAAGTAATAAATTTGTAATGAATTATTAAAAATAAGTAATCGTGCATATATTCATAATAATATATGAAACATAAATTTGTAATAGATTACATAATATTCCCATTAGTAAAAAATTAGCAACTTGGACTTAATAATAAATTACTATTGACTATTACCAATAAAGTAGTATATATATACCAAGAGATATGAATGACTTTTATTAATTCACTATTTTTCTGGAAGATTTCCATTATTAAATTACAAATAGTTATTAAAAGATTATCAATTTATCAACTGATCAACCATCGTTATCAACTTATATTAAACGGCTGATCATCATAATCTTTTTCACAAATCCGAACAAGTATAAATATATGAATAATTTCTCGTTATCAATTATTTTGCCAATTTTTTTAATATTATTAATTTATCCTTTAAATATTTATTCAAAACAATTATATAACAAACAAGTATCAAATAATAATATGTCATCAGCCAGAACAATTGCTAAAATAGTCACTGCTAGACAACAACCAGAAGGTGTTGGTGCAACAGTTAGAAGATCAATTGGTATTATAAATCAAAGAAAATTTAATCCATTTTTAATGTTTGATCATTTTACTTCATCAGGTCAAGATGGTTTTCCAGAACATCCACATAGAGGTCAAGAAACAATTACATTAGTTATGAATGGTGCTATGGCTCATGAAGATTTTACTGGTTCAAAAGGTATTTTATATCCTGGTGATTTACAATTTATGACTGCTGGTAAAGGTGTTGTTCATTCAGAAATGCCAGTTCCAAGTAAAGATGGATCTCCAGCTGTTGGTTTACAATTATGGGTTGATTTACCAGATTCATTAAAAGATTCAAAACCAAGATATAGAGATTTAAGAGAATGGGAAATTCCTCAAGTTGAAGCTGATAATGGTAAAGTTATTGTTAAAGTTATTTCAGGTAAATCTCATGGTGTTGAATCTGTAAAAGATTTAGCTTATACTCCAATAAATTATTATTATTATAAAGTTAAACCAACTGGTGAATTTAAACAAGATTTGCAAAAAGGTTTCAATTATTTCCTTTATGTTTTAAGTGGTAAACATTTAATTTTAAATAATGATACTAAAATTGATCAATATCAAAATGTATTTTTCGATGAACAAGGTGATTATATAACAGGTAAAAATTCAGCAAAAGAAGATTCAGATGAATTATTAGAATTTATTCTAGTTGGTGGTAAAAAATTAGATCAAGAAGTTGTTCAATATGGTCCATTTGTTGCTACATGTAAAGAAAATATTCAAAAAGCAATTTTAGATTATCAATATGCTCAAAATGGTTTTGAAAATGTAAGAACTTGGAGAACTTTAATTTCAAATGGTGTTACTCCTGATATGATTGATAAATTGGGTGGTAATTTAGAAGAAAGAGAAGCTAAAAGAAAAGCATATTATGACCAAAAGGCAAAATTAGAAGCTGAAAACGGTGGTAAACCTTTGGAACCAGTAAAGGATGAACTTTAATAGTAATAAGCATCACGATTGCCTTTATATAGTATAATAATTTATGTATTATTAATAATATATTCATGATTTAACAATTTTTTTTTCTATGTCAATTTTCAATGTCTCATTTTTTTTCGGACGCGTATTAATTTTATTTTATCACCATGCCATCTTCAGCAATGAAGGAAATTGAATATTTATCAACAGAATTGATTAAAAACAGCAAGCCAGTGACATATCACAAATTCTCAAGAGAACTAAATTTATCTATCAACAAATCAAAAGAGATTTTATATGATTATTATCAAAAAAACAAATTAAAATTAACTGCATCATTTATAATAACGGGTTTAGACAAAGAAGATAAAAGGGCGATTAAATTATGTTCAGATGAATCACAATTAGATGAGAATGTTGCTAAATTTAAGCTGGTCTCAGTTATACACGTATATTGTTTAATTTCGAAAGATATACAGTTAACAAATTCAGAAATTGCGGCAGAAGAAGTAAAGTATAAAAGTGATTTAAGTTTAATTAAAACATATGAAAAGAATGGTATCATAATTGGACCAGAAATCAAGCAGGAAATAATTAAAAAAATTGATATAAAACAACCTACTGCTCCAGTTATAGAAATTAAGAAAGAACAACCAAAGAAAGAAATTAAGAGTAATAGATTATCATCTGGTTATGTATCTAGAAAAGTATCAGCTGCAAAACCATCATTATCAAATCATTATAAATCTAGAAAACCATCAGCAGAATCAGCTTCATCAATTCCTGCCAAAAGACCATCTACAGAATCTTCTAAACCCACATTACAGTATAAGTCAAGAAAAACAGAACAAAAGAAACCAAAAGACAGAATAATAGTTGATGATAATCAAGATGATGAGATGGAAGAATCAGAAGTTGAACAAAAAGCTACAAGAACAAGTACAAATGATTTAGCTAAAATGTTTGAAGATGAAGAAACTTTTGAATTTACAGATGATGATGAAAAAGAACAACAACCACCTAAATTAGAGTCAAAAAAAGAAGAAATTCCAGAAGATGTAGAAATGAACGATGTTGAAGAAGAAGATGATCAATTATTTGTCACAGAAGAGGAAGAAGAAGAAGAAACTGCACAACCGAAAGAACCAGAAATGACTAAAGAAGTAGATGAAGATGGTTATATAACAGTTCGTAGAAAACCAAATCCAGTCACCAAACCACAGTCCAAAAGACCACCTCCTAAAAAATCTAATAAACCAGTCAATGTCACAAAAAAATCAGACACAAATAATAAAAAACAAGCGTCATTAATGAATTTTTTTTCAAAAAAGTAATGTAAGGTGGTAAATAGTTTATGTTTAAAATAGTAATAAAGTATCCATAAATGTATAAAATGACAAGAATTAAAACAATAACATCTTTTTTTACGGGGTAGTACAAAGAAGGGACAAACGTATATCATTATTATTATTACTATTTGAGGAGTGAGACATTATAACATAAACTCTTGATTCTTTCTTAATTACGTAGTTTTATTTCAACAATGCTCAAGCCATTCAAACAGTCCGTCAATAACTTGACATTAACTTTACTGTTTGCCAATCAATTTATAAAAGCCACTGATTATAAAGTCAAGCGATATAAAGCCAATTTTGATGCTCATTAAACTTTAGAATGTTGCAGAATTTTTTTTTTTTTTTTATTTTTCTTTAGACGCTGGACCTAGTTAATTTCCTAATTGGGATAACAACCATTTGCAGTAAAAACACCAATTCATAAAATTAAATTAAACCATCTATAAAGTAGATATTCGAGAATTTTTACGTCTCTCATAAATTATATATATAAAAGCCCTTGTCAATTGATGATCGACTCGAAATATTGTTTTTTTTAAAACTTAGCTTCATTTCTTTTATTTGCAAATCATTAATCACCTAACCATATTTAATTCATACATTCGTTAATCATTATGAAATATTCTACAGCTTTAACGTTATTAGCTACTTTATCAACCATCTCGGCAGCTCCATCAACAACTACCGAAAATGTTTTAGTTAAAAGACAAGTTTCATCATTATCAAAAAGAGAAGCTCAAGATATTGATGCTTTAGTTGCACACATTAATTCATATACTGAAAAAAGAGATGCTATAGATATGGAATTAATGAGAAGAGATTATGCTATAGTCACTGATGTTTTAACCGCTATTAATCAAACACAATTAGCTCCTAAAATTTTAGATTACTTTATTTCTTCACCAACTTTTGAACCAATTATTGTTAATGTTTTAATTGCAGTTATGAAAAGTGGTGTTATTTCATTACAAGCAGTTTTAGATGCTTTAGTTAGTTCAAATTTAGCAGTTAATGTTATTAATGATTTAATTTCAGATTGTTCATTATATGTTGAATTATTTAATGCAGCCGAACAAGTTATTTCAGATTTAGCTAATAGCGTTAAAGATTTAATTGATCAAGGTGTCAATTCATTAATTACAAGAGATGAAGATGATCAATCTTTACAACCTTATATTGTTGATAAAAGATTAGATTTAGATTCAGTAGTTGATAATTTATTAGATTCATTATATCAATCTGGTTTAGCAAGTTCAGTAGTTAGAGATGTTTTAACAAATTCAAATTATTTAAATTTTGCAGTTGATTTAATTAAAGCAATGTTGGCTAATAATTTAATTAATTTAAGTTCAATTTTAGACGCATTAACAGAATCAGGTTTAATTACTCAATTATTCCAAGAATTAGTTAACTTAAATACTTTAGGAACTGTTGCAGAAACTGCTTTCGCTGCTTATTCAGGTACTTGTACTGGATCAGGTGTTCCATCAGTTGCTAATCCACCATCAACAAATACTCCAAGTACCGGTGGAAACTCAAATTCAGGTACAAATGCTAATGTATCAAATCCATGTAAAAAAAGAAAAGTTAGAAGAAGAAAAAGAAGATCAAATTATTAAATCAACCATACAACAATGATTCTAACTGCAGGGCAGTTAGAGTAACCAATTTTAATTATAGCACGTAATTAGAAATCAACAAATTAATACCAATGTAATACGTCAAAAGATATTTCATTTATTACGAGAGTTTCGGTTTTATCAGTTTTTTAATAGCTTCAAGTTTAAGTTTAGATTTAAAAATACATAAAAAGTTGTAAATCACGTGCTATTATGTAGATGTTTTTTTTTTTCTATTTATGGAAAGAAGTTAGATTTGAGATCTGGTGTGCGGCTAAACGAGCAAAAATATATACCGAATTCTTATTGGCTATTGGAAAAGAATTATGATTTGAATCGACCTTGATAAATGGTATACTTCGGTCAATATAGCTATGAGTTATCACTAAACCCTTCATATATTGATCGGACCAATTGGTCGTCGTCTAAATATTTTCTTGTTAGCGAAGAAAATATAATATTTGTTGATTTTGTGTTGATGTTTTTGATTTGACCAAATTGGTTGTTGAAGAGAAATTTTTTTTACTCTGCGTGTATTTTGTTCATCTGCGTTTAACAAGAAATAAACAACAATCAAACCGTACTACATCATCATTTACTAGATTATAGTTTGATAGGAGTCATTCAATTAATTATCATACTTCACCATTTGGTTGAATAAGTTTGTAACATTACTTTTTCATTGTCCGCACTCATTTAATACCAACTAATATTCATTCACTTTACAACAAACTTTATTTATTATAACCGCTGCTTTAATATATAACATCATTCAAATTGTAATACCCATATTATAAACATAATTAATGTACTTTGATCATGAGTCAAGAGGACACCAAAAAGAAAAAACTAGAGTTTAATAATCCATCGCCTACCCGTCAGCCATTAAGTGGTACAACTTTAAATGAATCATTATCAACCCCAACTAAGCCGTTGTCATCAAGTGGGTCGACAACATTATCTCCAAATACTGAAGAGTTTACTTCACCAACTAAATCATTAAAATCGTTCTTTTTCAAAAATAGATTATCATCATATTCAATAGATTCGATAAATGAAGAACCTGAATTAGAAAATGAAAGTAATGTGGGTACTGATTTAACTCCTACAAAGTCTCCCAGATTTAGTTTTAATTTAAGACCTAAATTTATACGATCAAGATCATCAGGTTTAGGTTCAGAATCAAGTAGTTTACCCCAACCATATCCAATATTATTACCACAGCAAAATTATTTAAAACAAAAGGCAAGTGTTGATGATTTTGCCGATACTGAATCTGATGAATCAAATGAAAATGTTGAAAAACAATATGATGCAGAATCTATAGATTCAATATTACAAGAATATGAAAAAGAGACACAACCTGTTAATAAAAAAGATTTTGTATTTCAAGAAGAGTTTGATGAAACTTCAATTAGAGAAAGTAGACCAACTAGTGTTCAATTAACAAATGAAGAAACTGAAGAATTGAAAAATGAAATTATAACACATGGTTCTGTAAGATCAAACACCATGCTTAAAAGGCTATCTCATAATTCTCCAAAATCTGAAAATATTGAAGAACATAGATTAAGTGCTGGTGATAGCATTTTGAGTTCTACTTCATTGAGATATAAAATTCATAAAAATAAAGTTGAACCAATAAATTCAAATAAACGAAATTCCTTAAGAGCTTCAGTTGCATTTAGTGATGATTCTGAAACTACTAATCAAGGTACTCCTACCCAACCAACTTATCCAGATCCAACAATTACTCCATTAGCTACACCAAGAAAAACATTTAATGAAACACCTTCAAGTCATAATACAAACCGTACATCGAATTCATCAGAACAGCGTCAAAGTTTTTCTATAATAGCTGGTCTGTTACAAGAAGAAACAATGATAAATCCAACTTTTGACAATCACACACCAACTGAAACATCTACTTCACACATGTTTACTGAAACTATGTTGAAAGATTCAAAACATCAAAGTGCAGTTAGATCATCAATTTCATCAGGTGAATTATTACAAAATTTAGAAAGTTTTTATGATCACACAAGAAGTAGTAATTCAGATTCATTTAAAAGACAATCTGATGTTATTTCAAGAAACTCAAATATTGTAGAGTCTAAAGTTGGTGTTCCAAGGATACCATTACCTCAAATTAATGATATGACAGCTGGTTTGGATCAGACAAATGATTTACCAGTAATGTTGTATAAAGTTCAAGATAAAAATTATGATGAATCAAAGAATAGATGGTCATATTATGAAAATAGAAATAGTCAAAATGAAAAGCAGTCACCACCACAACCACCAATACAAGAAATACCAAAAAAACCAGAAGGTGCATATACAAATAATGATATTCCAATAAGTACTAGATCTGCAATTAGAGATTCTGCAACACATTCCTCCAATGAATCAACTACATCGTTACATCAACAAATTCCACATCAAGTAGAAGATAGATTAGTATTATCACAACCAAAGAAGAATATAATATTGAATGAAAAACAGTTTAATGATTTACCTTATTTACCAAGACAATATGAAGAAAAAGTACAAGAATATAATATAGTATATTATCCGTGGTTACAATTTATTTTGCTAATGTTAATTGGATTAATTATACCACCAATTTATTTATTAATAACCATTGGTTTATTTGATGATAAATTTAGATCAAATTTGTTTTATGGTGGTTTACGTTATTATAATAATAATAAAACAAATGGTATATTAAATTTAAAGAAATTTAGTAAGGCTCAAAAGATGATTTCATTAGTTATGTTTTTATTTTGGGTTTCAGCAGCACTTGCAATGATTGGAGTTGGAATAGGATTAGGATTAACTAGAGATTAGAGTCAATATACATTTAATCACCTGATCAATCACGTGTAGTAAGTGAACTGCATAGTCGTGTGAAAGTTATGTTTTCCCCTATATATACAACTTACAATCTCTTGCTTTTGAAGCACAATACTAATTTACAACCAATTAACCAACTAATAATGGGGAACGTACCTACAAAGGAAACAAGAAGTAGATCTAATTCATTAATTTCAGAATTCACAACTACTAATACATCATCATCATCAACGAAACAGAGAAGAAGAAATACTACATCTTCATCAACTACTCAGTCGAATGGTCATCAAAGAACCAATTCAACAGATTTAAGGAAATTAAAAAGACAAGAAGAAAAAGATCGAGTTCAGCAACAACATTATATGCAATTAATTGTAAAATATGATGAAAATGTAGATGGCGGATTTTTAGCACCTTACGGAACTTATAAATCAAATTTAGATTATGATTGTGATATAGTAAGGAAATTAATTATAAATCGTGAGTTAGCTCCATTTTTTACTCCATTACAAGATTATAATACAAGTTGGACAGATGAAGAAATAATTATTTTATGTTCTCAACTTACTCTTCATGCACCTGAAGCTGGTTTTAATGAAATTGAAGAAGAGGAAGATGATGTGGATAATCACAAGATTCACAAACTGTCAAATTATTATAAAAGACAAGAAGAGAAAGCCAAGTTGAAATCATTAGTTGCACGAGTTAAAGAATTACAAATGGAAGAAGAAGCTAAGTTTCATAAAATGAAGCAGATTCAAGATAAACAATGTTTTTCAAATGATTTATACCTCAAATTATACAAAAATCCATTGGAATGTCCAATCTGTTTTTTATATTATCCAAAACATTTAAATATATCCAATTGCTGCTTTCAACCTATTTGCACTGAGTGTTTCACTCAAGTCAAAAGGTTGGATCCTCATCCACCACACGAAACATCAAATGATCCACAACCTCAACAATTGATATCACAACCGGCCAATTGCCCTTATTGTGCAATGACGGATTTTGGAGTAACATACAATCCACCATTAGATATTCATACGGGTATAAATGGGATAGCTCCAATGGATTATAAATTATTATCTACAATTGCTCAACCATCCCCAGCTTCAACTCCACCACCAATTATTTATACCGACTATATAAGACCAGATTGGAATAAAAAATTAGAAAATAGCAGGAATAAATTGGCAAGAAAAGCAGCAACTGCAAGTGCAATACATGCAAGTAATTTAATTATTGATAATAGGAGTTCAGGTAATGCTGGTGATTATATTGAACAAAGAATGATTGAAGAAGCCATGAGATTAAGTTTAATAGATGAAGAAGAAAGAAAAAGGAAGAATAGTAATACGAAATAGCATATTTAAATATATAAATTATTTCATTACATGTAATCATAATTCAAAACTGAAATATGGTAGACGTCGAGATTATGAATCGTATAACCTTTCACGACGTGGTCTCAAACATAGAGCGAAAAATTATTTTGTCGCACCAAATCTTCGCAAGCAAAAATGTGCACTTCCGAAAATCGTTTTGAAACAAACTTGCTTATATGCAGTCCCCGAACTATAAATTTTGAAACTTAAGTTTCAAATAACTCCTTCAATAATAAAGCATTTCTAGTTAAGCTAATTTCATTATAATTATCGGCCCATTACGAGTAAACTGAAATTAATATGCGCTGGATAAACATAATTTTGATGACTTAATTCAAGATTTAATGAAGGTCAAAAATTGCTATTTTGCAAGATAATCATCACTCAAACCCAAGATATCATCGTCGAATATAACAGATTCAACTCAACGGATCCTAAAGATTATATACATAGTGTTTTCAAGGCGCCATAATCGTTTTGAAAATTTTTCAAAAATTTCAAACCACCTTTAAAAAATTAACTCTTCCATTTTGAATGCCCTAACTCAATGGATTTCAAGAAATACTTCGAACGGGAACTACGAATTCGGGTTATTTTATCATGTACAATTTTGAACAGGGAAAGTGGAATTAGATTTTTCATGAGGTCAATTTACTCAAACTTTCCCATACTTCAGAGAAAATTTTGAAATTTTTCAATTTTAATTCCATTCAATTCAAATTGTGTTCAGGACCTTTATTTGCGATATAGGATATTTAATTGGTTGTTTAATTGAAAGTTATGGGCGTGAATTAGAAAACACAATGCATTTTCATTTTTGCAAAAATTTTGTATGGTGAAAAAAGGCCCAAATGACTACTCAAAAAATAATATACTTGAACTTTGAAGCTTGAAATATATGAATATTCGAATTATAAAGTTTGATATTGGTGCACAGTATGTTTCACGACTCAGAATTTTTTACAAATGGTAAATGTCCTGAAAAAAATGTTTTGTTTCTAACTTTCATGCCAAAACCCTTAGCACCGATCGCCCTAAAAATAGCGCGAAGAAATAATTTGTAGCACTAAAAAGTTACGCAAAAAAAAATCCAATTTCGGTCGAAAAAAAAAATATTTTTAATTGTTGATTTAAATAAAATTATTTTAACAATTGGAGTCTAAAGGAAAATACCTAATTGTCTAATGAAAGAGTAGATATAGTTCATTTATAACTACCATTAGTCTATATAGTATAGAGATTCGAAGTTATTTTAGCATAAAAAATTTTTACAATTGGAATTCATAGACGATCATCATGCAAATGAACGACTGGAAATAATACAAAAAAATTACCATATCCGTGCTTCAAAGGGATCGAAGACAAGTTAATTATCTAACCCAACCCAACTAAAAATAATTAATAATCTATCTTATTCGGTTACAGTTAAAAGTTTGATTTTGTGTTTTCAAGAATTTTTATAGCAAAAAAATCTAATACATACAGTAACGATAGTAGTCAAACGTGGATAATAAGTAGTTCATGACATAACTAAATACACATAAGTAACTAACCATCTTACATACATATAAAATTATTCAACGGCTCTTTAGTATTGTATTTTGTATTGTTCGATACATCATTGTGCTATGAAAAATTATCCGGCATATTGTCCCTCGCTTAAAAAAATTTAGATCTTACATGCGTAGAAAATTTCACAAGGCACAAATGCACCGCTTAAAGTTTTAAAGTTTTAAAGTATTAAAGTTTTAAGTTTTAACTCTTTGAACAAATGAATTGGACTAAAATTTAAAAATTTTTTACCTTCAATGCCATCATCTTCATCTTCAGTTGATCATGGATTAGTTAACAATCGAATGTATCACCCTGGTGAAAATAAAATTATTCAATGTATAAAACTACCAAATGAAAAAATACGACATAACTACAATGATTTGAATTCGTCTAAAATAACAATTAAGGTTAAAATGTCAGCTATAAACTACTTAACTGATTTTAATAATTTACATTCATTAGTAATTCCAAGTTTTAGAATTATTGGGAAATTAACAGGCGGTGCTTCATCGATTAAATATTTAGTATGGCCATTTACCAATTGTCAAGTTGAAAGAAGTCATACTTCAACAGATCCAATTTCAATAACATCAAATTGTTGCTGTAATTTGACTTATGGTGTTGATTTAAATGGAGGATTTCAAGAATTTATCACTGTTCCCAAAAAATTATTAATTCCAATTCATAAGAATGTGAGTTTACATGATGTTTGTTTTATCTTTGACATTTTATTACCTTTCTACATTAACATTCAGAAAGTAAAGGGTAGGACATTGGTGCTATTGAATGATATACAGAAAGAAATGAATGAAATTTTGATAATTTTAGACCATTTCAAGATCAAACAAAATAATATTGTCATACTAGATGAGGTTGATCCCAAATATAAAGACCAATTTGATACTGTGTTTTGCTTTAATCCAAACCTAACGACTTTTGCCGAGTTTTGTTGTACTTCTACTGGTTTGACGAGTACTAAACAAAGATATACTATTCATACTACATTTCCAATTATTGCAAAATCAATAGATAAAAGTTATAATTACATTAAACTAACATATGAACATAAATTATCATGTATTGAAGTGTTGAAGATACTATTTAATTTAAACTCAAAAAGAGATGAAGCTAGATCAAACCTTGATTTGAAAGTTTCAAGTACAAACAATTCACATTCAAATTCAACTTCATCAAGTTCTTCAATTTCCAATTCCCATTATTCTTGGATATGGTATGATAAGGATGTAGACCTTGTAAATCATGATGATTTTGAAGAAGATGAAGAAGATGAGAGAATATTAGATGAGATTAATCAGTTGATCATAGAGAAGAAATTATATCGAGTTGGTTATTTCAATCGAAGGTCTAAGAAGGAAATCAATGCATGTATTATATAAACTATAAATCTTTTAATGTACAAGTTAGTATTGATCTCAATTTAAATAAATTTATAATTCTCAATTTTTCATCTTTTAAATGAGCATTATCACTTGATTGACCACATGGAATTTGAGCAGCAGGAGCATTGAAACATTTCTCTAAAAATCTAACTGATGGAATAGAACCACCTTCTCTAATAAATAAAGGTTCCATTGCCCAATGTTTTTTCAAATTCTTATATAATAATTGATATACTTTATTATTTGGATCACCAATCCAAGCATCAGCTTCATAGAATATATTAATAGATAAATGATTCTCAGAATTTAATTCATCAAATTCTTTTCTTAATTTATTTATCAAATTTTCTTTAATTGTATTTAAATCTTGATTTGGAACAATACGTATTGATATGGTAGATTGAACTAATTGTGGAATGACTGTATTGTTATTTGGACCAGATACTTGAATTTTATGAATAGTTAATGAAGGATTTCTCCATTTTAATTGTAATGAATTAATATCAATATTTGGTAATTGATTTTTAATTTTATCATATAATTCTTCCTCTTGTTTAGTTATTTTCAAGACGTCTTTGTAGAAGTCTTTGATTTTAATATCTTTTGTTTTAGGGTCCATTAATGAACTTAATAAATGAACCATATCCATTGTTGGTTCTCTACTTACACCACCATCAACACCAGAATGTCTGTCTGGTTTATCTGATTTAATTGTAATTGAAGCATTTATAACTCCTCTTAATCCATAATTCAAACAAGGTGTAACATCATCTAACCAATATGAATTTGATAACATAATATAATCTATTTCTCCAATTAAGTTCTTAGATTCATTTATAACTTGTTGAAAACCAATTGATCCACATTCTTCTTCACCTTCAATTATAAAAACAACATCACAATTTAATTCTTGTTTATTGTATAATTCACCAACTGTAAAAATTGAAGCTAACGTTGGACCTTTATTATCTGAGACACCTCTTGCATATAAATTACCTTCTTTTGCAACCAATTTAAAAGGATCAGTTTTCCACTCTTTTGCTTCATGTCTAGTAGCATCAACAACATCATAATGAGCATACCACAATACTCTAGAATGTGAATCTGAATTCTTATTATTCTTTTTGAATTCTGCAAATACTATTGGATTTCCATTTTTAACAGGTAATAATTTAGTTTGATAAGCACCAAAATTATTAAACAATCTAATTAGAAACTGAGCACAATGTCGATTATCTTCAAGATATAATTCTGGATATTTGGAGATAGTTTTAAATGAAATATATTTCTTGAGCATTATTAATAAATCATCATTTGAAAATTTAAAGGAGTTGGTTGATATTGAAGATTCCTCAGTTTCTTTATCGTCTGTTATATCCCATAATGATAATGATTTATTACCACCAGCAACTAAGAAAGTCTTTGATTCATGAGTGAAAATTTTTGTAGTGTTGATTATTTCGGTTTCCATCTTGATACAATCAGTAGATTTCATTGACATTTTATATAAACCAGTACATGCTTTATACAAGGAATCATTATAAATATCCAAACTTAAAACTTCCTGATCTTCACATTGAAAAGTTCTAATCATTTGTAGTGTCATTAAATCCCATACATTAATATTAGAATCTCCTAATCCAACATATAATAAAGAATCATAAATGCACATAGATAATATTGATTCATCATTTTGTAAACTGGCTATTTTCTTTAATTTATTTGACCAAATGTTAACTATACCATCACCACCACCAGATATCAAATAACTAGATTCATTATAATCACCAATTGAAGAATTTATAAACTCCAAACAATAAACATATCCATTATGTGCAAATCTAATAATATCATCATAGTTACATTCAATTAATTGGTATAAAATTGGTGTTTTTTCACAATTTGATGAATTCTTTCGTAATAATTCATGTCTAGTCTGTAATGTATTCTTTATACCTCCTGGTCCTTTTGAATCAAAGAATTTATCGTATCTAAAATGTGGTAAATTTTCAATATTTGGAACTGTATTGATTTGATTATCTAATTTACACCATAAAATAGATGCATTTTGAGCTCCAATGTATAATGTTTCATTTTCTTCATTCCATGCTAATGAATATATATCACCAATGTCAACTAATGAATATACTATATATTTACAAGTGAATTGATTTTGATCATATACTCTAACTAATGAATCAGAACCACCAACAAATAATAATCCATCATAATTTAAACATAAAGTTAAAACAGAAACACTTTGAGATTGTTGATTATCTGATATTATAATTTCATTTCTTAAGGAATACGTAGTAATATCAAAAATCAAAACTTTCCCATCTTGAGTCCCACAATAAATTAAATTTTGATATGAGATACAACATAGTATTGAATGGGTATGAGTCCATTTATGCAATAATTGAGGTAAGTCATTGGTAAATGGAACTGGCATGAAATTGTTGTTTGATGTAGTTGATGATGAGTTGGTTAATGGTGGTGGTGATTCAATTTGAAAATTTGTATTCCCAGTCGATATTGTTTCAGATTTTAGTTGTGGCGTCGATGTGGTACTTCTTTCATTATGGTGCCTATTTTCTAATGATAATTCTGATATTGGTATATGTGGAGAATTTAACCTGATTGGAATCGATGCAGTTGGAGTTAAGATTAAATTATCGGAAGAAGGTAAGGTATTGATTGGTAGTTTTTTAGTTCGTTGTAGTATATAGTCTTCTTCATGTAATATGTTTTGAGACATTTAAATTTTCCATCTAAAAGGTTCGTAATGTATGATTAGACGGTGGTAAAAAAATTGTGGTTACATTTTGAAAAAATCATTATAGTAAATACTGCATACTAGGCATCAACCACCTATTCGATATACTCCTGATTTTGATACGGTTCCAGATAGACTTAAACCAGATAAACAGGTGACGGTGATACTATAAGAGAAGTTAAGCTTTTATCTTTGCTTTTCTCATCCTTTTGATGCTAGAATCCCCCGGTAAAATGGATAATATTCTTTAGTGTGATCGAACAAGATATTTCAATATTTATTAACCATTATTACGATTACAGTTGTTCCAAAGACCAAGGAACTTAGCTTAACAACATCTAACAAACTAAATCTGATTCTAGGTTGAGATCTTTCGGATAAACTCTGGATTAATTATTTTATTGTTTTTAAATTTCTTTTTTTGCAACCAAAAAATTTGGTCCCTGGCGCACGAAGAAAAATGTTTTCTTTTTTTTTTTTTCGCAGCAATTTTTAAGAGGCATTTCTTAATTATCAGTTTGATCTTTACTTTGTGCATCAATTGACGAATGAGCTTTTTCGTTCATCTAAAAGACCCACGTGGGGTGTCCTTTAACACATTCTGCATGTAAAACAGTTAAATTTTTATCAAAAAACCCGATCGTTCTTCGACTTTTTTCTAAATTTCTTTTTAGTTAAGCATCGTGTGACAGTTAACTAAGTTAAGAAAATATTTTATTCTGTCAAATTTTATTTTCTTAGAGTGGGTCCAGTCTAAACTTTATTATATTTTACAACCATTGAGGCTAGTATGAAGTTTTCTCATTCTTTAAAGTTTAATGCTGTTCCTGAATGGAGAGATGATTATTTGAACTATCCAACATTAAAAAAGATAATTTATAAATTACAACAAGAACAAATTGAACATAACGGAGATCAAACGCAAGGTTTCATAGTAGGCACGAATACAACTACAATTAGTGAATTGGTGGAACATTTTAAAGATTCAAATTATAGTAAAAATAGTGTTGTCATTGGCTCATCTTCATCTAAAACTAACTTGAAAAAGAGAATAACAAAGAATTTATTTAATAAATTTAAGCGTCAAAATAAATCTAGTGATTCAGATTTAGAATTGCTTGAAATACACACAGTTCATGAAGATAGTGATTCAAATGATAAGAAAACAAAATCTCTGAATGAAATTGAATCATTTGATATTGAAAACTCTTCAATTGAAGCATCCACGTCAAATTTAATCCAAGATATTATAGACAAAGATGATGAATCATATTCAAATTCAAAATCTATGACATTTGATCCATTAAAAGCATTTACTAAATATTTATTAATTGAATTGAATAAAATCAATAAATTTTACCAAGCTAAAGAAAAAGAAGTTTCTAAAAATTATGAACATTTAATCACTGATTTAAAGAAGAATAATGTTGATATCGATGAAGTTTTCAAATCTACAAATGCTTATGAATTTGCTCATCATAGAAAATTTTCTGACACTGTTTTTGAAGATCACGTAGGCACTAGTGCTTCAACTGACTTGGAAAAGCAAGGAGACTATCATTATCAAGTACAAGAAGATGATTCAGAAGATGATGAAGATTATCATTCACAAGATTCTGTATTATTAAATCATACTGATTTTAATGTCAAAACTCAATTAAAAGTTGCATTGAAAAGAAAAGCAGTTTCATTATTTATTAACTTATCTGAATTGAAATCATTTATCGAATTGAATAGAATTGGATTTACTAAAATATGTAAGAAGTTCGACAAGATCTGTAATTATTCAGTTAAACAAGATTTTATTGATAACTTTCTCCCAAATAATTCAAAAGTATTTGAACATGCTACAATTCAAAGTTTGGAACAAAAATTAGATACTATTGTCAAAATCTATGCATTTTTAATAGGAAGTGTTACTATTAAAACTACAAAAGAAGATTTAGAAAGTGTTAAAAATGAATTAAAATCAAATTTAAGAGATCATATTGTTTTTGAAAGAAACACGGTATGGAAAGATTTATTATCAATTGAAAAGAAATCATACAATTTAGATTTGGATAATGCAGCTACTCAAAATAACAAAATGGGTGATGAAGCAAATGCTACAAGTTCGATGTTGTATATGCAAATGAAAGAAATCAAAATTTGGAAAACTAATAAAGTTATAAGTTTACCAGCATTTTTATTCACTATACAAATGGTTAAAATTTTAATCACTGTTATTGCATTTGTTATATTAATCTCAATTAAAACTTTAAATGATCCAGTTGAAGGTAGAGCATTAGCTGTTTTAGTCGCTTGTATTATTCTATTTGCAACTGAAGCCATTCCATTATATGCAACAGGTATTTTCATTCCATTATTATGTGTTACATGTCGTATTGTTAAAGATAATGATACAGGCAAAGTCATGGATGCAACATCAGCTTCAAAGTATATTTTAGGAACTATGTGGAATTCAACAATTATGATATTAATAGGTGGGTTCACATTAGCTGCTGCATTATCAAAATATAATATTGCCAAAATTGCAGCTTCTTGGATTTTAGCATTTGCAGGTACTAAACCAAGAAATGTCATATTAGCAATGATGTCATTATCATTATTTTTATCAATGTGGATTTCAAATGTTGCAACTCCAGTATTATGTTATTCCTTGTTACAACCATTATTAAGAACATTACCTACTGATTCAGATACTGCAAAAGCTTTAGTGCTTTGTATTGCATTTTCAAGTGGTTTGGCAGGTATGTCATCACCAATTGCTTCGCCACAAAATGTTATTGGTATTACATATATGAGTCCAAATCCAGGTTGGGGTAATTGGTTTGCTGTTGCATTACCAGTTTCAATAATAGCCATGATAATAATTTGGTTGGAATTGATTTTTACGTTTAAGGTTAATAAAGTTAAATTACAAAAATTCAAACCTATTAAAGATAGATGGACTGTTAAACAAATATTTGTATTGTTAGTTACTATAGTTACAATTATATTATGGTGTGTTGAATCAAAAATTGAAGGTACTTTTGGAGAATCGGGTATTATTTCAGTTATTCCATTTGTTTTATTCTTTGGTAGTGGTTTATTAAAAGTTGATGATTTAAATATGTATCCATGGAATATTGTTTTATTAGCTAGTGGTGGTATCGCATTAGGTAAAGCATTAACAGCAAGTGAATTATTGAAAACAGTTGCCGAATCATTAGAAAAAAAAATTATGGATTATGGAGCTTTTTTGATCATGTTTATTTTTGGTGCTTTAGTTTTGGTAATATCTACTTTTATTAGTCATACAGTTGCTGCATTGATTATTGTTCCTTTAATTTTAGAAGTTGGTCAATCTTTAGGTGCACATACGAATTTATTAATTATGGGTGTTGCATTAGGTTGTTCATCAGGTATGGGATTACCTTCAAGTGGTTTCCCAAATATGACAGCTGTTGGATTAAGAGATCCAGTTGGAAAACCATATATTACTGTGAATACTTTGATGACTCGTGGCATTCCAGCGTCGATTATTACATTTTTAGTTATTGTAACTGTTGGTTATGGTATTATGAGTAGTTTAGGTCTTTAGCTTATACATGTATATAGAGTTTATGAGTCACGAGAGGGATATACGATTGATTTATTGATTTGAAACTCTGGACCAAATTTTAGGTAAAGCCTCGTATTTCTTTTTTTCGCAGCCAAATTTTGCGCTACCTGATTGGGTGTGGCTAAAAATTTGTCTTACCAAATTGGTGTAATAAATCAACAAATTACAACGTTTTATTAAAATTAAGGTATACGAACTATTTAAAGATAATGTCTTTAATTGCTTGAGTTTCTTTTATGTGGTCCCCACATGTTATCTTGTAAATATTGATAATAACCAGCATAATCCATTCTTTGTAATAATTTAGCAATACCAGGAGCATAAGTTGGATCAGTTAAAACAAACTGTATAGCGTCACTTAAAATATCATTTTCTTTAGCATATACGAAATATGAATTAAGGTCAATATTATTCAAAACACCACTTGAATAAACTGCAGAAGCTAAATGATCAACTAAAGTTCCTAAATTTGGATTATTATCTAAAATTTCCATTACAGTAGGTACTAAAATATCAGATTGATTTAAAGCAATTAAAATATCATAAACTGAAGACTGAATCATTGAAGAATGAGCAATTGTATTAATTATATTGTTTAAAAATTGATTTAATGAACCTTGATATTGATTATTTTCATCTCTTGTAAACCTTGACGACATAATTTCATCAAATTCAGCTCGTTTAGTATTTGATGAATTTGAAAAATCCCATCCGATTTCATTTAAACCCTCTTGATTTACATCAATTTCGGATTGATTTGAAGAATCAGTATTGGCAGCACTTGTAGTATTAACAATTAAATTTGCTAAATAATCCCAAGTTAAATCATGGCCATCACCTAAACCATATAACAACCAACCAATCCATACATTATTTGGACTTGCTAAAATTTCACCAACAAATTTTGCCAAATCTTGATTATTTTGATCATCTAATAATAAACCTTGAGCTGTACTTTGAATTAAGCCAGAATTCAAAACAGCATTAATGATTTCAGTAGTATTTAATTCGATATTTATTCCTTCAAATGTAGTATTTAAAGAATCACCAGATTCTAAAACATTTAATAACATTAAAGTGTAATTACCTAAATTATCCATTTTTTCATCTGAAGAAGTTATATCTAATAAAATATCAGGTATAATATTTGATGCACCAATGGTTTGAAAGAGCGAAACAAATTGTTGAACTGTGGCATTATTAGTTGGAGTAGCTTCATCTGCTCTTTTTAATAATGAATCCAAATCAAAAGAATCTATTTCATCTAATATAAAATCGTAGTTGCCATAATCTATAGCTGATACAATATTGAAAAGAAGGAATATTATTGCAATTATTCTAGAAAGATATCTCATGATATATTATAAAACAAACGATCGATGAAGTGAGTTGAAGCTTGAAAAGAAGGAGGTGAGTAATAAATAATGATACACTAGTATTAGCTATTGATTATTAGAATGAAAGTTGTATAAAATATGAGAAAGTTGTTGATTATAATCTCTCTTTCTTCTTATTACTAAAAAAGTTTTATCTAATAATTCATTTTTGTGTTCACACTCCACTCTCATCAAAAAAAAAAAAAAAAAAAAAAAAAAATAATAAAAAAAAATAAAAAAAAAAAAAATTCAAAATCATTTATTTCCCAATTAGGAAGGTTATGATTTTATCAAACACAAGATGAAAATAAGATGAAAATAAGACGAAAATAAGATGAAAAAAAGATGAAAATACAGAGAAGTATGGCTTTTGCTTTCATTTTGAATTGGTACAATGTTCTTGGGACATTTTTCTACTAGTATAAGTTGTATATTACTCTTCAATGCTTATTATACCCTCGGGATCTCTCTATTTTTCGCATGTCAAATAATAAGATCTGACATTGACCTGCGTCATCCTGCATATAAATATTTTATTTGAAACAAAATTATCACCAAAAAAGGAAATGTAATTTTTCTCTCTTAACCATTTATAGTTAGACAACCAATTTTACATTTCATCTTTTATAATTTACAGATGAAATATCGACAAATACAATGAAGTCACAAAAGTGGTCTAATTAAATTAATTTTATGTTGGCAAGAGATTTTACTATTTTCATTAATTTCAAAAATGCTTATACTTTCTTTAAGTTATTAATTTTTTTATTATTTTACTCCATTTTATTCAAGTTATTCTTTTGGCATTTAAATTTTTATTAATTTTTATTAATTTATTTATCACTTTCTTTTTGGGTTTATCTAATATCAAATGCATTTTACTCAAATAATAATAAGTGTTGTTGGTGTTTTGACTTCAATAGCTTATTCATTACCTGCAACACCAGTACAACAATTTGAAATTATACCACAGAATGTTGATTTTCAAAGTGAATTGGATTCATTTGTTGAATCAAATTTTGATGAGAAAGAAGTAAATTTATATTATGAGTTAATGGATATTTTCCATCAAGAAGATTTATCAAAAAGAGATGAACAAACAGAACAGATTATTGGTAATATATTATTAGCTGTAAATCAATCTGGTATAATTTGGGATTTATTAGATGCAATTGCTGATGATCCGTCAAGAGTTGAATGGTTAACTAATTTAACAAGTAATTTTTTCCAGGGCCAAAATATAACAATTTCATTAGATTCATTAACTTCATTGGGTTCAAGTGATTCATTACTTGGTGCTTTAGCATCACAATTGAATATTTCTGCAATTATAGGTGCTGTTGAAAATTCAGGTTTAGTTGGATCATTATTAGATGGTTTATTATTGGATGAAAATTTTAGACCATATTTAGTAAATTTAATTGATAAAATTGTATTGTCACTAAAGAATGTTTTATTATATATCTTTTCAGGTTTATTGGCAAAAAGAGATTTAATACCAGGAAATGATTTAATGGAAATTTTTAAAAGAGCAGAAACTACACAATCTATAAATACTGCTCAATTGGCTTCATTATTTGCACAAGCTACTGCTGAAGCAAACTCACAACAGACTACTCAACAACAAGCTCAATCTACACAATCAATTAATACTGCTCAATTGGCTTCTTTATTTGCAGCTGCAAGTGCCGAACAAGCTCAATCTACACAATCAATTAATACTGCTCAATTGGCTTCTTTATTTGCAGCTGCAAGTGCCGAACAAGCTTCACAAACTACAACTGGTACTTCATTAAGATCATCACAATCAGCATCAATCTCATCAGCAAGAACTTCAGCTTCATCTGTTTTAGATACTTTACAATCAAGAGCTAGTGCATCATCAAGTATAGACGAATCATCAAGATCATCAGCAAGAGCAAATACAAGTTCATCATCATTAAGTGGTACAATTGCTGCTTCAACTACTTCAAATGCTTATTCTGGTTCATTAGCCTCATTTGCTGCTAATGCAGGTGGTGCCATTGTCTCATCCCCAGTTGTTGGTTCAATTGCTGAAGATTTCTTGAATGCTTTAAATGATACTGGATTTGCTGTGTATTTTGTTAAAAGATTTATCTCAACTGAATCATATGTTAATTTGACTGGTGATTTAATTGGTGCAGTTATCAATTCAGGTGCTTTCCATTTGGATTTATCAGGATTAAATATTACAGATTTGGTTGATGAAGCATTAAGTGATCCAACTGCAATAGTTACATTTGTTGGTTCATTATTAACTGGTGATTCATCAGCTATTACATCAACATTGGCTGAATATTGGGGTAAATATGGTAGTGCATTACAAAGCATATTATCAGATTTAGAAGCAAATGGATTATTTGCTGAATTAAATCAATATATTTTCGGTGATGGTTCAACTTCAGTAACTCCACAATCACAAGCTACATCAACACAACAATCAACTACTACATCAAATCAAAATAGAGATCAATTAATATCTACAAGTACCAGATCATGGATAACAGCACAAACATCTACTGCTTCAACACAAAATAAAGCTACAAATTCAGGAAATTCATTAAAATTATACCTTTATGTTCCAATAATGATGGGAGCTGCATTAATCTTCATTTAAATTTAATTCAAATAAAAATTACGTTGACAATTTCACTTTCTTTTCGTTTATAATACCATTTTTAATATATAACATTAGATTTCATACGAATTCTTTCACGAAAACCACACTAGATAATTTTTTTTATTTTTTGGTACGCGGCTTTTTTTTTAAAATAGAATGTGATTTGCAATTTTAAGTCATGGATGCAAATGATTCAATTGATCCATTTCAATCACCACCAAGACCCAAAATACCATTATCTAATAGTTGGCATGAAGGTAAATTAAAAAAACTGAATTCAGTTCCAAATACACCATCTGGTAATTCAAATTCAATGCCAAACTCAAGGAGAGCAAGTTTGGATGAAACAAATTTCAACTTTACAACCAGATTTAGAAATTCTATAATTATTCCAGTCACAAATTGGACAAAATCAAAGCCAAAAACAGTAAAAGAAGATAAATATATAATTGAATATTCTGTTTTTAGATATAATGGCAAACAAATTAATAATGAAGTAGATTTAGAATCACATTCAAAATTGTTCAATCCCAAGGGTATAACAGATACAGTCATGTCTGATCAACAATTCAGGATTTTAATTTCACAAGTAGAAAGGATCTTTGAAGTTGATCATATTTATCCTCAACGTATAACTACCGGATCATCAGGGTCATATTTTATTTTCAATATTGATATAACGCTATATAAAGCAGGGATATTCAAACCTAAAGATGAAGAACCTTATGGTCCTCTATCTCCAAAATGGACAAAATGGCTACATAGAACTTTTTTTCCTTGTTGTTTTGGTCGATCATGTTTAATTCCAAATTTGGGTTATGTTTCAGAATGTGCTGCTTATATACTAGATAAAAATTTGCGATCATTCATAGTTCCACATACTGAAATTGTAAAATTAAAAGCTCCTACATTTTATTATAAGTTTTGGGATAGGTCAAAACCTGCAAAGATTGGTTCATTTCAAATTTTTTTAAACAATTATATAAATGCAGATATTTGGTTTAAAATTTATCCTATACCGATAGACAAAGTAGCATTACCAGACTCATCAGATATGGAGGTAGATATAAATGAATGTAATTATGTGTTTCATTGGAGTAAGTCATCAATGTTACAGTTTCAAAAAGAAATTGAAAAATTGGTAATACTAGATTATTTAATGAGAAATACAGATAGAGGGTTGGAGAATTTTATGATCAAAATAGAATGGGAAGAAGTGAAGACAAATGATGAAAAGAAATTGGTTAAACCATTTATAAAAATGGGTGCTATTGATTCTGGTCTTTCTTTTCCTTGGAAGCATCCAAATGAATGGAGGAGTTTTCCTTTTGGTTGGTTATTTCTTCCATTGTCAATTATAGGGCAACCATTCACACAAGAAACAAGAGATCATTATCTACCTTTACTTACATCTCGTTATTGGTGGTCTAAACTAGTACCTGATTTAAAAGCAGTATTTATGAAGGATCAAGATTTCAAAGAGCGTATGTGGAATAAACAATTAGCAGTACTTAAGGGTCAAGCCTTTAATATAATTGAGATTCTAAAATTACCTTATGCTGGACCTTTAGAATTGACACGAAGGGAAAATTTATTAGTATTTGACGATATAATGTACTTGCCTGATGGTAAAGATATACAATGTTCAAATTATTCAAGTTATCAACAAAATGAATTAACTCCATTGTTAAATCCAATTCAAGAAATAATTAATGATAATGAAGATGGTCCAAATATTTATGAATCTGGTTATGAAAGAATTAGTAGAACAAATCCAGATTCGAATGCTACGACACAACATAAAAAAGTTATTATTGAGCGATTGGTTAAAGAAACTAGTAAGCCACCAGTATTTACTTGGTGTTAAATATGACAACTTTTCTTTTACATTAAATTACCTCTATAATCTGACGCGTATATTATTGCAGAGAAATTACTCGACAATATGGAAATTATGAAGGGTTGATTGACGATTATTGGTAATAAAACAAGTTTTGAAGATTAAGTACAGAGTTTAACCAATCTAAGACAATATCTAAGAGAGCTTTTATTCAATCGATAAATAAATGCTAATGTATATTTTTACATATGAAGTTACACATAAATATTAGACAGAATATTCAGACATACTTCTCATTAAATATCTTTGCATAATCATTTGAATTACCTTTAAAATCATCTTGGTTAATCTTAAGTAATCCCTTTTCTTCTTTTAATCTAAATTGAACACATTTCAATAATGAATAAATTGTAGATAAAATAGGAACTGAAACATTATTCTTTCTAGCTATTTTAATAGGATTACCTAATATAATCTCCAATTCCATTAATTGACCTTTTCTCATATCTACACACATTGAAGGTGAATAAAATAATCCATCACCTATATGAATATAAGTTTCAATTTTAGATTCATCACATTCTATGCCTTCCGTTTTTGCAATTTTTATAACTTCATACATTGCAGGTTTAATTAATTCTTCATTTAAATTATTAATCTGTAATCTATTTACATCTAGGTTAACTAATGCCGTAATACAATTAAATACTGAGTTATAAATTAATTTCTCCCATCTTGTCTTTTGAACATTTTCATCTACTTCAATAAAATTATGACCATTTGGATCTTGATAAAGTTCCATATATTGATGAATCTTGGCATCGGAATCTGAATTTCTGTTGGTGGTTTTAAAATCACCAAGATAAATTTGATCTTTACCTACATTTTCAACATGTCCATCATAATAAGTTGAACCAGTTATGGAAACTCCTGAAAGTATTAAATTATCAGGGTATGCTTTAAACATTGCATCTTCTATATGAATACCATTTTGTAATAATATAATAGTCTCACTTCCATGAATAGCAGGTTTTATAATATTTTCACAAGTAATTGGTCCATCTGGGACATTCTTTGTTGATAAGACTATATAATCAAATGGTCCATATTGATTAGCATCTTCAACTGAACTTGCCAAATTATGAGGTTTCCAATTGGAGAATTCACCAAAAGTACATGAATTTATAGAATAACCTTGCGATAAAATCAAATTATAATCTGAACGAACGACTAAAGTAACCTCACATTTATTATTATTAGTCAATGCTAATGCAGACATAACACCAACACCACCAGAACCAATAATTAACACCTTAATCATGCTTACCCACAATTTTTTTTTTTTAGATCTCGAATTATTGAAAAATTGATCTTGAAAATGAAAATCAATTTCCTAATTAAGCAATACGCGCTTAAAATTTTTATTACTAGTCTCCATGAAAAAATTAATCTATATTATATTCTATAAAGTTTGACTCGTTAATATCATAAAACTTTCTTGATTCAATAATTTTCAATTCGAAATATTTCATATTTGCATCGTTAATCTTACCTACTAGATCTTTATTACTCATACTTGAGGTTAATTTTAATGTCTTTTCCATAATTGTAAGTACTTGATTTATAGCGATTGATAACCTCTCGGTTCCATCTTTATTCTGGATCTTGTAATATTTATCTAATGTTAAAGCAGAAAATAAATCTCCAACACCAGTAAAATATGATTTAATAGTAGGTATTCTAAACTCAATTTTTTTTTCTTGATTCTTTACTGATGCAATACAATGTATTAAATCATCTTCAAATACATCAACAACTGAAGTGATCACCACATTTGAAATATTATAATGATCATGTAAATAATTTATAGCTTTAACTAGGTTAAATTTTGATTCTATTTTAATGTTCGTCAATAATTCCAATTCAAATTGATTTGGAGTTATTATATCCACTATTTTATTATTCAAAATTTCTTGATATTCTGATACACAGGATTTATCTACGTATAAATAATGATTATCACCCATGACTGGATCAAGTAAATATATCAAATGAGGATGTGAAAGCTTGTACTCTCTAATGAAGTCATTTATAATCCTTATCAACTGTGAATTTGGTATATATCCAGTTATTATAGCATCATAATGAATATCTAGATTTATAAGTTGTTGGAATATTGATTTTAATTCATCTGGCGATAATGTAGAACCTGAAAATGAACCATAACCAGTATGATTTGAATAATCAACTGTATTTATATTATCAACATCCCACCCTTGTGTTTGTAATGGGAATATAGCAGCTTTATTTCCTACAAATCCATGTACCACATGAGATTGAATTGATAGCACTGATTTCATTTGTAGTCAGAAAAGAATCTCAAAAAAAAAAAAAAAAAAAAAAAATTGAATCATAATTTTGACAATTGAATCATATTCGTCAATAATGAAAGAAGCGGTTTTTGATGATGAGCTGTAAGCCTAGTAATGATGTAAAAAAATGAATAAGTGAACAATTATAACGTAATCTACAACTATCTCTGGATTGGTGGTGGCACTTTTCAGTGGGAAATTTTACAAAATTTATGATGTATGTATTGAGCTGCAGAAATCTGAAACAATTGACCATCGAAATTAAATTTTACAACAAATCTATGCTTAAAAACATGAGTATTTGATAGCTCAGAAAATTGTGAGTGAGGTTTGTATGGCACAATTGACTTCAATTGTATTAATTCAAAAGTTACACGCAAATCTAATCGAACTCTACTTGTTCAAACCGTTGGTCAAATTGAATTGTTGCAGATAGTTAAAGTTAGTTCAGAACACTTTAATGACTCTAATCAAAACTTATATAACTACAAAGTTGACCGGTTAAGATGACTCTAATCAAAACTTATATAACTAAAAAGTTGACCGATTAAGATTAATAAACATGTTTTGTCTATTGAATACGAGAAATTCTTCGAAACAATAGCACCGAGTAAAAACCAAATGTCGAAAAGATTTGAATCAACAACGTACAATTACCAAACTCGGGTTAACTATAGTTCAATGAAATGTGAGTATTATTTGTTTGAAACATATCTTATCAAAATAGTTGTGTCAAAAGTTATGGAATTTTTGAATTATTGAAAATGGCTGCAAATTTTGCAACGTGAAAAAATTAAAGTGACAAAAAAAGTGACAAAAAAAAAATAATATGAACACTAATAATCAATATATATTAATTAAATTAAACAAAAACCAACAAACTAAATTACCCAATATTGAAAGAATTAAAAATTAAATTCACCATTAAAATCCAAAAACTCATCTAAAAACCCATTATTATCATCATTATTATCATTATTATTATTAATATTATTATTATTATTATCAATATCATTAATATCATTATTGTTATCAATATCATTAATATCATCAAGTTTAAAATTAGAAACATCAAAAGGTTCTGCAGACCATTGTGATGCTTCTATGCTACAGAGCAGAGCGTCACAAGACTCATCCGTGCTGGATGAACCTCATTTTGATATCCAATTTTAACATCTTGATAATCTGAAATTTCCAATTCAGGTGGTGATAATAATGTTGATGGAGGAGTAAATAAATTTAAATTTGAACTTTCTTCTTCTGATGACGGTGATGATGATGAATTTGTAGTTGAAGTAATAGTAGTAGTTGATAATTTTCTTTTCTTAATATTTGAATTACTTTGTACTTCATCAATTTGTAATAAATTATCTTGAATTAATTGTTTTTGATTTTCTGTTAATAAATTATAAACCAATTCAAAATTTGATGATAATTTCTTATAATTTTCTTCAAGAGATTCAAGAAGTTTTCTCTTTTTTTCTCTTGAAGCATGAGCTGCACGTCTATTTCTCAAGATTCTTTCTACTCTACGTTGTTCTTTTTCTTCATCGGTTTTAGCACGTTTACGTGGAGCCAAAGAAGTTTTAAAACATGGACTAACGATTTCTGTAGTTGATTTTGAATCTAATTTTGAAATAGCCTGAGCTGACATGCTGCTTGATTAATAAAAGTTTGTTGAAAGTTTGTTAACAAATCAATATTGAATAGAAGAAGAGAAAAAAAAAAAAAAACCAATTATAAATTGTCAACTGCTACTGCTATATTTATATAGTTGAAAAAATCTATTATGAAAAAAGTAGTGTAAGCTCAAATTATTTAGCAGTGGCGATTGTGTTATTATTTCCTTATATAAATAGAAATAAGAGAGGCTTATATTAGTATTAAAAAGGGGCGTGGTCATTTTACAAAAATATTTATTCCGTTGAAATTCCGTTGAAATTCCGAGTATTCTAGAAAATTCTTTTTTATATTAAACCCTTTAAAGATTTGCAAACTATTTAGATCGGTTATTGACAGGTGTCCTTTTTTGAAAATTGATGATTATCAGAGATAGGTTAGTTTCATGCAATAATTTTATTTATTATTGTTAGAATACTTCAAAATGGTTTGTAAACCTTTTCTGTATTTTTTTGAGCCAATCAACCAACCGTATGGGCAAAATTTAATCAAAGTTATTTAAAATATTGGCTGGGCAAAATTTATTATTACGTTCACGTGGACTGGGTTTTTTGAATACTATTCTATTATTTATTATTGTAACATTAAATTTGTAACATTAAGTTTGTAAATTTATACACGACTTCTATTTTCTTGGAGTTTTCAACCAAAAATTATTATCGTTGAATTTCTTGCGAATATAGATTTAATCACGAACTGTTGAATATAATTGAGTCTCGCGCTTTCTCTATTTATCGATTATTTGAAGGATTTTGTAAACGTCTATTTATTCAATCAAGATCTATACAATACTATCAAAATATTTAAATCCAATTAAACTATTTTTAATTGTTGAATTCACCAGCTTTCATGGATGAAACTAATGTTAAACAATGCAATATAGAGAAGAAGCGTCGACTTAGCGATCATAAATTCATTCACCCATTTGTCGTGGTTTGGCAATTTAAATTTCTTCATATGATTAGAGTAATACTATTAAGTGGTTTAATTACATACTTTCTGGTTCTTTCTTTCTTTCAATATGTTGACTCCTATTATTATTTTACAAATAATCATAAGGATATAAGTCATTTTTATGGTGAAAAAATTTTTATAGATGCATCCAAATCTTTAGTTGGTGTTGTAATATGTTTGATATGTCTTTTGTTTGAAATTAATTGGTTAAAGAAATAAGAAATAGGTGGTAAAAATGTTTTGAAAACTACATTTCTCACGTGCTCAATTTCATTATGTGGTATGTTGTTAATTGAACCAGTTCATGTTAGTGAAAATTTTTGTGTGATGTTTCAAAAGATTAAAGAGTCTTTGGTATAGTTAGTGCAATAGAATTTGTTTGATTTTAACAATAAATGACCATCGACATAAGTCAGACATGTAGAACAGATAGACGATTTTAGAAAATTTCAATAAATAGAATAAAATTTAATGTATTTCTAACGCTGATTGAGTAGACTACGTAATAAGCATCAAAATTATTATCAAAATTATTATCAAAATTATTATCAAAATTCCTTTCTAAATTTTTCACGGGTAGACTTTGACACTTCTGTTTTCACATCCTTCTATAAATTCTTGTCTCATGACTTCATATGTTTTGTATAAAAGCTTATTCAAACAGTTATGTGAAATTTACTTTAAAATATGAAGCTGTGCTGTTTTACGGAGTGTTCGGTTAATTAATATTACTGTTTGAAAAGTTCTCTTATTGATTGAATTTGCATTCGAAAATTGCAAGAATAAATTCATTACTCTAAGAAGTATTTAAACATCAAACCCGCCAAGCATAAGCAGGAAAACGTGAATTCGCTTATCTATTTGATCTAAAGCATAAATCACATCTTATAAACCGATTTATATTTTTTACAACTTGAAATACCAGAAATTAAACGAAACTGTGAATGTTGACTTTCTTTAGTTTATCGAGAATCGTTACTAGTTTACTCAAAAACAACTGAGTTTCTCAATGAATTATGTCAGAGAACGAGAACCTCAATATCAAGGATATATTTACAAGATAACTTATAAGATTAACTTCGTCGAGACTGCATATAAGACTAATTTGTTTCAGAAATAGTTTTCAAACTTATATAGTTCTGGATCAAATTTAACCCCGAAAGAATATTCTCCTCGCGCTAGCTTTTGGGCGACTCGTGTTAAATGTATTTGCGTATATGTCATGAAGTGTGAATTCTCCAGAGATAAACACAATTTATATAAAATCAAAAGCCATGAATTATATACTCTATATCTTCTAAATATCAAAGTTCAAGCATTTTTTGTTTGAGTTGTCATTTTGGCTAATTTTCATCATACAAAACTTTTACAGAAAATGAAAACGCAGAGTAGATTCTATTTAGGGCCAAAACTTGTAAGTAAACAACTGAATATATATATTATACGTCATCTTAGTGCCCTGGACCTAAGTAATTTCGACTTCAGCAGCAATTGAAAAATTTCAAAAATTTCTCTTAACTGTAGGGAAAATCGAATAAATTGAACTTACAAAAGAATTAACTCTACAACCAAATTCAAGATGAAAATATGATAAAAGTATCTGAATTTGTAGTTCTTGAATTCTGATGAACCTCGAAATTTTTTATACTAAGGTGCTCAAAATTTGAAATCAATTTTTGAAAAGTGGTTTGAAAATTTTGCAAAAGTTTCAAATCAATGTTGGTAACTTCAAACCAATATATATACTTAATTTGGAGAATGAACCTAATCAGCTAGTTTGGAAGTTGCTAATGAGGTCTAAGTAGTGATTATCTTTCAAATTAGCATTTTTTGTATTTTTAAAAAACCGCTGTAAACAATCAATATCAGGTCGTACTAAGAGGTACTGGTATCAGTTGAATTTTAACGGATTGAAGTTTTGCTGAACAAGGTTTGATATCGACATATTGAAAACAAAAGGAGTAATTTACGATTTAAGATTTATGATTAATCACTACTAGACTGCATATAAGCCAAAATTTGTTTCAGAAATTTTTTCATCTGGGTCGAGAAGTAATCAACCAGGTAAAACGAGAATGCGGTTAAAGAATTTTTCCCTCGGGGCGAGAGCTGGTGTTAAGACGACTGATTTCGCTGTTAATGACCAAAATTCAAAGATATATCGACATCTTGTAACCACGAATTATTAGATCCGCATATTCCAATCATTACATCCCTTCGTTCTAATCATAGTTAACATCCAAATAATGAGAGTTTCCTTTAAATTTAAATGAAACTATCAGAACTTGAACAGTAAAACTTGCCATTTTGTAGTACTTCATGAACTTAAAAATATTTTATAATAAGCAACAGACCATGTTGTTTAATTATCCTCAGAATGAGAGCCCATTTTTCTCACTCTGGAATAACATCAAATTCAAATAGATGATGTTGATCGTTGTTGTAGTTGTAGTAATGGGCTTCGATCCAAATGCAATCATGGTTGAAAATGATCTTAGTGAAATTTACCAATAATTTGAAGTTGGCAGCACAATTATAGATTCCAACACATTAATACAATTTATGGTCTACAAAATTACTCAACTTTTCTGTCAATAAGCTCTCCTATCTCTTGAATGAATCAGTGGGAGATAACAAAAAGATTTAATCAATGCAAATAAAGGATTATTATCAAACAAAAAATTAAAAGCCTTTAGCTGAAAAACTCAATTATGTCAGAATCGACAACTATTTATACTAAAACTAATCAAGTGTTTGTTAGTTAATTAATTAAATTCTAGTAATATCTATCAAATTTTTGTGCATTGAAATCATTGAGATGTTAAGGTTAAAATGCCGCAGTCCAAATTGGGAAATTAAATTACAAAACTGAAACAAAAAATAAATTAGACGACGAATTTAAATACTAATTCAATTCAATGAAAAATCATACAACTTAATAACTAAAAGCTGTATAGTCATATAAACTACATTAATTAATGTTCTATATATCTTACTACATCCTCTTTTACTTTGAATAGTGAAAATGCAAAGATCTTTGAGTATAACCTATTTTTAAAACATATCATATAATCAGATATAGATCTGAAATAAACGTAAACTTGAATTTTAGATTGTATTATTCAAAAGTATAAAATGTCTCTATTAGTTTCTAGTGCTGTTATTTTTTCATAATCAGATTACACATCAATTTCCATCATTACTAATTATTTGAATTATAAGTGCATACAATTTTTAATACTAAAATGGTTAAATCATTAAGTGCATTACCATTAGATAAACAATCACTTACAGTTGACGCAAATGAGAATATTAAACAAGCTGTTTCATTTAATAATTCAGAATCAGCTTTTGAACCATTAAGTGACGATTTAAGTCCAGAAAATTCAAATGAAATTAAAAAGATCCTCATTAAGCCACCACTGAATAATTTATTTCTTGAAACTAGAAAGATCCTTACTAAACGACCAATAAACATTCATTCAATTCCTTATTGAAAAAGTGGTAAAACTTCAAAAAGAAAAAACAAATCTAAAAGACGTAAGAAGAAGAATGGTGCTAAAAAATTATAGCTGGATTAGAAAAACTACAAAGTAATTCAGATAATCATTAACTGGTAAGATAAAGAGCAAAAGTTGTCTAGATTACATTAGTTAATAAATACATATAAAATTATTTCTTAAATACCTCTTTTGAGTTTTGTAATAATTGCTCGAGAAGCAGACTGTTAAATCAATATTTTACTATTCTAATATCAAAATCATTAACTTAATGTACTGTCTATATCAGACTTTTGATTATCAAGACCAAAAACTTACAAAGTTTTGAAAAATGGAAGAATTTTAGGTCATTATAGCAGCTGAATATGCAACAGTTGACACCATTCAATTGATGAAGCCATAGTAAAAAAAAGCAATAGTCAAACTAATCTCTTGTTTATTGGTTATAATATATAAAAATCGACTGATTAATATTTTATAAGAAACATAAGTCTTATATATATTTCGTGGTTGTATTTTTCACTTGATCGTATAATTACCTCTTAATATTTTGGTACTGTATAATAAAAATATACGATAGCTTGAAATTTATTTAATCAAAATTTATTTTCACCAAAAGTATTAATTTACAACCATATTGTTTAGACTTACAACCAGTTTATAGTTTTATTATTATCCAGGTTATTATTAAATTAATAATATTTTAAAATTATGAGTAATAATGATAATGATGATCAACAACAATTACTAAAAGATGCTGCTTCTCTATTAGAGTTCTATATTCCTACTTAAATTGTCAATAATAATATAGCTATGATTAATATAGCACTCAACCAACTAGTTTACTCTATATGAATAACTCATTATCATTATCACCAAGTATAAAAAACTTGTTCTTTCGCAACCAAAAAAATGCTACCATTTCCTATCGTGATCAATTTCGAATCAAGATGCCACCACAAATTATATTCTTGCAAATAACAGATAATATATCAACACCAATAAAAGTATTTGTTAGAAGATCAACAACAAATGGTAAACCATCTTCATTATCAATTAATCAAAAATCATTAATAACATTAAAAAATAAATATCATATAAAATTATCAAAAAATTATTTAGATAATATAATAGAAGACTTAAAAGAAGATTTAGAAGATATTTTATTTCATAAGAATGATGTATATTCCAATATAGAAGTCAATAAAAAAGGTTATAAATGTATAATACCACAATCATTAATAATTGGAATAAGAATTGAATTGGATTTAATGAATATGGAATATGTTGAAAAGAAACCAAATAATTATAATAACTTGGATCTATTAATTAAAGAGAAGATGTTTATAGAACAAGAAGAAGAAGAAGAAGAGAAGTCTAAAGTGAAGTTAATAAGTTGTAAAGTATTTGGTGATCTATCGAATTGTATAAAAATATATATTGAATAATTTTTTTTTTCTTTAACTAATAAGTAACGAGTTGCAGTGGCAATATTTAAGAAACTGAAGAATGATATTAAGATTCAGATCTAATGCTGGTCAATTCAGATTAACTGTTAATGACAGTGATTTATTTGATATTGTTATATTAGAATTAAATAAAAAAATACCAAATACTGATATATATATTAAATATAAAAATCAATTACAACCAATAAATCAATTACAAGGACAACATATTTCAAATTTATTTAAGAATGGAGATTTAATACATTTAGATTATAAAGCCACGAAAAAAGAACAAGAACAAGAACAAGAGCAAGAACCTAAATCATTAGAATTACCTATTGATCAAGAATTAAATAATAATGAAGGTTTAATTAAACGTTCAAAATCAAATATGTGTAGACATGGTGATAAAGGAATGTGTGATTATTGTTCTCCATTACCTCCATGGGATGAAGATTATAGAAAAGAACACTCATTAAAACATATAAATTTCCATTCTTATGTTAAACAACAATTGGCAAAAAGTCATAATGGATCATCATATATTGCACCATTACAGAATCCCAATTTTAAAATTAATTTAAATTGTAATGAAGGTCATAAACCGTATCCAAAGGGAATATGTTCAAAATGTCAACCTTCAGCAATTACTTTACAATTACAAAAATTTAGAATGGTTGATCATGTTGAGTTTTCAGATTCTTCAATTTTAAATGATTTTATAAATATTTGGAGAAATACTGGTGTACAAAGATTTGGCTATTTATATGGTAGATATGAAAAATTTGAAAAAATTCCATTGGGAATTAAAGCTGTTGTTGAAGCTATTTATGAACCTCCACAACATGATGAAGTTGATGGTATTACTTTATTACAAGATATAAATCAAATAGATGAAATTGCGAAAAAACTTGGATTATATAAAGTTGGTATAACTTTTACTGATTTAACAGATGCTGGCGATGGTAAAGTTATTTGTAAAAGACATAAAGATTCATATTTTTTAACTAATTTAGAAATTTTAATGGCATCAAAATTTCAAATAAAATATCCAAATAAAACTAAATGGTCAAATGATGGTGAATTTTCTTCTAAATTTGTTACTTGTGTTATTTCTGGTGGATTACGAGGTGAAATTGAACCAAGATCATATCAAGTTTCTACATCTGGTGAAGCTTTAGTTAAAGCTGATCTAATATCTGGTTGTACTCAACCATCACAAATTTATATTAATAAAAGTAATGACACAAGATATGTACCTGATATAAAATACTCAAAAATAAATGAATATGGATTAGAAGTTAAATATGATGCAAAACCTTCATTTCCAGTTGAATTTTTATTAGTTTCATTATCAGATTCATTTCCATTACAACCAAACCCAATGTTTACAAAACATTATCCAATTGAAAATAGAGAATTATTTGAAGAATTACAAAATATGAAAAGTTTACATACATTTATACAAGATGATAACTTATTCAATTTTCATTTTTTAATACATTTAAGTAAATTAAACATTCTTAATGAAGATGAATTTACATTACTTACTAATTATATAACCACAAAAACACAAGACGATTATCATAAATTAGTTCAATCCAATGGATGGATGACATTACTTACCATAATTGAACAAAGTATATAATAAGTAAATGTATCGTATATAGTAAATGTATCGTATATAGTAAATGTATATAACTATATGTATACGTATGTTCCAGAACATTCATCTTGCCCAAGTGCACGACTGCCATAGTAAATTTTTTTTTTGTATATAATTCATAGAATTTTTCAGCAATAATTTTGTATAAAACGTTGTCTTTTTTATAATAGAATTAGTGATAGAATGTCAACTCCATTTGGTGTAGATTTAGGTAATAATAATACAGTAATTGCTTGTGCAAGAAATAGAGGTATTGATATTATAGTAAATGAAGTTTCAAATAGATCAACTCCTTCTTTGATCGGTTTTGGTCCAAGACAAAGATATATTGGTGAAACTGGTAAAAATCAACAAACTTCAAATATCAAAAATACTGTTGAAAATTTAAAAAGAATTGTTGGTTTACCTCATAATCATCCAGATTTTAAAATTGAAGAAAAATATTTTACTGTTCCTTTACATCCAGATGGTCATGGTGGTATTTCAGCAGAAGTTAAATATTTAAATAAACTGCATAAATTTAATGCAACTCAATTATTGGCAATGTATTTAGATAAAATTAAAAATACTGCTTATACTGAAACAAAGGGTAATATTACTGATATTTGTTTATCTGTCCCTTCATGGTATACTGAAAAACAAAGAAGAGCAGCTGCTGATGCTTGTAAAATTGCAAATTTAAATCCAGTTAGAATTGTTAATGAATTAACTGCTGCTGCTGTTGGTTATGGAGTTTTTAAAGCAAATGATTTACCGGAAGATGAATTTAAAAAAGTTGCATTTGTTGATGTTGGTCATTCTTCTTATCAAGTTTCAATTGCTGCTGTTAAAAAAGGTGAATTAAAAATTTTAGGTTCATCATTTGATAAACATTTTGGTGGTAGAATTTTTGATTATGCTATAGCTGAACATTTTGCAAATGAATTTATTGGAAAATATAAAATTGATGTTAGAGAACAACCAAAAGCATTTTATAGAGTTTTAACAGCTTCTGAAAAATTAAAAAAAGTTTTAAGTGCAAATACTCAAGCTCCATTTAATATTGAAAGTGTAATGAATGATGTTGATGTTTCAAGTTCATTAACAAGAGATGAATTGGAAGAAATGGTTAAACCATTATTGGAAAAAATTCATATTCCAATTGAAACTGCATTAAAAGAAGCAAATTTAAAAGCTGAAGATTTAGATTCAATTGAAGTTATTGGTGGATCTTCAAGAATTCCAATTGTAAAGGAAAAAATTTCTGAAATTTTTGGAAAACCATTATCATTTACTTTAAATCAAGATGAAGCAATTGCTAAAGGTAATGCATATATTTGTGCTTGTCATTCTCCAACTGTTAGAGTTAGACCATTTAAATTTGAAGATTATAATCAATATACCGTTTCATATTTTTGGGATAAAGAAGATAATGAAGATGAAGATCATTTAGAAGTATTTTCAAAAGGTGGTTTATTTCCAAGTACAAAAATTATTACATTATTTAGAAAAGGACCATCATTTGAAATTGAAGCAAAATATACAAAATCACATGAATTACCAAAGGGAACAGAACATAATATTGCAAAATGGAAAATTTCAGGTGTTGTTCCATCACAAGGTGAATCATCAATTGCAACAAAAATTAAATTAAGAAATGATCCAAGTGGATTTTATACAATTGAATCAGCATATACAGTTGAAGAACAAATTGTTAAAGAATTAGTTGAACCTAAAGAAGGTGAAGAAGTAGATGAAGATGCAGAACCAGAATACAAAGAAGTTAAAAAATTGGTTAAAAAATCTGATTTATCTATAGAAGCAGTAACTGCTGGTCTTTCAGATAAAATTTTACAAAAATTTATTGAAGAAGAAGGTAAAATGGTTAGTGAAGATAAATTAGTTGCAATTACAGAAGAAAAGAAAAATCAATTAGAAGAATATATTTATGAATTAAGAGGTAAATTAGATGATCAATATAAAGATTTTGCAAATGAACAAGAAAAGGAAAAATTATCATCAATGTTGATGAAAACTGAAGATTGGTTATATGATGAAGGTGAAGATTCAACAAAGGCAAAATACATTGCAAAATATGAAGAATTGGCTTCATTGGGTAATTTAATTAAAGGTAGATATTTACAAAAAGAACAAGAAAAGAAGGAACAATATAGACAAAAACAAGAACAAGCTCAATCAAAAGCAATGGCTGAAAAAATGGCTGCTCAAAGAGAAGCTAATAAAAACAAAGAACAAACTAAAGAACAATCTAAACAAGATGAAGATGTCGAAATGGAAAACTAGTAAGGATGTGAAATAAATCAATTATTTGTATATATTTGTAATTCATAATAAACGTTTTTTATATAATAACTATACGCTCCAGTAAGGATGTAGAGTTTTTGCTACAAAATAAACAGATGGCGATACCGTTTAGAAACAATCAGAAAATGGTTCCATATCTGTATCTACATCTATATCTATAGTTTGTTGTATACTTATAAACTATTGATAGTTTATGGCATCCTTACGGTTATTTTGTTTCACATTCTTCATTTATCGGTTGAAAAAAAATTATATATACATATATATATCAACCAATTTAATAATTACTTGCAACCAAATTATTTTTCACAATTTTATGCCAAATACTAAATCAAAGCTTTCTATAGCTATACAGCAAGCAGAACACAATAACCACCAAAATAATAATGATATTGATCGAAAATTATCAACAGATTCAACTAATTCAAATAGTTCATCCAATTTTATAGATAATTTCAAACCATCACCACAGTTATTACCAAATTTAATTCAACATAGTGTTCCTTATGTAAGTACTACACCTTCATCTTCCAAACCATTCAAACCTGAGTTATCCCCTTTAAAAACAGATTTTGAAGAAGACGAGGAAAAAGAAGCGCAAGATAAACAAGAAGATATTAGTTCTGAGTCAGATTCTGATCTTAATCCAGCTGATGAAGAAGATCTTAAAGATTATGTTCCTGGTGGGTATCATCCTTGTTATATTGGAGAAGAGTATAAGAATGGTAAATATACATTAGTTCGTAAACTTGGATGGGGACATTTTTCAACTGTTTGGTTAGCAAAAAATAATGATAATCATTGTCATGTTGCTATAAAAGTAGTTAGATCAGCTAAACATTATACAGAAACAGCAATTGATGAAATTAAATTATTAGATATGGTGACTACTTCAGATATACATCATCCAGGTCATCAACATGTAATTCAATTATTAGATACTTTTACACATAAAGGTCCTAATGGAGTTCATGTAGTCATGGTATTTGAAGTCCTTGGTGAGAATCTATTAGGCTTAATTAGGAAATATAAACATCGAGGAATTCCAATTGTATTTGTTAAACAAATTGCAAAACAATTATTATCTGCTTTGGATTTTTTACATAGAAAATGTGGAGTTATACATACTGATTTAAAACCAGAAAATATTTTAATTGAAATTGGAGATGTTGAAACTATTGTTAAATTAGTAGAACAAGAAAATAAAGCAAAACAATTAAAGAAAAAGAAAATAAAGGCAACTCCATCATCATCTTATTCAACTCAAAATTCTGCGAATCCAAGTTTAGGCCGATCTGGAAGAAGATCTAGAAGAACTACTTTAATTACTGGATCACAACCATTACCTTCTCCATTAAGAACTTTTAATAAATCATTTACAAATGTACATGGTCTTGCAAATACTGTTTCAAATACTCCAATGATAATAAATACAACCACAGAAACAAACAATAAAGATGAAGATATAAATAATTCATTTTCTTCAATGTCTATAACTAATTCACATTCAAATTCAAATTCATATCAAACAAAAATAGATCCTGTAAAAATACCGAATCAAGACATATTAAATGAAAGTTCCAAAGTTGATGTTATAATAAATGAAGATGAATTAATCTCAGTCAAGATTGCAGATTTAGGGAATGCATGTTGGTGTAATCATCATTTCACAGATGAAATACAAACAAGACAATACAGAAGTCCTGAAATTTTATTAGGTTATCATTGGGGATGTTCCAGTGACTTATGGTCCTTTAGTTGTCTCATTTTTGAATTACTCACTGGAGATTATTTATTTGATCCAAGAGATGGGAAAACTTATAATAAAGATGATGATCACATTGCTCAAATTATTGAATTAATTGGTCAATTTCCAAGATCAATGTTAAAGGAGTCTTATCACACTCGAGACTTTTTCAACTCTAGAAATGAATTAAGAAGGATTATGAAATTAAAACCATGGGGTTTAAAAGATGTACTCCATGAAAAATATAAATTTTCAATTTCGGATTCTATTGAAATTGCTGATTTTTTGTTACCTATGTTGAATTTACAACCTGAAGAAAGAGCTGATGCTGGTGGGATGTTAAATCATCCTTGGTTGAGAGATGCTTTGGGGTTGGAAAATGTTGTTTTGGAAAGACCTGTTGGTGGGAGTGGTGAAGATATACCTGGTTGGTCTAGGGAATTGAATCTGAAGAATTATTTTGGAACAATGTAAGCAGTAAGGATCCCAGTAAGGATGCCAAAAATGGTAAGGCTGACAATACAGTATACACAATGATGTCTAAATAAAAAGAGGTATTTATAGAAGTAATAAATAAAGGTAAGGATGCAACAAAACAGTACAGTTTTCTTCTAATAATGTAATCTCAATTTTTCAACACACTTGGTAGCGAAACTCACGCCAACCCAATTTTCAACCCGATCGACAAAATCCAAATTTCAACAATCAATCAACCATTAGTTATCCAATGTTACAAATTGAACAAAATAATTTATTAATTGAAAGTACATTAACAGAAAGAATTTTTTCAAATACATTTAAATCATTAGATAGAATAGTCTCAGATTTTGATTTCACAACGTACCATTTATCATCAATTGAAAATAAGACAAAAATATTAATATCAATAAATTTAAAATGTTGGAATGATTTAGCTCAATACGGAGTCACTCAAATCCTCTCAGAAAAATATCAACCATTTTCATCAGTATTATCAACAACAGACGCAGAACAAGGCTATAATTACTCATTCATTTTAGATTTGGAAAGTGCATTTGATCAAGATCAAGATTTCAAGTTATCACTCATTAATGAATTGTCCCTCTTGAAGAGAAATTCAATGGCTGCTCCTTTCTGCGCTGCTTTTTCAAGATATGATGAGTTGTTTAAAAAATATGCAAATGTCAATACATATTCAGAAGAAGTTCAAATGGAACTCCAAAATGAAAAAGTAATAATTATAAAATACAGAGGTCTAAACGAGTCAATCTATCTCAAACCATCATTCGATCGTGTTACTATAATTTTTTCCACCATGTTTCAAGATGAGACAGATAAGATCTTTGGAAAAGTCTTTTTACAGGAGTTTGTCGACGCAAGGAAAAGATCAGTTCAAACTGCTCCCCAGGTATTATACAACACTGAAGCACCATTAGATATAGCTAACGATGTTAAGAAAGGTGAACATTTCGTCACATTTGTGCTTTTTCCTCGTCATTTAACAATTGGTGATAAACGTGAAAATTGTATTTCTCATATTCAATTATTTAGATCTTATTTCCATTATCATATTAAATGTTCCAAGGCTTATATGCATTCAAGAATGAGATTTAGAGTTAAAGAATTTTTGAAGATTTTAAATAGAGCTAAACCTGAGAATTTAGATGATGATGGGAAGGTTATTGAGACTAGGAAGACTGCTAGTGGTAGAACTTTTGTTAAGTAAGGGTGCCGTCAGGATTCTCGTCAGGATTCAAGTCAGGATTCAAGTCAGGATGCAATTTAGGGTTGTTTGTTGTTAATTTTGTTTTGTTGCAATTGTAAAGAATTTAAAAGTAATTGAAACTAGAGAAACTCCAAGCGGAAGAATATTTGTAAAATAGGAAAAATATATACATGTCTATCATTAAGTGTTTCTAGTGTTTTTGCATTCTTGCATGTGTAGAGAATGATGGGAAAGGAATCGAAAATAGAAAAACAACAATTTCCAAGGTACAAACGTATTTCTATCAATATATACATGTAGTCTATTATTCAGCATACTTACCGTGTATTTGCATCCTTACAGTGTTTTTGCATCCCTAGAGTTTAGGTTTCTTAACCCCATATAAACTTCTCCTAGTAGTTCTACCTTGAACACCAACCAAATCATTAGAACCCCTAACTAAATGATATTTAACACCAGGTAAATCTTGAACTCTACCACCTCTAACTAAAACAACATGATGTTCTTGTAAATTATGTCCCTCACCGGGAATTAAAGCACTTACAACTTTACCATTAGTTAATCTAACTCTACAACATTTTCTTTGTGCCGAATTTGGTTTTTTTGGTTTTACAATCATGACTTTAAGGATTACTCCCTTTTTGAATGGATTATTCTGTAAATCGGGTGATTTAGTTGGTCTTTTCTTTATTGGATCAAAATGTTTATTAAATTGAATTTGATTAATTGTGGAATATCTAAATTGAGAAAAACTAGAACGTATTAAATTGTTATTTATGATTGATTGCAAATACGGTGTTATTATTGGCTTTGCTATCAGCCTGCTCATATTAAATATTGATTTAAACATGTTGAATTGGCCCTGGTTGGTTTTGATTTGGTTTTGAAAAAATTTTTTGACCAGTAAAAAAAAAATCAATTCGAAACCAAAGACGATTGAAAATAATAATGTTTAGAAATACTATAAAATCATTTACTTCAAATATCATAAGACCTTCTTTGATAACTAGACAATTACCATTGAGAACGGTACAAAGATGTTCTGGTCCTGTTTTTGTTAGATCATATGCTGGTTTCCCTTCATTAACTAGAGATCTTGCAAAAGAAAGAATTATAGAATTATTAGAAGGTTATGATAAAGTATCTACAAAAAATGGTATAACTGAAGATTCTTCATTCATTAATGATTTAGGTTTAGATTCTTTGGATGTTGTTGAAGTTGTAATGGAATTAGAACATGAATTTAATATACAAATTCCAGATAATGAAGCAGATGGATTAAAAACTGTTGGTCAAACAATTGATTATATATTAAGTCAACCTGATGCTTGTTAATAAGGAAGTAAGGATGCAACAAACACCATTGTAGATAACTAGTTAAATACATATCACGTTTCTAATCACGTGCCTTGTTTTTTTCTATTTCTCTTCCAATGAAAAATCAAATAAAAAATTAATCAAGAGTAATCAATAATCATGGTTTCTTACGTTAAAGGTCCAACTTATAAAGTTTTATCACATTTTGGTAAATTAAATCCAGAATTAATTAGATCTTATATTCCTAATTTGACATTATGGGGTGGTGCTGCCCTCGGAGCTGCTGCTACATTTACTGAAGGTTGGCCGTTATTTCAAAAAACTTTTTATCAGAAAATTCCAATTTTTGGTCAACATTGGATTAAAGATGTTGATCCTGAAGATGTTCCTGTATAGTCAGGATGCTGTCAGGATGTAAAGATACTGTAAGGATGCAAATAGTTAAAATTGATTAAAATATCATATATTATTGAATTTACGAAATATATAATTGTATTTAAATATTCAATTGAGGGTTACTTTGAGCTCTCTTGCTTCCAAAAAGATGCAAATTCATATAAGGATTTTATATGTCAAATTGCATGTAAGGATGCAACCAAGCAAAATCGTATTACTTTCGAATCCACGAAAATACATGTAGTTGCACTTAGACGAGATCAATTATACCATTTTGAGTTATTCATCTCTCTAGATTGTCAATAATATATAAGGATACAAATTATATGTTTACTATAGACTATGGAATGTATATAATCGTGAAATTTGAAATCAATCAGATCTTGAATTGATAAATTGAACTTCCAAATAATAACAGGGAGGGATGCAAAAAGAATCACTAATGCCATTTACTAGATCATGAAGTATATATAATCATGTCATTTCATTTTTCAAGTATTCAGTATCGATTGATTGTTGAATTTCAAATATTAATTCTATAACTTAATGTAAGGATGCAGCAATATCATTTATAATGCCTCAATATCATCATATCAGATCACGGAATATATATAACTGTATCATTTTCCACTTTCAAATATTCAGTATCAATCAATTGTTGGATCAGTAATTTTAATTCCTTAACATCAACAGGTCTCTTCTCTTGTAAATATTCAATAGATGAATTCAACAACTCAACCATATGTAATTCTTTAGATTGTTTCATAATCTTTACAATAGAAGCTTTATATTCTTCAGATCGATTAATTTCAATTAATTTTCTAGTCTTATCCTCAACTACTCTGGATTCTTTAATTCGGGGGAGTTTAATCTTGTTTGATCGATCAGTAAACTTTTCATTAAATACATAAACACCACGATTCTTGGTAATGATCGGATATTTCTCAAATGAATGTAGGATGTCAATTAATAATTTCTCATCTATTGATAACTCCTCTTTCAATTCCTCAAATGTATAACTTTCCTTCTCATTGAATAATACAATAATAGCAGCTTGTAATAAATTACAATTAATCTCTATCTTGCCACTATTGAAATTTCCATCAATTACAACTTGATGTAATTTATAATTATTCCAATCTAAAATTTGATTATTATGTCTTTCACTAATACTCTGATAATATTGATTAAAGTTGGTTAAAAGATCTTTGAATGGTGGTGGTAGGAGAATATCAGTTTTTGATTTTGCTATATCTGGCCAATACCTACTATCCAAAACCAATGAATTAAAATCAATGTCTAAATCATTTACAAATGTCATTTCTTTACTCTTTTTAATGTCCTGGAACATTATCTGTAAACTTATAGTCAATTCAGTCTCACCAGTCAATAATATAAACAGATTAGCTAATTCTTCCTCTTCCTTTAAATTCAAATTTTTATTCATTAGTAATCGTTTAAACAAATCCTTTTTGTATGCAATAAAGAAATCATTCTTATTATTAATAGCTTTGAATATCTGCAATACTTTATTTTTAAATGTTTGAAAATCATCTTGAGTTTTATTCTTGAAATATAGTTCACAATACTTACACAATTGTAAAATTATAGATACGTTATATTCCGTATCTTTATTTATGATTTTACTTAATCCATTGCGGATCTCAAATTCAAAACTATCATTATCTTTAAAATAAGTATCACTAATTGTTTTAAATGATTGATATTGACTAACTAATTCAGATATAACATCATTTGTCTCATCAATTATCAAATGAAATACATATTGTACATGCATTCCCCATTGATAAACCAACGTTGAGATACTATCATACCCGAAATCATCATCAGTATGACTACAATACTCATATAAGATCTTTAAATATTTTGGAGTTGTTAATAGTTCACCAATGTTGTACTGTAAATACTCATTGAAATTTGAAAAAATTAATAACCAACGTAATTTAAGAAAGAGTTCATTTATGAATGAACCATCCTTACCTACGAATTTCCAAAAATCAATCTCTTTATAAATTGCATTTATTGTGAATTGGATAGTATATTCATCGTCTCGGAGTTCTTCATAATGTTTCGTTGTATCTTCTAATAATCTATTATGAAATTCAAATTTATCATCGACCTGATTTAACCTCACGAGTAACTTTGTGAAATTTCGACATAGATCACCTTGATACCCATTTTGTCTATACTCTAGCATCAATTCAGATTGTTGATCTAGTAATTTAGTACATGATTCTGTTCCATCAGTGAGTAGATCATCTATTATTAAACTCATCGCATATTCCAATATTGTCTTTTTGATGGGGTGAGGGTATAAATAGTTCCGATCTAGGTAGATGAACACCTGACTCAATTTAGTTAATTTAGCATACCATTCTTCAAACCCATTAAGAAATGACTCTATATTGTTGGTAGGTAAATTTATTGAGTTGTATGATTGTTCAATTTTATCATACATTATATCTACCAATTTTGATTGTTCAATATGTTTAAATTTACATAATCTTTCAAGTAAGATGTATAGTTGACTATAGGAATGTGGTAATGGTTGACCTGATAGTATGGAGTCAATTGTACTTTCTAATATTAATTTATCTTGTTTTACTTGATTTAATATTGTTTCATTAATTATGGTTTGTTCATTATTCAATTTTATTCTTTTCTTGGTTGATGTTGATAAATGTGAACTACTTCTTGTTGTTTCTAAACTCGTAGTTGATCCAAAGTCCAATATTTTACTAATTGGTGTAGTACTTGTCATTTAATATACCAGGATGCAAAAGAATCAAAAATGGCCCTGGTTATTTTTTTTGGATAACGAAAAATTATTTCATTCATCAATACATAGTATAACAAAACAACTGCATCCATCCTTACTTATCAACATGTCTACAGATCCCAAGGAACTAATATCAATCTATAAAAAGAATGGTAATTTCGACAAGACAAGGAAAACCCTCGTCGACAACTTCAAAAAATCACAAACATCATCAAATTTACAACTAAAACTTAAAGTAATGATTGAACAAAAAATCAAAAATGATCCAAATATACTCTTAAAAAATAAAGGAAAAATGGCTGCTTTAATCCAGGGAGAAATATTGAACTCAAAAGACAATTCAATTTTAAATATCGTTGACAAAGATATACAGGATAAAATTATTGATTCCGATGATTTTCATAAAATGATTAGAGATGATATATACGATATAAAGAGAAAGATTCTTGGTATTTCCGATGAAGAATTTGAGAAAATCAAAGCTGAAGAACGTGAAAAACTTGAGAAGGAGAAAGCTAGAAGACAGACTAGTTATAAGAATAATTTTAAGGTTAAAAGTTTAGTTAATAATGGGACTAGTCATCTTGTTCATCGGGTTAATAAACCACCTAAATTTAATATTAAGGATAAGAAAGAAGAACCAAAGAAAGAGGAGAAGAAGAAGATTCCATTTATGATGTATTAATGAGATTATGTAAATGATAAATTGTAGAGGTGAGAGAAAAGGAGAAGGAGAAATTAAAGAAGGTTAATTCAATACGGCCAAGGTATTATAGTGGTTTCAAGATTAAGAATTCAAATTTTCATTCTCATAAACTGAATTTTGAGATACCAAGTAAATTCAATCTGTTACAGAGAGAAGAAGAAGAAGATTTTATTCTTATTGTGTTGAATTATGATTTGTTGGAGATTATAAAAAGAGCATTTAAGAGGTTGGATGGGTTCAATTTAGAAAAATAAAGTTATTCAGATATTTTCGGAAGTAAGAATCTAAATTGTCATTTCCATTATTTCAAAATTTTGAGCATTAGCCAACAACGACAACCTTAAATTCCTTCAATCATCAAAAACCAAATAAAAAGTAGATAAAAAAGTTAATGATTAATGAATAAATAAATAATATATATTTATTAATCTAATCTCGTAATGTCTCTATACATTTTAATTACATCATCATTACATCCTTACAGCATCCTTACTCATCATCAGTTTCAAAAATATCATTAGCAATACTCATCAACTCCTCAACCACCTTCGTCTTATAACTTAAATCTTGAGCACTACTTGAATTATCATTAAACAAAACAGGACCCCAAATAATAGCCAAAGATTTTTGATTCATTCTGTTTCGACTCTCATTGGCTGCAACTTTGTTCAAATGGAATATGATTGCTCTTAATGTAAAATAAGCACCATCGGGCAAACTAAATACCAAATGGTGTAATTTTTTAGCTATGAAATGTTCATCATTTGATTTCACCGTGTCTATAAAACTCAAAGATGCATCTTTAGTCACGAGTGGTTCTGGAAGACTACTAAAATATAACTTGAGCAAACTTGCTATACAGAATATTTCCGAATCGTACACGTTTGAACTATCTATGTCTTTACCGATGTTGAGGTAGTTTGTGAAATTCTCATCGATTGAATCTCGTAATTTACTTACTTGGTTGACGTTGGATGATGTTCGATATATTCCAACGAGGTTAATTCCATAAGTTTCTATTATTTCAATGCATCTTCTCACTACTAATGGAACATTTTCAATACCTGCAAATTGTATGACTTTTTCAATTGAGATTCCAAATGTTGGTTGTGCAACTTTTAATGATTTTGGACCATTTAATTGTGGTGTTGAAGGTGTTGAAGTGCCTGGATCCAATGATGAATATGAAACAGGTGGTGATTTTGATTTTTCTGTAGTTTCGATGGCGGTTGTTGTTGTTATTGGTGGTGGTGGTGGTAGTTCTGTTTTTGCACTAGCTGGATCTTTATTCATTGCTGCCTTGACGTTGTTTGCTGGTTTGTTTATAAAAAATGGTTTTCCAATATCTTTAGCTTTGATTAATGATGGATGAACATTATAATCTATAGTCACTAAACTTTTATTCTTTTCATTTGATTTATGCTTTATAATGTATTCATATAGATCCTTCTCATTATTTATTGAATTAGCCATAAATTTCATACTTGGTTTAGTATTAGATAATGGACTAATTAAAATACCTGAATTTAAAATCAATGTCTCGTTATAAGTTGCATATTTCTGAAGTTGAACATTCAATGCGATGTCCATTTCTAAAATCAAGTTTTTTAACTTTTTGGTGTTGTTAGGACGATGGAGTATTAATAATTCATCTTTTAATTTCTTGCAAATGTTTACTTTTGATTTATATTCTTGATCTGCTATATCTACCTTCTTGACCAATTCATCCTCTTGTTGTTCCAATGATTTATTTTTCAAACTAAACAGTTTTTTATTTGGATCGGAAGTTTTAATTCTCTCAAGATCTTCACATAAATGATTATATCGAATTTTTGCTTTTTCTGCTGAGCTAATACTATCTGAACATTCTTTCTCTTTCTTTCTATGTTCGTCTTTAATCAATTTTCGTTGTTTTGAAATTGTGGAAATTAGACTGTTTAACTCATCATACATTTGATTCAAAGCAGTAACATAACTATTCCCAACATTGAACAAATTTTCATCAAAGCTTATAATTGAATCTAATTGGAATTGTAATGAATCATTCTTAAGATTCCTTATATTGGACTTTAATTGTGATCTTTGATTATTTGCAAATTTTTTAAGTTGACAGTAATGTTCATCTTCGATTTGAGCCTTCTTTTTGATAAATTTATTAAATTCTTCACTTGTAGTTAATGACTGTTTCAATCTCGTTAAAAGTAATTCTAATGCTGAATCTGAATTTAAAATTTGACTAATTTGATCTGATTCAAGTAAAGATTTAAATTTATTAGCTTGTGGAACCGATGATGTTGTTTCTGATTCAGTTAAAGTTACTGTTGTGTTGTTATTTGAGTTTGTTGTTGTTATAGTTGGAATTGATGAGTTACTATTTGTTGACTCATTCAACGGTTTTGAAGTTGTATCTGTTGTTGACATGGTACGTTGAATCAAAAGGTACGGTCGAAAATAAAAATAAAAAAAAAAAAAAAAAATAAAAAAAAAAAAAAAATTACGTAGATTAAACCTTGGTCGTGTTTGAACCACTTTCACTTTCTTGTTTCTTGTCGTGTCGTATTTGGATAGTTTGTGTCATTGATGGATTCTTAAACTTACCAAGGTGTGAATTGAATTAATTGGTAAGATTGTTCTTCAACATTGCAGTTAAATTGAATTGATTATTTGGTTGCATTTTTTGCTCGTCTAATTTTTAGTAACTTAAAAAATTTTCAACTTTTTGCAGCCATTTCAATGAAGGTATACGAGCGTTGTCCTACTCTGTAACATAGTGGATATTAATTGAAAAGGATCAAATCTACCTTATTTGAAAATTTAAATGATCTCAAAATGTATATTGTATTATTTTGTACAAAGATTATGAATTTATGGAATTAACAGAGATTGAAAAATCAAACTAAAGTATATAAAGAATACAAGGTATTAGTTTAATCTTCAATGTCATTTTGCCACTTAAGAATTCAATTCAAAGTATATTATCTCGATCAATTCTTATAATTGAATATCAAGGATGATTTTTAAAAAAGTAGCAGGTTTGTTAATATAGGATCCATTTAATTTACCTTTTGGTTTTCTTGCTGTTGATTTTATACGTATTATTCTCGGTAATGATAGTTTAACATTAAGATTAAGATATAAGTATGACAAGAAACCATATGAGCAGAGAGGTCTAGTTGTCAAAAATCCTTGGTTAAAAGACAATATTGAATAGAAGTAGCAAATAGATTATATGTACATTTTAATAAATAACATTTATTTAAAGATATTGTAACTCTGCAACATCAATGGCTTAGTCTTGAGTGCTTATCGACTTGCACAATTACAAAACTATTGTTCATTTCGACTTGGTATAGTTTGAAGTGCACGGAATTATCACCACATTTATTGAATAATATATCCGTGTGGAGTTTTAGGTTTTGGCCCGAAATTTTAAATTTTCTCGGTTAAATCAAAATTATTTTACAACGGTTTTATAACTGATTTACCACGAGGTTTATAACCAAAACTGATTGGGGAGTCAATACAACACTGGATCAATACATAGAAGTATATCAATTGAGGCTAATTATAAGGTTAAAGTTTCTTATTGACTAAATTTTTGACCAATGTGTAAGTGATACGCGATCTTAGTCAAATTTAAAGAATTATAATATTTCACCCCCCGCAAAACTATAAAATTATATAAATAGAGACAATTCCTACGTTGATATCGCTTCATCAATAGTTTATCATGTTACCTCAATCACAATTAGGTTTCGGCTATCAATTAAACCATAAAAAAATTCAAAGATTTGAAAATTTACCAATCCCAACTCCCAAATCAAATGAAGTATTATTAAAAGTTGAAGCATGTGGTTTATGTTTATCTGATCCTCATTTATTACAAGCAGGTCCAATGCCAACCCCAAACCCGTTAGATAAATTTGTAATGGGACATGAAATAGCAGGGTCAATAGCTCAAGTTGGTGAAAATTTTAAAAATCATCCACTCTATAAAATTGGTGGTAGATTTGCATTAACTATCGCAATTGCATGTGGTAATTGTTATAATTGTAGAACTGGAAATGATGGTCAATGTACTACTTCAATTCAAGCTTATGGTTTGAATGAAGATGGAGGATATCAACAATATTTATTAATTAGAAATTTAAGAACCCTTTTACCTATTCCTGAAAATGTAAGTTATGAAGTTGCTGCAGTTACTACTGATTCAGTATTGACTCCATTTCATGCCATACAAAAAGTGAAAAATTATATACAACCAACTACTAATGTTTTAGTTATTGGTTGTGGTGGATTAGGATTAAATGGAGTTCAAATATTGAAAAATTATGGTTGTTATATAGTTGCTACTGATATGAAAGAACAAGTTAGACAAACTGCATTAGAATATGGAGCTAATGAATTTTATACTGATTTATCTGAATCGGAGTATGAACCACAACATTTTGATATTATTTTTGATTTTGTTGGATTACAAAAAACTTTAGATTTAAGTAATTATTTCGTTAAGAAAGGAGGTAAGATTGTAATGGTTGGTTTAGGGAATTCTAAATTATTAATTCCAAATTTCTTATTTGCAGTTAGAGAAATTGAAATTATATTTAATTTTGGTGGTAATTCGAGTGAACAAATTGAGTGTATGAAATGGGTATCAAAAGGTTTAATTAAGCCAAATGTTAACTTAGTTGATTTTGAAAAGGTTCCAGAGATGTTGGATGCTTTAAAGAGTGGCAAATTAGTTGGTAGAACAGTATTTAGACCAAATAAATTATAAACACCCTCGAACTCGTCCAATCTCTTGGGCTTAATTAGGCTGATAGATTTACATTAGGATCGCTTGAAACGCGCCATAGTTTGTGGCCGATGGCGGTCGCCGCATATTCAATTTCTTTATTCCACATTTCGCAAAAGATCAATTTTTTTTCACCAACTAACAAATACCCTACGAACAACGAAATATTGAATTGACAAATTTAGTTTAATATGGCTAAGAAGACTTCTGGAGAAAATTCTAAAAAGGCTCAAGGAAATGCACGTAAAGCAGAACAAGCAAATAAGAAAAAACAAGAACAACTCGACAAATTAGAACAAGAAGAAGCTGCTCAATGGGATCAAGGTTCAAAGAAAGGAAATAAAAAAAAGGAAGATGAACAATTTAAAAAAGAAGAAGCAGCAAGAAAGAAAGCTGAAAGAGATGCTTTATTAGCTGCTGAAGAAGCAAGTTTACCTTCAAAAGCAACAAAACTGAAAAATAGAGGTAGTGAAAAAATAGCAGCTAAAAGAACAGGTAAAATTGATGATTTCTTAGATTTCAACAAGGATATTCCTGAATTATCAGCCAGTGGATTAGATAATGCTTTAGAAGCATTATCTTTAACTTCTCAAGGTGGTGGTGTTGAAAATAAAGATTTAGATAAACATCCAGAAAGAAGAGTCAAAGCTGCATTTAAAGCATTTGAAGATAGAAGATTACCAGAAGTAAGAAAAGAAAATCCAGGATTGAGATTAAATCAAATTAAGAATCTTTTATTTAAAGAATTTCAAAAACTGCCAGAAAATCCAATGAATCAAGAAACAAATATTAGTTATAAGGCAACAAAAGAAGATATATTGAATAAGAAGAAAGAAGTTAGAGAATCCAGAGAAAGTAAATTCAACTAATTTGTATATATATAGTAATGTAAATCTTAAGGAGTAATTCAGTGCTCTGTATAAGAAGCCCCCTAATTTATTTTTCACTACAAAAAGAAGCAGCAAAAAAAATCAATCAACAAATAAACAACAACAAACAACCAACCAACAACCAAATAACTGGATTATTATAGAATTCATAGTTTGTTATGAGTAGTAGTAGTAGTAGATTGGACAGATTAATTGTTTTATTAGATGGTGGTACGCCATTTATAAGAAATACTGCTGCTGATCAATTATCTGATTTAGCTAAAGCTCATCCTGAAGATAGTTTAAATTTATTAGGTAAAGTTTATTCATATTTAAGATCAAATAAATGGGAAACTAGAATATCATCAGCAAGAGCAATAGGTGGTATTGTAAATCATTCACCAATTTATGATCCAAATGAAGGAGACGAAGAAACAACTATGAAACAAGAAGCACCTGCAGTCAAACAAGAAGAAATACCGGAAATAAAACAAGAAGAGACCGAAATTAAAATAAAACAAGAACATGAAGAACCATTTATAAAAGATGAAGAAATTGATGTTGATATTAAAAAAGAGCCCGAGGCAGAAGAATATTTAAAAGAAAGTCTACTAAAATTTGATTTGATTGATTTATTTGAATTATTAAAAAGTAGTACTAAATTAGTTGCAAAAGCTGAAGAAATTATAGATTCTGAAACTAATGAATCGCCAGCACCTATTAAACAAGAACAAGATTTACCAACACCACCACCGTTAAAGAAAGAAAATTCAAGTGCAAGATTAAGAGCTCTAGAAAAGAGAAGATTGAAAAAACTCAAAAATCAACCACAAACTATAGATATCAAAAACTCTCTAATCAAAACTGATCAAATGGATATAGATCAAAAACCAAATTATGACATTACATCCCAACAAGGTGGTGAAAAATTAGTTTTAGAAACTAAATTACCCGAAATAATTTCACAAAATGATGATTCAATATGGCAATTTCAAAATTTATATAAAGTTCTACTAAAGGGAATGTTTGATCCACAATGGGAACAAAGACATGGTAGTTTATTAGGATTAAGAGAAATTATTCGAAAACATGGTAAAAGTGCAGGTAGAACTCTGGATAAATCAAGAATTGAAAATGAATTAATTAATGCTGCTACTTTAGAAGATTTGGCTGTTAAATTATGTATATTATTTTGTCTTGATAGATTTGGTGATTATGTTTCAGATACTGTTGTTGCACCAGTTAGAGAATCTGGTGCTCAAACATTAGCTGCATTATTATTACATTTAAATGATGAAACGGTTGTTAAAACATTTGATTGTTTATACAATTTAGTATTACAAAAAGATTTAAAAGTTAAATGTTGGGAAGCTAAACATGGTGGTATGTTGGGAGTTCGATATTTAGTAAGTGTGAGAACTGATATACTATTAAAGAATCAAGAAATGTTTGATAAAGTTGTCAATATGGTTTTACATGGATTAAGAGAATCAGATGATGATGTTCAATCAGTAGCTGCATTAACTTTATTACCAATTGCTAATGAATTTGTAAATACTCGAAATTCAGTCATACAGACATTATTATCGGTAATATGGGATTGTTTAATTAATTTAAGAGATGATTTATCAGCTTCAATTGGTTCAGTAATGGATTTATTAGCAAAATTATGCTCTCATAAACAAGTTATTCAAGTAATGCAACAAAATCCAGAATTGAACTCATTTGAAAAATTAGTACCTAGATTATATCCATTTTTAAGACATTCAATTACAAATGTTAGAAAAGCAGTACTACGTACTTTATTAGAATTTTTATCAATTGATGATCCAAGTACAAAGAATTGGATTGATTCAAAAGCATTAAGATTAATTTATCAAAATTTATTAGTTGAACAAAATAATGAAGTATTACAATTGAGTTCACAAGTTTATGAGAAAATTTTAAATGAACTTGACAAATCTAAAATAAATGATGTTTTTATAGCTCAATCTAAAGCATTATTAACTTTAACTATGACTCCAATTGGTATTGCAAGACATAATTATAAAATGAATACCACTTATATAATTAGACCATCTGGTCAATCTATGGGTTCATTAGATGATGAAGAACGTAAAAATAAGAAAAGAAAACAAGATGATGATTTAGATATTCCAATTGAAGATTTAAAAGTTAATATTGATGCTCCTATATACAGAGGTGATGTGGTGTTAATTGGTTATGATAAATTTATAGCAATGAAATGTGCTGCTACAAAAGCATTTGGTAGAACATTATCATATATTGAAGATGAAGAAATATTGAATGGTATATTTCATCAAATCTTAAATTATATAAATTCAGCTCATGCTACTTCAAAATTATTATCTTCAATCATAATTGAAGAATATGCAATGGCATTAAAAGAGAGAAATAAAACACCTAGAGACTCATTAATTGAATTATTATCAACCCCATTATTAAACACACTACAAGACCAAAATCTCCCATCATTTAGAGAATTAGTACCTACTCTCAAATCAGTCAGAACTTCATGTTTACAATTATTTGATGTTTTTGTAAATACTGCTAAATTATCACAATCTAAGATGCCTCAATTACCAGTAGTAGTTCAAGGAGAACTTGAAGCTGGTCCAGGTGCTTTCAGTATTGAAAATGCTGAAAAAATAGTTAATGAAACATTTATAAAATTACAAAAATCTTTATCTACAACGTATAAATTATCGGCAAATCAAGCATTAGAAGATGCAAGACATAGAATTGGAATAGCAATAGATGAATCGAACCTTGCTAAAACATCAAGATCAACAAGTATATTAGCAAGTTATTCAGCTGCAGTCTTAGCCTTATCTGGGGTACCTAAGAAATTAAATCCAATAATTAAATCATTAATGGAAAGTATTAAATCTGAAGAAACATTAATATTACAAAAAAGATCAGTATATTCAATTGCAAAATTGATTGAACAATTAAATACACTAAATAAAAAAGGAGCAGCTGATAAAATAATCAAGAATTTATGTGCATTTTTATGTGTTGATACTTCTGAAGTGCCTGAGTTCCATCATAATGTGATATATAAAGATAATATACTATCATTAAGAAAAGAAGAAGCTTCAACTGATGCTGCTGATATTGCAGCACATGAAAGAGCAGTACACGAAGCAAGAATAAAAAGACAAGGTGCATTGATGTCATTAGAAGAATTATTAGGAATATATGGACCTGAATTATTTAATCAATTACCAAAATTGAAAGAAATTATGATTGAACCATTAAAAGATTTATCAATAACTGAAATTTCAGATGATTTAAAAGGTCAAGCTATAATTGATGCTTTGGGTATTTTACGAGCATTATTACCAAAACTTGATAAATCATTATATCCAATAATAATAGACAATCTAAATTTATTTTTACCAGGTTTGAAATCCGAATATTCAGTATTTAGATATTCAACTGCAAAATGTTTAGCTACTATTTGTTCAGTAGTTCCAACTAAATCATTTATTTTCCTTGTTGATTCAGTTTTACCAATGTTGAAAAATGCAGGTAATGTAAAAGAAAGACAAGGTGCAATCGAAACGATTTACCATATTTCAGCAACAATGGGTTCTGATATTTTACCTTATGTTATGTTTTTAATCGTTCCTGTATTGGGTAGAATGAGTGATTCAGATCATGATGTTAGGGTATTAGCAACTACTACATTTGCATCAATTATAAAATTAGTTCCTTTAGAAGCTGGTATTCCCGATCCTGAAGATATGCCGAAAGAATTATTAGAAGGTAGAGATCGAGAACGTGATTTTATTCAACAAATGATGGATCCTTCAAAAATTAAACCATTTGATTTACCAGTTTCAATTAAAGCTACATTACGTAAATATCAACAAGAAGGTGTTAATTGGTTAGCATTTTTAAATAAATATCATTTACATGGTATATTATGTGATGATATGGGATTGGGAAAAACTTTACAAACTATATGTATTGTATCGAGTGATCATCATATAAGACAAGAAAATTACGAACTGACAAAAGCAATTGAATATAGAAGATTACCTTCATTAGTCATTTGTCCTCCATCTTTAACTGGTCACTGGGAACAAGAAATTAATCACTATGCTCCATTTATGACAGTTTTAGTATATGCTGGAAATCCAAGTATTAGAATTCCATTAAGATCACAAATTGATAAAGTTGATGTTGTTGTAACTTCATATGATGTATGTAGAAATGATGTTGAATATTTGAGTAGTCAAGATTATAATTATTGTGTTTTGGATGAAGGTCATATTATTAAAAATTCAACATCAAAATTATCAAAATCGGTGAAAAAAATAAGAGCGGAACATAGATTAATATTATCAGGAACTCCAATACAAAATAATGTTTTGGAATTATGGTCATTATTTGATTTCCTAATGCCGGGATTTTTAGGTACTGAAAAAGTCTTTCATGAAAAATTTGCAAAACCAATTGCAGCAAGTAGGAATTCAAAAACATCATCAAAAGAACAAGAAGCTGGTGCATTGGCATTAGAATCTTTACATAAACAAGTTTTACCATTTATGTTACGTAGATTAAAAGAAGATGTTTTATCAGATTTACCACCAAAGATTATTCAAGATTATTATTGTGAATTAAGTGATTTACAAAAAAAATTATATAAAGATTTTGCCAAAAATGAAAAAGATTCAATTAAAGAAAATGTAACAGAAAATAAATCACACGTATTTCAAGCATTACAATACATGAGAAAACTATGTAATCATCCAGCATTAATTTTAAATTCAAATCATCCAAAATATAATGAGATAGAGTTATTATTAAAGAAGAAAAATTCAACGATTAAATCAATTGAACATGCTCCTAAATTATTATCATTAAAGACATTATTACAAGAATGTGGTATTGGATCACAAGATAGTGAATACACAACCAAGAAATCAAAAAAACAAGTTCAAACTCAATTAGTGACTGAGAATGTTATATCTGAACATCGTGCTTTGATATTTTGTCAATTGAAAGATATGTTAGATATGGTTGAAAACGAATTACTTAAAAAACACTTACCTTCAGTTACATATATGCGATTAGATGGATCAACAGACCCTCGTGATCGTCAATCAATAGTTCGTAAATTCAACGAAGATCCCTCCATTGATGTATTATTATTAACCACTAAAGTAGGGGGTCTTGGTCTTAATTTAACCGGTGCAGATACGGTTATTTTTGTAGAACATGATTGGAATCCAATGAATGATTTACAAGCAATGGATAGAGCACATAGATTAGGTCAAAAAAAGGTTGTCAATGTATATAGATTAATTACAAAAGATACATTAGAAGAAAAAATTATGGGATTACAAAAATTCAAAATGAATATTGCTTCAACTATTGTAAATCAACAGAATGCAGGTTTACAATCAATGGATACAAATCAATTGTTGGATTTATTTGACGTTGGTGATGAGAATGGAAAACTAGCAGAGAGTAATGAAGGTGATAAAGAAAATGGATTTGAAGGTAATGGTGGTGCTAATGTTCCTGATGAATTGACTGGTGGATTAACTGGTAAAGCTGCTGGTGCTGTTGGTGAATTGGGTGAATTATGGGATGAAGCTCAATATGAAGATGAATATAATTTGGATAATTTTATAAAATCGTTAAAATAAGTATGCAACAACGTCAGGATGCGGTAAAGTCAGAATGCTGAAACACTGTAAGGATACAATGAACATTGTAAACAGTAAGCATCCTTACCAACATCCTTACCGTATAGTATGTAAATAGAATATTTGGGCGCAAAATATAAAACTATATTCGGTTTCATACCAATGTGGTAGCGCATGTTTCGCAGCATCTAAAAATTTGCTTTTTATTGCAACTTTCTTTAATACGAATTGTTAAATGGGAATACAGAAAAGTGAAGAAGAAAGGTTACTAATATTGGAAAAGGATGCAGAAATAGCATATCCATTCCTAGCGTCGGATGAACGATCATCAACTTTTAAACAAGGTTATCAATATGAGATAAAAGATGCCATACCCAAGGGTAATTCTAAATTAACTAAAGAAGATGTTAAACAAACTAAACCATGGGTTCATTTCGTAGCTGGTGGTATTGGAGGTACTGTAGGAGCAGTAGTGACATGTCCTTTAGATGTAGTAAAAACAAGATTACAATCAGATGTATATCATCAATTATATAATAAAACTATAAAATCATCAAATCCAATAATTCAAACATTTCAACATTTAACTGAAACTGGATCAGTATTACGTAATATGTATATTAACGAAGGTGCAAGATCACTATTTAAAGGTTTAGGACCAAATTTAGTTGGTGTTATACCTGCTAGATCAATAAATTTTTTCACTTATGGAGCTACTAAATCATGGCTAATGAATAATTTTGGAAAAAACAAAAAAGAAGAGACTTGGATGCATTTAGTTTCAGGTATAAATGCTGGCTTTGTGACTTCTACAGCAACTAATCCAATTTGGTTAATTAAAACTAGATTACAATTAGATAAATCATCAAATCAAAAATTTAAAAATTCATTTGATTGTTTTAAACATATAATAAAGAATGAGGGATTTACTTCTTTATATAAAGGTTTATCTGCAAGTTATCTAGGTGGTATTGAATCTACTATTCAATGGGTTTTATATGAACAAATGAGAATATTTATAAATAAACGATCATTACAAATACATGGAGAACATGGCATTAATAAAACTACTAAAGATCATATATTAGAATGGTCTGCTAGATCAGGAGCTGCAGGATTAGCTAAATTTATGGCATCATTAATTACTTATCCACATGAAGTTGTTCGTACAAGATTAAGACAAGCACCATTGGAATCAACTGGTAAACCAAAATACACGGGATTAATTCAATGCTTTAAATTGGTTTTTAAAGAGGAGGGTTTTGCTAGTATGTATGGTGGATTAACTCCTCATTTATTAAGAACTGTACCTAATTCAATTATAATGTTTGGTACTTGGGAATTGGTAGTTAGATTATTATCCAATTGAGTTATAATTGGCTTGTAAATAGATATTGTAGAATTAGAAATAACTCATGAAGAATGGTCAGGATGCAATCATGTAAGGATGTTAAAATGTAAGTATGCCAATAAACAGCACACTTATAACTTATATCTCATGAAGGATCGGATAGCTTAATCTTTTTTTGTTCTGGTTCTTCTGATTTCATTGATTTTGAGGTATTCTGAATCAATTTATAAAATTGAGGTGGTGAACCAGTTGGTAGTTTGATATTTAGTTGTTTAATTAATGGATCTGGTTCATATTTGACTCTCTCTTTCAATGGAATAGTCAAGTTCTTATAACCATTCGGCACTTTCCCTAGAGCATTTAATTCAGGATTGAAATATACTGATTTATCTCCCCATAATTTACTTTTTTGTTTTAATTTCAACCTTTCTTTAGTTTCCAATTCTTTCTTAAGCTTTTCTAGTTTCTTTAAATGTAATTTATTCTTTTCAATAAATTCCCAATCATCTTTCAATAAATTTAAGTGATGTTCATCTGTTTTACTCTTATTTTCCTTCTTTTCCAAATTCTCAATTTTATAGAATAATTTGATTGGATCTATTTTCAGTAGCTTTTTCATCATAAATTCATGTTTCTGTTTCTGTTGTATTCTATTCTGTTGTCTTTTCTCATTCTGTTTAAATTCTTGTGATAAACTCCATTGACCTCTTATCATTTTATACCATTTACAATTCTGAAACAAATCAAAAAAAAAAATTACCAAATTAAGAAATATCAAATGAGCAGTAGTAGTAGTCCAATTACTATATCATCAACTGATTTTAATCAAATACCATTCGATGTATTAGAATCAATTAGAAATAGATTAAATCAAATTCATACATCCTTAAAGAAACTAGCAGATCAAATCAACAACCATAATAGATATCCATCAAAGATTAAATTACCAAACTTCAATCAATTTCAAAATCAATTTCAAGTTTTGATTACTCAATTAACTTCAATTGCATCAATATTACAAGCAAATGAAGAATTATTACTCAATACAAATGTTTATCCAACTCCAATTTTCCCAACTCAACAACAAGAAGGGTTATTAACTACATTATTAAGAAAAAAAGCCCTACCTGAAGTTGATGAATGGATAAATGCAAGTAAGTCCACATTGGAATCAAATGAAACTAAACTTAATGATGAATTTACTTTATTTTGTTTATCTAAATTAGTTGAATTACGTGATGAATTTCAATTTTATGGTTTCAATACAATTGAAGAATTGGATAATATGGAAACACCAGAAGCTAAACAAGAGGTAAAGATAAAAAACGAGAAGGAGTTGGAAAAAGAAGAAATTGAATTGAAAGATAACTTCCAATGGTAAAAAACCTCACTTCAACCTAATCAAGTATTAAAATTTATGTGTGTGGGTGTTTTATGATTCTATATTATAATAAGCATCATAAAAGTATAACACTGCAAATATAAAAAATGCAATTGATCCACCTAATGTTATATTTCTCATTGATACTTTTTTAGCTAATAATTTACCACCAATACATGCTGTTGCTGTACATAATCCATGTCCAATTATTGCACCCATTATAACAAACCAATATTCACTACCAGCAGCCATTGCAATTGTTGCAATTTGTGATCTATCTCCCCATTCACCGAGAAAAGTCATTATAAATACTTGGATCCAAATAGGTGTAAATATAAATGATGCAAGATTGGAAATTTGATTTAAATAATCATCATACCAAGACTTGGAAGAACTCTCAGTTGTACTTCCACCTTCTATGTTGTTTAATTGATTATTCAATTTACTACTTGCTATTTCTTCTTCAACCTCTGCCAATTCTTGTTCAACTCCGGAATCTTTTGACATACTTAAACCTTCTCTTAATAATTTATACCCAAATACTATAAATAATGCAGATGCTAAAAATTGGGTTAATCTTTGACTTATTAATGATGGTAATGCATGTCCTACAATTCCAGATAATATAGTCATTATAACTAACGATGACCAAGCAGATGAAAATACAATCCATCTTGAATTTTTCATTGAAAATAATGCAGCTATTAAAAATGTCTTGTCTCCTAATTCAGTAACCATAATCATAGATAATGATATAATGAATGAATTATAAGAAGAAACTGGTTCTTCATTTGGCTCTGATTTATATGGATCTAATGGATTTTTCAAATGTTCAGGTGTTGGATGATTATCTTCATCTTCTAAAAGTTGAACATTCAATTTATGGGGTGGTTTAACATCATCAATTGATCCATCAATGTTTTCTATAGTTGCAATTACACCTAGTATTAAAATTGACCATGCATATATGATTGAAAATCTCATTTTCGGAGTTTGAAAAATCTATAAATCCACTTTTAAAATTAGTTTAAAATGATGAAATATGAACAGATCGGTGATCAGTAATACAGTATCAGTCTATTAATAATCTATAACCAGCGACACAACTTTATTATTCCAAGTGTATCTGGTTGTTGAAAAATTTACCCAAGGCTATAAAAATAAAATATTGCAAAAAAAAAAAAAAATTGTTATCAAAAATGTTTAGATTGAAAAATTATTCAACCGATGCTCATCAATTGGAAAGGATGGGATGTTTGTAAGGACAAACAGTCGATAATAATTAACAGATTAATATATATTTTAATGTCTTCTATACAATGCAATGTTTAATGATGAGCTGGTTTTGGATTATCTACAACTATTCCGTCTTTAACTTTACCATCTTTAATCCAACCACCATATCCAACATTTTTATTATCATGATGTTCATGAAATTGTTTCATTCTTTCAACCATTACTGGTCTAAATGATTTAATTAAACCTTGAATTGGCCATGCTGCTGCATCACCCAATGCACATATAGTATGACCTTCAATTTCTTTTGTTAATTCAAAAATCATATCAATTTCACGCTCACTTGCTTGACCAGCTTGAAATCTATCCATCATTTTTTGTAACCAAGTAGTACCTTCTCTACATGGAGTACATTGACCACAACTTTCATGTTTATAAAAATGAGCAAATCTTTGTATAGCTCTTATAATATCAGTTTGTTTATTCATAACAATAACAGCAGCAGTTCCCAAACCAGAACCAACATCTCTTAAAGCATCATAATCCATTAATATATTATCACATGTTGTTTTTGGCATTACAGGGACTGATGATCCACCAGGTATAACACCTAATAAATTATCCCAACCACCTTTAACACCACCACAATGTTTTTCTAATAATTCTTTTAATGGTATTGACATTTCTTCTTCAACTGTACATGGTTCATTAACATGTCCTGATATACAAAATAATTTTGTACCACTATTTCTTTCTCTACCAAAGCTTGCAAACCAATCACCACCTCTTCTTAAAATAGTTGGAGCAACTGAAACTGATTCAACATTTGCAACAGTTGTTGGTCTACCAAATAAACCAATACCTGCAGGAAATGGAGGTTTTAATCTTGGTTTTCCTGCTTTACCTTCAATACTTTCAATCAATGCAGTTTCTTCACCACAAATATAAGCTCCCATACCTCTATGTATGTAAACATCAAAATCATAACCTGATCCACAAGCATTTTTACCTATATAACCAGCTTTATAAGCTTCATTTATTGCGGTTTGTAAAATAGTTGCCTCATTATAAAATTCACCTCTAATATAAATATAAGCAGCTGTTGCATTCATTGCTCTACCAGCTAATAAACAACCTTCAACTAATTTATGAGGATCTTTTCTAATAATTTCTCTATCTTTACAAGTACCAGGTTCACCTTCATCTGCATTAACAACTAAATATCTTGGTCCAACATTTTTTTCCCAACCTGGTGGATTCATAAATGACCATTTTAATCCACTAGGAAAACCAGCACCTCCTCTACCTCTTAAACCTGATTTTTTCATTTCATCGATAATCCATTTATCTCCTTTTAATATAATTTCTTTTGTTTTATACCAATCACCCATTTTTTCAGAACTCTTTAAATCATGGCCATAAGTACCATAAACATTTTGAAATATACGATCTTGATCTTTTAATCCACCATGAATTCTATTTGGATTTGATGCTGGATCAGCTGTAGTAGCTAAACAACGTATTGGTAATTTGGTTGTAGTTTTTATTTTGGATATATTACGAAGCATTGTGTTTTAATAAATAAATATGGGATGGGGTTAAAAATACAAATTTGTTTTTTGTTGTTTTATGTAAAATGTAGTTGATACTTACAAGTAAATGTAAATGATTCTATTGTTCGTAGTTGTTAAATTTTGTATTGGTTAAATTTTGAATAATAAATTTTGCAATGGAAATTGTATTATGTAATTTATTACTTTTTTACTAAAATATTGCATTCTATTGGTTATTGTTTATATGCAGGTTAGTGATACTTCAAATGGCTGCAAAATTTACCTTCTACCAATTGTATTTCAAATAATTAACAATTGGAGAAACTCTCAAGTTAAACCACCATTGGCCTCATTCTACCTTATTAGAACCGCATCTTTGTCTATATGAACCTGTTTTGAAATGATATTTAAATGTAATTTTAGGTTTCTTTCATGAAGTTTGCGAATTATTTTTGACGCAGATACGCTACGAGAAAACGTTGAAAACATAATCCGGGTATCTTTGGGATGCTAAAAAACGATCCTGATAACTGTAAGTTTGTGAATCTCAAGTATTATTCAGAAATAAGAGGCAAAATTGCGTTAAATAGTGAAAATGCGTTTGGTAGCGCTTGAGTGGTTTTCGTTGTTTCAAACGATATTCTGATTGATCAACTTTATCAGGTCAACTAAGAAATACTCAGCAGAAGCGTCAAAAAGATTCCAATACAGTAAAATTAGTTTCTTTTGCTAAGCTTTTGTTTGTGGAGCAGGATCTTGGAATATGTCTCTGATTGGTCCCGAAGGGTGTATTTTTAGTTTAATGATCACACTCCCATAGTTAACAAGACTTTTGAAAACTAAAAATCGAAATATCTCTTTTAAAATTAACAAAATCCAAGATCGGTGGGAGAATTCTTTAGATAGACATCTAAAAAACATAGACTATGATTTTCAGAAGATCTAATCAAATTCGGAGCGCATTATCAACATTACCTCTTAAATTAAATCTACCCTTACCGCAACCAAATCACGACGCTACCATTTAAGATAGTAAAGTATTGCAACTTTATATGAGATTAACTTGCAAAATGGAGCAAAAAAAGCTTTGAAAAAGCTGATATGATGCTAATTTAACGTATGGAGTAGTTGTTAGCAGCAGAAATGGACCCAAATAAAACGATATTGTACTTGCATAAGAGCGCTACCGTGTGCTACTATGCAATACATCGAGCTTAAACAACGCAAGACAAAACCTATCGAGGCAAATCAACTAGCTATAGATAGATATCAAAGTTTTGCACAACCCCATATACTTGTTTTTGCTGCACGTGGTTTTCATGACGAATTAGCCAATAAACTTAGTACGAGTCGCGTTAACTGGGTTATAATTTATTTTGTGGCACAAAATATTATCGCGTTATAAAATTCATACTTTAAAAAAACAATTTCTATATCGACTTATATGCAGTCCTCGAGTAGTTAATCTCGAAAATTTAATTGCAAATAACTCCTTCAAACACAAGATATAATGCACAAAGTACATTCATCGTAAGCAACTGATAATCCAGAGTTAATTTATACCATTGTCCTTTACTAAAACATAGTTTTGACGACTTTATATCTCATTCAAAAATTGGGAGAAAACGTTAAACTGCAAGATAATCCATACTTAGACCTCATTTTGCAACTTCTAAGATATCTGGTTTTGTTCATTGAACTCCAAGAATGTTGTGTGTGATGGTTTCCAGTTGCCATGATCATTTTGAAATTTTTCAAAATTTTTGTTTCACTCTTGAAAAATTGCTTTTCCAATTTTGAATACATTAATACAGAAATATCTAAGGCATATTTTCAGCAGAACTACAAATTTGGATAGTTTCATCATACTTATGTCTAAATGTTCAATGTGGAATTAGAGTTTTTGTGAGGTCAATTTATTCGATTTTCGCCTTACTTAAGAGAAAATTTTGAAATTTCTCAATTCAGGTTGAGAGAGACAAGAATAAAGTCCAGCATATTTGTTTGAGGTACAATATATATAATTGCTTGTTTATTCGAGAGTTATGGCCAAAAATAAAAAGACACACAGATTTAAATTTTTTGCAAAGTTTTTGTATGAAGAAAACCAAAATGACAACTTAAAAAAAAAATGTTCGAATTCAAGAGTTTAAAGTATGTAGGATACATAATTCCAGGCTTCCAATTTCATATAAATGTTATTTATTTCGAGAGCATAAGTCGTTCACGAAATATAAGCCAATACATACAGTACAAATCGACTTAAAGCTAGCGCGAGGAAATTATTATTGAGACACTAATCTTGGGCGAGAAGTACATCCTTAAAAAAAAAATTTATATCTCGGCAAATTGTATAGCCGATCTATGGTTTCTATGTAGTAACACTATAGTGAATGGACTATTCCTTAAAACATTTGATTAAACTGTAAGCAAAATAAAATTACTAGGTATCTACAATTACAAGAGAAGGGAAGTTTTATCATGAATGAAGAATTTGTGAAATGAGATATAAAGTATATTTATTTTGGACCAAAGTTTAAAAGCTCCAAAATTTTGATAAAAATTGCATAATCTGGAAACAATTGTTTATTTACTAACGATAAGAATTAGTACTTTCAGCTCAAGATTCAAACCAGACTTAAAGACTCTTTTGGATTTTTTTAGGCTTTATCCTTTAAACTTATCGTGCAAATTTGTTGATTAATATAGTATGTTGTATCGTACATTGTTCTCGTATCAATTTTGATGCGACACATTATTTTTCGCACTAGATTGCGACCAATCAAAAAATTTGTGAGACATACGTACGACCAAAATTCATTTCAATCACTAAACATTAACACCCGAATTTGAAGCTAAGTTAGAAAGTAGAAGACGGAAAAAGAGCACTTGAGAATATAATGAGTTTGGTTACAGCTAGGTAGCACTTGAGAGTAAAATTTCACGAATGTTTTTCGGAATTTTTTATATTTTGATATGGTTATCGATTGAAACTTCATACAACTTTAATTAAAACAAAATCAAAGACAATCAACAATTCTTTATATATGTCTCACGTTTTGCTTAGTCATGATATAATTCTGTTGAAGTAAAAATGGCTGCAAAATTTCTTTAAACCATGGAAAAAAAAATTCGTTAAAAATATATTTGGGGGTTTAAAAAGAACAACAATTCTAAATTTAGTTGATTAAAAATCTATGATCAATGTTAAAGTTATAGTAATTGGTATATTATTATCTATTTATTATTATTATGTATTTAATCATTATGGTAAAAGTAGAACAAGTATAGCACCCAACTCATCACCATTCATTTGTAATTCAACATTAAAAGGACATCCAAAATTAGCTTCCAATTCATATCTTGAATCTAAATTACCATATAAAGATACTACTCAAATAGGTAAAGAAAATGCTACAATGGTGATGCTAACTAGAAATTTTGAACTCGTGGGTGCTTTATCATCAATGAGATCATTAGAAGATCGATTCAATAGACATTATAAATATCCATGGGTTTTCCTAAATGAAGAGCCGTTTGATGATGATTTCATAGAACAAACTACGTTAATGGCTTCTGGTAAAACATATTATGAATTAGTACCAAGAGAAGATTGGGATCCTCCATCACATATAAACCAAACCAAATTGGAAGAAAATTTGAACAAATCACGAGAGTCAGTCATTTATGGAGGTTATAAATCATACCGAAATATGTGTCATTTCAATTCGGGATTTTTTTATAAACAAAAGAGATTATTAAATTATGATTGGTATTTTAGAGTTGAACCCGATGTGGAATACATGTGTGATTTTCAATATGATCCATTTGAATTACTTCGTACTAAAAATAAAATGTATGGATTTATTATAACGTTCTTGGAATATGAGAATACAATACCTACATTATGGCAAACTGTTGAATCATTCATGAAGGAATACCCACAATTGATACATCCAAACAATTCAATTGATTTTTTAACCACTAATGAAACATCACTCAATCATTTCATTGAATTATTTCCAAGCAATTCAAGCTATAATCTATGTCATTTTTGGTCAAATTTTGAAATTGGGAACTTGAATTTTTTTAGATCTGAAGAGTATAACACTTTTTTCAATTATTTAGATAAAGCTGGTGGGTTTTATTATGAAAGATGGGGTGATGCTCCTGTTCATACTATTGCTCTTGCTTTATTAATGGACAAGAATCAAATACATCATTTTGAAGATATTGGCTATTATCATGCACCCTATTTAAGTTGTCCATCAAGTCAACAACTAAGAGCACAAAAGAGATGTGAATGTAAACCAAGATTAAGAATTAAGGATTTTAATAAAACTGTTGATGTTAATGTGTTTTCATGTTTACCTAGATGGTGGAAATATGGAAGTGGGAAAACTTTTTTAAATGATATTGATTACAAGATACAGTAAGGATGCAAGAAACATTATTACTCAACTATAAAGTAATATATATATACCTCTATTCTGATCATTATGAATATAATTTGAATTTTTTGCAGCCTAATTTTTAATGCGTATAAAAAAAATATCGTATCTCATCTCATTATAAAACCAAATTAAATCATGGGTAGAGGAACATTAAAACAACAATTGAAACATCACCAAGCTAAAGAAAATCAAGATAAGATAAAGACCAAAACAAATGATAAACCAAAGAAACAAGAAATACAAGAAGAAGAACCAATAATAATTGAGAAACCAATAGTGAAATCACCGAAATCAAATAAATCAAAATCGAAAACAGAAGATGATTATCAAAGTGCTACATTATCTAAAAAAGAACAAAGAAAATTAAAGAAATTACAAGCTAAAGCTGAACCAGAACAAGAAGAAGAAGGGGATGAAGAAATAGACGAATTAGATGAAGAAGATGACGATGAAGAAGATGAGGGTTTAGATCTTGAAAAATTAGCAGCTAGTGAAAGTGAAAGTGAATTAGAATCAGAAGACGATGACGAAGAATCAGAAGATGACGACGAAGATGAAGACGAAGAATTAGACGTGGAAGAAGAAGAAGAAGAAGAAGAAGTGGCAGAAGATATACCATTATCAGATGTTGAAGTTGATTCAGATGCAGATATTGTACCACATACAAAATTAACAATAAACAATACCGCTGCTTTAAGAGATTCATTAGCTAGAATTGAATTGCCATGGTCCAGTCATTCATTTATTGAACATCAATCAATTATAAGTGCCGAAAAATCTGAAATTCAAATTAAAGATATTTATGATGATACAGAAAGAGAATTATCATTTTATAAACAAGGTTTAGATGCTGTAAAACAAGCAAGATCATCATTATTAAAATTAAAAGTACCATTTAGTAGACCAATTGATTATTTTGCAGAAATGGTTAAAAGTGATGAACATATGGATAAATTAAAACAAAAATTATTAACAGAAGCTGCAAATAAAAAAGCAAGTGAAGATGCTAAAAAACAAAGACAATTGAAAAAATTCGGTAAACAAGTTGAACATGAAACTTTACAAAAAAGAGCTAAAGAAAAAAGGGAAACTTTAGATAAAATTAAATCTTTAAAAAAGAAAAGAGGTGCAAATGAAATTAGTAATGATGATGATTTTCAAATTGCATTAGAAGAAGCTACAAAAGAAAATGAAAGAGATTCAAAAAGAAAGAAACCAAATTCAAAAAGATTAGCTAAAAATGCAAAATATGGTAACGGTGGAATGAAAAGAGGTAATAGAAAAAATGATGCACAATCATCAGGAGATATTAGAGAATTTTCAAGTAAGAAAATGAAGGGTAAACAACCATCAAGACCTGGTAAAAGTAAAAGAAGACATTAGTAGAATATACGTATAAATTTAGCTGCAAAATATTTCGTATGCGCGGTGTTTTTCCGAATCTCGTATAAAAATAGTTTGAAAATTTATTTATTTCAACGAGTATTATACGATGTCTTCAAAAGAAGTAGCTAGAAAAAGATTTATTGATGTCTTTGATGAATTGGTTGAAGAATTAAAAGAGATCTTAGTTTCTTATAAAATGCCACAAGAAGCAATTGATTGGTTTGTAAAAAATCTAAATTATAATACACCAGGTGGTAAATTAAATAGAGGTTTATCAGTTGTTGATACTTTTGCAATTTTAAATAATAGAACAGCTGACAAATTATCAGATGAAGAATATAAAAAAGTAGCTATATTAGGTTGGTGTATTGAATTATTACAAGCTTATTTTTTGGTCGCTGATGATATGATGGATCAATCAAAAACAAGAAGAGGTCAAAAATGTTGGTATTTAGTAGAAGGTGTTGGAAACATTGCAATTAATGATTCATTTATGTTAGAAGGTGCTATTTATATGATCTTAAAGAAGCATTTTAAAAAAGACAGCTACTATGTCGATTTATTAGATTTATTCCATGAAGTTACTTTCCAAACTGAATTAGGTCAATTATTAGATTTAGTTACTGCAGATGAGGAATATGTCGATTTATCTAAATTTTCATTAGATAAGCACTCATTCATTGTTATTTTTAAAACTGCTTATTACTCATTTTATTTGCCTGTTGCATTGGCGATGTATATGAGTGGAATTTCATCAGAATCAGATTTAAAACAAGTCAAAGATATTTTAATTCCATTAGGTGAATATTTTCAAATTCAAGATGATTATTTAGATTGTTTTGGAACTCCCGAACAAATTGGTAAAATTGGAACGGATATAAAAGATAATAAATGTTCTTGGGTTATAAATCAAGCTTTATTAAAAGCAACCCCAGAACAACGTGAAATTTTAGATAATAATTATGGTAAAAAAGATGATAAGAGTGAAGAAACAGTTAAACAATTATTTAAAGAAATGAATATTGAACAGATTTACAATGATTACGAAGAATCAATTGTTGAAAAATTAAGAAAACAAATCGATCAAATTGATGAATCAAATGGATTAAAAAAGGATGTATTAACTGCATTTTTAAATAAAGTTTATAAAAGATCCAAATAGACAATGTATATATATTTATGCTATAATCTTAAACATTAACTCTTGCTAATTCTTCTCTACCTTCTTTGGTGTATAAATATTCATTATAATCTCTTGCTCTTGCCCAAATTGACCATATAACAGCAAATGGAATTGCAACGTATAAGAATTGATTTTTAGTTCTTCTAAAAGTATTAAAAATAGCATTATAACCAGCATCTTTAAATGGTTTAGCAGCAAATGGTGAAATAGAATATGAAGTAATATATTTTTGCTTTGGGGAGCCTATGCTACCCCACCAGCCCATATAAGCGTGTGGATGTGGAGGACCTGCCATTATTATTTGACTGTTAGTTGTTGATAATAATAGTAAGGTTTATTATTAGATGGAATTTTCAGTGCGTAGTAATAAATTGTATAGTAATTAATTTTCTTACATTACTATTGGTTGGTCTCTATACACAGGATGATTTATATATGCTACCAGTTGCCTTTTTGCAATCAAACTAAAGCTCGTGTTTTAATGATGTTGCAATTTAATAACTATGTTGGGAAGCAACTATATTGATCACATTCCCTTGGTTCAATTGGTCATAAAGTTTAAATGAGATTAGTTAAACGAAACCATGAGAAATGGGCATACAACGATCTGGAGTCCATGTTTCAGTTAAGATAACATATTTAAACTTCAAGAATATAAAACATAAAGAGATTCTTAAGCTATACTTATTGTACAACGTCTAAACCAAATAGCCTAAAACTTATCGTAGTAATCTTTATAAGAATAAAGAGTGACATAATTTCCCTATGGTATATATATATTTAAGGATTTCGTAGATTATAAATTAAGATGAATGCAAGACTAAGAATGCAATTATTGCTTCGACGTTCGTAAATGAGTTTCTATTGTACATTAAGCATTTTTTTTATTTATTTTATTGGTTCAATATAAAAAGTGTTATTCTTCATATTTAAGCAGCAGTTAATCTTCTTTGTGAAGCTAATCTACCTCTTTGTCTAGCATTTAATCTTACTTTTTTATCTTCTTGAGCTTTTTCAACAACTTCTGATTCTTCAGTTAAAGTTAATTCAATATGTGATGGGGTTGATTGATAAGCATTAATTCTACCATGAGCTCTATAAGTTCTTCTTCTTTGTTTTGGAGCATGATTAACTTGAATTTGTGAAATAACTAATTTAGTTGAATCTAAACCTTTAGCTTCAGCATTTGATTGAGCATTTCTTAATAAATCTTTGATGAAATTAACTGATTTAGCTGGCCATCTAGCTTTGGTAACACCAAATTCTTTACCTTGACCAGTTCTACCAATTGAAGAATTATATCTTCTAAATGGAATAGCTCTTTTATGATCTAAAACTTGATCTAAATATTGATTAGCTTTTTCTAATTTCCAACCATTAATTGCTTGAGCAGTTTCTCTGGTATTTTTGAATGAAACTCTTAAATATGAACCACGAGCTGAAGCTGATTTTGCTGGGTTAGCAGGAGTGGCAGCGTAACGAACCATTATTGATGAATATTAAATTAAAAGTTGATTGTAAATAATGAAAAAGTATTATTAAAATTTTCACTACAATAATTTTTCGCACTAAAATTTGGTACCAGTTACACGCACTGTTGATATTTTGTTAGTACTAACATAATTATTATTGGGCGTATTATACAATTTTGTGATACGTATTTATTCGGCATCTCGCACGAAAAAAATTTACCGGACTAATGTATCACGTGTATAGAGTTAGGGCAATACCGTAAGTCAAGAAATATAAATTTCATAATCTTAAACCTATTTGCGCTTATTTACGTTTGAATCAGATTTTCGAAAATTTGAAGATGAAATCTGATAAGCTTTTTATTTTATCCATTTTGTACTTTTTGCTTTTTCTAATTTTCCATTATGTAAGATTTTTCTTTATTTATTGATGTAAAACTTTCAAAGATTCTTCTACTGTCACATGTGTCAAATTCAAGATGGTATATGGACATTGGATTCATAATACTTTATACAAATGAATTAAAAGTATCGAATTTCGACGCTTCAAGGCACCAAAGAAAGATATCTGTTTGTTAAACTAAAATGGAGAGTCGATTCGAATTTTCTCAATATTAAACCAAAACTGCATGATTGAAAAGTGAGGCTTTCACTCTCGATGTACTGTCAAATAGTAATCAGCTCAATCTGATCAAACCTTCAGCAATCAGACATTTCACGTAGATTAATAAATAATTTTTTGGTTAGCTTGACGCCGTTAGCTCTCACCAATTGCAGCAAATTTTTTGCAGAAAAATCACCTTGCGCACCAAAATTCCACACAGACATCAAACCACTTTCTCTATTCAATTATATATACTTCAGTCAACTGCTTACCAAAGCTTTTCGTTGTATTTTTGTTGTAATTTTGTTCTATTCTATCATAATTTCACCTTGTTTCAGATTTAATAGCAAGTAATAGTCGTGTAATTTTATGCAGAAAAAAGTTAACCAACCTCTTAAAAAGTCAAAACAATTTGTATTGACCAAACCATTTGAAGAACCTAAAACAATTGCCTATAATGGATAAGGAACAAGAAGAATCAACATCATCAAATCAAGATAACAATAATGAACAAAATGATGGATTACCACAAGCTGATGAAAAACAATTAGAAGAAATGAGAAATTTCGGAGATCAAGAGCATTCAGTAAATGAACATTCAAATACAGATTCATTGATTCACCTTCCTCAAGAAGAAACTAAACAACAAGCTAATGATCAAGATCAAAATGATGTAGATATGTATTATATAGATGATGCAATACCTGCAATACCTGCAATACCCGAAGAAACTGCTGCAAAAATTAATGAAAATAATCAAAACAAGCAGCCACTCGATAAACAACAACAAGAGGAGCAAGACCAACAAAATCAAGAAGATCAAGAGTCTATACATGAACAAGAGGGTATTCAACAGAAACAAAAGCACGAACAAGAAGAAAAATTAAAGGAAGAAAATCAACAAAAGCAAAATGATGATGAAAATAATGATAATGAAGAAGGTGAAGAATCCGACCAAAATAATCAAGAAGATGACAATTCCAAAAAACCAATTGAAGATAATAATACAGATAAAGATATAGTGAAGAAAGAAGATGAAGATGAAGATGAAGAAATGAGGAGTAGTGATAGTGATGATGGAGAAGTTAAACCGCCGAAACCAAGAGTATCACTACCATCAAAACAACCACAGCCAGATGAATCGGATGACAATTCCTCAGATGAAGAAGTGATATCTGAAAAAGATGATGATGAAGATAAAGTGAAACAAAAACCAACTTATAAACAAACACATTTAATAGTTGTACCATCATATGCTAGTTGGTTTAACATGAAGAAGATTCACAATATAGAAAAACAATCATTACCTGAATTTTTCAGTACAAACCACCCCTCCAAATCACCTAAAATCTATGTTAACTATAGGAATTTTATGATTAATTCATATCGTTTGAACCCAAACGAATTTCTTACGTTGACTTCGTGTCGACGTAATTTGGTTGGGGATGTTGGTGTTTTAATGAGAGTTCATCGTTTTTTGATGAAATGGGGATTAATCAATTATCAAGTTAAACCCCAATTTAAACCAGGTTATGCTGTTGAAAAATTACCAAATGGTCAACTGGTTGATTTACCATATACGGGAGATTACCATGTTAAATATGATACTCCAAGAGGTTTATTTCCTTTTGAAACTGCACCTAAAATAAATATAGATACTAGTAAAATAAATGAATTATTAGAAAATGGTGAAATAAAAAAAAGAAAATCGGAAATAAAAGAAGAACCAAATAAAAAGCAAAAAATAGATGATAATTGGACATCTGAGGAATCTAATTCATTAATTAAAGCTGTCAAGGAGTTCAAAAATGATTGGTATAAAATTGCATCTAAAGTTGGAAATAAAACTCCAGAAGAATGTGTTTTAAAATTTCTACAAATTCCATTAGAAGAAGAGTTTGACCCAATAAAAGAAAATACTTTATTAAAGTATGCATCAAATTATCCAATAAGCTCACTAGATAATCCTGTATTGTCCAACCTAATTTTTTTGACCAAACTTGTTGATTCAGATGTAGTTAAAGCTGCTTCAGATGCCGCTAAAAAAGCAGTTGATGATTATATTAAAAATAAAGTTGGTCATCATGATAAACCAACAGATGCAAAGGAAGGAGAAGGAGAAGATAATTCACAAGCTTCAGAACAAAAAGATTCAATTCAACTGCAAAATGGATCTATGAAAGAGATTGAACCAACTTCAAAAAATGCAATTGCTACAACATTAGGTGTAATTGGTGGTCGCAGTCATTTATTTTCAAGTTATGAAGAACGAGAAATGCATAAAATTGGTTCAAGTATAATAAATCATGAATTAAACAAGATTGAAACAAAATTGAAAAAAGTTGAAGAATTAGAAAAAATTTATGAACGTGAAAGACAAAATATAACGAAACAACAAGAAGAATGTTTTATAGATAGATTAACTTTAACTAGATCAACGATTAGTGTTATAAAAACTTTAGATAAAGCTATAAATATTTTAGAATCTAGTAATTTTGAAAATAATAATAATCATGAACAAGTTAAAAATTTGTTGAGTGATGCTAAACAAATGTTATTTAAACCAAGTAGACAAGTTTTAGAAGAGTGTAATACAAATCCTTCGAGTGATGAAAAAACTAAAACTGAATCAAATTCAAATGAAGATGATTTAAAACCATTATCAATGACTCAACCACAAACTTTCAAAGTCTGGGCTTTATAGTTTTTTAATATGAAATTGTTTATTTTCCTTCAACCTCTTCTTTTATATTTTCATCGACTCTTAACATAAAAGAAAGATGATTTGTAATTTCATACGTTGATATAAAGATAATGAATTCTGAAACAAATTCGGTTTGTATGCAGTCTTATAATAGAAATTTTTGAAGCTTAAAATCTGAATAAATCCTTAGTCAATGAAGTTCTTGGTCTCAAATTTAATCCATGAAATACTTTATTGTTTAGAGCACACTGGTGCCAGATTTCTTAAAAAGCACTTAATTCTGATCACGTAATCCTTCATTTAAGAAATGGCAAAACGCAAAAATTTTGATTCAATTTTGAAAAATTAATATTCCAATTTTGAGTACGTTCCCTAATGAAATCTTGAGGTTCATAGCCGAACAGAATCTACAAAATTGGATAGTTTTATCATACTCCAGTCTAAGAAGTGATTGTGGAGTTAGAATGTTTGTAAGATCAGTTTTTACAAGTTCCGCATAGTTCAGAGAAAAATTCGAAATTTTTCATTTTAAATTTAGGGCCACTGGAATTAAACCCAGCATCTTCGAATGAGGTGTAATATATATAATTTGCTGTTTAATTGAAATTTATGGCCGAATTATCATGTATCCTGCGTTTTAAGTTTTAGCAAATTTTTTGCATGATGAGAAAGGGCCAAAATGACAACTTGGAGAAAAAATATTTAAAATCAAAGATCTAAAGTATATACAATATATAATTTAAGGCTCTATGTAATAAAAGTAGCAGTTATCTCGAGAGTATCTGTTGTTCATGAGATATAAACCAATGCATTTAGTACGAATCGCCCTAAAGGTACTGCGAGGAAAATATTTGTATGGCACTAACTTTTGGCGAGAATGAAGATACTACAGAAAGTAAATTAAGACAAATTTGACTTATATGCAGGTTTTAAATGGTTAATCCTAGAACTTAATTGTAGATAACTTTCTCAATATTAAAGTAGAAAGGGTCAAAGTCTTTGAATTAAGGCTTGAGAAAATCTGCATTAAACTGATGTTGGTATCTTTTAGTAATAACTGATCCTGATCTGCTTATTGCTCATTTCAAAAACATTAACTTCCAAGATAATAGTGCTTAGACCTCATTTAGCAACCTAGTACATCTTATTTGGTTTATTCAATCTCAAATATTATTTATATAATAATTTGAAGATTCCAAAATCAGTTTGAAATCTTTTCAAAATTTTCGAATCACTTTTGAAAAAATACTTTTTAATTTTGAATAACGTAACGCAAAAACTCTTAGGGGTTATCAGATTACAGGATCTAAGACTTCGGTTAATTTTATCATGTTCAATTCACAATTTTTATTGTGTAGCTGGATTTTTAATGACGTTAAATCATTCAATTTTGCCCTACCTAAGAGAAAACTATGTAATTTCTTTATTGTAGTCTAAACGAAATGAAATATTGTTCGGTACCTTAATTAAGAGTCTAGTATGTAAAAGTCATCTTCTACTTTGAAGTTACTGCCGTAAATTAAATTATGCATTCTTCTTAATTTTTTGAAAAAATTTTGTATGGTGAAAAAGGGCCAAAAAGACAATCCAAAAAAAATGTTTGAGTTTCATTGTTTGAAATATCTTCGGTATGTAATTCTCAGCTAGTGATTTTGTTTATTTGCTGTTTATCCGAGGAGAATGCCCTGTTCAATAAATATATGCCAACTTGTCTAATACGTGGTGGCCCTATTATTTACTCGCCCGAAGTTTATCGCACTAAAAATGTATACTTTAGATTAACGATTGTGAGACTGCATATAAGTCAAAACTGTTTCAGAAATATCCATAAAAGTGAAAACTGTTCATACGAAGATTGGGTGCAACAGAAAAATTTTTCGCGTTGGCATCCAGGCGACGCTTGAACCAAACTAATCGCGTTATACGGCGAATACTACTTCTGATAATAAAGTTACGGAAACTGAAGTTATAGCATGGTTTAGTTAGCGTGAATAATTGATTATCTAGTTCAGTTAATGTTTGAGGGCGCATGAGTATCTTAACTCTTTCAGGTAGAGTTAAACAGAGATTTTCGATGACTATTAAAATACTCGCGTTTTTTGAGTATCTTGCCAAAATATCTCTTAGTATCCCGCCAAAATAAATAACGCTTGAATTTTTCAATTGTAGAGGGTGAGCATAGTTATGCTGAATTAAATGGCTACGGATAAGCAAAAACTTTCATAATTGATAAAAGTCGAATTTTTTATCGGTTACATCCAAAAATCGGTAAACATAGTAGATTAATGCAACCTCGAGACGTCCTAGTAATAATACCTATACGTACTAGCAGTGGAAATGCTTTAAACTTTTCATTGTGAATGAATAAAAGTAACCACTGAAGGGATATGCAGTTTTTCGGAAAACAGTTTTTAAAAATCCACCAGAATGCTTGCTGAGAGATATCAGCAGAGTCTATGGACACTTCAGCTAAGAGGCATGTATAACTTCGATATTTTGACTGTTTCACAGATCGTATACTAATTTGCAACCGTCGTGCAATTCTGAAACAATTAAACTTTTATCAAAACGCAAGGCAAAAAAACTCAATTGTTAATCTTTTCATTACAATTAATCAATTTAAATACAGCATTTCAATTGACTGTGTATGTAATTAGATCAATATATATACTAACTTTTGAATAGATTTATCAAACATGAGCGAATTATCAAATGAAGTGACCGAAATAGGAAATTCTGAATTGAATAATGATTCAAAAGATATCAATAATGATGATGAGATACTAGATTATGAAGACGATGATTACGTGAAGGAGAATACAAATAATGATAATGATATTATTGACACTGATTTAGAAGAAGAATATATTCAAACAGAACCAGGAAAATCCATAATTGAAAATGATAAAATTGAAATACTAGATGAACAAATTAATGATCAACAACCACCAAGTAATAACAATTTAGAAAACCATGTTGAGTTAGATTATGATGATGTGGATAATGATAAAGAGGAATCTGCTAATGAGACAAATGACTTAAGACATGATGTTGAAGAATTAAAAAATGATCTTGAAGAACATGGGGGGACCGATTTTCGATCAGATTCAAGAACAGAGGAAAAACGCGATGAGAGATCAAATAATGACAACAAAAGGGATGAGAGATCAAGTAATGCAAATAATAAGGATGATAGATTTCAAGCTGCTTCGGAATCTAATGAAATTAGAAATAAAGTACAAAATGATAAGAATCAAGATACCTATATAAATAATGAAATTGGTGGTCAAGTGGATGAAATATTTCAATCTGCTCGAGATTCTAATGACATTACAGATGATGTAGAAGATAAAATTGTTGATAATAAATTAGGAGATGATATTAATGAAGTTGTACATATGAACAATAATAAATTAGATAAAGATGCAGATATTGAAGCTAATAAAAATGATAATAGAAAAAAATTAGCTGAAGAAACAAACTGTATCAGAAACGAAGTTATTGAAGATAGGGAACGAGAAAAAGATAGGAAATATGTCGAAGATAGTGGTGAAAGGGCTATTGAAGGATTAGAAGAAGCTAAAGAAGTAGTAGATGAACGTGCTGAAAATTCAGATGTGAGGTATAAAGCAAGTAATGAATTGAATTTAGCAAGAGATAAAATAATGGCAAATCCAGAAGTTGATGCTTTTAATAATGAACTTGAAGAAAAAGAAAGTAATACAGAATCAAATAATGAAGGTGATGTTGAATTTGAAGATGCAATTGATGCATTGAGAAAAGATCAAACTGACTCAGAATTTAATATTCCGATCCATTTAAATTATCAAAATTCAACTCATCCATTATTTCCAACTGGTTCAGAAACATCTACTATTTTTGATGACATTTCAGATATTCATATCTCAATAGAAGACTTATTTGCAACTTTAAGATCATCAAGACTTGATTTTGATTTTCAAGTTTGCGATGAAATTGTGTTATCATTTCCGCAATTGGGTAAATGTAAGATAACAGAAGATAATGTTTATTGTAAAGATTTAACAATACTGGATTTTATTGATTTATTTAAAAGATTATGTAAATGCACAAAAGATGAATCTAAAATTCCAAAATCCATAAATTTAGAAATATCAACACAGCCTAGATTTATCACAAAATTTAATAGCTTAGTAGAGAATTTAGAAAATAACGGTGGGTTTGAAAGTATTGAATTTGAAGAAATCCAATCTGAGACTAAGAAAAGAAAATTAGGAGATTAAAAGTTCAAAAGGTGAAAGGATTAAATAACTTGTGGTTTTATTATTTATATAACGGTCTGTAGGGGAGCTGAATTTGAAAAGCATTAAATTAAATTTAAAAAGTAAAAATTAGCAGACTGATTGTTTAGATCAAAATATGGGTGTCCTGGTGGTTTTCATATATCATATCAAGAAGGGGTAGAAAGAATCAATTATCATGGATCATTATTTAATTTAGAATTTCCTATATATTCTATTGAATTAAATTTCTCTCTTTTAATTTAATATATATATCATTATCAATATACTTTTGTACTGTTGGTTCACCAGTAATTCCCTTTCTTTTTCTAGTTTTAACCATGAAATCCCTACTTAATGCTTCTTCATCATCTACAGGTTTCAATTTTGATACTTGTTTAGTTTCGTCCAAAGGATCACCAGGAACAATTTCCCACCCATCAAAGACCAATTGACATTTAGCTTGTTTCTGAGAATGAAATTTTAAATCTGAATGAAATCCAAATGAGTCAATGGCTAGAACATATGCTATAATTTCAAATAATGGAGTTCCTGGAATTTCTCTCTTGTTGTCAATATAACCTCTTCTTTTATTTAATAGTTGTTCTAAAACTTTGATTGATTTATAAGTACATATTGTAATTATTTTATAAACTGGTTCTAATAATCTAGGCTGTGCTAATAATAATGCTGTATAAATTGAGTTTCTAACTATTGGTATAATTTGAGCTGAATTGATTTGAATATCATCTGTAGTTGTAATAAAATCAAGTATTTTGAATTTAACATTTCTTATAGGCTCGTTAATTAATGGCCCTTCATTTACACCCCATTGAAATCCAGTAACTACTAGTTCTTTAATTTCATTTAATATTGTCTTATCTGATTCTCCTTCTAGTGTATCATCTTGTAAGATCGAAGGATTGTTTAAATCTGAACTTATTGACCATAATGATCTAGCTGCTAATACATCCCACCCATGTTCTGTTTTAAGAATAGTTGATATCTCTTTCTTTGTTTGAGACATATTGATCCTTTCAGTTTCTAAATTATGTATCAATTTTGCATCATTTATAGGTTCTGCAATTACTGAAATTGCCATATTATTTATTTTTATTGGAATTTTCGTGAAAGACATATCAATACAAGTTTCTGAAAATTTAACCATTGGATCACTTACTCTAATTTGTAACTCATCATTGAAAAATAATCTAACGTCATGTAATATACAATCCATGTATAATTCACCAGGTGCTATTATGATATGTTCACCATTTTCCTCAACATTTATAATTGAAGATAAGTATGATTTATCAATTTTTCTTAATGCATCAAGCAATAAAGGTAATTCTGATGGTTTATATGGTTCAACAGCAACTTTAAAAACTGAATTTCGAGAATAAGCAAGAATTGAAAATGATTTTGCTAATTCTGTGTTTATGTCTGTGATAGTTGCACCTTTTTTAATTATTGAATCAATACCTTCGATTAGAACTATGTTTCCTGTGCTGACCTCATTAATTGATATGTCTGATCTCCCTTGAGGTATGGAAATTCTAGTTATTGTCTCGATTTTAAAATTTTCTTTGTCTATATTGTAATTCTCTCCATATACTTTGACCTTATCACCAGTTTTTAAACTTCCTTTGTATAATCTAACTAATGCTGAAAATTTTTTACCATTCGAAGATTCAACTAATTTTAAAACTTGACCTATAGTTGAAGTAAACTCAATACCTTGCTTTTTAGTGACCTCTAATGGAGATGTAACATTTTTTTGAATTGTAACTACAAGACTTTTGTTGCCGTAATCCAGAAAAATATTATTAAACACAGTTTTTAGTAACATTTGAGGTTCTTCATTATATGTTTTCTTATGCAATTTTAATTTGGAATTCTCCCATAATAATGTACTTAATCGTTTATCTCCAGTTTCATGAGTTAAAGTATATGTCACAATTTTATAAATTGGATTCAAAATAAATGAAACAAATGATCTCTCAAGTTTACCTTTATTTGAATAACTAGATATACTTCCATTTTCCTCATCAAGATAATAATCACCCCATAATACACTCAAAAACTCGTCCTCATGCGTTTTTGACTCTTGATTATCTGAATACATTTTAGTGAATGATTTCAAATTAAATATGAATTCATATTTAGCAGATGAAAAGAACACATTGTTAAACTCTGGTGATATCCTTCCTTTATGTATATAATCTTTATAATGTTCATTTGTCCTTATACATTCGTTAACATCTTCAATTACAGTCTCCAATTTTAAATATGTGTCATTAGGAGGTAATCTCAATTCTAAAATCAATGAATCAATCTTGTTTAAAATTAAAGTTATAGGTAAGTTCAATTTTACAATTTCATGAATTAAAATCTCATCTCTAGTAGTTAAACCCTCAACTGCATCAAGTACCAAAATAACACCTTCTACACCATGTAAAGTTGCCAAAACCTCATCATTAAAATCGACATGTCCAGGTGTGTCTATTATATTTATAACATGTGATTTATCTCTTACATCAGGAAGCAATAACGTAATTGAAGAAGCTTTAATACTCATCTCTCTATCAATTTCCAATTTATGATTATCTAAATATCGTAAATTTTTCTTCTTCTTATCTACTTTATGAGTATAATATATTAATTGATCAATAAGACTTGTTTTCCCACTTCCTGTATTGCCTAAAATTGAAACATTTCGTATTCTTTCAGGACTATTATTCATCAATTCTTTAAGATAAGTGCTTGAATATTTCAAATTTGAATCTGTTTCTTCCTCCTCTATTTCCACTTTCATTGATCTTTCTATATTCGGTTGAATCACTGGTTGTTCCGTAATTGAGTCATTTGGCTGTACGTAAATTATTTCACCTTGATTTATATTTACATCATGTTTAATTAAAGCCGTGGTATTATTTTCAAATTGAGATGGTATTTGTTCTGGTTTTTCTTGTAAATATATACTTTCATCATCTGAATCCATCTGATCACCACCTAAATAATTACCAAACTCATCGTACATATCATCATCATCCATTTTAACAATTACTTCTTCCTCTATTAAACAAAGATATAAAAATGCGCTAAAAAAATAATTACTAATTGAGATGTGAAACAAATTTACGAGATGGAAAAAGATCTGGTTAATTTACGAATAAGACACTTTGAATTACATACATACAATCAGTGTCACGATCGTAACCAATTCATACCCGCTGATCTCAATTGGTTAAGTTGGTACTTCAATCAAGTATAGTCATCTTATTTACTATGTTTCAATTTTTCTATTTTTTCGTGTAGTCATTACCAAGTTTGGTTCTGAAAAAATTATCAGCAAAAACATTCAAACCAACCTATATAGATAGAATAGACATTATGAACGTTAGTACTAGTTCATTAGGTGTTAGAAGAAGAAAAATAGCTACACAAAATATAGATGATGAAGAAAATGCTGCATTATTAAAATTGGGTCCTGAATTTCAAATTAAACAATATAATAATTATGGTGAAGAAATTGAATTAACAGCATTAGGTATTTCAGAAGCAAGATTAATAATTAGAGGAGCTTTAAAAAAACGAAAATTGAAACAAAAACCGAAAAAGAAACAACAACAACAACAACTACAGAAATCACTAGATAATACAAAAAATGATCTAAATAATAATGATGATATAGAGATGGGTGATGATAATATAGAAGAAGATAATGATAAAAAAGAAATTGAGCAAGATGAAGATGATGATGTAAAAGAAGACGAAATATCAAATATAGAATTAGCAGGACCAAATTCAAATGAAATTGTACATAAAACATTGAATTATTTGACTAATTTTGCAAGGTTTAAAAATAAATCAAGTTGTGAAACTGTTGAAAAATTATTAAAAGATTTTAGTGAACATTGTAATGAAAAATTACATCCTTTTGAATTAGCTCAATTGGGTACTTTAGAATGTGAAGATTCAGAAGAAGCAAAAAGTTTAATACCTAGTTTAACTAATAAAGTAAGTGATGTTCAATTACAAAGTTTATTGACTGAATTAAGAAAATATCAAACATTTCAATAATTAAAATATATGTATTAATATGTATTAATAGTTAGATAGTTTTAACATCATTAATAAATGGATGTTTTAATGCTTCTTGTGGTGTTAACCTTTCTAATGGATTTAAATTTAAAACCTTTTTAAGAAAATCAACTAGTAGTAATCTTTCTTGACATTCTTTTTCAATCATTGATGTAGTCATTTTCTTGGTTGGCATTTTATAATTTGTAATTATATCTTTTAATAACCTCTGTTTAAAATAGTTTTTATTTGGTTGTTCTTTCTTATTCTTATTCTCTAGAAATTGAAAATACTCTTCAAAATTCTTTATTTCATATTGACTTTTCCCATTTTCATCATTTGGTAATTTTTTAAAAAAATTTAATGAATTTCTTCCTACTTCAATCATATGTTTTGGTGGTGGTCCCAACATATCTACAATTTTCCAAATTTGATTATATTCTGAAGTACCAGGAAACATTGGAAGTCCTAAAAATAATTCACCAACAATGCATCCTAATGACCACATATCTATAGATTCAGTGTATGGTAGCCCCAATATAACTTCAGGTGATCGATAAAATCTAGATTGTATATATGTATAAATAGTTTGTCTTGTAAAACAAGCTGATCCAAAATCTATAACTTTAATATTTGGTTTATCAGGTTGACATAACAAAATATTCTCCGGTTTTAAATCACAATGAATCATTTGAAAATTTTTCAATTGTGATAATGCATCAAGTAATTGTTTAGTCAATAATTTTACCAATTTCATATTTAATCCTTGGAATTGATTTTGTTTGATTAATTCATATAAATTAGATGCTAATAATTCAAATACTAAACATAAATGTTCTTTATGCATAAATGTATCAAGCAACCTTATAAAATTTTTACCATCACTATTTGTATTTAAAAATTCTAATAATCTCACTTCTGTTAATGATTGATTCATATAAGCTGGTTTTGATTTAATCACCTTTACAGCACAAACAGTTTGATTTGATAAATTTTGACATTTTACAACTTGTCCAAAAGTACCAGATCCTAATAAATCCAAAACCATATATTTTCTTCCTTCTTCAGTTCCTAAAATATCATTCACATATAATATATAATCACTTTCTTCATTATCAAATCCATTATTAAATTTTGCATCTGATGGTTTTGTCAATACTCTTTTAGGATTGGTTGATTTTGAATATTGAAATTTTTTAGGTTGACATAATGAATAAGATTCGGTTAAATATACACTTAATGCATTAACTGGTGATATATGAATTGAATTAACTGAACATCTTCTATACTTAGGTTGTTGATGAATTTTGGGAGTTAAATCTACTTTATTATAAACTTTTCTAGCTTTTGGTGCTTTTCGGTATTTTGTGATTTTTTGATTTTGTAGATTCTGCTGAAATTGTTGATATTGTATAATCAGTGGTGATCTACCTAATCTTGGACTTACATAATAACCACCTTGTTGTTGTTGTTGTTGTTGTTGGGCATACGGTACGTTTGGAACTTGATAATTTGGAATGGCAGCTAATGAAGATCTTCTAGTGTTTGACATTGATGGTATCATGGGGTTAAATGTAGGTTGTTGTTGATATCCATTATGTAATTGCGTATAATTTTGTTGATTGTTATATGGATTATAATGTGTACCATCTAAAGCAGAAGTCATTCGACGATCGTTTAATGAAACTTCTTGATCTGCAAAATATTGATTAAAAGGATTATCAGCACGAGTTGGTGGATGAATATATGGTGGTATATTTGTATTATTATTATTATCTTCATATGTAGTAGGTAATTGATTTGTAAATGATAATCTTTTATTTATTGACGGTTGTTGTTGTTGTTGTAGTAGTGGAATTTGATTAGATTTTGTAGGTGATTGAGATGATGATTGTGAATTTGGGGAAGTAGATATATGTTGATTTGAATACCATGGATTTCTAAACCCAGGTATTTGTTGTTGTAGCTGTTGTTGTTTCAATTGCTGTTGTTGGATATAATATTGTTGTTGTTCAGGTGATAGCATTTCCAATTGTTGTTGATATGACATTTGTGCTTGTTGAGCTTGTGCTTGTGCTTGTGCTTGTGCTTGTGCTTGTTGTGCTTGTTGTTGTTGTAATGATAATTGTAAATGCCAATTCCCACCTATTGAATTATGTCGATTATTATAATTGAAATTATTATAAGCCATTGAGTGAATAAGTGATACAGATTAATAATTATAATACAATAAAGATTGTTTTCTAAGGTGTAAATATTAAAGTAATTTGATTTTTAACTTTGATTTGATAATGGTTGTCAAAATTTCTAATAAAATGAGTAATAACTTCACAATGATAAGATAAATTGCACTATTAATTGAATATATATGAAATAAACCTTGATAATTGATATAGATACTATTGTTAATCCTGTTTCTCTATTATAGTTGTAGTATGGTTTGTAATCTTAAATTAAACTTTATCCTTGATAATCAATTTTTGATTTCCGTTCTTTTTATTTTTTTGGAGCGAATATAAATTTAGAGAATTTATAAGAAGTAACTACCAATTGTTATATAAAGTATATATATTTACATGAGATATTACATTAATCTATTAAAACGGTTCATTATTAGGTTTAAGCAGCTAATGCTTGTGGTTCTTCTGGATAAACTGGTGCCATTGTTGGTTGAGCTTGTAATCTTTGCATCATCATACCAACACCTTCAAAAACACCTAATAAACAAGCACAAGTTATTGCTGAATTTCTTGTATGTTTCCAACCTCCTCTTATTGCTAATGCACCACCTGTGAAAAATCCAGCAATAACTGCGTTCCAGGCATCTTCTCTTTTTCTAATTGCTTTTACTGAACAATCAAATATTGAAAATAAACCACCCCAAACACCTAAATTACCACCAACTCTTGGTGCTCTTTGTTTTATAGCTGATAATGCACCATAACCTCTTTCTCCATATGGTGAATTTCTAAAACCTTTTATACCATGCCAAACACAACCACCTATAGCACCCATAGCAAATGCACCACCAAAATCATTCAATATAACTATTGGACATGGATCTCTTGTATGATCAGCACTCATGATCTATAAATATATATGATTTTCTTATTAAGATTGATTTTTATCAAAATTTTTTTTTTTTAATTTTTAATTTTTCTTTGCATTTTTCAGTTATCGCACTAACAAATGAAATATGATTCACGTAGAACTCTATAATTTGTATTTACTATCTATATATATGGTCATAACTCATTAATTAGTATCATCTGCATTGAATAATACTGTATTATTATCTTCATCAGTTTCTAGCTTTTGATACCCATTTTTTTGCTTTTTTTTATTTGATTTATCATCTTGTGTAGTTTCGATTGATCCAATAATTGTATTATCATCATCATCATCATCACCTAATCTGTCATATCCTTTCTTCTTCTTCTTCTTTGATTGTTCAATTATAAATCCACTCTCATTATCAGCTTCCTCTATTTTTGATGAATCTATTTCATCCTCATTCGGTACTGCATCTTCTATCCTTGTTGAATTTTCCAAACTATTTAATTCAAAATAATCTGTATCTATTTGTGGACCAGTAAAACTCTTATATCCCCATACTTTATAAATTACACCAACCATAATCAAAAATGAAATCATTACAAATATGGCATAATTGAAATTTTGAAAATTTAAATGTTTTATAACTGGAGGCATACAAAGTATGATAATCGAAAGCACTATCCAAAACAAACTTATAAAATTAATAACCCATCCTAGTTTTTTCAATTTAAAGACAGACCCCTTTATCTTTTGTCTTTTATTCATCATTAAACAAAATATAGGTATTCCATTAGCTAGTGCTAATGAACCAACAGCAGCTCCCATAAATGCATTAAATGCACTAGATGAAACTAAACTTAAAATTGCTAGTATAGCACATACAATCATACTTAAAAATAAAGCATTTCTTGGTATAATATATTGTTCAATTGAATTCACTTCGGTGAATATTTCACTATATGGTAATCCATTATCTCTTGCCAATGCATAAGTTGATCTTGAAGCAGTAGTTAAAGATCCAATGCTTTGAAATATAATAGTACCAATCAATAAACAAGCCATTAAAAATGAAATTATATAAGATTCAGTTGAAATTTTGAATATTAAATCAATTGGCATAATATTTGGTTTATTATCAAGTAATAACTCTAACTCTGGTAGGATTGTTAATATTGGAATTATAAATATAAAACCAGTAACTGCAGCTATTAAAATTGCACTTATTGCACCCTTTGGCATATTCTTTTCTGGATTTTTAACTTCATCAGTTATTGAAAATAACATTCCATAACCAGTTAATGAAAAACTTGAACTTTGTAAACCAATTAAAAAAGCTAATGGATCAGGCCAACCACTTCTTGAATTATCAAATGTTGTTAAAATTGTCTTGATTGAATTTGTTCGTTTTGCAAAGAAAATTAATAAAAAATCAATAACCAAAACAGCATAGATAGTCCATAATATACATAATTTGTTAATCTTTTCCAAGTATTTTGAAAATTTGAAATTTATAAATCCACTAAATGCAAGCAATAAGTAAAAGACACCCAAAACCCAAAATCTATCTTCTTTATACTGTACATCCTTCAATCCAAATATACTTAGTATAAATTGTGATCCTGAAAACATAATCGAAATAGCATATGTCCAATTTCCAATAATTAATAACCATCCACAGAACCAAGATGCAACCGATGCATATTTTTCATTACTTAATAATGCACTGAAATGATAAACGCCACCCGCAGAAGGAAATTTCGATATAATTTCCGATAAACTCAATACAACAAATAATGAAAATATAGATACGGTAAGCCAACCATATAATATAGTAACATTAGCACCATCCATTAAACCGATCCATAAAGTAGATGATAAACCAAAAGGAACACCCATGACAGAAAACCCTAATCCAATAACCGAAGTAACTGTTAATTTTCTTTCTAATTGTTGCTTATATTTAAAATGTTCAACTCTTTCAATTTGATCTGATTCATCAGTGATTAAATTATTTAAGAATTGAATTGGAGCTGATGATCCAATATCTGATATTATATGAGAAGCATAACTAGGCGGTGGACTTTGAATTTCATCATCTCGATTCATTAAAGAATATAGAAATATTAAATTAAGAAAAATTAATAAGAACTACCATGTGTCTCGAAAATCTCGGAATTAAAGAATATCAATGATGAGGTTATGAACATTAAAATATTATGAGCTTAGGTTGGGTATATCTCTCAGTTAGAAATACTACTTGTTAAGACTCACCAAAACATCCTCAAGTTTATCTCTTCGTAATTACGACTCAGTTTGATCATTGTTTAAATATAGTTTATTTAATATTGTAATATTGTTGCAAAATATATTTGACGTGTGCACCAACTCAAGTCTAAATTTTGTTGATCAAAAGTTTTGAAAGAATTCTCCTTGTAATTTGAGTAAATATAAAAGGAAAATGAGAACCCATGATTAATTGATTGTGGAACAATGAATCGCTAAGTGATTAATATATCTACATTGAAAATCAAGGGACCTATGTAGTCGATTCTCCATCGGTTGAAATACTGTAAATGGTTTGGGGATTTATGCACTTTTGTAACTTGAATGAGTACTTGAAATTAACGTCATTCTATGTCACATAGTGTACGTAGTTGACTATATGCTCATGATAAGTCAATTGTTGAGTAATGTATTGTAGCTACTAAAAATTTTTGGGCCGTTAGTGATGCCAAATGCGAGACTTGTAAAGAAGTAACCATTCAACGATTTGGAATGGCTCTTCGGCCTCAATTTGTACTGGTAGGTTCATTAGACCGAACCTCATTGTATATAGATATGCAAGGTTTAAATCAAGCAGCATTGATCAAGAGAATCTTAATGTCATTTTGGTGTTTCTTCAAAAATTGAAAGGTTGAATTAAACAGTATTTGAATAAACAGATTGTATATTTTTTGGATCCATTTGCATTTCAAAGTTCTAAGAGATGCAAATCTTTTTGAATAAAATGAGTTTATTTATTAGAAGAGAGAATATTAACTAATTCACCACACAAATAAGCTACAAGAACTATCCAAAACTTTAATGAGATAATTCCTAGGACGATCCTAGTAACGTTTAACTTGTTTTTTGTATAGCTTCAATAGAAGCAAAATAATATTTGCGTCAAAACGCGCAAATACAGTTGGTAGCGCTTAAGTTTTTCAAATAGTTTCCAGTTTTCTGGTAGGTCAATTAAGGACCAAAACTGGAAAAAATAACGCTTACAACTGATTTAGCCTACTATACAATAGACCTTGAGCTCTTGTTTTAAAGCTTATAATTATACTTCCCTGAAATCAGCTACTTCGCGAGATATTTGCAATTTAGTCCTTGCGCTACCATCTCGTTATTAAGGAGCAAAATCAAAACCAATTTTTGTTACACAAAACCAAGTCCACAGATTGACAACTTTTCTTTTGGCAACTTTTGTTTGAATCATAGATTACTAGCGCATAACAATGTCAAATGACCTCAAATTAATTGATCTATATTTAAAAGATATTCTTGTTTATTTTTGATGAAAGGTGCAAAGTAGTAAATACATATCTCGTTGCAAATCGATATAATTCTTAATTTTGCAAATTTTAAGATAACTACTGTTGGAACGGTTCAGTCGTCATAAAACTAGAAGCATTAAGGTCTCTTTAGCTTTCTCATTCCATATCAATCCTTTCTGCTAATTGAAATTTAAATATTGTAGAGTTATTTCGCTGTGAAATATGAAAAAGTTGTCTATATCAATCATGCAAATATATACAAATTGAATCAATTACACCATTGAAACTAGTTGAGTTGAATGTAACGTTACCTTTGTAACATTTTTTTGGGGCTCCATTTGTCGTCATCATATATCATTCGAAAGTGACCTATTATTCATACCTATTATTGTACTGAAATTATTCAAATCATATTTTTATCACACTCTGCCCCTAGATTATTCAATAATTTAAAAGCTTTCAAGTATGAAAAGTAGTATTGACTCTCAAATAATTGTATTGAACCATTATTAAAAGTCATAATCACTATTTGCTTCATCTTCTTCATTAATTTCAGTAGTTTCTTCTTTGATTGATATTGGTAAACTTATACTCTCACTAGTTTTAACATATATATTGCCCAATTGGTTCAAGGTCAAAACACCTCCATTTGGTAAATTCTTCTCATCGAGTAAATAATTAATCACATCATTTATATTTTCAATTATTTTATTAGTAGACACATTAGTCATTCCAATTTTAATACAAAGACAATCACCATCAGTAGGTAAATAACTAGTATTCTCCACAATGCTTTTAATTTGTTTATATACATATTTTACCTCACATCTATCATCTTTAAGTTTATTTTCTTTACTTATTCTTAATTTTGATTTATCAGTTGTAGGTCTTGCCATTTGTAGAATATATGGTAATTTCTTATTTTTATGATAGAATATAGACCCTAGAATATTTGGTAAGAATTTATTAACTCGATGATCTGCAATTATATAATCACTTTCTTTAAATAATTTAACTAATTCTTTTTTATTCTTCTTCTTTAATCTTCTTATTGGTATTATATCATTAAATATATCTTGAGTCAATTCGTCTTTCAATAATTCAGATTTATAACTTTGATCATCTTTAGTTATTAATAATACTGATTTATTCGTCAAGGCATTTATTTTATTTGAGATTGGTATAATTCGTTGTATATAATCTTTTGACCTTATTAATTTCTTCTTAACATTGATTATTAAATATATTATCGATTCTTGATCATTTGACCTTAATGCATTCAAAGATTTTTTACTATTATTTAAAGCTTCATCTCCCAATACAAATGTTTCAGAATTCATCCGATGAGATGAAAAAATAAAATATACGATCGAAAAAAGTAATACATTTAAGAATAGCTATGTAAGAAATTGTACATGTGTTTAATTAATCACCCCTCAATGCTCTAATTACTGCTGGTCTCCTCATCATAAATTTAGTCCATTTATAAACTTCAGGAAATTCGACTTTTAAATTAATTCCAATTCTATCAACTACATTATTCCAAGGTACAAATGATAAATCAGCAACAGTTGCTCTATCTCCAACTAACCATACTGGATAATCAAAATATCTCAGTTGTGATAATGGGGTGGTACCAGCAGAATAAGCAGCAGCGTTTTCAACATCTAAATCCATAATTAAAGCTTCTCTTCTTTCAGCTAATGCCATTTCAACAACTCCATAAACTCTTCTAACTTCATCAGTATATCTTTCAACTGCTGAAGGAACAGGACATGAATGAAAATATCTAAAATGTAAAGCTTGACCAATCATTGGAGCATGACCAGAAGTCTGAAAAAATAACCATGAATTAATAGCCAGTTGTTCAATTAAATTGTCTGACCATAAATTACAACTACCGTTCTCTTTTAAATATTTTTGAACTAAATATAATATAATTGCACCAGATTCCCAAATTGATGTATTTTCATTATAATGGTCAATTAATGCAGGTACTCTTGCATTTGGATTTATTGTTACAAATTCTGGTGCTCTTTGTTCACCATTATTAAAATCAAGAAAAATTGTATTAAATTGTAAATTTAATTCGGATAATATAATGGCAACTTTAAAGCCATTAGGTGCTGATCTATGAGAAAATAATGTATATCCTTCAGTTGGTTGATTTTGAAAAAATTGTGAAATTCTAGATTGTATTTGTTGTGATTGTGATTGATTACTCTGACTGTTGTTCTGACTATTATTATTATTTTGATTATTTACTTCATTTTTTAAATGTTGTTGTAATAAATTTAAATTGACTTCATTTTGCTGTTGATCATTTAATGATACGGATTTTAGTCCTGCTGATAAATTGGATATCGTACCAACTCTTTGATCTATATGTTGGTCAGACATGAAATTTGATTATAATGAATGTGATTGAAAGTGTGAAAATGTCTTTGATAATAAGTACAACAAAATTTATTGAATCAATTGCTAATGTGAGTATGAATTGAATGTCTTTTCAATGGCTGATTGTATATGATTATTACTGTTTTGAATGGTTAATTTGTTTAGTAAGTAATAAAAACTGTGATAAAATTGTCTTGATAATTTTTTTTTATTTCTTAACAAGTTATTTGAAAATTATGTAATAAGTCACGCAAAAGTTATGTAAGATTTGTGTCAGAATACACGCTGTGTGATGATAACAGTTGAGTTGAAGAATATACCAGATTATCATTAACCAATGGGATTTTTGACCTTCCTATTCGAATGGTGTTGGTAAAATCTAAGTTTCTTATTTGAACGGTCTTGGTGAGATCTAAGTTTCCTATTTGAATGGTCTTGGTGAGACCTAAGTTTTATTCTGGGATGTGAATGCCGTTGGCTTCAATATTTCAACTAGTTTAGCGGATAATATCAGACTTGGCAATTTGAAATTATTATAATTGGGATTAGAATATCGATTTGAAACAGAAGTTACATTTACGAAGCACATGAGTCCAGAATATGTATTGTCTGTCTTCTACAATCCTTGACTAATTATTCAATCAATCGATTATTGTAGAGATTTCACCAAAATGTCAAAAAAATGTCTTAATTCTCTAGCTCATTCCCGATTTTGTTATCGAGTAGTTACTCTAAACGTAGCTCTCTACATTAGACAGTCTAAAAAGTACACTGTAACTTATCCAGTGCTTCTTTTAATTGGCTGCAAAAAGTCATTGATAACTATCATATTTACACGGCACCATTTTCCTAATTAGGCTATTGTCAATTTATATGCAGTATCAGTATATCAAACAATTTATTTTCAGCCACATCAAAATAAATAATAATTTACAACCTTTGATTTAATATATGACAGAAGATAAAGAAACCATTCCTCATATTGCAATATTAGTATTAGATGATGAAATACCAAACATCACTTCCAAATATGGAGATTTCGGAGACAATACAATAAATTTCTTATCAAAAGCATCAAATCAATTACCACCGACGGTCAAATATCAATTAAAATCAGAAAATTCAGAATTTTTAAATGGTCAATATTCAAAATTAAATCTTAATTTACAGAATAATTATATTATAGGATTTATCTTGACTGGATCAAGATCAGATAGTTTTAGAAGTGATATTGAATGGATTAATAGGTTGAATAATTTCATAACTGAGCAATTAGTTCCATCAAATTTACCCTCCATTGGACTTTGCTTTGGTCATCAGATCCTTTGTAAGAATTTAGGATGTAAGATTGATCGAAATGATAAAGGTTGGGAATTAGGTACTGCTACAATAAACCTCAATACAGAAATTTTCAAAATTTCGAACTCGCCATTCTTGGAATTAAAATTGGACAATGAAGAACTACTTAATCATTTAAATTTAATTGAATTTCATCGTGATATTGTCTATGGATTACCTAATGCTTTAACTGATGATGATAAGTATTTAAATATTGGATCGACTTCAAATTGTGCAATTCAAGGAATAATAGGTGGAAATATATTGACATTTCAAGGACATCCTGAATTTGAAACTGATTATTCTTTAGACTTGTTAAAACTGAAGTTTGATGCCGGTGTAATTGAATTGAAAGAATATGAAAAGGCAAAATATCATACTGAGACATTAAACAATCAAGGTGTATTGATTGGAAAAGTTATATTGAAATTTATAGAAGATAATAGACAATAAGGACTTTAAATTCTAAAAATCTATATTTCATTAAGTTTCTATTCATTAACTAAAAAGCTTTTACGATTTGGACTTACGATAGTAAACCCACTAACTTTATTATTATTATTACCATTACCACCGAGTTTCTTCTCCATTAATTTCTCATTCTTTTTATTAGATACATCCAATTCCATTTTTAATTTATTAACAGTTTCAATTAATTCATTCTTTTGATTCTTGAGATATTTGATCTCATTAACATATATTTCAACATCATTATTTTCTTTACCTAATTCCAAACTCTCAAATTTATTTAAGAGATCAACATTCTTTTGTTTTTCAATTGTCAATTCATTTACTCTTTCTTGCATTTCAGTAAGTCTATCATTCTTTTCTAATAATTCTTCATAAATTTGTGTTTTTGAAGCATCTCTGTTCATATTTATTGTCCTTTGATGAGTTAATTTATTTTCAAGATCACTTATAATTTGTGATTGATTCGTAATTTTAACTAATTCGTCTAAATGTAATTTTTGTATGCTTTTATTCTTCAACATTTGTTCTAATGATATTTCTCTCCTAATTGAACTTGCGAATTCTTTCGATATGAGTGATAATTCAGCTTGTAAAGATTTAACATCTTCATTAGATGATGAAGAGACATATGATGATTGATCCTCTTGAAGTTGTTGTTGTTCCTCTTTCTTTTTAGATGAGAATGATAATCTTTTGAAAAATGATGGTTTATCAGATGATTTCCTCGATAATTTTGAACTCAATTGTGATGAAATTGATGTTGAACGTTTTGTGATTGGCTGTTGTTGTTGTGGTTGTTGTTGTTGTTTTGATGCAATTGTTGAAGTGTCATAATTTGATGAACTTGATGATTCATTAACTGATGGTGTCATTTCTTGATAATTTGATTTAAAATTATTAAATGCTGTATTTTCTCTTAATTTATATGATGATTGAGATTCAGCTAATGATGGAGATGTTGAAACTTGTCTTTGTTGTTGAATTGTAGGTTTTTCATAATTATCATTTTCATTAACTGCCTTTATGTCAGCTGTTGGAAAAGGGAAATCAGAATCAAGAGTTCTATTTGAAGTAGTTATTCTTCGTGATGAATCTACAGTATTGAATGATTGTGAAGATGAGGTTGAATTTGATTCCACTTCATTTAAATCAGGTTCTTGCTCAGGCATTTCTTTTTCTTTATGAGTTTGTTCAATTGGTGAAATTGGTGGTGGCTTTCTTCTTGCTGATGTTGATGAAGTACTTGTATTATTTGAATCATTACTTGCATTATTATTACTAAATAGGTTCAATTTTCTAACTTTCATTGAATTGTTCTTCTTTATTGTTGATTTTCTAGATAAATTTGAAGCTGTGGCAGCATCTTCATTATCAAATTTATATATAACATCATTTTCATCATCTTCATTATCTCTTTTATTACTTATTTCATCTTCTTTTTCTTCAGGTACATCTTTTAAAGAATCTGAAGAATTAAAACTTTGATCATATACCGGATGAGGTACCTGAGGTTGTAAAGCTTGATTTTGTTGTTGTGAAAGTTGTTGAATGTATACTTGTGGATCCCCTCTTATGATATTTTGACTTCTCAATGGTTGTTGTTGTTGTTGTTGTTGTTGATTAAAAGTATTATAACCACCTAATGATTTTGTTCTTGGATATTGTTCATTTGGATTATATGGTTGTTGTTGATACTGATTTGGATAATTTTGAAATTGTTGTTGTTGTTGAGGTAGATACCCATTATTATTATTCATCAATGACATCGATCTTGGACCACCATTCATTTGTTGTGGATGATATTGTTGTTGCGGATAATTTTGCATTGGAATTGGACCACCAGTTCTTAGCGACATTGCTCTTGGATTATTTCCCATTTGTTGTTGATGATTTATATACATTGGATTTTGCCTATTTTGCATTGACATATTTCGTGCAGATCCACCATTTGATTGTAATGACATTGTTCTTGGATAATTCATAGTTAAAAACCTTGGATCTTGTGGAGTTTGTGGATTTTGTGCTTGTGGTTGTCCTTGATTCATTGGATTTATACCATTTGCGAAACTATTTGCTCTTGCACCATTTAACATTGCCATTTTCTTTTGTTGATTCATTTGTTTTCTATATTGTATATTATTACTTGCTTTTGCTGGATTTGGATTATTTGAACTTAAAGTAGGGATAATTGGAGTTGTATCTAAAGATTTACTAATCCCATAAGGACCTCGATTTCTAATATGAGTTATATCATCAAATGAAACATTACCACTAGTTAAATCTTGAATATCAGCACCTGTTTCATCATCAAAAAGTGGTTGATTTTTGGTTCTTCTGAAAAATTTATTAATATTTGATTGAGATTGTGATGTTAAACTTGATTTTCTAGATGATGCAGCTTGCATAGGTACTTGCTGTTGAAATTGCGGAGGTGAGATTGATGCATTTGAAGTATATGGAGTCCCACCATTTGAAAATTCATAATTATAATTTCCATTTCCATTTCCATTTCCCATAGTTGAGGCTGAATTTAATGAAAATGTATGCAGTTGAGCTTGAGCCTGAGCGTGGGGCTGTTGATTATTATAAAATTGTTGTTGTTGTTGCAAATAAGCCGGTTGAAATTTTTGTTTATTTTGCTGTTGTAATGGTTGTGATATCATTTGACTATGTAACCCATCACTTAAAGCATCAATATCTTGTTCACCATTTAGTATATTTTGTCTTAAACGTGCTTTATCCATAATATTAAATGAAAGATATAAATATAAGATCTGACAAATAAATTAATTAACTCTCGTGTTTCTAAAAGATTGTCAAATATAATGAATAAAAGAATGAATAATGGTAAATTGTTATTAAACTGTTTGGTATTAGTATTGGTTAATAGTATTAAAAACAAGTAAAAATATAGAGAGATTTCAAATATGGTAGTGTACTAGTTGCCAAAAATAGAATTTTTTTTTTTTTTTTTTTTTTTTTTTTTTGGAAATTTATATTTAGCAGCTCTTGCTTTTACCTTGCAAATCTATTTATAACCGTGTTTCTAACGGAGTTCAGTAATATTTGAGCGCGTTAAATTGGTCATTATTGGGTTGATGAAGGAATTCTATATAGCATTGAGCAATTCTACCTCGATCCAGGGTTTATGTTGCAAATCTTTAATCATTGTTGCAATTAAAGACTAAGAGATTGAATAGAGATTTTGTGGTACCTGAAAAGAAAAAAAATTTTCTTCTTGCAACAGAGTTTTCAATTTTAGATCTGAAATTTCATATTGATTCTGTCTAAAAATGTGTAGTTTCTTGCTTAATGGAATATAAGCTATTATGCTGGATACTTCTCTTGCAGTAGTTGAAGTAAACTAAGGTTGTGTTACGCATTTATCCTTGTTATCCGAAGAAAAAACAAGAAACATTAAGTTATTTAATATGTCCATTTCAAAGTGGCATTGTTTTGTTTTTATTTGTCGTATTTGATACGATAATTGACAAACCCTTACACTCAATGCGAACCTTTATATCGAGATTTTGTAAATTATGCCCTGGGATCGCGCTTAAAAAGTTTAAATTTAGGTCAATCTTTGATTGCAATAATTGGAGATTGACTAATCTTACAGCTTAGTAGAGTCTTTAGATAGATACTTTCAATAAATAATAAAACCATGTATTAAAACTCCATGTATTAAAAGAACTTTGTAATCTATAAATAATTTGTCGCACTTTTTCTTCTTTATTCTCCTTCATGATCAACTATAATTCCAACTATTTTATATCGATTCTTAAAAAACTTAATCCAATCGTCAATTATAGCCAATTGTTTGTCACCCAAATCTGAATAATCCCAAGTATCTTTCCCATCCAAATCATCAATTTTTAATTTATTTAATCCTAATAATCTAGTAGCTTCTTTTCCAACGAATACATGATATGGTTTACCATAACCATAACTTTGAGCGTTGGAAGTAACATCATATATATAACCTTTTATACCAACATAAATTTCGTCCCTGGTTTCTCCATTATAATTAGATAATTGGGATCTAGTGAAAATAGGGAGGCTATGTAATTCTAATGATTCATTGTATTTATAAATTTCAGTTGGTTCACCGTTATTATCACCAAACATCTTCAGCTCAATTGAACAAACTGTGGTTTTTTCTCTTTTCTGTCAAATGTGGAGTGAAAATAAAAATATAAATCTGTTTCAATTTTGTTGATATTGGTTGGTACACGATTGGCGATTTTTTTTTTTTTTAATTTTGAAACATCAAATCAATTTAAACTTGCAGCAGATAACTGATATATATTGATATGGTAAGTAATATGAGATATTATAAGATATTATAAGATGAGAAAGTACTAACCTTTATTTAGTCAGATGACAAATATCCCACAAGTATACAAAATTTATTTAAACCAAAACTACCATTTAAATATGTTGAACCAAATGATTACCCACCCCAATTACGTAAAACATCAAATATAACGCCAATAACAAATTATAAATCATACATTTATGATTATGTAAAGAACATATCTACAATTGAAGAAGAAAATAAAAATAAGATAAAAAAATTAAGACCAAAACAACAAAAAATACGAAGTCATAATCAATTGAAAATAAACGCAAATTTGAAAAAACAAGAAAAGGAAGAAAATCTACAACGACAAATTAAACAATGGAATGATCCAGAATATTTAAAAACTTTGGAAGAAAATGGTACGTTTACTAAGGATCCTTATAAAACTGTATTTTTAGGAAGATTACCATATGAAATAGAAAATGGTTCAGAATTGACTAAATATTTTGAAAAATACGGTCCAGTAGAAAACATTAAAATAATTAAAGATTTAGATGGGAAACCTCGAGGTTATGGTTTTTTAATTTTTAATTCTGAATATGATGCTAAATCTTGTGTTTCTGACCTATGTAAAACTGGATTAAAATTAAATAATGGTAAAAAAGTATTGATAGATTTTGAAAGATCGAGAATTATGAGAAATTTCAACCCCAGAAGATTGGGGGGAGATGAAGGAGGAAGAGGATATACTAGAACAGGAAAATATTCATCAGTAGCTTCAACTGGAAGAAGAATGAATATTGCAAATAATCCAAATATACAAATCCCACCAAAAAGATCGTATCAGAATAATAATTCACATCATAATAGTCATCATCAACAACAACAAATGACACTGCATCTACGTCATTCTAATCCACCTCATAATGGGATTTCAAATATACCGACTGGTCCAACTAGTATGAGAGATAAATATGCAAAATATTCAAGTGTTTCAAGTAGTAATGGTAAATTACCTACTGGACCAAGTGCAGCATTGAATACTAATGGTAAATTACCAACTGGTCCAAGTTATAAATCACAATCGAGTGATAGATCAATGAGAAGTATAAGAAGAGGAGATTAATCTCTCAGGGCATAAAACATTTTCCAATTAGCATACGAACATAAAAGCGTTTATAGTCTAATGAATTCATAATGAATATATAGTACTTTAACGATCTCTTGGTGAACCATTTCATGCGGCTTCATATTGTTCCTAATTCATCAAATCTTTAAATTTCATTGTTTTTTTTTTTTTTTTGCTTCTTTTTCAATTTTGACTTATTCCTTTAATTAATAGAAACAATTGTAACAACAATGGTTGAAGAAAGTCCAATTAAGAGAAAAATAGATACTGAAGAAGAAGATAAGAATAATGAACTAGATAACTCAATTCAATTAAAACGATCAAAATCAACAACAAAAGAAGAAGTAGAGACTAATAAAAATGATAATGCTGCTTTAAAACAATCTATAATTGATGAAGTAACAAGATCTTTTAATGATAAAATAAATAATTTAGAACTGAGAATTAAAAAATTGGAAAATATATTATATTTAGATGATGATGAAGGAAAAGAAGAAACAATTTCAAAAGCCAAAGTAATAGTGAAGAATGAAAATAATACTGTACCACCACCGTTACCACCTAGAGAACCAACAATTACAACAAATAGACCACAAATAACAAATAATTTCAAACCTAAATCTACTTTTGGAGCTCCTTCTTTTTCATTCCCGAAAAATACAGCTGCGACAGGCTCAGTTTCAACTTCATCACCTGCTAAAACTCCATTATCTTCATTTAATGAATCTACAACAGTTCCAAATAGTCCTAAACCTGTTTTTGGAGCAACTACAAGTTTTGGAAATAAAGAAAATACACCATTAAAACCAACAAAAACAGAAACTAATAATAATACTAGTAAAATAACATCATCATTTGGATTTGGTTCAAATTCTCGATTTGGTAATGCTTTTCAAGAATCATTAAAGAAGAAATCATTCCTTGATGATGAAGCAGAAGCTAAAAAAGAAGATAAGGAGACAATGATAGATAAAGAGTCAACACCACGACCACAAGAATATAAACAAGTAGATTTAACACCAATTGAACAAACAACGGGAGAAGAAGATGAAAAATCTTTATTTAATTGTACTGCTAAATTATTTGAATTGAATTTTAAAAACATGTCTGAAGGATGGAAAGAAAGAGGTGTTGGACCATTACATTTAAATCAAAAGAAAAGTGACAACAGTTTGAATAGATTAGTAATGAGATCAAATGGATTATTAAAAGTGATTTTGAATTATAAATTGACTAAAGAGACAGAAGTTTTAAAAGGTTTGGAATCAAGTTTAACACCAGGGAAATATTTTAGATTAAATTCAATAAATGAATCAAAAGAACCAATACAATACTTATTAAAATTTTCAAATGAAGATATAAGAAATGAATTAATTGAAAAAATTGAAAGTGCAACTAAAGCTTGAATATTAAACTAACTACTGTTGATCCTTTTATCCCTCCAAATTGAAAACTAGGATATGTTAATTCATCCAGATATTTTAAGTTTGAATTTGATGTTATGATATTTATGAGTTCATCTTTTGTAAAATTACATGAAGTTATTAAAAAAATGGAATTTTCATTCACCAATGATTCAATTTTGGAAGGATATAATTCCATTCCTATTTTATTATTAATTATTGGTGTTTGATTAAGGGCAATTGCATCTAATGTTCCCTTATCTAATAAAATGTCATATTTGCCAGTATAATTTTCAGTTAATAGATCTACTTGCTCAAATTTAAAACAATCAATATTAGGATACTTCTTATTTGCAATTTCTGATGAAAATTTGACGGAGTCGGGTGAATAATCAATGCCGGTAAATTTGAAATTTTCCACATCTACTTCTTCCTCTTTTAAATCTTCATATAATTGAAATAATAAATGACCATTACCAGTTCCTAAATCTAAAAAATTAACCTTCTCTAGTTGATTATCTTCTATATATTCAATTATATATTGTATCATTTTATCTTCTGCATTTGAATCATTAAACCAACATTCACCTAAATCTTCATCATTTTCATTAAAATTCTCTATTTCTTTTTGATAAAATTCGTTCCAATAATCTTTAGTACCCAATTTAGAACTATTCAATCTTTCAGTCATTCTATATCGTAGATGAGATCTCTTTCTCTTTCTCTTTCTTTCGTTTCTTGTAACTTTTTATTTTTTTCACTTACGCGTAAAAAAATAAAAAAAAAAAAAAAAAAATCTGAAACAAATTGATTTAATTAATTTATAACCACCATGGCTATTCAATTACAAGAACAAGTAGACACAGATATGGATTCTGGTCCAATTACAGATAATATACAGCATAGTTATCGAATATGGAAGAAAAACTCCCCATTTCTTTATGATTATTTAATTACTCATTCTTTAATATGGCCAAGTTTAACGTGTCAATTCTTTCCTGATTTATATAGTTCAACAAATGAAGATATTGAAATTCAAAGGTTATTAATTGGTACATTCACATTGGGCCAACAAATAGATTCAATTTCAATTTTACAAACTCCTATCCCATTATTATCAAATATAAATCACAATAAAATCAATTTTAATAATGATAAAAGTGAAATTGAAATTAATAATTCTCAAATTCCAAGTATAAGGATTAAAACATTACAAAAGATAAATCATAATGGAGATGTTAATAAATTGAAATATATGCCTCAAAAACCAAACATATTAGCATCAAGTAATAATTTAGGAAATTTAGTCATTTATGAAAGAACAAAACATTCAAATGTTAATAAAACAATCAGTGATCAATTAAATAAAGTGCAAATTAATTTAAAAAATGATAGAGTTGAAAGTTCTGTGGATATTTTTGCACTTGATTGGAATAAAAATAAAGAAGGATATTTAGTCAGTGGTGATATGAATGGAATTTTAAATTTATATGATATTACAAAGTATAAAAATGATGAAATGAATCAAATTAATTATTGGAATGTAGATGGTGGTGTTAATGATGTTGAATGGTTACCTACTCATGATTCATTAATAAGTAGTATTACAGACACAAATTTAAAAATTTACGATATTAGATCAAATGAAAATATTGTTAATGAAAGATATGGTTTGATTAGTGGTAATTCAATTGCATGGAATCCTTCATTTGCTACTGGTTTTGCAATTGGTGATTCGGCTGGTTATATCAAAACTTACGATTTAAGGAATTTGAAAGAAGTTGTTGGTGAGTTTAAAGTTCATAACGATTCTATAACTCAAGTCAAATGGCATCCTAAAAAGCATAATATTTTGGGATCAAGTTCCACAGATCATTCAGTCAAGCTACATAATTTTGCAAATGAAACGGAACCTACTTTTTTTCAACATTTGGGTCATATGTTAGGTGTTAATGATTTTGATTGGAGTCTAGCTGATGATTGGTTATTATCTAGTGTTGGTGATGATAATAGTTTACATTTGTGGAAACCATCTAGTTCAGTTACTAAAAATTTATAATGATGAATAATACTGTAGGAATATATAATGATTAATTGATAGCCTATTAACTTATTTGAGCTGTGAGAGATAGTCCGAGAGTAATAAGCCCTACTTAAACTGCTTACAGGGTTTTTATCTCTTCCATTCTTTGTTATCTGATCTGTCGGTCTTTTCATTTTCTAGAATATATATATTTTTAACTAAACTAAGTTAGGTTAGTGTTTTTATTTTTTTGCAAATAATTTTTCAACATCATTTAAAGCTTCTTGTAAAACTCTTTCTTGAAATTTTTGATTTTCAATATCTTTTTGAACTTTTTCAATAACAAAATTTGCCAATTGTTCTTGTTCAATTTGTCTTTGTTGATTTTCAAATCTAACCCAAGAATCTAAAACAGATTTAGCTTCATTATGAACTGCCAATTTTTGTTTTAAAACAAATGAATCACTTTCAAATTTTGCAGTTTCTTTTGATAAATTAAATAAATCTTTTGTTTCTTCAACTACATTTGATAATTGTCCAACATTTTCAATTCTTGACTCAACTGCTTTAACATGTTTTTCTCTTGATTGAGATAAAATATCCCTAACTTTTTTAATTTCACCATCTGCCCATTCAGTATATAATGGTGCAACAAATTTAGCAACTAATGTAGTAAATGATGCAAATGTTAAAACTAAAATAGTTTCATCATGTATAATTAATAATCCATTTGAAATTGCATAAATTGCAGCTGCTGCTGAAGTAGCTAAAATACCAGTTTTTGATAATAATGAAGTGCCAGGTAATGCTTCAATAATTGATGATGCTTTTTGTTTTGGATCTTGTTGTGCAGGAGTAGGAGTAGACATAAATCTAACACCAATTGGAGCTTGTCTGAATGCCAATCTTGAAGCTGGTCTAACAGCTGATTTCAATGCAATTCTATTGATCATAATATTACTCTATAAGCTGTTGAAGATTTTTTTTCAATATCGGTTTCAATATTTATTTTGTTTAGTGTAAAAATCAGAATTATGAAATTTGATTGGAGAATTGTAGACTTCCTAATTTGGTAGTATATATTTATCTTGGATTATTTTATTTAATTTGAGAGTAGTTTTTAAATTAGCTTTACGATAATATTTACTTAGATCTTCTTTTAAATCTTTAGTATATGATACTTTAGAAGGTATAGATTCATCTTCAACTGGGTTCACTGTCTCACCTTGTATATCCTTAGATTTATCATTTTCAGATATTGTTGGTTCATCTACAACCTCTGCTTCTTCTTCTTTTATTGTTTCATCTTTAATAGGCTCTTCCGTCAGTAGCTTCTCTTCTTCTTTCTGCCTATTTTGTCTCTTCTTCCTTAATTCAGCTAATCTTGTTTTCCTATCTATTTCACTCATTATCACCAAATTATTTTTTTTTTTTCTTTTAATGTAAACATAAAAAACTTGCAACCAATTTAATTTAAATGTCTTTTTTAAAGAGTTTACAAGATTTTCTTAGTGATGAAGATGATGATGATGTGAAAGGTAGATAATTACCCTGAGAGATGAGTCAATGGACTTTACTTATGTACTAATCTTAATTTAGATTATAGGAAGAGAATTCCAATTCAAAATCGCCCTGTGCTGATTAGACCAGATCCATCACAATTAGCATCACCAATTCATTTTCAATTCAATGAGGATAACAATAATAAGGATGTTAGCGTACCATTAAATGAAGCTAATTATAGTAATTTCAGAATACCATTATATGAGGATAATAATTTTAGACCATTAAATGAAGATCATAATTACAATAGTAATTTAAAAAGACCATTAACTGAGGCGAATAGTAATGTTTTTAAAAGAACTGTTAGTGCTGCTGAATCACTAAATCGATTTAAGTATAAGGAAGATGGTAATGCTGGTGCTGAAAAATTAGCTTCTCCTCAACCTATTAGTATTAGTTCAAGAAGTAACAGTGCTTTTGAAGATGGTGCAATTAGTATCAAAGGCTTGGATTTTATAAATGAAGAAAAATCGGAACCTAAAACTCCTAAAAAAATTTCTAGTAATAATTCAATTAATGAAGATGGTTTACCTGCTAAAGCTAAAAAGTTTAAAACATTAGGTCCTTCAAAACAAGTTACTCCAAATAAATTTACAGCTTATAATAAACCAAAAGAATTAACTCAACGTATACTTGGAAAAGGCAATGCAATTGAAGAAAATAATTCACGACAATTTACTCCACGAATACTTGGAAATAATAACGGCGAAAAATCAAAAGTTACATCATTTAATAAATCTAGAGATAGAACAGGACGTTTATTCGAACCAGATAATTCAATTGATGATCTACCTGAGTTTTCTGATGATGATGAGGTTTCAAAACAACCACGTAATACAAGTACTATTTCAAAAAGATTTGATCAACTACAATTTAAAATTCCACCTCCAAAAATTGTTTCGAATGATGTTGAAGATGTTTCAAGTAGATCAATTCAAAATAAAAATCAAAATATCATACCCAGTAGTTCATTTTCATTTAGAACTCTAGATACTACATTATTATCATCAAAACGATTAACTATTGATGTATTACCACCTAATTTACGTAACATTTTTACATTTCAAGAATTTAATGAAATGCAATCTGAGTGTTTTCCGTCAATATATAATACTCAAGATAATTGTGTAATTAGCTCACCAACAGGATCAGGTAAAACTGTATTATTTGAATTGGCAATATTAAAAGAATTTAGTAAACAAAGTATTGAATTTAAAGTATTATATTTAGCTCCTACAAAAGCATTATGTAATGAAAGATTAACTGATTGGAACTCAAAATTTTTAGGTTTGGGTATTACATGCGGGATGTTGACTGGAGATACTGGATTTAAAGAAGCTGAGAATGTTCGAAAGTCAAATATAATTATATCTACTCCTGAAAAATGGGATATGATATCTCGAAGATGGAGAGATTATAATAAATTATTTGGATTGATTAAATTATTATTAGTTGATGAAATTCATATATTGAAAGAGAATAGAGGATCGACATTAGAAGTAGTAATTACTAGAATGAAGAAAATATGTATTGGATTAAGAATATTAGCCATTTCTGCAACTGTTGCAAATGCACAAGATATTTCCACATGGTTAAAATTAGATGATGAATCAATACTCCCTGCTCAAACATTATGTTTTGGTGATGAATATCGTGCAGTCAAGTTGAATAAATTTGTATATAGATATAAATTATCTAAAGATTTTAATGATTTTCAATTTGATCAATTATTAAATACGAAATTAATGGAGATTATAAATTTACATTCAAATGATAAACCAGTATTAATTTTTTGTTCAACTAGAAATAGTTGTCAAAAGACAGCAAAATTTGTAACACCAATTAATTGCGGAATTGAATTGAACTTAAAAGATCGTGAATTATATAATTTAGTTAAAAAGGGAGTTGCTTATCATCATGCTGGTTTATCATATTCCGATAGGAAACAAATTGAAAGTGCTTTTTTAAACGGTAAGATTAAATTTCTTTGTTGTACTTCAACATTAGCTGTTGGTATAAACTTACCTGCTTATTTAGTAATCATAAAGGGGACAAGATGTTGGAATGAGAATGGATTTAAAGAATATGCCGAAACTGATATTTTACAAATGTTGGGAAGAGCAGGTCGTCCTCAATTTGAAGATGAAGGGTGTGCAGTAATAATGACAAATGAAAAATTAAAATTAAAATATGAAAGATTAATCAAGGGGACAGAGAAGATTGAAAGTAGTTTACATTTAAATTTTAATGAACATTTAATTGCTGAAATGGCAGTTGGTACGTTTATGGATTTGAATGATGCTATAAAATGGATAAAACAGACATATTTATATGTGAGATTTTTACTTAATCCAACTTATTATTTAATTTCAAATGATATTGTTCAATTTTGTAAATCTAAAATAAGGGAACTTGAACAAGAACAACTTATTCATGATTTTAAATGTACAAATTATGGTATGTCTATGACTATGCATTATATTCAATTTGAAACCATGAAATTATTAATTCATAACAATGTTAAAAATTTATTAATTACTGATTTGTTAGATCTCATTGCCAAATCTTCCGAATTTGCAGATTTGAAATTAAAACATGTAGAGAAGAAATTATATAAGGAAATAAATAAAAGTGTAAAGTATCCCATGAAACAATTGAATAAAATAAATTGTATAATTCAATTTGAATTAGGGGGTATTGAATTTCCAAATTATAATGGATCAATGAAGTTATATTCAAGTTTTTTAGGTGATAAATTTTATGTATTTAAACATTTACCTAGAATTTTAATGGTGATGTTGGATGTGTTTGTTGAGAAGAAAGATGCTGGATCATTAATTAATACAAGTTGTTTATTAAGATGTGTGAATGGGAAATGTTGGGAAGATAGTTCAGATGAATTAAGACAAATAGATGGAGTAGGTACAGTTAATGCTAAAAAATTCTTCAAACATGGAATAAATTCATTAAATGACGGTCGATCATTAAACTCATCACAAATTGAATACTTCCTAGACTTGAAAACGGGAGCTGGAATGAAAATCTACAAGATTTTGTCATCATTTCCTGAAATTACTATTTCCATTACACTTGAGGATCAAAAATTGGTAGATAATCAAATCAGATTGAAATTCGCTATAGATTTAAAAGTAAATGCTCCAGTATCTACATTCAAAAGTAAACCGATATATGTCCAAGTAATAAGCAGTATTGGGAATTCCTTAATTGATTTCAGAAGAATTCCCGTTAGAAAAGTAGGTAATGGTCAATTATACAGAATTGAATGTTTTTTAAATAAAATTGAGACTATGATTGATGTAAATGCAAGTACGGAACAGATAGCAGGGATAAAAACACACCAAAGTTTAGAAATCAGATTAAATGAATATTTATTAAAAAAATTCATACCTCAATGGGATACTGATGAAGATGATGGATTTGAAGAATTATGGAAGGAACAAGAAGAGATTAATATGGTAGAAGAAGTTATTCAGCCTGTTATCCCGGAGGGTAGAATTGCATGTAATCATAAATGTAAAAATAAAAATACTTGTGCTCATTTATGTTGTAAAAATGGATTAGTTAAAAAGAAGAGAATTAAAGAAGTTATTGAAGAAGGAGCTCTACAAGAAGTTCCAAAGTTGTCAGTTACTGAATTAAGAGCAAGGAAGAGGAAATTTGGTGATTTGTTTAGTGATCCTGATGATGAAGATGTTAATAAAAGTAATGTTATTAATTTAATTCCAGAACAACAAACTAAGAAATCATATGTGTTTAAAATTGGTGATAATGAATGTGCTAAAAATAATGAAGACGGTGATGGAAAGAAACCTCATTTAAGTACATTTTTTGATTCTTCTTCTGATATAGAAGATTATAATGTTCTAAAATTATTTGAATCATCTCAAATAAAGGAAGATCAAGATGGTAAGTTGTTTGTAAGTGATAATGAGAATGTACATGATAAACCAAAAGTCGTTGAGTTAGATGTTGATGATAATGAAAGTGTACATGAAGAACCAAAATTTGTTGAACAAGATGTTGATGATGATAAAGGTTTGAACGAAATTCCAAAGAAATATGTATCACATTCTGATGGTAAAAAAGTACCGGAAGAACCAAACATGGTTGATTTTGATTGTGATGATTTATTTAGTCAATCAACACCTCAAGCACAATCAAATGAAATAAAATCAACTGTCGTTCCTGATATTAAACCATCTGATCCTGTAGAAGAGAATGAAAGTAATAATGATATTAGTGATACTGTTAAAGGAGCTGTTAGTAATCAAAGCAAGGAGGATGTAATTGAAACTAAAGAAAAAGGAGATGGTACTGCTGGTGCTACTAAACAAAATGGTAATAATAATTTCGTTGCATTATCAGAACTTCAAATATATCAAATTTTAGAAACAGAAGTTAAATCAAACAACAGTATTGCACAAGAATCAGATATTCCAACTGATGATGTACCATTTGGAGATATGACTACTTTATCAACACCAATTATAGAACAAGAAGTTGCAAAATTAAATCAAAGTGAAATACAATTGATTTTAGATTTCCTAGATAAAGAAATGTAATTTATTAAAAGAAATTTATGAATAATTCCCGTATAAACTGATCACTTATTCTCATGTGTGCTTCGTCAATATTCAAAAACACTATTTTTCCCTCTTCATTTAAATCCTTCAAACCGATATAATTCTTTTGATAGATTTCAGTTTCGATCATCGGTATAACTATATCTTTCTCTTTATCATAATCATAAAACATCGAACTTTCTTTCGGTATAACTGTTGTATCTTTTAAAAAATTGACTAATATCAATTTATTCAATTTCTTCATATTTTCAACATATGTTTTATTCTTAAATTTTCTTTCATTATTTATATCAGCTAATAAATTAGAATACTTTAAATATTTTGCATATTCTACTTTTTCATGATCTCTAAAATATTGAGCGGGTATTAAATGTTTCTGAATATTATCGTTCCATATTTGTCTTTTTAAAAGTTGATTTCTACGTCTGCATATCCAATCATTAGATTCACAGATCGAAACTTCTAATACTCCAAGATGAGGAGATCCAAAAGAGACGAAATTTTCAACAACAAGCCCAGAACAGCGTTCAATTAATCCTCGAGATAGGACACCACCTTGTGAAAATCCAATAATGTTAAAACCATGAAATAATTCAGTAATATTTGATAATTGAGCACATATTTGACTTATTTGAATATTTGCATCTCCAAAGTATGAATTTTGTTCATCAGTAGAAGGATCTTCATCTAAATAAATTGAATATATAAATGTATTAGGATAAATCTCATTAATTATTTCACTTACTCGATGTATACCTGATGAATTATAATTATCACCGAGACCATGCCATATCACAACTGGTTTAATTCTTTTAATGTCTTCTAGTTTAAATAAACTTGTAAATGTAAATAGTATCAAATTGAATATTGAAAATAAGTTCATTAATGATATGCACCCTGTCAAATAATTTTCTTTACAACCTGCGGCTTATAAGAAAAGTGAAACATTGGTAAAATGGTTAATTCAAAGGTAATTTTTACATTTACCTATAAAAACTAATACTAAAAAAATTACCACAAACTAAACAATAATTCAAAATCTCAAAAATTTCAACCTTTAAACTTGAAAATTTACCAAATTTACAACTATTCATAAACCATTATTAGAACTTAATTCTCTTCAAATATCATTAGGAATATTATCATAATCTAATGTTGATAAATCTAATTTAACTTTTTCCGAACCAAAAGTATTTTCTCCAGAATATAAAACATATAAAAATCCATCTTCATCTTTATGTTCATCATAAATTGTACTAATTAAAGCAGCAGTTGGAGGTAAAATATCATTAACAAATATAAAAATAGCCTTTTCACTTGGTAATTTAATTCTTTTTCTAATTACATATACAAATTGTCCAACTGTTAAATCAACAGGTACTAAATATTTACGTTTATCAATTTCTGGAATATCTGAATTTTCAACCTTTTCACAAATAACGGGAATTCTATCTTTAAATCTTTGAGCAATTCTAGCTGCTTCTGCTTGTCTTTTTTCTAAATGAAAAATGTTAGTATTAAATCATTAGAAAAAAAAACCTGTGGATTTAAGTACTTACCAAAAGGATGTTCGTCTTTAAATTGAGATCTCATTGTAATTACTAAATTGTTAGTATTTCTCATAGTTAATTTGAATTTTAAAGTATCAGCCGATTAATCCCCACAAATTGCCACTGGCTTTTAATTGATACAAATTCACTCATCTTTTAATTTGTTTACATACTAATTATATCTAATTTATATTATCAGTTGATGTGATTTATTAACTTTTAATTGATTGATTAATTGATGTTGTATTGAATATGTAATATGTAATATGTGTTGTTGTTATTTGTTGATGTTTTGTTGATTAATGATATATAAAAAAAACCTGACTGATAAGAAAAATAAGGGATTTTTGTTTATATATATTTAAAATATATATATATATTGATCGGTACACTACCTCTCGCTAACTTAAGCTTATCTCTTATCACCAGAAGGTCGTGTACTGTGTTCAAACCATTTTATATATTTTTGTTTTTTTGTTTTAAATTTGGTTGCAAAAAGTGAATTTTAAAATTGGTTGGGATGGTAACAAAATCAGAATTAAATTTATTGAATAGTTTTAATAAGGATGGAAAGTATGATAATTCATATGTATGGATAATTACTCAGAAGAAACAACAGCAATTTGAATCTGAATTTAATATTACACGAGAATGCAAATCTCAAGAATTAATAATTGAAAACAATCAAACTACACAATTAAGAACACATGAATTAACGGATAATTTAGAAATATATAGTCAAAATTCATTAAAATTCGGTTTAAATAATAGTTCAAAATATGACAGTTTAGCATCATCATTAATTCCTTTTCAATCAGTTTCATCAAGGAATTCAATTAAATCAAACTTATCTATTAAAATATCACAATCTCCAAAACAACATAAAACACCTCTTTTAAATATTGAAATGTCATTAAACAGTAAACCAACAACACCAATTAAAACACCACCACCAAATTCAGAAACTTCAACTACTGTTAAACCAATTAAAACACCACCACCAAATTCAGAAACTTCAACTACAGTTAAACTAATTAAAACACCACCACGAAATTCAGAAACTTCAACTACAATTAAACCAATTAAAACACCACCACCAAATTCAGAAACTTCAACTACAGTTAAACCAATTAAAAGATTTAGATCTAAATCTTCATACGATTTAAATTTCCCAAATTTAAACTATAGAAAACCTAGATAGGGGATAACAAGATGTATTGATTCTAGTTTATTCCTTCTACTTCTAGACCCAATTTTGTTTCAGATAGGAATTGGTAGCCAGCACCGCGCGCGTCTAAAAATAAGCGTGTCTTAAATTCATTGTGTCGCCTTTTTTATATAAATATTTTGGTATTCACCACACGAAAAGAAAATTAGAAAAACAATTTTCAAACTCAAAACAATAACCACAAGTATTCATGTTAAGATTTTCAAGAAATTTTGCTTCTTCATCAATTAAATCTAATTTTGCTAAGGCTCAATTGGTTGGTAGAGTTGGTAATTTTGAATTTAAAGAAAGTGTAAATGGTGTACCTTATGCTACTTATTCATTAGCAGTTTCAAAAGGTCCAAAAGATCAACAAACTACTAATTGGTTTAAATTATCTGTATTTGATAAGAATCAATTAGAAAGATTAGAAAAAACTTTAAGAGTTGGTAATTTATTATATGTTGAAGCAAATTTACAAAATCAAAAATTTGAAGATCCAGAAACTCAAAAAACTTCAATTAGAACTAATTTTGTTCAAAGAAATTTTGAGGTTATTAGTTGGGGTAAAAAACAAGAAGGTGGTGAAGGAGAAGTTGAAGTTGAAGTTGAAGAATCTAATTAAGACTGTATATCTAAGTGAAATATAAAAAACGTAACACGTAACACGTAACACGCAACACGTAGCACGTAGCACGTAGCACGTAACGCGCAATTATTAATTTATAACCAGGTAAAAAGTACGTACTTGTACGAGTCTCTAATATAAATCTCTAGCTAAACTTAATTCATAAGCGTATGCAATTGTCAATTTTGCATGATCTTTCATATGGTTAAAATCTAGTTGATCAATTACATCATTTTCAGAATGACCCCAATCAGCTTTAGCATTACTATTTGGAACAGCTTCCATCATAACTTAAAAAGGTTAGTAACAGTTGTTCTCTTATTAGTAATTAAAGTTATACATACATGAACTTGGATAACCATTTCTTCTAGCTGAAGCATGATCAGAACAAGCATAACCACAACTCATTAAATGATAAGGTATATCACTATAAGTATCAAATAGCATTTTCAAAAACGAATTTAATGGTTGACTTACAAAATCTTGAATCAATGCTATATGAACCTCAATTCCAGCTTCAATTGTATCTTTAGTATAACCAGTCATATCCTGTTGCAACATGGCTACTACTTTCTTATCTTTAGATTTGTAAGTATTGAAAATATCTTGAGATCCAAGCAACCCAACCTCTTCTGCAGAATACCATTGAAATTCTAAAGTATTATAAGGTTTGAAATCTTTATCTTCAGCTAATAATTGAAATGCTTCTAATATAGTCATTGATCCACTTCCATCATCATCTGCACCTGGTGATCTACCATGTAAAGGATCTTTCAAATTGATTGAATCTTGATGAGCTCCAACTACAACAATATCATCAATTTCACCTTTGAAACGTGCTATGATTGAAAATTGATCCCATTCTTTATGGTGAAACTTTTCAATTTGGATCAAATCTGAATGTATTGAAATTGAGATTAATTGTTTATATAACCAATTGGAACTATCGAATCCAGATTTTGATTTATAGTACCTTGTCCAAAATGAACTAAATTTAGTAAGTTTTTCTTCAATTCTTGTCTTATTTATACCTTCAAAAAGAAAATGAACCTCCTTTTCATAATTTGCTTTAATCGGATAATTATAAATTGGAGCCTCTGGTTCATCATCAACTTGTTTAGGTCGTTTAAACCAATCTTTCAAATTTTTTAATCTTGTGCGTGGGGATGCTAGTACTTCCTGACCAACAACAGCATCAATTGGATAATAATTAGTAACATCAATGAAATTAACACCTTCTTGTTTTAATTTCAATTTTTCATCTTCTGAAACAATTTTAAATTCGTTTGGTGAAGTCTTGATAATTCTTAAATCGTTATTATACAATGAAATTGTATCTTCTTGAGCTAATGGAAACGCTTGTGACAACACAAACAAGTAGAATATCAACAGCAACTTCATTGAAGAAAGTGTGGATGAGTATGTATGTTTTTTTGTTATGTTATCAAACCATTTTGTTGCCGTATCGTAGATAAGAAGTAATGCCGCTTAACATTTTAAACCTTTGAAAGCCGCTTAACAATATCTATTCAGTTATTCTATTTAATGTAATTCTTTAGCTAAACTTAATTCAAAAGCAAAAGCAACAGTTAATTTAACATGTTCTTTAATATGATCCCAATCTAATCTATCAATTGTATCTAAAGTTGAATGAATATATTTATTAGTATATTTCATTTCTGATTCAATTAAAAATGCAGAAGGATAACCATTTTCTAAAGCACTTGCATGATCAGAACAAGCATAACCACATTGAGATTCATGATAAGGTATTGAATTATAAGATTTAATAATTAATTTAATAAAATTATTTAAATCAATTGATGTATAATCATTAATTAAACCAAAATGAGGTTCAACATTAGCATCAATTGAACCTTGAGTATAACCAGTCATATCTTGTTGTAACATACCAACTACAACTTCACCAGCATTAGAGTATCTTGAAAAAACATCAACTGAACCTAATAAACCACCTTCTTCAGCAGAATACCAATGGAATTCTAAAGTATTATAAGGTTTATACAAATTTTTATTATATGAATCAATTATTAACCTTAATGATTCTAATGTCGTAATTGAACCACTTCCATCATCATCAGCACCTGGAGCTCTCATAACACTAGGTAAAATTAAATTTGCAGAATCTTGATGCGCTCCAATAACAACTTTATCTTCAATTTCACCTGGTATAGAAACAATTATTGAAAATTGATCCCATCCATTATGATGAATTTTTGTAATATTGACTTTATCATTCACTGGTTTAATAATTTTTTCTAATTCATTATATAACCATTCTGCAGATTGGGCACCAGATTCAGATTTATAATATCTTGAAAAAAATGAAGTAAATTTTGATAATTTTTTAAACATTAAATCAGTATCAATATTTTTATATAATTCTTTAACTTCTGAATTATATTTTGTAGTTTTTGGATAATTATAAACTGGAATTTGTTTAGATAAATGAGTAACTTGTTTTGAACCAATGAAAAATAATGAATCAAACCATGAAAATGCATTTGGTTTATTAACTAATCCTCTTTCATAAGCTTCTTCAATTGGAATTTGTTCAGTGATGTCCATAAATTTAATATTCTTCTTTCTTAATTTTAATTTATCATCTTCAGAAATTAATTGATAAATAGTTGGACTTAATTTAATTAAACGATCTTTCTTAACAAAATTAAATAATGATAATGGTTGAAATGACCAATCTTGAAATAATAATGGCAATGAATTAACAATACAACTTAAAAGAGCGAATATGATAAGTAACCTCATAGCTAATTTTATAAAAAAGACTGTGATATATAATTCGGATTAATTTATTTCCATGGCCGGGGAAAGATTAAATATTTATTTTGGGCCGGTGAAAGGCTAAATATTTTTTTTGTGCGCCTTTTTGGTCGCCCGATGTGGAGTGGGAACGAAAAAATCATACGAGAAATCTGCGAATTACTGGTGAAGCTACGCTAATGACAGATAGAGCAGTTTGAAACGATGGTAAAGACGTCAAAACCGTGCTAATCTGATAACTTTGGATCCATATGGCATAATCTACCGCTTAAAAAGAGGTTAGAGGTGTAATTTCGCTTAGAAAACCCGCTGAAGCTCGAAGCAAATTTCCAGCACTCATCTATCATCATCTACACTCTAGTCATCTCGATCAAACCATACAATATCAATGATTCATTGCAATCTATGGTGTATTTCAATCATATCTCATTGAAATCCATTGGTCGTGTAAATTAATTGTTTTTTCTGTTGCTTATTTTGAATTCTGTTGATGTCTTGAATTTTTTTTTTTCAGTTTGAATTATAAACAATCGAGCGGTCAAAATAGATTTATATCCATTGCTTAAATGGTAGTTCATGTTCCAGGTTTAACTGGATTGAATCATTTCACATCTTCAAATTCGTCAAATAAATATATATCTCCATCTTTAAAATTAAATGATCAAATAATAGATGATAGAACATTACAATTTCATCAAGATTTGCAACAACAATCATCAACTTCATCAAGAAATCAATTATCAAAAAGATTTATTCAACCAGGTAATTTAGAAGTTAAAGAAGCAAATTATAAAATAAATATACCTGATTTTGCAAATTTACAACCGATTCAATTAGGTTCAAAATTTATATCAAATATAAATAAAATTGATTCAAATATACCGCATGATATTTTTTATTCAGAAACTTTAAATAAATCTACTGAAGGTAATTTAGATAATTATTATTTCAATTATGAAAATGGTTTGAAAGATTTTTCAAGATTTGAAAAATTACAACAATTGGATTTACCCGATCGTTTTTTTGAAGAATATCAAACAGTTAATAAAATTCAAAAAATTGGTTTATTTCTTGAAATTGAAAGAAGTTGGATTGCAATTGATAATAAATTAATATTTTGGAATTATAAATTACCACAATCTTCATTTAATCAATCATCACAATTTTTAACTATTGACCAAATTAAACATTCAATTTTACAAGTACAATTGGTAAAACCAAAAAAGGGTGTATTTTTAGAAGAAGTTAATTATTTATTATTAGTTGCAACTACAAATGATATCCATATTTATATTGTAAAATATGATAAAGGTATGAATAATTTGGAAATTTTTAACCCTCATTTATCTGTATCTACCCAGGGCTTAAATGTTAATACTATAGTTGTTAATCCAAAAACAAATGACATTTATTTCACAGGTGAGAGTAGTATAAATATATGGAGATTAGATTATTCAAATAAAGCTACATTCACTAAAAATAAATGTGATAAAGTTTGTTTAACAAAAGGTGGATTATCAAGTGTTTTACCAAATAAATTACCAGGTTTTGGGTTTGCATCTGGTGATGCTAATGCTAATGTACCTGAAAGTATAGTACAATTGGAAATTGATGGTGATAGAGATATATTGTATTCATTATCTAATAAATCAGTTATTAGAGTTTATAAATTTACAAAACAAGTTGAACATTTACATGAAGGTAGTACTTTAACACCAAGTCAAATTTTCAAAAGTGCATCTAGTGTATTTGTTGATGCAAGTAATTTAAAAATTTTTGAAAGATTTAAAATTATAAATATTTATAAAGTTACACAACAAGAATCACATTCAATACAATTAATTGCAATTACAAGTACTGGTTGTCGTATATTATTAAAATTGGGATCTACTGGTACTTTTTCATCATTATTAACTACATCATTTTCAGCTGCAAATGCATTAAAATTAAATCTTGTAAATATTAAATTCCCACCAACTAGAGACTTACCAAATGCTAATCCAGAATTGGATCAATTTACAAGAGATAGACAATATATTTCTCAATTAATTGACAATCAACAAAAATCACAATTACTTAAAAATACAAAATTTGCTAAAATTATAAGTCCTGGAGTTTTCATATGTGCTAAAAAGACAAAGAAATCTGATAAATTATTTATTGCAACTGCAAATTATGGATATCTTAAAAAGAATAATAAATTAGTTGAAGATGCGGAATTTATAAAACATGCTTCAAATGATGAACCATTCACTTATATACAAGATATTGTACAATTAACACCATCAATGAATGCTACAAATACTCCAAATGGTTATGCTAATATTGCAGCTAGTCAATATACTAAGGAACCATTGAAATTTGCAATATTGACAAATTTCGGAATAATAATATATCAATTTAGAACATCAGATCAAATTTTAAAACTGTTGAGTGATGAAGTTATAGAGAATTTTATTGAAGAAAATGGTTATGAAGAAACATGTTCTAGTTTATTATATCTTGCATGTTCATATGGTGAATATAATGCTAATGATATTTATAAACGAAAGGCACAAATTTTATTTTCAACTTGTGGTAATGGTGCAAGATTAGTTGATACACAAACAAATACTTCACAACAATTGATACCTCATCATCAAACGTCAAATATTTTACATCCTACAGTTGATCAAGTTGTATTAAGTGATAGATTTTATGGTACTTGTTTATTAATAGCTAGATTACTAAGAGATTATTGGAATTTAAAAGTATTTTCACCATTACCAAATATTAAAATCATGAGTAATGGAGATATAGACATTTCAAATTTAAAAGATAGTAAATTATTAATTAAAGGGTTAAATATAGATAAGAAACAAGTTGAATATTTTATTGGTTCAATTATAGTGTTGATTGATTTTTTCATTGAAAATGGTGTTAATATTCAAGGTTTAAATGCTCCAAATTATTCATCTGATCCAAATCATTTTGAAAGTGAAGTTTGTTTAAGAGCTGAACATATTGCATTTACATCAATTATAAAATCATTGAATTCAATGAAAGAAGCATTATCTTTTCTTATGGTTTTAATTGAAGAAATTCAAATTAATCAATCTAATTTTACTGAAATATTTGAATTTTTGTCATTAGTTAATCAAGCTAATTTATTATCAATTTCATTTAAAGATTTATTATTACCAAATAATGATGTAAAGAATTTGGTCAAAGACTTATTATCTTCTATAATTAATAAAAATATACTTAAAGGTGGTTCTATTGATTTAATTGCAAGTAGTTTACAAACTAGATGTGGTTCATTTTGTTCTGCTAATGATGTATTTATATTCAAAGCAATTGAAAATTTAACAAGAGCAAAAAAGATAGGGATAAGAGATAATGATTTAAAAATTAAATGTTTACAAAATGCTGTATTATTATTTGAAGAAGCTTATGAAACTTTAACATTAGAAAATATTGAGAGTTCAATTAATATAATGTTGGATTTGGAATTTTATGCTGGTGCAGTTGGAATGTTATTAAATATTGCTCAAAAATTAGGTAACAATTTAAAAGTAGCCACAACTACACAATTCAATATAAAACCTGATGTTGCTGAAATTACTAAAAAGAAGAATAATCTTTATCAAATTGTATTTAATATACTTGTAAAAGTTGACTTAAAAGCTTTGAAAATAACAGAAACAAAGAATCAATTATTAATTAATGAATTTTTGGAAATTAGAGATACTACATATGATACATGTTTTGCATCAAATGATAAAGACTTTCAATATGCATTTTATGATTGGTTTATACAACAAAATGTCCTGGAAAGATTATTAGAAATCAATACACCATTTATATTAACTTATTTAGAAGAAAAATCTGAAAATAATTTAGCAATGAGTGATTTATTATGGTTATATCATGCAAAAAGGGAAAATTACTTTGATGCTGCAAGGATTTTATATGCATTAGCTATATCACAATTTAATTTAGAATTGAGTCAAAGAATTGAATATTTATCAAGAGCTAATGGATTCTGTAATTGTGTTTGTCCTCCCAATTTAAGACAAAAAATGATTCAATTAGCTTCTGTAATACAAGAATTATTTGATGTTTCGAATATTCAATTGGATATACTTACAAGAATAAAATCTGATACAAGATTATCAAAAGAGAATAAACAAATTGCAATAGATGCGTTAAACTTCAAAATATTGTCAATAAGTGATTTGTTCAATAATTATACCGATATACTAGGTTACTATGATTTATCATTATTAATATTCAACTTTTCAGATTATAAAAACAGTGATGATATACTTAAAAGATGGGAATTATTTTTTGAAAAAATATATTATGAAAGTTCAAAAGATAAACCATTTTACATTTTATTAAATGAAGAATTTATATCCCGTGGTTCAAAATTATCATCTAATGATTTAGTCTTCCCCATTGATGAATTAGTCAAATTAATTGCTAAATATTTACAAGAATCATATGATGAAAATCCAACAGTTAAAGCACCAAAAGGAATAATTGTTGAAATGTTTATAAAATCAGGTATATCATATAAAAGACTTTATTATTCATTAAAATCATTAATTGAGCATAATACTTTTGAAATTTATCCTGGATTCACTAATGAATTAAAATCAAATGAAATGCCATATTTAATTAAACATTGGTATAATTCAGATAAAAAATTAAGAGAATTAATAAGTGTTGAACAAATTGTAAGTATGGGTGATTTATATTCAATTGAAAAAGATCCAATAATTAGTTATATAAAAGGTATATAATAATCTCAATTTAAATCATAAAATGTATTTTTTTGTACATCAAATACTTCACTTCTAAAATTACCAAATTCATGAGGTCTTAAATAATTTTCTGGTAAGTGCATTGGTTCATTTAAATTTGACATTGACATTATACCATCAATTATTAAATTAATTGCATTATTTTCAGCACCTCTAGGCATTATAACATCAGCAAATTCTTTCGTTGGAAATATAAAATCTGACATTTCTGATCTTGCCCCGAGTAAATAAGCATTTATAACACCTTCTAAAGTATCTATTTGTTCATTTAAAACATCACGTCTAATCCACCGTATTAATCTAGTATCAGGATCTGAGTCTATAAAAACTTTAATATGAGACATATTTCTTAATTCTTTATCGTATAATGCGTATAAACCATGTACGATTAAAATTTTCTGATTACCACCTTCTTGACACTTTATATACAGCTTCAATTCATCGAATTTAAATCTAGATGGTATTAGTTTTGGAAATTGGTTTTGATTATTATTTATTGTAATTGCTGATGATTTTGAATTAAACATACTTGAATCAATTGAATTTTTAGTAAAATTATCAAATTTAAATTCGTTCATATCAATTATTAAAACTTCAATTTTCTTTGTTAATGTTTTCCCTAGTTCATGTTTTAATGATAATGCAGTAGTTTTCTTTCCTGAAGCATGGCCACCACCTAATAATATTATAATATTTGATGTCATCTACCATGGGAAAAAAAATCCGAGATGATTTGTTTCGTAAATTGTTTCACAAGTTATTATGGATGATTTTGATAGACATGTAAACAATGAGATAGAATTTAGTCATAAATCAACTAAAGGGATCAAAGTACATCGTACTTTTGAAAGTATGAAGTTAAAACTGGAATTATTAAAAGGTATTTATGGTTATGGTTTTGAAGCACCCTCCTCTATTCAGTCAAGAGCTATTATGCAAATTATTTCTGGTAAAGATACTATAGCTCAAGCTCAGTCAGGTACTGGTAAAACTGCTACTTTTTCAATTGGAATGTTACAAGTAATAGATACAAAATCAAAAGAATGTCAAGCATTAATATTATCACCAACTAGAGAATTGGCTGTTCAAATTCAAAATGTGGTGAAACATTTAGGTGATTATATGAATATTCATACTCATGCATGTATTGGAGGTAAAAATGTTGGTGAAGATGTTAAGAAATTACAACAAGGTCAACAAATTGTAAGTGGCACTCCAGGTAGAGTATTAGATGTTATAAAAAGACGTAATTTATCAACTAGAAATATTAAAATATTGATTCTAGATGAGGCTGATGAATTATTTTTGAAAGGTTTTAAAGAACAAATTTATGAAATTTATAAAGCATTACCACCTAGTGTTCAAGTTGTTGTTGTTTCAGCTACTTTACCAAAAGAAGTTCTAGAAATGACAAGTAAGTTTCAGACTGATCCAGTTAAAATATTAGTTAAACAAGATGAGATATCATTATCTGGAATAAAACAATACTATATCCAATGTGAACAAGAAAGTTGGAAATTTGATACATTATGTGATTTATATGATAATTTAACAATTACACAAGCTGTTATATTCTGTAATACTAAAATAAAAGTAAATTGGTTAGCAGATCAAATGAAAAAACAAAATTTCACAGTTGTATCAATGCATGGTGACATGAAACAAGATGAAAGGGAGTCAATTATGAATGATTTTAGAACAGGTAATTCACGAGTATTAATATCGACAGATGTCTGGGCTAGAGGAATTGATGTTCAACAAGTGTCATTAGTTATAAATTATGATTTACCAAATGATAAAGAGAATTATATACATAGAATAGGAAGGTCTGGAAGATTTGGAAGAAAAGGTACAGCTATTAATTTAATTACCAAAGATGATGCTTCAACCCTAAAAGACATTGAGATCCATTATTCTACTAGAATAAGAGAAATGCCAGTAAATTTAACTGATATTTAATAATTCATCGTCTAATTTGGTTAAATAAAAAATGAATAAAAAAAAAAAAAAAAATTATTTCTCTTTTATCATCATCACGATGGATGCCCAATTCACAAATTCATTAGAGGAAACTCTTAAACAAACATTAGTTCCTGACTCTAATGTAATTAAACAAGCATCGAATAGATTAGCTAAAGAATATTATCCAAATCCTTTAGCTTTACCTGCTTTATTAACAATTTTACAACAATCAAAAGAAAATGAAATTAAACAATTAGCTGCAGTTGAATCAAGAAAATTAATTTTAGATAATTGGGAGAAAGTTGATTCATCAATTAAACCAGAATTAAGAAATTCATTATTAAAATTAAGTTTTTCAGAAGAGAATAAAAGATTAAGAAATTTAATTTCAAGAGTTGTTGCGGCCATTGGTGAAGTTGATTTAGATCATAATCAATGGCCTGATTTATTACCAAATTTAATAAATGCGGTTCAAAGTAATGAAGTACAAGCTAAAGAAGTTTCAACTTTCACATTATTTGCTTTGCTAGAATCACAAATTGCAAGTTTATTGCCTCATATTGATGATTTTTTAACATTATTTGGTAATTTATTATCAGATTCAAGTTCAAAAGATGCAAGAATCAATTCAGTTTTAGCTTTAGATGTTATTTCACAAACTTTAGACGAAGATGAAGAAGCTGGTGATCAATTATCAAGTAAATTTAGAGCTACCATCCCAGGAATGGTTGAAGTTTTAAAAGAAGTTATTGCAAGTGATGATCAAGAATCAGCAAGACTAATTTTTAATGTTTTCAATGGATTTGTATTTTTAGATTCTAAATTTATTGGTGATTATTTAATTAATCTTATTTCATTTATTTCAGAATTAGTTTCAAATACTCAACTAGATGAAGAATATAGAATTTTTGGTTTACAATTTTTAATTTCAACTGTTTCTTATAAAAAATCTAAAATTATTGCAAATAAATTAGGTCCACAAATTACAATGATTGGTTTAAAAGTTGCAAGTGAAGAAATTGATATTGAAGATGAATTGGAAAATGAAGTTGAAGAAAATGAAAATGAAGAAAATTCACCACCAACTTTGGCTTTAAGATTACTAGCTGTTTTAGCTGCTGAATTACCACCGTCACAAGTTATAACTCCATTATTTGAAGCTTTACATCCAATGTTGTCGTCACAAAATCAATTTGAAAGAAGAGCTGCATTATTATCTATTGGTGTTTGTTCATCTGGAGCTCCAGATTTTATTTCAAATCAAGTTTCCAAAATTATTCCAGCTTTAGTTAATGGATTAAAAGATCCACAATTAGTAGTTAGAGTTGCTGCATTAAGAACTTTGACACTGTTGACATCAGAATTACAAGATATTATTACTGAATATCATGCACAATTATTACCATTGATTATTGAAATAATAGATTCTGCTTCATCTGTTATGGCTTATAAATATTCTTGTAATGCTTTAGATGTATTAATTGAATTTATGAGTCATGATGCAATGGGTAATTATATTGAACCATTGATGCATAAATTATTCCACATGTTGCAACAAGCAAATACATCAACGTTAAAAACGGCAATTGTTTCAGCTATTGGTTCAACTGCTTTTGCAAGTGGTAAAGCTTTTACTCCATATTTTGAAGCTTCAGTTCAACAATTGGAACCTTTTATTACAAATAGTGCTTCTGTTGAAGGTATGACCGAAGATGATATTGAATTAAGAGCAACTACATTTGAAAATATTTCAACAATGGCTAGAGCTGTTGGTTCGGAATCTTTTTCAAAGTATGCTAAACCATTAGTTGAAGCAGCTTATAACTCATTAAGTTCTGAACATTCAAGAATTAGAGAATCAGGTTTTGCATTTATTGCAAATATGGCTAAAGTTTATGGTGCTGAATTTTCAGGATTCTTAAGTAATATTGTTCCAAAAATTATCGAATGTTTACAACAAGATGAATTTAGTATTGCTTTAGAAAATGAAGATGATGAAGATGATGAAGAAGCAGATCCATTTAAAGTTCATACTGGTATTACTATTGAAAAAGAAATTGCATCAGTTGCTTTAGGTGAATTAGCTGTTGGTACTGGTGAAAAATTCTTTGAATATCTTGAACCAACAGTTGAAGTATTGGCAGATCAAATTGAAAATTCATTTGGTATGAGAGAAGCTGCTTTAAGTTGTTTTTTCAAAGTTGTTAAAGCTATGTTTATTGCTGTTCAAGGTAAAGATTTCAAACCACCAAAAGGAATTCAACCATCATATGTTAATAATATTATTTACGGTTTAATTGCAAAAATTAGAAACATTTCAACTAAAATGTTGGAAGAAGAATTTGAAAGTACAATGGTTGCATGCATATTGGATGGTATTTCAAGTTCCATATATAATTTTGGACCAATTTTCATTGTTGAACCAAATAATACAGAAGCTTTAGAAGCATTATGTATTTCATTAATGCAATTATTGAAAAAAGAACATCCATGTCAAATTGAAGACGAAGAGATGCCAAAAGATGTTGATGATTCATCAGAAACTGATGTTATGTTAAATGAAAGTGCATTAGAAGTATTGATTAATTTATCATTAGCATTAGAAGGTGATTTTGTTAAAATTTTCACATCATTTAAAGATGTTATATTGAGTAAATTTAATAGTAAAGTAAAACCATTAAAAGTTGGTTCAATTGGTGCTATTGCAGAAATGGTTGGTGGTATGAAAGCATCAAATCCATATTCACAAGAATTATTACAATCATTTAGCGATAAATTAGAAAATGATAAATCAATAGAAGTTAAAGGTAATGCAGCTTATGGTATTGGTTTAATCGTTGAATATTCCCCAATTGATCTTTCATCAACTTATCAACATATTTTACAATTATTATTTCAATTACTTAATAAAGTTGATAAAAAATCTGGTTCAGCAGATGATGAAGAAGCTAAAGATGTTGTAAATAGAGCATATGCAAATGCATGTGGTTGTGTTGCAAGATTAATATTGAAAAATGAACAAGCTGTACCATTAGAACATGTATTACCATCATTATTAGAACTTTTACCATTAGAAACTGGTCTAGAAGAGAATACCCCTATATTTGAAGTAATCATAAAATTATATGAAACAAATAATGAATTAATAATTAACCAAACACCAAAAATTGTTGAAATATTTGCAGGTGTATTTAAAGCTGAAAATGAAAGAATTAAATTATTTAATGAATCAACTTTAGGTAGAGAAGAAAATATTGAAGCATTGAAACAATTTCCAAAAGATGAATTAAAAGTTAAAGTTGTTGAATTATTAAAATATTTGAATCAAAAATTTTCTGGCGTAGTTAGTTCAAATGAAATTTTAAAAGACATTATTATATAGTTAAGAATATATTTATTTTTGTGTTAGAAATAATTCCCTTTGCCGGCTTAATTTGGTAATTTATGTTATTGTAATTTATTATTGTTTTATGTTGGGAATGTTAAGCTAAAAAAGATGATTTTTTTCGTAATTTGAGAACCCTTTGCAGATCTAAATAGGAAATTTTTGCAACCATTGAAAAAATTATATAAAAGATTCAAAATGTCGAGTTTTTGAGACCTAAAAAATGAATCCAGGTGCTGCTGGTACAGCTTCTTTTGCTTTAATATCATTTATTCTTTTAATTCCTGCGTTTTCGTGGCATATAAAATGTAGAAATATTCCTGCTACATTATTAATCTTTTGGTTAATGTTGGTCAATTTAATTGGTTCAATTAATACTTTAATTTGGAGTTCAGAGAATTTTGATCAAGTTTGGGATGGTAAAGGTTGGTGTGATTTAACTATTAAACTTGAAGCAGGTTCTTCAAGTGGGAAAATTTGTGCAATTGCATGTTTATCAATGAATTTATACATGATTTTATGTGCAAAGAATCCATTATTTATGGAATGGTCATGGAAAAAGACTATAATTGAATTATCAATTTGTTTAATTACTCCAATATTTATCATGTGTACACAATATATTATTCAAGGTTCAAGATATGGTATTGTAAAATATCAAGGTTGTGTTGTTAATTATTCAGCAACTACTGCAACTTTGGGATTATATTCAATGTGGTCAGTTATCTGGAGTATATTAGCTTTTATCTTTGCAATCTTGACAATTTATAAATACTTGCAAAAGAGGAAAGACGTTAAGGATATTTTTAAATGTACAAATTCAGGATTGAACATAAAGAGATTTGCAAGATTATTGATTTTTAGTTTCTTGATTATAATTGCAATGTTCCCATTATCAGTTTATTACTTTGTTGAGCAAGCTAAGAACAGTACTGGTAAGTTTAATTGGGATGAGGTTCATCATCCAAATTGGGATGTAATTTTATACTATGATTTTGGGTTTTTCTTACTTTATGATAGAATTGTGAATTCAATTCTATCAGTATTGACTTTTTTATTATTTGGAATTGGTACTGATGCATTGACGATGTATAGAGGTTGGTTAAGATTGAAAAAGAATTCAGATACGCCATTATCAAAACAAACTACTTTTGTTAAAGTTGAATCTGGTAAATCTCAATACAGTAGTACAACTACATTTACTCAACCCACTTTACAAGAATTCCACGAGTTTAAAGATGTCTTGCAAGAATTTCACGAAATTAAAGATGTTTTACAAGAGTCGGATGATAATATTGGCTATAAATATGAAGTTAAAGCTAAAGTTTAGTTATGTACATTTAAAGTTTCAATAATTCTATAAATTTTCCCTTGATTATATTTGCATGTATTTTACCTCTTGTTTGTTTCATTGCTTGTCCTATTAATGATTGTAAAACTGATGGTTGTATTTGTAATTTTGCAACTAAATGTTGGTTTTTGTTTATTATGTCGTTACAAAGTTGATCTATGTTTATATTTGGTGAATCTTGTTTGTATATTTCGGATAGTGGTCTTGGATTTAGTATCATTTCTCTTACAACATTTCTCTTTTCACTTAATGGACAATTTAAATTGATGATTTCTTGAAGTGTTTTTGGTGGTATTATATTTGAATCAAATTGCTTGTCTAGTTTTGAAAATTGTCCTAATAGTTCTTGAAATATCCATTTATTCTTATCTGAATGATTGAATTCATCATAATATTGTAATAATTCAGGTGTATTCAATAAAAATTTTGCATATTTCAATTCCAAACTTTTAGTAAGTCTAGTTAAAATATCATCTGGAAGTTCAGGTAATTCCTTTCCAATATCTTCACTCATTGATTCATCTATTCGTATCACCGGTAACTCTGAATCAGGTACATATCTATAATCTACTGCATCTTCCTTTGACCTTGATGATTCAGTAGTTTTACCATTCCAATTTCTTGTTTCTTGAATTATACTTCGACCATTTTCTAAAGCTTCAATCTGTCTATTATATTCATATTTTAAAGCATCAACAATTTCACCCGAACTACCTAAATTCTTAATCTCGACTCTTGAATTATCATTCACACTTATATTTGCATCAACTCTAATTGCTCCAGTTTCCATAGTACCAGCACATACACTCATATGGGTAACTAATGTTTGATATTTTTTAACAAATGATTGTACTTGGTCAATATTTTCAAAATCTGGATCTGTTATAACTTCAATTAATGGAATACCATTTCTATTATAGTCTATAGTTTTATCATTATATTTCTTACCCGTATCTTGTTCTAATTGAATTTGTTGAATGTTTATAGTTTTATCCACTCCATCAAATTTTTCATTCAATTTTAAATAACCATTTTTAGATAGTGGATGATAAAATTGTGTAATTTGATAACCTAAAGGTTGATCAGGATAAAAATAATGTTTCCTATCAAATGTAGAATACGGTTGAATTTGACAATTTAATATTTTTGATGCTATTAAGCCCAAGTATAAAGCCTCTGTATTTAATTTTGGTTGAGTTCCAGGTAGACCTAAATCAAAAAATGAAACATTTGTATTTGGTGAATCACCAAAACTAGTTTGAGATAATGAAAATAATTTATATTTTGTTTTTAACTGAGTATGTATTTCTAATCCACATTTGAATATATATTTTGGATTATACTTCATGAAAAATATTTGGCATTTATTTTTCGCATCAATTGGTAAAAATATGGGGCTAGAAAAAAAAAAATTAGGCCTAAGACAAAGGTAAAAAGTAATAAAATGCTCTCACCAGGACTCGAACCTGGGATCTCCTCATTACTAGTGAGGTGCCTTACCAACTTGGCCATAAGAGCTTCTTGTATGACGGGTGAGCTAGTTTTAAAATCTCGTACTGTATAAGTCAAGTTTTTAAATCTCGTACCGTATAAGTCAAGTATAATTAAGCGGCACCCTGATTCAAGTGTTCAATTGAAGGGTTCAATCTTTAATACTAAACAGAACAAGTGAGCTTCAATTGAACTAAGATGTAGAATGTTAATTAAAAGAATATATTTAATAATGATAAGTTATCTTGTTCAAAATGATACAATCCTATATGACATTGCATTTGCTTATTCTTTTCAGAGATTGATGATTCTTATTTTAGCCAAGCGTAGGCATTTAGAACTTAGAATGTGCTGCTAATGACTAATCGTGTTTCAGAATTTTCTTGATGAAACTTTAAGTTGAAAAATTTTCTAATTTAGTCAATTAATAAGCAAGAGCATTACTAATCCCATACTTCAAATCAAACGAACGTGATTGTCAAATGTTAATCTATACAATTTCTTTAAACAAACTACCTTATTAAATGCTTGTTAATTATGCGCCGGGTAGTATTCGAAAATGTCAGTAAATCTCGTAAAGGTCTTATTTAAAGTCGATGATCTTCAGTTAGTAGAGATGCAGATACATTAATGTTTCTGAGTAAAGTCTAAAACAGATTATTAATCAAAAGGAACCGTAATTAAATGATACCAAGAAAAATCGAACTTTTTAATGGAGACAAAAATTAAAATGAAACACGATTATGCATTTCTCAGCGTAATGATGCGAGATTTGTAAACGTCTGACTCTGTTTAGCACCATTTTTGATCGTCTATAATTAGATCCAATCTCGCTTTATCAATCTGAAACATCAAACAAATAAATTAAAAACTATGTGTAAACTGGTTGAATGTGACGTATGCTCCGGAAAGACTTATTCAGGATGTGGATGCCATATTCCTAAAGCAATGGAACCTTATCCTAAAAGTGAATGGTGTAAGTGTGAATCCAAATCTGGTGCTGATACTTCTGAATATCCACCAAAGAAAGGTGATGCAAAAGAAGCATGATAAATAGATGTAATTAAATATATTAGTATATGATTGTATGTTTTATGGCTATCATAATCTATGTAGTTTTGTTTGAGCTTTACGGTATAATTTTTATAATTTGAAAAGATCTAAAGCATATATCTTCTTCAATCACTGAATTGATTTGATTTATTTAATGTAACAAAAAATTTTACATCTGTCTAATATGCAATCGCCATCATAGTTAATCTTAAATTTTAATCTGTTGATAACTCCCTCTGTAATTAAGCTCTGAGCCTCAACTTACTTCATTAAAGATTTAAATGAATTCGGAAAAGATTGGTGTCAGAATTCATTGATCAAGCACAATTTTGAGACGTAATTCTTCATTTAAAAAATGGAAAAAAACGCTATTTTACAAGAAAATCAATACTTAGACTTCATTTAACAACTTCTAAGACAACTGATTCAGTTTATTTGACGACAAAGACCTTTTTTCTCATGATCTTTAAACGCCAAAAGCGGTTTGAAAATTTTGTAAAAATTTCGATTCTCTCTTGAAAAATGACTTTTCCAATTTTGAATAACTAAACACAGAAAATTGCAAGGTTTATCAGCGTACAAGAAGTAAAATCTTGATAATTTTATAATATTCTTATGATGAATTTGATTGTGGAGTTAGATATTTTGTAAAGTCAATTTATTCAGATTTTCCTCCAGTTTGAAATTTTTCCATTTTCGCTGAGAGGTCTCAAAACAAGCCCAGCATCATTGAAGGATGTGTAGTATAAATAACTCGTTGTTTAATTAAAGATTATGGCCCTAGATGAACACACATTGTTTCTTATTTTTTGCAAAAGTTTTGTATGGTGAAAAAACCAAAATGACAACTTCAAAAAATTATCGAAATTCATAGTTGAAGATATGTAGAGTATATATATTGAAGCTCCTTATTTCATTCAACATGTTCTTATTTTTAGATAATTTTTTTGGTCATAATGTATAAGCCGATATGTGTAGTACGAGGTGGCCGCAAAGCTAACTCGAGAATCGTTTTTGTCGCGCCAAATGTTATCGTTATAAAATAATGGTACATTATTTTTGTAAGTTATTTGACAATAGTTTCAAAAGCCATTTAGAGTACTTGAAATCCAATGCTGAATGAGAATAACTACTTTACTGATAAGCTTTTAGAACCAATCATCACGTATTTAGTTTCACCCAAATTTTAAATTTTGATAAATTTTTGAAATAATATGCTAAAATATTGAACTTGTAAAAATCGCCCACATTTACTCAAAGTAAGTACAAAAGAAAGACTAAAATCTGAGCAATTTGAACATTAACAGGCGGAAAGCAAAAAAAGAGTGAGCTTCTAGATTATTTGATTGACAATGGTATTTCGATTTTGTGACGATTAAAAATTAGACGAAAAAAAATTAAAAATGTAGTTAAACAACTTAAATTGTTCTGAAAAAAGAACGACCAGAGAGAGGATCGAACTCTCGATCTTGAGATTAACAGTCTCACGCCTTAACCAGCTTGGCCATCCAGTCCTGTTGTTGTTGGAAATCGATTACTAATTGGTAAATATCAAGCAGTTTTGCGGTACGTGCCAGAGTTTTTAACTACCAACCTCGAGTTTAGGTTTTGATGTTTTGATCGATTTAAAGGTTGATATTAGTTTGTATGCTTTTCTTTAATTGTTTCAAGTGCTTACTGTTTGTTTAAGTTATTTTTTGCTCAAGATTTTTAGATTTTTGTACCTTTCGTTAAGTTTTGCACGATCATTCTACTATAGGCATCTCTCTGGATTATTTAAAGAGTTGACTGTAAAGTTTTCAGTCTATAGTCACTTTCAATTGTCTTCCTTTCCAATGTAATTGTATATATTCACAAATAATTCATCAATTAGTTAAATTTCAAGGACATTTCAACAGCAGCAGCGCCCCAATCTTCACCATGATTATGCATTTTACCTTCAATTAAACCTGCTCTTGCTTCTGCTTGTTCTTCAGTCAAACAAGTTAAAACACCAAATATAACAGGTAAATTTAATTCAAAATTTAATTTCATCAATTGTTGAGTTGTAGAATCACAAATATATTCAAAATGCATAGTTGAACCTTTAATTAAAACACCAATTGGAATAATTGCATCTAATGGTTTACCTAATTTCTTTTGTTTGTCATGAAATAATTTTGAACCAAAAGGTAATTCAAAAGAACCAGGAACTGATTCAATAATTATGTTTTCTTCTTTCACACCTAATGATTTCAATTTAGAAACAGCACCATTGACTAATGAATCTATAATTTTCTTATTCCATCTAGCATGAATTATACCAATTCTTAATGAAGAACCTGGGGGGAAGTTAGTTAAGAAAATAAAAAAAAAAAAAAAACAAGCAAACGAATAATTCTTTACATACCATCGTATTGTTGATCAATTGCACCTAATCCTTTAACAGCCATTATAAACTAAACTCAAATAAACTCAAATCAATAGAAATTAATCTAATAAATAAATGAAAAATATAATGTGAATCAATTTATATATAATCAATTTTCCAGCTGTAATAAATTCATCATGATTATATGCAGGAATAAATCTGACATAATTCTTTATTAATTATTTACAAATTTTTAGACGACGAAAAAATTTTTATTAACCAGTTTTAATAGAAAGAGTATGTTTACCATCAATTTTGATTTTCCATTTAATGATGATTTGTTGAATTACTTATAAATGATATATGATTATCCAATAACAGTTTTATATAAACAAAATGTCTTTCACCCCTATCTGAATTACAAATCAAATAGAATACATCGAGTATATAACTGAATACTAACTTAAATATCATCATAGCTTATAATTATTATAAGTGCGAATATCGGAGAAATATTTCCGTAAATAATGGAAAGTGGGTCAAATAATGAATGCCCTGCGATTCACCGATGTTTACTTCCTATTGTTATTCACCACTAGATCTAGATGTAATTCTATGCTATGTATGAGTAAAATAATTAATCTATGGTGGATACTTAGTGATAAACACGTAATATGATCTCTATTAGTATTAGTCTTAACTATAGAGCAAATTTAGTCATTTTAAGAAATCAACTCGTGACTTTTTACACACTTTTTTTTTTTTTTTTTTTTTTTTTTTATTAGATAAGAATAGTAAAATCAAAATATATAAATAGTAAATAATATCAAGTAATTTTATTTATTTTGTAACATTAATCTTTTATTAATATTTTATTTTACAACAAATCAACAAATCAACAAATAACAGAGATCTATTCATATTATATTTTAATCTATCATGTCTGTTAATCCTTTTTTCAAATCGGGTGTAAATAAAGATAAACTTAATAATCAAGCAACTAGTAAATCATCACAACAATATGATACAACATCAAGTATATTATCAGATTATGATGATTTAGAAATTATAGATGATGAACAATCAAGTTATGTTTTATTTAATCCAAAGAAACAATGTACATCGAATACAAACGATAAATGTGATATTTTATCATTAACAAACACTACTTCACAATTTAATAATACTGAAGATGAGATAGAGTCTGATGAGGAATCAGCACAAGAACAAGAACAAGAACAAGAACAAGAACAAGAACAAGAAAAAGAAGAAGAAGAAGAAGAAGAAGAAGAAGAAGGAGAAGATGATACAAATATCCAACAATCTAAAACTGAGACATTACATCAATTATTATCTACTAAAATTAATAATTGGCATCATTCGAATATAGTGAATAACAACCAAGATATCATTGATGAAAATGTAGCAAGCTGGGAATTAGATACTGATGAACAACAAGAAAAAGAAGAAGAGGAAGAAAAAGGTAGTGTAGTTACATTAAAAGAGTCAAAGAAGATATTATCTGAATTTTATGGTGATGATTTATTTAAATATTTGAATCAAGAAGATATCAAAAAAGTTAAAGATTTTCATAAATTAATGAATATTAGAGAATATTTACTCTCCAAAGAGTCATATAATGATAGTAACATTTTAAAACAAATATTATACAAGTTATTAATTAATAATAATATGTTATATTCCAATAAAGAAGATTTATTATTACATAGACATTATAATATTGGTACAACTGATTATATCAATTATTTAACTAAAGATTTACCATTATATCAAAAAGAAAAACAAAGAGAGAATATTAATTATCATATTGATACATTTTCTGATACAAATACTAATAATTCTTCATTGATAATGTGTGGTGGTGTTGGTTTTGGAGGTACTACAAATTGGAATGATATATGATAAGATTAATACGAGAACAATGATTAAAAGGAAGAGGTAATGTAATGGTAATTGCAACAAAGTTAGGTGGGGGGATTATTTTTTGTTCCATTTTATTAGATTTTGGTATTTTTAGATACTTTTTTTTATTAATTTTGTATAGTTTATTAATCAATGTATAAATGTATTTCTATCAGGATCAAAGGTTATAGTCTCGTTCACATACAATCTATTTTTAAACTTCTATCTCTATTGTTTATAATTGTTAACTTTTTTTCGTGTGGCGCTTTTTGCAGCAATTGATAAGATCTTTTAAAAACCTTATCCTTAAAAATAGAACCAATCTAGGTTCAAAGGTCTATGATTTATGATGGTCTTAATTAGCAAATCACTTTTTACAGCCAAAAGATCAATTGATTATATAGGTTACTTGGCTCATCTTATAATTGGGTTGTAGATTGATAACATTTGCAACCAAAGTTATATTCTGCATATTACTATATACAGGACAGAATTTTTAAGTTAACAACCGTTTGACCATAGTTTTAAGCCATTCAATAAATTTTGTTAAGGTGGCTGCAAACAGAAAAAAAAAAAATGACAATTCGGAGTTTCCTAGATTTAATAAACATGGGGTTTATCCCAAAGCTTTTACTCCACCTTTAATCTCAACAATCAGCAAGATCAAGTTATCATTCTCCGACATAGACTTGCTTTGTTGAGTTCGTGTTTCTCTTAAATGATTAAAAAATTGTTGGTTGCCAATATCAATCAATGCATAGAAAAAAAAAACATTATGATCGTTTAAATTCTCTTCATGCAAAGAAAACACCCACTGTTGATTCGCAACAGACACTCCCCACTTTAGATCATTAGATCATCAGCTTAGTGAATTACTAGGAAGGTAAGGGTTGATGATCAATCATTTTATACATAGCTTATTTCTGTAGGTAAGTCGACATTTAAATCCAGTTTTTTTTTTTGTTTGGCTCAATTTATTCTTTGTTCTTTACGAAATATATTTTGGTTTATTGTTATTACTAAATGCGTTCGATAAGTCGTAAATTTTCATTCGATAAGTCGTAAATTTTCATTCGATAAGTCGTTAATTTTCACTCGATAAGTCGTTAATTTTCACTCGATAAGTCGTTAATTTTCACTCGATAAGTCGTTAATTTTCACTCGATAAGTCGTTAATTTTCACTCGATAAGTCGTTAATTTTCATTCGATATCTAAGTCCAATCATTTCTTCATTCGCGCCAGGCGATGAATTTCTAAATTAGTAGTAAAGTAGTGGGAAAAAATTATTGTCGAAAAAAAAAAAAAAAAAACATTAAATTTTTCAAGATTCATCAAATTGAAATCAAACAAAAGTTAAAATAGTATAATAATGGCAGGATTTCGTCTTTTAGATTTGGTTAAATTCTTTTTACCAATTCTACCAGAAATAGAATACCCATTTGAAAAAATTAGTTTTGATGAAAGAATAGTATATACGGTTAGTTGTGCTGTAATATTCTTATTTGGACAATTACCAATTTATGGATTAAAAAAAAATGCACAATTTTATATTGAAGATCCATTTTATAATTTTAGATCAATCTTCAGTATGCAACAAGGTACATTATTAGAATTTGGTTTATTACCAGTTTTAACTTCAGGTTTTATTTGGCAAATTGCTGTTGGATTAAGATTAATTAATGTTAATTTAGGAAATAGATTAGATAGAGAATTATTTCAAACTGGACAAAAATTAACTTCATTCATTTTGGCTATAATTTATACTGTTATTTTCATTTATGTTGGATATTTTGATAATGTTATAAAAGGTTATAATCCAATTGAAATTGGTGGTAATATTCCATGGGGTTCATATTTTTTAATTGGTTTACAACTTTGTTCATGGTCATGGATAATTACTTTATTGGTTGAAATTTTTGATAAAGGTTATGGATTTGGATCTGGTAGTTTATGTTTTTTAATTTTAGAAAGTGCAACAAATTTTATTGCTGATTTAGTTGGTGTTGAAATTTATCCTTTAGTTAATTCAAATAAATTTGAAACTTATGGTGCTTCATTAAATTTAATTAAAAATTTTAAGATTTTTAGTCCAAAAGAAACTGCATTTCAAATTTATCATGCATTTACAAGAATTCAATTTCCAAATTTAACTCAATTTTATATTTCCTTATTCTCAATATTGGTAGTTATTGGTTTACAAAATTTTAGAATTGAAGTTCCGATTAGATCAACTAAAATGAGAGGAATGAATAATATTTATCCAATCAAATTATTATATTGTGGTGCATTACCATTATTATTTGCATATACAATAATTGCAAATTTGAAAATATTCAATTATTTGTTTAATTTTGCATTATCTCCATATTTCCCAACATTGACTTTTAAATTATATGGATCAAGAAAAGTTTTAAATTCAACTATTATTTCATTTGCATTTTCTATAATTGAGGCTTTTGCAGTTATTATTTTATCTTCTTGGTTTGCTAATAAATGGTCATTTATTTCTGGTTCTTCTCCAAGAGATATTTCAAAACAATTTAAAGACCAAGGTATAAGTATTTCTGGAAAACGTGATGTTTCAATAACGAAAGAATTTAATAGAATTATTCCAGTTGCTTCAGTTTCTGGTGCTTTTATAATTGCTGTTGTTGCTGTAATTGGTGAATTTTTTGGAGGTTTAGGAAAAGGAGTTTCTGTAATTGTTGGAGTTGCTTCTGCTTTTGGTATATTGGAAGAATTTATGATTGAATATCAACAAGCTGGTGGTTCACAATTTACAAATGCATTAAGTGGATTTCAATAAGGAATTGAAAGAATGACTGAATAAAAGTTAAATTATATTTATTTGTAATTAGTTTTTTATATATATAATAATAATAATATTAATAACAAAATCAATTTGTATTTATGGTCAAGGGATTTTCCTAATTGAAAAGGTAGTGAAATTATTTATTTGTAACCTTTTATATATTTTTAACAAGCGTAATTTGCAAAAACATACTGTTTAATTGGGAATTGGGCTAGTTATTAAAATGACTTAGCAGCTAACTAATCGAATAGCAACGATCTAAGCAAGTTGATTTGATTTGATCAGAATACTTTGATAGAGTCACAAAATATAATTCATGTAGTTGATTTAATTCTCTTGTCCTTTCTTGCATTGTTTTTCACCACAATAAATTATAGTTTCAACAATTGTAATTTCTTCACCTTGTTCACCTTTTGCATATTGTTCCCCATAATCAATAATAACTTTAGTTACATATTGAATAGACATTGACAACTCGCTAGTTTCTTGTGGAACTATATCACTCTATTTAGTCAATGTTCGCGTCGGTGTTATTGAATTAGTTATCAATGAAGCATATCTCCATTCGAAATCTCCTTAAATTAATTCTACAACAATTCCATTTGCCATAGTATAAACACCATTAGTAGTTATGCATCTTGAAGTTGTTAATTGAACGTATTGAGTACTTGTACTTCTATTTTCATCAATATGAATAATGGCCACATCAATAGTTAATTAATTTACCTAAATCATTTGAGCTTGTAAATATTGTAGTATAAGATGTTGCTGATCCTTGTGCTTGACTAGTTGAGTCTACCCACCTTGTTGTCAATTCAGGAATTATCTCAGTTGTCCCATCATTTGCAGTAGATGCATTTTCTGTTTCACTGGTTCATCTGTTGGCTCATCAAGTATTTGAACTCCATAAACGTCATCGATTGTCATACATCCTTGACCACCAGCATAAATTGCGTAACCATCGTTGCCATCCTCACACATGCCGAAAAGAGCTTCGACGTCCCTCTTGGATTTAGAAAACTCATCAAATACATCTTCATCATCAAACAAATTATTACCTTCAATTGACCAACCTGAAGTTGCAAATTTCTTCGAAACAACTAATAATAACATAGTCTCTGATACTTGAATATATCCAAGGTTTAACTTTAAGGCATTTTTCTTCGATTATAGCTTCCACTTCTTCAACTTCAATTTCGTAAATTGATAATGTTTTAATGATTTGTCTATACTCCCGTTTTGGAGTTATAGTACGAAAAGAACCCCATCAACGGTATATGACCAAGTAAGAGAACGAGTTCTTTCTTGTGAACCGATTGGTCTGGCTGATTCGACTGAGGTCACAAGTGGATAATATGACGTAAACCAGGAACCACTTTTTGGTTTACTAACTAATTCAATACTTTGATAAAGTTGCTCACCTTTATAAAATGCAAAAGGTTAACATAGTCATGCTAATAATCGAATTATAAAAGTCTTAAATTACAACTTGTTGAGGTTTAAATGTTTTTTTTTTTCAAGTATTGTTGGTGACCTTCCCATTAAATAACACATGGTAGGGCTAAATGGCTGCAAAATGGCTGCAAAATTTTAAGGTAGCTATATAACAACAATAAAATTCGAATAAATTTCAATAAAAAAATAAGAGATAGTAAGACATTAATCATAAAATGCTTATGTATATCCTTCACGTATATAAATCATCATAAAACCCAGTTTTAAACCCATTATTTTTCCTATTATTAAATCTATTTGAATAATTTCTATCCAAATTACTATAATCATCAAATTTGAAATTATTCCTATTTATATAATTAGGATTAGTATTGAATTTACTAATATTATTATTTGTTGTAGTTATTTTTGGCTCTTTCGGAATCACTGGACTTAAATGAAACTTTTTCATTCTAAATTCTTCTTTCTCTCTATTCAAAGTTTGTTTCTTATTATCTATTTTCATTTCTTTCCTTGTTTCTTTTTTGATTAATATTGTATAGACATTGTAAACGATGAAACCCATTAAGTTTATCGGTTTAATGAAGAATAATCTGAAAAATATGACAACAGGTAAATATAAAACATATTTAAAATAAGCTCTGACTATCAAGTAAGGAATTCTTATAATTAAATTGATCATTGATCTAAATGGATGTCTAAAAACATCAAGTAATAAAATATTATCCCAAATTTCATAAACTAAAATTTTCAATATTTGAAGTTGTGAAAATTGAGTAAGTAATACATTTAAAGATTCTAATACTTTTAGTTTAACCAAGTTTGGATTTTTAATTAAATCTGATATTGTTAATTCTTTTGATAATGATTTGAATATGACGTTTAATTCTTTAATTAATGATTTTTCAATTGAACGAGTTGAATCAAATTTATTAAATGATGAGGAAGTAGGAGTTTCGACAATTAAATCATCATCTTCCTCCATAATTGTATTCAATGGTGAATTTAAATTCATATTAAATGGTAATTTTTGTTCTATTGGTTTTGGGGATGATGATTTCTTTTTATTTGTTATTGTTGTATCTGAAAATTCAAAATGTGATAGTAATTGAGTAGGTGAGCCCATTGGAGATTTATTCAATGGGAATGGAGTAAATGAAGAAGTATCATTACTTGATTTACTTTTGGTTGTAGATTTCTCCTTGTCAATTTGTTTCTTTAATAATTTCATATCCAGTTTTAATTTGTCAACTTCTGATTTGTGATCACATCGTAACTGATTAATTAATAAAGTACTCGTTGTATTTGGTAAAAAGTAATATTTCAAATCTGAATACCAACTTCTATTTATATTTTGATCAATTAACATTTCATCAACTTCATTTTCATTCAAACTTGTAAATTGTAACATATTAGTAAATGTAATTATAATTCTAAAAATTGACCAAAATTGTAATAATGCAATATTAACATTATTAAATACCATTCTCTTTCTTTTCCCATCAATAATTGTATAATTTCTTGTCCAAATTAATAAAATTGAGCTAAAAATTGATGTTACAAGACATGAAATTAATGCAATGATTTCAAAAGTATTTATCTTTCTAATTAACAACAATTTCTTTTGAGTATTTCCTGTTTCTTGTTTTAATAAACTCATTTTTGTTTGATTTAATTTCTTCAACCAATTATATGGCCACTCCATGGTAAATCTAACAACACAACTAATTAATAAAACTGTTAATAAATCAATTATAAAATTGCCTATTTGTTCATTATTTGAAAAATATGAAACGTTGGAATTTGGATATATGATCGATGTTAAAGTAGGTAATAAAATAATTATATATGTAAATGATTTGAAAACAGTATCTTGAAACTGAAATGAATCTAATACTGATTGTTTATTCAAATTGTTAGTTATTATATCAATGGAATTAGAACTTGATGCTGATGATGGTTTGCCTACAATTTTCTCTGTCATGATAAACTGGCGTTTAATTGATGGAATGATACTTTGTAAAAATAATGATAATTTAATTTGACTTGCTTGTAAATGTAAGGGGTAATTAATTATTAAATACGATTTTGAAGTGGTTATTTTATTAAATATGTAACATACATAACATATTACTGAGAATGTAAAATTTGGATTCTTTCGTGTTTATATTTATATAATTTTTTTTTTTATTTTTTTTATTTTTTTTTTTTTTAAATATTTTTTTGATTTTGTGTTATTCATGAAAATAAGAATTTTCACTTTTGGAGATTGTGTTATCATCAATTGACAACCAGAGATGGTATTGTTAGTAGCTGTAGAGTTAATTAATAAATCATCATCACCTATTGCAAAAGATGTTATATTATCAAGGTACAAGTCTCCACTGTTTTTCTTTTTTTTTTGTTATTCAATTTTGTCTACTCCTTCAATTGATGTTTGAAACGTTTTGTAACTGAGTTAATTTTACCTTCGGTTGTTTTCGTGTTTATTTTAAAGTTTTGTGGATGTTTTAGATTTGAATTTAAACTACATTTACACAATGGAACCAGGATCTTACATGGTCTAAACCTTATCAAATAATAATAAATACAATACTAGCAAATCAACTAATCACTATGAAATAATCGTGTAATATTATTTTAGTCCTAGATTACGATTTGCGATTTGCAAAATGAAAAAGCTTAATTTTGCAGTATTTTATAAGCATCCACACTTATAATATTTTTTGGTCTAGATCATAAATTATAAAACGTTGGACTTCATTCATCATCATTCCTCGAGATTTTGTACTTCAAGATTGTCACTCTGATATTAGTAGTACAATATTAATTTCGTCATTAAACTTTCATAATTAGGTAATTAGGTTGTAGGTTGTAGGTTGTAGGTTATAGCTTGATTTTGAAGAAGCGCCTAGTATTGATTAGGGTTTCGTAGTTGAAAAATCTAAACAACCACGTTGAAATCTGGAGAAACTTAAGCTTTAATAAGCTTTAATTCAGAGTTTCTTTTCTTCTTCACTAATAATATTTAGATTCGGTTATTATATTTAGAGATGAGTTTATTATTTTTCAACCGGAATTAAAATATGAATTAATATCGGAATTAACACATAAACAAACTAAATCGGTAATGGCAAAATAATTAAAAAATTACATAAGGCTAACTAGCATAATTACTTAAGATATAATTACATAAAATCCATATGATTCTTATATAAATCTTGACGAGATACACTACCACATCAGATCAAAAAATCAATAAAGACTAATTAGGAAATATTAATAATTGACCATGCACCAAATTGAAAAATTGAGAAATACTTCGATGTTTCATAATAAGAAATGCATTTCTGTTTATTCTAATTTCTGGTTTAGCAATGGATATATGGATATAAAAGTCCATGCCTGTACTATTCTATACAATTCTATACAATTCTTTAATACTATTTCAATGTCTTGTGCACATAAAATGTGAAACAAAAGAAATTCAAGGTGAAAATTTTTTTATCTTTTGCCACACTATAAAAACTTTTCATTATAAATGGAAAAGCATATTCGTTTGTTTCTTATTTTAAACATTCATCATGGTTTTAGTTCAAGATTTATTACATCCAAATCCACAAACTGAAAAACATCAACACAAATTAAAAAGATTAGTACAAGAACCAAATTCATATTTTATTGATATTAAATGTCCTGGTTGTTTTAATATTGCTACAATTTTCAGTCATGCTCAAACTGTTATAACTTGTGAAAAATGTTCAAATTTATTGAGTACTCCAACTGGTGGTAAAGCTAAATTAGTTGAAGGTTCATCATTTAGAAGAAAATAAACTAAAAACTTGGACATATAAGGGAGGTTTTTCATTTCTTGAGTACATTAACATTTTTATAATAGCAGTAAATGAGTAAATGAGATAAATGAGATAAATGTAATATGATAGATTTATCTTTTATGCTTAGTTGTATAAAAAGGTCACAGGTAGCAGTGTGAACGTTTTATAACTACGATGATGGCATGAATTCAATAATAGGTTATAGGTCATAATAATAATAAACGATTTATTTACATTAAAATATTATTTACACCTATATAAACTCTCTCTCCAATTTACATTTTGTCATTATTGTCATTATATTTTGTTTCTTTACGATCTTGTTTTGTTAATTTATTTGAATTTTCAAATTTACGTATCATTAATTCAGTTTCATCATCAAAAAATGAATTGATGTCTTGTGATTGGATCTTTTTCCATACTTTAGTCTTTTGTTCTTTTTTAAAAGTCTTCTTTTCTGTTTTATATAAATAGTCCAACTTTTCTTTGTTGGTGTCACTTAATTGATTTTTCACAGTTCTTATTTTGTATCCATTTGGCCATAAATCACCGATTTGAGCTTTTCTAGCATCATGATACACTTCCTTACCCATTGATTTTGGAATTTTAAACATTTCAACATTACCTTCATTTGAACAAACTGAAAATTGTACTAGACTTTTACCTTTATTTGGAGTTTCGATAATTCTAGGCCAATAAGTCCTATCTTTAATGAAATCTTTATGATCAAAATTATTAAACTTACGAGCTTGATTTATCTTCTCTATTGTTTCTTTATCATTAGCACTTCTTTCAACGATCAAGTATGAATATGATCCAGTTTCATAATTCTTACCACCAGGTCTACCTTTACCTTCATAAATTTTCTTTTCTTTTCTATCTAAATTACCAGTTAAACTCTCTCCACCTTTATCCCACTTAGAAGCTAACGTTAATCCTTTCTTTAATTCAATTGTATACTTTGGTCTTTCAACATTCTTAGTAAATGAACAAAAATTCAATCTATGTTTATGTGATGGTATTTTATAATATTTTGGGTCTCCCAATTGTAAAGGACATTTTCTATGATGTGGACAAGGTGCAATTACAGATAAATGATAATCCATAAGTTCTTGTTCTTGTTCTTGTTCTTCTTCTTGTGGTATTTCCATAACTTCATAATTTTCAAAATCATCCTCCTCGTCAAATTTAATCTCATCTTCTGTCAATTCACCAAATTTTTCATTTAATTCTTGTTGTAAATTTTCATCAATTATTAAATCATCATCTTTAAATGGTCGTCTTTGTGGTTTTATACGGGATCCCCTAAGATACGGTCTTGGGATTTTTCCAATTTCGGTTGGATGACTTTCTGGTCTAATCATAATTTGTCTTGCTCTTGCAATACTTTCAAAGCCAACAGAATTACCACGTTCGATGAGAGTTAAATTACCACCGGGAGATAACAATTTTAATACCATTCTAATATTTTCATCAATATCTTTTGGAAATTTGTACTCTTTTGATAGTAAAGAATGTTCAAGAATGATTAAATCGTATTGTTTGTTAGTTGGTAAATTGTCTCTCAACTTAGTTTCTATAGTTAACTCTTTGTGATCTACTAATTTTCCCTTTTCTACATCCTTACTTTCACTTTCTTGTCTTGATAGTATCACTTTTGCCTTTTTCTTCATTTCATAATTCTTCCTTCCAATAATATAGGCTTCCTTTTCAACTGGAGTCCATTTTTCATCCTTCATCAACTCATTTAACGCAATTATACCAGTAGCTGGACCATATCCAATACTTAAAACACGTTGTGGACTAAAATTTTCTTTCCTATCTTTTAATTCTCCTAGCACTTGTTTTACATGACTATAGTCCTGTAGGAATAAACCACCAATACGAGCATTAACTTCTAATGATGTAGTAGGAGCAATTTGTATTTGATTTTTACCAAGTTCAAGGTATATTTTCTGTATTTTTTCACGAAGACGAGTTGGTTGATGTTCTGGTAAGATATGATCTTGTATTACTTTTGAAATAGGTTCTGGTAGTATACTTATTTCATGATTAGCTTTACCTTCCAATGTTTTATCAGTTAATCTTGCTTCTTTTGAATTTTTACCTTTTATTAAACTACCATCTTCATTTCTAAACGGTGAAATAAATGTATTCCTTAGTATTACATTCTCACTCTTTATGAACTCATAGTTATTTAGTGTTGAGTATAACCTTGTGGTATAACCGTTTCGTAGTCTTAACATTTTCAAGATGGCCCTATCGAATGAAAAAATGCGCAATTGAAAAAATAAAATTTCAATTTTTCAAATCTTATCAACAAATAAATAACCAAACAATGTTAAGATCAATACGTTATATTCCTGTATTATTCACTCCATTGCTTCTTACAAATGGAGATATGATCTCAAACGAATCAAAAAGAAAGTTTTATGAAGATGATAACCAAATAACTCCAATTCCAGGTACAATTACCTCGGCACCAGCTTCTGAAATTGAATCATTAGGAACTAATAAAATTATTGATGGTATATCTATTAGATCTACAAAAGAAACAGAATCATTATTTAGAAGTCTTAGAGAAACTACACAAAATATTAAATCAAGAATAATTGATTTTATAAACTCATCATATGCTGGTTTCAATAATCAAGAAAGAAAAATAACTGACACATTGTCAAGCTTACATTATAGACAAGAAGACCTTTTACCTAATTCATTATATGTTCTTATTGGTGTTTTAACAGGTTCAATAATTGCAAGAACAAGAGGAACCATTTTGTCAAGATTGATTCTTCCTCCATTGGGTGGTTTAGTTACTTTTAAATACTTTTTACCACATACTTTTGATAATACTATGAGTTTCTTGTATAAATTAGAAAATGAGAATTTACCAGAATTTACTAAAACTCAAAATCTTGCAATCGAAAAAGGTTTAGGATTTGTTAATTCTATTGAAAAGAATGTTGAAGAAGGTGGAAAATCATTGGAAATACAAGGTGAATATTTGAAGACTAAAATTGGGGAAATTACTGGTTTAAATCTCGATGAAGAAGTATCAAAGAAATGAAGAAATTCCAAAAACAGTAGTGACACAGGTAAAAATTGAAACGCATACAGGTTAGAAAGATTTTGCTTTGTTATAGACAGTTAAATATATGCATTATTTATCAACTGGCCTTATAATTACTCAAATTTTGTTTGATTATGATTACTATCAATTTAATTAATTTATTGTTTATTTTCTTTTTGCGAAATAGCGTTTATCATATATGAATAGATTTAACAATATTCGATCACCATCAGCATTTCAAAAGGTAATAGATAAAGTATTTTCAAAATCTACTTTTACTTCATCAACTACAGCCACAAACGCCGTTTCACCAATTGATCAAAATGAAAATAATATTAAACTTTCAAACATTACAATTGATAATTTAATCACAAATATTAAAAAAATGATAAACCATGATAATAAATCAAAGAAATTTGAAGCTTCATTATATACTGATTTAGGCAATTGGGCTAATTCATCATCTGTTCCGAATTATGAAAGTTCAATGGTATTAAGAACTTATGCAAATTTAATTTTACAAAATAATAATAATTTCAAAATGTCCATGATTGACAAACTTGAAAAGTTGAAGGTTTCGCTTCTTGATGTTTCAAATAGAGAGACAAAACAGAGGAATTTAATTAAGGATAAGATCAAATTAGAGTCACAATTAAGAGAATCACGAAATAAATTTGGTGTAAAAGCTAGTAAAACAATATTACTTGAAGAGAAATTAGAAGAAGTTAACGTTGCTTTGAATGTAGTTGAATCCCAACTTGTTAAACTGATAAACAATGATTTAAAAGACAGTTTAATTGATTATGCTTTACAATTGAATTTTCAAGCTGGTAAATTACAAGCAGCAAGTGATGATTTTATAACATATTTGACATCATTAGAAAATAACAAGAATGGAAATGGAAATGATAATGATAATGATATAGCTAGAGTATCACCAAATAAATATCAAAGAAAAGAAGATAGAGAAAATAGAGAAAATAGAGATCATAGAAATGGAGGTATTGATTTAAGAAATTATGATTTACCTACTCCTCAGTCATTATGTCCTGAGTGCAATAGAAAGAATACAAATATTCCTTGTTCAATTCATAAAGATACATTAAAACAAAATCATTCACATTCACAATTTGATCATTTAAGAAATTCAGATGCAATTGGAGAATTGTCTTATCAATCAAGTGAACATTGGAATTAATATAAAGTATTAAATCTTAGTAAATGGTAGTCTATAAATCTATAATCTCTATATACATTAATTTATTTTATTATTACCATTTTTGAAAAATTTCTTTCCAATTTCATAAGAACTAATCATTATAGCACAAGCAGGGGCAATTTTAAAAACTCTTGGTCCAAAACCAGAATATAATGCTCCAATACCTTCTGTTGCATATATGTTAAATAAAAATTTAAACATATTTGTCTTTTTAACTTGTTGATTTTCTTCCATTGTGATTTGTAATCTTGTCTTTCCAACGTCAAAAGGTTGTGTAAAGAAAGCAGCAATACTTCCCGATATAGAACCTGATAAAAATGAAGTTGTAAAGACTTTCCAATCATCTTGATGATTAGTATTAAAATCGGTATTCAAAAAAATTGCAATTCGACTTTTCAAAATTTCATATGATGACCAATATATCCCTGAGAATGGTACATCTCTCCATAAAGTAATTTGCAAACCTTTAAATAATGTAGAAATACCATCATTCCTAACTAATTCAAATGAATCTTTCAATAAATGAGTTAAAACATGTTGTGAAGTACCTGTACCAGTAGGTATTGATTGTAATCTTGTCTTTATTAATTCGAATGGTGCTATTGAAGTTGCAGACAAAATTCTAGCTAATGAACCACAAAATAATGGATTTAAAGGATGTTTTGAAATTGGTGAATGATCTCGAATATATTCATAACCTGTAAAATATATTATATTTGATGGTACTCCCATTAGTAAGGTTAATGATAAACCTCTCCATAATGTAGATATACCTTCATTTTTAATAATTTGTGAAAATCCTTGGAAAGTTGATGTTATTTTAGTACAATTTTCAGCTGCATTACAGTATTTATTATGAATCCAAAATAATTCAGGTGGATGTTGTTTTAGTAATGGAGTTGTTTTTAAATGATAACTATAATGTTTAGGGAAATGTTGTTGACAACATGGTTCGGGTAGTATTTCCTGTTGTTGAATTCTGATTCTAATTACATCAAATGGAGTCACTACTAATGAAGTTATAAATGATCCAGAACATGCACTTATCATTCGTTGAGCTATACTTATATTCTTATCTTGTTGATTCATTATAACACGTTGTTTATAACTTAATGACATGGACTTTACTTTATATTATATATGCATGTAGTTAATTTATATAATAAGATCCGAGATGGAGAATTGAAGCGAAGAGTAAATTGGTAGCGTATATTTTAATATTCAACTAATGTATCAGTACATGTATAAATATTAATGTGACTGTCTTGATTGTAATTAGTAGCTAACATCATTCTATGTGGATGAAATACTGATGTAGATAAATAATTTGCAGTTACTCTAGTTGATAAATATTTATCATTTTGTTGCGATTTTAAATTTGTTAATAAATCACCCGAAGTTGACCAAATATCAGTTGTTTTTAAGCCTGTAGCTAATATCGGAGCATGTTCATGTACATCCATTGTTCTCATTGATTTTTCAAAATTTTTATAAGATAAAACAGGATCATCTAATCTTATATCCCAAATATTTACATAACCATCTGATGAACCAGAAATTAATTCTCTAAAACCACCTCTTTGCATATGAACATTTCTAATTGACCCAAATCCAAAATCTTTTTCAATTTTCCCATTTGGATATTTTGTAGTTCTCCATGTTTTAACCATTGATTCTCTTGAATCTAATCTACGATCATAAACTCTTATACTACCATCATCAAATCCAGCAATGAATACATTACCAGCTACTTGATCGGATGTTAATGATGTTATTGATGATGATGATCTTGCAGGTATATCCAGTATACATAATTCTGTAGGAGCATCCCATATTCTAATAATTTTAACATCACCGCTAACTACTAATGAACCTCTTGATTGTTGCCATTCTGAAATTAAACCAGAACTTTTGGAAGTAAGTAATAAATCAGTTAATGCTCTCCAACCAGTGACTAATTCAATTTTATCATCTCCATATTCATAATTGTGAAAATTTGTATAAATTTTGATAACACCATCGGAAGAACCAGTTAATAGTAATGGTAAATCATCTTCATTTAAGTATTTTATGTCTGTTATTTTCGTACCAAATGGATTACCATTTGAAAATTTCTTGATTATTTGATTTGATTCCCAATCCCAAATTGTTACATTATCTTTTTCATCAGATACAGCTAAAATCTTTTCAAATTGTGTAAACTTGATACATTTTGGTTGTGTCTTATTGTCTAGTATCCTTACATCCTTTGTCCAATCACCTCTTAATGCCACAATTTTTTGTGGTTGTGTTTCGTTTATTATTGATTCATTTCTATTTCTTCTCCATAAACTTTGTACAAAATCTTTTGATCCAGGTTCATCAGCTTCATTTTTAGACATTTGCGGTTCTTGAAAATATTCACAACTATATTCAAAAAACCCAGATTCATTTGATAATTCAGGAAATTTATTTAAATCTCTAATTTTATAGTATGCACTTTTTGGTCTATATTCAGAACCATAAGTTGAATTAACAGGAGCTGAATTTAAAAATCTTGTTAGGTTTTTTAATTCATTATCGTCATTAATGTGGAAACTTTTAAATAATTTAGACATTGATAAATTTTTAATTTTGGAAGTAATTGATTCTGAATCTGATACATCGTCTGTATGATTTGCCGAGACTGATCTAGTTATCAAAACTGATCCATCTATTTTATAATCATTCTTTTTGACTTGTCCACTTTGAACTCTAATTGGTCTGTTTATTGTGAAACTCTCGCTTATATTCTTTGTAGATTTGCTTAATAAATTATTTTGCATCTCTTTAACTAGACTTGATAATTCACTCTGATTTAGTTTAATCATTATATAATCTATTAATGTCTCTGCCAATTGTTGTACTTCACAGTGTGGATCTTCTGATAAGATTAGTAATGCTTTCCAAACTGAGCTGAAGATTGAACTATATGCTGGAGATCTTTTTCTAAACTCATTAAGATAATTTGCATTATCTATCAACACAATTTCTTCTTCCAATTGATTAAATGCAACGACTAAAAAAAATTTTGAGTATGTTTGTACAAATTTATTCATGAAGTAAATTAATTCTTTTCTCACCATTGATGATCCATCACCTAATAACCCTAATACTGCATTTGCTATATTTAAATCTTGTTGTCTAATTTCATCTTTTCTAATATCTGGTTGATCTAGATCTGATAAATAATTAGTCAATGCAACAACTATTGAAGTTCTAACTTCGGGTATTGGATCATTTATAAGGGTTAATAAATGATTAATGTATCTATCTTTCAATACTATCCATTTACCATCAGGATATTTATTCCATAATTGTGATAATAATAATGCACACCATTGTCTTAACAATGGATTTTCACTAGTTTGTATAAATCTCAAACAATTACTTATTATTTCAGTTGAAAAACATAATCTTTGACCATTTTTAAAATCTTTTATACATAATGTTATTATAAATGCACTCATTGCTTTATGATCATCATTTATCAAGTTGTTAACAGGTTGATTACTATTTAATATTAGGTAAAAATAATTATATCCCTTTTCTTTACATAATTCTTGTTGTGTACCTTTATAATCAATAGCCATTATTCTTGCCCAAATGAAAATTAAAACCGGCTTTAATTCTTGTGCTGGACTTTGTAATAATTTTAAAACATATGGGAATATACCAATTGATAATGATAAATAAACAGCCCAAGGACCTAAATCTAAAAATTTTGATAATAATATTAATGCTCTTAATCTATGAACTTGTGATAATAAAACTTGTAAAACTATTGGTAATTGTTCTGGTGGTTCTTTTGTAAATGGACCATTATATTTTAACCAAATTTCAAATGCAGTTAATTGTTGTTCAAAAAATGTCGAATGTTGATAATTATTTGATAATGTACCTATTTCATTTTTGAGTAATTGTGATAATATTTGATCAATTGCTAAATCCCACGAGTCCCACATTGGATGAAACCTAACTGAATCAGGTAATGGTGGATCACTAATTGGATTACAATTTAAATGTGGAATAATTCTTTTTGCTAATAAAAAATTTCTAAATAATGCAGCAACCATTAGATCTTGTCTAAATAATCGTTTAAATATAGGTCTTGATAATGATGTCCATGCAATTGTATCTGTTATAGCTGTAAAAATCCAATTTAGTTCACCTAAGGGTGTCCTCCTATCAGTTAATTTCCCCGGTATTTGTATGTTTCCTATTGAATTTTTTGGTAATGAATCATAAATCTTTAATGAACTTTGCATTATAAACCATTTAATACTTATATTAATAGGACATGTTAAACAACAAGTAAATAAATCAGCTGGTACATCTGGACTCATTGGTAATAACTCATTACTTCTACATGCAGCTAATTGTATGCAATCTAAATATGCAGATGTTAGCGATGGAGCACTTTGATCATGATTACCATCATTATCATCATCAATTCTTTTTTGAACAAATTTTTTAAAATTATGTAGAATATTACCAGCTGATGAACAATCATAAACAAAAATTACTGGTGCACCTAACCACGTTTGTAAATCATATAATGATATTGGAATATATTGTGTATAACCTCTATTGAAAACCCACAATTCACCACTGGATGTTGGTTGAGGAACCCCATGGCCATTATAATGAAACAATATTCTTTCTTCTTTTGCATTTCTTCTCAATGTATTACAAAATCGTTTGACATCTTCAACACATGGATCTAATGATTGTTTATATCTTGTTCTTATTGATAATGTTTCATATTGTGCTTGCAAATTTTTACCAATATTTTCCAATGCCTTTTTAGTATCATTATAAGTTGTTGGATCGATGCAAGCTTCATATTTTGCACATGGTGAAGTTTTAATTACATCTGGTGGTGGTATACCTAGATTTAAACATAATACTAATACTGCACTAATAGTTTTCTGTCGTTCTTTCATGACTTTCCAATCTAGGATTGGTTGGTAATGTTTATAATATTTTGATGAATTCTTCATCTCTTCTGTGATTTGATTCCCATTGGTTCTGTTTCTTTTCCCATCATAGTATATAAAGAAATTATCATTTAATTCTTCAAGGTATTTGTTATCATCTATGAAACCATGATGAGACATGATATTTCAGTATCGAGGTTGAAGAACGAGAATTTGAAAAAAAAAAAAAAAAAAAAATAAATTTTGCAGCCTAAATATCAACATATAGTAAGCAAAGTTATTGTAGCTTTTTGAGTTCAATGGAAGTCAGAGTAATCTTACTAGCCTTAGAAATTGTACAGCAGAGGGTCTAAAGATTGAGATACTTTAAAATCATCTGGGACGTCACAATTAATGTCAAAATTGAGCTACTGTTGATATAATTCGTATGTTTTCATATACTTACCATTTAAATCAATACTTGGAATTTTGAATAGTAGCTAAGTTAGGTATCTGCATTGGAAATACAAGCACTAGTATACTTAAAATTGAATGATTTTGTATTATTTGAATATTTATGAGGAACAATTTTATCAGTATCATCATATTCAAATGAACATCCCGAGATGGAGATATCTTTTAAGTTCGGTGGAAATTCAAATTTACCGCTAAAGTAATGAAATTCAATATCACTTAAATGTAAAATCTTAAGATTTGAGTTGAATTTCCAATAATTGAACTGTAAAATATCAGAATTGTGAACTTTTAAACTTTTTGATGAATCATTGGGAACAAAATGCATAACATTATGGTCATACTCACTTGTATTCATAATTCTGCCAATTAATTTATAATCACGAGCATAATTAGGCTTTCTCGAAGTATAGCTAGAATAGCAGACTTATCATTAAACAAAACCGATGGGAAATGTGAATTCTCGATCAAAATTTGTAAGTTCTTACACTTCAATAATGACGAGTAACTTTCAACCAGATTACCACCAATGGATACTTTTACTAGTGTATTTGGAAAGTTAATTTTGTTTGGAGCAGGAGTAACAATAACCAACTCCAGCTCTAATATTTGAGTGACATCAATTTTGGAAACCATTGGTCACAAACAGGCTGACAGGTATAACCTATTCTTAAACTAACCAAATTGAATTTTATTTATGAAATACTACCACTTTCATGAAAAAACGAGCAATAGTTAAACTCATTACATTCTTGTGGATACTTCCAAGATCCGGTAACTGCAATAATTCAGCTTTGAATTCAAATAAGTTTAGTGAGCATTGAGTAAACTCTAAACGAATCGATTTAGTCTGAAAATTTCCAACTACTAACATCAAGAATCATTTCACCTCTGAATTTATTTAAAATTGGAATGAAATTTTCACCTTCTTTTTCTTCAGCTTCGTAATCAGATTCAATTTCACTATCATAATGATCTCTTGGATTAATACCTTCTTGAATAACACGTCTTGTGTAGATAACGTTTGAATAAATATTATATTTCTTAACAACTATCGTTAATTCAGTTAAAGAATGAAGTCTAACAGCATCTCTACAATCATATTTTCATGTGTAGTAGATTTTAAGTCGTGGTCATCCAAATCTCAGTCATCAATTTCATAGTCACAGACAATAACAATTTTTTTCTAATAACCTTCTTGATCCATGATTTCTCAAAATCTTATCATATAAAAAAAATCTGGCAACTTTAACATTGATAAATCTTTAAATGTTTTCAATAATTTCTGGTGGCAATTCTCTCAATTGATTAATTAAATTTAAAGTAATTCCTATGATATATTAAATAATCGATGACAGAATGAAAAATGAAATTTTTGCAATTAATTGACTGAATTCTAAGATTCCCGTTTAACGTTTTTAAATTGACCCGAAACAAGAAAATAAAAACTAAATTTTGATCTTGTACATATCCGCAACAACGAGTTCCACAGGAATAATTAAGCTTAAAAGCTAAGCGTATAATTCATTTCCAGTGGACTTTCAAATTGATTTCGTAGATTAAAGTTTAAATTTATTACTAGGACCCTTATTTAAGTGGCGCACCAGATCTAAAAACAAAAATAAAAATACGACGATCTCAGATTTGAATTCCATTTTTTTTTTTTTTTTTTTTTTTCAATTTTTTTTTGTTTAATGATTACAATCACATTTCTTACCCGTCGACCTTTAAAGCACAATCATTAACAAAGCTTTGGATGTAGTGGTTTCGATTGACCATTTGAAGTTAACCAACAACTTTTGAAAAATGATGCTATCATCGAAGCAATGTTTCAATAAGATTATTTCAAAATTAGCTACATACAGAATATAAGTTTAGTGTTAGTTATATATTCATTCTATTCGATTCAATCAACTCTAACTCAGATTTGCTCTAATTACGAATAAACTTACGAGTTTTTTGTTTCATTTTGAAAATATTTTTTCGGTATATGAAATTGATTTCTTTTGATTTTGAGTAATTATGACAAACAACATTAATTTCATTTGTCAATTCACAACCAGCAATCGAAATTGTTTTTAAGTTAGGAGGAAATTTGAAACTCCATTCATATTTGACAATTTCAAAATCTTGTAATTGCAAAGATCTAGATTTCGTTCAATTCAAATTCATCAAACATGAAACCAATATCAGGTCAAACTGAAGACTTTTAAGGTTGTGGGAGCTGCAGACTTACTAATCGCGTCTTTGAATATGGTTTACACATCATTTCTGTAACCAAAATCGTACCAAAAGCCATCATCAATATGAAACCTGAAACTTATAATACTCGTTGCTGATGCACCTGCGAAAAGCACATTTGGAAAACAAGAATTATTGATCTTGTCAATTTCTAGCAGTTTAGTAAAGAACCGTATTCTTTGATTGGGTGATCTAATTCTAAGCTTTTCAATGATTTTGGAAATTGAAAATCAGCCGCATCATCTCAGTATCCGCCTTCCCAATCACCAATGACTAAGTTTTTCAAATTGTTGCATAATGGGAAAACTTTATTAATCTTTACTTTCAAACTTGTTAAATTCAAAGTAATATCTGGAATAACCCTCTTAGTATCAAGACCCACAATTGATAAACAAACCAACTAAGTCCATTTAGCTAATAAATAAAGTCCAAAGGATGCTAAAAAACAAGTTTTAAAATAAATTACATTTTCAAGCTTTGAATATATCTCAATTGAATTGTGAAGTTCTAAGTAAACTTTTGACTCAGTATCTAAAATCAAATTGGGTTTGATGCTGTTAAAATATGTACTCCATTCTTCGATATCGTAATGACCGTCTGCATTAGTATCTAAAATCAAATTGGGTTTGATGCTGTTAAAATATGTACTCCATTCTTCGATATCGTAATGACCGTCTGCATTAGTCTCAGAATCAACAGTACTTGGATTGGGATTTTCAACGACATGTTTAAGATAAATAAATTTGGGAGAAACACCACCATATTTTTCAGTCAATTCTTTTAATTCAGCTAATGAAAGTACTTCAATAGCAATGAGAAATGAAAAATATTCCAATTTAAGGTTACAAAAAATAATTTCATCAAATTCAAAGTACAATAACTTTTGTAATCTACTTTAATAAATTAAGACGTGTTGTAAAGAGTATTAATTAAAAAAATATATATAAAAAACATCAGAACCTTAACTAATTATTATGATACAGTCATATTACACAATTACTATTTGTAAAATTATGCATTGTAATAAGACATTTCCCTTTGAGTTACAATAAAAACTACCCTTTTAGGCCGTTTCAATGGTCCTTTAGAGGCGTAATGAAGTAGTATTTTCCAGCGCTACCAATTGTGCGATTTTATTGTTCAAAAAATCGTAAGTAATACGACTTCCTTGAGTTTTTGAACAGATAGTCACCAGTAATTTGATACCGAAAGCTAATCATCAATAGTCTTAACGTTTTTTGAGAGCATTGATAGATAGGAAAGTCGTTAATTTGACGGATAAGCTGTAATGAAAGTTATTACTTTCGTTTACACTATCTGTTTAATTGAACTATTTCCGGCTTCAAATCAACAGTTGTATATTTATTCTCCTTAGGACGAAATCTCTACATTCATCCGTCTGAATTGTCGTTTGTAGATTTAGAATTATTGGCAGTAAAAAAAATCTGCCATCAATTTTGAAAAGTCGTGTGAACTATTCAGTAAATTGGCTGCAAAAATATGGACTAGCATAACAAAGTAGTGTACTGTGACCAAAAATAGATAAGGGATCGTATATTATTTTAATTTTTTTACTGATAAGCACTACTCATATTTTTTATTTATTTACTCCTTAAAAATTTGATTCTTACTTACCACACAAATTTTCTTATTAATTTTAAATTGACAACCAATTATCATATTTAAGTTTACTAGTGCCAAAAATCAAATATTATGTCTTTAAATCAAAGAATCATAGTTTTTAATCATCAACAAAGTGTTCCAATTAAAAGAGCGTCCCAGAAAAATAGAGAAGCTAAATTAACTAATTTAAATTTTGAAAATAAAAACTTGAGTAAAAATCATGCACGAATTATTTATAATTCAAATAAATTTGAAATTGAAGATACGGGTTCAATGTTTGGTACAATTGTAAATGATAAAGTTTTAATTCCTTTCAAACCAATCGAACTTAAAAATAAAGATGAAATTAAATTAATAATGGTCAAAAGTTTTGCGTTTTTAAAAAATATATTTGATAAATTTAAATCAAATGAATGGATTGATATTAAAGAATTTGGAGATAATTTAAGTTTAAAAATTAAATTGTCGGTTAATATAAAAAATAATACTTTAAAAATGTCAGTTTTAGAAAATGATGGTTTTAAAGATGAAACTGATACTAATAATGGTGCAGGTAATGATTCATTTTTTCAAGATCAAGAACAAGATGATATTAAATATATTCTAACACCTGAAGAAGAAGAAGAAGAAGAAGAAGTACGTTTTGATAATGAAGAAGAAAGTGAAAATTTAACGACTACAAATTCAAAAGATTTAATCCCTTCAAAAGCTGCAACTGATAAATATTCAACCCAACCTACTACAACTCAATCTACATTTAATGAAAATGGAGAACAAGCTAGAGATTTACATGGAGTTTTTGAAATTTCAGCTGAAGAAGAAGAAGAAGAAGAAGAAGAAGAAGAAGAAGAAGAAGAAGAAGGAGAAGAAGAAGAAGGAGAAGAAGCAGAAGAAAGTTTAAGTGATAATGACAAAACTGAACATGAATGTTGCGAATGTTGGAGTGGTGGCGGCTCATGTTGTACTGAAATTAGATCTACATTTAATGAAAATACTAGTGAAGCTGAAGAAAGTAAAATAGTTGATGAAGATGCTGGTATTGAATCAGAAGTAGAAATTGATGTTGATGATGATGAAATTAGTGAAGTTGATGATGAACAAGATAAATCATCAGATGAATCAAATTTAGATATTTTAGAAGATGAAAATGAACGAAAAGATAGTGTTGATTATTTTGAAAAATTAAAATCTGCTTATGTTTCAGGATACTGTGGTTTAGAAATATCAAGTGGTGAAGAAAATTCAAAAGATGATGAATCAAAAGTTAGAAATCAATTAAAGAGAGAAGAACTTGAAAGAATATATGGTGCAAATGAAGATGAAGAAAGATTAAGCTTAATAAGAGGTATTTCAAAAGATAGTAATGATTCTGAATTAAATACAAGTGAATCTGATGAAGAAAATGAAACAACATTAGCATCTTTAGGAATTTCATCAAATGGATACGAAGTAAGAAAAATATTTTCAAAGGAAATTTCAACTGATAGATTTGCTGAATCACCTGTTTATAATTCGAAAAGAAAATATAATGAAATTGAGGAGGAAGATATTGAATCGGATTCATCAGATTTATCACATTCATCAATTGAATTACCATTGAGAAAAAAGCAAAAAATAGACAATTCAAATTCAAATTCAACTATCAAAACTATAACTAAAGAAGTTGCAAAAGGTTTAGTTTATTTTGTTGGTACAATTATTGCAATGGGTATTTATGGAAGTAGAATTAGTCAAGATTAGGGAATTGGGAAGTATTTGGTTTATTTTATATACTATTGTTTTTATGTTTTGTGTTTTAAGTTGTTTAATATATTGTAAAATCTTTAAATTTAATCTAAAAGTGGATTCTATTGGACAATTGGTGATGTTAACTGAACTGTTTAACAAGGAGATTAGCTTGAATTTATAGATTCGTTGGTTGGGACAAAAGAAAATTTTGTATAGACTTGCAAATGTTTAGCTATCTCCTAATAATTACACCGCCAGCAATTGGTTACATTTTGTACCTTATTTCGCAGGCTGAAGTGTATTACACCTGTTGATTCAAAAACGTATAAAAAAAGCCTTAATGAAACCTTCATAATAGACATAAATAGCACTAATAAAAGTCCAGATTGAGCAGAGATAATTGTTATATACATTACTGTTTATGATGTTTTATTAAAATTTCTACATATATGACTCTAATTTGATGCAGTTGAATTATTCTTTCTATATGCTCTTTTCTTCTTTGGTTCCCCATTTGCATCACTAACAGCTTGTTGTAGTAGTAATTGTTGTTGTTGTTGTTGTTGTTGTTGTTGTTGCTGTTGTTGTTGTTGCTGTGGGGCATTATTAAACTGTTGTTGATTATTTTGCATAGGTACTTGTTGATTTTGATTTTGATTTTGATTATTCATTCCATTTTGAGCTTGTGCTAACTTCTCCTGTTGTAATTGTTTTTGTTTCTGTTGAAAAATCTGAAATTGTTTTAATCTTTGGAAATAAGTTGGAAATTTTTGAATTAATTGTTGTTGCATTATTTTAACTTGTTGTAATGCTTGTTGTTTTTGTTGTGGTGTTAATTGTTGTCCGTTTGGTGCTATACCAGTTTGTGACATTTGAGCTAATATTTGCATTTTTGATTGTATTTGTTTAAATTGTGTTTGTTCTTCTGGAGTTAACAGATTTTGGAAAATTTGTTGATATTGTTGTTGTTGGATAGATAATTGTGATTGTTGTGACTGAGGTTGTTGTGATTGAGGTTCTTGAGTATTTTGTTGTTGTGGTACATTACTATTCATTGGTGTTGGAGCTGCTTGATATGGTGCATTGTTATTTCTCATCATTGGTGTATTTGAAGCTGATGGCATTTGTGAATTTGAATTACTATTAAATTGTGGACTATGGTGAGGTATCATTGATGGTTGTTGTTGTTGTTGTTGTTGTTGTTGTTGTTGTTGCAGTTGTTGTTGCATTGGTTGTTGCTGTTGCTGTTGTTGTGGAATTAGTTGGGGAGGCACTTGTTGTGGCATTGGACTTGATTGTGAACTACCAACTGGTTGTTTCTTTGGTTCTTTTTTTATTCTTTTTGGTGCTGGGGGTATTGATTGTGGTTGTGGTTGTGGTTGTGGTTGTGGTTGTGGTTGTGGTGGTGGTGGTAGTGGAGGTGAATTAGCAGGTAGATTATCATTAACTACAGCACTTGTTTGAGCTTGAATATTAGCTTCTTGTTGGAATTTTTCAGCTTCTCTCTTTTTCCTTATTTCTTCAATTAATCTTAATCTCATAAATTGACCAGTTGTTCTTACTGGATTTTGAGTAAGCGTAGTTGGAGCAGGAACTGAAACTGAAGATTTCTCAGAATTATTCTTCTTCTTCGAATCTATACCTACTGAATTTTCTTTACTCGATGGTTTTGTTGATGTAGTTGTAGGAGGTACTGATGCTGTTGCAGGAGCAGGTAAATTTGAACTTGAATTAACAATAACCAATTTGTTCTCTTGTGACTCATCTGGTCTTCTATATTTATTTGATAATAATAACATAATCTCTTCATATTCTGATGATTTATGTAGTACGATTTCATCTTGATGTATTTTCCTTTGTGGGACATGAACTGGTTCTCTATGTTCAATTTCATCGTCGGTGTCAGGTTTTAATAAATCATAATTATATGGATTCAAAAGTACAGATAAATTTAATTTTCTATTTGTCAATGTTAAAATCTCGGATTCCATTTGTAATGATAAAGTATCAGTAAATTTAGTTAATGCAGAATCAGTATGATATAATAAATCATAATAAATAGATAATGGAGTTGGTTTTAATAAAGTTCGATATGATTTTGGTTTAGCAAATGCTTGATCTTGAGTTTCTTGTTTCTCTTCTTCCTTTTTCGGTTGTTTATTGAAATTTCTATGATCATAAACTTGTAAAATTAAACAACCATCATACAGTTTTATTGAAAAATCTTTTAATAATTCACACATTTCAACTGGAATTTCTTCTTTTATAACATGCTTTAAAAAATCTTTAATCATATGAGAATCTTTTGGTATAATTTGAGAATCTTGACTATTATTAAATCTATAATAATTTTCAAAAATATGCAAAGTTAAAGAAGGTGGATATTTGGAATATTTTTTTAAAATTTCTTCTGTAGTTGAAGCATAATTCATAAATTGTGCTTTTTGTCGAAGTTGTTGTTGTTGATGCAATTGCTGTTGTAGCAATTGTTGTTTATTTGGTTGTTGCATCATTTATTGGGAATGGTTAAATTACACTGGTATAATTCTTTTCACTATTTATTATTTTTCTTTGAAACCCAAATAAAAAAAAAATCACTATATGCAGGTTTAGAATAACTATATAAGAGATTGATCTCGTAAAGAAATATCAACTAATAAACAGGGGCATTTTCGCAATTTATATCATATTTGATTCACTATTTATACAAAACTCTATAGATTTGAATAGTTTAATTCTATCTTCTTTGTTAAATATCCATAATCCATATATTTCACCTAATAGATTTTTAACAATTATTAAACTGTCATTTAATTCAACTTCCATTTCCAGTACATTTGATGAATTAACTCCCTTAGGGAAATAATGTTTACTTATTTTATTTGGTAATAACCCCAATGAAAAACATTCAGGTTGTGACCTATTCATTAATATTAAACCATAACAAAATAATTCTTGTAAATCATGATATGAAGCTTTTGGTTGTGACTGTATTTTAAAATCTCTAACATATAAAGCTAAAGGACCAGATGAATCAGTTTTAATCCATTCTTCTTCTTCATTATAATGATATATTACACAATGAGATGTATGGCATAATAATTGCTTAATATTTGGATCATAACGACTTATAACATTGAAATTTAAAGTATTTGTATATAATTTTAAAGCTTCATCTTGAGTTAGATCTTGTTTATTCTCTTGATTATTTGATTCTGCCATGGGTAACTAATTGGTTGTCAAATGTTTTTTCTTTTTTCGAATATTCTATGACTCAAAATCAATGTCATGAAATAAAACGCGACATTGATCATTTTATAATTTAATTGCTTTCTTCTCTCTTGTGTACAACAATTGTTTTTATATTCATAATAACATTATCATGCTTAGATTTAATACTACTAGACCATTATTCTCAATTGGTAGAAGATTTTATGCTGCTAAAGGAGATTCAATTCCTTCAACCACTTTATACGACGGGTCACCAGGTAATGATATAAATTTAGCTGAAGAAACTGCTCACGGTAAATCAATTTTAATTGGTATTCCTGGTGCTTTCTCTCCTGCTTGTTCTGCTAGTCATGTTCCAGGTTATCTTAAAAATTTAAGAGCTTTTAATGATAAAGGTTTTTCAAAATTTTTTATTATTTCAGTTAATGATCCATTTGTAATGAAATCATTTGGTAATTATTTAACACAAGAATTATTTACTAATCAAGTTAAATTTTTAGCTGATTCAAGAGGTGAATTTTCAAAAGAATTGGGCGTTGTATTTGATGCTACAAAAGTATTTGGTAATGAAAGATCAAAAAGATATGCTTTGGTTGTTGAAGATGGTAAAATAGTAGATAGCTTTATTGAACCAGATAATACTTCAGTTGATGTATCTGATGCAACAAAAGTATTAAAATCATTATAAATGTGAATATATATATATATATACCTAGCACCTATATAACTTTTTTTTCTCGTACCATGTTTCAGAATTTACTACGAAGAAATATACTTTTAGGTCGATATTTTCTACGATATAACTCTATTTATACAGAGTCAGAGATTGAAAATGCAAAGAAATGGTTAGATAGTTTTGATCATAGTCAGATACCTCAACATGTTTTTAAAATTACATTTAGTAGATCATCTGGCCCTGGTGGTCAAAAAGTTAATAAGACTTCATCAAAAGCTCAGATTAGTTTAGACTCAGGTGAATGGTTATCTCCAAATACTTCATATTGGATACCAAAACCAATACAGCACCAACTTAAAGAGAAGAATTTAAGGTATGTTACTCCTAAAAATGGTTTATTGATACAATGCGATACTGAAAGAAATAGAGAAGTTAATTTAGAAAATTGTTTTAAGAGGCTAATGAATGAAATTAAATTAAATGTATACTTTGCAGGGGAAGTAAGTGAAGAAGATAAAGAGAAATGGCAACAATTAGAAATAGATCATAACGAAAGAAAGAAACATAATAAGAAAAAACACTCAGAAAAGAAGAAACTTCGATCAAAGAACTTTGACTGGTAAGCCGACACTGTAAGGATGCAGTGAGGATGCTTTAGATAGCTAAAAAGGGCCAGATTACGGCTCCAATTGTAAATAGTGTAATATAGAATTTCAATATATTTAATGCGCTGAAAATTCTGAAACAAATATATTTTATACCAGTCGCTTCAAGAATGAGTGAAAATTCATTACAATCGATTGAACAATTGAAAAATAGTATAAGGTCCTTTTTAGATGAGAAGGAAAGTAATATATATCATAAAAATTATGTTGATAATATAACAGATGAATCAGAATTTGAAAATGGTCAAGTTGAGGATGTAATTGATAAAATTGAATCGAGTTTCAAAATAGATAAAGAAGCACTACAAGATGTTACAGAGACTGAAGAAGCTGAAATTACCAAATTTAATCAAGTTTTAGATACTGTAGGTAAAGAATTTATTATCAAGGCTGCTTTTCATAACATATTTGATGAAATATTAAATTCAATATTGGCAAATGAACAAGGGTCAGAAACGACAGAGAATAAAGAAGAATCAGAAATGACTAGATATTATAATCAACTTGCATTGTTATTAGATTATATCTTGGTGGTTATACTCAAGAATAATGATAAATCCAAAACCATGAAACATGTTTTTTATTCTAGTATTCAACAAGTTATGGAGCAATTGTTAAATTTTTCAATTAATTATGCTAATCATTTTTGGACATTTATGGAAACAAGAGAGAAATTATATATTTCTAAAATATATCAAAATGACAAAACAGAAAGAGTACAATTTTTATACTGTTTCCAACCATTAGTTAATAAATACTACATTAAAACTAAAACCAAAACCAAAACATCAAGAATTTCAAGTTTTATAAATGAGACATTTAATACTCAAAAACAGGATACTTATGCAGATACATTTAGGTATAGAGTTAAAGCATTTATGTCAAATTGTCTTTCATTTGAAGATCAAACTGGTTTAAATAAATATTTTGATGTTGCAGCAAGAGATCCACTAAATCTTAAAATTTACAAGGATGTTTTTTCACAAGATTTAATTGATGTTCAAAAATTAATAAATAATCCAATGTATTATCTTAGAAAACAAAACCAAGGACAATTAACATCATTGACTAATAAATTAATCAAGGTATTTTATCAATTATTAGCAGAAGAGAAAGCATACACTGAGAAACATAAATTGCCAGATTTCTTTATCCAAAAACCACCAAAATCAAAAGAGGAAATAGAGATGAAAAAAGAGAAATATAGTAAGAAAATTTACAATCCTGAAACTTATTACTTGTCCACTTTTAATTTAGATAAGAGTGAATTTGAAGAACAACAAAAAATAGATCAAAGACATCTTACTATATTAACAGAAATACCGAAAAATAGAGTATCCATATTATTTTCAATATTCATGGTTTCATTCTTTTTCATGGATCTAACTGAGAAATATAAAAATCAATTACTTGATTCAGTAGGAGCTCCAAAAAATACAAAACACTTTACGGACGATCTGACTCCCAATAATGTATATTTAGATTATCATGATATTAAATTCAAATTTTTTTCAGAAATTAAAAGAATTAATTCTCAATTGGCATTCTTGGCAAATCATGTACAAGTTTCAGAAAGAATATGGTGGGGGTTTTTATTATATGGAAAAGATCCAAAGACCGGAAAATCATTATTTGAGGATAAAATACTTACAACTGAAGAATTAGAAGAAGTTGCTAAGAAACATGAAGAAATAGCAAAGTATAAAACTTCAAAATTGTTTAATAATTATGTTACTTCTGAAGTTACTAGAAAAATGAGACCTAAAAAAGATGAAGGTGTTAAATTTAAAGAGTTTGATGTTTATATGAATTCTGAAGAATTGGAGAATGTTAAATACGAAATTGAAGAATTGGAAAATAGTGATGTCAAAGATGATGATAAATTACAAGAATTAAAAGAGAAGAGATCTGCTTTAACTTGGAGATTATTAAGATCTCAAAGAACTAGTAAATTATTTGAATTATCTGAGATGTTAAAAAATGCAATCCCAATTAATGAAAAAGTTGAAGATGATGAAGATGAGGAAATGTTGGAAGAAGATGAAATAGAAGAAGTTAAAACTGAACAAAATGGTGACGAGAAAGTAAAAGAACAGGCAAGTGGTAATGAAACAGAACCTGAAGAAGCTAATGGCGAGGATAAGGCTGAGATCAAACAAGAAGAAGAAGTGAATTCTAGGAAAAGAAGTTTAGATGAAGAAAATGATGATAGTCGCTCGCCTAAATTAGCTAAAACTAAAACAGAGTAATAAACGTCAATATTACGCGTACTTATAGAGAATCTTGGGCTGTTATTCTCTGAATACCTTGTTTATTGATCTCTTTCTCGTGAATCTAAGGTGGTAGCGTATATTTTCAGTTTTGTGTAATTACGCGTATAATTTAAAATATTTTTTTTTTATCAAAATTTATTTGATATTCTAGCCATTTACATTAGAACTTATACCCATCCCATAGCATTTTATATCCATTATTAGGCTATATTACATTCGAAATATCATAAATTATCTACAAATTGATTAGGTAATGGCTAGAACAAGAAGCAAAGGTTCAAACAACACGTCCAAAAAATCAAATCGAAATTCGCCAGTTGCAACCAGAGGTAGAAAAGCAAAATCAAATCAAAATTCAAGTAATGCTTCAACTCCAAAATCAAAATTTGTAAATTTGAAACTAAAGGGATCTGAAAATGATATAACTCAAGAAATAGTTTCACCACGACCACAACCAATTCTACTGCCACCTAAAATCGATTCACAACCTTCAAGTCCAATAAAACGTCATATTGAAATAAATTCATCGCCTATAAAACAACCAATTAAATATTCAACACCACCACCACAAGATAATTCATTATTTACACCATCTCCACGAAAGAAGAAAAATGTTGCATTTTCAGATGATTTATTAACTTATGTACCAAGTTCACCAGATAAAAATCAAACACCAGGTAGATCAATATTAAAACCATTAAGTTTAAATATAGATGCAACAATAATGGAGATGAAAAATCTAAGAAGAGTTAAAGAAGAAGAAGAACAAATAGAGATATCACAAGGTTTGAGCCCCTCAGATCCTAATTTTTGGACTCAAGGTACTGTTTGTTCATCTCTGTCAAATTCAGAAGAATTATATAATTTAATAATTGGATGTATTACTGTTCTTTCAATTGATGAATTTAATAAAAGATTTGAAGTTTATGCTACTTTAAATCATATAAATAAATTAAATAGTAAACAAGCAGTAATTAAATATTTAACAAGTCCATTTCCAAACTCACCTACTAGAAAATCATGTATTCAACAATTATCAAGTATAATAAACAAAGATGTAGAAAAGATAGAGAATAAATTATTTAATAATCCTGAAATTACTGAATCACCAACCAAAAATAATCCATTTCAAGTTAGAGTAATTAATCAAGCTATTAGATTATTAAATTCATTATTATCAGATTCAGAATTGAATAATTTTTTACCTATGGAGAATATATCTTGGATCTATCATCATGCTTGTTCAATATTAACTAATCCAAAAGTATCAAAAGCAATTGTATCAGCATACATATTAATATTTAAAGATTTTAAAATAAGTAGTAAGAAAAAACGAATCTTAATCGAGTGTGATAATTATGCATTGGCTGAAAAGATGTTATTCACATTGATAAACATGAAAAGTTTCCCAAGTGCAACATTAATAAATGAGAGGTACTTTTGTTATCGAAATTTCACAGATTTGTTCCCAAATATAATGGCTAAAAATATAGGTCATTGGATGCCTACCTTATTAATCAATATATCGAACATTGCACCTCCGTTTTATGCCAAAGTTGCAGCAAATGCCATGTTTTCAATTATTGAAATTGCAAAAACTTTCCTTGATAATAAACAAGTATCGAAATTTATAATTCATTTTTTATCTTCAAATGTTCCAACTGATATTAGATCGATTTTATATAATGGATTAGTTGAAATGGATACAGAGTCATTAAATCGACAAAATTTTAAAGTTATTGATGTGGTTATACTTAGAATTGAAGAATTAATGAATGATGGAGAAACTAAACTTGCGATGGACTTATGGGTAGCTATAACTATGTTAATTTCAGAGGAAGTACAATTAGATGAATGGAAATATTTTGATAAATGGGTTGAAATACCTTATGCATGTTTTGGATCAACTGTTGAAACTCAAATAATTGGATTACATAGTTGGAAAATTGTAATTTATAACATTTGCAAGAATAATCTATTAAGTATAAGGAATGGAGTTGAATTAATTAACAGAAAGAATCCAATGGATAATACAGCTTTAATTAATCAATTTTTAAAAAGTAAGATTAAGTTAATTACATTTCCATTCACGATATTTGAATCTGAAATGTCTAATGAGGTCGTATTTGCATTGCATAATTTATTTATTGGTATATTACACCTACTTTTGAATCCATCAGTAATGAGACAACCATCAAAACATTTATATATATATTGGGATAAGATCATACAACCCACATTTTTTAATTTTTATTTTAAAAATGGTTCAATTGAATTAGTGAATAGATTAGGATTAGATATATTATACAAACTATTAAAATTAACACCAATTAATGAGAAAGGATATAGTGAATTGAGAATATTATCAAATGAGAATATAGATTTACAAGAGATAAATTCACTACCTACAAGATGGATCCATTCTAAATTTGATAGAGTAATGCAAGTAATTATATCAACTTTCAAATCTGATTTAAGTAATGAACAAAAGATAAACTTATGGAATACATTCATGATAAGTATCAAACCAATTATGAAAAAAGAAGGTTTAAAATTATCAGCTTGTAGTTGTGATGTGATTGATAATTTACCAATTGCAATGGCTCATTTATTCAAAAATAATAACATACAAGTGAGATTAATCCATAGGTTGATTTTCAATCTAAATGACGTATTTCAACCATTTAATAGAGATGGGGAATCAAGCACGAATATTTACTTGTCAATACTAAAATTTGCAATACCAAAGTTATCAAAAATTGAAAGTATGGAAGTGATTCGATCTATCTTAATTGGTCTTAATAATGAAAAATGTTTGATTTTCATTGCTGATTATTTGAAAAATGAATTAGCGACAGAAAATGTAATTCAAATATTCACTGATTCATTGAATAAAGTACATTTAGATAAATCTCGAAAATCATTGAATTTATTTGGTGAGATATGCACATTTTATAAATCCAATTATCAAACTTTTGTCAAACATGTAATTCAACAAATTGTCACTATACAAGACAATGAAGAATTAATTAAATGTTTGAATCAATTACGTATCCAATCATGGAATCCAGAGATAATTGAATACTTTTTGGTTTTGGTTAAGAATGCTCCAAATAGGTATATAAATCAATTTGTGATAAACTTCATCAAGATCAACTTATTAAAAGAAGAGTTGTTTTTACATACGTTATCATTTTTAATTGCGAATGATTTTCAATTGGAATTAAATGAATTATTGGATCAAATTGTAGAAAATGCATTGGGGTATAAGAATGTATTGTTGCCTACTTGTGACATAATCCTAAATTATATAAAAATGAAACTGAAATTAAATGAAGAAAGTTCATTTGTTGATAAGTTGTGCGTTATGAGTCAGTTTAAATTGGGATTAAATGTCACAGTATTTGTGGATGTTTCTAAATTACCAATGTTTGGTGAGAAATTAAAAGAGGTTAGTGATTCTATATCTACCAAGAGTGATATTTTGATACCTACTGCTAAATCAAATGATGACGATTCACTAGAGAGTGATATGCAAAAAATTACAAGAAATAATACTGAAGATGTTGAAATGAAAGATGGAGATACTGTTAAAGAAAATAATTCTATAGAAGAAGATACACTTGAAGATAAAGTAAAGAATAATAATATGGAAGTTGCTAAGACATTTACAGAAGAAAATTCACCTGAAAATAATGCTAATGGTAGAGTAGAAGTCGCTAAAACACCATCAGAGGAAGATTCACATGAAGATAAACAAACCAAAAATGGAGTTGAAGTATTTAAAACATCTAATGAATCAGAACAAAGTACAGTTGAAGATAATTCAAAAACCAAAGATAGTGATATGATTACAAGTTTAGATAAACTACGAAAAGAGTCATCTAATAAACCTGTAGTAAATGGAGAACAAAGTAAAGAACAACATGAAGCTAATAAAGATGAGACTAATGTACATGATGTTGAAATGAACGATAATGATGATTCTGGTTTAGTTTCAAGTGAGAATGAAAGTGGTGTAGTTGATTTAACTCAAGATTCAGATGAATTAATTATTGAATTAACTGCAGAAAGAATAGATTTAGTTAATGGCGATGATGAAATCGATGGTAGAACGAAAAAAGCTCAAGTACATGACATTCAACGTGAAGAAATTGTAATTCAGGACAGAAATATTGTATCAGATGCTGTAGTTGATGATAAATCTGATGAAGAAAAACAAGAAGAGGTTTCAGAACTGAATGAATATGCAGATACATTACCTGATAGTCTAAATAATTCGAAAGATACAAATAATACTTCATCTGATAGAATTGAAATTAATCAAGCTGATGAAAATCAAGATAAAATTAATGAAATTGACACTCAACATGATACAATTATGGCTGATGCTCATGACGGTAAAGACGATGGTAGAAAGAGTGTACTTGAAGATAGCGAAATGGCTCAAAGCAGTGATAAATCTTCAAATTCAAGTAATATTGAGATTAATGGTAAAGACAATGAAAATATAAACAGTGTGCCACAAGAAATTGAAAAGACAGTTGAGACTCAAGTTGAAGTAGCTCAATCAGAAATTATAGCAGAGAAAAGATTGAGCAATAATGGCAGTCTAATTAAATCAAAGAATGATATAGCTAAAAGAACGGATTTAGATTTTAATAATATAGAAAATAAAGATTTACAACAAGATATTAGTAGCATTGAAATAGATGAACCAAAAGTTACAAACGTGGAAATTATGGATAGTGCTAGTAGTCAACTTGAACAAGAAGGATCTGCTATAAATAATTCTCAAATTGATTCATCAAAAAATATAGTTTCTGATCAAAAAGTTAAATCCAAATCATCCAAAAGGGTTAAAGAAAAGAGGGCTTCAAAGAGAACTAGAAGTAAATCTAAAGTATCAGTGTCTGAAAGGTTAATATTAAAAAATTCAAATAATAAATCAAATAAGGTTGAAATTGCATCATCAATGACTGATAAAGAAGATGAAATTTCTGAATTGGAAACAAATTCAATATCTCAAGATAATACAAATGAAGATTCAATTGAAGATACTCAAGATAATAATAAAGAAAATATACCACTTAGAAGATCTAAGAGAAAAACTGTACATAAAGACGTTGCAACAACTAATAAGAAAGTTAGAACAGCTATTGATGATTCATCGGTTACCATTCCAAAAAGTAATAGTCTTGAAGAATCATCAGGTGAAATTAATTCATTTAAAATTGATAATATAGATAATGGAAAAGCAGCTACTCATATTGATAAAAATTCAACAGAACAAAGAAGAGAGAGTGTACTTGAAAGTCATACTCAAGAAATCAATCATTTAGAACTTGAATCAAGCGATAATAAATCATTAGCAATTACTAAAGTTGATGATATTTTACCACCTCAATCCCACACTCCAGATGATGCTGTCAAAGAAACTGGTCCTTCTAAAGAACTCATTCCAACCAATTACTCAAAATTAACTGTTTCTCAACTTACCAAATTATTATCAGAAAAGTCCGATCTAGAATTATCCAATTTATTAAATGAAGATAAATATGAAATAGAAACACAATTGTTACAATTTATGGTTAAATTAAGAAATGTCAAATAGGTAAATATTTGTATATACAATGTTTAATGAAAAGTTTATCATAGTTTTGTCTGTTCGTTGTATTTTCTATTACGTCTGGTTTCAAAATTGAATTACGCCGCGAGGATATTTTTCCATTCAAATCTATAACATCTTAGTGATTTATCAAACAGTTCAATAATAATTTATATTATTCCATGATTGCCGAATATATCTTAGAATTTATTCAACTTTAGCTTTAGTTTATTTTTATTAAAATGTCAATTGTTCCTTACAATTCTAATAAAGCTGTTTTATATCATAATCCAAATGAAGGTTTAATAGTCTTACATGATACACAAGAAAATACCATTCAATTATTAACAACAACAAAAAATCAAGACGTGCCGGATCTTCAAAGATTTACTAAAAGAACAAATTCCAATTCTTCCAAAGCTCCTCCATTATTTATATTTTCTGAAAATTCAAATTTAACTGAATGTCCAAATTGCGGGTTTCAATGGGCTGAATATCAAGATACAGGTGCTAGATCAAGACGAGGATCAACTACTAATGGATTATCTAATTTATTTAACTTACCTGATTCAACTAAATTACCACAAAATTTGTTTATGCATAGTGATTATTTCAAATTATTGGGTCAAATCCCATATAAAGAATCAAGTTCAACTTCTACAAAGGGTATACCTGAAGGAGTATTCAATCAGGGTTATTTCAACAAGTTTTTCAAGAAAATATATCCATTTGTTTTAGGTTCTGGAGCTCATGCGCAAGTATTCAAAGTTACACATGTTTTAAATGATATTAATTTGGGTACTTATGCAGTTAAAAGAATAAGTATGGGTAATAAATTTGAATTATTGGAACAAGTTTTAAATGAAGTTTTAATATTATATGAATTATCAGTAAAAGGAGCAAATGAAAATAATTTAATACGATATAATCACGTTTGGTTAGAATTGGGAGATATTGAAGAATCAACAGCATATATATTACCATTAGATGATAGTAAAAATGATAGAAAGATACCGTTTGTTTATATATTACAACAATATTGTGATGGTGGACATCTTGAAGATTTAATATGTACAAATTATACAATTGAAGAAAATTTATCGTGGAAAGATAAAGTAGCAAATGAAAGAAAGAAAAGAAGGGCACAAAAAAATGGTGAAATGACAGAAACTGCTCAATCTTGGTTATCTAATTTTGAAATATGGAAATTTTTTCATGATGTAGCTAATGGTGTACATTATTTACATAAACATGGTATATTACATCGAGATTTAAAACCATCAAATTGTTTACTAGATGTAAAATATGAAAAAAATGAACAAATTAATAGTTTTGATAATATAGATGAGTTTGAACTGAAAGTTTTTGAATTACCTAAAGTTTTAGTTTCTGATTTTGGTGAAGGGAAATTCATAGAGAATAATATTAAATTAAAACAGAATTTGAAATTTAATGAAAGAAGAGGAAATACTGGGACTTTAGAATTTACAAGTCCTGAATTATGGTTATATACAGATGATCCTACCAAAAATTTTGTCAATGATTTTACTTATGAAAGTGATATTTATTCAATGGGTTTAATTTTATGTTATTTATGTTGTGGGATACTACCATTTACAAATATAGTTAAAAATGAACAAGATCCACAAGAAGCAAGGAATAAGATTATTAAATGGTATTTCAATATGAATTATAAAAACTTCAGCCATTGGTTTCAAGAACAAATGATGAAAATTCATGGAGAAGTTAATGACTGTTTGTTAGACTACCAGGAGCTTATTTATTCAATGATCAAAGCTGAGAATAAAACATCAAGGAAGAATTCAAAAGATGTATTATTGTTTTTAAATGATATGAAATGGAATAGATTTATAATTAATGATAACCGAGATAGAAGAGAAAGTATAGATCAAAGTAATTTGACATTATATGAACCTAAACCACTAGCATTAATAAATAATGAAAAAGATGAAGATTTAGAATTTGAAGAAAATGATCCAAATCATTTGAATTTAACACAAGATGAATTTGAGGAAAAGTTAAGAGGTTTTGAGGATACTGAAACAAAGAAACTAATTGAAATAAATCTGATCTCAAGAATACCATTCTACTGTTTTGAATTGATATTACTTGAACTATTATCATTATTTTCACCGCATTTTTCGAAATCGATCTTGAAATTAGCCATTGTCATATCAATTTTCATGGATCTATTGGTGCTTAACTCAAAAAAAGTCAAACTGTGCTTGTTCATAATTATATCCATAGCATTATCACTCTGTATGGCTTATGAATTAGGTGGATCTAGAGTATCTAGTACATTAAATGTATAAACTTAATCTCTTCTTACAATTTTTGGTAGCGTTTCAAAATAAAAAAAAATTGAATAAACCAGTTGCAAAGATTAATGGCTACTAAAAGGAAAAGAGAACAACAGCAGCAACCAGAAAAGCTAAAGAAAAGGAAGAATAAGAAACAGAAGACTAAACAATCTCAAGATGACAAGGTTTTACTTGCACAAAATTCATTTGAACATTTACAAAAACATATTGATGATGATTCAGATTCAGAATTGATATTTGATTATGATAAAAAGAAATCTAAAAGCCCTGATGAAATAATACTTGTAGATAGTGAAAGTGAAGATGAGAGTATAGAAGTGACTCCAGCTGCTGAAGAACTATCTGCTAAAAAACAAAATATCAAAGTTGATAATGAATTAACTCAAAATCAAGATTTTATCGGTTTTGGATTTTCATCTTCTTCTGATGAGGCTAATGATGTAAGTAATGATGTTTATGATTTATCAGATGATGGTATTTTAAGTGCTGATGAGAATGGAGTGACTGTAATAAATGGTGTTTCACAATCATTATACCCCTGGGTTAAAAATCATGATCATTCAAGACAACGAGAAATTGCAGATTGGCTCACTATGGAAATCAAAGATTTTGTAAATTATATATCCCCATCAAGTGATGAAATTACTTTAAGAAATAATGTTATTAATAGATTGAAAAAACATATTGGTAAATTTTGGCCAGGTACCGAATTACAAGTTTTTGGTTCTTGTGCTACTGATTTATATTTACCTGGTTCTGATATAGATATGGTAGTTATTTCAAAAACTGGAGATTATGAAGAAAGATCAAGATTATATCAATTGTCTACTTTCCTCCGAGCTAAAAATTTAGCTAAAAATGTTGAAGTTATAGCTCATGCAAAAGTCCCAATTATAAAATTTATAGATCCAGAATCAAATTTTCATATAGATGTTTCATTTGAAAGAACAAATGGATTAGATGCAGCTAAAAGAATACGGAGATGGCTCGATTCAACTCCAGGATTAAGAGAATTGGTTTTAGTTATAAAACAATTTCTTAGATCTAGAAAATTAAATAATGTACATGTTGGTGGTTTAGGTGGATATGCTACTATAATTATGTGCTATCATTTTATGAGATTACATCCTAAAATATCTACAAATTCAATTGATCCATTGGAAAATTTAGGTGCTTTATTAATTGAATTTTTTGAATTATATGGTAGGAATTTTGCTTATGATAATTTGATAATAGCATTAGAACCAAAAACAGAAGCACCGATGTATTATACAAAAGGAAGTCATCCAGTTTTGGTAACTTGTAAAAATACATTTTCAATAGTGATTCAAGATCCAGCAGATCCAAGAAATAATATAACAAGGTCATCATATAATTTAAGAGACCTAAAGAAAGCATTTGGTGGTGCTTATCAACTATTAGTTGCCAAATGTTATCAATTACATTCTGCATCATATAAAGATAGATTAAATGCATCTATATTAGGTGATATCATAACTTATAGAGGTAAAGAAAGAGATTTTAATGATGATAGAGATAAAGTTTCAAATACAGCTTTAATAAATCATGAAGAAAGTGATAGTCAAAGTGATGGTGCTGATGGTAATGATAAATATTATTTTTCAGATATGACTGATGAGAGTGATGATGTAGAAGATAAATATATTCCAAGAGAAACAACACCAATTACAAATAAAGCGAAAGATACAAAGAAATTGATAGAGGATTATCTTAGTCTAGAAAACTCAGATGATGAAAATAATGCAAATGATGATGATGATGATGATAATGATGATACTGATGATGAACCTTATGATCCAGAAAATGTACAAGTTAAAAAACCGAAATCATTACTAGACAAAGATATCAAAAGAGAGTATTGGCGACAAAAGGGTATGTAATTATATATTAACAACAATTAGAAGCATTTGCCTTTCTTGCATTTAACATTGAACCAATTTGATCATTTGGTTCATTTTGTAGTTTTTCATAATACTTCTTGAAAAACTCTTCATCTATGTCATCTAATATATCATCAAATAATTCATTTATACCTACATTATCCTTTGAACTAGTCTTATGAAATTTTTTAATATTATATTGATTATCTTCCAATTCTTCATCTTTAATAAATTCATTTATTTTTTTATCAATTTCTAAATTTTTATCATCTATTAAGTCTAATTTTGTACCTATTAATCGTATTTCTATTCTATCATTATCATCATTATTTCTATTAAGTTTTAATTGTTGTAACCAATATTTAGCAGTATTGAGAGTATATTCAAAATTATTTAAATCAAAACATATCAAAACAACTTTTGAATTTCTATAATACATTGGAGTTAAACTTCGATATCTTTCTTGACCAGCAGTATCCCATATTTCATATTTAATTGATCTATTTGGGTTTGATTTTGAAATATATTCTTTAGTTATAAAAGCAGCACCAATTGTATTTGAAGTATGAATATCAAATGTATTATTTGTAAATCGTTTAACTATACTACTTTTTCCGACTGATGATTCTCCTAATACTACTACTTTGTATGTTGGTGGTGGTAAACTTGTTTCAGATGGCATTTTCACCAAAAAATATGACTTCTTTTCGTTTAACAAATTCGCAAAAATGAAACATCAAGTCGAGTATAACATTTCATGTTACAACTCACTCAAAATGATATAGAATATCAAGATCTATTCAAATAGACTATTGACTAATCAAACAACGATCTAGAGTTAAGAATTAATAAACTTAAAAGCTTATTAAACGATTTCTGTGGCGTATATAATTTCAAATTCCGTATAGTTAGTGAAATCACCGCTAAATTACTCTATACGGTAATTATTCAAACCCCGGGCGGCCGTTATCACGTGTCGGATGTAAAATGAGTTAAAAATATTCTTAGATAAAAAATGATTGAAAACCTATACCAACAGATTTGAGAAATTTAGCTGGTAATTCATTTCTTTTATATGATTGATATATAATCTTCAGAGAAATACAGGAATTCAAATTAATTAAGATGCTGGATAAACCAAATAAAGAGAAACATGTCAAACCTAGAAAACATGTTAGTTCAGCTTGTTTAGAGTGTCGTAAAAGGCATTTTAAATGTGATGGTAATCAACCAACTTGTGAAAATTGTACTAAACGAAATAAAATATGTACTTATGTTGCTAGTCATAGAGGTGGTTCAAGAAAAAAAGGAGTTTCAATGAAGAAAAATCAAATGACTGTAAATGATGTAAATCAAGGACCTGAAATGCCAATGTTTGTTGCAGAAATTGAAGATTTTGGTCAAAAGAAGAATAGTGAAGGTTCTATAAGTACAAATGAGGATATAATAGATAAGATTCATCAATTACCTTGTGCTCGAGATCATTCAGTTTGTCAAGATTCAAATTGCCCTGGTAAAAGTGCTGTTAATTATTTTGATAAAAGACTGGATCATCCATTAAATGAACATGAACAACAAATGGTTGAAAGCTTAAGGAAAAAGATTAAATTGGAGAATAATATGAATAATTTGGATTGTTTATTTAGTAGTAAGGAACCTCTTTATGGAGTTAGCTCATTTCAAGATTTGGATGTTGAGTTACATGTACATGATAGAAACAATTTTATGAATGAATCAACATTTGATAAAGAGGAGATACTACGGAACTATTATGAAACATTTCACAAAAGTCATCCATTCCTACCATCAAAACAAGAATTATTCATATATTTTTCAAATTTATCTATAGAAAGAGAATTATTACCAATTTTAAAAATAATAGGAGATGGCAAAACGTCTACTATTTACGCAAAAAATACAGAATTGATATCTGATAGAATAACGCAATGTATTGAAATTGTTAAAAATACTGGTTTATTAGATCTAATATCCATCCAAGTTTTACTTTTAACTGCAATAACAGCTCATATATCATCATTACATTCTTTGAGCAAAAAATTGCGACAATTTTGTACATATTTAATCAAAACTTTGCAAATTGATTTTATTGATCTGGTAGATTCCGTCAATATTTTGACACCAACAACTGATTCAAATGAGTTAGAAGTATTTCACTCACCTAGATTATCTCATATATCTAAAATCAGTATTATTGAAAGTTCAAGAAGAGTATTCTGGGATTTACATTTTTTTGATGTTATAATTGGTTCTGCCGATGGTAAAACTATATCACCAGTTTCTAAGTTATTAGGATCAATTAAATATCCAACTTCTCCATCAAGAGAGGAATTTGATTATAAAGGTAGATCAGAAGCTGCAAAATTAGTTACACAAGCAGTTGAAATGAATGTACAAATTATAAATAAGAAACCATATGAAATGATTTTAACAAAACTTAAGGCTGAGTTATCAAGTTGGGAAATGAGATTAAATAATCCACAATTATTTCAAGCTCCAAGTTTAATACATAAAAATGGTGATATAAATGAAGGTGTACATCAATCAGTGATATTATATAATTATGCAAAAATATTTGCACATAGACCATTTTCATATCTTTGGAAAATTAATTCACCACAATTACCTAAATGCAGTGGTGAAACAATTAAAGAAAAAGATTTACCAACGCAATTAAAATCAGATTCAAAAACTACAATTGAAACTAGAAAAACTATAGAAGCTGCAAATTCAATAGTTGAACTACTAATCGATACAAATGCATCTAAAGTACAGGAAAGAACACCATTTGTTGCTTGTGCATTAGCATTATCATCATTAGTTCATTTAAGTGCATATATATGGTTAGAAACAACTTTACAAATTGATTCATATAATAACCTTGGATTAAACAGAGATGATTTGGATATATATACAGAATACATTAAATTAGCATTAAGTGCAATATATCCAATAGCTGAACATTGGCAATTATCAAATAAATTGGCAAAACATATCAGAGAATCATTAATAACGATAAAACCAAAATTGTATTCAAAATTGAGAGATTATTTACCACATGTAGATATTGAAATAGATCAACAACAACAGCAAACAACTTCAAGTTTAGCATCATCAATAGATCAATCAAATTCATATCAAGATACCCTTGATAATCAAAATCAAATGTTGATAGATGATCAAATAGATTGGAATATGGGTCAAAATTCACCAATATCACCATCTGGATGTGATTGGATAGATAAAGCATTATTAGATTTATTTGATGATGGTTCCATAGTTGCATAATATATATTTATTGTCTTCTATTTAATTTGCCATCTCTATATAAATTTAGCTGCAAAAAAAGAAATCCACAATTTGGTAGCACAATTTTGAAAAATAAATTTGATGGGGAAATTTATTATCATCAAAACTTTATTTACAACTTAACGAAATCTATTCAAAATAGCTAATAAACGTAGGGCAAAACAAATACGTGCTCCATATAGGAGATACGTTTATAGATCAAATAATTATGCTGAAAATTCAGATGATGATGAAGATAAAGAAAATGAACAAGAAGAATCATTATATACAACAAATTTAAATAAATTTAAACAAGGTGTTAATTTAAGATCTATTTATGTATTAAGAAATCCAAATTATAAAGGAAAAATATGGCCATTAAGTAAATTTGAAAAAATAGATGTTTTAAAATGTGCTGTATTAGGTTTTAATCCTGATTATGACCAAGCTAAACAAATTGAACATGAAGAAAAAGATATGATGAAATTTCCAGCCGAGATATTTGTAAACATATTTAAAATACTACATGCTACTGGCAAATTAAAACCGAAGTTAATGAGAGTTTGTAAATTATTTTACATGATTATTTTACCAATTTTATATGATTCACCATATTTAAAAGCTACAAATTTTTTCAATTTTGTTGGTAGTATATCAAATAATAAAAGTTTAGGTCAATATATTCATCAATTAGATTTATCATATATTATTCAAACTGGTAAAAATGCATTTGTTGCAAAATTGTTAAAAACCGCAGGGCCAAATTTAGAATCATTTGTTGCACCTCAAACAAGTTTTGGTTTTGGACCAATGATGAGTTTAAAAAACTGTTTTAATTTAAAAATACTTGATCTTAGATTAGTTTCTGAGACTTTAAACTTAGAAGAATTATTTAAATCAATACGGAATTTGACTAAGTTAGAATCTTTATCATTTCCTAGATCTTCAATCGAAATACATGATTATAAACTGGTAAACTGGCCTCCAAAATTAACATTTTTAAGAATATCAGGTGGTATATCTGATGAATTTTTATATTTATCACAATTTCCACAACTGATTACTCATTTAGAATTTGCACATTGTCCATATATAAGTGATTCAGGATTACGACAAATATTATCTCGAATAGGAAATAATTTAATTAATTTAAAAATACAATATCCAATGCCTGGACTAAGAAAAGATTCATTAGATCAAGTATTTTTTTATTGTCCAAATTTAAGAGTATTAGAAATAAGTGTTGATTATGTATCTTCACTGTTTTTCGATGAAGAAAATTTAGGGTTTTTAGATTATCCAAGACCGTTAAGAACTTTATATATTAATAGTTCAGGAATGTTGGGTACTTCAACAAGATTAGATCCAATTGATTTATATATTGCATTAACTGAAAGATTACCATTATTAAAAAATGTATCATGTACTGCAAAATTAGGTTGGCATCCAAAATCAGATGCAATGGAATATATAGTTAATGAATTAGATGAAAGAAACGGTGGGATTTATATAGGTTATTAATAGAAATATAGAATTGTTAGGTAATGTTTATTCAAAACGAGTAAATTTGAAATTTTTCGCGTCTAGATTTGAAACTCGAGACAAAGTATGGCCCTAAGAATAATTGTACCAACAAGGAAAATAATCAATGATGATACTATAATAGATCAGTTAAATGATGTGATACCGAGAGGTTTATTGTTTTTTGATGAGTCCATAGTTGGTTATGTAATATGTACTAAAAAATGTCAAAAAATTTCGTTAGATTTAACTATTGATTCAAATGAAAATCCAATAAATGAAAATAATATAAACATACTACTTGATAAAGATGCAATTGTGTATGAAAATGAAGGTACAACGGTATGGAGATTTGAAATCAGTGTTAATTATCCTAGGAAAAGATTAAATAATCCACATTTATTCCTCACGGCTACGTTGATTGATGAAGAATTGAAAATTGAACAACAAGAAACAGAATACGTGTTACCAAATTTTGAACCATGTATGAAAAAAAAATTATTATCTGAATTGGGTGATTTCATCGAAGAACCAGAAACTGAATCCATAATTGAAGAAGAAGTTAAAGAGTCACAGAAAATTCAAACAACTATAAACATACCAGTCACTGTATCATTAGTTATCAAATTAAAATCTACAAAACCAGCAGGTAGAAATAATATGCTACTAGCAACTTTAAACACTGAATGTTCAGATGAATTATTATCCATGTTAAATCATCAAAATTATTATTTTAAAATTCTTGATATTAACTTAAATTTCAGATCTGGTTCAGTTGAATCTTTGAATGATTACATACCGGCAAAAGTTAAATATTCTGACTCAATTAATCTCACATATAAATTAATAAATCATGATAATGAAAATCAAACAAATTTATCAAAACCAATACCGATTAAATTATCATTGATAGTACAAGATGAAAATGAAAATAATATAAGTAATATTATCCAAACTGAATGGACACCATATCTAGATTTTAGTCTAATTGCACCACCTATAAACAATGCCTTAAAGACAACTTCCAATTATTCACAATTACAATCTACAAATATAAGACAAAAAGCAATGATGAATAGTTTATATAAATTGAAAAGTCCAACTGCTAGTAATCAATCAATAAAAAAGATAATAAAACCATCAATGAGTTCATCAGTGACTGTGAACCTCACCACAAATAACAATTCATCATTATCGGGATTGAAATTAACATTTATAGGCAAGTTAGATATTAAATTAGGTGAAGTAACAAGTTGGAAAATTCAAGCAATTAATAATTCAATGAATAGGTTAAATTTATCATTACTAGTACAAAATCCAATTAATTTTAATCCAGTTTACAGTTCAAATTATAACAATAATAATGGTTCTTCATCAAATTTATTACCTAATCAAACTAATGATTTGATAATATATAATAAAAATCAATTATATTCATTATATAATACTTTAAAAGCTGATAATAATGATGAAGGTGTACTTATTTTAAATAATGATATTAGAATTGGGCCATTGGATCCTCATATGGTATTTGAAACTGAAATACAACTAATTGGTGTGAATAAAGGTATTTTCAATTTAGATGGAATTAAAATATTCGATATGCATAGTCGTGATGGTTTAGATTTTGGTAAATTAATAGAAGTATTTGTAGTTTAATGAATAATATAGATGATCTGTACGTAATCCTTGATTTCTGCAAAATAATAGCTCAACATACAAAAATTTGATTCACGTCATATAAGCCGAAAAAGGCTAATGCAAGTCGCCCGAGCTTAGCACGAGAAAAGTAGTTCGCTGGCACTAAATTCAAGCGAGAAATTTATATCATGAAAATTAGTTCTGAAACAAAATTGACTTACCTGCATTCTCGTCGTAGTTAATCTCAAAACTTAATCTGTAATTAAGTCCATCAATCTTAGATCTATTGCTCTCGAACTTCTTTCTCTGAAACTTCAATTAAATCTGAGTAGAATGATGCTAAAATCTTTCAATGAATCACTTTTTTGTCAACTTTATTCATCATTTAATAAATGCAAAAAAACGTTTAATTACGAAATAAACAGTACTTAGACTACATTTAGAAACTTCTAAGATAGTTGATTTAGTTTATTTTACCCATAAAAACTCGGTAGTAATGGTTTCAAAACGTTAAAATCACTTTAAAATTTTTTCAAAATTTTTCAAGTACTTATGAAAAGTTACTTTTCCTTTGAATACATTAACACAAATATATCTAATGTATTTCCTTTGAGTGAGCTAAAATTTTGTCTTGTTTTATTACTTCACATGTTGAATGGGGAATGTGGAGTTAGATTTTTTGTCAGTTCAATTTCTTCGATTCTCCCCATACTTGAGAAGATATTTTGAAATTTCTCAACTTCAGATCAGATGACCTAAAACCAAATTCAGCATCGTAGTTTGAGGTTTAGTATACATAATTCGTTGTTTAATTGAAGTTTGTGGCCCTAAATATGAACTTACACTGAATTTAATTTTTTGAAAAAATTTTGTAAGACGAAAAACTGCCAAAAATTCAAGTCAAAAAACAAATTTTTGAATTTGAAAAATTGAAGTAAAAGGATGTACAATTCAGGGGTCCTGATTTTATCAAACCGCTTTTTATCTCGAAAGAATGCATTCTTCATGACATATAAACCACTACATTTAATACGGATCGCCCTAAAGTTAGCACGATTAATTATTTTGTCGCACCCAACCATCCATGCGTCAAAATTAAATTCTTAGTGTAGTATAATAGAATATGGTACAAAGAATTTTGCCACATATTGTCTAAGAATAAGTGCTTAGTAGTAAGTCTGAGATAATAGTACTGTATTGTGTAATTTCCATTTAGCTAAAGTTATTTCTCTACTTGTTATAATTAAGAGAATAGTTTGAGTTTTTGACCAAATTTTGAAAAATTTATGAAGTATTACAAACACTTGAAGATTTAGTAGCTTTGTTTAGTCCTAATTGATACAACGTAGAGCAAAATAACCTTTAACATCAACTACGCATGAAGTTCATAAAAAAAAATGAAGAAACTGTTATCCTTTGACCAATTTAGACGATAAAAAAAATTCAAAAAATAAATCATTGGGGTAAACTGGGAATTGAACCCAGGGCCTCCTCGAATTTCTTTGTTCAAATTGTTAAACCCAAACGAGGAATCATACCACTAGACCATTCACCCAACTGGTTGACCATTTGAATGGTCAAATCAATTTATAACAATTTAAAGTTCATCACGTGCCAGGTTAGTTCCACCTGTCACAACATTAATTCTTATGATTCAGCTTCAATTAATACTGCAGTGTATTACAATAGACTTTTAGTTTACTAATAATCAATTTTATTGATCAATCAACTGTTTGAAAAAAATACTGAACTTACAGCGGCCTGGCATTAAGTTACAGCGAAAATTGAAGCCATAAACTGTGTTTCTTGCTTTGGTGGTACCAAAAAGCGTCTTCTACCTAAATTGTAATGCCACAATATTTAAAAGATCACACGACATTCAAAGACCTTTAGTTGTAGAGGCTAAATAATAGACCAAATGAATTGTTTCTTATGTATCAGACAGAGTTTTAGCCACAGTGTCTTCTTAAGCAGAATATTATCTAAAATTGACTCTTTAAATCAAGCCCTATGATTCAATGGATCAAACCCAAAAAATTCCATTCGGTGCGGAATTCTGGCGTCTCCAATTTTCAACACTTGGCATTTTCATCGCGGTATAAATAAGCGCATTTTCCCCGTCTTTCAAAATTTTATGTATCATATTGTAATACTAATTTTATCAATTTCATTATATTATTATTACAATATGTCTACTGAAATAGATTTTGATCAATTAATTAAAAATCAGTCATATCCAAGTTGGAAAACTACACCAGAAGAAGTTGTTGAAATTTCTAGAAAATTGGCTGATTCAGAAACAAAATTATTTGATCAAATTGCCAATATTACTGAACCTACGTTAAATAATGTATTGAAACCATTTGCAATTAAGGCTAATAATGATGGATTTCCTGAAGGTCAAGCTACTTTTTATCAACATGTATCTACTAACAAAGAATTAAGAGATGCGTCAACGCAAGGTGAAGAAATCATTGAAAAAAATTCAATTGAACAATGGTCAAGAGAAGATGTTTATAAAATATTTGATAAATTATATAAATCAATAGATGTTGATTCAATTGATGGTGAATCTAAGAGATATTTAGATAAGATTATTACTGCATTTAAAAGAAATGGGTTGGCATTAGATAAAGAACCAAGAGAAAAGGTCAAAAAATTACAAGTTGAATTAAATAATTTACAAGTTCAATTTTCAAAGAATTTAAATGAAGATAAAGGATATGTGGCGTTTACAATTGAAGAATTAGATGGTGTTCCACAAGATGTAATTGATTCATATGAAAAATTAGATGATGGGAAATTAAAAGTTATATTTAATTATCCTGATATAATTCCATTATTCAAACATGCAAATAATTCAAATACTAGAAAAGTTGCAAATTTAGCATATTCAAATAGAGTATCTGAAAATGATCCAATTTTGACCGAAATTATAAAAATTAGATTTAAAATTGCAAAATTATTAGGTTATGAAACTTATTCTGATTATGTATTGGAAGAAAGAATGGCAAAGACAAAATATAATGTTTTAAATTTCTTGAATGATTTAAGAGAGAAATTGAAACCAGTAGCAAGTAAAGAATTGGCCACTTTAAAAGAATTTAAAGCTGAAGATTTAAAATCTAGAGGTTTGGAACCTGAAGATGAATTATATAGCTGGGATTATAACTATTATAATGAAAAATTATTAGAAAGAAAATATCAAGTTGATAATATTAAAATTGCTGAATATTTCCCATTAGAATCAACATTGGATAAAATTATGAATATTTATGAAACTATTTTCGATATCAAATTTGTCAAAAATAAAACATCAGATCCAAATGCTGTATGGCATGAAGATGTTCATCAATTTGCTATCTACCAAGACATCAAATCCGGTAAACCTGAATTCTTAGGTTGGTTATATATCGATTTACATCCAAGAGAAGGTAAATATGGGCATGCAGCTAATTTTGGATTAGGTCCTGGATTTGAAGAAGAAAATGGAGATAGACATACTCCAATCACATCATTAGTTTGTAATTTTACAAAACCAACAAAGGAGAAACCTTCATTACTTCAACATAGTGAAGTTGTTACATTATTACATGAATTAGGTCATGGATTACATTCACTAGTTTCTAAAACTAAATATGCTAGATTTCATGGTACTAGAGTTGAAAGAGATTTTGTAGAAACACCGTCACAAATGCTTGAAAATTGGTGTTGGAAAAAAGATCAAATTAAACAATTATCATCACATTATAAAACTGGTGAACAAATTAGTGATGATTTAATTGATTCATTAATTAGATCAAAGAAAGTAAATGTTGGTTTATTTACATTACGTCAATTATTCTTTGGATTATTTGATATGAAATTACATACAATTGATAAAGAATCAGAATTGGAAAAATTAAGTTTATTTGAAATTTGGAATCAATTAAGAGAAGATGTTACATTATTACCAAGTGATAACAATCCAACCAAAGGTTATAGTTCATTTGGTCATATTGCTGGTGGTTATGAAAGTGGATATTACGGGTACTTGTACTCTTTAGTTTATGCTGCTGATATTTTCCATACATTATTTGAAAAAAATCCAATGAATGTTGAAAATGGTATTAGATATAGAGATATAATTTTAAAACCAGGTGGTTCAAAAGATATAATGAATAATTTAGAAGAATTATTAGGTAGAAAACCAAATTCAGATGCATTTTTACAAGAAATATTTGGTTAATATATGTATATTCTAAATCTATTCAAATGGTTGTAAATTTGAAGTACCTTCACTCCATTTAACATCATTGTAAGTTATATCTTTTATAGCTTCTACAATATCTTTAATTGAACCTCTAACTTGTTTAGTTGAATCTCTTTCTCTTAAAGTAACTGATTCATCTTTAATAGAATCAAAATCAATAGTTATACCAAATGGAGTACCTAATTCATCATTTCTAGCATATCTTTTACCAATTGAAGCTGATGAATCATCAACTTTAAATGGTATTTTTTCTTTTCTTAAAATTTGTGAAACTTTTTTAACAATTGGTTGTAATTCTTGTGAATTTGATAATGGAACTAGCAAAACTTTTGTTGGGGCAACTAATGGAGGTAATGATAAAACACCTCTATCGGCATCATCATTTCTTGCCCAAAATTGATGTTCAATAATTGAATAGAATATACGTCCAATACCAAATGAAGGTTCAATAACATTTGGTGTATATTCTCTAATATGTTCTGTTCTAGTTCTTTTTTCTATTTTAATTAACTCTGAATCAACTTCAGTTGCACCAACTTCAGGTATATCAACATTTATTTTACATTTTTCTGCCAATTCTTTTGATAAATCTTCTAATTCACATTGAGTTCTTGATGTTAACCATTTTTCAACTTTTCCAGCATCTTTTCTAAATTTTGGACCAAATTTCTTTTTAGCAATATCAATTTCAAATTCTTCAACAATTTTAGGTTCTGGTAATGCTTGCCTAACAACTAATTTTTCACCTGTTCTTGCAGTATGAACACTTAAATCATAAGCAGATCTATCAGCACAACCAACACATTCAATCCAACCATAAGAAGTTTCTAATTCTGCATCCCAACAATCAGATGCATAATGAGCCATTTCATTTGACATATGTTGTCTAAATCTTAATCTATTTGGATCAGTACCAATTTTAGTTAAAAATAAATAAATTCTAGCAATGAAATAACCTAAAGTTTCATTATCAACCATACCGGAAGAAACAGCTTCACCAATTGATTTTTCAATTAATTCATTTGAACCAGATTCTTGTACACCTTTTGGTAAAAATCTTAATTTTAAATCTTTTACATCATTAAATTTTGGATGTGATTTATCTTCTGGATCAACAAAATGTTCAATTTCAGCCATTAAAAATTCACGAACTCTTAATAAACCAGCTCTTGGAGCAATTTCATTTCTAAAAGATTTACCAATTGAAGCAGAAGCAAATGGCATTTTTTCATTATTAAATTCTAATAACTTGTTGAAATTTAAAAATTGACCTTGTGCAGTTTCTGGTCTTAAATAAGCTTTTAAATTACCTGAAGGACCAATTGCAGTATCAAACATTAAATTAAATTCAATTGGTGGTTCTAATTTTCCACCAGTTGCAGGATTACCAATTTCAAATTTTTCAATTAATTTACCCAATTGAGGACCAGAATAACCATCAATTTGAGCTAAAACATTTTCATATTCTGCAACTATTTCATCATCTAATTTAACATTTTTAATTTCTTTAACATTCTTTTTTCTTTTCTTCTTATCTTTATCATCATCATCTTCGATTATAGTCTCACCTCTTGCTAATTTATCACCTTTTAATCTTGATTCCAAAACTTCTTCAACTAAATGATCAGCTCTAAAAATTTCCCCAGTTTTCAAATCTTTACACATCCAATCTGAAAATCTATCAACATGACCAGAAGTTTTAAAAACTTCATATGGTGTTAACATAGTAGCTTCAACTTCCAACATTTCTTCTTCTAAAACAAAATGTTTCCTCCATACATCTATTATATTATTTTGAAAAGCACAACCTGGTGGTCCAAAATCAAATAAACCAGCGACACCACCATAAATTTCAAATGAAGGAGCATAAAAAAATCTTCTTTTTAATAATGATTCTAAAGATTCTCTTGAGAAAGGAATATTGGTTGATTTAGAAACTGTCATTTTTGAAAGCTTCAATGTATTTACAAATTTGAATCTAGAAATCTTGAACTTAAGTATTGACTAGTAAATTTGGTTTGAAAAATTTTTTGGTATGGGTTCACTACTCAGAAAATATATAATAAAATGGGTGCAAAATATCAGAATTATGCCAATTTATATTCTGAACCTTCTATAAACAGCTCTTCATCATATGAATACGATTCAGATTCAAGAAATTTCTCAATGACAATAACTAATATCGTTATTATACATGATAATGCAAATATTTTATCAAACCAATTGTCTATAAATACAACTTCTTCAACTGATGTCGTACGACCATTTGAACTACCAGATAATGATAAGATTTTGGATATTTGATTTGATAAATTTGTGGGTAAATTAGTTCTGATTAATAATGCAGTGGCAATAACATAAACTCCTAATAATTCAGCAATAAATAAATGCTTTAACCAATTTTTAGTAAATTCTGAATCTGGATTAAAAAACTTGTTGAAGGATTGAAATGTTCTCAACACATTTGAGAATGAGCATATAAATAAACTACCAGATAGTATGAAACTTAATTGATTGACTAATTGTGCTTCAGACATGGGTACAGATATAATTGATAGTATTAATTTTGATAAGGTTATAGCTAATGCATCTTTGGATGATGGTGCTTCTTCTGGTTCAACAACTGCTGACTCAACTATCTTCTCTTTTGTGAAATATAATAATGGTAATTTTATAAAAAACACATTTAGTATACGATAAATACAATAACCAGTTAAAAAATAGTTCCCATAAATTAGTATTAAATCTAATGTTGATTTATTTTGTGATTGTTGTTGAAATTTCTTCAACAACTTAAGTAAATCATTATATAAAGAGTCTCTGAGCTTAGTCAATGACTTTATTTCAGTCTCCATTTCTTCTTCTTGGGTATTAGCCACTGATAAATTTGCAAATGACTGTACTTTATGTAGTATTCCACGTTTTGGAGCGAGATTTCCGGAATTATTAGCACTAGGTAAATTATATATGGTCCCACCAGTTGCAAATTGTAATTTAGTTAGTTCTTGTTGTCTTTTTTCTAATAATAATGTAGTATTATTATAATATTGTATAGCTGAGTTTATATCATGTTCACCTACTTTTGTCTCTGGTTTACTTTTATTAATATAATGTTCAATAGGTAATGTTTTATAAGGAGTTGTAGCTGAACCAATTCCCGAAAGTATAGCTAAAATAGTAATACCGACTATTGAGACCTCATTAATCTTTCTCTCTATTAAATTCCTTGAAGTTTGACCTCTTGGATTATAATCTTGAGTTAAATCACCACATTTATGTAATATATAAGACCATAGTATGAATAAACCAATTGTAGATCCAATTTGATATGATTTTCGAGGTATTAAGTCTTGATTTAGAAGTATAGTTATAATAAAGTATGGTATAACGATAGCTAGCAAAAACATTAGAATATCAATTGTGAATTTAAACATCAATAATCTTGAATCAACGTTAAAATGATCACCTAATTCACACATCATTAATATAATTAACCCTATACTAGAAGAAATTGATATACTAAATAATATTCCGATTATTGTATTTTTTTTATTATTAGGTGCTAATTTAACTGTTGGTTTAACATCTTCATGAATTGTATTTTCATCAATATTTAACTCTATTAAATCTAAGCGAGTGGCATTTGCAATTTGTTTGAGGTGATTATTAATTAAATGTTTTGGTATATATAAATTATTTGAATATTTCTGTATTAATTCTTGATTATACAATGAATAACACCATATAGTAATTACTATATATATTAATAAATATAATAGACATGATAAAATCATTTGGTGATAATTTGTTGATGCGTGGAAATGGTTCAAATTTAAAACAAAAATTTTTCAACTTCTGAAACAAATTAATAAAGAATAAGAAATAAGAAAATAAGAAATAATAATACAATACAACCATGGGTCAAATGAAATCAAGAGCAGAGAAGAAGATGAGAAAGTTTCTCATTGAACAATTAAGACAAAGAAAACAAAATGGAGCAAGATTAGCTCAAGGTAAAAAAAAAACAGAATCAGATTTAATTGAATCAAATTTAGCACCTCAAGTATTCTTATTTAAAAATTTATTCTCAGGTCAAGTTTTATATTCACAAGTACCTGCGTTCCATCAAGATCAAATAGAATCACAATTTCAATTACCAAATTGGCAAAATAGAAAACCAAGTAGAAGACAAGATTTATGGAGAATAATGTGTATTGCAAATTTTAAAAATTATGAATATGCAATAGCTGCTTTTACTGGCTTATTAGATTTAAGAAGAACAAGAGATATAATACAAAAACAACAAGCAATGGATATGAGAAAAAAAAATGATGATGGTAATATATGGTATTCAGGACAATATAGACCAACATATGCACAAGAAGCAATTGCAGATTTAAGTCATGTTATAGATGAATTTGAATTAGATGAAACTAGATTATATTGGGAAAACGAATTTAGAAAGGGAGAAAATAAATATTGGAATTTAGAATTAGTTCAACATGAAACATTACCAATATATAGTCCAAAAGATCAAAGTATAATGTTGGAAATAATGAAAGATAAAGCAATGGAAGCATTTAAAATACAAAGGGAAGAATTCGACCAAACTGACCAAACTGACCAAACTGAAACAATCCCAACTACTGTATAAACCGGCCCGTATAGACGACTCATTTGTATATAGTTAATAATAAATCCACAATACTGCACGTGACTGATTGCTAAGTCCGACCCGCCACACAATTTTTGAAGCGACAGTGGTAGTAAAAAAAATTACTAATAAAAGAAATGACCACCACAATTTTTGTCGCTACCATTTTTATATTTTATAGAAAAAATTTTATAAATTATTTACAACCAAATATTTCTTATCAGACAACAAACCAACCAAAAATGGATTTTTGTTACAAAAAACTGATGGGTAATGGTACTATTACTAGTAAATTTAGGTTATCACAACCACCAACTACAATTATTCCAAATCAATCAAATTTAAGGACTATTATATCCGAAATTGAAGAATCAAAAGTTGAACATAGTATAAAATCTCCAGAAATTGAAACTAAAGAAACTCATCATCCAAGTAATTGTAATAGATGTTATAAATTAAAGAAAAAATGTAGTAGAACTTATCCTAAATGTTCTCATTGTCAAAGAACTGGTGTTGAATGTGAATATGTAAATCGATCAAAGAAGAGGAAAAAAGAAATTGAAGGTCAAGTTTTACAAATTTCAAAACCTGATTTAAAACAAGGAGTAACTAGTCATAAATTAATATCTGTATCTTCGTTGTTATCTGATGAACCAGAACCAACAAAAAGAAAAATTACCAAGAAGCGTATGCCAACGGCCGCTTTAGCTTCAAGTGCAAGAAGAGCAAAACAAGTGGATAGAAATTTAATAGATAGAATAAATTATAATAGTATTACTACATCATCAACAACCAACCTAAATGAAGAATTTATAACTTTAAAAGCTATTAATATATCACCTATTATATTTGCATTAAATTATTTTGAAAATTATACTTTTAAATATCCATTTTTAAATAAAGATAAATATTTGCAAAAGTTGTCAAAAGTTGATTTTGCAAAGGAGTCAATTGTTAATTTAGATTTATATTTATTATTAAGTATTGGTTGTTTATTATATGATTCAAAATGTGGAACCAACTATTATTCAGAAATTTTTAAAGAAAAAAGTGTGCTTTCAATAATAGATGTTTTGAATTTTTCATTTTCAGAATATAATAAAGATGCATTAAAGTTATTATTATTATTAACTATATTTGGTATAAATTCGATGAATGGAGAATTAGTATGGAATTTAATTGGAATGTTAAATCGAGCTGTTATAAAATTTGAAATTTATAAAAAAGGTGATGATGATGATGATGAAACAAGGAGAATATTTTGGTCCATACATAATTTAGACAAGGAATATAGTTTATTATCTAAGAAACCGTCACAGTTTCCAAATTATAAATACATCACACAAGGCCAAATAGAATCACCACTTTATGAAAATGAAAATATATCATTAATAAATCATAATATCACCCTTTGCAAGTTTCAAGATTCAATTCTAGACCTATTATTAACTAATTCAAATGAAAATTTACTGAAAATTTCGGGAGATGTAGGTAAATGGAGTTCAACCACCACCAAAGAAATTCGACAGAAATTTATTCAACAACCAGATTTACAAGATTTAATACCATGGTTATATTTTCAAAGTTTTTATTTACAAGCTGAATTAGATTCATTATCAACTACTAAATCAATACGATTTTCATCTCAATTTATTTTTTATTCATTTACTTTAATGATTTTAGGGTCTGATAAATCTGAAAAACCAAATTATAAAATATCTATATCATCAAGTTTATTCTGGTATGCTCAATTATTCAATGTTTTAAACTATAGTATAAATACATTTATACATTTCCTTGAAACTGAAGAAGAAGATAATTTAAGAGTTAAAATTGTTGATTTCAATAGTTATTTACACCAATTGTTAAATATTTTAAAATATGTAAGTGGTAGAAATCAAGATAAAATCAATCAAGAGATCAATAATCTAATTACCAATCTAGATGATCTCAGTATACAATTAATGTCTGAAGATAAGAATAGTATATTAACGACTTGTAAACGTATAAGTTTATACTCAGTAATATAAAATTGTCGCTACCATTTTCGTCTATTTTTCTCTATTTTTCTTCTCTCATAATTTATTGCCACTGTCAGTTAAAATGCCACCAAAAGCTGATTGGGATAAATACGTTGCTCCAACAGAAGATGAAGAAAAACAAGATAAAATTGTCCCTTTAAGTGAAGGAGATATACAAGTTTTAAAAACTTATGGTGCTGCTCCTTATGCTACATCAATTAAAACAATTGAAAAAGATTTAAAAACTATTGAAGAAAGAATAAAACAAAATATAGGTATAAAGGAATCTGATACTGGGTTAGCACCACCTCATTTATGGGATGTTTTAGGTGATAAACAAAGAATGCAAGAAGAACAATCATTACAAGTTGCAAGATGTACAAAAATTATCGAAGCAACACAACCACAAACTTCAACTTCTGGTTTACAAAATGCAGATACAAAATCAAAATATGTTATAAATATTAAACAAATTGCTAAATTTGTTGTTGGATTAGGCGAACGAGTATCACCAACTGATATTGAAGAAGGTATGAGAGTTGGAGTTGATCGTCATAAATATGAAATTCAATTACCATTACCACCAAGAATAGATCCATCAGTTACAATGATGACAGTTGAAGAAAAACCTGATGTAACATATTCTGATGTTGGTGGATGTAAAGATCAAATTGAAAAATTACGAGAAGTTGTTGAGTTACCATTATTAAGTCCTGAAAGATTTGTTAAATTAGGTATTGATCCACCAAAAGGAATATTATTATATGGACCACCAGGTACAGGTAAAACTTTATGTGCTAGAGCAGTTGCAAATAGAACAGATGCTACATTTATAAGAGTTATTGGTTCTGAATTGGTTCAAAAATATGTTGGTGAAGGTGCTCGTATGGTTAGAGAATTATTTGAAATGGCGAGAACTAAAAAGGCATGTATTATATTTTTTGATGAAGTTGATGCAATAGGTGGAGCAAGATTTGATGATGGAGCAGGAGGAGATAATGAAGTTCAAAGAACAATGTTGGAATTAATTACACAATTAGATGGTTTTGATCCAAGAGGTAATATTAAAGTGATGTTTGCAACAAATAGACCAAATACCCTTGATCCAGCGTTATTAAGACCTGGTAGAATTGATAGAAAAGTTGAATTTTCATTACCTGATTTAGAAGGAAGAGCAAATATTTTTAGAATACATTCAAAAACAATGAGTTGTGAAAAAGATATAAGATGGGAATTAATTTCGAGATTATGTCCAAATGCAACTGGTGCTGAATTAAGATCTGTTTGTACAGAAGCTGGTATGTTTGCAATTAGAGCAAGAAGAAAAGTTGCAAATGAAAAAGATTTTTTAAAAGCTGTTGATAAAGTTATAAAAGGTAACTTGAAATTTAGTTCAACAAGTGAATATATGCAATATAATTAATTTATATAAACAATGAAGCAGTGATCTAATCTATTTTAATTTGAAAAATCTCACATTATATATTCTATCTTTACCTAATCCCACCACGATATACAACCCATTCCATATTCTTGACAAGATGCGATTAATGAATAAGCAGGTAATTTATTTTTTGGTTCCTCCAATCCCAAGGCTTCATTTGATGTCTTTGGCTTTATATTATAAAAATTTTCTTCCTCTACCCTAAATCTCACTTTTTCATTCATATCAATAAATAATTCATTACCATCCATATTCCAAACCCAAGCTTTTTCAACTTCTTTAAATTCACATTCTTCAAATAAATAATTTTTAGGTATCCAAATATCATCAAAAAACCCAAGTCTAATCTTTATACCCATTGGATTACATTCAGTTACCCAACCAGTTAGAACTTCACCTCTAAAAGGTTTAAAAACAATAGCTCTAAATGTAACACCAACATAACTTCCACCATCTCCAGGTTTTAATAAACCATCTTTAATATCAGATATATCCCAGATAGAAACAACCAACCCCAAGTTATTTATTATCTTGTTTGAATATTTCTTATGTAATTCATCTGTTATAGCATGTTGAATTGGAATATTGAATGTATTTGGAGGTATTCGTACTAAATCTTCAATTTCAGATAATATAAACATAGAACATTGATTATTTATTTTTTTGAGAAGACCATCGTAAAATACGAAAAGAAACAACACTAATTATCAACACAACAAATATGTCTAGAGTTAATAAAAAAACTACTGTACCTACGGGTAAGAAAACTGGACAAAGAATAAGTGCCAAAAAAGCAGCTAGTTATTTACATTCAATGCAAAATATAAAAACAACAAATATAATAGAAGAACCAAAATGGAATCCCAAACATTTTAGATTATTTGTTGGAAATTTAGGTCCAGATGTTACAAATGATTTATTAAATCAATCATTTAATAAATACGAAACATTATCTGCTTATTATGTACCGATTGATAAAAAAACGCAAAAAAATAAAGGGTTTGGATTTGTTGCATTTGAAAGTAGTGAAGATTATTTAAAAGCATTCAAAGAAATGAATGGGAAATATATTGGTCAATATCCAATTCAATTAAAAAGAGCAGAATCAAAAGTACCAAAAATAAAGAAATGAAGGGTATAAAAAATTATTACCAGGGCCATTTTTTTGAACTGAAAAATTATTAATTTCCTCGTTCAATGCGATGATGATGATTTCACGAAACATGAATATATTAAACAGAAGATTATTAAGAAATAGTATTAAACCAATAGGTATAATTAGATTTAATTCAAACCTCCCCGAATCAAATCAATCAAAGAAACAACTACCAACAAAAGAAGAATGGAATCATTTAAAATTACATATTCCAGGCGAAGAAATTCAAACAAATACATTAAAAGATAGAATCCCTAAATGGCCATTAAGTAAAGAAGCAGTTCCTACTTTATTGCCAAGGCCTAATGTACCACAAGTTGGTAAAAATTTTACTTTTAAACAAGTTATCACAATTTTAAAAAATAAAACAAAACCAGAATTAATATATGAAGCAGAACCACATAGATTATACTTTCTTATTTTCTTTGCAGCTGGATTTGTATTTTTTGTATATGGTTGTGTATTATTAGAATGGTCTTGGTTTTTATCTAATAAAGAATATAATGAGAATGAAAAAGAAGAAACAAATGAAACAATAAGAAAAAGAGATTGGTTTTTATCATTCGGTTTATATTTGGTCCCTTCATTTGCAGTTTTCTCCTTAGCTTATTTATCAATTATTTTCCCTACTAAATTAATTAGAAGAATGTGGTATTTACCTGGTCCAAAAGAATATGTTAAATTTACAGGGTATCCTTTGATCCCAGGAAAACCAACACCAGTATATACTATCCCATTAACCAATTTATCAAGAAGAAAAACAACTAGGATATGGACGGGAAAGGGATTTTATGGAACTTCAGATAAGGGGTTTTTCTTTTTCGTATTGAATGAAAAATTACCATCAGGAAGGACTAAATCATGGATAGTTGATAGGAAAGGTTTTTTTTGGTCCGATGGAAGAGTATTTGATTATTTATTCGGTAAAGAATCATTAAAAGAAGCAGAGGCTGGTATTCCATATGATCAACAATTTAAAATTATAAATAAAGAATTAAAAAAGAAGAAAAAACAATTAAGAGATGAAAAGGGGACATTTTGGAGATATAAAATGATGATTGATGAAGTGAAAACAGATGTAAATAAGGCTAAAAACTACATAAGTGGCAATAAGAAACAATTGCCACCAAAGAGTAAATAGATATAAAAAGTAAGTAACCCAAGTCACTTGGTAGCTCTTTTTTATTTTCTATTTTTAAAAACGCGTCTTAAATTAAATGATTATTCAACATGTATAATTTCAAATTTTAAAAGAATGAAGTTGAAACATTTAGAGATTTACCTTATGAAATTATAAGAAATATTATCAAATACTTACTAGAACATCATTTATGTATTTTTTATATGATAGAGTTATGAAACCATTAGCTTTGAAATGTCTTTTCAAAGGGTATTTATCAGTAGTAGAGAATCAACAGTTAATAAGTCAAATTTATCTAGTTTAAATGAAGATTTCAAAATGGAAGATTTCAAAATTGAGGATTTCGAAATTGAAGATTTCACAACTTGGATTCAAACTCTTGCAAAATCAGCTCACTTAGTTGAAAAAAAATAAGAAACAGATTGGATTAGTTTTCACGTGATTATATTCCATACCTGATTCATTTAAAAACATTCGTAGATTAAACATCTAAAGTCATACTCGACGTTTCCAAATTGTCTGATGATTCAAGAAGGAAAATGAATTTATATTCTTGAAGAAGTGCAAATTAATTTTTAAAAATTTACAAGAACTCAATGCGTTAAATATGGTAGAAGATGAAGAAGTAGAAAATATACCAGAAGATCTCGGAATTGTTTCCCTAATATCACAAACTCCTCGAACTACAGTTTTGATATTGTGTATATTACATCAATGAAGAAATTTAAAATTAGTGAATAAGAAGACAATCACATTAGTTCCTCAATTTACACTCGCTACACAAGTTCAAAAATTGGAATTAATAAAAAAAAATTAAAATACGAGATGTTCGTGCAATTACCAATATCAAATCATTGGAATATTGTTTAACATTGAAAGATTGCAGGTAGGTATCCAAATCATCATTTCGATAATAGATTTTCATTCCTAAAATTAAAGGAATTCAAACATACTATTGAGACCAATTTTCAGAAGAAATACTTAAGGAATGGCAATGTAAATTTTTTGAAGATATAATCTATTTACCTAAATCTTAATATTAAGAAAGAAGTTTATATTTAATTCAAGAAATACAGTGGAAGTAGTTGGTGTTAAGAAAATTTTGGGTTGTTATGTGGAAATGGGAGTTACTCAAGTTGTTGATGATGATAAAAAAAATGAAAGAAAGAGGAAAAGAGTTAATTAAAAGTTGAAATTGATTGATTTGGAAAGGTGTTTGTTTTTTAGGTGTTTATGATTACTAGTTGATGATATTGGTTTGGGTTGCACGTGTTGCATAAAGTGTAGTTGATTAATAATGAATGTTATAATTTATTTTTTTGTTGTATTCTCTTTCAACTTTGTTTTGTTCATGCCGTATGGGTCGATGGGTCCGATGAACTTAGTACGGAATCGCCTTGAGCTTTAAGCGATAAATTTTATTACTTATGGCATTAAGAAATAAAAAATAAAAAAAAATAATTATTCTACAACAACTTATATGCAGTCTCACAGTAGTTTAATCTTGAAACTTAATCTATAAATAACTCCGTCCGTAAATCAAGATTTATTCCTCTCAAACTTTTTTCATTGAAGATTCACACTATTTGAAATAAATTGATGTTTGTTAATTCCATTGAAACATAATATAGATCACTTTATCTTTATCTTTATTCGTCATTGAAAAAATTGCAAAGAATCGTTAAATTGGAAGATAATCAATACTGAAATCTCATTTTGCTACTTCTAACATAGCTGATCTAGTTCATTTATTTAAACATATTATACCCATTATACCAATTATACCAAGACGCGTTCAGTATTTTTCTTCGTCTAAATCTTTTTTACAAAAATTAGAGTAGATTACACGACTTTGTTGATAATACTAAATAATACTGCATAATTAAAAACAAACAAACAAATTATGCAATGCGTTCTTAAATTTTCCATTTTTGTGTGTCGAAGTTTTTTTTTTTTTTTTTTTTAGCAATTTTAATATTTCATTTTATTTTTTTGCCACCCGTCGTCGGTAAAATTTTTATTCATTTCATTATCAACAACTGTTCGATTTACAACCATCACATCAAAATTATCTAAATCATTAACTGTTCATTCTCAACACCTCCCCAAAACCCCCAAAACCCCCTTATTATCTATCATAAATCTCCTTACATCCAATCTGCAACATAAAAGATAATTGTTTATCGAAATAATAAAATATTACACCTATAATAAAACAATAATACATATATAAAAAAAAAAACGGGTGAGTTTAAAAATCCGGACAGTCAAAAAAAAAAAATTTAAATTTTATATAATTGTAATTTTAACAACCAAATCTTGAAGTTTATTCATTTTCATTGATAATGAAACAAAAGAAAAGAGTAGAGTTTAAAGAAGAATATCATAATTCTCCTTTACTTACTCCAAAGGATGATTTTGATGATTTAGATCATTTGGAATATCAAAAAAAAGAAGAAGAAGAAGAAGAACAACAACAACAACAACAACAACAACAACAACAACAACAACAACAACAACAACAACAACAACAACAACAACAACAACAACAACAACAACAACAACAACAACAACAACAACAACAACAACAACAGCAACAACATCAACAACAACTAGAACAATCTCAAGTTCAACAAATTCCAAAAACTCCACCATATGATACAATTACACATATTTCAGATAATGTGGATTATATAACATTATCATCTTCATTACATCTAAGTCGAAATGAAAAACGAGATATTGAACATGATATACAACAATTAGCGAAACTAAAATCAAAAATTGAAAGAAGTAATAAAAATCAATTGGTACAATTTTATTTAAAAGTGTTGAAAAGGGAGATTGTATTACCTATTCCACATAAGATTAGTAAAGCTCCTATTATAAATTGGTCGAAATATCATAAATCTTTAAGTGAAGTAGATAACGAATTTCAAAGAATATTGAAAAGAGATGATGCTGCTGATTATGATGATGATGATGATGTAAATAGTAATAATAATGGTTCATTATATAATGTTTTGAAATTATTTGATGATAAGTAATTGAATCATTTATTGTTTGTTTGTTTGTTTGTTTGTCTTTAGTTATTGTTTAATTCAATTTGGTTTATTTTTCAAATAGGGTTTATCTTAAAAAATTTTTGATTTTGGGTTTTCATTTGGTTAGGAGTTAATTTGCTGCATAGAAATTAATATATATATATCTTGAGTATAATTATGAAATTAACTAACTCTGTGAGATTGTTTTTTTTTTTCGAGTCCGACCATTTGGCTACAAAAAATACCCCTTAAGAAATATACACCAAGACACTGTTCAGTTTAAAACAACCAGCACTTGTTCTGTGATACAAAAATAAGTTTATCAAACAGTTTATCAAACACTAATAAGGGGTGATACACAGAATGACATATATCTCTAATAAATAAGGAGATTCAAAAGGATTTTCTTGTTTATCTCAAGCAAAATACGGGGGTACTTTGGTAAGTAAGAAGAGTTACAAAATCGATAATATTTTTAACCATTTCCTTACATTTTCAAATTTTATAATATTTTACTTCAGCCAATAAATAATAGGCTTGATGTGTTATTAATGCTTCTTGTATCATCATATAGTCTCACTTTTTCAATTTCGCATCTTTCAAAAATTCCCCGTGATTTGTCAAATATTTTTTTTCGATGCGCTTCGCTTATGTCATGCATGATAAAGCCATCCGAAGAATTAACTATTAAACTAATCACAAAAAGTTGATTAAAGCAGTCAAATACTCAATATGCAAATTTAACACTCAATAAGAATGAGTTTGAGAAGAATAATAACTAAAATAAAACAAATTCAAAACCACAAAAAACAAAATTATTCATTAAAATATATATAAACTAGCAATATCACTCCTCATTTCTTTTCTTTATTTCTTTTCAGTTCCAGTAGTTGCAGCAGCAGTTGAAATTTCTTCATCTTCAGAATCAGTAACTAAAAACGCATCAGAATTAGCATTAGTAGTAGTTTCACTTTGCCATTTTTTAGGTTGTTCTTCTTTATTTCCTTTTCTTTTAGGTAATATTGGTGCATCATCTAAATCATTATCAGTTAATTTAATTCTATCATGAAAATCATTAGATATAATTTCAGGATCTTCATCAAATCTTGCAAATTTTTTATTTTTATCATTATAAGAACTACCACCCAAAGCACCAAATAATCTTGGATTTTCTTCACCACTTGTATTACCTTGTTGTTGATGTTGCTGTTGTGAATTTTGGTCAAATTTTTTAGCTATTCCACTTACCCAACTACTAATAGTTTCTTTAGCTTCAGTGAAACCTTCTTGAAATTGTTGTTTAATTTCAGAAAATTCATCTTCGGAATCGTCATCTAATGGTCTCTCTTGGAGTGGTCTTTCTTTTCTTCGTCTTTGTTGTTGTTGTTTTCTTCTTCTTCTTTCATCTTCCAATTCAAATTCTTTTTGTAATTTACGTGCTAATAATTCATCGTCAGTTAATTCTGTTGATTTTGAAGATTTTGAAATTGGGGGTTGCTCTTGTTTTATATTTATTTCTGGTTTATATGTTGGATCAGATAAGTATAATAATGCATTAAATGATAATTCAGAATTACCTTGACTAGCAATTAAAACTGCAGTGATATACTTTTCTTCAATGTTTGGAAATGCTTCTTTTAAATCTTCTGTAATTTGTTGAATTGGATCTTTTGGTCTTGGTGGCTGTGGAGGTGCAACATCTTCTGAATCTTCTGAATCTTTTGAATCCTTTGAATCTTTTGAATCTTTCTCTTTATTTGATTCCTTTTCCAATTCTTCATTTGATTCTTCTTTTTTAGTGTCATTATTTTTAGTTTCTTTTACATCATCTTCAATTGAGATTTCAACTGGTTCTGTAGATGCAATTGATAATTCTTTACTTTCTTTATCTTTTGCCATTATGGTTGTTGAATATAAATTTAGTCGAGAAAAATAAAAAAAATAATGGCTACAAATTTAAATATATACTTGGGCTATGTACACGACCATTTTGTAGTATATCATCGACTAAATTTTCACCAACTTTTTCTACTTCTTTTTCCCTTTTCTTTTTCTTTTCCTTGATAGTATTTTAATAAACCTCCGAATTATAAGATAGAGCTTTATCACTGTAGTTAGATAGTTATAGAGTGTGGACAGCGGAGACAAATTGAATCTGACAATAAATAATTAGATCTGAAACTTTAAGTTTTTGATATTCATGATTTGAAGATTGAATATGTTTATTATTTATTGTTACATTTTAGATCTTGATCTGTACTGAATTTGGATTGTAAGTTCAATTTGAATCCATTTCATTCGAATCAATTTCTGTTGTTTCTTTTAAAATTTGAATCGATTGGATATGAGATTATGTAGCATCGCGATGAGAAGATCATGGCTGCAAAAACAGACTTGGCTCATTATTAGTCACAGAGTTATTAAGCTTCTTATAGTCTCACTCAACATTAGATTCGAAGATATCCAGTCTTATAAGTTCTTTCTTAGTGAATTTCGATATTAGAAGCACGGTCAATTATTGTTTCTCTCTGATAAGGCCAACTGGTTAATTTGTAGGAGTTGTTTCTTATTTACTTATTTCATTTTGATCAAAATGTCTACAACCAAGCTGTCCAAATTTCTTCGAAAATCAACTCATTAACATGCTTTGTTTTTCATTGATCCTGCTTGCCATATTTTCAAAATTTCAAAAAGATTTCACATCTCAAACCAATATTGGCTTATCCTCTCATGTCGGACAGTCAATATATTGTACAATTCGTGTATATTAATAAAATCTATTCATTTGAAACCCAAATAACTGCAATGCAATACTCAACAAGTGGACCTCTTCTTTTTTTCATGTTTTATATTTCATCATTAAAAAATTTCGTTAAAAATCATTTTCTTCCCTAGTTTCCTATTTCTTCTCTTCTTTTAGCTTTTATTTCTTTTAATTCCTTTTGTCTTTTAATTAAATCTAAATTTTCACATTCTTCCCATGAATGTTTATCATGATGACAATCAACTGAACTATTTGCACTTTTTCTAATTAAACAAGTTTGGTATAATGCAAAATAAGCAGCGCATCTATCTCTCCATTTCAAAGGTACTTTATATTTTTGACAATCATCTTGTGAAAGTAATGGTGGGAATTCAGTTACTGACATAATACTTGTGTGGTTATTTGAATATTAATTTTTCGTTTTCTTTACCCAATAAAAATGTTTGCAAAGTCAGAATAGACCAATATACAGGATTATCGATTGCAAAATTTAAAAATGATACTGAATGGATTTAAATGACCAAGAGATATGCGATGTAGAGAGTGTAGACGAGTTCTTCTTTGAGCTCAGAAAGCCCCGGGCATCTTTGAAACCGCTTGGGGCAATTTTAAAGTAAATTGAGATATATTTTCAGGTTTTCTTTCCTTTATAAATATGTATATTTTATGAGCTATGATACAATTATTAATGATGTATACATCAAATATGATATAATGGTGTGCTTTACTGTTGGTGTAAAATTATAGCTAATGTAATTGGTCGACTTTGATTGAAAATTAAGCGTTGAGTTGTACAATGTAAATGAAAAAGCCCTTTTGTTTGTGATTGCCTAGTAAGTTGTAACATTGTGTTTTCAATGATTTCAATATGATAGTTGTTTCTCTAATGATGTTGTTTTGTATTTGCATCCAATCTTTCTTTTAAAGCAATATATTGACATTTATAAAATTCATCCTTTGTTTTATTACAAAATGAGGTACCTTTATCTAAACATTTATAATACTCAATTAGATGAGCAGCACATTTATCTCTATGGAAAAAAGGTACATTATGATCATCCAATTCTTGTTGAGATGCTAAAAAAATTGTTAGTTTATAAGTCCAAAAATTAAAATTCATAAATGTTATTTTACTTACGGAGTGGTGGATATTCGTGTTTTTCAGTTGCCATTATTGAATTTGCTTTGGTATTGTTGGTATAGTTAATGAAAGATTATGGTTGATGAAGTTTTCAATTTTTTTTCTTTTTCTTTGTTTGAATTAAAAAATGAAAGGAAAATGCTACCAATTAAATTACTGCAAAATGTAATATGATAACTTGAGAATTCAATATGAAGTGGAGACCTACTAGCTAAGACGATGTAAACTTAAAATATGATATCTAGAAGAGTGCGTTATCATAAAATATTTATTGACTTCTAGTTAAGAAAATAACTTCATTTGTTGCAAACTGTTGATGCATGTAAATTTTCTCGAAGCATAAACGAAACTAAACTTGCAAATTAGGAAGTGTTGGCATTACATTTATAATCACTCAACTATGAGGTAGATAAAGATTAAGTATTAGGATGAAAAGCTATGGATTGATTTTTCAAAACCACAATTCGTACCAATATAAAATCAGCGTAACAAGATCTGGAAACTTCAGTAGCTTGAAATAAAATTGAATACCTAATTGCTTTTGGATCTAAAGAATGCAAAGTAATCTAAAAACCCTAAAATGTTGGAAGTAAAATTGTTTTACTTGTAAAATTTTAAAATCAACCTTCTCCTGATCTAGACTTCATCCTGATACAACAGCAACAACAGGATCAACATATTCTGATTATTTGCTTGAGGCCAATGATGCACCAATTGTGATTTTAACAACTCTTTTTTGAGTATCAATTTAAAAGCTTTCTCTTGAAACTTAATTTTTGCAGCTTAAGTAAAAAAATGCATTAGACCGATTTCAAATAACATATATTGATTTAGCAATTTCGTGAGATTAGAACGAACCTTTTGATTCTTCTTATGATTCATCCTCTGGTTTGATTAAATACCAAGCGCCAATATTTTACCAAATACCATATCAATCCAAAGCGACTAATCCTAATATAAACTAATTTGAATTCTATAACTAGAACAGACTAGTCTGTTTTAAATGTTTATATGTGGGACTAAAATAAATAAATTGAATTGTAGCCAAAACGAAGGCACGTGATGGCATGATTAAACTTGTTATAGTTAGTATATAGAATTCTAACAAATGCAGCTTTCATAACTCCACTCTAACTTTCTTAACTCTATTGCAAATAAATTTACCTTGGATATACTAGAATACTCACTTAAAATCAAATTTTTGGGAACAAGGAATAGTAAAAGGTCAAATTTTAAGATCCAATTGATTTTGCAACATTTTAAATTTTTGAAAGAAGCAAAGATTCACTGACATACTTTACTACAGTTCGCTTAATACTCTAGAAATGGAACACTAATACAGTAGGAATTTCTGAGTCTACTGTTATGGCAAACCATCTGTAACTGAAGAATTTAAATTTATAAACTAGAATTTTGAAAATGATTGACCAAAACCGACTTGACTTTGGAAAATACTGGCATGGAAATGGGTCGTGATTCAAGTCATATATTAGATTCATAAGTACGCACATTATATGCTTGTTGAGCTCTTATTCAGCCTTGCTAAATTAATCTTTAAGTTTTCACTTTTTACAATTATTTCAAATTTAACAGTCTTACCTCGATTTATTGTCCATAAATTATTGCCATGGATAAGTTATCAGAAGTAGCATCAAATACTTTGATTATCAGTTTAAGTGAAAACAATAAAACAATAAAAGAATATAACTTGAATTTTACGTAATTTGCAGTCACTAAAATGTCTACCTAAAACATAGAGGAACCTAAATAACGCATTTCAAAGCTATTGCAATATGCTGATGACATTCATTCAGTTAAATTTCAGTTAAATACCTCATTTAAGTCCCTCATTTAAGTCCAATTTATACTATAACTAAAGACTAACACAAAATCAACTATTAATTTCGCAGCCAACAATATTATTGATCAATCAAAGAATTTAAAATTTCAAACTTTGTCTACAAAAACAGTCCTTATCCTTATCAATATAATAAGCCAATATAATAAGCCAACATAATAAGCCATATATCTACCGTTTAATACAATATCTTTAAATCTAAAACTTAATCTAAGCCGTTTAAGTATCAGACACTTTATCTAAAAATTAGAGATCGTATAAACGAATACAAAAGACTGCATATAAGATCGGAGTACCGAGTAACACAATACAAATTTCACGATTATTTACTATTGAATTTATCAGAGATCAACGATAAAAATTAATAAATAGTCAATCAATATTTAGATTTTTTAAATTCCAAACTCCAACGTCTAAAAAAATCAATTGTTAAAAATTAAGTCTTTCAACTTTTTATACATCGGACCGATTTTGAGTTTTTAACTAAAATTGCGTGATCAACAGATAAACTTTTTAGAGTGTGATTATCAAAGGATCTTGATCAAACGTCATATTGTATATTATAAAACTCTCTCTATGCACGTGGGGGGGGGGGGCTATTTTTTTTTTCAAAGATTTTTCTTAACATCTTTTGACAAATCAAGCTTTTGTATAAAATATAGAAATCTAGAAATCTAGAATTAACAAACACAAACCCTAATAAGTTATACTTTTTCATTGCCTAAAACTACTGAAATCGAGAGGGGAATACCTAATTTAATTGGATGGTTATGATCATAATTTGACGGGGTAAAGTCAAATGGTTATTACATTACTAAAATTAAAAAGTGGGAATGACAATACAAACGGACGGAATTGGAAATATAAATTTTGGGATAAGTATTTAACCAATCAATCAATAAGATCTTCCATTTTTCTTCTATTTCAAATTAAATCTATGTTTCAGATGCAAAAGAAACTCAAAATTATGCACCTTTACTTATCTTTCAAGAATCTTAATAATATTATAATATTTTTTATTCTTGTCAAAAAATTGCGCAATTTCATAGTTGAGATCTGAATATATTATTCACCAAGATAATTTTCTATTATTGAGTGGGTTGTATTCCATTATTCCCGTGAGTCAAAAAAAAAGGGTCATCTAGAATTACTTTGAATAAAAGCTTATATTGAAGGGTTTTGATTGTAGTAAATTGTTGTTACGAGATTTTATTGTTTAGGAGATTAGGAAATCTTATAATTAACGAAAAAGATCTACGTTGGTTGTCAGTTTTTATCCACGGTTAATGCAAGATATAAAAAAAAAAAAAAAAAAGATCAAATATACAGTATATGGTTATGTGAATGAATTAAAATTGATTCTGTCATTTTGATCGTAAAGTATCACAAAATAGATAAATTAAGATACACAAAGATGTGGACTTATTACTTATTCCATGTAATGTAATATACGGCTTTTAAACGACTCCACTTTTAACAACATACATTATGAAAAGCTTATATCAAAAGATTTTTCTCTTCTCAATTAATTCTGATGAGACCTTGAACATTTGCTTGATAATTTCTGATGAGACCTTAATCATTTGCTTGATAATTTCTTGTATGTATGTATGTATGTATGTATGTATGTATGTATGATGTATGATATATGATATATGATAAAATCCCTAGTTCATCTTTTTTCCCTTAATTTACAAACCCTAACTATGTCGTCGATATATGTATAATACATTAACCTTTAATTAGGCTCTTAACTAAAAAGTTAATTTCAGATTAAGATTTAGATTTTGTCATTTAATCAAATATAATCAAAAATCAAATAGCGCAATTTTTTTTTTTTTTTTTAAACAATAGTCGTCAACAAACAATCAAATCTTTTTTTTCTATCTCTCTGTGTTTGACAGAAATAATAATATTCGCCTTTCAAAATACTAAAGTAATTCAATTACTTATTGTTGATAAAATGATAAATTGCCTCAAAAAATTATTCTATTGATATGTTGCTAAATAATAATTCGCTAAGTACCAATTATTATAATAATAATTCAAGAAATAAATAAAAAGAATTATTATATCATTACAGATTCTATTATTTATTTTTAGATTTGCTCGGGGAGATAATACAGAATTGAAATATCCGTCGCTGAGTAAAAAAATCAACTACAGGTTATGTTCTATTTTCAGCAATAGGGTTTATTTATTGATTAATAACGGTTTTGAACTTGATTGAATAAGTGTAGTTTTACGTATTGGCAAGGCCACATTAAATCAGACAATTTAGGAAGTATGTATGTATGTATGCTCATAACTTGATTTTAATTTTGATTTTGATTTTAATTTTGATTTTGATTTTGATTTTGATTTTGATTTTGACTGATTTCAAAATAAGCTTTTCCTCAAACTACAAGAAAACTGAGATTAATTTAAGGGATATTGTTCAATCAGAGGTTTAATGAAAAGGTCTTGTAATTATTATTATTAATATTATTTATGCCACAATCTTTACCATAGACCATCCATCATTGATCAAAAGACAAAAGACAAAAGATAAACGATAAAAGATATTATAAATTGATTTGTTATAATAATTTGTCTGTCGGAATCATAGTGATAAATAATAGAAGTTAATTTTATAATGTAAAATGTAACATAAAGATAATCTAAGCATAATTCTTTTTTAAACAAATATTTTAGGTTTTAAAATATTGAGATTACATTTCATACATATTTACTTTAATAAAAGAAAAATGCGTTTTTAACTTTCATCTGTTATTCTTCTAAATATAAATATAAATATAAATATAAATCTCTTAAAATTGGTTTCAAAATCTTCAAAATCTTCAAAAGCTTCAAAAATCTACTTTTCAATTATCAAATTTTCAATAATCGATCGTTTATTTTTCACTTTAAATTTTGTCACATTCAATACGAAAGAAAAATATAAAAAATAATATTTTTTTCGTTCATCATCCATCGATCATTAATTTTATTATTTTTTACAACATTATTGATAGTAATTTTATATAAATTGTGATGTCTTCAAGTGTTTTACCATCAGTAATACCTTCAATGAGATTACCATCTATTAATGAGTTAACTAAAGATAAAAGTTCAACCATTGTTAAAAAAGAAGCATGTATAGAATCATCTCCAAAACACGGTACTACTAGTACTAGTACTAGTACTAGTTTACCAAGTATTTCAGTACCAATATCAAATTCAAATTCAAATTATACAGCTAAACCAAAATTACCAAGTCCATCTTTAAATTCAAATTCAAATTCAAATCCAAATTCAACACAACCACCACAGCAACAACCACCACCACCTGTCTATAATGCTTCAGCTTCAGTTTCAGCTTCAACTTCTCCAACTACAAATTATCAATATTATCAACAAGTTCCACAACGAGTTCCAAATCAACAATCACCAACAATACATGCACACCCACACCCTCAATTTCCACATCATATCCCAATTCAAATGCAATTACCACCAAATGGTCAAGTACAAATTCATCATCCACATTTTCAACCAATATATTATCAACATCCAGCACATCCTCACCATCCTATATTATACCAACAATTTTTACCACCAAATGGTGCTGCTTTATATCCATTTCATCAAGTAGTACCACCACCAGAAATTGTTAATAAACCAACAAATAAATGTCATAGATGTGGTACGACTGAAACTCCAGAATGGAGAAGAGGACCAAAAGGTGTTAGAACTTTATGTAATGCTTGCGGATTATATCATGCTAAATTAGTTAAAAGAAAAGGTGCCGCTGTTGCTGCTGAAGAAGTTTTAAACAATAAAGTTACTAAAGGTAAAAATGGTAGAAGAATAAGTTTGAAGAAACATTTATTAAAAGAAACTTTAAAACAAGGTGAAGTTGCTTCTCAAGTTGTTGCACACGTTGGTTCTCAATTACCTCCTATAAATCAACATAGAGCTTCTTTTTCATTACCTCCAATACTTAATCAAGCTAATAATAATAATGGTTCAATTCGTCAATAGAAAACTATCTATTTATTTTAATTTTAATTTTAATTTTTAACGTAGAATAATAATATATGCTAGAGTATAATGTTTTATAACTGTTATAATTAATAATGCTTCTCAGGGTAGTAGTCCTAAGAGAATAATATGCATAATTAGGAGATAATAAATTCAAAATTTCTATTTTTTTTTTTTTTTTTTTTTTTCGTGAATCTGAAAGCGCAATTTTTATAGAATATTTTATTATGATTTTGGGTTTGTGTCAGATTTACAACGAGATTTAGAGATGTTCACCATAACTCATAAAAAATCATCAGTTATTTTGCGAACGTATAGGTTATGAAGCAAAAACAAACATTGAAAGTAAATACATGTAGCTTAATGGAAAGTCTTTCGTATCAATTTGACTTTGGTCATCTTCAATATAATTGAAAAACTGTCGTTGCTAGTTTTGTGTTGAGTATTTCTTTTGTGTGTATTTCCATTTCCATCAATGGATTTCCATGCATGAATAGAGATAATAGATTGTTAATCAATCGATTGACCAATCAAATAGTGTATGGGAATATAACGTCAAATCATAAACATAGATTCAATAAGATGTAAAAAATATATCATATCTCCACTTTATATGATTAAATTTCATAGCCAACAAAACTAATTAAAATGTTTATACTTTTGCCTTGATTTATTTTTAATTTTGAGTTACCAATGGAACGAAAAAATTTTATAAATTAGTTGCTGTACATTGGAATGTATCTGGTGGGATAAAGAATTAACCTAATTCCTAAGCCAGAACTATAGAAAATTGTGTTTTGCTAAATTATAGTTGTACGTTTGGTTGAGGGTTAGGATATCATTGCTATCGTAATTCAAAGATTTAAAGGGTTGCAATTTGCTAAGATTGTCGATTGTCGATTGTCGATTGACGATCATGTTATCATATTTCCGGCTATACAATCTTGCTATAAGCGAATTACATTGATCTTTCGTGTAAAATCAATTATTTATTGTCTGATATTGTCTGATCTTTATTTTACTTTTTGATTTTTGTCTTTGCATCTGTCTGTTGATTTGCTAACAACTCTACTTTGGCGCGATAAGATATTGGACTAGTTTGGACACTTTAAGTTACGGAATGTTAAGAATTTCAAATGATTTTAAAATTTGGATCTAGATCTATGCGTGCGGCGAAAAGTATAAGTGGCTAATTCATATCAAAGATAATAACTAAAGTTTGTACATGGTTTCTACAGCACTACTTTCATTTGATGGCATAAATAATTCTCGAGTTACCATCTCTAAGTGCTGATAGAGCTACGGTTGCTCAAAATTTTGTTGCAGAGAGAGGTCTAAATGTTGAAAATTTTAGCAATAACTCTGCAGTTTAACGTAACCATTAATCAACTGAGAGATCGAAAGAGAAAATAAATGGACTCAGATTATGTCCCATCTTGTAATTGGAAGACATTGCTGTAGATTCCATTAAGTCCTTGTATATCCAATACTTTCATAGACTCTTTGAACCCAAAATTAAAAATTCTACTCAAGGAATTAATATCATCTATTTTCTCTATATTAATTCTATATCACCTATTCATCTACTTTCATACCATGATCTTGTAAAACCTTTCTAATTGCATCTTCAACATTATCGAAAACACCAACTGTTGGTTTTGCCTTTATGTAATCCCAATCTTCATCTTTATAAACTCCAGTTCTTAATAAAATAGATTCCCAACCATGCAAATTAGCACCTTCAATATCACTAGCAGGATTATCACCTACCATATATATTTGCTTGAATGGAGTTGAAGATGGAGTATGACCCAATGATGGAAATGTATCTTTTTCTTCTTTCTGCCAATTTATTAATACATGATGAGCAAAGTCATATTGAATTTTGAATGGTTTACCCATGATTAAGCTATTTAAATTCTCACCTTCTTTCAAACCCATGACTTCTTTATATAACTCTTTGATAATTATTCTGTATGCACCTTGACCAAATCTAGGTAAACTGAAATCATTACTATATACGAAGTCATTATTTGAAAATATAATTGGAATTGATGGATCTTTCTTATCTCTAACTTTGTATATATCTCGTTTTGTTCCAATTAATCCATGTTTTGAATTTAATAAATCCATTACAATTTGAATATCAGTAGACATGTCTCTTGGATCATTAAAGACTAAAATAGCTTCAATAGGTTTAGCAAGGTCCATTTTTGTTGCAAATTTTTCTAGTTGTTCAATTGAATAAGTATGATGAGGTGAAATTGATGGCTCAGTTAATACAATATCCATTGGAATAATAACATCTTTGAATCCATAATCAAGAGCCACTTTTCTTGCATTGTCATTTACTCCACCAACTACCAATACACGATTAAATGAATTTGAAGATGTAGCTAATGCTTTCATGGGTGTATGTGATTGAACAATTTGTAATGGATCAATTTTAATTTCATTATCATGTATACGTTCCACCTCTTGAGCTTTTTCATATTCATGTACTCCTCCACCATTTGTCATTAAAATATATGGGATTTTATGTTTATTTAATAACTGTAAAGCAGTTTTAGCTTGTGGTATAGGCTTTTCACCCCTGATTAAAACACCATCAATGTCAAAAACAAATGCAAAATTGGAACGTAATGATGCGGCGATATGAATCGACCGAGTAAGTGATCTAGGAATTGAGCTGTAAAACCTGTTTCTAAACATAGTAGTCAATGAATAAAGTACCCTTGTTTGTTTCAATTTTATTTCCGCGGGAATCAGAAATTCGTAAATTTTGTGTAACAAATGAATCATCAAGAAATGAAAAACAAAGAGTGATCGTATGTTACTTTATATATTGCATAGCTCTATATAACCTATCCAGTCTTACACCAATCTCTTCCAATATTAACCTGATGATTACACAATTTTGGTTCAAGCCACCAATTTATCAATCCTGCTAAAACTATACCCAAACTATCACTTAAACTTACTGAACCCATACTAAATTCTCTTCTAGATTTTGGTATATCTTCGCTAACTGATAAAAATGTATTAACGTAAGATAAACCACCCAATAAACCTTCATAAAATATGACTATCATTAATAACCAAATAGTTTTAAATGGGAAATTGTACATGGATTGTATTAGACAAATTATGACATTGACAAATTGTAACCATGATAATACATACAATCTTTTAAATCTAAAGCCAAAGATTGTGGAACTTCTCGATATAAATACTCCCAATTGATATAAGAATCCATAAACGACGTAAATATCTCTATAAGTTTGAAATAACCAATTTGGCAACTCCTCAATAGGGAATAACAAAGTTGGTGATATTCCTTGGTTGATTACATATTCTGAAATATATACAGTTGTAAGTGAAATCATATATGGAATAACCAAAGGTTTGATTTTCTCAATAGTTGAATTAAAACTAAATGACGATATATCAATTGTTTCTTCTTCCTCTATAGCTTCATATTCAATTATTTTTGGAGGTAGTAACCCATAATATACAAAGATGAAACCAAATGGAATTACTGAAAATGATAACAAGACAAGTGAAATCCTTATTTTCAATAAATTGGTCAACAACATGAATAAAAAACTTCCAGCTAATCCAGCACCACCAGTACCACTTGAAAAACCAGCTATTGAATTTTTCTCTTTATAATAATGTGTCAATTGTAGAAAACTAACTTCACCTAAACCAGCAGATAAAGAAGCTAAAATAATACCAAATATTTTAAAACTATAAGTAGACGAAATAAGCAACATTCCAAATGAGGATAAACCTACCAACGTCCATAATCTAAAATTATACGGTATGAAATGAATGAAAAATGGAGAAACAAGCTTTATCGTAAATGATGGTAAAATATCAGCTAACAATACAATTGCTTTTGGAGTTGATGAACCAACTAAGTCTATAGCAGCAGATAATATTATAACATATAGTATATTGTTTAATAAACCAAATATAAAGAATGAGGTGAATATTTTATGCTTTTCAATCATGAAAAACAAGATAACTTGAAGACAAGATAAAAAATTGCGTTTCGTTATCCCAATTTTGCGCTATGATTATGCGCAAAAGGTCGTGTCAATTTCAATAAAAAAAATTTTTGATGCCTATTTAAAGTATATAAATAAAAGTGTTAAATTTGAGAGCGTATTGAGAATATCTGCTGTGCTGAAATGTCATAGATCAATTATTTGGTATGTATTTGATCTAGACTAAATGTCAGATATAAAGTCCTCATATTGAGCACCTATTGTTCTATGATTTTCGCTTACAACGGTATTTAGAAATATTTTTGCTGATATTTTGTGTGCGAAAAAAAGGTACGACCGTGCATTGACACTACGATAGAAAATGAAGCTTGTATCTCTCTTAAATGAAGAGCTCTTGGATTCTAGTTTTGAAAATCACTCGATTCTTTGTATGTTAGTATGTACGTTTGTTAATCTCAACGTGTTTATATGACTCATTGGTGTACATATAATAATTTTTCACTGTAATTAAACGATGCTCATTCATTGAAAAAAAAATACTAATAAGAACTTAAGCTGTCATGAGTAAAACTCCAATTCCACAAGAGTACGACGATATGAGAATTTTAGGATATAATCCTTTAATCTCACCGGCGTTACTACAAAGTGAAATTAGAGCAAGTAAAGAATCCTTAGATGCTGTTATTAAAGGTAGATATGAATCTGGTCAAATTTTATCAGGTAAAGATGATAGATGTTTAGTTATTGTTGGTCCTTGTTCTGTTCATGATCCTGAAGCTGCTTTAGAATATGCTGCTAGATTGAAAAAATTAGCTGATGAATTACAGGATGATTTATTAATTATTATGAGAGCATATTTGGAAAAACCAAGAACTACAGTTGGTTGGAAAGGTTTAATAAATGATCCAGATGTTGATAATTCTTTTGATATTAATCGTGGTTTAAGAATTTCAAGACAATTGTATTCTGATTTAACAAATTCTGGTATTCCAATAGGTTCAGAAATGTTGGATACTATATCACCGCAATATTTTAGTGATTTCTTATCATTTGGTGCTATTGGTGCTAGAACAACAGAATCTCAATTACACAGAGAATTAGCTTCAGGTCTTTCATTTCCAATTGGTTTCAAGAATGGTACTGATGGTGGTTTAGCTGTTGCTTTAGATGCTGTTCAAGCTGCTTCAAAAGGTCATCATTTTATGGGTGTAACAAAAAATGGTACTGCTGCAATTACTACAACAAAAGGTAATGATAATTGTTTTATTATATTAAGAGGTGGTAAAAAAATTACAAATTATGATAAAAAATCAGTTTCTGATGCTAAAGAAGCTATATCTAAATCAACAAATCCAAATATTAAATTAATGGTTGATTGTTCTCATGATAATTCACAAAAAAATTTTGAAAATCAACCAAAAGTTTTACAAGATGTTGCTGATCAAATTAGTCAAGGTGAAAAATCAATTATTGGTGTTATGATTGAAAGTAATATTAATGCTGGTAAACAAGCTATGCCACCAGCTGGTGGATCTAAAAATGATCTTAAATATGGTGTTTCAATTACTGATGGATGCGTTGGTTGGGAAACTACTGTTGATATGTTGACAAAATTAAGTAAAGCAGTTCAAGCAAGAAGAAATATGAAATAGATTTAAATATATGGGTGTAAATACACATAATATTATTTTAATTTCGATGAAGCTTTAAAAGTACCTCTTTTCAGGTTTTCCTTTAAAAAACTCCCATTAAAATTCAAATCAGATCATCTGAAACCATTATACTCAGACTGGGCTAAGCTTTCTTTCGAATGATATTAAGAACAACATGTTTTGCAAAAAAATTGGGTTTATTATAGCAAGTCAAAGTTTGGTGAAAACTTATGGGATTTTGCAATCAATTTTTTATGGTATACATTGTTTTGTGTCACTTCTCGTATCTCAAAAATTAAAGATCTGAGATAAAGATCGCGCGATATCAAACATTTTTGCGCTTGCTTAAGTTCACAAATTCGAAGATAATACATTGCTGCTACTTTCAAACTACAGAACAATAAACCAAAAACCAATACAAAAAGCCTTCCCGACATTCAGTATTAATTAAAGTAAACATCTTGGAATTAAAATTAGCATTGACATTTCAATCTTAACATCTGAAATTTGTCGTTTATTAACCAATCATATCATTTATAAAAGCATCATTAAGTTGACACCGCAATCAATTCCACGAAATCTTGTTTGCAATGTTCTTAATCTCATTATTACTTAGACCAGCCTGTATACCCTTAAACAAATTCCATAATTCATCATTATCAAGCACCAATTTCATATTATTCTCAATTGGTTTTGAATTAAACGGATCTCTACTTTCTTTCTTACCTTTCAATGGGTCATTAACACCATAATAGTCGGCATGAAAATACCGTAGGGAATTCCTATACTCACTATTACCTAGATTTTGCAAATATTCGTCAAAATTTTCTTTTGGAGTTGGTGAGTTTCCAATATACTCTGTTCTATCTACCGAATATCCCAAAGCATAGTTTAAATGACATCTAACAAACCTATCTCTCTTAAACTCGAATCCGACAATAATGATCTTACTTGGGTATTTTTTATGAATTGACCAATATTTACATATTGAGAATAAGACATTCTCAAATGAGTCTCGAGCATACTCCTCAAGACCAATTCTAGATACCTCTCCGTATAGCTCAGATAACAAATTATAATATGATTTTGCCTCTGATAGTTCTATTTCTTTCTTTGTCTTTCCTCCTGAAATAATTAAATATGCATCTGAATCGGTTTTTAATAATTCAACTGATCTTGTGATATGTTCTATGAAGCATAAGTGATCATTCCCATCTATTTGAAAAGGAGCCAAAATCCATTCATCTCTTGATCTTCCTAATGTATTGCCTTGTTTCCAAATTGAATGGCAAGGTAAAATTATCAATGTTCCCATCAAGATTAGATCTGATCGTGCAAAAAGTCAAACAATGGATGCAATATAGAGAAATATTAGAAATGTCTTTAGCTTAATGCCAATTAAAGTATCTAACTATATTCTATGTACTATCTAGTCTAATTATAACGTTTTCAATGGAGATGATTGAATTTTTTTCACATATTCGGTAAGATTACTTTATGTAAATAATGATAACATTCAATTAAAGCTCTCCAATGACAATAAGCAGCAATAACGACAAAAACATGAAATATTTGATGAGAATGACCAAAAATATCAAACATACCAGCTTTTGGATCATTTAATAATTCTTCTTCAGACTCATCTATATGTGTAAATCTTTCAGGTACTCTCATAGCATATAATAAAGCACCAGATATATAAAAAACACCTTCTAAAATCAACCAAATCAAACCTGATCGTTCCCTTGTAATTTGAAACCCAAACATGTATACCGAATTTAAAATTGGGAGAACTCCAGACAAGCCAAATAATATAAACATACCACTTCTAAACGGTCTATAATGATTAGTTGCAAATTTTGGATCAAGTGTAAGGACAGTACATATAGTACCTAAAATTAATGTAATTGAAGTGAATAATGTCTTGTATATAAAATGATCATAATATGAAAATAAAATAATTGAAACTAATGAACAAGTAATCAAGATAATTATTCCAAAATAATCCAATTGATTTCCAAATTTACATATTTTATGAGAATGAGATTTAACACAATGAAATGTAGAAGACATAAACATGCAAAATGTAACAGCAAGGCCAAATTGAATAAAATTAAACTTTTCCCAAATACCCAAATAATTACCATATTGAATCAATTGAAAATTTACATAATATAAAATTAACCAAAATGATATACTTGAAGGTATTAAATGTGACCAAATATTAACTGATTCATTATGAAGATAAAATAATGATTTAAAACTTGCTTTGAATGAATTTGTACTTTTTACATAACCTGATTTTATAAAATGATTGTCTTGTTGCCATTCATCTAATTCATGATAATAATGTAATCTTCTTAATAATGGAGTTTCATTAGTTACTGGTTCTGTTTCTATTTCTATTCTTCGTTGTCTTATTGTTGATGCCATGCTTTACAATAAACCCAACAGAAAAATTGATCCATAAATGGCCCTGCACGGAATAAAGAAATACAGGCGCGCGATGATATAAAAGCAAAGCGCAATTGCCAATTTGCAGCCAATCATGGTAGATTGTATATTTTATTCTATTGAAATGATGGTTCTATATTCTCACATATTTCATTATATTGTAATAGCTTCTTACTTATATCTACCACATTTTTTCCAGTTTTACCGTTTTTATTCCTCTTAATTTTCTTATCGAATATTTCACCAGTATAAAATATCTTCCATTGTGAGTCTGCATTACTCATACATCCAACACATCTTTCAAAATACCATTTATTCACAGGATTGACTTTTCTTGATCTCCATATCAATTCTTGTGGATGTGAACTTAAAATAATTTTGAATATAACATCTGCCATTCCTGGTAATCCTTGATTTTTCTTTGCAATTGCAAACTTATCAAGATATGCAACTTTTTCTCCATTTGCATATTCCCAAGTTATAATTGCAGCACCGTCGTAATCTCCAACAATGACTATCGTTGCAATATTTTTATTAATTCTTTTGATGTAATTATCAACATCTAATTCCTTCCCAAATGAATCATTTAGTAAATCGACTAATTTATCTTTATCTACCACCTTGAATACATTCTCCAATGTGAAATCACCTATGAAATTATCCACATCGTAAATTTCCACAGGTAGACCTTTCTTTATAATTGTAGTTGATAACTGTGGTACTCTCTTGTTTGAACTAGGTAATGAAGATGATATAATTGGTCTATCAGTTAATACATTATAGATAATTGGATTTAATTGATCATTATTAATTGATAATATTTCTGGTGTGGTAATTATCCCCGTCGTTTCATCATTCTTCGAACTATCAAATATAAAATTCAAGATCTTATTCATACTATTCAAATTATTCACATGTAGATCTCTTTCCAGTGGTCCTATATGTCCAATATATAATTCTGATAATATATCTGAATATTCTTGTGATAAATTTATGAAAACATGACTTGCATTTGACCTTTCAATTGATGGTATACCACCCATTGGATCGACAAAGACAATTTTTTCAATAGTTAATAAGTTAGTAGTACGTTTAGCAATCAATGATGAACAAAGACTATATAATAAGTCATCACTTTTTATAAATTTTTGATCACAACTGGTTGGCTCATAAACAATTGGTTGTATGACGGGTATGATACCTTGATATAATGGAATTAATATTGATTCTAGTGAGTCTATTTTATCCTCAGTAAGTATAGATCTTAAAACTTGTAATTCTAAATTTTTCAAATTTGAATATAATTTATTTGCTTGATCTATCATATACAACTCCTTCTTTTTAAATTGTTCATTTACATGATCATAATCTAGTAATATAATAGGAGAAATACCGAGATTAATTAATCTTTCAAATGTTTCGGCAATACCTTTCCAATTTATAATGCTCGTAAATTTGATTTTAAAAATTGCAATTCGTAATGGAATTTTGTTTAATTTCTCATCATGATTATATATTTGTAAGAATGGATTCTGTTTCTTTAAATATCTGTTAATGAATAATTCTCTTTGTAAATCTCGTTGAGTATTATTTCCCAGGGTTAAATCAAATTGTGATTGATATTTATTTAAATAATTTTTAGCTTCTCTTTTTGTAGTTGTACTTTTCAATATTGATAATATTAAATTCCTTTTAGCATCAGTAGTCAATTTATGAGTTTCTATATTTGATATGAATTGTTTGGTTAATGTTGAAAGTTGTTTAGTCATAGTTTTTCAACGCGGTTAAAAAAATTGTTTGTTACTCTATTCAGACATCTCATCTTCATCACTTTCTGCTTCTTCTTCTTTTACAGTTGTATCATGTAATTGTCGTAATTTATTCATGACGGGTATTACAAATGTTCTAATTTCATTAATTTCCATCATTCCTAATCCATTCAATTGTATATTTGATTCATTTAATTCTTTTAACCCTCTTCTTGATTTAACTAATCGTATTTCTTTTAGATCTTGTATTATACTTCTTATTTCATCAGTTGAATCTTGTAAGTCATCAGATGCATTATCTAGAAATATCTTTGTTATTTCTAACCAATTAAAAGGTAAAGCACTAAATTGATTAGCTTTGCGGATTTCTTCATCATATTTATCTTTTAGATATTGATGATTTAACCAATCAGGAGGGACTATATTACATTTAGATTGTGATTTTAATATTAATGCAACCCAAAGTGGAACTTTCTCTCTTCTCATTGCTCTTAATTTAGGTATGGAGGTCTAAAATGTTAGTAAATTAAAATTTTGAAATAATTATTACATACCCCTATTAGATCTATTTTGTTCATTGAGTATCGTGGTAGTATAGTTATCATTTCATTTTCAGTAAGGAATGATAATTCATTTGGTGTTAAATTTCCAATTAAATTCAGTGGTAAAACCATACTTGGTATAAATTTTTCATTTTAATGCGCGTCGTAAATTTAGTATACAGAAAGAATTATAAGAGATTGACAGGAACCGGCCAGAATACAGACAAAATCCAGCCAGGATACAGAGTAAGGAACGCTTGTGGTTCGATAATTGCTTATCGATATATTTCATCAACTACTTCTTTGATCTATAAACTGATGTTTTACCTTGTGTGTTTGGTTTAGCTCTTTTAACTGGTTTTGGCCCATCTCCATCTTTACCATATGGATCAAATGATTTACGTTTTCTATTCTTATCAAATTTCTTTTTGTTATCAGTTATTAATATCTTATCAGCATTTGCAAAATCAATTCTGGCGGTGTTATCTTGTTTTTTATGATGTTGTACTTGTTTTGCATTCTTCTTCTTAAGTGTGATTAATTCATCAGTATGAGTTTTAGTAAATAATGTATCTTTACCTTTTAATTCTGGTTGTGGTTGTTCTTCTATGACTTCTTCTTCTATCTCTTCGGGTATTTCTTCAATATGTAATTGTACTGGTTTCTCTTCTAATAGTGAATAATCAATGACTTTTTGTGATAAATCATTTTTTTTACTTCCATTTTCTGTAATTTCCAAACTCAATAAATTATCATGTACGTTAAACACTCTAGAACTTTCTTTCAACAATGTTGCTTCAAATATTTCCTCTTTTTCCTTTAATAAATTAAATACATTTTCAATATCTTTAACATCAACAGTTCTTGTTTCTTCTATTGGTTTATTCCAACTATCTACCATTTCCCAATCATTAGTTTCAATATCTTTAATTGCTCTGTTTACCAATTCGGCAAGTTCTTTTGCATTCAATCTAACATATTCAGAAACATAAGTTGAACAATTTAATATCTTATTTGTATCAACCGGAGCATTCAAATTTGCAATAGAAACTAATAATTGATTAGGCATTATATATCTAACACTTTCATCTGCTTCTTTAGCAATTATATCTCTCCAATTGTACAATATTTCAACTATATGTTTTTTAAACCTAGGTACATTATATTGTATAATTATATTATTATATGGTTCCTTTGGATTTTGTGCCATTATTGGACATGATACATTATTTCCATTTATTAATGGTCTATATTTTGTATACTCGAATCTTCGGATCGCAACCATTCTTGAATCATACAATACTTGACTTAATTTATCTTGTTCAATAAGTTGATTTTTCAATTGATCAAAAATATATAATAAGAAATGTGTATCTGATCTAGCATAAGATTTCATTGGAGTACTTAAAGGTCTCATTCTCCAATCTGCCAATTGATATTTCTTTGATGTTTTAAAATTTGCAAAAGCTTCCAATAAATAAGCTAATGAATGTTTAGGAAATCCTAATTGCCTTGATGCGTGATATGTATCAAATAATGAAACAATATAAAGACCTAAATCGCGTTGTAACCATATAATATCCATAAAAGCACCATGAAAAACTTTGATAATCTGTGGATTTGTAAATATCTCATTTAAAACCACTAATTCATCTCTTAATTTTAATGTATCTATTATCCAATCTTGTTGTCTATTTGATATTTGCATAAGACAAACTAATCCATAATATGATCTATAATCATGATGTTCTAAATCAACAGCAATTTCAGTAGACGATTCTAAACTTTCAATCATTTTATTTAGTTCTTCAACCGTATCTACCCATATAGCATCAGTTTCATTCCAATTTTTCGGTGGTATAGGTTCTGATTTTTCAAGTATACTTGAAGGATATGGTTGATTTTCAATTTCATAAGAATAAGGTTGTTCATAATATGAAGAATCTATAATTTCAATTGAATCTTCATATACTGGTGCTGGATTTATAAGATTTTCATTTAATGGTTTTAATGAATTTGGTTTAATTTTAAGTTTTGGTTTAAATGGAGTTGACTCCGAGTTATCTATTGGTGTTTTAAAATGTAATTGTGGTTTATCTTGAACTTTCCCAGAATATATTTCTTTCTTTCCATCATCTAGATATTGTAATTCTTTACCCTTTTGATTTTTATTATTTAATTGATCAAATTCATAATCTAATTTTTCAAAAATCGAATCAAATATATGACTTATACCATTCCATGATTTATCAATAACATTTTCAACTCCATACTCTAAATTATACGAATTATTACAACATTTAATTAAATTATTTGAAATATTTAATAATCGTTTTGATTGATTTGTTATATCTTCATTCAAATTAGAATCTATTGATTTATAAAAATTTATATCTTGAGCAGCTAATCCAGTCGATGATCTTATAGTGTTCGTTAAATACGGTAGTATATCTTTAAATATGTCATCTTGTTGTTGTTTATCGCCTGGCATAATTTTTGATTGATATATTTTTTTTTTGATTTTATCTCATCGCTATAAATTTATACCAAGATGGTTTTCACTTGTAATACTTGTAATTTACAATTTAATAATGCTGATGATCAAAGAAGTCATATGAAATCAGAATGGCATAGATATAATTTAAAAAGAAGAGTTGCTCAATTACCTCCTATAAATGAAGAAATGTTTAATGAAAAAGTTGCAAATGCAAGTGTACAAGATGCTGCAAAAGAAACAACTAAACAAGAAACAAAGAAAGACCAAAGAAGAAAACAGAAGGAAGAAATATTGAAACAAAAGAGAGCTATATTAGAACAAGCTAAGAAAGCAATGTTAAAAGAACAAGAAAATCTAGCTGAAGAGCCCAAGGCAGATCAAGAAATTCAAAATATAACAAAACAAGTTGAATGTTTGGAGTTAACTCCAGAACAAGAAGAGGAGAAGTTACTTAAAGAGAAATTATCAAATAAGACTGAAATTCCACCAACAACTTGTCTTTTCGCTCATCGTAAATATAATCACAATTTTCAATCAATAGATGAGAATATAGATCATATGTTTAAATCTCATGGTTTATATATCCCTGAACCAAATTATTTAGTTGATAAAACAGGATTAATTGAATATTTAGCTGAAAAAATTGGTTTTGGATTTTGTATTGCTTGTAATTATCAAGGTAGAAATACTGACGCTGCAAGAGAACATATGTTAAATAAAAGACATATGAGAATACCTTATGAAACAGAAGATGAAAAATTAGAAATATCGAAATTCTATGATTTTTCATCAACTTATAATGATGAGGAAGAAGAAGGTGATGAAGTAGATTGGGAAGATGTAGAAGAAGGTGAAGAAGTAGATTCTGAAGAAGATTTACCACCAGTTGAAAAAGATGCTATTTTACAAGATGGCGATGATTTAATCTTACCTTCTGGTGCTATTGTTGGGCATAGATCAAATGCAAGATATTATAGACAAAATTTACCACCTGATAGAATATTAACTGAAGGTCAAGGAACAGTAATAGCTGCAGAAACAAGACATATGTTAACATTAAAAGATAGAAAAGAAATAGCTGAACAAAAGAGAACATGGAAGAAATCTAAAAAAATGGAAGATTTAAATGATAGAAGAGCTGCTAAATTTATAAATAATCAACCACATTATAGAGATCAATTATTACAATAAATTTATATATATATAATTATCCAAGATATAAATAAATCTACTAAAATATTTACAAATAAAGTCCAAGCTCCAAAATATAATAATTTAGGTGAAAATACCGTCCATATAAATAAATGAAATCTAAGATTTATACATGATCCAATCAAATTAACTACTGAAACGGCATAAAAGAATAATGTAATCAAGTTTTTAACCCAAAATATTGATTTTTTTAAACTTGGATAATGTATTAAATCATATTTCAGATCTCCTTCAAATCTAAGTAAACTAGATTCAAAAAGTAATTGTAAACCACTTAATGACCAAAATATAACACCACTAAAATTTGAAACAAATGTTAATAAACCAACAAGGAATACATCATACGACTCTACACCATTATATGCATTTGATAAATCAATAGTAGCTAATGAATTTGTATTTCCAAAACTGAAAAATGTTAAATTTTGAAAACATAAGATTAAGGTGGAGACAGTTAGGATATATTGATCTATGTTTAATGATTTCTTGTATGTTAATTTTGAGATTATGAATTTGGAAATGAAAAGTATGAGGAAGATAGGTATGTTTTCTTGTTTAGTTTGGTGAATTAAAAATAATGTAATGATATTACATATATCTGTTATTGTTCCATGTCTGATCTTTCTTAATGTACCAAATACAATTCTTAAAAACATTGTACCAAATATAAAACCAGTAGCTAATCGTGAAACTGAAATACTTATCTCTTGTAATTTGAATTTAATGTCGCTGGTGTTTGGTTCTATATGATAACTATGCAAAATCCAAATTAACAACCATCTAGCAGGTGCTGGAAGTTCTCTACCATCAATATAACTCTGAAGGATTTTAAACAGGAATGAAATTGTACTTGATACAAATATACAAATGAATGAAATTAATGTCCCTGCATCTGTAAAATTTTTATAAACATAAAGAAAAGTAGATAAAACACCACCTTGAACATAAACAGCTAATGTAATGACAAAATACGTCAATGCAATTAATATCCACATCAATGTAATATTCTCTGTCAAAAAATATGCAATATTGAAATTTGATGAATATTTTTGACCGCTATTATTCCAAGAACGAATTATTCTAACGCAAGCCAATAAAACTAAATATAATCCCATATTTTGAACTGATTTGAAAGCATCAAAATAATATGCACCAAGGTATAATAATGTAATAGATGTGAAAAAATACCATAATTGGTGTTCTTCTTCAATTAATGAAGATCCATGAAAATGTAAAGAATATAATAAAACAAATAATTCGTAAAATACAATTAAACCAATATTGATATTATTAACATTGAAAAAATAAATATTAAAAGTGATGATTGTAATTATGGTAGATATGAATAAAATTGCACTTCCCAAAATAATATCGTGATAATTATAATTAGTAGCCGATGTAGTCATTTCCTGTTGAATTTCATATAATAATTCATAATGCTCATCTAATCCATCTTTTAAATTTGTCCACTTTTCATATTTTTCAGTTTGACCGTGTTTTGCAACATATAAATCCATAATTTGTTTACTATTTTCTTTAAGGATTTTCAATCTTTGACTTTCTGGCCATAATGTCAATACTTCTTTCGAAATTACACCTAATGAGTTTTTTGGAATTGGGAAATTTAATAAACTGGATAATATAGGAACTAAATCAATTTGATTAATTTTATGATAATAGTCAAAATTTTGATTTTTAGGTAATGGAGATTTTTGTTTCACATTGAATTTAGGTGAGATTAAACTTAATGCAGCTGAAGTTTCACCAATTGAACTACCTCCATGATTTCCAATATCATTCATTCCATGATCACCCATTAATATAATCAATGTATCTTGATTTTTCAAAATATAACTATACAACCTCAGTAATATATTATCCATCTCAATTTGTTTTGGTTTCATATAGATTGAATTTGGACCACCTTTATGTCCAATATGATCCAATCCTAAATAATGTAAAATTAAACCATGCCATTGATTATTCAATAATTGTGTATCTAAATGTCTCGTCACATTATTATCAACTTCAGCAAAATCGGAAACAAAAAACGAATTAGTTCCTTCAAATTCATTAAACAGATGAGGAAATAATTTTAACCAAGTATCATCACCAAAGAAATTTATAATCTTATTATTATTATTATTATTATTATTTGTTTGAAATTGATATATCCATGAATCTTGATTATGTAACCCTTGAGAATTATCATTATCATCAGCAACATTTAAAATCGCATCAAGAAAATTAGGTGTTCCTCCAGTTGTTATACCTTTTAATCTTGGTAATGTAACCGTGGGGGGATTTGAAAAAGCAGTGAATGGAATGGCATTACCGTTATTAATTAAATTATGAAGGAAATGAAAATTTGATTCATTACTAAAACAAAAATCTGATCTCAATGCATCTACTACCATGAGTATAAATTTATCAAATTGTGGTTTATTGTCATATAAAAATGGATTTGAATCATTTGAAAATGTATTATGACCAGGTAAAACAATTTTTGATGGGAAAAACCCTCGTAAGAAAATAACTAATCCAATTAAATTACATAGCACTATTATTATCTGTGTAATCCATCTTAATGTTATTGATTTAAACATTTATTGATATTGGTTGCAAGTTTTGATAAATTTTCAATATTTTTGTCGTGTATTGTTGTAAACAAAATAACCGTTTGAAAAATAATATGTGGGGCCAATTAACTGAATCTATTAATACGACCAAAACAGTGTTATACGAATCATACGAATGGTCATTCTATTAGCTTGATCGATTATAATTGATCAAGAAATTGGAATAAATAATCATTGTGAGTGAGATATAATGTAGAAATTGAAAATTTGTGGAAAAATCACGGCAAAGTCACAAAATTTGCAAAGGCTGTACAAAATGTACCGGCCTCATCTTATCTCTAGAATCTATTTTATATGAGATTGCATTATCGCTGTATAAAGAGCTTATAATCTTTCTAGATCTGATAAACTGGTTACGTTTTAATTTCCTAATTGGGAAATACGAGCGCATCTTTGAAACAAATTTAAAAGCGAAAGTGTTTCAATAGATTAGGATAAACAAACGACAAAATGTTCTCCTCCTAATGTTTAAGCAAAAGTGGAGGTCCAAGATGTAGACAATGTTAAGTTTTCAAATAGAATTGGATGCCATATGGTTCATTTAATCTCTATTATAAGTCGGTTAATTTAGGTTAATCTTCAACAAATAACGTCCAGGTATGTTTGTTCAACATAGTTAAAAAAAATCTCATTTTGTGCTGCAAGATTCCTAATTATCAATGGTCCAAAAAAAAGAATTTTTTATTATTATTTTGCAGCCTTATTATAAAAGAAGAAATATTCTTATCAACAGAAAAGCATGTAAACTTAATATTTTACTTACGCTGCAGGGCAAATATTTACAAATTTTTACCGCTAACGATAATGATAATGATAAGAGAAGAGTTCTATAAATATAGATGTATATGTCATTGTAATTTTAATTTTTGCAGATCACAACGTTATTATTCAAGATGAAGTCTGGTACTCAATCTTTAAATTTATCACCTGTGATGTCACAGGTCCATGTTGATGATTTAAACATAACATCAATACTATCCAATAAAGATATTATTATCAATGTAGATCATGTTATTGATTCGGATGAAGCTATGATTTTAGCAATGGGTTATAAACAAGAATTAAAAAGAGAATTTAGTCTATGGACAATTTTTGCTGTTAGTTTTGCTGTTTTAGGTTTATTACCTTCAATTGCTGCTTGTTTTGAATATCAACAATTAGTTATTGGTATGTCACCATTACCTTGGATTATTGCTATTATTTTCATTACTTCAGTTGCTTTATCAATGGCTGAAATTGCATCAGCTTTTCCTTGTTCTGCGGGGACTCCATATGCTGTTTCACAATTAGCTCCAAAGAAATATCAAGCTTATTTAACTTGGTTTACTTGTTGGTCAAATTGGATGTGTCAAATTACTGCTGCTCCATCTGTTAGTTGGTCTTGTGCTAGTTTAATGTTGGCTTTGTATTCATTAACTGATCAAAATTATACTCCTACTGCTGGTCATGTTTATGGGTTGACTACAGGGGTTATGGTTGTTTGTGGTTTAATATGTACTTTACCTACAAAATATGTTTCACAAATTGGTTCATTTGGTACTATATGTAATATAGTGTTCTTAACTGTTGTGTTCGTTATGATATTGGCTGGTAATGATAGAATTGAAATTAGTAACGTGACTGAAAAATTTAATAAGAATGCCGTTGCATGGTCTTTAACAAATCAAACGGATTGGCCACAAGGAATTAGCTTCTTGATGAGCTTCCTAGGCGTTATCTGGCTGATGCTGGGATATGACAGCCCGTACCAGCACGTATAATTCATCATAAAAAGAGGTGTTGGTGGCTTTCCAAAAAAATTCCAAAATTCCAAATTTTGTAATTGGTACCACAATCAACATGAATCTTATAATGCTATTACTAACTCATTTTAGTCTTGCAGAAGAATGCTCTAATGCGTCAATTGCTGTTCCAAGAGCAATTGTTATGACATCCACAATTGGTGGTGGTGTGGGATTTTTGTTTATGATTGCAATTGCTTACACGTTAGTGGATTTGAATCAAATCGCAGAAGATCCTCAAGGATTAGGTCAACCGTTTGTTACATATTTGAGTCAAATAATGAAGTATAAGTTGGTGGTGGCTGCAACTAGTTTAACAGCTGTATCTTCATTCTTCATGTCTCAAAATTGTTTATTAGCAGCATCCAGAGTGACTTATGCTTACTCAAGAGATGGTTTGTTCCCATTATCAAGATTTTGGAAACAAGTTTCACCATTAACTCAAACTCCAATCTATGCTGTTGTTATTAATGTTCTTCTTGGACAGTTATTTTTATTATTGATGTTTGCTGGTGATGTTGCTATTGGTGCTATTTTTTCAGTTGGTGGTATTGCTGGTTTTGTTTCATTTACAGTTCCTACTTTACTCAAAATCACATACTCTAGGAAAACATTTAAAAGAGGTCCATGGAATTTAGGTAAATATTCAGAACCAATCGGTTGGGTAACAGTTTCATTTGTTGGTTTAATGATCCCAATTTTATGTTTCCCTTATGTTGTAGGTTCAAACTTGAATCCAGTCGAAATGAATTGGACTTGTGTTGTTTTTTTTGGTCCGTTGTTAATTGCTACAATTTGGTTTGTTGTTGATGCTCATAAATGGTACGTTGGTCCAAAGAGTAATCTTGATGAAAGTGATCTTGTTTATGGAAAAGAAGACACTGATGATTATGAAGAGGAGGCTCAAAGCTTACACATCTCAAGTAATGAAAAAGTTTAATTTGAATATCAACTAGTTTATATTTCATTAAAGATTCAAACTGAGTTTGTTTCAGAATTTGCAAAAATACACGACTTACGATTACCCCTTAATTTTTTTCTACCTCTTAAGTTTTCGATAAAAAAAAAAAAAAAAAAAATCGCGAGGCAAATTCCATCTTATCACAATGAGTTATCATAGAAACAATCAGAATAACTATAAATCATATAGATCAGATAATAATATATCATGTGCATTTTTTTCCAAAATAGGTGCTTGTAGACATGGAGAAAAATGTTCTAAAAAACATATTAAACCTACAACATCAAAAACAATTTTAATTCATAATTTATATGAAAATCCAAAATTAAATAAAAATAATAATATTGATGAAATAGATTCAAATAGACTACAAGATGATTTTAATCAATTTTATATTGATATTTTTAAACATTTTAGTTTAATAGCTGAAGTTCAACTGATTGTAGTTTGTGAAAATGAAAATAATCATTTAAATGGTAATGTTTATGTTAAATTTTATAATTCATCAGATGCAGCTATGGCAAATACAAGTTTAAATCAACAATGGTTCAATAATAGACCTATACATTGTGAATTAACACCAGTTGATAATTTTAATGAAGCACATTGTCGAGCTTATGATATGAATAATTGTGAAAGAGGTGAACTTTGTAATTATATGCATATACGACAACCAAGTGAAGAATTGAAGCAAAAATTGTTTAAATCACAAGATAAATATTATATTGAAAAGAAAATAAATAGTTTAAAACAACAATTGGAAGAAGAAAAGAAAATGTATGGTGAACAACAAGATACTAATAATAATACAACATCAACAACATCATTACTTCAACAACTAATGTAACTCACTAGTTAGTTTAATATATACCAATCAATTTTGCAATCGATTTCGGTCGCATTCAACAAAAAAACTGGAGTACGAATTATCAACATTTCATCTCTTTCAGCCTTTCCTCCAATATCAAGACTAGTACCACCAAGAGTATAAGTTAAGCTATTTCGGTCTTCATCAATTCATTATCAAGTTTTATTCGTCAATTGATCCACCATTTCTTAAGCACGAGAAAAAAATTTATACGAAAAATGAATTTACTAATACTGACAAATTTCAATCAACTAAGTAGTAAACATTTATTCCCATCAAGAATACTACGATTTCAATTGAAAATACCAAATAGAATCAATTTTTCAACTATTACAAAATTTCACTCAAAAATGTCAAAAGAGTCAAAAGAGTCAAAACCTGTTTCATCACAATCTCATTCTCATTCTGACGAAGGGCATACTCATTCTCATGGTGGTAGTATATTACATCATCATCATTCAATGCACGAACCAAATGAATTTCTAGCTGCTAGCACTTCTTCCATTAAATCAAATCCAGCTGTAAGAATTACATGGATTGGTTTATTAGTTAATATAGGTTTAGCATTATCAAAAGGAATTGGTGGAGTTTATTTCCATTCACAAGCTTTAATTGCTGATGCTATTCATTCTGTTTCTGATATGTTGGCTGATTTTTTAACCTTAGCTACTGTTAATGTTGCTGCTAAAATTGGAACTCCAACAAAATTCCCTCTTGGTTACGGTAAAATTGAAACAATTGGTTCCTTTTCAGTTAGTGCTATTTTATTATTAGCTGGTATATCAGTTGGTTGGAGTTCATTATTACAAATTTTTGAATTTATATTACCTTATAATTGGTACGAATTTGCTGCACTGATTAATATTGGTCATAATCATACTCATACAGATACTACTACAAGTCATGTACAACATACTCATACAGGTACTGATTTATCAACTCATAGAGAAATTCCAAATATAAATGCTGCATGGTTAGCTGGAGGTTCAATTATAGTTAAAGAATTATTATTTCGTAAAACTATGCAAATTGCACATGAAACAAATTCAAAAGTTTTAGTAGCTAATGCATGGCATCATAGAGTTGATTCATTAACTGCTGTAGTTGCATTATTAACCGTTGCTGGTGGTGTTTTATTTAATGTTGCATGGTTAGATTCAATTGGTGGTATTGGTGTTTCAATTTTAATTATAAAAGCAGGTTGGGATACTTTAAAGGAAGCATGGTATGAGTTAATAGATCGTGGTGAACCAAAAAATTCAGAATTATATACAAAAGTTGAAGGAATAATAACTCAAGAATTATTAATTAATAAAGATTATAATAAATTTAAATTGGCTCAATTGAGTGTTTTATCATCAGGTGCAAATACAAATATTAATTTAGTTTTAAAAACAAGTCAAAAAAATTTAACATTATCTACATTGAATAAATATGAACAAGAATTGAATGAATTGATAAAAGAAGATGATAGATTTGTTAGAAATATATTTATTAAATTCATAGAGGAAAAAGAACCAGAGGAACAAGAAGAGGAACAAGAAGAGGAACAAGAACAAGAACATAAATAGATTGTAAATATGTTTAACGTTAATGCATTTATATAATTTACTATTTACAGCTATTTACATTATTTCTTTTTTGATTTTGAAGTTGTATTACCTTCAATAAAGTTTAAAATTGCATCTACTGATTGATTTGCAATTTCAGGGTCTGGTAAAGTTTGATTTGATTTTTTTGATTTTGATTTCTTACCGTTTTTTGAACCATTAGAACTTGAACTTGTTGGTGGTGATGGAGATTTCTTCTTCATTGCTTTTTTTCCATTTTCTTTCTTCATATAATTAATTAACAATTTAATGTTTTCAATATATGACAGAATTTGTTTTGTCATTGTATCATTTGGACCAACAAATTTTTTAAGAATTTCATAAGATTTTTCAAAATTTTCAATTGATGATTTATATAAATTAAGACTAACGTCAACATTTGCAATTCTATAATATATTAATGCAGTAATTTCGGAAATTTCACCATTCAATTCAATTGATAATTTTAATGCTCTTTCCAAAAATTCTTTAGCTTGTTTATATAATTTATAACCAAGTAAGTGATCGGATAAATTAGTCAATGTATTTATTAAAGTTGGATGATTTAATCCATAAGTAATTGACCAAATTTTAATTGCATGTTGATATAATTTTAATGAATTTGACAATTGATTATTATGAGCTTCAAAAAATGCTGAATTCATATATGAAGTAATAGTATCTGATGAATCAAAACCTAATGATCTTTCACATAATATAACTGCTTTTTTACCAATCATTGCAGCTTCTTTATTTAATTCTAAATCTTGATAAAATTGAGCAATTATTAAATAAAATCTAGCAGTTTCAGGATTAACTTTTCCATAAATAGTTTCTTGAATTAATAATAATTCATTAATCATTGAAATTCCCAATTCTTTATCACCTTGAATTAAATTATTTCTTGCATTTGCAAAAATTTCATCAATTAAACTTGATTTGTATAATGAGTCCTTGATAATTGGTAAGAAATTTAATATATCTTCAGGTAAGAAAGTTGTAGTTCTAATAATTGTCTTTTCTGTAATTGTTTGAGTTTTCTTTTTAGATTTCTTGGATGATTTTGTTTCGATAGTTTGTATTTTGATGTTTTCTTGACTTTGTTCGAGTTGGTTTTTTGTAAATGAATAATTTTGTGATTTCCATTGAATACCAAATTTGATTGAAATTTCTCTAAATAATTGTAATTTACAATTAGTGAAATTTTCAGGTAAATTAAATCTAAATCTTTTAAGTGCTTCCAATTTAACCATTGCAATAACTTTTGAATGCGTAAATTTAGTAAATTCAAATTCATCAGCATTGTAAAATGATTTATAAATCTCTTCAATTATAACTTCTGGTGTTTCTGAAATTTCATTACCTAATAAACAATTGAGAAAATGTGAAACAACAATTGGAATTAAATATGTTGGTTTATCTTTAGTTAACTGAATCAAGACATGTTTTGAAGATCTTGCTACAATTTCAATAATGATTAATTTTTGTAATGTTTTGTAATTTGCAATAACAGTTTCATATTTAGCTTTACTTGGTGCTTCTTCCTTCTTTTTTTCATCTTCTTTTTCGTCTTTTTCTTCTTTTGGTTCTTCTTTTGATACTTCTTCTTTTTCTTTCTCTTTAATCAATTCTTCAACTTCTTTTTTATATTCTCCCAATTTCTTTTCAATTTGTTGTGCAACATAACCTAAATATCTCATATTAATACCATTTCTATGGAATGTTTCGGTTAATTGAACACCATCAAATGGAACCATTTGCGTTTTAATATCATTTAAATATTCTTCAATTAAAATATTTTTAACAAATTTTGAAATTTCTCTAACTTCGTTTTGATCATCTTTTGATTCATTTAAATCATTTGAAAAAGAATCAGGATTAAAAACAACTTGATCAGTAGATAATGCAATTTGTGGTTTTGTTTCATCACCTTGTTTTAATTTACCTTCTTTCTCTAATTTTTCAGTACCTTCTTTTAATAAAATTGAAACTTTACGTTTCCACCATTCATTAATAGCTTCATGTCTAATTAAAGCTTCACCGTGAGGATAAGAAGTTGAATCTTTATTAAAAAATTCCTCAATAAATTCAATATCTCTTGGAGTTGTTCTATATAAATCAATAACATAATTTCTACCATCGGTTCCTTTTAAACCTTTAGTATCTCTAGAAACAATTAATTCAGATTCAGATTTAACATGTTCATTTACTTCAACTTTATGAGGTTTTAAATGGAATATTTCAGCAATTTGTTTTAAAGGTTTTTCAAATGAAGGATCTTGATTTATCTTTGTTGAATCTGATGATAATCCATATACTACTTTTTCACTAATTTCATTATCTTCATTAATTGGAGCATCTAAAATACCAGGAACTGGAGCTTGACAAATAATTCTTTTACCCATATAATCAACAATACAAGTAACTAAATTTGAAATACCTTCAGTTGAATGTCTATTTAAAAGTTTAATAGCTGCTAAATCTTTACTTGAAACATATCTTGAAGCTTCTTCACCACCAGTTTGTTCAAAAACATCTAATGTAGCATTACCAGTTGAATAAAAAATACCATTTTTAAGATATATAAATTTTTCTTTTTCTTCATTTGGATTCATTGGCGATAAATTACCTTTAACAATTTCAATAGCAGTATCAGTTGCAATTTTATTAAATTCAAATAAAGTTTTATGAATTAATTTATCCTTTATAATTCTTTCTTGAATTGAATTTGATGGTAATTCTTTTAATATTTGAATATCATTATTCCATTCTTTAATATAATCTGATCCATCAACACCATTTGAAATTAAAGGTAATTGAGATCTTGAAATATCTGGAATAACATTACAATTCTTTTGTGGAATTACCCATGGATATGATAAAAATGAATTTGTAGGTAATAAATAAGATTCTGGAAATTCGGTAGATTTATATAAATTAGATTCATTTTCTTCAATTATTTTTGAAAATAATGGAGATATACTTGAAATTAAATCATATAATAAATAAGATTTGTAAAATTTACCCTTTTCATTAGTTTTCAAATCAGGATTAAACGTAACTGATGATGATTTATTAACGAAAAAACCAGAAAAATGACATGTAATTTGTAAAATTTCATTTTCTAAAGTAGTCAAGCTCAAGTATAATAAATCACCTTTTTGTTTTTGAAATGAAGGAACTGGTGACCATTGTGAAACAGTTAATGATTTTATTGGAATTTTAAAATTATCATCAACATTATCAAAATTGGTAATATCTACTAATCTAGTATTTGGAATGAAATTTTCAGTCATTGATTTAATTTTTGATAATTCTTCATCAGATAATTTAAATTCTTCACCTTCTTTAACCTCATGTTCTATAGTCTCGTCTAATTCGATTTTATTAAAACTTGTAACACCAGATGAAACACCAAAATCAGTAGCTAATTTATCAACATAATGTGAACCAATATTATCTCTAAACCTAAGAATTTGATCATAAATAGCAGCTAAATTATATGGTTTTTCTTTAATTTCAATTCCTAATTCTGAAACTTCCTCAAGGCCAACAATTTTTGAAACTTCTTTATATGTTAAAATATCATTTGAATTAAAATTAGTTTCATTTAAATCAATACCATTTATGAATATACTATAATTTGTTAAATTTTTTGTTTTTGGTAAAATAGCTAATGATTGTTTTAAATCTGAAATTGTTTCTTCATAATTTGATGGAATTTCAATTATATCATTTGACAAAAATTTAGGTAATTGAATTTTCAACAATAATTCTTTAATCTCAACATGTCCTTCTTCTTGTTGAGCTTCTTCTTCTGACATGTTTGAAATAAGATTATTCGTTTTACGGGGTTGAAAATTTGTTGCAAAATTTTTGAAAATTTTTTCCTACCGATCGCTTGACGCTTAAAAAAATTATGGAGCAAAATATGATACGTGCGTATGCATGCTGAAACAAGATTCAACCGTAAGGATGCCCTACACTCGAGGTTTTGATAATACTTATAGTGGAAGTCCGTACTGCAAAGACCTGTTTTGCTTATGTACGAGAACGAGCTATGGCGACTTGCGCTTCAACTCTGCATCGAAACAAGAAATTTACCTGATTTCGATCTTCAAGGTTCTGGAACAGATCTAGTGGTATATGATCTCTAAAAATTGCCAAAACCCTGCCTATAAAGTGAAGGAAACACGTTGTGGTTGATTTACTACCTTCTTGTGTCTTAATTTCATCATCTTCTTTCTATTTCTCTATTCCATTTGTAGAATTCTTCCAGAAGATGCTTGTGACACATTCAGCCAGAGTATTTATAAATCCAAGATATATTTTAATATTATTTACCATTTGTAGATAAATTGCAACCTTGATTTGCATTGTTTGTTTACAAAATCTAAAACGTGGTATTTGTTTGTATATTTTGGCCGCAAAACAAAAAAAGGAAGTCGCCTGGCAATCGCCAGGTGGTGATTGCCATCCAACGCGCGCGTTAAATTTATTTTTCAATCTCATTTCTGGAGTTTGATGCAAGTGATTCATCAAATATAACAATAAAATTCAATGAATCTACAACAAGATACTTTAGGTAATAGTATAAGATTACATGATGATAATGAAAATATAACAAAAGAAGTTATTAATATAAATCATTTACCAATAGAAATCTTAGTACTTATTTTTAGTCAACTTGATCCAATATATTTAAATAATTTAAGATTAGTTTGTAAGAAATGGAATTTTGTAATTAATGATAAAGAAACATGGATGAAATCATTTACTAAAAGATTTGGTTTACCACTTTACATCACCAGTTTTCCAACTTTAACAAAATCAAATAATTGGATGAATGAATATTTTACAAGGTTAAAAATTGCAAGAAATTGGAAAAAATCATCATCTATACATAATATTTATCAATTATTAAATAATGAATATAAATTAGTAGATCAAATACTTACAGATTTTCAAATTGATAAAATTTGTTTATTTGATAAACGAAGTTGTAATATTACGAGTGGGAATTTGATAAATGGTAAAAATCAGAGTTTCATACCTGGGGGACAGATCTTGGAAAATGATGATAAATTATTATGTTATGGTTTAAATTGGAATTATTTGATTATTGGTACTCGAAGAGGTAAAATATATTTAAAAAATTTGATCACTAGTACTTCTGTAAGTTCAAGATTAAGTTTAATTAAATTTGAGGATACTAGAGACTCAATAAGTAGTATTTTACTTAACTCATTTCCTGATAAGTCAAAATTTAATATTGATGTTATTAGTGGTACTTCAAATGGTGTTTTAAAAGGTTGGAATTTACAAGGACAATTAATTAAAGAAGTAAAACTACAAGAACATGTAATTTTTAATATCAAATCAGACTTTAACAAGTATATTATAGTAAATACAAGTCGTCATGTATATATATTAAATTTCCAGACGTTTGAGATAATAACAGAACATGAAATTGGTTTTGAAATTGAGAGTGGTTCTTCACATATTGAGGAAATAATCAAAGATAAAAACACACTAGATGTAGATTATGGATCCAAAAACATTATATTGAATTATAAGAACAAGATAAAGGTTTTTGATTACAATAAAGTTGATTTTATAAAAGAGAAATACCTTGAGCTTGAAAAAGATGTTTATATTGTTGACTCACAATTCCAAACTACAGCAAGCAGTAAATTATTAAACAGGGATAATAATATAATAGGTCAGGATGGGTTATTTTATGGAAATTTATTAAATGATAATAGTATAATGATTTGGAATATAAGAACTGACGCATCAACAATTAAACCAATACTCAAATTCTATCCAGATTTGAATCATAAGAAGTTATCAGTTGGTCTATATAATGCTGTTGTGCGATCTGACTTAATGGAAATTACTTCATTTGCATTTAATTCTTCAGTTATTACAGTTGGTGGATATAATGGATTAACTAATTTATATGATATTTTCACGGGTAAATTCATAAGAGAAATATCAATAAAGTTTCCAAAGAGGTATAATTTCCTACATGAGAATCTTGTGCCTATAAACATGATTAAATTGAATCCGAATAATCATGAAATGAACGGGTTGATTGTCTGTGCTGATGTCATCCAGTATTTTCAATTTGGTGAAAGAAATGTTATATCTACAACTAAGAAGAAGAAATTATCAAAAGTGAATACGGGAAGTAATAGTAAAAGTATAAATAAAAAGAAAATAAAAGATGGTATTGAAGAATATGATAGACAATTACATCAATCAAATGAAACAAAGAAATTATTTGATAAATATAATGGTACTAATTTTGATAATGAAGAAGAAGAATTAAAGATGGCATTAGCAATGAGTGAAAGTTTTCATAATAATAATAGTAATAATAATGATATAAATGATGAAGAATTTCAAAGAATACTTGAATTATCAAAACAAGAACAAGAACAAGAACAAGAACAAGAACAAGAACAAGAACAAGAACAAGGTTCATCTGATATTAGTGGTGAATTTAGAAATGGCGAATTTACAAATGGTGAAATACAACAAGAATCTAATGATATAGACGAAGAATTACGAATGGCATTGGAACTTTCATTAATAGAACATTAAACATTAAACATTAAACATTAACATTAAACATTAACATTAAACATTCAACATTCAACATTCAACATTCAACATTCAACATTCAACATTCAACATTCAACATTCAACATTAAACATTAAACATTAACATTAACATTAAACATTAAACATTAACATTAAACATTAACATTAAACATTTGACGCTATTTAATATATACGATTATGTAATGAAACGCACGACGTAAAAAATCGGCTGAAAAATATTTTTTATCCGTAATTCCATTCCGCATTTGATCGATTTTGATTGGCTAGAATCGGATTGTTTCTATAACCGTTTCGAATCACAATTGGACTCAGTGGTGTAACGCTAATTTTTTACAACCAGATGAGATACTTTTTACCCTTCTCTAACAATAATATAGTGTACATACTTTGTAGCCATGACTCACTCTTTATGTTACAATTGACTCAAACTGCCAAGTTTTGTAGTAATGGAATATGATTATGTAAAATATAATCTGATCCCTTAGATCTTATTACATAAGCTGACTTGGTAGCGCCGGGGTTAGAAAATTTTTTTTTTTAGAATTTATTTTTAGAGTCATATATAAATAAATATATAGAACGCATTCCAATTTTATACCAAAAACTTATACCAAACATTAAACTATCACAGATCCATTTATTTGGATTTACATTCACTTTTTAATTATTCATTACTATTTATTTATTTATTAATTGCTTATTCACTTCATTTTTATTTCGCTTTTTTTTATTTATTCAATGGTAGTTAATAATCATGGTTTTTAATTCATTTATACGGTTTGCAAAATTTTCTGGTAAATTTTCAAGTAAATTTTCAAATGATTCACATATAAATCAACAATTTTTTCAATCGTCATATCCTTATTTAAATTCAAGATATTATTTAAATTCTTTAACAAATTTATATCATTTAAAAAAGACTAAAAAATATCATTTTAAAAATGATACCACTTCAAATGGTGATAAAAATCCTTTTTTAGGTATAAGTGATGGTCATTATGGTGTTTATTATTCAATGTATAATAGAGACTCAGAAAGGAGAAGAAAAAAACAAGATTATAATGATTATATAAGACATTATATTATAAAACAATTAGAGATGAATGATAGATTTGGAATTTATAAATTTGCACAAAATCACAAAGAAAAGAGAAATCATCAAAGAAGAAGAAGAGGAAATTCTTTACATATCAAGTTTTTAAGCTTGTCTGCTAAATTTTTAATATCAAAGGCTGTTTTTGATGCATTGATTAATTTTGATAATGTTAAAAAGTCATTAAGAAAGATTATTGCTGCGGTATATTATAAACCAAATATTCATTTAGTACTTAATAACTCAAGTCCAATTCATCATTCACCTTCAACTTCATCAGGGATATTTTCACAAGTTTTTTCATTATCAAATAGATCATTTTCAACAACGACAAAAATTAACCAACAAGTAACTCCTGAAATAACAACGGAGAAGATCACTAATTTACCTCAAGAAGACAATTTCGACCATTCATTTATCGACTGTCAAGTTAAAAATATTCTAAATGCACATGAATCTGAAAATTTTAACTTAATTTTGCCTTTATATCAAACAGTTAAGAGAAATAATTTACAATTACCTTCAATTGAACTTTACAATATTGTACTCAAATCAATCATTCATAGATCTTTAGATTCAGAATTAAAAATTGAAAATATTGAAAATAAATTGACTAATTTACTAACTGTGTATCAAGATATTTTACAAACCACAAAACCAAATAATGAAACTTTTGATTTGGTAATCAATGAATTATTAGATTCAAGTTTAAAATGTTCAGAAATTCCAATCTCTAATCAATTTGAATTAGAACAAATTAATAATAAAGCTAAAGAATTTGTTCAAATAAGTTTAGAATTATTTAATTCAATTAAAGATTTAGATTTAACTATTGTATTTCCAAAATTATTATCTGCATTGAATAAATATCCTGAATTATTAACTAAAGAAATTTTACAATCATTTATTCCATTATTAGACACCAAGGTTGAAAATAAAGATTATATTTTATCAATACTTGATCTTTCTAAATGTTTTACACAATTTCAATTAGTCCAACACAATGAGATTTACAACTTGATAGATAAATTTTATAAACAATATACTAAATTAAGTCAGTCAACGTCAGATGAAATCAAAGTCTATGAAAAAGTTTTGGTTTCTTTAATGTTGAATAATCATAGTGCACAAGCTGGACAGTTATTAGATAATATATTGATAGAATACAAAAATTCAAAAATTTATTCTCAAGAACAAATTGGACAATTAATTGGATCATTTTTAAAATCATATAGTTTTAAATTTGGAATTGATAATAAGACTTTCAAATTATTGTCTAAATTTCAAGCTGTTAATTTAGAAATGTCAATTTCATTTTATAATTTTTTCATTTGTAAATTAATTGAAAATGGAATGTATGAAAATGCATGGACTCTATATAATAGAGTTTCAATAACTGAAGATTTTCAAAACATTTCAAATTTAGAAATGATTAAAGAGGATTCAATAAGTTGTAGAGATGTTTTATTATCATTAAATATTGTGAATCAAAATGATGAAAATGTATTTCAATTAGTTAAAGAAATGTTATTTAAAGAACATTTAATAGCTCCAAATGTATTAATTCAATTGATTGAATATTGTTCTATTAATAACTATAATGGATTAATATTGGAAATTTTGGAATCACAAACACAATTTTATTCAAAACCTAATCAATTATTAAGTTTGATTATTGATCATTTATCAGCTTTAACTTCAACAAAATTATATAATTCAAATTTTTTTAAACAATCTTATTTGACATTTTCACTACAACTGGATAATATTTATGGATTATATAAATCTTTTGAATTACATAAATCAACAATCAATTTAGAATTTAATTCAGTCTTGATTAATGAATTTGAAGATACAGAAAATCATTATATTGAATTACCAGAACAAATCAAAATATTCAAACAAGAATTGATACAACAATTTAAACAAGAAATTCAAAATGCTAAATTATCACCAAGTATGGTTGAAACATGCAAATATTTAAACATAAACATAAACATAACAAAACAACCAAAAGAATCAAACATTGATATGAATCTTAATACTTTATTAACCATAGATTATAAAGTAGGAGTACAAAAATTTTTCAAGCTTTTCGATCAAGGTTCGACATTTGATATACAAACTTGGGATATGATCTTAAATAAGAAACTTTTCGATAAGAAAATTAACATGATGAAACTTTTTCAAAGAATATGGATGACTGATTGTGATGAATCAAGAAAAATTGAAATCATAAATAGATTAATTTCATTCAAGAAAGATAAGATATTGGCATATTTGATACAATTTTTTTTAAGATATAAAATTTTTGATGTTAGTTTATGGAATAATTTATTATCTACTGCTAATGAGATAAATATATCGAAAAATCATTCAACTTTGAAAAAAATTTTGAATAATGTAAAAGTATTGAAACAAATTAATAGTAATTTACAGTGTAAAGAACAATATGATAAATTTTTAATGAGATATGGAAATATGGGAAATTATAGAATTAATATATAATGAGGATTAAGAGAGAAATTAAAATTATGTTTTGATGTAGTTCTCTATCTCTACTACTAGCAAGTAGCCAACATTACAAACTCGTGAAATCTTATGCAAGACTGATTAAATTTTTGGTCTCTAAGATTTCTTAGTTTTGTGTAACTTTGATTACATAATTAGAATCATAATTTGTTTCAGAACGAGAATTCGGTGATTGAAAATTAATTTAATAAGATTAATTAAAAATAAATTCGACTTTTGATGCATAATTGTTATGGGTTAATGAATCTCCGTATCAAGATATTTATGAATATAGAAGACGAGAATTTTGGTGTTAATCATGCATGAGATTAGGCTAGAGGATTTTACAATTATAAACTTTAAGATTTCGTTTTCTTGATGGCTTCAAATATATCAATACAATGAATTCAGTCAAACATTTGAGATTTGATTGGTTTAATGCTTGGTTTATGAATGGGAGGAGAAGTACAACAATAGTTGCAAATCATTAGAATTTAATCATAGTATGGAAAATTGTGTGTTTGACATACTTCAAAAAGCAAATAATTTTAAACATCTTAAATTTTAAGTTGAAGATAAAGAAGAGTCAGATATATATGAGTCAGATGACGAAGAGTCAGATGAGGATTAGCCGCTGAGAGACATACCATTGTACTTTGCATCATCATTGATGACTATTCATCTTAAGAATGTGTTCACTGAAAATTTTCAATTAATCAAAACATGTATTGATTTATCGAAATTAGCTTTAATAGAAACAAATTTTGATTGGAGTTTATATGATGGCTATAATTCTAGCAATTTTAAAATTTTCAAATTCAAGACTGGCCATATTTTACTGATATCGCTATCAGAAAATGATGTTTACTTCCTTAATACTTTATCAGTTCTAGATATTGATGGTTGATACCATTTGAAATTCTATGGTTCGGTTTATCTTCTTAAAAAGCTTAAAAATTTACAATTGAATAAAATTGAATTTTAGTCGGCAATTAGCTACTTTCCTGAAAACATGAATGATCTTAAGATTACAAGTTGCCGTTTGAAAACGGATGGTAAATGGACTCTGGTTGCTGATTCAAAACATATAAATCTTATTACTATTTTTAAATCCGATATTAGCCTGATATCTCCGACATTTCCTATTTAGGAAAATGCTAAAACTTTAAACTTTGTTCGTATCGAGATCCTGACAAAAAGGAAATTACTATGTTGAAGGAATTAATACCAAATATACTAAGATCTAATTGTTCAATGAATACCAAAACAGCTCATCAAACTGCTATTTCTTCATTCAATTCCAATCATTCAGAATATGACATCTTTAGACCAACATTTACACCAATTTTAGTCAATCCATTTTTAGCTCAATTAGGTTTAGGATCTCAAAAAAATGATACATTTATATTTGATAATGATAAAAGAATAGTTGAAGTTGCCTGTGGTACTGGAAAATTCACAAAAAATTTAGTGGATAATGGATGGAAGGATAATTTATTAGTTGTTGAACCAAGTAAAGGAATGCTTGAAACTTTTTCTAAAAACTTCCCACAAATTAAAGTTGAAAATAAGATACTAGCATCAAGTTATGATATTCCAGTGAAAGATTCTTCAGTTGATGCAATTATAATAGCTCAAGGTTTTCATTGGTTTGCTGATGAAGAAGCATTAAAAGAATTAAATAGAATTTTAAAACCAAATGGTAAGTTGGGACTCATATGGAATTTAGATTTAACTTCACCTTCTCAAGATAATCTAGTCAAAGATTCCAAGTTTTTTAACGCAGGTACTCAATATTACGATAAATTGAATTTTAATGTTAAAAATGATCAACAAGTTTTCGAGCAATTTTTCCAAATCCAAAAATGGAATGAAGAAGTAACTAAATATATTTACTCATTTGATTTGAATGTTCCACAATATAGACATGGGAAATGGAGAGAAGTTTTGAAACAAGATAACAAATATTTTGACACAGAGATATTAGATCTGTTTGCATTATATGATAAATTAATTAAACCTATAGATGTTTGGAAATATTGGGAGACAAGATCATATATAACGGATCTCGAACCAATGAAAAAAGAAGAAATAAAGAAACATATAGATGAGCTTCTAAAAGAGTATGTCGATAATTCAAGTTATCAAGTTGATAAATTAATCAAACCAATGGCTACACATTCAGTTGTCATAAACGTGAAAAAATAATTCATTAAATCTATTGCTTTTTCTTTGGTAAAGTTCTTGAACCTCCAGTATGCCAAATTTTTGCAAGATAATTAAATTTTCGTCTTTCATCTTCATTAAATTCATAAAATTTTCCAGTATCAAATTCTTTATTTGAATCATAACTTTCAATATTATCATAAGCACAATACATATAACCAAAACAAATTGGATTCTTAACCCAACCCTTTTGAGGTCCATAATCTTCTATAAATTCTTTTCTTTTTTCACCTGTTTTTAAATCATTATTAATTTCATCAGTATCTTTCTTTCTAGATTTCCAAGATTTTTTAATTTCCAATTCTGTTGTAAAATCAATTGGCAGATTTGGTTCTCTATAATTTGGTAGATCAGGTGGTATCAAAGCAGCTTTAATTTGTAATGGAGATTGAAATAAACTTATTAATTCTTTATTTTCAAAAGTCGAAAATGGATATTTTACTCTATCTCTAAAATATCCATTTTTTTTACAGTAACTAAAACCTGAATTTATCCACAACAATTTACCTTCCGAATTTACATGACCAGGATGAGTAGAACAAACTTCATTTGATTTTGAATTTGGATAATATTTTCGATTTTGTAATATTGTATTTTCACCAATTGAAGCAGCTGCATTTGAATTAAATTCATAATTTTCATCACCTGCCATTGATAAACCTAACCAATACATTTCTTTATCACCCCAAATTGAAGAATGAACAGGTTCAGCCCATAAACTTAATGGAAACATCATTAATAATCCAAGAAAATGTTGTTTTTTATTAAATACAACTACTCCAGCTTCTTGAAAATGTCTCCAACCTGTCATATATTTATTATTCATTGTTTTTGAAGTTACTTGAGGGATATTAAATAAAGTTTCAATTGATTTTTCATTTGTTGGGAATAAATTACTGAAAAAATTAGTCTCCATAAAATCATTATTATCACGTAATGATCTATCTTGAAAAAAATATGTACCTGATTTTTGATATTCATTTGATTCAAAAAATTCAGATGGAGGGACTAATGGTATAGTATCAGCATCTAATAAAATTATTTCTTCAAAACTTGAAAATAATAATGCAAGTACTTTATTTGAATAACCTGGAAAAGAATATTTATAACCTCTTTCTAAACAAGATACTATATTAACGAATGTTAAATCTTGTTTGGGGAAATCAGATCCATAATTTTTATATTCTTGTAATAAATTTAATTCTGGTAAATGATTTTGATGTTCATTTGGTGAAGTTGTTTGATCTAATACATTTTCAACATCCGCAACTGCTGCTGCTTCTAATAATTCCATATTTCGTTTATTGATATCATTTTTAAAAATTATTTGAATTGGTAATTGATTATTTAAAGCTCTTAATATACGTATTAATCTTTGTAAATCTTTCGCATGTCTTGAAGTTGCTGATATTACAATACCTTTGCCTTTACTATTGTCCCTGAAAAACATGATTGATTCATCTGAATTTTGAGTTTTATAATCTATTTCATCATTTTTAACCACTGGCCAACCGTTTTCTTGAGTAGTACCAGCTTTTCTAAATACAGGTATTGAATTAGTTATAAACGGAAATAATCTTTTACTAAATTCCAAGCTTAGTTTGTTTAAAGAATCATCAATTTTATCATTATTTAAAAAACATTTACCAAATACTCTAATGATAGTTGCTGTATCAGCCATTGATTGTATAACTCTTTGTGTTTTTGATAAATTTGCATAATATTTGGATTCTATCGTTCTATTCATTCCTAATGTCGGTATAAACTCTTTATCCGGATGACCCTTGCGATGTTCATTTTTCAAAGTATTCAATTCATTTTTGAAAAACATTTCTTTTCGATCTGAAGATTTATCCAATCTTTCACCGACTGAATTAAACGCTTTAAATTTGAATTGTGGATCAGATTCAAGCAACTGACTATAAAAAGTATGACATTTTTCATTTAAAGGTATGGATTTTATTTTATCTAGATTATGATTATAATGTGATGTGAAATTATTGTACCCACTGTAAATATAGTTGGTATAATGTAACTTCTTTCTGATTTCTAAAGAGTCAGATTTCAACTTTTCAAGGTCATAGTTTTCAAATGAATAATATAATCTTCGTAATTGGTCTAGTGAAAATGAAGATTGTAGCAATAAATATGTAATTGTCAATAATAATAATGTCAAAAATGATAGTAGCAATTTCTTAACTGTTAGTCTCATAATGAGTTATTGCAATATCTGAATCTTCATGAATAATGAATATGATGGAAAGTTTTTGAAGTTAGTTAAAAAATAATTAAAGTTTAAGCCCTGTTGAGATTTTATGAGATTGAAATCGGGAAACGGTAATTAGTGACACTGATTTTTCACAATTATGTTCGTATAGTTATTATCAGTTACTTCTTATTTATGTAGCTATTTCTTTAAGTATATCTTATTGTTTATATTAGGTCCATGTGGTTTCAAAATTAATGCGTCGGGTTGTACAAAACTTTGAAGTTTCTATTTTTTTTCGTCCGAAGCAAGGGGTCTCAATTTCTTTTTTTTTTTTTTTTTTGACACCGGAAAAATTAATTATATACAGGAATCGCTTATAATGAAAAGCTTATGTATAATATTTGAAACAGAATACTGAAGAGTTTCATTCAAACTTGGCAATAGGTCAAAGATGATTAAAAAAATCGATTTGTCACAGTTTTATAATTACCGGTATTGTTTTGTGCATTGACTATTCTAAATCTACATCATTTTCACACATAAAATCGAGAATACTTAATAGATTAATCATAATATATTCATTCATATCTTATCTAGCTTTACCTTCTGCAGCTTTGACATAAATGATATCACCATCTTCAACAAAATAATCTTTACCCTTTTGTAATAATTTACCTGCAGCTTTAACACTTGCTTCATCACCAAGTTCAATTAAATCTTGATATTTTATAACTTGAGCCAATATAAAAGTTCTTTCTAAATCTGTATGAATAGTACCAGCAGCTTGTGGTGCAGTATACCATTTTCTAATAGTCCATTCTCTAACTTCGTCTGGACCACCAGTAAAGAAAGATATTAAATCTAATTTTTGTCTCATTGCAATAATAATTTTAGGTAAAGCAGATTGAGCACCGACTTCTTTACAATAAGCTTCTCTTTCTTCATCACTTGACATATTTGCTAATTTTTCTTCAAATGATACAGAAATTGGAACAATCATATCACCAGGAGAATTTTTATCAACCCATTCTTTAATTTTTAATAACCATTTATTTTTTTTTCTAATATAATCTTTTTCTGATAAATTAATTAAGTAGATACATGGTTTAGCAGTTAGTAATAACATATCATTAATTGTAATAACTTCTTTTGCAGTCCAAGTTTGATTAGCAACTCTTTGACCACTTTCTAATAATTCGATAATTTTTTTAACTAATTCAGCTTCTTCTTTCTTTTGTTTAACTTCTAATGATTGACCACCTCTTTTAGTAATTTTTTCAATACCTTCCAAATATTTTTGAGCAAATTCAATATCTTTTAATCTTAATTCATCTAAAATAATATCTAAATCTGCAATTGGATTAACTTCATCATTAATATGAATAATATCTGCATCATCAAAACATCTAGTCATTTGAAAAATAGAATCAACAGCTCTAATATTTGATAAGAAATTATTACCTAAACCTTCACCAGCATGCGCTCCCTTTGTTAAACCCGCAATATCATAAACAGTTAAGAAAGCAGGAACTTCACTTTTTGGTTTATATAATTCACATAATTTATCAAATCTTTCTGATGGAACAATAACTCTTGCTTCTTCTGGTTCAATGGTTGCAAATGGATAATTTGCTGGATTACCAAGAGGACATCTAGTTATAGCTTGAAAAAAAGTAGATTTACCGACATTTGCTAAACCAACAATACCTGATTTTAAATTATTACCTGGTCTACCTAATAAAACTGGTTTCTCAACAACTCCTTTCTTCTTTGGTGGCATTATAAATCAAAATATATATAGAAAGAAATAATATAAATTTTTCACTTAGCTTAAAAAAATGTTGATGTTTTTTTTTTTTCCAAACGCACGATAGTTGAAAAATTTTAATACCAACCAAAGGCTTTACTATGTTAAGACTAAGACCTATAGTAGTGAAGAGACTGTTTAATATATCTAGTATACTAAATCAATCATCTTGTAAATCAGGAACTGTTTTAAATTTAAAAATTTATAATAAAGGTGATGAACCAATTGCAAAAGATGATTCAGAATATCCAGATTGGTTATGGAATATGTTGGATAAAACAAAATCATTAAATAAGATAAAAGATGAAAACTTTTTAAGATGGAGAAGGATAAAATTATCAAAAGAAAATGGTAAGAAAATAAGACAGAACAACTTTGTATCAAAAATATAGAAATCTTGTATATATATTAATAAATGGGGACTACTTGATGATTATCATTATAATTTGCTTGAGCTAATGAAATTTTATTATCTTCTAAATCAAATAATGCATAAACTGATCTTAAGAAATTATCACCCAAGATTAAACTACCGTCAACACTATTTAAAATAGTGAACAAACAACCACCGACGGGATTATTAATTACAAATTCACTTGCGTCTACTTGATATCCTTGTTGTCCAAAATTAAAAGTAAAATAATTACCTGGATTTCCAATATAACATGGAACATTATACATTCCAAATAATTGATTATAACTTGAATTACCAAAGTTTTTAACCAAACTCTCAACTTGTTTTTGTAATAAATAAGTATATGTTGTACCAGTATCTAATAAAGCAGGTTGATTTTTAATATCAACTGCACCATTAAATGAGCCAGTTCCGTTATAAGCAACAGCTCCAACTCTAGGACCATTATTAGATCCAGTATAATTATTACATGAAAATGAAATATGAGATAATGCAATTTGAGAATATAAATATTGACCCAGAAATGGAACAATATCATAATCAGTTAGTTCTCCATCAAATTTAGCATAATCAATACCACCAAATAAGATATAACCTTGAGTTGAATTTTTCAGATTTAAATAAATTGAATAAGCAACTTTTGAAATTACACCTTGATCTTTTAATAATTTTGGAATATTTGAATAAGTAGCATTTGTAGATTCTAATTTAGAGTATCCAATACCAAACACACCAATATTTTCAGTAGTATTTTTAACAACTGCAAATTCAGCATTATCTAAAGCAAAATTTTCAGCAAATTCAATACCATCTTTTCCCATTATACCTGTGGCTTCACTTCCATCTAAATAACCAATTTCAAATGCAGTATTATTTGTTTGCCAAGTTGATGATTTTGATTCATCAAAAGTACCATATAATTGACAATCAACTGTTCCACCATTACTTGCACACTGTAAATTATCTTTACCAATAAACCATAAATCAGCACTTCCAGTATCTATCATTGTACGAATTGATTGTTGAGGATTACCAACTTTTAAATCGATAAAATAATACGTTCTAGCATTTGATAATTCAACCTGAAATGAACCAGTTTCATCACCAACTGTTTTTTGTTGAGCATCAAATAAATCAGTAAAATTTTTGATTAATTCTTCAACTGGATCTTGAAATTTATTTAACGAAAGACTTAAAAAACCATCATAAGTAAAAACGAGTGGAATGAAGGTTAATAATAATAAAAAATTCATTTTATTGAGGAATGAAATTGGACAGCCTCCTCAATTTATATCATTGATTGTTCATTGTTTCATTAAAATTTTTTTATTCATTTATTTTTCATGCATCAGGGGCTAAATAAATGCGTACCTTATTTTTAGATCTCTGATGTAACCAATTTTTCTTCGCGTAGTAATATTAGTGGCTTATATTTGTTTTTATTTAGTCTATAAAAGTTACCAAGGATTTGATTCAAAATCTTCACTCTCGGCATTACCCCAATGTTTATGTAATAATGAATTTGGCATTTGAACTTGTTTGAATAATTCATCACCTTTAATATGTTCAGGTTCTTCATTTTCTTCATCTTCATGTGGTTCTTTGTTAACTTGTTCAACTTCATCATCATCATCATGACTTAGTATTTCATCAATATCATCTATAATAGCAATTGATAAACTCGGTTGATATTTCTTAGCCCTTAGTACTTTCACACCACCAATTCCTGATCCATAACTATTGATAAGTTCAGTTAAACTAATTGTTGAGGTTGGAAATATATGATTTGGATTTAAATAAACATAAACTTCTTTTGTCAATAAAGTTGATTGAGTCATATAATGTTGAGAATTTTTAGTAACTTGGTTTTCACCATGTTGATTCATTAAATTTTTAATTAAATTATTTAAATTTTTCTTAAATTTAGGTTCATCGACTTCATACTTGTATAATTTATTAGAAACTTTAAAAAGTTGATAATAATTTAGTGAATCAAATTGATTTATAGTATTGATTAGACTTTCCTCATCTGATAATGATGTCATACACTGTAACCATTGTAATAATTCAATTGTAGTTGATAAATGATATTTCCCAACACTATATAAGCTTTGATAATAAAAAATTAAATTATCTGGAATTAATTCAGGTTTCACATTTAAAACATTGTGTAATTGAATATCGACCAACTTGTCTATACTTATAGTGTCTGGCTTATTTACTTTAAAATTATGAATTCTTAACCAATCTTCAATAGTAGAAATGTTTAATCTAATTTGCAAAGCTTTTGATCTTGAACAATATTTAGATTGACTAATTATACGATTAAATATAATACAATTTAAATAATAAAATACTAATGAAAATGTCTGTATTTGAACAAATTGATGAACTTTATGAATTTTCAATACATAATCTAAAGCACTTAAAACTTGTAAATATCTAATTGGTGATGGTTTAATTAATTCATCTTGTGATGGTGGGAATAGAGTATTTAAAATATCATCATAATTATTTGGATGTGATTTATTCTTTTTGAATAAATTCCAATCTTTCGCATATAATACATTTGAAACATCAACCAAATTTGTAAAATTTAAAATACAATCATCAACTAATAAATTTAATCTTGAATTAATTGAAAATGATAGTGAAGCAATTAAACTTTGACTTAAATTAATTAATTCTTGTAGAAACATTGGATATGTTTTATAAATTTCATTCTTGCAAAAATAAAAATGTAAAAATTGTAATGATGATAACCAATAACTTAATAATACAATATCACCAGCACCTAAAATATTATCTTGTAAGGCCATGTTAAAAGCACCTGATTTTGTATTTGTAACAGTTCTTAATCTAGCTGAAAATGATTCAAATAAAAATTCTGTCAATTCTTTAGAGTTTGCTTTTAAATGAGAATATCTAATTAATTGGAAAATCATACTTGCAGGTATTTTAGTATTATGTTGATAAGTAGTATTTGATCTTAAATTGAAAACATAGTCTAATAATGAAGGAATATCACTATCATTAAATTTGATATATTGTTCAGGTAATAATTTATCATATTCAAATTCGGGAGTTTGTCGTAATGCTGAATCTTGAAATAAATTAACTTCACTATCTTCGTCATATACAATATCCTCTTCTGGTTCTTCTTCCACGGTATTTGATAATGTCTGCATTTTTAATTTTCTAGTCAAATCATCTTCAAAATCATTTTCTGGAGTGAATGTTTTTGGTTTAAATATATCATTTTGATCAGTTTCTGTTTTTAACAAGTTATGCGATTTGAAAAATTCATAAATTTCAGTTTTCTCAGGTACAACTAATGAAATTGCATTTATATTATTATTTTGTGGTGATAAATATGGATCAGCTTGATGATTTAATAATAATTTTATAACTTGTAATTGATTAAAATGAATTGCCCACATTAATGGAGTATAATATAATAAAGTATCATAAACATCAGGATCAGCATTATGATTTTCAAGTAAACTTTCTATTGTTTCAAAATTATTAAAACAAATTGCATATATCAATGGTGATACTCCATTTTCACTTGTTGGGAATAATTGATTTACAATTGAGCTTGAAGATCTTAATGTATTTTCTAAAGTTACTAAATCGCCATCACAAGCAGCCATTAATAATTGTATAATCAGTTTATTTTCTGAATTTTCAGTACCATCTTGAATAAAATTTTGTTCTAATATTTGTAATGCTTTTTTTGAAGTTATGATTTTAGATAGTAAAGGATCTGATAAATTTAGTATATCACTAGCATCACTTAATTTAACATTTGATAATGCGTCAAATCCAGTGTTAACCCAATTATCCATTAATCAATTCGGTGTGGTATTATATTTGCCTTGCCAATAAAATGAAATATGTCTTTTCGAGAAAATCACGTGATGCGTTTCCCAGTCAAATTAAACTCACGTGACTAAAACAAAACCAAAAATAAAATAAGAAAAAAAAATAAAAAATAAGAAATACGAAAAAGATAAACCAAGTATAAAATAATAATGTCAAAATTGGTAAGAAGAACAATACTACCCATACTAACATTAACTATTATAATATGTTTCCTATTGATTCAAACTAATAATGAGTCAATAAATAACTACCAATCTTATCCAATTTTTGACTCAATAAGTAATCATTTCACATTTACAAAACAAGAAGTAGAAACAATACCGAAACAACCATTGAAAAAACAAGATGATGAAGAGCATAAATTAGATCCATGTACTGTTTATAATCCAATTAGTAAAGGTTACATAGATTTAAGTGGTCTTTCCTCAATTTCAAACGAAGGTAAAGCATTACCATTTAATGCCAAAGGTTATGATTCAGGTAAAAATTATACTTTAGGGATATGTTCAAATCCATTTAAACAACATCATGATAATTTAAATGAAATTCAAGATAATGTAAATCAAAGTTTAATTGGTGGTTTTTATATAAACGATCAACATAAATATGTTTCAATTGGTGAATTTTCAACCACCCCAAAATTTAGAGGTAGAAAACTAACATTAACTTATGAAAATGGTTCATATTGTGAAAATACATTAGATTCATTTGGTAAAAAATTAAGAAAGTCAACAATTTTATCATTTACTTGTGATCGCGAAATTTCTGCAAAAGCTCAAATTTCATTTATTGGACAAATTAATGAATGTTCATATTTTTTTGAAGTTAGATCTCATATGGCATGTCCAACTGCTGCAAAAGAACAAAAGGGAAATGTTATACTAATATTATTAATTTTTATTGGTTCATTTGTTGGATTATTTTGGATAACTTCATTTTTAAAAAGATTTATGAAAACAAACAATATAGACAAAGTATAAATATACAATAGAATTTAGCTAAAAACTTATTTATGAGAAGTTAAATACAGAGTTTAGAATAGGTATCCCTTCAACCCGTCTATATTCTTCATCTATTTGAAATCAGGTACTAAAATTAAATTTGGCACGAGCGTTAATACCAGCGCTCGCTTTGAGACCAAAAATTTTACTGCCGCTTTACGTCGGTCTAAATCCTGATACCTCAAATTATTTGATAATTCTAAACCGCTTATATGCAGTTTTCAATAGTTGACCTTAAAACTTAATTTGCAGATTACTCCCTTCATAGTCAAGTTGAAGTTGTTAAATTTTTTTTGATTCAGCCTAATTAGAGTCTCTCTTGCTAATATCAACACGCAAAACTAGTTTTTGGTTACTTTATTAGCCATTAAAAAAATGAGAAAAAACGTTAAATTTCAATATAAACAGTACTTAGAACTCATCTAGCAACTTCTAGATTATCTGATCTGGTGTATCTAACCTCAAGGATTTTATATCTGCCGTTTTAAAGAGCTCAAAATTGTTTTGAAATTTTTGCCATACTTAAGGAGAAAATTTTGAAAGTTTTCAATTCTGATTAAGATCAAATAGATTTCAGTTTGGTACATTATATTGAGGTATAATATACACAATTCGTTGTTTAATTGAAAAGAACGATCCTAAATATAATTCTAGACTCCTGGTCTCATATAAATGGTACTCATCTCAAGAAACTGCGTTGTTCATGTTTTCAATTCATTTAGTACGAATCGCCTCAAAAATAGCGCGAGAAAATATTCTGTAGCCCAAAGTTTATCGCATTCAAAAATAGCTAAAAACATTACCTCTTGGGCACTACCAAACGTCTTTGCGCTAATTTGCGCCTTTAGATCTTCGTATTTCTAATTTATGGATTTAAATTGGAAACAACTTGGAACCAGGAACGTCTTCTATGATCTCGAAATAACCGTTTACAAATTTGGTTATTCATAATAGCTTGTCTGTGTGTAAAAACAGTTGATGTTCTGTAATTTCGCAAATTCTTTTTATTTTGATGACATTGATTTAAAGTAATATCTGGATCTAAATGGAATGCATTGTATATTTAATTAAATTAAGATAGTAATGTATCTATTTATGTTTACCTTTGTGCATTTTTTCTAAATTTGATCACCAAATTGCATATATTGGTCGTCGCGAAATGATAACAAATAATAATGAATATATTAAAATATACTATCTAAAACTACTTGACCAAAAACTTTTGTTTCTGTTTTAACTTCAATTTTACCAACAATTTTACCCCCAGTAAATGCTAATTTAATTAAAGTTGCAATTTTACCTCCATAAACATCTTTACCTAATAATTTTAATACATGACTATTTGAATCTTTTGAAACAAATTCAGAACCATCCATAAACAGCATATTAAGTTGATTTTTAATCTTTTCAATAACTTCTTCTAAAGATGATCCACTAATAACTTTTGCTGTAGTTGATGAATTTTCAATTTTTTCAAAAATTTGTTCAAAATTTCCATATAATCCAGTTATAAAATCTCCACCTAAAACTTCAAAATCATCAATTTGATATTCATCAGACCAACCATCATCATTTGGATCAGCATTACCTTCTTCATCAACATCTTTATTTATATAATTTAAAGTATTACCAAAACCTGCAATAATATCAGTTTCATCAAAATTAAATACAACATATGAAACACCAGTTTGATTTGGTTTTAATTCTTCCAATGGAATTATAGATTCTTCTTGATATCCTTCATTATCTGGTTGTACAATAACTGATATATTTTCCAATTTTGTGGTTGTTAAAGTATTTTGAATATTAAATTGTAAAACCAATTTTTTAGCATCAGTGAATAAATGCTTAACAACACTAACAACAATTTCATTTTCTTTATCAGTTAAATATGTTACTGAACTTGATTTAGTTAGTGTACCAAATGAGAATATCATTGATAATTCTTGAGCATATTCTTGTTGTTTTAATAAATCTTGTGCTTTATTAACTTCTGGTTCTTCTTCTTTAACTTCTTCAACTTCAGTTTTATTAATTTTTTGATTATATTCTAATGATTTGATTTCTTCGTTTGATATAATCGGAACTTCATTAATATCAAATTCATTTTCAAATTTTTCTTCATTGAGATAATTTATCAATTTATTTTCCAAAACTGCCAAATCATATTTTGAATCATTAACAATTAAATTTTTCTTATGATGATTAATAAAATTTAATGAAATTGCTGCTCTATCTCTAACTTCATCATCAACATCATTTAAACATCTACTTAATAAAATAATTATATTTTTTGAAACAATTCCACCACAAACAGCAGCAAATTTAGCTAATGATATAACTGCAGATGATCTAATTATTGAATTTTCTAAAACTAATCTATTGTAAATATGTCTGATATAATATGAAACATTACTTGTTGTTGGTCCCTGATCTCCTAATAAATGTAAAATTCTAACTGATAACTCTGTAAACTCACAATCCTCAATGAACTCACACAAGTTCATAAGGATTAATTGTTTACTGCTATCATCTGATAAAAACTTAATCAAATCAAATAAAGCATCAACAATTGTAGATTTTAATTCTAATGAACCATCATCTCGTAATAAATCAGTCAAAAATCCAACCAATTTTTTAACTTTTGTTGGATATCTTAATGCAAGATTTTCAATTGCTTCAATAATGACCATTTTAAAATCATCACTAATATCTTCCATTAATGAAGTCATTTTAGTGATTAAACGATCAACACCTTCACCAGTTGTTTCTATTGAACCAGTACCACTAGTTTTGAGTAATGTAGTTATAGCAATTGTACTAATTGATTTATTTGAATCATTAATTAAATTTTCCAACTCTAAATTACAAACCATAATTTTTTCAGGATGTTTAATTGAAATTTTATTAATTAGTCTAATTGCAGCAAATCTTGTTGCTGTTCTTGGAACACTTAAAAGTTTTTGAAGAGTACCAATTACCATCATTTCTTGTTCATCTGTTAATAAATTTTGTAAATTAATCAATGTTTTACAAGCTTCCAATTCAACCATATCACTTTTATGTTTTAAAAAATTGATAATAATTGGTAATAATTGTAAAGAATTATCATCTATTAATAATTTATTAATGAATCTAATCAATTGAATTATACTTAATGAATTTTTTAAAACACCTTCAGATAAACTAGTTATTAATTTCATTAAAGCCATTTTATCATGATTTCTTAATTGATAAATTAAACCTAAAGCATGATATTGATACATATATGAAGTTGAAGGTAAATTTGAAGTTGCACTACCATAATATTCATGTAATTCAAATTGATGACTATTAAATTGTTTAAAAGATTGTATAGATTCTAAAACTTCATTTGAAAATCTTTTAACAATATCTTTTGCATGAGGTAATAAATTATATGAAGAAATTAAAGCAGCTGACGAAATAATTGGATTTTTATCAACAATTAGATTTTTAAATAATCTTTCAGCAGCAGTTACAGTAGTTGGATCTAAAACTTTTGATAAAGTTCTAATTGCATTTGGTTTATAAACAGCATCATTACCTTGAATATCTTTCATAATTGAGGAAGTAACCATTAAAATATCATCAGAAGTTTGAGATAATTCTTTTATCGTTAAATAAACAATTTGTCTCAAAGATTGATCTTTATGTTGAAATAATTTTGAAATTGAAAAAAATAAAGTAGTCGATTCTTGTGATGGAAACAGTTCACCATTATAAAGTAATCTTAATAATTTAGCTAATAATTGTCTACATTTTTTAGCATTAACAGGTGTAGCATTAAATTGTTGTAAACATTCTTGGAAAACAGCCATTTTATCGGGGGAAGAAGATAGAGAATAAGCATCTTGCTTTTTATATGACTGTGTTGACATAGTAAAATCGTAAGTATGCTAAGTATGCAATTGAACAGTTGAAACTTGGTTGGTTGATTGTTTTGTATAACGTGTTGAAAAAAAAAATAATGAAATTTAGCCACTACCAATTTTTGAAAATTTTCAAGATCAACAAATGTTTTTAACAAATATATTCAAATTTAAAACAACGATAATACCTAGAAATTTATTATTTAATGTTACTCCAAGAATAATACAGAGTCCAATAACAAACTCAATAAGAACTTTCAAAGTTAGAACTGCTGTTAAAAAATACTGTAAAGATTGTTTTATTGTTAAGAAAAAGGGGAGAGTATATGTTTATTGTAAAAGTAATGGGAAACATAAACAAAGACAAGGATAATATGGTAGAGGATTTGTAAATATCAATATATATAATGTATATAAATTATTAATTTTAGCTTGTCTTGTTGAAGTTTTCTTTTTTACATCTTGAAATGACTGTTCAATACTTCTTCTTCTATCGCGCTACCATAAAAGTAACCAAAAACCCCTTGCTAAGTTTTGAATTATAATTAAATGTTAATTTATGAACTTAAAGTAATTTGTAAGCGTTGAAGTCTTTTGAACTCAAAGTTGATTGACTATAAATAAACGAAACATGCTTAGTACCTTGTGTAGATTCATTAGTAAAGGATTTAGTATGTAAAAATCAATAATGTGCTGCAAAAAATTTAAATTCTATTTTACCACCAATTTATTAAAATATAAATTAAATCAAGATGTTAAACATGGATAGAAAAGATAATAACAGAAATAAAATAAGAAAAAGAATAGAAATCCCAACGTGAAGTTTCTTGGTATGGCTCAGAAGGAATTTAAACATTTGAAAGCTGCTGCTAAAAAGAAATATGATAAAGAAGATCCAGAAAACCCAGATGGTCTCAGATATCCTAGAGAATAAGCTAGAGCTGACAAAAGAGGAAAAATGATGGTGGATGATGCTTTAAATCTGGGATCAAGTAACGATTCAAATAATACCCCTGGTTGATACTGCTGCAAATTCGAATCCAACTGGTAATCAAGATTAAATAGTAGCTATAGTTTAAAATGTAAGTTTTACTATTACATGCTTCTTGATTTTGTGGTAACTTTTTCTAAATTTATCCTTTATATAGTAAAAGATGAATTTCACTTTGATTCGAATATCGTACGTTCCAACAAAAAAACTTTCTCGCGCTAGACTTAGGGCGACTCTTGGCTTTTATGACATGAACAACACATTCTCTTGAAATAAAAACTGATTTAACAAAAACAGCAGTTTGGTGATATATACTCTAAACACTTCAAATCTCTAAGTTTAAACAATTTTTTTTTTTTGAGTTGTCATTTTGGCATGTTTTCATTATACAAAAATTTTGCGAAAGACAAGAATCAATGTATGTTTTTATCTAGGGCCATACCTTTCAATTAAAAAACAAGTTATATATACTAAACCCCAAATGAAGGAACTGGACTTGTTTCTGTTTGATCTGAAGTAAAATTGGAAAATTTTGAAAATTTCTCTTAAGTATGGGCAAAGTCAAATAATTCGACCTTTTAAAATATCTGACACCACATTTAATAACTAAACTAAATCACAATAAAATCACCCAATTTCTTAGTTGCTGTACAATATTAAACCCTCATTATTTTTTGAGAGAAGGCATTCAAAATTGGAATGCTAAATTTTCAAAAGTGAATCGAAATTTGCAAAAATTTCAAAACGATTATGGTTTCTTGAAAACACCGTACATATAATATTCGGGGACAAATAAACCGCACAGCTATCTTAGATGTTGCTAGATGAGGTCTAAGTGCCAATTATCTCGCAATTTGAGGTTTTTTCCCCATTTTTTAAATTTAGAATAAAGTCATTAAAGTTGAACCTTTTAGAAGTTAGAAAACTATTTCTACCAGTTTACTCCAATTATTTTGACATTTCGATGACAAAAAATTGGAAATGAAAGAGCTTGAATATTGAGAGACTTATTTACAAATTTAGTTTACAATTTAGTATGAGACTGCATATAAGTCAAAACGAAGTGTCAAGATTTTCATTTGGTACGCGTTTTTTAATACGAACTGGCGCTACATAATCGTTCGTGCTGGCGTTAAGGCAACTTCGTGTTACTTATCGACGTAATTATTTACAGTTTGTGTAATTAAATTGACGCTGGATGAAAAACTTGTGTAGGCAGTTCGAACTGGCTTACTAAACGTCGTGTACATTTTAGTTTTGACTCTGTTTACGTTGACTTCTTCAATCATTTCGAACACCACGCACTTCATTTTCATTTGCGTGTACCGTGAATGTACGAGCATAACTCATTATTCTGATCATCATGAACAATCAAAAACCAAAACATCCAGCAAAATTAGGTAGTCATAAAGGTTCATCTACAAATTTAACTAGACCTAATTTAAATCGTTCCAAATCAACTGATGGTTTAATTAGAAGAAATAATAGTGCATTAAAAAGGAATGGTCGATCATTCACAAAAATTAATGGATTACAACCTTTAACTAAAACTTTATCAAATCCTTCAATTAAATGTGGCGGTACCATTGGGTTGAAAACAAGTGCAAAAAAGGGTAAAGCAATTTTAAGTTTAAATGACGATGATGGAGATTTTGAAGATGTAAATGAACCAGCAGATAAAGTTAAAGGTCCAGTTCCTGAAAGATTTGATCAAACAAGTATATCATCAAATTCAAATAGAGAACCAGAAGTACCCAGTTTATATAATAATTTAGATGTACCGACTCCATTTGAAGAAAATAAGAAATTAGAAGTAGTTGAAGAACATACAAATACAGAACCTGCAAGACCAGATTTGATTTCAACAAAGAGTTCTGATGATGATTTTTCAAGCAATTTATATGGTGGATCTTTATTATTATCACAAAGTACCGGTTTAATTAAAAAAATCGAAAAAGATTATGGACCTGAAGAAATAAAATATTCAGATTCAATTAGTGGAATTTCTTTTAAAGCTAATCCAATTGAAAACATAGCTAAACCAATAACAACAAACAAGAATGTGGTTAAAGACAACTCATACGAGGTAAACAAAACTATCTACCTGAATTTACAAAGAAGTTTTAATAAAAATGAAAGTAAAAATTCAACTCCATTAAATAATCCTAATAATTTTTCAGATTTTTTGAAACCTAATCATTCATCATCATCAGATTTAAATAATAATTTGGAAACTAGAACTCAACAAAGATTATGGTTACAAAGAGAAAGTTCATTGATGGATGTTACCAACCTAGAGAATAAATCAAATTTCTCAAATTTGTCACTAAATAATCTAATGTTCTCACATAGCTACTCCAACCACAACCTAAGCTCATTAAACTCAACTACAAATAATGATGGTCATCCTTCCAATAATAATATGTTGATGCATATGGTGTCAACCCAGAATTCAATACAATCAAGAACCGAATTTGAAAGGTTAAATCGAGAATATCTAAATGTCAGAAGGCATACCAATCCAATAGGTGAGAGTCTTAATAGAGTTGATCAATATTTACATAAAGATGAATTAAGAATTGTTAAAACCAAGAAAACTGAAACTGAAAATTTGAATTCATTTAAAGAATTTTCACCATCAGCAATCAATAAAATATGGCAAGATGCAGTAATAGCAACATCATCAAAATCCAATCATGGGCAACGTGCATTTCAACGACCAGCTACTTCCTTCAATAATACACAAGTTAGTTAATGTATTCAAATACCCCTTAAGCGCTACCATCTCTTACTTATTGCGTCTCTTTTGATTAGTAAATTGAGCTTGATGAACTTCAAAATAAACCCAAGCACTCTACCAATGAAATGTCATTTAGTTCGCCTCTGGTATGTATCATTCTAAGCTCAGCAACTATACCACATCATAAGTAATTTGCGTGTCAAGTTAGCGCTACCACTATTTGTTTAAAAGCAGAACCAAAGATTAGCAAAAGCTGACCATTTTCTTTTTACAACCTTTATTTGAACTGTAAATTACATTTACAGAAACAAAATCTAATCTACCAAAAGAGTGTTTTCTCTCTTCTTTGGTTTAGTTCATTTAAATGATTTGCAATTTTTGTTCTGGATCAGTTAGCAAATTTTGAATTTCCTCGTTAACAGAATGGAGAGAAGATTCAAAAGTTGTGAAATTAACGAAATAGGAGCAGACATAAACTCAACTTGGACTGTACAGATCACTATCTTTAAACACGTTTTAATTAATCAATATAGTTTTAATTATACGGCACCAAAGTATATTTTAGATTATACACGTGCAAAAATATTGGCTGCAAAAAATTTATAAATATGACAATTTCATCATTATTACAAGCTAAAGATGCTTTTTGTTCCAATTGTGATTGCTTTTGCTGTAACTTCATTCGCTTTTACTGTTCCAGGTTATAGTTCATTACAACGTCAAGCACTTGAAAAAAGAGCTGATGATATAACTGATGATATTTTTTTAAATTTAGATATTGATGATATCAATTTCATTGATTATAATTTATTACAATTGTCAAAGTTTAATGGTACCACATGTAATGTTTGTAAAGGGAAATTCAAATATGCTAGGGACATAATTGATCAAAATCCAGATAAAGAACACCTTGTTACCTTAATGTTATACAAAGATTGTTTAGCGACTGCGACATATTCAGATTCTTGTGGTTATACAAATTTTTTTATCACTACCAAGTCTGATAACTTTGAACATTTTAATGAAGAATTTGATTCTGGTATAACTTCAGGTACTAGCGTTAATTTTTTAGATAATGATTTTTTAAATGTCATCAAAAATTTCAATATGTCAAGTGAAATTGATTTAGAATATTATTGTCATTTTAAAAACAGTAGAGCTTGTGAATTACCAAAAACTCCTGATGTTGAAGAATTGTTCAATATTGAAAGTTGGTGGCCTGCCAAAAAGAATGAATATAATTCACCGCCAGTTTATAAAAATAATAGTGAAAAATTCAATGTTTTACATATAACTGATTTCCATATTCAGCCAAGATATCAAGTTGGTGCTGAAGGTAATTGTACAAATTATCCTTGTGGTATTCCAGAATCTTATAATAAAGTTTTACCAAGTAAAAATTATAATTTCACTACATATTATAAAAATCTTGATCCAACTATTAATACATTTGAATTTTCATTTTATCCAAATGCTAGATATGATGATTTGAAATATGAAAAAGGAGATTATTATGATTTTGTTCATTATCGTGGTTGGAATTTTCAAAATTCACCTGCAACTTCATTTGGTGCATATTTATCAGATGCTCCAGAATTATTAATGAATAATTCATTAGTTGAAATTGCTAACTTACATAAGAATAAAAGTTTTGAAATTGCATTATTTACCGGTGATTTAATTGATCATGATAGTTCACATTGTACACCAAATATAACCAAAAATACTGAAACTTTAGGTTTCAATTTAATAAAAAGATATTTAAATAATATTCCTCTTATGCCAAGTTTAGGAAATCATGATTCTTTTCCATATGCTCAAGTTGCTCCTTTAGAATTTGATCAACAACATCATTATCAATATAATATTGAAGAAATGGTTAATCTTTGGGTCAATAATGAATATTTTCCTGAAAAAGATGCAAACGACTTGAAAAAGCATTATTCAGGTTTTTCATACGTTACAAATAGAGGTTTAAAAATTATTGGATTAAATTCAAATGCTTATTATACAGATAATTTATGGGCGTATCTTGATCAAACCACAAATCCAGATTTATTCGGTCAGTGGAAATTCTTAGTTGATGAATTAGTTGAAAGTGAAAGTAAAGGTCAAAGAGTTTGGATTATGGCACATATTCCAAGTAATAATTTTGATGTTTTACCAATTCAATCTCACATTTTTGCAAAAATTGTTAAAAGATTTTCACCTTATACTATAGCAAAGTATGTATTAGACAACTTTTCCAGAAGTTACTAACATTTAGCCTTTTTTATGGACATACTCATAGAGATCAATTTTCAATTTTGTATTCAACAAATGCAACAACTGCAACTGAAGAAGACATCATTAATATGTCATGGGTTGCGCAATCTGTAACTCCATATACAAATTTCAATCCATCATTTAGATGGTACGAAGTTGAAAATGAAAGTTTCAACATTATCAATGCTTACAATTATTATACTCAATTAAATGAAACTTTTACAAATAATGGTGAAGAGCCTGTTTGGGGACTTGAATATTCCGCAAGGGATGCATATGATCCAAATCATGAATGGCCACAAGACGCTCCATTGAATGGTACTTTTTGGCATAGATATGTTGCTAAACAATTATGGAATACCACAGATATCGCGTTTAATCAAAAATTTATGAATTATAAATATAGATTAAGTCCATTAACTCCAAATTGTACGGATCAGAAATACCATGATTTATCATATACTTGTTACAATGATAATAACTGCTTTTTATACTTCCTTGCAGATGATAATATGAATTGTCAAAAATAAATAAATATGTATTTATCCTATTTAATTGCTAAAAACTTAACCATTGAATGTAGGATCTCTTGAAGGTATATATACTTGAGTTTGAGTTTGATTGAATCCACCTCTAAATCCTCTGCCTCTTCCTCTAAATCCCCTACCTCTTGACCTAAAACCACCTCTAAAACCTCTAAACCCACCTCTATCATTAATTTCTTGACTAGCTTGACCACCATGTTTACCTCTTCCAAACTGTCGTCCTTCTCGGAACCCTGGATCCAAATCAATACTTAGTTGTTGACTATCAAGAATTGTTGATTGTAAAAATTTCATAGCATTTAAAGATTCTTGTTCATATTTATAAATAACAAAGCAAAATCCGCATGGTGTTAGTTTATTTCTGTCAAGGCCCATAATTATCTTGTCTATTGCACCGCATTTTGAAAATAGTTCATGTATCTGTTCTTCAGTTGTAAAGTGAGATAAATTACCAACATAAATTGTTTTTGAATTCATTGCTCTTTCCAATTCTCCATGATTATTTCTAGCTTTCCTTATGAGGTATGGTGATGGTTTATCCAATCTTTCTGCAGAATTCTTGAAATTTTCAAACATAATTTTGATGGAAATTTTATTTCTTTTTTTTGTTGATAATGCAATGTTTACCAGTTTTCTAAAATCTGGTATAAGATCCGTGTACAATGTTCTGGAAAATCCCTCTTTTGCTGCTGAACCATGGGTTATATATCCTGCTAAGCATAAAACCACTGGTAAATTAGCTTCGGTGTTTATTTTTGACAAAACAAAATTTGAAAATCAAGTGAAAAGATTATGTTCAATGTCTTCATCAAATACAAGAAATCCAAAAGTTTTAATAAGTGAATGCTATGAATTAATAAAGTTTGAAATTAATCAATTGAGTAAGCTAAAACATCCACAAATCTTAACAGTTTTAGAAGTTTTGGAAGAAACTAAAACAAAGTTTATTTTCGCAACTGAATCAGTTGGTGATAATTTATCAACTATAAATGATTTGGATTCTTTGACTATTCAAAAAGGTTTGTTACAAATTATAAAAGGATTACAGTTTTTACATAGTAATGGAATAATTCATATGAATTTGAACCCATCGGCCATTTTTTTAAATCAACAAGGTGATTGGAAACTAGCAGGATTTAAATTTTTGCAGAATTTGAATGAATTATCATCACAAGATAGAGAAAACTTTTATATTATGAACAATTCAATAATCCAATTTACAAATTTGAATTTGAGTTTTACCGCACCAGAATTGATTGTTGATTCCAGAACGAACTTAAATTTTGCAAATGATGTTTGGTCATTAGCAATGGTCATCTATTTTATATATAATAAAAAACCATTAATTGAAGCGGAAAGTATTTCGGAATATAAAGAGAAGTTTAAAGTTTTTGAGAGAAATTTTTATCAAAAGAGTGGAAATTTGCAATTGATAAGTATACCACAAAACTTGATAAATGTGTTACCAAGATGTTTGGCAAGATATCCTGGTGATAGAATGAATCTTGGTCAATTTTTGGATACTGATTACTTTAATGGGAAACTAATAAAAGCTATGTGTTTTATTGATGAATTTTCTACAAAGCAAGTGGATGAGAAATTAACATTTTTAGAAGGCTTATCAATACCCGATGGTAAGAATAACACTATCTTAAAACAATTACCATCTTCATTAATTATCAACAAATTAATCCCAACGTTAATTGAACTTATACTTCATGAATTAAACGTCGATGAAGATAATAATTTAATACCACAATCATTATTGATAATTTTAAAAAGTTGTGAGTCAATTTCTCAACTTACATTTCAAGATAAAGTTTTTACAATATTGTTTGATAATAAAAAGACATCAAAAAAGTTATTTAATTCATCAATCAAATCTAGAATTATTATCACAGAAAATCTTCATATCATACAACATAAAACAAATGACAAACAATTTATTACCTTTATTAAAAACATAATAAATTTCATATTTATTAAAGATGATTCGTCAGATGATCAAATAAAACTACAAGAAACATTTTTACGATACACACCTAAGTTCATCGAGAAAATTGATTTTCCATATTTGAAAAATAACATTTTTCCACTTCTATGTGAAAATTTTAAAACAACAACTATTTTATCGACGAAAATTGCTTTGATAGAGACCTTTGAATCTTTTGTTGACTTAAATGTAATTGATAATATTATTATTACCGACCAATTATTCGTGATTATGAAGAATTTGAAAAGTAGAGATGAGAGAATCGTTGGGAAAGTGTTACAATTTTATAATAAGCTTGTTAAAAATCAACATATTAATTTGGATATTGATGTATGTGTCGAAAATATCCTATTCCAATGTTTAAGTTTAACTTTTAGTTGCAATTGTGATAAAAATGAATTTAACAAGTTTATGAAAATTAATAGTGGTATTCAAAAGTTATTGGTTGAGAAAAAACTAGCCAGTTTAAGTGTAGCTACAACAGGAAACGACTTTGAATCTTTAATTCAGAATCAAAAGACCGCTGGACCAGATATACTGGAACAAATTCCAAAATTAAAAAATCATGATATAATTTTACAACCAAGAAAACCAAGTAATAAAACTTCAAGTATGAAAAATGTAAACTTTCCACCAGGTTATAATTCGAATATTGTTTTGTCACCTAAACATAATGTAAATAGCTTTAGCGATAGTTTAATATAAATCGAATCATAATGGTTGCAAAATGATCTGACAATACGCGAGTACCTGCATAACATCTTAAGAATCCGAATCGAGAATGGTTGCATGGGATCTTACATAATCATGCAGGAAAAAAAAAATATACGATTAAACGACGGGTTGAAAAATCATCTCACAATTCTAAACGATCGGATTTACCAAGGCAAACTAAAAATCAAAACAAGGATATATTTATATCTTTCAATTATTCTAATTTATCATCAAGAACCAAAATGGATATTGTTCTAGAAATATCAGATTATTATTTCTTTGATAAATTATATGCTACATTATTACCAAAAAATGGAATAGTTGCAAAATTTTTTGAAAATCAACAAATACCAAATTTGAAACCACCAATAATTAATTCCGTAAATGGAACTAATTACTCCAACTTAAACTTTGCAAACTTATCAACTTATTTATTTGATAAACTTGGTCAATATCAAAATAAATCTGAAATTTATGGTTCACCACATCTTTTACCAGCTGGAAATTATATAAATGAATCATTTTTATCAAGATCAAATTTATTTAGGGAATTTTTATCAATTTTAACGGTTACAACTATATTTGGTTGGTTATTATATTTTTCAGTTGCTTATTTATCATATGTTTTTGTATTTGATAAAAGGATTTTTAATCATCCAAGATATTTAAAAAATCAAATGGCCTTAGAAATTGAAAGAGCAACTACAGCAATACCTATTATGGTTTTATTAACTAATCCTTTTTTTTTATTAGAATTGAAAGGATTTTCCAAATTATATTTACAAATTAACGAATCAACTGGTGGATGGAAAGCTATATTTTTAGAAATACCAAAATTTATATTATTTACAGATTGTGGAATTTATTTTATTCATAGATTTTTACATTATCCACCAGTTTACAAAAGACTTCATAAACCTCATCATAAATGGATAGTTTGTACTCCATTTGCTTCTCATGCTTTTCATCCAGTTGATGGTTGGTTACAAAGTATTCCATATCATTTATATGGATTATTTTTCCCTTTAAACAAAATATCATATTTAATTTTATTTACAGCTGTTAATTTTTGGACTGTTATGATTCATGATGGAAATTATATGTCAAATGATCCAGTAGTGAATGGAACAGCATGTCATACTATTCATCATTTATATTTCAACTATAATTATGGTCAATTTACGACATTATGGGACAGACTTGGCAGATCTTATAGAAGACCTGATGATTCTTTATTTGTTAAAGATTCAACAATTGAAGATGAAAAGAAAATGTGGAAAAAGCAAACTAATGAAATGGAGGAAATTAGAAATGAATTGGAAGGTAAATCCGATGACAGGGAATATATTGAAGAGTTTAATTAATATACATTGTTTTTTTATTATAACATCAATTTTCTCTACTTTCATCAAAGTTTTGATAAATAAGCTTTATTATAGCGCTACCGGTTCCAAGAAATTTTGCAATCAAGTTTAAAGAGGTGAGCTTGTGAGCTTATCTGCTTATCAATTGAAAATGTACATAAAGAGGTGAGCTTGTGAGCTTATCTGCTTATCAATTGAAAATGTATATAAAGAGGTTGTTTGTCAGTTTTTACTATACAACTCTACATGTCAGAGAAATATACCCCATTATCACAAGGTGTTGGTTATGCTTTTGTTGTTGGTTTTGGATTAGGAGTTGCTGCATTGATGATGATTATTACCTTGACTTTGAAAAGATATCAAAAAGAAATTCAAACTTCAGAAGAATTCTCAACTGCTGGTAGAAAAGTTAAAACTGGTTTAGTATCTGCTGCTGTTGTTTCAAGTTGGACATGGGCTGCTACTTTATTGACTTCAACTGCTCAAGTTTATAGGAATGGAGTTTCAGGAATATTTTATGCATTTGGTGCTACTGTTCAAATTATATTATTCAATGTTATAGCTATTCGAGCTCGTCAAAGAGCTCCAAATGCTCATACATACTTGGAGATTATTAAAGCTAGATATGGTACAATTACTCATTTTGTTTATATATTTTATGGATTAGTTACAAATGTATTAGTGACTGCAATGTTACTTGCTGGTGGATCAGCTACTGTTCAAGATTTAACTGGTATGCATCCAGTAGCTGCTTGTTTATTAATTCCCTTAGGAGTTGTTTTATTTACCAATTTTGGTGGTTTGAAAGCTACTATGATTACAGATTATGTTCATACGGTGCTCTTAGTTGTTATTATATTGATTTTTGGCTTTACAGCTTTTGCTACATCTTCAAAATTAGGATCACCTGGAGCTGTTTGGGATTTGGTAACCAACTTGGCCGCAACACGCCCTGTGGAAGGGAATTCGCACGGATCTTATTTGACGATGAAGTCGAGATCGGGCGGAATCTTTTTTGTGTAAGTTTTCTAAAAATTGATTTTTATCAAATATTTTCAACAACAAAGTACTAACCACTTCCTAAGATGCAACTTGGTAGGTAATTTCGGAACAGTCTTCCTTGATAACGGATATTTTAATAAATCTTTCTCTGCAAAGGCTGCATGTCTAGGAGGAAATAAATTACATGGCTGGGGATATATTAAAGGTGGACTTGCTTGGTTAAGCATTCCAGCCTTATGTTCCTTGGTGATGGGAATGAGTGCATTAGCTTTAGAAAATACGGAATATTGGCCATTAGGAAGACCAATGACTGCTGATGAAGTTGCAAAAGGATTAGTTTTACCAAATGCTGCAACTGCTTTGATGGGTACTGGGGGTAGTATATTAGCTTTATTGATTATATTTCTGGCTGTTACAAGTGCTTTAAGTTCCGAATTGATTGCAGTTTCGACTATTATGACTTATGATATTTATAGAACATACATAAATCCAAATGCCCTGGGAAAAAGGTTAATTTTTATTTCACATACTACTGTTATCGCATTTGCTTACTTGATGGCCGGGTTTTCAATCATTCTATATTATACTGGAGTAGCAATGGGTTATCTTTATTTTTTTATGGGGATTATTATAAGTGGTGCTGTTCTAACTTCCACTTTGACTGTATTATCTTCACGTCAAAATTGGGCTGCAGCAACATTTACACCTCCAATTGCAACAGTTTTAGCAATTATGTCATGGTTAGTATGCACGAAAGTCAAGTTCGGTAGTATTACTTATGAAAATACATTTATGGATGATTCAATGTTAACTGGTAATTGTGTTGCTTTACTTTCTCCAATTGTTTTTACAATTGTATTTACATTGATTTTCAAACCACAAAATTTTGATTGGAAAATATTGAATGAAAAAATTACAAGAGTTGATGAAGAAGAAGAATTAATGAATGCTTTAAGTTATTCAAATGAGGATGAGAGTAGACTTGCTCCAGTTAAATCTCAAGTTTCAGTCATTTCAAGAAATATTATAGATGAAAAGGGTTTAAATATTACCGATGAACAATTAACATTAGGAAAATCTTTCAAAACTTGTGTGATTGTATGTATTGTTTTAACGCTATGTTTACTAGTTTTGATCCCTATGCCGATGTATGCCACCGGATATATATTTTCAAGACAGTTCTTTACAGGTTGGATAACGGTATTTTTTATATGGATGTTTTATACGGCCTTTCAAGTTGCAATTTGGCCAATTTGGGAAAGTAGGATTGGAAATTTTGAGATAGCTAGAGGTATATATTGGGATTTGACTGGTCAAGGTTATAAGTTAAAACAATGGCAACAACAACATCCAGAAAAATTGCATGTTGTTCAATCACAAATTCATGCACAATTATCAAATCAGATACAAGTTTATGATGGGAAATCTATTGGAGATTTTGAAGCTCCTGTTTTAAGGTCTGATCTTTCACAAAAAAAAGTCTGAGCTGAGATGATTCAAATTGATTGACAATACTAGCTGGTGAATTCTGACATAATAATATTCCCAACAGATTCTAAGGAGATTTAGAATAGAGAAGATCTTAACTAACAATTCATATACTTTTTATACTTATCTAGACATTTACGAATAGCCCTCACTTCTTCATCTTTAATAATTTCGGGATTGATTTGACATGAGCTAAAACTCTACCACTAACTTTAGCACTTGATGGAAATTTCAAATCTCTTATATTATAAATTTCACAATTATTAATTTGAATATTTTTCAAGTAGACGGGAAAATACTTCTTTATTTTCAAAATAAACCTTATCCAACTGAAAGCATTCTAATTTCCTCGGCAAACAAATTCATGATTGATTAAATTACACCATCGGCAAATAAAACTATTTTTTTCAAATTTGAGGAAGACTTGATCTCAAACCCCAAGACTGATGCTTTTTGCCATTAAGACATTTGCTTATTAATTGAGGTCCTGCCCTGTTCTCGGTAACCTGTAAATTTGGGAATAAACCTTTTTTAATGAAATCAGTTGGGAAAACAACATCATGATATATTAAAGTTTCGACCTTTTACATTTGTCAGAAAACTTATAAACCGAATTGAATAATTCCCCTTTTGAAAAAATTAATTTCTTGACTGATTTTGGGAATTTTCTCCTTATTAGTTGATGTAATTCTTTAAATTTCTAAATTTTTCAATTGTGGCATTTTCGATAAAACTTGATTCAAACTTTAATATCGGTGTTTCTTAGAGTAAAACTTTTAACTTGAATAACATGTTCCATTTTTATATCAGATATTGAAGTTCTAACCGATAAATTTTCAATATTTGATGGTAAGTTTCGTAAAATTGACATTGGAGAGGTTTCAATCTCAAATCCACTATATTTGTATATCTCTCCAACTGCGAAATATATATGTTTTTGTTATCTAGAGATTCAATCATCCTATATAATTTTACTTTTGAGTTTTTTCAACACTGACATAAACTGGAACTTTTTTGATCATTAAAATAACAAATTCGGAATTAATCTTATATCTAACAACTAGTTCAATTAAATCTTGAATACAATCAAATGAAGTTACGCTGGATAAGTTGTATTATTCAATAAATGATTGTTCGCCAACGGGTTATAATTTTTTTTCATTATAAAGTTTATACAAGGTCGATTTAAAACAGGATCATTAATTAATGCTTTAGCAACAATTGTACCTGAGTATTCAATAATCAAAGTAGTAACATTTAAAGGGCATTGGACTAATCTTTCAATTAATTGAATGGCTGACATGGTCAAATATAATAGAACTAAAAATCTCGTAATTGAAAAAACATTATCGATAAAAATCGCGCTTACAAATAAATTACTTGGCGTAAAAGAAAAAACTCAAACCAACAAATTTCAGATGTATAAACCATTATTCTGTAACTGAAGCATTTGGTGAAATAACAGGATTAATATCAACCTAAATCTAAATCTCAAACAAAAAGAAAAAAAAGTAAAAATACATGCAATTCCAAGATTTTTGGTAATTTTGTGATCGTGTTCATACCAACTCTGAAACATTATTATGAGAATTTATATATCTCTTTCTAGTAGAGTGAAAGTAACTACCAACAAATAATAGATTTCTAACAGACTAGATTTGGTACTGAAGCAGATAAATTTCTTTGAAAACATTAGGACTTTTTGGGTTTTATTTGATTGTTTCGAAATTTATTCCGAACAATTGCAAAATATAGTTTAATTACGCAAAACCAAAAAATACTTAAATCAAGATTGTTTCCATTACAATATTCTATATAGGAAGATATATATTGCTTTCGTTGTATAACTCGAAAGTTAATCTCGTTAATAGATTAGTCAAATATTGTATCACACCACGTATAAGTCTTGCGATAAAGCGTTTCAATTTAGGTCTGATTAAGATCGCATCTCTTATCTTGAGATTGTGCAAAGATAACTTCAAAGATAAGGTGCCTAGATTGCATCTCTTCACATTTTCAATGTGATTCAGTTCATTTAACTATCCGTTTCGTCAAATTCACTCTAAAAATTTCGGGCCTTTATTGGTTCAGAGCCCTGTTTTTTTAATACAACAAAATCTGATTCGACTTTGATAAGGCGCACCAAAAAAGATTTAGCCACCTGAATCAGCAAGATACCTTACTCTAAGGCAGGTTTTCCAGTTAGGGTTCAAAATTTATTAGATACAGTTATATATTCTCACAATTATGAATTCTTATCTTATCTAAAATCTCGTGTACGTAAATTAATCATTTGTGCTGCAAAATTATTCAATTCAACATGTTGAAAAAGATAACAAACAATAGTTCATAATGTTTATAAAGTGATGAAAATTTCCACAAATTCAATTATAAACATTAGACAATATTTTTGAGAGATGACTGACTTTGTTCCATTACCTCAAGGTGCTGGATATGCAATTGTTGTTGGTTTAGGTGCTGTATTTGCAATTGGAATGGTTGTAACAACTTTTGCTTTAAAAAGATATCAAAAAGAAATTCAAACATCAGAAGAATTTGCAAACGCTGGTCGTAGTGTAAAATCTGGTTTAATATCTGCTGCTGTTGTTTCAAGTTGGACATGGTCTGCTACTTTATTGACTTCAACTGCTCAAGTTTATAAAAATGGTATAGCTGGATCTGTATTTTATGCATTTGGAGCTACTGTTCAAATTATATTATTCAGTGTTGTAGCTATTCGAGCTCGTCAAAGAGCTCCAAATGCTCATACATACTTGGAAATTGTTAAAGCAAGATATGGTACAACTACTCATTTTGTTTATATATTTTTTGGATTAGTTACAAATATATTAGTGACTGCAATGTTACTTGCTGGTGGATCAGCTGCTGTTCAAGATTTAACTGGAATGCATCCTGTTGCTGCTTGTTTACTTTTACCTTTGGGGGTTGTGATTTATACATTATTCGGTGGTATAAAAGCTACTTTTTTAACTGATTATGTTCATACAGTGATCTTAGTTGTTATTATAATGATTTTTGGCTTTACAGCTTTTGTTACATCTTCAAAATTAGGATCGCCTGGAGCTGTTTGGGATTTGGTAACCAAGTTGGCCGCAACACGCCCAGTGGACGGGAATTCGCACGGATCTTATTTAACGATGAAGTCAAAATCGGGCGGAATCTTTTTTGTGTAAGTTTTCTAAAAATTGATTTTTATCAAATATTTTCAACAACAAGTACTAACTACTTCTTAAGATGCAACTTGGTAGGCAATTTTGGAACAGTCTTCCTTGATAATGGATATTTTAATAAATCTTTCTCTGCAAAGGCAGATTGTCTAGGAGGAAATAAATTACATGGTTGGGGATATATTAAAGGTGGACTTGCATGGCTTCCAGTGCCTTGTTTTACATCTTTGGTTATGGGATTGAGTGCTTTGGCCTTAGAAAATACAGAATATTGGCCATTAGGAAGACCAATGACTGCTGATGAAGTTTCAAGTGGATTAGTCTTACCAAATGCTGCAAGTGCTTTATTAGGAAAAGGAGGTGCAGTTTTAGCTTTACTTATGGTATTTATGGCAGTAACAAGTGCAATGAGTGCTGAATTAATTGCTGTTTCAACGATTGGAACTTATGATATTTATAGAACTTACATTAATCCAAATGCCCTGGGGAAAAAATTGATTGTAGTTTCACATACAACAGTTGTGTTATTTGCTTATATATTAGCTGGTTTTGCAATTGGATTACATTATGCTAATGTTTCAATGGGTTATTTATATGAAATGATGGGTGTTATAATTGGTGGTGCTGTTTTACCATCAACATTAACTGTTTTATCTTCACGTCAAAATTGGGCTGCAGCTACATTTACACCGCCAATTGCTACAGGGTTAGCAATAATGTCATGGCTAGTTTGCACTAAGTCTGAAGCCGGTAGTGTTACATATTTGAATACGTTTTTGGATAATCCAATGGTAACTGGTAATTGTGTTGCTTTACTTGCTCCAATTGTTTTTACAATTTTATTTACATTGATTTTCAAGCCACAAAATTTTGATTGGAAAATATTGAATGAAAAAATTACAAGAGTTGATGAAGAAGAAGAAATTGATAAGGCATTGAATTTAAATACTTCAAATGATGATGATGAAAAAATGAGTCCAATCAAGTCTACATTTTCAGTTATTGCAAGTCAAGTAATTGATCAAGATAGTAATGAAAGAATTCAATATACAAATGAACAAATATTATTACAGAATGCATTCAAAGTATGTTCAATAGTTTGTGTTACATTGACTATATGTTTAATTGTTTTATTCCCAATGCCAATGTATGGTACTGGTTATGTATTTTCAAAGAAGTTCTTTACAGGTTGGGTAGCTGTATTCTTCATTTGGTTATGGTATACAGCTTATCAAGTTATAGTAGCTCCAATAATTGAAAGTAGAGAAGGTATTTATACTACAGCAAGAGGCATTTATTGGGATTTGACAGGTCAAAGTTATAAATTAAGACAATGGCAAGAAGAACATCCTGAAAAATTACATGTCATTCAATCGCAAATTCAAGCACAATTATCTAATCAAATTCATGTTGTTGATGGAAAAATTGTTGGAAATGATGGTTATACAACTCCAACTAATATAGATGAAGCTTTAGATGAGAAGAAGTAGTTTGTAGTAGTTTAATAAACAAATATTTGAGCTAATATAGTAGTTTAATAAACAAATATTTGAGCTAATATAGATGAAGCTTTAGATGAGAAGAAGTAATTTGTAGTAGTTTAATAAACAAATATTTGCAACCGATCGAATTTTGCAGCTATTTTCCTTCTACAATAAATATTCTATGACATAATCACATTTGCATTAACGATTAATTTACGGCATTTTAAACTTAATCTAATCTATCGATAAAAGGGCTACAAATATCAAAATCCTAGTAAAAGAGGTTTATAACTCTTATCTCTCGATAATCATCAACCAATCAGATCCATCTTTGATAAGATTATCAATTACATAAGTTCCTTCGGTTTATTACATATTCAATCAAAATTATTTGCGCGTGATAGGCAGGGTAAAATTTGACATAGGCCCAATTTTTATAAAAATTTCTTGACGTAGCACGTCTAAATTTCTTCTCCTTCCATTTTGGGCGTAATCTGATCTTATCGTAAAAAAGTTAATTATGGTTTAAAGTGAAAAATTGACCATTCGCTTAACGGCGATTTCATAATTGAATCTTTTAAATAAACGATTGATTTCTTGAATTTTTTAAATCAACATAAGAAGATGTCTTATACTGGGTGGACAGTTGATGATTGGAAAAAATTTCATTATGAATCAACACCAAATGAATCATTTGAATTATTAAAAAAGTTATTAGAATCACAAAAAACATATAAACAAGATGCTGCTTGGATATCATTAGCATCAATTGATAATTTACAACATCAATGGAAATTTCTTCAATCAAAATCAAATAAGCAAAATTTACCATTATATGGAGTACCTATCGCTATCAAAGATAATATAGACGTCAAAGGTTTTGAAACTACAGCTGCATGTCCATCATTTGCATACTTACCAGAAAAAGATGCAACTACAGTAAAATTATTAAGAGATTCGGGTGCGATAATAATTGGTAAAACAAATTTAGATCAATTTGCCACGGGATTAGTTGGTACAAGATCTCCTTATGGAATAACACCAAATACTTTTAATTCAAAATATGTCGGTGGTGGTTCATCTGCTGGTTCAGCTTCAGTAGTTGCTAGAGGTATTGTTCCCATTGCATTAGGAACAGATACTGCAGGTTCAGGTAGAGTTCCAGCTGCTTTAAATAATATTATAGGGTTAAAACCAACAAAGGGAGTATTTTCATGTTCAGGAGTTGTTCCAGCTTGTAAATCATTAGATTGCGTTTCAATATTTGCATTAAATTTAAATGATGCTCAATTAACATTTAGTATAATGGCAGGTGAAGATTTAGATGATGAATATTCAAGATCAATGCCACAAAATCCATTATTAAAATTTTCAACAAAACCAAAAGTTTTACTGCCTACAAGTCTAATATGGTGTGGTGAAGAAGAAAATCCAAAATTATATAATCAAGCAATTGAAATTTTTAAACTGATTGATTGTGAGGTAATCTCACAAGGTATTGATCCTTTAATTGAATTAGCAAAATGTTTATATGAAGGGCCTTGGGTAACTGAAAGATACGCCGCCCTTAAAGATTTTCTTGCAACTAATCCACCTAAAGAAGATTTAGATTCCACAGTATTGAAAATTATTAAAGGTGGTGAAAATTATTCAGCTGTTGATTGTTTTAAATTTGAATATAAAAGACAAGGTATACTACAAAAAGTTAAAAAATTGTTAAAAGATATAGATGTTATTATTGTTCCTACTGCACCATTAACTCCAACAATCGAACAAGTTGAAAATGAACCAATAAAAGTTAATTCATGTCAAGGTACTTATACAAATTTTGTAAATTTAGCTGATATGTCAGCTTTAGCCATCCCTGCTGGTTTCAGAAAGGATGGTTTACCATTTGGTATTACTTTATTATCCCATAAATTTAATGATTATGCATTATTAGAATTAGCAGATCGATATTTGAAAAATTATTTTGAAAAAATTCCAAATTTTTATGGGTGTTTGAAAAATGAGCCAAAAATTTATAATCGATTAATTACTCCATCTTTGGATTCATCAGAACAAATTAAATTAGCAGTTGTTGGTGCTCATTTAAAAGGATTTCAATTACATTGGCAATTGGAAAAAGTAAATGCAAAATTTATACAATCAACAACAACATCAAAGAACTACAAATTATATGCATTGCCCAAAACTGGTCCAATTGCAAAACCTGGTTTACGTAGAGTTGAAAAAGATGGAGCTGAAATTATAATTGAAATTTATTCAATCCCAAAGGAAAAATTTGGAACATTTATCAATTTTGTACCTGAACCTTTGGGTATTGGATCTGTCGAATTAAAATCTGGTGAATGGGTTAAATCATTTATATGTGAAGAATTTGGGTATAAATTACCAGGTACTGTAGATATAACTAAATTTGGTGGTTGGAAAAATTATCAAAATCAACCAGCTAAAAAACCATTTAATTCAGTGTTAGTTGCAAATAGAGGTGAAATTGCAGTAAGAATTATAAAAACTTTAAAGAAATTGGGTATCAAATCAATAGCTATATATTCAGATCCTGATAAGTATGCACAACATTCAATGATGGCCGATGTTTCAATTCCATTACATGGTACAACTGCAGCTCAAACATATATAGACATTGATAAAGTTATTAAAGCTGCCGAAGAAAGTGGAGCAGAAGCGATAATTCCAGGTTATGGTTTCCTTTCTGAAAATGCTGATTTTGCTGATAGATGTGAGAAAAAAGGTATTGTATTTGTTGGGCCTTCAGGTGATTCAATCAGAAAGTTGGGTTTAAAACATTCAGCAAGAGAAATTGCTGAAAAAGCTGGTGTTCCTTTAGTTCCAGGTTCTAGATTAATTAAAGATTCGAAAGAAGCTAAAGAAGTTGCACGAAAATTGGAATATCCAATTATGGTTAAATCAACAGCTGGTGGAGGAGGTATTGGTTTACAAAAAGTAGATTCTGAAGAAGATATAGAACGTGTTTTTCAAACTGTTCAACATCAAGGTAAATCATATTTTGGGGATGATGGTGTATTTTTAGAAAGATTCGTTGAAAATGCAAGACATGTTGAAATTCAAATGTTGGGTGATGGTTTTGGTGGTGCTATTGCAGTTGGTGAAAGAGATTGTTCATTACAACGTAGAAATCAAAAAATTATTGAGGAAACTCCAGCACCAAATCTACCTGAATCTACTAGACAAAAGATGAGAAAAGCTGCTGAATCTTTAGGTTCAACTATGAAGTATAAATGTGCTGGTACTGTTGAATATATTTATGATCCAAAAAGAGATGAATTTTATTTTCTTGAAGTTAATGCAAGATTACAAGTTGAACATCCAATAACTGAAATGGTCACAGGTTTAGATTTAGTTGAATGGATGTTATTAATAGCCGCTAATACACCACCAGATTTTAATCAAGAAATTAAAGTAACCGGAGCATCAATGGAAGCAAGATTATATGCTGAAAATCCAGTCAAAGGTTTTATGCCTTCACCAGGTCAATTAACACAAGTTGAATTTCCAAAATGGGCTAGAATAGATACTTGGGTTGAAAAAGGTACAACTGTTTCTGCAGAATATGATCCTACATTGGCAAAAATTATAGTTCATGGTAAAGATAGAAAAGATGCGTTAAATAAATTACGTCAAGCATTGAGTGAAACTGTTGTTTTTGGATGTATCACAAATGTTGATTATTTAAGATCAATTGCAAATTCGAAAATGTTTGAAGAAGCAAAAGTTGCCACTAAAGTTTTAGATTCTTATGATTATAAACCACATGCAATTGAAATCTTGAATCCTGGTGCATATACAACTGTTCAAGATTATCCAGGTAGAAAAGGTTATTGGAATATTGGTGTTCCACCATCTGGTTGTATGGATCAATATGCTTTTAGATTAGCTAATAGAATTGTTGGTAATGATGAAAAATCTCCAGGTATTGAAATTACATTAAATGGACCAAAAATTTTATTTCATCAAAATTGTGTAGTTGCTATAACTGGTGGTCAAACCAAAATTGAAATTAATAATGAATTGAAATCACAATGGGAACCATTAAATATAAAATCTGGTGATGTTTTAACAATTGGAAAATTAACAAGTGGTTGTAGAGCATATTTAGCAATTAGAGGAGGAATCGATGTTGTTGAATATCTTGGATCAAGATCAACATTTGCTTTAGGTAATTTAGGTGGTTATAATGGTAGAGTATTAAAATTAGGTGACGTTTTATTTTTAGGTCAGCCTGTTTCAAGTTGTACATTACCAACACCAATATCTGAACCAACAAATATACCCAAATCAATTATACCAAATTATGATACTAAAATATGGCAAGTTGGAGTTACATGTGGACCACATGGATCACCAGATTTTTTCAAACCTGAATCAGTTCAAGAATTTTTCACATCTCATTGGAAAGTACATTATAATTCAAATAGATTTGGTGTTAGATTAATAGGTCCAAAACCAAAATGGGCGAGAAAAGATGGTGGTGAAGCTGGTTTACATCCTTCAAATACTCATGATTATGTTTATTCAATGGGTGCTGTTAATTTTACTGGGGATGAACCTGTAATATTAACATGTGATGGTCCTTCATTAGGTGGATTTGTTTGTGAAGCAGTTGTTTGTGAAAGTGAATTATGGAAAATTGGTCAAGTAAAACCTGGTGATTCAATACAATTTATCCCAATTACTTTTGAATCAGCAAAGAAACTAAAAAAGCAACAAAATGAAATAATAAACAATTTACATGGAGATTTACCAGTTTTAAATGCAAGTGATATACAAAATCCAGTACTTTATCAGTTTCAAGTATCTTCCAATGCACCAAGAATTACTTATAGACAAGCTGGTGATAGATATATATTAGTTGAATATGGTGAAAATATTCTTGATTTAAATAAAGCTTATCGTATTCATAAATTAGTAGAAATGGTTAAAGAATTTAAACCAAAAGGTATATTTGAATTATCACCTGGTGTTAGATCAGTATTGGTTGAGTTTACAGATGAAATATTACAACAGGAAGCTTTAGATATTTTAGTTTCATATGAAAAGGAAATGATGTTCATAAATAAATGGGAAGTCAAATCACGAATTATAAAATTACCAATGGCATTTGAAGATAAAAAGACACTAGATGCAGTTGAAAGATATCAAGAAACAATTAGAAATGAAGCTCCATGGCTACCAAATAATGTTGATTTTATTGCATCAATAAATGGAATAACAAGAGATGATGTGAAAGATATGTTATATACTGCTAGATTTTTAGTTTTAGGTTTAGGTGATGTATTTTTAGGAGCTCCTTGTGCAGTTCCATTAGACCCAAGACATAGATTTTTAGGTACTAAATATAATCCAAGTAGAACTTATACACCAAATGGTACTGTTGGTATTGGTGGTAATTATATGTGTATATATACAATGGAATCTCCAGGTGGTTATCAATTAGTAGGTAGAACATTACCTATATGGGATAAATTAACATTGAGTAAACATTCCAATAAACCATGGTTATTATCACCATTTGATCAAATTGAATTTTATCCAGTTTCAGAATCAGAAATTGATTCAATGTCAGAAGAAATGCAAGCTGGTAAATTTGATGTTGAAATTATTGATTCAGTTTTCGATCATGGTAAATATCTTGAATGGGTTCAAGAAAATTCAGAATCAATTGAACAATTTAAACAATCTCAAGGTGGTGAAAAATTGGAAGAATTTAATAAATTGATACAAGTTTCAAATTCAGAATTAGAGAAAAATGGTTCTACTAAAGAAGATGATACTAAATTTAATGAAGATGCAATTATGGTATATTCTGAATTTTCAGGTAGATTTTGGAAATCATTAGTTGAAGTTGGTGATATAGTTGAAAAAAATCATCCATTGATAGTTGTTGAAGCAATGAAAACAGAAATGGTTGTGAATGCACAAGAAAAGGGTAAAGTGGTTAAAGTATATCATAAAAATAGTGATATGATAGATGCTGGTGATTTAGTTGTAGTATTAGAATAAATAAACAGAATTTTTCAATTTTTCGCGTCTTAAAAAAATAATAAATCGCCATGGCAGAAAGTTCAAATCAAATTACGGCAGCATCATTACAGCCTGAACTATGGACAAGTTCGTCTAATGAAGCATTGAAATTGTTTGTTACTAATCAAGAACAAGCAATAAATTTCAAACCAACTTTTACCTATCCAATTTTTGGAGATTCTGAAACAATATATGGATATAAAGACTTATCAATATTTTTATGTTTTGATCATTTTACATTTAAACCATTTTTGAATGTAAAGTATAGTGATAAATTAAATGATCCAGAGATTGGGGATTTGAAAAAAATTATTGATGAATTCTTACCTGAACTGACGATTTTCAAAGATGAAGTAAAATGGATTGATTCAATAAAAGAAGAAAAAGAAAATGGTTATAAAATACCTGGTGATAAAATATCAGAATTTAATCAAAATGATAAAACTTATTCAATTTATAAAATAAATTTAAAGGATGTTATTGGACTAGAATTACATAAAAGATTACAAATACTTGTATTATTATTCATTGAAGCAGGTTCTTATATTGATAGTTCTGATGAGTCATGGAATTTATATGTAATTTATGAATCAACAGAGGAACCATCAATAGTTGGATTTACTACATGTTATAATTATTGGAAATATCCAGGTTTTGAAAAATTTGATAAAGATGAAAATGAAATTAGAATTAAAATCTCGCAATTTATAATATTACCAATGTTTCAAAATTTAGGATTAGGTCAAAGATTCTATACTGAATTATATCAATATTGGTATAAACAAAATGATATAGTTGAAATTGTTGTTGAAGATCCAAGTGAAGAATTTGATGATATGAGAGATAAAGCAGATTTGAAAATGTTAAACGATAATGTAAAATTTGATTTTAATAAGGTTGAACCAAATATAACTAAAGAAAATATTGAAAAATGGAGAAAAGAATTAAAACTTGAAAAAAGACAATTTTCAAGATTAATTGAATTAATAATGTTATATAAATTACAAAATCAAATTGATGATATAAATAAAAAGGATTATAGATTATTTGTTAAGAAAAGATTATATGATAAGAATAAAGAAGGATTATTGACAATGGATGATGCAACAAGAAGAGATAAATTAGAAACAACATACCGTGATGTAACAGAAGATTATAGTAGGTTATTAAGTCAAGTTAAATTGAATTTGAAGCATACCTTAAATGATGAAGGAGTTAAGGTATTGAAGAAGCAAAAAGTTTAGTATAGATTATGAATTGATTCAACCCGTAAATTTTCGTGTCTATTAATTCAAAAAATTCGAAAAATTCCTATAATAATCCGTCGTAAAATTAAAGTTTATCCGAAGATTTACAACTTTCATGAATTTGAAAAGAGAATCTAAAGCATGTCATAAAATTTGTTTTTTCTACTAATCATTCACCACCACAAGCCAATGAACAATGTCAAATTTGAATCATTCAATAACCAAGAGACGACTCATGACGTCAGAAGAAGTGAATAATTTGGTTTTGTGTCGTGGAATGTCGTATTAAATGCATGGAACAAGATTTGATAAATAATAAATTGCTGACATTATAATAAAAGAAATTGAATTTAAACAAAAATTTGACGTATGCAAATTAAATAAATAATTAGACAACATCCAAAGTTAGACAACAAGTGGTGGGAATCGAACTGAAAACTAATAAATCAACTAATAAATCAAATAATAAATCAACTAATAAATTAACTAACAAATTAACTAACAAATTAACTAATAAATTAACTAATAAATGAACCATTGCAAGAATTGAATAAATTTATATAGCAATTGTATACTAAATCCCAAATAGGAAATATTCTACTAAATTAAGATAAAAAATAAACAAAAGAAATAATATGCGAACGCAATTTTAGAATTGCATTTATAATTACATAAAAAAAAATTGGTTGCATGGTATTGAAATGCAACGAGCTAATGCCATTGTGGTATCAATTCATTTAATTGATCGTCGTTTCATTGGTGGTCCCCGGGGTATTAATTTTTTATCCCTTAGTTAAGTTTGCTATTTTATTATTTTTTAGTCACTCTTATAATTTTTAACTTTTATTAATTTAGTAGTTTTAAACTTTCAACAATATAATCAAATTTCATCTTTAATATTTATTGAAGCCATTTCTTTAATAATTTTTTCTTTTTTTTCTATATTTCTTCGTTCTTTCTTTCTTTCTTTCTTTGTTATATCACATTTGTTAGAAACTAAAGATGCATAGAACTTATTCATTAAGATCTTCAAAAGCACCTACTGCTTCGCAATTGCAATCACCACCCCCACCTCCATCATCAACCAAAAATAGATTTTTTGGTTCGGGTGGTTTATCATCATCAATTAGAAAAGCGGCTGCTGGTGCAACAGGACCAGAATTGAGTAGAAAATTAACTCAATTTATTAAAATGGAAAAAAATTTTATGAGAGCTGTTGAAGTTACTTCGAGAGAAAGAAAAGATATTGCTAAACAATTATCAGCTTGGGGTGAAGGTAATGATGATGATGTTTCAGATGTTACTGATAAATTGGGAGTTTTAATTTATGAAATTGGTGAATTAGAAGATCAATATATTGATAAATATGATCAATATAGAATTACTTTAAAATCGATTAGAGATATTGAAGGTTCAGTTCAACCATCAAGAGACAGAAAACAAAAGATTACTGATGAAATTGCTCATTTAAAATATAAAGATCCACAATCCCCAAAAATTCCTGTTTTAGAACAAGAATTAGTTAGAGCTGAAGCTGAATCATTAGTTGCTGAAGCTCAATTATCGAATATTACAAGAGAACAATTAAAAGCTGCTTTTAATTATCAATTTGATGCAACAAGAGAATTGGCTGAAAAATATGCTTTAATTGCTGGTTATGGTAAAGCTTTATTGGAATTATTAGATGATTCAGCTGTTACTCCAGGTGAAACAAGACCAGCTTATGATGGTTATGAAGCTTCAAAACAAATTATTATTGATGCTGAAAATGCTTTAGCTTCATGGACTTTGGATTCAGCTGCTGTTAAACCAACTTTATCATTACATCATGAATATGATGAAGAAGAAGAAGAAGAACAACCAGAAATTGATGAAGCTGCTCAACAAGAATTTGCAAAACATGATGAAACCAATCCAGGTATTTAAATTTGATTTGTTGCATTTTAATTGTATGTCTTAATTTTAATTTAATTCTTTATTAATTTTGTTATCTTTATATTGTAATATATATAAGAAAAGTATTGAGTGTTGTTATAGGAAGTTTGCCTATACAATCTTTTCGCAACCAAATTTTAAGCACAGTGGCTAAATTAATTGCTGCAAAATTTTAAACTAAAACTCTTACCTAATTAGTACTACAAGATGGTCTCTGCTTTCTAACTTGTGGTATTGTCACTTGAGTATTATACAACTTGATAAATGATCCTCAATTAATGAACGGTAACTATTAATCTTCTGTAGAAAAAAAAAAAAATTAAAACAATTTCTACCTTAGGGGGCTATTATTAATGGCCAATCAAGTACAAAATATGCTTAAGGGGTACACATTTGAATATAATTATGTATATATTAATTTTCATTTATTAATCTAATTCTTATATCTTGGGGTTTAACCAATTTATAATCTTCCTGATTTAAAACTTCAATTTCAATTAAATCAGTACTGGCCAAAGCCAAAACACTAGAAAATGAATTAATAGCAACACGTTTCCCAACAGGCAACTTATCATCATCATCAATATAATCATCAACTTGAACAAATGGAACCAATTCACTAAATAAAATTTCTTTATTAGTTTGACATCTCTTGATTAAATATTTTAAAAATTTATTCAATTTCGTATTTAATGAATCATCAATAATGGACCCAGTATAACTTTCTTCTTCTTCAACAAATTCTTCAATTATTTCATTTTGAATTTCATCATCTTCTGGATATGGAATATCTATATCAAATACATCATTTCGAAATTCTAAATCTGGAGATATTTCCCTTCTTGTTTCTTCAATTACATTAGTTTGAACATTTTCATTTCTTTGAAAAACATCGATATTTCTAACATCACGAACTAATGAATTTTGTAAGATTGAATGATATGTTGTTGTATTTAAACTTGTTGAATTTAATGTACTATTGTTATTAGTTGTGATTCTTTGAATGTATTGTACTAATGGAATTGTAGATTGATAGACACCGGAATAAACTGGTTCATGATATTGTGCTCGTTGAATTTGATTTTGTAACATTCTTGATTCATAATTATCATTAATTAAATCAAAAGCATAAGTGCTTAAATCTATTTCAGTATCGATTATTAATCTGTTATTTCTTAACCTGGGAGCTGAAACTTCTGAATTAACATCATTTTGTTGTTGTTCGGTTGTTTGTTCAGTAGTTAATGCAAAATTAGCATCATTTGAAATAGTTCCTTGATCTTGACCAATTTGTTCTTCTTGTTGAATTTCTTGAGCATTATTTTCTTCAATCTCATCTAATAAATCAATTGGATTAAAATTTATTTCAATATCCATATTTTGGTCTTGATTAAAATCTAAGTCAAAATCAGGTGGTACAACATGATCATCCTCATCATTATTATTTTCAATTATAAAATCTTGTAAATCAACATCTTCAACTAGATCAATTTTAGTAGCTTGTGAATTAATTATAAATGGTTGTCTTGTTTCAACATTAACATTAATATTTTGAATCGTAAAATTTGGAAAAATATTTAAATCAAATTGTTTAATAGCTAATTTTCTACGTTTAACACATTCAGGTTGATCAATCACTGACATGTCTTGATTTATATCAAAATTGGGATCATCAATTAATAAGACTCTTTTTAAAGTAGGTTTAATTTCATTATTGATTATAATTTGATTATAATTATGTTTCAACCTCATTTGAATAAAATTTAAATCATTCATGAAATAATTAATCTTTGAATTATATATAATTGATATACCGTGCATTATATTACTTAACCATCTAATATCTCTACTTTCAGTCTGTTTTAATATTGATTCACATAATTTAGGTATTGATATAGATAATAAATTATCTTTTCTCATCATTCTATTTCTAATTGTTGATTTTGATCCTAATGTAGATAATAACCATGCTAATTGTAAGTTTGACGATTGTAAATCATTTGATTCAATTGATATTTCCATAATTTATGATGTGTAATGAAATTGGTTGCAAGTTTTTATCAATAATAAATGAATTATTTTTTTTAGCCCCAGGCGCGCGCATTTTATACGATTTTGTGCCACTAATGAAATCTGAAACAAAAAGCTTAAACAGATTAGATTACCAGCTTATTATTTTCAACACCTACATTTGACATCAATGATTAACATTATACATAGACTCACCAATTAAGCACCTTATTGATTTGAAACACCTACATTAATTTCCTTAACAATGTATATATTTCATGTCATTTTATACTCTAAATTTTTAATCTTTTCATAAATTAAAACAATCCATTTAACACTCATTTCAAAATTTTCATCATCAATAGCCTTATATAAATTTCCAAATGTAGATTTCAAAAATCGATCCTTGAAAAACTCTTCATTATTTTTTAAATCTGGAGTATTGAAAATTATTGAATCATAAAATAATTCATTACCAGTTGTACTACTTCCATCTTCATTTAAATTTAAATATATATAATCTTTATCATTTAATTTTAAATCTTTTTCGAAATGTAATAATTTATAATTTGATACTTTAAATTGTGCAAAATGTTGTAATTTCTTGTAATATAAATACCATGGATAATCCTTAATTAAACCATTTTCTACATTAATATTCCAATCATCGAAAATTTTAGATTGATAAGTAGTCTCATTTAAAAAATTAGATAATTGTTGGACAATTTGATCAAATTTGACTGGTTCATTAGTATCCAAATCCTGAAAAATTGAAGATTTATAAATTAAATAATTTGGAATTGTATTATTTGACCAACTAGATAAATTGTCTCCTTCACATGTTAGAAAATCTTTGTAGTATTGTTCTGCTTGTTTAAAATATGGTTCTGTTTTATAATCTACAACTTCATGTTCACTCAATGAAATAACTAATAATCCAAGATATCTAATTAATGTTGCATGTAAATCTAATTCATCATCGATCCCAGGTTGTTTCAATAACCAATTATAATTATAATAATTTGAATTAGGCAAGTATATTGAATTATCTCTCTTTTGATCATTTGAAAATTTAACATTTATAATTGGAGTATTTAAATGATGTTGGAATACTAATGAATCAGTACTAAATAATAATGGTAATCCTAAATTATTTTCAATTGTTAAATTATCTTGTTTATTCCAGTATTGAAATAATGTAAATGAATCATTTTTAAACGGAATGAACTTGGTTGTTTTTTTTAACACATGATTAAATATTGAATTGGCAGTAATTTGAAAATGAGAACCAATAATTGCATCTTGATCAATATTTATATATGATAAAATTGGTTTTTTAAAATTGGAAGATATATTAGAATACATTTTCAAACCTAAAGAGTCCATATTTGAACCATCCCAAGATACAAATTTAATATTCCTTAATGGTTTCCATCCAAGTTTTACTAACAAATTAAAACTTCGAATTATTTCAAGCATAATGACATGTCCCGATAATGGATTATTATTCGTATATGAATCTCGATTCGTCCCAACTATAATATCTCCATCGTTCATTATACCCTTTATAGTACCTATTATATTTGTTAATTTACTTGAATCATTTTTAAAAATTGTAGTTATTTCAAGTTTAAAATTCGAATTTGTACGTGGATGAAATGACCAATTCTCAAATTCTTCATCATTTCTTAATGTTTCAAGTATTGGTTTTATAATTTTTTCACTAACTGGAATAGCAGGTATTGAAATATTAAAATTATTGAAATCTCTACTTATTACAGAATTTAAATTTGTATCTTGATTTAAATTAGAATTGAGTTGATAATATGTAAGAATTCCACTAGCACCATTTAATTCAGCCAATTTTAATTTTTCACCAATTGTTATATTATTTTTATTATCTAAATCATTTGAAATAATAAATATTTTATCCTTAATTTCGATATTTTTCTTCTTGAGTAGGTTGTAATCTTTTGGTAACCCTTCATTAACATAAACATACTCATTTATCACACTACCATTATGGCCATTTAAAAAATATGAAGGAGTTTTAAAATTATTTTCAAATAATTTGGGTTGATATACTGTTTCATCTTTATTCAACAATTTTAAACTTGAGCTAATTGGTTTTGAATCATGTATGGAATAAGTTGTAGTCTCAGTTTTCAAACCCATTTTTTTGAAATTTGATTGTATATAATTTGTCAATTTTAAGTTATCACTGGCTACTAAATTATATTCATTTTGTAAATCAGTTAAATTTAATAAAAATGAATTAATCAGATCTTTAATATTTACTTCCTTCTTCTTCTTCTTCTTCTTGCCACGCTTGTTATTATTTTTATTATTATCATTATCATTATCATTATCACTATCATAAACAGAAGTTAATTGCAAAAAATCTCTCTCTACATCTGATTTAGTTAGATGTATATCATGCCATCTTCTATAATCTCTAGCTAATGAAGTTCTAGGTAAAAAAGTTAAGTTAAAAATTATAATCGCAATTATTCCCAAACATGAAATCCAAATAAAACTGGGTCGTTTTGCTAAATTTACAATTTTAGTAGATATACTCATTGAATCATAATTATCTTCAGTATAATTGGTTGATGTAGTAGAAGGAATTCGTCTTAATAATGACGTAGATTCTGTACTTGTAGTGGTATTATTTGGTTGTGAAGTTGCGGGTGGGGTCACTAATTGTTGTTGAGGTTTAAACTGTTGAATTTCTGAAGCATTTTCTGATTGTACAAGTGGCGTCGATACATTAGACGGTATATTTATATCCTCCTGTTGATCATTAGTTGATCCATGATTATTACTTTGATTTGAAGTACCCGAAATGTCACCACTCATCTGTTGAAAATAAAATTTAGAGTTAAATTAAATGTTAATTATATCAATTAGCAAAAGGTGTCCCCAATTAATGCTATAATATATGATGCTATTATTAATAAATAATGAAACGATAAATTGGTTGTAAATATGAATAAATATATAAGAAAAGTAAACCAGGAACAAAACCGGTTAAATAGAAATATATTTAATTACACAAAACAAATTAAACGATCAATTTTTTAGCCAGGACACGAACAAAATTGCAAAACCGGTTTTCAAGTGAAGAGCATTCGATAAAGAGATATTAGAAATAATGTTTGTATAATAAACGTTTTTGAATATGGCCGCAAGTTTGCGGCCTAGATTGATCAATTGAAAATAAATCAAATTGTTCGTTTATTCTAAAATTTCGGTTGTCTATTATTCATATTTCCCACGTTTTCAATTATATCAATCTATATTCATTCCTTCACATTATTATACATGACATAATTAGTTTTCTTCTTTGACAATATTAATTAAAGCTGCAAGAAGATAATAATTATTTATTTATTTATTTATTCATTTATTCTTGTTCTATACTTGTTCTATACTTGTTCTTTTCTTTCATTTTCTTCCACTATTCCTCGTATTAAATCAATATCAAATAAATTAGAACCCAGTTGTAATAATTTAGCTAATGTAAATAACAGTTTATCATTAAAATCTGGTTTTTTTCTTAATAAATCTAAATCTTCATTAAATTCATTTGACATTAGTTTTAAAAATTGATTATTTTTAATTTTCATTTCATTATCTAATATATTATTAATCTCATCAAGATTATTTAAATTTTTCAACTGATTGAGGTTAGTAAGTTGTGATATTGAAGTAGTTGTAAATGATAGTTTGTTTAATTTCTTCTTTTCATCAATTGTTAAATTACTAGGTATTTTATTTGAATTAATTTGTTTTTGATCTTTCAATTCTATATCTGAATCAATATCCATATCGTCTATATTTATATTACTATCATTTGTAGGCTGTTGTTCTTGTTGTTCTTGTTGTTCTTGTTCTTCATTATCTGATGCTTCTGATGAGGATGAACCTGAGGATTCGGAAGATGACGAAAAATCCTCTGTTCTTCTCTTTTTTCTTCTCCTATTACTTGGTTTCTTATTCTGTATATTTGTTGGAGCCATTATATATAATTAATTGATTGTTGCAACAATTTTTTAATTTGATTAAGAGATGAGTGTATAAAAATAAATTTCGCATCAACAGAAAAAATATATTTGTTACATAATTTAATGGTGTTTATTACATAAAAGCCGCCTAAGATTTCAATTATAATTGATAAATTTCTTAGACAGTTTTAATTTAATTTTAATCTAAATTAGTTAACCAGTCTTGTGAGTGTAATTGGTTGATGTTTTATATTTTGAGGTGCAAGTATAGAAAACATTTCAATACTTTTTATCACTTAAAATATACGATCAAATAATTTAGTTTTAGATCTTTTTTTTTTTTTTTTTTTTTTTGGTTGTATATTTGGACCCCCTTCAGATCTGCTAATTTATCATTCAAATTCAAAAACATACAACTGATTATAGAACAGTAGGGACCGAATATTTTATAGACCACCACGTTTTGAGTTTAGTATTATTTAGTAAACAAAATGCTCAATTAGGAAATTGAATCGTTCGTTTCTCTTTCTCTCGCTCAATATTATTATTTAATAAAATGATGACTATTTATTATATATCATCTCATTCACTACACTAGTTGTTATTATTAGTGTCATTTAACAGTGGTAGAGTTCTACTTTTAAAACTAAAGTACCGTATATCTTATAAATAAGATCCCATAACATCCGCTGCATTTTACACCCAGATTTTTAACAGAAATTGTAAGAAAAAACTAATTTGGTTACACAAAATTTGTTCCATACAAAAATTTTCAAAAAAAGCCAATCCGTAAATTTATCCATAAATTTATATGAATTAAATTCGTTCACCATCACTCCTTTTGCTGCTTAATTAGTCAACAAATGTAATCAACCTTGTTAGTCATATTCAATTCTAGCAAGCTTATCATATTTCATAATAATCAACATCATCAATTAAGACAATTTAATTGAACCACAATAAATGGTCCAAACTAATCCATAATTTTACAATTATATCGGTCATCACCATGTACACAACATTAGAATACATTTGTACGATCATCTCAACAATTAATTTAATCACTGCTTTAATAATTTATTTAGTGGAAAATTCAAAAGGAGTTTCGATAGAACTGGGTAAAAATTTTAAACAATTTAAAATTTGTATTTTGATGTCAATTTTATTTGGTATTATATCAATGTGTTTATTAATTAAAAATATAAACAAATTATAATTTATAAATCTGAATGAAATTCTTTAATTATTGAATCAACATCATCAATATTTAATTGCCTAACATCTCCTATTTTTTTAATTTTATTTGTAACTTCTTTACATTGTTCATCAGTTAAATGTAAATTTAATTGATCAACCCTTGATTTAATTGCATTCCATCCTGTTAATCTATTTGCAAAATGTATATATCTTGTTAAACCAAAATCTGAAGGACTTAAAATTTCATAAGTTGATGGATTTGCTAATATTGCCTTTGCATGTATACCTGCTTTATGAGTAAATGCACAAAATCCAGTAATTGGATTATTAAATGGTATATTTACTTGTACTGCTTCAGCAACTAAATTTTCAATGTCTCTAATTTTATGAACTTTATATTTTGATAAAACATAATCTCTATCTGCTGCAATCATTCTTGCCATTAATCCACCTAATGGAGTAATCCCATTTCTTTCACCAATACCTAAAACTGAAGCATCAATTAATTTTGCTCCTGCTTCTAATGCAGTATATGCATTTGCAATTGCACAACCAGTATCATTATGGAAATGACATTCAATATCACAATTAACAACTGAATTTAAAGTTCTAACTAATTCATAAACTTGTCTTGGATTTGCGCATCCAACAGTATCTGCAATACCAACTCTATTAACACCAATTTTATCAACTGTTCTATAAATATTTAATAAATCAACTAAATCAGATCTAAATGAATCTTCTGAACTAAATCTAATTTCTATTCCTTTTGATTTAACAAAGTTTATAACTTCAATTGCATTTTGCGCAATATAATTCATATCTTTACCATGAGAATATTTTCTCAAAAATTGTGATGTACCAATAACAACATCAACGCCATCAACACCAGTTTCAACTGCAACTTTAGCATCATCCATATGACATCTAATATGAGTTAATATTTTAGCTTTTAAACCTAATTTACAAATAGCTTCACAATCTTTTCTTGATTGTTCACTGGCAACAGGACTCGTTAATTCTATATAATCAACACCAAAATCATCTAAAGCTTTTGCAATTTGAATTTTAGTTTCAGTTGAAAAAAAAGCGTTGGCAAATTGTTCACCTTCTCTTAATGTAGATTCAATTAATTGAAAATTACTAACATTACTTAAAAAATCAGCAGGATTTGGACCATAAGGATTAGTTTTAATTTGATTGTGTTGGATATTTTCTGTTATTGGTTTATAATCAGCTGGTTTGTGATTTATCTCTTTAAATGTATTTGAATCACAAGATGAGCACATTATCACTTGTAATTATTGATTAGATTGTAGTTAGAAATCATTGGTTTTTAATCTGATGAGTAGGGCTACCAATTGATTGAGCCATTTTAACTGCGGCTTTGAAACTCAATGCTATGAATAAATCAATTTAGTTTCGACATAGCTACTTTGATAAATTTATATGTAGTTTTTAAACATACTTCTTTCATTAGTCAGTTTATCTGCAACAGCCAACTTGCGAATTAGCGTATAACCATCAAATTGCTTTTACTGAATACTCTAACCTTGCAATATATGTTTCACTGTAACAAGCTAAGCAGTAGCTGTTAATTTAACTACTGTTAATTTATTGATAAAAAGAATTGACTACATCAGTTGTTTTATATTCAATTTGAGGGAAAATTTGCCGATCAGATATATGGTAACCCCATCTGGATTATGGCCGGAAAACACAATAGATGAAAAAAATATAAGTATGCCAATTCAAGTCATAATTATTCATTATTTTCAATTAAATTGATCATTAATTTCACATTCTCATTATGATACTGCTGATGTTTACTCAAAGGGTAAATCAGAAGAAATTCAAGGTAAATTATCAAGAAATACAATATCCCAAGGGAAAGAATTGTTATTCTTACAAAATTATATTTCCCAATGGGTACTCAAAATACAGATTTTAATACAAGAAATATTGATTCAAGTAATGAGTTAGATTATGTTAATTATAGAGGATCATCAAGAAAACATATTTTAGATGCTGTTGAAGCTTCAACTAAAAGATTAGATACATTTGTTGATGTTTTACAAATTCTTAAATTAGATAAATCGGTACCAGAAGTAGAGTATTGTCGCACCAAATCATCGCATTAAAAATACGTACTAAAAAAAGTAATTCTGAAACTAAGAACTTTTATATGCAGTCTCGTCATAGCTAATCTCAAAACTTCCTCTGTGAATTAGTCCCTCAATTCTTGATCTATAGCTCTCATACTATTTTCATCAAAATTTCAACTGGAATTTAATAGAATGATGCTAAACCCTCTCTCGATGAAGCATATTTTTGACTGCTTTATTCCTTATCCAAAAATTGGAAAAGTTCTTTAAATTGCGAGATAAACAATACTTAGACTTCGTTAAGCAACTTCTAAGATGGAAAATTGGGTTTATTTGGCTCATAAAACCCCGAATTAATGGTTTCAAGATGTTTGAAATTTTTTCAAAAATTTCATTTCACTTTCGAAAAATTGTTTTTCCAATTTTGATTTACCTTAACACAAAAATATTTAAGGTATATCTTTAGAGTGAACTAATTTTTTGGCTGGTTTTACTACTATACGTTCTGAATTGTGAGTATGGAGTTGTATTTTTTTGTAAGGTCAATTTATTAGAATTTACTCATGGTTGAGAGAAAATTACGAAATTTTTCAGTTTCTGTTTGAACCATTTTTAATTATGATCAGTATGTTTGTTTGATGTATAGTAAACATATTCCGATGTTCAGTTATAAGTTATAGCCTTAAAAAACGAATACGATAAATTCTTAGTTTTCTCGAAATTTTTGTATGGTGAAAAAAGGCAAAATAACAACTTAAAAAAAAAACATCCAAAATTTAGAAAGTAAAGTATTTAGGATATACACTTCGAGGATCTTGATCATATATAAATGGAATTTATCTCGAGAAACCGCTTTGTTCATGACTTATGAATCTATACATTTAGTACCAGTCGTCCCACAGCTAATGCGAGAAATTATTAAGTCGTCCGATATATTTCGCATCGAAAAATACATACTTTCTACCCTCGTATATCGCGTTTGCTTTAAAGCGATATCGTACTAACTATTCAATTTGCCGCATTCATCTAGAACCACCTGCAAGCCATCAATCAAGTAACAACAAATTCTACGCGATAATCATAAACATGAAAGCCAATGAATCAAATCTCACAAGGTCCAGAGACTAATGACGTATCTTTGAAACCGTTAGACAAGCTCTAATGTCTTCAAAATTAACGAAAACTATTTTGGTATAGGCACTATCATTTGATAAAGTCACGTGAATTTGGACGGATTAAAAAAAAGTGATTGCATCTGTTTATAAGACCTTTATGAATTGGTAGATCTTGATGGATTGGGTCAAACAATATATGGCACCTTTGTCTATAACTTAGTGTTTAAAGAGTTATGGACTGTTTTAGTTTTCAGGGTCAGAATTTTTTTACGCAAATGAAAAATTTCAATTTTTGACAACTTTTCTTTTGTACAAACATGAATCAAATCAACAGAAACAAACATATCATCAAAATTAGGTGGTCGTCATTAAAGTAATGTAAATGGAGGTATTAACGTAAAAGAACTAATTAACCCTCTTTTCAAGAGCTTGAAACAAACAAGTAAAACATGTTTATTGCAATTTTCATATTTGATTATATGATTGGAGAATAATGTAATTAATCAATTTACATTGAGTAAAATTCTATCAATTGTTCATTGGTAATTACTAATACAAACATTGACAATTTCGAACAGAAATCTAATTTTGTAATCTTCAAAATACCTAAACTTTATACCTATCACAATCTCTTACAATATCTATATACAATATTAAAAAAATTTCAATTAAAATACACATACAAACTGAGATATACGCCTTAATATTGTGTGTATTTTTGTTACGGAACATACGATATGTATGTAATTGTTCTATAAATTGAAATTAACTTAATGCATAAATGATACGGCACGACCAGATAATTTCTCGCACTAGCTTTGGGGCGACACGTACTAAGCTTATTGGTTTATGTGTCATGAACAAACAGTTTTTCGCAATAAAAACCACTTATATCAAATCAAGAGCCTTCAATTGTACATGCTAAATATTTCAAACATTTTTTTTGAAAATTGTCATTTTGGCCATTTTTCATCATACAAAATTTTTTCAAAAAGTAAGAATCAATGTATCTATTAAGCTAGGGCCACAACCTTCAATAAAATTACGGATAATATATACTATAGCTCAAATAAATGTTCTGGTCTCAAATTTGTTTAACTTAAACAAAAATTGAGAAATTTCAAAATTTTCCCTAAAGTATGGGGAAACTCGAATAGATTGACCTTACGAGAAATCCACCTCCACAATCAAGATCGTGAAGTGAATATAATAAAAGTAGTAGAAATTTTAGTCTCCGATTCTGATAGATTTTAGTTTTTCTTGTGTTAAGGGTTCAAAATTGAAAAGTAATTTGTCAAGAGTGAAACGAAATTTTTGAAAAATATTGAAAACGAATGTAGCGAGTTAAAACAACGATACAATAATTCGGAGATTAATCAGATTAACAATATTAGAAGTTGATAAATGGGGCCTAAGAGCTTTTTATCTTGCAACTCACGTTTTTTGCCATTTTTCAAAAGAAGGATAAATAGATCAAAACTGTATTTCTTTAAATAAAAATAAGTTCACCTTAAACTAGAGTTTTTGGACAATCAAATCAATTAAGTTTGAGCATAAAAGCTTGAATATCGAGGGGGTTATTTACAAATCAAATTTTAAGCTTAACTAACATAGGACTGCATACAATTTTTTTGATTATGTTATAAAGTATGTACAATTTTCTGAAACGTTTATATTCAATAAAATTATCACAGTACTCATTATAATGTTTGTAGAGATCTCAGTTGATAATTCTATTCTATACTAAATCAACGGATAAGTCATGGTAAAACGTTGTTGAGCAAAAACAACCTAAAAATATCATCAAATTACCGAAAAGATCAGACTTTATTAACAAAATTAAATGCTGCCGCGTTGGAATTATCGAATTCGAGCTGAGCCAATTTTTCGCATTTGAATGATACCATAAACAATACAAAGTGAGTAAACATTGAGCGTGTAGTGCTGATTTTGAGTTGCCCAAAACTACTGGTTTCTTAAAAATTTTTTTATTGCGTGTTCTTGGTATACTTTTAGTTGTGTCAGATCTCAGATCTTTAAATCTGCAACGATCTCAGATCTAGATCGCGCTTTTTCAGATGTTATTCTTTGCGTTTAATTGCTAGCATTGTCTTTGCTTCTTATTGAAAGTTTTGGCAAGTTTCGACCGTATTTAAAACACTAATCAACCTTTGAATTAGCCAATAAAAGCTTGAAAGAAATAATTGGCTTTGCGTTGATAAAAATGCAAAAATATAAGAAATTCTGGTAAATTGAGTATGTACATTTCACATTAAATTATATAAATCATTCTTTTGCCTTACTCTCCGTTTAATAACCTCTCTAAACTTTTTACTGTCTTTAAACTCTTTACAGAACCACCGAATCGAATCCATATCCAATTCTTTATTTTTTTTAAATATATATAACTGAGTAGCAATAGTTAAGTAATGTTTATCCTTTAATTTATTCTCTAATTTTAATTCCTCATATTTCTTTTTCAAACGATCAATCAATTCGAATTTTTCACGTAATTTTAGTTTCCTATTTTGTAAAATTCCCGAAATGAAATAGGAATGATATTTTGAAAGTATAAATTTATCTTCCTGATAAAATTTAATTAATCTCATAGCATTTTTATGATCATCAATTATAAGTTTCATTATTATCCATTTTCTAAAATACCATTTATTAGCCCTTAAATTATCTTTAACACCTTGTATCACTATTAATGCATCTTCTTTTCTTGTTGTGAATATGACAAATTCAATTACTCGATTAATTATCCTCTCCAAGATATGCCGTTTAAAATTTACATCATAGTTGAATTTTTCACTCTGGATATAATCTGATAATATATCTAATATTTTTGCTATATCTTTTGAATCTGCTAATGATATCGATTGACAAAAACAATCAAGTACAAAATTTAATGACCTGTTTAATTGATAACCAGTTGAACCTTTTATTGATTTGGTAATTAGTATATTGAAAATAGGTATAATGACCAATTGATCAAATATTTTGGATTTCAATATTGCAGCTCGAAAGATTTCAAGTATTGTAATTTTATTTAATTCTGAGCCAGCAGATAGTATCAATTGTTGAAAATCTTTCGAGTTTGCAATGTATGCATATGAATGTATGAATTTTCTACATAATTTATGATTTTTATTTGTTGATTTTATGATTTGAATGTATTGTTGAGGTTCTAAAGATGATTCAAATTTATCTAAACATTTTTGAGGTAATTTAATTAAATCTAGATTATATTCAATAGCTAGACTACATAATAAATTTAAGCTTTTCTCATTCAATAAAAGACTGTAGTTGAATAAAATATCAATTGCTTCTGGATTTGGATTTTTCAAAATTCGTCTAGCTATCATATTAATCAATATACTATTTTGACTGGTGGTGAGTTGTAGTATCTTTGATGGATCCACTGAATCTAATACATTTAATGTATCTGTTTCGTCTAAAACTTTTATCGTATCAGTCATTTCAAATTTTGGTCTGGGTGAATATTTACATGTTGATTGATTTGGTAATAAACTTGTCCAACCTGGATAATTTAAAACTTCAGGATACTTTGAAATATAATAAAAAACATCTTCAGGATCTTTATCAATCATTTTCTTAAGGTATATAATCTTGTACTCGATTGTATCATCTTTTAAAGGTGGACTTATACTATATTGTGACCATAATTCAATAATCTCCTCTATTTCAAAATCTGGTTTATATATATATGTAATTGTATTAACTAGTTGTTTAAATTGATGATTATCCTCCAAGGGCATACATAGTATGAAATCCAAAAAATCAAATTTTGAATGTAAAACACCATCAACAGTTTCTATAAATGTATCTAGATCTGAAATAGAAGTATATGATTCCATAAATATTTGCCAGCATGCTTTAAATTGTCTATGATATACCAATCTTTTAATTAATAATTTTTTAATTGTTTCATTTCGATTGACATCATGATAATAAAAGAATAAATATAATTTTGGGTCAATTAAAATTGGATCATACAATAATAAAGTGTAGAGTTTATTTTCATAATCCACTGCTTTGTTTAAATTCAGTTTTAAATTAGGTACTTGAGATATTAAAGTTTGGGTAGTTGAATCATTAAAATCAAATTGATTTGAAATAGTATTTGATATGAAGTTGATAGTTGATTTGACATTTGTATTTATGCAAGTTGTTGTTTGAAATAGTCGTTTTCTTCTATGAATATTGAATATGATCGGTCGTAGTAGTACTAATCTTTTAATCATTCTATTATATCATCTTTATATGATTTTGGATTTTTCAATATTTTTTTTTTTTTTTTCTCGTTAAAATGTTTGCAGCCAAATCGAATTTAAATTCATTGATCAAAACAATGCAATATATCTTGCTAAAGCTTCATAATAATACAATAGCAGATATTAGCACACTTATATCTCTGATTTGAAAAAAAACTCGAGGAAAGAGATTTGAGCATTGATCTTCTCAACGAATTATTATGTATATACTTTTGTACCCTTCAAGCCCCAGCCTATTTAATCTTTTTTTGCAGTAGCAGCTTCTGCCTTTCCTTTTCCTTCAGCTTTTACCCATCTAGCTTCTTTGACTTGTTTTTTTAAGTTTTCAATAACAACTGGATCAGTAATTTCAACACCTCTTTCTTTAATCATTTTAGGTTCGAAAGTGTAGTGATATTTACCATCAATTTCAGGACATGTATAATAGTAGTATACATCTTCAACAATTGCCGCAAAAATTAAATTTTTAGTTATAGAATCAAGTGAATGTTGCTAGTTAAATCATTTTTGTCGATAACAACACAAGTGGTACCATCATAATATGATAATGACATGATTCAATTTAAATAAATTATAAGGATTAATTGAATGGATAAAAAAATAAAGTGATATATAAAAAAATATAATAGATTTTAGAAAAGTCTGAATTCTCGTCTAATTTATATTCTGGCCTCTACCCCCTTAATTTATGAAATTGAAAACAAATGATAAATTAAAAGTAAAATTTATATTCTCAGTTTAATCTTAGTCGTAGATTAAAGTAGGTACAGATTTCATCATAAGTGAAGCTTTGATTGTTGATTGCAGAAATCTGAGTTGGATTTTTAAAATAATTTACTTATACCTTTGATAATTATACATTTTAATAGTAATACTCTTTAGTTTAATTACCTCTATTTGCCTTGAAACTTTAGAATTAGCATCTTAGAATTTTTCAGCACCTAAATCATCACTTCTAGTTTTATATTGAAAATATTCATTCCATTTTGAATCTTTAATTTTAATACCATCTTCAATAAATGATTGTTCATCTAAAGGAAATAAATATCGAAAATTAACTTCACGACATTTATATAAATAATCTTCACCTTTAATTGTTGCAACAACATGATGAGGTAAATCGGCATATTTAATTACTATACCTCCAACATTATGAACCACAGTTTTATCACCAATAAGTTCACCATATTTAACACTTTTTTCTTCAGTATCTGACATTATTAATCTAAATTAAAGTAAATAAATCAAATTGGCTACAAGAAATAAATTTATAGACGCCAAACAAAAAAAAATTAATTAGAAAATTGGTTGGTTTACATCGTGTCAGAAAATATATTTAATTTTTAGTATTAGATTGGCTTTTTATTGATTAGAAAGATTTAAATTCAGAAGTAGAGTTCCATTATATTGATGTTTTAAACTAATAATTAACCTATAAACTAAGTACTAAAACTAATATAAAGTAAACAAGCCATGAAAGGGAAACTCTATGATTCAGCCAGAACAGCACCTCTGCGAGTAATCAAAAAAACTCTTTTCTTTAGCATTGGTGGACCTGGTAATATAAGGAGAATATCAAATTTCATCCTTTCCGAAGTTTTTCGATCATTCACCTTTTCAGCTTTTGCCATCATTAAAGATTCTTCTAATCTGAATTTGAATAAATCTTTTATCTTTATCTGCTTGACCAAAATATCTATATGATTCATTGTTAATAAGTATCATAATTGTGTCACTGGCCATAGTAATAGTTGCAGTTGTTTTTTCGATAATTGTACTTTATTTTTACCTTGATATGATTCACTTTGATATGATGATATTATTAAACTAATAAATAGATAAATATGAGTATTATCAATAACAGTATATGATTCAGAAATTAATTAATGAAAAGAATAGTATTATCAAAATTTAAATTAATTTTAAATTAATTTTTGGTGCATTGTTGTCGTGAAAAGGGTAATGATTTTTCCACCGTCTAATTTCATCTATTGAATTCCAAAATAAAATCATGAAGTTTGAGCCACTTTTCGATTAAATTAAACAACTAGCTGTATTCTATTATTTACAAGCTTAAATTTATTCTATTTTTAACTCTATTTATATTAACAATATACGCTACATACTGTCAACAAAATTAAATAAGTACATCAATATTTACTTCATCTCCTTTGTTTAGATCATTTGATATTCCAACTAATGAAGTAATATCTATTTCATCATCTATCTCTGAATCAATTGATATTACATCTATTGGAGTAAGACAATAATCTTTATCACTTTTCATTAGTCCTCTATCTAATACGCGATCAATTTGTTTCTTGTATTGATTTAAAGTTTCTTCATCAGTTATTTTAACAGAATATGCTTCTAAAAAGCTTTCATTCATTGGGAAATCAAATGTACCTTTCTTATCTGCTTCTTGACAATAATATGTATATGGTTCATTATTAAATTAATAACATAATTGCAGGACTTAAAACTGTAGTCAGTATTAATGCTCTATCTCTTCCAACATTGACCATTCGAATTGAATCACTACCATTTTCAAACGAAGTATGGTTCACATGTCATGATTTAACTAATTAATGAATAAGCATAAAATTCAATTAATGGAAAGGAAAATGTTGCTAGTATTAATTGTTGCAAATTTTAGTTTTAATTTTTACCGTCTAATTTTTTTGCTATTTGTAGATCTTTAAATACCCTTTCCTATTCAGAACCAAATTTTAGTAGATTGTAACGTATTAAGCCAGCTATTTTATAACATTCAATTCTGAAACAAAACAAAAAACACAAATACTTTTTGTTGAATCTAAACTATTAAATCGCAGATTACCCATCGTGCATAAATTTAAAATTTTTAAAACTTGGTCCAGATCTATTAAGATTAAAGCATTACAATCTCATTAGGCATACATCTTTGCGTTTAAAACTATTCAATTTGAATATATTCGTAGTTAAACTATATATTAGGCAGAAAATTAAACAATTAGTACCGTTAACTTTCATTTTCACTATATCTACCAGGTTGAATCAAAATTCTATTACCATCTTCTTTTAAAGCATACACCCTATCTTTCAACATTGGTGGTCCTTCTAAAACATGAACCATGTCATCTTTAAACACATCTAATGTTTCTTGATCAGTGACTTTTTCAGCAGTTGCTTTTAATAAAATATCATCCATCGGGAAATCAAAAAACCCTTGATCAAATTCAGATGGTTCACATTCATAACTACATAATTCATCATTAATTAATAACATAACTGTTTGAATAGGAATGGTAACTACGATAATTGATCTGGAGATTTCTTTTTCTCTAATTGATTTGAATAATTGACTACTGAAATATGGTTTTGATGACATAATAAAACCTCTAACTTATATGAATTAATATAAATTGGCGAAAAGAAAAGTGTTGTCAAAATCAACTAAATTTTCATGGGCGGTTAATTTCAATTTTATAGTCTAAATTAAATTATAGATTACTACCCTATTGATTTCGGTTAGCACGCCAAGCTTAGTTCAACTTTCAATGATAAATCCAAATCTGAAACACAAAGATAAACTTTATATATAATTATAAAGTCCAATGGAAAAAATTGATTCTGCAGATTTCGTGCCTTGCATGAAAAATTCAAAGCTTAAAAATTGGACCCTTAAATTTCTTACTAGAAGTATATCCAATCCAATTTTACATAAAGTTGGCTAGTCAAATCTGAGTCAAGAACATTCACAAATTAGTGATATAAATAGCAGTTTGTTTTACTCTTGGTTCCAAAAAAAGGAGCTCATCGAACATATTGTTACACAAAATAGATCCGGAATGCTAAAAATGCATGCATTAATTAATTAAATCATAAAATATGCAGTTGCAACAACAATTAAACGTTTATTTTTAATTTTAATATAATTATAGGTCTTTAATTACCCACCATTCTCAATCTTTTTCCATTTTCTCTACTCCCTAAAAATTACCCCCTAAGTAATAACTGGTTAGAAATTTATAGTTAATATTTCACTCAAAGAGATTATTTTGATAAATAAATAACTTTATATTCTATATTCTTTCTATTCATCTTCCTCTCTTAATGAAGCCAATTTTGAACCTTTACTTACTGTTCTCCTAGTACTTGGTAAACTCATCTCTTCTTCCTCCTCATCATCATCATCATCACTATCATCCTCATGATGAGCTTTGGTTTTTCTTCTTTGAAAATCTTTAATATGAGCAGTATTTAACGTATCTGTAAATTGTTTAAAAACTGATTTTTTTCTTTGAATTGAAGGTAATGAAGTAGTTGAAGTACGTCTAGTTAGTCCTAAAGTACCTTCTTCATCTTGTATTGAAGTTCTTCTTCCAGTAGTATAAGGTTCTTGATCCACTACTTCTTCAGTAGTTTCCACTTCTGGTAGATTTTCTTCAAATTCTAAATATTTCAATTCTACCAATTGTTTAATTGCTTTTTCTACTTTATTTGAAACAACATAAGGTAACGGAGTATTCTTTGATGCTCGGAATAAAACCACATTAGTACAATGTTCATTCTCCATCCTAAAGAAAATCCAAATAAATCTTCTCACAATTTCTGCAATTGCAATTATGAAACTCGTGATTGCAGATTGTTGAATTTGATGACTGAAGAACGCATAAAAAACCCACTGAAATCGTAATATAACATCAGAAACCATTGCAATGTAATAATATATCGGATTTTTATAAAATAAATTATCTCTTAATAAAAAATTTTTACTTCCAAATTGTAATAATGACCAATCCATTACTATATCCCAGACTGAAGTATAAATTGAATTTATAAATGCAAATATAATAAATGCAATTTTATTCTGAGTATTATTATTAATTCGATAAACACTAAGGGTTATGTAGTATATTGCCGACATGGTATATTTTAACATATTAGCTAAATGAGGAAACCAATCACCAGTATCCATATAACGACGAATACATTGCATAAATCTGAATATACTAGGTAATGTACTGAAAAATCCCATTAATTGAGATCTATTTGATCCACAAGTATTTCGATAACTTGGTTGTCCTGATAATGTACCATCCCAATGATGAGCATATAAACAAAAAAAGAATGAAATATTACCCATTGTATAAGTTAATGAACATATAATATCCCCAAGAAAGAAATCTCTAAATTCAACAGGATAAAAACCAGAAAATACTATTCTCCAAATTGCAATTTGTAACCATTTTCTACTTGATGCATAAAGCTGATTACCTGGCCAAAATACAATTATAATCATTACGGCAAAATAAATCCATGGCCAATCTCGACCTGGGAATTTAGTTGGCCAAAAATTATTTAAACTAAACCAACCAATTAATGATAAAAATGCAAATCCAAAACTTGGTAATAACCAAAATTGTTTATAATTTAAAGCTGTAGCCATATTAAACTCAAATATAAATTTATAATTTATTTTAAATTTTTCAAATACAGCCATATTAATAGCAAATAATAAAAATGCTAAATTTAATAAAAAAAAGCCACCCCAAATTTGTAACAAGAATGTACCTTCAGATATTTCTGAATTTAAAGTTTTATGTAATCCAGTATATAATGCCAATACAAATAATGGTATTCCAAATCCTAATAATATACCTGATGTAAAAAATTCTCCATAATATTCTTGTCTCATTTCTGAAGCATTGACAGCATATGCGATAGTTTTCAATTTCTCTAATGAGTGTTTTCTATCTTTAGTTTCAGGGTCAAAAAAATTTATATATAATTCTTCAACATGAGTTATTATCTTATCAATTAAATCACTAATTAAAAAGTATGAATTTTGATCAATTTTATTTAAAAATTTATCCATTATATGAGTATCCATTGCTTTATCAAATTTTTTGGTAATTTTTCTAAATGCAGTTCTATTTAATATTTTATAAGATTTTAATAATGATAAAGCTCTATAATGTTCTAAAATTGCTGATTTTAATTGTTTTCTAGCATATAAATAAGGAACACCAAAATGTTGTTTTTTAATTGAATAATCTCTACGTTTCTGTTGCCGTATTTGTTCCGGTGTAAAATGTTGTGGTTGATCTGGGATATTTGAATCTATTTCTGAATCAATACTCATTTGTTCATTACTTGATTCTGGTCGAATTGTACTTGAATCATCGGCAGATAATTGAACTAAACCATTTCTAACTCTGTTTTCAGCATAATTTAAATCTGTTTCATCTTGTAATTGTAGTGAAATTTCATCTTCTTTTCTTTTTCTTCTTCTTTTCTGTTTCCATTTTTGTAAGAATCTCATTGATGGTAAACTAGGTAAATCATATCGATTTAATTCAGTGAAAAAGAATTTTGTATGAAATGCGACATCACCAGCTATATTTTTATCACCTTCATTATTATCATGTTTTGATTTTTCAATTATAATTTGTGCTTTTTGATCCTTCATTTGATATAATTGATCTTGAATCAATAAGTACCTTTCATAAACTTCTTGTTCTTTTTCTCGATAAAATTCTTCAACTTTACGTAATTCTTGATCTAACCAAATTTGAAATTTTTTAGACTCCTTGAGGTATTCTTCTTTTTTATTACTACTTGATTTTAAAGAATAATTAAAAATTGAAGGTCTTCTACTTAATCTAACTGGTTCTGTTGGTTCATTATTATCACTTGAATAAGTAGGTTCAGGAATTGATGGTTCTAATAATGGTGTTCTATCATTGTTAGTATTATCGTTACGATATCTTTTCAATTGTTCACCACCATCAAAATCATACTCGTCTTTTAATTTTTTACATTTTTTAATTAATTTTTTACCTTGTTTATAACTTACATATTGATCCTGCCATTCAGGTACTAATCCTTCATTCAAAGCCTCAGCAAACTTCATAAAATATAAACTGTCAAATGATGAACCGGTTAAGCTATTATGCTTTGCGCATAGAAAAGTATTGATAAAAAAAGAAAAACAAAACAAAACAAAAAATTAAATACAGGTGCGGCTTTTACCATTCAATAACAAACAACGTGCTATATTATTACTAGTTATCTATTCAACGTATATATACGCTATTTCTCGTATCTAACATATAAAGCATCTATAAAATGAGGATGTTTAATTCCAGGAGCTTTTGCAGCTTTAAAAGCTTCAATTGCTTCATGAACTTTCCAACCTAAAACTTCGATTAAATAACAGCAGATTAAAAATCCAGTTCTATTAAATCCATAATGACAGTGTACTCCAATTAAAGATTTCTCTATTGAATTATTCGACAATATATCATTTACTAATTGTATAAATCTCCTGATTGCGGTTTGGTCAGGAACAACTTTAGATACAGTTGCACATTTGTAATAAGTAATTTGTTTAAATGATTTTGGTGTATAAGGAGGAATATCAGCAGATATATCAATTATAGCAATTAAATTACCTTTTATATCTGGTATTGTTCCAACATCTCCATAGAATAACAGCTCAACTATATTTGGAGAATGAGTTGGATCACCTTCTCTTAAAGTTTTCATTCCTAATAATGGTGCAATTTCATTCGTTCTTGGATTTATTATATTTGAAGATATGGGTTTTATATTTAACCATTTTAATTCATTTTTCAACCCCCATTTATCTCCTGAAATTTGTGCTTTAATCTTTAATACCCATGCAGGTGATAAATGTAAACGTTCAGGATATTTTGACTCAAAATGATTTAAAATCATGCCACTTATAAATTCAGGTTTACTCAATAATAAAGAATGTCCAACATTTTTAACTTCAATTATTGATGAAACTTTTTTATTAAATTTAGAAGTTAATAAATTATCAATTTTATGTATTCCTTTAATTGGAGTTAAATGATCATTTGTACCACATATTAGTAATGTTTTTTCATATACATGTTTATCTTTTGGATTGTCATTAAGTTTATTTATAGCTTCTATTAATTCTGATATTTTACATTTTTGAAAACCATTCACATATTTTAAGGTAATTATTGATTCAACATCCATATTCCATCTAAATTGACGTAGTTTATTATAAAATGAAGTCTCATTAGATAATTGTCTTTTAACTGAAGCACTAGCTAAACCTTCTAATCTATCCCAAATTCTAAAAGTATTAAATAACCATGGTATGTATGTGAAAATTTTCAACATGGCTACTGTTTTTTGTTGACTAGTGATAATACCTTCTATTGTATCATCAATTATATCAGGTGGTGATAATAATACTAACCCTTCAACTTTATGAGCTGGTAATTTTCTGGCTGTTTTTATTGATAAGATAGTTCCCATTGAATGACCTATAATTACCACTTTTTTATTCTCTGGTATATTTTGTTGTATAAATTCAAAGATTATACTCACTATATTATCAGTTTTGAAATCATCATAAGTCATTTTAGCGACACTTGATGATATTCTCTCTTTATCTGCATTCGATATTTCAGATACAATTTTATAACCTTTCTTGAAATTCAACTTTGAATTTCCAAACCCAGGTAAATCTAATGAAATAATTTCAGAACATTGTGATAATAAGCCCATTAATGGTTCAAATTGTGACATTTGACCCCCTAAACCATGAATAAATACAAGTATGGGTGACTCTTCTAACTCTTTTTTAATATTTAATTGGTCTTCAGTTGATAAATCCGGAGGTAATTCATTTTTCATAAAATTAACTAATGGGTGAGGAATATGTAATGTGTTTAATGTAATTTGATTTCTTGATAACGTGGGTTGGTGAGTCAAATTTATAGTTGTAGTTTTACAATATTTAGCAACTAAGGAACAATCATTTGGTTCATTGTTTAATATAAATTGTTCAAATTCATTCTTATAACCTAGTTGTAATCTTATAAATTGTTTTAGTTTACCAAATATGGTCGATGTATTAAATTCTTGTTGTTTTGATAATTGATGGACTTCATCTATTGTTTCAGATGAGTTTGCTATATGTTCACTTGCGGTACTAGCAGTAACAACTAATAATTCTTGAGTTTCATCATCTGACAGCATTATTATTTATTAGTGATGATATCAAATTGTTGGACAAGATAACGTTGTTTAATTATTGATAATTCGGCCGCACCTTTTTTTTCGTATTCATCATGAAACAGAGATTTACAAAATTGAATTCCAATATAACTTTCGAACCAACAGATTAGTCAACTCGAGTCTAATATTAATAATACTCACTTTTTGACAAAGAATAAGAACATCATAATGATTATTTAGTTCTCAAAAAATTTTCACTCAAAGTGCCAAAATATTTATGACGATTTCTACGTTTTTATCGAGTTTCCTATCTCAAGCAAATTCCACAAATGATACCTGTATATAGCTTCAGTTTACCATTTGCAGCTCATTTTGCAGCCAAACAATAAAATGGTTTGGTTGAAATTTATAAAATCGATTTTGCAACCATGAACAAGACAACTGGTAGCGTCTATAATTGGTAGCGCATGGGAAAAATATATTTGATCTTTCTAATGAATAATTATTCAAACGTACTCAATTCATATATATATACCATTCAACGAATTCAACGAAATATAAATATTAAACATAGATATAATAGTATGTCTAATCATTATTCATATAATGAAATGGACCCATTTGATGATTTAGATGACTCATTAGATAAGGCATTAAATACTGCAACCAAAAATTTATCATCGTATACTAAAAATAATAGATCAAATAGTAATTTAAATTTAAATAATCATCGAAATTCAAGTACTATACAGTTAAATAGTCTAAGAAATAGTATTAATGAAAATCCAGATAATGAACCATTAATTAATTCGTCGCGATATTTATCCCAAAATAGTTCATCACCATCATTAACTTTACCAACTTCATTTTCATCAAGGTTTAAAAAATTTTATAAACAATTTATACGTATTTTCCATAATGCGAAGAAAGGATTAGATCAAGATAGATTAAAACAATTAGGTACTACTGATTTTAGAAGTAATATTACTAGTAACGAACGTTATATTTCCATTAAATCAACAAATCGATCAAAAAATATATATCCACAAAATTCAATATCAAATGCAAAATATAATCCAATTACTTTCATACCCGTAATATTATATGAACAATTTAAGTTCTTTTTCAATTTATATTTCCTAATTGTTGCATTATCTCAAATTATACCACAATTAAGAATTGGATATTTATCATCATATATTGTGCCCTTGGCTTTTGTTTTAATTGTAACTATGATGAAAGAAGCTACTGATGATATTACAAGACGACGTAGAGATAGAGAACAAAATTTTGAATTGTACGAAGTATTAAATCGAAATCAGTCATTAACTAATGAACCAAAATTAATAACTGCTAAAGATTTAAGAGTAGGTGATTTAATTAATTTACATAAAGATAGAAGAATACCTGCTGATTTGATATTATTAAAATCTTCAGAAGATACTGGTGAAATATTTATCAAAACTGATCAATTAGATGGTGAAACTGATTGGAAATTAAGAACGGCTCCAAATATAACACAAAATCAACTGAATATACAAGAAATTATTAATTCAATATCAATAATAGTGGGGAATCCAACAAAATCAATTCATAATTTTGAAGGTCAATTGATTGATAATGATTCTGAAACTTATCCATTAACTGTTGATCAATCATTATGGGCAAATACAGTATTGGCATCTGGTTCAGCTATTGGTATGGTTGTTTATACAGGTATAGAGACTAGACAACTGATGAATACTACAAAAACTGGTGTAAAAACAGGATTATTAGAATTGGAGATCAACAGTTTATCAAAAATATTATGTGCTGTTGTATTAGCATTATCTGTTGTTTTGGTAGTTATTCACATCCCTTTGAAATCAACTTGGTATATTGATATAATGAGATTTCTTATATTATTTTCATCAATTATTCCTGTATCTTTAAGAGTTAATTTAGATTTAGGTAAATCTGTATATGCATCACAAATTCAAAAAGATCAAGCAATTCCAAATACAATAGTCAGAACATCAACAATCCCTGAAGATTTAGGTAGGATTGAATATTTATTAAGTGATAAAACAGGTACATTGACTCAAAATGAAATGGAATTAAAAAAAATTCATTTAGGTGTTGTTAGTTATGCATCTGATACAATTGATATAGTTAGAGAATATGTTTCAAATTTGGTAAAGTATTTAGATAACGGACATCTGCTAAAAAAAGATTCAAGTTCAAAAGTTTGTGAATTAATCTTGACACTAGCTTTATGTCATAATGTTACGCCTACATTTGATGATGGTGAATTAACTTATCAGGCAGCATCACCTGATGAAGTTGCAATTGTTAAATATTGTGAATCAGTAGGATTAAAATTATTAAGTCGAGATCGATTTTCAATTACTTTATATCATGAATCAAGTGCAAAACAATTAAAATTTGATATACTTCATAATTTCCCATTTAGTTCAGAAACTAAAAGAATGGGGATTGTTGTTCAATATATTGATGAAGTTTGGTTTTTGCAAAAAGGTGCCGACAGTGTAATGATTAATATAGTTAATGCAAATGATTGGCTAGAGGAAGAAACTGGAAATTTATCAAGAGAAGGACTAAGAACATTGGTTATTGGTAAGAAAAAAATCACTAATTATGCAGAATTTAAAAAGAAATATGATGAAGCTAGTGTTGCAATGCATGATCGAGATTCACAAATGCAAAAAATAGTAGGTCTATATCTTGAAAAAAATTTAGAATTAATTGGTCTTACTGGTGTTGAAGATAAATTACAAATTGACGTAAAACCTTCAATTGAATTATTAAGAAATGCAGGGATAAAAATTTGGATGTTAACTGGTGATAAAGTTGAAACTGCAAGATGTGTTTCAATAAGTGCTAGATTAGTTTCTAGAGGTCAATATATTCATGAAATTACGAAAACAAATACAGAAATAGCATTAAATCAATTGGAATATTTACAAATTAATCAAAATGCATGTTTATTAATTGATGGAGAATCATTAAATCTTTATATGAAACATTTTTCAAATGAATTTTTTGAAATTGCAATTAAATTACCTGCTGTTATTGCATGTAGATGTTCACCACAACAAAAAGCAGATGTTGCATTAAAAATTAGACAATTGACTGGTAAACGAGTTTGTTGTATTGGTGATGGAGGTAATGATGTTTCAATGATTCAAGCAGCAGATGTAGGGATTGGTATTGTTGGTAAAGAAGGTAAACAAGCTTCATTAGCTGCTGATTTTAGTATTGATCAATTTTATTATTTAACCAAATTATTATTATGGCATGGTAGAAATTCATATAAAAGATCAGCTAAATTAAGTCAATTTATAATTCATAGAGGTTTATTAATTTCAGTAGCTCAAGCTGTTTATTCAATTGCTTCAAAATTTGAACCTTTAGCTTTATATCAAGGTTTTTTAATGGTTGGTTATTCTACAATTTATACAATGGCTCCCGTTTTTTCATTAACTTTGGATTGTGATATTGATGAACATTTAACTAAATTATATCCTGAATTATATAAAGAATTAACATTGGGTAAATCATTAAGTTATAAAACTTTTTTTAAATGGACTTTAATTTCATTATACCAGGGAACGGCAATACAATTAATTTCACAATTTTTTCAAAATAATTATGCGGTGAATAATTTAAATTTTAAAACTATGGTCGCTTTATCATTTTCATGTTTAGTTTATAATGAATTAATCATGGTTGGTATTTCAATTAATAAATGGAATAAAATAATGTCAAGTACTATTATAATTACATTTTTATTATATATTGGATCCATTCCATTTCTTGGTGATTATTTTAATTTAGATTATATTTCATCATTTGGATATATTTGGCAAGTTATAGTTATATTATGTATTACTGCATTACCGGTATGGTTTGCACAATATTTAGATCGAAAATTAAGACCTCCAAATTATGCTAAAGTTCAAACTGATTAAATAGACGAAAATATAGATCTTGAAAAATTGCGCGTCAAAATTTATTTTTCGAAATCTCATCTCATTGAATTAAGTATGAAGTTTTTAGTCTCTGCTGATGATACAGGTGCTGCAAAAGAAGTGGTATGTGTTAGGGGGACAGATACTTCTAAACAAGATGGAATAAAACCTAAATCGATTATAAATTATATTACAGAACCAACTATTGGATTAGATTCAAGAATAATACATTTATTAAATTATAATTTTCAATACGTTATAACTTCAAGATTAGATGGTAATGTATCAATTTTTACAATCCCAGAAGAAGATGAAGAAGAGAATAAGTATGAATTATTGAAAAATTTCAAAATTGACATTGATGAAGAAGATAGACCAATTTCATTACAAAAAATTGAAAAATTGGATAGTATTCTAGTGGCTTATGAAAGTTGTAAAATGTTCATAATCCCACTAATAGATGATAAATTTGAAATAGAACCAATAGAGATTAAATTACCGAAAGATATCAAAAATTTACATGCATTGACTATAAATCCACAATTTGAAAATATTTTAGCCGTGGGTGGACAAGAACAAGATTTAAAAGTGTTAAAATTCTTTGATCATAAACTAAACTCCACAATTTTCAAAAAGAAAGATTATGAATCAAAATTTAATGTTGAAGTTTTATATTCTGCTAAAAATGTTAAAAATGATCATTTGGATATGAGGGTGCCTATTTGGATAACGAATATTTTATTCCTTGAAGGAACTCAAGATCAGTTTAATATTATTACATCTACTAGATATGGACAAATACGTATATATGACACAAAACATGGAAAAAAACCAATTAAAGATTATAAAATTTGTGAAAAGCCAATTTTAAAAATGAAATTTGCAAATGAAGAAAAGACGGAGCTTATACTAACTAATACTCATAATTTAATTGGTAAATATTCACTAAATAAAATAGATGATCATGGATATAAATTACATTCTGCATCTGCTGGAGACATATATATTCCAACACCCAAATTATTAGGAAAATTTACTGGTGGGAATACTGGTGCTACTTTTGGTATACAAGTTTATGAAGATATAATAGCAGTAGGTGGGTTAGATAGATATTTAAGAGTATTTGATTTAGAATCTAGAGAAGTATTGGCTAAAGTTTATCTCGGTGTTGAAATTTCGAGTTTATTAATCTTAGATGAGGAAGATATTGATGAAGAATCAACTAAACGTAAAAGACAAGAAGAAGATGATGAGGAAGAAATTTGGAATCAACTTAAAAAGAATAAATAGACTATATATTATTATCCAGTTTAATATCACGATTTTCTGATCGATTACTTGTATTTATAACACTCATACATTTCCATTCACTTAAATAATTACATTTCCACAATCTTAATTTTCCATCATCACCAGCTGATGAAAGTATAGTCCCTGTCATATTCCAACAAACTCTCCATACTTCAGATTTATGGTCATTTAATTTTGCAATAATTTCAATTTTTAAATCATCGTTGGACTGTTCAATTGCTTTAAAAATTCGTACATAACCATCTTTACAACCAGTTGCAATTAGATGATAATTTCTACCCATTGATGGAGCCCAACTTACTGATCGTATTAATCCATTATGTTCTGGTAAATCACAAATTTTTTTATATTTTTCACCACTTCCACTTGCCATACTATCTTCTTCATCATTTTCTTCATTTGTATAATTTCCATAAACAAATCCTTGATCTAATGCCACCACTATAAACTTTTCAGTTTTTGTAAATTTTGAAGGACACCATTCAATTGCAAAACTTGATTGTAGTGATTTTGCAGGTAATTGTGAATTTAAAATTGGAATTTCAACGGTTAAAGCCCAATTTGTTAAATCATTAGGTTCTAAAGATTCATAAATTCTAAAGATACCATCTGATCCAACACAACCTAATTTAAAACCTAAATGATTTGGTGCAAATTTAACGTCATATATTGGACCATAACTTTCAATAGCTAAAGTAGCTAATTTTAACCATTTTTTACCAGAACCATTCATTTCATCAGGTTGTTCTTGCCATATTTTAACCGTTCTATCAAATGAACAACTTGCAATTATTTTTGAACTTGAAAATTCGGGATGGGCCCATGATACACGTACAATCAGTGAATCATGAGCTTTCCAAGAATCATTTAAAATCCAAGTTGAAGTTTGTAAATCTAAATCAAATACTTTAATATGTTGATCTGATGATACTGTAGCTATATGTTTACCATAATAATCATATTTTATATCATGTATTAATTCTTCATGTCCAGTTATAAATGGTTTCATTATTGATATTTTTTTTTGCAACGTAAACAACTACCAAATGAATAGACTATTTAAATTGGGAATATTAGTTGGTTCTATATGTTCAATTACTCTTAATAATCCATTAAGGACACTGATTGTATTTGGTTTAATTGGTTATATTATTACATTATCGGTTATACCCAAAGTTGGTCCAAGTTTTATTAAAATTGGTTTAAAAGGTAAAGATTTATCAAAACCACCACCAGTTAATGAAATACCTGAATCTATGGGTTTAGTATCTGCTGCCACTTATATTATATTAATGTTTTTGTTAATTCCATTTATATTTTTTAAATATCTTGTTTCATTTGGATCAATTTCAAATGAAGAAGTAATGAATAAAAATTACATTGAACAATATCAAGCATTGGCAAATAATAGATTATTTCCTCATAATAAATTAGCAGAATATCTAAGTGCAATTTTATGTTTACAAAGTACTACTTTATTAGGTTTATTAGATGATTTATTTGATATTAGATGGAGACATAAATTCTTTTTACCTGCTGTTGCTTCATTACCTTTATTAATTGTTTATTATGTTGATTTTAGTGTTACTTCAATTGTAATACCTAAATTTATAACTGATGCTCCGGGAGGTTATTATTTATTAAACATAATAAATTGGATAATCAAACATGGTAATAATTTAGTCATTTATATCACTGGATTATCATTTAGAACATTACAAAATGATTATATAACTAAAGAATCACCAAAGTTAATTGATTTAGGTATTTTTTATTATGTGTATATGTCTGCAATTTCAATTTTTTCACCAAATTCAATTAATATTTTAGCTGGTATAAATGGGTTAGAAGTTGGTCAATCGATTATATTAGCTGCTATTTTCTTAATTAATGATTTTTGTTATTTATTTTCAAATAATATATCTCAAGCAGCTTATGATTCACATTTACTTTCAGCAATTTTCATGATTCCATTTGTTGGTGTTTCATTAGCCTTGTTGCAGTATAATTGGTTTCCCGCGAGGGTATTTGTTGGAGATACTTACTGTTATTTCAGTGGAATGGTATTTGCAATTGTTGGTATACTTGGACATTTTTCAAAAACATTGATGATCTTTTTATTACCTCAAATTATCAATTTTATATATTCAGTACCACAATTGTTTCATATAGTACCTTGTCCACGACATAGACTACCTAAATTCAATGTGGAGACTGGTTTAATGTATCCAAGTTTTGGAGAATTGAAGAATCAAAATAGTTTAACAATATTTATACTAAGATTTTTAGAAACTTTCAAATTAATTAAAATTGAAAGAGATGAAAAGAATCAAATTGTTAAGTTCTCAAATATGACAATTATAAATTTGACATTAGTTTGGTTAGGACCATTTAGAGAAGATACATTATGTTTAATATTATTAGGATTTCAATTTATAGTTGGAATTTTAATGATTATAACTAGACACACAGTTGGTCCATGGTTATTTGGGTATGATAATTTATCATGGGGAGTTAAATAGAGACATATAGAGTAATAATGTATATTATTAATGTATATTAATTATTTATTGGTTGCAAAATATCATAAATTATGTTAGATGTGTAAGTTGATAAAAATTGTCAACAAGAAAAAACCAAATTGATTTTAAGCAACAGCTTTTTCTTTCAACAAGACTTGATTAATTATTCATTATGGCAGGACCATTACCCCCTCCACCTCCTCCTCCACCTTCAAATTTCGAAAGTTTACCACTGGGATCACCAGCTACTATGCCAATGGGAAGAGATGCATTATTAGGTGATATTAGAAAAGGTGCAAAATTGAAAAAAGCAGTCACTATGGATAAATCAAAACCTTTACTTGATTCAAAAACTTCAATATCAACAAATTCACCAGCTGCTGTTTCATCATCAAATACAAATTCAGGTTCTTCAGCTCCTTCAATTCCCACAGGTGTTCCTCAATTGGGTGATATCTTCGCTGGGGGTGTTCCAAAATTAAAACATGTTGATAATAGAGCAGGTATAACACCTCCTTCAGCTCCAAAAATACCTACTTCACAATCTAATCAACCTCAAGTACCAGCATCTTCGAGACCAAGTAAAGTTCCATCAATTCCTACATCATCAAGGCCAAATACTAAACCTTCAAATAATTCTGCAGCTCCACCACCACCTGTAGCTTCATTTACTCCACCTATACCACAACAATCAACTTCAAATAATTCAATAAATAAACCAGCACCAAAATTACCACCAACTAGACCTAAAAAATCATCACATATTAGAAATGGATCTACAAATTCAGTTGAAACTGATAGATCTGCTGCTGCTCCTCCTCCATTACCTAGTGGACCTCCACCTATACCTAATTCTGCACCGCCGTTACCAAATTCATTGAATAATCAATCATCTGCACCACCTCCACCTCCATTACCTTCAAATTCAATACCACCACCACCTAAGTTACTGACTAATAATCAAAATTCATCAGTTCCTGCTGCTCCTCCATTACCAGCTGGTGGATTACCTTTTTTAGCTGAAATAAATGCAAAAAGAGATGATAAAAATGTTCTTGATCATGTAAATACTACAAAATTGAATAATTCAACATCACTAGATTCAAAATCACCATCCACAGCAACACCTCAACCACCAAAATTACCTACAAGTGCTGCTCCACCTATTCCTGGCTCATTACCCCCTTCAATTCCATCAGTGCCAAAAAGAATTCCATCAAAGAAAGGGTCTTCAAATAATATACCCAAAGCACCTCCTCTACCAAATGTTTCAACTCCAACACCTCCAGCTCCACCATTACCAAATAATAATATACCTCCACCTCCTCCTCCACCAAGTTTTGATCCTCCTTCAAAATCAAGTTCGAACAAAACTTCTAATGCTCCTTCTCCTGCTCCTGCTGCTGGTGGTTTGCCATTTTTAGCTCAAATCAATGCTAAAAGAAATGATGATTTTGTAGTGGATGGAAGTAAGAAAGGTTATTCTGCTAAAGATGAAAGTTCAACAAGTAAAACTAGCTCAACACCAAGTAAATCACCACCATTACCATCATCAAATACTCCAAAACCTAAAATGAATGCTCCACAAATTCCTCAAATTCCAATACCAACTCAAAAACCGAAATTATCATCCAATTCAACTTCTTCGAAACCAACACCACCTTCAGCTCCGCCAATACCTCAATTTAATCAGCAGCCACCCGAAGCTCCTCAAATTCCAATCTCACCACCACAAAGAAAAGAATCAAAGCCTGCAATACCTCAAATTCCAATATCACCACCACAAAGAAATGAATCAAAACCTTCAATACCACAAATACCAACAAGAAATGAATCAAAACCTTCAATACCACAAATACCAACAAGAAATGAATCAAAACCTTCAATACCACAAATACCAACAAGAAATGAATCTAAACCACCTGCAGTACCTCAAATTCCATTACCACCACCACAACAAAAACCAATTCCACCAATATCATCACTACAAAGAGATGATATTTCAGATAATTTATTTGATACTGATGAAGAAGAAGAGGAAACAAGTTATTCAAGTCCAGCACCATCATTGCCTAGTGGAATTCCTCCACCTCCACCACCAACAACATCAACACCATCAATACCAAAAAATAGAAAAGCAGCACCTCCACCGCCACCACCATCATCTAATGGTAATAAATCACAATTTAATAATTTAGATTCTCAACAACATGCTGGATCATCATTAAGAAAAATATCAGCGTCAACATATACGATAAATGGACATGAAAATAATCAAAAGATAACGATTGATGATAAACGATTTAAATTTGTAAATGCAAATAGTTTACCAAATCCAAGAAGGTTCGGGGAGAGCGGAGAGAAGTTATATCCTAGTGGAAGAGGATCATCAGTACCTTTAAATTTAAGTTTATATAATTGAAATATATATGTTATTCTATATCGTTGGGTGACCAAATTTGAACAGTTTTATCGTAAAATGAACATGTGGCGATAAACTGACCATCAATTGACCAATCACCACCATAACACATACTCTGATGATCTTTTTTGAAATATCTACTAACCACAAATGAATTTTCTGTTATATTGTCTATAATTCTAGCTCCATCGTACATACAACAAGTTAATAATCGATTATCAACGGGACTTGGAATTAATCTCCATACACCACCACCGAGATTCTCAGTATAATTAGTTCTTGGTATTATCCCCAGTATTAATTCATTATTGTCTACGCTTCGCAAATCTAATATTCGAAGTTTATCATCATATGAACCAGTTAATAAATTATTCGACATTTGAGAATTCCAATTCTGATTGGGTGCTAGTATTGAAACTATACCTGCTTCATGACCTCTTTTCAATGACCATATCTCGCTGTTTGATCTTAAATCACGAGCTATTAATTTAGAATCATCACCACCAGTGAATACAACATTTTGAAGTTCATTAATTTCACCAAATGAACCCGTCCAGCACTCCAAATCATGAAATGAGTCTAAATATTCATTAATGAAAGTATCTAGATTGAATATACTTGAGTATCCATTAGTATAAGTCAATAGTATTGAGTTTTGAGTCGGATTGAAGAATATGGAAGTTATTAAAGTCTCTTCATCTATAGTTATATCATCTTTCAACTCAATTCTATCTTCATCTTCAAGATACTTCCATATCATGATATGTCCATTTGAATGACTGGTAATTAATAAATTAGGATCCCTGGGATGTAGTTTTAGGTCTAGTATTGCTGATGATGTAGCTATACTTGCAACCATTTCCAATTTTTCATTTTTGTAAGTATAGAGATCTAATGATCCATGTTTGTGACCACTGTCTTCTAGTTTATAAGTCCCTATAAATATTTTAGACGTATCTCTTGCGTATATTCTTAAACAACATGGAGGTAAATTTGTAGTTATGGTTGCAAATCGTAAACTATTCGAAATCAGACCTGACATTAATGAAAAAAAAAAAAATTCTGAAAGATATTTCATTCGGTTTTTTGAAATATGGGGTTATATCAAAGATGGATGTCTTTGCCTTTGAAAGCTCGTTATTGGATTGGATTTTCAACTATGGGATTTGCATTATTAGGTGATTATGTATCTACCAAAATTAATGAAGAAGTTAAAGCAAGAAATGAAATTATAAATGAAATTAAAGCTAAGGAATGATTGGAAGTTTCAACAATTAAACTTAGAAAAGACTGTATAGCATAGTATAAATCAATTTAGAAAAGCTAAAGAAACAGTATTGTCAAACAGTGATGAAAGTTTGTCAAATATTTGGTTTATCAAATTTCTAGGAATTCAATTGTTCAGCTTGAAATGAGAAGAGGTAGATTAATGAGCCTGTAAATTAGTTATATTACGCATTATCCCATTGTATATATTTAATTAATTATTTAAAATTTTAATAATCCCTGTTTTACAAATTCTTTTCTAATTGAACTTATAAATTCTAAAAATTTGGCTGGATTTGAATCAATACCTCTTGAATAAACAAATTTTGAAGCTAAATGAGTTGCAAAGATTGCTCTTAAATACGCTTGAGGAACTCTTGCCAACACGTTTTGTATACCAATTTTTTCCAATAATAATGGAGGTAAAGAGTCTAATAAAACTGCATTTCTAAATTCAACATCATCATCCCATAATTCTTTTGAATTTGCCAATTCATCACCTAATTTATTTATAGCTAATGATAATTTATCAGATAAAATTGTAAAAGGAATACCAGTTTCAGTTTTTAATTTCCATAATGCTTCAAATTCATTATTTGCATTTTCAACAATAATTTTTTGAACATCTTTAACATAATCTTCATAAAATTGTGGTTTAATTTTAGTTTCTGAATTAATACACATATTTTCGAGGAATGATATATCATCAAATGCTAAAGCAGCTAAAACTTCTAATGATGATGATGTAACACCACCCTTATTTGTTGATGCATCTTTAAATATAATAATACCAGCTTTTTCTAAAATTAATTTGGCAGATTGTGTTATAAATAAATTAGCACCTTCAACAAAATATGGTACAATTGATTTACCAGTTTTTTCATCAATTAAATCATGAACATTATTGGTATCAATTGCTGCTGGTCTACCACCACATGGAACAAATAAATCAACACCATTCGAACCAAATTGTTGTTTCAATTTTAAATGGAATGTATTTCTAAATGCAACACCACTTGTTACTAGTTCACCATTTGGTAATAAAACATCCATATCATCAACTAAAACAATATAACCTTTATTTGATAATTTTGATCTATCATAATGTTCAATCATTTTTCTTTCTTTAGCTAATCTTAATAATTCTTCTTTATCTAAACCACTTGGATCTGCAATAACACCTGATCCATCAACTATACCAACATATTTTTCTTTTCTTGATAATAAAATTTCATTTGAACCTAAGTCACCATCTGGTCCACCAGTTTGAAATTTACGTATAGTTGAATCATCAATTTGTAATTTTTCATAAATTTTATTAACATAAGCACGAACTGATAATGTAGTCATACCATATTCATCATGAGGAATACCTCCTAATTCTGGTGATTTACCAGTCAAGAATGATTTCCACCATGGTGCTCCTCTTTCTCTTGCATGTAATGTAGCCCAATCGACATAACCAGCAGTACCTTCATCTGGACCCAAAAATAAAATTTCTGGTTTATTATATAAATCAACAAATGTATCTTTAACACCAGGAATATGTTGTTTTAATAATAAATCAATTAATGAATCAATATATTTTTCAAAACTAGGTTGTGCTTTTTCTTGTGCTAAACCTGGATCTAATAAAATAACCCCCTTTGAACCACCTTCTGGAATATCTTTATTCTTTCTTTGTTGAGTATTTGCAAGATTATAATTTTCATCAAATAAATTTCTTGCATTTACATTATAAGCATCTAATGATCTTGATCTAACAATTCTAATACCACCTCTTGCAATATCTCTAAATCTAATATGGAAACCTCTAAAATCACTACCAACAACGAAAAACATACCATAAGGTCTTTCGGGATATTCACTTGCTGGTAAAAATGATGGATCTAATCTAAATGATAATGCAACTTTAGTTGATGTATAAAAATTTGTTTTCAAAATTGATTTGTTAAAAGTATATAAAGCTCTCAAAACAATTGCATGATGTTCATTTTGAGAACATTCTCTATTTAAGATTTTTTCAAATTCAGATTCTGAACCAACTGGAGTAATTTGTGATAATCTTTGATAAGATAACGTCTTTTCCATTGAGGATCTAATATAATGAACATCAGCAAATTGACGATATAATTTACGAACAATATTTCTTCTTGAATCAAAAACTTCTTTAATATAATCTTGAGTATAAGTTTCAGCTCTTAATCTTTTCTTTAAACTATTCAAAACTTCTGCATGTTCAGTTGATTTTGTTGGATCTAATAATGATGATAATTTTGAATATTCAGGACCTAATCTATTTAAAAAATGAGTTACAAATACAGCACCACATTGAGCATAAATTGCTTCTTGTAATGATAATTCACCATCAATAAATCTATCATGGAAATAATTATGTGGAATACAATATAATAATGAAGCTTCTTTAATAACTTGATAAATTGATAAATCAACTGGTGTTTTAGATTTTGAAGTAACATACATTGAAATAATGGTAATACCATTTGCAAATTGTTCAACATATTTTCTTGTAACTTGTAATTTGTAATAATTGGCTAAATCACTTAAAGCTGAACTATAAGTTGTTGAAGATTTTTGTCTGTACCCAATAACAACTCTATATTCTTCAGAATCTTCAATTAGATAATGTTTAATAACTGGGCCAGTAGTATTTATAACATCTTTAATAACTTGAGAATATAAATCTTTAGTTCTAGCTGAAGCAATTTTTAAAAATGTCTTATCACCAATTTTTTCAATATCAGTTTCATTTGATTCAACACCTTGGGCATTTTCATATTTATTTTTATAAACGAAAAATAATCTAACAAATTGATCTTTTAATTGATTATTTAATTGATAAACGCCATTTAAAATTGGATCAGTTTTATAATTTAATGGAGCACTGAAAAATTCGGTTCTATAACTATTATTAATTGAATTTGATGGATCAATATATTTTGAATCAATTCTTTCTTCAAATTTATTTTTTTGATAATTTAAACCGTCAACAGTATCAAAAAATACAGCATGATCTTCAGCTTCTCTTTTATAACTAATTACTGGGAAATCACCAGAACTTGCATAAGCTTGCACTTTACAAGAATATAAAGCATGAATATGACCAGCAATTTCGTTTGGACTTGATCTTGCAAAGAAAACATCATCAATACCTAAACAATCATAAAACCATCTAACTTCTGATTCAATTAGTGACTCAGGAATAAAACCAGTAGAATCTAAAACATCTAAAACTTGATCAATTTGATCTTTTTTACCACTAAATGGAGAATCAACATAATCATGTTTACTACTTACAGTTGATGATTGGTTGGAGGTAGTTTTTTGAAGACTTAAACTGGATATACCATTCTCAATAGATGATGCACTCATGATTGAAAATTATAATAAATAAATTATAATAAATAAATTATAATAAATAAAATAAAATAAAAAAAAACACTCAATGGAACGATAAACTTATCAAAATGTAAGTGAATGTAATGTAATTAACCAACTGTAGTGAAATGAAGTAAAATCAAAATTTGTCAAATATAGAAGTAGTAAAAAAATTCAGTGAGAAATCTGGGGTTGTATTTATACTAATTTATCAGCAACTATTGATAATTTTACACGTCTATATATTTATTTCTATTTTTAAATAGTGACAAGAAAAGGAGGGGTGGAATTGCATTGACGGTTTTTTTTTATTATTTCAAGCCCAAAAGTTTAATATTATTAGTCAAGAAATTATTTTAACACGATTCTAGTTCCACTTGTATTTGTTCCATTCATATGGTGGTGGTGGTAAATCATCCCAAAACCAAGTGGCATTTTACACATAATTTGGTATTTTAATTTGGAACTGTGGGAGCAAAAATAATAATTTATTTTTTTTAATATTCTGTTAACAGAATTTTTTTGTAAACTATAAACTGCCTCTGTTATTTATTTAACCAGATCTAGGTTGCCAGCTCTTTGCAAATTTGCGATGTCATTCATAATTCAATTTCAATTTCAATCTCAATTTAACATGTTTTCTTTTATATCATTCAAGCTTAAAACCTGAAACCAGGCCAATTTAAAATGGCTAAATGTCCATGGCAGTATTCTATATTCAAGAGATGTAATTGTCTTGCCGAATAATTGGATTATTTGAGATGATGGCGGTTACGCGTGATGTATTGATTTTATTATAATTTTGGGTTTATTGAAGCGAAATCTGGAGAAAATTCAATGACACAAAATGATTTAGAGATGCTAAAAAAAATTCAACTCCGAGAATTACACCGTGTTTTAATTCAATTAATCTCTCAACATTACCAGTAAAAATAATGACCAAGATTTGCATAGTCACTTATTTGTTGAAACTCTGAAATTGAACTATTGTGCTACAATTCATTTGATCAAGCTTCAAGATCTCTAATTGAAAAAATAAAAAAAAAAAAAAAAAGAGAAATAATAAAATTGAAAAATGTGTCTATTTGAAAATTTTTATGGCTGTTGGAAAAAAAATGCCGCTTTAACTATGTTTCAACTTATAAATGCCTCTTTTCATACTGGCAAAACTGGTACTCATCTTTTACTCCACATACCAAATTAACAATGAGGATCCTGAGTCTACACTGTCAATAATCCATTGACTTAATTTTGTTCTCTTCCGTATATGTCATAGTTTCCTTTACCCATGTTGTTGAGGTTCGACGTTGTGTATATAAATTTCTTGTCCATATTTGTACTATTTTCCAGTTACATTTATTCGTTGCTCGATTCCCATACATGCAAATTTGAAAACTTTTCATTGATCAACCTTTAAACACACTTGGCAGGCTACCCTGAAGTGAGCATCGCCTTGAATACGCATACGCGCAATCTCATTTGTGAAGCATACGTAATTACCGTCGGTAATTGCAAATCGAATGAAGTAGTATCCTTGAGTCCGTTACTTTGAATTTCAAATCCTGGTTTTGCTCTGATATTACAGTATAATGTTATATGCCTCTAGTGTCACAGAAATGTCTTATTCAATTGACTGTATAGCTCTGTTTATCTGCTTTTTGCTTAAGGGGTAATTAAACTATTAGAAGCCGCTTAATTGTAATTTTTTGCAGCCAAAAAGACGGCCCAAATGTCAATTTATTACGCATAGTTCAAAAACACCCTGAGCAACCACGTGGAGGATTAAGTGTTGAGAAGATGAGATTCACATTATAAAGAAGGCTCGTAGCCATTCGTTTTGACTTTTTATCTCATGCTAAGTTGCTGATGTAGTAATAATTTCTTAAATGAAGACCTCAATTTAGGTTTTCAGATTTCAAAGAGAATAATAAGAAGGTTATTATACTTGATTAAATCCTATATCAGTCATTGTAATCTTTACAATTGAATAATTTTATCAGAATTAACCGGTGTCGTAAATCGTGTTTACCTGTGTCACTTTTGCTTGGTCAAAAAAATTAGACACGAACGATCAAGATTTACATCCGAACAAATCTAAAAATTAATTCCAATCTTGGCCAGTCCAAATTTTTCAATTATAAATGATAACAGCATTATTCATATATGATACAAAAGGAGATATACTAATATCTAAATTATATAAAGATGGTATAAGACGTAACATAGCTGATGTTTTTCGTATACAAGTAATAAATCAAATTTCATCAGCTAGATCAAATCGAGATCAGAAAACTCCAGTTTTAACATTAGGTTCAACATCATTCATATATATTAAATCGGGAGGTATTTGGATTTGTGCAGTGACTAGATCAAATCAAGACTGTGCAATTATACTTGAATTTTTATATAAATTTGAATCATTATTAAAAATTATCCTATTTCAAAGTAAGAAGAAAAATATTAATGAACTGATATTAATTGATGAGGTTATAATTAATAATTTTACTTTGATTTATGAATTATTAGACGAAGTTTGTGATTTCGGATATCCTACAAATCTAGATTTGAATTATTTGAAGAAATATGTCACTGGATTAGATAATGCAACAACTACAGATGATAAAATTTTTAAAATTCCACCATTGATTAGAAAGCCAAGTATGAAACCATCATTATCATCAAGTTCAACTTTACAAACTTCAAATAGTTCAATTACTTGGAGATCTCAAGATATAAAATATCGTCGAAATGAAGTATTCCTCAACATTTATGAAAAAATCAATGTTATAATGACCTCACAATGTGAGATCTTAAGAAGTTATATTGAGGGATCAGTACAAATGAAGACTCATTTATCAGGTATGCCATTATGTAGATTTGGTTTTAATGAAAATACAAAATTATTATCAACTGTAAATCATAATCAATATGAATTTCCACAAGATTCAGTTGTTTTATTAGAAGATTCAAAATTTCATCAATGTGTACAATTAGCCGTGTTTGAAAATGAAGGAATTATACAATTTATTCCACCAGATGGTGAATTCCAATTAATGACATATAATTGTAATTCAAATATAAATTTACCATATAAAGTATTCCCACAAATTCAACAAATAGGAAGAAATAAATTGAGTTATAAAATCAGAATTAAATCATATTATCCAAGTAAATTAGTTGGAACAAATGTTGTAATGAAAATTCCAACTCCAAGAGCAATTGTTGATTGTAAAATTAGTTGTTCAAATGGGAATAAAAAGGCAAAAAGTCATGCTGAAGAAAATATGATACATTGGGAGTTTAATAAATTTTATGGTGATGAAGAGCATATACTTACTGCCCAATTAGAAATTGATTCAAATTCTGATGTATTGTTGTACTGGACAAAACCACCAATTACATTAGATTTTACATTGGATATGTTTTCAAGTTCAGGATTAACTGTTAAATATCTAAGAGTTCAAGAAAAATCAAATTATAAAACTGTTAAATGGATTAAATATGCTTCGCAAAGTGGCTCATATGAAATTAGATACTAATTTATTAAACTTGAAATATTAATGATAAATACGTCAACTAGTGTCATTATAATTTTCAAAAAGCAAAAATAGACTCAATATTGTAATGAAGCGACTAAAGGTCTTTGATTGTAGCTCCAATTCATGTGCTGATTTATTTAGGTAATACTTTATTATCGTCATTAAAAGAATAAGTATCATATCAAATATTTGGACTAAAAATTGGGTATTTTAACGTGCTCTTGAGACTAATTCGGATTACGTCAACTAACTTCAACTATTGCAATTGATTATAATTGTGTACATTTTGTGTAATTTTAATGTACAAAAATCTTGACTTGGACCTGAATAATTCTGCAACAGCCATTTCCCTAAATATACAAGCTATGTGAATAACTAAAGTTTTAACGTGGCTATTTCTCGGTCGCAGACGACGATTCAGGTAATAATTAACGGCTTAAGATGGTACATATTTTGTGTTTATTATATGAACTAAATACGAGTTCAAATACATAATTGCGCTACCAACTTCTTTTCTTTAAAATTGTGAAGATTAAATCAAGATTACATAGCAACTATAATTTAAGATATAAGTCTTGGCATTATGCTATTACTGTTAAAAAAGATGTGGTAATGTTGTATATATCTGTGTTTGTCAAACTATAATTTTAATCTACCTTTGATACCTGAATGACTCGGAGTGACAAAATAATTTCTCGCGCTAACATTAGGGCGACTTTTACTACGCAACTTTGCTAATAAGTCATTAATAACGCATTTTCAGGAGCTAGAACTAATTCAATGAATCCTGGAACTTTGAATTGTATACTCCAACCATCTCAAACCTTAGATTTTGAACTTTTTTTTTTCAAGTTGCCATTTGGGGCTTTTTTCACCGTACAAAAATTTTTCGTAAAATGAAGATTTGTGTATATTCTTATTTGGGCCCATAATTTTCAAATAAACATCTGATTGTATATACTACGCCTCAACTAAGGTGCTAAAGTTGTTTAGATTTGATTTGACCCAAGATTGAAAAATTTCGAAATTTTCTCTTAAGCATGATAAAAATTGAATAAATTGACTTTACAGAAAATCTAATTCCGCGACCAAGTTCCTGTTGATAGTATGATAAAAATATGTATCCGAGCTTTTAGCTTTGGCATGCTGACATTTTTTGAGTTAAGGTATTCAAAATTGGAAAAGTATTTTTTCAAGGTGAAACGAAATTTTTGAAAAGATTTCAAGCCGAATATAGCGACTTCAAACAAAAATACAAGACATTTTAGAGCTTAATTGAACAAGATTAGTTATATTAGAAGTCGATTAATGGGGTCTAAGTGCTATTTATCTTTAAATTTAACGTTTTTTGCCATTTTATAAATGTTGGATAAATTGATCAAAAATAAGTTTCCTCAATGAATATTGTTAATTTAGTGAGAAACATGCATTGAGGCACAAAACTGAAATGTTTCAATAATTTGTAAAATGTTTTGTATTCTTTAAATGTAACGGCATCGGTGAAAATCAAGCTTTTTACCAGTTGGAAATTCAATTATTCCCTTACTTAGGATTCTCAAAATATTCATATCTTAAATTTGAAAGAATAATGAAAATAATTTCTGGATTGCAAACCCTCTTAAAATTCTATCATATAAAGAGGTAATAGCTGATAATTTGTTTAGATTTGATGTAATAATTTGATTAGCTAAGGTAGTAAATTACGCAATCCTCTTAATAAAGCTTCTGTAGTTATTCTCATAATAATGATTTGTTGATAGTTTTCGAATATTCAAAATTAAATTCAATTCTGAAACATGAATAAATTAGATTATGTAATACATATTACCTGAAAATATCTTTTGCACTGCATATAAATTTTACACGCTTTCAAAATTATGGAGTTTTCAATGCGACAAATTGGTGCGACAATAATAATTTTTCTCGCCAGCTTTAGGGCAATATCGTGCAAAAAATATTGATGCTATGAAGATCAAAAGTTTAAAACATTATTAGAATTCACTTTCACCAGATCTAACTGTGGGGTCCATCAGAAAATCGACAATTATACTCTTCAAGCTCATAAATGAGATTTCACGGCTGTTTGCTTATGAAAAATTGTTTTAACAAGAAGTAAAGTTTAACCAATATTGGTAAAATGCTCAATAATTCATCATCTGACGATTTAGATCCGTGCACTCTTTATTATCACTCTTATCGCTTCAGTACCTTGTCTGACAAACAATTGAACACTAATACGTATTGATTGTTTTGACTCTGCTACTTATGATACCAATTTGATTCAACGTGCGAAATCAAAAATAAATTTCAAAATTTAGCCAATCCTCATCTCATACCCCATATTTATTAACTGATTCAATTTAATGAGAGATTTATTAGTTTTAGGAGGTACTTCACATCCTAATTTAACCAAATCCATATGTCGAAATTTAACAATTCAACAAACTGAAGTTTTATCAAAAAAATTTTCCAATGGTGAAACATCAATTGAAATAAGTGAAAGTGTTCGAGAAAAAGATGTATTTATTGTTCAAAGTAGTTGTGGACATGTTAATGATAATTTTTTAGAATTATTAATTACTATAGCTGCTTGTAAAACTGCAAGTGCAAAAAGAGTTACTGCTGTATTACCATTATTTCCATATTCAAGACAACCTGATATTCCATTTTTACCAAGTTTACTGGGAGCTCCAAGTATTTCAGAAACTAAAGAATATTATACATTTGAAAGTGCACCAAGTACACCAAGGCCATTATCAAGAAATTCAGAATCCGGTAAAGAATTAACAAATAATTCAAGTTCATCACCATTAGAAAAGAAGATAATTAATAATAATAACCTTAAAATGCCAATACCCAATAGATCAGTCAATTTTCAACCAAAAGCAATAGTTACAAATTCTGCATCAGTAAACTTTTTACCTCAAGTTGATGAAAATGGTAAAACTGAAAGTGGCTATAAACAATGGATCTCACCAAATGGTACATTAATTGCAAATTTATTAACTACTGCAGGTGCTGATAGATTGGTTACTATGGATTTACATGATCCTCAATTTCAAGGGTTTTTCAATATACCAGTTGATAATTTATATTCAAGACCACTTTTAAAGCATTATATCATGGATTATATACCAAATTATCAAGAATGTATAATAGTGAGTCCAGATTCTGGTGGTGCTAAAAGAGCAACTGCAATTGCTGATTCAGTTGGATGTTCATTTGCATTAATTCATAAAGAAAGAAGAGCTAAATTTGCAAATCAACCACCAAGTACTTCATCTTCATCAATGAGTGTTTCAATGTCGCAACAAAAATCATTAAATAGTAATTATACTACAATGATTCCTACAACAATGTTGGTTGGTGATGTTAAAGATAAAGTTTGTGTTTTAATTGATGATTTAGTTGATACTTCATATACTATAACTCGTGCAGCTAAATTATTAAAAGATGAAGGAGCAAAATATGTTTATGCATTAGTTACTCATGGTGTTTTCAGTGGTGATGCTATAAATAGAATTAAAAAATCAGGTATTGATAAATTAGTAACTACAAATTCAGTACCTCAAAGTGAACATGTTGCAATATTAGGTGATCAAATTGAAGTTTTGGATGTAAGTAGAATATTTGCTGAATCGATAAGAAGAATAAATAATGGTGAAAGTGTAAGTATGTTATTTGATTACGGATGGTAGATAATGTATAGTAATAGAATGAAAATTTATTTATAAACTTGAAGAGTTCAAATCATTAGAAATTAGAAGTAAAAAATATCACAAACTACACCAAAATTATATATTTAAAATTATATACAAATAAAACAGCAAAGCAGCTTTAAAGATTTTCAAAAATTATATCAATTTGACTTTATTAAATTTGGTTTGTCTCAAATCTTGTAAAACCTTTTTGAACTAAATAAAAGAATTACAATTATCTAACTACAAACTTCCGTGGACCGTAATCAATAATGAATGTAAGATTAAATTCAATCATTGTCTTCTAATCATTCCGGACCAATTATAGAAACGTTAACTAAATTGTAATCTGACATTTTATATCATTTATGTTGATAATCAGCGGCTAAAGAATTTGTAGTTCATTTAGTCAGCCAAAGTGATTTCAACATAGATTTGATAATTTTAATTTTAAATTCATCAATTGATAAATGTTGTTGTATTTGTGAAATGAAAAAAAAAAAAAGTGATATAAAAAAGATATTTTTATGGGGATATTTGTGCTATTAATAGTTTTTGATTTTTGTGTTATGCCCCTTAAGATTTTTTGGTTATGCCCATAGTTAAAAAATTTTAAAACAAAGACAAATACAAAGTCTAAACAATGATTAACAGAGCTCTATTTTACTCTCTAACGTCCTTAACAAAAACACATGCAACAATCTCAGCTAGCATCGGGAAACTTTTAATCTCAAAATTGTTGCGTAATTGTATATCTGATATGAAAATCTAGATTCTAATTTTAAAATAGATTGTCCTTGAGTTCTAAGTACTAATGTTGCAGAGGAGATTCAATCAGTAAATAAAGTTCGAGATCATATTAATGTTTAAAAGACCTGCTTTTTTGATCTAGAATGCTGTTACATGTATATTAAATGTGTTTGAAAATATGCGACTTGTTTACTTGTGCAAATAATAAATCTATTAGGTGAATACTGATAGTTTCAATATCTGATTAAATATTGCATCTCTTTATAATGCTCCAAATCCTATACTTGCTTTTTTATCATGTTGAGCTTTTCTATTATGATTAGCTCTACTTGATTTATTCTTTTCATTTCTTGCTTGATTACGTCTAACTTGCTCTTTAGATTTAGGTGGATCTCTTTTAATATCTTTATCATTAATACCTTTAGCTTTCTTTTCATCTTGCACTTCAGGTGTGTCTTCCTTCCTATCATTCTTCAATATTTTAGGTGCTCTATTTGGATTACCACCACCATAAAAGAAATCTTCTTCTAAAATTTTAAATCTCCTTGGTGATTTCAATAACATTCTTAACCATCCTTCAATTTGTTCATCTGACCAGTTCATTTGTTTTCTTAATTCTTTACGTTGTGATGATTTTCTTGCTGTCTTTTCAAATACTTCATTACCTTTAATTTTAAAAATGCTGAATAAATATCTTTCATTCTCATCTACTCCATCAGAATTAGTACTTTCTTTATTATTATCTTCTAATACTGTCATTTTATTCTTTTTATTTCGTTTATCGTTTGATTCATCTGCTATACCACTTGTTTTCTCTTGATCATCATAAGTATCATCTGGTTCATCCTCATCTGATTCATACATTAATCGTAATGCAGCATTCAAAGTATGATTTTTTAATTGTTGAGACGATGGAGCTAAGCTTTCACGTTGTTTCTTACCATAAATAATAGTAGTCCCTGAAAAATCACCCTTTGATATATTATCCTCATCATAAACTGACCTTTTAGAAGCTTGTCTGACTGATACTTTAGGTTCGGTTGATTTCCCTTTCTTATACGGTATAGTTATACTATCTATTAAATCTGGATTCTCAAGTAATAAATTAGTAACATGTTCAACATCTCCATTATTCTCTTTAAGTATGATTTTGGCTTTTTGTTCAGTCAATTGTGGGAATAAATCAATTAATAATGAAATACCTTCTATATTTTGTTCAAAATCTGATTCATCATCAATCGCATCTCCTTGTCCATTTCCAAATTTGACATTTTTAAGAAATGGTAATCTTTCATCTAGATTAGGAACTAATTCATTATAAGTATCAGATAAAATAATTGAACTAAATAAAGGACATATTTCTAAGGTATCTATTGAGGTTATACCTAATTCCATTGTCAATTTTGCCAATTTTGCAGTAGATAATGATAAAATTGAAATAATCATGACATTTTTAATTGTGTTTGCATATACAGGTTTTCCAGATACGTAATTCTTCTCTAACATTTCAATCCAAGATGATTTAACAAATGATTCAGCAAACTGCAAGGAATTATTTGACTTTTTGTTTATATTTTTAGTAGTTGAGTTAGAATCTCCCATTCTAAAAGTCGTAACTGTGTTTGTAGTATGTTGACCAAGTAAAATTGAAAGTGTAGAAATATCCTCATCTCTAAATTTATTATTCAATATCAAATATTTAATGTATTTATGCAATACTGGAATTTGAGAAATGCTCCCACTCTTTTTATTATTATTATATTTCGATTTGTGAGTACCTTCAACTAAATTCCTAACAGTATTTATATTCTTCTCACAATATATCCTTATGAAATTCCAAACACATTCACTTGTAAGATTTAACTTCACAAAACTATAATCTTTAATTAACTGAAATACATAAATTTTCAAAATTGATGTGTTTTTGGTTATATCTGGATTTATAGCACCTAAAGAAAAAATCCTAGATTGTTCCTCTGCAGTTTCTGATAAATATATTTTAATGAAAACCTGTAACTGTTGCTGACTTTTTATATTTAATTTTGGTGACTTTGGATCTAATAAAAATTGAATTAATTGAATATATGCATCTAATAAATGTACCCAAATGACTGGGTCTTTATCAATTAATGATGATCTTAATTTGAATGGTGGATAATGTGGTATAGGTATATATATTTCTTCCATTTAACTATGTACAATTTGATTTAATTTCGTAGGGTAACTATTTAGATTTTTCAAAATTTATATGATTCATGGCAAATGTAAATAAAACGCTACCAAATGTGAAATTGATGCAAACTTAATTCATAACTATAAAGGCAACAAGAAGGTGTTAGGAGAAGAAATTGTGTGTATGATGTTTCATAGTTCTGAACTATGGCTAAAGTTTCTCTTTCCTGTTCTATCTATTTAATTTGAGGTAATGTTATGATTGAAATTTTTTGCAAATTTTGACCGAATATTGTCAAAATATGTGAAACTTATAATCACCACGAACCGGCTAATTTGTAATCAGCTTCTGCTAGCTTTGTTCTAGACTAGTTAAAACATCAGTAGTTACAGCGCAGCGTTAGTTGTTGAGCTGCTATTGAATTCGGCTAAATCTCTCCAAACTAGCTGTTACATTTTGCAAACAGGCTCAAATACTAATTATGTTTATTCAAGTACTATTTCAGTCCTTGCATGACACTAAAATCAATAAAATCAATAAAATCAATACTACAAAACACAGCAGAAAGATTGAAATTGCTGCACGTGATTGAATATTGCTGAATGTCTTTTAAAAAAGGTCTTAATTTTCATCGAATAGCTTAATGGCGCAGTTTGGTTAGCGCGCGAGGCTCATAACCTTGAGGTCATTGGATCGAAGCCAATTTAAGCTATTTTTTTTTGTCGCAACCATTTGCAACCATTTTAGAAGCACTATAAAATGGCTGCAAAATGATAACTATTTATACTTATCAATACAATCTATATTTAATCATATATAAGGAAGTAACAATAGTATAGACCCTTTCCTTGTTTCTTTTTTTCTGAATAGTTTAAAATATCAATAAATCAAAAGTAGTGTTTGGTAATTTTTGGCAGCATTTTTTCATTTATAAATTGTTGCAGCCATTTTGTAAAAACTAGGAAATCATAACAAAAAACTGAATATTTACAAACTTTTATTATTCAAATCTCATCTTTAATAAGTTGAATTCTTATCTTGAAAAATAGTCAAATGTTAACTTTCATTGATTTACCAATTGAAATAATTAATCAAATATTAAACATTCGTTGGAATTTAGATAATGGTTCACATTATGTCCTACCTTTAATATTAACATGTCGATTCTTATTCATTAATTTTAATTATTTGTTAAATAGATTAATCAGTTTTGGAGTTGGTAAATGCCATAGAATAATAAATAATGAAACATTTAATATTATTAAGAATTTAAGTATTCATAAATTAAATTTTTTTTTAAGACCATCTATAATTTCAGAATTTAAGATATATAAATTATTATCAAGCTTGTATTACTTTAAAAATTTAAATTCAATTATATTAGATGTTGAAAGTTTAGATTTATTAAATTGTATATTATATTTCCCACCTACAATAACCACCCTCAAAATCAAATTAGGTAAAATTTCAAAAATTAATTTATTCCCATTAGACTTTACAAGTGTGACTAAATTCAGTTTAAGAGTTCTTTCATTTGAGACTCTATATCCATTAAGTTCAAAACGTTGTCATTTTCCAATATGTTTTAAATCACATAATGAAAGTTCTGAATTTTATGAATTAAATTCACCCGGTCATCAAATATCACGCATGATTTCAATTTTATTATTTTGTAGTCGTGAATCATTAGAATATTTAGAATTGAAATTATTTGATTTAATGAAATTACAACATGTATTTAAAGCATTTATTTGTTCAAAATTAAAAATTATAAAAATTGATGATTGGCCAACTATTCCACCTCCTAGTTTATTCAATTATGGAACTAAAATAATGAAAGAAATTGAAAGAGAATCGAATAGTTTTCAATTATTAAAAGGTGATTCGATGGATAATAAATGGGTAATTGAAAAACATAAATCTAAAACTAATATATTTGATATTTAGTTAATATTCATCCCAGAATTTTCTTAATATCTCTCCTGATTCTCTATGTAATTGAACCATTTCTGGAGTAATCTCGGGGAATTGTCTCCCAATTGGTGTTTTACTGGAGACTTGACCTAATTCAGTCAAGGTAGTCATGTATTCTAATGCATCATCAACACCTATTGTATGATAAGCTCTTGAATTCTTCTTTAATTTGTATCTGTCATTTACCCATTCACTTTGAATTCGTCTACTTGGTAATGCAATCTTACCTGTGATAAATCTAGCAATTAAAATAGCTTGGTATTCAAAGGCACGGAATGAGATAGCGTCAATAGGTACTCCAATTATACTTATTAATGGTTCATTAATTAAAAAAGTGTGTTGATATAAATTAGCAACTGTTTGACCTTGATAAGTTAATGAATTGTTAAATAAACGGTTCAAAAACGGATAAGAGAATAAATAACCAGTACAATAAATGATATAATCGGGATTGTAAACAATTGAACCATCTTCAAAAACCACCTTTACCTCATCATCGTCAGTTGTAATCTCTCTTATAACTGGTTTCTTTTCTACATTTTCAAAATTAGATTTCTTCATATTTACCGAGTTTCTTATAGATTGATACACTCTTGTATTCTCTTCCTTAGCCACAAATTTAGTTAAATCTGCTCCTGATGCTCTTGAACCAACTACAACGACAGTTTTATTTCTATACGGTGTTGAAGTCCTGAAAAATTTAGCATGTTGAACTATGTTAGGTTTTAATTCTTGTAGTTCTCTCAAACCTGGAACGTATGGAATGTAAGGTACGTGGTAATGACCAGTTGCAACTATGACATAATCGAATCTATCCTGATACCAATAATCTTGATCTTTATTATATGGTGTACGAATAGTCAACTTGAAACCATAACCACCTTGATCTTTATCGTATCGTTCAACATCTTCAACTGCAGTACCTAACTTTAACTCAAATCTTGATTCATTTATATTCCGGACTATATATTTCTCAATGTATTCTTGGACAATATTGCCTGGTACATATTTTCCATCTTCACTCGAGCCTGAAACATTCCATTTATTTACATCACTATAAGTCATCAACCTCTCTACAATATTGGTCTTTATATCAAAATAACTTGGAGTCTCAATGAACCTTTCCTGAGTGTTTTTCGGTAAGATTAAATAATTAGAATAACTAGACTTAAAAGGATTATCTAATTGTGGATCATTATCAAAATTCAAGTTTCCTGACTTTATAATATCATTTGGTGTAGATATTGTATCTTTATTATATAACCAAATTCCACCCAATTTATCTTGTCTTTCATAAACTACTATTCTTTTGATATTTGAAGGTTCTTTCAATAAAGTATCTAAAATAATAGCACCAGAAGCACCACCACCGATAATAGCTATAGTTTCAAGATTAATTGGTAATTTCACTGGATTCGAATAATCTAAATCACTCAATAATGGCATAATTAAAAAACTTGAATCAACATTTTGGTTAATTTAATTGATAACTTCTTAATTTATAGTCCGACATATTTTGCAGCCACAGTTGATTATAAAATTTTTTTTTTCACCTCTGATACTGAATCAAATGATAATAATTAATGCATGAAAAAAGTAAGATATGGCTAGATCTCAGCGCACTCAATATCCTAATAGAGCTAAATCAATTCATAGAAAATGGAATAAGTGGTACAAAATGGTTGCACAGTTAGAAAAAAATACGAAGTCAAAAATTTTCTTGATTTATTATTTTTCAAATTATTTTGCAGCCATTTTTAAAAGTCTTAGCTCAGGGTCTACTCATTTCGAACAATCGCCAAAATGAAGAATTGTCTTTAATTGTTCTAAGGATCTAATTGTCAACTCTTCTAGAAGCATCTTAGTTCCAATTTAGAGCCGTTCAATATTAATTAATGCACATAGAATGGCACGTGTTCTCGTAAATATTTTTTTTTTTTTTTAATTTAATTAATATTACTAAGGCGATCTTGAAAACAATTTCTATTATAAATTTAGATTTGGTCCTCATTTTATTCCATCTCATCTTATTTTTATTAGGTTAATAATCTTATTTTTATTAGGTTAATATGGCTATTCAAAAACAAGTTGATCTAAATCAACCATTAGATGCAGATAAACAAACAAACTTATCTAAATCTGCTTTAAAACCAGAATTAACAGAAGCTGCAATAACATTACACGGAGATCATTATAAACAATCGCAAGCTAAATTAAATAAATACATATTAACACATCCATTTAGTATTTTTATCCTTACATTAACATTACCAATTGCTTTAGGTTATACATTATGGGATTATTTTTTAATTTCGGATAATTTAGTCGAATTTTGGTCAATTATCAATAGAAATAGAAATGATTTTATTTATCATTTATTAGCTACTATTCCTATTATCGGGGGTGTTTTATCTATATTTGGTGGTTTTACTTATCTTGTAGGTGAAGAAATGGGTATAATTACAAATAAATTTATTGGACAAAAATATTGTGATTATATTTTTGGATTTGATATTAGAGCATTTGCAAAAGGAGATAAAGAAAGTAATGAAAATTCTGAGATTATCGTTTATAGAGATAGTCCAATTGCTATTGGAACAATTGTAATTGATGAATCTCAATCAACGGTTGAAAATTTCATTGTTAAAATTACTGGTATTCATGTTAGAAAAGTTTTTCAAAAAGCTGAATTTGATCAATTATTAATTGATTGGGCAGTACTTAGATCAAGAAAATTATATCAGGAATATTTAAAAAAAAATAAATCTAAAATTAAAGAAGGTTCAATTGTATTAACTATTGATGGTTATTCATTTGATCCACATTTTGAAAATATATTAATAAGTAAAGGATTTAAAAAATTAAGTTCAAGTTTTGAATTAAATCCTTTCAATCCAGGTTTAACATGGTATAGAGAAATTTTACATAAATTTTTCAATATTTCAAGAGATACTTTTGGACTTATATTAATTACATCAAATGAAGATTATGAATTAATTAAAAATATAAATAATTAATCAATCAAGTAATCCAGTTGTTTTTTGTTTTCTTTTTTGTTTTTGAATTCTAATGACAATTAATGCAAACCAAATAATAATTATTAAAATTAATGTATAAATTATAAATTTAATAAATGTTAATATTTTTTGAAATGTTCTTTTTATAAATGTTGCATCTTCATCTCCATATTCTTGTAATCTCATTTTACGTTCTTGTTCTTTAATTCTTTTCTCAGCATTCTTTAACCTTTTAAGAGATTTCCTTTTTTCACTACTTAATTTCTTTTTAAATGCTCTATTTCTACCACCTTGTTTTAATTTTTGTTGTTGTTGTTTTGCAATGTCTGCCATATTTGCAGTTTCTGATTCTACTTCATTTTGTAATTTAATTAATTCATCTAATTCATTAATAGATTCAACAAATTGACCATCTGGTTTATATAATGCAAATATTTTATTTTCTATAATATCTACATTTTCAAATAATTGACCAGTCTCTGCAGATAATCCTAAATATTTAATACTTGGTAATTTTACATCAGTTAATGTTACACAATTTTCCCAATCTTCATGTTTACCTCTATAATTAAAATCAATAGATAAATAACCATCTTTAATATATACTAATCTCATTTTGGTTTGTTTTGAAGGTGGATTTAAAACATCCTTTGCACTACAACCAGCAAGTCTAGTATCATACCCATCAGTTCCTTTATCATATCTTGTTTTACCATCACCAAGCATTAAATTAACATATGGAAAACTTCCACGTTTCCCATTTTTATAAGTATCAATCATAATACCTAACCCATTAAAATAATTCTCAACTCCGAAAACATCACCGATATTAGAAGGACTATTTAAAAACCAAATAGCTAAACCATCACCAACTAATCTTCGTTGTTCATTATGAATATGAAAAGTTAATTCCATTTCAAAACTTTCTGCTTGAATAGGTGCTTTGCTGAAAATATTCGATGCAAGGTGTTGTGAATTTGATGTTAATCTAATATATTGATCATTTCTAACAAATGTATTTCCATTAGTATACCAATTTTTAATATTAAAATTTGAATCATCTAAAAATGGAACTTTTAATTCTTGTTGTTTTAATTCTACTTTATCTAGACTTAATAATGATTTTTGTTTATTTTGTAATATTGAATTAATTTCTTCTGGTGAATAAGTAGATGATGATGATGAAAATAATGATGTAAAAAATGTGAAATATAAAATTATGAATATGAATATTGCTAATAGACCTTGTAATGGTCTAGATCGTTGGATTGTAAATATTAATGATGATGACATCGGAAAACCCACTGGCTGATCTTAATGAAAATTTGGTTGATAATTTTTTGGCGAGCCCCGACCAAAGAAAAATAAAATTGTAGCCAGGTGTTGTTTTACGAGATCTGAAAATTTAATACTATAAATATATAATTGGCAGGTTTTTCAGAGCTGAACTTGACCAGAAGGACTTGCATAATCGTACAGCAAACGATTTTCATCAGTAAGTGGTGTAGAATCTCATATACATGGTAGTTAAAAAGCAGACTTGCTCTAAAGTAACCAAACCAACTCCAAAATTAGTTTGAGTGGTCATGAGAGCAAAGCATGATTGAAGAGCCCAATTCCACAGTCAAAATGACTTGAGATTGCTTCAATATGCCTCAAGCTTACAACCTATCAAGTGCTGAACAAATTCTAATCAAGTTCATCTCTTTTTTACATTTTTAAAAGTTTCATATCTTATATTAACCATTAAATATATATACATGGTCCCACCTAATTTGTCTATTTACCAAATACAACAGTTCTAAAAGCAGTAAATAAAGATTCTTTCTTTTCACCATTAATTTCGCTTATTAATCTTTCATAATATTTTGGATTAGCTTTTGGTTTAAAAATCTTATCATCTAATTTATAATAATTTTTATATTTATCATTTACTAATTCTTTCAAGGCAATATATTGTAATTTTAAATCTTTTTCAGATACGGTTTCAAGTAATTGTTTATTTTGAAATCTTGCAATTTGTGAGTTTTTAAAAGATGCATAATGTTGTATTTTCTCTTTTGGTAATGTTTGTAAAAGTGATAGTATCTTTTTGGTTATTTCCTTTTTCTCTGACATGATTTTGGTTATTTAACGAATGGTGATGATTAAATTAATAATTTTGATAATTTTTTCCGCTCTGAAAAATAACATTAGACGAAACAAAACGAAACAAAACGACGAATTAGAGCCAATATACGACTAAGTACTCTATTGTAAATATTTCAGGTTATATGTGGTCAATTGAGATATGTAATTGTCTTATTCGTAGTAAATTTTAGCTATATTAAGTCTTGATGGTTATTTCGGTTTACAATTATGCGCTTTTTATTGTTGCAAATTTCATGCGAAATAAAATTTCACCAGTGGCTATTTCACTTTCTTTTGATAATGACTGCTAAAACACCATGTCCAAGAGTTATATTCATCCGTCATGGACAAACAGAATGGTCAAAATCAGGTCAACATACTTCAAGAACAGATATTCCTTTAACTGAATTTGGAATAAAACAAATGAGAAATACAGGGAAAGCATTAATTGGAAATAGTCCGTTAAATATGATAAAACCCCAAAATTTAACTCATATTTTCGTAAGTCCAAGAAAAAGAGCTCAACAAACATGTGAATTAATTTTGGAAAGTTTAGATGAAAATTGCAAAAATTTATTAAAAATTGAAACTGACCAAAATATAAGAGAATGGGAATACGGTGATTATGAAGGGTTGAAAACTCAAGAAATTAGAGATTCAAGACATAAGCGTAAAATTGACCCACCTACTAGAACTTGGAATATATGGAGAGATGGCTGTGAAAATGGTGAAAATTATTTAGATGTTACTGAAAGATTAGATGAATTTATTAAAAAGATACAAGCAATTCATGCTAAGTCATTGGAGGAAGATAAACCAAGTGATGTTATTGTCATTGCTCATGGTCATATTCTTAGATGTTTAGTTACTAGATGGGTTAGAAAAGAATTAAATAAAGATCCAATGTTGATGATTGATGCTGGTGGGGTTGGTGTTTTATCTTATCAACATCATAATGTTGATGAACCTTCAATTTATTTGGCTGGTGCTTTTACTGTTCCTGTTGAAGAAGAAGGTGCAGATGTATAGGTTAGATTTGTAGACAATAGACAGAGATTTTTTACTATTTTAAACTCTGTATGACTTGGGATATCCATTTATAGGAGCGAATAAACTTAATCAGTGTAGTGGCTCAGAGTTTATTTAGTTTAAGTCTAATTTCAAGTATATATTGCTGTCTTTGAAATCTGCGCGAATTTTTAAAACTAGACATTAGGGGGTAGAAGATTAAACTATTAAAACTTGGACCCTTATATGATCATAGCTCTCTGACTATTAACACAAACAATCTCAGAGATCTAAAAATAAGCAGAATGGTCAAAAGCGAGTGGTCTCAAACTCAATTAGTAGGAATATTTGAAGTTTTTCATTGGTCAAGCCGCTTAAGATGACGTAATTTATTTCTTTTGTACGGCCTGGTCTAATTCGACTAAAAAAATTGATGCCTTTGATTGTGACATGCATTGCGCGTAAATTTTCAATATTTAATGCCAATCAAGTGGCAAAATAAAAACTAAACAATAATACCAATGAGATTATATACAAAGGCTTATATTCCAATATTAGATAATAAACTCACACTTCCAGTTTGCTTCTTTGCCATAGATTTCTTATTTACAATATGTGGTGGACAAAGTATCGCCATGTGTTTACGAAAAATGCTACAAGAAAAAAATATGATACAAGAAAAGAACATGAAAAACGCTCCTACGGAACAACAATAACAGTTACAATAGATTATAAATATATAGTTAACTTTTATTTATTATTTTCTAACTCTAGTTTATTTACATGCATTTCAGCAGCTTTCAAAGCTCCTAAAACACTAGCCCAAAATAAATCACCATCCAATTCTGATCCAATATAAACACCTTGTTCTTCTTGTTTATCTATTGGTATATCAATATCAATTATATAACTTTGACCTTCTTTCTCTCCTGTTTCAACTACATCTATCCTCCTTCTTAAATATTTATATCCATAACTTTTAAAATCATGACTTATGAATGGTAATAAACTATATAATGCAACTGGATCATGTAATGGAGGACCATCTAATTTCTTAGTTTGATGTCTGTAATAAAAATTCAAAATTTCGTAAAAGGCCTTCCATATAATTGAATCATGACCATTTCTTTCCATTTCTTTTACAACTTGAGCACTTGCAGTTACTTCATGAGTCAAATTCAAAGGAGATAATATAATTTTATCTTGTAGTTCCTGTATTATATGTTTAGCAGCTTTAGGATCAGCATGGAAATTAAATTCTGAAAATGGTGTTATATTACCTATTCCAAACGCACCACCCATAATTGAAATGTATTTAATTTTATCTTTTACTTTTGGATATGTTGTAATTAATTTTGATAAATTAGTTAAAGCACCAGTAAAACATAAACATATTTCATTTTCATTGTCATCTATAGCTTGTTTAATACCTTCAAGGTATGATTCATTATTTGAATGTTGATTTATTGTATAATTCGGTAATTCTACTCCTCCAATTCCATTTATTCCATGTACGTGAGTCGCAAATCTTGGTAATTTTGCAAGTGGGAGTTCTGATCCATTATAAACTGGAATATTATAAATATGTAATAAATCTAATAAACCAAGGGCATTTTTTGTAGTTTTATCTAATGGTGCATTACCATGAACTGTTGAAATACCTAATAAATTAAACCTAGAATCGAAAATGGATAATAATATAGCGAAAGCATCATCGTTACCCGGGTCACAATCAAGCCAAACTGGTATTGATTGTAACGTCATGAATTAAAAATGGTACTAAATGGTTGTAAAATTAGACGAAAAAAAAAATTGATTTTTATTTTTGATTAGTGGAGAAACTTAATTATGTACGTGGCTCCGATGGAATAATGAAACATAGTTGAATAATCAGTAAGTAACATAGTAAACACTGGGACTGATAGAGTTAAGTCTGAAAGAAAAGGATGAGCACTTGATTATTAATTTCTAATTATAAAAAGTAAATATAAATAGAACTTCTTATTGCATATTTGTACATTAGTAGAGATCTCGTGAATCATCAAATTATTATTTCTATTCATTAATTAGCTAGTATACTAGTACTGATTGATTGTTATTCTCATCTTTTGGTATGTCTATCGGCAATGGAGTGGGTTTCTCATTTAATTCAGTGTCATTTGAATTCTTCGCCGTGTCTTCTTCAATTATACTTTGAGTTTTCTCATCAACTACCTCAGTTTCTTGTTTATCTTGCGCTTGTAATTGTTCATAAACTTTCATTGTCTTAAATCCAATTGTTCCTATTAAATCTTCGGCCCACACCACATCTAAATGATTATAAGTGGCAACTTCAACAATAAACAAATTAACATTCTGTTTGTAGTTATGTTCATAATTTGTCATATGTGTAACTAATTTCTTTCCGTCGACTAAATAATCCTCTTCACCTATAACCACCAACACAGGAACATTTAAATGATCAAACCAAGATTTCTTATAAGGAAAGTATGAATTTGAATCATCAATTGGATTTTTAGGGTTAATTGCATAATTATCACCTGTTTTATAATCTGATTTTAAGTGCAACATCTTTACAAAACCTTCAGGTTTAAATTTTCCAAGATAATATTTCATCAATTCAACTGAAACATAACTCATATTGAAAATAAATAAAAAATGATGAACTTTTGAAGATGAACCCCAATTTCTACATGTCCATCCAAATAAATATTTAAACATATAATAACTTAAATATCCAAATGGTTTCCATTCACATAATGAATTTCTCATTAGACATAAATTACGTAACATTGCACATATTCCAAACACTAAAATCCATGCCAATTTATTAAAATGACAAATTATAATAAGGAAATAACGCTTATAAAATAATGAACCAGGATATATTGCAGGTGCAATAGGTATAAATAATTCTATTTTTTCATGAATATGACTAAATTCTGGATTTTTCAACATTAAAAAACTCTGTAACCCACCTTGTGAATGACCAATAAGAATCAATTTCTTGTGAGTCTTATTAATAGATAAAATAGTTTCAATAATTGATGGTAAATCAAAATAAGCCAATTGCGGTACTGACCAATTCCAATATTCTTCATTATTATATAAATTTTTTAAAGTTTGATGTTCTGCTTTAAACCAAGATCTATTATTCCCTAACCATACATCAAATCCTTGTTCAAATAAATAAAAACCTAATGAATTTTGACCCAGGGCAATAAATGTACCACTACAAGATAATAAACCATGTTGTAATAATACTGGTTTTCTATTAAATTGAGCACCTTTATCTTCTTTTGGATTAATTATTCGATGTAAAGTTAATATAAATCCATCTATTGTTGTTACTTTATATTCTTCCAATTCGAGATTTAAATGTTGAATATAATATTCTAAATTAGCACTAGGTTTCATATTTTCTAAATCTTCAAATGCTTTTCTTGGAATATACGAATGATCTTTTGTTTCATAATCAATCGGTTTAAACTTAGTCTTACCAAATAAAAATTCAATAAAATGTTGTATAATTGAACCAGAACATAATATTGAACAATAAATAATTGAACTAATTGCACTTATAAAAATAATACAATATTTTATAATAGGATTAAAAGTCATAATAATAATGTAAATATGACGGAATTATAAACTGTTGATAGTTTGTTCATAAGTAACAAGGTAAAAAGTAGGTGGTTGTAAATCTCTATTATTTAATCGGTGTATTTTATTTTCATCATGTGCAACAACACCAGCAGCAGAAATTGCTTTATATAGAAAAAAATAGAATAGAGTTTAAATAAGGAAACAACAAGAAACGGAGACAATTGTTTATTATTTGGTATTTGGTACTTGGTATTTTCCTTCTCAAGAAATATGGTAATTGGATCAGAACTTCTCCTTTGTAATGTCTGTTAATTAATGTAACAAGATAAATGTTGCGTCCAGACATCGTCATCAATTTCAACCCAGAACGGTCAAGTTCATTTCACTTAAAGGAATCGAATGTGAAAATTCGACTCAACTTCAAAAGAGGGTCTACAATATTGATTAACGCGAGATTTCATCATGTAGTATAAAACTTGGAAGGTCATACAAAGAAAGAAAGAAAGAAAGAAAGAAGTGTAAAAAAAACATTTGATGATTTTTAATTTATAGTGAAACAAAAAAAGACGTGCACTTGAACAAATTTTGAAACATTTCGCATCTCATCTTATACAATAATTAATCATTACTATGACGCCTAAAAGAAAGATTGGTAAGTCAGATATTAAATCTAAGAGAACAAAAGCGAGTGAAGATGATTTGTTGTCGGTTAAAGAGTTGAAAAAGTTGAGCAATGAAATAAATGAGGCATCTAAGTTTAATAATTTCATCACTTTAATAAATCAATTATCAATAGTCAAATCAAGATTAACAAGTAAAGAAGATCATGAAATAGAGTCGACAGGTAGAAATTTATCAGTTTTAATATTCAAGAATTTCCAAACTTTATTTAAAAATGGTTTATTTAAGAAAAACTCCTCAGATTCAAATGACCAGGCGCTAATTAAAAAATGGATATTTGACAAATATTTAAATTTCAAGAAATTGACTTGTCAGTTTCTTACAGATAAATTATCATTCGACTCATCCTTACAATTGGATTTATTAGATATCTATCTCAATTTAATTAAACTTGAAAATAATAATGATTCACAATTTCCTATCCAAACTTATAAACAACTAATTGAAGCTTTATTAACGAGTAAAAATGGTGAAATATTATCGAATGGGATAACTGACAACTTTATAGTCATTGAATTTATCGAAAAATTTAAACCCCACTACGATTTGCAATTTTATTTTTTTCAAAATATACCAGAAAAGCCAAATAAATTACAAATTTCCAACTTTTTAACCATTGTAAGAAATGAGTTAAGTTTACAAGATGATTTAAATAATGTTGTGACATTTTGTAAACATTTATCACCAAATATATACAAACCGCAAGTTTTTAAATCAAATTTTCAAAAATGTATAACTACCATTTTATCAAATCAGTTGTCCACACCCCAAATCAAATCCGTGTTATCAATATTACATAAACGTATTATTCCATATATGTCACAACCACAACAATTAATGGATTTTCTCACTGATTGTTACAATACAAATGAAGAAATTATTATCCCAATCCTTGCACTTAATTCATTATGGGAATTAATGAAGAATTATAATTTAGAATATCAGGATTTTTATACAAAATTATATTCATTAATTACTCCAAATTTATTATATACAAAATATAGATCAAGATTTTTTAGATTATGTGATTTATTTTTAAGTTCAAGTCATTTATCAGCAAATTTAATAGCATCATTCATAAAAAGGTTAAGTAGAATTTCACTAATTTCAAGTGGTCCAGGTGTAGTTATCATAATTCCATTTATTTACAATTTATTGAAAAGACATCCAACATGTATGATTATGATTCATAATACAAATAATTCAAAAGATGAATTTAATAATTTAGAAAAAGATCCATTATTAACTAATGCTATAAATTCATCATTATGGGAATTAAATTCTTTAACTTCACATTATCATCCAAATATAGCTACTTTATGTAAAATTTTCGGTGAACCATTTAGAAAACCAAATTATAACTTAGAAGATTTCTTAGATTGGAATTATGTAACATTATTAGAAAGTGAAAATCTGAGAAAATTTAAAGAAAAAGCAACTGCTTTAGAATTTGAACAATTTGACAGTTTACTAAAAACTGATGAATCAAAAGAGTCTGATAATATATTTTTAGAAAATTGGAAATTAGTTTGAAATATATAACTGGTAGCGTAATATTTCCTATTTAGGACAATTAATTATTTAAATACGAAACACGTCTTAAATTTAAATTTAAATTTTTAAATTTTTTCGCAGCATTAAATATATATTTTCTTTTTCGACTAACCAACATGGATACTTCAACGCAAGGTGAACAACCCATTGATGCTATATTTGGAGATAGAGTTAGAAGATTTCAAGAATTTTTAGATAGAATTGATACAAATACTGGAAATGATTATCGTCAACAAATTAAACAAATGTTAATTAAATCTAAATTTAGATTACAAATTTCAATTGATGAAATTAGAGATTTTGATCGAGAATTTTGGTATGGTTTATTAAATCATCCTGCTGATTATTTACCGGCTTGTGAAAGAGCATTAAGAGAAACTGTTTTAACTATTTATGATCCTCATGATCCTGCTTTCCCATCAGATTATGATTCAAATCAACAATATTATTTAAGTTTTAAAGGTGCTTTTGGTTCACATTCAGTTACTCCAAGATTAATTGATTCTTCATATTTATCTAAAATGATCTCAGTTGAAGGTATTGTTACTAGAACTTCATTAGTTAGACCAAAAGTTATTAGATCGGTTCATTATGCTGATAAAACTGGTAGATTTTATGCAAGAGAATATAAAGATAATACTACTTCATTTGATGCTATTCAAACTCCTGCAATTTATCCAACTGAAGATATGGATGGTAATAAATTAATTACAGAATATGGTTATTCAACTTATAGAGATCATCAAAAAATTTCAATGCAAGAAATGCCTGAAACTGCACCTGCTGGTCAATTACCAAGAAATGTTGATGTTATATTAGATGATGATTTAGTTGATTTAGTTAAACCTGGTGATCGTATACAAATTGTTGGTGTTTATAGATCATTAGGTGGTGGTGGTAATAATAATACAAGTTTTCCAACTGTTGTTTTAGCAAACTCAGTTTATCCATTACATGCAAGATCATCCGGTGTTGCTTCACAAGAAAAATTAACTGATCAAGATATCAGAAATATAAATAAATTATCAAAGGATAAAAAAATTTTCAATATTTTATCAAATTCTTTAGCTCCTTCAATTTATGGATTTGAATACATTAAGAAGGCCGTGTTGTTAATGTTATTAGGTGGTGTTGAAAAAAATTTAGATAATGGTACTCATTTAAGAGGTGATATTAATATTTTAATGGTCGGTGATCCATCAACTGCAAAATCACAAATTTTAAGATTTGTTTTAAATACTGCTTCATTAGCAATTGCAACTACTGGTAGAGGTTCTTCAGGTGTTGGTTTAACAGCTGCTGTTACTACTGATAAAGAAACTGGTGAAAGAAGATTAGAAGCAGGTGCAATGGTTTTAGCTGATCGTGGTATTGTTTGTATTGATGAATTTGATAAAATGTCCGATATTGATAGAGTTGCAATTCATGAAGTTATGGAACAACAAACTGTTACTATTGCAAAAGCAGGTATTCATACATCTTTGAATGCAAGATGTTCAGTTATTGCAGCTGCAAATCCAGTTTATGGTCAATATGATGTTCATAAAGATCCACATAAAAATATTGCATTACCAGATTCTTTATTATCACGTTTTGATTTATTATTTGTTGTTACTGATGATGTTCAAGCTGCGAAGGATAGAATTATTTCAGAACATGTTTTAAGAATGCATAGATTTATACCGCCTGGTTTAGCTGAAGGTGAACCAATTAGAGAAAAATCAAATGTTACATTAGCTGTTGGTGATGATCAAACAAATGAACAAGAATTATTAGAACAACCAATTTTTGAAAAATTTAATGCTTTATTACATGCTGGTGTTAAAACCAATTCTAAAAAAACACCAACAATTTTATCAATTCCATTTTTAAAGAAATATATTCAATATTCAAAACAAAGAATAAAACCAGTATTAACTAAACCAGCAGCTGATCATATTGTTTCAACGTATTCATCACTAAGAAATGATTTAATTGGAAATAATCAAAGAAATACTGCTCCAATAACGGCAAGAACTTTAGAAACATTAATTCGTTTAGCTACTGCTCATGCAAAAGTTAGATTATCAAAAACTGTTGATATAAAAGATGCTAAAGTTGCTGAAGAAATGTTGAGATTTGCATTATTTAAGGAAGTTGCAAAAAAGACAAAGAAAAAGGCAAGAAATGATGTTGAATTATCTGATAGTGAAAGTGAAAGTGAAAGTGAAGAAGAAGTGGTAATACCGAGAACTACAAGAAGAACAAGACAACAAGCAAGAGAACAACAAGAAGAACCAGAACAAGTTCAAGAAGAAATACCAGAAATTAGTGAAGAATTAGATACTCTTCACCTATCTCAACCCCAACCATTAGCTGAAAGAAATCAAAATACAACTGGACAAAGAATACTAAGTGGTGAAAGATTTCAAACACTTAAAACTTTAATAGCTAGAATTGCTCAAACTGAAATTTTTGCCAATGATGAAGGTTGTGCACCTACTGAAACTGTTCTTAATGCACTTAATGAAGATTTACAACAAGAAGACAAATTCTCAGAATCAGAATTTGAATACGGAATTCAAAAATTACTTGAAAGTGGTAACATTATGATATCTGAAGGTAAAATATATAGAGTTTAATTTTAATGAATAATACGAGAGCATAACAAAAAAAAAAATAATTCAATTTACAACCAAACTCTATAAATGAAAAAGATTGAAGATGTGCAATCAGATACACCTTCTGAAACATCAAGTAAGACAGCAAGTAATATAACGAAGCCTGAAACATCAGGAAAGATAACTAAAAAGAAGAAAAAGAATAGGAATCAGAAAAAACGACAATTAAGAAAATTAAAGAAACAATTAATTGAAAATCATAATATAGATTCGTCTGGTGATGAATATTATTCAACTCATGAATGGTTTGAAGAAGAAAAAGCTCTCTATAATGAAGGTTACGATGATGGTTATCAAGCTGGATTAGATGCAGGATTATATGAAAGACGTGATATAGTCTATTATAATGACGAATTATTGACTCATGATTATGATTCCTTACCTTCAAATGTTAAAAAATTTTGGAGTCGAAGGTATGATTTATTTTCAAGATTTGATGATGGAATATGTTTAAATGAAGTTTTATGGTATTCTGTAACACCAGAAGTTACTGCAGAAAATATAGCTGATTATTTATATAAATTAAATCCAGATGCAAAAAATATTTTGGATTTATGTTGTGGCGGTGGTGGGAACACAATTCAATTTGCCTTGAAATTTGAAAATGTAATGGCAATAGATATAAATTCCACTCATTTACATTGCACACGTCATAATTGTGAAGTATATGAAGTTGGTGATAAATTATTGACATTACAGGGTGATTGGAATCAATTAGCGAAAAATTTTAAGTGGGTTCCATTTGAATATGAAACAAAACCTTTTGATTTTATATTTTGTTCCCCACCGTGGGGTGGTACTGATTATGATCGATCATCATTTGATGTATATGATATGGAACCTTTTTCATTACCTGATTTATTACATCAATGTTATAAATTTTCAAATAATATAGCATTATATTTACCAAAATCTTCAAATATAGGTCAATTAAATAGTGCTTCAGAAGAAGTATTTGGAGATGCAGATACTTATAGAATTGAAAATATTTATGATAAAACTGGAAAGAGAATTTTGGCAATCATGGTTGTTTGGGCAAATTTAGTATAGAAACAATTAATATACCAATTTATTTAACAATATATTAAATGATTTATATACAAGTAAAAGTTATCAAATTTATTCAGACTTTGGTTGTTCTGATGATGATGATGAAGATTGTTCACCATCTTTATAAACATCTTTGAACAAATTGATTGAGTCATTTTGAATTTCTTCAATTTTAGTTTTTAATTCTTCTGGGTTAACTTCTTCACCAGCTTGAACTTTAACAATTAATTCTCTAACTGATGAAATTTTAGCTTTTAATTCATCAGCTTTTGTAGTATCAATTTTGTCTTTAAATTCAGTTAAACTATTTTCAGTATCCAAGATTACTGAATCAGCTCTATTTGCAGTTTCAATTGATTCTCTTCTTGCTTTATCTTGTTCTGAGTATTTTTCAGCATCATTAACCATTTGTTCAATTTCAGCATCTGATAAACCTGATGAACCAGCAACAGTTATTGAGGCATCTTTATTAGTAGCTTTATCTTTAGCTGAAACTTTAATTATACCATCTGAATCTAAGTCAAATGTAACTTCAATTTGTGGAACACCTTTTGGAGCTGGTGGAATACCTGATAATGTGAAATTACCAATTAATTTATTATCTCTAGTTAATTCTCTTTCACCTTGGAAAACTCTAATTTCAACACTTGTTTGACCTGCACTTGCTGTTGAAAAAACTTGTGATTTTTTAGCTGGAATTGTAGTATTTCTATTAATTAATCTTGCAAAAACACCACCCATAGTTTCAATACCTAATGATAATGGAGTAACATCTAATAAAACAACATCTTTAACTTCACCAGCTAAAATACCACCTTGAATAGCAGCACCCATAGCAACAGCTTCATCTGGATTAACAGCAGTACTTGGTTTTTTACCAAAGATTGATTTAACAGTTTCAACGACTTTTGGCATTCTTGACATACCACCAACTAAAATAACTTCTGAAATATCAGATGTTGATAAACCAGCATCTTTCAAAGCTTTTTTACATGGTTCTATAGTTTTTTTAATTAATGGTTCAACCAAATTTTCAAATTGTGCTCTTGAAATTTTTTGATTAATATGTTTTGGACCTGATGCATCAGCAGTAATAAATGGTAAATTAATTTCAGTTGAAACAGTTGATGATAACTCAATTTTAGCCTTTTCTGCAGCTTCTCTAATTCTTTGAATAGCCATTCTATCTTTTTCTAAATCAATACCAGTTTCTTTTTTGAAATTTTCAACAATATTTCTAACTAAAGTAATATCAAAATCTTCACCACCTAAATGAGTATCACCATTAGTTGATTTAACTTCGAAAACACCGGCACCAATATCTAAAATTGAAATATCAAAAGTACCACCACCTAAATCGAAAACAGCAACAACTTCACCATCTTTTTTTTCTAAACCATAAGCTAATGCAGCAGCAGTTGGTTCATTAACAACTCTTAAAACATTTAAACCGACAATTTTACCAGCATCTTTAGTAGCTTGTCTTTGAGCATCATTGAAGTAAGCTGGACAAGTAACAACTGCAGAATTAATTTTTTTATTTAAAGCAGATTCAGCAGTTTCTTTCATTTTATTTAAAATAAAACCACCAATTTGTTGTGGAGAATATTGTTCACCTCTAGCTTCTAACCAAGCATCACCATTACCATGTTTAACAATATGATAAGGAACTTGTTTAATATCTCTTTGAACTTCAGGATCTTCATATTTTCTACCAATTAATCTTTTAGTTGCAAATAAAGTATTTTCAGGATTAACAACAGCTTGTCTTTTAGCTGGAATACCGACTAATCTTTCACCATCTTTAGTAAAAGCAACAATTGATGGAGTAGTTCTACCACCTTCACTATTTTCTAAAATTTTTGGAGTTTTACCTTCCATAACTGCAACAGCAGAATTGGTAGTACCCAAATCAATACCAATAACTGGACCTGTTGGAGCAGCAGCTTGAGTTGATTGAGCTCTAATAAAGTTTTTAGAAAATTTCTTCAAAGATTGTCTAGCTGATAACATTGCTTGAATAATTTAAAATACTTAAAAGAAAGATATGTGAAAATTTTTATACTTGAGTCGTTTAATGCGAAATGGAATTTGATAGACGAAAAAAGAAAAAAATTGTTTCCATGACTTCATAGTATCACGTGAATTAGCTACCCATCTATATCTGGCGGCAAATTGCCATTCATAATCCATGTTAATGATTTATCACCTCTAAATTTCTCAATAAAATCAATAATTTCATCGGCCAGTTTACCATATTTAATCATACCTCTCTGTATAGCATCGCACAATTTTTTTCTTCTTTGAAATCTTTTTGATTCTTTACTTCTTGAATCACCTCTCCATACATGTTTACCATATTTTGCATCTAATTCACATAAAGGTTCTTGTCCTTTATAACCTTTATAAAATTCATCATATATTTCTCTTATAGTAGTTGGATTATGTAAGAATAATATATTCATTTTTTTTTCAATTTTTTTACGTTTTGGTCTTGGTTGTTCAATTGGTTTTGGATGTTGTTGAGGTTGTGGTTCTTGTAAAGCAGGATCCATATTACTTTCGAATCCAATTTGATTATGTAAATGTTGCTGATGTAATCTTTGTTGATGTTGTTGAATTTGTAAATTATTTAAATGAGATGGTGATGGTGGTTCATTATTTAATTCATTAGTTTCTGGTAGACTTTCAACTTCTACATCATTTAAAGCATTTAATACATCTTCATCATGTTGTTGTTTGGCTAATTTATTATCTTCAATTAAATCTGTATATAATTTTGATAATTTATCAATTTTAGTATTTTGAAAATCGACAATTTGTCGTAGTAATGAAACTTCTTGTTGTAATGTATAAAATTTATCATTAAATTTTGTTTCTAAATTTTTAATTCTTTTTGATTCACTTCCCATGGTTGCAAAATGTCGGAATGTTGTCTTATTTGTTTATGATTTGATTTGGGTTTGAATTAGAAATGTCACACAAAATTTTAAAGTAACTACCAAATGAAGAGACGATTGGTAGGGACACGAAAGAAAATAACAAAGTTTAATTACAAAGTTTATTCTAGAGAACATAACATCAATAATTACCTACAACTGTGAAATATAACTGTTTCAATAATTTTGATGATATTTAACTTTTGCTCGTCTACTTTGTATTTTTAACTATGGCTGGATCGATGATAATCAAAAGTCGGATAAAAAGTTTACTTGTGACATTTTTACTTGTGACATTCTATTTGTCCACACCACTAAATTCTAGGCTCATCTATTCAAATATCCATAATTAAGAGAAGTATTTGATTGTTTGTAGAGCTTTTTCAATGTCAAACATTTTTATTGCATTGAAAAAACATATAATCCGACCATTATTAGCATTAAAATCAATATCAGCATTTCTATTGCTACCATTTTTGGATTCAGCAAAACATTGGCTCTCGAATGATACCAATATCAATATATTTTGAGTATATATTGGACTCGTGAGTCCCGTCCGAGATTTGCTGAATTTTTAGGGATTTTTTCAGAGGTATTTTTTTTGCTTTCTCGGTATAGATTTCATTTTTCAAAATTGCCTATTTAGGCAATGCGCACAAATTTAAGATTCAAAAATGCGCATTTTCGAAGATCTGAAACACGTTAATCTTGTTAATCTTGGAAATATTAAAGCACTAGTGCTATTATATTAAAAGTTTAAATATGTTTTTTACTATTCGTCTTGAAGTTTAAAAGGTTAAACTCGTTTGGTAATGGTGTTGATTGGGTCACATATTGATACTACTGAAGTTTATGAAAAATTGGGGAAAAATTGGGAAGAAACAGGAAAAACATAGGCCATGAGAGAGCACTTTATCCGTAACTGCCATCTTTTGATGTCACAGCTAATGTTTGTGAATTTTTTAATATTGTAGAATGTACATTTATACTTCATATACACTCCAACCAAGCTAAGCACTATCAGCCAATTGAGAAGTGTTTAGTTCTTTTATTGTCTTCCGTAAACCCATCTACTGCAATATCTTCTTTAAGTTGATCATTAGTAGATTCATTTTTTGTATTCTTCTCTTGTAGAAGCAATCTTTGTAATTTCATCTTCAGCATTGGAATCTTCTCTTGCGTCTGCCCCTGAAGAATCATTATCTCTGATTGATTTATTTTTTAACTTATTTGAGCTGACCAGTTTCAATATTTGACGCATATGAGTTTGATTCAGTTATTATATTAGCAACATTTGTAGCTGATTCACCATTTTCCAAAACAATGCCATAATGTTGAACTAATCACTTTTCAATTATAACATTCTTAAGCTTTTTTACTTCTGCCTTTGTTGAAGGGCTCGTTTTAAAAGTTTCTATATTGTTCAATCAATTTATTAAATATTCATTAAATTCTGGTAATGCCCTATGATCTGTATTGATAAATCTGATTAACTTCTTTACGTATTGATAAAAATTCATTAAATGTGATTGATGTGAAACGATGAATTGAAATTGAATGTGTTTGAAATTAAATTAGTTTGAATAATTAATAATTAACGATATATTTTTTTTTTTACTTTTATATTTCTCGCACCCTTAGATTAAGATACGAGATCTGAGATCCAGATCTGAATCTGAAGCGGCTGTATACGAAAATATTTTAAAACTACTATTTTTTCATTCAAAGATTGTATAAGTCGAGTTAAAAAAGATGAGATAGTATAATATGTCTATTTCTATAAGAGAAATTACTAAGATGAAAGTAGTGTAAATGATTCGATTTAGTGTTCATTAATTAAATCTATTTCTCTAATGATAATTGGCTTAAACTATGAGCTAAGCCAAAAGTTCTTTTCAATGACGAATTGGTTGATCTTCCTCTTGTATACTTTATAGTTCCATAAGTTTTAGATCTAATTGAATTCGAATTTTGGATTGAAAAGACATCATCATCATCATCATCATCTTCTTCTTCTTCTTCTTCATCTTCCGATGAATAATCTAACATATCAGCCAATATTGATTCTCTTTTAAGTATTCTATCTTTAAAATCACCTTCTTTATTATTTGAACCTATAGTATCAGTTTCAGTTTCAATAGATGTATAGATTGAAGAAGTTGATTCAACTTCATTATCTGATTTTATTGTTGATTCTTTATCAAAATTAATCTGAACTGGTGTTGTAGTCTCAAGTAAATAATTTTGAAACATTTCAATTTCATGACGTAGTTGAATACGTTTAAATAAAACAAATCGTAAATAACAATGCCATAATTGATGAATATTTTCTTGAGCAACTGCCGAGTCAACTTTTTGTAAGTCTACACTTTGTTCATCTTTATGTATTGGTTTTGATATTTGTTTTTGAAATGATGCATCTAAATGTGGTGGAAGTGAAGGAGCAATACTTTCAAATTCACTTAAATTTTCATCAAAATTGGGAGATGGTAATTGAACAAATTCATTTGGAGGTGATGGTTTCTTTTGTAATTTTTCTTGTTCTTGAATATAATTCGATAAATGTCGTTCTTTTGGATTTGAATCTTCTTGAGTATAAATTTGTTGATCTCTTGGATTTAAATCTCCAATTTTTCTAATTTTAAAAACTGGTTGTTGACCTAAATTTGGATTCGTTATTGGATTTGATATTTGTTGTTTAACATGTTTATTTTGTGGATTTGATCTTTGTTTTCTAATTAATGTTTTTGATCTCTTCATTGAAACTTTTCGTTTATTTGAAACTTTGAAAATCTTTTGACGTAATTTTTTAAAAAACAATTTTAGCCTATACCATTTTGATCCTTGTTTTATCTTAATTGCCTTTGTACGTTTTAAGGATGAGGTAATTGAAGATTGTCTAGTTAATTGTACATTCGAAGATTTTGAATTTCGTTTCTTTAACCATTTAGATTTTGATCTTTTAGTAGGTACTATACTTGAATCTTGTCTTGTTGAGAAAATAGTAGCTTGAGAACCCATTGAATCAGAAATATCCCTTAATGGTTCTTCTTCTCTTGATGATAAATTATCTAATCTTTGAGAAAGATAAGGATTTTGTTGGTCAATTATAAATTGTGAAAATCTTTTTGGAATTGGATTATAATCTACTTGTTGTTTTGGTTCAATATTAAAATTATCAATTGATTTATCTAAATAATAAGTAGGGAATGAAATTGGTAATGATTTAGTTGAAGTTGATTCAACTTCCAATCTATTCATAATACGTTGATTTTTATCATATTTAAATTCAGGTGGAGGAAATTGAGGAACAGACATTTGAATGATAAAGAAACCAACTTTTAAAATTGAATCAAAATCATGATTTTATAAATCATTGAAAATCAAATCAAAGATCTTGGTATAAGATGGCTGGTTGATTTGGTCCAAAACCAGCACGAACAAAAAAAATAAAAAAAAAAAAAATGATAAAATAAAATTATACGAACAGAAAATCAACTTTTATATATTTCTAACTTTTATTAAATTTTAGTTGGGGCTAAACCAACTGCATTCTTTTTCAAATCATAAACAGAATAATATTTTCTTAAAAATGCATCACCAACAATTGCTAAATCACCAATTGGTTCTGGGAAATCCATTGGAGTAAAAGCAGAAATACATGAACCACCAACTTCTAAAGTATAATCATAAGCAGTTAATGTAAAATTGTAACCAGAAAAATTTAAAGTTAAATCAGGTAATGAATCTCTTTTATCACAATCAACTTGATATTGACCAGACCAAGATTTTTGTGCACCAATTTTAGCGTTTATAATTTCAGCTAAAGTTGATGGTAAAGTAATTAATGAAGTACCAGTATCAATTGCAGCACCAGTTTTTGTTAATTCAGCATATTCGTCACCTAAACCAATACCATCAAATGAAACTTCCCAGTAAGCTTTTCTTCTAACAGGTAACCAAGTTAATTTACCTTGAAATTTACTTTCATCATAACCACCAAAAGTAGCTAAACCACCATCTTCTTCATTTTTATTAGTATCACCTAAATAAAAACCAAATTGTGGAGAATCTAATAAACCTTGATTTATAGCATTATAAATTGGAGGTACAACTTTATTAACTGATATAGTATCATAAGCTAAACCTAATATACCATCAAATTTACCAAATGCAAAAGCTAAACCAGGTTCAGAAGTAGCTTCTGCAAAATCTTGTTTTGGAATAATTAAATCACCAATTGCTAAAATATCTTGAGATATATAACCTTCCATTGAACCAGAACCATATTGAATTGAAAATTCACTACCATTTGCTTTATAAGTTGAAGATTCATCATGTTCATATTTTTGATGTAAATAACAAGCTAATGAACTACAATCTTGTGAAGGAACCCATAAATTTGATGATCCAGTATCTAAGATAACTTTAAAAGATTGACCAGGAGTACCCAATTGAATTTCAGTAAAATATTGCGCATTAAGATAATTGGTTAATGGAGCTTCAAATTGACCTTTACCTTGTTCAACAAATGGAACTTGTTCTTGTTGTTGTAAAATACTTTGAGCAACAGGATTACCAACATGATGATTAAACATATTAATATATTTATTAGTTAAACCATTAGTATATTCTTGAAACACCTGAGGATTTAAAGTTTCATCATTTGATAATCGGGTTAATTTTGAACTAAATTGTTTACTATCAACTGTTGATGCTAATAAAGTAGCAATTAAAGATAAGACTGCTAATTGCATTATTGAATAAAGTATTATTACTAGTTTTTAATAATATTGATAAAATTCAATGGAAGGCAAAAGAAGTTGTGCTGAAATGAAGTAAGTAAAAGAAAAAAGCAAAATTGATAAAGGAGTTTTGGTTAACTTTTTTTTTGAGTGATAGCTAAGAATTATTTATTATGTAATATATTACATAAGTTTTAATTAGGCTGCCATTTGCCAATTTTGTAACTTATTGTTCTACTTTAAGACAATATTCGGGGGTCGTGTACCACGAACTGTTCCATTTTAGATAGATTTGCAACCAATATTGAAAGTGGAACTTACGATTACTATTTGAGTGTCTCTCAGTAATATAAAAGAGTTTGGTTGGTATCAAGTGGCATGAACTTCGACCGCTAGATTGTTACGATATTTGTGCGGATTTAATGCCTATTTTGGATGCGGCTTGTACTTAATGAAGGAATAAAACCGAGCTCGTCTGGCCGTGGTCACTTTTAACATAATAGTAATTAGTAAGTAAAGTCAAACTCATTTTCAGCTCAAGATAGAGCATTTTTATCAATACAATAGTAATATTAAAACGTCAGAATTAATTGTCACTTTCGTTGTTTAGTGTCTTTTTTTTTGATCTAGTGTCTTTTTTTTCGGTTTCAAAGGATCCACGACACTTTTAAATTTTGCGGCATCTTTTTTTATAGCAAATCTCATTTTACAACCAAAACTTTAGATCGATGAGCAGTTTCTTTAAATCAAGAGTCGAAAATTATATCGCTAAAACTCCAATAAGATTTAGAAATAGAAATGACTCAAGTAAATCAATAAATGTTCCAGAAATTTTACAAAATTCAATTGAAGAATTTCAATCAAATTATCAATTTTATATAAATCCAATTTTATCTTCAGGTCATACTCAAACTGCTTATACTGCTATAAATAAATTTGAAAATCAACATCATGTATATTATAAAAGAAAAATTATAACTATTGAAAATAAAACTTATAAAATTCCAAATACAAATGATTTTTTGAAATACGATCAATGGCAAGGTGAAAGTACAATTGCAATTGATTTTGCAATCCCCAAAGAAAAAGCATCTGATGATATTTTCAAATTTAAACCTGAATCTCAATTATCTGAATTACCTCCAAGAACTGAATTTGCTGACCCAAAAGAAGAAATTATTGAAAATAACGATGAGAAACCATTGTTAATTGTTTTACATGGATTAAGTGGTGGTTCTTATGAAGCTTATATAAGAGCAGTATTGGAGAAAATTATAAGTGATGAGTACAATTTTGATGCTATTGTCTTGAATTCAAGAGGTTGTGCAAAACATACAATCACATCACCACAATTATATAATGGATTATGGACAAATGATTTAAGATATTTAATTAATGAAATAGTGACAAAAAAGTATAGTAAGAAACGTGTTTATCTTATGGGTTTCTCTCTCGGTGGTGCAATTTTAGCAAATTATCTTGGTCAAGAAGGTCAATATATTTCAAATCAAATTAAAGGTGCTTGTTGTTTCGGAACTCCTTGGGATTTCCCAGATGGTGCTATACATTTAAGAGAATCTATAATTGGTCATAAAATTTATTCTCCTACAATGTGTTCAAATTTATTAAAATTATTAAATAGTCACGGTATACTTGAAAATAATCAATTTATTGAAGAATATAAAAATAATCCATCAAATTATAATATTAAATTTTTGAAACAATTTGATGATTTTTTTACATCTAAATTATTTGGTTTAAATTGTGCTGATGAATATTATAGATTAGCATCACCAATTCAAAGAGTTTTAAAAGTTAGAGTCCCATTATTGATTATAAGTTCAAAAGATGATCCAATTACTGGATGTAGGTCATTACCATATGCAGAAACAAATTTGAATCCATATATAACAATGATTACAACTACAATTGGAGGTCATCTTGGTTGGTTTACATGGAATGGTGATAGATGGTATACAAAACCAATTTGCCAATTTTTTAAAAATCTAAATGAATATGATGTAGATAAGCAAAGTATAGAAGAGAAAGATTTACCTATGGATATCTCAAAATCATGGAAATTTGATAGATTAATCAATGGAATGTTAGAATAAATAAAGACCTTGATTAAAATAAACGAAAGAAAAAAAATAAATTTATACGAATGTCAAATTCTAAACAAAATAATAATCAGAATAATAACCATAATAACCATAATTCTAATCATAAATGGATAAATCAATTACGTTTGTTACCTTCAAAGCCAAATTCAAATGATTTTTTAAAGTTGGAATATTTAGAAGTAAATTTAAATAATTCAAGAAAATTAATTAATAATTTAAATGAGTTAAGTAAGAATACAAATGATTACTTGGATAACTTAAATTTACAAGTCAATGGTAATTTAGTACAGATTAAACATATAGAGAAAGAATTGGATTGGTTACCAAAGTGAAAAGTCATGGAACACGAGGAACTTCTAATTCTCACCAGGGCATACATACGGATAATAGCTGGTCTATCTCGGTGTAGTCACATGGTAGAATACTATAACGAGACTATAGGAATTTGATACAGTTCCTGAAAGGCAGAATAATAAGTCCGTCTCAAAATAACCAAATATACAATTTTAAAGACCTAGATTTTCAATTTAGACCATAGATGATTTTATTTACATGAATTGTTAATAAAAGATTATTTCCTCCATCATTTCTTATTTGCCTTCTCACGTAACCTTTGCATCAATAAATAGTCATCAATTGGATTCTTGATTTCGTTAATATCAGTCATAAATCTGAGATCATTTTTACAGACTACATTTCATTTTGAAATTTTGATTCATACAAAGATGTCACGAATGTTATAAGGGTGTTGATATATCAACATTTTGTGGTACCAATAATGCAATGCTTTGAAACTTGCAGTATATTTACAATTCGGAAAATTTTTAGTTTCATAATTTTTAAGTTTTGAAATTAAAGATGGTTCAAACATTGAATACTTGACAATTGCAGAGTAATATTGTTGTTCCTTAAATTCCAAAATTTTATTTCTCAAAGTTTCATAATCTCTTAGTGCTTTATTGTGAGAATAATTGACACTCTCATAATGAAGTCTATCTTTCTTCCATCTACAACCTTGGCATATTATATGACCTCGAAAATTTAGATAAATTCAAATTTCCAAAGAACTTAAAATACCTATCGCTTTTTGGAATTGAGAATTTGGAGTCTACCAATTTTACAAATATATCGGAGCTTAAATTTCCAAGCAGAATTGAAATGGGATTTACGACAAATGATGTCTTTAATGATATCGGCATTAAAACAAGTTGTAAAGTTGTCAAATTAAGATATGATCTCTAAATTTAATTGTAAGTTTGAGGTGCCTTGAACACATTATGAAACAAATATATTTAATGCCACGATATATAAATTCTATATAAATAAGCCCATGAAAAAACCCAATCGAAGTAAAATAATACATAAAACTTGTTGAAAAAGTTTGAAAAAGTCTAAGATCTATGACCATTATTTTGATCGTCATCTTTATCGCCATCTTTATCGCCATCATCATCATCATCTGTGATTATAAATTCTTCCAATGCAATTGACGATGAATCATCATTTAATTCATTATACTTACCATTATTTTCCAAATCTTGTTCTTTCACATTACTACTTGAAATCTTTTCCGGTTTAAATTTTAATATTACAATAGCATTACCAATAATTAAAAAAATACCCAAAAAACTTAATAATCCAGGTGTATGATGCCAAATTGTTAAATCCCATATAATTGCAAATACCATTCCAGAATAAGCCATAAGACTTGCTCTACTTGCTTTAACCCTTTGAATACCAGCAGTTAAACTAAATTGCATAAAAAATCCCGAAAATCCAATAATGAAAAATAAAAACCATTGATAAGAATTTGAAGGTAATATAAATGATAAACCAGGTAAGATTAAAATTGTAATAAAGGTGACAATGCAGCATATCAATGCAAAATAGCTGACTGATAATAATGGATGAGCATTCATACCAATTTTACGTAAAACAATATAAACACAAGATGCACCACAAACACCAATTAAACCAACAACAGTAGCAATTATTCTCTTTTCAGTACTCGCACTTTCTATAGATTCATCAATTGAATTTGTTTCATTATCTGAAATTGAACCAAATATAAATGAAGGTTTTGCAATTAAAACAACACCACCTAATGAAAAAATTGAACAAATAGCTTCCAAAATTGAGTATTTTTCTTTTAATATACAAAATGCTAAGAATGCAGTAACCATTGGAATTAAAAATGTAATTGCAACAGCATCTGACAAACTTAAATATTGTAAAGAATAATACATACCAAAAACTCCAAAAAATCCAACTAAACCTCTCATGATTAATAATTTTCTAATTGGTTTAGGTCCTAATGGTGCTTCAGGTACTGATTTAGTTATAAACATGTATAATAAACAACAAATATAAGTTATAAACATTCGAACAAATAAAATTTGTAATGGATGAATTGGTTTATTGAAATCTTTATCAGTGACTAATAATTTACAAGTTGTAACCATGATGGAGTTTAAAAATTGTGAAAATAGAAGTAAGGAAATACCAACATTTGGTAGAATCCAATTATTTTTGAAATTAATAATGAACAATTTGATTTTGTTGAAAGTTGATATATTACCGAAATCGTGCTTATAAGACTCATTATTGAGAGAAAATGAATCTAGCGAAATTGATGACGATGAAAATTCATTAGTTTGGTTGTTTAATGAATTATTGTCATTGGTACTTTTATTTTTATCATAATTCAATGATGTTGGCAAGGCCAAAGGAGTTGATTGATTCGAGTTATTTTCTTCAGCGTCTGTTTCTTCATTAGCATAATTCAGTTTTTGTAGCTCTTGAATCGGTTGATCTTTACCATTTGATATAATAATTGGATCAGGAACCAAAGGTTGGTTATTCAACACAGTATTTGAAGAAGTATTACTTAGCTCGGTATCATTGTCATTATGATTTAGGCTCTTTGACATAACTTTTCCAAAAATTTAATGAGTTAAAATTGAATATATAGAATACAGTATAATATCTCTTTCTTTTCTATAAGGGATATCTAATCGATAAAAAATTTAATTCGATGCATAATTGATTATGAAATATTCAAAACTTTAATCTCTGATGCTGCGCGGCGTAGAAAAAAGAATATTCCGACATTTGATAGGAGAAGAAATGGCTGCAAAATCGTACTTTATAACGCATAAACTTAGTTGTATCTTACTTTATTGTGAAATTTGAACTGTTTAAGAACTTTCGTATTATTAATGTTTAATTATGTTTAATCTCATTAAACATCGAAGCCATACTTTGTATAATGAATTCAAAGCCATAATCATAAATTTAGCAGCCAAAGACTAAAAAAATTAAAATATTACATAATGCATTACATATTATATGCATAGTGTTTAATTTGAAACGCAAATTATAACCGAGAGTTGATTGATTTTCTGAAACAGTTTTTCCGTTTTAAATTAATTATTCAACCGACAAGTAGTTATATTAAAATGTTCAGTGATTTTTTGATCGCTTAAGTTTCAACATTATCTAGCTAAATTATTTGCTAATACTTGTTATAAATTTCCGACAAATCTCAGCAATTTGTTGAATTAAATTTTGACAAAGAAAATTTCAAGAAAAATATTTGACAATAGGTTTGAAAACTTAATTTTATCAACTGGTCGAGGCCGGGGCGTTTCTTTAAAGCGAGAATAAAAATGTACGGGACAGAGGCAAAAAAAAATTAAACCAAATTTTGTACAACTAAGGGCCGAATAGTTTATTCTCAAGTCAGAGAGAGAGACTGGAATAAAACCTTATTGTTACTCATACCCTATATTAACCTAATTCTATTTACAAAATTATGCAACACCCATTTGTTGTTTTCTCATTATTTAATAAACTTATCCTAGTTGCACATTCAAAAATATCATCAACACCTTCACCAGTTAAAGCTGAACTTTCTAAATAATTCTTTCCACCAATTTCTTGTGCAACTAGTTTACCTTGATCGTATTGAACATATTTATTTGAATTCTTCCTCAAGTCTTTCTTTAATCCACATAATAAATATGGAACCTTCGGACAATGTTGTTTAACTTCTTCAACCCACTTTGTCCTCGCGTTATCTAATGAATCTGGTGCATCTATACTAAGTGCAATTAATATAACATGAGAATTATTATAACTTAATGGTCTTAATCTTTCATATACTTCTTGTCCTGCAGTATCCCATAATGCTAATTGTACTGATTTACCATCTATTCTACAATTAGTTACATAATTTTCAAATATCGTGGGATGATATTCGGTAGGAAATTCACCAAGGGTGAAGACATATAATAATGAAGTTTTTCCACATGCACCATCTCCAACTATAATTAATTTCCTTTTTATCACATCAATAGCCATTGACACATATGACTATTGATTTTGAAGAAACAATTAAGATTATCTGAAGGTTTTTTTTTTTTTTTTTCAACTATTTAGACGATCTAGAATACGATAAAGAAAGAAGTTTAATTTATACAATGATGGATACTTATATTGAACTCGTTACTATATACTTTTTCATTACTCTAATTCCATAATCTTCTAGTGAAAGTTGAACTATCATTACTATTTAATTCACTAATTGGATCTAAAAATGATGTAGTTTCATTAAATAATCCAGGCGGTGATGGTTTATTTGCAAATCCAGGCGGTGGTATAGTTTGTTGTTGTTGATTCTGTGGTTGTTGCTGTATTTGTGAATTCAATGGAGTTGGTGATGTTTTAAATCCATATAATCCAACTTTTACATGTGTAATTTTACCAAATTCATCATATATAAAATCAAATTGATATGTTGAATTTGAATGACAGCAATTTAAAAATTGATTAATGGTTAAATTTGGTTTATTTAATATTGTAACTACATTTTGATATAATTTAATAATTGGAGCAACACCAAATTCTAATTGATTTGAATTTTGTAAAATTTGAAAACAACTAAAAGCTGAACATTGAATTAATTCAGATTCGTTATTAATTGGATTATTATTCCATAAATTACTATTATTAGCTGTAGTTAAATTATTTAATAATGGAGTTGTTGTACTTTCTTGTTTTACATTATTTGGATTATTCCAAATTGAATTTGATCTATTTGTAGTATTGCTTGTTGCTGGTTGATTTGTTGGATTCCAAATATTACTATTACCACTCAATGGAGTACTTATAAATGAATCATTTGATAATGGATCAGCAAATGCATTAAAAGCACTGAAATTTGAATTTGGTTGAACGGAAGCGGAAGAAGAACCAATATTATTATTATTATTACCATTTGAATTAAATTGTGGATTTAAAAATGGTTGACTAGAATTAGTTAATGAATTTAATCTTGATTTATTATACCATGGTGACATAGGATTAATTGAACCATTAATATTATTATTTGATTGATTTAGACCATTTGTTAAATTTATTGGCGCAGTTTGAGGTGAAGTAATGATATTTTGGGATAACATACTATTTTCAAAAGATTGTGGAATAAATTCAGTCGAAGAATATTGTGAAATTGGTGGTTGTTGAGGAATTTTAACAGGCGTACCATGTAATTGATTCAATGTTGATAAACCAACAGATGATGGAGTAGAAGAAAGTGATCCAGGTCTTGTTTGATATAATTGATTTAATAAATGATTTGCAGGTGGTTCAGTTGATAATTTTCTTTCTTCAAATTGAGGTTTAAATATTGGATCTTCAAATTCTTGTTGTTTTTCTTCAGCTGCTAATTGTTCTTCTCTTGCTTGTTTTAATCTTTCTCTTTCTTCTTCCTTTTGTTTTTTAGCTAATTCTTTTTGTTTTCTTTCTTCTTCTTTTGCTTTTCTTTCTTCTTCAGCTTTCTTTCTACGTTCTTCTTTTATACGTTTAGCTTCTTCTTCACGTTTTTGTTGTGCTTCAACCTTTTTCCTATGTTCTTCTTCTTTTCTTTTAGCTTCTTCCAATTTCTTCTTCTTTTCTTCCTCACGTTTCAATCTTACTTCTTCTTTCTTCTTCTTTTGTTCAGCCTTTTGTAATTCTCTTTGAATTCTTGCTTCTTCTTCTTTTGCTTTTGCTTCTTCTTCCTTTTTTCTACGTTCTTCTTCTTTAGCTTGTTGTTGTAAACGTTTCTTCTCCTTTGCTTTTTCCTTTTGTTTCAATTTTTTCAATTCACGTTCTTTTTTAGCATTTTCTTCAGCTTCTAATTCTTCAATTAATTTTTGAGTTCTATCTTGTGATAATTTTTCTTTATAAGCACTTTTCAATCTTTCTTGAAATAATTTTATAACTTGAATTAAAAATAAACGACGAATTTCTTGCATTTTCTCTTCCTCAGAAATTTCAGATTCTGTATCACTTGCACCTTCATCATCATCATCTTCATCTTCATCTTCATCTTCGTCTTCTTCATCTTCATTGTCATCATACTCTTCATCATCATCATATTCTTCTTCATCGTCGTCAATTTCTTCTTCATCTTCTTCATCTTCTTCATCATCAAAGTCATGATGAGTACAATATTCATGATGATGATGATGATGATGATGATGGTGATGATGATGTTTATGATCGTCTTCATCAACCCAAGCTAAATTTTTTGTATGTTCCAATTCTTGTTGTTTTAATTCTTGTATTTGCTTTTGTTGTTGTAATTGTGCATGTTCATAAATTTGTGAAAGAATTTCAGGTTTATCTTTTAATAATTCTTCACGAGCAGTTCTTGATTCTGATAAAGTTTCCATCATGGTTATAAAAGAATTACCATCATTTTTCAATAAATCTTCAGCAAAAGTAGATAATCCTTGAGTTATTTGATCATTTAAACCATTGACAGTAGTTAATTTTTCAACATCTTCAGGATTTGAAGAATTTAAAGCTGCAAAATTTGAAAAAATTTTCCCCATATTTTGAACATATGACATTGATTTTTCCAATTGTGACCTATCAACATTATTTAAATCACGTACAATTTCTCTTAATGAACCAGCTTTTTCCAACATTGTTATATGATTTACATTTTTAGGATCATAATTTGCAACTTCTTTCATTCTTTGAATATCCATACTTTCTAAAGCATCAAATAATTTTGGATCAAGTAATTTATTGAAAATTTGATTATCATTGATTTTTATATCTTGTGATATAATTTTATGGTAAATTTCAGGTTGATTTTTAGTTTGTTGTTGTAATTCAGCAATTGGTTTTGGTTGTACCAGTTGTTTCTCTTTATCTTGTTCGTTTTTAGTAAATTCTTCATAATTCTTTTTAGCAATTTGATATTCTTTTTGTTTTTGAGCAGCCAATTCAAACTTTTCTCTCAATTGTTGTTGTCGTTTTTGGAGTCTTCTTTCTTCTTCCAACATATGAAAACCACCAAATAACAAACCGGGTAATGCATTTAAATCATTAATATCTCGTACTTCATGTATAAAATCAATAATATCATCAAAATGGTTATCATAAATACTTTCCAATTCTTCTTCCATAATATTATTTCTTCTACCACAGTATTTACATGCACATCCATTATTATTTGATGATGAAGAAGTTTGTACATTTCTATTCAGTTGTTGCAGTAGTTGTTGTAAATGTTGTCTTGTTTCATTTTTAAACATTTTCATTATAGATTGTTTATCAATCTTTACCAATTCCAATTTTTGTTCATCACCTAATGATTCCCAAAAGTCTTTTAATTTTTGTTGTTCTTCGAGTGATGAAGAATCCCATAAATTATTATGTGTATTGATATTATGATTTCGATGGGGTATGTTATTACTGCTAATATTATTATTATTGTTATTATTCAGTTCTTGATTATGTAGATGATTATTACCATTATTTTCATGATGATGGAGGTGATGATGATGCTCATGTGAATGGACATTCTCTTGATCATTTTCATCCACTTCTTCTTCTTCCTCTAGACTTTCAACTATAACATCTCCATTTGGTGCTTGTTTAATAATTCTTGATTTTGGATAATCTTCATCAGGATTATTTAAATGAGCTTGAGTCAATTTTGAACTAGTTGTTTTCTTCTTTTTCTTCGATTTTTTCTTTTTATTTGATGAATCTCGACTATTTAATTGTTGTTGTTGTTGTTGTTGTTGAATTGGTGGTGGTGGTTGCATTTTCATATTACTATTAATTTTTTTAGCATTTGAATCATTTAAACTTGATGTTGACGATGATATTTCAAAATGGATATTATCACCTAACTTGAAGTTAGATTTATGATTCATATTAATATTAATATTATACTAATTGCTTGAATATACTTGTAGTAATATTAATTAATATTTAATGGTGGTAAACTTTTTCCTCAAAATTTTTTTTCATACGTTTTATTGTACTGATGTTTAGATCTTTTGTTAACTATGGTACAAATCACTCGATTTTTATTACACAACTAAACATCAACACGCGAGAAGGAACAACTGTTATCTAGCTAGTATAATAAGAGATCATTAGTAAGAGTAACTATTTGCGGTTGTATCTAATTGGTCCAATTTATAACTACTAAACTTGAAAATAACATTGAAAAAAAAAAACACTATATATATTTTTTCGTGCGACTATGGCCAAAACTATAAACGGTTGCAAAATTTATTCAAGCCCCATTTTCCAATTTCTTGTTTAATTCTTTATTTTCAGTTATTACAATTTCAACTAATTGTGTTAATTTATCAATCTTTTCATATAATTCATAAAATTGCCAATTCATTCCTTTTTCACTTGCTGGTTTAATTGGTTTTACAATTTGTTCGATTTCTTTTTCAAAACTATGAATATTAATCATAAATTCTGGATCTTGTCTTTCACCTTGTCTTTGTTCTCTTAATTCTCTATTAACTTGTGAATTCCTTTCTCTTATACCTTCTTGTACACTATCTACATTATTCGCATCGGAAAATCCATCAGTTAAATCCCATTCAGTATCATTTTCATTAGCATCATCAGATAATCCTTTAAATCTATTATATTGAATTCTCCTAGCATTGGATAATTCATCAGTCGTGATATATAATAATAATGGGGAATAGATAACCAACATGACATAATAATTTAAACTTTTGAACATGTTAGTTGGTAAAATATATTCCATTGGACTTATAAATAATTCAATTAAGTTGAATGGTGGAACATAAATATTTTGATCTGGAGCTCTAATATATCTCAATGTCTTTTCTGCAACTAATGCAAAATATTCATTAGTTGCATTTTCAACAACAGCTGCATAAGCAGTTGAATATAAAGCAATAAGAATATTCATCAATATAACACTTAATAAAAAGGAATACATGTAATATAATACTGATGCATATGGTGGAACTAATTTACCCATATCATCAAATGAAGAACCACCAATAACAGTTTTAAGTAATGATATTAAAATCTTTGTAGTTGCATCACTTTCACCATCAGATGCATCTAATCCAAGAAATCCTTGAAGGAAACCAATTATAACAACACCTAATAAAACAAAGAATAATAATGATTCTTTCATCATTACTTTTAATACAACAATCATTGCACCAACAAATCTTTGAGCATCTAAATATAATAATAATCTTGACCACATTAATGGAGATGCACATGATAATACTCTATAACTAATTTCATCATATCTTTCTCTTAAAGCTTCATGAGAATTTAAACTAAGTAACCTAAATATTATAGCAATTGATATAATTGAATACATTGAATCATTAAAAACATTCCAAAATCCTAAATAATTCAAACCAACATGATAAAATTTTATAATTTCATCCAATATAGAACCAACAGTAAATAAATAAAATGTAATTTCAAATACATCTAAATTCGAAAATGTGGTTGAATGAGTATTTAATATAATTGTAAATAATACAAGATAAATTATACTGAAAAATATTTCCAATATATTTTGATATAATGGTGTTTTAATTCTTGCTGGATCAAAATGAGTTCTAATTGAATGTGAAGCAGCACCTTTATATAATACGTAAGAATGAGGATCATTTGATGATTGAACAATCCAACCTCTCCATAACCATTTAATACATCTTTGATAACCAGATGATCCAATAACAATTGTAGAATGCATATCAACAGCCATTTCCAACGCATTTGTAGGAGTTGAATCTTCACCATTTAAACAAATTGTATATCTATGACATAACATTCTTAAAAATAAATATTCATCATCTTTTTCTCTTTCAATTATAATTGATGCTAATGTTTGTGCAGATAATGCTCTTAAATCAAATAATTCATTATCACTTAATTCAAATTCTGCTTGTTGCCAATACCAATCACAAACTTTTAATAAACAAAATACTATACTTGCTTGATATTTATATGAACTTGAACCTTTTTTACCATTCCCTTCACCGCCAGCAGCTTTATAAACTAAATCAATGACTTTTTCATTTAAAATTGAAGAATCAGCAGCAAATAAATCATTTTTATCAAATACAATTGGAATGACTTTATCAATTAATAATTTTAAATTTGTACATATACGAAAGGTTTGTCTTGAATTTGGACATGATTGCCATGATTCATCATCATGACCATAAATTGAACCTTCATGTTCTTCAGGAGCAGGTAATAATGGATTATTATCTTCAAGATCAGCCATTGAATCAAAAACCCTCCAACTTCAATTTTTTGTTTGCTAAAATAAAAATTTTATGACCCCAATTTCGACGTGATGAAAAAAATGAACATCGCGTCGTATTTATTGTTCCTTGTCTAAAAATGGTAACCGCCGCGCTTGGAAATTTATTGCGGCCACGGGCTAAAAAAAATTCAGTTTCTTTTCATTATAATCAATAGTCATTGAATCATTCCGATGCTTTAACATCGTTCATGACGTATAATAATAATTTAATAGACTTAAATACAGATGTTAATGATAATAAGGATGGTATGGAGACAAGATCAAAAGCTGCTATAGAACAAAATTCTAGAGATGATGTGACTGATAATTTAGAAGATCATTTGAAATATGTTAATAGTATAGGCAGATCCAAAAGTGTAAGGAGACCACCACCTTCAAAAGATTTAGATTTAGAATTTGAAGACGCAATGCAAAAAGTATCAAAAAGGTTTAGTAAATCACTTGATCAATCAGTAAAAGGTTTTCATGATTTAAAAAGAAACTTTTCAACTATAAAATCAAAAGCTAATCAGAATATAAATTCAAGGTCTGCAGTTGCTGCTTGTCCCAAGGTAACGCCATTTTGGAAATATCATGTACTTAAATTTGGTAAAGATTTATATTTGACAACTAATCCAGATATGAAACATGTTTATTGTAGACAAGCACCAAGTTATTACGTTGAAGTTGAAGAACTGCTGAGTGGTTATAAATTAATTCTCAAAAATCCATGTACTTTGAACGTGTTAATGATAATTGAGAAAAATAACGGTTCCTTTTCATATCGTATTTCAAAAGATGTTTATTTAAACGATGGTATATTAACAAATTATGAAGATGCAGCGGTGTTCAAAGGAGTTTCATTTACTCAACCAATATCTCGAAAATACTTCCCTATTGAATCATTAAGAAATCAATTTCCTTATTATTTCAAAAATTTCGAGATTACTGACTCGTTGCGGAGAACTTGGAATATTGGATCAATTCCGAGAATAAGATTAAGTAGATTGAATAAAATTAAAGAGAACGAATATAAAATGATAGGTAAACGAAATATTTATTTCCATCAAAATTATACGACTAATGATCCTGCAAAATATAAAGAAAAAGATCCAAGGAGAGTATATCACCAAGATGAAGATGTCAAATTTCCACCAGTTCTAAGCTGTTTTAGACCATTCAAGAGGAAGAACATATTGAAAGATATGAAAAAATTGAAAAATAATTATGAAGAAAATCCTTATGTCAATGTCAATGATGATAATGAAGATACTGATGAGAAGTATTATTATGGTAGTGACGGGTTATACTATTTGTCAAATACTGAAGATGACACACCGAATGAGAATAAACTAGGATGGATTACAGTTTATGAAGATCAGGAGGTATTTAGTGGTGTTGATAATAGAGGCATGTTTAATCTTGTGTTGGGTATGACTTTAGCTATAGGTTATGATAGTTGTATAGAAATATAAATTTAACATATCAAACTAATAATCGCAACCATGTTTTTAATTCAAATATTGCTTATCAGCCTTGTCTTTTGTTTACCAGATCAATCACAATCTTGTATAACCAATAACAACATACCATTCACGGGATATAAAGTTGAATATCAATTGAATGTACAGAAATGGCACGGTTCATATCATTTATTATATTGTAATGACAATAAATTAATATATGACCTGAGTTTAAACGATTCAATACCATGGACTAAACCAATAGATTATTATACTTCTAAACTGTTTAATGATTCACAAATTGTAGTTATGTCAAGAAGGAAATCGTTTGCTTTAAGGAAATTACCTATTTATTTACCTAATTCATTAATTGGTTCATTGTATTACGGACCAGAATTGAAACAAATACATTTATTAAATTCCACAAATACGGTTAAGTCAATTCCATTAATGGCTGCTAATATATTTCGAAATTGGATGGAAGTGAATTATAAATTTCAATTTATTTATCATGTTCCAATTTTAACTACACCCGGAATTGATTCAAAACGATTCAGTCATGGGTTCTTTGAAAGTGGAAAGAAGGAAAATGATTGGGATCAATATATTAGTATTAAGGAAGCATACAGTTATAACTATGACAGTAGAATATTATTTAGAAAAGCATTGGATAATACTTTGTTATACGTTGATAAATTAACTAATAATAACAAAATAGTTAAATTGAAAGTAAAGAATAAGGTCGAAAAGGGATCCAAAGCTTTGTTTTGGAGGTTGATAATGTTATCGAAGATAGTTAACCAAGATACATTTAATAAAATCTTAATCAAATTAGATAGCTTTTCCAAATATAAATAGTATGAATTATGGCTGCAAAAAAAATTGCAACACATTCTAAAATATACACAACCACTTTTTTAATACATTGATATGCTGAAGTTTGTCTTACCTCCACGTCGACAACCGAATAACAATTCATCATCTAGCTATGTTTACGTTGATGTACAAAAAGAACCATCTAAAGAATTACCAGTCCAAGGTTATTTAGCTAAAATTGCAAATTGTCCAGCAATTCCAGCACTTACATTCATTATTTCATCATTTCCACTTTTGAAAATATTTGTATCTAATGCTGTTCCTATTTTAGTTGCGAGAGATGAAAAGAAAAAACAAGAAGCAAATAAACCATATGATGGATTTGATTAAGTATAAATTACAAAATTGCTAAAATATATATTATGCTTGTATTAATTCTAATTCTGAATCAGATAAATCATCAAATTCATAATCTATTATATTATCATTAGTTTTATGAACTATAGGCGAGTCTAATTTCTGTTGTATTTCATTTGGTGCTTCACTTTCATCAAAATCTGATAAATCATCAATGAAATCAGGTACATTATCCTCTACATCAGATTCACGACTTGAATTTGATATTAAATCTTGGTTAGATACTTGTGATGGCTCTGGTGTTATTTGAAAACTATTTGTTTTGACACATAATGGTGTGAATGTATCTTGTTCTTTATCTATATATAAATGTTGAAAATATGTTGATGATTTTGGTTTGATTCGTATTGGTTTCCTGTTTTGTACTCGTAAGTCATTGACCATAAATTTATTGTTGTTGTTACTTGTGTTACTTGAAACAGAACTTTTCTGAACGGGTTTTTTCTTTTTTAGATCAGTTGAAGAAAGTTTTTTCGAATTGATATTATTGTTATTTATGACACTTGGTTCGGATATTCGCAGATTTTTGTTATTTTTGTTATCTATGTCAGCTGTAAGAGTTTTTAATCTTGATTTTGAGCTTAAACTGCCTTGTAACTTTTGACTTGATGACTTACTTGGTCTTGATGGACCCCGTAGTATTTTTTCAGGTTGATATATACCATTGGAAACATGTTCAGAGGATTTATTAAGCGTCTGCATCTTGAAAGCAGGTATTGGTTCTTCTTTGAACAATTTTCTCTTAATGGCTACTCGTGGTTTAACATCAACTTTACCATCTCCTTTTTTAAACACATTTGTCAAATCTTTTTCATAGACCCCAACATGTTCCTGTATCTGTATTATCAATTGATTATTGGGTAGTTTAAACTCATTATTTATCTCCAACCACTTATTCAATATTGTTACAATTGGTTTATCTCGTAAAAAATCAATAGCCACCAAAACTTTACTTGAGCTATAAATTTCCAATTTATTATTAAATTCATAAAACTTTAATATACCATCACTCCATTTCTTATCCTTTTGATATATTCTATCTGAATACAATATATTGTATTCATGAATGATTGAAACATTCATTTATCTGTACCCATTGAAAAATAACGCGTTTCAGAAATTTTATGAAAGTATCGCTACCAAGTAGCGTTCTATTTACATTTATATATATACAATTTTATAATTAACCAGAATTTTTAACTGGTTTATAAAATGGAAATCCATAACTACTTAATAATGTTTTAGCTTGTTGGTCTGTTCTTGCACTTGTTTTAAATGTAATATCCATACCATTTAAATTTGGATATAATTCTTGAAAATTTTCAATTTCTGGAAATAATAAAATATCATCAGCATTTAAACCAAATGTAATATTACCATTGGTATCACCAGATGTTAATTTTATACCTTCAAAAGCTCTTAGTCTAGGTAATACAATTTCAGTTAATGTAGTTATAAATTGATTCATTTCTCTATCAAATAATTCAACTTTTGCACCACATTCTTTACCTCTTCTAACTTTCCAAGGTAAAATGTTTGATTTATTATACAATATTTTTGGTTTTTTGTTTGTAATTGTTGCCAATTGTAATCTTGTACAGATATTCATCCATGGTCTTTCTAATGCATTTTTATTATATGAATTTATAACTATACTATTTAATTTAGGTATATTTTGATAATTTATAGGTATTATATCTTGAGTTTCAATTGCAGAACCTTTTGGTTTTCTTTTACCTTTTCGAAAAACTTTAAATGGAGAATCAGTGCCCCATTCTCTTTTTTTTAAACCAGGTATTGTTTTTGAATCATGTTCATAAAATTTTAATAACAAATCTGACTCTAGAGTATTATAATAATGATCTTGTACTCTATCTTGATCAATTTCTGTAGGTTTAAATTTATTTGATCTTATATCATCTGATGGTATTACAACTTCTGAATAACAAGGTTTTAATTTTGCTTTTTCAACTTTAACTAAATGATGTACGGGTAATACAGTACTATAACCAGTTTTCAAATTAGTTGTTGTTTGTGAAAATTGACGGATAAAATGTCGACTATTCATTATTTAAATTGGTTTGTTTCAAAATTGAAAAATTTTTTGAATGTATATTTTTTTGGTAGCGATTGGTGAAAAATAAATTTCAGTAGTGTACTACAATAGATCTACAGTATGAGATTTGGTTTACCAGCAGATTATGAAGTAGAATTGGTTAAAGAGGTAAAGAATGATATAGTGATAAAAAGTATAGAAGTTGAAGAAAAGGAAGAGGAAAAATTACCATTAGTTACAATACCCAGTCATGATAAATCAATGCAACCATTAAATGTTAAGAATCTAATATTGGAATCTCAGTTCAATGATATCTATGAACAAATTAAAAATTATACTATTGAGGTGTTCAATCAGAATCAATTATTAGATGAGATAGAGTATCAGAAATTGCACAATAAATTAACTAGAAATCAACAATTGGAAGAATCAAATATAAATGCATTGATCAATTCATTTTCAAATATTTTAAGTTTACAGAATGATGAGGTCAATAATATAATCTTAAAACATAAAGAGAGAATAAAAAGAGAAGAGGAATCGAAAAGACGTCTAGAAGAAGAAAGAAGAAGAATGGAGGAAGAAAAACGGAAACAAAGAGAACTTGAAATAAAGAAACAAAAAGAGGAGGAACTTCGGAGAATTGAAGAACAGAAAAGGATAGCAAATGAGGAACAAGAACGTAAACGAAAAGAAGAAGAGGCCAAAATAAAAACACAACAAGAAAGGGATTTGAAACTTAAACAAGAATTAGAAAATAAAAAGAGACAAGAAGCTGGAAAATTAAATTTTACAAATTATGACAACATAGAAAAGCAATTTTTAAAATATAAACAAGACATCATAGATATAAAAACGAATGTAGTCTCAAAATTAAATGAAGATAAAGAATTAAAGAAACAATTAATGCCCTTTAAAAGGAAATTAAATCCTAAATTTGGTCAATTATCAAATTCTCAATCCCAACTTAATAAAATCACAAATGAAGTGCTTTCAATGATTGAACTTACAAAGTCAAATGAGCTTATCTTCAAATGGATTTTAAATTTTATAGCTAAAGCAATTATAGATCAAGCTGAGACTGAAGTTATAGTTAGATCATTTGCAGCTATACCATTGGCTCATTTAGCATATAGTATTTTAGCTAAATTTCCCGAATTTGAATATTTTTTAACTGCTAGATTTATTAAAAAATGTCCTTATATTATAGGATTCACAAGTTCAATAGATAGTGAACAAGGTAGATCAAATATGGGATATAAAAGAAATAAAGATGATAATAAATGGGAAGATACGACTAAATATGATGAAAGAATGAGTGGAATAATAACTGTTTGGTCAGTAATGTCAAGAATACATGATGAAAATCAAATTGGTATATATTCTTATGATTCGACTTGGAAATTCTTAGCTAGAATTTTAAATTTATCAAATGAATTACTCACTAATACACATTTTGCTTTATTGGGTAATTGGTGGGAGGCAACAGCAGTTGAATTTTTAAATCGTTTTGGCAAACAAGGTCAAAAGATATGTGAATTGGTGGTTTTTGATTTGACTAATCTGGTTGCTAATAAAAGTTTCCCATCTGCTCAAAGAGTTAAAATAATGGGTGAAGATTGGTTACAAAATAGGAAAATTGAAACATTAAAGAGAATGGAACTTTAATCATTTATTCGTATATTTTAAGTATTACATTTATTGGGTATTCTTAGAATTCATCTTCATCATCTTTCTCTTCTTCTTCGTCTCCTGATTCAAGTTGATCCTTATAACTAATCTTACTAGTTGTTCTTGAACTTTTTCTAATTGGTTCACTAGGTTCTTCCACAATTTTTTTAGCTTTCTTTACTGGTTTTGACGTTCTTGATTTACTAGTTGACTTGTTAGATTTTTGTTTCTTTGCAGGTGTTATATAATTACTTTCAGCTTTTCTTTTATTATCACCGCCAAGTCTCTTCTTTATATGTCCCACTAAACCAATTTGAATATTTTCAGGTATGAATATCTTAGTAACGACCAGTTGAGCTTCTTTTGACGATGACATAGGTGTATATAAATCAATAGGTAATGTAATTTTACCTGGCCATGTTTGTATAATCCAATTTTTAGAATCACTGTATTCCTTAAGTATCAATTGACTCAACTCAGAAACTTTATATAATCTAGATACTTTACTTGATAAATTTTCAAAATCTTCAGCATCATAATCTGATGGTGAAATTGTAGCATCTCTAAATTGTTTAACTCTACTTGCTAAATAATATAATAATGATATGTTTTCCAGTTTTGCAATCAAATTAACATAATAAATGACAAAATTGGAAGCAAAAGTATATGCTTTGATTATATTTTCTTCATTTTCAGCTTCGAGTAATGATATAAATTGTTCATGATGAGAAATTGTATGGATTAATCTAATTAATGTTTTTTCAAATTTGATATTGTGTTTTGATTCAGCTCTTTTAAACATGGATTGTAACCACATTGTGACATTATTTTTTAATGCTGCATTTGGTTCAATGGCACTAAAGAACATTAAAGATAAAAATCTTTCACTTATTAATTCATTATTGATTTTCTTTTGTAAATTGTTCAAAAACCTTGCTCTGACTTGATAGTTCTCATCATTGATCAAAAATGTTAATCTTATTATACTTGAAGTAGTTAACGTTTCACTATAGATTGGAATTTTAGCTAATTTAAGTAAATATTCACCTGCTGTTAATCTTAATTTCAGTTTGAATGGTTCTGGAGTAGGATAAGATTGATGAGTTTTTGAAACTATTTCGCCATTATTACCAATAAATGACATTAATAATTTGATAACAGGTAATGCTTTTTCTTTAGCTTCATCAGTATTGATTTCATTATCATTTTCAGCATAACTTTTCAAATTATTGACAAATAATCTAATGGCAATTAATTTTTCATTTAAATTGGAATATTGTGAATGTTCAATTTCTTCTTCATTTATCCATTCTTTCTTATCATCTATTTCTTCTCTATTTATGTTCCTATTTTGTAAAAATATTTCTTTGATTATGAATGGAGTAAGGTCAGATTCTTTATCAATTATAGCATATCTATCAATTAAAAATATTTCAGCTAATGAGCTTAAATGAGTTGCAAATTGTGAGCTTTTTTCATCTAAGGGATAAATTGATGTAATTATTGACGCAGTTAATATTTCTTTAGTATTGCTCAAGCCAATTATTTTAATATCATATTTTGCTTCTTTTGGAGTTCCATTTATTGCCAACCTTTTCAAAGATTCATTGAATGAAATTTCTTGTGGGTATAAGTCTTGATATTTTTTAATGAAATGATAAATTGTTTTCAATAAGTTTGCTTTTGACTCATTCGATTCTCCAACCACTAAATCAATCAAGGATCTTAGGTGATATTTAAATACATCAGGATTGATTAAAGATATTTGTTCTAATAATTCATTTGCAATTGTAGCATTATCTAGATTTTTGGTATACTCAATTAATTTCTCAACATTAGATCTATTAAAAATAACTGGAGAACCCCTGTAAACTAAAAGTTTAATATTATATAACATATCTTTAGTAGTAATGGTACTTTTGCCTTCATTTTCTAATCTTATATTTGCTGGATCTGATAATTTAGTAATTAATTCTTTCATTGAGTTTTTAATAGTACCAAAATCACTTTCTGAAGAAATGCAGATCCTAATCAAATTGAAGAATCTAGCTCTATTTAATTTGTAGAATCTTTCTAGACAAGCATAAGTATTGTAACCTTCTGGAAATGAAACACAAAACCAGTTAATAATTTTATCTAATTTCATAACAATTGATTTCTTATCTGATTCTTCATCATTATTCTCTTTATCTGAATCTGTTTGATTATATAATTCAATAGTATCCAAAAATGTTTTAATTACTTGTGAGACTTGTTGTTGTCTTTTGTTTATAGCTATAAATGCTTCTTTACCTTTTTGATCCAAATTCAGATGAAGTTTAATTATACGATCTACTCTCTTGTCTGTACCAATTTCATTTATTGGTAGTAATCTTTCAAATATTGCAAAGTCAACAGCCGAAGATATATTATTCTTGTTTATATAAATTAATGACAACACTTGGTTCGGTATTGTTAAAATTAACTTTTTGATTTCTGGATCACAATCTAATTCTCTACCTTCTTCTTCAAGTTCTGTAGATTTAATATATATACTACTTACTATCTCAATAGATGTTTCTCTGATATCTGAATGTTTTTCTCTGATTAATTGGAAAAATGCTTCAATAATTTCTTTACTTGCTATGCCATCTACGAAACGATTAAATGGAATTGTTTGTATAGCACTACAGGCAGCTTCGCGGACTTTCTCTTCAGTATCAAGTAAACATTTATAAGCACTTGAAGATATAACTTCATTAATTTTATTAGTTAAATAGGTATTGTTTATTAAGATATTTGGTAATTGTTCGACCCATTTACATCTAACTTGTTGATTTACATCATAAATTTTCTTTATCCAAAGTTGCCATGTCGTTTTATGAATTGTGAAGAAATTTACTTTAAACTGAGGTGATGTTGAATAATTTATAGATCCTAACATTTGACCTATAGTTTCAGTAGCTAAAATTCTAATAGTATCATTATCTGCATTTAATTCATCATCCAATAATGCCATGACTGAGGATAAAAGTTGTGGTAAATATTTCCATAGTTGAATAGATAATCTATGAATTACGTTTAATTTATCCATTGAATCAGCGGGCTTTTCTTCACTATTTGTAGTATTGGGATATAATATTTCTGAAAAATATTGTGCAATTATTCTTGATAATTTATCAATATTATTTTCACACACAATCAAACTAAATTTAAATTCAGGACTAGTAATATTCGTACCCACTAAATTTGATTCAATGTGTTTTAAAAATTTATTTAATATTAATTTCATAACATTATGAGGAATAATTTCAGCTTCTGCTATGATTTCAGATAATATATCAGTAACAATACCTTCTAATTCGCGTGGGAAGTTTTGTTTTGTAGATAATTCATAAATTGTATCAAATAATTCTTCAATTAAAGTTTCAGCATCTGGAAGTTCGGCAATTAAAACAATTGATTTAGTTTCAGCAATACGTTTCAATAAATACAAGTAACGCGGATATAAACTATATTTATCTTTTGAATTTATAGTTAACTTTGAAAATTGTTTGAAAAATACTTGAAACAAGTCTGATAATTCTTGTGATGTATATGGAGCATTAGGAGCAAATATCCTTAAAATATCAGAAACACAACATGATACTATTGCTTGAACTGATGCATTTGTATTGTGAAGTAATTTTGGATTGATCAAGTCTTGTTTTATTGATTTCAAATCATTTAAATCTATTTCATTGTCATCTAATATTGATAATTTATCTTGTAGGATGGATAATCTATTTATTAGTTCTTTACTGGGTATACTTTGTTTAACAGTAGATATTAAAGGCAAAACAAAATCAAATGATGATGATCTTTCAGTTGGTTTGCCCATGGTATAATTTAGTGTTCAAAATTATTTTTTTTATTTTTATTTTTTTAACTGACGCGTCTTATAAAATGGTAGCATTTTCAATAATATGTTTTGACTTCAAAATACCACTGATGAACAAGACTTTTGTTATTGTCATGGTTAAAGTTATCAATTGAGCTCTGTTAGTGATTTTTGTTTATATTATGAAGTAAGAGTATTACAAAAGTTGAAACTAAAACTCTTGAAATGCTAAATAAACCTTCAATTGAAAATAAGGGAATTGAAAGGGATTACTGGTAGATTCAAATTAGAAATCAGTGAAATATTTTGATTTGTTTCAATTATTATTGACAATTAAAGAAGACAACAAAAGTGAGAATCTAATAGATGAGATTGAAACGTCATTGATTAATGCTTATTTATTCGTAAATTCAAGTTTGAGTGAGAATTTTCTTTCAGAAGCAATTAACTCTTTTGAGAATTGTTGAATGTATTTGTTGATTTAATCATGAGTAAGTTATGGCCTAGGAGATATAAAGTTTTTGAAGATGATGAGTGTCGAGAAGGCTAAATTGATAATAACGAAATTTGATATAATGCCACAAAGTCAAGATTATTTATACAGGCTAATATATAGCTTTGCATTTCAAAAGTCGTCGATTTACTTTTTAATCTATGTCTATTATTAATACATATTAATTTGTCCCAGCCTTAATTCTAATCTCTTCACAAAATTTTATAGCACATCACTATTAACTTTTCTAATCTGTTTTGAACTGGGACAGAAATCAGCCCTACGAAGATAATAATCTACCATTAACTCAGATCTTACTATTATATACCTTAGATCTCATATTCTCTAAATAGGAAATTTAGATCTGAGATCTGAAACACGAAAAATATACAATTATATGCAGTCACATACCCAAAAGGAAATTTTTTAAAAATACATTTGAAATTTATGCATTGTATTGATCAAGATTCAACTATCTCTCAAGTATGAATTTGCAAAGAAGCACATTGAAATCTCAAGTCTTGATATCGTTGTGCCCGATTTTTGAAAACTTAATTTTAAATTTACGGATTAATTATTGTAGTTCTGAAGCTGATATTAATTGAAAGTTACAGTCAAACTAGAGTCAGAAGCTTGTTTGTAAACGGAGCTTTCATGTTACATTTCTACGAACTTTCGTTTGAAATTTTGCATTTTTTTCAATTGGTCAAAAAAACGTCCTTAGATGTCTATGTCCCCTTGTTTGGGTATTACATTCAACTTATTTGACATTATTGACTCTACGTATGATTGTTTTTAAGTTGTCATTTTGGCCATTTTTCAGAATACAAAATTTTTTAAACAAATAAGAATCAATATATATATTAATCTAGCGCAACAACTTTCAGTTAAACAACAGAATATATATATTGTACATCAAAATAAGGAGCTAAGCTTGATTTTAGTGACCTGGGCTAATATTGAAAAATGTCATAATCTACTCTTAAGTATGGTAAAAATCGAATAAATTGACCTTACGAAAAATCTACCTCCACAATCAAAATTGTGACTTAAGTATAATAAAAGTACCAGGATTTGTATTCTCCTATTCTGATATTTTTTGCATTTTCTTGAGTTGAGGTATTCAAAATAAAAGCAATTTTTCAAGAGTGAAACGAAATTTTTGAAGAAATTTTAAACCAAATATAGCGACTTGAAACAATGATACAAAACATTTTGAAGGTTAAATGAACTAGATCAGCTATATTAGAATTTGATAAACGTGGTTTGTGTTTTTATCTTGCAAATTCACATTTTCTGCCATTTTTCAAATATACATTTACGTGATCAAAAAGACATTTCTTTAAAAGATAATAGTACCCAACTACTGAAGACTTACTAAAGTTTTAATGAAAAAAGTTAGAGAATTAATGCTTGAATATTGAGTGAGTTATTAACTGATTAAAATGTAAGTTATACTACCATTGGACTGCATATATTTGTTGCTTGATTATTCAGTAGAATATGTATATTTCTCAAGACGTTTTATTCGATGAATGTTACCACAATACTCATAATAATGTCTGTAGAAGACCCAAGTGATAATATTGCCTTATACTAGTTAAAAGATAATTCATGGTTCAACGTTTTTGAGTAAAAATGACATCAAAATATCATTGTTTAGCTGAAAAAATCAAACTTTGCTAACAAAATTAAATGCTGCCGCTTTAGAACTATGAAATTCGAGCTGAGCCATTTTTTTACATTTGAGTGATATCATTGACAGTACAGTTTGAGAAAAAATTGAGTATATGGTGCTAATTTCGAATTGCTAAAAACTAATGGTTTTCTAAAATTTTTTTTTTTTTTTTTGGTGCGTCTTTTCGGTATATTCTATTTTTGTGTCAGATCTCAGATCTATAGATTTGCGAGCGATCTTAGATCTAGATCTCGTTAGGTCGCCTTGGAAATAACACGAGTACTTTTTTGTCGCGCCAAATGATCGTACCATAGATGAACAAGACATTCATTAATAGAATCCAATTTAGATCAACTTCAATTCGAATATTCAAGATGCGATTTTATATATTATGAAGTAAAGAAAAGAAGAATATTAAAAATTAAATAAAAAGATTAAAGAACTGAAAAACCGAAAAATAAGCAATTAGCAAACCAAAAATCACATCTTATTCATAACTAACTCAATATTTATGTTTTCTTGTTTTATCATCATCAACAACAATGATAACTAATTCAATTGCTTTTGATTCATTAGTAATTGGAGCATCATAAATTTTGAAAGCTGATTTTTGTGGATTAATTGCTGAATTGTAAAATTTAGTTGATTTATTTAAAGCTAAAACCCAGTCACCATGTTTGTAAACAATTGAAAAACCTTTGGTAAATAAAGCATCTGGTTGGACAGGATAGTCACCTTGTAATTGATGATTGGCAACAATTTCAACAATTTTTTTGGAATATAAAGATTTTAAAACAGTTCTTTTTAATTTAAAGAAAGTATCATGTTGGTTTTTTCTAATTTTTAAAAATGGATGTTTGAAAGCTCTAAATGGTTCATAATCTTCATTATCAGTTTCGTAATCATCATTTTCATAACTTCTAACTTTCCATTGATGTTTTTTCTTTTTATGATCATTATCTTCACAATCTGTTTCACAATCAGTATCAGTATCATAGAAAGGTCTGTATTTATGACAATCATCATAAATCAATTGACCATCATCAATTTCATAAACTAAATCTAAATCAGTATCATAACCTTTATGTTTACCATAATCTTTATCATCATCACAATATTCCTTAACAGCTAAAGCAAAAGCATCTGGGAATGTAGTAATATAACCTCCATCATAATTGTTATCATAAGTTCTTGTTGGTCTGTAATCATCATGACCACCGGCTTCTCTTTTTTCAATAGCAGCAGCAGAAGTTAAAGCAGCAAAAACAGTTAAAGCAATTGAAGTAATGAATTTCATTGGAAAGCTAATAAAAAAAGATAAAAATTGATGGAAATTTGATGCTTTATTTATAGTAAAATTTGAAAATGGTGTATTCTATAACTTTCTCGGTAATGCTCAATGATCCGTCATTTGGTGTATGTTATTTGATCAAATTGGTTAAGTCCCTTACAAATACAATTATTAATTAGTGGTGATTTGTAATTTGGTGTATAATTTGGGGTAATTATTAAAAACTTTGTCAATTTGATCTGTTATTAAAATTTCTTGTCCTTATAAAATGACACAGAAATACGATACACATATTTCTTTGGCTGCAAAAAAATTTTATATGCAAACCTAACACACAAGGCGATTTGTTTTTAATTTTGCATCCAACTGCTAATTATTTTGCAACCGATCCAAATCTAGAATCTGAATTGCAATTTCTAAACTTCTACTTCGTAGAATATTTACTGATTGATTGTTGATCGTAAGCAAACAAATACTTTAGTCATTTTTGATTATACTAAGTGCAAAAGTGTTATGCATTTAATTACTGAGCTTTCCTTCAAGTTTGCAAATAATCACAAGCGGAGATAAAGTTTGATCAGATTGTTCATTGAACCAAAAGTCAATTTTCATCTGAAACTGAGCTCTAAATTTGAGAATTTACTTTTAACAACATCTTTCAACTTGAGTTAGATAGTCAATTTCTTTAGCTGAATTTAAACAACATTCGTAGTGGATACTGTATTTGAAAACTAATAGCTAATTAGTAATTTGAGATCTTAAAATCTTCAACCAGGAACTATTTTTTAGCTTATCATTGTTTCAAATATATTCCCGCTCAATTTTTTTTAATCGCATACATGAATCAAAGGTTTATGACTAGATTGTTTACATAATTTGGAGTGTTGTTGAAGTGAAACATTGTTGCCCATAATCATTAGTTGAGGAGTTACTGCAATTTGAATTCTTAAATATTCGAGCAATACCAAGTTTTATTATCTCTGTTCTGAAAAGCAGTAAATATAAAATTTCTTAAGTATTAAAGACTACTAAAGCACCCAACCGTTGTTTACTCTGGTTCTTTATGTAACTTAAAAGCTATTTTATATCTGTTAGGCAATTGGTAGCATTGTTAAATAATACCCAATTGGACCCTCATGTTCAATCAACATTCCGTCTTTGGATATAAATACTTTGACCTTCGCATCTTACTAAATTATATACTCTAGTGTTCTTAGAATGACCTTAAAATTTTCTACCCCCTTGTCGTTAATCATAATAAAAACGGTTTGCCTATTTTTTTTTACAGCCAATTATTAATTATGATTCAGTTTTTAAAGAGATTTAAGGAGTTACCAATTGAGATTCCCATGATGATCTTGAGTTTATTTTATGCTCATCAATCGATACCATTTCTATACGATCCAGAATTAAAAATGCTTGTTTTACCACTTATTTTAAATACTGTTGCAATAAATAACCCAAACGCTAATGCAAACGAAGTTGAGAATGAAAAGCCTGGAATTATTAACTTTCCATCACTTGAACAATTATTCAATCTAGTAAACAAGGTGCAAGCCTATCCAAAGAAAATCACCATACAACTTCCAATTTAAGTCATTAAAAATTATGTAAGCATGGTCAATAAAATTAAAAGTCATATTAAATGTTCGAAATAATCCTATTACCAAATCATTTAGGAAAACTTTTAAAGAATTGGAACTTATATCCCAAGTGATTATTGACTAACTTTCAACAAAAGATCTGAAATTATTTCAAAATGTGGACCTTTTAACTATCAACAATTTAAATGATAATGGTCCAACAGGTTTCAACTTCGAGCTTAATTGTATCCGGTTAGGTTTAAAATTTTGCTCCACAGAATTAGTCAACAGGGTACTTGAAAGGTCAAAAAAACTCCAAAGTTTTGAAATTCTACAATAGTAATCTATTGATGAATTAAATATTCCAAAATTGGTACAAATTATAACTCTTTTGCATTACCTTTATTAGATGTGGAAAATTTCTCAAGGTATCAAATTCTTAGATATTACATTAGAACCATCAGATTTCCAGTCGGGATGTTTAAAAAAGAATAAAAATTTTCCAACTTGGGTAACTCTTTGGATACAATATGATTGATGATTCATTAATTGAACTTTGGTGGAGTAATCATTCAAAAGAAGATTTTATTATTCATATTGATGAGTGTCAAATTTTTAACAAATATGAAAAATTTATAGTTATATTTGGAGATTATCATTTAAATAGAAATTCAAAAATTCCACCAAATTTGGAGTGATTTGCCGTCCATAATTTCTGTTTAGATAATAAAAGTTTAGATTTCAGTATTTTTCCCCCATCCTTAAAAGCTTTGTTTATTGAAGAAGCAGTTTACGAAGAAATTGGATAATTTGAATTACCAGAAAGTTTCAATTTAATGTGGAGTCAAAAAGATGAAATAATGTAATTACTATACTTGAATAAAGTTGCGTATAATTTAATTTGCTAATATATATTACCTAGCTCTATCCTCGTAATATATCATTAGGGTGCTTTTAAAGCTTGACAGAATTTCAACATATATTCCGGATGTTAATTCAATGTTTAACATTTAACGGATAATGGTTATATGGTTTAGTCATTGAACATCGTACCTCAGTAATCTATGGTTACCTCTAATTTAAAATTGGACATTTCTTTGCAATGTATGATTAGGAGGCTAATTTGGTAGCGATAATATTAATAAAGTACTCCTTATAATTAATTAAGAATTCGATGTTTTTCATCTGACACGTTGTTAGTTCATCAGTTGCTGTCCAGAGCATAATGCATGTTATAATTGCAAAAAAAATGGCAAGCGTTGGCTCTTGTTATACTATCTAGGACTACCAGCAAATGAAAGCCGCTTAAGCAGTATTTCTCAGTAGTTAGCGTAGAGAGTTAAAATTTCAATTTAACTATCAGAATAACTTTGTTATAAATGTTGATCATAAGTTTCAATAAAAAGAGTTGCTATAGTCCCAGTAATTAGAAATTCCAATAGTTTGAAAAGTTTTGATACATGATTGGGTTATTGCAGAGCGAAATATACTACATCACAAACCAGGTCTACTTCAGGAATGAGAATGATCTCATTCAAGGTTAGGCCGTCTATGATTTGAAGAATCAAGCTGGAATTGAAGCGTCAAACTATAGTTTACTAAAATTTATTCTTTTGGCTCAACAAATGATGTAAACACCCAGGACTAAAACAACTTCAAAGCTTTCCCTCGAGCCAATGTGCTCAATATTGAACTAATGCTACTTCATACACTTATCCTCTTTTGCATCCATTATAATCTTTCATATGTACGATAGATAAAATATTACATAAGCAGAATCAAAATTCCGAAGAGGACAAATCGGAAATAAATTAAGTCACGATTATCATCTGCATCATTAATTACCAAAGTCTATACCAATAAGAATAGTTATTAACCATTGATATCATGGTTGATAAATTAACATCCAATATAACAAATTTATCAACAAATATTGGATCTCATTTGAAAGATGCTTATCATACTACTGGTAATGAATTTTCAAATTTAACATATAATGTCAAAACTCATTTACCATTTATGCATAAAACTGGATTTGATCAAGATGATGAAATAATAGATGAATATATATATAATATAAAACAATCAATAAAAGGTTTGAAATTTGTTATTAATCAACATCATGTATTAGGTAAAAAATTATTCCCCTGGTTAATTTCATTAAATATTAAAATTGCAACTAAATTTATACAATTAATTGGTCCAAATTCATTATATTTTAAAGATATTGAAAAATATTACCATGAATTTGATTTATTTCAATCTACTCAAGAAATACCTCATGTCCATCCGAAAGAACAACAATATTTGGTAGAAAGTGTAAATTCACAATTGATTAGTTATTTAAATATTTTAGAATTTTTAAAGGTTACAATAAAGGAAGAATGGGAGATTAATGATGAGAAAATTAAAATTAGAACTCAACAAATGAATAAATATTTGAAAGATACCTTGAAATTGATTAGTAAAAGGAATAAAAAGAAGTTGGAAACTAATAAATTTGAGCATTATATTGAAAAATTGAATCAGAAAACACCTCCTTTACTGGAAAAAGATCAGAAGCATATGGATAAATATCAAGAAGAATTAAATAAAGTTGGTAAAGTATTTGAATTTTTGAATGAAAAATGTTTGACTATTATACCTCATATAGTCTTATGGTTGGAAGAATTTGTTGAAACAATTACAATAATGATCTTAAATCAACAGGTTAAAACTTATGAAAGATTAATGGATGCTTTTGAACTGTTTTCATTATATTTTGGTTTGATAAATGATAAAATTCCCGAATATCAAGAAATTGTAGAACAGTGGGAGACTGATTTAACTGCTACTAGATTAACTATTGAGTCAGCAATCAATATGATACATGATAAGAATCCAAATAAACTAGATGAAGAAATAGATGATAAAGATCAAACTTCAAATTTTAATAAATTTTTACTGAAATGGAACAATAAGATTTTACATGAAAGAAAACATGAAGTTAAGTCAAAGAATAATAATGGAGTTTTGGCAGAGATCGTTGAAGTCAATCCATCAACTTATTTGGATCCAAAATTGAATATTTTAGACTGTTATCAACCTCATAAAGTTGTCGAAATAGATGAAATCCAAATACCAGAAGTCAATAAAGAAGCACCACCATCATTACCACCAAGAACAAACACAACTGTGCTTAAAAATGCAATACCAGAACCTAAACCTTTTATGAATGGCACTACTAATCAATTTTATAAACTTCCTGATGATTCTATGGAATCTTTATTACTTTCAGATGAAGAAGCAGATACTGATTTAATTTCAATTAAGACTGGATCATCAGCAAGTTCATTCTCAACCCAAAATGATTCATTTTATCATAATGAGAATAATAAAAATTCATTTGAAAGAAAATTGATTAAAATTTATAATAATGCTAAAAATGAAATACAAACTTGTCCAATTACTACTAAATTTGCACCTCGTGATACCAAAAATGATTTAGACTTATCAAGTATTAGTCATAAGTTATATATATTACAATCATTCTTTGATAAATTACCTGAAAGTACTGATAAATTCAAAATTGCAAAAGCAGATTACGAAGGTAAAGAACCTGGTGATTTATCGTTCAAACAAGATGAAATAATTGAAATATTACTTGATTTTCAAGATGTTGATACATTATACCAACCAAGTCAATCTAATTGGTCAATTGGTAAAATTAATGATAGAATTGGATTTATTTCAAATGAATATATTGAATAAGTATCTTTAATCTATATCGTTATTTTCTAATAAGTCAAATAATGAACCTAATACTTTATCTGGATCTGCTCTTAATCCATTATGGAAAAATTCTGATGTGATATACTGTTTTAAATTATCCTTTGCAAAATATTTCTCTTTAACTTGTTTACATAAATTAAAATCAACATATTGATCATTTACATAAGTTGCTGCCACGATAGGTACATCTTTCCAACTTATATTTTTCAAAACATCAACATCGTATAAATTTGACCAATTGGTGTATTCATGTAATGCATGAGCTAAATCTTTAAATTCGGCTAACTCTGAGTATGAGTTATTTTCATACATGAATTTGTAAACCATTTCACCAGTAAAATAGATTTCATCATCATTTATTTCAAATTTAGATTCTCTTAAAAAGTCTGCACTCCAATTAGATTTCAGACCTACCCCATTACAATAAATGGCTTCTTGAAATACTGCATAAATAACATTAGTCTCAAATCCCAAAGACTGAGAGATAGTATTTAATGTGTTATAAGTAGGTTGACCCAATACTTTCAATTCTTCGTATAGTTTAGTCACTAATAAATGTATAGTGTCAGTACCTCCAGTTGCTCCAAAATTCAAACCCAATTGTAGAAATCTTTCAGGAGTTAAATGACTTCCATTAGGTAATGAGGTGTTACGATGCTTCAAATACTTGCAAATTGAGACAATCTTGGTTCTATCTTGTGGAAATTTATTGTAGTAATGCCAGTTCCGTTCGCTGGTTTGTTTATAAGTAGCTTCGTAAACATCATCAACTGCAAATCCAATTGGTGGGATTCCACCAGTCACTAATACTTCTTTCAACGATTTTGGGTATAAACTCAAATATGTAAAACAGCAGAAACCACCGTATGATTGACCAATAATCAGCAATTTTTCATCCTTGATTAAAAATTTTCTGATCATTTCTAAATCTTTCACAACTGAGTCAGCTCTAAAACTTAAGATATATCTCAATTGATTATTTAGTTCAGAATCTCCGTATACATTATTAACTACTTCCCTAAAATTTTTAGATTGAATTGGGGTTGAATATCCAGTACCTCTTTGATCAAGCCAAAGTATTTGATAGTTTTTATCTAGTAACAATTTAGTCACACTTGAATTTGAAGTAGGTGTAGCACATGGGAAACCGGGACCGCCTTGTAAATATGCAATTAATTTTGGTTCTTCAGGTAAGGCTATAGTTTCAAATGCATCTAATTTTGAGATATGATCTGAATATTTTTGAGTGATGTTTATTACAACTTGAATTATGTGAGATTCTGGGTTTGAATGATTTAATGGAAGTTCAAAAGCAATTCTTTGATTGAATATGTCTTTTGTTTTGAAAGCATCAATTATCTCATAGTGTAACATAATTGGCCACGTATAAATATTTTTCAAGAATTATCTGACATGGTAGCATTTGCAATTTACATAATTTGAACCTTATTCAATAGAGTTCAGACGATACCAAAACCAATAACAATTAATGATTCCAAGTCAACCAAAACGGTTGGTTGTTACCCAGCTATTACTTTGAACTGAGTATTCCTTGTCTCAACTTCTTACAACCCTTAAAAACTTCGACTGAAAACGTAAAGCACGTCAATCCAAAGTCAGACGGTAAGATAGCTTCATCTTCAATAACCTATACTCAATGATTGACATACCTGATAAGAAGCCAATGAATCAGTAAGCTCATATACACGGAGTTGTAATGTCATGAAATTTTGCAGCCAAATTATATCACGTCAATTGCGGCATTACACAAATGTGTAAGCAGTGATTTGGCCCCAAGTTTCAGATTATAAATAGAGATGGTACATCAAATTTTAAAGCTTTAACAGTCGATAAAATAGGCTAACTTGATTGATTTAGTCCAAATAACTCAATATTTAATTAAAGAGAGTAATAATGCACATTTTAAAAGCCATCTGCAGAATATTCCATACATGGAAACTTACAATCTATACGAAATTATCAGAACATTTATATGTCAAAGATATCTTGCTCCGTTTCCTGGTGACATAAATGCTCAAATTAACAAATTTATAAAGTATCAACAAGACAGTAAATTAAAAACATCAATTAAATCAATCACCACCAATTATATTAAAAATCAAACAATTATATCATTATGGAAAGGTGATATTACAACATTAACAAATAAGTCTGCTATTGTAAATACTGCTAATTCCGCATTATTAGGTTGCTTTCAGCCAGCACATAAATGTATTGATAATGTTATTCATTCTGCTGCTGGTCCAGATTTAAGACAGGCATGTTTTGAAATTATACAAGAACAAGGACATGAAGAAGAAACAGAGGGGGCTAAAATCACACCAGGGTTTAATTTAGATGCTAAATAAATTTATACTGTTGGACCAATTGTTCGTGGTGATGTGAAAGAGAAAGATAAGGAAGAATTACGAAATTGTTATCTATCATGTTTGAAAAAACTTGACGGATTACAAGAAGAAGGGAAAAGAATTTCTTCTTGTTGTATATCTATTGGTATGTTTGCATTTGCAAAAGAATTAGCTAGTGAGATTGCTATATCTACATTTAATGAATATCTTGAATTAAATCCTAATACAACAATTAATCAAATAGTATTTAATGTATTCTTAGAGGAGGATGAGAGGAAATAACTAAAGATTTGAACAAGATGTTTAAGAAAGCTAGTATTGATGCAGTACCTACTGTCCATCCATTGATTGATGAAGCTAGATCTGCAATCAACGAAGCTGATTTTTTAATAATTAGTGCTGCTGCTGGTCTGTCTGCGAGTGCAGAATTTGATTATACGTCAAAAGAATTATTCAAAACAGAATATCAACCATTTTTGAAATATAATATTAAGACATTGTACGCTACTATTGGTTTTCCATGGCCCAGTAAAATTGATTTATGGAATTTTTTCATTTATCTTTATAGGAATGCTAAAAGATGACCAGACACTCCAACTTATCAAGAACTATTAAAATTAGCTAAGGAAAAACAATGGTTTGTAATTACTACTAATGCAGATGGATTTTTCATCAAGAATGGATTAGATGCAAATAAAGTTTTAACACCACAAGGAAATTATTCAAAGATTCAATGTTCAAAGAATTGTTCAGATAATTCTTATAGATCAATGGATGAATTAGTTGAAAAATATTCCCTAACTAAGTTTAGTGATATACCTAAATGTGATAATTATTGTTTTGGAATGAATATGTTTTTGGGCGAATCATTTAATGATAGTATTGTCAAGCATGAAAAAACAAACTATAAAGCATTCATTCAAGAAACTCTTAATTCAGGTAAGAAAGTAGTTATACTTGAACTACTTGTTGGTTTAAATACTCCATCATTATTAAGATGGCCTAATGAACGAAAAAATGAAAATTATCCAGATATTTTCAAATTAATTAGAATTAGCAAAGGACCATCCAGTACTATTCCAACGGATAATAGACAATTCAATTGTAATTAACGATGATATAAAAACTTACAGATTTAATAGTAGATTGATTAGTTTAAATTTAGAATAAAAATGGCTGCAAAAATGGCTGCAAAAAAAAGATCTTCGGCTTTTGTGTTCGTAACTCATCGTTAAAATATTTTTTTTTTTTTTTTTTATCAGATCGTTTTAGATTATAACCATGACTGATGAAATAAATATAGTTACTGCTTCATTAGAACAATTAAGAGATGTTTTATGTAATAAATCTGGAGATGCTAAATTATCAAATAGATTCAGAGCTTTATTTAACTTAAAATCCATTGGTGCTGAATCAGAAGATGAAGAACAAGCACACAAGGCTATCAAATATATTGCAGAATGTTTTCAAGATGATTCAGAATTATTAAAACATGAAGTTGCTTATGTATTAGGACAAACTAAAGATTTATATGCTGCACCATATTTAAGAGATTGTTTAACAAATAAAAATCAACAAGTCATGGTTAGACATGAAGCTGCTGAAGCATTAGGAGCCTTAGGAGATAAGGAAAGTTTAAAATTGTTGGAAGATTATTTTAAAAATGATCCATCTATTGAAATAAGACAAACTTGTGAATTAGCTATCGAAAGAATAAAATGGGAACAATCAGATTTATCAAAAACTGAAATTTTAGAAAAATCATTATATACTTCAATAGATCCTGCTCCTCCATTAGCTACAGATCAAGCACCATCAAAGATTGAAAAATTACAAGAAATTTTAAATGATCAAAATAAACCATTATTTGAAAGATATAGAGCCATGTTTAGATTAAGAGATATTGGTACTGATGAAGCATGTTTAGCATTAGCTAGTGGGTTTGATGATCCAAGTGCTTTATTTAAACATGAAATTGCTTATGTTTTTGGTCAAATGTCAAATCCAGTAACTGTACCTTCATTAATTAAAGTTTTAAAAGATGAAAGAGAAGCAGGTATGGTAAGACATGAAGCTGCTGAAGCTTTAGGATCAATTGCAACTGATGAAGTATTACCTATATTGAAATCATTTTTGAATGATGATGTTCAAGTTGTTAGAGAATCTGCAATTGTTGCATTAGATATGTATGAATATGAAAATTCAAATGAATTAGAATACGCCACGGTAAAATAGAGATAAATGATTAATGTACAAATAAACTTTTTTTATATTGATTCTAATTATTAGTTCTAAAACGATATTGACATTTTGTACATGTATAAAATACAGTAGCACCTTCATCGGCACTTCTTAATTGTAGAGTATGGTATTGCATTTCTTCATTACCACATTTTGGACATTTTTCTTTTATAGTTGCACCTTCATCTAATTCATCTTTTTTCAATGTAGTCTTAACTAATGATCTATTTGATTTTAATTTTGATGGGAATGCATCTTCTGAACTTTGCGTTATAACTTTTAAATTTTCAAATGATGATTTTGGATATTTTTGTAGACAAACATCACATTCAATATGTGACGATGAAGAATGTGAATTTAGCAAATTACCACAATAATTACAGAATATTAATGACCCAACAACTGACATGGTTTATGTTATATATTGATATTGAACTTGGTAGTGATTTTTCAGATCCAAATATTTTTTCAGAGATGAGAAGCGCCTGGTGATAAGATTGATGGTACACATTATAAAAACCACCACCTTTTAGCTTAATTCGTAGAAAAATCAAAGAATATAACATAATAAACTGTGTATACTGTTTGTATTCCTCTAGAAGAGTGAGTTATACCTCTTATCTAGACGAGTTAAATGAATGAAGATAACATTAGCTAATACAGTAAGTTACCTTCATTTGTGAGTTGTCAACGTCGTTTCAATCCTTTTCCACTCTGCTCAAATCTTCTATATCTTTGTAGTATATCATCGATCAATTGTAGTTGTATTCATTATCAATTTATATAGAAATTTATAGAAACGAAAACTTTTTTTTTTTCAAATCAATTCTGGAACTTCAAATTTTACTGATTTAATTCAAGATGGCTGCTGCACCACAAGCTTTACCAGATTTATCAAATGCAATTGTTGCTCAAGATGAAATGGGTAGACCTTTTATTATAGTAAGAGATCAAGGTAAAAAACAAAGAAAACATGGAACAGAAGCAACTAAATCTCATATTTTGGCTGCTAGATCAGTGGCTTCAATAGTTAAAACTTCGTTAGGTCCCAGAGGTTTAGATAAAATATTAATAAGTCAAGATGGTGATATAACTATAACTAATGATGGTGCTACTATTTTATCCCAAATGGATTTAGATAATGAAATTGCAAAATTACTAGTCGAATTATCTCGATCTCAAGATGATGAAATTGGTGATGGTACTACTGGTGTTGTTGTATTAGCTTCGGCATTACTAGATGAAGCATTAGAATTAATTGAAAAAGGTATTCACCCTATAAAAATAGCAAATGGTTTTGATGAAGCATGTAGAGTAGCTGTCAGTCAATTAGATAAAATTGCTGATACTATGCCAATTAATAATAAAGGAAATTTATTAAAAGCTGCTAAAACTTCATTAGGCTCAAAAATTGTTTCCAAAGCTCATGATCATTTTGGTAAAATGGCTGTTGATGCAGTTTTAGATGTTGCTGATTTAAAAAGAAAAGATGTTGACTTTGAATTAATTAAAATTGAAAAAAAAGTTGGTGGATCAATCGAAGATTCAAAATTAATTAAAGGTGTTTTAATAGATAAAGATTGGTCACATCCGCAAATGCCAAAAGAAGTTAAAGATTGTAAAATTGCAATTTTAACTTGTCCTTTTGAACCACCAAAACCAAAAACAAAACATAAATTAGATATTGATAATGTTGAAGAATTCAAAATTTTACAAGAATATGAACAACAAAAGTTTAAAGAAATGATTGATTTAGTTAAAAAATCAGGTGCAAATATTGTTGCATGTCAATGGGGTTTTGATGATGAAGCAAATCATTTATTATTAGCAAATCAATTAAATGCAATTAGATGGATAGGTGGATCAGAATTAGAATTATTAGCCATAGCAACAAATGGTAGAATAGTTCCAAGATTTGAAGATTTATCAGCTGATAAATTAGGTTCTGCAGGTGTAATTAAAGAATTAGAATTTGGTACCACCAAAGATCGTATGTTAGTTATTGAAGAATGTTCAAATACAAAAGCAGTTACATGTTTTATAAGAGGATCAAATGAAATGATTATTGCTGAAGGTGTTAGAGCATTACATGATTCTTTATGTGTTGTACGTAATTTAATAAGAGATAATAGAGTTGTTTATGGAGGTGGTGCTGCTGAATTAACATGTTCATTAGCTGTTTCAGAAGCTGCTGATAAACAAAAGGGTATTGATCAATATGCATTTAGATCATTTGCAAGTGCATTAGATCAAATTCCAATGATTTTAGCAGAAAATTCGGGTTTAGATCCAATTGAAACATTATCTAATTTAAAAGCAAAACAAATAAATGAAAATAATAGTCAATTGGGTGTCGATTGTTTAGGTAAAGGTACAAATGATATGAAAGAATTATTTGTAATTGATCCATTGATTGGTAAAAAACAACAATTATTATTAGCTACACAATTAACTAGAATGATATTAAAGATTAATGATGTTATTATAAGTGGCAAAGATGATTATTAAAGAGCTTAAATAGAAATACATAGTTAATATACCTTATACTAGTAATAAATACCGTTCGTGTGTTGATAACAAAAATTGATATTTTTCAATTCGCACTTCAAATTTAGGAGTTTTCCATTTATCAACAAAATAATAACTGACAATTAGATCAATTGCAACCAAAATTAATAACAATTATATAAAATGAGTATGGGAACACCAGCAGTTGTTATGGACAACGGTACAGGTCTAACAAAATTGGGTTTTGCAGGTAATGATTCACCATCTTTTGTTTTTCCCACGGCAATTTGTACTTCAAAACGAAGATCAACAAATGTTGCATCAAAAAGAGGTTTAGAAGATTTAGATTTTTATATTGGCGATGAAGCAATTGATGCTGCACAAGGTTCACAATATAGTTTAAATTATCCAATAAAACATGGTCAAATTGAAGATTGGGATCAAATGGAACGATTTTGGGAAAGTTCAATTTTTAAATATTTAAGATGTGAACCAGAAGATCATTATTTCTTATTAACTGAACCACCATTAAATCCACCAGAAAATAGAGAAAGTACAGCTGAAATTATGTTTGAAAGTTTTAATTGTGCTGGTTTATATATTGCAGTTCAAGCTGTTTTAGCATTAGCTGCATCATGGACTTCACCAAAAGTTCAAGATAGATCATTAAGTGGTACTGTTATCGATTCAGGTGATGGTGTAACTCATGTTATTCCAGTTGCTGAAGGTTATGTTATCGGTGCTGCTATCAAAAATATTCCATTGGCTGGTAGAGATATTACATTATTTATTCAACAATTATTAAGAGATAGAGGTGAAAGTGATACTAGTTTGCAATCTGCAGAAAAGATAAAGCAACAATTTTGTTATGTTTGTCCAGATATTGTACAAGAATTTAGTAGATTTGATCAATATCCTCAAGAGAAATTTGCTCAATATATTGTTGAATATACTGATAGAAATAAAACAAATACAGTTGATGTTGGTTATGAAAGATTTTTAGCACCTGAAATATTTTTCAACCCTGAAATTTGTTCATCAGATTTTTTAACGCCATTACCAATAGTTGTAGATCAAGTTATACAAGCTTCACCAATTGATGTTAGAAAAAAATTATATAAAAATATTGTATTAAGTGGTGGTTCAACAATGTTTAAAGATTTTGGTAAAAGATTACAAAGAGATTTAAAAAATATTGTAAATGAAAGAGTTGGAGCTAGTGAAAAGTTAAGTGGAACTAAATCAACTGGTGTTGAAGTTCAAGTTATTTCACATAAAAAACAAAGAAATGCTGTTTGGTTTGGTGGGTCTTTATTAGCACAAACTTCTGAATTTAAAAGTTATTGTTATACTAAAAAAGATTATGATGAATATGGTCCAAGTATAGTTAGAAATTTTTCATTATTTTCTGTACCTTAATTAAAATATATATATACATTTGGTAGCATTGAATTTTGGTAGTGCGCTTTTTCTCACACGAATTACTATAATCAATTTTCATAATATTGTTAAACGTTAAAATTATACCCTCAACTCACAAGATAAATGTCAGCACCTACATCTGCTCAACTACAGGTAGTTGATGGTGTTGCTGTCAATGAGATTTTTAAAGGTTTGATTTCAAATAATGAAGAAGAAAGGTTAAAATATGCTCAAGAATTACTCAATTATTTATCTTCAATAGCTAGAGATTTATCATCAGAACAATTTAATAGATATAATAATGAAATTAATAAAACAGTATTTGATTTGTTACATGGAGATAAACCAGCGGAAGTTTTGGGTGGTATTGCTGCTTTAAATTCATTAATTGATTTTAATTATGGAGTGGGCAAAGAAAATGCAAGTAAAACTGCTAGATTTTCAAATTATTTAGGGTCCCTTATATTGTCCAATGATTTAATTATTATGAAACAAGCTACACAAACTTTAGGAAAACTTGCTACTATAGGAGGTACATTAACTGGTGATTTTGTTGATTATGAAGGACGTAGGGCCATTGAATGGCTTCAAAATGATAATAAAAATTCAAAACAACATGAGAATAGAAGACATGCTGCCATTCTAATTGTTTCCGCATTAGCTGATAATGCTCCTAGTTTATTATATCCATTGGTTAATCAAATTTTGGAAAATATATGGTCACCATTAAGAGATAATAGATTGATTATACGACTAGATACAGCATTTGCAATACAAAAATGTATGAAGATTTTAAATGATAGAGACCAAAATGCTAAAAGTTATTGGATTAAAAAGTTGATTGATTTAGCATCAAAAGTATTGAATGAATATAATGATTATGATAATGATTCTTCATATAATTTAATACCGACAAGTTCCCAATCAAGTGAGAATATTCATGGTGCACTATTAGCTTATAGAGAATTGTTAACATATTATAAAGATCCATACATAATATCAAAATTTGAGCAAATTTATGAAAATACAATGTTATATAATCAACATAAATTAGCCATTATCAGACAAGAGCTTACAAGAATATTTCCACTACTATGTAAGGTAAATCCTGATTTAATGGTTGAAAAATATTTACATCGTACATTGTATTACTATTTATCCCAATTGAAGAAAAACAAGAATCATCATAACGAAGTAGCAAATGCTGATAAAAGTTGCATATTCAGAAGTATTGGTTTAATTGCATTAGAAGTCGGTAGTCAAATGGCAACATATTTGGATGCAATATTGGATAACATTCGAGAAGCATTATCATATGCCACTAATTTCGGTGCTCAACAGGTTTTGGCCAATGCCGTAAATTCTGCATCTTCAATAAATGAAAATTCAAATGTAATAACTGCACCTAATCTTGCAAATTTAACATCAGGATCCAAATATACTGCCAGTAGGAAAGAAACAGAACCTGCTATTTTTGACTGTATTGGAAAACTATCAATTGCAGTTGGTCCAGCGTTAACTAAACATCTACAAAGGGATATTTTAGATATGATGTTTGCAAATTGTTCATTATCACTGCACATGCAACATGTTTTACAAACATCAATAACAAATATTCCCACATTGACAAATTTAATTAATGAAAAATTGTTAAATTTGCTAAGTTTGGTGTTATCTGGAAAACCGTTTCAACCTCCAGGATCACCATATGGCAGTATAAAAGTTAGTCAATCATTAGCTAGAGATTGTAGATTGATTATGATTTCACGGGATACAGGAATGAGTATTAATAGTATACTTTCAGTTCAATCTCAATATGAAAGACTCGAAAGTAAGATAATTGTACAAGCATTGGAAATGTTGGCTTTTTTTAAATTTGAAAATTATCATTTAAATGAATTTGTAAGGTATTGTACCATAACATACATTGAACATGATAATGCAAAAGTTAGATTAACAGCAGTAGTTACATCATGTAAAATATTTGTCAAAGATCCAATATGTCATCAAATAAGCGTCAATGCATTGAATGCAGTAAATGAAGTTCTAGTAAAACTTCTATCATTATCAATAACTGATCCAAAAGCTGAAATCAGACTAGCTGGTTTAACATGTTTATATAATGCAGGAAGTTTTGATCCTCAATTATCACAAGCTGACAATGTTAGATTATTATTCATTGCATTAAATGATGAAATATTCGATATAAAGAAGATTGCAATTAAAATGTTGAGTAAATTATCGTCAATAAATCCAGCTTATATTGTTCCATCATTACGCAAGACATTAATTCAGTTGTTATCCAGATTAGAATATTCAACAACTAGTAGAAAAAAAGAAGAAAGTGCCATTTTATTATCTTTATTAATTGGTAATTCAAAAGATTTAACAAGACCATATGTCAAACCAATAATTGAAACATTAATACCAAAAACAAAAGACGTTAGTTCGTCAGTTGCATCAAGTGCTATTCATTGTATTGGTGAGCTTGCCGTTGTTGCAGGTGAAGATTTAAAACCATTTATACCTGATTTAATGCCATTATTACTTGAAACTTTCCAAGATCAAAGTTCTTCATTCAAAAGAGATGCAGCATTAAAAACATTAGGTCAGATAGCTTCATCATCTGGATATGTTATTCAGCCGTTATTAGATTATCCACAATTATTAGGTATGCTTACTGCAATTTTAAAATCTGATAGTTCCGCAGATATAAGAAGAGAGGTTGTTAGATTATTAGGTATTCTTGGTGCGTTAGATCCTTATAAACATAGAGAAGTTGAACAAAATTCAAAAAGTATACCAGCTGAACAAAATGCTCCTCCTGTTGACGTTGCACTATTAATGAATGGAATGTCTCCATCAAATGAGGAATATTTTCCAACAGTTGCAATAACGAATTTGATGAAGATTTTAAAGGATTCTTCATTAAGTATTCATCATACAAAAGTCATTCAAGCTATAATGTACATTTTTCAAACTTTGGGACTAAAATGTGTTTCATTTTTACCACAAATAATTCCTGGTATAATTAATGTAATGCATACATGTGAACAATCAATGCTTAAATTTTATTTTCAACAATTGGGTGATATAATATTAATTGTGAAACAACATATAAGACCATTTTTAACTGATATATTTAATGTAATTAAAGAATTTTTTCACGTTAGTCAACAATTTCAAGTTACAATAATAGGAGTAATTCAATCAGTATCTAGATCACTAGAAGGAGAATTTAAATTATATTTACCTGATGTTTTAACATTACTACTAGGTGTTTTCAATGAAGAAAAATATGTTAAAAGACCAGCATCACTTCATGTTTTAAAAAGTTTTGTCATATTTGGTAGTAATATTGAAGAATTTGTTGATATTATAATACCTACAATTATGAATATGTTTGAATCTGGACCATTAGAATTGAGAAAACAAGCTATTGAAACAATAGGTAGACTATCAAGAACAGTTATGCTTAATGATATGGCTTCAAGAATTATACATCCAATGTTGAGAATTATGGGAAGTGATTTAGATGAACTAAAAGAACCATGTATGAATACATTAAGTTATTTATTAATTCAATTAGGAAATGAATTTATTGTATTTATTCCATTAATCAAGAAAACATTTATGATGAAGAAAATTCATGCACCTAAATTTGAACAATTGATTGAAAAATTACTTAGTGGAGATCCATTACCTACTAATTTAGGATATTATAAAGATTATGAATTTCATTCTTTTGATTTTACTGATCTGGATATGCCTTCAAAAAAATTACCAGTAAATCAAGCATCATTAAAAGCATCATGGGATGCATCACAACGTCGAACAAAAGAAGATTGGCAAGAATGGATAGGTAGATTAAGTAAAGAATTATTATTACAAAGTCCATCTCATGCAATTAGAGCTTGTGCTGGTTTAGCATCTGATTATCATCCATTAGCTAAAGATTTATTCAATGCAAGTTTTGCAAGTTGTTGGAGTGAATTGTATTCTCAACATAAAGAAGAATTGGTTCAATCATTTTGTATTGCATTAAGTTCACCTACTAATCCACCAGAAATACATCAAATATTATTAAATTTAGCTGAATTTATGGAACACGATGATAAAGCGTTACCAATTGCTATTCCAACATTAGGACAATATGCTCAAAGATGTCATGCATTTGCAAAAGCATTACATTATAAAGAATTGGAATTTTATGAAGAACCAACTACTCCTACGATTGAATCATTAATTAGTATAAATAATCAATTACAACAATCTGATGCAGCTATAGGTATTTTAAAACATGCTCAATTACATCATGATTTACAATTAAAGGAAACTTGGTATGAAAAATTACAACGTTGGGATGATGCGTTAAAAGCTTATAATGAAAGAGAAAAATTAGAACCTGATAATATTGATATTACAATGGGTAAAATGAGATGTTTACATGCATTAGGAGAATGGGAACAATTATCAGAATTGGCAAAAAGTAAATGGGATAATTCATCGAGTGAAATTAAAAGAAGTGTTGCTCCATTAGCTGCTGCTGCTTCTTGGGGTCTTGGTCAATGGGATAGAATGGATACTTGTATTAAAGTAATGAAGGCAGATTCACCAGATAAAACATTTTTTGATGCAATACTAAGTTTACATAGAAATAATTTTGAAGATGCATCAGCACATATTATAAAAGCAAGAGATTTATTAGTTACTGAAGTAACTGCATTGGTTAGTGAAAGTTATAATAGAGCTTATGGTGTTGTTGTTAGAGTCCAAATGCTTGCTGAATTGGAAGAGATTATTAAATATAAATGTTTACCACAGAATTCAGAGAAGAGAGTTACAATGAGGAAAACTTGGAATACAAGATTATTAGGATGTCAAAGAAATGTAGATATATGGCAAAGAATGTTAAAAGTTAGAGCATTGGTTATTAAACCAAAACAAGATATGGATATGTGGATTAAATTTGCAAATTTGTGTAGAAAATCAGGTAGATTAAATTTAGCTGAAAAATCATTAAATTTATTATTAGAAGAAGGTTCTCCAGAAAATCCATCAAGAGCTCCACCACAAGTTGTTTATGCACAATTGAAATATATGTGGGCAAAAGGTCAAAGACCAGAAGCATTAAGACATTTAGTTGATTTTACAACTAGAATGTCACAAGATTTAGGATTAAATCCGAATGATTTAATTACTCAACCATTACCATCTGAAGGTCCAGGTATACCTAAACATGTTGAAGAATATACAAAATTATTAGCTAGATGTTTTTTAAAACAAGGTGAATGGCAAATTGCATTAAATAATAGTTGGAGATCAGAAACTTCGGAAATTATATTGGGTGCTTATTTATTAGCTACACATTTTGATAATAAATGGTATAAAGCGTGGCATAATTGGGCATTAGCTAATTTCGAAGTGATATCATTGTATACTAGTCAAAATAGTAATAATTATAAAATTGAAGTTTTGGATGGACAAACAAATGGTGACGATAAAATTGCTCAACAAAAGAAACATCAAAAAGCAAATATTATTCCAATTGAAGCTATTCAAAGACATGTTATACCTTCCATCAAAGGTTTTTTCCATTCAATTGCATTATCAAATTCAAATTCATTACAAGATATGTTGAGATTATTAACTTTATGGTTCAAATTTGGAGGTATACCCGAAGCTGCACAAGCAATGACTGAAGGTTTTAATATGGTTAAGATTGATAATTGGTTAGAAGTTGTACCTCAATTAATTTCAAGAATTCATCAACCAAATCCAATTGTTAGTTCTTCATTATTTGGGTTATTAACTGAGTTAGGTAAGGCACATCCACAAGCCTTAGTTTACCCATTAGCAGTTGCAATTACATCAGAATCAGCACTGAGGAAAAAAGCAGCTCAATCGATAATTGAAAAAATGAGATTACATTCAGCAAGTTTAGTTGATCAAGCAGAAATTGTAAGTAGAGAATTAATTAGAGTTGCTGTTTTATGGCATGAAATATGGTACGAAGGGTTAGAAGATGCATCTAGATTATTTTTCGGTGAACATAATACTGATAAAATGTTTGAAGTTCTTGAACCATTACATCAAATGTTACAAAAAGGACCAGAAACAATGAGAGAACAAGCATTTGCAAACACTTATGGAAGAGAATTGGCTGATGCTTTTGAATGGGTATTAAATTTCAGAAGAACAAAAGATATTACAAATTTGAATCAAGCTTGGGATATTTATTATAATGTATTTAGAAGAATTACAAAACAGTTACCGCAATTGACGAATTTGGAATTACAATATGTTTCACCAAGTTTAGAAAAAGCTTATGATTTAGATTTAGCAGCTCCTGGCACTTATGAAGCAGGTAAACCAATAATTAGAATATTAAAATTTGATCCTGTTGTTTCTGTAATTTCATCAAAACAAAGACCAAGAAAATTGAAACTCACAGGTAGTGATGGTAAGGAATATACATATGTATTAAAAGGACATGAAGATATAAGACAAGATAATTTAGTTATGCAATTATTTGGATTAGTAAATACTTTATTAACTAATGATCCAGAATGTTTTAAAAGACATTTAGATATTCAAAGATATCCTGCAATTCCGTTATCTCCAAAAGTTGGTTTATTAGGTTGGGTACCTAATAGTGATACATTCCATGTTTTAATTAAAGCTTATAGAGAATCAAGAAGTATAATGTTGAATATTGAGCATAGATTATTATTACAAATGGCTCCAGATTATGATATTTTAACATTATTACAAAAAGTTGAAGTTTTCACAAGTGCTTTAGATAATACTAGAGGTCAAGATTTATATAAAGTTTTATGGTTGAAATCTAAATCTTCGGAAGCTTGGTTAGATAGAAGAACAACATATACTAGATCATTAGCAGTAATGTCTATGGTTGGTTATATTTTAGGTTTAGGTGATAGACATCCATCAAATTTGATGTTGGATAGAATTACAGGTAAAGTTATTCATATAGATTTTGGTGATTGTTTTGAAGCTGCAATTTTAAGAGAAAAATATCCTGAAAAAGTTCCATTTAGATTAACTAGAATGTTAAACTATGCAATGGAAGTTAGTGGAATTGAAGGTTCATTTAGAATAACTTGTGAACATGTAATGAGAGTTTTACGAGATAATAAAGAATCATTAATGGCTATATTAGAAGCATTTGCATATGATCCATTAATTAATTGGGGTTTTGATTTCCCAACCAAAGCAGTTGCTGAAGCTACAGGAATTAAAGTTCCACAAATTAATGTTCAAGACTTATTGAAAAGAAATCAAATTGATGAACAAGAAGCTGTAAGATTACAAAAACAAAATGAGCTAGAAACTAGAAATGCTAGAGCTGCATTAGTTTTAAAACGTATTACTGATAAATTAACTGGTAACGATATTAAACGATTAAGAGGTTTAGATGTACCTACTCAAGTTGATAAATTAATTCAACAAGCTACAAGTGTTGAAAATTTATGTCAACATTATATTGGATGGTGTTCCTTTTGGTAAATATATATTAAATGTACAATTATGCTACTTTTTTAGATATACTTGTAAATCCATTACCTTTAACGTTTACTATTATAAAATTATTATCTTCTTCATCTTCTTTTAAAAATGCTTCAACTCCTAATATTTGTTTTATATCTCTTAAATTATAAATAAATTTCTCATCAACTTGATCTTTATGAATAATTATTCTACCTATATCTTCTTTACCAATACTCATATATACTAAACATAGTAATATTTGAAATCTACCAATACATCCACTTTTTGTAATTTCATCTAATAACTGATATGTTGTTCCTTCACTTAATTCTTCAGGTAATTCATTTGCTTTACCTGTATTTTCACATAAAATTCTCCAACCTCGTTTATTTTCAGCAATTAAAGTTATACCAAATCCTGGTGATTTACCTGAATTTTCACCTCTCCATACATCAGCAGTAATATTAACTTCACAACCAGTTGATTTTAAAATTTTTCTTGAGGTATCAATCATTCTATTTACTACTGATGGTGAAACTCTTGTACAATATGCAATACCTCTAATGATTGAAAATTTAGGAATATCTACTGAATGTATGGTTAAAAGTTGTTGAATTAATGAATTACATTGGAAATGAACTTCACCACCGCCCAATGGAGGACTACCTCTTTTTAAAATATGTAAACTTATTTCCCTAACTCCAAATTTCTCCATTATTGGTAGTAACCCCCATTTAACTAAATCAATACCTGAATCTTGATCATCATGTGAGTTAGTTAAACCTTTGAATATGATATTAAATTTCTTTTTTGAAAATGGTGCTAACATAATTATAAATTCAACAAAATAACCAATTGGTTTTGAATGTGGACAATTATGAGTTAAATCGCCACCTATTATAATACCAGGTTTGAAAATTATAGTAGTACCAGTATATGATATTTCAATATGAGAACCATTTGTTATACTTTCTAATAATCTTAAAAATGAAACTTCATAATCTTTTAAACCAGGATTTAAATCATCTGATCTTATTTTCACAATTTTGATAGATTTACCAGATAATAACGATAGTATTAGTCTTAATCTGAAATTTCTATGACCTTCAAATGTAATTATATTTGATTTTGAAGACATTTAATCTATAATTCGAGTGTCATATAATTTTTCAAATTTATTTGAGAAGCTCATCATCACGATACCTGCATATAAACTTATTCAGTTTACGCACTCAACAGAAAAAAACTACCAAGTCAAACTTATTATCCCACGACAACAATCTATAACAAACACTTGTATTTATAAATCAGTTAGTATTAGAATCATGAGTTTCCAAGATAAGATGACTTTAAAAAGAAGTTCTAGTACACTTGATAATGATGAATCAAAACGAATAAAACTAGAGAATGCTTCAAATCTACAAAACACTGATAAAGATCTATTATTAATACAGAATGACAACAGAGCTAATAATAATAGTTCAACAACTTCTCAAAAGCAAGCAGATCAAGATACAGCTAAATTAAATGATGCATTGGCTGCTGCTGGTGTTGATATTCAACATGAAGAAGAATTACTATTTCAACAACAATTGAATAGAAAAACAACGTCTGGGGATGGCGTTGCTTCATTATTGAAAGTTTCAAAACCACCATCTTTCTTAAATAATTATCATTTAGCTGCATTTATGGGAAAAGTAGCTAAAGAAAATGGAATACATCAAAATTTTTTACAAGATGGTGAATTGTTAGAATTAATGAGTGCTGCTTGTGAAAATTGGATTGCAAATATGGCTACGAAAACTATAATATTATCAAAACATAGAAGGAGAGGTATTCCAAATTTAAATAAAAAATTTTTAGGTAATTTACCAAGATCTGAAATTTCAAAAGAATTGAAAAATTTAGCTCAAAAGCAAAAAGATCTCGAGGATAAAAGAGTTCAAAAGAGGATAGCATTAGGTCTAGAAAAAGGATCAGCAGATGACGATGATAATAATAGAGCTGGTGCTGAAGAAACTTTACATAGAGCAGCAAATGCAACTGCTGCAATGATGGCATCAAATCCAAAAAAGAAATATAGTTGGATGACAAGTTCAGCTGGTGGTGATACTGGTGGTGCTAAAAATGGTAATAGTGGAGATAAAGATAAAGGTAAACAAAGTCCAATAATATCAATTCGAGGTGATAATGGATTAAGATTTAGGGAAATAAGATCAACAAATGCAGTAGTTTTAAAAGATTTATTAAGTGCAATTGAAGGAGAAAAGAAAGGAGTAAAGAATGCAATTATAAAAGGATATGCTAAATTAAAAGATTAATATATATAATTGTATTATTGATGGTTTTCTTATTCTGTATTGGTAGCTCTTGTTCTCTACCAATTTGATTCCGCGTAGGGCATAAAAAATTGTAAACATAAACAAACAAATTTTTAATAACAACCAAATTTAATGGAGTTTAATCTAACTACGTATTTTAATGCATTTGACGTAGATAAAGATTATGAATTAAATTTTTCAGACTTGAATAATAAATTAGAAAGCATAACTGAATTATTAGCAAATAATCCTGAATCAGTAAATCATAATGAAGAATTAATGGAAGATTTAATTGAGTTAAGTCATGGTTATACGCATTTAAATGAGAAACAACAGAAACAATTAACATATTTAATAACTTCATCATTTAGTGCAGTTGGTCAACAAATATTAAATCAAATAAATAATGAAGAATTTCTTGAACATATCAATTATTATAAAGATATACTTGAAAAATATGGTTATTTAACATTTGTTGTCTTAAAATATATCAGTAAAGAAGATTTTTCAGTTATTGGAAATGCAAAAAGTCAAAAATCAATACCCAGAGAAACTCTTGCAAAATGGAAAAGTAATTGTGCAGAAGTTGAATATTTCTTAACTTGCATTTTGGTCATTTTAAAAATTGATTTAAGTAAAATATTTGTCACTAATTCTGAAAGAAATGCATATTTGGAGTTGTTTTCAAGACCGGTTATAAATTTAATGGAATCACCAGAAAGAATGAAGATACAAGGAATTAAATTAATGATTTTTGAATTACTTTGTGTATTAGTTACAAAACATGGCCATGGGAAGATGATTCAGCATTCTATAATTCAATGTTTGACTTATTATGCACATTTACCACAATATATGGCTGCATTATTACATAAAATGTCCGAAGAATATCAACATACATCATTAACTGAAGAAGTATTAAGAGAAATTGCCCAAACTCAATTCAGTGCAAATGATAATAATGGTCCTAAAGCAATATCAGAATTTTTAATTAAATTATCAGAACGTAGTCCAAAATTAGTATTGAAACAAATGATTGGGATTCAACAACTACTAGATAATAGTAATCAAGCTTTACGTTGTTCAGTTGTTGAAACTTGTGGTAATATAGTTGTTGATATTTTGAGAAATGGTCAAAATTCAAGTGAAAATGAAGAAGTTCATAATTATGAACACCAAGTCGGAGTATTGTTAGATTTATTAGAGCAAAGGTTTTTGGATCAGAACCCCTTTGTAAGATCTAGGGCAATTCAAGCATTGACTAAAGTTGCTGAACTTGATATTAAATTGACTCAAAGAAGACAGAAATTTTTATTATTGGCAGTCAAGTTTTTAAATGATAGAAGTATGTACGTTAGACGTAATGCAATTAAATTGATCATTAAATTGATTATGAAACATCAATTTCAATCAGTTCATGGAAGTCAATTAGATTTAGAACCTTGGAAAATAAGATTGGAAGAAGCTGAAAAGGAATTATTACAATATCTACCAAAAAATACTACAGACGGGCAAGAAGAAGAAGATAAAGAAGAAGAAGATAAAGAAGAAGAAGATAAAGAAGATAAAGAAGAAATAGAAGAAAAAGAAGATAAAGAAGAAGAAGAAGACAAAGAAGTTTCAGATGACCAAGCTGAAGTTAAAGATGACGATGATATGGATGTTGATGAAGAAGATAAAGATTTGGATGAGGAGGATTCTAAATCAGATGAACTTAATGAAGATGTGGATATGAATAAGGATGACAATAATGAGCAGAATAATGATAATGACAGTAATGATAATGATGCAAATATACCTAATGAATCTAATTTACCAGATAGAACCGTTTTAGCAAGAGCACAATTAAAAGCTAAATATTATAGAGATGCAGTTAATTTCATTGAAGCAATTATGGAAGGTACTGAAATTGTTTCAAAATTATTATTTTCCAAAAATAGAAATGAAGCTATTGAATCAATGGATTTTCTAGTGTTGGCAGATGCGTATGGTATTAATAATGCTTCTCAAGGTATTAGAAAAATGTTACATTTAGTTTGGACAAAAGGTTCAACAGATGAAGGTAAATCAGTAGCCTCACATTTAATTGATTGTTATAGATCATTATATTTGACAACACCTGATTCGGCGTCAAGATTAGATAAAGCTACACATATAGCTAAGAATTTGATACTGTTAACTTTTGATGCTTCATTAGCTGATTTGGCTTCATTAGAGAAGTTATTAGGTTTGATGTATGAAGGTAATTATATTCATAGTGAAGTTATTAATGTTTTATGGCAAATTTATTCATTAAATATAACAGACAAACTGGACGAAGTTAAACAAGAATTGATGAGACAAAAAAGAGGTGCAATTATAATATTAGGAATGTTTGCACTTGAAGATCATTATATTAGTTTGAATAATATTGATGCATTGTTGAAAATAGGTTTGGGTGAAATAGGTAAATCAGATTTAATTTTGTGCTCGTACACATGTATAGCTCTACAAAGGATTAAGAACAAGAAAAACCCTGAAACAAAGATAAGGCAAGAGATTCAAGTAATGGATAAAATCAAAGAAATCTTAGTTGAATATAATGAACAACCTGAATATTATTTAGTTGCAGAACAAGCCATTAGTGCAATTTTCCAATCTTCATCAAATCCGGAAGAAGTATGTTCAAAAATAATAAAGGAGAAAACAATGTTAGTATTCAATGGAGATTCAGATTCTCAAAGTGATGCATTATCACAATTATTATTCTTAGTTGGTCATGTAGCTATTAAAATGATTGTTTATCTCGAACAACTTGAAAATCAATTTAAAAAGAAGAAAAATTCTGCTGATTCAGCTAATCCTGGTGAAAACCAAGATAAAGATACTACTCAAGAAAATGAGTTAGAAATGATTGGAGGGACCACCGAAGATGATTTTACAGATGCTGTTGTACATGTAAAAGAAAAGGAATTATTATATGGAGAAAATTCTTTATTAGCAAGATTTGGACCATTAGTAAAGGAAGTAATTTTGCAAAAGAATTTTAATATTAAATTACAAAGATCGGCAGTTTTATGTATGGTTAAGTTGATGTGTATTTCATCAATTTATTGTGAAGATAACTTACCTTTATTATTAAAATTATTGGAAACTCATAAAGATCCAATAATTAGATGTAATTGTGTTTTAGGATTAGGTGACATGGCTGTTTGTTTTAATAATATAGTTGATGAGAATACTGATTTTATATATAGAAGATTAACTGATGATTCAATAATGGTTCAACGTACATGTTTAATGACGGTTACATTTTTGATTTTGGCTGGTCAAGTTAAAGTTAAAGGTCAATTATCTTCAATGGCTAAATGTTTAGAACATCCAGACCAGGGTATTAGTGATATGTGTAAATTATTCTTTACTGAATTGGCAGCTAAAGATAATGCAATTTATAATGGATTTATTGATATTTTTAGTGGATTATCAAATGATGATACTTTACCAAAGGTTGAAATGAAAAGTATTATCAAGTTCTTAATTACTTTCATTGATAAAGAGAAACATCAAAAACAATTGAGTGATAAATTATTAATTAGATTAAATAAATGTCAATCAAAACATGAATGGGATGATGTTGCATATGTATTAACTACAATTCCATATACAAATGAGAATATAGCAGAAGCATTGAAAGGTGGTTATAAAATTGTTGAATCTAGGGAATAAATATATAAAGTATCTTGTCTAATCTATTCTTGTAATTTGTCATATTATAAACTTAAATTACTCAAGAACAAAAGCACCTCTAGTAAAATGAAACATCGTATTAGAATCAAAAACGTCAAAAGATTTAAATACATCCTTTCTCATGACGAATGGGCTATAACTTTATTTTTAACATCAAAATATCAAAATATCAAAATTTCAAATTTAATTGAGTTACTTCACCGCTAACGATTATCAACTTGGTTATTTCAAATAAAACCACATAAAAGTACTAGAAAATTATGAATTATGAAATATTAGCTCTCTAAATGTAGTCATGTGTAAATAATATTCGATTTGTTTAAAGTTGCAAAAAGAAAATGTTGGCGATTTGTAAAATTTGGTTTTGTGTAATAAAATTGGTTTTCACTTTAGTCCATAGTAAAAAATGAAAGCAGCTAAAATTACAAATAACTCACGATCTAGTAGGTCAAGTAGCATCTTGACTTTGGATAATTACAATATAGATGACGATCTATATACTAGTAGCTAAAACACAGTGAAATTCCAATTTTTGGGTATTTGGTACTAACCCTCGCCTTAAATAACAAAGTGTCTCGCTTAGCTCTCGCATCACGCTGGTTGAAAGCTTTACACCACAAAATAGAGAATTTATAAAACAAATTTGACTTACATGCAGTCCTATAGTAATAAATTTCAAAACTTTAATCGTAAATAACTCTACCGATTTTGACAATATATCTCTGAAACTAAACTCATTATGTTTGCAATTTAGTTCAGAATTGAATGACTCTAATTTCCTTTGTAGAAACATAGTTTTTATCGCTTTATTCAACTTTCAAAAAACGCAAAAAAACGTTATTTTGCAAGGTAATTTGCACTTAGCTCTCAATTATCGAGTTCTAATGAAGCTGATTCAGTTCAGTTAATTCTAAAGAATATATTGATAGTAGTTCCAAGACGTCATATTCATTTTGAATTTTTTTCAAAAATTTCAAACCGCTTCTGGAATAATACTTTTTGAATTTAGAATATCTTAACACAAAAAAATCTGAAGCATATCAAAGAAGGAAACTACAAAACTGGTTAGTTTTATTATAATTAATTTGAATATTGATTGTGGTGCTGAATTTTTTATATGGTCAATTTATTCAATTTTCTCCGTACATAAGAGAAAATTCTGAAATTTCTCAATGTTAAATTCAAACATTTGGAACTAAGTTCAATACATTAGGATTAGGCTTAAAATATATAACTCACCACTGTTAAATTGAAAGTTATGGCGTTAAATAATATATACTTTGCGTTTCCAGTTTTGGCAAACTTTTTGTATCCTGTAAAATAGCCAAAATGACAACTCAAATAAAAAATTCTTGAAACCCGAGCGTTGAGCTACGTATTAAGTATAATTAATGACTCCGTAACTATTTAAACTACTTTGTGTCTCGTGAGATTACGTTGATCATGAAACATAAGCCAAAGAGTTTAGTATGAGTCGCCCTAAGTTTAACGCGAGCAATATATTTATGAGGCGCTAATTTTGGGGAGAATTACAAACTTGAAAAAATATTTTTCAAAAATTGACTTATATGCAGTCTTATAACAGTTAATCATAGTTAATCTGCACATAACTCTCTCAATATTTAAGCTGTAATTGTCAAACTTTTTTCTTTAAGACTTCCAATAATTTAGCCTAAACAGATACTAGTATTTTTGAGTAAAATTAAGTAAAATTTTATCTTGATTCTTTTATTACTCATGCAATAAATGCAAAAAAAGTTAAATTGCGAAATAAGTAGTACTTAAAACTTGTTAGCAACTTCTAATATGATTTGGTTCATTTGTTTCCATAAATGTTTAGTATCATGTTTTCAAGAAGTAAAAATCAATTTGAATTTTTTTCAAAATTTTCGACCACTTTCGAAAAATTGATAATATATAAAGATAAGTTATCTCCAACTGATATTTAAGTACTTTAGAAATACATAACGTAGTTTCTTATTTTCATTGTAATTATTATACTTTCGACGGGATTCATTAAATTAATTATTCCTCCTTTACATTTTATATTTTACATTTATCTACACGAATGCCTCAACATAAAATTTTTTGAAATCCCTCATAATATTGAACGACAAATTCGGTTAATTTCTCATTGTTTCGATTTCAATGTGTAATTAGGTTTTTCGTAAGGTTAATTTATTCGATTTTCCCCATAGTTAAGAGAAAATTATGATATTTTTCAATTTTAGTTGAGATCAGCCATTTTCAAGTCCAAATATTTAATTAAGATATCATATTTTCGTTGTTTAATTGGAAACTATGGTCCTAAATTAAAAGATACACAGATTTATATTTTTTTGAAAATTTTTGGTATGATGAAAAATAGCCAAAATGACAACACAAAAAAAACATGTTTGAATCTTAGAATTTGAAATATATAAAATGTATAAATCAATGATCCTGATTGCATGCAAATGGTAATTCTCTCCAGAGAATTTGTTGTTCATGACATATAGGCCAATACATTTAGTACGAGTCGTCCCAAAGCTGAAGCGAGAAGTTATGTTGTCGCCCGAAAGTTATCGCATCGAAAAATACATACTTTCTACTCGTATATTCTTTTTTCGCGTTAGCTTCTTGTGCTAACTGTTTACTTTCTCGCGTTGATCTTGAACCATCTGCAAGATCAATCAAGCACAACGAATCCCTCACGATATTAAAAATGTGAAAACCAATAAAACAAAGCTTTCAAACAAAATCTAATGACTTATGCATCAAGCCGTTAAATCATCTCTAATACCTTCAAAATTAACAAAAACTCGTTAGGTTTATACACGACTCTATAAAAACGTCACGTGTTTTGTCGAGTTTTAAGAAAATTATTACATTTGTATATGAGACCTATATGAATGGATTGATCTTTAGGAATCAAGTAAAACAATATATGGCAGCTTTGTTTGAATATTATAGTGTTAAGATTTATGGGATGTTTTAGTTCTCACTGTCAAAATTTTTTTTGCATAAATGAAAAATCTCATTTTTTGACAACTTTTCTTTTGTACAAACATAAAAAAAATCGACAAAAACACGTCATTCAAATCAGTAGATCGTCATAGGTTTAACGTAAATGGATGTATTAACTTATCAGAACGGATCACCCATTTTTTCAGGGTTTAAACCGAACAAGAGAAACATTTATATTGCAATTTTTGTATAATCAGAGAATAATCTAAATTACCAATTTACAGCGAGTACACTTTTATCCACTTATTCGATTGGTACCTATTGATACAATCATTGCTAATTTTAATCAGAAATTTAATCTTGTAATCTTCCGATTCTCTAAATTTCATACCTGTTAAAATCTTCCAAAATCTCTCATAATATTGGTCTACCATATTCAATTATTTTGGATTAAAGTTGGATATGGACAAAATCCGCGATATATATCTTAATATTACTTATTGTTATGGAATATATGATACGAGTATATGTTATTGTTTTCAGTATACCGTAATTTGAAACTAAGTTAATGCGTAGATGATACAGCACGACCAAATAATTTCTCGCACTAGCTTTGAGGCGATTCGTATTACACATATTGGTTGACATATCCATAATAACGCTTTCTCTTCAGATAAATACCGGTTATTATTTGAACTAAAGAGTCTTGAATTGTGTATTTTAAATATCTCAAATATTTTTTGTTAAATTGTCATTTTGGCCATTTTTCATCATACAAAATTTTTTAAACAAATAAGAATCAATATATATATTAATCTAGGGCAAAACTTTCAGTTAAACAACGGAATATATATATTGTACATCAAAATAAGGAGCTAAGCCTGATTTTAGTGACCTGGGCTAATATTGAAAAATGTCATAATCTACTCTTAAGTATGGTAAAATCGAATAAATTGACCTTACGTAAAATCTACCTCCACAATCAAAATTGTGACTTAAGTAAAATAAAAGCATCAGGATTTGTATTCTCCTATTCTGATACTTTTTCATTTTTTTTGAGTTGAGGTATTCACTCTTGAAAAAGTAATTTTTCAAGAGTGAAACGAAATTTTTGAAGAAATTTTAAACCAAATATATTTACTTGAAACAATGATACAAAACATTTTGAAGGTTAAATGAACTAGATCAGCTATATTAGAATTTGATAGACGTGGTTTGTGTGCTTTTATCTTCAAATTCACATTATCTGCCATTTTTCAAATACACATTTACGTGATCAAAAAGACATTCCTTTAAAAGATAATAATACCCAACTACTGAAGACTTACTAAAGTTTTAATGAAAAAAGTTAGAGAATTAATGCTTGAATATTGAATGAGTTATTAACTGATTAAAATGTAAGTTATACTACTATTATAAATCTGTTTGTTGCTTGATTATTCAGTAGAATATGTATATTTCTCAAGACGTTTTATTCGATGAATGTTACCACAATACTCATAATAATGTCTGTAGAAGACCCAAGTGATAATATTGTCTTATACTAGGTTAAAAGATAATTCATGGTACAACGTTCTTGAGTAAAAATGACATCGAAATATCATTGTTTAGCCGAAAAAATCAAACTTTGTTAACAAAATTAAATGCTGCCGCTTTAGAACTATGAAATTCGAGCTGAGCCATTTTTTTACATTTGAGTGATATCATTGACAGTACAGTTTGAGAAAAAAATGAGTATATGGTGCTAATTTCGAATTGCTAAAAACTAATGGTTTTCTAAAATTTTTTTTTGGTGCGTTTTTTCGGTATATTTTATTTTTGTGTCAGATCTCAGATCTATAGATTTGCAACCCATCTTAGATCTAGATCTCGTTAGGTCGCCTTGGAAATTACACGAGTACTTTTTTGTCGCACCAAATGATCGTACCATAGATGAACAAGACATTCATTAATAGAATCCAATTTAGATCAACTTCAATTCGAATATTCAAGATGCGATTTTATATATTATGAAGTAAAGAAAAGAAGAATATTAAAAATTAAATAAAAAGATTAAAGAACTGAAAAACCGAAAAATAAGCAATTAGCAAACCAAAAATCACATCTTATTCATAACTAACTCAATATTTATGTTTTCTTGTTTTATCATCATCAACAACAATGATAACTAATTCAATTGCTTTTGATTCATTAGTAATTGGAGCATCATAAATTTTGAAAGCTGATTTTTGTGGATTAATTGCTGAATTGTAAAATTTAGTTGATTTATTTAAAGCTAAAACCCAGTCACCATGTTTGTAAACAATTGAAAAACCTTTGGTAAATAAAGCATCTGGTTGGACAGGATAGTCACCTTGTAATTGATGATTGGCAACAATTTCAACAATTTTTTTGGAATATAAAGATTTTAAAACAGTTCTTTTTAATTTAAAGAAAGTATCATGTTGGTTTTTTCTAATTTTTAAAAATGGATGTTTGAAAGCTCTAAATGGTTCATAATCTTCATTATCAGTTTCGTAATCATCATTTTCATAACTTCTAACTTTCCATTGATGTTTTTTCTTTTTATGATCATTATCTTCACAATCTGTTTCACAATCAGTATCAGTATCATAGAAAGGTCTGTATTTATGACAATCATCATAAATCAATTGACCATCATCAATTTCATAAACTAAATCTAAATCAGTATCATAACCTTTATGTTTACCATAATCTTTATCATCATCACAATATTCCTTAACAGCTAAAGCAAAAGCATCTGGGAATGTAGTAATATAACCTCCATCATAATTGTAATCATAAGTTCTTGTTGGTCTGTAATCATCATGACCACCGGCTTCTCTTTTTTCAATAGCAGCAGCAGAAGTTAAAGCAGCAAAAACAATTAAAGCAATTGAAGTAATGAATTTCATTGGAAAGCTAATAAAAAAAGATAAAAATTGATGGAAATTTGATGCTTTATTTATAGTAAAATTTGAAAATGGTGTATTCTATAACTTTCTCGGTAATGCTCAATGATCCGTCATTTGGTGTATGTTATTTGATCAAATTGGTTAAGTCCCTTACAAATACAATTATTAATTAGTGGTGATTTGTAATTTGGTGTATAATTTGGGGTAATTATTAAAAACTTTGTCAATTTGATCTGTTATTAAAATTTCTTGTCCTTATAAAATGACACAGAAATACGATACACATATTTCTTTAGCTGCAAAAAAAATTTATATGCAAACCTAACACACAAGGCGATGTGTTTTTAATTTTGCAGCCAACTGTTAATTATTTTGCAACCGATCCAAATCTAGAATAAGATGCAATCTTCAAAGCTAAGCATTCACTAATTTATTGATGATACTAAGCATACGAAATTTTTAGTTAGTTTTGATTCTATTAGAAACAAAAGTGTTAAACTAGCCTTCGTTCACTTCGAAATACAAACTGCCATAGGGTTTGTTTAAGCTGTTCATTGAATTATAGATAATTTTTCACGATAATGGAAATGGGACTGCAGCTCTTTACACAAAAATTAATTTTAACAACATCCTTCAATTTGAGTTGGATAATTGATTTCTTTAGCAGAATTTAAACGCATTTGTACAGAAGGTTGTATTCAAAACTACTAACTAGTCAATTATTTGAAACCCTAGATACCGTATATGTCTTAGCTCACCATGGTATCAACTATGTCCCAAAACTTGTTGTCCAAAAAATACTTTCAATCGCAAAGATAAATCAAATGTAAATAATTCGATTATTTACACAATGTTGAGTACTTTTTATATGAATTATTGTTTTCCATATTCGGTGGTTGAGGAGTTGTTTCCTTTGGAAATAATTGTACTATTTCAAACGGTATGCAGCATATGCCAGTTATTTACGCACAAGGTCGCCCCGAGCTAGCACGAGAAACTTTATTCATTGCGCCAAATTATTTATAAAAATAAATCTGAAACAAATTTGACTTATATGCAGTCTCGACTCTATCAATATGAAACTCAATTTGTAAATAACTTGCTTGATATTCAAGTTCTAATTCTCAAACTTAATTCATTGAATTCTTTATTAAGGTTGAAATAAAAAGATGGTAGTTTCCTTTAATAAAACATACTACTGATTACTTGATTCTTCAATTGAAAAATTGCAAAAAAACAAATAATTGCAACGCAACCAACACCCAAAACTCATTTCGTAACTTCCAAAATAGTGAAATCAGATTCTTCAACCTTCAAAATTTCTATATAATGCTTTTCAACACATCATGAAAAAAAAAATATTTCAATCTATGGGCCGTTTGGGAAAATTTGACCGAAACTCGACCTTTTCCAAATCGCTTCAAATTCGGCGTAATGAAACTTTGACCCAATTTGAGCATAGCGCTTGTTTACCGATGTGCATTCTCAAGTCTAGTTATTGTTGTAATATTCAAACTAAAGGAAATTTAAATTTTAATTTGCTCCCTCGATCTTTGAGCTCTTGCGTTGATTCTAGGCTCATTGAAAGCTTCAGTCAATTTCGCTTCAAATTTTTGGTTCATATTTATGCTCTTGAATATTTCCTTTAACTAACTTCTCATTGAGAATTTGTATTTTCTCATTGCTTAACTATTGCGGTTAAGGTCATTTGGACGTCTCTGATTGGTCAATTGAACTTCAGGAAAACATAAAATTCAATGCTATCAGCATGATAGTGCTATACATAAGTAGATAACTACTTAAATATTAAGCATATATAGAGTTTCTTTCACTAAACTTGTTGGTTAGTTTATATTTTCATCTTTTAACAGGTAGCTTAGCTATTGCGGTTAGGATGTTTTTTGACGCTTCTGATTGGTCAATTGACCTCAAAATCATCAAAATTTACGCGAACAACAAACTGACTCTACATATCAACAGATACTAACTTTTTCATTGAGCTCATGTAGAGCTTTCTTCATTAGACATGCTATTTCGTGAAATATTTGCAAATTTTATTTTTGTGAACCCTTTTTTCTAATTCGGTTTTTTAACTTTGGACCATCAGCAAAACCAATTTTTGTTACACAAAAACGGCTCCACAAATAGACAACTTTTCTTTTTGCCACTTTTGTTTGAAACGTAAAATACTCAAACATGACCCTAGTTAATGACCTGTTGCTAACTTGTTTGTAATTGCTTACTGTACTAGTTTGTGCTGCCTAAAATCAGAATGGTGACTTTTGTTATTCGTGCAAATCAAAGAAAATTCGAAATTTTGCAAAATTTAGCATAACTATGGTTACAATAGTTAATTTTTGAAGTGAATTGATTCATTCGAATTTTCTGAGTTTTCTGATTTAAATTTAATTTACTAATTTCTAAAAGTTGTTGTTATATTGCAGAGATATTCAACTATAACGATGACAACTTTACAAAAAAGATTTATGTATTATACACAACATCACACTAAATTAGACACTTAAAACCAATCGAAACCAGTAAATTTAAGCTTCAAAAGCACAATTCAATAGTCTGTTTGTAACCATAACTAGGTACATAAGTCATTAACCAATGTTAACTTCAAAAGTAATCAGCATGAATTGTCATTCTTGAATTGATCGATACCAGCTAGGCAAAGACTTCACTTCAAATTTTTGTTTCAATTTTAGTCTGTAAAGCTTATTTTTGAGCACAACTTGAAGTCTAAACTTTAATGATTCAATTTTGCATGAAAAATCAACTATAATGCCCTTGATTTATTTTGCTAGTTTCTATATTTCACTTGTTATCGTGTTCGTAACAAAGATGAATAATCAGTTTAGAAATTTAGCTTAATGATCAACAAATCAACAAAGTTAAATGTTCTATAGTGAAAAATTTATGACAATTATAAAATCAGCATGAAATTCATCAATTTGGCTTCTAGCGTAAGATCTTATGGTAAATCTATTGGCACTTTACTGTCCAATTAAACGTCATTCAATTCTCCAGTAATGACACTTCCAATATTTTGCTCTCCGTTCCAATATCTGGCATCCCAACAATTATCAAACCCTTCTTTGTATTAAATTTTAACAGCTTTTGACTTCGGACTTTGATCTAAAATGAAATCAAGCCAAGCGATGTTCATAATTTAGCACCAGAAACAAATTAGTTACTCTTATTTCTTTTAAATAAACTTCATCTTCCTAATTGACCGTCACATTTATATATTTTTCAAAATTTAAGCAGCTGTTATTCAGACCACTCAAATGTTTATACACCAAAATCTTAATTCGAGGACCTTATATCCCGTCGTATCATACCAAATAATTCTTATATTTCTTCACACCCTTATATTATCAACAAAAATTGATCCGAAAAAAATCTGAAACAGATTTGCTGTTTCTATTAAATTTAAATCAATTGACTAACATTATATAATGATTAACATAATACAGAATCAGATAGGTCAATTATCATCCACGATTGGATTAGATGAAGCAAGTCTCAAGATTTTATTATGTACATTGTTATCATTCCCATTCAGTATAATTTTCAAAAGATTACCAGATCAAAATTATTTATTAAAAAATTTATATAATGTTGCTGTTTCTGCTTTTTACGTATTTGGTATATGTGATTTACGTGGTGGATTTTTAACTTTATTAATTTCAAGTCTTGGTTCATATTTCATAACAAGATATCTTAGAACAAAATCAATGCCATGGGTTAATTTCTTATTCCTAATGACTCACATGGCATATTCTCATTTCCATTTACAATTCTTTGCTGAATATGATCCTACTGTCATTGATATTACTGGTGCTCAAATGATTTTAGTTATGAAATTATCTGCATTTGGATGGAATATATATGATGGAAAACAAAAAAGGGAGAGTTTAAGTGATTATAATAAATCAAGAGCAATTTATAAACATCCTAATATTTTACCTTACATTGGTTATGTCTTTTTTTATGCTTCATTGTTGACTGGTCCTGCTTTTGATTATATCGATTATGATAAATTTATTCATTCTACTTTATTTGATGACTTACCGGAAGATAAAAGACCAGGAAAGAAACGTAAAAGAAAAATACCAAGAAGTGGAGTACAAGCTTTTAAAAAAGTATGTTCGGGTTTCTTTTGGGCATTTTTATTATTCCAATTACCAAAATATGTCACTATTGATTACATGTTTAGTGAGAAATTTACAACACAACATAATTTGATTTATAGAATTTTTTATATGTGGATACTTGGTTTCTTTTATAGGTTGAAATATTATGCTATTTGGACAATTGCTGAAGGTGCTTGTATATTATGTGGTATTGGGTATAATGGATATGATGAAACAACAGGTGAAATTAAATGGAATAGGGTTCAAAATATTGATCCTTGGGCTTTTGAAATGGGTCAAAATGTACATACTTGTTTAGAAGCATGGAATCAAAATACAAATAAATGGTTAAAATATTATGTTTATTTAAGAGTTGCAAAACCAGGTAAAAAACCAGGATTTAAAAGTACTATGTTTACATTTGCAACAAGTGCATTTTGGCATGGAACTAGACCAGGATATTATTTGACATTTATAGTTGGTGCTTTATTACAAACTGTTGGTAAATTTTATAGAAGAAATTTTAGACCAATGTTTTTAAAAGCTGATGGAAAGACACCTAAATCAAGTAAGAAAGTTTATGATTTTATATGCTGGATAAATACTCAATTGGCATTTGGATTTTTTGTACAGCCTTTTGTTATATTAGATTTTAAAAAATCTTTGACTTGTTGGAAGACTGTTTATTTTTGGTTAGTTTGGGTTATTTTAATATCGTTTTCCATATTTGCTGGACCTTATAAAAGACAAGTTTCTAAATTCTTCCAAACTGAAAAGAAGAAGGAAGATAATAAGGATAAGTTTAAACTTACTACTGAAGAATCAGATATTGTATATCGTACAATTCATCAAAAATTGGAAAAAGATTATGATTCTCCTACTTTAGGATTACCTCCAATTGATGTATTACAAAAAATAGATAAAGAAGAAATTGATAATGATTTTAAAGATTTAAGTAAAGCATGGAATAGTTTTAAAAATAGAAGACATTCAATACATGATGAGGATTTTGAAGGTTTAAAAGATGCTTATAATAACTTTACAAATGAGATCAATGAAATATTCAAAGTAAAGAAAGATGAATTAAAGGAGAAGATAGAGAAGACAGAATAACCTGGGGTGTGATAATTTGATTCCGATATTTAGTGAATTTTGACATTGTATATTTTTGTCGTATATGCAAATCGTCTAGTAATGAATTGAGTTGCTTTTTTACGAACAAATTAACATCATATTATAATGATTCATTTGATCATTCAGGCATTAGTTCTATTATCTGTTTAATTTACACTCTGAAGCCGTTTAAGTAATATTTTCATCGTTTAATTTTTCGCTTTATATTTATTTTTCATATTTTTCACCAACCCATTTTTTTCATTAATTCGCCATGTTTTTACGTGGAGTTCCAAAATCCCAATTAAGATGTTTTATAAGATATAATTCAACAACAGGAACTAAATCCCCTACTGGAATTGTGTTTATGAATATGGGAGGTCCTTCCAAAACTGAAGAAACTTATGATTTCTTATTTAGGTTATTCTCCGATGGTGATTTAATTCCATTTGGTAAATATTTACAAAAACCACTTGCAAAATTCATAGCATATAGAAGAACACCAACAATTGAAAAACATTATGAAGAAATAGGTGGGGGTTCACCAATTCGTAAATGGTCAGAATATCAATGTTCTAAAGTTTGTGAAATTTTAGATAAATTAAATCCAGAAACTGCTCCTCATAAACCTTACGTTGCTTTTAGATATGCAAAACCATTAACTGAAGATACGTTATTACAAATGAAATCAGATGGAATTAAACGAGCAGTTGCCTTTTCTCAATATCCACAATTTTCATATTCAACCACGGGATCATCAATCAATGAATTATATAGACAAACCTTAAAACTTGATCCAGAAAGATCAATCACTTGGAGTATGATAGATAGATGGCCACAACAAGATGGTTTAATCCAATCATTTTCAGATAATATAAAAGAAAAATTGGCAGAATTTCCACCAGAAATTCGAGATGAAGTTATAATATTATTTTCTGCACATTCTTTACCTATGGAAATTGTGAATTTGGGAGATTCTTATCCTGCTGAAGTTGCAGCTACAGTTTATAAAATAATGGAATTTTTCAATTTTTCAAATCCTTATAGATTAGTATGGCAATCTCAAGTTGGACCAAAACCATGGCTTGGTGCTCAAACAGCAAAGGTTATAGATAGATTAGAAAAAAGAGATGATGTTAAAGGTTTAGTTTTGGTTCCTGTTGCTTTTACTTCTGATCATATTGAAACTTTACATGAATTAGATATTGAAATTATGGAAGATGCAAAAAATCCAGAAAAGATAAAAAGAGCAGAAAGTCTAAATGGTAATGAAATATTTATTCAAGGTTTAGCTAATTTAGTTGCTGATCATTTAAAAGATGGTAAAAAATATCTGAAACAATTGGAATTGGACTGTATTTTAGGTGGTGAAAGAGCTCAAAATACATTTGAACATCCAAAACAGTTATTTGGAGAACATTAAAACATTTAGGGTATAAAAAGCACTTTCAACTTTGTATAGATTCATGTAAATATATATATTAATCTGAAAATTCATCATCGGGATCAAATAAATCTAAATCAAGATTTTCTGGTTGTTGCTGTGGTTGTTGCTGTGGTTGTTGCTGTGAATATTTTGCTTGTGGTCTATTATTTACTTGATGATCATTTCTAGAATGTGCTGCCTCTGGTTCTTTATGATCTTCTTCAATCTTATCTTCTTCAACAGGTTTTTCAGAGTCTAATTCACCTAGTTCATTCTTTATTATTTCTTCTGGATTTAATGATGCTTGAGCAAGCATACCTCTTCTCAAACTATCTTCAGCAGGCCAAATGAAATTGTTGGGATGTAACTGATATTGTAAATTACCGATCGCAGCAGGAGCTTTAGTAAATTTAGCCAATTTCATAGCATATCTTAAAATTTCATCTACATCAAAATCTGGTATATTCTCTTCTGGCTTGGGTAACTTAGGCAACAGTTTCAACTCATTACGGAACCCAACTAATTCTTTCAACATTGATTTGCTCTTGTCCTCTAGCTTTTTATTCTTCATTTTGTTGTTTTCTATCTTTACTGACTCACGTTTATGCATTTTTAAATCCTCAATTAGACCCATCAACTCTTTATTATTCGAAATCAATTGCTCAGTCTTGCTTAACAAATCTTCACTTTTGAAACTAGTTATGTCATTTGATAAGTAATCGAGTAATTTTTCGTATTCGTTTATACATTTCACAATTGGCAATTGTTCAAATCTTTCCAAATCCTCTTTTGTCCTTATTTTTGATTTAATGGTATTTGAAGTAGTCGGTAGATTCTTTATTGGATTTAAACTCGAAGTGACGTATGTTGTTGGAGTTTTTGGACTATTTATGTTCAAACGAGTTGATGATGGGACTCGAGATACTGTGTTTGATTTATATGGTGAATTTGGTCGATGTAGCATTGTAAGGATGCAAATGAATTGAAATTTTGACTGTTCGTATATAAATGTTTCAGAGTTGAAAATTGTAAAAGAAAAAAAAAAAATTGAAAATTATATGAAAAGAAATTTGAATGTTATTCAATCAAATATAAAACATGAAAGACCAAAGAAAAAACAATTAAGGAAGCTGATATTTGAGACGGAAGAGAGTGAAGATTACGAAATACTGAAAAAGAAACCACCAAAGAAAGCTTTTGAAAAACCAGCTGAAAATGAATGTGAATCAGAATCTGATGAAGATTATATGAGTTTTAAAGTTGAAGAAGAGGAGGAAAGAGTTAAGCCGAAGGCTGCTGAGAAGAACTCTATACATAAGTCATTATTTGAGAGTCTGACTAAATCTATTGGATTAAGAATGATGGAAAAAATAGGGTTCAAAGTTGGAGATACTTTGGGTGCAAAAAATTCGCTGGAGGCAATAAAAGAACCCATTCAATTGAGGACTACCCTTGGGAAAGGTACAAATGAAAGTGCAAAGTATACAGATGAACAAGTGTCTGAATTAAAGTCACAAAAGATATCTGATGTTAAGAAAATTCATCATATTAAAGAGGTGAAAAAATTAATGAAATTATGTTTTGACATGAGTGGTGATTTCGAGAAAGACAATGTTGAGAAGGTGAATGAGCTATGGAGACCATATGAATTGTACATTGAGAGTGTTGAAGAGTCAAAAAAGATTCAGTCGGAAGAGTTAAAATATAAAAATCTAAATACATTTAATTTTGAAGATCACATTAATAATATTGATGATACAAGAGACAGGTTATTAACTTATCTACGAGATGAGCATTGTTTCTGTTACTATTGTGGATCTACATATGAGAACTTAGATGATTTGGAGAAAAATTGTCCTGGACTAAATCGTGAAGAACATGAACTGAAAGGTTGCAATACATAGAGTTAGTTAGTTGTCATTCTAATCGTAACTTCATTAAACATTAATATAAACTATCATTTAAAATCTCAAATTGATTTAATTTCTTGTTAAAATATAAATCATTAATTTCAATAATTGATTTAGGTTCACTTCCATCCAACTTGAACAACAGACCTCTAACTGACTCATTTATAATATCTAATCTCTTATTAACATACTCATTTGTAATAAAAATAGATGGAACATCAATATTCTTCTCATATTTACCTTCATTTACCAATTTAGGTTTAAATTTGACAGCACCATCTTTAACGGGCACAGAAACACCCCATGATACTTTCAATCTGCATTCATTGATGACCAGTCCATGAAGATATAAAAATGCCTGCTCTGCTTCATGTCTATTTAAAAATTTCACATAACATTTATCAAAATCTTGAGCCAATTCAACATAAATGACGTTTCCAAACCCCAATAATAAGTTCTCTATTTCTCTAATTGTAAATTTTGTATTTAGTCCACTTATTAGCATACTTGTATTATTTTGATCTGTCCATTTATTTAACTCTGGTTGATGTTGTGCAATTGGTATCTTATGATAATCTATCTTTGTCTCCTTTTGAGAGGTAGTATTTGTCGTCTCTGAGCCTGCTGCAATACCCAATCTAATAGCTTTCAGTCCAATAATCATTCCTTGCATTTCATCTAATGCCTTAAGCATAACATCTCCATTCAGAAATTTTATAAATCCAAAACCTCTTGATTTTTTAGTATTTATATCGAGTATTATCTTAGCTGATTGTATTTGATTAGGATATTTGAGATTAAATTTTGAGAATAATGTAGCTTCATTAACTTCAAGGGCTATATCACCAACGAAAAGCGTATTTTCGGTAGTTTGATCATGAGAACCACTTTGACTTTTTCCACCACTTGCATGATTCAATTTGAAAGTCTTATTGGAATGCGGTATTTTTTGACCATTTCTTTGTAAAGCTAAGTCTATTGACTCTTGTGATTGAAATGTAATGAATGAATAAGCAGATTTTGACGGATTGGCTTTATCTCTTATAATTTTGACTGACACTGGTTTCGTGACTAAATCAGTCCATAATCTCATTAAAAATTCTTCATTCCATTGTGAATCTATATCACCCATCCATAATTGTAATTGATCTGCTTTGTTATGTGATATACTATGCTGTTGATATAAATTTTGTCTTGCCTTGTAAGATGATGATGATGGACGATAAGATCTAGGTGCACCACCCGCATTTCTGTTATTATTACTCCTGAAACTTTTCAGGTTATAATGATCTTTATTTCTATTTCCTTGATAAGATGGCATGGAGATAATTTGGTTGTAAAATATAAATTGAGTGATGATAATAAATAAATCAAATGTGCTACCAAGTGGTATATGATAGTGTATTTTTACCAAATAAAAATTCATTTATTTGTTTCATATTTGTAAATAACGAACCAATACTTATTTCATCCATTCTTATAACAAATAAAGATGTTTACAAGATTAAGATTACTGAAACAATCAAATATACTTAGAAGATTTCAATCTACCACAACCAAAGTAGAAACTGCTGGTTTTAATAATAAATACAACTTCAATTTAAATCCTCCTCCAGTTCATGAATATTGGAATTTTTATAATTCAAGTGTTTTATTTATGTTTATTCCTTTATTTTTATCAGTTGGTTATTTAACTAAATATATGGTTACTAATTTAGATTATAATTTTACTGCATTTAGACAATTTTCAGAAAATGATAAATCTCCATTAAGAGAAATAACATTTGGTGAACAGCAACAAAAGAAAGAATAGATAAAAAAGGACAAGTTTAATCCTGAAATGACTGACAATTGGACTATGTCTTTGCTATTCAACTTATTTATTTTCAATGTTCATATTTTCACCATTTGCAACCACTCAAATTCAGTTCAAATGACTTTTTACATTAAATAGAAAAATCACACAATTCAAATAAACGCATTCATTTAGTAATACTTAGAGTTATAGTTTCTCTTTCGTAGAATATAACAAGTGTTTTACAATTGGTAGTGTCTCTATATTTTATTTTGCAGTAATTTTTTTCTCATTTAATTTTATTGGTTAAAAAAATCATTATACCAATTGATAAAACAGAAGGTTGAAATAGTTATCTTCAATTGGAGCATTTAGACTAATATTACATATCCATAATGATTTCTAGATTAGGATTAAGAAGCACCAAATTATCAACAAACTATAGAATACTTTCAAGTATAAAATCTATAAGATCTTATGCTACTGATTCATCAAAACCAGCTACAATTTATGATCAAACTACAGGTGAAACTATTACTTTAGCAGATCCACAACATCCAGAATATGCAGATTATAAAAATTTCCCTCCACAATTCGCTCAAAAGAAAGATCCATATTTGAAATATGATGATCAACAAAATAGAAGAAATAAAAATGATCCAGTAAATATGGATGCTGATATGTATGATATATGGTCACCAGATGTATATGATTTTAGATCAAATACAACAGCATTAAAACAAATTGCTATATTTTTTGGTTCAATATTTGGATTTGCTGGTATTATTTATTACTTTCAATTAAATCCTGAAAAACCAGGTAATATTAAATCATATCCTTATGATGGATTAGCTAAAGAATTGGGATCAACTTCGAAAGATAATGATTATTTATATCAAGCTCAACCTGATACAACTGCTGAAGAAGAATGTGGTATTTTACCAGCTGATAAAACAATTGAAGAAAATAAAGCAAAATATATAAAAGAAAATGAAAAGTTTATCAATGCCTAAAGAAAACTGATTATAACATTATTATCAGATATATGTAATAAATAGACAATAAAATAATGAAATTTTCGAAATTACACTCTATTTGACTGGAAATAATTCTCAGGCGTACTTATTCGCTCAATTTTTAAACAAATCTAAGATTTTCACTCTCTTCAGCTGTTTAAGTGTTGTCGTTTAACGTGTCTCTTGGTTTTATATTCATACGATCTCTTGATAATAAATATTTTTTTTTTCAGTTCAAATTTTTTTTTTTTAATAAATTTGTTTAGAAATCTTTAATATTTACAACCAATTTTATATTATTGTTATACAAGGTTTTATGAGTTGAAATGCCTAATAATGGTCATGGAAGAAGAACATCTAGAAGGTTAACACAAAATGGTTCTTCAAGTATAAATTATAATGAAAATTCAACTATAAACACGAATGCAAATCAATCAAACCCACCTAAAAGAACTAATACTTCAACATCAAAGGGACTGAGTAAAAGGCGAAAGATAGTAGCAGAACCAACTAAAGAAGAAAAATTAAGTCGAATAATGACCGATTTTAATCTTGCAATTAATGAATTATTCCAATTAAATCATTATAAAACAATTGTACCCTGGGAACCATCTCAATTTTCATCAATACAACAACACCTACCTGAACCATTCATAAATTTTAAAGAATCAAATAATAATTTGGAATTGAAATGGGATAATGAATTACAAGATGATAATGAATTAAGTAACTTACCACTTCGATTTCAAAAAAAGAGACTAGCTGAAATTGAACAACAATTGGAAGAGAAATATCCATTCAGAGCAGAAGTTATAGAAAAAGCAAAAGAATTGGAAAGAGAAATTATTAATAGCTTAAACGATGATGTGCGATATGTTCAACATCAAAATATACCGAAAAAGACACCAATTACACAACCAAAGAAAGGTAGACCTGGAAGACCTCCTAAAAAGAAAGTAGAAGAATTACCAGATAGTGATATAGAGGAAGTGATACCATTGGATGAGGAGTTTCAAGAAGAATTGGAAAATCATCAAGCATTGGAAGATAGTGATGATGATGAAGAAGAAGAATCAACTACAACCCAATTTAATCCTAGAATAAAATCAATCAAACATACTATACCTACTCCAATAGTGACACATCCATCGCATCTACCAACTTGGAGAATACAACCACCTGAAAGATTGAATCTTGGATCAAGAATAGTCGATATTTCGGGAGATGTAAATAACGACGAAGATAATATATCAAAATTTGATCCGACACCATTAACAATAATACAAAATAAGGAAGAAATAATAATAGCTCCTGAATTAGCTCACAAATTATCACAATTTTTAGAATCAAATTGTAAAACTCCAATCATAGATGAAGGTAATGTTCCACCAGAGTATAATTTCACAAAAGAAGAATACGATACCATTTTACAACAACAATCAGACATGTTTAAACAAATACAGCATAAAATTGAAGTGGAGAATTGTATTGAATTAGTTAATGATCATATAGAAAGAAGAAAAATTGTGCTTCCTCAATTAAACACAAAATTGACAGATCCATTCAGATCTACATCTTCAACCCATCCAAAAATTCAAGGAGTAGCAAACAATCTCACATTTCAAGATCATTTAATTTCTCAAGGGGTTAATTTCGCAAAGATACATCAACAAATGAGAAAACAACACCAGTTTAAAACCAAAAAGATTGCAACTATGATTGAATCCCATTTTAAAAAGAAGGCAGGTGAGAAAGAGAGGGCCATAAAAGAAAGGGAACAAAATTTGAAAAAAGTGTCAAGATTGGCAATACAAGCTGTCAAGAAAAGATGGAACCAAGCTTTCAAAGTGTACCAAATTATTCAGAATGAGAAAGATGAAGAATTGAAAAAGGAAAAGGGTAGAGAACATTTAAGTCAGATGTTGGAACATTCTACTCAATTATTAGAAGCTCAATTGACATCAAGAGAAGGTACAGAAGATATAGAAAGTGAGATACAAACTGAAAATGAGTCTCAATTTGGTTCTGGTTCTGATAGTGAAAATTTTTCATCTAGTGAGTCTGAAATTGAAGAAAAGAATGAAGAAAATGATGAGAAATTATCCATTGAACAATTGAAATTAAAATATGCCAACTTAGAATCATCAGTTGAACCAATAGAAGAAAAAGAAGGAGAAAAGGTAGCAGAGGATAATGAATATGAAGTTGAAACTGAAAATGAAGTTAATCAAAATGGTAACGGTTCATTATCTCCTTTATATGATGGTGTTTTAAACTTACCGAATTCAAAATTATCTGATTTTTCATCTGAATATACTGAAGAACAAAAATCATTAATTGAAAAATTGAATGAAGATTCAGATACTGCTAAAAATTCATTATTAAATTCTGATGAAAGTGAATCAATGACTGATAGTGAAAGTGAAAGTGAAGAAGAGGAAGAGGATAATTCAGAAGAAGATGTTAAACCTAATGGTAAATCAAATGGTGGATTAGCTAATTTATTTTCAACCCAAGTTGATGACGAAGATGCTGATTTTGATATGGAAGAAGAAGAAGAAGAAGAAGACGACGAAGACGAAGACGAATCTGGATCTGATATGGATATTGATAATGAAGAGAAAAAAGTTCCAGTTTCTGAAACTGACGATGAATCCAATGTTGAAATTATAAACGGTTCAAAAGTTAGAGATGTTCCAATTCCATCATTACTACGTGGTACATTACGTCCCTATCAAAAACAAGGTTTAAATTGGCTTGCTAGTTTATATAACAACAATACAAATGGTATATTAGCTGATGAAATGGGTTTAGGTAAAACTATTCAAACGATATCAGTATTAGCTTATTTAGCATGTGAGAAACTTATCTGGGGACCACATCTAATTATTGTTCCAACTTCAGTTATGCTTAACTGGGAAATGGAATTTAAAAAATTTGCTCCAGGTTTCAAAGTATTGACTTATTATGGATCACCACAACAAAGAGCACAAAAGAGAAAAGGTTGGAATAAGTCTGATTCGTTTCATGTTTGTATTACGTCATATCAATTAGTAGTTCAAGATCAACAATCATTTAAAAGAAGAAAATGGAGGTATATGATATTAGATGAAGCTCATAATATTAAAAATTTTAGATCAACAAGATGGAGAGCATTGTTGAATTTTAACACTGAAAATAGATTATTATTAACAGGTACACCATTACAAAATAATTTAATGGAATTATGGTCATTATTATATTTCCTTATGCCATCATCAAAAGTAAATCAAGCTATGCCTGAGGGTTTTGCAAATCTTGATGATTTTCAACAATGGTTTGGTAAACCAGTTGATAAAATATTAGAGCAAACTACATTAGGTACTAATTCTGATTTGATTGATGAGAATGAGAAAACTACATCGAGAATGGATCAAGAAACGAAGAATACAGTTGCCAGATTACATCAAGTTCTTCGTCCTTATTTACTAAGAAGATTGAAAAAAGATGTTGAACAACAAATGCCTGGTAAATTTGAACATATTGTTTATTGTAGATTATCCAAAAGACAAAGATACTTATATGATGATTTTATGTCAAGAGCAAAAACAAAAGAAACTTTAGCAAGTGGTAATTTTTTATCAATTATCAATTGTTTAATGCAGTTGAGAAAAGTTTGTAATCATCCTGACTTATTTGAAGTTAGACCAATAGTTACATCATTTGCATTACCTAAATCAGCAATTAGTTATTATCAAGGAACAAATGAAATAATTAAAAAATTAACCAACTGTTATAATGAGGTAAATTTCAATGTTTTGAATTTAGATATCACAAATTGTGAAAGTATGAATTATTTTATATCCCAATCTACCAACAACCTAAAATCTTCAAAAGATTTACAATCTCAAATTGATCAATTTGATAAATTGAGTCAAGGATTAACAAAGAATGATTTAACTGATTATGTCACGTATTATCAACATCTAAAATTAGAAGAACATGTGGAAATAAAAGAAAAATTGAAACAAAAATTATATTTAAATAATTTAAGATGTGAAAGAAGACCAATATTTGGAAATTCATTATTAACTAAATTGAAATTACCACAAAATGCTAAATTAGATAAATTTATAATGACCATACCTGATAGAGTCAATTCCATGAGTGATGAAATTGAGAAATATTCAATCATTACTCCATCTGTAGTTGCATTAGATATGAAAGATCAAATTATTCCAATTCAAACTCAACGAAAAATCAGAACCGAAGTTGCACAAAATACCATTACAAATCCATTTCATAAATCTCAAGTTAAATTATCTATTGCATTCCCAGATAAATCATTATTACAATATGATTGTGGTAAATTACAAAAATTAGCTACATTATTACAAAAATTAACATCTGAAGGACATAGAGCATTAATTTTTACCCAAATGACAAAGGTTCTTGACATTCTTGAACAATTCTTAAATATTCATGGATATAGATATATGAGACTAGACGGATCAACCAAAATAGAAGATAGACAACTTTTGACTGAACAATTTAATAGAGATAATAAAATTCCGGTATTTATTTTATCTACTAGATCCGGTGGGTTAGGTATAAATTTAACGGGAGCGGATACAGTTATTTTTTATGATTCAGATTGGAATCCAGCAATGGATAAACAATGTCAAGATAGATGTCATAGAATTGGACAAGTGAGAGATGTTCATATTTATAGATTTGTTTCTGAATTCACAATTGAGTCAAATATAATTAAAAAAGCAAATCAAAAGAGACAATTAGATAATGTTGTTATACAAGAAGGTGAATTCACAACAGATTATTTTGGAAAATTTTCAGTTAAAGATTTAGTTTCTGATGAAAATGTAAATGTTGAAACTGACAGATTTATTGATTTTTCAGGTGATGCTAAAATGTCAAAAGTATTTGCACAAGCTGAAGATGAAGAAGATAGAAAAGCAGCAGGTAATGCAATGAAAGAAGTACAACAAATAGATGTAGAAGATTTTAATGAAGAAGGAGGAGATAAACCAAGTGAAATAAAAAAGAGTGTTCTTGATGATGATGATGAAAATGCAGATGCTGATTTTGATGAAGGTATTGGTCATATTGATGAATATATGTTGAGATTTATTTCTGATGGTTATTATTATAACTAAATAATGTATTATTAATATATAACGAATTATAAATTATCGTTATTCGATTCCGCACGGCTGTATATAATTTATCCTTGGTTAATTGATATACATGGTAATTTTTAGCGGGATTATAATTTTTTGATTATGCAAATCTTGCGGGGCTTCAAATATTTGACTCGTAAATCATCCATCAAGACAATAACAGTAGCATCGATATATAAAGCGTCAAGCTAGCTTAGCATGTAACTTTAATGGATTATAGCACCACAACATCATCATCATCGGATTTGAATTTACATCTGAGCAACGATGAAGTAATTCTACAAAAGTTATCATTAATGCAGAGGTTGAAATATGAATGTATTGATAATTTTCATCCTGTTTATTTTGTTGGTTTTTTAGGAACTGGTATAACTACAAATATACTTTATAATTTTCCATACAAGGCAAAATGGTTACAAGTTTTAGGTTTGATTATGTTTGCTTTGACAATTTTCATATTCCTCCTGACTAATTTAATGCTACTACTTAGTATTTTATATCATCCCAAAAGATTAACTTTATATAATCATGATTCAACATATTCGATCTATTTTGCAGTTTATTCAATGGGATATACTACTATTGTCAATGCAATTCATTTGTTCGCCCACGGTAGATTTCCTATTTTTTTATGGGTTTTATGGTGGATTGGAGTATTTATTGCAATTTATAATTCCTCAATCATGTTCTTCCTATCATTTTTAAGTAAGATTAATGCTCATTCATTATCAAATATCCATGCTTCGATATTTATGCCAATAGTTTGTCCATGTGTTATTTCATCAACTGGTCATTTGATTGCACCTGATTTGCCTAATGCTCAATTAAAAATCATAACTGAAATATTATCCCTAATGTTATTATTTGTATCTTTGATTTTATTTCATGGTGTTGGTGCATTATATATTGCTAGATTAGTACTTTGCAAAATTCCAAACACTCAAAATTTATTCACTTCATATTTACCAGTGGGGTTCACTGGTCAATCAAGTTACAGTATAATGTTATTCGGCTCAAATATGGTTAATTTTATTCCTGACGAATCAATAGGTAATGCTTTTGGAGTTTCTTGTGGCTTAATTTCTACGTTTTTCTTATCTGGTGGCTATATTTATCTATTCATTGCTATTGCTTCAACCCTTGCTAAAATACGACCGTTTGCAAAGAGTTTAAACCTAGAACACACCAAGTATGGATTGATTAAATGGAATAAAGGCTTTTGGACCTTGACTTTCCCGATTGGAACTATGTCACTTGCAAACTTTGAAATTTCAAAAGGAGTGATTGGTGGCTATGAATTGAAGTTTTTTAAGGTTATGAGTGCTATATTTGGTGTTGCTTTAATATTGGTATGTGTTGGGAATTTAATTGGGTTGAGTTACAAAATTTACAAAAAGTTTATGCTTAAAGAGTTCAAAAATGATAAAACTGAAAAAGTATAGAATCTATTCGAGGAACAGTTTATGAAATCAGTATTGGGTTCGTGGACTGAAGGTATAAGAAGCTGTAGAGCTAGAGTAGTATCAAAATATAAGAAGGGTCAGAATAATTAAATGAGAAGGTGGATTTAGAGACAATAAATTCGTATCAAATGTATACTGTTAAATCTATCTCAAACGACTCTACGCAAATAAATGCTGAGCCTCGTAATTGAATTCATTCATTAGGTCTCAAGAGTAATTTTACACTTATGATCAGTTGAGATTAACATTACTTAATGTGTTAAGCAAAACATAGGTCTACTTCACCCAAGAATTTGAAATTATAAGAATAGATGATACTTTAAGGTACGAAGTATATCTATCAGTTAGATTTATGTATTTAGATACAGACAAAAAAGCTAAAAATTATTATCGTACATATTATTATGTTAATAGTAAGAAAATATTTTTTAGAACTGATGAAATCGAAGTTTGCAAATGTGAATATAAAAAAATTAAATGTATTCCTTACTCTTTATATGATATTGGTTTAATTTTAGGTTATAATGATAAAGAAATTAAATCAAAAAGTTTTTACGATGATTTTTGTAATGAAATTGATGAATTAAAAGATAAATATAAATAAATTATTTAGAATTTAACAAATAAACATTCGCTTAAGCAAAGACCAAGATATTGACCATATTCGAAAGCAACAGTAAGTGAAGGTGATTTTATAATAAAATATGGTCCTTTAGAAGGAATAACACGAAATTCAGAAGAAGGAATATAAACTAAATATGCAGACATTTTTATTTATTTCATATATTCAAATGTGTATACATATATGTGAAGATTTATTTTATATTAAAGGCGAAAGTATGCAACAAAATAAAATAATGTGGGTGTTGGTAAATTGTCCCCCTGGTCTAAATTTTAATTTTGAGAAAGTTAATATATCCAGCTTAAAACCCCTTATTATTTTTTGTGCAATACTTGTGGAGCTGTTTGTAAACAATTCTACTCGATGAAAAATGAGTTAATGCTTTTCCAATGGGGCTTTGGGAAGAGGAATGGTTTGTAATTTTTTATTTGGTTGTTTTGACTCATGTTTTCCCTGGAAATTCTTGGAGTAGATAAAAGTAAAACCAAAAACCAAGACTGTGTGGAAATGCAGCTTGGTAGCCGCTTTAATATGATGACTATTTTAATAGCATCGATTCTAGGTTAATCCTTTTTCGTGTCATTGGTTGTACATAGTAGACTATGTTTCAAATATATGAAACTCATAACACATATTTTTCAAATCATTGATGTTTGATCAAATTGTTGATCAAATATTTTTGAAATGAAATTGAAAATTCAATTTATGGAATACGATAGAAATAATCTCAATCTAATGAAGAAGAGTAAAAACTATAGCATACGACTGTGGAATTACTTATTAACTCACACTGAACTGTATTAAGCATAAATTGAACTGGTAGCGTTCCTTTTTTGACCAGATTAGCTAAGCAATCGATAAATGTTCAGAAAAATCAACAATTATATTCTTCAATTAAGATAAAAATGTCATCAGGTATTCAATCTTTATTGAAGACAGAAAAAGAAGCGGCTGAAATCGTAAATGAAGCTAGAAAGTATAGAACTCAAAAATTAAAATTGGCTAAACAAGATGCTCAATCAGAAATTGATGAATATAAAAAACAAAAAGAATCAGAATTAACCAAATATGAAAAAGATCATGAAGGTTTAAATGAAAAAATTGATAAAGAAGCAGATGAACAAGTTGCCAAAGAAATTAAAGAATTGAAAGAAAAGTTCAATGCTAAAAAGGATACCGTTGTTAAATTATTATTTGATGCAACAATTAAACCAAATCCTCAATTACATATAAATGCTACTACAGCCAAATAGAGACAAAAACATTATTCAATTCAAAAATATATACAAGATCCAAACGTGTATATTTCTTGTGTTTTCTATTGTCTATTTAGTTCCCACTTTTTGCTAACGTTTTTATTGCTTTTATTTTCGCCCATATTCTTGGATCGTATCCAGCTATATTCAAACATCTAACAAAATTCCAGGCTTTCTTGTCGTCTTCAATAGGATAATCGATTGGTGGTGGTATACTTGTTTGTACTCCGAAAAATCGAAGGTATGGTTTATCCATAATTATAGATTTACAATTACATAAACTTGTTAAACCTTCTTCACCTCCAAACTTACCATAACCAGATTTTTTAACACCTCCAAAAGGTAACTGAGCAACATAAAAAGTGGCAAAATCATTAATTGCTACGTTTCCACTGTGTAACCTATTTGCGATATCATTAATAATGGTAAAATTTGATCCAAATACAGAATTACCAAGTCCATACTCTGTTGAATTAGATAATGAAACTGCTTCATCTATATCTCTAGCTTTTATAAGGGTTAAAATTGGCCCAAATACTTCTTCATGAAATATTCTCATGCTTGAATCAACATCAGTCAATAAAGTGGGTTCAAAGTAATGACCTTGTGGGTAATTTGGATGTTGAAATTGTTTACCACCAGAAACCAAATTGGCTCCTTTCGATACAGCATCATTTATTAAATCTTCCAATTGTGAAAATCTGTTATCTGAAATCATTGCGCCCATATCTATCTCATCTAATTGATCAATATCTGAACCCAATCTAAAGTCTTTAATTCTTTTAGTGAAAATATCACACAATTTTTCATATGATTTAGGTAAACAAATTACCCTTTCAATTCCAATACAGTTTTGACCTGCACTTTGAAATGTTCCTCTTAATATTACTGAATTCAATGCATTCATATCCTTGACATCATCTAAAACAATTACAGAATCCTTACCACCAAGTTCAACAACGCATGGTGTCAACTGTTTAGAAGCAGAAGCAACAACAGCATGTGCCACTGGTTTTGACCCTATAAATGTAATGTGATTTAAACCGCAGTGTGATGTAAAATAATCTGCATCATTAGGAAAACAATAAACAAGTTGTACTAAATTTTCATCTAATCCACAAGTTTTCAAACATTCTTTAACCATTTTGATAAACCACTTAGATGACCACACTACCTGTTCTGAACATTTAACAACTATAGCATTTCCAGTGAATAAAGAAGCAATAATGGGACCCATCAAATTATGAAACGGATAATTCCACGAAATGATAGCTGAAACAACACCGAGTGGCTCATATCTAACCTCTGCAGACTTCAAAAACTTCAATAGAAAGTTTGAAGGTCCTACTCTTTGATTTGGTTTTAAAATTCGTTCACCATTGTTAATTATCCAATTCACTTTTTCAAGAGTCACCATAATTTCCCCCATTGAAGCATCTAATTTAGTCTTTCCTGAATCTCTACATGCTATCCTTGCAAGATTTTCTTGATTTTCAAGTATGTATCTTGACATTGTCTTTAATAATTTCCTCCTTATACTAAAATCTGACGAAGCCCAATTAATCTGAGCATGTTTTGCCAATTCAATTTTTTCATCCATCTCTTCTCTAGTTGTAACATTGGATGTGCCTAGATATTGACCAGTAGCAGGACAATAACTTTGAATTTTATCTGGTTCTTCATCTAGTTTAATTGATGGTGGGTATAATCTTTTACCTTTCCAATGCGGTCTTGCTTCTTCAGGAATTGGAATAGTTACTTTTAATGGTGATTCCAATTTATTATAATTGTTTGGTGACTTGGTTATATATTTGGAATAAAGATAGTATAAAGTTGGTAATATGACACAAATGAAAAATGTAGTTGAAATTTGATATTGCCATTGCCATTGCTGGAATTCAAAATCAATTGCAATCATGGAGCAAGATACTTGTAAGGATGTTGATTTTAGTTCAATTCTTTAAAGATGCCTTGCTTTTTCACTTTGAAAATTCAGTATTCAAAGTCAATTGTCAGAATTATTCTGGTTCTCAATTGCAGGTTTCTTTTCTTCAATAGATCTCGAAATTGTCAATTTCTATCGTTTCCAATCTCAAATTTGCAATATTGACAATCTTTACCGTGTTTTCGTATTATGAAAAAAAATTGTATGAATGGAAACGAAAACAAAATCAAAAAGAGCACCAAGAAAAATATTATCTAATGCGAGATCGTATAAATTAGAACCAGTACTATGCTATTTACAATTATTCATTCTCATTTGCGTCTTCAACATTTCCACCGTTTGTATTCTCTAACTCTAATTGTCTTAAAATTTCTTCAAATCCAGAATCATCAGCAGTTCTATTTTGAATAATACTTCCTAATAATCCCTGATCAACATAATCAATTAAAGTGTCAACAATCTTTGAACCTTGAAACAATCCACCAAAGTTATCACCTTCTTGCTTTGGTGGAAATAAATCGTATTCAAAAGTTTCTGACCATATTTTATTAGGTAATTTAGCCATTGATTTATTCTCACCAGATAAAATGGCAAACCTTATTAAATTAATTGGTATTTCAGATTCATTTTCCTCATTTTTTAATCCTAAGAATCCAAAGATTGAATCTTTGATACTACCATTTGAGAATTTATAACTATTGAATAATGACTTCAAGTTACTTGTTAAAAATTCACGATCTTTTGAATCATTCCATAATATATTAGCACGAATTAAGTATGATTCTGAGACAATTTCTGATTCTGTTGTTGTTTTTATGTCTTTTTCTTTAATAGTAAGGTCATTATGTATGCTAATCAAGTTGTATAATTTATAAGCAGTGTAAGGGTGTGCCTCAAATGCTATGTTCAATGCCTGTTTGGCTTCATCTTCCTGATTCAATTTCAAATGGGCAAGCACTGTAGAAAAAGCAATTCCTGGAGTATACCATCTTCGATAAGTTGTAGTCAATGGTGAATTTGCAAGTTGAATTAAATATTTATGTTCTTCAGCCATTATGCAGTAAAAGTCAATGAAATAACGTACTCCAATTGGATCCTCAGCAGGTGATAAACTCATTAAAAACTTACAATATGATAACGCAGTGAAAAATGTTGATCTCTCCCCTAATGCTATGATGTATCTAAATAAACACAAGTAAAATTGACGATTCATGAATGATTCAAACGGAAGTCTAATCAATCCATTGTTTGCACTTTGTAACAATTCATGAAACAGTTTGTTTACGGATCTATCAAATGTAAATATTGCTCTTTCTATTAGTGCATTTGATGTTGCTTTATTATCTCCTTGTCTTAGTAAAACCATTGCAACTTGTAATAAAGTCTCTGCATGGTATGGATATTGTTGTAATTGAGTCATTAATGTTTCTGGATCTGGAGTCATTACCACACTAGCATAAAATCGAGTATTTGCAACACGATCAGAAATATTATTCAACTTATTAAATTTGAAATGACGTACACCTAACTCCCTCTCTTTAGTTAATTTAACTATTATGCTCTCTTCATCTAAATCATCTTCTTTATACATATAATAAGGCAATATTTCATCAATGCTTTTCAATTCTTCCATATTCATAGGTTTAGTTTGAGTTGGTAACCAATCATCTCTAATTTTGGAAAGGAGGAGTTTTCTGGTTGTTCCTGGTACATTTCTTCTATCTTTACCTCCCCAATTTCTTGTCAATTTTGCTAGTTTTTTAAAATGAGCAAGTACTTCTGGAGAAATAGCTAATGATGTACTTGAATTTGCATCTTGGATTATATCAAGTGATAGTGAGTCACCGAAAAGATTCTTATATTCATTATCTTGATCTAGGTTGGCTATTGAATTAATTGATAATAATGAAAGACATTGTTTTAATTTTTCAGTAGTGAAAAATTTGAAATTTGAGTCATTATAAGATTTTGAATCCGTTGCAAGATTGTATTCTTGTTCGAAATCAAATGATTCTAAAAGTGAATTATCACTTTGCATTGTATTATTTTGAGATTGGGCATCTTTTAATTTTAATTCTTCTAATATTTTATCTAATTCATCATCAGAATTAACTTCGAGTGTTTTTGACTTGGATTTAGTATTTTTTTTCTTCTTCAGTTTCTTCTTTGGCTTGGATGTAATTCCTTCTTGTTTCTTCGGTATTTCTGGTTGCTCTGTTAGTTCTACTTGTTTTTCTTCATTATTATCTGATTCATTGTCATCATCACCGTCATCTAATAAATCAAAAGCATTAAATTTCGAGACTTGTTTAGGAGACGTTGAGTATTCATCTAGCTCTTCGTCAATTTCTTTCTCTTTCAGTTTTAGTTCTTGTTCTTGTTCTTGTTCTAACCTTTGTTTCTCTAACCTTTTTAAAGCTCGTGAACTCATACAGATTGATATTTTCCAATTTTCGTGTGGGCCAAAAAAAATGCTGCAAAATAGAAAATAGAAAATAGAAAATAATAAAGAGTATTCAATATTCACACTTTTTTATATTTTTAACTATTCGTTATATACCTAAGATTTAAATTATTAATTACCAGTATTTCCAGCTCCAATTGAATCATTATGAGACGCATAACCTTCCGAAATTTCAGCATTATGTTTGTCTTCACCATTCTTTAATATAATTTTAATTGCTTCATCTACATTTTTAGTACCAAATTCATTTTCTAAGACTAAATTTGAAGCTTCATCTAAAACACCTTCTACTCCTCTTGATCTATTAACAAAAACTTTGAAAATCGAAACTATATCAATTATTGGAATTGTTGAATCACCAGATTTATATTTTGCATATAAATTTCTATCATCTATGAATATAACAAAATCAGTTTCTTTACCTTTGTAGAATAATTTATGTGGATTATTAGTCATTGTGAATTAGTTATTAGTTATCAAAATTAAAGAAAATTGATTCTATTTATACTAATGAAAAGTAAAGGGAGTGTGACCGTTAAATAAATAAAATTGCTATATAAAATAATTTATATACTAATAATAAAAAAAAGGTATAAACAGAAAAGCTTATACTAATAAAAGCAATTTATAATCATACATTGACAACTGGTGTTTTTGTGCTATTATATTATGCCGTTAATTTTAATAAGCAATTGTTGTGACAGGTATGGCGTTTGAGGTTTGAGAAATGAAATGGTATCTCGGTCCAAATAAAAATTGGTTGATTTGTGTAAACTGGTTGCAAAACAAAAATAATAATAATAAAAACAGTCGAGGTTTCAATGCTGTTTGCTAAAAGCTAAAAGGGAAACAAATTGACTAATTATAATATATAAGCTTATTTTAAATGTAATTAGTATATAATTTAAGTTTAGTAAGGAAAGAACTCTCCAAATTTCAATTTTAATCTTTCTCTGGTGCCGAATTGAAGTTTATTAAGATTCAAAGTTTTTTGCAACATACAACAATTACGTCATAGATTGGTAGCGTTTTTATTTATTTGTCGTAAAAGGTCTAACTATAAAGAGTTGAAAACGAACATAATAGTTTTAATAATTGATAAGAAAGGATTGCATATTCTTCTACCTTACCCTACTAAAATTTATACTATTAACTCCAAAATTTTTAAATTTATCATTTGAATTAACTGTATTATTTGAATTTGAACCTGAACCTGAACCTGAACCTGAACCTGAACCTGAACCTGAACCTGAATTTGAATTATTTGAATTTATATTTGATAATTTCCCACTCCCACTGCTTAATGAATTTAAACTATTATTAAACCTCTTAAAATTTTCATCATTTGTAGTAATTGTAATTGTATGATTTATCTTTGGTAACGTACCAGACGACCTTGATCTTAATAATTCTTTACTATCACTACTTCTAGCAACATAATTCTCATTATTCAAATTTGAATTTGAATTAGCACTATTTATACTACTAATTGAAGAATTACTGTTAAATGAATAAGAATGACCATTTCTAGATGGCATTGATGGATGCTGATATTTTTTTGAACTTGTATTACTTGCTTCTCTTTCTTCTTTTACCAATGGCCACTCTTCCTTTTCTGAATTTATAGATGGTAATACAACTGTTTTTGAAAATGAAAATGATTTCTTTCGAAGTGGTTGTGGTTGTGGTTGTTGTTTGTTTGGTGATATTGTAAATAATGACGATGAGTTAGATAATATTGATTGTGGTGAATTTGGCTCCTCATCTCCATCATTTTGAGGTAAAATTGTATTATTTGATCTTATTGATGGTGATATTGTCACTGATTTTAATGAAGGTGTTTGATTTAATTGAGGAGTTATTGGAGTTAGTGGAGCTATACCCATTGAAGCAATTGAATTTGATGAAGATCTGGAAACGAGATTATTATTTGACTCCTTATTTAAATTTAAAGGTTGTGGCAATGGTTGTGTTGATGATGATGTTGTTGATGATGATTGTGGTTGTACCGGTTGTTTATAATATACATATGAAGTATTTGACCGTTTTCGTATATTTGAAGAAAGTTGTGCAGCTTGTTGTTGTGTAGATTGTTGTTGAGTAGATTGCGGAGTTTGTTGATTGGGTATTCTTTCACTTGGTAATGATTGTGATTTTGCTTTTCGAGTTATTGGTTTATCACTAAATGATTGTGATGAAACTGAAACTATCGGAGATGTTAAAATTTTATTACTACCTGAATTAGTTTCTTCTATTAATGAAGTTTGCGATGATGAAGGTTTTGAAATTATTGGGGATACATCATTATTAATTAAATAGATATCATCAAAATCGGCAAATTTGTTGAGTAAACTATCATTATCAGTCTCATTATCATATTCAAAAGATAATAAATCAATTTTTAATTCCTCGTATTGAAGAATTAAATCAAATGATGAGGCGTAGTCTTTTGCAACCCACCCCAGTTTATTTTTAAAATTTTGAAATTTTTCAATTTCAAGCTTTGCCTTTTCTTTATTGAATTTATTCTCTTTTATTATATGTTTAAGTATCTCTTTCAAACATTCTAAATTTCCAAATTGGAAACATAAATGCAAAGCAGTATTTTCTTCGATATCTTCTGCATATAAATCAGCACCAAATTCAAGTAACAACTTCACTCCCTCCTTAAATCCAAACATACATGAATAATGTAATGGGGTTTGCTTTTTATTGTTTGATTGATTTAACCAAAACTGACATTCTTGGAGGAGGTAATGTAAAGTTTGTGGATTTGAGTGAGTTGATTCAATACATAAATGTAATACAGATAAATTATCAAATGTTAATAAATCAATATGATTCTTTTCAATTAAGTTATTTTCATTTTTTATAAATGATATAAGAAAATAACATATTAAATAATGTCCATAATATGAAGCATAATGTAAATTAGTCCAACCTTCTTGCTGATGATTGGGATTTAGCCATAATTCAGGAAATCGATTTATTATACGTTCTACTATTGGTAAATTTCCAGCTATGATTGCATTTCTTAAACGTTTTGAAGGATCCAACATAATAAATATAATATAATACAAATAAATAAAGAAATAATTCCTAGTTATTCCTTAAGATAAGCTATATAAACATTGAAAATGAACTATGGGATGAAAAGTCTAAAAATAATTAATATTATAAAAGCAAGTTTATATATTTGATCTGGTGATAGTAGATCAATTGATAAGCCTTTATTTTAAACTGAAACGAAAAATATAATAAAACAACACAGTAATCTAATGGAATGAAAATAATAAAACAGTTGATGAATGAAAAATCCTTTCTTCTTTCAATGAAATGAAATGAAATGAAATTGGTTCAAGTAAAGAAAATCTAAAATAAAATCTAAATTAATTTTGTGCCCATAAATTTGGAAATTTGAGACGCGTGACATTTGAACTATGAAATTTGGTAGCAACTTGAAATTAGCCAATTTACGCCCAGTCGGTTTAAATGGAAGTAAAATTTAATTGAAGCCAACATCATCTATCATTATTTATACATTCATCTAATATAGAATATCTTTGTAAATAACGGCAATTGACCATGAATTACTATTAATTTGGGCTCAAAGATCTACTTTATTTATCGGTATTAAAAAATATGCATTAATCGATCTTCGGTTACGAGTATTACAAGATCCCACGATGGATTGAAATTAAGGATACTTTTTAATGAATCTGATAAGATCTGATGATCCCTATTTTTCTTGATTTTATTTTTTGCAACCAAGTTGTTCTAATCAGGAAAAAAGTTTCTTCATTTTCTTGTAATTTCATTGTTTAAGTAGTTACGCTTATCGGAAAAATGTAGATGCCACATATATGAACATAAGTTGATGTAACTAAGATAAGTTTGTTGTTGAGTTCTATTGTACGTAAGAAGAGATAGTTTGGCTTTAAGATTGGCTTAAACTGGGCTGAAACTAAAAGATTTTTTTATAATGCGCGTAATAAAAACTATTGCATGCCTTTGTTAATGTACAATTAGACTTACGCAATAGATTGGAATTTTATCCATTGAATACTTTAGAGCACTTTATCTGTTCAAAAGTCATGAATTTGTAAAAAGGAATCAACAAACGCAAAACCAACTTCTTTCGATAAGCCCAATTGGTCAGCTGAACCGATTTCGTAGTATTTTCGGGATGATGTTTAAATAAATCATCAAATCCTTTATGTACTTTATGATAAGAAGACACAGAATTTTGTAATTTTATCTTATGAATAAACAAAGAACATTAAAATCAAAAAAAAAAAAGACTAAAAGCCTAAGCAATAGCAAATCCAATACAAGAATGCATAGAGCTTCTACTCTACTAAATTTCTGGTCTTGATAAATTTTATTTCTTATACACTTGGTAGCATTTGCCAAAACTGGCAATTTGATTGGTCAATTTAGCTTTCAAAATCCTCAAAATTATTCGGTCACAATATTTTACAGCTGCTAGCATATAGAATCCTAGCTCTAGTTTATGAATGAGTGAGTAATATCTTGTCAAACTTGCTAGTCCGAGAGATATTCACAGTTTAATTAAACGCTACCATCTCTTCGTTCAGACCATGGCTCAACCAATTGTCACATAAAAACATGATCCAGAGTTGACTAGTTATAACAAGTCAAAGGAGAAAATGAGACGAATAAAAGCATCTTAATAAGCTGATTTAATGATCTTTGTCGTGGAGTATCTTTATCTCGGCTTATTTTCTCCCATGCTATCATACTCAAAAAGTAGTAGGGAAAATGCTTTAATGTTTACTTTTGAGACCATGAGCTTTTTGAAGTAAACCTACGATTTTCTTCAAAGCACTAAATAATGTATATTTGAACGAATGAATGCTTATAATGCAAGTATTTAAGGTTTCAATAAAATGCAATTATCAAATTATGACAATGAATTGTTCAGATTTGAGACTGATGGTAATTAAGTAATAGGCAATATTCCTTGTGTACTTTTACTTCCCTTTGTTGTTCTCCATTAATCTAATGACTTTCAAATGGTTTTTTTAAACCGAACATAACTGGACCTTCTTCTTTGATTCTCAACATTATCCAAAACCACATAGTTGCGCCCATCAATTTAGATCCCCAATGTATTAAAGGACTAACATGAGGTTTGGAAGCTGGTGCATGACGTATATATTTAGCAATATGAGCAGCTGCCATTGTTTCTTGATCTCTTTTTTATTGTATGATTGATTATTTCTCACAATTATTAAAAATTTGGTTGGTTAAAAATAGTTGGTAATTGCACGAGCATTGGTGGCATTCAATTCATAGACAATTTAATTATATACTAAATCTAAGAACCTAATATTTATTACTGAAAGTGTTGTTCAATATATTCAATATGGCAGACATACTTTTCTCTTACTTGATGTGCAGATTTATTGGGTGCATATTTAAAACGGAGCTCAAAATTTTAAAACCTACAAAAATCTTCAGAATAACCCAAACATTTAGCTTTTATACTTGACCTTTGTTGTTTGATAATCTATTTGAAGTACGAGATGTTGTGTAATTTGAAAGTCAAATCGGATGAAATTTTACATGTAAAAAGTAACACAATGGTCGAGCAAATTTGGCGCCAGTTATCGTACCATACAATGCATAATTCACGATTTGGCACAATTTCTTGGCTTGACTAACAATGCGACTTCGGCTTGATTTATTTTCAGTATTACCTGAAAAATAACTCCGAAACAAAGTTAGTTAGACGCAGTCTCATCGTAGATAATTTCAAAATTTAAATTGTAAATAACTACTTGATTATTCAAACTTTTGATCTCAAACTTTATTTCTCGAGCATGCAGCACATTTGGAATATATTAAAACTTGACTCAAAATTGATCTTTCTTTTCTATACTTAAAAAATGCATAAAAACGACAAATCGCGAAATAATTGCCACTTAGACTTCAGTTCGCGTCTTCTAAGGTATCTGTGCTAGTTCAGTTATCTATAAATACTATTTGTATCGTAGTTTCACGGCGCCATGATCGTTTTGAAATTTTTGCAAAAATTTCGATCCACTTCTGAAAGATTACTTTCCATTTTAAATCTCTTAACACAGAAAAAACTCGACCATAACAGACAGGGAGATTGCGAATCTTGACACTTTTATCATATTTAAGTCTTGATATTTATTGTGGAGTTGAATTTTTCGTAAGGTCAATATATTCAATTTTCCCCATAGTTAACAAAAAATTTTGAAATTTCTGAATTTAGTTCAGGTCATCTAGAAACAAGATTGCCTCTGTATTTTGAGGTCTATTATATAGAATCCGTTGTTTAATTGAAGGTTGTGGTCCTAGATAAATACCTATAATGATTCATTTTATTTGCAAAATTTTTGTATGATGAAAAAATGCCAAAATGACAACTCGAAAAAAAATGTTTAAAATTCACAAATTCAAGTACGTAGAGAATATAATTCTGGGCTCTGGATTCTACTGAGCTGCTATTAATCTCAAAGAAATCTGTTGTTTTTGATATATAAGCCAAAATCGTTGGAACGAGACGCCTTAGATTTAGGGCGAGAGATTTTTTTATCGCACCGCTGAAAATTACACACTTTGAAAAATAAAAAGTACACCGAGAGAATATCCGAAAAAAATTTTTAAATCGCCATAATTTTTTGGCAAAACTTCGAACTAGCAACACTCACTCGATTTCAGTCGGAAACATATTGTTCTTGGACTCGTTGGAACGAGAAACTTTAGATCAATTCGAATCTGGTTGTTAGAAATTGTTTTCTATTGATTTTCCTAACAAATTCGCGAGAATTCAAAAAACACCGCTGGGAAATATTCGGGTCCACAGATGGAACTAAGCTTTTTAAATTTCCAACTAAAATATGACGTATTCTGGACGGGACCAACACGTACAAGACGAATTATTTGAGGTCAATACAAGTGTTATTCAAAAAATAATGAATTTGAATATAAATTACCAAAACACAATCATATACAAAAGTCAACCACAAATTCTGTAGCAGTAAGTACGTGCTACTACGGTTTATCTCTCTGTTTGTTTTAGCCGGCCAATTTTGGTTGAAAACTTTAACTGAAGCACTTGGAACCTCAATCCATTCAATAAGCTTTCCACTAAGTTCTAAGCTCGTCTACAGTTGTTGCACGAGGAACTTCGTTTTCCTTCTTTGGGTAATAAACCTCGTAGTCATCTGTGAATTCAAACAAACAAATATTAGCGTGCCAAAACTGTTCAGTCAGCTACAAGCTAAAGCAGATTAGCGTAAGTTCAGACGGAGGACTTGTTCATAAAGCTTCGGGTTTACAGTGATTTGGAAGTAAATTGAGGAGTTTGTGCATTTTTGAGCAAATTACTAAATCTAAGTAGACATCTTTAAACAGACCATACACTATGGCCTTAATTCACCCAGTTTGGGATTTTATCTTGCAATTGCACCTATCCCTCGTGAACTACAGATGGTTTTGAAATTTAACTACATTTGGTAGCGCGATTAAAATCCTGTCCTCTGATTGGTCAATCTTAAACCTCAAGCTAGGAATCTAAACTAAACGTGGTTACGTAGTGCCTGAGCTATAATTTATTGTTGTATCGTTATATCTTAGCTAAACTTGCTAGTTCATGAGATATTTGCAGTTTTTATTTTGCAAAAGCCACATTTCCTAATTCAATTATTCAACTTTGGAGCATCAGCAAAACCAATTTTTGTTACACAAAAACACGATCCAAAATTGGCAACTTTTCTTTTTGTAAATTTTATTTGAAACGTTAATTACTTGAGCATGACCACATTTGATAGCCTGAAACCACCCTATTTATAATCTTTGATAGCTCTAGTTTATTTGATGTTAAGCAAATGCGTTTATGATAGTGGATGTTGGAGTAAAATAATTTAATTCAAAATTTTGATATGCTTTATATAAAGAATGGAAGAGGGCACCAATTGTTTCAAAACAAGTTGTATTTGATTCTACCTAGCTTCTGGTTCCTAAAGCAGTTAATTACATCTGTGATAGTTTTGTATTTGTAGAGTTATTTCACATTGAAGATGAATTTCCAAAGACGATTCATGTATCATATACCAAAATACAATGAAGCAAAACCAAATATAGTTACATTTTCTGTAATATATGGCCTGAAACTAACACACTTTCACTTTTATACCCAGTTAGCAGCGTTTATTAATGAATATTTAGGTGGTTTTACAATTTTTTAGTGATAAATTTGGAAGTTTTATGATTTTATAAATTGACTATTTAACTTGAGTAGATGCAATTACATATATCGTAATCCATAGCCTGAAAACAAAACGCTTGCACTTCCAGTTAGCTTATACAATAATAATTGTATCTTTTGTAAGCTAAATATTGCAATTCAATTGGGATATAGAGCAAAGTGCTGAATCTAAGTAGACACTTTTACTCAAATCGTATTATAGGCCTTGATTTACCCAGTTTGAGACTTTATCTTTTGATTGCAGCTACCTATCGTGAAATACAGAAGGTTTTGTATTGTGATGTTTCTCAAAACTCAAGCTACCATCCCAACCTAAACATGATTATGCAATGCCTGAAATATAGCTTATTGATATACAGTCAAATCTTCGCTAAACCTGCTAGTTTGTGGGATATTTGCACCTTTTATAGTCGTTAAGCCACATTGACTAATTGGGGTTTTCCATTTTAGACCATCAACAAAACCAATTTCTGTTACACAAAAACAATTCCACAAACTGACACCTTTTCTTTTTGCAGCTTTTATTTAAATTGTATATTACTGCTGCAACACTCTACGTAATAATTTGAAACTTAGTTATTCGTAACCATTAAGAGCTCTTGTTTATTTTTAGCGAAAACGTTTCGAAGTAATAAAAGTTTACGATACAGTAAATTCAAATAGTTTGGATTTTTGTTATGCTTAAAGACATACTCATTCGGATAGTCCAATTGTACTAAGAAAAGTGGCATTCAGTTCTCCAGAGCTTTCTGATTCCAATAAAGTTGTTTTTGTTGGTAGAAGTACTATTTTTGTAGAGTTTTTTAACTTTGAAAGTTGAAACTTTTACATCATTATTTGAATATATAATTTGAGGAAAATATCAGATTGAGCTCTCAAACCTGGCTGAATCTTATGCAATATTGCTGTGTGAGGACCATGCAATAGTAAATTTGTATTCATACTTTAGACTTCAAACGCTGTTGACCAGTTTTGAAGATTAAAATTTTTAAACAATATAAGTTAATTAAAATTACAGACAATAAACATTTCTGGATACATTCGGTATTACGTATATTAGCCTCAAAATCTCAATGTAAAAATTTTCTTGCAAACCAAAATACTCTCTCAAAAAGTTATTCATATTCATTTGAGCATTTTTGAAGTTTATTGCAAATTGCAACTAAGACAAAAGTTTTGTAAGCTTCAATTAAAATGTCATTAGATGGGATATCATCATTTCTACTTTTAGTTCGAAAACTATTCTCCTTTTGAAAGCAAAGGTAGTCGTTACAAGTAAATACTATGACATTTTACATCAGGAGCACGGTGTGAATAGACTAATTAATGCAACTAGTTCCAGTTTGAAATTATTCATTACGCCCGATAATAATGTCTTTAAGGCGGACCTGCAGAAAGAGATCTGAAACAGGAAATTAGTGCAAAGTTATATAGTTATTCGCTCTCTATGACCATAATTATTGATAAGAGAAGATTAAAGTTGATAACCAACTTACGAGGCTGGTCACATGTCAGTCAACAAATGTAACAATCTATTCAACTGATTATGAGACTTCCACAAAATCAATAAAAAACGTCCAAACATGAAATAAGTACGTCATAAAAATACGCTCGATATCAATGGAAGAAATGGGAATGGTAGATAATAAATGGTTAATTCATATTATACACAAACTAGTGCAACTGATTTAAAATTTGTTGCAAATTCACCAAAATAATAAACAATTTACTTACCATGCGCTTCATCTTATATAATTCTAAACATACAGGCAGATAATGCATTATACAAAACATGTACAAATTGACGTATTTGAGTAGTTCACGACTAATTGATCTACATTTTTATTACTATTTCTGTCTATTTCCTTTTATTGCTCATTATGGTGGAGTAAATTTACTGTCAAACGATAATGGTATAAAATTTCCAGCTTTATCTTTTTTTCAGGTGTACTCTATTGTTGGCGATGAGTTACTGGAAACCATTTGGCTCGTGGTGTTTGAAGAAGATTATAGTGGTTACAAACTTTACTAAAATTAGTTAAAAGATTGGCGGCCGTAGGTCTGTTGTTCGTTTGATTATTGCGTTATATATGTTAATAATTTAGGCTATTACTTAATTTTACCCAAAGTATTAAATTAACAGTTTTGTGTAACTTTGCAATTTAAGATCTTTAACAGATTTGTTGATAATTAGAATAGCCAATCTTTTTCTTCTTTTATTCTTTTCTTCATGCATGGATTAAAAATATAAATTATAACAAGGGTCTTTTCCATTGCATTCTATTAATGAAGACTTTCACAGGCAATTATTAAGTCCGTTAATTCTCCACTTTTATTTCTTTAACTATTAACTCTTTTAAATCAAAGTTTAGCTAAGAATCTGAATAATCAAAGACTAACAAATTACTAATGATTGTGTTCTATAATTTAAAACACGATTGTTTCTTTGAAAGTTTCTGTGAAAGTTTAACAAGGTCAAATTGTTTTGGCAAAAGAAAACAAACGATCTGCGTCTAGAATCTTGTTTATAATTTCGTAAAATATGGTTTGTATAAAATTAAATTTTGCATCTGGTTAGGTTTGCATTGAAAACTTATCAGTTGCTTCAAATATTGAATTTTTCGGCGGCAAGTTGAAATTACAAAGCTTTAGGAGAACTTGCTTAGATCACAATTTTTACCATTCTAATTTTGTGCTAGTATTTATTCGATTATCTCAATAGCTATCTACGAGGTTTTAGGACGTTCGATAATTAAACTATTCCATCAAGAATAAAGAAACTGGGATCAGTTATTTGAAAGTAAAGAATATTTTGAGTGAACTATAAAATAAATCCATTAAAGGGTATACTAAGAATTTTAATCTAGTAGAATTGAAGCAGTTTCCTTGGTGAACAAACTCTATGTTTACTTATAAACCAAATCAATTTATGTTATTCATTCTCTTCAACATTTCCATGTCATATATTATTATTCTTATTATCATTATTAAAAGTATTATTATCACTAAAAGTAGTACTTGGTAAATAATGTTGATTTACACTCGTAGTTGTATAATTACTTTGTAATCCCTGACCATAATGATACTGACTCAAATTATTGTTGCCAGTATTATTGTTACTTTTGGTATTCTCATTCACTCTCTTTTGATCTCTTTGGTGTAATCTATAATGTCTCGTCATGTTACTCTTCACTGAAAAGAATTTCCCACATCCTTCCCATTCACATTTAAATATTTTTTCACCAGTATGTGAATAATAATGAGTTTGCAAAGACGATGGTCTTTTGAATTGTTTATGGCATATCCTACATCTATTTCTTTCTGCAGTTTCTGGAGTCATATCGTGGGTTGTAGCAGTATGTTTCCGTTTTCTACGTGGTTTTTTGGACGAAATAGACGAATTAGAACCAATCGATGATTCTGAAGATGACTTTGTTGATGCTGATGATATTGAAGAATATTTTGGTGGTTGAAGTGGTGGCTGAAGTGATGGAGGTTTCATTGATGAGTTAATAACAGGTAAATTCTTATTGAAAAGATCAAACTCATGATTTTCATTCGTATGTGTCATAATAGGTTGAAAAGTGGGTACTAAATAATTATACGATTCTGAAGTGGAATTATTATGTGAATGATTATTATCTTGATTTGTATTATTCAGGGCATATAAATTGTAGTTTGATCGTAATGGTTGGTGGTTTGAATATCCGTCATTATAATTTAAGCTTTGACCCAGTTGTTGAATGGGGTTTTGCGGAGATGAAATATATTGATTAGTTATTATTTGACTTGGTGATGTTTGAATATTTTGTTGCTGTTGATTTAATGGTTGCAAAATTGTAGTTGATGGTGGATTGTAGGGTAGTGAATTATATTGAATGTATTGTTGTTGTGGTTGTTGTGGTTGTTGTGGCAAATATGGTTGTTGTTGCAAATATGGTTGTTGTTGATTATTTGATAATGCCACGGGCTGGGGATAAAAATGAGTTTGTTGCTGGAATTGCGTTTGCGGTTGATCTAAATTTGAATGAACTTGTGAAAAAGACATACTCGAATTATTTAATTGATTATTTGGACTATCTAAATAAATATCTGATTGTTGTAGAATTTTATTTGATTTTGAATTATTTGACATTCCTCGAACTTCTTAATTTAATCTTGATTAATTCTGCTTCTTTCTTTTTTGATGGAATATCTCAATACATAATCAGTTGTCCACTCGAGATACTTTATGACTATTCTTTCTAGCTTATAATCACAATTACGCTTTTGAAATAACTGAAGTATATTTGATTGAAAAAAGTGTTCTCAGCGTTAAGCGAATAATTTAAAATACGACGGAACCTCGATTTAATTAATCAATAGCGGACTAAAATAAATGTTTATTTTAATATCTATTAGTAAAGTATGTTTAAACTGATTTGAATATAAGTTCATTACAGTTATCAAAAATACTGGAAAGATATTAAGTATTTATATTAAAAAATTTAGTTAGAAATTAAAAAAAAAAAAAAAAAAAAAAAGTTTAATTTTCAAGTATAAAAAATAATGTAAAAAATGTAAGGAATGTAAAGAATGTTAAATATTTAATCAATTAATTAATTCTAATTTTCTATTACATATGTAGAGCATTCAATTGAGCGAAATACTAACAACAATACATATCAAAAAGTTTGGTATTGTGTTACTTTGAAAGAGATTTGTGTAAACTATTTATGTAGAATTGACTGAAATTATTTCAATGTCAAAAATAAATAAATAAATGATAAGTAATTTAATTCTGATTGTTTAAAAATTGTTCTAGACATAAATTGTCATCATATTCGATTTGTGTATGACACGGTCCTTAATTTTAAGGACGATACCAGTTAGAAGAACCCTTAAGTTTGTTTAAAATATTTCATCGTCTAAATGAGCAAATTAAAAATTTCAAAATTAATCAGTTTGGGATTGTGCTTTTAACAAGTTGTTTAACTTTTCTCGTCAAAGTACTACAAAACTTGTTTACATATAATAATAGAAATGGATTTTATGTTAATTATTCAATCTGTTTTGTTCATGTCAAATTAGATTTAGTGAAACAGAAGAAAATTGTTAAAGTCTAAGGTGTTAAGTCACTACTTGAGGCGCAACTTCCATCAAACATAATCATTACTCAATGTATCAATTATTAGTAGATGTTTGACAATAATAGGGCCATACAAAAATACATTTAAGAATTTAAAATTTTTAGCGAAAAAGTTTAAATCTGGAGTTAAAATTAAAATTATGTATAAACGGATTTAAACAAATTGCACACTAATTCAGTTTCATATAAATTCAACATCAACTTCCAATCGGATTTATAATTCAAATTATAACCTTAAATTTTAAAGCAGAATAATTTACAACTAATTGATCACGAGTTGATGGATGACGTATTCAATACAGCTTTTACCTGTTAATGTCCTTGTAGGCAAAATTGAAGTCGGATTTAACTTTGAATATATATTACCGGTTAAGTTATTTTCCACTAAGCCCAAACAATCAATAATTCAATCAAACAATGAACAATAAGAAAAAAAAATAAATAAATTTTATATAATATGGTAGGCTTAATACAATTTTCGTATCTGTCTCTCTTATTAACATTATAAAAATAGATTTCTCTATATATTGTTACTATTTGTCTTCTTTCTGTTCGAATATTCAAAAGCTTATTAAACAAACTGATTAAAATTTGTTCTTTTCTTTTCTTTTCTTTTCTTTTCTTTTCTTTTTAATTCCTTTCTTAACGTCATTTTCTTGATTATATTTTAACTTGAGAGATCTCAGATCGAAGTTTACAAAGATTTACAACTTCCCCGGATTTACTAGATAATCATAAAACAATGTTCTTAATTTTCTGTACTGTTTTTTTCATGTGCAGTTAGATTGTATTCTCCTCATTTAAGTGACATCGGTAAAAAAGTAGGCAAAAACTTTTGGCTATTTAACATTCCATTCCAATAGAACAGACTAGAGTTAAATGACGTATTAAGTTTGGTTATTATTTTACAACGCTACATCTCGCATAGTTGTACATTTAAGGCGAATGAATCAATCTACTAACTTGTGAAGTCATTACTCAAGATGATTGTCTATATAACCTACTAAACCAGATCTTTCGCTTCTGTCAAATGCTTAGTTACAATCAACGTTTTGAGCAAATCGAGATTGATATATAAGGTATTGCAGATCTTAAATTAGAACACTGTGATTGGTTTGGTGAAGAAGCTCATAACTGTTAATTGCAAAGATTCGAACTAAAATCTTTTAAGTCGAAAAAAATATTTTTGGTTGATGTCATTAATGTGTCAAGCTCTTGTCGTGTCATCTGTCATCTTTCGGTACTAAATTGTATGTCATGGATAATTTCCAAAATTTTATCGAAAACCATATGGTAGCGACGATCAAATTATTCAAACTTACCGATCTGATTACTTTATTTAATTAAATTGTATACAGATAAGCTGACTGATAAATTATTAGGTAGGGAATAAAGTTAGAATCAGCAGTTTGAAAGAAGCAAGTTGAATAATATGATAAATTCGTTTAATCTTGTTGAATTTTTGTCAAAAACTTTACAATCTTTATTCAAATTGCAAATTTTTACGAAAAAAGAATAATTCAGATAACCAGAACAAACCAGTAGGTTTAGTTTACTGAGCTCAAGGGACCTCAATTGACTTATCTGTGCCTAAACCTACCCTTTTCAAAAGGTTTTCTTCTAAATTATTTAAAGCAATAATAATTCTAACTCGTTTTTTTCTCATCATGAGTAAGTCTGGGTATTATTTCTTTGATCATCAATTAGTTCAAAACATCACGTGCTCAGGCGCGTGCCTTACTATTAATTCATCGACGTTTTGTAAAGTTAAATTGAAAATTGAAAATTGAAAATTAATTGAATGTCTATAGCATCTATCGTATAAAATATTAATTATCCACGGTGTTCATTTCTCTTAGATTTCTCCTTTTTTTTGGCTTAGATCAATGACTCTTAAATGTAGGCTTGATTAAGGATTGCAAAATTTGTGCTGGCTAAAAATTTTTTTGAAAAATGACTCGACTAAAAAGACTGGTTCTGCTCCGAAATAACAAAATACAATTAATTTACTAATTTACTCTTGCTGGTTATTCAACAATCAACCTATTGCCGACGGAAGATATGCTTTAAACAAAAAAGTTCTTCAAGGTTTTTGATCTCATTCAAACGCAGGGCTAAAAGAATATCTGGATGAATATGAGCAAATGACTTCATATTTATAAGCTTATAATAGTAGATAGTAAAGAGTAATTATTGTAAATTCTTTTAAGAGAATAACGCTGATTCTAAATTTAGAAACACAGATCATATAGTAAATTATCATAACCCCCTTTTTTTAACAATTAATACTGTACATTAAATCGTCGATATAGCAAATGATTTTTCCCTAGATTTTAAATTACATACATAAATATTATCCGTTATAGTCTATAAATTCGAAAGCCTAACGTTTACATCATTCCACAGAGTTAATTAGTCTTCTACTGTCAAATTGAGGATATACAAATATAAAGATTAAATGTTCGATCAAAGTGATCGTCGACCAAGAAAAAAAAAATCAAAATTCTTGTAGATTAATCGTCAACCCCCTTACATTTGAAGTATTATTTTCTTATTGATGTCATTGTAGAAACTGTCAGTTCAATTGATTATGAAACTGGTTTATTCCATTCTTCTTTTTTCTGCTTGCAATTTTGTTAATAAGTTAAAAAAGTAAACATTGTTAATTAATTAACCCTTTTGGGTATTATTGAAAAAAAAGCATTAAATACTAAAGAAAAGTTTATTTTTAGAAATATGTGTGCTAAACTAGCAAGTAAGTATTTTTGACATCATAATTTAATACGTTTCATCTGTTAATTTCAATTGGCTCAATTGCAAGCTGATTATGAGGAGATCAAAGGGGATCTTTCCAAATCAGCCAGCACAAATCAGATTTCTAATGTCACACAATAACAAATTGTTAATTAAATATTTGTTATTGTGATTCGATGGTTATGCAGGTTCCTTTCTTTATTATTCCATTATTTTGATTTCAACTTAAAATTAAATAATCGGAGGCTATGGAATTAAAATTGTAATATATAAATAAACACTCGAATACCGTTTGATATTTCATTTGAATTTTTTCAATTTTAATTATTTCAAAAAAGTTTAATTTATCAATAATGAAGTATTCTACATTCGTTACTTTAGCTTCAATTTTATCGACTACAGTAATTGGTGCTGCTTTACCAGCTTCAAATTTTTCAACTTTAACACCAACAGCTACTGCTCCATCAGGTGCAACTACTGATTATACAAAATCATTTGGTTTTCAAATTGAAACTGTTGAGGTTGCTTCAAAATTATCAACTGATAATGCTACTTCAACTTTATCTTTAAAAAGTGCTAGTACAACAAATGGTAAAAGAGATGTTGTTAATGTTTTATCTGATGGTCAACCAAATGATATAACTTCAAGTAATTATGCAAATCCAACCCCAACTACTGTTAAACCAGTTGCACAAATAAGTGATGGTCAAATACAAAATCAAAAATCAGCAGCTGCTCAATCTGTTGTAAATCAAATTTCTGATGGTCAAGTACAAAATAATCCAACTACTGCTGCATCAGTTGTTAATCAAATTGGTGATGGTCAAGTACAGAATAATCCAACTACTGCTGCATCAGTTGTTAATCAAATTGGTGATGGTCAAGTTCAAAATAATCCAACTACTGCTGCACAAACAACTGCAGCTGCTGTTAATCAAATTTCAGATGGTCAAGTTCAAAATAATTCAAAAACTACAGCTGCTGCAGTTAGTCAAATAAGTGATGGTCAAGTTCAAGGTTCAAAAACTGCTTCAACTAATCCAACAGCTTCTGGAGATATTGGTTCAAAAGGTGATGGTCAAGTTGTTAAACCACCAACTAATTCAACTGCTTCAGAAGGTGATGGCCAAGTTATTAAACCACCAACTAATTCAACTGCTTCAACTACTTTAGATTCAAATGATTCAGTTCCAACAGCATGTGTTTCAAAAAATAATTTAGTTATGAATTTAAAAGATGGTGTTTTAAGAGATTCACAAGGTAGAATTGGTTCAATTGTTGCTAATTATCAATTACAATTTGATGCAGGTACTCAAGCAGGTGCAATTTATGGTGCTGGTTGGTCAATTTATGATGGTTATTTGTATTTAGGTGATGATAATGTTTTCTATCAATGTTTATCAGGTGATTTCTACAATTTATATAATGAAAACATTGGAGCTCAATGTAATGCAATAAAATTAAGAATAATTGATTTTGTTGAATGTTAAAAAAGACAGTCAATTTAAGAAATGGGTATTAAAATAGAATATAAGGTTTTTTAAGGGGTATTACATGGTCATTTTTATTTATTAACATAAAACGTTTCATAAAAGGTTTGAATATTTTCGGTTATATAGATTTGAATATACTGATATAAAGTTATTTAAAGATTATTAATCGTCGTCTACTTTTGATGTCTTTGCGCGAATTTGCGCATCTTTTTTTTTTTGGACGCGTTCTAGTTTAATCATCACGTCCATGGATTAACAAATGACACCAAAGAAACAAAGTACAATAAATAGTTTCTTTAAATCAAGTAATAAATCAAGCTCAGATGTGAATAAAGAATTACAAGAAATTTCAAAATTACTGAAAGAAACAGAAGGTAAATTTTCAACATTCACATTTAATAAAAATGAAAATAATAACAACCAAAAGAATAAACCAAATGAAATAGATAAGAATATAAATCAAGCTAAACGAACGTTGACGGAAACTGAATCACCATTAAACTCATCAAAAAGAAGACATAACTCTAAGTCTCAAACAAAATTAACACCTTTAGAAAAACAAATTATTGAATTAACTGAAGCTAATCCAGATAAAGTGTTATTAATTCAAGTTGGTTATAAATATAGATCATTTGGTGAAAGTGCAAAAATTGTAGCACGAGCTTTAAATATCATGTATATAGAAAATGATTCAGATGCGAGATTTAGTTATTGTTCATTTCCTGATGTTAGATTACATATAAATTTACAAAGAATTTTAAATGTTGGTGTTAAAGTTGGAGTTGTAAAACAAATGGAATCTGCAATTGTTAAAGAAGTTGAAAAATCATCAAAATCATCAGATTTAATGAAGAGAGAAATTACTGGAGTTTATACCAAGGGTACATATATGGGAGATGAATTTATTGAATCAAATTTAGTACCCAATACTGCAGAACTGGAAAATCCAAGTTATATAATATGTATTTATGAAAATTTAAATGATAAAGTTTCAACATTATTTGGATTAGTTGCTGTGCAACCATTAACTGGAGAAATAATTTATGATAGTTTTACGGATAATTTAACTAGAGAAGAATTAGAAACTAGACTATTATATTTACGACCTAGTGAAGTTATTGTAGTTAATAAAGAAAATGATATTAGTTCAAGTACTTTAAAATCATTAAAATTAATTAATCGTGAATTAAAATTTGTTCATAAACAAGAACATTCAGATTTTAAATTAAATTTAGAACCTCATTTAATTGAATATTATACAATTAATTTCCCAACATCAATTCAAATTTGTATATCTGAACTAATTCAATATTTAACTGAATTTAAATTAAATAATATATTTTCATTACCTCAAAATATAACAAATTTTAAAGATTCAAGAAAATATATGATATTACCAGCAAATACATTATCAGCATTGGAAATTTTCACAAATTCAACAAATTCAGACTCTACAAAAGGAACATTAGTTTGGTTATTAAATCATACTAGAACAAGATTTGGTAGTAGATTATTGCATAAATGGATATCGAAACCATTAATAGAAAGAAATAAAATAGAAGAAAGATATCAAGCAATTGAGGATTTAGCAAGTGGATATAATCATGTGATTGATTCATTAATGGGTCAATTAAATAAAATTGGTAAAAATTTAGATCTTGAAGAATTATTAATAAAGATACACTATTCTTCAACTTTACATTCAACTAGAATTAATAGAAAACAAGTTTTTTTAATGATTGAAACATTTAATGATTTAAGAAAATTAGTTAAATCATTTGAAAAGTCGGTGGTTTCATTAAATTTAAATTCAGGATTATTAAAGGAAATATTTCAAGATTTATTAGAGGCTTCAAAATCTCAAGTTGTTGAAAATTTAACCAATATGCTTAATCCATCATATTTACTTAATGATTCAAAAGATATAAATGATCAAAAAATTACCTTCTTCAATTTAAAATATCAAGATGGTGGATTTGATAAAATTATAAATGTTAAAAATGAAATTAAAAATGTTGAATTTTTACTAGATGAAGAATTAAAAAAAATTAAACAACTACTTAAAAGACCACAATTGAAATATATCACAAGTAATAAAGAACCATATTTAATTGAAATTCGAAATGGTAAACAAGTTGAAGAATTACCTTCTTCATTTATAAAAATCAGTGGAACAAACTCTGTCAGTAGGTTCAGATCAAAAGAAGTTTCTGAATTATATAAATTATTACAATATCATCAAGAATTATTAGTTCAAAGTTGTGATGAAGCATTTCAAGATTATTTATTAAATATTGATTCTCAATATGGATATTTTCATAAAATTGTAAAACATTTGGCAAATTTTGATTGCTTATTAAGTTTGACAGCAGCAAGTAATTTAAAAGATAGAATTAAACCAAAATTAACTGATGAATTGATAATTGATGTCAAAAATGCAAAAAATCCAATAATTGAACAAATTAGAGAAAATTATGTATCTAATGATATAAATATTCAATATGATTCAAATAGAGCATTAATTATAACTGGTCCAAATATGGGTGGTAAATCATGTTATGTTAGAACTGTTGCATTATTGGTGATTATGACTCAAATTGGATGTTACATACCTTGTGAGTCAGCAAGTGTGGGTATTTTCGATTCAATTTTTATTAGAATGGGAGCTACTGATAATATTTTAAAGGGGAATTCTACATTCATGACTGAAATGTTAGAATGTGGACATATAATAAATAGAATAACAAATAGATCATTGATTATATTAGATGAAATTGGAAGAGGTACTGGTACAATAGATGGAATCGCCCTTGCTTATTCAATTTTGAAATATTTAATTGAATTACCTCAACAACCTTTATTATTATTCATAACACATTATCCATCAATATCAGTATTAGAATATGAATATCCAAAAATCGTTAAGAATTATCATATGGGATTTGAAGAAATTCAAACGGATTCAAATTTCCCAGAAGTTGTTTTCTTGTATACTTTAGAATCAGGAGTTGTAAATAATTCATATGGATTAAATGTTGCGAAATTGGCAAATATTCCAAATGGCATAATTGGAAAAGCATTCGAAATAAGTGAAGAATTGAAAAATAAAATAGAATCAAGAGATCAAGTAAATTTTATAAACACGGTTAAAGGAGTTCTTGATAATGATGTAAACGCATTAAATAGTCTAACTAATTATCTAAATTAAAAAAATGCATAATTAATTGATTAAATTGACTTGAGTTGTCTAAATATATATGATGACCAGCAATTGGATCTCTCGTTTATTCTCTAATATACTCACTACCGTTATCATTAATCCATTTGATTATTTAAATTGAAGAAATTTAAAATTAATTGATTGAACTTAGTTGAGTTATCTAAATAAATATGATGACCAGCTTTTTCAACGATTTCAAAACTAGACAATTTCAGTCTTTCATTTATTTTCTTATGGATATATTCACCACCTTTCGAATTCATCCAATCATGCTCTCCATAAATCCAAAGCACTTTAGTTTCTTCATTTACAATATAATCAATGAATCCACGATCAGCAAGCGGCAATTTAGCTAATATTTCACTAGATATTAATTTGGTGATTGCTAGTTCACCAGACCCTTGGAATTGATTAAATATAGAATATGAATAATCATGCAACTTTAAAATTAAATCTATGGTATCTCCAGAACCACTAAAATTCTTAAAACGTTGGAATGACCAATATGATAAGATTTTGGAATAAACGGGACCCGTTTTCTGTAAGATTTCAAAAGGTGATTTATGATATTGCCATAATTTTGACAAGATTAAATTTTTCGGAAACTTGGGCTTACCTAATGACGACCAAAGGTATGTGAGTTCCTCATTTATATACACATCTTCTCCTTCTTCTTCTTCTTCGAAATGTAATTCTTCAAATGGATCTATCTTCTCATGAAAATTTTGATACTTTGGATGTGTTATTAAACTAGACTCACTTGATTCAGTACCCATTGGACTAACTATTACAAACTCTTTAACTATGTCCTTACCCTTGTTATATTTCATTAAATAGCAGCAGGATAGATATGCTCCCATTGAATGAGCTATCAATTTGAATCTTTCTAGTTTTCTTATGATTCTCCAATTTTCAATTCTGTCAATGAACCAGTTTTCAATATTTGAGATTTGACGTATTTTATCCTGAGTGGACTCCGGTTCATCAAGGAACTCTTTGGGGAACTTGGGTCTCATTGAATTACCAAATCCAGGCAAATCAATCAAATGTAAATGAACACCAGGAAGTAACAACTCCTCAATATTTTTTATGAAATAACCAAGGGCAGCCATGTAACCATGAATAATTACAATATGGATCTCAGATTCTAATTTTTGTCTATTTTGGAGATAAAATTCATGTATTACCGTACCGTCATCTAATTCAATATCTAATAATTGCCCAATCTTATTTGATTTAGATTCATGAGTTTGACCAGGGGGTATGATGTAAATATCTTCGTTTAAAATTGATTTAAATAGATCATACTCTATTAATTTGTTATTATGAGTTGATTGCTTGAATTTTTCTACAGAATTATCTGTTTTCGTGTCTATTATTAGCTGTCTTGGACTATCCCACCAATCCTTAAATGATTTAAAATAAGTTATGGAATTTACTTGATGTGAAGATTTTTTGGTGTCGTTTTGATTTGTTTTCAGTATTGATTCAGTTGGTGATCCCATTGTTTTTGTTGAGTCTGATACTAATGAAGCCATGGTGTCGAATTGATGGATATAATATTAAGTTTGATCTGATTTAATATATATAATTTTGCTTATCTATACTTTTTTTTCCGTCCTATTTTCTTATCTAAAGTATGCTTGAGAGAATAATCGAATACGGTTAAAAACGAATAAAGAACTATACTTGAGAACTAGGAAGGCATTATATTAATAATAGTTGTATAACTAATTGAATGGTAATCTTAAAGTAGCCATACTTTATCGAGATCTTGAAAGATCTGGAAATATAGACTTTGCGAAGTTCATAAACTAGACTCGATATCTTAGTGTCTCGTAGAACTATCGAGTGTAAGATGTTTTCTTTGTAATAAAGTGGTATGTTTTAGTAGTCTTATGTGCTTGCTAAATATTGTGGACTTGCAAATTCATAATCATTTTGATAAATATTCAATCTATCTTGTAAAAATTTCAATAGCTCCTCTAATTCCAGTATCAATACATTAATACTTATGTTATCCATTGTAGTTTGACTAATCAACCCCGGAAATATAATAATCAATCTTAATAAATGTTCAACCCCATATATTTTAGATTGTGAAATATCTTGATTAATAATATCATTCTTTAAAAAGTTCAAATATTGTAAATTTTCATACTTGTATAATAATAATAAACTTAATGACCTATTAAAATATATTTCCAAACCAGATAATATCTCAATTAGGATAGATAATTGATTTTTCGCCAATTTTTTAGTCCTAAAAGACTTATAATCTTTGAATATTTGATTAATGGGGTTTTTAGATGGCAATTTAACTAATTTCTTATCTTTTGTAATGTATTCCCAATCGTTGACTAATAGATATTTCAACTCTGGTGAGAATTTAAGATTGATTGTCTTCTTAACAAATGAAGAAGAACTGGAAGATGAGTTTAATTTCTGTCGTTTAGTGGATGTGGATGTGGATGAGGATGAAACGTGTTGACCGCTTCTGATATTGTGTGAATTGTTATTGGTGGTGTCGGTAGTTATCGTTGGTTTCTTTTTCTTTTTTGTTAATTGATCCAATTCAAGTTTCTTAAATTTATTTTCTTCATTATGTTCTAAAATTCTATCTGTACCTACCCATTCATCCCATTTTGAATTCCAACCTTGATAATGTAAATAAAAGCAAGTTTGACCATTTTTACCTGTTCTCCATTTTGTAATTTCAAATTTTGGTTCATTTGATTTTATTGATTCTTTCTGATTTTCATTATTTATTATAAAATCATCTAATGCATATTTGATTTTAAGTATTTTAGCTTCATAAATTAATGGACCATGATAAGCATAAACTATTTGATTTGGTTTAAATTCAACCATAAATAATAACTGAAATACTGGCGATAATAATAATATAAATTTTTTAATGTATGGTGAAAAATAAATAAACCGCACGGTTAAAATTTTACTACGAGAAAATGGTAATAAACAGTAACAGAATTAAAGAGATGGACACTATGAAATACAATAACTGCGTATTTAGAGTAGGTAACCAGTCTGGTTATTGCTTGGTTGTTGAAATTCTCGAAGGACGAACCTCGGAATAGCCCTATAGCCCTTTTAGTCATTACTTCGTCATAGCAAAGTAAATAGAGATAATCTAATGAAATCAATGTTACTTTTTCTTCAATATCAACAAGTCACCAACCAAAATGAAGTCAACTTCGTAGTTCTAACTTCTTTAAATTGTAACTGTTTATGTTTAAAAAAGTTTAATTTTTTATTCAAGAAAAAAAAAAAAAAAAAAAAAAACCAGACGAGATTTAATCAAACAGTTGAAGAATAGAATAATAGATAAAAAGCAACAATTAAGTAAGAAAGGATTTACCCCTTACAATGTCTCAATCTTCAAGTACAGTAGGGGTGCATTATAAAGTTGGTAAGAAAATTGGTGAAGGATCTTTTGGTATTATATTTGAAGGTATTAATATTTTAAATAATCAACAAGTTGCTATTAAATTTGAACCTAGAAAATGTGAAGCACCACAATTAAGAGATGAATATAGATCTTATAGAATATTAAATAATACAAAAGGAATACCACGAGCTTATTTTTTTGGTCAAGAAGGTGTACATTCAATTTTAATTATTGATTTATTAGGTCCAAGTTTAGAAGATTTATTTGATTGGTGTCATAGAAAATTTAGTATAAAAACAGTAATTCAAGTGGCTAAACAAATGATTGAAAGAGTTGAACTGATACACGAACATAATTTAATTTATAGAGATATAAAACCTGACAATTTTTTAATTGGTAAACCAGTTGATAATCAAGACAACAAGGAGAACATGATTTATGTTGTTGATTTTGGAATGGCTAAACAATATAGAGACCCCAAAACTAAAATTCATATACCTTATAGAGAAAAGAAAGCATTAAGTGGTACTGCTAGATATATGTCAATAAATACTCATTTAGGTAGAGAACAACTGAGAAGAGATGATTTAGAAAGTTTAGGTCATGTTTTTATGTATTTTTTAAGAGGTTCATTACCATGGCAAGGTTTAAAAGCACCAACAAATAAACAAAAATATGAAAAAATTGGAATGAAGAAACAAACCACCTCCATAAATGAATTATGTTATGGTTTTCCAATACAATTTGCACAATATTTAACTTATGTACGAAATTTAAAATTTGATGAATTACCAGATTATAAATATTTAATAAATTTAATGGATAAAGCAATGATTCTTGCTAATATAATAGAAGATGGACATTTTGATTGGATGGATTTAAATGGTGGTAAAGGATGGGATGCAGCATTAAATAAAAAAGCAAATTTACATGGTTATGGTAATGCACATCCTCCAATTAATCAACAACAAGCTCAAAAAAGACAACAACAATTACAACAGCAATTAGAAAATCAACAAAATCAATATAATCAACAAAGTACTACTAATCATAAGAAAACATTATCTAATTCAAATATAAATATAAACCTGCTGCAACAACCTTTATTAGGACTGGATTCTAATTATGCTTCAAGATTGAAAAAATATGGCTATCAATCAATATCAAAAGATTCAAAAAATGAAAGATTTTTAAATAAAACGATATCATCATCATCATCATTATTACCAGATCAACAACAACAACAACAACAACAACAACAACAACAACAACAACAACTATTAAAAAAACAATGTGGTTATACACAACTCCCGCAACAATCTAACCAACAACAACAACATTTATTACATCTGCATCAAAATCAATATGGGTTAATAAATGATAGAGATAATGAAGATTTACACTCCGATACTTCAAGTTTTAATAGAAAATATAATCAAGGATTTTTATCATGGATATTTTGTTGTTGTTATTAGAATCAAATATATAAAGAGTAAGACTTTATAGTAGCACCATCCTTACATTGTTCGTATTTTGCATCCTGATGGTTGATTAGTAATAATTTCCACTCACCACCTTTTTTTCCAATACAGAGATATTGTATTAATAAAAATAACAACATTGTAATAATTATATATACAAATGTATAACTAAAAGAATTGAATAATAATAGCAGTAAAAATTTATGTACTTGTAGATTGATCACTTTCACTAGTTGCAACACTATTAAATCTTGATCTATTTAATAACTCATCACGATCTTTAACATCTTTTGTTTCTTCTTCTTTCTTTTTAGTTGGTAACCAATAATTATTATTATTTGGAGTAGAATGATAATTATAAAATTTACCAGTATTTACTTGAGAAGAACCACCATAATAATGAGTAGTATGACCACCACTAAATTTTGTAGTAATTTTATTAAAGAAATTATCGAATAAATCGGGCATTATAAAGAAAGAAGTTTAATAAAAGTATTATAAATTAAATACATATTACTGGATATATTTCGACTATTTATAGTTTTTTGTTTTGTTAAGGGATGAATGATGATTATGTATTAATAGTTAAATTATTATTTAATGTTGCAGCCATTTAATATTTATTTATTATTTATTTATTTATTTGCGGAGTATACATAAAACGAATTATGTAATATATTATGTCATCGGGGTTTTACTAGCCTCATCCAAATTCAAACTAAATTAGATTCTTTTAATCAATGAACACATTATCAAATGCTTTTTTAGCATTTTCTGTAATTATATTACCATGACACATTACAATATTATCAAAATTTAATAAACTAATAGCTTGTAATCCTTGTTTACTTTTTTTAACATTAACTACAAATCTAAACATCCATCTACCAATTTTTGAATATGGTTGTAAATATCTTGTTAAAAATGACCAGCCAGTATGAGGATTAAAATTAGATGGATAACCAGTAGCAGGTGAAAATTGTTCCAATTGACTAGAACAACCAAGATTAAATAATAAGTCTGCTTCAAATAATGTTTTTGATTTTTTTTCGTACACGACTAATTCTTGATTTGAATGATACGGTAAATATACGAATTCAAAATTATCTACAATTAAATCATCATTTATAATTTCTCTTAAATTTGCATCTTTAAATATCATATTTCCCATTGATTTTTTAAAAATATAATCAAGTTTAATTGTACCGTAATCGATTCCTTCCATTCCAATTAATTTACAATTGGGGAATTTTTCCTTATATGTTTTACCAGCCATATTATGTTCTTTGTCTGGTATAATTACATATTTTAAACTTGATTCAAAATTAGAAGTAGTGAAATTTTGTAAAATTTCTTGTACTTGCGAACCATAAGGTAAAGGTGACCAAATTATTAAATTATCAGTATTTGGAGATGGAGTTGTAGATTTATAATTGAAAATAGCCATTCTCGCTCCAAAATTGACTCTATCAAATCTTGTAAATGCAGTTGAACCTAATAAAATATTATCATTTAATAATCTAGTTGCAATTTTAAATTGTTCTGGATAACCCATGGTGAAACTAATTGACTAATTGACTAATTGATAATAAAAAACGTGATCTGTAATGATATGTATAATTATAATCATATAATTATAATTATGACATTATATATGATGATAGCAAGGCAATCTCATCTTAGTGGAATTTTGTATTTAGTACACGCTCATAATTTATTTGTTTCAGAATTAAAAATATATAAAATAGACGACGAAATAAAACAAAAAAGTTGTTTAATTCTCTATTTAAATAATTTCTAAATCATATAAAACAAATGGTTCATATTCTGTATCTACTAATGATGCATATTCATGTAGAATATTGGATTTTGTTTCAGTATAACCATTACCTCCTAAATATGAAAATTTGTCATTTAATTCCTTTTTAGCTTTATTTAAATTTTTTAAATTATTACCTTCAAATTTTATCAAATAATCATCAAATTGTGGTGGCAATCCATATCTTAATACACTTTCAACATAAACTCTTATAATTTTAATATGAATCCAATTTTGTATCATATCAGAATATGCGGTTTTAGTTAATCTTATAACTTCATTTTTTAATTTTGATTCAGTTGCTTTTGTTAAATCAAATTCTTTTCTTAAATTATTTAAAATATCTTCATCATATATAAAATCAGTTCTTGGATGCCATTTATGTTCTCTTGATTTATTAATAAATTCTTGTTGATATTTTTTAAACAATGAAACTGTAAATAATGTAAATTCTGAATCTTTTGCAATTATATTTGCTGATCTAGGTATAACAAATTGTGTTAAAGTTTCATAAGTTTTATTAAAATCAGAAACTAATGAATTTGGTACAGCAATTAAAATAGTTGTTAAATGCTCAGAATCAAGAATAAATTGTTCTGGTTTAACTAATTCATGTAACGATTTAATTGATAAATCTCCATTTTTTTTACGATCAGCTGCTAAAAAATTTGATTTCGCAGTTTGATAATTTTGATAACTTGATTTGACATCAGAATCTAATTGTAATGCTTCACTAGATATAAGTTTAACTAATTGTGAAATTGGTTTATCTAATCTATATTTTGATGTATTCCATTGAAAATTTTGAACATAATCAAAAATTGATCTTGATTGAATTATTCTAGTTGTTGAAGTACTCGAAGTAACTGTATTTAAAAGTTCAACAATTTTAGTAACCGATCCATTCAATTGTTGATCTATTTTACTTAATTCTTCACTTTCTTGAACTAATGAATCTAATGTACCACTTTGAAAATCAGGTACTTTTAAATTATATAATGGTTGTTTCCCATTATTTAATGATTGTTCTAACCATTCCCTTGCATTAGTAGATTTAGGTAATGAAAGTATTAAATAATTAGCAATGGGTTGTAATGAAGATGAAGTTGATGACATGATTCAACCAATGTCTCTATCTATTCAACAATTGATAAATTGACGTTGATAAATATTATAATTTCAGTCAGATTGCACACCCACTTTAATTTCTAAAACCATCGCTACCAAGTTTCGTAAAAAAAAGAAGAGCATCGCTTAATAAAAAGATTTCAATATTAAACGAATACCATGAGTAATTCATTAGAAGTATGTGTCAAAGAAAGTATAAAGATTGATTTGTTGGAACATACTAACAGTTGGTTTTTCAGGAACGTTTGAAGACTCATTCATCTGCTTTTGATGGGTTATTATCTTTGATACCTGCTAAATATTATTATGATGATGCAACAAAAGATCAATGGCAACAAAAGAAGAAATCAAAACAAGAATTGAAACAAAATAAGAAATTGAAATTGGATCCAAATTCAAAAAAGAATGCAAATGAATTATCAAATGGTCATGCAAGTGCAAAAGATGTAATGGACAACAAAGCAAAAAATGCAACTAAAGTAAATTTACCAAAATTAATACATAAAAAACAAGAAGAGGATGAGGATGAGGAAGAATTAGAGGAAGAGAAAGAAGAAGAAGAAGAAGAAGAAGAAATACAGTCCACTTCAGACTCAGATGAAAGTGAGGAAAGTGAGGAAAACGATATAAATGAAGAAACTAAGAGTGAAGAAGAAGATTTTATAAATCAAAATAATAATTTAGTTTTTGATGACGATGGTAATGAATTAGAATCTGAGAAATATGAATTCAAAAAGGAAAGTACTCAAAAAAATGGCAAAGGTAATAATAAACTCGTTTCACCAGACGAAGAACAAAAGAGAAAAGAAAATTTAGCTAAATTACGTGAAAAATTAGAATCAAAGATAAATACTCTAAGAGAAAAACGAAAAGCAGTGGGTACAAAAGTCAATGGAGCCCCTAAATCTCGTGAACAAATATTAGCTGAACGTAAAAGAAAAGATGAAACAAAGAAACAACAAAAGAGGAAACATGAAGAATTAGAAGAAGAGGAGGAAGAAATGGACTCCGATGATGATATTGATGAAGAAGAAGATGTCAAAGATAATAATATATTATTTGGTAATATTGTATTTGAAGATGGCACTCAAATGACATCAGATTTATCAAAAGTGCGTAATTCAAGTGATAAAAAGAAATTAAAAGGACCAGCAAATAGAGATATAAAAGCACATTTACAAAAATTGGAAAAAAAGAAGCAAAAATTATCAAATTTATCACCTTCAGAAAAGGCAAAACAACTTGAAAAAGATAAATGGCAAAGAGTAATGGCTCAAGCAGAAGGTATAAAATTAAAAGATGACGAAAAACTACTAAAAAAATCATTAAAACGTAAAGAAAAACAAAAATTAAAAAGTGAAATTGAATGGAAAGAACGTAAACAATTTGTAAAAGATTCAGTTGCTGCAAGAGCTAAAAAGAGGGAAGAAAATTTAAAAGCAAGAAAAGAAAGTAAAGGATTAAGTAAAAAAGCTAAGAAACATCAACCAAAATTGAAAAAGTTTACTGGACTTATTAATAATAAAAATGGTAAAAAGAAAAGAGCTGGTTTTGAAGGAAGTGCAAAATCAAAATCAAAGAAATGATTCAGATAAGGGATTTAGGAACTTACTGTAATTGGTTATGAATATGATGGTAAAGGCTTTCGAATGATTTCAAATAGATAGGAGGTGACAAGATTTTCAATCTCTTGAGAAAGTGGATTGAAATCTTTCTTTCACATTCTTACTTCTATATTAGGAGTAGGACTAGGTTTTTCTCAATTATCAACAACGCCATCATCCATTAACGTAAGCTTCAAGGTCGCAAAGGGTTTATTTCACAGGGTAAGAATTGTGACAAATTTACTAAATCTTTTCATTATACGGCCCAGTTGCAAAACTTAACGCAAACGTAAGTACGAACACAAAATATACAACAATAAGTAACGTTTTATTCATTAACTAAAGCTCTAATACCTTTCATAATAGCGAAATTCAAATTTTTACTTTTTAGAGGGTATTTTTTAAGGGGCAATAACCAGTTAGAAAAGTTTTGAAACAAATTTACCTATATGCAGTCTCACAATAGTTAATCTCAAAACTAAATTGTAAATAACTACCTGATTATTCAAGCTTTCGATCACAAACTTTTTTCATTGAATCTGAAGTAAAATTGTAATAAAGTTATTATTATTTCTGCCTAAAGGACTCAAAATTGATCACTTTATTCAATATTCAAAAAATGCAAAAAAACGGCAAATTGCACGATAAGTACCACTTAGACCACAGTTAGCATCTTCTACTTATCTGGATTGTTTCAGCTAAGTATAAATACTATTTGAATCATGGTGATCTTAAGACGCCTAATCAGTGTGAAATTTTTGCAAAATTTTCAAATCACTTCTGAAAAGTTGAATTTTGAGTCCTTTTCCAGACAAAATCCTAAGCTTTACCAACAAAGAGCTACAAAACTCGACAGCTTCATATTAGTTTAATTACGATTCAGATTGTGGAGTTAAATATTTTATTTAGGTCCACAAGATAAAGATAGAACAATAAATAAATAATCAGAAGGTGCATCGTATCTTAATAAATTTGATTTTATAGCCGTCGTTATTTTTTTCCATAAAACACAATCATTAGATTGGTCAAAAACACGAAGGTTAAAATTATCCTAATATCAAGATCAGCAAATTCGAAACTATCATATTCGAATCGATCTATTTTTTCTCATTCGAACGGTACCTTAAACTCTATATTTTGTGCTCAAAACCGTTGCGTTAGACGTAATTCAGGTAAATTAGAAAGTAGGGGTTATTTTTCTTGGTTTTGTGTTATTTTTTGTTTTCGCATGCTCGGTATACTTTTTCAAACGAAATCGCGCAATCTTAGATGTATTTTGCGCTTATTAGATAACAAGAGTTTTGCTCATTTTAGGGAAAATGCACTATCGCAATCAGTAAATTATATTAACAACCCTAAACTTGGTTATCGGCCCTTCATTTTTAATTTTTAACTGATTAATTCGAGAGATATATCGTTGTATATTAGACCCAAAGTATTTTGGTAAAAAAGGGCAACTAAATGCTCATGACTACATTCTGATACATGTATAAGACTAACTTCTATTAACTTGTAACTATCAAGTCTGGATGCAAGTTATAAAGCATTTATTATATTGAAAATTTCACGAATTCAAGTTTATTATAGAGGCTTACTCAATTTTTCTCATAAATGTAAAATTTCCCTTCATCAACTTAAACCGGTGCTGCTGAATTGAAAATTTTATAAACAACATGTCCTAAATTATATTTATAAAGATACTGGTCATCACTTCGATGGGTTTTTTAATGGTTGATGGTGGTCAGGATTGGAAATGATTAGGCTGCAAGCTCCAGCTGCTAGGTTGGTCATTTCACGTTGCTCTTGCAGTCCTGTTTGAGATATGGGTTCTCTCATTTCAATCTTCTAAACAGGATCACTTTCAAAGAGAGAAGAAAATTTAAAGAAATCATATATATTATATAGTTTTTAATAATACTCATTTGAGAAATCTAAATTCAAAACTTTTAAATCTAAATTACCAATTGACATAAATTTAGTTGAGTTTGTTGCATTATTACCACCACCTACATCTTCATTCAATCTTGTCCAATTATTCTTGGTTATATAAATCAGTTTATCGACATCAACGGTAATTTTGAAAAACAAATCATTATCTTGAGAATCATTATTATCATCTGATGTAAAATTTGTACTAGAATTAAAATTTGAATCGTTAACTTCGCGACCATCATTCAGTTTTTTCAATTCTTGAATATGTTGAAATAATATAGTATTAAATTGAGTATAAATTTCGTTCCAACCTAAATCCTGTATTTCAATTAATGCTGATGTATCATCTAATTCATCTTGATTTAAATTATAAATAGTTTTATTTAAATTAATTATAAATTGATAAAAATTTATTGAATATTTCTTTTTAACTTCATTGGTCTTTTCATTTAAAATCAAACAATTTATTGATTTTAAACTATTTGGTTTATCTTTATTAATTATTAAATTTATTATAATATTTTCAATTAAATCATTTAAATATTTATTAAAATTTGGAAATCTATTTTTATAAACTATTAAATTAAATGATTTAAATTTATCAAATATTGATCTTGAATATATTTTATTATAACATAATATTTGATTAATCCATATAATGAAAAATTCTTTAAATGTAAGTAAAAAGTTACGAATAGTCAAAGGTTTAAATTCTTCTTCTTGTTGATTATTAATTGATTTTTTATTATCAGGGGCCATTAAATCATCATGAAATTCATTCATAAATTCATTATCATTGGATTGAGACATTTATTACTGTAAGCTACCTTATGTTTTAAAACTCATTATATAAAATTACTTGCAATATAATACTTTATTATTTGTTTTATTTCTCAAATTGCCGTTTCAAAAATTGATTGACGTAAAAATTTATACGACAAAAAAAATTTAAGACGCGTCTTAAAAAGAAGTTACAGAGCACATTTCGTATTCATTAACCAATTCATTTCATATTCAATTTCAGTTTGATCTTTAAAATAAGTGTTAAATGTAATTTAGATCATATAATATAGTTTGTTTAAAGTATTATAATTATTTTATTTGAAATTTGTTTACTTTAAAATGACTTCTTCAATTAAAAATATTAATCAAGATGATATATCTAAAATCACTTCAACTCAAGTTATTATTGATTTAAGAACAATTGTTAAAGAATTAATTGAAAATTCTATTGATGCTGGTTCAGATAAAATTGAAATTACATTTGTTAATTATGGTATTGACTCGATATCTATACAAGATAATGGGAAGGGCATTGAAGAAGAAGATTTTGAAACTTTATGTTTAAGAAGTCATACTTCCAAAATTAGTCAATTTGAAGATTTAAATAGTTTAAATACATTAGGATTTCGTGGTGAAGCTTTAAATTCAATTTGTTCATTATCAAAAACTATTTCAATTAGAACTAGTATTGAAAAGATTTATCCAAGAAATTTCACTTTATCTTATAATAATTTTGGCGAATTAACCAACCGATCACAAAAAGTAGGTGGTGTTAGTAATAAATCAGGTACATTAATAACCATTGAAAGTTTATTTCATAATTTGCCAGTTAGGTTAAAAAATTTTATAAAAAATTCAAAAAGGGAGTTTCATAAATGTATTAATTTTATTATAAATTATTTGTTAATATATCCTAATATTAAATTTACAATTTACAATATTCTTCCTGCAAATAATAAAAAACAAGTTGTGTTATCTTCAAAAGGTGGTGTTAAAACTTCAGTTGTTGATAATTTAATTTCAATATTTGGTAATAATCAAAATAAAAATTTACTAAATATAAATCTCGAAATCACCCCAGAAATTAAAATCGATGGTTATATTTCATCTTATTCTTTTGGTTTAGGGAGATCATCAGGTGATCGTCAATTTTTATTCATCAACAAACGTCCCATTAACTACAAAAATTTGTCCAAACTAATAAATGAGGTATATAAACAATACAATCATGTACAATTTCCTATCTATGTTTTGAATATAGATATAAACCCAAATTTAATTGATATTAATTTACTTCCTGATAAATCTAATGTATTAATAAATGATGAATTGAAGGTTTTAGAACTTGTTAGACAAAAGTTGGCGGACTTTTTTGAATTTCAAGATAAAGTGATGATTCCTAAAAATAATATGAAGGAAGAATTGACTCAAATTGAGTCTGAGCAACCTGAACTTTCTGAAGTCGAAAATAAGAATTATTCAAAACCTCAAACAAAAGTTACTGATTTTATTTTCAATCAAACAAACATGAATGAGTCTATAAGTCGTCAAGAAGTATTAAATGATGAAAATGATGTCAATGAAGGTCAAGAGTCTCATGAATCAGATCTAGGAATGGGTGCTGATGATAGTAATGACGATTATCAAGAGGAAGAAGGGGAGAGATCAGATAACGAAGCTACTACGAATTTGTCTCGAGAGTTTGATGTGTTAGAAGGTTCAAAAAGTAAAGATTTTGATTCAGGCAACGTAGAGGTAGGTGAAAGTATACAAGATAGTTCAAAAATCAGGGAAAATGACAGTGCTTTCAAAACCAAGAAAGAAGAACATTCAGAATCTCAAGAAGAAGCAATAACCTTGTCTTCAGGATACACATCAAGTAGTCAAGCATTTCTCCAAGATGGCACGATCTTTGACGAAAATGACGAAAAGATTCAAGATAATCATGGAGTCAACTTTTATCCTGTTTCAAATCAAAATACTTTAAGTATTGAAATTGGTCAAAAAAACTATGAGGAACCACAATTAAAAAAGAGGAAAATAGAAAAAAGGTCCGATTTATTCAAAATTTCAAAAACACATTCTAGAGAAGATGTTTTATCACAATTCAAAAACTTAAAAAACTTAAATTTACCAAAATCTACTTCTGAAAGTACAGAAGTGAATATTAACGAGCAATTGAGTGATTCTGAAATTTATCATATTACAAAAAATGATTTTTTAAAAATGAAACTAATTGGGCAATTCAATTTGGGTTTTATTTTAGTTAAACATGATTCCAATTTGTTTATAATTGACCAACATGCATCTGATGAGAAATATAATTTTGAGAAACTAAATGAGTCGTTTCAAGTGAAATATCAACCTTTGATAGCTAAACAAAATTTGGACTTAAATATTATTGATGAAATGTTGGTACTCGATAATGAGAAGATTTTTCAAAATAATGGGTTTAAACTTACTATTGATAAAGATAAGTCACCTGGGTCTAGAATTTCACTTGCATCGTTACCAGTGTACAAAAAATCTATGTTTGAAATTGATGATTTTTATGAATTAATTAATTTGATTAATGAAAATCCTGGAAATCAAAATTTAAAATGTTCAAAAATAAGGAAAATAATTGCAATGAAAGCATGTAGAAGTAGTATTATGATTGGATCATTTTTGTCAAATAAGAAAATGAAAGAAATTGTGAAAAATTTAAGTACTTTGGACAAGCCATGGAATTGCCCACATGGAAGACCAACAATGAGACATCTTACAGAATTAAAAAATTGGCATGATAATTATTATGATTATGAATTGTAATATACAAATTTCATAATTCTGACTCCCTTGTTTTCTCTTCAAATAGCTTAACGAAGGGGTAGAAGATCGATGAAAAAACACATATCTCAGGGAAAAGGACTGCAAGCATTATCAAATACAAAATGAAAAAAATTGTCAATAAAAAATTTAAGTACTTTGGACAAACCTTGGAATTGTCCACATGACAGACCTATAAATTGTAAAACTATATTTTAACTAAAATTTTTTATTTTGCAACCAGATCTAAAATATACGAATTCTTTTTTTTTTTTTTTTTTTTTTAATAGAAGAGATAATTATAATTTAACTTAATACCATCAAATCAGCAAGTTCTGATTTATTGAATGCTCAATAAGAATCTTGAAAGTTCTCTACAGAAATCATTATTAAAATCTTTCAATAATTATTTTCAGATACTCAAAAATAAGTTAATTTCTCATCAAAACAAGATGACTGTTGAAACTCAAGGTACAAAAATGAATGGACGCCAGCTATATGAGCATATAGGCAAACCAATAACTATTGTTGCTCCTATGGTGGATCAATCTGAATTAGCTTGGAGAATTCTATCAAGAAGATATGGTGCAGATTTATGTTATACCCCCATGTTTCATGCAAAATTATTTGCAACGCAAGAAAAGCATCGAGCTTCGATGTGGAGTAAATTTGATGGAGATAAAAATATTGATAGACCTTTGGTTGTTCAATTTTGTGCCAATGATCCTGAATATTTATTGCAAGCTGCAAAATTAGTTGAAGATAAATGTGATGCTGTGGATTTGAATTTGGGTTGTCCTCAAGGTATTGCTAGAAGAGGTAAATATGGTGCTTTTTTAATGGATGACTGGGATCTAATTTTTAAATTAATAAGAAATCTACATGATAATTTGTCAATACCAGTGACTGCAAAGATAAGAGTATATGATGATTGGGAGAAATCTTTACAATATGCAAAAATGGTTTTAGAAGCAGGTGCTCAGTTTATAACAATACATGGCAGAACTAGAGATATGAAAGGTCAAAAGACTGGGTTAGCAAATTGGAAAATTTTAAAACATTTAAGAGATAATTTACCTAAAGATCAAGTATTTTTTGCTAATGGTAATATATTATATTCAGATGATATTCAAAGATGTATAGAGTCAACCACTTGTGACGCCGTGATGTCTGCTGAAGGAAATTTATATAATCCTGGCACATTTTGGACCAAAGATGATGATATTAATAAAAAATTCCCTAGAGTTGATAAATTATTGAGAGAATATTTCGAGATTGTAAAAAAGTATAACACTTTGCCAAACAAGATATCATTGAAATCGCATTTTTTCAAGATATTACATGCATTTGCACCAAAACATCCCGAGTTAAGACCTTTGATAGGGTGTATGAAAGTTCATCAATCATCAATGCAAGAATGGGAAAAAATAGTTGAAAATGTAGAATCCATAGTTGAGAAGATCTATGAAGATCCAAATATTCATGAAATCGATGTGATTAAGAAAGGAGAAGCTGAAGAATGGGGCGGTACATACAAAGAAGTTCCTTATTGGAGATGTCAGCCATATTTTAGAAAAATTTATGGAGAAGTTTTATGTGGTGATCAACTAAAAGTTGCAGCAAATGATAATCCGATCAATGAAGAGAATAAAGAAAATCGAAAGAGAATTCATGAAAAAGAAGCTGAACTGCCGAACAAAAAGAAATAAGCATAAGTAATCATCAATATATATTCAATCTTTAATCAAATTTTTTACTTAAAGTATCACCTTCCCACCATTTAAATCCTAATCCGTATCCCCATGGATCATTAGTGTAACGAGTTGGATTTTTGGCTCCAATTTGATAAAGTTCATCCAATTCTTCTTTAGTTAATGGTGGAAGTTTTATAATGCTTTTAATCCTTTCGAGATTTGATGATCTAGGTAAGGCAACTCTTCCATTTAAAATTTGATAAGCGTCAACAATTTCATTGACACTAACATCATATTTTTCAGCTAATTCTTTGACAAGAGGCAATTTTAGAACTGGAGCTCCTGGTCCACCAACTGGACTGTAAGCTTCTACTATAATACCGTTTTCATTACAAAGATCAACTAAATCTTGTTGTGGTAATTGAGGATGGTATTCGATTTGATTAACAACTGGGACATGTTTTTTAATTTTTGGTAATAATTGATGAAGTTTAGGAATTGAATAATTTGAAATACCAATTGACTTTACTTTGTCAGTATTATCTAAAATATCTTCTAAACTATGATAAACATCAATGAATTTAGTACCTTCAGCTGGATCATCATCATATTTTAAATTACCTTCTGAATCTTTTGGTTGAGTTGGTTGACCATTTTCATCCCCGTGTAAACAAACTGGCCAATGCTGTAATAACAAATCAACATAATCTAAACCCAATGTTTTCAATGATTGATCTAATGATTTTTCAGGACTATGCCAAAATGATGGCCAAACTTTTGTTGTAATAAATACATCTTCACGTTTAACTACACCTTCATCAAATAATTCTTTTAAAGCCTCACCAACATATTTTTCAGTTCCATAATACCAAGCAGTATCAACATGACGATAACCAGCTTTAATAGCAGTAATAACTTGATCTTTAACATATTTTGGATCATCTGATGGAACAGTTCCCAAACCTAAGGCAGGGATTGTTCTACCATTATTTAATTTAAGTGTTACTTCTGTGGCCAATTTCATATTAAAAGTGTTGTTATAGATTTACTAGTAAAAAATAATTATAAAAGAAGGCAGCAGCATACTTAGGCTTTATAGTTTTTAAGAGACGTAAACATTTTCTAGCAAACAGCAATTATCAATTTTTATAACAATCGGAGTTTGGCTATTTTAAAGTTACCACGCCGTACTAATAGTTTATGTACTATGTAAAATTACCACCAATATATTTGCATATAATCAAGCTATAGCAAGCAAGATGTGTATTTGTGGTTTAGAATAATCAATTTAACACAACTGAACTATTACTTTGAATAAGTACACACGATAACTTTGCTATTGTCACTTTTTTATCAAATGTGACACTATGTTGCGGAGATATGTCACCGTTTTTCTAAATATAAACTTAATTGTTTCACAATAGAGTAACTTGATTTGATCTACAACTTTTTAATCTATTGAAATCTCTTTACTTTATTATGTGTATTTAAATTTCGAGATCTCCAACCACATCATCGTTTTCGTCATTCAAAATTGCTTCTTCATCACGATATTCATCATTTTCATCATACTCTTCATCATCTTCCCCGTCGTGGGTTATAACTTTGTTGTCCTTCTTCTTCCCATCTTCATTTACACTTCTATTATTCGATATATTATTAAAATGTGTTGTGTTGATTGCAGTAACATGAAGAAACGTCACTCTTTTCTTCTTTTTATTGTATATAAACCAATAATATGACCACATTGGTTGATAGGGATAAGTTAAATCTTCGAAAATAGATTCATCTGATGGTTGAAATTGGTAGATTTGACAATTATCATATGTGGAATGACCAGGTGGTGACATATTTCCAGCAAATGATGAAACTGATCCACTTCTTCCTATATTTGAACTATTCTTTCGACTCCTACTAATATTATTTTGAGCAGCTAAATATGGTGATGAATTTTTAGAAGGAAGTACCTCCATATAAGAATTTATTATATCCCAAATCCAATTTAGAATGTCTTCCTTTTTACCTAAAGGTATAAGTATATTATTAAATTTTTGAACCAAATCTTCTGGTGTTTCTATTCTATAAAAATTTTCATTAGTTGGCTGCAAATTGGTGAAATCTTGATCGGGAAAACTACTATTTAATATAGCTATCAAATAAGCAAATGTTTTCCTAGTTGTAACATTTTTCAAAGGACCAAATGGGGTATCGTCAATTGCATGTTCTTCATCTTCTAGTTGTTTAGTTTCATTTAAAGATTTAGATAATAAAGAACTATTTTGTTTTTCATCGTTCTTATTAGAACCAGTTTTTTCAAACTTTATAGTTTCCAGATTCGTACCTAACCTTAGTTCTTTATCTATGGCAGATAACGGAGAACTAGCACTACTTCCAAATAATGAACTGATTGAATTTTGACGTTCTTTTTCAATTGATCGAGATAGTTGATTATCTTCTATAATTTGATTTAAATGCTTGTCTATACTTTTGAATAATTTCCTATCTGAACCTATTGGTTTAGTAGTAAATAATTCACAACCACCTCTTATTACCAAATTATTATCTGGAGAATGAAAATTTAATTCTTGATTTACAAGTTCAAGATCTACTTCATCAATGTACTTAATTATGTTAGTATGCATTAATAAAGTTGATCAATTCTACCCCATACGTACCTTCATTTAGATAAATTAACCACAATGCTTCAAAAACTGCTAAAATTGATTCAAATTAAATATCCTATCAGATAATTGTAAAGTATGGAATGAGCAAGTGATGAATTGTATCAAACTATTTAATTATTAAATGATTCTTCGTTGTTTATCAATAAATATTGAATGATAAACAAGTTAAATGCGTGGTAAAAATTGCGTGTAAAATTGCAACTTTCCATACATCATATTATGTAAGAACGCTACTGTTTATTACATAAGATTCACTAACTATTCCTTATTTCCATTTAATAAATAACACTTTATACATTTAAGAATATACACGTAAAAATTAAATGATAATTATTTGCAACCAACGTGTGTTGCAAAATTTATTATCATTCTATTTCAAGTAAACCTTGAGTATCAATTTTAAATGGTATTACCAAATTGTTATTATTTGAAGTTATACTATTACTTGAACAAATAACTTTTGCAAATCTATTTACTTGCCAATTATTATTCATTGAACTAATTTGAGTCATAATATCAGATTCATTATCAATATTACTAAACAATTCTCTATCACTTTGTGAGCTATTTAACGTGGTTGTTCTCAGACTAATTTCTTCTTGTCCATTTTCTGAATTAAATGTTGGTTTATAAGACTTTGTTAATAAAATTCTGACTTTTATCTTACAAGTCCAAGAATATCCTAATGTAGGAACATACTTTTTGATCCTTTTATTTCTTGCATTATAAGATTGCATTATTGTTTGTTTGAATACTTCAAATGTATCAGATGAAGAATCTAATGAAACTCCTTGTTGATCTTTATCTAGTTTTTGCCTTTTCGTTTTCCTATCATTTATTAATTGTCCTAAATGTTGTCCCAAACGATCTTGCTCCAGCTCATAATACCAACGATTATTGTTTGCACCATCAAGGAAAATTGTTTTCAAATCCCAGCCGGAGAAAATCAAAGTATGAAAATCTAAATTAAGTGCATGCTCAAATTCTTCATCAAAATAATCTTCTTTATTTGTCAACACGTCTTGAGTACGATCACTGACCTGATTGATCAAAACTATAGCAATATTAAACCTTGCAGCTAACTCTGATAGGTGACGATACATTTGCGTAATATAATAAAGTTTACCAGTACGAGATGCGTATTTGGGTGTTTTAGAAACAAGTTTTAATTGAATATCTTGACTTTTTGTTAATTCCAATATATCTTTTTCGGAAGCTAAATCATCCTCATGTTTCAGTATTGCTTCCCTGAAATAATTTGAATTCAAAAGTGAAGCATCTCGTCTAAAATGATGAGCGATTGAATCAATAACAACCAATTTAGTACGATTTTCATTTTGTGCAAGCTTGGTAGGTAATTGAGTGTATAGTACATGCTCTTGACTCTCTAGACTTTTGCAATATATTTCTGAGATTGATTTAAAGCCATTATGAGATTGAAATCCAAATATATCATATAAACGATTACTTTCAAGGTATGATTCAGTTGAAATATGAATGTCTTCACTTTCAGGAAAAGCTTTATTACTGTTGTATAATAATTGAAATAAAAATTGTGATTTCCCACATCCACTGGCACCAAAAATTTCTGAAACTTCACCTAGAGGAATTCCACCACCTAATTCTTTATCAATACTAGGCATACCTGTACTTATAAATTGCAATTTGAAAAAATCTTTTGATGGTTCTTCATTTATAATAAACTTTAAATTATTGCAAAAATCATTAATTCCTTCTAATGGTTCCTCGATATTTTTTGAAAATTGATCTAATTCTTCCAGTTCAAATGCTTTTAATACATCATTGATTGATTGACCTTGGTCTTTGAGGGTCGATAATATGCTTTCATAATCATTAGCAAAACTTAAATCATTAGATCTTAGTTGTTTAAAATCATCCATAAATCGATCTGGCTTGTCGTAAAAATGAAAAATAAAAAAAAATAAAAAAAAGAAATTCTATATTATATTAACAAATCTATGTTAAATTATCTCTAGCTTTTGATATCATATAATCTCTAGATTTTATCCAATATACTAAGAAACTGGGTATTGGTATACCAAATACAACTCCAACTCCTCCATTCTTACCAATTGGTACTACCATTGTTGCTCTTGTTGATTGTTTATAACCTTGAAATAAAATTGATTCATCTTTAAATATTTCGTAACTAATAACTTTATCAAATACATTTTTTTGATTGTATAATAAATCAACTAAAGAATGTGACCCAATTGAAAGTATATCACCTAAACAAATAACTTCTGGAAATGAATGTAATCTGAAAAATTCATCAGTTTTAACATATCCATTTTCTAATACCTGATTAGGCAAGAATTCAGAATTTGGTATCAATTTCTGTGCTTGGATTACCAAATCATACTCCTGGACAATGTCATCATATTTTACTTTATTACCGTCCACTTCAACTTGCTTATTATTAATTATCTCGACTCCCAATTTTTTCAATTGATCTTCTGCTTTTGATGAAAGACATGGAATACTTTGTAATACAATTTTAGATCCAGAATATAATGTTATTTTCTTATCACTGTAATTAGAAGCAAGTTCACCTGACGTTTCAACTCCTGTAGTTCCTCCTCCAATTATAGCAATTGATTTCGAATTTTTAATCTGCTGTGACAAATGCTTTATTGAATTAATGGTTAAAGATTGATCTTTTTCATTATCTAATTTCCAACATGGCATTATAGATCTAGAGCCTGAAGCAATTATTAAATTATCATATTTATATTTACTTTGAATGACAACTTCATGGTTTTCTAAATCAACCAGCTTCACGGTACCTTGAATGAAATTAACAGAATGATTTGAATACTTGGCTGCTATATTATCCACAGTTTCTTTGATTGAGAATAAAACGTTATCAATTTTTTCATACTCGATTAATAATCTTGGTGTGGCTACATTATAAAAAGCTTTATCGTTGGGTGTTATCACAATGATATTCAATTTGATTTGCTCGTATTGATTAGTTTTATTTAATATACTCTTCAACGCTAGAATACCTGCATAAGATGCTCCAATGATTATTATATTCTTTGACTCAATTGTCATATTGAAATTTCTTCTGATAAGATATGATTAAAAAAAATTAATAAGCAATTGTAAAATTTAATTTATATTATTATAATTATAATTATATAAGATTTACTCTAATGAGCACCAGAGATGAAGAACCATTTGTCGATAGATTTATCAATTGGAGCAGCTGGTTGAGGTGAAGCTGAAGGAATTTCTTGAACTGAAGCTTCAGAATAAGTAGGAACATTAGTTAAAGTTGAGTTTGTTAAATCAATTCCTTTTGAATCAACTGATTCACCTTTTATTAAAGTTTCCCAAGCTTCAGCACATTCAGTAATAACTTCTTCAGCATATTTTTTATTTTTACATTCACCTGAGAAAGCAAATTGATTTTCTGGTTTTCCATCAGGAATTTTATAAATTCTAAACCATTCATTTGTTGCTCTTAATAAACCTGGTAAATGAGTTTCGACATCTTCAATGTCATTCAATTTTGGAGCTAATGGATCATTTACATCAATAACAATAACTTTCCAATCAGTTTCACCTTCATCTAATAATGCCATAACACCTAAAACTTTAACTTGTTTAACTTCACCAACATTTGCAACTCTTTCACCAATTTCACAAACATCTAACGGATCATTGTCACCTTTAGCTTTAGTTTCTGAATGAATGACATTTGGATCTTCCCAAGTTTGTGGAAAAGCACCATAATTGTGAATATAACCATGGTGTGGGAAACAATTACGAACAAATCTTAATTTTCCTTTTTTGGTGTCTTGAACAATTGGGTTTAATTTTTGATCTTTTGAAATTTCTAATTTAGCATTTGTCCATCTAGGAACTTCAACAATCATATTTAAAATTGTTTTATCTTCATTAGCGTATAATGGAATATCATGAAATGGTGAAACTGGCTTTCCATCTTTTTCAATGTAAACTTTATAATCTAAAGTATTTGCAGCACCAACTTGACGAGTAGTATAAGACATTGTTATCTTGTTGAATAGAATAGAATTGAATTGAATTGAATTAAATCAAGAAATTAAAATTTTTCAAAATATGGAAGAATTTTTTTTTTTTTTATTTTTTTTGGGGTGGGTAACAATGATAGACAACCAACCAAGTGATATTACGTAATATGAACTTTACACTATTTTTAAGCTTCAATAATAGTTAATAAGTGGTGATTGTCATAATAATTGACATCTATTGAATCAAACTTTGTTCATACAACTTGAGTTTTGTCATGATATAATCATTATAAGTTTTATTTGCAACCACGTTCATTTCAGATTTTTTATATAAAAACAATCCTCTAGTTAATTCTCTATGACATTTTTCAATAATTGTATCTTTATTTAACAAATTCAATAATAATAAAACATCATTATACGTAATTGATAACCAAGATGTTGGTTTTGATTCTGATAAAAAAACTCCGGCAAATACTAAACCGTGAATATTAATAGAAAGTTGTCTAAAGATATTAATCCCATGAACATCTGAATCAAAAAAACAATAAATAATAGGTTTGAAATTGTTTTTTAACCAATTTATAAATCTTAAAGCAAGTTTATCAGAATAACCTTTTGTAGTTATAATTAGATAATTTTTCAATTGATTTGTGGATTTTAAATGGCTGCAAAAGGATTGAAAAACGGCATCTTTTTCAATTACAATTAACAAAAAACGTTGATCTGATACCAAATGTTGAAAACTTTGTTCAAAATTAATTGGTATTAATATTGGTTCATTTAATGAAATATTTGTAAAATAATCGCCATACATAAGACTCTTCTGTGTTGGATGAATATTAAAAGTAGATATTAAAGACCACTTCAATGAATAAGTTACAAGTTGAGTTAATAAATAACAACATTCTGATTGTTTATTTTGAAACACATCTACATCTTGATAATAGATATCTCTTATTGTAGTTAATTGACAATTTGTTTCCATATGATTAATTAGAATCTTAATTAATTTACATAAACCAACAAATCTTTGTAAATCCAACTCAGTAGAAGAAAATTGATAGTAACTGCTTATTTTCCTTCTATATATATCTAATTCTGAATCTTTAATATTCAAAATTTCAGGTTGATTATTTTTGTACAATATTAAATTTAAAGGTTGATAATTTGTTGCAGCCAAAATAAATTGTTGCCAAAACATGTTTAAAACATCAATTTGTAGGCTTATATCCAGTTAGTAAACTATTTTATAAATTAATAGATATGTGAACATACATATATTCCTTGGAGTTATTAAAATAAACATTATAAGTCTTATTCATAAAAGTCTTATGCATAATTGGTAAGTATACTTTGATATTAATAGTTTAGAAATAAAAAAAAAGACGTAGAAATTTAATTAGTGTATGATTTCAAACGACCGTTCGGATATTAATATTCACTATTATACACAATTAATAACTAATGATCTTATTATAGTTCTTTTAATATAGTACTATTACTAATTACCCATTCATTAGTATACATCCATTAATACTTCACTTTGAAAATAAGCTTGCATTTTGTATAATTATAGTTTTCAACAATTTCTTTGTCTATTCTTTTCTTGGTTTCAAATCTTTTCTTGAATCTTTTTTTTTTTTTTTTAATAAAAGATTTATAAAAATCCAACCAATACTACGATTATTACTCGATACACAGATACAAAGATACTTTGATTATTTATTCATTTATATTTTTGAAGATCTGGAATTATTGAATTACATTTATCTAAAATACTTAATAATATTTGTTCATTTTTATAAACTTTTATATTTGGGCCGTGGGTTTTCATTAAATTTATTAATTTAGACTAATCATTTTTCATTGCACTTTAACTTAAGTATAAATTATTAATTATGATTATTAAAGATTCAATACTTAGACGTGACTGGGATGATAATTATTGGACAAACTCTGGTGGAGCAAGATGGGCTTTTTTTGCTATATTTGTTGTATTAATTATTGTGGTGGTATTAGGAACAATTAGAGTAAATAAAAAAAGGAGTATGCAAGGTATGCAACCAATTTATGGTACTAGATGGATGACTCCTCCTTCATATCGACAATCTCAAAATCAATATCAACAACCTGATCATGTTAGAGATCCTGATTTACCAAGTGCTTATGTCCCGATTTATACTGCTACTGCAAATGAATATGATATGGGTTATTATGATCAAGATGGTACTTTCCATCCAAATCCGAATGCAAAATCTCCTATACAACATCCACCTGATGCTCATAAGCGTACAGCAAATATTTCTGATACTAATCCTAATGCTTCGGCAGCTTCAAATTTACCAGCAAATATAGATTCTAATCAAGATGATTATGATGATAATGACAGTATTAACAATTTTTACAGACTGTCAAATGTCGCCACTACAAATTCGTTATCAAATAATGTTTCCTCCCCTCTTCAAAATGAAAATAGAAGTACACAAGACCAAATTCATGACACTAACAATAGAAGAGAATTTGGTAATAGCGAAGAGATATCAGAAAGAATGCCTGGTGCATTTTCTCCACCTTCGGGTCCACCACCTAATAAACAAGAAGAGGAACTGGAAACTGTGAAACATTTAAATACAACAGACAGTTCTAGTGGAAGTCTGATTCACCATAAAGAGGCGAAATGATTTAGAAATTTTTAATAATGTATATTTTTTCTTTTAACTTAATAATTTGTTTATAAAAGTTTTGAAACTCTTCTCTTCTCTTGAAAGTAGGAGATTCAGAAGATCGAAATGAAACAGCCCATATCTAAGGTAAAAAAACTGCAAAAGCAACCTGAGATAACCAACCTACCGGCGGGAGTCTGCAACCTAATCACCTCCAATCTTGACCTCCATAAACTATTAAAGAACCCATCGACAATAAATCATCAATGACATTTAGCTTGATAAATGTAATTTAGGACCTAATTGGTTAATAAATCTTTCAATGCAACAGCACCGGCGTAAGTTGATGAAGAGAAAATTTCAAAAATTTTGGGGACAATTGAGAAGCTTTCACAATAATGACGTTATTTCATTTATTCCTCTGCCTAGATATAAGCGGGTTACAAAACATGGCGCGATATAAATTGCGCTTTTAAATGGATACCTGATTGAGCACCCATTAAAAGCTTTATCTACAAAATCTCAGGAATACAAATTATTCAATTTATTTGCCATCCAAAATTGTAAGACGATCGATTTGATTTATTGGATAACATATAAAATCATCGAAACATTATACAATAACTACAAATTGTACGAGCTTATTCATACCAATAATGACAATTGAAATATTTAATGGCCAAAAGATCACAAGTTGGAGATCAAATTCAGATAATTTTTCTTCATTTTCTTGGATATTATGGGCATTGATTCTATGTTAAAATAATCTACTTAGCTAATATCAAGGTTAGGAAAAATTCATTTAATAAATAAGCATAGTTTTATTACCATGAAAAAATACAGTAAATTTCTATCCTTATCAACTTAAAAGCACTACAAATTTGCACTACGAATTTGACTGGTCTTGTTATGTTTTAGTTTTAATGTTAGTTGTGGACTCAGATATTTTGTAAGGTCAATTTTAATCGAATTCTTCCATACTAAAGAAATAACTTTGAAATTTCTCAGTTTTAGTATGAGCAAGCTGAATTTCAACACCTTTTTATTTTGAAGTATAATATATAATTAATTGCTTTCTTGAAAGGTATGGCCTTAAGTCCAAACATACCATAGTCCCTCATTTTAGAAAAACTTATTGGATGGTAAAAAAATGACAAAAATATCAATATTATAGAATTTATTTTGAAATCTACTGCCTAAAATAGATAGTTCAATGCTCTTTATTTCATTGAATTGGTAATTATACTGGTAGTTATACTGAGAAAATTTGTTGTCAAATAAATGTTAGCCAAAATCTACGATATTAGCGCGCCTAGTTATTTTGTCGCATTACATCACCGCGTAGTTGCATAATGTTTATTAGCATAACCTCGTCAGCATAAATCACACCCTTAATTTAAGATGGTTTAAGCATTACGTTTTAAATGATGCTTTATACCTCATCTGAATCACACTGGGCCAATCGGCTGACTTTAGATATTTTAAATTATTTTTAATACGATCGACTACAATCTTAGAATTAAAAAAGGAATAAAAATATAGCTTAAAGACTACACCAAAATTCCATTGAACAAATGCAGATACAGTAACATTCTCTGCACTATACGGCTTGAAATTAACACAGTTGTACTTTTATAGCCAGATAAAAGCATTCCTTAATGACTATATAGGTGGTTTTACAATTTTTTGGTAATAAATTTGAAAATTTTGCGATTTTATGAATTGACTATTAAATTTGAGTAGATGCAATTACATATAACGTAATTCATAGTTTAAAAACAAAACACTTGTACTTCCAGTTAGTTTATACAATACTAATTGTATCTTTTGCCACCTAAATATTGAAATTCAATTTAGATATCGAACAAATTACTGAATCCAAGTATGCATAATTACTCAGATCAAATTCTATAACCTTGACTTACCCAGTGTGAGGCTTTATCTTGTGACTGCATCTAACCATCATGAAACACACATAGTTTTGCAATTTTGTTTTCTTCAAAAATCAAGCTCTCATCCCAAACTCAACGTTATTATGTAATACATGAGCCATAGTTTACTGATATATCGTTAGATCTTCGCTAAACCTGCTAGTTCGTGAGATATTTGCACTTTTTTAATTTTGTAAGCCTCGTTTCCTAATTCGGTCATTTAACTTTGGACCATCAGCAAAACCAATTTTTGTTACACAAAAACACGATCCAAAATTGACAACTTTTCTTTTTGTAAAATTCTTTTAAAATGTTAATTACTTGAACATGACCACATATTATAGCCTGAAACCAACCATTTTGTAATCTTTGATAGCTCTAGTTTATTTGATGTAAGCAAATGCGTTAATGATAGTGGATGTTGGAGTAAAATACTTTAATTCGAAATTTTGATTATGCTTTATGTAAAGAACGGAAGAGGGCACCAATTGTTTTAGAATAAGTTGTATTTGACTCTTCTTAGCTTACTGATTAAAAAACAGTTGATTGCTTTTGTAATGGTTTTGTATTTGTAGAGTTATTTCACATTAGAGATGCATTTCCACAAAGACGATTCATGTATCATACACCAAAATATCATCTAGCAAAGACAAATAAAGCTACATTATCTGTTATATATGACCTGGACCTAACACGCTTGCACTTTTATACCCAGAGAGTAGTGTTCATTGGTAAATATTTAGATATTTTTACAAAATTTTTGGTAGTCAATTTGGAAATTTTGTGATTTTGTGAAACAACTCAATGTCTTATGCCGATGTTAGTCTCAAGTTTGACATCTGAAGCATGTTTAAAATGTATGATTACCAATATAATCTATATTATATTTCCTTACTTTATCTAATTCATTATTTTGATATGCTGTTTCACTATTTTGTTATTCTGTTTCACTATTTTGTTATGTTGTTTCACTATTTTGTTATAGTATTTCTCTGTGCACTTCCTCAAACAACAAGTTCAATCTAGATATTTAAATCATACTGGTTATTCCAGGACCTTAAATATCCATCATCCGAAATCTAACCGAGATCTATCCGAAATCTGGTTTCATACCCTAACCTCAATAGTGATTTTTGGTGATAATGCACCCTTACCGCAATACTTAATATGACATCCTGACCTCAATACAAAATAAAAGCTCCTAAGATCAAATATCACGTGATGTTCAGAATATATGAAATATATACGAAAGCCATAATCACGTGTAGCTACACAAATTTTAAGATGTAAAATGAAAAAATCACGTGCCATATTGTAGAAGATTTTTTTGGTGTTTGGGTCTATTCTTTAAATTGAACAAAATGAATGATATTTTGGTTTCTCGTCACGCTGAACCAATGAAAAGCGGTAAATTTATGAATGCAAATGTAAAATTTTGAATTCACATCACATGACCAGATAATATTCTTATACAAATGCGAAAAGTTCTATAGTATCACGTGTTTACCACAATTTTCAGAAAGATATATGGGCTACCATATAATTTTGAGGTCTGGATGCCATTTTTAGTATTGCGGTAAGGGTGCATTACTACCAAAAACTACTATTGCGGTAAGGGTGCATTATCACCAAAAATCACTATTGAGGTTAGGGTATGAAACCAGATTTCGGATAGATCTCGGTTAGATTTCGGATGATGGATATTTAAGGTCCTGGAATAACCAGTATGATTTAAATATCTAGATTGAACTTGTTGTTTGAGGAAGTGCACAGAGAAATACTATAACAAAATAGTGAAACAACATAACAAAATAGTGAAACAGAATAACAAAATAGTGAAACAGCATATCAAAATAATGAATTAGATAAAGTAAGGAAATATAATATAGATTATATTGGTAATCATACATTTTAAACATGCTTCAGATGTCAAACTTGAGACTAACATCGGCATAAGACATTGAGTTGTTTCACAAAATCACAAAATTTCCAAATTGACTACCAAAAATTTTGTAAAAATATCTAAATATTTACCAATGAACACTACTCTCTGGGTATAAAAGTGCAAGCGTGTTAGGTCCAGGTCATATATAACAGATAATGTAGCTTTATTTGTCTTTGCTAGATGATATTTTGGTGTATGATACATGAATCGTCTTTGTGGAAATGCATCTCTAATGTGAAATAACTCTACAAATACAAAACCATTACAAAAGCAATCAACTGTTTTTTAATCAGTAAGCTAAGAAGAGTCAAATACAACTTATTCTAAAACAATTGGTGCCCTCTTCCGTTCTTTACATAAAGCATAATCAAAATTTCGAATTAAAGTATTTTACTCCAACATCCACTATCATTAACGCATTTGCTTACATCAAATAAACTAGAGCTATCAAAGATTACAAAATGGTTGGTTTCAGGCTATAATATGTGGTCATGTTCAAGTAATTAACATTTTAAAAGAATTTTACAAAAAGAAAAGTTGTCAATTTTGGATCGTGTTTTTGTGTAACAAAAATTGGTTTTGCTGATGGTCCAAAGTTAAATGACCGAATTAGGAAACGAGGCTTACAAAATTAAAAAAGTGCAAATATCTCACGAACTAGCAGGTTTAGCGAAGATCTAACGATATATCAGTAAACTATGGCTCATGTATTACATAATAACGTTGAGTTTGGGATGAGAGCTTGATTTTTGAAGAAAACAAAATTGCAAAACTATGTGTGTTTCATGATGGTTAGATGCAGTCACAAGATAAAGCCTCACACTGGGTAAGTCAAGGTTATAGAATTTGATCTGAGTAATGGTGTATACTTGGATTCAGTAAATTGTTCAAAAATGCACATATGTACAATTAAATTTAAATAGCGAGTTTAAGCTGACATATAAGCCTTAGTAGCTCGTACTTATTATTACAGAATATGCGGTACGTTTTTGTATATCTGTTTTTGTTATACTCAAATGTGTATCGGATATGATGCCTGATGGTTGGGAGCGAGAGAAAAATTCTTTGCTCTAGCCTCAAGGCGACCTCGTACCACGTAAATTTGCTTATATCTCGTGACAAATGCAGTCTCTCGAGATAAG